CAATATGAGAGCGACGGTCATCGGCTCAGAGAAACTATTGCTACCACGCTTGAGAATAAAAGGCGACTGCAAAAAAAGTACGCGCCGCCGGGCTCGGACACCGATTGCCTATACCTGTCAGAGGTCGCGCATCCTCCGAACGACGAGAGAGACTGTCCTGAAACCTGTGGTTCAGACCCATCGAAGATTGTTAGCCGTGGACCTAGGACACAAGACGAGGATGACCCCGCTATACATTACGGTTTGATTGCTTCAGGGAATCGACTGATAAAGGACGCCTCAATTCGAGAGAACGCGGCAAGGGACGGGGTTCTGTGTTTTGAGATGGAGGCAGCGGGTGTTATGAACCACTTTCCTTGCCTGGTGGTCCGCGGTATATGCGATTACTCGGACTCTCACAAGAATACGAGGTGGCAGGGATATGCAGCGATGGCGGCTGCTGCGTATGCGAAAGATCTCCTACTGCGGATCGCGCCGAACAGAGTGGAAGCTGAGAGAAAGATCGTGGAATCATTGTCGGAATCTGTCTCTGGTGCGTAAGCCTCAAAAAGTTGGCAACCGTCTGCCTAACCTCTTTATATATGTAATAGATATTCAGAAAGATGTCAAGGCCGTCGTCAGCGAACAGACCAAGCGAACGCAGCAGGCCATCCTCCATTGGCTTTCGCCGACAGATTTTGTCTCTCTGCAAAACGATTTCATGTCGAAGCATCAGCCAGGAACCGGCCAGTGGTTTCTCAACTCAGAAGAGTATCATAACTGGCTAGAAGTCCACCAACAGACGTTATTCTGCCATGGGATTCCCGGAGTCGGAAAGACGATCCTAACATCCATTGTGATCAACGATCTCCAAAAGAGATACAGTAGAGATACCACGGTCGGAATCGCTTATGTCTATTGCGATTTTCGCCAGCAAGAGAATCAGAATGCTACCACGCTCCTATCTAGCTTACTGAGACAGCTGGCGCAGAATTTGTCATCCACACCTGTCGAGATCCAAGATCTCTATCATCAGCACCAAGCTAGGGGAACGCGACCCTTACCCAATGAAGTCTTAAGAGTGCTACACTCTTTAGTTGCTTCATTCTCAAAAACACTAATTCTGCTTGACGGGTTGGATGAGCTGTCTCCCGTTCATCGACGAAAACTACTACCGCAAATTGTCGGACTACAGGCAGATACAAACTTGAATATTTTTGCAACCTCACGGCCAATGCTTGACGTTAACAAGGAGTTCAGGGCATGTGCGTCACTTATATCACTAGAGATCCTTGCAAGCGATGAGGACATGTCAACATATCTCGATGGACGCATGCCAGAACTGGTACCCTTTATGCTTGAGAGGCAAGATCTGCAGGAAGAGATCAAGAAGGGCATTATAGGGGCTGTGGATGGCATGTATGTGTTATGCTGACCTCTCGAGACTAACGCTGCCCAGCTAACACTGACGAAGGTTCCTCTTGGCTCAACTTTACTTCAATTCGCTCCGGGATAAGACCTCGCCAAGGGAAATAAAGAATACCTTAGCAGATTTCGGAGCGAAGACTAATCGAGGATCCAAGGAACAGATGAAATCTGAGGCATTGGCCGAAGCTTACAAACATGCAATGGAGAGGATCGTCGGACAGCTACCAGGCTTTCGGATACTTGCAAAGAAAACTCTGTCTTGGATCACGCATGCAAAGCGTCCACTTGTGGTCCTGGAGCTACGGCACGCTCTTGCCGTGGTTATTGGCGATCGCGAACTGGATCATGACAGAATGCCCGACCTGGGCACGGTCCTGTCTGTCTGTGCCGGCCTAGTCACGGTCGACGAACAAAGCCAAGTCATCCGACTCGTTCATTACACGGCACAAGAGTACCTGAGGAAGCAAGGGACTTGGTTCCTCGAGCCAGAAAACTACATTACGAAGGCTTGCCTTACCTATTTGTCCTTTGGCAACTTCGAAAGCGGCATCTGTTACACGGCCGACGAGTTCACGGAAAGGCTACGGACTAATCCACTCTATAAATACGCAGCCAGATATTGGGGGCACCATGTCGCGGAGGAGTCGGAGACTCAACAAGACGTTCTTCAGTTTCTTATCAGTGACTCCAAAGTTGCTGCCTCGAGTCAAGTTTTGTTAACGTGGCCCAGATACTGGGACTATTGCAGTGAAGAGGGACGAATAGACCCGACAGGTGTACACTTGGCTGCATGGTTCGGGCTAACGCACATCATGGTGATGTTGATTCAGAGAGGATATCAATTCGATCTGCATGATACATGGGGACGGACGCCATTGTCGGTAGCCGCCGAGCGAGGATGTGCCAAGACGGTCCGACTGCTAGCCGGACTAGGTGCTGATCTAGAGGCAGTAGACCGAGGATTCGGTTTTACCCCAATCCTATCGGCAATTCAGTGCAATCACGAGGCTGTCGCCCGCGTACTTATCGAGCTCGGTGTGGATCTAGACTGTCGGGACTACAACGGCTGGACACCTTTGATGTTAGCGAGTATCCTCGGTCATCAGGCTATGGTCCGTCTCCTAGTCGAATTAGGTGCGAACCTCGAATGTCAGAACCGGACTGGTATAACACCTTTGATGGCAGCTATTGGGAACGATAATCAGGCTATGGTCCGTCTCCTAGTCGAGTTAGGTGCGAACCTCGAATGTCAGGAACAGCACGGTATAACACCTTTGATGGCAGCTATTGGGAACGATAATCAGGCTATGGTCCATCTCCTAGCCGAATTAGGTGCGAACCTCGAATGTCAGAACTGGAATGGTTGGACACCTTTGATGACGGCAGCTATTGGGAACGATAATCAGGCTATGGTCCATCTCCTAGCCGAATTAGGTGCGAACCTCGAATGTCAGAACTGGAATGGTTGGACACCTTTGATGACGGCAGCTATTGAGAACGATAATCAGGCTATGGTCCGTCTCCTAGTCGAGTTAGGTGCGAACCTTGAATGTCAGGAACAGTACGGTGCGACACCTTTGATGGTAGCTGTTCAGAAAGATAATCAGACTATGGTCCGTCTCCTAGTCGAGTTGGGTGCGAATCTCGAATGTCAGGACCGGGATGGTTGGACACCTCTAATACTAGCGACTAGTATGAAAAATCCGACAATGGTCCGTCTGCTAGTCGAGTTGAGTGCGAATCTCGAATATCAGGACCGGGATGGTTGGACACCTCTAATACAAGCGACTAGTATGAAAAATCCGACAATGGTCCGTCTACTAGTCGAGTTGGGTGCGAACCTCGAATGTCAGGACAAGAACGGTGAGACACTTCTGATGCACGCGATTTATCTAGAGAATCCGACAATGGTCCGTCTACTGGTCGAGTTGGGTGCGAACCTAGAATGTCAGAGTAGGGATGGCCGGACACCTTTGATGGTGGCGAGAGGATTCGGTGATCAGGCAATGGTCCGTCTGCTGATCGACTTGGGTGCCGCCGACCCAGGACATTAGGGCCATCTTGGTATTATGTTGGCCCTTCAGAACAGGAAGCTGGGTCATTGCCCTGTGCGGCTGAAAGAGGGGAACCACCGACTATACAAACATCGTTTTACCGTCCACCGACGCACCTCCTCCGCCTCCTTTTCCTTGCCCTGATGATTGCTAACGAGCAGAGGTGATTTTGACTTTGGTACTAAGCCTTTAACGTTCGGGCTTTCATGGACCGACTTGCCGATCATCTCTCAAGCTCCCCTTTCTGTCTCGAAGAAGGTCCTGGCTTGCTTCACCACCGGCTCGAGAGTTCGCGCGATGGGTGATTATACGCCGGCAACTCGCCCTAAGACCCCGACCGTGGTTGGGTAGTTAGTCCCTTATATGGCGAAGCTGTCAGATTGATGATGCACTACTGGGCCATGACTGACAAGAGCGCAATGCTGAGTGTTCTGCTATGTAGTACTCAATCACTCCGTATCGTGTCTACTCGTGGATTCAATCTATAGAAGCGGGGCCCCACGTAAGGCTGAGAAGAGGTATTCTTAGGCTCAGTCGGTGACGGGGTGCGGCCCCACTTGGCACCAATTTCTGCGGAAACTCCCGAGGCCCCTCTCGGAGTTTATCTGTTCGAATCGTCTTGGGCATAATTATGGTTTCTTGAGACCTATCTACACTATCAATCAATTGCTTTACGGCCACCTCATGTGCTCTCGCGCCCTCGTACCGTCTCGCGCACACTCTCTCCTCCCTTAGACTATGAGCCCAGCGCCCTGTCCGGTATCCACCGTTTCGTGTGGCTCGACCATTTCCACTGACGCGTCCCACAGTGTGGACTTTTCCGTGAATTCCAGCACCGCCCCAGGAGATCGACAAACGACGGACCTCTTCTGGAACAGGTACACCATATTGGCCGCGTTTGCCCGAACCCGTCGCGCCCAGGCCTCCGAGGCACTTTGCTCTAGCTGTTGTATAACGTCGCGAAGGGTCCCCTCGACGATGTCGGAGAGCTTCATGTCCAAAAAGTCCATCGAGGGCTCCCCTTCCCAGGTCAGAGGGACTGTCTGGCCGCCGAGCAGGCAGAATTTGCGGAGATGATGGACGATTTCAGACTTTCAGACCTGCAGCCCGGACTCGCCGTCGCCAAGCTCACTCGCCAGGGCTTTCCGCATGTCTCGGCCGCGATCGTCTGTAGGGAACGCGTTGGCAATATCTCGGGGAAGGGCAGGTTCCGTCTGGTCGTTGCTCGTTGCGCGTCTGTATATCTGACTCCCATCTTCGAGCCATTTGCGGCTCACTGGGTAGCCACGGCGTCCTTCTCCCTTGGCCAGCCGCTTGAGATTTTCGACCAGGGAGGGCTTTGAGTCGCTCGGCAAAGGGGGCCGATGGCTTTTTGCCAGGCTCAAGAGGGATCAGAAGCTCCCATATCCGGCGTACACGGATGGCTCTCAACAATTTTTCCTTCCGGAAGGTTGAGACGGCTCCCTGTAAGCGCTGCAGTGAATGGCACCTTCACAGATTCCAGTGCTTCCGGGTTTCGTTGCTCGAAAGTCGGGCTACCATATTATATTTGATCTTGATCTATTTCTGTGGGATGTCTCCGGTGTCGACAAACTCGTATTCTTTCCGGAAGATGAGATCTTCCAGCCTCTCCACCTGCACAGGCTCAAAATTGGCCCTCAGGCACTCTCTGCCTTCCGTTCCGAGAAATTCCGCCGCGGACGCCTTGGTGATCTGTCCTACTTGTCTGCCAACAACGACCGTCGGCGGCACGACACGACGGAACAGGCCGTGATCAATGAGCAACGCCAGGACATCTGCCCAGGCCACGTCCATCTTCTCGTCGGGAAACTGCTTGTTGTACCGAGCCAAGAGGCTGGTCACCTTCGCCGCCTTGTCTTCGAAGCTGGTCTGAGACTTCCGGCCGTACGAATCCGTCAGAGGCCTCTGGGCGCGTTGGAGCAAGAGCGCCACAACTTCAGGAGAAGGTTTGGCCCTTTCCTGCGAAAAGAGCAGGACGGGCTCTAGCGCGAGATCGAGCAGCCTGTCCAGGTTCCAACCATTTCCGAGTTCCACGACGCTGGCGTCCAGCTGGGAGCGGAGAAAGCGAGTCAAACTGAACTGGACGGCCAACCCCAAGAAGGACCCTCGGTCTCCTTGCCAGTGCGTGAACGGATGGACCGAACGCCATTGACTGAATTTTTTGTTGAACATGACCACCCTCGCGCAATCACGCAGACCCCAAGGGTCCCATTTCTCAATTATCCGTTGTCGGAAGACAGACAGTAGGCTGAGTGGCGCCGAGCCCGATGTGCAGTCATTCTGCGAGGCATATTGGAGGAAGGTTACGGCAGTGGCAATGCCGTCCTCTCCGGCCTCGGTATGCATCGCAGGGAGGTGGTCCGTGTCGGCCAAAGCAAGAAATTCCACCAGCGACGCATTGCACATGTACCGCGAAACGTCTACGCTGCCGCTGGTGTATGTGTTGAGCCGGGCTCGCACAAGTTGGCTCTGGCAGAAGAAGTCGTAGACCGTCCGATGTAGAAATTCGACTTGCCAGTCAACCCAGCCTGCTCTCTTGATCTCCGCCCCCATTTCGAGGAGGCCCTTGCATCTGCTGTTCAGCCGCCGCTTTGCGGAGGATATGAGCTGATGAATCGCCTGCTCCGTCAAGTCCTCTGCTTCGAGATGCAACGCAAAGTCGATGTGCTCTTCCTCGGTAAACGCCAAGGTCAGCACTGTCCTGTGCGTCTTCGGCAGCGCGGTCACGATCTGAAATATCTTTCCCGCGTCGGCGCGCTCCGATGCATCTATCGACTCGATGATTTGCATAAAGAAATCGTCCAATTCGGCGGGGAGCATGTCAAGTCTTTTGAAAAGGTTTGTGATTGTCGCCCCGTTTTGCAGACGCTGTAGCAGATCTCGGACAACGAGAATCACCCAGAGGAAAACGCCCTGCGCCTTGTCCACAATCTGCGATTGGAGATTGTCGCATTGCGTAGGCTTGACGGCACGTAGCTCTCGAAAGTGCACGTCCTCCTCAAAATGATCTCGCACGTAGGTGGCAACATCCCTTCTGGTCAAATCCTCCAGATTCAGGCTCGAGAACTTTTTCAGCCCTTCCTGGAAAACCGGCCACGGCCGACTCGAGACGCATATCTTCACGTTGTCGTGCTCGGAAGCGATGCGGACAAAAAAGTTGACCAGATTCTGCCGCTGTGCCTCCGTACCCTCGTATTCGTCCAAGCCATCGACCAAGATCACAAACCGGAAGGAGTCGGAGGCCAGACTGAAAAGACGGGCAATGGAAGCGGTGAGTTCTTGTTCCGACCAGTCGTCCAGATCCGATTGCCCGTAGTAGTAGGCATGCCAGCGCTCTGGATGTGCAATCTGCATGAGCGAGTGTTCCTGTTTGAGAAGCTGGTATAAAAGGGATCGGAGCATGCCCGTCAAAGATTTCTGGAGTGAAGTCCCTGCCCTCCAGAAGAAGCAGCTCGCCAAAAGCAGTTTCCTCGAACCAGCCCATCCCTGCAAGGAGGCTGTCAATTGGGGATGTGTTGTCAAATATCGCATAAGACATGATTTCCCGGCTCCTGGTTTGCCCCGTATATAGAAGAGGCCCTGTTTGGGTTGGTCATTTTCCAGCCAATCTGTGAATGTCGCGCCCTTTAATGAAGAGGTAAACTTGTCACCGAATATCCATGAGAAGGTCGATTTATGGGCTTTGGATATCATGGCCTCCCTGTCTCCCCACTGCACAAAGTACAAGCCGACCAGCATCCTCATCTGAGCTTCGTCGGTAACCTGTCGTCTCGTGTTTTCAGCAATTTTCGCCAATTTTCTGGCCAGCTCGGTGCCGGAAGTCGACTGCCAGTCACTTATGGCCTTTTGAGTGGCGGAGTTTTCTTCTCGCACGACTGCTTTCAGCCGGCCGATTTGGCCGCCGAGATCTTCGTAGTCTTTCCGTACTGCCTTTAAAAAAGCCGTTTCGGCGGATTTACTTGCGCGGAGCAGCTCCTCGAGATCACTATCGTGTTGGGCGCTAGGGCAAAAGTTAGCATTCGTCATGGCCGTGTCGCCTTCTCACCGTCGAAGCTCACCTTAAGTACGCTACAAGATGCAGAGTGAGCTCGGTTTTGGCCGTGTCAAGATCTCTTGCGAGGACACTGATTTCCTTCTCCTTGACCACCGACGAGAAAGCCTGACGGATTGCCCCGAAACGCTCGCCATGTAGTCTCCTCATCTTTTCGAGCGCATTCACCAAGATCTTGGCAGCTCGTTGACATCGTTCATTCGCTTTCAGAATACCAACCTCCCAGCTGGCCGCATTCTTCCTGCTGGTGCTGGGCGGACATTGCTGCAATCTCAAAGTCAGATCCAACGAGGCCCTGGTGAAGGCATCGAGTGTCTCGATTTTGGGGAGGCCGCCATTGGCTTTGATGTCACGGAACGTGCTCAGAACTCGAGAACCAAAGTCGACAAATTGGAGGACGTTCCCCGCGACGCCCAGCGCAGTTACAGGATCGAGAACCATCTTGCGCCCCAGAAACGGCCGGGACCGAGATGATACGAATAGTCAGACCGGGGGGCTTTTGGCTCTGTTGAAATTCAGCAGAGAATTGCTGCAGGGGTAGAGGGGCAGGCTCGACAGTTATGATTGTTGGTGGTCCGGAAGGCTGAGTCTCGTATGGTCTGGTGCGAGGCTCATCATCGCTATCGGGGCAAGTCACAGCGGCGTGAAACAAATCACCGTCGTCTTCTCGGGCCCAAATATCTGTCGTTATCGCGTTATCGCGTGCTGCGAGGGATTGTGTCGGTTTCAGCCCATCTCGACCACGAGGTCACACGCAAGGCTGACAAGCTAGCCTCTGCACTGCCTCGGTCCCTACAAGTAGTGGCTTGGTGCCTGGCCTTTTCTGCCTTCGCCAATACTCTGTTGAAGCGGCTCAGCCGCAGAGAGGCCACAGACCAACACACCAACAGCGCACTTGCTCCCTTGTTTCGCCGAGAGTCGTAGCGACGATGATATCAGGTAGCGAACTGTGGTCAATAATGAAACTTCGATGGTCTCAATGCGTGAAACACCATCACGTGACATGCGGGACCCGCATCATATGGTGCAAACATGGAAAACATGGCATATCTGACAAATCCGACAAATTTGTTAAACCTCCTATGTTTATCCTTAGCTTCTCTTCGCGCCGCGTCTCTCTCCATCTCGAAAGTATCCAAGCAGGTCCGATGCTGCTCCGCCCGGTTCTCAGGCTATGTACCTTCGGGGTCGGGCAACAAGGGACAGCATGCAACAAAAGCGGTCAGCAAACGGAAGCTTTCAATGTCAAAACCACTCCGGGTTTGCTCCGGGGGAAGCAGAGCGGCGAGCGATGAATCGGAATGTGAGAGAGACAAGTAATGCGTTCTTCGTTTGAATGAGACCGTCCAAGTAGTTGCACACTGAGCTTGCCGACTTGGTTGTTGGTCTATCGCACGCATACCTACGTTCCTGGGCTTCGTGCCCGGTGAAATAGGGAGAGGGAGGAAATGTGGCCACTATAAGGGCAACAGGCAAAGAGTCAAGAACCATCCTCTTCTATACTGTTTCGGAACAGTCAATTTCTAGTCAGAGGCAAGAAAAGAATATAATTCGAAACACACCAAAAGACGTAATCTAGAAGGCAACACTATCCTCAATGGAAATCCTTGCCCAGCCAAATATCCAGAATCCAAAACCCGAGGTCACAGGGCTCAAGAACAACATGTCAATCGTTAGCAGCATGGCTTGGTCTGCCACGTCCAGGTGCCCACACCATAATTGCTGGGATTGAACAGGCCGGCCGTGTAGTTCATGACCTGGGACACATCGATCTTCGTGGTGTCCATGGTCATCTTCGCTCCGGGCGTGACGCAGTCCTGCTGTCCAGCGCAGTAGGTGAAATACTGCGTGGCGCTGTCCGGGTTCCCTTGACCACCCACGGATTGCCGAAGGCCCTGGTCCTCAAACTGGCCGGAGGAGGCGCCCGCCAGGAAAAAGTACGTGCTCCACACCCCCGGGACGCCCGTGTCGTAGGTCATGACGGCGTGGAAGACGTTGTTGTCTTGGCCGTAGTGGCTGAAGAACCATTCGATCGAGATTCCATAACGACCGGTAGAGATGAGGTCGACTTGGTAGTAGATGCCCTGCTGTGAGGCGCCGAGGATGTGTCCGTACGTCCAGAACGGGGCCAGCGTATATCCCGGCAGGTTGCTGGCTGGGAATACGAGGGGCGACGTATCGCTGTTTCGGGAGTTGGCGCTCCACTGGTTTTGCGTCGCAGCGGTAACGCCCAAGGGAGTGTTCGTGAACCAGAAATTGGCCGTGACCCACAAAGTCGACTGGACTTGGCCAAAGATCTTCCATTGAATCCCGTACTGCGATGAGAGGTCGAGGACGGTGGCGTGCGAGGCGTCGGACCAGCTGTTGAAATACGTGTTGGTGCCGCCTGGGTAGTCGCGGGTTGTTTGGGAATTTGCAGCGAGCGGGCCCACGGGGAATGGAATGGGCCTTGCGAGGTATAGTTGCAGGGATTGCGGACTCGTGGTGCTGCCTACTGTCGTGGAAAGCCACCGACCAGAATGGATGCCGGCCGTGTTGGTCATATTAGTTGTAAGTTGGACACCATTGCTCACTCGGCCGAACAAGGTGCACAGGCCAGAACTGGCTGTCCACGAAAACGCGTAGCAGGGAGTGCTCTGCCCTGCTGCAATGTCACATTGGTTCGCGCAGCTGTCGTAGGTCGGCTGTGTCGTGGCCCCGAAAGGGTTATTGCCTGGATTGGTGTAATCGGCCTTGTACCCTGTTAGCACCGGACGAAGCAGTTAGGGTAGCACCGACTGTAAACTTACCGCACATTCAATGTCGTAATAACGACCTTGTACTGGGTTGACCGAGAGTTGCCCCCCTGATGAATAGTTAGTTATCAACACCAGAGCTCGGAGATGCAGCCTTCTTTCCTACCTTCGTATTTTGACATGAGGTTGTTGTTGCAGATTGGATCTTGAGGGTATGCGAGTGGGAAGTTGGTGGAAGTGGCCTGAGAAAGATCCGCTGTCGAAGATGTAGAAACGGTGCTGCTTGCCCCTGCCACACTCGTCGTTGTCGGCGCTCTCGATGTACCTACGCTCGTTGATGACGCTAATGAAGTGGTAGACGTTGTTGCGGTCGAAGCAGCACATAGGAAACTCGGGTTATTATAATCAGTCATTTGTGGATACCCGGCATAGAGCATGCGGGCGCTGTTGAAGGTAGCGTTTCCCCGCGTGGCACAAGTCAACGTAGAGTAAGGGAAACAGTTGTTGGTCGACCCCTGGCTCACGTCTGTAACCATGAATGTCACTCCGAGACAACTGTTGGCCCGAAGAGCGTTGGCATATTGACACTGATTAATGCAGTCTGTGAGGTCGAACGTCAGCAGCGGTTGCGCCGTTGAACCCGTAAAAGCCGTAGCGCATTCTATCTCAAAGTTGGCGCTGTTGCCGAGGAAATTGTAGGAATAACAAGTGGGAGAATTCCCTGGGCACGCTGACGCTGATCCAGTTGGAGCGGCTGCGCAACTCGTAGGGACGTTTGATGTTGTAGATGTGGTTGGAGACGACGATGTAGCAAGGGATGACGATGGCGACGACACTGGAGCCTGTGTAGTGGTACTCGTAGGTGTGAAGACTGGGTCGTTGATCGACGGATATCCAGCGTAAAGCAGACGAGCACTATCGATGTTTGCACTGGAGACCGTCCCAGTTATGCTGGACAGAAGGAGGCAGTTAGGACTGTTTCCACTTGACGAACCAAGGTAGCTAACGCCCACGCATCCAAATGGTAGCGCGACATTATAGTTTGTGCAGTAACCGACACAATTCTTGAGCGAGGTAGCCGTTGTGGAATTCCCACTCAAGACAGCTCCCTGCAGTCCTGTCGCGCACTCGACCTCGTAGCAGTAGCCGTCGCTGTTAACATTTAGCGCTTGGTGGTTGTAAGTGGAGCAAAGATTGGTTGTGGTTGGAGTGGCAGAGCAATACGATGCTGCGGTTGTGGATGCAAGAGGGATAGTGGTGCTTGCACTGCCACTCCGCGACGAAGTGGCCAACGAAGTACTCGTAAGTGACGAGCTTGATCGTGAGATCGATTGACTGGTCGTAGCTGGACCTGAAGATCCTGGCTGCGAAGTAGAAATAGGGGTAACACTAACAGAGGTGGCTGACGAGGACAGCGAACTTGAACCGGCTGAAGAGCTGAGAGGATTTGTGCTGGAAGAAGAACCGGAAGAACTCCTTGCGGTGGTTATCGTGCTGGATTGCTGTTGTGTAGTTGAGGGCTTGTTTGGTCCTGACGAGCCTCCAGTGCTAGAACTGGGGCTCGCCTGGCTGCTCGTTCCGGCAATTGTTGGCGACGTAGAGGACTGACTAATAATGGAGGTGGTGGTCGAGAGATCCTGCTGTATACTTGAGGTAGATTGAACATCAACAGAAGTACTCTGACTATCCGAGGGAACTGACGACGAACTCGACAGGGTGGATATACCAGTTGTCGTTGTGGAGGTTGCAGATGTAACGGTTGACGATTCGGTCGTGCTTGTTTCGCTGCTAGAAACACCAGTATCGGAGAAGACAATACTAGGAGAATATGGCTTGTTGACCACAATCGCTGCCTGCGCAAATGAATTGGCTCCCCTGCTGACAGTACCAATGTCGAATTTGAGATGGCACGGATCCGTATTGGCAAGCTGAAAGCCCTTTAGTTCACGCAATAATCAGAGAAAGGCAGGGACTCACGATATCAAACTCTACTGCAACACAAGGCCCCTGGGATCCAGGAGCATACGAACTGCATGCATCAATGCACTCGGCGATGTCAGATGCCGCGACTACATCAAGATCGAAGCCTGGGAGGTCGGTATCACACAGAATCAGATAGTCATTGTTGACAGTGCCGTCAAATGGTGAGCGGTCAAAGCAGTTGGGTGTGCCGGTCGTTGTCGGGGCTGGATATGCGGAAAGTGTTGTCGAAGAAGTTACTGGACCTGAAGAAGACTCAGGCGCCGATGACGAGCTGGTTATATCGGTCGATGAGGTTGATGTGGTTGAAGTAGAAACCAACGAACTCGAAATCGAGGCAGTGGTAGGCACGGTAGTGACACTGGTAGAGGTTGAAGCGAAATTGGTTGACGAGGACTGCATCGATGTTGAAATGGACGAGGCGCTGATTGTGCTGATTGTGCTGATTGTGCTTGTCTGGGGCAAGGTTGTGGTCGAAGATGTCGTAGACGGGTTGGAATTTGCAGTGGGGATGACGCCGATTTGTACACCAATACAACCTGGTGGCAGTACTCCGTTGAAAACGACGAAAAGGGTCGAGCCAGAGACACAGAAGATAGCCTGTCCACCAACGAATGCGTCGTTCGTCCAGACGAGGATGTCATTCTCTATTATGGAGAAGAGCGTGAAAATCCGAGGCAACCTCTTCACGAGAGGCGCCTCGGGCGAGGCTGCAAATGGCTGTGAGGAAACGTCTCCGGAGGTCGACACATAATCGCTCCCGCTCACCAGCTGGCCGGAGGATGAAATAGCAAATGAGGCGGCTTGTTGTGTGTCATTGGTGACTGATCCATCAGCAGCAAGGTATTCCGGAAAACCACCCAGAGAGAATGTGAGAAAAACCGGTTCTCCGAGGGTGATACTAAAATGAGGTCAGTCTTGTGGCGCCATAGCCTGGAGGAGAACACGCACGTAGGAGTCGCCGATGCGCTGCTGGTGGTGCTTGAGCTCGTGTATGTCGCAGGACAGTAACTGATCCCAATCGAGATCGTCGTGCCATAGCAGGAGACCGGTAGGATAAGACGCCAGGCAAGGGCGATGCCACTCAGAACCCTCCAGTTCATCTCGTCTTTCTCCGTCTTTGGTCGACCCGATAACTTACCGTAGAGCACAAGGATCGGTATCGCGCTGATGGGAAAGGCATTGAGAGCGTCGTGAACGACTCTCGAGGCTCGGTGGTCCGTGTGAGACGGCCAGCGCGACTGGAATGATCAACACGAAGGAGTCGGAATGTCCAAGAAAGGGTGATCCGCGTCGTGCCATCTGCCTTTCCCTGGAGCGGATTGCACCGGGTGCATATCCCTCCGGTCTGCTCACAGTGCTGAAGGCCGAACAACATTCTGAAAGCAAGACTTTGGGCCTGAAGGAGCTACGCTCTTGCATCCCATCAAGGGACAACCACATTGACCACTTACCGCGAGATATGTATTCAATGTCTTTAGAGAAGGGCACCATTATTTCGCTGGACACCATGGGGGATGCTGATAAGACCTGTGCCTTTACGTCCTTTTGTCATTTCGAGCTTCTTTGTGTGTCGGCTCTGATGGAGTGAGAATTGAAAACTAAAGCGGCAGTCCTTCACCCCCGCATCGGGACAAGACTTGCCGCTGCTTTCGATGCCCATCGTCCCGCAACACCGACATGGCTGCTACGAAGGCCTAGTTGACATTATACCAGACAATTGCCACGGAGAAATGGCAGCTACAATGGTGAACTGTCCTGGAGAGAGTCCAGGGCTCATCCAACAACAAATAACAGAAGAGCAGAGACTCGGCAAGGCTTCTAGAGATCGGCCATACTTGGCATTTCCACATGATCTTCCTATTTCTTAACAGTCTCCCTCGTCTCCAGCATTCGTAGTAGCACAAATTGCAAATAGAGTTACATGTTGAAGTATTTCGTATCTTCCTACAATATAGCATAGCTTGAATCCGATTTGTTTCGGAGCAAAGTCAGGTGAGAATACCAGGCTGCTGGTATCTCAAACGAACACAGATCCCCCCTTTTGGATGCTGATCGAGGCCCAAAACAACAGCCAAAACCGACAAAGTCCTGAATCTGCCAGAAGTGGAAGATCGCTGACATAGTTGGGGTCATCGCTCAGCCATGATGCCTGCGTGTATATTCCCATCGACCCCGTGAACGTAAAAGCACATATCTCAAGAAAAATCGTCAACCAAGCCCCAAGGACCTTTGTTTTGTGCATTGTTGCGCGCGAACGGAACACCCCGAGATCCACCCATCCATCAAACGCCCAGTTGCACCCGCCGACAACGTTGGGCGCCAAGGTTCCAATATTTTCCACACGAATCCCAATCCTCGAGATGGGAACACGCCAAAGCAAAATTCGCAGAAAGGCAAACGCTCAACGTGCGGAATTTAACGGCCTCAGCCGTCACCCAAATCATTCTTCCATCTGATCGCGTCATCCTCACCGGGCTTATCCTTTCGATCTTCGCGGATGGGAGAGATCGTCAATGTCGAAGCTTCTTCAGACGCAGACATCGGATCGGGAGAGTAGATCCACTTCGCCGCTGACGCTGATGATGGAGAAAGTACTGACGCGGTGCGTGAATTGTTCCCGTACGACCCAGATGGAATAATTCGACTCAAACTCAGTCTCGGGCGAGATTTCCCATTTGAACCCGTTCCCATTGAGATGCCAGACACAGGATCAATGCCAGTCACCACACCGGAGCCCTCCATGATGTCTGCCTCGGCGGCAGCGGAGAAGCCAAAGGTTACAGGTGAGTCTGCCTGAGGAGTTGCAAGACCCGACATCCTCGAGGTCATCGTCATGGTCCTCCCCGGCGCAGCAGGCGAGTGCAAAATCGGATGACGGGAGGTTGAGGAGAAAGTGGAGTCTGCGTGTGTAAATACACTGTTCGCCGGCGAATATGTCCCGTGTGCAGATCGCTGTTTGAGATGGGTAGATGGGGACATCCATGCGCGGAAAACCGACCAGCGCGTCACGGGAGCTGTCTGAAGAGGAGTCATGGGAGAGGGAGAGATTGCGGCATCCTTCTCGGATCCGCTTAGAATCGGTGGGTGACTGCCGTTGATGTTTCCCACGCCTTGAATGACACGTCCAGGCCGCCGTCGCACCAATCCACGGATCTCACTCTCTCCCATCTCCGGTGTCACAGCGCCCGGGCCCACATCTCTCCTCATAGCCTCAACAAGGGTCCAGCTCGATCTGTAGATGCCGCCTGTCGTGTCTTCTCCTGGAATGCGGTCCTGTGGACTGTTCAGATAGGTATACAGCCATAAAGCATAGGTCCCAATTGCCCATAGCGCAAGGAGCAGTGATGTGATGAACAGAAAGAGGAATGAGAATCCCCAGTTATGCCATCTCGAGTATCGGCATGTCGCGTTGTCTAGGACATAGGAGAAAGGATAGGTTTGATTATCGTACAGCCAGAAGGTGAAGTCTGTAAGTTGTGAGACAGAATCCAATGCTCCAGGAGCGGGCGGCGATGATTCAGAGAAGGTGTTAAGGTATGTTGTTAACGTGGACAGTGCAACGGGCGAGTATGAGGTTGTGATGTTGAGCGTCGGGGCGGCCACTGTGTGCTTCTGCCCATTTAGGGTAATGTTGCTTGCGGAGTGGTTGTTTCCGTTGAGGCCATAGAGGCTCACATACTGTACAACATGCCAGAACGTTGTGCAGTTGGTTGGTACGTACTCCCAATCCACTTTACCATGACTTGAATTCCCACTGTCTGTTCCGTCGTCACTATCACGTCGACGGGGTGTCCTGTCCGGGAACGGACTTTCACTATCGTCGTAGTTACCACCTTTATCATCGTTATCGTCATCGTCGTCGTCGTCATCATCATCATCAAGAAAACCCTGCTGAACGCAGGTATCCCCCACTGTAATATACATCGGCCCGGACAGTCCAACACGGTCTGCGTCGTTAATGGCGAATTGAACCACTTGGAAATTTGTCCACTGAATGGACTCGTTGTCATAATCTGGCATGACCGCGCTGATATCGCTGCTGTACCCTGACATAGCCGTGATCAGACTTGAGAAGCTGAGGACGAACAGAGAGCTCAACACGACCCAGACAATGATCAACCTCGCTCGCCAGCCCCGATTCGTCAACAAATCCGCGGCCAAGCGCCCTGTCCTGACCAAGCTGGGAGGCACAAAAGCTAGGGATTCGAATGTGTTGTAAGACACGGGGGCTTCGCGCATAGCCAGGGCCAAATACTGAGACGAAACCTTGAAGGTGACCACAGCGAGGAATGCCTGTCCTCCACGCCCAACGAAAATATCCCACACGATGTCGATGAATTTTGCCGTTGAGAAGGCCATCTTTCCCCAAGACACTGTGATGTAGAAGAATCCCGAAGGGTCCCAGAGGCTTATCGATGGCTTGTCGTAGGGGGTGAACTGTCCGTTGAAGTTGCAGTGGGTGAACGAGTTGGATACCCAGTAATCGGCCTCAAAGGCATACCATTTTGGAATTTTGATGACGAGGGCGAGGAAAATGATCGGAAGAGAGAAGGCGAGAAACACAATGATATGTTTGAGGAGGGGGAGAAATGATGGATGCCATCGTTGCGAAGGTGCAGGACCAACGTGATAGCGATTGTAGTTGTCAGTCAGTGTTGCGCTGGTCGAACCGGTGCTTGACCGCTCCTTTGCGCGCACGACGTTCGATTGATTCTTTTGTACGCCCCATCTCCTCAAGTTGCTCCAGGATCTCGGAGCCGTAGAGTGCGCGCCATGGGAGATTTCTGGGGCACCATCCACAGGAGATTGCGTGGAAGCGAACATGCTATCTCGCAAACTGGTGTTCGAGTGGTCCGTCAAGGGCCGGTTGTCGTGCCGTCATTCCTAGAAACTCAGAGGTCGGAGAAGAAGAGTGCCGCAGCCAGGTTTATAGCACGCAGATAGCTTCAGAGTCTGTGCATCGGAGGTCGAATACAGAGAGCCAAAAGTAAACAAGACGGAGAGTGGTCTTTACAGGGCTGACATGCAGAGGTCAAGGGGATAAGACGTATCAGATCAAGGGATGAAGCCGGAGACTCTAGACCTCCGAGCGATATTATCAATCACAGCAATGATATGCAGGGTCTTGCAGGGCTTGAAAATCCGGCGTTGAAGATGCGGAGGGAGCCCAAATTGTCTTTGCAGAAGGCAAGTGAAGGGATGCGAAAGGCATCAAGGCAAGAGGAAAAGCGTTCAGTAAGCCGGGGAGAGTGTGGGAAGGCTTCCAACCGGAAGAGGCAGTTCGACAGCAGCCGACAGGAGAGTCATCCTAAGCCGGTTAGAAATGTTTATCACATAGAAACATCATTTGCCAGCGGGAGAACCTGACTGCGCTGCAATCCGGGCATTGGCCGGTGAGATATTTTTGAATCCTCGTGGTCGTGGCAGCCCAAACCCTTTTCGACCCTGATGGTCTCGCCCCCATTGTCCACGGACATGGTGCTCGAATGATGCGTCTGGATTGTGGTGATCCAAGTCCGAAGGCTTCTGGGCCTGCAAGGTGATTGACTGTCCAGGCCGTTGAAGATGGCGGGAAGCCGTCGTGTGCCGCGCAGAGAAAATAGAGGGAAGAGAAGAGTTGTAGAGGTTGCAACATATACCCTGCAATGACCAACACCGGCAGCGGCGCTACTTTCAGCCGTCACTGGTGATATTTCTCCGTCGCTTGCGCAAGCCTTCAACCTCACCGTCAATGTCATCAGTATGTGTATCATGGATCAACGACACTTGTTGAGGATACGAGGACAATGAGACATTGGGCCCATTCGGGCAACTATACTCTTGTTTCTTATCTGTTGTCTTTCCCCTATCACTCCGTTGTCAGAGAGCCTTCTCAGCTGTGCCGCATCCATGGCATGCAGCAGCTCCCATGCTATCCTGGTGTACTCGACTCCCTTACTCTGACTTGTGTGCCATACAAGTCATGCTGATGCTGATGCTGATTCTCGTGCTAATGTTCATGCTCATGCCCATATCCATTTGCACTTCCAGACGCCGCGCTATGGGGTCGTCAAAACATAAATCGCAACCAAAGTAGCCACACATGGAAGCCAGATGCTCTTTTCATCGAGACATCAGATGGGATCGTTCAGTCCGTTTCTCGCCTCTTTTCTTCCTCAGCATCGGCCTCTTCCAACTCGCGCTCCAACTCGCGCGCTAATTCGTCATCTGAATCTTCTTCTTCCTCTTCTTCACGTTCCTGCGCCTCTTCCACCTCCCGTTGTTCCTGGCTGATTTGTTCCTCTGCTGTGGCTTCTGACTCGACTTCGCTATCGATATTGGCCACCCTCCTAAGAGCACTCCCCGTACCGTTCCTCTGGGCTGTCGACGGTGTGTCCAGGCCGCCAGCCGGCGTATCTTTATCCCCGTCTTCTCCCCTTCTTCTTTTGGCTCCGCGCCGTTCCCGCAAGCTCAACGCGGAGCTGACTGAGTCCGTGTCGCTCTCGCTCTCAGCGTCGCTACCCATGAACTCTTTCAGCTCTGCCTCGATATCCGCCCACTCGTCTTGATTGATGGTGATTGGGCTGCCATCATCAACCAAGTCCTCGAATGCTTCTGCCGAAGTATTGGCATCTTTAATGGTATCCAACTTCAGCCTCTTCCGCGCGGGCTGGTCATCTTCAGTGTCTATCCCGGTTGTCTCTCCTTCGGATGAACTAAGAAGCAGATCGTTGGGCGGAGCGCTCGACTTCTCCAGGGGGTCACCGAGCTCACTGGACGTTTCCTGCTTCTGCCTCCCGACGCCTTCGAGTAGGTATGGTCTTTCGTCCAACTTGCGCCATCGTTGCATAGATTCGATCAACCAAGACGTACTGACGACCTTTATGCCACGTTTGACCGCTTGCTTGACTTTTGCGGTACCTGGTCGCGCCGCAATGACATGAGTGACGTCTCTGGTGACCTTATCTGTGATGGAAGCGCCAAAGGTCTTGGCCCAAGTACTGATATCGGCATTTTGTATGTCGGTGCCTAGTGGTAGCACGCCACTAAACACAATTCTGACACCCGACAAAACCCTCAACTTCATGGCGGGCATCACCCTCTTGATATCAGGTACAAACATCAGTTCCACGGACAGCCCGTCGCCCTCATCCTGAGAAGGCAAAGGCGCCTTACGCTTGCCAGTCAGTTCTGCGACTCGACCGCCCTTGCCTCCCATTCGCTTTCGGTCATACTCGGCAAAGAATGCGGCATGTACAGTGGTCAGAGTGGCCTCGAGGTGAATCAGCTCTTCATCATCATTTTTTAGGATGCTGTGGCGCGCTTTCTGTTTTGCTGGACCCGCAGAGTTGGACTCGGAGGAGTCCGAGGAGTCGCTCGAGTCAGATTCAGTGGATTGCGACGCGACTATTTCACCATTAGCAGCTGCTTCAGCTTCGTCTTTTTCGTCCTGCTGAAGTTGCATCTTGAGAAGGGGTTTGCCTTCTAATTGCAACGCAATGATTTCTTCTTGGCCTTTCGTCTGCAGTTCTCGTACTGCGGGATCGTCACCGCCACTCATAGCCATCAGCTGTTCGAGTGCCGAAGTGCCGTTTTGTATGGTAGAGGTCCCGTCCTCGGCAAGACCATTGGATTCCTGTTCGCCGCTTTCGCCATTCTCGCCGTTCTCGCCGTTCTCTGTGCTATCTTCGGCCAGTTTGCTGGGCTCCGGTTTTGGCGTTGTTTGGATTTCCTGCTTCTTTGGTAAGAAACTTGAATTGATATCGCCAATGCCAACAAAAAAGTCAAAGGGGGTGACACGGATCAAGTTGGCACTCCATTTCCAGACATCGCCCCTGTCGTCGATGATGACCACCATTTTAGTATCCACAGGGAACAGTCTCTCCAAGTTCTTGGCGATCATACTACCACTTTCGTCTCGACTGAGGATGCGGTCACCAAAGTATTTCCGATCCGGGTCGACAATGTTGGCAATCTGTTGAGCATATTGACGTGTTCCCATGGTGTAAATGTGCAATTCGTAGAGTTGGGATATATGATCCAGGAACTCGGCGAGTCCAGGTCGAAGTTTGATGTAATACCAGCAACCTCTCATGCCTGGACCGTCATCAATCAATTGAAAAGCGCGGACATCTTTAACCGCTTCGTAATTGGGATTGTCCTTGTCTTTTTGCCATTCCGCTATCGTGGGGTCTACAGCAGCATGAATAATGGTTTGATCGAGGTCGACCACCAGCGAGAGTTTGCGCGATGAGAGCAGACGACGTTTCGCCTCTTCGTCTATCCGACTTGCTTCTTCCTTACTAATAGTGAGGTGAGGCGTGTCGTGGGCCATGCGGATAGGAGCGCGGTCTGCATCGGTGGTTTCACTTCCTGCTTGGACACTTGGCGACCCTTAGCTCATGTTTTCAAGGCTCAATGAAGGAGGACAGGTACTTACGTAGTCATGTCTTTTCCACAGTTAGTGCACATACCGAGGAACTGCACCGTGTGTGGGCACTCCTCTTCGATTTCACAGACATCGACACTGCGCACCAGTCAGCAATCAATCGCGTCCAGCCATGTCTTCAGCCGCACTCACGGATGGGTCAGGACATCCCCTTCCCACACCCTCCAAGCCTTGATTGTACCTTCGAGGGTGCTAGGGAAGTGGGTAACAAACTTCCGGTTCACTTCTTTTTCTTCCTCATCGTAACGACTGCCTTCTTTTACTTTGGTGGTGTATGAGTAGAGAAATAGGTCATCATTGCGGGCAACACTCTCGCCGACCCGCTTCTCGACTTTTGTGATTGTGAGAGGGTAGTGGAGATTCTTGGGTAGTCGTAATAGCATTCCGAGCGCGGTGCAAGCGACTGTGACATTGATCGGCGCATGTAGGTGACTTTGTGGTCAAGGTCAAGACACGAGCAAGGGAGCCCGGCGGGGGCCTTCCTTTGGTACCGCGACGGGTGTCGGAGAAGCTCGAAGCGAAGAGAGTCTTGTTTTGATGGTCAGGTAGGAAATCACAGCGACAATCAGAGAGGAGCGTCAGTGCGAGTATAGGAACCCTCGCAACGGTGAAGGATAAAATGTGCAAAGGTGTTGGCACAGACTCGGTTGATTGCTCTGTGGGAACCGGTGCGCAGGCGGGAATACCTGTCGGTGGAAGGTGCCAATACGAGGGAGCACACACAAAGGGTGTGTCGCAAGTGGTCCAATGGCGGGAAGGTTTCGATCTTCGCGAATTGGAGGTTTGGGGGATGGGGAAACTGATAGATGGGGGTGCCTAAGCAGTTTGTGGTGCTGATGTTCTGAGGGATCAATGGATGGGTTCGACGAGCTCCAGCACAGCTCGATTGCGGCTTCGTTACTGTAACCAACGGGCAGGGAATTCCACTGTCCGGGCCGGAAAGCTGTCTTTTATAACACGCACTCCCACGCTAGCCGCTGCCAATCAGCCCTCAGAAATGCAAGAAGGTGCTCGGCTTGAGCCCCGCTATATGCCGTCAGGGGACAAAGAGCCACCAAGCTGATCATCCGATGGTCACGAGACTCCACTCTCCCAGCTACATCACCAGATTCTGGAGGTCTCGAGAAGACAATTTGCTTCATCCATTGACTATGGGTATATGAGACTGCTTTTCGATAAGAGCGCCAGTCCCCGCGTGTTACACGCACGGCTGGACGAAAGGTGCTTGATGTACACAATTATGTTGGTCGGTGTGAGAAGACAACATGCATCCCCCGATTCCACTTGCGCATAGTAACAAATATCCTCAAAGCCACGTTTCCCCAAAAGGTTTCCAGCAGCAATTTGGCACCCTGTCCCCAGTTCTACAAAATTGTCTTACTTGCTTCTGGCCAAAGCAACTGCATCGTTGCCCAGGTCATAAACACTATACCATCTCCGCAAGAAGCTGTGAAAGGATGTGTTAGCGGAAAATCGCTTGGTGGATGAAGAAATGTCAGTCGAGTATGACTTACCTGTCACCGAGAATAGCAAGAGGACCGGTGGGCGCTGGAAAGTCCATGCCCATGAAGCTGCTGATGCAAGAACCTTGGACCTCAAGGATGTAGTCATGAGCTGTGATGGAGAAGTTGTACCCACTAAGAGTAAAGGTGATATCGGGTAGCGAGTCGCGCTTGTCACATTCGACAGTGTACTGGCCGTTGAAGCCCTTCTTAGCACCAATCTCTTTGTTGAGCAGTTCCGCGAGAGTGCTTGGAAGAGCAATCAGCGAAGTGCCCGTGTCGAGAATGACGCCGGTGTTGTCAAGATCGGCCGAGTCTTTGCCAAGTGTGATGGAGTCCAGGTTGACCTCCCAGTACGCCTTCCGGCGGAGGGGGATCTTAATCATCTTGCCTGTGTAGTGGTTGCTGTCAATGCCGCCAAAAGTGGCCTCAGACTCGGTGCCATCCTCAGTGTTGCCAAGATAGAATGCAAAGACAGGTTCGTCAAGCAACTTTTGGTCAACCATGTTGTAGAACGGAGGAGGGATGTGGTTGACTGAGATGGTATCGTAGCCCAAACCCAAGATACCGTCGAAACGGCCAAAGGCAAAAGCCAGACCAGGTTCGCTGGTCGCCTCTCCAAACAATTGATCCTTGACTTTGAGGTCTCCGATGCGCAGGAGATCCTGAGAGATGAAGCCAGCCACCTCTCCAGATCCATAGCGGATTCCAAACTCAGATCCATTCTTCTTGTAGGTAGAGGAGGCTGAGGAATCGTACTTCTGATGAAGGTAGCAAGCGATCGAACCGCACTGGGTGCTGGGGACCCAGAGGTTGGAGCTGCCAGTGTCGAGCACGACCTTAAATTCCTGAGCCGGTGTGCCAAGGGCAATGGTGCTGAAGTCTGCATCCCATTAGATAATGGTAAATGTGTATATAAGAGTGTTCCTTACATTGCGCATTCAAAAAGTTCTCGACTGGAACATCATGGGGACCATCAGGATGGATGGAAGTGTCACTGAAGATGTCCTCGCTGGGGCCACCGATCGGCTTCTGGGTGTATTTGTGGCGAAGTGCACGCATATGGTCGCCAATATTGGCGGCGCTCTGTGACTGATGTTAGAGAGGTTGGGTTAGAAGAGAGAGTCCTGGGTCAAACTCACTAGCTGCTCCGACAGAGGCACCTTCTGAAGCTTCATACGATGCATACCCGCATCGGCGGCACCGAGCAGCGCAGCTGCTGCGATGACAAGACTGTTCTTCATCGTCACGACCACCAATTGCTAAAAAAAGGAAAGGAAGGAAGGCCAATGGATGGATGATGGGGATGCAACGATGATGAGGAAGGGAGGAGAAAGCAAGTGATCGGTTGGGATGGGAGATGGGATGGATGGGCTGGACAGTTTCGCACCAGCAGGTCCCGTGAGTCGCAGCTGTCAGACTGCAGTTGTCCTGTGAATAATGGGGGTCGATGACGCCCACTGCGCCTCCATTTCACCAGGCACCAGGGAAACTTGTAACCCCCCGAGTCGTCCAGCTTAAAACATGCTCCACTGGCCGTTGCTCCGCGACAGCCGCCCAGTCAGGTGGCACAGTGCAAACAGGGCAAACAGGGCAAAATGCAGGCGGCCAGACTGCGAGACAGCTTGACAGGTCTGAGAATTCAGGAACTGAAAATAGACACAATTATTCATCGGCCCTGTATTCGCTTTGGCCATTAGACCTCACTGTCAACATCGGTACTTGAGTCGCTCTCACTACTGCTTTCTTCATCGCTGGCACTGCTGGAAGTGTCTTCCTTAGGGTTCGCCGCACTTGACATCCTGGTGTCGCTCTGGGATTCTTCGTCACTCTCCTCGCTCTCACTGTCACTGTCACTGTCACTTTCACTTTCACTCGAGCTGGAGCTGGAGCTGGAACTAGAGCTGGAGCTATCATAATCGACAACCACGGTCCTGTTCTTCCTCTTCTTGACATTTTGTTTAGTCCCATTAGCCACGGCTTGAACGTCAGCGTCAAACCCCATTGCCCAGAGTAATATCCTTGGGCGTGACTGCTTCTGAATCCAGGTTTGGTATTTTGGATCTGCGGTAGTATCCCCGGCAGCAGCAAAATTGGACGACGGTGGACTTGCCAAATCGTCCTTGAATCGTCGAAGGCATTCACCATCCTCGTCTTCGCCTGCAGCGCTGCCATCCTTGTTGCTCCGCGGCTGAGTACCTTTCCCCTTCTCTAAAGACGCCATGCACTGTGCTTTCAATCGTTCACGAGCCCCGGCACCTTGTAGTCCATAGATATATCTCCCCAGAGCAAGATTGAATTCCGGAGGAACATCACTGTCCGAGAAGATGTGTTTCAATATCCAGGTCTCTCGATTCTTGTTGAATTTCCATTTTGACCTCGCCGTGTGATATTGATTGAGATATTCCAACGCAGTATTGGACTTGGGCGCTAGTGGCTGAACTGCTTTCGGTCGAGCTTTTTTGGATTTCTTGACATCTGCCGAGGATCTTTGCGCTTTGGAGCCATCCGGGACAGGCGATGGACTTCTTACGGACGAAGAAGGCTTTGAGTCGGCGGAGAAAGATACCCGTTTCTTAATCTTCTTGTCTGGGTGCTTCTCTTTGCCTTTGATGGTTTCTGGCACTGAGTTCGGGTTGCCTGTTGTTGGCTCGACAGCCTCCTTGGATTTGAGACCCGTCTTCAGCTTCTTCCTGGGAGGTTCTGATGAGGACGATTGAGTGTCCTTCAATGAACTCTGACCAGTTTGGTGGCCTCGTGAAGCAAGACCATTGCTTGTTGGAGAACCCGAGTCTTCGTTTGCATATTTGAGTTTCAGTCCTAGTCTTTTCCAAGCTGGAATTCCAGGCCGAGACATGCTGATGCTTCCGTGTTAAAACTCGTAGCTAGAGTTACCCGAAGTATCTTTCAGCCGATACGCTGATCACGGTCGTGGTTCAGGCCATTCAGGAAGGTCGTCGACTGCTCGTAGAAGCTGAAGTTTCGAACATTTGAGACCAATAAACGAATTTTATTCCACAGAAGACGCTCCGGTCAGTGCCACAGGTGGCGGTGCAAGGTTTTTTGTGGGGGCGATTGTGGTGGCTAGTGGAAGGGCAGCTTGCAGTAGGCATCGCGACACTTGCGCGTTTGGCAACCCCATATTCCGTGCAGGCCTCAAGTTGCGAACATCATCCGTCGTCAAAAGTCCGACATAAGTACTCACCACCTTGTTCCTCTCAATCGAGCTCTATTCCTGTGTCGACGCTTTCAGCTGTATTTACTACATCATTGGCTCATTGTACCTCGGTCGTGGGTGGTCAAGATGTCAGGTGCGTTCAAGTTTGACGTGGTTTCGTGCTTGTAGCTGTCGGACACACCGAGCTGACAGTCTTCTCATCAGGCTCCGCGGGTTATGATCGACATATCACCATCTTCTCAGATCAAGGGCGATTATATCAAGTCGGTACGTCTCCGCAACAGTTTGGGCACCCTCGAAGTCCAAGTTGCGACGCACCTGTTGCCCGCAATAACTGGACGAACTCTCGTCGACTCCCCAGTCCAGCCGCCATGAATGAGATTGATTTCGGCCATACTGACAACTACACTCAGAATATGCCTTCAAAGCAATTACTGCAGCCAACATCACCTCGGTGGGAGTCAGGGGAAAGACATGCGCTGTTGTGCTGTCGCAAAAGAAGGTGCCGGTACGAAATCATTCAGTCAAATTCGAGCCTCACCTTCTTCTAGTCGCTTACTCCGGGCATTAGGATAAACTGATCGATCCCTCTTCGGTCTCCCATGTCTTCAAGATCTCTCCCTCAGTCGGCTGCGTCATGACCGGCTCAATAGCCGATGCTCGAGCCTCAGTCGATCGAGCCCGAGGGGAAGCTGCAGAATTCAGATACAGAAATGGATATGAAATGCCGTGTGATGTGCTGGCAAAACGATTGGCAAACATCAATCAAGTCTATACCCAACGGGTGCGTCGAAATACACTTGGAAAGGAGGTGCAAGAGCCAGGCTAATTTTTTTGTTACAGGCGTACATGCGACCATTGGGCGTAGCGACAACGCTGGTCTCGGTCGACGACGAATATGGCCCCCAACTTTACAAATGTGATCCGGCGGGCTATTATGTCGGATACAAAGCGACGGCGTCTGGACCTAAGCAACAGGAGGCACTCAATCATCTCGAGAAGAAGCTGAAGAACAAGGACCACGCTCCAGGCAGCTGGGACGAAGTGGTCGAGCTAGGTATCAGCACTCTCAGCACCGTGTTGAGCGTTGACTTCAAGAAGGGCGAATTGGAGATTGGCATCGTGGGTGGGCCGAAGGCTGATGGAACTGAAGGCACGGATAATGAGTTCAGGACGTTAACAGAAGACGAAATCGAGGAACGTCTCCAGGCCATTGCGGAGCGAGATTGAGCACATCTCTCTTCACCGAACCAGAAGGCGCAGGATAGGGTGTTCTTTGGGACGGGGAGTGACGACAATGTCGGCAACCACGCTGGACAGGGATCAGGATGGGTTCAGCTTGTCCACACGGAAAATTAGAATATGGAGTGAATCTGGGGACTATTGGTCGGGTCACGTTCAGCAGCCTCTTGGAGCTGATCTGAGATGATGCGTGTGGCACGTCATGGTTGGCGTAGAGGACTCGTTCGAGTCCTTTGCTGCTGCTGCTAACAGTCGACGGGATTCACTCCTGGAGCGGATCATTGTGGATCCGGCTCTCGACTTGGGATGACTGCCACTAGAGTGTCAGGCGAGTTCTCAGGTCCATGGGGGTGGACGAACCTTGTCCCAGCCTCATTGCCGCGTCTATGCGTTGGACTTGAGAGGGCAGTCAGCACAGCCGGTCTCAGAGAGTTGTGGCGTTTCGTGTGGCTCTAGTGAGGCTGGAATAGAGGTGAGGAAATGGAAAAACTGTTGATCCAGGAGCTGTGCACCAGGGCGTGGTTGACGTGCGTTATGCGTCGTTGCGTCTCGTATTGCTGAGATGGTGGGCGTGAGCGTGTGAGGCTTGAGCGCAGGAAGTTCAAGCCGCCGACTCAATCACCATGGAGTCCCTCGTAGTGCCGTTTTCTCACCTCGTTTGGGGAGTCCGGCGCCGTAAGAATCTCTGCCCATTGCGCCAGAGAAGGGTGCGCGAAAAAAACGACCCCTGCATGTTTGCAGAAGCGAGGTGCTGGTGGAGGATGAAAATAGAGAAGTGGACCAGTAGACGGGCGTGGATGGAGGCAGAAGAGTTTTCAGCTTGCAGCATGCAGCAACCGTTCGAAACGCCATGTGCGTGTGCTGGGCCTGTTCCTGCCGCAAGAGGGCAGCCTCTTTTCTCGCAGCACCAAGCAAAGAGCATCGGCCCATGGACGCCATTTCTGCTCAGCTGCCTGGATTGGGCCATGGTGGGGAAGCTTAACCGTTGACCTGAGCGCCCACGTTGAGTTTGGCGTGGCACCTAAAGCCCAAGGCCTAGGGAAGGCTTGGGAAGGGCACCCCCCAAAGGACTAGCCTAGCCCAGGCCCTGTAGCATGATTGGCTGGGGGCCAGGGGGCACCCAAACTCGCCTGTTTGCAACCGTCTACCGCTTCTCCTCTCTCTCCACCCATACAAACATTTTGCTCTGGGTCAAACGTCTCCACCGTCACGGCGATTCCTCAGGACCCTAACTTGTCCTGCACATGGTCATTTCCAACGCCTCGTCTACGATTTCCATGTTGCTCAAACCCAGGTCTCCATCGGCCCAGTCATGGTCAATGATCCAGAACTCACTCGACCCCCGTGGCTTGCAGGCCGCCTGCTGATCAAGACCGCACAGGGTCGGAGTCTACAGCAGAGCCTCGACTGATCCACCGCCAGAGCTGCATCATTCCGACGTGCTCTGCGACTGAGGCAGTGTCCAATAGTCATGGTGCATCAATCCAAGCGCAGTGGTCGCCGTTTACAGCCGTGTCGACCGTTTTGGTGCTCGTCTCTATTCTCCTCTACCTCATTGACCCTGCCCCGGCTTAGTGCTGTGAAACTTGCCTCCAGCTTCACCGTTGCTAACATCCTCTTCTGTTTGATTTCTCATACAGCTGGGAGGCCTGCTCCATTTTCCCATGACGCTACGGCCCGGTCCCCTATCTTGATGACCGCTTCTATCCTCCTGACTGGTTGACTGCGAGTGAAGCCACGGTGAAGCCACGAGATTGAGTCCACAAACCCTCCTCTACGGCCGTCTCTATCCCTTCGTGGCAGTGTCCTTCTTGATCCGAAGCTGTATATGACATCTGTGAACCACCGTCGTCTTTAAGAAGCATGCTTTCCTCGCCGCGACCAAAGTTGCTTTCCTCTCCTCAGGCTTCATCCATCCGACAACTTGACCAGAAGGCTGAGCCCACGGTCTGAGACCTCATCCTCCTTCCTGTGAAGACTCCTGACTTGGCTGCGAAGCACCATAATCCCCCCGAAGCGAAGAAGAGAAAAGTACTTGAACCTGCGCTGTCCGTCGAGCCACGGCCTGTCGACCACCAAACCTCACTTGATTTGGCCAACTCGCCTTTCGCAATGGCTGATGGACGTGCGTCTGACCGTAATTCCTCGCCTCACACATTGCGAGAACCGCCCTTACCGAGACCCCTCTGGCTAACTGACACGGCAGTGAACGAAGCTCGCGCAATGCGCGTCATGGAGATCATGAACGACTTTCGGACGTTGCAAATTCACATCAACTCGCTCATCACGCGTAGCGAGGCCAATCCTCCTGACCAGGAATCATACTACCTCGATGGCTACGTGGTCCTCAGACAGTGTGCCGCTGAATCGCAGGCGGTTCTGGCTGGGCACTTCAATCCGGGCAACCTTGGACTCCAATCTGGCAGCATCCCCGAGACCGAAGTGCAGAAGGCGTCTCTACAACGGTGCGACAAGGTCCCATCGCCGGGGAGGAAGGAAATATGCTAACCAAGGCCCCAGAATTATCCTTGATGCCTCTACAAGAAGGTTTCAGGCTCACAAGATCTATCTGCGAGGCTCCGCTGCGATGCGATGGGTGCAGCTGCGCACCCAATTGTTGCGCGGCGAGAAACCAGGCGCCAAACACGCCAACGGCCTGCGATCAATTGATCAGAGACTTCGCCAGGTACGTTTCCTTTTTTTGCATCTGAAAAGTTGCATGCGATCGGCGCACTTCCCCACACCGTATGACCGTTGTCCCCTAGCTTTTGCTAGTTGAAGCCATGTGGTTTAGAAGCACCAGAGGAGGAAATGATCAGCAACACGGAGGCGCACCGTGAGAAGGCGGCCGCCCCCAAACCGCCCGAAAAGAGAAAGAAGAAAAGGGGGCAAGAAGAAAAAAAAGCTGATTTGGTTGTTTGATTTAGGAACTCAGCGAAATCACGGATGACCATGTTTACCGTGATCTTCGCAATGCAGACCGACGAAAGGGCTATTGGCTTGACGAAGACCCGGTCCTGGAACGCATGCTGGGATGGATTCGGATGCAGAGGTGAACGGGGGGTTCAACTCAGTTGCTAGCCTCTGGTGTCTCGGGCTATCCAGAAGTCTTCCTCGGCCTGCGTTTCTGTTCCAACCTGAGTCTACCTTGAAACCTAATACCCTCGTCTAATACTTGCGTCATTGTCGATCGATGGCCTTCTCCTTTCTGAGCGCTGGGCGTGACCTTACCAGGCAGTGCAAGCACTGCGATCTGCGTCATAATTAAGAGGGGGTGGTGGGAAAGAATTGGTGGCGGCTGGACTGCCAAGTGGGCAAGTCGGGATCAAGTGAGTCTGGCACTCGCGTCGTGGCTGAGGTCCAGACTCCAAAAGCAGGATTAATATTTTCATTTTGGTTCTCGTTGGTCTCTGGGATAGAGGGCGAGCGATCTAAGCGGCCATTTGGTACTTTGTGCCTTTGCCCTCGTTTGATTTTACGATGGCTGCATGACGCTACGGATGGGCATGGAATTACGAGAAAACATTTTCCAGGGATCGGGAGATAGGGACTGGGATATAGAGGACTCACAGAACACAAGGCCACCAGTTTGGGGATGTGCTGTGACTTGGAGCGAGGCAAGAACAACCGAACTCGGGAACGTGGTGGAGTGAATGTGATTTGGATGTTCCCAATGGGATGCTTCATGTGCAGCCTGTCCGCGTGTCCGGCCAGGATGCTGCTGGTCTTATGCTGCTGGTCTACCATTTCCAATCCTGATCACCTTTTTCGGGGCGCTTGCGGGGAAGCTGCCCTTGCACATAATTAACACTCGGCGAGGCCGATCCCTGCCCAAATGGACGGTTAGTGGTTGGACGCAGCATCGAGTAGCTACAGTAGTGACCGTGTAGACACTTGCTAGATGCCTCCTAGTGCTGTAGCATTCTTTCAGACGACTGCTTGACCCCATTGGATGCACTACGAGCGCTGTCTCGGTGAGGAGGACGGCTTTCCAATTCCTTCTCGAGCTCTCGTTTCTAAAGATGGACGAGGGCAGTGCTTGACTACCTCAAGTCACCTGTTGTGAGGACTGTGACTGTTGGCAGCACAGCCCGAGAGTTACGTCTCCCTAGGTATGTTTACCCAAGAAGGCTTGCAGCAGACCCAGGTAGCCGGCTGGCAGTGCTGCCAATGCACGGTGGTACGGGTGACTTCTAGTTAACGGGCATCTACTGTAGGTGGGAGGTGGTAGTCAATCATTACCGGGCTCCCTACTCGCAGAGGCCGGGGAGCCCAATTGGGGCCAGTGGATCAGCTAGTAAGCAGCACCAGCGCCTAAACCAGCAACTAGGCATGCCCATTCCGGCAATTCGGCCACCCGCCGTTGCCCATTGCTGCTCGTTCGACTGCTCGCCTGCTTCGCTTGTCCCAAGCTCCAAGCTCCAAGCTTCTAAGCTTCGATTGCCCCGAGTTCCAAACGGGCTTTTTGGCCCCCGAAGTGCCGAGTCTTCCAGATGCCCAGATGCCCAGATGACAGGTGACAGATGCCATCTGCTACTACTGTAGGTACGCAGATGGGCACTGCGGGCACCACGCCGCAAGTAATAGTGGGATCCCTTCAACGTTTCCCGCTTCCCATTTCGCGTCACCACCACCTCGCCCCGTTCACTTTGTCGCACTCCTCGTGCAGTGTAAGGGCGCAGAGTATCCACTCCCTGTCCGCAGTGCGGCCGTCGCCCATCGTCACCACCGTCGCACTTCTCTGATTCAGCTCTACAAGGTTTCGAACCGACACCCGAACCAAGATACCCGTGACCGGGAAATAGCGGGCGCACTCTCATACCTCATGGCTGTACGAGCAGAAGTCCCATGGTGGAGATGGCGTGTGGGTGTGGACGCAGGTGCCCATGCAGGCTGCACCTCGTATTCCCACCCATCATTGGTGTACTGAGGACAAAGCGCACACACACTGCTCGGAGACTGCATCGTGGGCTCGCATGGACTGCGTGATTGTGCAGGCGGGATCACGGTTTTCAGAGCGTCCCGAGATCTTGTACCAGTACCACAGTGGTGACACTTTTGGTATGCTCACTTTGTTTGCTACGTTGAGTGGGTAGAGGTTGCTTACCGCTGGCCCCTTGGCTTCGCAGAGCATTCTCGACGCGTTTCAGCTCCTCGCGATGCCAAGCGCATACACATCGTCCTCCACCCTCGTCCACGTTGATAACGACAGCACCCGCAGCAAAGAATGAATTACACTCTGGTAGAGACCCAATCCTCTAAACATGCTGCCTTCACTGACTAGCTAGTTCTACATAGCCAAACTGGAGGGAGGAGAATTCTAGCTACTCCCCCCGTCGCTTGAAATCGTGCCCTCCATCCACTATTGTCGCCCATACTTGGTTTGGGCACCTGATGCTTTCCTCCAGACCGGATGCCCGTCGCGGATCGAGAGCATCCGAGGCATATACAGACTCATCTCCAAGGCAAAGCCACCTCCTTTCCTCCTGGCGCGATCGATCTGGCCAAGCCTACCTCGCTAGTGCGATTCCCACAAGATGCTCGTACTGGTTGCGGCCAAACATCACGGGACCATCGTCACCTCTGTGAATGGGGCTGAGTAAAGCCACATATACAAGAGATGGGGATAGTCTCCTGGGGGGTCTGGAAGCAGCCACTCAACACCACTGACGTATATCTGCCTTTACCTACCTATGAAGGTACCTAGACGACCGGTTAACGACGGGACGAACTTGGTCGCCAAACCTTCATACCATCTTTTGCTTCTCCCCCTTTATCCTCTTCTCCACAACATCTAACCCAGAAAGCTTCTTCACCATGACATCGAGCCATCCAACAGGCAATACGCTTGTTCCGAGCCATGCGGACGTCGCTCCCTGACCCCTCCAGATCTGATGCGGGGCCCCTTTTCCGCCACGATTGGATAAATCCCTCACCACTCTGTTGGCCCAGTCGGCTGTGTCCATGAGACTCACTTGCGGCCCTCGATCAAGAAATCTTTCCACAACGTCCTTGCCGGGTGTGTAGGGACTCGTCTCCGGTAAGCTGGCACTCATTTCGCTGTTGGCGTTGTCGAAGAATTTCGACCTCACCCCCCCGGTTCGTAAATCGACGACTTTGATCCCAAAGGCTTGCATTTCAAGCCGCAACGTCTCGCTGAAACTGGAGAGGGCAGCCTTTGAAGCCGAATATGGCCCCGCGAAGGGCAGGGCTAGAACCGAAGCACAGGAGCTATTGTTCACCACCATCCTGCTCTCCGCCGTCGAATTGCGAAGCAGCGGGAAAAACAGCTGTATCATCCGAATGGCGCTAAATACATTGATGTCGAACTGTCGCTGGATCTCAGCCATCGAGACATCAAGGACGGGCATGTTCAATCCGGCCCCAGCGTTGTTGACCAATATGTCCAGTGTGCCCCCTGTCAGGGACGACACTTTCTCCACGCAGGACCTGATGGAGTCTTCGGAGAGGACATCCAGGGGCAGAGTTTCGATGCCGACGGACTGCAAGGACGCCATTTTCGAGGGAGTGCGTGCCGTTGCGAAGACACGGTCGCCCCGTTTGTGGAAGGCCAGGGCGAGGGCGGCACCGAGACCGCCATCAGAACATCCCGTGATGAGAACGGTGCGCTTCTTGGTGGTGGCCATGGCAGGTTCCGTTCAAGGGGCTTGGACCGTGACGCCCTTGACAGGGCTTCGCGGGTTGGTTTTCCGGTGACCGTGGGATGTGGATTTATTAGGGGAAACGGACAGCCTGAAGCCTGCGTCGACGTACATACATCTGCAGAACCTCCCCTGGGAGAGACAGCGGGACAGGAAACGCCCGCGTCTCTCTCTCTGGACTTATACGCGTTTCGTCGGTAGATGACCATGACCATCCGTCCTGTAGAGAAGGAGATATAACGGCATCTTGATTCATAATCTCTCCTGACACTGACGAGTTACGGATGGATCCAGTTACGGAGCCGTCAGCAAGAAGCACGTTTCATTTTGTAGTTGTGTTCTGTACTCCGTGGCTGTGACCGCAATAATCCCGTTTTCTGTCTTGGTCCGAGCAAAAGGCTGGCTGATTCCATAATATTGCCCCCCCCCCTCCCCGCCTTTTGGAGTGATCTGATTCTGACAACAGCCTGGCTGGCCTGACTCCTGCTGCTGCTGCTACTCGTAGGTAGGTAGGTAGGTAATTAGCACGGCCCGCTTCCCTCTGCTGCGTGCGGCCGCGCTCTTGTGCCTTCCTCGTAGGTACCTAATCCCTGAATCCCGCGCGGGCGCCCGTCGGGCGGGCTCTGTGAGGAGCGGGTAAATAATGAAGCTACGTCCATGGCTACGTACCTGGCTCCTTCGTACATGCCTGGATTACTCAGCCACGCGATACACCGGGCACTTCGAACCGGGTGGATGCATGAGGATGGCGATCCGTGTCACAAGGTAGATGATACATCAATGGTGGATTGATGGAAGGTCTTTCTTCGTTTTTCATGTACTATTGAGACTGTTAAGACATCAACGGCATTCGGGCACTTTTCTACTGGCCAAGAGCCTATGTAGGTTTGTGTCTATATAGGTATATATATAATCCTCGAACAATTGTCCTTCGCGCCCATTTGACTGACTCATCCCCCGCCGCGTTGCTCTCCCGCTAACGACTATTTAGTCGACTCGCTCCCTCGTTCACTCCCTTCTACTCCCTTCCTCTCTTTCGCGCTCCCCCTCCACTCCCTTCTGCTCCCTTACGGCTCCGGCCCGCTCCTGCCGTACTCCCTCGCCTATTCGGGAGGCTCTCGTTTGGGCTTATGTCCTATTGGCGTTAACGTTGCGTACATCTAGTCTCGTGATAACTTTACCCGATCACAGTTATAGTGGCCCGTTTCGGCCCTGAGGTGTCTTACCTCGAGGAGGAATTGGATGGCCCCCAGAACCGGTGTCACATAGTCAACATCAGGGACCAGTTTGGATACCTGAATTACAGGCTTAGCAGGCCCTTGATCACGGATCTCATGAGACAGTCGAACAAGATACGCCATTCTTTGTTCTGTATAACACCGTTCAAAAGATTATCAACAAGACCTCCAAGCAGTCGCAGATGACCTGGAAAACTGGAGGCATTCAATACCGACAAGTTTTCGTCCGGGAGGTCTCCTGTGTAGGCCTAATACGTACATAAAGCACGAATAAGACCAATGCCATTATTATTTAAACCGAGCAACGCCTCTACCCTGGAAAGCTACCCTACTTTAGAAATGACCATGGTCTGTGGGCTGTTTCCGGGCGGAGAGTACTCAAAGTGCACATCTAGAGCGTATTCGCGTATTCTCGAGGCGTATTCCTAGGGCGTATTCGCGACTACGGCGCATTTATGCTCAATAAATCTAGATTAGCGTTTTGTCGGTATTTGATCAATTTCCACATCTCGTTTCTCAAGATTCGACCTGATTAGTCGGTGGGAAGCTGAATTCCACCCTATCGAAAGTCCCCTCGTATGAAACTTCGCCAATTTCAAATCACGTTCTCATATTCGACCATCGGTGAGTCCTACTTAAAGATCTCTTTTCTAGACTGGAGGTCATTATCATATACCTAGGTAGGCATATGATAGAGTACGCTGCAATACCCTCGATATTGCTCTTTCTTGAATAGAAGTCATGAAGGCGCGCCTGCTTACTACAATTGCTTTTGCAATCCCATGCCTTGCATTCCCTACGCCGAATGGTCATGAATTTCGTGCCCCGGGGCCTTTCGATAGTAAGCTGAGCTGTCTTTGCCATGGAAGCCCGGACAGTAAGCTGACCACCAACAACTCTTGCAGGTCGTTCACCATGCCCTGGCCTAAATGCTCTGGCAAACCATGGCTTTCTCCCACGCGATGGCAAGAACCTTAATTACGATCAGATCAACGAAGCTGCGCAAGCCGCATACGGTTTCGAGCCTGGCATCTACAAGATGGCTGTCGACATGGTATTCCAGTTTAACATCTCGACTACAAGTCAACCCAACGAAACTTTCAACCTTTTCGACCTAGCTAGGCACGACACGATTGAAGCTGATGGCTCTATCACCCGCAACGACATCTACTTTGGAGACGATGTTCACTTTGATGCTACTGTTTTCGCCCCTGTCGCGAAAGACCTTGGGTTAAATAATTACAACTCTTCTGATCAACTGGTTACGGTAGAGACAGCCGCCAAAGCCACCGAGAACCGCTATAACCTTGCAATGAAAGTCAACCCAGAATTCAACGCTTCTATGCACCAGCATGATACCGAATACGGGACTACAGCGCTCTATCTTCTGACTGTATGGGATGAGGGTCAGAACGCTGCGCCCAAGCCATGGGTCAAAGCACTGCTAGGTACCTAACTTGGCCTCTTTTGGCCCGAAGAGATCTCACAGAGGAATATGGACTAACATGTGGCAGCGGAGGATCGAATTGCATATGCGGAGGGATATACGAAAGGGCAAAAGATCAAGACTGGCGAGCAGCTTCAAAATATGACTACAGCTGTACGAGCTGTAGTTGGATGGAAACCTTGAAGAGAGAATTGGGACTCCTTGATGCTTCTCGCCGAGTGACAGCTACTAGCTAGCATGAAGAGACGTTGCCTGCTTTGGAATATCCACAAGACGTGTTACATAGTTGCGTAACGGGTTGATCCTCCTTGTGACCAGGAGCAAGGACAGATGTCCTGACCCGCCAAGAGTTAAAGGACTAAGAGAAGGGTGTGGCGAACATAGTGTTGCTGGCGCGTACTGTAGATATGGAGATCTATATGATTTATACAGATTTTGACGAGTGCGTTCTCGATAGAGGATGACCTAGCGCTATCGTGACCTTACTCCGAGCCGACTCAATGCAGAGCATTTACAAAATAGATGGCCTAGTTGAGAGGCAGGTATATCCGATTGCTTGGGGGCCTGATCTGGCCCTCCATGAGCTCGAACTGGCTTCTGCGAATGGGCCGTCAGGTACTCTAATGTGGCTCCCGCGTACTCTACCGTAGCTCTCTCGACGCTCTCCCATGCTCGGCCGGGGCTCCTCGATGCTCCGTCACCTGCCCGATTAAAGCGGCCTCCCTTATCGAAAACGGTAAGGGATGAAGCATAGTTCGGGGTATATATATATATATAGTTAACTACCCCAAATTGTATTTTACCTATTACCATTTTAGTTTAGGAAAGGGAGCGAGGCCGCTTTAATCAGACACGTGACGGAGTATCGAGGAGGCCTGGCTGAGTACCGGAGAGCATCGCGGGAGCCACGGCAGAGTACGGGGGAGAGCGCCCGAGCGCTGGGTGAGCTATATGAAGCAGCAGCTTAACGGTCGGACCACTCGGGGATCGAATCTCGGGTTGGAAATTCCGCGCGACGGAGGCCCATCTCCAGAGATCTCAGAGGAGGTGTGTTATTGTAATCATCTGAGGCAATAGTTCATATCAAGATGTTTACGATACACGGTTCATGAATTCTGATCGAATGACTTATACTCTCCACTAAAACTTGACTTGTGAATCCGGACGTCTACCCTCCCTTGCTCTGTCTTGATATGCACCCTATGTGTTGATTGGTTCGATGAAAACAGACTTAACTGTACCTACGATGTACAGGGATCGATTCTGTCTTCGACATCCTCCCACACTGCCCACCATCCAGATTTTCTTCTCCCATCCTATTTCAATCGTCGCAATGCCTGGCCAGCCAAGCACATGAGATAAATTCCCTTCTCGGTCTTCCCACCACGTCAGAACTCCCGGACTAGGTGACCAAGAACGGACTGTATAGTCTCGCGTTCGAAAACTTGTCCGATCCGCCCCTTGGCCGCCCAAGCAGTGGTTTAACACTGTCCAATAGTGCCGCTTTAAAACCACCTGCTCACGACGCATCCTCTTATCATTTGTGCTATTGTCTCCCTAGTAACCGTACTTCGTCTGCCCCATCCACGGTATCCTAAGACCAGTTCCCTTTATTAGTGGCTAGACCCCATCTTATGACTCCCTGTGACGGGTTTCTGCTCTCGGCTCCTTGCTGCATCCTGTCCTCGTGAACTCGCCGAACACAACTACCAGATGTCGTCTCTTGTGGCAGTACGTTTTTGAATCAGAGTCGAGAAAAGACTTCGGGGGCATTTCAAACCCTGTGCCATTCAGCTACACCGCACGCATTCATCAGAGAAGGCCGGGGTACTATGCTCAGGGACCCAGCTTGAGATTGCAGCTGTCTCTACATAATACGTTTGTCCTTGCAGTCGTGCTGTTACCTATCACGATTCTAGTCATTGCAATGGTTGTTGACCTCGCTAAACTGCAATGTTGTCCGCATTCGTCTATAGATCCACTACCAATTCACGCGACTTCCAGGCCATCTTTCCCTTCTCTTCAACAGCTTCTTCCTCTTCGATGCTGTCCAAAACTTCTATCAAATAATGCTTTCTGCCATGCAGTAACCATCCGAGTGTTGTGAATAGGATACCAGCAGCACCAAACACGACTGTGTAGTTCATATTCTCGACAGTGACAGGGTACGAGCTTGGAAATGCTTCGCAAACACAGCAGCCTAAATTGAACAGAAAACTGAACACTTCGCAACACGTTCCAACAGTATACGACATGCGGAAATACGACTTTGGCGCGGCATGCAGATACTTTCGCTTGGTCAAGATTGAGGCCGCAAGCAAGGGAAGGAAACCCATGCTATAGAAGAAGTTCGCAGAGTCAATGATGATGTTGAAGCCGACATCTGAGCCCAGATAGATGAAGCTCATCAAAAAGTTGACGACAATGCTGAAGTATAGGTTGTTGATGGGAATGTTGTGCTCGTTGTCGATTTTGGTCCAGAACTTTTGAAATGGTAGTGAACCCTTTGAGGCGAACCCCCAGAGAAGGCGGATGTTGGCAGAAATGTAGCCATACGTGCCGAACAGGGAGGGTGCAATCACGAATAACAGCAAAAAGAGAGTAGCAACTGATGACTTCGTGCCCTGGAGGTAGAGTTGTCCTACCAATGAGGGAAACGTGGTATCCAGGAGGCTGTCATAGTCATTAATGCAGTAGTAGGTCGCAACATAGAAGGCAAATAATCTGCGCAAGTCAGCTAGGCTCGCACACTCGTTGTATCAGGATCTTACGTGATGATGTTGCCAATCTGCTGCACTAGGAGGGCGATCGGAATACTTCTTCTGGGGTCTCGAACTTCGTCCGCCAGATTCAACATCCAATGAGGGGGGCCATAGGCGTAAAGAGGACCAAGTAGACCCAAGAGGGCGCCCATGACCGGGGAGCTGTATCCGCTACCGTTTTCGAAGCTGATCCACAAAAAGCTATGGCAAATGTGAGCCACAACGCTGCCATGGTCAGAGACGAATACTTACGAGTTTGAAGGTCTGTCTCCCTTTGACATCCCTACCATGACTCCTATAGTCACGATTATGCCAGTTGTCAGGACAACAACTGGCGCAATGAATAAGTCTCTCGCTCAGTGCTTTGGGGCCCGGGTGTAAACTTACTGCCAACTCCATTCAGTTCACCAATGAAACGAGAGCCATACTTGAGGGCAACCAAGTAGACTATGTTGAAGAGTTGAAACAGGAGCCAGATTTGCCACCTTTTGGGGACAAAATCTGGGTGAAAAACGCATGCACAAGTAAATGTGAGCTCAGAGAGGACTAAGATGAGTACCGGGGGTATGAATGCGATCGTAGTCGAGAGGAAAGATCCAGTATAGTAGGACTAATCGATCAGACACTGACAAACAAAGATGGGATTTGACTCACCATCATGCGTCCATATTTCGGTCCACCAAGACGTGCCGCGGCATAAGTCACCCCTGCAGCACTTGGGAATGCAGAAGCGTATTCGGCCAGGTTCAGACAGAACACAGACAGCGCGGCCCCAACGGCTAGAGTGCCCCAAATTTCAACAGCCGGCCCACCACCGTAGATACCGATCACCATGGAGCTTGCAGCAAAACACCACGCCCTGGACGAATAACTTAGCCTCGAGTCACGAAGCCGACTCGATAGGGAGCAATCCTACCCAGGCAGCACAACAGCCATCGCACAGAGCTGCCATACTCCGAAAGTCTTGCGCAGACCGTGCTGAACACCAGGACCCTCCCTCGACGCCGTGTGACTTGTGCTTTCCATCGCTGCGGTTTAGGGGTCGTCGAAACCGTGATGGTCTGTACCGACTAGGTAACGCTCAACAAGACGCGCCACAGGGAATATTGGTCTGTAAAATCTTTAGGCCATGGCTCGAGGATACTCACATCTGATATACAGATAAACAGACCCCTCTTATCAAGATGCCCGATTCGGGTAGCGGGTGGAGACATGGAGATAGTGTCGTAGGCTATTCGTGGGCTTTCCCGCCTCTTGGACGGCGAAGATAAACGGCGCTGACGGCAAAGGCGAACATCAGCGGCGTTTTCGGTCTCCACTTCCCTTCCTTATCTGCCAACGGCGAGACACCTGATCATCGTAAGGCGTGTGCATAACGCGATGGACTGGAGTCTCACTTTTAGATAACAATGTTGACTAGACTAATGTTGCTCTGACTATTGACCCTCGAGGTGACTTCTCTACGTGATAGCGACCTACCGACAGGCCAGACGATTCGATTTGCCTGACCGCCACTCCGCCATCAATGTCTACACAAACAACCGTCGAAAGGGCCTCCAAGCGCAAGCCGCAAGGCCGAGCCGGCGTTGTCAATGGCAAACTCTACCTGTCTCAAGGCATCGTGAGAGATTTGGCCCCAGCACATGGCTCGGGGGGGCAATTCGATACAATCCCGATCATTGATCTGGCTGCTATGGTATCGCCGGATCCCGAGCAACGAGCTCTCGAGAAACTGGTGGCCGACATCAAAGACGCATGCACGCGAGTTGGGTTCTTTGTGATCAGGAATCATGGCATTGACTGGAAAATCGTTGAGGATGCCTTTGCGGCCGTGGAGGAGTTCTTTGGACTGCCTCTGGAGAAGAAGATGGCTGTGCACCAGAGCAAAAGCCCGAGCTTTATGGGATATGAGGAACCTTACTACACCAATGTTGACCGACTAAAAAGAGGTGGTAAGTCTTAAGGCGATGAGTCTCAAGGTGATTGACGTCCTCGAGCTTCGGTTAATCCCTTTTACCTTTTTAGATCTCAAGGAGTCGATGACAACCGCATACGATCCTTGGACCGACGAACTGGGAATTGGCGATGGTGTGCCTGAGCTTCTCATCCGCAAGAACTTATGGCCCAGTGAGGAAGATGCGCCCAAGTTCCGACCCGCCATGGAGAAATATCGCAACGTTTGTCTCTCCTTGATGAGGAAGTTAATAAAGATTCTTGCTCTGGCAATGGGCGAGGAAGCGACATATTTCGACCGCAAAACCACCTATCCGATTGCTGGCATTCGGGCCCTTTATTATCCCCCTCAAACCACTCCTGAGGACGAGGAGACCGGCTTGGGGGCTCACACCGATGTTCAACGTAAGTCACCATCGGTGGTTGCGGGTGTCTTTGCTTACATTCCCGTCCAGTGATGACGATGATCGCCCAAAAGCCATACAATGCGCGGTCACTCCAAGTGCTCAATGCAAACGGCGAATGGATCCATCCGGAGCTTGAACCACAGACGTTCGTAGTGAACCTGGGTGATATGGTCGCCCGACTGACGAACGACACCTTTGTCAGTACCGTGCATCGTGTGTGCAACAATGGGACAGATGCCGTCGGTCGCTACTCGCTACCCTTCTTCTTTGGACTGAGCAACGACGAGCTGGTCTCAACTCGGCCGCAATTCATCACAGAAGAAGCCCCATTAAATCCGTTGTACAAGAATCCCATTACAGGCTATGAGCATTACAACAACAGGATGCGAATCGCGCATCATGAACACCCGACAGCTGAAGGCAAATCATCCGCTGCCCTGCCTTATGGTATGACGAAGATCGACGGAGAATTAGTTCCTGGAATGTAGGCAAATGAGGATCGAAAGATGTCACGTCACCAATACAGCTCATCCTCATCACTACTTGTCGGCTTGATTCTTCTCGAATCGTCGCTCGTACATTCGGTGGTGAAAATCACCGTGAAAATCACCGTGAAAATCACCGTGAAACACTCCCTCACCCCAGGTCACAAATACAAGTAGCCTGGAATATTATCACGAATCAGACAAAAGCATCAAATTTAGCCTTATACAATGTCTAATATATCTCAGATCTACGTGTCAATGAAAGTACTACAATCATTCCCCATATGTTTAAAAACCGGAGCTTTGCCGAGCCCCATACGGCGGGCCGCTGTTCTACGAATCAAACAGACCGGTAATATATATCATTCGTTTCTACCAGCTTTATATATGTACCACACATGGAAGTGATTTGTTCGTATATTCAGTCGAGACCGCTCTCATCCACGAAAACCCAGGCACTGCGAAGGGAGGTGAATACCGCAGCGCTGCGCAGGGCAGCGAGCGAAGGTCTCGAGACTGGTATTGAGTAGTCACTCTGTGACGTGGAGATCTCCGTTGAATAGACTATCGTTTGACAAAAAAACCTTGATGGATGCTGTCCTTACTCTGTGTACGTGGACACAAAGCAAAGATATGGCTGCTTCGATCTACCAAAATTTGGACGAATGTCTTCTATATACATTCAGACCGACTCGGCCGTCTTGGAGGGGCGCGAGACGTGATCGATCGTGTGATTGTCCTTTAGCCTAACGCTACAACCGATCTTGATACTCCTAGAAGACATTGATCTGAAGCAGCTATATTTGCAAGTAGCGTGAAGGATGCGGAACAAACCAGGTAGAGGTGCCCATAGTGGCAAAGAACAGCGGGCATGCTAAACACAGACCCAGGATCTAGAAGCGAGACAACTATCTTCTTCTTATCCGTGGATGCGAATATCGAAAGACACGAATCTCACTCACCGCCGCCGTTGTCTTCGCGGCCCGTGAGCCTAGTACAAATATCATGGCTTCCGAGATAAGCATTCTGCCCCGTCTTTGATGGGGGAGATAGGCTAGCCCTACCTAAAGTAGCCCGGTCTGGAACCCTTCTCAACAGAAACATGGGGTATACGGTCCTTGCGTTGGCCGCGCGTTGGCAGACCTTTACACCTCTTCAACCGCGGATTTGGACCAAGCCTTTGACAATCAAGCTTGGAGGCTTTTGATTCTCAATACAGTTTCCCCTGAAATTGAGAAGACAAGATGGCTGCTGTTGATTGTGATACCCAGCATAATGATGTTGCGAGCACCAATTTCCTGGACCATGCTCCTGGGACAGTCATGCTAGAGAGTGGTAAGAACTACGACCCAATTTGTTGGGTTTGGTGCTGATATTCCTCCCAACTGCAGCCTCTTCGGCACTTAAGCATAGCAAGACAGATCGAGAATTGATACTGTACCCTCAGCCATCGTCAGACCCAAATGATCCGTTGGTATCTTTCCTACCTATTCCCGCTTTCCAGTTGTACTGTTCTAATTCAGAAACAGAATTGGACCATGAAGCGTAAAATTGTCAACTTTTCAATCGCATCCTTCTATGTTCTCATGGTCTTCGCAATGTATGGCCCACAGTCCACAAGCTTACTCAATAGATTTAACACTTTCAAGGCTTGATATCGGGGTCGTAGTGTTTCAAGACTACAACACTCTCCTTCACATCTCTTATTCTGACCTGAACAACACGTTTGCCGCCAATTGTGTTGGATTGGCTTTTGGCTGTCTACTTTTCGTGCCCTTTGCGATCAAGTATGGGCGTCGACCTGTTTACCTTGTCACGACATTTGTTCTTTTCATTTGTGGCATTTGGCAGGCAGTCCTGCGAGACTACCCAAACATGGTCGCTGTGCAAGTCGTGGATGGACTCGCTGGCTCGGTGGCTGATACCATCGTCCAAATGACGGTACTGTACTGTCCGGTTGCGATGCTGGACTGGAGCCGCTTGCTGACAGCTACTTATAGATTAATGATCTTTTTTTCCTGCACCAGAGGGGCAGAATGAATGCTTCATATCTGGCCTGTATGAACATTGGGGTAAAGGATGCCGAACACCTATGTGTACCATTTCAAGCTGACTTTATCAGGTATATCTTGCCCCCGTTGTTGCCGGCTACTCGGCTGTTGCGCAAGGATGGCCATGGATCTATTGGTGGTGTGCCATCCTATTGGGGGTGAACTTTCTCCTTTTTGTATTTTTCTATGAGGAGACTAAGTATGTTATAACACTCGCTGGGGTGGTGACATCGGGCCCAACGCCAACGACTTCTCGACAAGCAGACCCGGAGGAAGGACCTCTGGAAGACCTCAAGAATGCAGAGACTTCAGCTGCAGCATCGACCACGGAGCCTGTTGTCGCTGCTCCCATACCTCTCAAGTCGTATCGACAGCGCCTTGCTCTGGTCACGAAGACTCCTGGGACTTTTGCTGATTTTACCCGCCATTTCTATCAACCACTATTGATGTTGACCATACCGGGAGTCCTTTATGTGGCTCTTCAATTCGGGGCGTTTCTGTCCTGGGTATCTGTTGTAGCAGTCACCGAGTCTGACTATTTTTCAGAGTCGCCATACAACTTCAGTACGATTGGAATTGGCCTTCTGAACTTGCCGCCCTTCATTGGCGCCCTTATCTCCATTCTTTACTCTGGACCGCTGAGTGATTGGTCCATCATTAAATTGGCCAAGCGAAACGGAGGCATCTATGAACCAGAGATGCGCTTATATCCCACCATCATTCCTGCTCTGCTAGGTCCTGCCGGCATTTTCCTTTATGGATTCAGCTTAGCACACGTAAGTCACCCATGGATGCACTACCACACCAGGCACACAGTTGATGTATCACAGGAGGCCCACTGGATTATCCCATGTGTTGGTGTAGGGCTGTACGGGTTCTCCCAGGCTTCGATTCAGGCGTTGAGCCTGTCCTACCTTATGGACTCCTACGAACAGGTATTTGCGCCTCTCAATTATTGAAATCCTCAATTTTGACCGATGACACAGATTCTGGGCGATGCTTTGATCGGAGTGACTTTCGTCCGGAACGCAATCGCAGCCGGCTTCGTCTTTGCCACAGGACCGTGGATTGACAGCCTGGGGTTGTACAACACATTTGTCTCCTTGGGCTGTCTGGCTCTGTTCTTTTCGCTGCTCTCCTTCGTCATGATATTTTGGGGCAAGAAAATGAGGATCATGTGTGCGAAAAGATACGCTGCCTATGCAAAAACCCAACCAAAACGCAATCGTGTGTAACGAATGCAGAGCAGCCGATAGGGTGTGGAAAACAAAGTCTAGTCTCAAGTCATATGGCCTAGTTCTTGAAATTGCATGTGTCCCCATTTCTGATCAACCACTGGATGTTCTTGCATCTCTCTTGTGCAATCCAGTGATTGAGCGCATCGATGCAGTGCCCCCAAAGGAATTAGTCTCACTATGGGCGTGGCGTAACTCCTCATGCACGTTCAATGTTGGAGACGGCGGTGGATAACGCCGTGGCACCTACGATAGCGGTGGGGTCAAAGGGCGCATAATCTACGTCCAACCACCCAATGCCGTCCATCGACAGGCCTTTCATTCATCTGTAAATGCCCTCCACCTTTGGGCCTCTAACTACATTACCTTCCAAGTGCACAGCGACGAGAAAATCAGAAAACAAATTGTTTCACAACGAACTAGTCCGGAACCAACCAGAAGGAAAAAGCATGTCGTTCCCTATCATTGACGTGTCGGATATCGACAATCCTGAATCCCAACTGCGCATTGCACAGGAGGTCACCGATGCCTGCAAGAAATGGGGCTTTCTCCTGATCAAGGGACATTCCATTCCAGCCTCGAGCATCGAGAACATGTTCTCCTTAGCCAGAGACTTCTTTTGCCTGCCTGAAAGCCAAAAAGATGGCTACCCTATCACCAACAAGTCAATTGGGTATGTCGGCAGCTTTCAGGATCGAGCAAAGGACGACAAAATGTCCATGTGGTTCGGTGGCACACCGGGGACCCTCGATGAGAACCTTAGTATGCTACCCCCGTTCTGGCACCAGCACATACAGGCGGTCGAGGATTTCAAGCATCAGTGCCACGGCTTGATTATCCGGTTGCTCGAATGCTTTGCACTCTCTCTAGGATTACCAGATCGCAAATTCTTTGCCAACGCGCACCGCGAGAATGTCGGAGATGGCAATAGCCTCAGGATGCTCATGTACCCAGCCCGATCAGAACCAACTCCGGCCAAAGACGTCGGATCTCGAATGGCCCCACATACCGACTCTGGCTCGGTAACACTCCTATTCCAACGCGCTGCTGGCCTGGAAGTTCTGTCGCCGGCTGGCGATGAGTGGGTTAAGGCACCACACATCGAAAATTGCATTCTTGTCAACATCGGCGATGCACTATCGTTCTGGTCTGGGGCTCAGCTCAAGGCCACACTTCATCGGGTGACGTTTGACGGCCTTCCACACGATCAAGAGCGCCAAACCATGGCCTACTTCGGGAGCGCTAACCCAGAGACCGTGCTCCAACCTATCGTGCCCGGAAGGCAGGTGGAAAAATATTATTCAAATGGACTGGAGCTTGAGCCTGGTGTCACAGTGGGAGAGCTCAGACACAAGATCATGAGTAACATCTACGGTGCAGCCTTCACAGCTGCCGCATAGCCTAGAAATCTGATTGATTGTTCCGTACCATAACGTCTCTGGCCGTGGTATCGTGCACTGCGATTTTAAAAGTGCTATATAGTAATTTGGAAATAGCTAAATGTCCCATACATACACCAGATGTCAGACCACTGACCCTTGATCAGACAGATATCAGGCATGCTGTCCTAGACTGGAGGCGGATTCAATTACCCGGGGAGCCTTTATTCGGCGGTGATAAAGTGGTGACTGACGGCGGGCCGGCCAAGTTGGCCGCCGGCAGCGCTGGCAGAAGTTGGCTCCACTAGACAGACGTTGAGGTCAACTCCTGAGGCAAACAAGCGTACGACAACCCAAAGTCAGAGCTTACTCTATCCCTTCCTTGGTAACTGATGTCTTTCTTGATTCTTCCAAACCACACACGATGAAACAACCTCTGTACGTTTTGCTAGGTGCTGGCGTGGTAGGACTGTCAACTGCGCTCGAGCTTCGCGAGCGCCACCCAAAGTCTCTCGTCATCGTTGTCGCGAAACACCTGCCGGGAGACAGAGTCGCAGAGTACGCTTCGCCCTGGGCGGGGGCTAATTGGTTATCGGTTGCCACAGACAATGGACGTCAGGAAGAATGGGATGCGGTGACGTACAAAAGCTTTCGCCTGCTGGCTGAACAGAGTGCGACAACAGGTGTCCAAAGCATGGAGCTTCGGGCGATTTTCGACCAGCCCGCCGATCACGCTGACATCTTGAGTGTTGGAACTGGCCAAATCTGGTACGACAGACTGGTTGGAGGACTGCGGCCTCTCTCGTCAGACAAATTGCCAGAAGGAAGCCAATTTGGGTTCGACTTGGATACCTTTGTCATCGATACCAGGGTGTATCTTTTCTGGTACGAAGGATCCCGCAAAATTGGCCGGGAGCTTGCATTTGCTGACACATTAACGGTTGGACAGGCTCGAGCATAAGGCCCGGAAAATGGGAATCGAGTTCCACCGGGCCATGTACTCGGACATCGCAGAGCTCTTCCACAGCTTTCCCGGCGCTAAGGCATACTTCAACTGCTCTGCATTGGGCTCGCACTCGCTCAAGGGAGTTGAGGACAAGAATGTTTATCCCACCAAAGTCGGTTCCTTTTCGTTTCCTTGCCGCACCCCCTACCCGGACTTTTTACAGTTCTGACGGCGAATTTGTACTTAGGGACAAGTGATGCTCGTCGAGAATCCAACAACCCCATTGACGCGGATGTATTTCCGATCTCCACGACGAGTCGACAATGACACGACCTATGTTTTCCCTCGGGGCATGCACAATGGTGTCGTGCTGGGAGGCTGCCGCTTGGACAATGACTGGTCAGGAGAGATTGATGCCGATTTGGCAGAAGACATCAAGAGACGATGCTGCAATTTGGCTCCCGAATTAGGCAGTCCAGAAGATCTCAAGATTTTGTACCACGCCGTCGGGCTCCGGCGTAAGTATCTCCCATTGTGGCGATCTGTTTGAAACCCCTGTTGGAAAGTGGTGCTGATGATCGTCACCTCACGCAGCAAGCCGGAAAGGAGGAGCCCGGATCGAGAGAGAGGTGATGCAAAATGTTGTGGTGATCCACAACTACGGTGCTGGCGGCGCCGGATATCAAGCCTCGTGGTAAGTCACATACAAGTGTAAAGTCGCCTCGATACTTTAGGATCGCTGACGCTCTACGTAGGGGAATGGCCAAGGCGGCGGTGGACTTGCTCGGTGGTGAAGAACGACTCTGACACAAGACGCGAAACCAAGCCTGGTATATCAGCCAATTCAACATAGAGCGAATCATATTCAGAAATTGATCTAATTTCGTAAATTTTTGTATAGTCTCAATCTAAAGTTGAGGATTGTGTCTCTAATCAACTCTCACAAGACCGATTCACCGTTTTGGCATCCACATATCGCGTTCGTTGTCAAGCATTCCCCGAGGAGTAAGCGAGGATTTCCCAACTAGAACCTCACCCTTGCCGCGCTTGAGGTACTGGCCGTAAGTCATCTCTCCCAAGACCTTGCCGGAATCTCTGTTCCAGACGACCTTTCCACGAAGAATGGTGTATCTTGGCCAGTTCCGGATTTTGACCCCTTCGAAAGGCGTATAGTCCACCCCGTGGTGTAGCATTTTTTGTGTAATTTCCGTTGGTGCTTGATCACTGGATGTCGGGTACCAGATTACAAAGTCTGCATCATAGCCTGGCAGTATTGAACCTTTGCAGCCTCCTAGGCCATACATCTTGGCAGGGTTCGTTGAAGTCAGCTGGACAAAACGTGGAAGACTCAGTCGAGCCTCGGCGGGTGGTAAGCATGCTTCTGACTCGCTGAAGAGCAGGGCCAGCCGGGTCTCGACTCCAGGCAGCCCATTGGGGATCTTGGAGAACATCGGGATCCCGTTCACGAGGCCAAGTTTCTTTCCGCCAGGATGATCGTACTTGGAAGGGGCGTGGTCGGAGGAGAAAACAGTGAACGTGCCATTGGCGATGCCCTGCCACAGGTCTTCGAGATCCTCCACGCGGTGCCGTAGCGGTGGTGAGCAGACGTGCATCGCCCCGCAGAAGTGGTCAGATGGCTTACTTTTGAGATTTTCCGACAAGAGGAATAGGTAATGTGGACATGTCTCAGCGTGGATGGGCAGAAGCCGCGCCTGTGCGTGTCGTACATGCTCCACTGCAACTTTGGACGACATATGCACAATAAGAATAGGTGCGCCAACCAATTCCGCCAACGAGATGGCTCGATAGGACGCTTCATCCTCCGCAATCCTGGGTCGCGCAATGGCATGGTAAAAAGGATCGGTATTGCCGTTCCTCTCTAGTCCTTCAATGATGAGCGCAATCATGTCGGAATTTTCGGCGTGAATCATGGTCGTCAGGCCCAGGGCGCGGCAGGATATCATGATGTCCAGGAGGTCGCGATCCGTGAGCTTCATCGGTTCGTACGTCATATACAGCTTAACACTGGTAACGCCTTTTTCGTTTGCCATTATCGGAAATTCCTTTTGCAGGATGTCGCGTGTAGGGTTTGTAAGGATGAAGTGAAATCCGTAGTCGGCATAGCTCTGGCCTCGAGCCTTCTGGTAATAGTCGTCCAAGACCGGTATTAATGAGGTGTCTGTTCTCTTCTGAGACGCGAAAGCCAGGATTGTGGTTGTACCACCAGCAATGGCGCTTCGAGATCCAGTTTCCCAGGTGTCTCCCGTAGGAGCATTTGTTTGCGCAAGATGGACATGCGCGTCTACGCCCCCGGGGGTGATATATGCACCTTCGGCATCGACTCTTTCGGTCTTCGGCCCAGACGGCAAAGACATTCCTATACAGGAGATTTTGCCATTTTTCACCCCGATCTCGTTGCCCAGCGGCAGCACGGTGGTGTCTGAGACCTACCCGAGAGATGAATAAGCATGCAGGCTTCATCTGCACCGGGTGAGATACGCAGAGCAATACTTACAATCAGCCCATTGTGAATGATCATATCAAACTCCATGGTTGCGAGTCTGCTGCACCAATTTTTACACCCTGCACATAGACCGATCAAAGGAGAGCGTCTTCTATGAAAGGTTCGCGAGCTCGTGGCGGCAGGATTTCCCATCGTTGCCAAACAAACCTACTTACTCACTCCCCACGATCTAGTAGCCTCTTGTCAATTGGCCATGGTGGGTTGTCATCTGCCCGGCGTAGAGTTCGCCGTCGCGCGGAGAACGGCGCCTTCATGGACTCTGCTTGCTTGAGGCTCAGAGCCCGGCGAGCGTGGTTCTAGCTCCCGTCTCGTGTCCCACGAGAATTCCTAGACAATTTCACACAGTGCCAATGTTCTCTGTGCAAGACGCATCCTCGGCTTGAAACACTTGTAGCGACCAAGAATCTTGGTCAAGGGTAGGAAGCTCGGACTATGAAGCTGGGAATGGTTTCTTTATACATAGTGCCAATTGCGCTTCAGTGGTTGGGCCTTCACCTGTGAACGCGTGCGAATCTCGGCGATCGCATTCCGTGCCGCAGACTTGACCTGCTCCTCGTCCAACCTGGTAAACCGTCCATCCTCGACGACGACGACGCCGTTGATCACGACCATCGTTACATCGCGCCCTGAGCAGGAATGCACCACCACTGTTGACGGATGAACGCCCCCCATTGTATCGACTTGGGCCGGATCGTATGGCGCGGCATGGAGGCCGCTAGGGTCGACCACGACGAAGTCAGCCTTCTTGCCAACCTCTAAGCTTCCTATCTCTTTATCCACTCCTAAAGCTTTTGCCGCATTTATAGTTGCCATTTCGAGGATCTGTTCCGCGGGGAGAACGTTGGCGTTATTTGTCGTAGCCTTGTGGATAATGCCGGCTAGATGCATATCGCGAAAGAGATCGTGACTGTTGTTACAAGGGGCCCCGTCGCTGCCTAGACAGACATTGATACCTGCGTCTAGCATCTGAGGCACAGGGCAAATTCCGTCGGCGAGTTTTGCGTTGCTAGTAGGGTTATGCGCCACTGAAGTGCCGGTGATGCGGAGGATCTCAAGGTCAACCTGAGCATCCACATGAGTCATATGGCCGAGAACCACATGAGGGCCGGTCGCGTGTATCCGTTGACAGAATTGTCCGGGCGTAGTACCGTACGCCTCGCTCAACATTTCAAAATCTCGAGGAGCCTCTGAGCAATGCACCGTTAAATGGATGTCGTGGTCAAGGCAGGCCTTTCCGATTGCAGCGAATCCTGCCTCATCTTGACCACGGGGCGTTTCGGTGGCCATCCAGACGTGTAATCGGCCGTCACAGGCACCGTGGAAGCTTTTGTGTGCTTCGATAGCTGCGTCGATAGTCATCAAGTGTGACTGCTCGTCTCGAGCGTCAGAGATACCGGCCGAGATATTAGATTTAGGGCCTTTGACAAGTTTTCCCTTTCCCGAGCGTCTCAATTAGCAGCTATCTCCGTACACGATGGGCGAAAGTCCTACATACCAGGCAGCCTCGGATGCCGGTCTCATCAACTGCCCTTACAATCCCTGAAAAGCCGGCCGAGGCAGGCAGCATTGGTTCGAGGAAGCAGGTAGTACCACTCTTAATCATCTCCGCCATCGCTAGCTTCGCAGCCACGTAGCCATCGTCCCCTACGTAGTTGACTTCCAACGGCCAAATGGTACAGGACGCCCATTCATGAAGGTTTAAGTCCTCGCCCAGGCCTCTCATCAACGACTGGATCAAGTGAATGTGGCTGTTGATCAGGCCTGGTATAACGATTTTCTGCTCCAGATCCACCCGCGGAACCGCTGGGTGTGTCGCCGCATCGAGGGTAGCAGTGGTGTCGATGGCGGCAAGCCGGCTCCCGGATACGAGGATCGCGCCATCTCGAAATACACGTCTGTCGGCATCAATGGTGATGATGGTTGCATGGACGTACAGTGTGTCCATAGTTCGCTTCTCTCACACCCTCACGTGCGTTGCCAGAAGCTGATATGCCCGGCTTAACATACATTTAAGTTATACGCATTTCGAACGAGGAGCACGGCCAAGAAAGTGGCAGGACGCGGACTTGAACACCGGAGGCCCTAAATTGCTGGCGATGTTCGCGTCGTCGTCCGCCCGTACGGCGCACGATAAACGCGCCGCATGCTAAGATAACACCCTACTAGATGTAGTAATGGTTAATCGGCCGCTCGCCGTACGGCGAGCTTGCGTCTTGCAACCTTCGGCGTTGGTCGTGCGTCCCAATCGCTTCGAATCTCAATGGCAGTGGCTGCACAATATTTGAGTGGTATTTGCTTTCGGGGATCGGTCTGATCGAACATGATCTCCTCGATATAAACCATTCCGATTTGATTTCAGTATTGTTACAGATCTGTCTTGAGGCGCTCCCCTTTTTCAACATCCAATGCCGCTTCTTCCAGATGGGCGCAATAGCCCGCAAAGGGCTCCTCGACTCGTCAGAGTCGCTGCGGCCCAGATGGGTCCAATCCAACTTGCCGATTCGCGCGAAAGCGTCATCAAACGAATGTGCGCGCTTCTCGATGCTGCTGCCCAGGACCAAACCCAGATTGTCGTTTTCCCTGAACTCGCTTTTACCACCTTCTTCCCGCGGCACTTCATCTCCGATGAAGAGGAGCTGGCGGGATACTTCGAATTCGAGGATCCTGCAGCGGGAGGCATTGAGCAGTCTCCCAATGTCAAGCCTTTGTTCGACCATGCCAAGAACCTCGGCATCGATATATATGTGGGATACGCGGAGAGGTCACCGACTGCAGGAGGTGGCCATGTAGACTACAATTCGTCTGCATACTATTCGGCGCGGGAGCAGCGAGTGCTTGCGAAATACCGAAAGGTGCACCTTCCGGGTGTGACAGAACCATTTCTCGAGCCTGGTGCCACGCAGCAGCTCGAGAAGCGATACTTCCGTCGTGGGAACTTGGGATTCCGGGCTTTCCGGGGACCAGGTCTTGTTGGCAATACCTTGAAGGTAGGAGATCTGGTCGCTAAGCAGGACACCGCAGCGGGCAAGGGAGATCCGATTCTGGGCATGATCATCTGCAACGACCGCCGCTGGCCGGAAGCATGGAGATGTTACGGCCTCCAGGGGGTGGAGTTGATGTTCTGTGGCTACAACACCACGGCGTTTGCGCCGCAGCTGTTGGGCTCCGACCCGAATCAGAGCCGCGAGTCTGCCGAGTCGGATGTACTTTTCCATCACGCGCTGTCATGCCAGGCCAACAGCTATCTCAACTCGTGTTTCAGCGTCAACGTGGCCAAGTGCGGACGGGAAGACGGTCACGATCTCATTTCTGGGACGATGATCGTGGGCCCCAACGGCAAAATCATTGCGGAAGCCAAAACTAAAGGTGACGAACTAGTGGCGACGACCATCGATCTCGCCGAATGCCGCCGGGGAAAGGAAAAGACGTTTGACTTCGATAGACATCGATGTATAGATCACTATGATCGCCTGGCCGAGCAAACCGGCGTGGTAGAGCCGGAACTGCTACCGGCGAAGAAAGTGCTTGGCTGACCAGAATCGGTGGAATTGACAATATACGCATGGACTGCTTCCAAGTAATGCAAAACCGGCTTCGTCTATAGAATGTTTGAATCCTGCCATTCTATGAATAGTGCGTCGATGCGTAGTAGACTGAGAGTCATCAACCCCTTCCGTCCGCCCGCTCCCTGTGCTGCGAGTCTCAACGCCCATCTCCATCTCTGGGTGAGCTTCCGAAGCTCTTCATGTTCGGTTTGCAGATTCATTTGGCTAGTTGATTCAGCATGGACTGGATCCAGTCGAGGTTGGTGATCTTGCGGGCTAGGCCACTGCTCATGCGGTTCGATCGGCGAGGTGTGTGACTGAGCAGTGATGAGAAGTAAATGCATGAGGAGCGTCGAAGCGATGGAGAAGTTGTGTCGCGACCCTGCGCAGACGTGTCAGTACCCGAGGGAACAGGTGTGGCGCGGGCAAACTCTTACAACCGTGCCAAAACGCATCCCACTGGATTGTGGTCAGGCCCTCGACGAACTCCACCAATTCTTCCAAGCATGTGATTGCTCCTCTCACAATTGCACGGGCAGCGTCCGGCTCCAGGACTGGCTTATCTGGAAGGCCTTGACCGCTTCCTCGGTGAATTGCAACCATTGAAACTGGTCTAAGGAGAGCTCGGAACACTGCGAGCTGGGCAACGACGTAGGCCAGACGTAGGGAGCTCTGCCCATCGAGGTCCTGACGTGGGACCGTGGCAGGATCACGTTTGTCGCTCTGAGCATGCGTCTGGAGCGCTGCGGGCAACGCATCGTGCCACTCCTTGAGCTGCGCTCTTATTACCTTTGCTGCGTCGATCGCTCCCTGCACGTCGTTTGCCAACCTCAAAGTTGCCTGAGCGGTAAAGAAGGAATTCATAAGTCGGTCGAGAATGGTCGTCAGCTGAACAAAGTGTAGAAAATAATTGGGTGTAGTCGCGGCATCCGTTCCTAGGTCGGCCAGATCGGCCTCGGTCAATGGCTGACAAGTACAGTCGCGGTCATGCAGGTGACTGGGCATGCCTTGGCCGAAAGCCGTCCATTTTTCACATACCCAGACAGCCCACCAGATGAGCTTACGGAGCCTTCTCTCCCACAAAGGTAGCGAGGTCCAGGACATTGGGTCATGATTCAATCCAATGGTTTGAGCCGTGGATGTCATTTGTGCGCAGAGATTCCAGTTTAGAGGCTCTTCGGCCAAAGGATCTCCTGTAGGGTGGCGTTGTAATAGTAACAGGAGAGTCTGGACCGTTTCCAGTCTCGGAGACTGGACTTCTGCTGCCAATGCTCGCAGAGAGATCTTGAGCAGGTCAGTAGAAGAGGGTAAACGGGAACCTTCCACGCATAGCTTGTCATCATAAATGCTAAAGGGAATTGCCGTAGCAGACAGGGCCGCCAGCAACGAAGGTGACACAGAGGGTTGCAGCTTTTCTTGGGTGAAGATTTGCTGTCGAGTCAGGATAGGAAAATAAGGGTAGACGAAGCGAAACCAGAGTCGTACAAGGTCAGATACGAGATTGTCACTGATGAGGGTTTTAAGTTCTGTTCTGAAGCGCTCGACTGGGCTGTCCTCAACAATGCGTGCGAGTCTCGATGAGTAGGGATCCTTATGCAGCGTAAAAACTGGTGGAGGCAATGGCAATTCTCCAGTGTTGGGTTCCGGGAGGTTTCGATCTGGCTTCATCCGTTGGTAGATGACATTGGTGTGCTGTGACTCGGATTGGTCTCGTTGGTCGTATTGTCGATACGCAAGAAGATAGAGATCGAGGTCTCCCGTTGGTCCAACGAATCGCGCAAGCTGTCTACTGACCACAGAAGGAGGCGGATCATGGTCAAGAGCTGTTTTCTCGCTGGCCAACTCGATTCTGCGAGTCCGAGCTCCGATCGGCTCTTCCTCGTTTCTCCGTCCGCTAGGTGATACGGTTTCAAAGGGAAGATCGTTTTCATCTGCATGGCTGTTGCTAGCATCCATTGCATCAGAGTTGTCGGGCAGGTTGTTGGGCAGACTTTCGAGTTCTAGAACTTCCATCAAGTCGAAATCCAGGTTCTCGAAGTCGAACGTGGCATTGTTACTGAACGCGCCATGGGTGGACTCGCTTTGATGATATCCGTTACGCATGTATCCAGCGTTTTCGGTCGAGAACTGGGCCTCAGCGGCCAATTGTCTTCGCTGCCTTGGGCCTGGAGCGTCGTTGAACGTGCATGGCCTCTGCTTCAGAACGCAAAAGTCGCATGGCGGACTATTTGTGATACGACAGGCAACCTTTCTCGCCCGGCAAAAGTCACACGGCCGGATGCGCCGAGAGCGCGGTCGCCTGACTGTTGAGTCTTCCATGAACGGAGGGGTGATATGTCTCTCTGTCGATGGTGAAGAGCTGAGAGAAGACGTCCGTCCCGCGATCGTCGGGAGCGGTCATTTCCAGGGGACGCCCAAGCGTCGGTCATCTAAAGCGGCATGGAAAAATGAATGCCCGAGTCGTGCCAAGTCGACCCTCATAAAAGCAGCCTCACATCATTGTAGATTGGGCCAGTCAAAGACAACGGGACAGCTCCATCGGCTCACTTGATGCCTGCGCCCTGCCCCAGCACAAGCTTGACGACCAGCCGCACATCCCAGTCGATGGTCATTATGACCGCGTCGGACACCTCTGAAGACGAGCTGGCTCGTGACGAAGTGACCCCGGTCAAGCGCCTGAGACCAAGTGCAGTATCATCCGTGAGCTACGGTCCTGCAACTGGAGGAGATGGTCGCGCTGCCTCCAGAGCCCCCCACGGCTATTAGCAGAGCACCATTGGCACCTCCACAGAATACCATTTCAAGTCCAGATGCAGCGGACGTCCTTCTGCGGAGGGAAGCATATCGGATTCAACTACCCACACACGGAATGGAACGGACGGATCTTCAATGGAGAGACCTTTAGACCTCTCTAGGCAATCTCAAAGCGTGCAGGGCTCGGGACGAGGTCGCCAAACACGTCCCATGGATGAAGTTACTCCAGAGCGCATGCGGAATAAAGATAAGTTGGGATGGTGCGTCGAGTACGGGGGTAAGTCTATCTTCGTGGCAGATCTGCAATGGACGAATTGCGAGAAAGATGGACGGCAGGCTCTCTACTGCGCTCGTCTCAACGTCTTCATGTATCTGTCCAATGGCAACAGACGTCGGGGAAGGCACTCAGAATTACGCGGAGACGGGAAAGCGTTGGTGTCGACTAAGGTTAGCATTTCTGCGCATCTCTGTGTCTTTGGGTCTGGTTACTTCCATTCGAGGTGAAGAAATGGCATTTGGTATATGTTTATCAGGACCTACGCCATACGGTGGGTACTGTTCGATTGGAGAAATACATGCAATTGACTATCTGTAGTTCCTATATATAACGACTCAACGCTTAGGAAGCGAAGAGAAGCTGTCCCTAGGCGATTCTGTAGGGGAGAGATTCTTATAGCTTCCCGGCGTTTGCCATTACGTGAAATAAGTATTAGGCCAAATCTATTAAGAGAGCCTTATCCTTTAGACTGATAGCCTCGTGCTGTTGGCGTGCGCTTGACGACACTCCAACTCCGGTCATACCTGCCTGCATGCGATGGCCACTGCAACGTCTGTAGCACAACCGACTCAGACCCTGACGCTTGACCCTACGATCTCCTTCTTTGGGACCTGCCCTACAGTCTGGGAAAGCCTCACCTCCGCTCAAAGGGACTCTTGCATATCAGCCACACGCCTCAAATGCCAGATCGAAGGATACTACGCATGGGCAGCCATTGGGGAGCTGGCTAGGCAACGGCTCGACAGTGGGTACCAGGAATATTCAGCCATAATTGAATACAACAAATTGCATCTAGGGCGAATTGGTCTTTATCGAGAAAAGATATCATCACATGAGCTGCGCCTGCTGTGCGAAACCGAGTCGCGTGAGAGCGCCTCTCCGTACGTCATCATCACCTCGAAGAATATTAAGAAGGCACAAGAGATGGTCGGTCGCCTCCAGAAACACCCGCGGCTTTCCAAGTTCAGATTCAGTTATATGGCGCGACAAGGGGACTTGAAAATCACGTCCGGCGAAGATACAGATACAGATAGATCGGGGAATTCATCCCCTGTTCCAGCTGCTAACGATGTTGTGCCTGCCCAGGGTGGGCCTCCATCGACGGGGCTCGCCCTCGCAGCAGCATATCAGTCCACATTATCCAGCCTATTCACCAAAGCGGATGGTTCTCTAAGAGGTCTGTGTGGTGCACGCATTGGAGTCTACAAGCGCTGGGGATCTGTCCGCGACAAGAGCAGAAATGTTGCCACGATCGGTGGTGTATTTCGAATTCGTGAGAGGTACTTTGCCCTCACAGCTGCTCACATATTCTTCGACAATGTTACAAGCTCAAGCTCATGGGCCGATAGTGGGTTATTCGTGACCACTGACAGTAGTGCCAGTGCGATACAAGAGCGTTCGCTCCCGCAGGTGTCGGACTTGTACGAGATTTTCGTGGAGAGTATTTGGCCTTCCAGCACAAAGAGTTGCAACGAAGGACAGTCCATTGGCACTTCCCTTGGATTGTTTGCGCCACAAGTCACGCGGCTCCGAAAAGCCCTCCAACCGACAAGTGCCTCTGATCTTCTGTGGGACTTTGAGATGGACTGGGCTCTCATCGAACTGAAGGATCCCTTGATGTGGGGTCCCAATGTTATAGATCTTGGTCCCGACCTCAAGCTGGATTTGGCCGCACCCGCCTTGCTTCAGGATCCTCCGACTGGCAAAGTTCTCGTTACAGCCGGAGTCTCAGGCCATGTTAACGGCATTGGCTTAGGAATTGTAGGAGGAATCATGCTGCCGTGGTTTCACAGCGAGGTGAGAGCATGGCCCATTGAGACCGACGTCGGTAAGGAATGCTCTCCACGGTTCCTTTTGATAGGATCGCTGACTTCACTATGATAAGCTGTGGGAGACCGTGGATCCGTAGTCTTGAACCCTCAAACTGGAGAGACGTACGGATTCATCGTAGCGCACGACTCTGAGACGATGATAAGCTACTTGATCCCAGCAAAAGCGATGTTCGAAAGCATTTTGCGGTACTGCGGAGCACCAGGTCTCTCTTTACAAGATGTATTCAACGTGAAACCTCAAACAGTCGACGTTTGAAAATTTCAGTGATGCAGATGCCAAAGCCAGTAATCGTGGGACAACATGAGGGCTTTCTGGCAGCGTCAGAGGCAATGAATCTATCCTCATCGAATTCAACAAAACCCTTGAGTCTTGCACCCCACATAATGTGGAGGGCAAAAGATACAGAAGGAGCAAACCCTTATTGAAGTGGATGCAGTCTGAAGCATTGTCCAATGCCTCAAACCTCGATCTCTTACTTGACCTTCTCTATTCTGACAGACTCCTGGTTCCGATCGAATCTGACACAATATCAAATGAGTCGAGGGGATCCTCTCTCGTGTTCAGCATCCTCCTTGAACTGAGACTCGGCCACCTGATTCACATTTTCCATCGGTATGGGCTAATTGGTTCGCGGCTACCGTGCTCGCTTGCCGAGCTAACAAACACTTTCATGAATCTTGGACCGTCCCGCCCCGTCATGGAGGCCCGTCGCTTCTATGAGGCTCAATGGGCATATATCCTGCTAAGACTGAAGTTCCAAAAAAATCTCTATCGCGAGCGCGAGAGAGTCATTCCGATCCATCAGAGACAGCGAGTCAACTCCAAAGGTGGCATATCATCGGTATGGGAGATTGTCGTTCTCGAAGATTTTGTAGACCCACGCCTTCGGGAAAGAGCATCCAGTGCAAGATTCATGAATGCTTCGGACAACCTTGGATATCTAAGTCCGGTTTTCATGGCCCCCTCCTGTTTTCTTCCCAATGTATAATACCTCGCAAGCTCGATACGCTTTCTCTAATGAATACATAGCGCTACCAGTTCGCGTTACAATGCTTTCCCTCGAACAGACGCGAATTTTTTGATGTCGAGCTCGCTGCCCTCCAGGCTCTAAGAGACGCCGATGGTACAATTGAATGGCTGTGTGACTACCTCCAGGAGACTGAAAGCGGCGAGTGCACGACGAACATTCTCCTCGAATATGCAGATTGCGATCTTGAAGAATATCTGCTCAGTACCGAACCACCAGTCACATCAGTCGACGTTGTAGCGTTTTGGAAACATCTTTTTCGTATTGCAGACGCCTTATCGAGGATTCATGGATTTGAAGGACAGAGAGCTGGGGTTAGGCACCGGTTCACAGGATGCGTGAGGCCACCACACCCAATTGTATGGATCTAACAACGCTCAGGTGGCACGCCGATATCAAACCTGATAATATATTGGCGGTCCGAGGAAAGTTCAAGTTGAGAGATTTAGTCTTTTCTCGATTCGAGGCAGAGAACAAGCACACCACAACGCTAGTCGGGGGAACAGTCACATACGGTAGGTCAGACCGTATTTTCTAATGCCCACAAGCTCATTTTGTCTTCGCAGGCGCCCCTGAAACGAAACCCGATGAGCGATATCGGCCTGCAGTTAGCCGAGCCGTAAACATATGGTCTTTGGGCTGTGTGTTCTCAGTTGCTGCTACTTGGGTAGTCCTGGGAGCGTCGGGAGTGCGGCGCTTCGACAAATTGCGTCAACTTGAGTGGGAGAAAGCAGCAACTCGTCGAGCTATATCCGGCGAAGGTGTCCAAGCTGGGGACGGGTGGTTGAGAGATAGCTTCCATGATGGCAAAGACGTCCTTCCTGAGGTCCTCGAGTGGCATGCATTCTTACGAAGGTCGGCAAGAAGTAGTGATACAATCACAGCCACCACTCTCGACCTTCTGGACACATCGGTTCTCCTCGGCGACCCTGGGAAGCGGCTTCAAATCAGATCTCTATGCTCAGCGCTCTACAAGATTCGGCAGACAGCCGAGAAAGCTGTTGACCAACAGCCTTGGCTAAGCGATGTACTGCAAGAAGTCCTGCATGGTAACGATTCAACATTCTCGAGCAACCTGAAAACAGCATGGGAAATCGAGCCCTTGGCGATCCCAACGGTACCGCCACCGGGGCCTTCTGTATCCGCCAAGTCAAATACAACAACCGACCAAATCTATTTTGCGGATGAGTTTTTTCAGTCTAGTCCGTGGTCGATGATGCGTCCATCGCTTCTAGCAAGTTTACCGCCTCCAACGGGGATATTCTTTCCAGAAACATGGTGGAATATACGGCCCCCAACGTTTCGACTACATCCGTGGTTGGAAAGCAGTCTAACCAACAAACCTGGGATGCTCAAGGAGCCTGGATCTGCTGCTTCCAAGGTTGCAAAGACCCGACCTCCGCGATTTCAGACCATCAATGAGGCGATACAGATTCCGCGATCAGGGTCACGCGTTATGACTCGGGTAGATAAGACCTTGAAGAGGTATATCTACGGCCGCAATATTGTAAGTGGATTGTTCATAAATTTCTGCAAGCTTGCTGGTGTATTGTTTTCAACTCCCCAGGTCCGAGCGTACTTTCCCTACATGCCAGTTTACGAGAGAAGAAGCAATCTTTGCGTCGAATAAATCACTGACTGAGGACGTAGACGTTCCTTATGGATGACTCAATGTCGATGAAGCCGTTTTTAAATAGAGCCATTACAGTTGTAACAACGCTGGGCATGAAGGTAGCCCAGATGCAGGATCCTCGGAAAACAGAGTTGCTGCTCACTTCAGATGCCGGTACAGTTCATCGCAATTGGACAGCGCGCCAACTCCAAGACTTGATGCGCAAATCGTATGCAAAACCCGTCCGAGACTTGCGCATCGACACGAGTCAGTCACTGCGCCGTGCATTCTCCAGATGCATGCAACGGATGGACACCGGACTGGAGTCTACGCCGAGTGTACTAGATGGAGTCACGTGGATTGTGCTGACCGATGGCGTTTGGGCGGATATGACAGGGGAGCAAGCTGTCGACGAACTGTTGGACGACCTTATAGCTGCTCTAGATAAGGTACCCAACAACGGCCTGCTCAGACGACCCGTTCATGTGGAATTCATCCTGTTTGGGTACGATCGTCGCGGATGGGAGCGACTCCTCCGGCTCGACTCGGAGCCGAAATACAGGGGCATCGTCGACACCGAGCCAGAGAATGGCAACATCTACAAGATGCTGTTGGGAAAATTTCTCAATGAGTGGGACCAAGCTTGCGACAAGGAGGAAGAGGCCTAGTCTCGATCACGGGGAGTCTGTGGGTACAAATTGCAGGGGAGTAGCGCACGAGGTCGCCGTAGAAATAAGGGAAGAGTCAAGATGCACCTATATGCTTCCTCTTCTACATGCAGATTTCCCACTTGGCAGACTGGTCGCTCACACGGCGGATCAGTCCTGAATGGGGGTTGAATGAAGTATCCATCGAGAAGATGTCCGGCTACTGTAAAGGTTCCCTTACTACAGAGGAGTCATCCAGGGCTTCCACTTTCTCAGACACCACCGGGATCACCGTCTCGGCAGCTTGTGGGAGATTGTCGTCAGCCGATGCTCGGACTCTCCATGAGCGCGGCGAATATATCGACAAGAGCGACGGTGAGGAGTGATTAGAGTTGCTGCACGTGAGGATTGGCACATCGTCTCCTCTAACAAACAGCCACGGCATAGCATTGCCGCCGCAAGACACAGAACCGAACCGAGTCTCCTTCGTTCTCCAACCGCGACGTTCCTCCCACCAACAAATGAAGAACGGCAGAACCTCCGCAACTTCTCCAACACCACCACCACCATCACCGGTAAGTCGGCAATTCGGCAGAGCTACACGAGGTGAACATGGGCCTTTTATCTGTGATCCTTCGCCTTCGACAGTCCTCGGGTCTATCCTTGAGATTGCTTGGCTTTCAGTGCAGGAATCGACACGAGGAACATCATGGGATCTATTGGCGAAACCACCACGAGCCCCCCGCCGGTCCCCGTCACGGGGAAGCAAGATGAAAGCCACGACGATACCGCCTCGTGGACCGCGGAAGTTGCGAATGGGCACTCTCATGGTCGCGAATCAATCACGATCCCGATGCATAATGTGCCGGCCTTCACGCCCAGCAAGAAACTTCGCGTCGTGACCATTGGTGCGGGCTACTCGGGCATGATCTTTGCGCACAAGCTACAGTATACCTACGCCAAAGAGTTTGCCACGCTCGTTGAGCACACCATCTTCGAGAGCAAGTCCAACGCCGGCGGCACCTGGATCGCAAACAGCTACCCGGGCGTGCAGTGTGACGTGCCGAGCCATATCTACGTCTTCCCCTTCGCCCCGAATCCCGAGTGGTCGCATTTCTACTCGACGGGCCCCGAGATCAAGGAGTACTTCCAGAAGACCGTCGAGGAGTGGAAGCTAGACCGGGACGTCCAGTTCAACACCACCGTCGAGCACGCCGAATGGAACGAGGACAAGGCGCAATGGAAGCTCGAGGTGAGGCACAAGGACACGGGTCACCGGACCGAATGGGCCGACGTATTGATCTCCGCCAGAGGTATTCTCAGTCATTGGAAGTGGCCGAACATCGCAGGGCTGCACACCTTCAAGGGCCTCAAGGTCCATAGCGCCGGCTGGAACCATGAATATGATTACCGCAACAAAAGAATTGGCCTGATCGGCAACGGAAGCAGTGCCATCCAGATTCTGCCCGAAATGGCCAAGCTGGAGGGCACCAAAGTGACGTGCTTCCAGCGATCTCCCACCTGGGTGGTCTCTCGACACACTCCCGCGAAGCTCGTCGGCAGCGACGACCCCAGCTACAACCCGGTCTACCGCGAGGTGGACAAGGAGCGGTTCCGCGACCCGGACGAGCTCAAGAAATACCGCAAGCTCATCATCGGGAACGTCAACCGCGGGTTCCGCATCTTCGGGAAGGGCTCGAAGCAGCAGGAGGAGATCAAGGCCTTTGCCACCAAGCAGATGGCCGACAAGCTCAACAACGACCCTCGGCTGTGCAAGATGCTCATCCCGGACTTTGAGGTCGGGTGCCGCAGGATCACCCCGGGCGCCGGCTATCTCGAGTCCTTCACGAGGGACAACGTATACCTGACACAGAGCCACATCGACTACATCGATGAAGGCGGGATCAAGACCAAGGACGGCCAATACTACGAGCTGGACGTGGTCATCTGCGCGACGGGTTTCGACGTGTCCAACCGCCCGCCGTTCCCCATCGTTGGGCGCAACGGAATCGAGCTGGGAGAGAAGTGGAAAGACGAGCCTGAATCATATCTGGTAAGCCTGGAAAGGGGGGGGTGGCGTTTTCTACAAGAGAGCTCGAAACAGGGAAACCACCCTCCAAACCCTTTCCTTCTCCCGTATCAATATGGACGGAACGTCTGGTCCTCTAACTGTTTGTTGATAACATAGTCGATGGCCTGTCCCGAAATGCCCAACTATTTCATGTTCATGGGCCCCAACGCCACGATCGGCCACGGGTCGCTCATCTACAGCCTGGACTGGACGGCCGAGTGGATGATCCAGTGGCTGCGCAAGATGGCCCGGGAGGACATTGGGTCGATCGCGCCCCAGCAGCAGGTCGTGGACGAGCTGGTCCGCTACGGGGACGAGATCATGAAGACGCTGACCTGGACGGGGAACTGTGAGTGTGGCTTGTTGCCCGTCCCCCGCCTCCCCCCTGTTGTTTCTTTTCTCTCCTTTGTGTCCTTCTCCCGCGCTCTGCCTCTTGTCTCCTGTTGATTCTCCCCCCCCCCCCCTTTCTTCTCCTCATTCCCTCCTCCTTCTGATCCCTTTGACTTCGCCTACCTGATCCGCACCGCGTGGCTATGTACCCACGTTCTAACACGCCACCGACAGGTCGCTCGTGGTACAAGAACAACCGGATCGACGGGCGCGTGACGGCCACGTTCGCCGGCAGCGCGATGCTCTTCCACGACATGGTCGAGCGCATCCGGCCCGAGGACTTCGACATCCGCTACCGCGCGCCCAACAGGTTCCGCTTCATGGGCAACGGCTTCACCCGCTACGAGCTCGAGGACGGCGCCGATCTGTCCTGGTACGTGGAGAAGTAGCGTCGCTCCCAGCGTGGGCGGGTCGCGTAGCGTTGGCTTTGACACATATACAATCTATATATATACACTACAATACTATGCTATACCTCCTCTTCTATACTTGCTCTGGTCTGCTCTACTTGCTCTCCAACATTATAGTAGATCACGTCCTACCTCTAGCATTGGATTCTAACATCCACTACACGATGCGCGTGTCTCGGTGAGTGAATTTCGACGGTCGAGGAATCTTGTACGGTCCTCCAGCCAACATTCACACTCGCACCCACACTTGCCGGGGACCTTGTACCACTTTTCTCCCGTCCCTGTCACTGTCACCGTCTGTGTCTCTGCCACTGCCACTGCCACTGTCACCGGCACTGTCACCGGCACTGTCACTGGAGTGGCAACCCGCATATTTCCATGCTGGTAGTATGACGGAATCTGTGGAACCAACTGTTTGTATTCTTACTCGCAATTGCGATCTAAGTAGGTAGGTAGTCAAGTGGTTATGTCGATTGGTCCTATTCGCCTGATGTGTGAGAGCATCCACTGCGCGTCGCAATGGCACGGCGGTCTTGCCACTCCCATGACCAAGCAGCCCTAAAGGTGACCACAGGATTTCACGTTACATAGCATCGTAGCCCCCCTAGAGACTCATGACATGCGATGTCCAAACCAACAGGGCGCGGGAGAACTTCTTCCGTACGGCTGATTCCACGAGGCACCAAGCTCGATTTCAGCCGCCACGGCAGACTGCTGTCGGCTGGCTATCCGTGTCGGAGATCCCTCGCCTGTTGTATTGCGAAAGTTGCGACTGCAATCTCCAAGGCCTGTTGCTTGAGCGAAGCTCAACTCGGATTTGCGAAAGGAGGAGGCATCGACGAAAGCATGTTAAAAGCTCTCTGCTAGGTCAGATATTCATTCAGACCTCATATCTTTGCACCTACCATGCTCCACCGGCCCATTGCATCGTCTTCCGACCACCGTCCCTATCGATCTCGGTGCAACATCGTAGATCATTGAGCATATGTTGCCCCCCAGGGAGACTCTCACTTTGCCAGCCGTTGACTCGGTTTCAACACTCCCCGATCACCACCGCCTCCTTTTCGCCACAGCCAGAGCGCCTCGACTGCAAGCGCTTTGGCACTGGCATGTCCCGATTGACGGTTGGCCTCATTCATCATGGCCTCTACCGGCCTCTCTTTTTCAATAACGGACCATAGTGCTTCCTGGAGTTCGCTGCCTCTGGCGCCAAAATCCCCTCTTCCCAGCCTGTACAAAATCCTACCTAGCGTTTGATAAGCCATGCATCGCTGATTAGGCAAGGTAGACCGGGCAAGCATCGCAAGTTCTGGTATCGTATACCCGGCGCTACTAGGTGCATCACCGTGATGGTGTAGCCCTTCTTTCACGTCGACCTCCAAGCTTTCCTTTGGCGGTATTAGACGGCCATTGAATCCGAATCGGAGGGCAGAAGCCAGAAATGATTCGTTTTCAGGGTTATACAACGATGCTTGGTCCTCCTCTTCGGTCGGATCTTGTAGCCAGCTCAATGAGGAAGGGTCGTGGGGAGTATCTGGGAAGTAATGTGTCTTGAGGTCGGCAAGGAAGGAGGCGCCGTCAGAGTTCAGGGGTATGTAGTCATCTGCTGAGCGAGGAGGAACGGGAAAATGCGTCGAGGGAGGTGGCGGGGCGTCATCGGCTGATTTCTCAGGCTCTGCAGTATCTTCGTCTATCGCCCTTCCAGCCACTGCGCCCTTCTCGAGCCCGGGACTGTTATCCATCTCTTGCATGTCGGCCTCAGGCCAAACCTTTTGGCCAGCCTGATCTTCCTCGATATTAGCACGTTTGAGCAAGCGTTCTAGGAAAGCAGGATTGAGATTCCGTGTTAGCTCGGCTCGAGCCTCCTCGATGTCCTCTATTGACATTTCGGCTATCCGCCTCTTGTTTTCCTCACTGATGTCAGCCTTCTGCTGCTGGTCCATGTCCAGCCCATACTTCTTGCCCACATGGTGTCTAATTGCTTGGTCTGAAGGCTCGACTGTGGGAGGGATCGAGGGACGGGAGGGCGGTTTCCCAGTCTGATGTCTTTGTTTGAAAGCAGACACGTTGCGGCGTGGTTTGTGCTCTGGGAAGCCCGCCTTGGAGGGTTTCAGCGAGGGGGCAGAAGGAACAGCGTCCGAGTCATGTTCTTGGATCTCCTTGATGCTGAAGCCCGCAGACGGGGGTTGGGATGTCGCTTCGTCGATCGGCCTGATTGCGAAGTCATCGGCGTCGAGATCTAATTCGAACCGTTGACCCGGTATGGCCATGTTGCTGCCGCTAGTGCTCAGAGAAAGTTGTCGCAGCCGCAGCTGTGCAGTTGTCTCGGGCGTGCTGGGTGTTAGTTAGTGCCAGAAAAGCCGATCACGCCAGATGCGGACTAGTCGAGGCTTTGCGGTGAACTTGACGGTCAGACCAATGGGGATCCTTTCCAGTGTGCTGAATATGTGATGCAGTCCTGTGGAGTGTGCGGTATGCGGTGTGCTACCCTCGTGTTTTCAAGGCGCAGAGCCCCTGCGCACTTTCTGGCGGTGACTCGTGATATGATGCAAGGTTCACCGACCAGCTGCAGTCCACCTTCGTATCATTGGGCAGAAGTCTCCATGGGAGGAGGGGAACAACGATATATCAGATCATGCGTGCGGAGTGAAATAGCCGAACTTGGCGCAAGCCACTAGCTACAAACTCTGTCGCAGGGGGTCTAGGATCTGGCAGCCACCCGGTGGGTCTAACTGGTGGTATCCGATCTTGGGGGGATTCTCGGTCCCTAATTTCTATCTATGAACACGAAGGCCATGCAGTGGGGAGCACGAGTGATGGATGAGGTGATGATCCAAGAGGGCGAGGTGGTCATACTTTCTGTAATTATGGCACTGGGGAAGCACTCGTTATCGTCATCGTCATCGTCATCGTCCTCGTCTCCGGCACGACCGAGTGTTTTGGGGGGAGGAAACATGCAATCAATCCATGAAACCGAAAAGGAGAGCAACTGAGGCGGACTCCGGTTTTGGCACTAACAGCGACACCACCAGCGCTGACAGCGCCGACAGCCCTGAACAGCCCTGGAACAGCCCAATAAACCGGCCGTCATGACACGCTGCCTGACCGGCTGCAATTCTCCCTTGCCTCCTCCTCCCGCCCTTGCGCCTTGCCTTGACCTTGGTTGTCTTTCGCCTGTCATTTGGACCCCAATCACTCACTATTTTGCTGAAGCTTGTCGCTTTTGCTTGCTTGCTACTTGGTTGCTTGCTTGCGTTATCCAGGAACCGGGACCCAACCTCTCTCCACCATCTGTGACCGAACCTACCTAGTCGAAGATCTTCCATCGCCCTTGACTTGTCACGACTGCTATTTTCCCCCATTATTGCCCTTTTGCTGTCTGGCTCTGGCGTCCCTCTTCTGGTCTTTGCGCAGGTCTGGTCTGGTCTGGTCTGGTCGTCCTCTTGCGCGCCTCACCAGACCAATTCACTCACCCCGTTTCCCGTTTCCCTCGCTTTCCGCATGTGCTGCTTCTCGCTTTGTTGCTTCTGCCTCTCTGCTACTCCCCTCCCTTTCTCCCTCCCTGCATCCCTCTGTCTTCCCTTCCGCCTCGTGTTAGCACAGTCTAGTCCCTCCCGTCTAGTCGCCCCCCCCGGTTTTGTCTTCCTGATGCACCTGGGTGATTTTACGTTTTTGCTATCCACTCTTCCCATCCCATCCTGTCGCAGCTGTGGCCTGGGTTTTTGTTGCCTTCCATTCATCTTGCGACCCATCATCATCCCCCCTCTCCCTCCCATCGTTCTACCCTGTGTCAAGAAGCCCTGTAAGCTATTGTTCTTGGGGGCTCATACATATATCTCCCGATCTTCCCACTTCTGAGCCTTCTCCCTCCTCGACCTTTTCCTCTCCTTCTTTACCTTCCTGCACGTTACTCCCGAGTGGTTTTTGGCGCAGGGCATGCTCCATTACGATTTCTCTAATTTTGATGTTCCCCAGTCTACTCCATCCGCCCCTTCACCGCTGTAAATCCTCGCCGCTAGGCGCCCTTCACCACACATTTCCCATTCCAGTCGGTGTTTTCAACAACCTTTGAGGTCGTGCAGCCAATTTCACATATCCGTCACCATTCCCACAACTCCGTACTTCCAACGTCGCTTTGTATAGCATCCTAGTCGTCAACCCCAATTATTCACCCTTTTGCCGATCACCATCAGCAGTTCCATCAATCCATCAATCCATCAATTGTGACTTCGCGTCATCGACACCGTCGCGTCTTCCGATCGCACTCTACCTGCACACGGACTTCCAACACCTCAATCTTCTCTTGATGGCTGCGGTGTAAGCCTACGTTTTCGACCGTGCACTCAGTTGTGGCCGCGGAAAGAGCTTAAGATGGAAATGCATGATACCAGAAGTTCGTCCAACGACTTGTCCAGCGCGCCGCCGAGTGATGCTGAGAGCACTCCCGGACCTCCCAATCATCACCCTGTGCATCGCGACTTTGGCCTAGCAGGCAATCTTGGTGTTGCAAACAGTTTCGGCGCGCGACAAACCCAAGCGAGTCCCGGTGCAGGTGTCAGTGCATCACCAGCCACAGCTGCAGGCGTGCGCCAAGACAACGGCGCAGCTGCGCCGCCTGTCAGGAGACCCCGAAAGAAGCGCGATCCCAACACGCCCGAAGAGAAGAAACCACGAGTTCCTCGTAAGCCGCGAGGCACAGCCCTCACTACCACAGGTGTTCGCAAAAAGACCAAAATAGAGCCGCCAGACCCAGGCAGCACGATCCTGATGCCTCGGCTTCAAAGCGCAGATTTGCAGTCATCCACTCTGGTTCAGCCAGTTTTGTTCTCCCCTCCAGGAGCCACCGAGAGCCGCCGAGATGAAGCCGCCAAGTTTACCGGATCTGGCCTCACGATGCACAACCCACCGATGCCCGCCCGAACACCCCCCCAGCGGATCTACGAATACAAACCACGTGAATATGACAGCAAACCACGCGCCCCGCCGCCGCCGCCGCCGACCCCTCCTCTTCCTCCTCAATCCTCCCCTGCTCGCTCAACTAGCATGTATGATCCCATCAGATCTGTCCAGCGACCGGTTGACACAAATCCGCCTGCTCCACCGTCCATCCGACCCACCGTCACGCCTCCAAGAAGGGCCGACAACCCAAGTACATCTCCCACCATCTCCAGCATCATCGACCACCCTCCGCGACCCGACATCTCAACTGCTACAACCGTGGTGACGCATCAGGTGAAGACGGAACCTCCTCACGGCCAGGCCGATGGCAGGGTGGTCGATTCACCAGGAGTCAATGGCAATTCGTCAGCAATGGATGTTGACCACGTCGTTCCAGACCAAGTGCAGTCCAAAAAGCCCGCCTCTTCACGCAAAGTGCCCTCGGAAGCATCCACTCGTCCCACCTCCCCGAAGCCTGCGCGGTCAAAGGAGCAGCCGCCTCCGCCACCAATGGGTTCTGGACTTTTGTCGGCCAGTCTGTTTGGCGGTGATTCGAGTAACGATATGCCAAAGGACTCGGAAAAGGGTCCCAACATTGTCCTGCATGTCGACTTGAAAGATCCCGGTAATCGAGTCATCAACTTTGCTCGTATGGCCGAGGAAAAGTACGGGTTCGCAGCCTTGTACCCTCGTCAAGCCGCCCAAAAAGAACGACTGGCCAAGATTGCCGCTGCTGGGGCTGCGCTCGAACGGTCAGCATCGGGCAGCAAGTTTGGAGGCACGTCAGCCGGAGACAGTGGTGATGAAGATCTCAGCGTTGACATTGAGCGTGATTCTGACAACGACGGAGACGTCGCAATGTCTGGAGTCAACGGCGGACAAGAACCAGCGAACAGCGGGACCGACGGGCCAGGGCCGAAACGTCGACGGCGAAGAAAGGTAGAGGAGTACGATCAAGACGATCCCTTCGTAGACGACAGCGAATTACTCTGGGAAGCGCAAGCAGCGGCTAGCAAGGATGGATTCTTTGTCTATTGTGGGCCGCTTGTACCCGAGGGAGAAAAACCAGCTGTCGAGAGGTATGTATTCCTGTGCCAAATCTGAGCCCTGGTACACTTACTGACGTTGATGTAGGGCGGATGGCACGATCAAGCGGGGTCGTGGCCGAGGCCGCGGCGGTGGTCCTGGTTCTCGCGGCGGAAGAACAGCTGCTGGCGCTTCTGAAAGAGGCTCTGGGAGGGGTGGAGGGCCTGGGTCCCGGGGAGGAGGCATCACACGAAAACCTCGAATTACAAAGGACGACCGAGCGCAGATGGAGAGGGAGAAGCTTCAGCGAGAGAAGATGGCGCCGCTGGTGGCCAAGCCAACGGCATATCCTGGTTAACCAGCTGGACTACAGCACTGTCATATCGGTTACGGCCGCTATTCAAGGGCGGAGGTGCTGGGGATTCGACATTCAGCGATTGGACGTGTCATGAAATAGATATCGACTGTGCAAGGGGCGGGAAGAGGTCCAAAGGATGGGCCTCACCAGTTCACGGGTCGGAAAAGTGCCGAGATGTTCTGCTCTTGTAATCCCGAGTTGTGTATTTTAGTATTCTCCCCATGCGCGGTGAAGGATGTTCACGCACAACGAACCACACCATGTCCGAATACAAAGACCATGGCTCCCGAAAAAGGGGCTTACCTTTTGCTTTGGGTTTGTTTCTTTTCCTTTTCGAACATTATACTCGGAATCCTGCCACCACCCTGCGATGGCTTGCAGCGTGGTGGTGTGAACTTAGTGCTGGACCGTGTGGCACAAAGGCGTCATAGCGCATCTCTGACGGCCAGGGTCACTCGAGGGTCAGCAGGGCACACAGGGGAGGCCATGGAAAAGCGCAAATTCCCATGGCCGAAACGCTAAAGTGAGACTGACCATCCCGAACAGCAGCGCCGGTCAAGAACAAGATTTTGATCAACCTGTTCCCAAAGAGTGATATGATCAACAGCATTGATAGTCCAGCACCAGCCAGGTGGCGCCCAGCGATCCCCAATCCCAGAAGCCAACACACCTGCCGAAAGGGCTTGCTGTTTTGGTTTCCCATGCCGACCTTGCCGATCCTCATGGTGCCAGGCCTGAAATGGGCACGATGCAGCCCTCCAACGGACTCCCTACAAGTAGGGGGCGGCCACGGCCAGCGAAAGGGCGACCCAGTCACCGCCCATTCAACGCCCCCCAATTAACGGGCGACCCAGCCAAATCCCCCCCCCAAGTTGCTCTCTGCACTAAACATCCATCCCGGCAATCTCCCAAAGCTCGCCTCGTCCACTAATCAGACGGGCGCGGCGACAGCGGTTAAGAGCTGCGATGCAGATTTCACCATCGCCAGGTGTGGCTTCTGGGTCCCCACCCGTGCATGGATTCCCGTCAAATTTCTGGTTGCGCCCATGAGGCCCGTGTCCGCCGTGGTGGATGGTTCGTCGGGGGTGGATTCTTTCAGTAGTAGTGGCTCTCTACCTACGAGCTACTACCGCAATCCGCCGAATAATGCAGTGGCCAACTCCTCTTTCCTTTCCTCTTCCAAGGCTCAAGTCCTTCCTCGCACCTGATCCCTCGCTTGCGTCTGCGGCTGGTGACTGGTGACTGGTGACTAGTGACTGGCGACTGGCCACCCGCCCTACAGCACCTCCTCCCGACTGGTCTTTGCTGAGGCGTGCGTGCGTGCGTGCTGCTGCTGCTGCTGCTGCTGCCCGCGCTCCGTCTATCCCATCTAAGTAATTGTCCCAAGACCCAACAACCCACGACCTTGCTGTGAGCATTAGAGAACGTCGACACTTTCTCATCTTCCATCTCTTCACTATCTGGCTCCTCAACCCACCTCCTCTCCCCTCTTGTCATCGCAGTCTGGATCCGACAGCTTCGCGGCAAGCATGTTGTGCAAGCCGCCACCCACACTGCTGCCGTTTTACCTTGCCTTCCTAGGCTAACCGTGCTTCGCCTCTCCACCGGACATATCGACAACCTACCGTTTCCCCTCCATCCAAACGCACTCACTGTGGTAATTCCAGGCCCATTGGAGCAGGGCGTAAAAGAGGAGGAGAGATTTCATCATGGAAGGGTTCTCGAGCTTCTTCGGCCAGCCTTATCCGGGGTCGGATCCACAAGAGACCTTGGACGGCTACACGCAGGATGAAAGGATGAGCGGCATCGATCCCACTGGCATGGAAGCTTCAGCCATGGGCCAGGCGCAGACTCTTCAGCAGATCATCATTCAAAACAACGATGAATTGATGCGCAGAAGAAACACGTTCCAGTCCCAGTACCGAGAAGGCTCGCACGATCATGGTCGCAGAGCCTCGATGCTCGAGTTTTCTTCCGCCATCGACAGTGACTTGGCCAATTTCCAATTCGATCCGAATCCTAACGAACCCAGTCTGGCTATGGGCCCGTCCAATATCATGTCAATACCGAAATCCCTTGATCCACGAAGAGTCCGTTCAAGGGAGGACTTGTCCCTCAACACCCGTTTCTCTCAAATGAATGCCAGCTTTGAAAATATGCAGCCCGTCAACAACTTCTCTCCGGGAGTCGTGCCGAGCACGTCCGTCCCAGTCGAGCCATCTACCGCTTACCTCCCCCCGAGCATGGATATGGCAATGGATTTTGAGACCCTAGCGGCCAGCGCAAGCGCTCCAAACATGCAATCGGGACCAATGCAAGAGGCTATCTTCTCGGCCTCGCCAATCGAACAAGCTTTCTCAATCCCTTATCAACCCGTCAACCATGACCCAGGCGGCGGCTCGATGAGTCCGCCTGGTCCCAATCCAATGGCAGCAATGGCCCAGGGCATGTCCTCCATACACGAGCCTTTCCCGGGACCTTCTCAGCAACTCCGAAGGCAGACCCCCGTTGCCCCCCTTGCACCAGGCTCTCTATCCACAATGACCTCTCCAATACATATACAGGATTCTCCAAACAGAAGACGCTCTGTAGATTTTCATTCAGCATTTTCCGTGAAAGGTACCGTAACAATATTAGGGGCATCTTACAGCCGCACACTGACGTGATCCAATAGATGTTAATGCCACCCTGAGGGCTATGAACCCTCCTTCTCTGCCCCATATGCCGCCTGTACAAGGTGGGCCAATGCAACATCCCAAGTACGCCAATGCATATTCTTCCAGCGGGTTCGATATGCTAGGGGTTCTGGTGAGCAATTGCTCCAACTGTGCTCCCAAATTTCGTTAATGCTTCCCACAGATGCGAGTTGCGACAAGACCACGACCCGAGATCAACATTGGTCCCGTTGACTTATCCTGCGCCTTTGTAGTTTGCGACATCGAGAAGTTTGACCTGCCGATCGTTTATTGTTCGGAGATGTTTGAGCGGCTGACAGGATATACGAGACATGAAGTCCTCGGTCGAAATTGCCGCTTCCTCCAGGCGCCCGACGGAAGAGTGCAGTCAGGAATGAAGCGAAAGTACGTCGACGACAACTCGGTCCTCTATCTCAAGAACCAAATCACCAAAAGGCAGGAAGCACAATTGAGTCTGATTAATTATCGAAAAGGCGGTCAACCGTTCATGAACCTCCTCACCATGATCCCGATCCAGTTTGACTCCGAAGACTACAAGTTTTATGTTGGCTTCCAGGTCGACCTTGTCGAGCAGCCAAGCTCTGTTTCCGGGAAGAATCCAGGTACGGCACTGTGCCCCAAGGCTAGCAAACAATCAAGGCAAAGCATTACTAACTACGCCAACAGATGGTACTTATGAGATCAACTACAACCGAAGCTCGCTGCCGGCTTACCATCTTCCTACTCCCCCCGATCCCACTCAAGCACTGCAAGACATAGGCCAGACTGTCTCTCCGGACGAGGTGTCCAGGCTCTTGACCACTCTCGAGCGTGGCGACTTCGAAGTGTCAAAACGTGTCTGGGACAAGGTCCTACTGGAAAACAACGACGATGTTGTGCATGTCCTCTCCCTAAAGGGACTATTCCTCTACGTATCTCCCGCAAGCCGAAGAGTCCTAGAGTACGACCCCAGTGAACTTGTTGGCGTAGGCTTATCCTCGATCTGCCACCCCAGTGACATTGTGCCCGTTACCAGAGAGTTGAAGGACACGCCGGCTGGAGAGCCAGTGAGCGTGGTCTACCGGATTCGCAGGAAATTCAGCGGATACACCTGGTTCGAGGCGCACGGCACTCTTTACATTGAGCAGGGCAAGGGCAGGAAATTCATCATCCTTGCGGGACGAGAACGACCAGTCTATGCCCTGGATCGGACCGAGCTCGCGACGGATGGCACTTTTGGCGAGAGTGAGCTGTGGTCCAAGATCTCGACGTCCGGAATGTTCTTGCATGTGTCTTCTGCCTCTCGAGCCATGCTCGACCGACTCCCCGAGGATCTTGTCGGGACAAGTTTGCAGGCTTTGATGAGACCCGACTCCAAAAGGGAATTCCGCCGTTTGCTTGAAGTCGCACGAACAGGCGAGAAAGTGACGTTCAGGCATGACCTTCAGAATCGGAGAGGCCAGGTCCTTCACGCACAAACGACAATCCATCCCGGTGACGCTCGGCTTGGCTCCAAGCCTACCTTCCTGCTTGCACAGACCCGCCTACTCAAGATGACGCGTGCTGCACTCTTAAATCAGCAGAAGACGGCGTCGGCAACATCATCAGCGAGAACTGACCGAGCATCTGCAGGGTCTGGAACCACGACATCACGTCCGCCAGGCCGATTGTCGAGCAATGCCCCGGACGGGTCTACCAGGAACCTTACAGAACATCCCGGCTCTCTGCAGCCAGGGGGTAATCTCGCCCTGAGTTTAGGCAACCAAGATGAGGCGCTGGCCTCGGAAGACAACATCTTCGACGAGCTGAAAACAACTCGAAGCTCCAGTTGGCAGTTTGAACTTAGACAGATGGAGCGTCAAAATCGGCTGTTGAATGAGGAGCTACAAGCATTAATCAGTCGCAAAAAGAAACGCAAGAGGAGAAAGGGACTTGGCCAGGTTGAAAAAGATTGTGCCAACTGCCACACTCGAAACACACCGGAATGGAGGCGAGGCCCAAGTGGCAACCGTGATCTGTGTAACAGCTGTGGTCTGCGGTGGGCCAAACAGGTACGTGACTTCTAACCCCACTGCGTAATGGCGTAGTCAGACAGGCGGATGCAGCTAACATACTCTGTGAATGCAGAACGGACGAGTAACGCCGCGCAAGCCTTCAAATCAGAGTGACAAAAGCTCAAAATCCCCGGCCCAAATCAGAGCAGCCAACAAGACCGAGACCAAGAATGGCGAAATGTCTGAGACAATTAATAGTGGCTCGGCCCAGTTGGTAGGGACAGTATCGGGAACAATCAGCCAGAAAGAGAATACGGATGATTGGAGAGGTCAGATGCCATCAAAGATCGAGGAAGGCGAAGAACCTCCATATCCAAGTATTCTACCGACATGATGGTGAATTCCTAGGAACCGGAGATCCATTTGGACCTGCCCCTATCTCCATCCCTGAAGGGAGGCCGCCGGAATAGTCGAATCTACGGCTGAGATTCGTATCCCGGCGCAATTACGGAAAAGCGACGTTGACCCCTGCGCCATCGCAACCCGGGCCTTTCGCCGAGTTGTGGCCACATCAAGGTCCCCAATCTGTTATTCACCCACGGAATTTCGCTCCTCGGAGAACGCAATTCCCGTGGACCAGAGAGCGCTCATAGGAAAGGCTACGATCTGGTCCGTCTGGTACACGGTCTCGACTATGTTCACCAAGCTGGGCAGCCAAGACTTAACGCCTTCTGAGATGCCACCATCTAAATGCTACGAAGGATACCAAAACACGTCTATGTCACCGTCGGTGGGGAAATCTCGTCACTATCACGCCCCCTTCACATGAAGGAGGAACACTTGCACTGAATGAGATGTTACGACCATGAGTTGGGCTCGGACAGCTACGAAGTTCATGATGCTAAGACTTGGGTGTTGGGCGCTGGGCGTTGTAATATGGTATGGCTTCGCTCGCCTTACTTTTGGATTCGAGAAAGCATGGCTTCCCGGAACGGGCACAAGGCCAGGCTCTGGCAGGGATCGACAGCGGCGGGTTTGACCTTTACAGCGAACTCAAAACGCATTGCCAGGTGTATCACATCGGAGTCCGTTGAGCAAGAAAACAAAAAGAGGACCGACGTTAATGTGACGGGCGATCCGGATTGCAATGCGGCGGCCCTAAATCGACCTGGCAAGCGGTTCATCGAGAGCAACGAGGCACGACAAACTCTTTCATTGTTTCTTCTTGTAATGCATGATACGATACACGACGTACGCTATGCTGATATGCTGCTATGCTGCCATGCTGCCATGTTACCTATGTATGAATCATATATCACCCCGCCATCCCTTGTCGTCGAGGCGAAAGGGCCAGCTAGGGACGAATTTTTAATTGTTGACCTGAGCGATAGACATAGAAAAGGCCACATTTCAAAAACAGCAAACCCAATTCCTAATCTATGTTCAATGCCGTGCCATGTCACGTCTTATCATTACATAGAGGCGAGGAATGATCACTACTTCCGTTGTTGGCGAGTCGTCTCTGCCTGCCCCTGGCTGCGCACGTGTAGGGAGGGTGATGCATGTCCGTATGTAGGGAGTATGAAGCTCATAATCCCACGACCATGTACAGGCCCAGGGTTCAGAAGGGGAGGCTGGATACGAGATCCAGCATGATACAGAAGAGCAGAACTCAGGCACGCTTAATTTGGTTCAAACGTGGTTTTCGGCGTCGAGGGCGAGATGATAGGCCAAGGACAGGTACGACGAGGGGAGAACAAAGGAGAGGAAGTTAGAGGTAAGAAATAAAGTGTCACAGAAAAGATAAAACTGCAATGCCGACATAATGAATGACGAGATGAAATATGGAGGAGAAAAAAAAACACTGGGCTTGTTCGCCCTGGCGATTCTTACCATCTCCTATACTCGATGCCAGATCGGCTGGTGCGACAGATTGTCCTTGCTGCTTGGCCCCGGTGGTTTGGGATCCGAGTCCAAAACCCAGAAGGAATCCCGGCGGCGCAGCTGCACTTGTTCCTCCGAGGCCTGGGTGACGATCGAGCTGACCTTGTTCGAATCGGGACTGGGGATGGCGTTTGAAAACGAGAATGTCGTATCAGGCCGGGCCAGTCCTCCCGGAGTACTGTGGGCTTGTTGTAGCTCGACTGGTGCTGTGTAGCGAAAGAGCAGAGGAAGGGTCGACTCCTTCCAGACCGCCATGTGGTTGCGGTGCGTGGAGAACATGGTCAGGAACAGCCCCGCCAGCCCGAGCACGACGAGGGCCAAGGGATAGCTGATCCATTCCCAGCGCACTACAATCACCGCCTCGCTGTGAAGAGTTGTGCCGGTGGCCACGGTGTCTTGCAGCTGCTGGAAACGACCCGTCAGTGCCCGCCCGACACTGTTCACGACGTCGCTGAAATTTCCGTTGCCGTCGATTGCCTGCTGACCTGCGGAGCTCCATGGCCCGGAGACTTGGTCGAAGCTAGTCGAGGAGAAATTGAAGATGTCTCCTTGCTCGGCAGGGTCTGAGTACCAGTATCCGCCGTAACTGTAAGTGGTATTTCCTTCGAGCGCCATCCGGAGGGCTTGGATGAGCAAGTACGCTCGACCTTGAGAATCGTCATTGCCTGCATCATAGGCAAAATAAGTCGTGCCATTCACATCTGCATTCCAACCTGTCAGAATGCGACCATCGGGTTGATTCTGGCTAATGATGATGGTGCCGTAGTCTGTGGCTGTCGGGTGGGAGATGGTCGAGCCGGAGCGAACGACGGTGTCCATGGTCCGCACACAGGGTGTAAAGGCGCATTCCGTGGCGGCTTGCACTACCAGTTGGTCGAAAGAGGAGGTGGTGTTGATATCGAGATAACCCATCGCGAACAGAGGAGAGGAGATACCAGCATATGATTTGTTGTCCCAGCTTTTACCCCAGTGGCTGTCCGGGGCAGGGTCGATATTCAAGGGCCATACCACCCGGCGAGGGTAGGTTACAAACCACTCTACGGCACTCGGCAATGACAAATCAAGATTCACGGAGACGTTGACCGGATTGCCGTGTGGGAAAGAATAGGTTGGTGTCCAGGTGGTGGAGGACGACGTCTGATTGCTTTGAGAGAGCTTCTCAAAGTGGGAGGTCAAGTTGATGTTGTAGACGTCTCCTCCGAGTTTGACCTTGTCGGTCATGTCGGTGCACATGGTGCACATTGCAAGGGTGTTGTACGCCGGCCATGTGCAATTTCCACTTGGGCAAATGGGATTCGGGATTGCACCTGCTGCCCCCCCAAATGCTCCGATCAAAGCGTTAAGTGACAGGCCTGAACCACCCAGGTTTCCACTGACTGATTCATTGTATGAAGTTGGAGTACGAATCGACGCAGGTTGCGAGGGGACAGCGCTGTCGCGGACTACGGTGTTCAAAACCTGCTGAAGAAAAGGCTCGAACCCGAGAGCCAGGACGGTGACCAAGGCGGCGACTAGTGCTCGAAGACTACCGCGGCGACTCAGGATGAGGAGGATTGAACCGTAAGGGCCGCGGCTGGCCTCTTCGAAGGCGTCGACAGTATTGAGCGGTCGGGGTTTTCCAATAAACCACAGCCACTTCTCCTGACGTATGGCAGATGCCAATACTGCTAGCAGGGCGGCCTTTGCGAAGCCTGCAAGAAGGGAAACGATTGCGTTAATCTGAGAAGTGGCATTAGAAGGGTCGCACATATGACGGACGCTCAACACGCAGAACTCACTGTCAATCCATCTGGTAGATCTGGAACAGGACGATTGTCGTATACAAATAGAATGGCTGCAATGGCTGCGAGGATGCAGATACATAGCAGGGCTGCTGACAGCTCCCATAACCAGTTGTCCAAGCTCATCCGGGTCCACCATGACAGGCTGTTGGGGGAATTCTCTGAAGATGTTGAGTGAGATGTCAGTCTACTTCGCGTGCTGGAGTGGCCGCTGGAGATTTCTTCCATTTCCACGTCGTTGGGACAGTCGCAAAGTTGTTCTCCGCTCCTTTTGGCGAGAGCAAAGAATGTGAGAATGCCACAACTGACGCTATATATTGACAGGCAGAAGCCCTAAAGTCTGCAAATAGTACTATCTGCAGCGTCCAGACATGGGAGGCAAATACGCAGAGCACGCCCATCAACAACATCAGCCACAATTTGGCGAGTCTCTCATGTAGGGGCATTTTGGCAAAGTTGGGGGCGATTTGGTCGGACGGAGGGTTTGGAGTCCGAGCAAATCCAATGGCGCGTATCGGCGTATGTCCAGGCAAGAAGGGCCTTAACAGAGCGTGCATTCCAAATCCTTTGTTCCATAACGTGCAAGAATGGCCCAGAAGACAGACTGAGGATGAAACTTGATAAGCGCTGGACAGGCGGCGATGGAAAGAGTCTGGGGGAGGCTATATTTGTCGCGCCCGTGCGGCCGCTGTGGAGGCCTCAGCGCAGGAGAGGGCCTGATGCCCTGATCGACGTGTCTGGGCTTACATAACGCACAAGGCTGAGGGGGCTGTACAGGGACCTCGGGAGGGAGGGAGGGAGGGAGGCAGGTGAGGGAACGGCATGCGCCGACGAGGGAATTGGAGGGACATGAGGGATTGTCTGTGGCGATGGGTGGCGTGTGATGGCTGGAGAAGTGGTAAGGCGAGAGGGCGAGAGGGATCGGCAAAAGAGGCACGAGCAGCAGAAGAGGAACAAGAATGATCGACGGTGGTTCTTAGCACCTTTGCTGCCCAACTGGCTGCCTTGCACCTGTAGGGGACCTGTAGGGGACCTGTAGGGGACCTGTAGGGGACCTGTAGGGGACCTTCAGGGAGCCTTAGTGGACTTCTTAGCTAGCTTCTGGTGCTTCTGGTGCTTGCGGTGCCTGCTGGTGGTGGTGGGGGGGGGGGGGCACCCGAGGGGGTCTTCACTAGGCTAAGGGCTAGGCTTGGTGGCTTCCCTATTCCCCGGCCCATTGGCCACTCCCCCTAGTCCCCCCATCCCTTTGGCCTCTTTCCTAACGGCTGTTCCGCCCAGTCGGTGTTTCAATCATGGCCCTTTGTCTCCTGCTCTGCTTCTTCCCACCTGCATCCCCGGCAAGCTTTCGTCTCTCTCGAACTTTTGGTCCCTTTTTCTTCCCATGTAACTCTACCATCTCGCTTGAAGCATCACTTCTGTCCGGTTCAAGACGCCCTGGTGATGCGGACGATGCGGGAGATCACGACGAGCCGACCATCATTTCATCATGCCGACTGACTCGATGCCTGATCACCGTCCTCCTGGTACCCAATCCGCCGAGTCTTGAGCCTGGGAGGCTCTAGTCCTGTCCCACAATTGGACGCCATCATCCAATGCTCGGAGTCGAAGGCAGGGTACAAACGGACGGAGTACGTACGGAAAAGACCAGTGTGTGTGGGCATGTGGGTGCGTGGGTGCTAGTTCTTCAACCCCCCCCCCCTGGTCGCAAAGCCAGCCTTCCCGAACCTCGTCTCTCACACTTCCTGCTTCAACATTTCCAACCATACATTTCTATCTTCACAGTTCCCCCTCTCCTCAATCACACGACCCAAGACCTTTGTCACTTCCGATAGACACAACACCCGACGCCTCCTATATCATCCAGTGCGACCTTGCCCACCACCATTGTCGCCAAATTCGTCAATATCAACATCCCACCGTCCACCCGCGCATCTGCCACCTGCACCTTTGCGCCCACTCATCCCACTGCCAGCAGCACCTGCCCGTATCCCTCGACTTCCCCGGCCCAGCATTAAATTGCATCCCACTTCTGTCCCGACTATTGCAGTCTCTCGACTTTCTCGTCCCGATTTCTTGCGATATTCCTACGAATCCTCTCTCGACCTCCTGACCATCTGCCCCCCGTGTCTGCAGCGTCGCTCTCCCCTTTTTGTCGCGAATAAAGAAAGCCTCCAGTACAGATCCAAATCTCAGGGATCGAGACGCAAATAGTCCTCGGAATCCTCAGAGCGCCTCCGTGCGCAGTCCCCCGTCGTTCGGATCGTCCTTCGCCATAATAAAAGTTGCTCCTACCTTCTCCGGGACTTTGTCTCTCTTGCAGGATCGCAGTTTCCTCCACTAGAGTCTCAGAGCCTTCCACACCAGCTTCACAGTTATTTTGCGCTCCAAGAGGGGGACCCTTCTCTTAAAACCTCTCATTCCACCATTCCACCATGGCGGACAAAATTTCCATCACTATATGCGGTGATGGAGGTTGCGGTATGTTTTCTTGCCTTTTCCGTGTCGCCGGCGCATGTGGCACGTTCCGCTGACGTTTTCCCTCTGCAGGCAAGTCGTCCATTACATTGCGCCTCGTCAGATCGCAATGGACTTCCGAGTACGTTATTCTCCTTGTCCCCTTGACCAAAAGGATCCTGCTAACTCTGCGCAGATATGATCCTACTATCGAGGACTCGTACTCGGTAACCCGAACAGTGGACGGCTTAAACTACTATCTCTCACTCACCGACACAGCCGGCCAAGAAGAGTATCGAAGTTTGTGGGCTGCCTCCAACCTCCAGTCTGACGCTTTTCTCCTGGTTTATGACATCACCAATGCTGCCTCTCTCGACGGGCTTTCGTGGTTTCTTGACATGATTGACATTGAAGCCGAGAACAGAGTCGAAGAGAACTCCCGGTTGCTCCGCGAAAAGGGAGCCAAGGTCCGCGGCAGAAGGGAAGATGGATGGAAGTTTCCTCCAATCAAGATCGTCGCCGGTAACAAATGTGATCTTAAAGATGCCAGAGTGGTCAGCAGCAAGGTGGGCTGGGAATGGGCCAAGAGCAGAAACTGTGGTTTTATGGAGACAAGTGCGCGAGAAATGGTCAACATCGAGGAGACCTTTGCTCGTAAGTCGACGCTGCTCTTCCGTCCGTCAATGTCCCTGGCTAATGAGAGTCGACAGTGATCGTGCGCAGAGTGGTTGAGGCAAGAAGGCAGCACGGTGCCGGCGCTGGCTCGCTACCCCATCAAGCACCGTTTGCCTCCAAGGGCCATACTCCTAACGTTAGCGGTGCTGGAGCGGCATCTTACCAGATGCCTGCGTCCATGCAACCAAACCGACAATTATCCACCCCTAATCCCTTGCCTCCTACGGAGAAATCAGGCTTCGATGACGACAACGCTAATGTCCCTTGGTGGAAGAAAGTATTCTGCTGCCGAGGTTGACGATTTCGTTGATAGTCCATGAAATACTTCGGGCTTGTACAACACGGCGGCCGTCTCATCTACATGGCTTTATCTTGGTGTTGTAATATTATGTTACAGGGGTACACCTCACCACGCTTTTTGTGGCTCAACTCCTTCGATGAGAAGAGAGTCTACCACGTGTATCAACTCAGCAACGGGTATGAGCGAAGACACCACCGCTTATCATCAGGATTCTTTGTCTTGTGCGCTCAGCTTTCCGAGCCGGGACACCGGCAATCACTACTACCAGACTGAGCCGCATGGGCGTTCTCTTCACCTATCATGAAGGCATAGTATTTGTCGGCAGGCACTGGCTTTCAGAGACTGCTGCAGGATCTCTATGATCTTGGCTCCAAACATGAAGCAAATTGTCAGTGCTCTTCAAGCCTGATTGAAGGTGAACAGATCAGCCGACAGTGGGAAAAGGAGGTCGACAGGACTGTATCCATCAGACCGGCGAGCAGACGTCGACAGTCAGTGTTATATCAATGCCTGATGTATTCTTTGGGGAGAAGACATAGAGTTTTGCAGGCAAGACGGGTGGGTGGCCGCGAGGCCGGAAAAGTGAGTTTTGAAGATGTCCAGCGATGTACCTTTTTGCTATGTATCATGCTGTTTTCAATTTGTGCTGTATAGTCAGAACTGTCGATATTTTTTGAAAGACCTTGTGAGGGAAAGAAGACGAGATCGGATTTGACCAAGACAAGCGCTACAATGCTTTGATCTACTGCCATTATAGAATCTTCCACAGCGAAGTCCGCTGAAAGTCGAATCCGGCTGCGGGACAGCGAACCACTGATGTACATAGATATTTCTCAGATATATTGTTCTAGAAGATGCTGAACTATCTACGACAAGTAATGTATCACCCATCACGGACGGTCCTCCGATGTCGATGTCGCTCGACGATGCGGAGTATGGCAGCGTCGAGTATGTCCGGGGAGCGAGTCCGTCATCAGTTTTCCCATCTCGTACGCCGGGACCATCGGGAGAGGTATGTGTGCTCCTTGACAAGGGTGGTACAGGGGACATGTACAGATTCGATCTGCAGGCGCGTGATCCATTCTGCGCCTCATACACAGGCAGACCCTGCCGAAGGAAAGATAGACCAACAGAATAAATATATTGCGAAAGTGCTGCGGGGCAATGCTCGCTCGCCAAAGTCCATGCGCCGTTCCTCCCGTAGAATGCTCGAATGCCAGTATGGAACCATGGGGAAATACAAATATGCCCTTTTTTTTTCGTCGGCCGTAGCATGAATGTTAAGACAAAGTGTATGACATCAATCGCTTTCTTTTCCACTGGAACATGACCCTGTGCTCTCATGCCGGTGTCTGGATCTGTACGTTTTCCTCTCCATGTGCCTCTCTCCCTCTCTGCGGAACCTCTTTGACTCGACAGCCCTATGATTGAACCAGCCTGAATGTAAGGAAGCAATAATGAAGTGTAGATGTGGGAGCTGTTTGCATCCCCTCGTGAGGTTGGCATGATCAGATACTAAAGCCAACTGTCAGTGCCTTCATTCGAAGTCTTCCATTGTCGTCCTGTGTGTAGGGCGACGGTCAGAGGGCCACTCACTAGATTTCGATCGGACTGATCTGGTCAAACGGAAACAACCAGTTACTTCCGGCCTCGACTTTCTCCAACCTAGACACAAACAACCGTCAGCACTTGGACGACGATATACGAAGTACGAGAAAAGACACGTTCGCCGCGACAAATCACTTACCAATCATAGGGCCAGACCACGAGATGTCCCTGGACACAGCCCAACAGCTCTTCCGCCTCTTCAATGGCCAGTATGTCATCGCTCGCGCTGAAGTCACGTCTACTGGACCTAGTAGTAGCCCTTCTGCGTCGACGACCACTTCCACCAAGGTTGGCCGTGGAATGAGCGGCATTCTGGTTCACCGCATCCGAATACCCAACAAAGGGACCGTTGGTGGTTGATGGAGTACCGTTTGATGCCGGTTTCTCCTTTTCCACCGCCGTCGAGCTCAGGCTGCTGATGGGTCGCTCGGTGCTGAAGTCATCGTCTTCGCCGGTTCCGCTGCCTTCGTCGACGATGGCCTGTCCTTCGTGGACAGTCTGTAGTCCCGCTTTTTCCTCCGTCAACGTTTCCTGCCGATGCAAGGTGGGCATCCCTTGTCTTTCAGCCTGCGCGTGATTGGTCTCGGCAGCCCAGCGCCGAAGTTTCTCCTTTTCAGCGGTCTCATGAGCGTGGTTCGTCTTTTCCCCAAGCACGTTCTTGATTTTCGCCTTCACATCGCCAGTTGCCTTCTCAATATCGGTGGGAACGTGAGTTACCGCCTTAATTTGTGCGGCCGGATGTCGAGACCCGGCTCCGGGTGGACCGCTTTTGGCGACGGATCCAGCTCGCGAAGGATCGGACACCTTGTCTTCCTTAGGAAGGTCATTGCCTTGCAATTGGTTAAAGCGTTGTTCATATGCCACGTACTGATGATATTCGTCCCAGTTCCGCACTTGGTTATCTGGCATACACCGAAACACAGTGCGGTATATCTTGGTGTTATTTTCTGCCACCGCGTGCCAGGTGTCGTAGAGGAAGGCGTCGTGGATCGGGTCCGTCATCGAATCCCGATCGACCAGCGGCCGTCGCAGCTCATCCATCAGTGGATGGTGAGGGCGAATCGAGTCCTTGGAACTGACCTTGGCAAGTCCAGGACCTCCTATGTCCGAGTCGTCCCCCGAGGGTAGAGGGGGCAACTGCGACAACATGGGTAAGCCCAGCTGTATCGTGTCCATGCGGCTCAAACCGGGCTTGGGAGGCAGTGGAGGGTTTGGTGTCTCCATCTTGACCACATACGATGGCAGCCGAAGCTGTTCACCATGTTTTCGCGGATCTTCCAAGGCGGCTTTGCCCTCTGGATCAATGCTCGAGAACAAAACCTCCTTGTTCACCTTGACAAGCGTGCTGTCTCGTCCGTCTCCCAGTCCTTTGGCGGCAATCTCCGCCATCCTGTCATATCCGTGCCCTTCTACATCTTGCCGGTGGTGGGGATCGCCAGTAACGCGCGGGTCTTGAGTCACACCGGCCCTCTTCGATTTGAGGTTAGGGTTGCCCTGTTGCTCCCAATCTACATCATGGTTGAAGCTCCTGAACTCCTCAGTGCGTTGAAGCAATTCCTCGTGCAGTTCCGTATCTTGCCCATGCAGTGGACTTAGCACATCGTCCACTTCTGAGAGAGGGCTCCCAAAAGCGTCTTCTGGGGATTCTGATCGGACTGACTTTCCAGAGGAATGCATTTTGTTGTGTTCTGCTTCCATCACTTGTGCATCTTCCATGATCTTGTCAACATCCAGGCCGAGGTGTTCGCGCATCAAACGCATGCGGAGCGTGTGCGGGAAGCGACCAACCTGATAGGGTTTGCCGTTCATCCACGACCAGACCATATCTGTATCACGCACAATAGCAGCACATTCCGAATCACGATTTCCCAGCAATGATCGTTCATTGATGTTTGCGGATCCAATCAATGCAATTCTGTCATCGACCACCATACATTTCGCGTGGATGTAGAGTTGTTCGGTCACAAGCGTCTTGCGTGGGCCGATTCTGCCCCACTGACGAAGACTGTAGAACTGGATATATTCTTCAGGATCCACGCCAACAGCCTTCAACCGACCGAATATGGACGATTCTCCTCGGCAGATACTGCGATATTGATACTGCATGATCAGCCGCACGCTGGTTCCACCTTCTTCCTCAACCGTGTTCTGGAAACCAGGAATCAACGGAATAATGATCACCGCTTTCCAAGCCTCCTCGTTCTTGCTGGCACGGGTGATTCGTTCCACAAGAGCGTCGCCGATTTTGTTGTGTACCGTGGCACCTTCGGTCTCACAGCTAGAGATGAAAAATTGGTTTTCAATGTAGACGAAATGCTCGGATTCCTCAATCAGCTTGATGTAGGCGTTCATGATGCTGTGCTCTGTCTTGTCCGGAGTACCTAATGACCAAGGCCCGGCGGAGCGACAAATCTGGACTTCACATGTTCCATCGAGACCAAGCGCTTCCAGATCGGCTGGGTCAAAGTCTGGAGGGGGGAGCAAAAAAGGCGTGGGGCGTGTTGGTTTGCGTTGCCGCAGGATGTAGTTCCACCTCTGGACAAAATGCCTGGTCAGGTCACGAGCTGGTTGCCCGACAACCTGCATTGAAATATCATGCCACGGCATTCGGGCTACTCTTGAACGGTCGTACATCTCTTCGTATGGCTTATTAAGCGCATAGAAGTCTTGTATCCTTGGATTCGAGTAGTCCTTTCCCGGCCACAGTTGGCAATGATCCGCATCCTTAGGCTCCTCACTTGGCTCAAAGCCAGTGGGCTTGTCATCGACGAGCGTGTGTTGAGGAGTATCCCATCTGCCAAAGCACAAGTCAATGCCTCCGACAAAAGCCACGGTGTGGTCAACGATGCATATCTTTTCATGATGCGCCCAGAAGAAGGTGTTTTGCCGAAATTGATTCGGTGATCTCTGGACAAATACGTTGGGGTGCAGGTCCAGGAGAGAGAATTTGGTGTACTGAGAGTCTATTGGAATAGCCGCGTCGATATTGCGATAAACGATGACGAAGATCTTGACCCCTTCTTCGGCTTTCTTCTTCAGGAGTCGGTCAAGACGCCATTTCTGACTGATGGCAGGAGGCCGCCTCATATACAGCTCGGGGCTCAACCACCAGTCGTGGATATAAATGACATCTTTGGCTTGGTTCAAGGCGCGAGATACCACCCACATGTGGTCTCTGCCGTCGACAAGCCACTGGGCAAAGCAATTCGGCCTCACTGGAGCGAAGCTGTCGAACCTGTTAATTTTTGCCCAGGGCGATCCTGCAACCATTTCTCTGATGGACTCCTCGAATTGTTGCAACTGGCGTTCGTTGTTAGAGATGAGTTTCAACTTTCTTTCCGAGTTGACCAATTTGAGACGATGGTGCTGTGGATGTTTGGCAGATTCCTTTGCTGCCTCTGCCAACTCCTTCGCACTTCTCTGGTCGCTCGACCGTAACCTTCGGGATTGTATTTTGAAGTCTGAATCGAACAAAAATACATCATAAATGTGCATCTGCTCTGCGGAGTCCACACAGACAACATAACTGTGTCTGACCAGGAACCACTTTGGAGTATGCCGCTTCTTAAACTCGAGGGCATTCAAGGCTCTGAAATCGAGGCCTTTGGCCGATCGGATGAGCAAAAGCCCTTCTTTACCATGCTCACTTCCCTCGGCAGCAAGACGAACACCAAGAGCTGATATTTCCAGGAATCTGCACAAACGGTTGCTCTCCGGACGAAACAGCATAAACTGAATCATCTGTTGCAGATATTTTTCCAGAGTCTTACGCTGGCGCTCGGCAAACATCTCTCGGCGCGTACTCCCAGGGGTTATAGGATCGTGAAGCCCTGCCACGCTTGATTTCCGCCGTCCTGAATTCATCCCAGGTCGAGTCTGGCTTCGAGGAGTTGGTCTTTCGGTGTCTGTTGCTGTGCCTGGTTCGGTATCGTCCCCAGCGTCAGCCTCTTCGTCATCGCCTTCATCGGCGAACAAGCGTAGAGACTTCAGGTATGGGAACACCTCCAAAGGAAACTTTGGCATTTTCTTTCGCCCGTCGCTTCTTAATCTAAGTCTCCCAGCGTTATAGGCGGCTTTGTATCTCAAATGCATTTTAGAGAAATCTCCAAGCGATCGTTTGATCACCCATTTCATCCGGTTGGCACCATTACCGTATTCACATTCAATCTTGAAGATCAGATGTCGCAGGACCTTGTCCTCGTCGGACTCCTTGATCGATTTTTCATCCTTACTCTTGTGCTGGTCAACTTCGCTGTCGGTGACTTGCACCTTGAGCTGTTCCAGAAGCACTGGTACCCTTCTGTGATCATGCTCGTCGCGCTGGAACATACTGGCGAGCATCAGAGCTGCAGGAGCTGCGGCGGCCAATTCAGCGAGAAGGGCGGCAGATCTTTGGACCTCGGGAGTGGGCGGTTTCTTCCTACCCTGACCGAGGGTTTTAATACTGTTCTTGAGTTGCCTCCATTTGGCGGCGCTCAGGGTTGAACTTCGCTCGGCCAGCAGCTTTCGGCGTGAAGGTGTCTTGGGAGTTTGTGCCTCATTGGAGCCAGCTTCTCGAGAGGAAGTAATGCTAGCAAAATTGAGCAGGGTCAGCGGTCTTCTCAGACCATCTGGTGTAGTATCGCCTGGCTTTCTCTGACCGCCATAGCTTAAACCCCGGAGAGGATGACGAGGTGTCCAACCACTGCTGTTAGTGAGTTGCTTGCGCCCTTCATCCTCAGAGACACCCTGAGGGCTGTTAATCATATCGGTATCCGTGGCTCTTCTGATGAGTGCACGAGGTCTTTCTATGTCCGTATCAGAGTTGATAGGAGCACTTGCAAAGCCTGGACGCATCAAGCTGTGGGGAGATGACGGTGCGGTTTCAATGTCGTCAAAACGTTGTATTTTCCGCCGCCGTTTTCGAGTTGCCCACTGCGACACGCTGTTCTCTGCAGCGCTACTCTCCTCCGCATCGGCATCGGCATCAGCACCGCTATCTTCCTCCAAGGTAGCAGCGAGCCCAGCCTCGTTGCGGCCCGATGGAGTAGAAAGTTGGTTGTCGACATCCTTGCCGTCCACAGAACGCCCACTGGCCGACAGACCGCTGGGAGACCGAGTATGACTGAACGAATATCCTTGAGGTATAGCCAGTGCCCTCAACCTGGCATACAGGGAGTGGTGTTTATCCTGCTCTGAACCATCGGCTCGGCCAACTGGAGGCGTGGTGTGGCCATTGCTATGCGGGCTGATCTCTTGGGTGTCTCGAGAAAACTGCACACTCTTTCTGCCCGCTGTGGGAGTCCCATTGCTCTGCAACGCATTGTCCGAATCAGCGGGTTCTCTTCCGCCAACCGACTGTTCGTTCGTCACACTCCGGGCGAGGTTTGATCCGGAACCGTACGTCTTTTTCAGGGCACTTGACGTCCTGGATGCTGTGGAAAAGGGGGTGAGCTTGTCAGGCGAAGCGTCTCGTGGAGTCGAGCCCGAAGGAGTCGGACCAGCGCCCGGTGTGTTGCTTGAGCGGCTATTAGACAGGATTGCAGGACCCGGTTCCCCGTTGACTTTGAAGGCGGGCTGAAATGCTGGTTGCAGCTGCGCACTCTTTACTTGCAGTTTTTCTCGATCAGTTGCTGCCCCTACACCCATGGGGTTTTGCTTCATCTCAGCTGCCTCTGCCATGGCAATAGGAGCGGATGACGGAGGCGAGCAGACAGCGTGGTAGCTGAATCACCACAGGTCCTCCTCTTCCGCCGCCAGAGGCTGATCTCAGACACAGTTCGTCATCATTCTTGTATATGCATCTCTTTAAATCTGACGATTTGAATCACGAGGACTGGAGGACAGGCAGTTGATCGCAGTCGTGCCAATATCGCGGTCTCGTATTGGATGAAGGATACGGCGGGTAAACTCGAATGGGTAACGGTGAGCTGCTGCCAAAACTGAACCAGTGTTGATGCTTCTCATGTGCACCCACGGGCGCTGCAGGTAAAACGTGCAAGTTATCGGCGCTGCTTCTGGAATATAGTGAGTGATCACCTTCTAAGCAGCCCGTTGGCCATGCGCAGTTGGAACGGCCACTTGTGGAGAACGTCAACATCAGGAAACCGCCAAGGCGGGACTCCTTTCCATTTCTCCCCGCATCGAAAATATTAAAATTGCCATTACGGTGGATTGCTGCGCATGGCGAGGCTGTAACGTGCATAGGGGAGGCTTCATGCATTCCGGAACCTAGAAGTATATACTCAATTGAAACTAGTCACAGCTCAGGGGAAGAAGGTCACCGAGTATGATCATTGCTAGCCAACACGGAGACCTATCCCATCTATCCAATGGATACGAATTGGACAGACGCTCAATAAGACGACATGTCTCCCGCATAGTGCTGCCACCAGACACCCATACAAGCTGCCACTACCAGGTCACACATCTTCAAACCCTCGTCATTGATGATGAGCTTGCCTAGCTTGGCACTGTGGCCTTTGAATCCACCTCCAGCCTTCTCCCGTCCAAGATCAAGGCTCATCCGAATCTGGTCACCCGGCTTGTCGAGCTGTGCTGGGTCCTCCATGGAGCCGGTGTTGTCGCTGATCGAGAGCTGTTTTCGCGCTCTGTGCGTCAAGGTTTGGAAGCTTCGCCTCCACTGTTCTCTATTGGAGGAAGTTTCCGGACGTGATATAGACGTGTCGTGAGACAAGTCCGACATATGATTGGCCTGTTTCTTGTTCGGGTCCTTCAACCGAAGTGATGCCCACGGTAGATTGAAGCGTAGTTCTGCAACATCTGCACTTACACCTGGCATGGATGTATTTGCCCCTGGTAGTAAATGCCGACATCGTAGGCTTTTCCCATCCAGGCCATTGCCGAAAGCGCACATCCCTTGCCACGGCGAGAGGAAAGCGTAGGCCTGCTTCAATCTTCGGCCAGTTGATTGGGGAGCGTTTGAATAGGACTCCATGGAACTGCCTCTCCTCCTTGTCAATAATGATCCATCATCACTAGATGTTTGCATATAGGCGACCTTTCTGCGGAACCCAGCACCTCCACCAGCTTCTAACTGCACGAACTTGGTATAACCCGGTGAGGTGAGCTCAATGTCAACCTTCCGCAACGGTGCTTCTGTGGTCTGCTGGACTATGCTCCCAACGTTCCATTGACTACCAGAAGCGGGATCTCGCCGAATCACTGTAATGCGCAACGTTCCAGTTCGCGCATTGACGGGTATAGACCCTGCGGACGGTGAACTAGGATGTTGCCAATAGTGGTCAAGGTCGCCACTGATCGGCAATTCCTGATCAGTATCTGACTGATTGTATCCATGAGCATCAGTATGAAGCACTGGTTGAACTGGCTTCCTGGCCAATCTAAGTTGAATTTGTGCATTTTCAATGGGGCTCGGAGATGGGCTCTCTTCACAATCCTGCGTCTTTGAAGGCATTAATCGGGCGCCGACAGGCTTGCCAGACGGAACATTCCGGTTGTCCGTAGTGGCCAGCCGGAGATGAGTGCCACGCGCTACATAGCGCTCTGCTTGAGTCGCAGTTTTTGACTCTGGCAAGGGAGGTTGATAATGAGGATAGCTCTTGGGTGGAGTTGGCGGTCTCTGAGAAGCAGGATAGTTCGCGTAGGGGGTAGGGGGAAGAGGTTTCCTCTGTATGGGAGGGATTTCTTGGCCGCGAGTCTCTGTAGTCTGTGCGGCTTCCAGTGATTTTCTCAGCGCCTCGTCTTCAGGTCTCTCAACATGGAGGAAATATAGACTGGACTGGACAGCCTCGATACTTATCGAGGCTTTAGTCGCCGGTTTCAGGGGCGTGAGGAACACATCTACAAGAATTCAATGCATGTCCCTCCCTTGTACAATTCCATCCTCTTCTCACCTTTGCTACCTGGCACCCGAACAATGTAGAGCACAAGCGATTCATGGACTTCATGAGTGGGGTTCCTCGGGTAGCGTGGTGGGTTTGCTAGCAAGTTATTGAGGGAGGATATAGATTGAGCTTCGATGGGCGTATTCATGTGTGGTGATCTTGGGATCGCGGCAATAAAACTGCGTCGATGAATGCGGGAAGCGTCGAAGGGAAAGGTGTATTATGGTGCCTTGATTGTCAGCTCTCAACCTCCCATGAATGGAAAAGGGCACTTCAACTCACCGAGAGGATGGCTTTAGCATTATGGCTGATGCCTGCATAACAGACTGCGTGCCGCTGCGGTGATTGGGATAGACTGATAACAGACAAATACGAGCCTTGAAGCCTTGCAGCCTGGGACGCTTCGTGTGCCAAAATAAACCCAAGCCTGCGCAATGTTTTGCTGATGACGCCAGGGCTGCCGGAGAAACGACGGGGGTTCTGGGACCCGCTTTGGTGCTCAGCCTCATCAGCCACAGCCTTGCTTACGCAGCCTAAGACCACACTCCCAGTGCTCCCTAGTCTGGACAAGAACCAACAAGATGGACTTCGCGGTGTGTATTTTCTCTCTTCTATTTATTCCTTTGTGTGCTTGGCACCCATTACTATAAGGAGACTTACATGGCAGAATGGGCCCCTCTGCTGCCCAACATTGTCAAGTGTTGGGCGTGGGTTCGTCAAAGGCATGGGGAGCAATTGTTCTCCGAAACGCCGTCTAGCCCCCTTCGTATGAGTACTCTCAGGCCCCGATCCTAACGTGTCTCTATCCGAGCCTTTTGTGCCCTTGGTGTCGACTTCGACCATGCTAAACTCCAGTATGCAATTAGTCCAACCCCCTGGGGACGGACTGTTGGCACGGCTTCAATGGGATAGGGCCACCAGTTTGCATTCCATTCTGGGTCGCTGGTAGAGATAGATGCCTCCATCTGTGAAATAGACCCCTTGTGTCTGCTGCGAACAGTCTCTTCTCTAGATGACAGGGGCCCACAGTCCCCGTCAAAGCAATCTCTCCGTCTCGAAACAGGCTGTTTGGTGTGCAAACCAAGCGAGAGGTCAAAAGTAACCGAATGAGCCTGGAGCGTACCCTGCTGTGACGCACCGTCAAGCCAACATGGACGTCCTCCCCCAAGGGCAGAGAAAGTGGCTCGGTTCATTGGTTCTTTGTGCAAGAATGGGCTCGATCTCGAGGATCAGCCGAGCGAGACCTGCGTCGAGCTTTGGGCGCAGGTCTGAAGTGCGTGTGTCAAAGTAACATCCCGGGAGTTGAGGCATCATTCCACCTGTTCTCGTCAGCGGTCAATCCAGCACCTGAGATAGGCTTGCATTGTAGCATGGTTCTCGAAAGCAGACGAGCGATAGTTTCAGGACAATGCCGGTCTTTTCAATCCGACTACCCCATGTGATATTCGTGACCCATCCATATTCACTTTACCGGGGCCCTACCGTACCGCTCTTTGATCCGCCAAGCAATACTCACCAGCACCACCCTCGGAAACAACGACCATATATATTTACTTGCTCAGAATTCTGTCAACATTCGACCGGTGCCATGGTGCAAGCAATAAGTCTCGTCCACAGTCTTCTTGAATCAGCATTCATCTCCCTAACTCGCAGCCAGTATTTGCATAGCTGAGGGTCATTGAAACGTAGGAGCTCTACTCTGTAACTCCCTAATTCGGATGATATGATGACTTCGAATATGTTCATAGTGGGTGCGCAGGAGCTCTGAAACATGATATGAAGCTATAGGTGGGAGCAACAACGCCCTTGGATCCAACCGAATGTGAACCACCAAAAAAAATTCCTTCGCGGGGTTTTCTCACAACAAGCCAAAAAAGTGAGTTTTTTTGCTTTTCAACAGGAAGCAAGTAGCGCTTGTATGGTAGAGAGGTATTTGGGGGTTCAATCTACTTAGTCAGTGTGCAATACAGGGGGGCCTTTTCCTTTTTGTTCGATCGAGGTGTGTTGACAAGTAGTTGTTTCTGCGCATTCGGCAGTGATTGTGTGCGCTCTTTGCGAATGAGGTACTTGGCGGCTCACCTTCAGTAACAAACCCAGGGACGTAGTGGGTGTCCATCCAGCTTGACCTTCCCCTTTCAGCCTTGTGCGTTTCCAGAGGCGCGTACCGATAGGAGGTATATTGGTCCTTGCTTATCTTGCAAGATATTTAGACTGACCGTTGCATCAGTGGATGGATTCTACTGAGCTCGGCTGTCGAATGACTGTCCCGTGGTAATAACGACTTCTTAATTGCCGAGAGCGACCTCTTTCCACGTGTTCTTGTCGTGTGTATCCCGGTACTCCGTACCTCTCAAGTCTCGACAGATTACATTGCTGGTGCAAGCTCTGAGAAAGACGACCTGTCCTGAGGTCGGGAATTCTCCGTGATGCTCCGTATGACGTCGCACTAAGAACTCCACCCTGCAGATCCTCCACCAAAACAGGTCCCCGCTTCCCCTCGTGTCAGCCAATCACGATCAAGCCACTCCATGCCAAGCTCCTGGGCCAGCGTCACTTGGGAGCCAGACTCGCAAGGGTCCCTGATAATCTCCACGTTTCTCGTTGCACCAACTGCCCGCTGATCGATATGCCGAGCAGTAGTAGTGGTGGCATTCAGCGCCTGGCAGGCGTCATTGCTGGAAATGTGCGCTAGGACGGGCAGGTGCAGATACCAAGGAAGGAAGAGGGAGATAAGGGCCTGGGAGTGCGCTGCTCATCTTCTCTGCGGACACCATGGATATCCGCCGCTCTGCTCTGGACGTACACTCCCTGGCCCTGCCTTCTGCTTGCCTTGAAATCGAAAACCACTCGCGTGGAATGCAAGTGTAACGATCTGAAATCAAAATTCGCTTTGGTTGTTACCAAAGAAATCACTGTTGGCTAGGCTAAGGTCCTGGACAACTTCGAGCAACCATATATTTGAGATCAGTTGTCTCGCAGTCCTTTTCTCATCTATTTAGTCGACCAAATACCCTATCTTGTTGGATCCTCTGACACGATGGGCACAAGCAATGACTCAAGCCCAACCCGCAACGGCGGTTCCATCGCGATTCTTGACCCCGAGAAGCAGACCGCGATGGAACGCGACAACGGGGCCAATATCATCACTGCCTCAGAAAAAGACCTGAACTCAATGCCACCCATCGATCACGCCGCCGAACGACACCTAGTCCGCAAACTCGACTTCTACATCGTCCCTCCAACCATGCTACTCTACCTCGTCTCCTTTCTGGACCGAGTCAACATTGGCAATGCGCGGCTGTACAATATGGAAGAAGATTTGGGACTTCACGGGTCGCAGTATCAAACAGCGGTTAGCCTGTTGTTTGTGACATACATACTCTGTGAGACGCCGAGCAATCTCGTCATTAAGAGACTGAGGCCAAGTCGGTGGATTGCCTTCATTACTTTTGCGTAGGTCCTCTCCTTTCAAGTTTATTTACGCAGGGATGTTGTGGAGATTGAGCCAGAATGGACAAAATCCAACGAAGCGCGAAAAGTGTCTCGATTGAGATAGTTTCTTATTTTGCGCTTGCCAAAGAGAAGCTACACTGACACTTTCAATTTCAATGGTAGGTGGGGAGTTGTCGCCACCTTGACAGGCATTGTCCAGAATTATGGAGGGTTGATCGCTTGCCGCTTGATCATGGGCGCTCTTGAGGCAGGACTCTTCCCAGGTAACGAGTGGCTGGACCACGTTGACTATAGGAACAAGTGAACTGACCTCTAAAAGGCATGACAATATATCTTACCATGTTCTACACCAAAAGGGAGATCGCGCTCAGGGTCGGCTATCTGTTTGTCTCGGCCGCCTTGGCTGGAAGCGTGGGCGGCCTTCTGGCTTACGGAATCGGCTTCATGGACGGCGTGGCGGGTCAGTCGGGATGGAGATGGATCATGATCATAGAGGGCCTACCTAGCGTTGTACTGGGTGTCGTGGTTTATTTCTGGCTCGCCGACGAACCAGAAACGGCATATTATCTTTCTGAGAAAGAGAGAGAGCTGATGGTTCTGCGAAAGCGGCGCCATATCGGGCATACGATGTCAGGCGACTTACTCCACAAAGAAGACGTGCTGAAAGCACTCAAGGACTGGAAGGTGTGGATGTTTGCCTGTGGTCAATTCGGCGTCGATACCATGCTCTACGGGTATTCGACCTTTCTGCCCACCATCATCAAAGGACTGGGGAAATGGTCGACAGCTGAAACACAGGCACTCACGGTACCGTGCTACGCGTTAGGGGCAATCACTTATTTGGTTGTCGCCTGGGCATCGGACAGATTCCAGCACCGAGCGCTCGCTGTTGTTCCTTTCTGCGTGGTGAGCATTATTGGGTATGCCATTCTGATCGCAGACGTCAGTCCAGGAGCCCATTATTTCGCCTGTTTTATGGTCGCAGTAGGGCTCTACGTCTCAGTCGGTATTCCGCTTGCGTGGGTGCCATCAAGTAAGTCATGTTCTTCTTCCGCTCGAACCACAGAGTAGCTGATTCTCTCTGATAGATCAACCTCGGTATGGTAAACGCACAACTGCGAGTGGCATTCAACTTACCGTGAGTAACTTCCTGCCTCGAAAGGACTGCCGCCCCGGGAGATTCACTGTCTCGGGAATGTGGTGTTGTCAACAAGGCTAACTCGAAACCTCTAGATTGGAAATGCAGCCGGTATCATGGCGCCCTTCGTAAGTTTTGCACATTGGATTCTCTCCTGCACACTCGACCTCTGACACATTTCCAGCTCTACAAAACCAACGAGGCCCCTCGGTATGTCCGCGGTCAAGCCGTGTCGCTCTCGATGGTTGCTATGGCCGGTGTGATATATGTTCTGATGGGAGCCTATTTCTTTGCTCGAAACAAGCGTCGCTTGGCCGGGCAGGAAGATTCGAAGATGGCTGGGAAGACGGAGGAAGAGATTGCGGAAATGGGCGACGAAAACCCACGGTACATGTTTACGTACTGAAGGCTAGGCCCGGGTGGCCGACGGTCTGCGCTGAATACCTTATGGCCCACTGACACGCGATTGAGGTCGAAAGGCTTGCAGCTGGCTCTGATGACCGCTTGTAAAGTCCACCGTCACTCTGGTCCTCGAGGAACTGTGGTGTCGACCGCCCTGAAAACAGTGCTTCGAATGAAGTGATCTCGACAACTTCGAATTCAAGTGGTTGCCCTCTCTCTGTGTCTGCGTGTAATGGTGATGTCGAGCCGGTTCAAGCCGGTTTTCCGTCCTGCGAATGCCGGCACCCCTGTCAAAGTGCCGCTACTATTTCTGTCCATGAAGTCGTTCGCATATGCTGAGCGGCGGGTTGTTAGGCAATAATCAATCGATATGATTGCCATGGAAGGCAATCTCAATCACCATCGGAATCGCTTTGAGAAGCACGCAGCGGTGACCCGGTTTTGCAGTCGGCTGTATTGGCCGACTGACGTGTCACAAAACCCATCGAGGTTGTGATGAATGGCTAGGCACCATTGGCTGCTTCCGCCAACTGAGCAACACAGTCCACTGGTTACAGTGTTTGCACACAAAGCATGATTTGTTGGGTCACAGGCGCCCAAGCTACTTTGTGCTTGCCTGTTGGCCTGGTTTGCCAGCTGGGGATCTGCCTGATATCTGGCACCCAGACATTGAGCCAACACAGAAGAGAGGATCTTCCCCAGTATGGTCCAACGAATCACAAGAACGAGAGTCATGGGACAGATGTGTGGTAATCAGAGTGCTCGCGATGGGTACCACAGTGTGTTCGTCTCTCCTTCGCCGTGATTCCATTGTAAAGAGTCCCCACCCAACCAAGGCTCACTTTCCAGACCGTTCTCAGGCATATGCAAGACACGAGCATTTCACAGCACTGGGCACAGCTAGGTATTCGTCAAGGTGGAGGCCATTGGGCGGAAGGCCAAGGATGGACAGGATTAGTCGGCTTCGCGCGGTTAGGAATTTTCGTTGGCGATTACGATCTCGATTGACAATCCCTTCGAGGACTTGTCGAGGCAAAAGGGAACCAAACGAAGCCGCAACCCCGGCAGACCCCAAAGGTGGCGATGTCTCTCCTAGCCCGGGCAAAGATCCCTGTCGACCTGTCGACTACAGCCTCCCGTGATTCGTGGTTGCTGCAATGGATCCCCTCCGAGGGAGCTGGGGCGGTGCAAGGGTATTGGCTGTGAGCCACCTTTAGGCGGCAGGACTGGGCCATTCTATTTGAATGCCTCGACTTGTGATTTGACCAACGAAAACAGCGAGGGTGGTTGACACGAGGGACAGGCTGCAGGAGGATGGCGGATGGCGGGTTGTGGGCAGGACAACCACGGCGACTGAGGAGACGGGCTTGCAGGGCGCAATCGTCCCCAGTCCTCTAGATCTCGTAGGGCAGAAAGAGTGGCCTCGCTCATGTTTAGCCGCAGCTTGTGCAGGAGACGAAGGCAAAAAAGCAAGCAGCACGAGGAGGGAGACGGGGGGCGGGCTAACGAGGGCGAGAACAATGGACTTGTCTGTTGTTGAACAACAAAGTGACGGTGGTCCGGGTCGAGTAGTGAGTGATGGCTTTTAGAACCTCGAGCGCAACAAGAAGGACTCATCATCATCAGATCAGCCGTGGGGTCAAATCACATTGGTATTTCTTGTTCTTATTCTTCTTTGTCCTTGTCCTTGTCCCAACCTCGTCACCTCGATTCCTCCCCCACCCAACGGAAGGGTCCTTACCATTTAACAGTCATTACCACTCCCTTCCTTCAGCTCACACGGAGACACACACTCACGCATACTCCGCGTACGGACTGCCGTGGTGGACTTGTGCGGCGTATTGTTCTTGTATTCTTCGCCGTCACCAGCTTGGGCGAGTTATCACGAGCTTGGGCACCTGATCACCTGGCGAGATCAAGATCGATTCCTGGCTACTTAATACTTTGCCGCCTTCATCACTGCTCCTTGACCACCATCTTGGACCACAACCATCCATTGTCATACTCGCCGTTCGACTGCCATCCCTCAGCAGGGGTACGTACCGAGTACTTACCTCGTACCTGTCAGCAAGCTTCAAACCCCCAGAAATTCCAGCGGCCGGTCTGTCGCTGGGCACACCTCCTATTCGAGCCACCCCCTGTTCAGCCTAAAAAAGAAGTGGGAAGACGAGGGAGACTCTGACTGTTTGAGGATCGCTGCCGTGAGCAGCAAAGCAGCAGATCAGTCAGCACAGGGAGCCCGCTCTGCCGAAGCTCGAGGACGCCCAGGGTGTGCACAAGTTCACTCGCTTGGCTGAGCCTTCGGGACCTCATTGTCCAAGGGCCAGGCAGTGCAGCGAAGGAAGGAATCGGCGAGATTCCAAAGTTATTTGCCCCCCCTCGTCCCCCCACCACCCCCCTGGGCCTTTAACTGGACGGGCTGCCAGTGGCTGTCGGTGGCCCAGCGCACTCTCACCCACCCAACTAAAAGGCCGCAGCCAAACCTGCATCAGCTCTAGACTTGTCAAGCCCCCCCCATCGAGCCCCTCGCAATTATTGCCGAAAAGCACAAGACAAGCTCAAAACCCAAAGACCTAGTCCTCAATCTTCCGAAACCACCAAGTCGATTATTATTGTCAAAGACACCCCCGGCTCGCATCGTCAACCCGAGACCGTTCCCCCGTCGCCCGCTAATCCAGAGCTATCCCAAAACCATCGCCCCCCCCAAAGCGAACGCGTCCCCATTTCCCACCTGCACTTGATCCAAACATTTGCAACTCCTCATCACAACTAACTTATACCTCAATATTCCTTCAGCTACACCTCGGTGTACTCGTGGACCAGTTGGGACTTTCTTGAACACACCTTTTTGCGACGCGACAATGTCGCCTGTCGTCTATCCCTACACCGTCACAAACAGCTACAAAGGGTATGTTATCTTTCCTGGTTCCGGGACTCCTGGTATCGAGACCCCTGCAGTGATAATGGGCTAACTTGAATTCCCTGTGTCAGGGGCCTTTTCATGCGTACGTACAGCCGCAACGTGCGGCGTGCCTGGGATGGCGAAGACTATCGTCCACCGAAGCGCCTGTGCCTCAATGACGCCTGGAACGCGCCCTCGGCTGCCGCCTCGAACGAGAACACAACCCATCATCTTGATCTCGAAGACAGCCTTGAACGCGCCATCCGAGAAACAAGTGTCGCGGCGATGTCTTCCTCCCCTTCTCGAAAGAATAGCACCATCTTTTCCGCAGAATCCCACGAAGACGACCTGGGCTCCAGCACCATCACTCCACCCTCGTCGCCGCCGCCCGGCCTACAACTGACACCACCTAACGTCAAGGCTCGAAAGCCTACATTCTCGTGTCTGGACAAGTCCAAGAAGGAGAAGAAGGATCTCAAAAACGCGAAGCGGAAACGCGACGAGCAGGCGAGCGGACCGAATGGGCCTGGAAGTACGCGTCACGACTCAGAACCGCTATCGGAGATCTTCAACTTTAGCACACGCGCTCAGAGCTCGCAGCCCTCGAACAACGAAACCATGCCGCAGCAGGCTCCGGAAAGGACGCCCGTGGCGCGTCCAACAATACAGGTCCCGAAACCCGCGCCACCGAAACAGAAATTCGTCCAAACAATACTCGATTTAGGCCAGCCGCTTGTCCCTACAACATGCCCCCAATGCCAGATGTCTTATACACCTTCACTGCCAGAAGACACGCAGTTACACAACATGTACCACAATCGAGATAACTCCGGGATTGAACTTGGAAAGGCATTCCTTAAGTCGGCAATGCGGTGGTGCTATCAAGTCTCGCATATCCCTGGCAGCGTTGTTGTGGTGGACCGGAAGATGGCACTCCCCAGTCGACGAGTGGTGCAAAAGGTGCTAGGAATCGTCAACAAGGAGCTTGGAAGCGTAGATATCAAAGAGGATGAGCTGTGGAGCCAGCGTGTTCCGGATGGGGAGAAAGACGAAGAATCAGGCGGCCGCAAATGCGACAGATTCAAGGCCTTCTTACACGTCATCGACGACAAATGTGTCGGCATTTGCCTGGCAGAGCGAATCACCAAAGCCCATCGGGTCCTACCGTGCGAGACCGCAACCAGCGAGACGATCCCACTGAACTCCCATTTCAACCCTGTTGGGCCCGTTTCGCCTGCTGCAACCGAGACCAACGAGGAGGAAAACAATCACATGGCGCAGAAACCGCAGATTCCGACCCCAATTGCAAGTCCCACCTCTTCATCGCGCCCGTCGAGCATCAGCATTTCCGAGGAAACACATCCAGCGGTAGTGGGCGTTAGCCGGATTTGGACGAGCAAGGCTTTCCGCCACAAGGGCATCGCAAACAATCTTCTAGAGTGTGTTATGAGTCAATTTATTTACGGTATGGAGATCGAGCCAGCGCAAGTGGCGTTCAGTCAGCCTACGGAAAGCGGAGCGGGCCTGGCGAGAGCATGGTTTGGGGAAGACGATGGCTGGGCTGTTTACAGGGAAGAATAAATTCGACACTTGTGTTACATATAACGATCGGAGGATCTAGCCTCCTGCGAAAGAGAGAGCATTGCATTGTCATGGGGGAGGCTTACGGGACATGAGGGTTCATCCAGCGTTGGATTTCGATCATGGATTTTCATGTTGATTGGTATAGGGTTGGTATATGGAAAAAGGTCAAGATGGGAAAGGAGTCCTCTAGGTGGTGTACAGGTGCGCGTGTTTTCATCGGCAAGACTGGTCTTCTTTGGAGAGAAGTGGCCAACAAGTCCATTCGAGGAGGTTGTGCCTGGTCCTCGAAATTCGAGGCTCCAAGATCAACAACCACATGAGTGAGGGCTGACCCAGTCTCCGATTTCAAATGAACTGTATGAGTATGCTATGTCCCTAGATTCATTGGAGTGAATGCCTGACAAGCCCTGGATGAGGCATTTTCCACCGCGTTTACTGATCTGGAAGTCTCTCGCTTTGTTGACTCGTCATTTCGGGGCCCGGGTTCTGGTTCTCCCTTCGTCGACGGGGCGTCCAAGCAAAGACATTTCACCAGTTGACACTACAATGGCGCCGCCTTGGTAGTTCTTTCTCGAAGACAATGCTGGGGTCGCTATTGGCTGGCAAGTTCCTGAGTGATTAAAGCATCATCCTCCAAACTTCCTGTACCCCTGCGTTTCTGGTGCGGGATAGTCTCAGCCCAGCCACGACATGACCCTAGCGACTTTACGGAAAACCCTCGAAGAATACGAACAGCACAGCATCGGATTCAGCCCGATGCGGTAGCCTGCTTCTGCGGCTGCAATGGTGTTTGGTCAGCAGCGCAAAGCGAAGGGCGGGGATTTGCAGCCAAGTGGTGTCCTCGGACGTGCGCCCGACCTCAGCCTCACCAGCCTCACCGGTCACCGTGAGTCAAAGGACTGTTTCGAAAAGTTTGTGGTTGTGGATTCCAGGGCTCCATCCGACACCTGGCTCCAATTCCTTGCAGTCTCCGTCTGCACGTCTGAGTCTCAATTTCTGATATGGTAGAACCAGAAAGAATCGGGGCGGTGTGCAAGAAATGCTACTTCTCATCAACCAAGGCGAAGGACCCATCACTTGCACACTGTGCCTTGCCAGCCGCCCAAGGATCTTCGCGTCTGCCGCCTATTCCGTGTGGAACTCAAGGGAATATCCACTCCTCAATGGCACTTCCCGACATCACAGGTAGGGGAAAATCTCTTGACGACGCGGTGGTGATTAAATTGCGTTTCACAAGTTCCCCGGCCTTGATTCGTCTCCAGAAAATCAAGGCACGAGGAGAGCAACCTGTCGGGCACAATCCACGCGCATTGAAGACCAACAGATTCTTGCACCGTGCAGGTTATTCAAACCCAGTGAGTGCAGCTCTGTGTAGGTCGCGGGTTGACAAGAGCCCCAATAATTTCTTTCGGAGTCGATTTGGCTTTGACTGGACCGCTTCGATGAAGTAGAGTGGTCCCGTCAAAGGGTTCTAGGTTTCCGAAACATGAAATTGAAGTGCCCAAAAGACATGGTCAACGTGAGAGCGGTTCTATGCCATGAACTATTCCACCCTATCGAACCTCGTTGGCTGGTGAAAAGGGTGTCTGAATTCGGCTCACCGTTGCCGTGCATCTACGGTCTGCTACTACTCTACGCAACAGGCACCAGTGGCCCTATCCACTGAGGCTGATCTGGTCTGCGAACAGTCTTCTTGTGGCTCAGCGGGAGCCTCATTCAGGTATGGACAATCGCTACAGCGACAAAGGCTCGCTTCAGAGCCACAGAATATTTGACGCGGCCTGCATCCGGAACCGAGAACTCCCAAGTACATCGCATGTTGTCCAACAGCTCGCACTGTTCCGATATCCTTGAAGAAGCATTCCGGCCGATCTATCTCCGACTGCCTCTTCGTAGGATGGGAGACCGCAGAGGCCGCTGGGTATTGAGCTAGGACCGCTTGACATCCCCACATACTCATTACAGCCTTTGCTGGAGAGTGGCCACTGACCAGGCTGGTCCTGGTTCCTGCAACCTACCGTGCTTGAAATCTAAAGGCACCTATATAAGTATGGTTGATTGCGGTGAAATGTGACGATTGAAAACGACGGTGGCAAATTTCGTCTACAAAACACATTTATAATCGCCACAGCATGGGCCCCCTCCCATTCTCGCCACTGGATGCGGCGGAACCGCTGTTAAACGGCTCACGAAAGTGCGGCCGCTGCAGTCTGGAAGGACCAGGTTCTGTCCGAGGGAAAATTGAACCGGCGCACAAAGATCTTCCAAGGTCTGTCGCCATCTGCTGGGGGGTTCCGTTCTTGCCGCTCGTGGCTCTGGCCAAGCGCCAACAAGGAAGAGCAGTCTCCCAACGCCAGGGGTTTGGGTATCTGATGACCCGGAGATCCTGGGCGAGTGTCCTATAGTCCATCCTCAACTAGAGAACGAGTGCGGCACCTTTGCGTTTCTGGTTACACACCATGCGCACCCGGCACTCCGTTTGCTTTGTTTGTTCCCAGAACGTTGGATTTTCTTTCCCGTCAAGTTTAGTTTCCGCGGCACATCCGGCTGGCGGGCTAGCATAGGACTACGAATTGTAGCACAAAGTGCCAAGTGCCGGTGCTCGATTACCAAGATGATATCTCGAGGATCGACGGCGGCAGGCCCTCCTGCCCAATATCTTACATTTCTTTGACCTCGATTGAAGGGCTATGCGGTTCCTGGGCGGAACGAGAAAGGGCGCGGGATGGTAGTTGTCACCGGCACCGAACTGTGTAAAGGTCCACAGCCTGCACGGTAGATAGCTGTGAAGATTCCAACCCGCTCGTGGCCCAATAATCCGTCACTTCTGGTGTTGCCAGACGACTCTCGCTCTCTCCCCGTCAGTCTCGTCGAGGTAGTATGGCTTGAAACAAGCCGTAAGATACGACAGGGTAATTGACCCGTTTCCCTTCGTAGAGGAAGGTTGTTGTCACTTCATACTAGTAAAAGAATGTAAGCCGTGCTCTGGGAATGGTAGCAGACCCAACCTCACAGTGTTAGCGAGGCTCGGTTGGATTGGTGGCGCAAAGTACTAGCTATTCCAGGGCTAACGGCGCAGCTCTGTCCTGAATTCACAGCCATATGGGTGACTGGAGATGGCGGAGAACGGATGCTTCTATTGCTTTGCAAATCAGGCCACGCACGATACACCGAAGCATCGAGATACAAAGGACGCATTCGCCTCGGAGGTCCAAGTACGGGCGACGAACCAAATCGAGCGAACATCCAACTAGGCATTCCACTCTTCGTCACCTGAAGGAAGGGAGACAACGAGGCTCCGTGTCGGGGAATAGACACATCATCTACCACTGCAGCGTCCACGAGGACGTGGTATACTACTCCGCGTGGAAGCAGACATTCATGGCAGGAAGTCCCAGCCCGAGACAAACCAGTCTAACCCAAAGTTCAAAAATTGCGGCTTTCTATTGGTCGCCGGTTCAAACCCAGCTAGGCCGTTTAGGGACATGATGTCTGGAAATGGCATAGCTGAAAATAGACAAGAGCGCAACGGGCAGCATGCGAGTGAGCCTCCTATAGGCATGCTCAGCGCTACACTCCCGTCAAAAGATATCCCGGAGAGCGCACGAACGTGTGTACGGCTGATTGAGCCCCAGAGAGTCGAAAAGTGGGCATTGGAGGTGGTGAGACGAGATCCCCAAGTGTTGTGGCCCTTGCGCTGCGGCTGTCGAGCGAAGACTTCTTCTCACCCCCCGTCTCAGCTGTGCTGAATCCCGTAAGCAGCAGCATGGGCAGGCCTGAGACAATGTCAGCGATAGAGCGCAGGCACGGACTTGTGCGTTGGCCCATCCTACTTGAATCCAGGAATCTTCAGCCACCGGTAGGGGGGCACAAATCAATACTTCCTCAGACGCCAGGCCTTCGAGTACAGCAGTAGAATGGATTAAGCTCAAATGCGGGTGAGCCATCCGCCTGTGTTAATAGTGAAATATTGCTGCTACTCGTATCAGGTTCTGACAGATACCGGATAAGCGGGCTAGTGAGAGCCTGTAGAGTCTCTGGGTGTTGTTGCGGCATCAGAATAGAGGTATCATCCGCCCGGCCGTGCGGTATTGTGCTTGCTGTGTGTATTTCTTGGGAACTTAAGATATCATGCAGATCACTCAGATGCTCCCTGTTTCGATCTGCGTGGGCCAATAGATGGTACAAGGCTCCAAATATCGTCCTTGGATCCGGCTCGGTGTGAGGCGGGGTGGTTTCGAGGTCAAAGCATACGCGGTCCGTTGAGCGGGTGCCAATAGATCTCAGGGACTCCCAACGTGCAGCGACGATGCAAGACCAGTACAGTATAGGTTGGGGATAGTGTGGTCGATGGAGCCCCAGCGTCAGCGCCATGCGACAAGCGGACGCTGTCATCATGGACTGCTGAGAGAATTGGGGAGAAGCGAGCAGCAGCAGAATGGACTGCAGGGTTGACAGTGTGGGGAGGGAGAGCAGCTCATAGGCGTCGAAGCACTGGTGAATAGACTGTGAGATGTCCTCGACCAGCGCAGTTCCACTGGCGCCGGCGAGGTGAGCCGATACGAGACAGACGGACCGGAACAAGAGCGGAGAAGTGTAGGGCTCCTGGTTAAGGTCTCTTTCCTGGACAAGTGGCCAGTGAGGCGCAATCATGGAGAAATATCTTTCAGCCCCAGTCAGACACCGACAGGGCGTTTTGTCCTGGACAAGTATGTGCATACCTGTCAAGAAGAGTGGCTACAACCGCCGAGGTCGCTGAAGGAAGGTCGACTTTCCATGGCATTCGATTGCCATCCTGGTCATCATGAGTGGCTCGGTGCGAGATGGATTGCTGATCCTCTTCAAGTACACATTCTGAGCCCTTGGAAACGCAGGTTCGGCAGGGAAATCCGCCTTCGCAGCTTCGCCACATTGTTAGAGTAGGGCTCCAACCAACATCCGATATCTCTGGACTCACCGTCGCTTGGATGACCGACATTGTTGACAGGCTCTCCCTGTTCTCAACCGCTTCATCACCCTCTCCACATCGCCTGTCTGCATCATCTAACAAGCCCACAGGTACAAAGGCCAAGAGGGGTGGGAGATATAGGCGATTGTTAGCAGAAGTAGTAGCTTGGATCTAAATTCCAAGTTGCATTTTGTGCGGTATTCGGGTCAAATTGGGGAGAGGGGGAGGAACTCAGTTGGCGGGGCGTTAACCTCGGGCCCCTAACAGGAGGCTCACTGGGGCTGGTGGGCTTGTACAGCTTAGTAGGCTCAGGTATTAACACCTTACTTGTCGCCCGTGGAAGCTGCTGTTAGGCTCTCCCAAGCGGGTAGTCCCCTAGGTATTGAGCGTCGCTGGCTTCTGTCCAGATACCTAGAAGTAGCTAAGTACCAGCAAGCTACCTAGGAGCCTCCGCATCAGCTGACCTCGAGCGCTGTCCAACTACAAACTTCCATCATCGCGCCCTTCTTCTTGTATGGCGCCAACTGTACCAACAATTCTGACCGCGGTCTCTTCACGTTCTGTCTATGGCTAACCATATTTGTGACAACTGCCGGAGGTACGTCGAGTTTGCTCCCCTTGAAATAAGTGTGCTGAATGGCTCGCCTCCAGACTCCGGTTGAAATGTCAATTTGAACACCCTCCGTATTTTACTCTGTGCTGCTCTCGATGCCGGCAGTACAGTCTTTCCTGCGAGTTTGAAGGCATTCCCTGGCCAGCACGGGCTCAGCGGACTTTTATGTCCTCCACGCCCAAGGGATTTTCTCGAAAGGTCTATTGGGGCCCTTCGAGCAACGCTGGCGGGCATCCTATGGACCTACACACGTCGAAGGAACCACCTCCTGAGCCGCCCATGTTCCAAGCGCAGCATTCTCTCAACTCTGCCGGCCTGACGACAGCTGATGAGCCAACAACGCTGGACATCAGCCCGAATGTCAAGGAACATCTCTACCTCATCTTCTTCGAGCACATACAGCCGGTGTTTCCTATTGTCACCAACGCAAGTCTACGACACTTCCCCGTCACGTCGCTGCTGGAAAGCGTTATACTTGGCATCGCAGCCCGTCATCATCTTGCCATTGCTTCTTGGAGGGACTACGTCCACATACAAAAGGTCGTTGCCCATGAGCTCAAAGCCCTCTTCAGCACACGGCAACGATATCAGCCCAAAATTCAAACCGTACAAGCGCTCCTCCTGGCGTTGACCAAGTTTGAACTCATCACGCACGGACACGGTGACATCATGTCCACGGGACTAAGACTTGGACTTCTCTGTAAGATGGCCAGAGATTTAGGCCTAGACAAGATATCCTCGGCCGTGACAACCGATGGCGAGCTTCTTCAGGTTGTGTTATGGAAAGGCTGCCTGTTTGAGGATGCCATTCTTTCTGCCACATTGGGCCAACCTCTCAATATCGTCGTCTCGCCCGAAGAAATCATGGAGGTTCCGATCAATTCCGGTATCTCAGGAGGCACATTTTTCAGTGACGCTGTGGGTGCTTCTCACTGTCTCCGATCACTGCTAAGAGCAGTCTATGCGAGCCACCCTGTCAATGCCGACATCGTTCAGAACTGCGACCAGGTCCTCAAACAGATACACCGCTATGGGACGTACCTGAATTTCCGACAAGGACACTATTCTGAGAGCGAGTATCGAGCGCTTTGCATGTTACACCATAACAACAGACTGCTTTTTGTACTTGGCCTTGCCTCATTGACAAACGCGTCAAGCCAGTCCAAAGAACTTTCCCTCATTCTGGCACAGGAGGCTGCTTCGATCATTCCAGAAGCCTGCCAGACGCTTATCTGGTTCAGCGTTGAATTCTATCTCGAGATGGCTTCTCGACTAAATCAGTTACTGTACTGCTCTTCACGAGCCTTGATGCTTGTTGTCGATGTCCTCCTCGAGGCTCAAAGGACACTCAGTTCTTCGAAGGACTTTATCCAAGAGCTAGAGAACGCGGTTGCGTCGGCTACTTTATTGAAGGACTTTCTACTCAAAGACACCTCATGGGGAGCGCACTGGTCCCAAGGCCATACACTTGCCGCTGTCCTCGCTCGGCTTCGGCAAACAGACCGTCACACACGGCATATACCGGTTGAGTTGAAGAACGTTATACGTCTTCGAACACTTGACCAAAGCGAAATTGGCGACACTGGGACCTTAAGTGTTCTTCGAAATACCGACGAAGTCTTCTACGACGACGAATTCCTCAACAACGTCCTTTTCAACTCTACAGACTGGGATTCCGTGTTGATGCAGTACGAGGAGAGCTATCCTCAGCCCATTTGGTGACCTGGATTTTGTACTTTGAGAAAGTGTTTGTGCCACCACGCCGTTGAAGATACTAGGTACAAAGCTGATCCATGTCCATACCCGCTTAATCCTCAGTCGGTCTTGGTATTCTCTGTATGGATCGCTACGACTTCTTTTGTGTCATCGTTAAGCTCGGCAGTTGTGATTACGCCGTGTCTTTCATATTCGACGTGACCACGGCACTGGTAAGTGCTGAATTCCTTTACCGACACACCCTAGCGTAACGTCAGCAAACTACCAGTCATAAGTGTTTATCCAGGCTCACATTCAAAAATAACTCATCAAGCTGCTCGAGAGAACGGCCTTTGGTCTCTGGGAGAAAGAACAGAGCCCAGACGAAACCAAGCAAGCATGTGACTCCAAAAATGAATCCGACCTAGAAATCATGTTAGCAAAGACCATAGAGGGTATCCTGTTGAACATACTTTAGCACCGAGGTTGGCAGCTGTTGGGTTAATCAAATAGGGCAACACCACCGCTATGAGCAGAGTACCGGCCCACGAAACAGCAGAACCCAGAGCCTGTGTTCGGGATCGCATCACATTGGATCCAATCTCAGATGCAACAATCCATGCAACAGGGCCCCAAGACCAGGTGAAAAAGAAGGCATACAGACAACTAAATGCCACTAGGCATCGTGCCGCAGCGACACTGTTGGGTGCAACAGTTCCAACGATCGCAAAAGTGAACATACATACGGTCTCAGCAGCAGCACCCCATAAGAGAATAGTCCTTCTACCGAGAAAATGGACCGACGGAAACATGGCGATGATCCCGGCTAATTGGCAGACTTGAGAGATGATACTGACAACAAATGCGTTGGAGATGCCAGATACTGAGTAGAAGTATGTCCCGTATCTATGACAGTGTCAGTGGACGATTGATCGATGATGCAAAGCTAAGTCGTGGTAGAATTACCCGTTGATGAAGCTGATACCTGACAAAACTTGCCACAAGAGAAGACCACATGCAATGTGAGTGCGACGTCTATCACTGCCTCGGAAGGCGTCCAAGAAAGAGCCGGAACCCTCAAGCTCCTTTTCGAGTCTAATGTGTTTAGCGATGTCGTCCACATCAGCGTGTATTTGATGCTCTGGATAGGTCTTTCCACGAAGCCTCCTGATGGACCTGGCACTTTCTTCCACCTTACCGACCGAGAGCAGCCAGCCTGATGCAGGGTCAGCCAAATCTTCCGGCCAGCAAATTCAGAGGTGCTTACGAGGGCTTTCCGGAAAGAAGGAGGCAAACACAACCAGAATGGTAGGAAAGATGAGCTGTGTGATCAGTGGAATTCTGTATGCCCATCTTGTCGACATATTGTAAGTTCCTTGATTGATGCAGGACCCTATAAGTTGACCAATGTTGATCCCAGTCTGATACAAAGCGATCATCATCCCTCGCATTTGTGTTGGGGCAACTTCAGCTTGATATATCGGAACAAAACTGATACACAACCAAGTGTCAGCGGCCGGCTGGTAACTGGTCAAGACTCAAGGGCCACTTGCGCAGTCGGCAGACGTGGTAACCACCCTCGACAAGAGATGGGAGATGTCTCACTTTGAAGCATAACCAATGCCAGCTATCAACATTTGTTAGTACAGGACGCGCGACCGACCAGAGAAAGTCTTACCTCCGGCGAAGAAGCGACCAAGGAGTAAACCCCATACATGAGGAACCGAGATCTGGAAAATAACACCCACGATGGCGACAATGCCCATCCATATCAGACCAACTCTTCGACCATATTTCGTGCCGATGGCGCCCGCCGAGATGGAAGCAACTATGGCACCCACCAGCAACACAGCATTCAAGGAGGTTTGTATTCGAGTTCGGATGTTGTATGAGTCAGTTCCTTCGTCGAAGTACCCGTAGTCCTTCAGGAAGCTTTTGGTCGTCAGCACTGCAAGATCCGACAGAGAACGGGACGCTGACCTGACCATGGCCTGGAAGCCACCAAGTTCGCCGCTGTCGATGCCAAAGAGGAGAGAACCACACATCACAAAACAGCATATCAAGATGGTCCTGATTTTGCTCCCCGAAGGGATCGCCGTTGTGGCGCTGGATTCTGGTGTGCTCATTTTCGAAGTTCAGGGAAGAGCTTGATGTCTCTTGCTGATGTTCTGCTGTTACATCTAGGTCTGGGGATCTCGGACCTTTTACGCAGCGACTTCTGTGGGGGAGCCAGGAAAAAGATTGTGAGTATTTAGACGTTCTGGCCGCGGCTCATCGCCGACGAGCCGCAGTCGATTGACCAATGTCGTCGCCTTCCCCAGTCTTACCCCGTATTACTTTGTGGGCCATGCCCTTTATGGCAAGCCTCTTGTGATTGCCTGGCCATCTTGGGGTTCTTAGCTCAAGCCTTGCGGTGTATCGCCGACCAACCGCAAAGTGCTCGCCAATGGCAGTTGATGTCTCAGAACCGAGTTGTTCTGCCGACTGCGACGCGTGCGGCGTGCCGATGAAGGAGAGGCACCGGCGGCCGCGACACATTTGCTCTTGCTGCGGTTTCCTGCCGATGAGCCGCAGTACATGCAGGATCTTGCTCGTGGCGCACCATTGCAAGGACAGCATCCTTTAGAGTGTACGTACTTATCGCGGTAAGTTGCACTGCAAGCAGACGATGAACAATTTCTTTTACAAATCTCCCTGTCCTACTTTATTGGGAACAAATACCGAAGTGGTCTCCTTGCCTCTTTCCCAGCACTCAAGCCACCGTCGAGGGGAGATACGAGCTATGGAAAACATAACACTTGACAATTTTCGAGAAAACTTCGCCTTCCGGGCCAGGGATGTGGACATCAATGGGTTTATATCGAAGCAGGGTGTGGCCAATTTCCTGGGTATTCCCTACGCCCAATTTCCCGCTCGATTCCGAACCGCCAGGCAGGCCGACCTTGGTCTCCTTCATGGACAGCTAGACGCATCGCGATATGGGCCTCGCTGTCCGCAAAAGACCGACAATATCCATCCCATGATGCATAACATGTTCGAGAAACTGTCGACATCGCAAAGGTGCGACGAGACCACTTGCCTACACCTCAACATTTATGCTCCACCAGAGGCTGTAGGTGTCACAGAGCACTCGAGTTTACCGGTCTTTGTGTGGATACATGGAGGAGGATTCAATAATGGGGACAACACGACCGAGTTTAGTGGGTTTCAGCAACCTGAGGCTCCCAGTTAATGGATTCATTACTGACTCGGGACTATAGATGGCAACCACCTTGTGCGGAGGTCAATGGACCTTGGAATGCCGATCATTATCGTGACCCTCAACTACCGTCTGAACGTTTTTGGCTTTTTGAGCTCGAGGGAGCTTGTACAAGAAGCGATATCCCTGGGTGAGGTTCCGATCCTGAATCAAGGCCTCAACGACCAGCGTATTGGCCTGGAGTGGATCCAAAAGTTCATTCATCATTTTGGCGGAGATCCTTCAAAGGTCACTCTGTCCGGCGAGTCTGCCGGAGCCGCTTCGACCTTCTGCCATCTGAGAGGCGGCCACGCGCTCTTTCAACAGGCCTTGATTCAGTCGAGTCCTAGACCTCGTCTGAGGACGTTCGAGGAGGCACAGGCTGCGTTCGATCAACTCGCCCGGTCGGCAGGTCTAGCAACCCAATCGGCAGGCACCGAAAAACTGGCTGGCCTGCGAGCCTTGTCCACAGATCAACTTCTTGAATTGTTCGACGGCAGCGTCTCACTGCCTATTGAGGACCCCAACTGGTTCGAACAGGGATCCCAGCAGGAGAAAAGCGAGTCACCCGCCTCCTGGAGTGATATGCCTAGATGGTGTTCGAGGATCATCATGGGCCACACAAAGGACGAAGCAGCACTCTTTCTGACACCTTTTCAGAATTTGCCGGATGCGGTGCTTATCGATCATGTGCGCAAACTGGCACCGGAAATCGCGGATGAAGCCCTGTTCTCCAAGGGCAAAGGCGCTTTGCAAGCACTTACCGAGTGGGCGACCGAGGAGACGTTTGTCAAACCAACAATCGACATGCTCTCGCAGGCCGCTGATCAGGGCACCACAGTATATGCGTATGAAATCTCCGTCGTGGACCCCTTCCCAGGTCCACTCCATGGGTACTCGTGGCACTCGTTTGGAGTACCATTGACGTTCTATGAACCTCCGGGACGAGTCTACCCCCGCATTAAGGCAACGCAAGAAAGGATGTCTCAAGCGTACATCAACTTCATCCATGGTCTAGAGCCATGGGAAGCGTTCAACGCTGGACGGCGAAAGATATGCTGGAATGGAGAGCAGACCCTCTTGGTGGACACTTCAACGGTGGAGAGGAGGGAGGAAGGGGACAAGGCGTTGAATCTTCCATGCAGGACCTCTGCAGAGACAGGGCTGGGGATTATTGCGGCGGCGCTGAAGATGCAGACATCCTAGGCAGAATGCTCCTGGCTGTCCACGGGTCAACCTCTTCCCAGTGTAGATTGCCGTCTCTATATGCACGAGGACCAACTTAGCGTCAAGGACATGATTCTCGTCAACCAGCACAGCGCTGTCGAATGTGATTCACATCTCGACCATCTTCCAAATCCATCTGTTCCTGTTCGTTGGTCTGTGGAGGTTTTGGGGGTCCATTAGATTTCCGTGAGCCACGGGCCTCGGCACGGTAGACGACAGAACGACTTTGCAAGGCTGAGGCCCCTGAGGCTGAACCACACCAGCATCCACCATGTAAGACGGGGGAGAGAGGCTGATGGCAGCAATACCTGGCGCTCCCTTCAATTGCATCGCCGTTGCAGTGCGACAGACTCTCCTGCTTTGTCTCGGAGGCCTCTTTCCGGGCAAACAGGTATATCTTGTCCGTGAGACGTTTGCCACTCGGACGGAATACAACACATCAACAGTGAGGGTGGATGTGACAATGTGGCCTGAGCAAACCTCCTCATAGCAAGCTAGAGTCTGGACCTACACTTGGGGCCTTGCCCTGTTGGCTGTTTCAGGTGGCGGCTGCTCAAAAGCTCGCAGACTGTGGTCCCTTTCCAGTCAGCGGCTCTTTTCGGGGCGATTGATCCAAAGCTGGAGTAGAGCCCTTTCCACAAAGCTCCATCATCAAGCAGCAACGACAACAACTTGTATACAGCTCCCTGCAATGGGGCCCACGTCAAACATCAGTGGCTTTGTCCCAAAATGCTTCCAAGAGTTCATTTCATGCGGTTTGACCTGGAGCAAGCGAAACATGGCCGCTGGACAAGCAAAGGCTTCTTGTTCATGCGCGTCTCGTGTCCGCCATATTATCCACAAATGCCCGGGGTGCTCATACAAAGCAAACAAATTCCCGCTTGCAAGGCTGGAGATGGAATATCTAAGGACCAAAATGGAGTGGCACCTCCTCACATCTGACAGTGCATCTCCGTCTTTCGCGCAGCTGTGTTCCATCTATTCCGTCAAGTTTGCACCTGGGTTCCGTCCGCATCAGATCAGCTTTTCCCCTCCCAGACGGGCTCGCTTTCCACCCATCCAACAGAACCATAGTCGACTCTGGGTAGATCAAGACCAACCCCTTCTCATCCACCCGACCACCCAACGATACAGAAGCACAGAAGCATCCAAGCAGGGATGACTTCCACCGACGAAGCGCAATCGGCGAGTACAGCAGCGGCAACATCACTGACCGGGTCACAAGGGGATGGACACCTAGAATACTAGCCCCCAAATTCACTGCATATTGTCTTGTCTGTTCGAGACGACCCTCCTAAGGAGAACGACTTTCACTAGGCTCTCTACCACCGCAATCACGCCAGTAGGACGAAATACAACCTCAAGGCCTTCGGCAGTGGCTGGATCGCGCATCGTACTACGAATGAATGCGTGGGATCAATACATCTTTGTGTGATCATCCAGATAGGGAACATCCCGGCGGGAAGAGTGGCAGCACTCGACCAAATCATACGAAGCTACGACGGCAGCATCAACTCCATTCCTGAGGTCGATTCTCGTGTATGGCTATTACGTGTTCTCGATCTCCTAGCGCAGGCAGGGTTGGTTCGCTGCGACGACGTGGAGGCATTGGTAGCAGAATGCACGAGCATTGGGAACCAGCATATTCACACCATTGGCCAGGGAGACGACGCTCGCCCCATTGTCTCCTCCACGTTGTGCCATCTTGACAGCCAATGAGCGGCGCATAGTGCTGGTCCGGCCGAGGGTTACAGACTTCGATTGGATACTACTGAAGCTGTCGGGACACTGGGAAGGTTGAGGAGAAGCGTTGGGCTGGACTGTCTGCCATTTCTGACTGGCAAAATAGGGTTGAAGGACTCGCGAGATGTGACTGTGAGGATGTAGCGGCGGCGGTAGCTTCGTTGTTGTTGTTGTTGTTGTTGGAACCCATCCGTCTTGGTGAGAGGAAGGAGACATGTCACCTCTAGCTAGGGAACGAGGAATGAAAGTGTCTTGGTGGCGAAGCCGTTGTTGAGTATCTGACTGATTCCCAGGGTATTGTGGAGAGGGCACTCTGTGACCCGACTATCTCGTACTTATCTGCGAGGTACACAGAGAGGAAAGATGTACCTTCGGGCTAGCCCAGCAAGGGCGTACATAACGGCCTCACGAGTAGGAGTCCACCGTCAGCCTATCCAAGGCTCTGTCGCACTCCATTTCCTCCAGATACTCGTTTCCGCCGAGAAAAGAAAGAACTTGCCACCACCAAGAACCCCGACCCCGCCTCATGATGGTCGTAAACTCCCAGTACTCGGGATACCACCCCGCGCTGTCCCAGTCCAGAAACCCTGATAAGCTGCCGTGCTCGTCGATCAGAATGTTAAGGGAGTGGAGATCGCCATGAGTAAAGCAAATCCGATGCGGAAGGGTGGTGAGGATTTTCCTGGCTTCGACCACCGTCCGGTCGTAATCTGCCCTCGACTCGAAGCCGTGGCTTGAGCAGGCGCTCAAGAGATAGTCGTGAAGTTCCCTTTCGGTCTCAAAAGGGCCCATCTTGTTGAGTGGAATCCGAGCGCCCTGGATCCGGGTGCCCATCACGGAACAGATGCGCGATTCGTTGGACCAACCATTGGGCCGCCATGTACGCATCACCTTCAAGCTGCGGGCCAGTTCATCCACCCAGGGGACCTCGAGCTCGGGGTCGAAGCTTCGGGGCATTTTTGACGGAGGCTTGCCTGGCAGACGGGTCATGAGGATCGAGACTGGTGACTCATGTCCTGGGGTTTCTCCGTAACACAGGACCCTGGGGGCAGGCATGCCGGCAGCATGCACCACTGCGTGGCGATGACCTCTTCGATGCGCACATGTGGTGCCCATTTCAAGATCAGGCCAAAAGGGAGCTCGTAGGTGGATTTATAACCTAGATGTTTAAGGCCGAACCAGGAGGCATAGACGTAGGAGAAGTGAAGAAGTTGTCGATGGACAAGGCCCCAGAATCGTCGGACAAGGGGATGCGTGACCTTGGGGACAGCAGGAGTCTCCTCGGATATGGCTCGTATGGATCGAGGCCAGGTGAAGTCCGGTCGCAGAATACGAGGAACCCATGATTTGCCCATGATACGAAGGATGATTATCAGGTCAATTAAAGTTGGCCGAGAATTTGCACTCCAACTTCCATTCTCCCTTGTCGCCGCATATATACCATATATTTCCATGGGCGCGCCAGCGCAGGGCTTGACGAATGCAGCAACAAAGCAAAGCATTTCGGCGTCTGGCCGTTTCCGGGAAGGGTGAGAGAGGTTCAATGCGCAGGAATGCGCGAGGCTGGGGTCGGAAGTTATGTAACCCTGGACATTTTCCTCAGTGTTAACACGGCTGCAAGGGAAGTTCTCTCTTGCGGTATGTCTGACGCACGATGCACCTGCGAGGGAGAAGCTAATGAGAGGCCAGGTGGACAGCAGAGCGCAACATTAAGGTGATTTTACCAACGGCATTCTGGTCCCTGTCCCCACCGGGGATTCTCGACATGCGAAATGCCGCACGGTCCCATAGAAGGTGCAGTATCACAGGCTGGAGCATTCCTGCTGAGGGGTGTCAGCGGCTTGTTGGGGGGCTGTTTTGTATGGTTCGTACCTTCTTGCATTCGAGCACGGGGTGTTGGACTTCGGCCAGTTCTGGCTCTACCTCCTCGAGGCGAGAGACATTCCCGATAAGGTACCATTCAAAGAGCTTCCTGGGTCATTTGTCTCTCGAAGCGTGTCTGGCCTGGAACAAAGGAAAAGCAGATCAAACGCCTGGGCCGGTGGCCAGAGCAGGAGGGATGTTCCGTGTTTTGAATTCCCGAGCTTTTGTTCTTTTAACCCATAGCTACCTAGAAACGCATCGAGCCTGTGAGAACATAAAGTCGCGCTGTTTCAGCCGCCGTGGTCGGTCATCGGACGGTCTGTTTTGCAGTGGAAGGGTGACAGGCTTTTCCGTGCTGCCTGGTAGAGTCGAGAGAAACTCGAGCGGCGTACCGAGCAGGCTTGGAGAGGAGCATCGACCAGGCACTTGTGGTCCAACACCATGGTCTATGGTACATTCTGATGTTTCCAGAGCTGTGTCTAGTTCGATGTTTTGTCTATTGCGACGTTTTAGGGCACGATGCTCACGGGAAAGTAGACTTGGTTATGTTGTCGATGTTGGTGGAAATGCATGTGTATTTCTCCTCCACCAGGCCGAATTTAATTTGTAACCCCAGATTTATATTCGACCCAACCACCAACACAACCCGCCACCACCACTTCCGCCCAGTTAGTCCTGGAACGTGTCCCAGACTCTCGACTCACTCATGGCTCACTCACAGGGTGTCAAGCCGGTCTATATTCCTTCGGACCTCTGGGGAATCTGCCCCAATACCATCAGATGCATCCTGACCAGCCGTGCATGAAGTCGTCCGGCACTCCCGGCACGGACCCATAGCGAACCACATCTCTCAGACAGACTGGGGACGAGGGAACAACGCACACTTGTATGTGCCAGAGCCGACCAACAAGCAGTCTGAGCCGGATGTCAACAAGTTACTAGATAACCTGCCGCGGACCATGTCGATCTCGTCAGGTCACAACGGGAGCCGGCGAGTGTGGAAGTGGCAGCGTTTGGTAGCGTCATCGGCAGCTCGTTCCAGGACATAGAGATGACTCTCTGGTTCCGGTCTGCAGGCGAAGATTCTTGGATGACCTGGTAGACTACATACACCAGTAGACGCCAAAAAAAAAACCAGTTCCATTGCACTCGAGGGCCTTCGTCTTTGCGGCTGACTTCCCCATGAATGCTCCAGCATGAGAAAGAGCCAGAGACGTGAACCCGCCCAGCTAGTTCCAGAGATCCGAGTCTTCCCAATTGGCCAAAGATCACCTCGAAAGCAAGGGGAATACACGTGCATGGCAAGATAGTCAACCAAGCTTGTCTTCAAGGAAGTTGACCTTGGTCGAGGATGATAGGGGAGACGAGGAAGCTGAACCGTGATCCTCGGTACAGGTTTTGGTCAAGGGGGACGCGGACAGATACAAATCGATTTGAGGCAAGAACATCTCCGGCATGACCCTGAGCCTATATACAAGCTGGTCTCGCCTCGGGCGTTAAGAGCGAGAATGCCTCACAGAGAGGGACGGAACAAAGACATCGGGGTTTGTTATTCATAAATTCGACTGCGCATCCAGGACAGACGCGCTGAATGCCTGCTAGGTGTTCGTCGTCCCTGCTCAAATGCATTTGGCAAACAAAAGGGTGCCCCTGTATTTTCTGATTTTGTACAATCCATTTCCGCGCAGGCTGCCAACCCATGGCGAAACTCACATCAACAAAGAGATTATGCCAGAAGCATCTTCCGCGGATCTTCTATGTATTCCTACCGTACGTTAGAGACAGTAACAAGCAGACAGAATCTATCGTGGCTTACCTTGATCTTCACCAAGAATGTGACCGCCTCTCTTCCATCCAACAAACGATGGTCGTAAGTGAGTGCAAGATACATCATCTAAGCAAGGTTAGTACCTGGTCCTCACCGAGTCAAGGTGAACCTACCGGTCTGATCTCTATTTTGCCGTTAACGACCACCGCTCGCTCCTTGATGGCATGCAGCCCGAGCACCGCGGTCTGAGGCAGATTGATAATTGGCGTTCCCATCATCGACCCGAAGACGCCGCCGTTGCTGATGGTGTAGGTACCTCCAGCCATGTCTTCGATGGTGAGCTTTCCGTCGCGAGCCTGAACCCTAGGTTAGTAGCAGACTTGGACACGGGGCGCTGACTACTTCACCTTCTTGCCTAAATCCGCAATGGCTTTCTCAATCTCAACCATCTCCATACTCTCAGCATTTCGAACCACAGGCGTCACCAAGCCTTTGGGTGTAGCCACCGCAACGCTGATGTCCACAAAGTCTCTGTACACGATGGTGTCGCCACCTCCTGGACCCTCAATAGATGCGTTGACAGTGGGAACTTCTCTCATGGCCAGAATGCTAGCCTTGGCAAAGGCGCTCATGAAGCCAAGTTTGACGCCAGTGTTCTTCAGGATCTCATCCTTGTACTTCTTCCGGAATTCCATGATGTTGGACATGTCCACCTCATTAAACGTGGTTAATGATGCGGCGGTGTTTTGGGACTGCTTGAGACGCTCCGCGATTCTCAGACGCATGCGGTTCATTTTGACCTGAGCCAAGTTAGCTTCCATAGACCAGATATTGCCGTATTCATCCCTACTCTGTTTTCGTTTCTCGTGCCCTTGCCGAATGGCGACTCGATCCCAGCTTTTGAATCGTCCGATTTTTTCTCCTCTTTGGGTGGCGGAGGAGGCTTCTTCTCTTCCTTGGGCGGAGCAGGCTTTTCCTCCTTCTTGGGGGGAGATGGAGGAGCTTCTTCCTTCTTCGGCTCCTCCTTCTTCGGCTCAGAGTCTGAGCTTGTGGGTTGCTCTTTTGAGGCAGGTTCCTTAGGTTCTTCCTTTGCTTCTTTAGCGCCTCCACCGCCTGCACCAGGTTCAAGCTTTGCAATTTCCTGTCCGACAGTCACAGTGTCTCCCTCGTTGACCAGGAATTCCTTTATCGTGCCAGCCTCCGGAGCATTGACAGAGACGTCAATCTTGTCTGTCTCGATAGACGCAATCTCCTCGTCTTGCTCGACGTAATCACCCACTTGTTTTGAGAAACTGCTGAGGGTACCTTCAGAAATGGACTCCGCCATCTGGGGCACTTTGACAACCGTTTCGTAGCGAGAGGGGGAGGTACTGAATTGCTGATACCTCGAGAGGGAGGCGTATGTAGGCACGATGGACGGCCGCAAGCTCGAAATGCTGAGTTGCCGAGGCGCAGACTTCGACCTGAGAGCACTGAAGGTGCGGGTACGTAGAGACGGACCACATTTTGGCAGTGCAAGCGCTGAGCCCAAGGCTGGCGTCCGTCGAAGCCGCAAAGAGGCCATATCGGAAGTTGGTCTGGCGACCGTGTTACAAGAAGTCAAGAAGGGCAGTCGATGCTCCAGAGAGCGAAGGAGCTCAAGGCTGTAGCATGCGAGGCGGATACACCGCCACTTTGTACAGAAGAGAATGAGAGGAAAGCAGAGAAGCGAAAGCACTTCCTGACTGTATGTTGTCACTTCAGAAGAAAAGAGGCGGAGGGATCGACCTCTGGGTTCGTAGACTGGAAGGGAAAGCTCTTTCAGAGCTCTAATTGGACTGCGCTGGGCATACGCACCGACTGACGTCCGGATGCAAAAGTCGCGCAGGCGGAGTCGGCTAGATGCTCCACCCTGCTCCCATTAGAACTGCACCCAGAGAGGGCAGCGAGAACCGGGACAGAGCTTCGACGCCAAGCCTGCGCCAGGTGCAACTGCATCTCCAATCGACTCATCTCAATTACACACTCAACGGAGGCTTCAACAAGAAGTCAAGCGGTCGACATACACACAGAAGTGTCAGGCTGGAAATCCGGGGGAGCAGCTGGCTGTGCACGACTTGTCTGTGGCAGTTTACCTTCTATTGATCGGGCGAGTGTCTGAGGGCATCCAAGGGCCGTCCAGAATGGCATCTCCCAGTCCTCACGTCAAGGCTGTCCAGTGAGTGCTTCAAAGAATAGAAAGTCACACTCTGTTTGCCAACTTGCTCACCCAATCGTCATCAGACACCTCTACCGGCGGTCGCTGAAGCTTGCACTTGACTGGGCCGTGCAACGAAACCTCTGGCGCGGCCAGGCAGTATATATCCGGTCACTTTTTGACGCGAACAGAAACATCACAGATCCAAGGCAACAAAGAGTACGCAGACACCCTCTTCGAGCCGAATCTGGCGCTCACATCGGGGCACCTGGCTGACATGTGGTGGAACCAGATCCTTTTCAACGAAACAGAAAAGCTGCTACAGAAATGGAAGCATCCTGACCCTTACAGACCACCAACTGCTCCAGGAGGTAAGGATTGCCACAGGATCTATTCAGTACAGTCGCTCATCTCTCGTGTTTACAGGCTCGAAATATGAACGAAATCTGCCAGCTCCAGACTTGCCGGCGCCGTCAAGGGAGTTTGTCAAGAGATTATGAGGTGGCCTGAGGTGTCGTGGATGGATGAAGTCCTTGTACATACTGTCGCAAACAGCGGAAGAAATGCCTAGTTCACCACAAAGGACGGCTTGCGAAGGGAGCTCAAGAGAGCTTGAACCTACGAAGTCTCGTCCGATCCTATTTCTCGAGAATTGAGCCGCCGAAAGCGTTTATGCAATTCAGCCGATCTACGCTTTCGTGGCGAGCTGCTCGCGCTCCCATTTCTTGTCAGAATTGATTTCCATATCGCCCCATCTGGTTGCGGACATCATCCACACGCGTTTTGAGCCCAGCATTTTGTTTACATTGCCTCTCCTGTGTCAAATCCGCGTATCAGCTCGTCTTCTTAATCATGCCTCATCGACTCTGAAATCATTACTTTGGTTTCTTGCAAGTTGTCCGAAGGCAGAAGAGCAGTCAAAAGAACAAGTTTGTGAATTGCCATGAGTTTCGATCATTAAATTTGCTGTCTAATGACCATTTGCAAAGCCGTTCGCTTTGCCGTTTGCATGTCTCATGCCCCGTCTTGCATTCCTATCCATGTTCGTGATGATAGTAGGCATGCCATGAGCATAATGTACACAACCCTGCCGTCCGATGATAAAGCACAAACTCTGAAAACAAGGCCTGTGAAACCTGGCCAGCCCAACCCCTGAAACCCCACGTTGTGATCGCATTTGTCGTGAAACTCCCTTTCAAAACCCAGTCCAGAAAGAATTTGCAGAATGAGCTTACAGCTCTTGGCTGGGGTTCTTGCCCTTGGCAGTCTTCTTTGGCAGCAAGTCTGTAAGAGTCAGTATCGTAGGTCAATGTGGCGAAAAGTTGGGAGGACGTACTCTGGTGAATGTTGGGCAAAACACCACCCTGGGCGATTGTAACGTGTCCAAGCAGCTTGTTCAACTCCTCATCGTTTCGGATGGCCAGTTGGAGATGACGAGGGATGATACGGGTCTTCTTGTTGTCACGGGCGGCGTTGCCGGCAAGTTCGAGGATTTCAGCGGCAAGGTATTCAAGCACAGCGGCAAGGTAGACGGGAGCACCAGCCCCGACACGCTGAGCATAGTTGCCCTTTCGCAAGAGACGGTGGACACGGCCGACAGGGAATGCAAGACCCGCCTTTGAGGATCGGCTGCGGAAGAATTAGCACCATGATTCAACAGAGACAGCTGGAGTGACAACACGGCGCAGGCTCCAGACGAACACCACGCATAGAATTCAAAGTGATACAACAAGCTGGGAGAAGATGGCAACTTACGATTGAGCGCTCTTGGAGCCAGAGGCTTTGCCACCAGATTTTCCGCCAGTCATTTTGATTGAGTGGATGGGATTGGGATTGAAAGTTGGAAAGCGTTTGTGAAATGAAGTTGTGATGGGATGCTGTGTGCAAATGCGCGATGGAAACTTGGGTTGACGATGGATGAAAAGAGAGAAGGAAGCGATGATGGAAGGTGGGAGGGAAGGGCTGTTATAAAGGAGTGAGGATGGGCGGGCGATGCGGGTGGTGGGCAGTTGAGTCGCGCCTCCAGATCAACCTTGGAGAACTTGTGATGAAAGGTGCCGCGAGAGAGGAGTGCTCTGGATCACGGAGCCGGGGTCTGGCCAATCGCCGCGCGAGGACGGGAATGATCAAAAATGACTTTTCTGGTGAGTTTGACAATACACGCCAGCATTACATCGCGTTACCATATCTTTCCGCCAAGAAGTGTGATCCTGCATTTTGACTGGTTCAAAAATCAACAAAATCGACACAATAACAATACGCCGGGAAAATCGCGCAATTTGTTACCTGGATCAACCTCCAGGAGCGACCGCCTGCGTCTGCCACCTCGCATCAACCCGCGCCCTCCTCCTCGCACTTGCGCCTGGTATAAGAGTCGCCGTCACCCACCTTTCACACTTCCATCTTTCCTTCCTTCTTCATCCATCCATCACTCATCACGCACATACGCTTCCATCAATCAATTTCATCCCACATACTTGTTCCATCCATCGTCGCTTTTTGCGCAATCGAATCAATCACCAAAAATGGCACCAAAAGCTGCTGAGAAGAAGCCCACCACTGGTGGCAAGGCCCCCGCTGGAAAGGCTCCTGCTGCCGAGAAGAAGGAAGCTGGCAAGAAGACCGCCGCTGCCCCCTCTGGTGACAAGAAGAAGCGAGGCAAGACGCGAAAGGAGACCTACTCCTCTTACATCTACAAAGGTAAGATTTCAATCCCCACGCGAATCACCCCTTTCGCCTTCTCAATACTGACGCGTTTCTTCAGTCCTCAAGCAAGTCCACCCTGACACCGGTATCTCCAACCGTGCCATGTCCATCTTGAACTCTTTCGTCAACGGTAAGCAAACTGCGCCTTCGGCAACAATTACGTGGTCTAACGTTTGTTTCAGACATCTTCGAGCGTGTCGCCACCGAAGCCTCCAAGCTTGCTGCCTACAACAAGAAGTCCACAATCTCCTCCCGAGAGATCCAAACATCCGTCAGACTCATCCTGCCTGGTGAACTCGCCAAGCACGCCGTGTCCGAGGGTACCAAGGCCGTGACCAAATACTCTTCTCAAAGCAAGTAATTGGTTTCAAGTTTGTGGGGGTGATTGGTTCTTGGTTGGCTTTTGCGTGTCTTTTCTGCAAATGGGGTTGTGGGCACAAATGGAACAACGGTGTTGAAATGGGTTTTTGTCAACACATTACGATGCGTCATGGGAATCGGGGATTATTGACAATGTGATGAGCTGTGCACGGTCATGCTTGCTCATCAACAGCAATCATGCTTTACGAGTCTCTACTGAGAGAAGCTTTCGCGCTATGTACAATATTCACCACGCTGAAGCATGAAGTTTCAGATCTCCAGACTGGCTGGGTTGTGAGACATTCGAATTGAAAGCATGAAATCAAACCGTCCTGACTTCAATCTTGTCTTGGTTCGCGCCGCATTGGACTCCTTGCGTGAAATCTAGACGGTCATAGCTCAGAGTTCCAATGTTTTGGTACGCGTTTATGGAGTTGCGCGCTAGAGGCGCCACATATTCAACATGGACCACGTGAAGATAAACAAGGACTGTTGCCCAGAGCGTGTCTCACAATATTGTTTGAGACTCTCGCGGGAAAATAGTGTGTGTTCGCGCGGTGAAACAAGCAAAACATTGATCTTGTTGGGCAACTGCCGCCCGTACAGGCGGTCATACTTTTCTCCCGAGCACGACCAAGTAATGTACTCCAATTCACAATTCCGACCCAGCAACACCGACGAGATGGAGGACAACACTCGGCTGTCGTACAGTCTTTGCCCATTCTCCCTTGCTAACGACCCAGATACTCCCAAGGCGTCCCATAGTCATTAGCCGTATTAGTACTCCGTAGTTGAACTCTTGTCATGCATAGCATCGTACTCATCATCACGCAGACAGGCGCGTCTTTGTGCGGTCAGGGCATGTGGACTCTTTCCGCAGGACTGTCAACCTTGACGGGATGTCTCGGGCCATCGAGTCCAGCACGGATTGCATCGCTTTGCCCATCTCCTTCTGCTTCGCGGTCGACTTTGACACCATCTTCGTCGCCCTCGCCCTCGGGTTTAGCTTGTTCATCCTCCTTCCCCGTGACAGTAACTGTCTCATCATCCTCGTCCTCGTCATCGAATGTCTGCACCTCGTCCACAGCCTCCTTCCTCTCCTTCGTTTCACCAGGCACCGGCGGCTCCTTGTCAAAGACGGACACAATCGCCTTGCCCTTGACCTCCTTTATCCTCCTTTTCCAATCGTCCCAATCTTGTTCGTCCTTGATGAGAAAGCCGATAAGCATAGATGGATCCATCTCGCTTATCCTCAGCCCACGAAGACGGCGCGTATGGCAGGTGGAGATTTCCTCGTCGGTGTATTCGTTGGGGTCAGAGTGATGCTGCAGAGCTGGCCGGGTCTCATGCGGGTCGAGGTAGAAGAAGAGGTCCCCTTGACAGCCAATAAAGTAGTGTGAGGAGGACGGACGGCCACCCGCAATACCAATCGACTGAGGGTATGTGAGGCTGCTTTTGAGAGCTTCATGGTAGACGGGTGTAATTCGGTCCAGTCCTAGTCTTATTCCCAGAAGTATCAACGTAGGTCTAATGCTGAGATCTGTGGCAGAAGCGCGGGCAATGTTGCGGAACTTGTCTTCGTACACCTCGCTCGCGGATGGTGTCACGTAGACTCGCAACCCTGCAGCAGCGCATTCGGCAGAAAGCTCTTTGATGCATGAAGCTGTCGCGGAAGGCCCGAACCATTGGCCTGGATGTGTGCCGCAGGCGGATGCGCCGTGTTGGACGAACCGGTGAATGGAGAAGGGGGCGAGGGGGGAGTCGGCGAAGAGGGAAAGGATGGAGGCCTCGCCTTGCGTTTGAGTGAAGGGAGGTGGGTCGACGTAGGGATCGCTGGAGGGAGACGAGGTACGATTGGTATATGTGTGTGGTCGGCGCCAGTCCCGGCCCAGATGGAGCATAACCAGTGCGTTCGCCAAAAGAGATTGTCCCGAACGGATCATACATCCCCAACCTGTGTCGCTACTGAAGCCATCCCTCTCAGTTAGATTGCGTAGGCGAACGGACAGGGATAAGGATACACTAGAGCCAGGCTCTTGCGATCGAGGAATGGGCGTAAAGTTGGAACGGTAGGTCATCCATATCCGCGATTCGAAGTCGTCGAGAAATGTGATGGGCCATCCTCGATCGGAAGGGTCGTTCGATAGTGACGGGAGGTTGTTTCCTCCTGTCACATGCTGAGCATCATCAAAACTGCTGGTATTCTGCGATTGAGGTTCATGAGGCTGCTGTTGTGTGGGTTGATCTGTTGTGGACGACAGTGCACTTGCGTCAGAAGGGTCGTGGGAATCTGTGGAGGACTCGACTTCCACCACATCGTCGTGATCCGTTGTTGTTACCGGCTTCGGCGGTGCAGGCTGATACTCTTTCCCCAGCAGCCATATGGAAGTGCCAGACAGGTCATCGTACTTTGGTGGAGGGTCATAGAAGTAGCGCACAAAGCGCTTAACGTCGACGCCATTCATGACGTCTTGGGCCTGGAAAGGGAGAGGAATGCTCTGAAGCCCAGAGGATATTGCATATAGGAGAGCGCCAAACGGTGTGAGCGCTTGAGTGGGGAATCGGCTCGTTGGTGGGAGCAGGATCAAAGAGTCATCGTCCCTCTGCTTGAACCCAGGTAGGATCGGTGACGAGTCTCGGGATTTGGAGGTGTGCCGGGTTGCAAACAGAACTCGGAGGGATTCCAGATTGTCGACGTCTAGGCAGAGAGCTCGTGCTAGTGACGCTTTCTGGGGCGGTTCTAATGATAGTATATGGTATAGTGAAGCTGCTGCTGAGACTGTGGCGCGAACGGAGAGGCGAGGTAGACTTACACCGCAGTCAGAGTGCAGGCGTACAGTGGAAGCCCGTCGGACGTCAGCCTTGCTAGGGGACATCACCAGGCTTGGTCCAGGGTGGATTTGCTGATTCGATCGCCCTACCAAGTAGGTGCCACCAGCGCAGAAGGTGAAGCGTGACTGGTGGGATTTGCGGGCGCGTTTCTGCGAATCGTCACTCGGCGTAGGACAGCACCCCCGATTCTTCTTTCAAAGACTGAGACATGACTCTTCATCTGTACGCACGATTCACACCTACACCCGCAGAGTCGATTGCTGGTATTCAATCTTCTGTATTTCTATCCTGTTGGCTCTATGATACTCGCTTCTTGGCAACAATTACTGCCTAAAGCCCACTGTCGGAGGAGGGGCAACTCGCCTCATTGCGTGACACCCCGCCCAACATGGGTCCTCGTCAACGAGCGCAAGCTCGAAAGAAACGCAATGGCGGACAGCAGAATCACTCACCATCGCCATGGCGACATGGTCAGTCAGGCTCTTCCAAAAAAGGTACCGCAAACGCGAGCCTCCGCCTGTGCCTTTAGCTTTGCGTCCTGACAAGATGACCCAGTGCCTGCTCCCTTCCACCGCAACCTTCTGCACGACTGGCAGGATTTCTCAGACTCAAATTCTCCTCATCCTCCCCACTCGATGTTGAGTATGACTCAAACAGCTAGGAATACTGAGCGTCATGCCATGTCCTGGGGTTCTACACGCCTCAGGGAACAGAGGATCACTTTCATCAGTGCCGGAGATCTGAAGCAAGAAGACATAGACGAAGTCGCGAAGGACAACGAACAAACACAGAAGGAAGCAACATCATCTGAAGAAACCTCAGACAAGCAAGCACAACATAAGGAGATTGTCCCACATGTGTCAGAGAACGAAGATCCCATTAATCACAATAAGAGTCCAGTCAGGTCTAGTGTCCGAGAGCCCCGTGCAAGGAAAGACTCTGTTTCGTCGCAATCATCCGAAGAGATCCTTTTTGCAGGCCGAAACAACCCTCCAGCAAAAATTGTCACAAATGCGTCGGTTCCCAGCTCAGAGCCTACGGTTCCCCCGGAACCCAGAATTGCTGAGACAAAGCCTCCACCTCAGAGTTCTCCCGCGGCCATTGGGCTCACCACCCGCGATTCCAGTTCATCTGGTTTGGACAAATTCAAGAACATTCTGCCTCCGCCCCGAAACCAAGCCTTCGACCGACGTGGTCGTCTTCGAGGTCGACCCGAAAGCCTGCAGAAAAGAGAAGAGGAAGAAGCCATCATTAATGATTACATTGCAAACCTAGCGGTCGACGACGACAGCGACGAGGACGAAATTCCTGAAAGCAAGCACTCGGTCAAAGCTGGAAGGAGAACTGAACATTTCCGATTCTTTGATGGCGCCACTGAGCAAAAGGTTCACCTGCGGCCCCAAAAACCAAGTAAATCTGTCAGAGAATCTACCGACGTCAACCAAGCGATCGATTGGAACTCAAGTGATCTGCAAGATTTCGACGACTTCAGCACTACAGACGAGGAAATTGTTGAGGTCAGCCATGTTTTACGATATCGCATACGTCCAACCGGTCCGCAGTATCTCGTCAGCCCCCTTGGCAAAGACTCTAATGATCCTCGGTGGGTTCCACATGGAAAGTTGACCTCGGCCTCTGCTGTCGACGAGATCCGCATCTTTGAAGAAATTAGGAGAATGAGAATCCAAGAGTTTATAGGAGACTCGGGCGACCCGGAGTCGTCGGACGCCGACGAGCTTTTGGATGATCTTGATGACGACATGGAATCCGAGAACGAGGAAAATGACCGCATACTCGAGCGTACTGCGCGTATGACAGATGAGCAGATCGCCCGAGCATTGGCAAAGCAAGAAGAGCTGGGCATGGGTGGCGACGAGCTGCTCTTGTTCGACGGGCAAGTTGTGGAAGACGACGAGGTCAATAATGATGATGATGATGATAATGATGACAACGACGACGATGACGATGAGTTTGCAGCTGGCGATGGCTTCATCCCGTTTTCTTCGAAGAAGCATATTTCCAGCCGCGTCAAGTCAAAGAAAAACAGGCGTGAGCGCGATACTTTCCCATCTGCAACAGCTTTCGCCGATGCTCTTGACCAGGATCCATACGGTGCGTTCGACATTATGGATTTTGATCGACCCAGTCTCCGACCTAAGAAGAAAGGACGTAAGTCGGACTTGCCTTTTGAACTCGGTGTCGAAGATGAGGAACTGGCCGAGCGACTGCGCAGCACCTGGAACAAAGACCGGGAAAAGAAGGCGGCCCGCAAGCGCGAGAGACTAGAGGAACGTGAGGCCGCGCTTCTGGAAGCGTCCGAACGCAATCACCCCGTCGCTATCAAAGCAGAAATCCGACAATTCCTAATTGAGGAAGTCACGACGCTGAAGTTGGCCCCAATGGATGCAGCAACTCGTGCTTCTGTCCATCGGCTTGCCAAGTCGCTCAAGTTGAAGTCAAAGTCAGAGGGTAAGGATGGCCACGGCACAGGGCGCTACCCTGTTCTGACCAAAAGTCCGCATACCCCGAGATACACGATCGACACCGTCTGGGAGATTGACGCCTTGATGAGCCTGAGAAAGTTCTTCCCGAAGGACCGAATTAGTTCCTACAAGTCTCGCGTTACTGCAACATCTGGCTCCGCGAGAACTAGGAGAGGAGGCGGTGGAGCCGCGTCAGGTGCCACGTACATGAATGGTGATATTGTCGGTGCTTCTGCCCCAGAGCTCGGCGCCAACAACAAAGGTCGCGCGATGCTTGAGAAAATGGGCTGGGTCGAAGGCGTGGGACTAGGTGCTGTGGGAAACAAAGGCAGTCTCGAGGCTATCAAACATGTCGTAAAGACCACAAGGGCTGGACTAGGTTGATTTCTTGGTCGGATTGTCTACTGTTGGACTATCACCATCTAAGCTGGTGCTGGCAGATACTGATGGTTCCGGTTTATGTGCCTCGCGCACATGTGCAGGGCATTCTGCAAGAGTTTCTGCCTACGGCTTAGCCTCGAAGAAGACACAAGTAGAATAGCTAGCGGCTCGTGGAGAGAGACCGACTGTACGGCAGCCTATTCGTATTATTATTTGTCGCAGGAACAACACCAACCAATGGAACGGCTGCGAATACGGCGGCCTGCCATTTTCAGAAGATGCCCAGTTGCGAGCCACTCCAGCACAATGAAACCTTCACAGTAGTTTTGACAGATGCTCGAAGCTTCAGCTACCGTGCCGCAGGGTATAAAGCAAGCCCCAAGGACGTCGGAAACATGTCAATCCTCAAGGCGCCTTCACTTCATACCGACACATTCAACTCCAATCCTCCATGATGAACATTGTAATTGTCGGGGCCGGCATCGCTGGTCTAGCCTCAGCATTGGCTACCACCAAATGGCTCCCCGAAATGCCGCACGTTACCATTGTTGAAATTCGCCCGCGGCCGTCGACAATCGGCGGCGCTGTTGGACTGACACCGAATGCCCTGCGCTGTCTGCACCACCTCGGAGCGCTACCACAGATTCGAGCAAGGCGGCTGGGGGTCGACATTGATAAGATCGAGCTGTTCACAATCTACACCGGCGCCAGACTCGGCGAGATCACCTTCACCGGCGACAACGGGGCCGGAGTTGGCGATCCTGCCTTCAAGGGCCTCAGAATCCCACGCGCGGACTTGGTCCAGTCGCTTACGGAGACTGTCCAAGCACTCGAGAACGTCAAACTGGAGTATGGCTGCAAACCAGTCCACATCGTTGAGACAGACAATGAGGTGACGGTTCGGCTGGACGACGGTCAGACACTAAGCGCAGATTTAGTCCTTGGGTGCGACGGCATACATTCTTTCGTCAGGACCAGCCTTGTCGACAAGGAGAGAAAACCTCTGTACACGGGCATAGCAGCGGTATTTGGGTTTGCGGACCTGGAGGAAGGAGCAAAAGTCCCCTGGAAAGACACAGGATTGTGCCAGTCGCAGCGCGGCAGTCTCATGACCACCTACTACGAGCCGACTAGGAAGAAGCAATTCGTGGCAGCCATCACCGAGACCGCGGACGTTGCGTCAAGAGAAGGTTGGCTGGCTCGTGGCACGGAACAGAAGCGGATTGAGGAGGACGTGAAAAGTCGATTTGGGGGCGGTGCCATCGAATTTCTCGATCCTCTCATCTCAGCAACGGATCATTGGACCCTCTACCCTGTCTATAATCTCGCTCCACGGGGTAACTGGTGCTCGAAACGCAGCATGCTACTAGGAGATGCCGCACATGCAATGCCGCCGCAAGGTGAAAGTACAGCATATGCCTTGGAAGATGCCATCTTGTTTGCCCGAGCCATGGAATCCAAGTTTGACGGTGGACTGGACGAAGTCTTCCGCACATACCAAAATATCAGGAGGGTAAACATCGACCGGGCCTACGACGAGGCCGCCTTTGGCTGGGGAACACAGAAAGATTGTGGCTGGCTTACGTTCTTGCTGAGGAGCTGGATGACAAGGGCCTATTTGTGGTGGACCGCCTCTGCAAGGCAAACGAGATATCGTGAAGACGTGGCCACCATGGTCCTGGACTAAGGTGCCGTCTGGATATCCTAGGATGTCCCCATTGCGTAAGAACCAAGGAGCAAGCTGGCCGTGAAACCAATTGCAGGAGAAATCCCTCGGTCATTTCGCCCAAGCTGCCTGGTTGTCGACGAGATTATCGACAAGATAATCAGCACGCTCAGACCGAGGACGGGATCGAGTTTCAGGATAGATTTGACCATGCCTTCAAGGGATTGGTGGATCTGGCTGGGTGGGAAGCCTTCGCCTTTAGCCAGATCTCGCCTCTCGAAAACCGTCTGGGGTCTCAGCCTTGGGGCTGCCGAATGCATCGAGTCCATGGGGCGCCATGTTTCAGGACAGGGATTCTATGCACGCTGGAGATTTAAGGACAAATCAGCAATGCTCCTTTTACTTGCGAAATCCCACCACCCCAATCTCTCTTGCTCAGATTACCTTGGACCCAACGACATGGTCCACCATGGTCTTGACCCGGGCTACACAGAGAAAGGTGTTGGCCCAACGTCTTCGCTTGAGATGAACGCGACATCAGATTTCGGCACAGCATCCCGACCCTAGGGGCTGCGTGGATGTACACCCCTGTTAGTATTTCTCAGGGCTATTCTGGGGAGGGAATTGTATATAATGTCCTGGCATCCCGCCTGGTCTCGGTTCCTCCAAGCTGACAGCAGCCTGCCGTTCTTTACACTCGTCGATCGAGGTCCATTCGTTTCTTCTGTGCCTTTTCACGCTCTGTCCTTTCTGTGTCATCTGCCCCGGAATCTCGGAGATCCTCCATATTGGTTATACAAGGAAAAATGCGTCAATCAATCATCGTTGTCTCCCTGCTCCCTTGTATCTCTCTGGCCTGCCCGGCAGCCAGCTCTGGTGCTGCACAAGGCCCGTGGGAACAGTGTATGTACACACTGAAGTTTTTTGGACCCAATATACTCATTCTCACCAGGTGGCGGTATCAATTGGACCGGTGGCACGACTTGCACATCAGGCTGGACCTGCGTAGAGCAGAATCCTTACTATTCTCAATGCCTGCAAGCCAGCAACACTCCATCTCCACCCCAGCCTACAACGTCTTCACCACCAGTCGTTCAGCCTGTGTCGCCCAGCCCATCTCCGTCCAGCAGCCCAACCAGTGCTAGCGAACCAGCCACTTCCACCAGCCCAGCTTCCAGCAGCGGAGGCCTGACCTACAAAGCATCGTTCACCCACTACGGTGCCGGCGACAGCTTTGGCTCCCCGAACTGCAACACCAACACGGCGGCCTGCTTCTTCTTCACCTCCCCGGGCTTCAGCGCCGCAGTGTCGCAGAACCTCTACGGCGCTGGACCGGGCCAAGGCCAGGGTCCTGCATGTGGGACGTGCTGGAAGCTGGTCGGAGAGACCGACTCGTCGGGAAACACCCTCAGCAATGCGGGCACGAGCATCGTGGTCATGGTCAACAACCTCTGCCCGGCCGACGGGAACCCACTGTGTGCCCAGAACGGGCTCTCCGGCACGAATCAGTATGGCGCCAACGTCAACTTTGACCTCTGCAGTGACAGCGGTGCGTCGGAGGCGTTCTTTGGAAATAGTGGCGTCGGCCTCGCCGTTGGTTCTGCCACACAGGTTGACTGCTCCGAGTGGTCTGGTACTGTCGTCCACTAGGTGAGAGCGTGGTGCACGTATGATGCACATTGAAGGGATCGCAAGTCCCGAGATTGTGCTGCCCGACTTGTCTTTTCTTCTTTTTATCGGCTTCTCTACAGCTAGATTCGGCCAGGCTCCGTGAATTCTAGCCTTTTGTTTTTCATTCTTCAGGGCGAACTGCTGGAGGATATCAGACCTCGAAGCCCGTTCACATTTGGACCTTCTTGTACATGGATTTTGGAGCTTTGACGTTGAATGAAAAAGACGGCCTTCGTTTGTGGTGGATTTATTTCACGAGTTTATAAATTTGATGGACCCGAAGAGGCCACGGAAAATTAAATTCCTGGAGGGTCGTCTATTCCTGACCCGGTTGACCTTTATATTCACATAACTTCCTTCCTTTATCTTCCCTGGGCTGTTCTGCAGAGGCAAGGCTCGCGCTGATGCAGCTTCACGACGATGTTGCCCGTTAAATAAATAAATGATCCGCGAATCTCCCGCACCTTGGTTCCTTTGCTCTTTTTTGCCCGCGTCTCGCAGTCTCTTTCTCTGTGAAATGTCCACCATCGCGTCCCATTCATCGTTCTACGCATTTCCTGCGTCCGTATCTCCAGTATGAAGAGCTAGATTGTCCAAGCCGAGCAACGGGAGCGATGCCCCGCGCGCGACAAGCTGTTTCTTGACGAACATCAGGCGCCCAGCAAAGTGTCTGGCCTCAATGTCGTCACGGCTGGCCTCGTTGATATAAACCTGATATGCGCTTTGCATGGGGTTAGAATTGCTGGGCAAGTCGAGTATGTGATCTCTTTCTTTACCTCGCACGGGTGGAAACATCAGTCGCTGCAGAAGGCTCTCTTCCTCCACTGCTGTTGCTGGTGGGTGTCCGCCCGTTGGCAGGAATTGTCAGGATGTTATTTTATTTATTCCTCTCTCCCATCGCTTTCTTCGTCTTCTTACGTTGTTACGGGTTGCTCAACAACTTCATTGTCGCGCGGCGCTTCAAGCTCCCCCTGATCATCCTCCCTGCCTCCTTTGAAGACCCATGGTTCGTCCTCCTCAAGCCTCTCCTATGGTGGGTGGAGCTTCTCCCCTTCGGCCTGGGTGAATGGTACGCCTACACCGAGCTGGGCTGGCCGACGGTCGACGGCGTCAAGACGGTCTCACGCGTGGGAGGAGAGACGTTTGTGCTCGTGACTCCCACGCGCAACCAAATCTGCACGGCCTACCCCCCGGCGGCGGACCAGATCTACCGGGACATGAAGACGTGGATCATGCCCGCGCCCTTCTCCCAGGTCTTCACGTTCTACGGGCAGAACGTGTCTTCGCTGAACGGCGCGGACTGGCAGCGGCACCGCAAGATCACGGCCCCGGCGTTCAGCGACCAGACGATGCGCTATGTCTGGGACCAATCGATCGCGCGGGTGACCGAGGACCTGAGCTTTCTCGCCGGCGGGAGGTGCACGCTGGCCGCGATGCGATGCGACTTCAACGTGCTCGCCATGCACGTCCTCGCCACGGTGGGATTCGGCCAGGACAGCGCGGCCCTAAAGACCATCCCCCCAGGACACCGGCAGACGCTACTGGAGTCGCTGGACTTCATCCTGAAGCACATCTTCGCCGCGATCCTGTTTGCGGGACTCAAGGCTCCCGACGCGATTCTGCCGCCGCTGCTCCAACGGCTCAAGCTCTCGGTGGCCGAGTTCAGGATGTACATGGAGGAGGCAGTGCTGCGACAGCTGCAGCAGCAGAAGGCGGGCAAGAACAACTCTTCCCCCTCCAAGCCCGGTCTGCTGGAGGCGATGGTGAGTGCCAACGAAGCCGAGAAGAGCCGGCACCAGACAACAACCACCACCACCACCACCACCATAAACTTCTCATCAACGACCGCGGCGCCCGCGAAGCCATCCTACCTGACGGACTCGGAGCTGTACGGGAATCTGTTCGTGTTCCACATGGCCGGCTTCGAGACCACCGCGGGGACCATGTCCTTTGCACTCCCCTACCTGGCCCTCCACCCGGAGATTCAAGACTGGGTGACCGAGGAAGTGGACCGGTACTACACGCACCGGCCAAACGCCAGCTACCACGAGACATACCCCAAGCTCGTCCGCTGCATGGCGCTCATGTACGAGACCCTCCGCCTGGCCGGTCCCGCGCCCCAGATGATCCGCACCCCGACGGTGCCGACGGTGCTGCCCGTGTCTTCACCCGCGGGCGACAAGAGGGCGAAAAGTGACGGATCGCCGGCGACGGCGACGACGACGACGGTCACCGTGCCCCCGAACACGCTGGTCACGGCGCATTTCTACGCCATGCACCTCTCGCCGCGCTGGGGCGGCGACGCGCACCTGTTCAACCCGCGACGCTTCATCAGTGTCACACGCGGCAGTCCCGACGCCGGCGGAGAGGCGTTGGCGATACCGTCCGACGACAAGGGCGGCCTGCCGTCGTCGGCCACGGCCATGTTCATGCCCTGGCTCTTCGGGCCGCGCGTCTGCCCCGGCAAGAAGTTCAGCCAGGTCGAATTCGTCGCCGTCGTCGCGCAGATCTTGTCCCGCTACCGGGTCGAAGTGGACGTCGGGGAGGGAGGGGGGCAAGGAAAGAGAGCGGCGCGCGGAGATGGGAGGGAAGGGCTGAGGCAGGTCTTGGGGGAGAAGTACTTCAACATCAGCACGCACGTCAAGAGGCCCGGAGACGCGAGCCTGAGGTTTGTGAGGCGGCGTGCTTGAGACCCCAAGGTGCTTCTCGAAAGTCTCTGTACCAACCTCCCCCCGCAAATTGCTAAATGCATGTTCTAGGGTGGAAGGGAAAGTAAAACTGAGTCAACCCTCTTGAATAGTAGTAGTATTATTTACAGCTCGTCGAGGTTACACGTCTCGAGCAGGTCCTGCGTCAACTTCCCTTTCCTGCTATACCCTTCGACGTACCGGTCCCCCCACTCACCCACCGTGTTGTCGTACGTGGTCTGGGGCTTCAGCTCGCAGAGATGGCACATGTTGGCCTTGAGTCCTTTCATGAGGTCCAGTCGGGGATATTCCTGCGCGGGAAACAAGCATCAGCGATTAGTTTACTTTCTCACATTCCCGTGTCTCTCTGATATCTGGCCACGAGCCCCCCTTTTTGACAGTGTGCATACCTTGACCACGGGGTTATACTCGTCCCAGCTCAGCAGGCCGCCGGGCACGCGGTCGGGGCCCTGAAAGTCGGCCCAGATGCCGTAGCTGCAGGCCTGCACCTCGGGCTCCTTCTCGAACACGATGCTGCCGATGGTGTGCAGGGCGATGGCGTCCCAGACCAGCTGCAGCCGGTGCTTGTCCCACTCGCCTTCCGGGGCCTCCTTGATCAGAAACCCCCGTGCGGCGTTGGCCCCGTCGACCTCAAACCTCTTGTCCGGCGAGATGAGGGCCGAGTGCGGCGGGTGGCCGATGGGGAAGCCCAGGTCGTGCATGATGGCGGCGACGGCGTGCGCCTCGCGGTCGCGCGCCGGCAACACCTTGTCGGCGATGACGAAGCCCAGCAGGAACGACCGCACGATGTGGTTGTACGTGTCGTCGGTCGAGTACTGGCGCACGTAGTCCAGGGCTTTGGTGATGAGCGGCGTGTCCGGCACCGTCACGCCCGCGACCACCTTCGTGGGCAGCGACTGGGCAGGAGATGCCATTGTTGGATGTGAGGAGAAGAGGGCACACGGCGACTCACACGGCGCACACAAGACCAAAAATTCCCTTCTCAAGTCGAGCCCAAACGAAAAGAGCGGACAGGTAAGGTGCCTGCGGCAGAGATACTCAGAGTGTTACCGTGTTTCCTGGGAGTTGCTGGGACTGCGTGAGCTCTGCAAATTGGACGCGAGCTTGCCTGCCTATTTTGTTCGCCTGCCTCGGAATCACGATCCTGCCCCTCCACCGTGGGGTCTTTTCTTCGTTCCTCTGGCGAAGAAAAATAAAATAGCAACAAGGAATCGCTGAACGTGTTCGATTCTGACAGGCACAACCAGCAAGCCCCGTCGACTGGAGACGCCTTGCTCGTTTTCGATGGTAGCTTTCGGGACGGATCTCTGTAGCTGATGCGGCGAGGGCGGGTCAACCCAGTTGATGGGCTGCTTGATGTCCTGTTATCCTGATGCCCCGCGCTAGCCAGAGGGTCGCGAAGGAGATCCGTCGTGCTGGGTGCTGGGTGCTGGCCGGTTCCGTGGTTGGCGTGGCCCTGGCCAAAGCCTTTGGAAACATTTCTCGAGACCAGTCGAGGCCCCATTGGACGCCGATGCGTGGACTGGTGGAACGCCGGTGAGAAACTAATGGGGCAAGCCTGGCTTGGTGAGGCCCAGTCCGTCTTCCACCGTTGATGGATCGGCGTGACGAGTCAGCTTTGCGCGGAATCCACGCCACGAAGTCATGAGAGGAGGAAGAGGAGGAGGACGACTTCTCGGTGGGTGAGTGGGAGCGAAATTTGGGAGCGCAGACCCAGCTGGACCGGTTTTTCGATAATATCATCGACAAATGCCCTCGTTTGTCATCGTCATCATCATGCCCTTTTTTCCGTCTGATCCAGCCAGCAGCTTACCTCGTGCCTCTCTGACTGATGGCTTCTTCTCTTGCTCCTGGTCAAGCCGAGGGTACGAGTAGTTCAGCCACTGCTGGGGAAGAGCCCCAGCGCACGGACATTGTCGATGTACGCCGCTTGCTTCTGCCGAACTCCTTGTTCCCCCGTGATAACAGGATCTCTAGGTTGACGAAGACGTCGACTCCGCTTTTGAGGATGGCGACAATTTCTCGTGAGCTGCACAAGTGCCCGGATTGGGAATAGTTGCTGAGACGAGGCTTTGCAAGGGACACGACCTCTGTTTCATCCTCGATATATCGGGGTCGGATGATCAACGGCAGAAAGTAGATATGATCCTTGCCAGTGGTGGATGTCCCTCTTTGCTGACATCTGCAGGTACTCGTCTCTGCGGGATGACTACTGGTATGCTTTCTCCCAGAAGTCCGCGTAGACAAGGCTCTCACAGCCTCGACAGGGGTCCATCCGATGAGCAACAGTTCGAAACCCTCAACGCTGGGTAGGTGTATGTCCGAGACCGCACAGCGATGGTGCTAAGCGAAATGTCCTAGCCATGTGCTCTATCTTGTCCTGGACAGCAATCAGCCAAACCCACTCTTTCGATCGCCCGTCAAATCGCCACTGGTACGACCCCTTTCGTATCATTGCTCACCACTGGATTTCTAAGTTTTGGCACCCTAGTACGTCCTCGATATAGGGACTGGACCTGGCACTTGGGCCATGTGAGTCGACCCTCTCCTCCATTTGATGCTCGTCTTCTCACTGCGTGAAGCGACGTTGCCGATCAATTTCCTGCTGGTAGGTCAACCTGGAACAAGTCTCTTGTCGTCGATCGCTCTAAGCAAGCCTAGCAACTGTGTATGGTGTTGACCTCTCCCCGCCACCGTCGACATGGGTACCTCCGAACTGTTTTCTCCAGGTGAATCGACGGTGACACTTGGTGAGGAAGACACAAGCTGACGGAGTGTTAGGTGGACGACGTCCTCGAAGAATGGACGTGGCGAGAAGAGTTCGACCTGATCCACATGCGGTTGATGCTCGGCGCCTTCACCGACACAGAATGGGCGAGCGTGTACAAAAAGTGCTTCGACCACCTGAGGTCCGGAGGGTATATCGAACAGATCGAACTAGACGTGCGGGTCATGTCTGACGACGGCTCCCTCGCCCCGGACTCGCTGCTGGCCGGATGGGGGCAGACGTTTCTCGACTGCGCGCGACGGGCAGGGCGCCCGCTGGACACGCAACTAACCATGAAGGCCAAGATCGAGGCGGCCGGGTTCGTCGACGTCCAGGAGCATCTGTACAAGTGTCCCATCGGCGCCTGGCCCAAGGACCCCCTCCTCAAGGACGCCGGCAGGATCAACCTGAACCACTGGAGTTCTGGCCTCGAGGGGTGGGCCATGTTTCTGTTGACGAGATGGGGGGCGCCCGAACCGTGGACGGCGGATGAAGCCCGAGTCTACGTTGCCAGAGTGAGGGACGAACTGAAGAAGCGACGGCTGCATATATGGCACTACACGTGAGTCCCTGGCACCGGTGTTGACCAGCCCATACTGACCCAGCGGTGGCAGTCGACGTGTCTGGGGGAGGAAACCATAACGGCGTATGTTACTGCATTTAGCGCACGGCTGGCGGAAAAAGGGTATTCACATTCATGTCTGCTTATGATCCTGCAGATGTCTTTATCACGATGAGAACTTCTAGGGTGGGTGGCATTGGCGTGTGGTGTGCAGCGTCTACCTGTTATTCGTGGGACAAATCGATCGGTCTGTTACCGCTCCATCTCAAAGAATGAAATTGTTGGCGGCTCGACGAAGGTCCTTTTGCTTGCGCGTCCATAGATATATACTAAGCTATGGTCCTACCGATGAGGACCTTAAGGCCAACAAAAAGTTGCCATGAGGACGGACGGTAGAAGTTCGGCCAAAGCTCACAGCCTTTTCCAGCTCGGTACCACTGCGAGGTACGGAGTACTATATTATGTTTTGGGCTATCCTGGTTCACGCTTCGAGGACCTTTCTTTCCATCCTCCTCTCTTCCGCGACGGTCCTCGGACCCTGATGTCACCAAAGCCTCAGAGCTGACCTTCCAGGCCTGCCCCTCGCACTATAAAACCCAGGAGGAGCCCAGCACGGTCAACTGAAACCAAGTTAAAGCAACACGCATCACACTCGCATTCCGGTTCACCGCATACACAAATAAATACATTCACATACTACGATCAACGCAAACAAAGACCCAGAAGCTCAAGCACTAAGCAGCACAGCTCCAAACGCAGTGACGCCAACCATCATTCGATTCGACACAACATCCTCAACTTCAAGTTACTACTAGTGGTACCCTGCAACGCATCACAGAGCATACAACACCCGCAGCACACACAGAATACTACCAACCTATCAACCATGTTTCCCCTCATCCTCCTGGCCACCATGGTGGGCTCCATCGTCCTCACGATCTTCGGCGGGATGCCAAAGTTCACCCACCTGATCGGGTGAGGGTCATCGAGTCGAACTTGAATTCGGGATAGCGGTGCAGAGACAAAGGACTGGACGAGGAAGGAGGTGGGATTTGATCGGGGTGAATGGAATGCATTCCGTGGGAGATGGAAGAAGAGGGGGTGGGTGCTGGGATTAGGGCGTGAGGATTATAAGACGGAACTTGGGGACCAAAGACTGGTTTTGATGTTAGGTTCAAGGTCTTCGCTTTTGTTGGATGGTAATTTCTTTCGGCTTCATTCGTGTAGCAGGACCACGCAACCTGAGGTACTTACCTAAAGTCCCTCTACCACTATCATGTACAATACTATGTATTAAGTACTATGTAGTTATTGTATCACCACCACCGCTAGACTGCCAATAACCAACTGAGTTAGCTACGCCAGCGCGACGTTCACCCCTGGCTCACGAAAAGCTCTAGTAGTTGCCTTTCCCACCCCTCCTCCTCCACGGTGAGTAGCAGAACCGATCCGGCTCCCGCTGCGACCACGATTCAAGACCTGACTCCATCCATATCGGGTTCGAGCTGGATCCATTGGGCCTGCTTGCTGCAAACTGGATGCGAGCTGATTGTATTCAGATTCGAATCGATCTCAATCTGCGTTGTATCTAGGCTACTAAGTACATAAGGCTTTCGAGACTGCGCTGTGACGGCCGTCCGAGTTGGACCAATTTGAGCTAGTGCTCAAGCGTGTCCATGGAGCCAGATACATAGCAGTATTACTTACCACCTCCTTGCGACTGTCCGGACAGGATCAGTCGAGACAGAAAAGAAAGCAAGGACCCCAAAGTTACCAGTGACTGCAGTGGCCAGCCTCAAAGAACTTGAAGCTTGCAGTGGTGCAGTGGTGCAGCGGTGGTGAGGCAAAACCTTATTTCCCAGAACGGCAACGACGACGTGAGCGCACGGCCGAGCTGAGCTGAGCTAAACCCGATTCTGTCAAATTCGTGACGCGTTTCCGAGACCAGGATTGTCAGTGGTTCTTGATTAGACGGACAATCTGCAACCAGTCTCCTGAGAGAGGGTTGAGGAGCTGGGCAGCGAGTAGACAGTCTGATGTATACTTACACACTCGAGTCGAGGAAGTCTCTCTCAATCTTCGAACTGACGGGATACTTACTCTACTGAGTAGTGCAGGAGAACAAGAACTGCCATACTCTAGAGTGGTATGTACTCAGAAGGTAGTTCTACTTACTACTGCTGCTATTGCTGCTGCCGCCACCGATAACCACTCGGGGTACCTGAGTCCTCAAGAGAAAACGGGACTCGGACACTGGATATACTAGTTAGTAGTCTAGTTGCTACCTGCCTACAACTAGCAGTCTGCATGCGATTGTGTTCCAAATCAAATGCCTCAGCTCAGGTTCAATCCGAGCTCGACGTCTGACGGGAAGGATCCAGTTTGGACTCAGTACAAATCAGTTTGAAATAGGTGCTATCTATCATGTACTTAGTACTTAAGTATGAATCAAGTCTGAACTTGCCGCACTCTGGACTCAGATTGATGATGCACATAAACTTGTGTCCCCTCTCAAGCGGTGTAGCCTTCAAGCGAGACTATTCGTACTGAGTGGTGTGCTTGAACTCGGTTAACGTCCTAACACCCAGATCTTTCAAAGCAGTAGTGGTGCCATATTCGAAGAAAGATATGATCAATTAACCAACTATACTTGCAGTAGTGCTACGACCTCCTTACAATGAGCAAGGCAGCTGAGCTAGCCAGATGCAACAGATTGCGCTTCAGATCCGAGCCCTCCCCATCCAATCCAATCAATAAAGGTACGTAAACTCATCGTTCTTGCGATCAGTGAGATCCAAAAAGGCATTCTCACCCAGCCTCTGCCCGACCTCCGTCTCGTCCATGGCGACGTACTTGTCTTCCATCGAGTGATCCTTGATCTTGGCGGCCTTGCCGTTCTTGACCCGTTTTCTGGACTGCAGCTTGTTCAGGAAGATCAGGTTCGCCAACTGGATGAAGATGACGGCGACCATCGTGACGAAGATTGCGAGAACCTTGCGCAGGCCGGGATGGTAGGCGGGCGCGTCCTTCTTGTTGAAGAGGAGCGGGCCGATGATGTTGCCGGCGCTCGAGCCCGCGTTGTAGAGTGACATGATGACGGATTTCTTGGTGCTGCCGGCGGTGTTGCCAACGATCCACGAGACAATCAGCGGGTTACCGCCAAAAAGGAACGCAAGGAGATAATAGGCAACCAAGAGCCCGGCGGTGGAACCTGAGGTGCGCGGGAGAACGTAGAGAACAGCCAGACCAGCAATGACTGGCAGCATGAGACCGGCAAGGACAAAGGACTTGAGCTTCGCCTTCTGAGCTGCGTAGGAAGCGAGCAGGATGACAATGAATTGCATCGCACCGAAAGGCATATTGAGCAGTGACGTCTTGTATTTGTCGAAGCCGACACCTTGGAGAATGAGTGGGCCAAACGTGTTGGTGACCGAGGCGCCCACGTTGAGCAGGAGAGAGAGGCCAATCCAGAGATACGTCTTGGGCTCCAAGGCCAGCTCGAGGATGTGGTCCCATTTGTATTCGCGGTTGCCTGTGCCGGTTTGATTGGCACGAAGGCGTTCAATGGCCTGAGCCTTTTCGTGTTCCGTCAGAAATCGCGCCGAGGGAATGTCGTTGTCGAGGAAATACCAAACAAGTGGGGCAGAGACGATGGTGACAAGGCCGACGAAAAGGAAAATGATCTGCCATTCTTGCAGAGTATGCGAAGGGATATGGCCCAGCCCGTAGGAGAGCGCTGAAGCCGCGATGGTGGCAATTCCGTTGGTACCGTACCAAGCCGCAACGCGAAGTGGTTGCTCTGCGCGGCGATACCATTGGCTGGTGATGACGCTGAAAAGTGGTAGACAGCCGGCTTCAAACAATCCAAGGAAGAACCGAGCGGCCAGAAGCGAGCTATAATTATGGCAGGCGGCCATCGAAGCTTGAGCAATACCCCATCCGAGGCAGAGCGCCGGCATGAGGATGCGATGGGGGACTCGGACAATCAGGAAGGACGAGAATGGCTGCCACGCTAGTTGTGCAATGGGGGCAATAGATCCTAGAAAGGAGTATTGGTCCCCGGTGAGGTTTGTGTCTGTTGTGAGGCCGAAAAGAGCGCCGTAGCCGAGGACGGACTTGTCGAGAATCTGGAGGAAGTAGACCCAGACAAGGATGACCAGGATGACTTTGTCGGTCTTGCGCCGGATGCGTTTGTTCTGGCAAGGCATGTTAGAGTCGACATTACTGCATAATGATTCGCAGACATACATCTTCTTCGGTCAACTCCACGCGCTGGTCTCCCACAATAGCAAGAGCTCGGTCGGCGTGCTTCAGAGAAGCCCGACGCTCGGTGATGTCTTTGGACGCGCGACCCGACTCGACATCTTCGGCATGAGCCTCGCGCACAGTTTTGTCGTCAAAGGTGGCCATCGTGAAGTCGACTCGACACTTGGTAGGGTATTTCGGAATGTCGCTGGCGTATCCCACGAAGACCTTGGGGTAGCTTGGGGAGAGAACAAACAAGGGAGGCGACAAGAAGCTATTTATGCACGCAAAATGTCGCCCTCGCCTAGGTGGAAAGCAGAAAACGAGGTCGAGAATTCCGCAGGTTGAAGCTGGACGAAGATATCACACAGGTGTGGGGTCTGGGCGCGCATCATCCACCCTTCATGGTCCATCTGGCAAAGCCCGAGAAATGCGCGGAGTGCAGTAGCCAAGCATGTTGTCTGGGGTTGAGCTCTTAGACCGGACAGCTATTGGAGAGACTCAAGCCACGGCAGGGATGGATGACATCTGATGGGCAACCCCGCAACTGCGATCGGCATTTGAACCAAGCAGGGAATTGGATGGAGGCACAAGAGTGCAGACGCAGAATGGGCGAAGGAATCCCGTCGGCAACGGGCCAGATGGCGGGGGACGGGCATGACCGGTAGCAGCGCCCGTCACGATTACCGTCGCCGTCACCCACCGTGGAGGTTGAGAGGTTGATACGGTTCGTACGAGGCTGACAGCACACCTGCCCTTTCGTCCGCGCCGTGGGGGTGGGGGTGGCGCCATCCTACGACGTCCCCCACGACTGCGACTGCGCACCATCTGGACATGGCCAGGCATTGGTGGCGTGGCGGTGGACACATATGAAGAGTCGATATCCCCCAAGGAACCTGCTGGCCAAGGAGACCAAGATGAAGAAAGCGCCACGGCGAGGCTGAACAGGGCAGTCGGACTCCACTGGTCTCGACGCGAACATGTGCGCTGTGAAATGAACAACAGGTTTGGATTGACCTTAGCCAGGGAAAGAAGTGGTTGCTTGTCTACCGCCATCCGCTCAAGTGACTTGGTCGCGCACCTGGAATGGCGAACTCCTTCTCCTCCTGTTCAAACATCCTCTCTCGTGTGACTATCCACCTGTCCAACAGAGAACTGACCCAATATTGATATCAACATACGACATCCGCCCACGCTGGCCCTTATCGATCAAGATGTGCCCGGCGTGGGCTTCGGGAGGTGACATCATCTTCTGGGGGGATAATCTGGGATGTGGATGTTAGCAACATCCTCATCTCGCCGTGCTGAAACTTCGACTTACCCCCAACCTCGTGCTGGTGAGCAGCTCCATCTATTCAATCATCACATGTCGAAAGGGGTTGCTGGTCATTACCGATATTCGTACCCGTTTCTTGGATGCCGGCGAAGGCGTTTGCTGCTGTTGACCCACACTAATCCCGTACTTCATCCTCCACCGCTTCTCTTGTTCGATCCTGTTCCCCAAAGCCCAAAGATCTCGGTCTCCTATACTCTCTACTGGCACAGAGATGCCTTTCAGCAATTGGGCTTTCTGCAGTGCCAAATAATCAAAGAGGAGCATCCCCGCGGTGCCTAGCACTACCGCAGATCCTATGGAAATAATCCTCATCGTTTCATCGTGTGACACAGGCATGGCTGTTTCGAATAGGTAGGTTCGATTGACGGTATTATTCGTTGCGGACACTGGAAAGGCTAGGAGACGTGGTCGTCTTGAATGTAGGGCGATCTCTGTAACTATCACGATGTACAGCACCAGGAGAGCCTGTGGTCTGTTGCGGTGTCAGACTGATGATGATGTCCACCAAACAAACGAAGACTTTTCTTCTCCCGCAGCAGGTCGTGTATTTGACGACGCGACCGGACTTTGTGATCGAAGGCCACCCTCTGAAGGGTATGAGATGGTTTAAATACCTCGCCGAGGACGGTGGACATGGCACAAAGTTCGATCCAAACAGGGAACCAAGTCAAATGTGAGTTGGGTTGTGGTTCTTGGAAGGACTGGTCTTGGCCTGGGAGCCATGGTCGCCACCGTCAGAGACTTCCTGAGGACCTGCGAAGTTGGTGGAAGTCGATTTCTTGTTGAGATAGACCCCGCCGATTTCAGTCTGGTTATCATGGGCGTCCTCTGGCGACTATTTGACGAGCAGAAACAGACGAGCGGCGAAGCATTTTAATCAACTTGAAAAACATACCCAGGCAGGGGCGAGTGCGTTCCTGCATCTACCTCTGCAGAGCCTGCCATGAAGGAGCTCGTCAAGTGAAATTGGCAATCGATCAAGTTGAAAAGGGAAGTCAGGACAGGAGCATCAGACGGCGGACAGACAAACAAGAACAACTGATGAAGGATGGTCGCCCGTGGGAACCTTGGTCGTGGATAGACACGATGAAGATGACTGCCGGCGACAACTTGATCCCAAACGTCAAGAACGGGGTTACCTGTAGTTCTAACCATCAGTACTCTTCTTGGATTCCACTCTCATCTTCCACTCATCCCAGTCGAACACCCCGTGCCCATACGTCCACGATCCCGGCTCTCTATCTGGGACGACCACACCTTCCTTGTCCTTGAAGAACACCAAGCCGCCAGGCACTTCTCTCAGGGGATTGCCTTCCCCTTCGCCAGAACGGCCGACAGGTCCGACGTCAAACCCGCAGGCCTGGTAGAATCTCTCTTTGCCATCTGCGGCGATGACGCTGCAGGCGACGCCTTCCCTTTGTGCTTGCCACATACACAGCGTGACAAGTGCACGGCCCTGCCCTTGGTTCTGATACTTGGGGTGGACGGCCAAGCATTCGAGATACCAGCACTCGGAGCGTGGGCCTGTCCAGATGTGGTCGAGATAGTTGTAGGAGCGTTCGATGATGTTCTCATCCGTCGGTGACGCCGCGCGATTGGGCGAGAGCCATGCAACAAGTCCCATTACCAACTGCGTTATGGGTCGAAGTAAACGTCCTGCAAGATTCGTCAGTTAGCATCGTCTTCTAATAGAAAGACTGAGTGGACGCGGAGACACAGTCTTTGATCTTGGTGGCAAGCAGCATGAGCTGCGAACCCTCCAATCATGTACCACAGCCCATGTCTTGCGCCTCATCGCCAGCCAAAATTCCTTCTCATGAGAAGCGGCGGACTATGTGTCCCCTCTGAGTTTGTGCAAGTACTGGGAACCAAACTGGTGAAAATAACATCTTGAAGAAACACTTACTCGGATCCCACCAGGCGTAACCCCAACCAGCCTCATAGTTCTCCCTCCAGCTAGGAGCCATACGGCTCCAATGGGCTACTCCGGTCACGATTTCTCCCCGTCCATCTTCAGCAGGTACTGTTGTCACAAGGAAAACATGGCTGGGGTCCCACCAGTCGACGACGAACCGGCGATACCAATACTTGTCGACATCGCCAGGGTACGACTTCCGGTAAGGATGGATCAGGCGGCCGAAGAGTACATCGTCGTCAAAAGCAAGAGAGCACACGCGTGCTGCGGCGGAGAGGTCCGAAAACCGTGCCCTCCGGGAATCGAATGCCCCTTGAGCAAGGAATGACGACGGAGACAAGGGACGTGTGGTAGTGGGAGCCATGGTGACCGTTTCTTTTCGGCAATGCTGCTACTGGTTTGGCCGTGCGGTGACCAACGGGCCCATGTGGCTGCTGAGTCGAGCTCTCCACAACTCGCGTGCAAAATCAGGGTACTGGAAGTTTCTCCGCGACTGAGAGGTGTTCGGCTGGAGTGTTCTGGGCTCTGGGTGCTGCTGACGGTGGAGATGTTGAACGACAGGCGACCGACAGTTGTAATATGCGTATCCCCGACGGATATGGTATTGATTGGCCCGTACACGAATCCTTCGATTATGCTTTGCAATTTTTCTTCGAGCGGTTCCGAGCGAAGGTGCAAATGTAAGCACGATTACGGCCAGCTAGGCAAAGAAGATTGATGTGCTTGAGAAGCTATGTTGGTGCGACCGCTACAGCAGTTAGCTGCGGTTGTCTGCCCGGAGAGACTCCGCCCAACACTCAATGAGGTTCTCCTGTGTCGGTGTGGAAGAATGGCTGTTGGGACGGTGAGATGGAGTCACCTTGGGCGACACTGGTCTGTTTGAAGCCAAAGGTCGTCGACCACGACCACTTCCGATGAGGCTGGGGACCAGCTTTCGATATATGTCAGGCTCTTGAACTAAGCCCTATGTGCTGAGTGAGCGGAAAGCTAGGAGTGATACGCTGGAGATGGTTCCCGTTAGGCAAGGTCTGATGGTCTGGTCTCGTGGTTCGTGGGGTCCGAGTTGTAGGATGCGAGGACTTGTACCTGGCATGCTGGTTAGCTGCGTTGGGGCCCCGTCATGGTGCGACAAACCACCTATCCAGGGCACCATCAGCCTGCTTGATGAGCCAGGGTATCGTTGGACTTTTGGCGAATCCTTCTACCCAGCTAGGCGGTGGATCGATGGGTACAGTGGCTGCCTGGGTGGAGATGCCGATGCCGCTCCACAGCACAGGGCAAAGAAGGACAACGACAACTCAGAGGAGAGTCCAGCACCGACGTGTTGAGAGGCTGGTGAATTCAGAGACTGGTTGTGAGGGAATCTTGGGGGATGTGTCCATGGCATCACCCCCTACTACTCGGCACAGGCACAGGTACACGAGCTTGTGACAAGTATCGAATCTGGTAACCCGTCTCCGATCCCCGAAACTCTCTCTAACTACGGGTAACAACCAAACTTGCCGCGGGAAACGCACGCGACTGTCCTTCGTCCACGCCCCGTCAGAAAACGAGTCTCTGCCCCTGTGGAGCGACTTGAGGGACAGTGCATCGGTTGGCAGGCAGCCATGCCAACTAGTGCCACGGGCGCCTGCGCCATTTCGGTAAAGGCCGGGCGTCGCCTTGTATTTCCTCGTTCCTGGTCTCGTTTGAGACTACCGAACTACACGGGCAACGGGGACGGTGATATTGGTTAAAGAGAAGACGCCGACTGGATGGGTACTCATCTGTCACTGGGTGAGAACCAAAGTCCCCTGTTAGGGAGCCTGCAGGTGCCCGGCTTGTTGGTCGACAACATTGTCCACGACCAACCCGGTTCTCCCAAAATGGCAGTGATATTCAAATCCTACGTCGCTTAGGTACAGACCAAATGAGTGCAGTGTATACCAAACATCCCCTCTTAGCACCCCGAAACCCTCCAATTTTGAAGCCGTGAGCACACCCTCCTGCGCCTTCGGGCCCAGCCCGATGTCTACTCCGAACCCATCAATAACCATCCCAGTAATTGACCGTGTACCGTCCAGAACTGACCCGTGCCCAGGCGTCAAGCTCTCCCTTGGTCCGTTTCGTAGTGGACATTCCATTGAACGTCCTTGCGGATGATGTGATCTTGACTGCCCCCGCTGTCGATTGAATCGTTCTCTCGCATCAAGTTCACCTTGTTGGCGCCGGCATCTTGCTCGGGGACCGGCGGATACTGCTCCGCGTCGTGGTATGACTTGCCCGCAGACCGTGACTTCGCCGTACCATTGCCTGGGACGGTGCCCATCTCGTAGGTATTCATAATCCGCCCCAGCCGTCCGGATCCACGCCCAGATCCACGCCCAGAGCCCCGTCCGGAACCGTATGCCTGCGTCACAGAAGGATCGAGTTGGATGCCGAATCCGCTGCTGAAGCTTCGCACGAAGGACTTGAGGTTGGGGATGGTGGCCGAGATGAGCGACCAGCACAGCTGCACCTGTTGGATCACGATGACGGGCACGATCGCAGTGCCTGGATTGTCGGAGCCGGTATAGTCGGCCACATAGTGGAGGTGGAGGATAGACAGCATGGCCACACTGTGAGCTCGTTAGCACGGCTGCACCTTGATGCGAGCTGGGTAGACTCACGGTAGGCGGAACGCAAAGGCAAGCACAACCTGACATTTCATCGTGAAGGCCAGGTTAACAGGCCAAACGACGAAGACTGTGATCAGGACCAAAATGCATTCTGTCGCCACGTCGAACGCAGTGATCAACTGCCAGCGAAGGAACTAGGACGCCATTAGCGCGTCTTGAGCGTAGCATTTGATTCACATGCTCACCTGGTCGGCGCATTGCGCACGGTCTCCTTGAATAAATCCCGGAATGGAACAATTGACCGCGACGGCGACAATAGACAAGATTCCCCAAAGGCCCATTCCACACAAGACAGCAAGGCTGATCCAGTATAAAACTTTTGACCGCAAATCTTTTGCTGATCGCGGGCCGACCAAATTGAAAAGCCTCATCATCAAACATAGTGTGGAAGCTTTCGCCGTGGCAGCCGATATGACGAAGAGGATTTGGCCAGCAAAGGTTGCCTGCGTGCGTCAGTAACCCGTGCACTGGAGATTTGACGAGGTAGAGGTGCATACTCGGCTGGCTTTTGAAAGCTCGTCCTGACGTAGAAGCTCTTGCGTCTTTCCCAGTCCATGATCCAGCCCAACTATCACCGCAACAACCTCTCCGATCTGAATTGCCTGCGTCCTCAGTCAGCATGCCTCTACAATACCATTCAAGATGTCTTCTCACGGTTGCGGCCAGGGCAAGGTAGTCATCCAATCCATACATCTTCCACCTCAGATGCCCTCTCAACGCCAATGTGACGACCGAATAGATGAGGCATAGCAACGTCGCAATCCACACCGACCCGGCGTGGTCGTCGGGAGTAATCGGGGAAAAGCGATGACTTGCCATGATATCCCCCTTTTTCTTGGTCGACGAGCTATAACACCGACAAGAATAAGGAAGAAGACTGGGTCGTGATGGAGATGTTGTTTTGAGTAACAGAAATCCGCACAGTGGTCGACAAAGAGCAACAAGGCTGGACTACGTGCCCTCCTCCACCATAGCGCAAATGGCTGAAGGATAGTGCAAAAGTACTTAGGACGTCAAGGCGATGTGTCATAGAATATCAATTGAGAATCGAGGTGGGTTTTGTAACTGTATAAACTTCAGAGAATCATGCTTTGAGGCGGGATTGAATATGCCCTTCTCCTCAAGGCGATCCACAGCCACCCCTGTTGACCACGCCGGAAGTTCAGCTTCGCCGGTTTTATCGATACACCTGCCACAGACTGTTTCGGAGGGGACCTGAAAGGCACGGACCAAAGCCGTGTTCTCGAAACTCTGATAAGTTCAAGAAGATGGGAAACAGCACTGGGGTTCTGGGTGGGAAGCATGACCGGGCAAAGCGCGATAAGCAAGAGGCTGCCAGGGAAGTATCAAGGAGACAGGTGGCGCACATGGCAACGGAACTGACGTTATTTGATATGCTGATCATTTCTTGGAAGGATGCAGGTCCTTGTGTTTACAGGGAAACTTTGGAAGGCAAACACACGAAACAAAGCTCGACCAATGTGTGTGGGTGGTGGTTCGCGTTGAATGACAGTTCTTGTGTCGCAGTTCTTCCATTGTCCTTTTGAGACCCAAGGAGGGCCAGGTGTGATGGGCGTGTGATCGGGCCTGGAGAGTTTTCATTCTGCTTGTTAGCAAATAGGCAGGCGTGGCGATGCTTGCTGGCGAAGTGCCGTGGTCGTCGAGTGGATGCTCCGCATGCATCAGAACAAAGATACTGCATCAAAGCCGAAGCAGCTAGCCTCTCGCTAATAGGGCTGTCCACTAACCAGTCCAAGGTAAGGGTGTTTAGGAGCCGGGAGGAAGAAGAGAGGGATACCCTGGCGAGCAGCTTCCCCGGGTGTCCTACTGCAGATCAGTCGCTAGGCAGGTTGGTAGAGCGCAGATGTGGTTCGTGTCCTCCTCCTCCTCCTTATCGGAGCTAGATTTGCTCCGAACTTTGGGAAAACTCTGTGTATTCAAGTCTCTGTGGTTCGTCCTCTTTTATTCCGACCCGTCATGGTGCAAGGGGAGAGTTTGACAATGAGCAACCTGCCTGGGCAGGCTTTCAACAGACCCGATCGACTCAACTCGCACAACCAGATAGCACCTTGCGCCACTGACGCCAACTTTTGGATGTGAAATTGGCCTGTCTTCTCCGTTCGCTTACCGGGGTGACTTAGGGCTGACTGGCAGGAGGGGTATGCTGTTAACTTGTATCAGTGAGCCCTTGGCTGGAGTCGAGCTTGGACCATTGCTTGCCTGAACCCCTCAACACCAGCTGTCAAGCCAACCTTGGAAACCCCTGAATGGGTCTGGAGACATGGAGACACGGAGAGAACAAGGAATCTGGCCTAGTCCAGGGTCCCGCCGAGAGCTGGAAATGCCAATGAAGGTTGCAAGGAAACTTCGGAAGCAGCGAGCAGCCGGGTTGAACGAGGAGTAACAAGCCTGGAGGTTGGGGATGCGTCCTGCGGCAACACAACCACCTGCAGCAAGCTGATGATCACATCCCCCAATATTCTCCGTTCGCTGCAGTAGTGGGCGCGAGAGATGGCTTGTTGCTTCCTTAGTCTATCTCGGTAGCGTCGAGGCGTCTACCCGGAGCAAAAGAGACTGCCGGACATGGCAAAGTGGTGATCCACACTAACTGTTCTGATCGCCATCTCTTGCCCACGCCGCCGGTGGACACCAAGTACTACTACTGGGCCTTGAGGTCGGCAATTAACGGGAAGGATGGGAAAAAGCTTCCCCCCGCCCATCGAAAGCATCTTTCTTGCCTTCACGTCAAGCACAGCTGAGCATCAGGTTGGGGATGCTTGACCTAGGTAAGTTCTCTGCTTGGGTCCCCCTGATGACGCTTCAGTGACTGATCGCAGCGCAGGAAAAGGGACGCCTTCCATTCCGCACCACCCTTGGCCGATGTGACAAGCGAACCATGGAAATGAAGCTCCAACAGTCCATCCGATCCGCTCACGAGGTTGTGGATGGCGACATTGCCGACTTCTCGCTTACCTCGACACGCTTACATGGCTCGATCCCCTTCCAACAGTGAGAAGTTGCACCGCTGTCCACAGTTGACAGCTCTGCGCCTGCTCTTACCAATTGGTCCCCCCCTTAGTCCCTACGGGCTTAGATGGTCTCGTCCAGGATGTCAGCGAGACAAAGATGGTGTGGTGTTTGACATTTCCAGGTCTTGCCTCCTGTGGGACCACGCGTGGCTGTCTCTCGCAGCACACTTTCTCAACCCTCGATCCTGTAAGACGTCCTCCTGCTATTGGGCCTGCTCGTTCCATATCTGCAGCCACCTCTACAAGCGTCTTCTTGTTCTCCTCTGACACGAACGTCTCTAGTTTTATTGACTTCGGGCGCCCTGTGGCTTGCTTAAGCTCGCGACCCAGCAGCCGGCTGCCCTCCTGATACGGTCTGTGCCTTGTACCTTGGACTGCGTTGAGAAAATACCCGACGAGGCACGAACGATCCTGAAGCATGGCTTAACTGGCAAACCCCCTATCATACAATGTCTCTTTGCTGGCAATTGGTCCTGGACCCTTTGACCGGTGCGAAGTCTGCATGACCCGATAAGCCACTTTCGTTCAGAGGTTGTCTAGCTTGCATTGGGACATGCATAAGCACGCTGGCACGCGAACAGACAAGAGTGAGTTCTCCTGCCTCTGCTCTGACCCAGGATGGTCAAGATCTGCACTGGCGACCACATGGGCCTTGTTCCTTGCTTGACACATGGCAACCAGTGCTCACCCCTCCACTTCTACCGCTTCCTTCGCGATCTTCTTCCTTTCTATCTCTCCAGCTTCGAACACCGACTGACTTGCGAGCTGTTAGGCTCTTCATTGACGACGTGCTATTCTAAAAGTTCAACTGCTGCTGCTCTATACAAGCTCCTCGTCCTCGTCCTTCCCTGAGAGTTGTTGTTACTATCACCATGACGGATCACAAGGAGAATGGGGTGGTGACATCCCAGGTTGACCTGGAGTCATCCAATGCGAACCTGTCGGTTGAAAAGAAAGGGACCAACGACGACCAACGGGATATGTTTCGCATGGGCAAGCATCAGGAGCTTCGCGTAAGAGACTCTCACTGTCCTCCAATACACGCCGCCATGGTTAACGCGCGTAGCGCAATTTTCGATTTGTCTCCATCTTCGGCTTCTCCATGATTCTCATGGCCAGCTGGGAAACGATGTTAGGGTCAGTGAAGCTCGAGATATCCTCCTGGCACCTGTGGATCTTACTGACTCTGGACAGCACATCCATCATTGGCTTGATCAACGGCGGCACTGCAGGAATGATCTGGTTGTACCTGGTGGCCTGGATTGGCTTCCTGGCTGTCAACACTTCAATGGCCGAAATGGGATCCATGTATGACAACCTGATTCAGCGGTATATCCAACCCTTGCTCATACTCTACCCAGGGCTCCAACATCTGGTGGTCAATATCACTGGGTCAGCGAATTTGCGCCGAGAACCTACCAAAAGTTCATGAGTTTTATTGTTGGTAAGAGTATCCCAGCTCCATCTTCGACCTATTTCTAACATGTCCTCAGGGTGGCTTTGTGTACTCGGCTGGCAGACAGGTGCGGCCAATACAGGTAAGAGGAACTTCCCGGCTATCCCCAGATCATCTCTCTCGCGGCAGATGCGCTAATTGGAAATATAGCATTTCTCGCCGGAACTCAAATTCAAGGCCTGGTCATCTTGAACTATCCAGACTACACACCTGAGAGATGGCATGGCACGTTGTTGACGTTCGCCGTAGCCTCGTTCTCAGTCTTCTTCAACACCTTTCTCGTCAAAAAGTTGCCGTTGGTGGAAGGGATCGTACTCATCATACACGTGTTTGGCTTCTTCGGCGTCCTAATCACCCTCTGGGTCCTGGGCCCGATCGGAAATGCAAGCGATGTCTTCACCACTTTCAACAACTACGGCGGTTGGAGCAGCGACGGGCTATCGGCAATAGTTGGCATTCTTGCCGTCATGATCCCCTTGCTCGGTGCAGACGGCGCCGTTCATATGTCCGAGGAACTTCGCGATGCGTCGAAAGTACTTCCCCAAAGCATGATCTGGACCACGGTTCTAAACGGTGCCATGGGTTGGATCATCCTCATCACCTTTTGCTTCACCCTGGGAAGCCTGGACGATACTATCGACTCACCCACGGGACAGCCCTACATTGCTGTTTTTTACAATGCGACACAGTCTTATGCCGGCGCATCGGTTCTCTCTGCCCTGGTCATCTTCATGGCCATGTTCTGCAACTTGTCGATTACAGCGACTGCGTCGAGGCAGCTGTGGTCTTTTGCCCGTGATCAGGGCATTCCGGGAGCTTCTTGGTTTGCATACGTATGTGCTTCTCTTTCTACCACATGTGCCGCAGAAGTGCCGAAGCTGATTGTGTTATATAGGTGCGACCAGGCTGGGACGTTCCGATGAACAGCATCGTGGTCTCCTTTGTGGTGTCCTGTCTGCTGTCCCTGATCAATATCGGCTCCACGATCGCGCTCAACAACATTACGTCGCTGTCTCTAGTCGCCATCCTGTCGTCATATATTGTCTCCATCGGCTGCCTCTTCTGGAGGCGTTTGACATATCAGCCCCTACTCCCGGCCAAGTTCACCTTCAGCAGACCAGTTGGTCTATTCTTGAACGGATTCAGCCTCATCTTCCTGACCTTCGCCTTCATCTTCGCCTTTTTCCCCGGCAATCCGAAACCAACTGTTGAACAGATGAACTGGGCCTCCTTGATCTACGGGGGCGTGATGGTTTTTGCCGTTCTTCACTATTACATCCAGGCCAGACATGTCTATGACGGCCCTGTAGAATATGTGCGCAAGCTCGTGTAAATTATGGACCATGTTGCTAGCCCTGCAGGTCAAGGGCAGGATCTGGCACTCAAAGAGGTGGGATTTTGCTGAAGTGGATGTTGCCGGACCATCATCTGCAGGGCTTTGTGGGTTGCTCGGTCAAGAGTGGGAACTGAGACGGTGCTATGTCTAGGAGGACCTGCGGGCAGATTGAAATAACAGGCATATGTAAAACCTCTTATCCCGCGGTAACCAGAGTGGAAGTTTTCCACGACAGGTCCAATCTCTCCTAATCAGTCTCACGTGATGGAAACGTAGATTCGGGTTCAACTCGCCTGGCTTCCGAACTTCCCTTGCGCCTCCTCGCGTAACAACCCCAGAACTAGGGACACGGGGGGCGCCCATGGGGAAGTGGTAAAAGCTCCCCAAGCCCATGATGCCCATCAGCCCAATCAGAACACGTCTCACCCCAGGGCTTCTCAGCTCCCTCGTGATATTTTCTTGATTCCATCAATTGCAGGCCCTTTCGATCCCGCCTTTGGTCCCCTGTATCGCTGTGATCTATCACGTCCAGCAATGGGATGATCGTGTCGGCCTTGGTCTGGTGATGACTGAAACGGCAAAGAAGTCGACTCGCATCCGCCAAAAAAGGCTGTTTTGTCAATCGTAAAGCCCTCTTCAAAGTTTAATCTCGTTGGCACATGGTCCAGGCTGGACTCCAGCTAACGGTCGTATCCATCGTGGAGGCTGCCCGTCCCTCCTTCGTGTTCTACCCCGCCATCTCAGGCTGGAATGTCTGCCCCAGTGGTGCCAGGACACAATGCCAGGAGACAGTGGCGTGTAACTATTGGATGAGTGGAATGTCAATTTCTCCGCGCGCAAGGGCATTTGATGCACTGAGTGACGTTGCCATGGCATGGGTGGGCATTGGAACGACCAGAGAAGAAGTTACTCCGCCCATGCAACACGAGCACAAGTGTCTGAGACAAGTCTAGAATTTCGTGTTTGAAGAAGGTGCGGCTGGGCAAGGAAAACAAAGGAAAAGAGAGGGCTATAAAAGTGTGGTAGGACTGGTGCTTGCACGTTGGGAGTTGTCCTGACACTTTTCCTCACTTCTGTTGTCCAAGTCTGCCTCCCTCCGTGAACCTCACCTCGCCTTGTGTCACCACCCTTTCCCCTCAAACATCCCACAGTCCCCAAGCACTCGCAGTCTAAACACCACCCGCACCCCTTATCGCAGCCACCAGGGCAAAAGCTATGGCTCCTCACGCGACTGAAAACGGCACCGACGCCACGTCCTCTTCGGGCGGCCTCGACTTCACCACCTTCTCCAACGTGATTGACGGCAAGCTCACGTCCACCGAAAAGACTCGTCATGGGATCAACCCTGCCACTGGGAAACCGAACCCTGAGGTGCCCGTCTCGACACCCGAGGACGTGGACAAGGCCGTAGCGGCGGGCAAGAAGGCGTTCAAGGCATGGGCCAAAACACCGTACGCGGAGAGGCAGAAGGCCATGCTTGCCTTCGCGGATGCCCTGGAGAAAGAGAAGGACGGGTTTGCAAAGATGTTGACGCAAGAGCAAGGGAAGCCGGTAAGTCTGAGAGATAATCAGCCACGTGCATACTCCAGCTCCTCGGCTTGATAGCTGATATGTCTCTTAAATCGCAGCTTCATTTCGCCGTCTTTGAGATGGACTTCACCCTGCAGATCATTCGCACCATGGCAAACCTGGAGCTCCCCACCGAAGAAATTGTGGACGAAGCCGATCGGAAGATCGTTGTTCGATACACGCCGCTCGGGGTCACCGTGGGCATTGTTCCATGGAACTACCCTGTCTTGCTGTGCTGCTCTAAAATTGCTCCCTGTGTCGTTACAGGCAACCCCATCATCATCAAGCCATCTCCGTTCACTCCTTATGGAGGACTGAAGGTGGTCGAATTGGCGCAGAGGTTCTTCCCACCAGGTGTCGTCCAAGCCCTGAGCGGAGACGACAACCTTGGTCCGTGGTTGACCTCTCACCGTGGGCCTGCAAAGATCAGTTTCACAGGCTCTAGCGCCACTGGCAAGAAAGTCATGGAGTCAGCAAGCAAGACCCTCAAGCGTGTTACGTTGGAACTGTATGTGGCCCTTTACAAGGCATCTCTGTATGGCCCAAGCTAATGAGTCAAACAGTGGCGGCAATGATCCTGCCATCATCTGTGATGACGTTAACGTCGACGACGTTGCCCCCAAGGTAATTCCTTGCCCTTCTCGAGGAATTTGGTAATAACAAACCCATTTCAGATCGCGACTCTCGCTTTCCTGAACTCCGGCCAGGTAAGACAACTTTCACCTTGTGCATTGCATTGAAATGGCGCTAACCCCATCAAGATCTGCCTGGCGCTCAAACGCATCTTTGTACACGAGAAGATCTTCGATCAGTTTCGTGACAAGATGGTCGAATACACCAAGACCTTGAAACTCGGCGAAGGGTTCGAGAAAGACGTCTTCCTCGGCCCCATTCAGAATTCCATGCAGTATGAGCGGGTCAAGGGCTTCTTCAATGACATTGAGAAGGAACAGTACAACGTTGCTGTCGGAGGCAAAAACCCTGATGGGCCGGGCTATTTCATCACACCGACAATCATTGACCGACCGAAGGAGGACTCGAGGCTGGTCGTTGAAGAACCGTTCGGTAAGTCACAGCTGTGTTGTAGCACGACCGGACCCGGAGACTGACCATCGGTCGAAACAGGCCCCATTGTACCCCTCTTGAGCTTCAGCACCGACGAAGAAGCCATCGAAAAGGCCAATAACACCACGTATGGTCTTGGAGCGTCCGTTTGGTCGGGCAACCTCGAACGGGCTTCGAAAATTGCCAAGGAGCTTGAAGCCGGCAACGTCTGGGTCAACACTCATTTCGAGCTTGATGCCAGAGCGCCATTCGGCGGGCACAAGGAGAGCGGCATCGGGACCGAGTTCGGTGTCGGTGGGTTGAAGTCATACTGCAACTCACAGACCTTGTACTTGAAGAAGTGAGGAGGATGGCTATGCAAGGATGGATCGACGGTCTGCCCGAGGCACAAGATAGCTACCGGGAAAACCGGAACGGGGCTTCACCTGGTACTTACTGTGTCCATGGTTGTCTTCAAGTTGGTATTAAGGTATTGCTCTGTATTCAGACACAGTTTAGCCTCACTCGAATGTTGAACAGCAGGTAGCGCTGCGGGAGCTCTCCTTGATAAGAGAAGTCCACGGAGTCCCTTTGTAGCCCCACACTCGGAAGATTTGTGCCGAGGCCGAGTGGCAGTGATGCTGGTAATTAGGGTGCCAGCTAGCCACTACTTGCGGGGAAGGCTGCGGGAAGGATTAATTGCAGCGGCCAACCTCACGCCTGGGCACCTCCAGCACCAGGGAGTAAACCAGCCCGGGGCAAGGGCGGGGGACTGCCCAGGCGCACCCAACACCCACGCCACATCTGGCATATGGCACCCCGGCCTTCGGGCGTCTCCCTTGGAGCTTGGTCACCACCAGTTCCTTGGAGACCCCAACGAGGGAAAAATAATCTCCAACCAGCAAACCTTCTTGCGGATTGGTCCCTTCCTTTCAAACCAGTCGCCATCCATCGTGTGTCCGTATCATCACTGTGTCTATTTGCGCTTCAGGCTCTCGTCGTCGAGCTCAGCGCAAGCCTGCGATCAAGAACATGCCGCCGCCGCCGCCGATGCGCCAATGACATTGGGACGACGGCCGTGGCAAGATTGACGTTTCGCCGCGATCCGGCAGACGACGCCCTGCGCACACACACTGCTCCTACCGCGCTTAGACCTCACCAGCGACGATCCGGGCAATATTGGACCTGGGCACGCAATACACAACATGTCGGAAAATAAGCGCCCGCGTCTCGACTACCCTACCATTGCTCCCAGCATCAACGACCAACCTGTGACCGATCCGCCAGCCTCATCTGATCACAGACGGCGCTCGAGCTCGGGTAAAACCGAGGGGAAACGTCGATTCGAGTGTACATACGCGGGCTGTGGTCGAGATTATTCCCGGGCAGAGCACCTCTATCGGCATCAACTCAACCGTATGACTGTTGCGCCTTGTTTGTGGTTGTTGAGATCCCCCGTCCGCTAACTTGGCCCTAGACAACCCGAAAGAGATCTACAAATGTGACTATCCGGGATGTTACAGGACCTTTGTGCGTCAGGACCTCTGCATCCGCCACCGTGAAAGGCACGAAGTGAGGGGACCAATGCCCAAAGCCCATGACCCTCACCGCGAACCTCTGTCGCCGCGCTCCTCGTTCAGTGAAGAGCCTGCGATGAGTCCGACTTCTCCTGGCTTGAATATCTTTGCGACACCGAAGCCAGGCTCAGATAACCTCCAGTCACCCCTTCTCAAGCGCCCGTCCTTCTCTGGCGAGCCAGCACTGAAGCCGACGGATCTGCAAGCCATCATCCAACAGAATGCCCCCGAAACGAACGGGACAAGCGACCATGCGACCTCGCAAGCCCTCCGCTCGGCGGCGCCACTGCGGCATGATCTCAACGCCATTCTTCATCATCCCGTGCAGTCCAGGAACTACGCTCAGACGGATCTGTCGTCAGATTCGTCCTTGACCACCCGAGCACCGCAGGGCATGCCCGACAACGTGTTTGATAATCTTGACCCCTCTATCTTGAGCAAGACGCGGACACATTCGAGCAGCTCTAGGATTCCCACCGCCGCTGATCCGCAGATGTCAGACAGGTCTTCGGCCACATACGGCATGCCGAACCTGGGGGATCAGACGTTTAACGACTCACCCGTCTCCGTCCGAGATGAATTTGCCGCCTGGCTCTTTGAAGATGCCGGCGGCTTCCACACCGCTCCGTTCTCAATGGGCGCGCAAGGGGGCATCGGCTTCGCCAACGGTGCCGAAATATTTGGCAGTGCCATGTATTCCAACTACTTCGCGGACCCTGCGCTGGACAACTCGTATCCTGGTATCAGTCAGCAACGGCCAGTTGAAGCAACGAGCAAGGTGCCTGAGTCCTCGGTTGATAGCACCATTCTGTCACATTCAAAGCGCGCGTCGTTGATTAACTTGATGGAACGCTTCCACGAAGGCGACAATCCATTGGTCCGACAGCTCAGAGACGAGATCTTCCAAGGCAATCCCGACGCGGAGGAGCATGTTCTCAGCATTCGTTCTATGCAGCACTACATCGGGTCCTACTGGTATCATTTCCACGCCCAGATGCCCATCCTACATCAGCCCACATTCTCCGCCGACGATACCCACGAATACCTCCTCCTTGCGGTAATGGCCATCGGTGCCGCCTTTCTCAACAAAGCTCATGGACGAGCCGTGACGGACGCTGCTGCTCGATTCGCCACTTTCATCGCCTGGCATTTACGTTGGCAGGTTTTTATGCACAGTGACTTCCATCCTCCAGCCAAGTTGTGGATCTTTCAAACGCTCTTGTTGCTGGAGGTTTACGAGAAAATGAACGCGACGAGAATGCTGCATGAGCGATCTCACATTCATTATGCCACCACCATCAACTTGATGCGACGAGGAACGGCTTTGATCGAGACGGCACACCAGGACTCCTCCCGTGTGCCTTCGTCTCCCGAAGAATGGTGGGTCCGCTGGATCACAGCAGAAGCGACCCGTCGTGCCGCTTACGCCGCATTCTATCTGGACGCACTTCACGCGGCCATGTTCGGCCACGCGGCGATGATGGTGGTTCATGAAATCCGACTGCCTCTCCCGTGCGATGACGCCCTGTGGTCCGCCACTTCGGCCGCAGAAGTTGGACGAGTCGAAGCTAGTTTGCATGCCAACGGGATCAAACCTACCACATTTTTGGACGGACTCAAAAAGACTCTGACCGGCCGCAAGGTTCGCACGAACAACTTTGGCCGAATGACCCTTATGGCCGGTCTTCTGTCTGTTTCGTGGCACATGAACCAACGTGACCTCCAGGTGTCCAGCCTCGGCGTATCTCAGACAATGGGCGTCCCTGATGGCTGGCGGACACCGCTGACGAAAGCGTTTGACTTCTGGAAGAAAGACTTTGACGAGAGCCTCGAACATATGCGGAGGGCGACACTCCCCTGGCAGAAGAATGACGGTGTTTCGGGCCAAGAGGACATGGCGCAGACGGCGGAAATTCTCCACCACCTGAGCCACATGGCAATGCACACCGACGTCATGGACTGCCAGATCTTTGCGGGCATCAAGCGGCTCTTTGGCAGAGTGGTGACCAATGCTGATTACGAGAGAGTCAAGTGCAAGCTCTTCGACTGGGCCAAGGGCCCGAGTGCCAGGATCGCCGTCTATCATGCTCTGCAGCTGCTCAAGTCCGTGATTCTGCCGGGAAAGGGTGGCTCGAGAAAGCTGTACAATGCCCGCGACGATTATCTGATGATGAGACCGTGGATCCTGTACTTTGCCGCCCTGGTCGTCTGGTCATACGGGTTTGCTCTGGACGGGGTCCTCCGACCTTTTCCTAGTCTTTTGCAACCTGATTCCTCCCCGGGCGCCGCTTCGGCCCGGTCTCATGGCTCCAACCAGTCGATGCTGAATATGGCCCACGATGGCAGCGAGTTCCAGGTGGAAGCTGTGATCAAGGACGCACACGCTTTCCTGCAGACGGTTGGCGCGGTGAAGTCGCCGCAGCAGCTCGAGTCGATCAAGGATGGTCGGAACAATGTGGTTGGGGTTTTGGCGATCCTGGAGACCGCCTTTCGCGATTCCAGATGGGAGTTGTTGCACGAGGCTGCTGATCTTCTTCGCAATGCCATTGTCTTGCTTCGTGGGGCGAGTCGTCCATGATGCAGCGAGACAGAAATCGATCCAGCGTTGGAGCGTTCAGGTAGATGCCAGCTTACATATTCACCGTTTGTACATTGTACCTTTTTCGCGAGCCCGCCATCGACTTGACTGAATCCCGCGTCTCTACGAGGCCATTTGTGCTGGATAGAGGTGCCTCTACGTTCTATGAGCAAGAGGGAGTTGCTAGAGTGATGTCAGGGCTCTTATTTCTCCAGCCACTCACTCTTTCCCCTCTCACACAAACCCCACGCGCAATAACAGCGTGTCCGTGGCTGTGGCTGTAGCTGCAGCTGTGGGGGATCCTGTCACCAACCCACTCGCCCACTCTGACACTGTAACATCCTGGACCTCCAGTGCTTCCCCTGGTACTTCCTTGCTCCATGCTACGGCGCCTTTTACTCCGAGGGCTGCTTGGCCAGCGCCTGTCGTGCCATTGACGGCAATTGAACCGCCGTCATCTTCTTCGACTCCATCGTGCTACGAGTACCTGATGTTATAGCCGATCGCCTTTTGACAAGCGGTGCCCATCATCCGAGCTACCAAGTCATCGTGGGGATTCTGTCACGGTTCCAGTTCTCGCATACGAACGAAACAACCTGGGGGGGTGTTTTCCTCATTGGGTTTATTTTTGGGGCGTACGTCGATATAAATCAATTGATTATTGGGGATTTATTTCCTGGTCGTATTTTCCCAGCTCGACCCTGCCAATAGATACAAACTTCTAGGTATCCTTCGAGGACTATCAGAGAGGCGCTTTTTTTCTTGCAAGGAAGCTTTATCTTGCCCAAAGAAAGCAATACCCGCGCACGATATGGCGACGAGTCAACTGCGATCCTTCGGGGGATCCACGAACGGCCAGCACCGCCCTCAAGTGCCCGACATGCCGCAAGCCAAGATCAAGAGCGTCGAGTACTTCCGCGTCAAGCCCCGGTGGCTGTTTGTCAAGATCTGCGACGACCAGGGGTTCCATGGCTGGGGGGAGGCGACGCTCGAGGGCCACACCAAGGCCGTCGAGGGCGCGCTGGACGAGATCATCGACCGCATTGTCGGGTATGAGGCGGAGTAAGTCACCTTTGTGATTCCCCCTTTTCGCCCCTCTCCTTCGGTTCCTCTGTTCTCGATCTCGGTGGGGATGATGGGTGCTAAAGTGTTCATGTGACGGGGTGTAGTGACATCGAACACATATGGCAGACGATATGGCGGCTGGGGTTCTACCGCGGAGGTCCGGTCTTCATGTCCGCCTTGTCGGGGATTGATATTGCTTTGTGGGATTTGAAAGGTGAGAGGTGACTCCGGGACACTGTTTGATAGGAATCTGCCAAAAAAGGGAGGTTCTCTTTCTGACGGCAAGCAACTCCAGGTCGCAGGCTGAATGTCCCCGTCTATCAACTGCTCGGCGGCAAAGTGCGCAACAAGGTCCAAGTCTACGCGTGGATCGGCGGCGACACGTTCCAGGACATTGAAGGGGCGGCCAAGGCACGGATCGCCCAGGGTCTGAAATGCGTCAAGATGAACGCCACGGGGCCCGTCAACTGGCTCGACTCGCCGGCGGTGCTGGACGCCACGATCGAGCGGCTCAAGATCGTCAAGGGCCTGGGGCTGGACGCCGGGCTGGACTTCCACGGCCGGCTGCACAAGCCCATGGCCAAGCAGCTGGCGCGGGCGCTGGAGCCGTACCGGCCGCTGTTCATCGAGGAGCCGCTGCTGGTGGAGCACGGCGAGGCGCTGCAGCAGCTGGCCGGGGCCACGACGGTCCCGATCGCGTTCGGCGAGCGGCTCTACACGCGCTGGGACGTCAAGCGGTTCCTGGCCGATGCGACGGTCGACATCCTGCAGCCCGACATCGCGCACGCGGGCGGCATCTCCGAGACGCGCCGCATCGCCGCCCTGGCCGAGGCCTACGACGTCGCCATCGCGCCGCACTGCCCGCTCGGCCCCGTCGCCCTGGCCGCCAGCATGCAGGTCGCCCTGTGCACCCCGAACTTCGTCATCCAGGAGATGTCCCTGGGCATGCACTACAACGTCGAGGCCGGCAAGGAGGACCTCAACACCTACCTCGTCGACCCCGCCGTGTTTGCCATCCGGGACGGCTACGTCGACGCCCTCCGCGGCCCCGGGCTGGGGATCGAGATCGACGAGGCCGTCGTGCGCAGGATCGCCCAGTCCACGGGCCATTGGCAGTGCAAGGAGTTTTACGGGCCGGATGGGTCGATTAGAGAGTGGTGAGCGGAAAGAGACGAGGGTAGAGAAAGATACTCCCTGTTTCTCAACACCACAAACCGTGTATAGCGCCGGGGCAAGAGGGGAAAGAAACCAAAAAGGCTTGGGTCTCATTCTGGGCGTAGCATCATGGGCGTCTGAGCATCGACCAGGCACGCATACGGACAGTCAGTCGCGTTGCCAGCAAGGCTTGCCTACCTACTACCTTCTTCCTCTTCGTCGCTCCCTGCTTCTGCGAGGCTGGCTATACTGAGCTATTACACATCATAGGTATTCCGACGGATCGGATTCCTCCGGCGTTCCCCCCCCCCCAACCCCACGGGAGTTGCAGGGCCCTGGTCAGATAGCCGCCCCTTTCTCCCCATGTTCTGGACGCGTCCCGTCGGAAGGAAATCCGGGGGGATAGTGAAAGCGTCGGTGTCGATCCCGTACGACTTCCGTGCTTCGGGACAAACCTCGACCGACGCTCCTCTGTTCCTTCTCCAGCAGTGGAGATGGATGATGGATCGACCTGTACGAGGTACAGTAGTAGTAAATACCAGTAGAGATGGGGGGCTGTGGGATGAATGATCTGCCAGAATAGACCGGCCTGCTTCCAACCTTAATCCCCCGTACATTTCACGTTGTCGAAGAAGGTTCCGCGTATCGACCTCCGTCCAACGTGCAAGCGACTACAAAACCTTTCACTCCAGTTCTTGAGAGGACGAGGGGTCTGTATCCGCCGCGTGGTGGCACGGGGTAAATAGGTCCTTGTAGCTGGTGAATAGTTGGCTGTTTCTCGGCACCCCCCGCGGGGTTGGGCGATCTCTATTTATCCGGGGGTGTTCTTAGCTAACCGGATCAAACGAGTGGTTGATGGTTCTCACTTGGGGGATCAATGAAACGCTTCTCTCTCCTCGTCCTGGAACTGGATAGATCTCCTCTCTAGCTTTCGGAAAGCCGTGTCAAGTCGGGAGGACGAGGAAGAGGGAGACCTTGCCGCGCAATACGGCCCAAGAACCGCGAAGAGTTGGGATAGACTTTCATCGTCAGGCTGCCCTACTCAGGGGGAAGAGGTGTTAACGTATCAATCCAGGGATACCAAACTAAGGACTCGGGCGGCGGCTCAACTAGATACATCACCCCCACAACGACAGTCCATCGCGAGGCTGAGCAGAAAAGGGTCGACAGAGACGGCATCGCCATGTCTCTCACCTTCCCGGCCATGTTCTCGCTGGAGAACAGGACGGCCGTCGTCACAGGTCAGTACAGATGGTCTTAAACATGTTCGCCGCTCTCACACTCCGTGCTGACCCCATGGCCGCAGGAGCTACGAGGGGCATTGGAGCAGCCATGGCCATCGCCCTGGCCGAAGCAGGGGCGGATATCGTGCTGATCCAGGTATGCAAACGACGACCGAGTCTAGACGTTATCTCGTTGGCATGGTTGGTATCACCCGCAAACTCTCGCTGACACTGCAATGAACGCTCCCCAGCGAGACACCTCCAACACGGCGACAAAACAGGCCATCGAGGCCCTCGCGCGCAAAGCCACCATCTACACGGCCGACCTGGCCTCGCCGCCCGACGTCGCGGGGCTGGCGCGGCGCGTGCTCGACGACGGCCACGACGTCTCCATCCTGGTGACCTGCGCGGGCATCCAGCGCCGGCACCCGGCGCACGAGTTCCCCCTGGCGGACTGGGACGAGGTGGTGCAGGTCAACCTGACGGCCGTCTTCATCCTGTGCCGCGACTTTGGGGCGTACATGCTGACCCGGCCACCCGCGGGCCACCACCAGCGTCGCGGCTCCATCGTCAACATCGCCAGCCTGGTCAGCTTCTCGGGCGGGCTCACCGTGCCGGCCTACGCCAGCGCCAAGGGCGGGATCGCGCAGCTCACCAAGGCGCTGAGCAACGAGTGGGCCGGGCGCGGCGTCGCCGTCAACGCCATCGCGCCCGGGTACGTGCGCACGGACATGAACGAGGCGCTCATCCGCGACGAGACCCGCGCCCGCCAGATCCTCGAGCGCATCCCCATGGGCCGGTGGGGCGTGCCCGACGACTTCAAGGGGCCCGTCGTCTGGTTGGCGAGTCCGGCGAGCGCGTACGTCTCGGGCCATGTGCTGGTCGTGGACGGCGGGTGGATGGGCAGGTAGATGCATGGTTATCCAAGAGGGAGAGGGGGAGGGGACATGAATTATACGGCGAAGATAGGGTAGTAAAAAGACTCTTGATGGCTCCCCTTTTTCGCTCCTAGCGTAGTATATCAATGGATCACTCCAGACGGATATATATATAGTTATAGAAGAAAGCGAGGCCTCGATTCTCACCCTCGTCCGACGTGGCGCTACGACGGACTGGGCTTCATCCGCGAGTTGACCGCCACTAGCAGGGTATACAGCACCTCGAGGATCGGGACGGGCACGCCCAGCTCCCGGGCCTTGCGCACCGGCGTGCCCAGGATGACCTCGACCTCCATGGGCCGGCCGACCCTGCAGTCGGTCTGCATGCTGCTGCCGATGGGCTGCATCGCGAGGATCCGGGCGATCAGCTCGTCGACCAGGCCGTCGCGGAGGGGCACGCCGCAGCACCGCGCCACGGCGATGACCTCGCCCATCAGGCGGCGCGTCATGGGCGTTGCGTCGGGCGACGACGCCAGCCACGCGTGCGTGTCCAGCATGGTCAGTGTGGTCAGCGAATTCCACGCCACGTTCCACACCACCTTCTCCCACCGCTGGACCTGCACGTTGTCCTCGACGCTGAACGGCGTCCCCCCCGCGCGCAGCAGCCCCGTGAACTCGTCCAGGCGAGCGCGCTCGAGCGCCGGGGCCAGCGCCTCGTTGCGGAAGATGCCGATCTGCGTGTTCTCGGATTTCCAGTGGTGGACCACCCCGGGCGTGTTCTGGCTGGCTCCTACCCACGTCTAATGCGCGATGTCCTCGTCGTCAGTGGTCGAGCAAAGGTTGGGGTTAGTTAGGGGAGGAGCTGAATTTCACGTACCACGCAGCTCAGAATGGCGCACTTGGGGAATGCTTCCCGGAACGGGTCTTCGTTCCCCACGCCGTTCTGGATGATCACGATGCACGTCTTGCTCTCGTCGACGGCGGGAGCCAGTTGCTTGGTGTTGGACGCCTGGTCAATGGCCTTGTGCGCGCACACGATGTAGTCGTACGTTTCCCCGGCTTCGGCTGGTGTTCTGACCACTGCCCGTCGATGCAACTGTCAGCCGCCTCTTGAAACAAGAGGAGGGGTGAGAGGCCTTCTCTCACCTTTGGCCGGATGTACGACGTGGTCGCCATGGTTCATGCTTTGGATACGCAGCCCCTGCAATAGCAACAGGTGTCAGCTTCACTCCTCCCAAGGCCGGTCAGTCGACGGGACGGACGTCTTTCTTGACAGCCTCGTAGTTGGAACGAGCCACCACGGTCAACCGCACGCGCTTCGTGCGGTCCAGGATGAAGGCGTAGAACGATCCGATCCTGCCGAGTTAGCAGGGGGCTTTATTTGCAGGGCGTCTTGGGGTCGCGACGTACGCTCCGAGCCCATACAGCATGACATTGATATCCTGCGCCATGCTGGGTTGTTCAAGATATTGGTCCCACGGGTTCTCTCGACTTGGTAGCCCTGCTCTCGCTGCTATTAGGTCGGGTTGTGCGCAGCTCGCAGCGAAGTTTTTTTACTCAGTGTACTCCCTTCTCTCTATCGTGATACTGTGAAATTGGCTAAATTCGGCCTGGGCTCAGGGATGCCGAGACTGACGCCTTTTCAAAGACAACAAACACGGGCTTATCGCTGTTGTGTGCTGGGAACGGTGGGTTCTGTCAGGCGTGGGGGTCGTGCCCACAGCCGCTCCGCACTCATGCAAGGACCATTAATTATAACATGACGCCGGAACCACATCACTGACTGTTACATCGGGGCGGGAGAGCTGCCAGCGCTCAACAACAGCTGAACGCACACCGTGCCCATAACCCAGCTCATCATGCAGAGGAGCAACGGCGTGCCACCTCCTCCAAGGCACAGCAACGTCTTGTAGATCGTGACCGCCGCTAGTCTATAGCGAACAGTCTTGTGGGCGGGTGTGGCTATACTCTCTCCAAAGAGATCGCCCTCGGGTAAATGACAGGTGGGGGATAATGCAGCAGGAATCTTCGTGTCATCTTAGCCATTGCTCGGTGGATTGCCCAACAAATCAGTACCTGGCATCGGTTCAATGCGTGACACTTGTATAGGGATATCTGACCATTGGGCTGGCTGAGGCATCCTCTACACCGCCCTCTCATCTCCCACGGCAAACTTCCAGGTGAGATGAAGAAGCTGAAGAGTTCAGAAGTCGCCAAACACAACCACCGGCAGTCATGCTGGATCGTTTTGTACGGCAAAGTCTACGATATCACAGGTGCGTGCATCAGAGCCAGCCTCCGACCACGAGTTCACCCCATCTCTCTGCAGACTTTCTCGATGGTCATCCAGGAGGGCCACAGGTACTTTTGAGGAGTGCAGGCCAGGATGCCACGGCCGAGTACGAGAGTGTGCACAGTCCCGACCTGGTCGAAGAGACCCTTCCCTCCACTTCATTTCGCGGGCTTGTCGACTCGGCCAACCCCAAAGCACAGTCGACATCAAATCGCAGTCCGCGGCACAAACCAAAGGCGCGCTTCCCACCATTGAGGTCAATGATCAGCGTCAATGACTTCGAAGACGTGGCAAAGCAATACCTCAGTCCAGCCGGATGGGCCTACTATTCATCTGGGGCCGACGATGAACGTAGCCGGTACGAAGCTGCTCGCGCATTCCGCAAGCTGACTCTGCGACCCCGAGTCCTTCGCAACGTGGACCACATTGACACTAGAACAACCATTCTCGGCAAGAACACCAGCTTGCCGGTCTACGTTTCGCCCTCGGGATTGGGGAGATACGCACATCCGGACGCAGAGTGCGCGTTTGCTTCTGGAGCGGGAAAAGAAGGCCTAATCCAAGTAATACCCACAAGCCCCAGTATGCCCATCGAGAAGATCATCAACGCCCGGATCAGCGAGAGCCAGCCTGTGTTCTTTCAGCTATATTTCAATCGAGACTTCCAAAAGGCGGAAGCCATGATCCGCCGAGTTGAGAGATTGGGGGTAAGCGCGATATGGTTGACGGTAGACTCGCCGGTTCTTGGGAAACGGGAGCGGGACGATCGATTGAAGGTTCAAGTCAGTAGGGGCTCCAGCATTGCGCGGAAGAAAGTTATTGGCACTTCTGACACGAGCCCAGATCAGTGGCGAAGACGAATACGCCATGCTCGAGGAACAGAAACCCGGCGTGGCCAAACTGGCGTCCGGCGGCCTGCTGAATCCGAGATTGACCTGGGATGACATTGCGTGGATCCGTCAGGTTACCAAATTGCCACTTGTTCTCAAAGGCATTCAGAGCGTGGAAGATGCCGTCCTCGCGTATGAAAAGGGAGTCGAAGGAATTGTTTTATCTAATCACGGAGGCCGATCCCAGGATACGTGAGTGATGTCTCGTCGCTGCGCTTCGGGCAACATTGATCTTCGGGGACCTAATGGTTGCATTTAGGGCACAAGCGCCGATGATCACCCTGCTAGAGATCCGACGATATGCGCCACATCTGCTCAATAGCCGAATGGAGGTGTTCTTGGACGGCGAGATTCGTCGCGGCACGGACATTCTGAAAGCGCTGGCTCTGGGCGTGCGGGCGGTCGGGCTGGGGCGACCTTTCCTGTTCAGCCTTACTGGGGGCTATGGAGAAGCTGGGTTCCGACGAATGGTCCAGATCCTGCGCGAAGAGCTTGAAGGCAACATGGCACTAGCCGGGGCCACCAGGATCAGTGAGCTTGTTCCGGAAATGGTCAACACCCAGAGGCTGGACAAGGAAGTTATTGGCTCCATCAAGTTGTGAGCCACTGAAGTTGGGGTTGCAGTACCTCTGGCGCAGTGGCGGTGAGGACAACGCAACCCCCGACCCGTGGACAGGGGAGACCATGCATCTTGGATAGGCAGAGTGTCCGGGGGGCATTCCTGTATCCATGAAGGCGGCGCCTTGTTTTCGACCAGTGACCAAGTCAGATGCGGGAGGTGGTTGGCGCGATCTCTCTCCAGCCGTTCGATCGCAGGTAAGGAGGTAGAGGGCGTGGGACGATGTCGTCTGGGCAGTGGCAGTGGCGGGACCGGACGACGGCGTCGCCGTATGTATCTGTGAGTTTATCAGCATCGGAGTACCGTGCCTATGAATGATGCGTCGCAAAGAACTGGTGGTGTCAGCAGCACATGTTGGTTGATGGCCTTTTCCCCCCGGATCTTTAGGTGGATACAAGGAGAAGAGAAAGAGAGGGTCGCCAAGGCGGAGGGGGCAAAGGTCAATCCCGGCTACCACGCGCTGGGCATGCTTAAGTGTCGAATTTAGGCGACTCCTAGCCTGGAGTTTACCCGGAAGGAGCCTAGGGCTATGTGGCGGGGGCGTCCATAGGCACTGGGCATTGGATCATGGGGGTCTGGGGGAACCGAGTGGCACCTGTGCTCGTTCTCTCGGTCTCTTCCAGCTGGTGGCCAGGACGGAGTACCACTCACTAATACCCGGGGACTACCTAGGTGTCTGCATAGAGCAAATTTTCTCGTCTAGGGAAAAGCCAGGACTATGTGGATATGTGTGTGTGTGTGTGTGTGTGTGTGTGTGGACTGCGCCAACTGCGCTCAATTGCGCTCGCATGACACAGACTCTCTTTGTCTTTGTCTTTGTCGCTCTCGTGTCTTCCCCGCCCCATTGATTATTACTTCGCCAACCTGCCAGAACTGGTTGGTCGTGCGAAATCCACCTTCCAGACCGTCTCCGACACGAGGTTGAGTTACCTGCCCATCATCCACCATCCACCGTCCACCGTCCACCGTCCACCGTCCGCCATCAATCGTCATCATCATCACCATCATCCTCTCCCTCACCTCCTCCCCTCTCCACTTTCCGGCTGCTGTTCATCACCTCTCTCTGTCTCTCAAGGCTGTATGCCATCGCCCGGACTGCTGCGCCATTCTCACTGGGGTCGTTTGAACATAAAAAGTCCACCTGACCAGGTCATCCAAGCCTACAGGATCCGAGGGCCAACTGCAGTAAGGCCGGTTGTGTCAACCTCGTCTCATCTCGCTCCGTTCCCGCTCGGGGTGGTCATCGATGGATCTCTTATGACACGACACTCGAGAGACCCAACACCTTGCGACCACACTTGATCGCCATGCTGCAACGACTCGAGCACACCTTGTGTAATGTGTAATATCCATGTCCGCGAAGCCCGGCATTGAGATTATCGACCGATCTTCGCCCAGCAATCCTCCAGCCTATTGGCCCAGGCGCTCCCCCAGGTAGTGGTTGACATTTCGAATCTTACCTGCCGATGACAGCCTCAATCATGGACCAGTCCCGTCAGTGGCAGGAACGGTTTCAGTGCCCGTCCTGTTCCAAGTCGTTTGTGCGAAAGGCCCATATGCTCCGTCATCAGCAGCAACGTACGTCTGTGGCTATAGATTCCCCGACTTGGCCGGCTTCGCGTGTGCTGACTTCGCTTCTGCAGATGTCGCACAAAGACCCTTCACCTGTAATTTCTGCTCCAAATGCTTTAAGCGAAGGTAACACCGACATCTCCACTCAAAAGCCAAGAGGGGGCCGTTCTGACGTTGGCTCAGTGATGTTCTTCGAGCCCATCAGTTTCGATGCAAAGAACGCGGCTCAGCGCCAGTACCCGAGGGGCAGTCGAAAGGCCGAAAGAGATCTTCGTGTCTTTCCTGTGTAAAGCTGAGGACGAAATGTGACCAAGAAACCCCCTGTACTCGCTGTCAGGAACTGGGAAAGGAATGCATCCGATGTAAGTGGTCTGTACCGCCGTGGACTCGACACTTTTTTGACGGTGTGTAGCGGCGTCTAGTCCACAAAGGGCGCAAGAGGCTGCCAGGCCTAAAAGTCGGGACGCGATCCCGATCCATCATCTGCTCAACGCTCCTGACGGCGATGACCTGGTGCCCCGGTTCCCGATTCGAGATACCCCTCCAGGCGCCGGGGGTGACGAGGACGATGCGACGGTCAACGAAACAGAGGACTCCTCCGAAGCCTCACATTGGAGCGAGGACTATGAAAACCCCCACGATGTCTTCGCTGGTGCAAGTCTGGCCGACCTGGAAGGGATGAATTTCGACTCTTTCTTCGGAGGCTTTGAGAGCTTGACGTTTGGCTCGTATCCCCTGAATGCTGACATGTCAAACATCACGAGCGGGACGGGTATTGTTTCTCCATCTGCCATGGCGCTCGAACCTCGCGCCTATGAGATTCGACAGCTGCTGCTGGGCGCAGCCACCAAGTTTGCAATCGAGTACCCGGACAGTCCTCAGCTCGGGCACCTGGAGACAAACATCGGACTCCTCACCCACGTGGAAATAGACCACTGTCTCACCCTGTTCTTCAACAACTACTACCGGCACTGTCCGATTATTCATCGCCCATCCTTTCAACCTACCATTGCCCCTATCCCTCTTGTGTTGGGCTGCGTCGCTCTGGGGGCAATGTACTCGGAACAGGCCAAAGTCTGCTGGATGAAGAATCTTCTGGACGTTATTGAATCATATATCTTCTCGCTGCCGGAGGTGAGAGACGAGTTCTTTGGCACTCTGGGGGTTTTGGAGGCACCCGATGAGGATGCCGTGGAATACCACTTTCAACTGTTTCAAGGGGCCTACCTTTTTGTCGTCGTCCAATACTTCTCGGGGAATCTAGCCGGCCGGAGAAGAGCGAGAAGGCAGAGGTTCCCTTCGATTCTGAATGTCGGTCAGCCTTGCCCACTCACATATTCGTATCTGACTTGGTCGCAGCTCGCGCGATATTTCGGCTTGCCAGCAGCGCAGCATTCAAACGTTGTTGCAATACCGGACGATCTCGCTTTTCAGCGCTGGGTGCGGATCGAGGCCCGTATTCGGTAGGTGATTTCTTGCAGCATTAGACTGAACGCCTCTTCCCCTGACAGCTATTTCCTAGGACGATGAATGTGCTGCTCGCCCTAGACTCAGCCATGGGAATCTTCAACAACGTCCCTCCTCGCATCAACTACTGCGAAGTAGATCTTCAGCTGCCATGCCATCCTGAATATTTCGAGTTGTTAGGCTATGCGGACATGCTTCAACGGGGTTCATTCCCTCGTCCGCGGATGAAGTTGATCGAAGCTTTCCAGAAACTATTCGTCCATCCTGGCGAGCTCAAGGCGGCATATCAGAACGAGAATTTGTGTTGTTGGGATATGCTCTACCTTACCCACGGTATGGACTTCATTCTTTGCAGATAGGCGAGTCTCTGCTAATTCATGCGCAAGTTCTGTATACCCACTGTTGGCAGCATCTGTTTGGAAACCCACTCAATCGGATATCGTCCACTTCGCTGGCTTCGGAGCTACATCTGGTGTACGAGCCGATGAAGACTGCCCTGGCAAACTGGAAGACTCTCTGGGATGATGTCCGCGCGAAACTGTCCCGTGCAAACGTCAGCGAGATGGGTTTTGAAACTTCGGCCGACAGTTACTGGACACTTGTCAGAATGATTGTGCTGAAATTCGAACACAGAAAAAGTGCCAGCAGCGCCGCCAGCAGCATAAACGGAGCCGCTACTAACTCCACCAGTGGTTTGGCGCACAGAGAGGCAGGAGCCAGTGACGATGGGATGAGTGAGTCGAGCGCCAACGGTAGGGCGACAGGAGGACTCAGTCCTAGCTTGGACTTTATGCCCCTCGAGGCGGATTGCGACAGTCAAGGCGCCCACTTGAGGAAGATCCTGCAAAAGTGATTGCCGGAATTGATCACTGTCCGCCATGTTCTCGAGCAAGGAAATGTCTAATGCGCGAGCTGCTATCTGCGACTGCTTACGATTGACCCTATGCTTGCAACAGTCCGCCTGCTTTACTCAGAGCCTGTGGAGAAGGAGAGGACGCTTCATCTGAACAGCCAAACCGAAACATTCGTACAGCCTTTACAGCGAGTGTTGAAGGGTGTCTTGATCTCGGCGTTGTCATGAGAAACCCAGGTCCGTTCTCAGCCGCCCCAAAATGCTGCGACTTATGCAGATGTCTCGAAGTCCCGCCGAATCGTCGCCACGAAACATCGAAATATTCCGCAAAGCACGCCCAAGGGCTGAAAGGACAAGCAACTTTCAAGTGAAGACTTGGTTCCAGGGGAGTGGGCGTTCTGACTGTCTTTTTCTGGCCCGCTCCCCGTGCGCTGTCAGACAGCAAACGCTGCCACTGGAATGCAGTGGATTCCTACGACCTTACAGAAGGCTTGTGGCATTGAGATTACGGCAATGTGTGGAGGCGCCAGATGTGGACGTTTTCACTACCCTGGAGACTATACTGTCACAGCCACCTCAGGTGCTTCAACGTGCGGGTGGCAGAGGAGGCGTGAGGACCTGCCCTCTTGGCGATGATGTCGGCCTTCATGGGCGACACGGCGAGGAAGGACAGCCTGTTGCAGTCCCAGCACAAGGCTGGGCACGAAATCACGGCAGTTGGCCAAAACAACCTGGACCATCGGAATTCCCCCGCGACCAAGAAGCGCTGACTGGACATGACACAAGCCAGTCACCATGGTGCTGTGGGTGGGAGAGTTCATGGAGGACAGGGCAGGTCATGGGGAGAATACCCATCCTCCACATCCGAGGATGGGGATTGAACGAATGCAGTGACCACAGCGAAACCCCAGTCACCGCCGACCAGATTGGGAAAATGAGGGGCTTGCGGAGGAGCAGCTTCCGCCTGGCAGCTTCCGAAGATGCGGTCCAGCCTTTTGGATCTCGTGGGGCGAGTCGAGTTGCCCATTTAAGTACTGTGTAGTCATGTACCCTTGCCGCTAGCTTTCAGCTCCTTTGAAGTCGATGCAACTGTTTCGACCCTTTCCAATAGTATAGCCGCTTTCCGGAGTAACAAATCACCGCGGGCTGTCCACAGCATGTCAGACTCAGCCTCGTCCGCCCAGGGGTCTATCCCAGATCTCACAACCCGATACAGTGGTGTACCCAGCAGACTCGCCCAAGAAGCCATTGATGCCAAAGCGAGGCTGTATTCTCAGAAGACACTTCCGGATAGTGTGCCTCGAAGAAGAGTTGCTCTACCGCCCGACGTGAGCAGAGAAATCTTCGACCAGGCTGTCGCAGAGCTGAAGAGCGCCCTTGGAGATGAGAATGTCCAGGTCAACGACGGCCCCCTCGTTGATGGGTGGTATATGGAGCATCCGTACGAGAATCCTTACCCTGTTGTCCTAACCTTCCCTTCTCTTTCTCCCCTAACGTGGTCTTATGCCAGGAATACCCACGACGCATATCACATTGCCGACCAGGAAGAGCTGATCTGCAGTGCGATGGTGTATCCTTGCAGCACGCCCGAGGTCCAAACGGTGGTGAGATGGGCCAACAAGCACAAGATCCCCATCTACCCGATCTCCATGGGCCGGAATATCGGGTACGGGGGAGCAGCGCCGCGTATTCCGGGATCTGTCGTGGTGGATCTGGGTCGGCGGATGAACAAGATCCTCAACGTCGACGCCGACAATGCATCCTGCGTGGTGGAGCCGGGGGTGTCGTATTTTGCGCTGTACGAGGAGATCCAGCGGAGAGGACTGCCGCTGTGGATTGACTGTCCGGATCTTGGGGGTGGTAGTGTTCTGGGCAATGCCATCGACCGCGGTGTTGGGTGAGTTTTCTGCGAGAACCTGTGAGCCACTCCAAGGCTAACCCAGGGATGATGACGATGATGCAGATATACTCCCTACGGCGACCACTTCGCCAACCACTGCGGGATGGAGCTGGTGCTCCCCACGGGGGAACTGCTGCGGACGGGCATGGGGGCGATGCCGGGCAAGGACGGCGCGGACAACCCGACGTGGCAGTCGTTCCAGGCGGCGTACGGGCCGTACGTCGACGGCATCTTCAGCCAGAGCAACTACGGGATCGTGACCAAGATGGGCTTCTGGCTGATGCCCGCGGTCGGCCACCAGTCGTACATGATCACGTTCCCGCGCGAGGACGACTTTGAGCGCATCGTCGAGATCATCCGGCCGCTGGCCCAGCGCCGCATCCTGGGCAACATCCCCCAGCTGCGGCACGTCATCCAGGAGCTGGCCGTCACGGGCCAGCCGCGCTCGTTCTGGTACGGCGGCCGCGACGGCCGCACAGGCCCGATGCCGCGCGACGTGATCCGCGCGCACGCCGCCAGGCTGCCCTGCGGCGACTGCTCGTGGGTGTTCTACGGCACGCAGTACGGCGACGCGGCCTCGATCGCGGCGCAGCTCGCGACCATCCGGGCCGCGTTCGGCCAGATCGAGGGCAGCCGGTTCCTGCTCCCCGGCGACGTGCCGGCGGACCACTACCTGCACTCGCGGGTGCAGGTGTGCAGCGGGGTGCCGGTGCTCAAGGAGCTCGACTGGCTCAACTGGGTGCCCAACGCGGCGCACCTGTTCTTCTCGCCCATCTCGCCGACCAAGGGCCGCGACGCGGCGCTCATCCACGCGACCATCGCCCGCCTGCACGCGCGCTGGGGCTTCGACGTCTTCCCCACCATGTGCGTCGCGGGCCGCGAGATGCACTACATCGCCAACATCGTCTACGACCGCGCCGACCCCGACGCCAAGCGCCGCGCCACGGGGCTCATGCGCGACATGATCCGCGCCGCCGCCCGCAAGGGCTACGGCGAGTACCGCACCCACCTCCTCTTCGCCGACCAGGTCGCCGCCACGTACAGCTGGGGCGGCGGCGCGCTGCGGAAGTTCAACGAGACCCTCAAGGACGCCCTCGACCCCAACGGCATCCTGGCCCCGGGGCGCAACGGCATCTGGGGCCGTCGCTTCAGGGGCCGCGGCTGGGAGATCCTGGACGGCGACCAGAGGGATTTGTTGCGCGACGGCGTCGGGCCGAAATTGTAGATAATACAGTAGTACATGAGATGGTACGTGCGTGCGTGCAGTGAATGGTGTTTGGTTATAGATTTGAGGGAGAACTTCTGGAATCAATCCAACTCAAGGGGGATGAAGAGGGTCATTCGCCAGAGCAAGGCCACAAGTCTGCAAGTCTGCGGCGAGCAAGAAGCAAAGAGCAAGCCATACGCAGCACCCAGGCAAGCAAGACAAGATACAGCGAGGATGTGAAGATAGGTGAAGAGATGTGGCACAAATCAATGTCTGTTGGGTGCTCTCGCTGAACCATGGCCTCTTTGATAGTTCCCGTCCTGGCCGCTGTCATCGTCGACCTCGACTTCCACCTCTTGCCGCCGCCGCTGCTTGCCCTCCCAGAATAGTCTCTACCTTGACCCCCCACGTACCAAGGCATCCAGCAGCGACGAGTGTCGGGTATCAGACAACCCAAGTAGATGATATCCTTGTCAAGCACCAAGCATCATACCCCCCAAAACTTGAACTTCAGGCAGCATCACGCATCAAAGTGCCGCATACAATGTAAACCAAGGAATCACGCAATTCATGCAGGCAAACTCAGCACAGCGGCGAAATCTTGCCCGTGCGCAACTCCTCGCCCACCAGCGCGGCCATCTCGGCCCACCGCTTCCGCGTGTCTGCCTCGGCGTCGTAGTCGTAGAGGACGTTGTTCTAGAACGGTGCAAGAAGGGGTTAGAATATGTGAGAACCCGACACACACACATAAAAGTCCCACAAGCATGGATAGATACAGGGGTACACGTGGACAGGCCGTACGTACCTTTATCAGGAGGGAGTCGCGGTCGATCTCGTCGCCCTCGCCCATGCGGTCCAGCGCCGTGTGCCACCGGTCGCGGAGGTCTTCGCCGTTGGTCTGCGCGCGGCGCACGCGCGGGAAGCGGATCTTTTCGTATACTCGGGTCTATAGCCGAAACGAACTCTCAGTCAGTAATGAGCCATGACGTGGGAGAAAGGTCAGAAGTGAGTACTGGCAAAGGAAGGTAGGATATCAGGCTGGAAAGAAGGGAAAAAGGGGAAACTTGCCGCCAGTGGGATATTGTCCCTCCCAGCTAGGAGCAGGCACTGCGCCAGTACAGCCGCGCTCTCGGTCGCCTGGCTAGCACCCTGGGCGCTCGTGGGAAGATGCGGGTGGCAGCAGTCACCGACCAGGGCGACCCGGTGGTTCTTGCTGACCCAGGTCGGGATGGGATCGCGGTAGCAGATCTTCCAGTCCAGACACTCGTCGGTCTTGCGGATGGCGGCGGCGATGCGCGGGTCCAGCGTTGTCACCAGCCGGCGCACCTCGTCCATGTCGCCCGGCTGCGACCACGACTCCTTGATGTCGGCCGTGTCCTTGTGCGTGATGATCCAGTTGAACTCGTCGCCCCCTCTCAGCGTGTTCTGCACCACGTGCATGTCCTTGCCGATCCAGATGTTGACGCACTCGTTCTCCACAAACTCGGCCGTCAGGGGGTCCCCTTTCAGCTTGTCGCCGTTGAAGAACGCCCGGAAGCATGCGTACCCGGACGACTTGGGCTTGTCGTCGAAGCCGAGTACCAGTTCACGCGCGCGTGACTTGATACCTTGATCCCCGGGTATTTCGCATTAACTCACAGTCCAGGTCTAGAAGACGGGGTATCGTGGAAAAGGAGATTTTCAACCTTACCGTCAACGGCGATGATGACGTCCGCAAAATGCTGCTCTCCGTTCTTCAGGGTCACTGACGGGGTCATGTCGTCGTACTCTACCACCTGAATCTCAAGACGTCAAGAGACTCTTCACATGGACAAAAAGGTGGCACTCACCTCGCTGCCCATGTGTAAAGGAATACCCTTCTCCGCCACTGCCTCCAAGAAGCCTCGATGATAGTCTCCCCGATGGCCAATGTATCCAGCCATGTCCATCAGAGGCTGCTGAGCGAGCAGTTTGCCATCGTGCCACCGGCGGATCTGCATGAATTCCGACTTGTTCCCGATCTCGATGAGACGGTCACGCAGGAATGGCGACCACCGATCGAGCAACTTGAACGCATTCTCGCCCAGTCCCAGCGAATCTCCGAGTCGTTGGAATTCTCTGACCTTCTCGAACATGACCACCTCAAAGCCCGCGTGGTGCATGGCCAGAGCAGTGGCACATCCTCCCAATCCTGCGCCGACAATGATGACTATTTTTGCCAACGGGTGTAGAGTTAGAGCCATGGTTTCTCCATGAAACGGAAGTGTTGTCTTCGACTTCTTGTACGTACCTTTCAAAGGAGGCTCCACCCCCAACGAGCCCATGTCTACAAGTCTGCTCTTGTGTCTTGTTATTCTTTGGGTTTGCCTGGTTGTAATGCGTAGAGACGGAAAAAGGAGGCAATGATAGACGTAAGACTGCGGCCTTGGGATTCACGAACAACAAAAGACCGGGGGCATGGTGTGATATGAAGCCAGCGAGTAGATCTTTATCCATGGAATAACCCCATCCCTGTAAGGCAGTGCCCGCAGCGACGGAGGCGCAGAGGCAGAAGGAACATTACACAGAACCAACCACAAGAGGCCCGCACATGACTGGAGCGCGTCTGATAGCCTGTGGCAAGCAGGCAAGGCAAAGCAAAAGGCTGGGCTCTCGGGATGGTGGACGAAGCCCCATGCCGAGGCTGGCCACGGAATGCCATGCCTAGAGGAAACTCAGGCTAGGTACCCGATAGGTGAAATGGGTTTGGGTTCTGGGTGAGTCCCTTCTGACTGACGCTCTTGGTCACCTAACGACCTTGTCCCATCTTCCACCGCCGTGCCAACGACAAGCAACCGCTGAGGGTAGTCGAGGAACTCCACTGAAAGGCGGGCTAGTTAAAAGCATGTTCGTATCCAGGAGGTGGAATGTCCCACTCTGGGGAGTCTCGAGGGGCCTTACCCCGGGATGAACCCATCAAAGGCGAAGCAGCTCCGCTGAGTTTAACTAGCTATCCATCCTTCCACTCCTTGTTCGGCACGGGATAGGCTTTGGTGGTAGATCCCACAGGCAAGTACTTTACCTAGGTATTTTCTCAAAGCAACCGCGAACATTTTCGATGCTGCCCTCTTTCCCCAAGTCTCGTGACGACTCTTTGTGGGGTTTCGGGCCCTTTTCGACACCACAGCGACGTGCGGGCGATGGAGAAGGCAGGCATTGGGTCCTTTCCCACCCCTCATTTGAACATAGGGCGAGTGATGCAAGGTCCGAGTAGGAAAGGCAATCTCGTTCGAACATCAAACTCGTACTCCCTTCCCGTTCCCTATCCGAGAGACGGAATTAATTGCGAAGGGCCGGGAGTTGTGGTGGGAAAGGTAAGCCGAAGTGACGCATGGCATACACATAGGACCTCTAAACGACCCTCGGGTGATCCTCAATTTCTTCTGCTTTTCCCAAAACATCTCTCCTCGACTCTGACAAGGCTGTTTACTCCGCGAAATATACCGTGCCTAACCGGAAAGAAATGGGATCCATCAATATGCCAGTCAGGACTGTTGGATACATCGGCCTGGGCAAGGCTGGAGCCTCGATGGCGTCTAACCTGCCACGCGCGGGCTTCCGCCTCATTGTTCGCGATGCTGACCCGGCGCGAGAGCAGAAGTTTGCCCAGGAGAATCCCAACACGTCTGTGGCTGAAAAGGGAGTCGAGGGATTCAAGGACTGTGATGTGATCGTGACGATGCTGCCGCAGGGGAAGGTGGTCAGGGAGGTTATTTTGGGCGAGGACGGGATTGCCAAGGGCCTGAAGCCTGGTATGTTTTCTCCTTTACACCCTTTTCGCGTATATTCCCGCACTTGTGTGTGTGCGACAACTCATGTTGACTTCCCCAGGAACAATCATCGTGGATACATCGTCGTCTTCACCATTCGACACCCAGAGCCTAGGCAAGGACCTCGAAGCACTGGGATTCATTCTGGTCGATTCTCCAGTCACACAGGCACACCTGCACGACACCGACACTGGAGATGCCACGCTGATGGTGGGCTCCGATTCGCAAGAAGCGGTGGACAAAGTCCTCCCGGTCCTGCAAGCGATGGCCAAGTACGTCTTCCACATGGGCAAGCTGGGGTCCGGGCACGTCATGAAGACGTTGAACAACTACATCAGCGCAGCGTCGATCATAGCGCTCTCGGACGCGCTGGTGACGGGCCAGAAGTTCGGGCTGGACCCCGTGCAGATGATCGACGTGCTGAACGTGGGCACCGGCCGCAACTTTTCCACCACGGACAGCTACAAGACCGATGCGCTGCCCCGGCGCTATGCCTCGGGCTTCCAGCTGGCGTTGCTGATCAAGGACGTGGGTATCGCCAAGGAGGTCTTTGAGAACATGCACTTCGACACCGACATGCCCGAGCTGATCATTCGTTACTTCAAGCAGTCCATGGCCATGCTGGAGCCGACTGCCGACCACACGGAGCTGCTCAAGGGGTGGGAGAAGCGGGCTGGCGTGGAATTGAAGACGGGCACGCCCGACGGGTCTAGTGTGACGGCGCTGAAGAAGTGATGAGCGGTCGGCAAGGGTGTTGGGCTCTTCCCTGGTCTTGATACACTTGTGATCAGCGTCCATGTCATGTTTTGAGGATTCGCAGCTGGGGGAAGGGGTCGCGGAGGTAACCTATTCATCTGATTGTGTCGCCGCCAACGCAGCTCGACAAGCCCCCAAGGCCAGGCACAGCCAGGCAGAACAGGCGGTCAGAACAGCCCATTGTTCGTACTCGGATTTGTCCCAACGCTGGAGGGGGATATCGTTCGGGTGCGGCACAACCTTTGAGATCTTGTCACGTTGAGCGTTGCGCCATTGGGAGGTGTCGGGCCAATCATCATCTGCCTTGGCGCAGCTGCTGCCTGAATCGGGGCCTGGCAGGACAAAGAGCAATGAAAAGGAGGTGGGAAAGATACATGGCTCGTGTTGACATCAGAAGTACATAAAGGGCATTGGAACATAGAATCATGCCTCGTGAAATGAACACAACCAGAGCTTCAAGAAGAAAAAAAAGGTGAATCGAATCGAATTCAATTGACTTGACTGAGCAGCCAAGGAACCTTCTGTCAACCACTTCTTCTGATACTTCACCTACTACTCACCAGCCAGCAAGACACCAAAACACAAGGAACCATGTCCATCGCACCCATCTCGCTATACCCGTGCCTCTTCTTCGAGTCCCAGGCCGAACAGGCCGCACGGTTCTACACGTCCATCTTCCCCAACTCCTCCGTCGAGACCATCAACCACTTCACCGACACGGGTCATGAGATCCACAAGCAGTCGGTCGGCTCCGTCATGAGCGTGGCTGTAAGACCTTTCCGCCTCCCCATTTCCCTTCCCCCAAGATGATTCGAGAAAAAATAACAAAGAGACCGCCACTGACACCTAAGCTCGCACAAACGGGACAGTTCCTCCTCAACGGCGCGAAATGGGTCGCGCTCAACTCCAAGCCCAAGGACATCCCGATGAACGAGTCGGTCAGCTTCCAGATCATCTGCGAGGGCCAGGAGGACGTCGACTACTTCTGGGCCAAGCTGACCGCGGCCGGGGAGGACGGGGCCGAGATCGACGAGTCGAAGCAGATCTGCGGCTGGGTCAAGGACCGCTTCGGCGTGCACTGGCAGGTCGTGCCCAAGGTGGTGGTGGACATCATGTGTTCGGCCGACGCGGACAAGATGAACAAGACCATGCAGGCCGTCATAAAGATGAAGAAGATCGTGGTCAAGGATATTCTCGCGGCCATCGAGGGCAAGGCTTGAGCCGGTGGTCTACGGTCACAAAAAGGGGCAAGGCTGAAGTCGTGGGTCAGTAGGGACAGGAAATTAAAGTACTACTTACTTGGAGCTTTGCAAAATGTCCATGTCTGATCTGTGATACACCTGCCAATTGCAAGGCCCTATGTCCCCCCATCATTGAAGAACCACAAGTCTCCAGTCCCGCTTGACGCTAATCCAGGTTTGCTCGTCTACCTCACCGATCGAGATTCGCGAAGCAGCCTTCTTCTTGCCGTCTTCCCATTTAATCCACATCACCTTCAGTGTCCCTGTCGCAGAGAGCGTCTCGGAATGCTGTCCGATTCCCTGCTCGTATTTTCGAGACGTCACAACGAACGACTGCGGCACTGACGCATCGTATTCGATAAACGGCCAAGCCCGTCCGTGGTCGTATGCCGACGTCAACTCCGTGATGTATCCCACGGTCTGGCCTGAAGGAGAACAGATCTGGACCCGGACACAGCCGAGACGTACTCTCTTCTCGGCCCGGAGGGATAGCTCTGCATGACTCGTCCAGAAGAGAAGCTTGCCGCTGTCTCGGAAAGGCCGGTCGGCGGTGAAACAGTCTGCTTCGATCTTGACCTCACCCTTCCAGCTACCGGCAGCCGAGACGGGCAGGGATGCAGCTTGATCATCTGCATCCCGTCCCCCTTCATTCGCGTGCGGCACGAGACGTTGCGCTCTTCCATCGATATCCAAACGAAAGAATTCTATTTCGGGCTTCAGAGCCGTGTCTGCCTGGGGCAGGACATGTTTGATGGACGCCTTCCACCCGAGCCAGGACCAGCTTGGAAAATGCACCGTGTAAGGCCTGCCAAGAGAACGAAAGGGACACATTGCATCTCTCCGCTCAATCTCCATCGTCGATTTCCTCCAGCTCAGGGATTGGTCGAAGGACTCGGTCAGTAAGTGACCCCAGTAGAACTCGACCCCGGTCACATGGGTGATTCTGCGAAGAAGCCCGCTGATGGCATCCAGGGCATCGGAGTCGTCTGAGAACTCCTTCAGGGCATAGACTCGTGGAAGATACCGGTAGTGGTCACGGGTGAAGTCTCGGTAGTACTCCGCAGGCACGCGTTCATAGCTTCCCAGGTGGATCCTGGGGATTGTCCATGGATTGCCTCCGTCGCATGAACTGCTCGGTTCGAGGCAAAGCCTTTCGGTCCAGTCCGCGCAAATGCATGACCAGAAGGTTTGACCTGTGGTGAACATGAGTGAGCGCCGGGAAAGGACTCGCTCCTGCAACGTCCAACCTCGATGGCTGTACACGGAGCCCTCGTATAGATTCTCCGTGGGAAAGGTGATCAGGGCCATAGTGGGTGAGATACGGCAGACATCCTGTTCAACACTACGCGCGACAGAAAGCCCCGCGACCCCATCATGGGCGCCTGAACCACTGGCTGCGATGATTGTCAGTTCCGCCAGAGAATAGACCGAGTCCATGCGTGGGATCTGAAGCGATTTGTCCGCGTCGTCGTCCTGCAGGATGCAGATCCTGTCCACCCAAAGATGCCTGCCGCCTAGGTCGGAAACGAGCTGCATGACATCGAAGATTGTCCGAGGCAGGGCCTCCTCGGTGAGGCTATGTGGTTTCTTCAGATCATCAATGTTTGCCGAAGTGGCTCGGAGGTCGTTCTTGGACGGGCCCCATACGTAGCTGAGAGCGAAGTACGAGGGACGGACCGGTGAGTCCACGACGCACCTTCGCTGCACGTCAATGAGCCGGAACTTCGGCGGGATATCGTCGTTTTGGAGCATCCAAGGCGGTCGAGTACAGGCATCTCCGTGCTGCGCGTCGCACAACCCGATCCAACGACGTAGCAACCGGATATCCACGAATTCCTCCAGGATGCGCGCAGATGGGAACGCTGAGACCGCATTGCAGTTCGACTCGATAAATTGACGAGTCGTTGGGACTGGGTATGAAGAAGGCCAGAACTCGGCGACGGGCGCTCTGGGAAGTGACCAGGACAAATATATCTTGAGGCGACGAACAAGTCTGTCTAGCCTGTCGCTTGGTTCCCTTCGGAATACCACCCCCGTGTCTGGAATCACCGTCTTTGGGTCTTCTCCATGCGCAGCGGAGGTGGCCGGGGCCGATCGATGTCTGGTCAACCGCTGGTCTATGATTGAGCACAGCGAACATCTGTCCGGATTGAGGCTGATTGATTCGGGAAGATTGCGGTCGTACGACTCTCCAGATAGCAGGCGGGTGTCTAGATGTAAGGCTCTGCATCCATCACATAATCGTACATCTTCATTCGCACTGGCGCGATCCATGGCTTGTAAAAGCTCTAAATTGCCCTGGTGACTGTGACGAAGCTGCTCATGAGGCTACGAGGTGGAAATGGCACTATGCAGTGCCCTCTATCGCTCAACTTGGAATAGCTCGGTAGACATCAATATGGGTACAACCACAACCGTGACAACAAATGGCAGCCATCAACACAAGCAGAAATCGACTGATCCGGCGACCAGACAAGCGGAAACAATTGCCCAATGGAATTCCAGTCTGTACGGTTGTATGTCATGGCTTCGCAACACCTCCCGGAACAAATGGGTACATCTCATAGTCCCACAAGATCCTCGCATGAACACCAAATCCCAGGAGGACAATGACTAGCAGTCTATATGCCAGTCTCAACCAGGAGAGCCTCAATATCCAGTAGCAGATCAGAGGGAGCAGACAGATTGTAATGCTGCGGTTCAGCACCATAAGCGTCTCAGAGGTGGCATCAGGCGCAGCAATCGGACCGGGTGGAAGACACTGTGAAAAGTGAGAAGACATCTTCTACCCTAGGGGACGGCACTGCATCACTTACATTGACAACCAAGATGTTCCACGCATCCAAGCGCTTTTCCGTCTCGTCAAGATCTTTTTGGAGACGCTCCAATCCCTCCTTGGCCCAGCGGCGATGAGTCCGTTGGATAGTCTTGTCCCATTGGCCGAGGCTGTCCCTACGGCGAAGGGAGTCGATCCACAAGCCTGAATGTGTTGAAATAATGAGGCTTTCTGGTTCACAAGGGTAATGGTCGACTACGTACCAGTACCATTTGGCCCCCGCGGCCGCTAGAGTAGCCTCGCGGAGCTTCTGATAGCGGTCCTCTAGGGACTTCTTGCGGGCCATCAAGTCGTCGTATTGATGGAATAGTTCCCTGTCTTCAGACGAAAACGGGTGTCGTAAGGATCGAGAACGTGAGGTGGCAGTCTCCGTCAGGGACCTCTTGAGGCGCTGAAAGCTGTTTGTAGCTTGAGGACTTGGGCGCATCGGAGCTGTCTGGACACGATCCAGCTTCTCCGTGGTGATTGCAACGAGGTTGGCTCCCGCAGCGGCAGCAGTCCCCAAGACATGTCCTTCCATACCCATCCCCAACCCCATCGCTCCAGCTATGCTGCCGGTCGTCACAGGAATTGCATGGTCTCGAGTCCTCTTCTCGTGCAATGGCAGCCCCCGCCTGGTCAACTCGGCTCGGACAACCTCGAGCTTCTGCTCTACAAGGTGTATTGTCCTACCCGCAGCCACGCAGCCTATCATCGAAGCACCTCCAGTGGAAGGAGCCAGGACGGCGCCGCTGACAATCCCGGCCGTCCCAGAGTATGCCGTCCGGATCAAGACCACCTCTTTCTTTTGTAATTCTTGGTCATCGTAGTTCCGTACCCTGGCCCGGTAGTCGTCTAGGTCGAAGCGTATGAAATCTTGCACACCCATGGTGCATTCTGAAAGGTTTCAGCATATGGCCGGTCGGTGCGACTGTTCTATGCCACAACATCAGGAGTGATATTGGCTGCGAAACACTGAAGCACACTGTTGAGAGCATGATCTCTTCTGTGACTGCGAAGGATGAGGGTCTGCATATATGACATAGCGCTATCCAACACAGGAATAAGGGTCCAGGTGTAGATGTAGATCCTCAGCACGATGTGCACGACCAGGACCCTTGCATTCCGTCACAACAGCCGAATTGGGAAGTTCTTCAGCGGATAGTCACCTTGTACCGACACTAGCTTCAATAGGAAGTTCAATGACGACAGGCCAATGAGTGACCGGCATGGCCACTCGCTGCCCTACTCTCCGGTGTTTGTCACTTTGTCAGAACTGAGGAGGGATGATTTGGGATGGCCGTTCCGTGAGGCGTGTTACCCGGCGCTGTCCAGTCCTGCAACTTCCGAAATGGCCTGGAACAGTCTCGTGAGCGGTCCGCTGGGAAGAAGGAACAGGATATGTCTAAATATTGCTTTAAGAGGTTTAGGGAGGCCGATGTGTTCAAGACAGTTGTTCTTGGTAATCCGACGTCCGCAGTGTTTCCTGCGGTTATGCGTTGTGACGATGGTCCCTTTCTTCCCGCCCGCGTTGGTGCGACCGTCGCGGTATACTCGTGATATCGATAATCGAAACCCTTAAAATCACGTATTGGGCAGCGGGAGTGCTAAAGTCACACGAAAGAGCAATTCTCCTTTCTTCTCACGCCGTAAATCCCATCCATACACTACATTATAAAAGGTTATACCTAAGTATATATATATTGCTGATAGCGGAGGGATTGATGTAGCTTCCCGTATTCGCCCGGCGAGGGTTCTCTCAATTCAACTGCGTACGGCTTGAAGGAGACTAGGAATCTAGTGTATCCGGACTTTGATTCGACGTTCCCGTAGCAATTTGACAAGTTCAAGGATACCACGCACGATTTCTTGGCCAGAATTGGCTGTTGGGTTGGCAATGGCTTGTATGGCTGATTGGCTATCACTGACAATGGTGAAGATCCTCTCTCGGCCGGAAAGGAAGCCTGGCCGAGCGGCGGAGAAGACGCAACAACCAAACATCAGAGTGAGTTAGAAACGACAATGATTGCTGGCGTTTAGAGATTTGTGGGACGTTACATTTTAACTGAACTCGTACGTAAGGAGCCTGATGGGAGAATATATCGACCCTGCTTGCGGCAGGGCCTGTCAAGTCGCACCACTTAAGCTGCCTGGTCGCAAATTGACGAATTGAACAACCCGAGGCTCTGCAATGATAAAGAAACGTTCCTAGATGAACCTGGTATTCATACCTTGACTCGTACGGGTAGAGTCGCATTGAGACACTTTTCTGGGAGTTCAGCGTAGCTGTATGTAATGCAGCCTCGAAGGAGGTTCCGAAGGACCTAACGCACGCCCCCAGCAAACCAGTGACAAGCATGTGAACGTCTACAGCAGCACAACACAACTGACGAGATGTGCTTCGGCGTGGACTGCTAGTATCATATTACTGAGACTCTGATAGAATTATGTGGTTTACGCCTTGCGACTTGATGTATAGATTCTCCACCGGTCCAAATCGCCGTCCCCGACGAGACGATCTTCATAAGATGTCCAGTATATAATCAGTCGGCTCCAGTGAAAGAAAAGATTCTGCCATTTTGGTAAAGCTCGTCCGGGCCTCAAGTGCTCCTAGCCTTCTGCGCAGTATCTCGTTCTCCTCTTTGGTAGATTTCTCCCGCTCAAGCGCGGTAGCGAGAGCACGTTCCAGGTCGAGCACTCTCGTCCTAGTGAGGCAATGCTTCAACTCTCTACGCTCGCGGTGTCGGCGTTGACTTTCCGAACGTCAGTACCATATAGAAGATCTGTGAAAGACTTTTCACACACTTACGCGTTCCGGTTTTGCGCTCGCCGTCGTTCCTTTTTGTATTGTGCTTTGTCGTCGAATGGATTCAGCTGGGATTCTATGCCTTGGAGGCCTTCATGAGATATTGAGGGTTGGGAAGAACTCGATGTAATCGGTGAGAGAGTTGAGACAGCGAGTGGGCTGAAGGCATCGTCGAGCAGGTATGTCCAATAATCCAACTCGCCGGGATTCGAACTCTGAACGCCGAGCAGCTCCGGAGAATTGGTGTCCGTTCCGGTGTCGAACTCCCCGATAAATGGCAGTATACCAGGCGCTTGGAGGATGTGCTGATTATCTGGGTAAGAAAAATGGATATTGTGTCGACGAGCAAGAAGAGCCATGTGGAGGTTCTGCTGCTGCGGAACAGTACTCACACGCTTCGTGTCATCCGCTCCAGGATATGACAATGCCCTCTTCTGCTGCATTTTGGATAGATAACGCTGTTGCTGTCGCGGCCTTCAATCCCCTCATGTGATCACCCCCCCAGTGAGAAAACGCAACGTTTGCGGAGGGATATGTCTGAGTTATCAGCAGCGCTTTTCTGAAGATCCACGTAGGGAGGAGGACATCGTCCGAGCACCGCCCTTTGTAGCCACATCTATGCACACAGATGTGTATGTCATCTCGGCAGCCTTCACATGCCCGGAAAACTGACTTTAGATTCACGAAGGATTTCAGCGACGCTGCGAGGTTGCATGCACGGCGGATCCCTGCATTATGCTTCCTCATTTTCGCCCCGAAACGTCTTTATTCGATATGGCAGTACTTAATGCTTGTGTTTTCGCCACGGTTTCATTAGTCTCCGGCGTTGGTTGGCTCGCGGCCCATTATATCAGGAAGGCGGCGCTGGCAAGCGAAGGCCTTGTACCTCCTATCCCTCTCTCAGTACTTTCAAGGCGCCAACGGGGGACATTGAGTAAAGTCTACGAATAGATTTGGTGCGAGAAGGACGGGATCGACAGAACGCTGATGCTCCGTGCGACCCAAGTGGCGGTCGCTCGGGAAGTGGAATGCATTGAACGAGCATCGCCTGTTAGTTCGCCTGGGAACGTTAGGGGGTCTCATCAGAAAAGCTTGGATCTAGGCGACTTGATCCAGTGCTGTTTGAAACTCCATAGCATTTGCCAAATACGGATAGCGGGTCATATTTATACCTCGACCACTGAGACAGAGTGACACGACAACATTTGAGGAAGCATGGGGCAGAAATATCAACGTATTTCTCTTCGGAGGCTTGGGAAGACAAGGCACCGTCACCGAGCCGCTAGTTGGGAAAGTCGCTATTTGGAATTGACTCCACTTCAATGGTGCTGGCGGCGCCCCTAGCGGAATTACTCAGCGGAGCCTTGCAAGGCTACGGGTCTTTAGATCCGCTGGCGACACATTTATTGTCGTGGCCGAAGAAAACCCATAACGGCTGCGTTGGCGGCAGCCGGTCCAATTCTCCCAGTAATATCTAGACAGGACTGTTCAGTCGAATCCTTCGATGGACCCTTGAAGCTCCGTGGCCTGAAGAGGATACCCCTCGACCCTTACTGAGATGCTTTTAGAAACTAAATCAAGAGGCATCAGACAATAAACTTGCATAATTCTACCGATAGTCTCGTTATGGAGTTTTATTCGTATACTATGCCGTTTTAGCAGTGTCAAAGAGCGTGGTATCTAAGATCGGCCAATCGACAGCAAGGTGAGCTGCAAATCAGAACATAAGGAGATCATCGGTTTCTAGTCTTTTGTGTAAAAGAGATGGCATTGATGCCTTGGCTTCCTCGGTATCATTGAATACTAGCAACATTGATTTTGGATCGAGGCAAAAGGTGTCGTTGGACTTTGTACACTGGTCCTTGATTCGTCACTCGTCCCATTCGCCTATGCTACCAGAGTACCCCCTGATTCCCCTGATTCAAGTAGTGCGCCGATGGGCATCGTAATTTTTCCCGAGATCGTGCCGGAAGTAATGATATCCATTTAATCGAATGTCTCAATAAGTCCCTGCACAGTGGTAACACGGGAAGCAAAGATCGGCCAAATGATATCGGTGGCTGCGTCAGTTGCTCTGGGGTCGAAGCCAGCCGTGGCATCAGTCCTGAGAGCATTAGTTACTTGGCAACGTGGCATGCAGAGGCAATTGGACTGAATGCTCACAGGAGCGTGATGTGGTATCCCTGCTCATACGCGAACCTGGCAGTTGCCTCTAGGCAGGTGTTGGCCGTCATGCCAGCAAGCACAAGTCGCGTAATGTCCCGTTGACGGAGCTGGAAATCGAGATCTGTATGGTGGAAGGAGCTGGGACTGTGAGCGACTTTCTCTCATTTCGTAAATGCTGGTGAGGATCGCAATTACCTGCTGTTCCAATGCTTACTGACGACAACATCCCCATTCGCTAAGCTGGGCTCAAGCCCCTCATAGATCTGGGCTCCAAAACTCCCTTCCGCAAAAGTAGCCGTCTTCTTGATGTTCTCGTGGATGTGAGCCATATGCTTCCAGCCATCGAAGAACCCTTCCTTGTACTGTTGGTGCAGACCGTAGTATATCGGGATTCGATTTGAGCGAGCGAACGCCACAAGCTTCTTCAGATGCGCGATGGTGTTCTTGCGGGCGAGATCTTCCTTTGTCGCAAAGTACATCTTGCCTTCTGGATGCAGGAAGTCATTGTAGGGGTCAATGAGAACAATCGCGGTGTTGGCGAAGGAGGACGACATTGTCAATGGCTTTGCAGAGCTCAGCTTAACTCGAGGAGATTGCTTGAGATTACCCAACCCTGCAGCAGCATCGTTGATTCAAATAGAAGTCATCGACATTTGGGAATGCAGCTTTGAAAGTGCTAATCCTGTCCCTCGAGTTTGGTAAGAATCACTGGGTAATAAGTCCCTTTGAAACTAGCGGCGCCGCCAACTGCAGTCACACGGAGCCCTAGCGGCGCCGCCAACTGCAGTCACACGGAGCCCTAGCGGCGCCGCACTGCAGAAGCCAGCGGCGCCTCCTCAGACGATGTTGCTTGTAATTCTGGCCTCCAAAATTTGTAAGTATGCATCTAAGGCCAATTCGTCAGCATAATGATCCAGCTTAGGAGAGATCCACATACCGGCGGCGCGCCACTGACCACCCAACAGAGAGAGCTTGCGCATCATGCTCGCGACTCCGCGATTGGCTTCTATGATGCACTGTTCATTCTCCTCTGATAGTCGACCAAGGTCGGATTTTCCATGCAGCAGCTTGATCATCTGAAACCAATGTGACAGCTGTAGAAACATGACGGCGGCTTGATACGTCCATGGTAGCAGCAGAGGAGTTGCTTGCGAAAGGGTGAAAGGTCGGTTGCGGAACCAGACGCCGCTCTCATGGTAAGCCTGCGAAGCCACTGGCCGCAAGAGGTTCAAAGCTTCTTGCTTGGACTTTGTTTTCGCCTGCCAATTGACAGTGGCAACGTCTGCTGCCTCCGATAGGTCCGGGGAATGCAGCTCGACTAATGCACCAAAGCACATAGCAGTTTGCGGACAAATAGTTGTCACGGGAACAGAATTGCCTTCATACGCCAGTCTTAGCAGTGCCCGAAGCGACCTGTCTATCTGAAGGCGTTCATGTTGGTTGAAGTCAGCATCACTGGTTGGCTCGCGCTTGTGCCGAAGAACTTTTCCATGCAGGTATGCAGCTTGCGCCAATCGCGCTAGCATCCCCATGCTTGAGGATGACGGCGAGCTCACGGTCTGACATTGATTAGGATTAATGACCTACTTAAGATTAGTATTACGAGAGAAAGTGACGAGGCTGCAGAAGTAACGTACTCCATCGTCCCAGTCTTGGTCGTCTACAGGAAGCAAATCAGCAGGCCGTGGATCTGGACTCGTCGGCCGAGACTGAATGTGAACTCTAGGCACAAGTCAACAACTGGTTATAAGATTCCCACCCAACTTTTGAAAGCGCGCATGAACATTGGAATTCAGAATAAGCTTGCAACACCGGGAGTCACTTACCGATCAAGAGTAAAGATAGCCCACCAGGTCCTTCTTCGTTCTTCCTGCTCTTCGAGATCATAAGACGTTAAATCGAGGTCTGATTGACATTGCTTCTCAAGCTCAAGAGCCAGTCCCAGTCTAACACAGTTTCCAATTGACATATAAGCCGCAGGATAAATGGCGTGCCCTAATTCGTAGATCGAGATAAGTATCATTCCCTGAAGAAGCGGCAGCGATAGATGCCCCATTGTTTCGGCATCGAGAAAAGCCCTTTTCAAGGCCAAGTATTTTTCAGTCCGCGGATTCAATCTTGTGCCGTGAGAAGTTGGTGACCAAACCACGAGACTCATGCAGCACAACAGAAGCTGTGCATCGGGCGGTGATGCCAGCAGATTCAAGAATTGCAACTTCCATCGCCTTCTTGGAATGATAGGCATCCATCTGTGCAGTATAGTCTCAATCAGACTGTCTTTGATGAGATTTAGCAAGAGTCACTCACAGATGTGCCCAATTGAAATACCGCCTTGACACCGAGTCCGCGTGTTCGACTGTGTTCCAAAGACATGGTGGTAGATGCAGCTCGGGATTCAACGGTATTGCCAGCTTGCTACGTTTGAACAAGGAGTGGTCAAGAAAGAAAGCCTCCGGGAAACGAGATGATGATTGATCTATCGTTGCTCCAGCCTGTACGTGCTGAAGTGCCTGTGTTGAACTTTGAGACGCGGTATCTTGCCATGGAAGACTCCTACCGTGACTCTGTCAGCTCTGACACACCTATTTGGACGTTGATATGTCAAACTTACTCGGAGTAACGGCAGTCCTGGGCTTTCCTGTAGTCTGTCTCAGCATCAAACCCCAAAACCCCAGTTGGTCAACCTTACTGCTGGCACAAGGTACATCTGGGCGCCATCCTATCGCATCGCCGCTTCCGGTAACGACAGTAATCGCAAGCTTGATTAGGGAGAGTACGCTTAGACATATGCAACTCCTCCATGGTTGTTCCTCGTATTGTGCACAGAGTGACAGGCTTCGTCCAAAGTGACACACGCTACTTAGTTGGGAGGCTGTCCTTGTGAACAGCAGTAATGAGCGAACCACTCATTGACATGGATCTCTTTCCTTTGTATCCGCTCTGCGGGTGGCGACATGGGTCAAAGAAGGATCTGGTTGATTTAACAATAAACGATTCTTGCGGCCGTTGCCTGCTGCAAGATTTAGCGGCGCCGCCCTCAGACCGAATCAATGAGCTGGGGGCGGCGCTATCCAAGATGAAAGACGTAGATAACATTTGAGAGTAGTCGAGTGGGTCAGGGGTATTGTATTATCAGTCACTCCCGGATCTCTTTCGAAGGGTGCTAGGAAGCAAAGCGACCTGAGGGAATTGGAACTGTACGGGGTCAGAAATTGACATCTACATCCCAGAAAGGAAGGAGGCGCGCCCATTAGGCTGACTAAGCCTTGAGGTACGATCATGGACATCACTGCAGGGTGAAAAAGAATGATTAGAAATTGTGAAATGCAAGGTTCCGACTGATTGCATTAGGGGTGCACCACAGCCTTGACACCAGCGCTTTCTGCTGCTAGATGCAGATTGTTACGTTAACAGCTCACTTACAAATCAATTTCATGTCATTTCGCCGTGCATCAAAAAGGATTAACTAACTTAATGTATCTGATATTAAGCCCAGGCTTCCTCCACTCTGAGTGTTTGGATGAGTCGACGAAGTCTCGAGCGCAACAAAATCATCCGACGCCGAGCAATACTCGTGCTTGGGTTCGGGCAAGGTGATAATAGTAGACTCAGACAGCAAGTAACCGGTCAGTACTATTAGTTGAGCCAGTCTTGTCTCTAGCCTATGTACGGCTATATCGCTATATACGTATATAGCGGTATATTATTATGGTGCCCTCGGCAAAATTGCTAATTTTCTGGATTTTTGCTTGCTACTATACCAACACTAGTTTGGATAGGAAGTTCAATGACGATAGACCTAGGCACTGGCGGCGAGTGAACAATGAGTGACCGACATGGCCACTCGCCGCCCTACTCTCTAGTGCTTGTCACCCAAACCTCTCGTCTTTGCCAGAACTGATGGATGATTTGGGATGAACACAAGAACATAGGCTAAATAAAGGGCACATTTCCTCTCAGACAACTCAGACTGTCTCTCAGAGTCACTACATATGTGTTGAGCAGAGCAAGGGAATTTTCGGTGGGATATTTGACCGCGGCTCGACACACCACTCGAAGCTGGAGCAGGTTACTCTGCAACCTCAACGCGGACCTCTCTTGTATCTTTCTCCCCATCCACAAGTACCGTCTGTCCTTTCTCATCTTGGCCCAGACTTGCCGAGTATATGACCACCTCATCAGCATCGCCGAATAGTGCCGCAATCTCTTCAAGTGGGATTCCTTTGGTTTCAGGAAACGTGAAGTAGATCCAGAAGCAGCCCACCACTGAACAGCAGATGAAGAGAAGATAGTATTTCCAGCCGACGTGTTGCAGGGCCGTGGGACCAACTTCGGTATATGTCTGATTTTGTCCTGAGTCAGCAAAATGGGCTACATTTCGCTTGTCAAGGGGACTCATTCAGTGAGACTTACCAGTGTAGCGCAGGTCATGATGGCTAGGGTCATGCTGTAGCCTTTGGATCTCAGATGATTGGGAAATAACTCGTTGATGAAAGGAGTTCCAACGACATCGAGAGTCGCACCAAAACATGCCATCATGAGATATCTGGACACGCAAGGTTAGCTTTGCGTACTGCATGGGGCATCACCGTTCTTACAAAGAAGCAACGGCCATGCCGAGGGCCGCCTGGTTTGGATGAAGGAGCTTCTCAGGAGTCACGTAAGTCGCAACGATTGCAGCTTCAAGAGACAAGCTGATTGCACAACCGGCCAAACCTATGATGAACATGGGCTTACGGCCCCAGCGATCCGACAACCATGCACCTGATGACCAAGTTAGCCTCTTTCCAAATGAGGACATGACAATATCACTTACCAAGAAAGTTGAATGGCACTGCCGTCAAAATCCACCCGACCTGAAAGCAAAGAACATCCCTTGTATTATAACCAAGACTCTTGTAAATGAGCGTTCCATAACTACCCACAACGAGGATCCCGGTGCTTTGGTTGAAAAAGCCAAAGGTTAGAGCGATGATGGATCGCTTGCGGTATGACGGCCTTCTGAACATTTCCAGCCACGAAGTTTTCATGGTCTTGTCGAGCTCGATCTGCTGTTGCATTTGGAAGAACTCTTGCTCGGCGAAGGTCCGGCTGTGGTCTTTGGAGCTCTTGTGAATGTCATAAATGATTTTCCGGGCTTCTGCATCCCGGCCGACCATGAGCAGCCATCGAGGTGATTCGGGCAACCATGGAAGAACGCACAACATGAAGACCAGGAACACAAGAGTCAGTCCCAATGGAACACGCCATTGTGCTTGCAGATCATCAATATAGAAGCAGGCAAGTCCCATGAGCGAAGCAATCGAGTAGCCGATGACAATGCCGCCACCAACCATGCCGACGAAGAATCCTCGCAAAGCCGGGGGAGCCAGCTCTGACGTGAAGACTCCAGTGACACCCAAGAAGCTATTCGCTCCTGCTCCACAGAAGAACCGGAAGACGACAAACATGGCAACGTTCTGGGCGGCCGTGACTCCGATGGTCCCAATGAGTCCAAGAGTGGCGGCATATATCACTCCCGCCTTTCTTCCCCATCTGTCCATCACCCAACTGCCCACAAGGAGGCCGCAGAATGAACCGGCCTGACAAGGAATCAGAGGTTTCTCTCGCGAAAGCAGTAACACTTACATAGAATGTGCCCGTAATGGCACCCGTGAGTGCAGAAGAATTTGGAGTTGCTTCACCGGTGACAGGATCAACCAGCCCCATATATAGCAGGAAGCCAGGTTCACCAAGAGTGGTGCCGATGATAGAGACACCATACCCAAAGGTACATGCTCCCATTGAGATAAGTATGATCAGCCGAAGATTGCGCCAGCTGAACTGGTGTTGGCCAGCGAAGCTAGCATGAAGAGCTCTTTGATCATTCATGGTAAGAGTGCACGAGTGATAGGGACACAAGAGTTGAGAAGAGGAGGGTTCGGGGTTGCTCTCGTGCAAAGATCGGTTCTTTTATAGTCGATTTCCAAAGCCGATTTGTGATTTCCGAGGATAATCGGCCACTTGCATTCGGAAAGTTCATTCCCCAGGCGCATATGGTCCTGGATCATTCATAGGGGAGGCAAACCTGGAGTTGTGGGGAAGTTCAATGGAGTGGCGGAGAGAGGGATGTAGGCTAGAGGTTCAAGGTGTTGTAGAATGGTTCCACGCCACCCTCAAGATCCCGCCGGAAATGGAAGACCTGCCGTTGATGAGAACTCTTCGGCACTACCGACGACCATCAATCGGGTTCTAAGGTAAGATCACGTTGAAATACACTGCGAAAAACCATTTGTGAGGAGATCTCGAGTCTCAACCGCCACTTTATCAGTATCTGTGGGTCATGAATTTGAGAAACACTCAACATGGACAGCTTATAAACAGAAGGAAAAGTCGCAGTCGCAGGCAGACAGGTTGCCAAAATCTGAACGGTTGGATTCATACGAGCACAGGTGTTTAGGGCCTTAGAGCAGCCAGCTAAGTCCTCCTGGCGACCATGTCTCGGTCAAATTGTTCGTGTTCTCCAGGCAGACGCCGCAAGCCAGGGTAGAGAGTGACCGGCGATGCCATTGGGGCAATTTCGGAATCATATGCCGGTTTTGCTGGCGGTCCTTGGTTTGGATCGATTGAAGGATTCACCCATCTAACAGTCGGAGGGTGCGGGCGCTGGAACGTGGCCATAGAGCGGGAACCCTCCCTATGCATCCACTGCCTGCCTTTACGCGTGTCATCGACGTCGGTCGGTGCAATCGAAGCTCGCGAAGCCTCAGCGGCTGAATCTGTCTCTCTGCATGGCCAGAATGCACAGGGTTTTGGAGCGTGTTTCCTTTGGTTGGGCAGTTGTCTGGTCGCTGCCCCTTCTCAGCCATGGAATTCCACCGGGAATAATGACGATCCAAGTACTTCCAGTCTGACTCGACTTCCCACCGGGAACGTGAACGCCTTGGGGAGATCTGGTAAATTCATGTTATTTTTGACCTGCCTCCGGACAACGTTGGAAGGACCAGGCATCGCTCGTCTTGACCGTATCCGAGGTGTTCAGGCGGTGGGTTAGGACAGTCACATGGGGAAAGCGACGTTCTGTCTGCCTTGTTGTCGGCCGTGCACGACGCCAATGAAAAGAGTGGACTTGTCTCGAACGAGGGGTTTAGCACAGTTCCTCACGGAGGCTCTCATCTGCTACCACGGACACCGAGGACGAATTCCATTTCATGTAGAAGATATCATTGTTGACAGCTGCGCTTAGTTCCAGGGAACCTCGAGGTCTGGACTGGAGAGGATGAAGATTCCCCGTGCTTGTAAATTAGTTTGAACTTTGCTCGTTCGTTCCCCGCAGCAAAAGCTGAGAATGCCAAGCCCGCAACTCGACTTGTTGGCAGTGGCGACATCGATGGCATTGACAACTAGCATTAGCTGCGACAACCCATGCGTCCACGTCGACAAAAGTCGCTGCAGGATTTGCTGTATCAGTCGAATTTATCCCATCCTCATGAACCACATACGAAATGGATCGTCTCACCTCGAGGAAGAGAATGGCGCCCAGAGCCCGATATGCATGCCTAAGGTGCCGTCGCCAGAAATTGAGGGTATGCGGCAGTTTTCTTGAGGAGGAGTGGTTGCTGGGCTGTTGCTGCATTGTTACAAAAGCTGGAATTAACCCATCATGTCTCACTAGTGCGACAATGAACGCCCCTGCGCCCTTTGTGTGCGCTCATGCGTCGAGTGCGAGGAGGGTGAACGTCCAACAAGGTACTCGCACCATACGAACAGTCGATTCCCGAGTTCAAGTTCGACCGGCTGACTGCACAGCTTCAGGCGACGTGCGAATGCATCTGCAAACAAGAACGCGAAGAAGTCTTCCGAGCAGATTGTTCCTGCAGACACCGTCCCTAGACAGACAGGAGAAACCCCGGCAAGAGACGATGAGAATTGTGATCCAGAGTCAACGTCCGCCCTGACCGAGTGGCCGCCGGATGAATCTCGAAGTCCTGAGCGCATGCCATCTTTGAACCAAGATAGGCCATCCACCTATGGTCTTGTGGACCAGGTATGCCTGAGATCGCCCTCTTGCATGACTGGATGTGCTGAACAGTGGCCTGCATTCTAGCTCCTTCAGGGCTATGATTCGCAGAACGCGAATCTGCCAGGCTCTGAGGCGATACCGGATGCCACACCCGATCATTTTTCCTCGACAATGATCAATACTGGAAAAGTCGCTCGAGTATCGGATCTTATTGGATCTGACCTCCCTCCCACCGCAGCTACTCTATTGCTCTTCGACGTCTTTATCAAGTCGGTACATTGGTTCATGATGGTCTTCCATGAACCGTCTCTGAGGGCTGAGTTGCAGTCTATACTCAACACCGGTTACGTTGCAGAACGTAACCTATCCACTCTCATTCTCATCCTTGTGACTCTGTTAATCGCCACCAAGTATACCACGCACGAAGAACTCGAGAATGTCTGTGCAGGAATCGACGTGCCCCTTCTACAATCAAAACTTCTCGAAACCGTTGAAACTCATTTTCTGGCCATTCTGGATCAGGACAACATTGGAACAATACAGGTCTGCATCCTGCTCAGCTCGTTCTATTTCTATCATGGCCGACCGAATCGTTGCTTGGCGATCAACAGTGCAGCCGTTAGGATTGCGCAGAACCTCAAGTTCCACCGAGAATCGTATTGGCGTGGAATAGATGTGATTGAGAGAGAGGTTCGTCGTCGCGTCTGGTGGGCGCTTTATGTACTCGACGGGTTTGCACATCCATGTCACCGATGCATAAGGGTCAGTATGCTAATGTTCGCTCAGTTACGGGTCCATCACCTACGGGACCACAACCACCATAAATGGGTCGAAATGTCAAGTCAGTCTGCCTCGGAATATTGATGACACGTCCGATCGATGCCCGGGCTTCGCTTCGTTCGAGACCTTCGAGAATGAAATCCCGCAGGAAGTCACAACTCTCTCGTACCAGCGATACAAGTTCAGACTGTACCGTATCGCCGAACCGATCATGGGAAAAATTTACTTCCACGACGGACGTCCTGTCCAGGATCTTGTCAAGAAAGTCCAGGATATAAACGAGCAACTATTGGAGTGGGAAAAGAGAGTGCCACCGGAACTGACTCCGAAGTCATTTTCTTCATCCTCCAAGGACGCAGCTCCCGATCCGCTTACTCGAGTGTTCCAGCTTCAGGCCCTCGCATTGCAATTATCGTACGATAACATCCAGTTGATCCTACACCGCCCTCTCCTCGTCTATAATGGGGTACTTTCTCTAGGCCCTCGCCTGAACGTGCCTCAACCGCCCAACTTGAGCACCGGGTTCTGGGAGACAAGCAAAGAGCTCTGCTGGAATTCAGCCAGGCGCACCTCGTGCGTGGACGAATATCTTGCAGCCCTCAAACCTATCCACAATTACCACGCCACCAGCTACATCGGCATCCAAACTTTTACAGCGGGCGTCATGCTGGGCATCTTTGCGCTCTCCAAGCCATTCTCTGCACAAGCCCAAGAAGCGAAGCGAAGCATCGGGCGCCTGATCAGGATGCCTAAGCTGCTCGGTTATCGCACAACAATATCAGATCAGACTGGACTAATCTTACAGCGACTCCTTCGCTTGATCTTGGACGAAGAGTTGAAGGTACTAACATCAGACGAAGTCACACCCGCAGCAGTGACCCGCCAGTCAGACAGAGGGCATCCGACTGCTACCGCCCCGGCAACTCGAATACCGGCTAATTCCAGCAACAATATATCCACAGCGAGCGACGATGTACACATACAAACTACCTCGACGTCGAATGAGGGATTATCCTATGACAGAAACGCAGTTGGAAGCTTCCAAAACAATCCACTACTGCGAACACAAGAAGACTTCGGCATCGAGGTCAACCCTGCAGGGGTTGTTGGCTCATCGACCACGCAGCCTTCAAGCTACAGTCTCATTCCTCCTATCCAAGGCTCGGAAGAGAGCAATGACCCTGTCGGTGAAATGTTGTTCAACCCGTCTTTAGGTGGATCATTCTTTGACAGCGGATTCCTCAATGAGCTTGAAGATCTCGGCCAGGGCTGGTTGTGGGAGGACTGCTACCAATTCACGTAAAGGTGTGCAACGGAGCGCGCTACAGACGTCATTTTCCTCAGTCCGTAGCAATTCCGTCAACTATACCAGAGAGCAGTCGCACCTTGAACAAAGCCATCTCTCACACAACGCAGCAGGATACAACTCGATCTCTGCGGCTCTTTACTCCTCGACGTCGAAGATATACCTCGGATCCTTAAGTAATGAAAGGTACTCCTTGTACCTCACATACTGGTCACTCTTGTCCGCCTTTGCTTGCTCACATGCCTTTCTATATACATCGTACGCCTCGTGGAACAGCGGCTTCCGGTCCACCCAACCAGTCTGGCTTCTGAGCTTTGTCGAGTCGACCCACTGAGGAAAATTGAACACCGAGTTGACGCCAAATTCCTTGTCGTCCTTCGGTCCTGGATCGGCATAGTCCACTTTCACGCCGTGGCACTTTTCCACCGCCGAGGCAATATCCGCGAGCGTCTCATACGAGTGGGCAGAGATATTATAGACCTGACCAGCCACCACCTGTCGCGGAGCTTCTGCGATCGCGACATAGGCACTTCCAACGTCGTCGACGTGCGCACCATGTAAGATGGCATTGGGCGTTGAGTAAAGCGTAAAGCTGTTGCGACCGGCGGCTTTGGCAGCTTCAGCCAACATGAAAAACACCGCATACCAGCTGCCCCACCGGCCGAAGACCGTGGTCGGCCTCGTCACGACGGCGTCGAATGCTTCGGCGTGATTGAACATACTAAGTGCACATTGCGTACGCTTCGCCAACAGCGCCGGGGGGTTGAGCGGGCTGTTTTCCGTGTGCGGCGCCAGGTCAGGATCGCCGTGCCGTGCGGTTGTCCCGTAGTCCTTGCACCCGCTGCTGAAGATGACCAGCGGCTTCGAGCCACCCGCGCGACGAGAGGCCGAGCTGATACCTAAAATCATCGCCAGGACATCATCGAAGTGCGCCTTGTAGTTCTTGATGTCTTCGGAACAGGACGCGATAACGTCGATAGGGGGCAGAGAATCAAGAAACGACGAATAGTTGGCCGCGGATCCCACGATGGGGATGATTTCTTCGCGGACCAGTTCCTGCGCGCTCCGTGCGCTTCGAAGAAGGCCGTAGGTCGTCCAGCCTGCTTGGGAAAATGCCTTGCATACGCCCTGGCCTATGACGCCGTTGGCTCCTGTCACCAGAACAGTCCTGGCACGGGGCATCCTGGAGAACCGATGTAAGTGTACACGTACAACGCGTATACATACACAGGGTTTTATATCTTTGTTCAACGACTCCGGTGCCTCAAGGGAGCTCGAGATGGTGGCTAGACTTATTTTTATAGGGTTTCACTGTTGTCAGGGGTCAAAGAGGGAGTATACTGAGAACTAGCTAGGGACCCTCTCGTTCACGGAACCTGACAAATCACCTCCGCCGGAAGCGGCGCTGATGCCAGGGAACTTTACTTGCCCACTGCTCTATAGTATTATTAAGTACATATGTACATTGTCGACCCCGTCCTACTGGTGCTGACTTCGTCTCTGGTGCCGCTACGATCCTAGTGACGCATCTCATACTCTGTTCCTGCTTCTCGCGGTTGGCGTTTCCCCTCTCAGTCACTGTTGCATGACTTGTGATGGTTCATATCAGAGCCCATCCCGAGTGTCTGAAGTAGGATTGCAGCCCCTCGCCATTGCTTTGAGATTTCTTTCGAGGTGGCTTGAAGAACAGCGCCTAGCGAGGATACCATTGCCCCGGCAAGCTTAACGGCTCGGTCAGCAGGGTCTTTTGCAATCATCCGAGACACCCGCAATTGATCGCTTCCTCCCAAGACGCTCGCGGAATATAAACGCGATCAAAGACCCCGAGCGCGCCGGTGATGATACCCTGTTGTAGGGCCTACGTGACATCAACTCCTTCCACCGCCTACTTTGTCCAGAGAACTCACCGAAGGATTTTTGAACTGCTGGATGAATGGCGATCCACCTGGGACACCTTGATCATCTGGAAATGTATTGATATGCTCGGCAGGGGATACACCTACACCCGATCAAAATGAAGGCGATGCTGCAAATCACTGTGATGAGAGCTCGTGTGGTGGTGAATAGTATGGAGTTCTCGATTCGCTCGTATCTAATGTTCAACAGAATATCGAGTGTAAAATGGGTTGTCTGGCGATGGGCTGAGGCCGGGTCCCCGCGCAGAAGTCACGCTGGATTTTATAACCCATGTCTTCCTCTTCCGACGCATAGGGACAGTGGTAGTTGAATTCCCCCCGGTGAATTGATACAACCTCCCACGGCCCCTCGAGTCGAGGGTTACCCCGGGCCCCAGAGTCCACTTAACCAACACCGGGCTGGGAAGAGTACCTCCACATGAAGTGCCGATTGGTTGTTGAGAAGATAGATATTCATTATGACCCTCGCCAATGTACCACGACCCTGGAATTGTCCAAGACAAGCTTTCCGAGCTGTGTTTGTGGACGACTTGGCGATATAAGGTGAATGTATGGGTTTGTAGACGATAGACGAGTTTATGCTGGCCTGACAATGTCCCAACTCATGTCTGACCGGTGCCGGAGAAGCCACCAAGTAATTAGAAGGAGCTCATAAGTCAAGTCACTTTGATGGCCCTCCCCTCAGGAGCACACATTGCTCGAGGGGCCGCCAAAAGCAGTCACTAGAAGCCGGGGTGGAACCCGCGGGTCATTACCCCTTACCGTCACCGAAGTCGATATGAGATACCAAGAACCAGTTCCCGTGATCTGGCCGGGGCCATCGTTACGATCTTGAACCGGCTCGATGCTCCATTGAGGTCGAGAACAAAAGGTGACGACGTAACACAAGCTTCAACCAGAGTCGAATGTCAAAAGAGGGATGCCGCGTTCCGATTGGCGGACTCCAACGTCTTCACTGGCTCCGGTGGGATCTCTATATACCGAGCACTTTCCAGAGAATTGTAGATCCCGGTGGACCCACAGGTCGGAATTGCGGTCCATATGGACGTATTTGATTTCAGACGCAGTCATGGGTGGCTCAACAGTGTGTAAGTGTTGATTGCACGCTCGGGAGGATTTTTCGTAGAGGATTCTCACTTCATGTTTCCTGATGGCTATTTGTCATTCGGCCACGACCGCTTCTATTTCTCGGTAGGTCCTAGCCAGCAAAACTTTCCCCTTGGCAATACAAGGTACTTCCTGTGACCATGGAGTGCATTCATATACAATCCTGTAGGACTCCTGTGCCAGGGCATTAGGATTTTGATGAACACACCCACGACTTCGACACCATGGCAATTACCACGACGAAGCAATGGAGGCTGCGCAAAAAGCCGTATTCCACGCCGGTGTTGGAGGGAGAAGACTGCACCTTTGAGCTCGTGACTGCACCTCTTGATGAGCTCCAGGACGGCCAGGTACTGCTCAAGACCGTCTACTTGAGCAACGACCCTGCACAGCGGTCGTGGATATCCCCCTTGAGCGACCCCGAGCGATCGTACCTCCCACCTCTCGAGCCGGGCGACCCCATGCGCGCATTGGGGATCGGCGAAGTTGTCGAGTCAACAAGCGATGCTCTGCCGGCGGGGACTTTGGTCCTGGCCAGAACAGGTTGGTCAGAGTTCTCCGTCCACGACGCCGGAGGTCTCACGGCCATTCGCGCGCCAGAGGGGCTGCGAGAGACTCACTTCCTCGGCGCCCTCGGCCTCCCTGGGTTTACCGCCTACTATGCACTCACGCAGATCGTGGACCTCGACAGGTCCGATGTTCTGGTCGTGAGCGCGGCGGCAGGGGCGGTGGGGAGCATGGTGGTGCAGATTGCCAACAAGGTCCTCGGCTGCAAAAAGGTCGAGCCACCCACCTTCTCACCTTGTGGAAAGTTGACGTTGACCTCTACCTCAGGTCATCGGCCTCGCAGGAACGGAGGCGAAGTGCCGCTGGGTCGAAAGTCTGGGTGCCGACCTGTGCCTGAACTACAAGGCTCCGACCTTCCACGACGACCTGGTCCATGCGACACACGGCTTCGTCGACGTTTTCTTTGGTAAGCCCACCCCCTTCTGCCCCTTTAGAATGACCTTCAAAATTTGACAGGGTAGCCAGACAACGTCGGCGGCGAGATCCTCGACCTGATGCTCAAGCGGATGAACAAGTTCGGCCGCATTGCGGCCTGCGGCACGATCTCAAACTACAACCGCGACGCCGACATTGCCGGACTGAAGAACTTTTACGTGAGTGTTCCTGAAACCTGGAACTGTGGGCATGGCTTGGCTCAAAGAAGACTCTGACGGATATGCACAGGAGGTCATCATGATGAGGCTGAAGGTTCTCGGGTTCATCAACATCGACTGGCTCGACCACCTGGGAGAAGTCACCCAAGTCCTGGTCGAAGAGTGGCGGAAGGAGAATCTCGTCATTCGCGACGACAACGAAACAGTTGTCGACACGGTCTTCGAAGATATCCCAAAGACGTGGATGAGGCTTTTTGAGGGACGGAATACCGGCAAGCTGATCACGAGGCTGACAGCGTCGTAGAGTTGGTTGGAAAACCTAACCACCGGTTTGCTGCTGTGCGTGCCGCTCCATTCTGGCCTTGTCGTAGGACTATTCGCTATGCTGGAGTGGCCGTGATAATTGTAGTCCACTTCACCATTAGCTGGCCTGCAGCGTCCCCGGAGCCTTTTTCCCAAACACCCGCTCCACCTGTTCCGGGTCCTCGCTTATCGCGGCCTCGTGCGTCTTTCTATATGCCTCCTAACCCTCGTGAAATGCCCGAGCGGCCGTAGAGGGTTGTCGGCCGAGTCAGGACACAGTCAAAGTCCTCCCCGTGGCTTGTCAGCATGCCCATCGCAGCTTCGGTTCGCGGTGGCAGGAAGTCGGGTGGGTTAAGAAGACCATCTTCCGTGGGCGGTTCTCGCCCTTCCTCGCCGTGCATTCGAGTCATGCCGTAGTCTTTGCGCCGCTGCTGGATATAACGAGAGGTTTGACGATTCGTTGAGCCATTGAATCCTTGCAGATCCGTTTGACCATCGAGAGCCTCCCCATATTTGTCCCCATGCTGACTCGAAGCACCTCCTTGCTCCCGGTCGACTCCGTTCCAGTCCGCATTCTTTGCCGTGAGAAACACCGCAAAGGGAATCGGAAATGCCCGCCCACGTCCCTGGGCCCGGAGTGCATGACAGCGTCCGCGCCGTGGACGAACTTCGAGTTCACGGACGTCTCAAGGTGCAACTAGATCTCCTCCGGGAGGAGACGGCGGACACCGTTAGTGCCCGCGAACGCACACCGCATAGCACGAAACGCCGGCTGAAGACCGTTCCCGTCTCCGGCTAGGATCAACCAACTATCTCTTACTCTCCAACCTCCCTCCCACACGACCAACACAACGTCCAGTCCTCACTGAAACTCCTCAAGGGAAAGAAAAAAATGCCCAGCGCCCCTGAAATCCACCACCTCGAACCCAACGTCTACGCTCCCAACAGCCGCCTGCCGGTGCTGATCTACCGCGACGCCCTACCCTTGCCGCTGACAGAGAGCACGGCGACGGCGTTCCTGGAGTCGCATGGCTGGGAAAAGCGCGGCGTCTGGGGCCACATTCCCGTGCGCCATTTCCACCCGAATTCGCACGAGTGCTACGGTAGGAGTTTTCACCTCCCGATTCCCCGAAAGAAGCAGTCTTTTGGGGGGCTCATAATTCTTTTTCTGACGTGGATCACTGGGGTTGGATGGTGCAGGGATATTCCAGGGAAGCTCGACGCTGCTTCTCGGGTGTGGCTCAAGCGATACAAGCGGCGGGTTGAACGTCGAGGTGCACGCGGGCGATGTGATTGTTCTTCCGGCGGGGACTGCTCACTGCTCGGTAGAGAGTAGTTTGGACTACAGATACGTCGGCGTCTATCCAAAGGTAAGCCGAGACTCGACCTCTTGCCTCCACGAACAAGACCGGGCGAGGGCAACGCGCCGTTTCTTCCCAGCTCCTTCGACTGACCTGGCATTGCAGGATTGTCCTCGATGGAGAAATGAGCTAGGAAAGGAATCTATAAACGTGGACGCACTCCGCAATGAGATTCTGGCGGTGGCCATGCCGACACAGGATCCCGTCACCGGTCCACAGGGCCCATTGATGCGGTTGTGGGCAGGGGCCAGCTAGGGCCGAATGGAGCCAACATGAATCTTGGATCCGCTCTTGTCCTCGTATTCCTATATTACGACATGGACCTATCAGAGATTCCCGACTTCCCACGACCCATCCGCCGAGGTCCCGAAGTCCTGGAATTGGTAGAAGGGATCGTAGGCCATGTCGATGATGGGGGCGTTGCTGGGCATCGTCCACGGTGCCGCCGGGGCTTTCGTGAATGGGGCGTAGAGCATGGGCAACATTCTTGCGTTCGACGAAGCAGGCAGTTCCCCGTCGTCGACGAGCTGCCGCTCGTGCTGCTGCTGCTGCTGCTGCCGCTGCTGGTGGTGGTGCTGGGGGGCCTGCTGCGGACTCGGTTCCGGAGGGCGGTAGTCCGAGTAGGGCGGCAGCGCCTGTCCGTTCGACAGGTCCACCTGGGTGGTGGGATTGTGAGAGATCTGCGTTTCGACCGTGTGCTCGTCGTGGGCGGCGTCGTCGTCACCTTGGCAGAAGGACTCGTGGAACAGGCCGTGACCCGACGCGCCCAGATCCTTGCCGTCGAAATTGTACTGCAGGATCTTCCACATCAGCCGCGTATTGATCGACACCGTCTGGCGAGACGGCTCGGGCTCTTGATCGGAGCGCCCGGACGTAAACGCGCAGTAGATCAAGGTGCGCAGTTTGTCATGCTGTTTTGCAGATTCAGCCCCCCAGCCCACAGCTCAGGAACGGGTGGAAACCCAGCAGCTTACCAGCAACCGACATGAGGGCCACAGCTGGGCCAGTTCGGCCAAGAACGAGGTGCATGTGTCCAGCTTCACCTGCGCCGCCTCGCGGATGTCGTGGTCTGCCGCCCGGCAGAAGTAGATGTGGATCGTGGCCGCGACAGCGGCGCACTGGCCGATGAACGGATCCGAGATCCGATACTCCTTCTCTCGCACGACGTCGATCAGCCGCACAATCCACGTGGCGTGGATGAAGGCCAGCTCCGAGGACGTCTTCCAGAAGGTGTTTGGCACCGCCAGCTGGACGGACTGCTGCGGGCGCGAGGAGTACAGGAAGGGGTGGTTCAGGGTGCTGTGGATCGCGTGGTAGGTGAACTGGAGGTAGAGCCAGGGGCTCCAGTATTCGCGGTTCTGCAGCTCCTCGGCGTCCCGGTCGAGGAACCGCGCCGAGTCCCAGCGATGGTACGTGGGCATTTTGGTCTCCAGGTCCATGAGATGGGCCCCGATCACGGCGTACCCCGACTCGACGGACCACGGGGGCTCCGAGGTGGTGTGGGCGCACTGTATCACGTACGTGCGCACCTCGCGCCACAGGGTCGCCAGCTGCACCATGTACGCCCAGATGCCAATCCTCTCCGTCTCTCCGCTCTGAAACGTCTCCTGCGGCAAACGCGGGGGCAGCACGTTGGACCTTTTCCGCAGGTCCGGGTGCAAGGGGACATACTGGGGATTTTCAATGTCCTGGAGGATCGCGAGCGCCGCGGTGGACTGTCCGTACATCCGCTCCAGCAGATGGAGGCTCCAAAACACCCTCCTGCGCGCCTCGGCCGCCGGGGAGACTTCGGTCGGGGTCGATTCCACGTCGAAGCCGGCACACTTCGAGAACGTGACGGCGATGTTGATGTGCAGGGCGACCAGTTGCATCTCGTTATCTGGCCCCCAGAGTTAAAGAGAACAACCTCGGGACAGGCTCCATTCAGGGGTTAGGGAGTTGTACCATGAAAGTTGGCCAGTGCCAGCATGCATAAACTCTGGATCGTGGCGAGATTGACCTTGCCCTGGGCAATCCGGAGCATGATCTGCTCTCGCGCCAGCCGGGCATATCGCGGGCTCAAGGACTCCGCTCTCCCTTTGAAGAAAGAGTGCTTCGAGTGGCAGAGGGAGAGGGCCAGCAGCGAGAAAACGACCTCGTCACGGCAGTCTTCGATGGAAGAGAGGTCGTCGGGGTCAAAGAGCCACAAGGGCTGCATGTGGCAGTATCTGAAGTATGCACCCACGGCGTCCACAATGGCGCCCCTAGGAGGCATGGCCCTTTTGCATAGAAACGTCAGCTTGGTAGGCGCAGAGCCAGAGAGTAATCGGATCAAATCTTGCCTGGAGGATGTGGCGATCCCATCGCGAGGGTTTCGTGACGACCGACCGTTCGTAGACCTGGTCGACTCCGATCTCGGTGATTCTGCATCGCTGTTTGTCCTGGGTTCTCGCCCTTCAGCAAACAGTGGCCCTGACCCAAGCCCAGGGGAGAACGAATCCGGCATGCATACATCCGCTTTTCAAAGACCATCTCCATCCTCTCCTCTAGCTGCGCCAGTCGAGACTCCTGCGTGCATGCGGGTGGTGAGCTCGACAGAATCCCCAAGTCGGCCGCTTGGGGGGGTAAATGTCATACCACGTCCCTCGAATTGCCCAGCAGTATCTCGGACGGGACATAGCCGAACTGACTTCCAGCATACCGACAAGCCTGCGACAGGCGCGTGCAGGTCGAACACGCCGGCCTCTCGCCCGGACAGCGTGTCTTTTTCTTCCTGTGGAATCGTTAGTGTTAGCGACACGACACAAACGTCCATTTCGCGGAGCGCAGACGAAGGTACCGGCAATTCTCGCACGCCTGGTGCATGCGTTTCTGGACACGGCCCTGCGATGCGGGCATCTTTTCCTCGGCGATAGCGATTCTCTTGCGCGGGGTGCAACAACAAGGAGTCCTCGTGAAATTGTTCGGTAGCAAGAAACTAGGATCGAGGTGTGTGTTTGGTCGCGACGGCTTATCAATCCCCTAATCAGCCCCCGGGAAATGCAGTCCTGTTAAGGAATAGAAGCGTCCCCCGCAGAACCAAGATCACGGTGCCAGGGAGGATTGATGGATGGGACCATTTTCCCTTCCTCCAAAAACATTTATCTATGCTTCAAGACTACAGGTATCAAAACGTCGTGATGGCCGTCCTCTTCTGCCAAGGCATCCAAGAACCAGAAAGTTCATGTATCGCAATTCCCCATAAATAGAACTAAACACTCTGAGGTTGCTGTCATGGTAGGTACCAGCCCAACCGTGTCTGCGCCTCGCGGCCGACTCGGGAGCAGAGTGGTGAAGCATACCGAGCGACGAGGCTACGGTGAGAGCTACTGCACTGGCCTCATCACCGCTATTCACCATTCACCACTCAGTTGCAGCCGACTTCACCGAATCGCACGCCAATCCGGCACAGAAAGCGACGTCGTCTTCTGTAGTTTTGGATATGGGCAGTGGCCGACGTGCCGGCCATACTTCTTCGCCCCTTTCTTCCTCCCTCTGTCGATGCTCCATTACCACCTGTCTGACCACGTTCTGGAAGTAGAGAGGGGCGCTCTCTAGCTGTGGATGCATCTCGCCGTTGATGTACACTCCGGCGTTCAAGTTCTTCTGTGCCGCGTTGCAGAGGTGTTTATCTTCGTCAAGGACGCGTTTGAAGAACGAGTCGATGTATTCAAAGTCCCTGTCCGAAGCATCCACGTGCCGGTAGACCTCGTACTCCATGGAGCAAGTGGTGGCGGATGTCGGAACGCATCGCATCATATAGAAGAAGTGCGGCCTAAGGTTACAGAAAGTCAGCAAGAGCCCTGTTGACGAAACTGAGCGACGTTGGGCTTACGAGACAGTCATGCAAGCATTGGGAAAGTAGTAGGTGCTTGCGTTCTTGATGTCCTCATCTTCTTGCCCTGTCTTCGGGCGAGAAAAGTGTTGAATATAGCCAAGTTTGGAGACTGTGTAGTAGTATGTGAGATCTGCGAGCTTGGCCACGTCTGGATGCGCCACTTGGCAGTGGTAGCATTCATTGTAATTGTCGGCCAGTGTTTTCCAGTTGTACTGGCCTTGCATCTGCCATACGTGGTCGAATTTGTACTGAGAAAAATCAAATGCCCCAAACCGTTCCTGGGTATCGACGCCTTTGAAATCGTCCTCCCAGGCCACGGAAGGTGTTGGTGAGGCGTCGAGATTGACCCAGACGAACCCCAGTGCATCGATATGCACATGAACCGGGAACAGGGCATGGCTCTCTTTCTGAAAGGTCGGCACGGTCTCGAATCGAGGAGCCTTTGCAAGCTTCCCGTTCAACCCGTAGGACCAGCCGTGGTACTTGCAGGAAAATATTTTGGCGTTGCCTGCATCTTCAGAGACGATGGGGAAAGCACGATGCCGGCAGATGTTGTGAAAGCCATTTACTGTGCCGTCCTTGTCCATGCACAGGACAAAAGAGTACCCGGCCTCCTCGAAGCGTAAGAAGTCGCCCGGTTTGGTGAACCTCAATTTATGGGTGACTAGGAGCCATTTCTTTGAAAATATGGCCCGGCGCTCCAGTTCGTACATGGGAAGGCTGGAATACCATGATGCTGGAAGTGCCCGTGGCCCTGGCGTGGCTTTTAACGGTATCTTTGTTTTGGGGTCTGCGTTCGTCGATCCAATAAGAGAACTGAGTGTCGACAACATCATGTCTCAATGGGTTGTAGGGAGAGAAGCCTCTACAGTCTCGCTGACATGCTTCATCTTCTTTTATTTTTCCCCCGTGCTTCTGGCCGAACAGTCTGTACTGGCGGCAGGGTCTCTGGCCGCATTTGGTGCATTTCTCCAGAAACACGCAACCATTCGGCGGTACCGACCACTGCATGCGTTCCCCCATGTCTGTGGCGATGGCTTCACTTCTAGACCGTCGGTGACGGCCCTCTTTCACGGCCATATCAAACACGGGGAACCTTGCCGTGCTGCACGCTTCAATAACTGTTGGTCAGCAGAACGATGTCGCCGGTCACCTGAGCGGCAAGTCACGGAGGATCACCGCCTACCGCATCAGGAAAACAAATCCCATGCTAGGAAAATGGATCCGCTCGAACAGTGCGCAAGGGAGCGACAGAAAATAGGATAAGGAAATCAATGGCCAGGGACGACAGGTCCCAGGGAAAGGGGCATGTTGCCCAGTTCAATGTCAGAAACAATCTCGGACTGGAATTCTGGGGGAACAGCTCTGCCGGATCATGTCCCAACGACGAAGATGCAACATCATCGGAGCAGGGTAAGAAGTCCAAGTGACAAGCCTACTGATGGTTCTGGCTAATCACCCTTCACTGACAGAGTGTCGGGCATCTTGATGGGTACGAGGATTTCGGTTCTTCATTCTCGCGTGGCAAACATGCTCACTCTGGGGTCAAACAGCTTTTAAGCTTCAGGAAGCTTTTGGAGATTCTATCGAAATCAAGATCTTTGAGAAGAACAGCGACGTGGGGGGGACATGGTGGGAGAACCGATATCCAGGTATGCCTGTAGAGAGCCGTGGGTTGAGGGAGTCGTGTTCTGTGCTGACCTTTGCAAGGCTGCGCCTGTGATGTGCCCAGCCACATCTATCAATTCAGCTTCTGCCCCAATCCGTACTGGTCAAAATTGTAAGGGAAGATCTTCCTTCTAGGCTGCCTTGTCAGGTCCTTATTGAACCTTCGATCTGACAGGAAGGTCTGTAGCTATGCATCGTCTGCCGAGATACAGTCTTATCTCAAGGCAGTCACCTTCCATTATCGGATAGATCGATTCATTATACTCAACAGCCGAGTCGAAAAGGCAGTGTGGAACGAAAGATGCTCTCGATGGAGCTTGACTATTGAAGGAGGACGCGAATATGAGAGTGAAATCTTGATCAATGCAAGTGGAATCCTCAATAACCCCAAGTTCCCAGAACTCAAAGGCCTGGACAGCTTTGGTGGACAAATTGTCCACACTGCTGCCTGGGATGTCCGAGTTGATACCGCAGGCAAAAGGCTCGCGATAGTTGGTGCCGGTGCCAGCGCTATCCAAGTGCTCCCAGCGCTGCAGAAAGATGCACATCACATCGATATTTACATTCGGACGCCATCTTGGATTACTCCGCCGAGCGGTGCCGACTTCTCGAACGAGCACAACCACACCTACACCGCAGACGAGAAGGCTAGATTTGTCGAAGACGGCGAATATTCACTTCAAATGCGCAAGGAGATGGAAGCCACGTTCAACGCCATGTTCGGGGCCTTTTTAAAAGGCAGCGAGAGGCAGCGTGAAATGCGCTCGCGGATCGAAAAACGGATGAAGGAGCTCATCCGCAGCGTAGACTTACAACAGAAGCTGATCCCGTCGTTTGAAGCCGGTTGTCGGCGCCTTAATCCTGGCGAAAGATACCTCGAGGCTCTGCAGCAGAACAACGTTACACCTGTCTTCGAGTCCATTCAGACGGTCACACCGGAGGGCATACAGGACGCCTCGGGGAAGATGAGGCCTGCAGACGTCCTGATTGCGGCTACGGGCTTCGATACATCGTTCAGACCCCGGTTTCCTATTCTCGGCTCCGGCGGCCGCGATCTTAGGGAGCTGTGGAAAGAGGAACCGGCATCTTACTGCGGTCTCGCCGTGTCTGGCTTCCCGAACTATCTCATCTTCCTCGGACCCAACACACCCATTTCCAACGGCAGTCTGATGGGCATCCTGGAGGGGACAGCTGATTTCTTTGTGCGGATGATCCGAAAGATGAGAGTCCAGCAAGCCTCGTCTTTCGATGTCCGACAATCGGTGCAGGACGACTTCAACGACCACGCCGGAAAGGCCATGGAGAACCTAGTCTGGACCGGAAGCTGTCGATCCTGGTTCAAGAACCATCACGGCAGGGTTACAGCCATCTGGCCTGGCAGTGGGCTGCATTATCGCGAATTCCTCGAGTCCGATCGATGGGAGGACTTTGAGTGGCGGTACAGCACGAACCAATTCACCTACTGGGGCCAGGGGTTCTCTCATCTCGAAAGAGACGAAGCACCTGATTTGAGCTACTACATCAAGCCACATCCCAATTTACCCCTGGAAGCTCTGCAGCGTGTTCAGAACCGACAAAGCCCGACAACCAAGGAGCGACTTCATTCTCGCATTAATGGAGAAGTGGAAGTAAACGCTGCAACGAGTCGTGTCGATCCGGAGGGAACCAACTTCTCTGAAGAACAGAACGTTCCCGCTCATTGGGAAAGGGACTGGGGAGACGTGAACACACCTCAAGCGGATTTCTTGTCGGGTGCTATCGCATTCAGTGTGTAGTTTCGAGAGACTTAGGCCAGGTCACTTCTGGAAGCAGTCGTTTTCGTTCCGTTGCTATCTGCTTGGAGAAAGAGCGTCTCTACAGGGCAACGTATGACTTATCTGGAGAGAGGTAGAGAAATATAGATTTTGAATCTTCCAGCAGGTTACCTAGGATGGTTGCATCGACTCGCTAGCAGTTCATAGCATCCCGAGGCATGTGTCATCTTCCCGTCACGGACATTCAAGACGTCCGCTGCTCCTTTCAAGTACTGTTTGGCCCTCTTCAGAGGCGTGCCTGCTCAAACTTCGAGAGCACTCTGCGAGGCGGCCCCCGACGACTTCCATCGTTGCACACGAAGGGGAGTCTAACGCCAGGGTCGCTTCTCAGCCTCCACTTCTCCCTCACCTCCACCGACGCCTTCTCTTCAAAGCAGTCCGAGATATAATTCCCGAGGATCGGAAGAAACTTAAAGCCGCTGCAAAGCTATTAGCGACGACGGCCCACATGAAACTGATCATTGTGTTTGTTTTGTACAATTTTGTTGGGGGGGGGGGGGTGGAAAGCGTTTTGTTGGCAAACTTACTGCCCTGCTCCTCCCGCCGCGATGAACAGCCCTTCAATAGACGGGTGATGATCGACCACAAAGTTGCCTTCAGGGGTATCGGTGTACCAGCAAAGCCGGCGCCTTATCCATGGTCTGTCCGCAAACCGAGGCAGGATCTGTCTCAGACCGTGCCGGAGCGCAGAATCCGCGGATTCCGGGATGAAAAAGGAGGTCGCGTTGTTCAAGTCCCGTTTGGGCGCAGATATGGTTCGGTCGGTGCCATCTACGGGCTGCCTGGTCTCGAAGCCGTGGCTGTGGCAGGCCACCTTGAGGATGTTCGTGCCCGGGGTGGGAGGGAATACAAAGAATCCCGATGTCATGTTGATGAGGGTTGGCATTTTGGAAATGCTGTGTGCCTCTTCCGGAGTCAGTTGGATGAACCCGACGGGCTGCCCAGAGGAAGACATAGCATATATCAAGTCCAAGAGGCCATTTGTCCACGCGCCGGTGGCGAGAATAACTCTCGATCCAAGAACAGGAGGGCCCAGAGCGACATTGACGCCCTCGATTCGGGAGTTCGTGATTCTCATAGACTTGACTGTCCCTCTGGGTCCAGTGATGATAGAGACTCCTTTCTCGGTACACAGGGTCGCCAACCGAGAAATCGAGGCCGCAGCATCCGCCCAGCCTCCATTGGGATTCAAATAACCGCCAAAGTCTGTCTGGATTTCATTCAGGGATGGAAACTTCCGTTTCAGCTCACTGCTGCTGTTGAAGCTTTCATAAGGGATGTCCTGCCCTGCGAGGACCCCCTTGAGCTTCTCCAGAAACGCGTCTGGCCGAGATTCGGAGGTCAACACGAAGCCCGAGTTGTGGTATAGATTCGCAAAGGGTCCCGCCCGCCAGGCCTCCAGCGCCTCTTTCGCCATGCGGGCGTAGAACGGGTCGGAGTAGTCGCTACGCACGATTCGCGATATGTCGCAGCTGCTTCCATCCGGCACCGGGGGTGCCATGCGATCGAGAACGGTGACATCGGTGAAATTTCTCTGCGCAAGACTCAGGGCAGTCGAGAGGCCAAAGACACCGGCGCCGACGATGACGATGGCGTCTTGCTTTGAGGGCGGCGCCATTGTTGGTAGCTGAGGTCCTTCTAAAGCTCTTGCATCTTTTGGAGGAAACCCGGGAGGAGGAGGCGAGATCCCTGGATTGTGTTGCTTATCTTGCTCCCTATATCAAACAACTATCTTAGCGTAGATAGCTTGCATTCAACTTATCTGTCTGTCGCTTCACCTGCATTCGAATTGACTGCAGGGGGCCATATTGAGCATGGGAACTCGAACAGACGGTCAGCCTGGTCGCTGGACAGCCGGTCACATGAACGGGATTTTGTACGGTCGGCGAGTGTTTAGTGTCCCCGAGGACGGCCTTTGCACCGCCATGCTGATCCATCGTGCCATCCGCCTGCAGGAAGTCTCTTACCAAGCCCTTCACGTCTTTGAGCCGTCTGTCCTTCCCAGCACTCTAGCTCTCGAAGCACCCTTGCCTAGCCCGGCTTATCTGACTGACCCCAGGTTTGGTGACGGGAGCTCGATATGGGTGGTCGCGGGGGCCCCTTGCGCGGCTCGAGATGGGCCCCATCGAAACGATCTGGCATGGGGACCAGGGCAGTGGCTTCCTAGGTCGGCGTTGCTGGGAGAGCATTGGTGTCAAGCAGAAAAGTCGACCTGGGGTCCTTGATAAACCCAACCCAGTCCCACGTTCTACACCCGATGTTCGCCCCATCACACTGTCTGCGCGTTGCAGAGTGACTTCGTTTTGCTCGCTTCAGTTGCAACACTCCCAAATATACCAAAAGCTAGAGCAGCTGTGTTCATATAGTCACCTACGACATCAAAATGGCGATCGGAACAATCCTCAAGCAGGAGGTTGTCGCCGGTGAGGATGAGAAGCACGCTGCCCAAAAGCCATATTTTGGCCTCGGACATGAACTGCGCGCCAGCATCTCTCCCATTTCTATTGATGGAGCTACCGAGGAAGGGCAAATCTTCTCTATGGGTGAGGTGGACGCCGCCTTGGATGCGAAAATGAGACTGCTGAACAGGGTATCACGTCTCTTCATGGCAAAGTCCCGCGATACATCCGTGCTGACGCTCTTCCCCAGACAATTGACGAGATCGGCTGGACCAACATGCACCTGAAACTATTCTTTCTCAATGGATTCGGATACGCCGCGGATTCCCTCGTCCTCTTGTTGCAGTCCGTGACTGCCGGCCAGGCTGCCCTGGAATTTCAACCGTCTTTCTCCTACGGCCTCACTGTCGCTGCCTACTCGGGAATGTTGGTGGGAGCTCTATTTTGGGGACTAGGTAAGAGAGCCCTCGATCGGAAACTACATATAGGACTCTGTCCTGAATATACCTGAAGGTGCGGATGTCGTGGGCCGCCGCTTCGCCTTCAACACCTCCCTCTTTATTTGCTCCGTCTTCGCAATCGTGGCCGGAGCGTCGCCTAACTGGTACGCCCTGGGCACGTTTACTGCCCTGACTGCCTTCGGTGCGGGCGGCAACCTTGTCCTCGACACGACTGTCTTCCTCGAATTCCTCCCGGGCAATAAACAATGGCTTCTCACTCTTATGGCCTGTTGGTGGGGGCTCGCTCCCGTCATTGGCGCTGCCTTCGCATGGCCTCTCCTTTCTCTACCTCAATTTATCTGCACCGAGGCTGCAACCTGCACCCGTTCGAATAACATGGTAATCATGGTCTCGCAATCGTGAGTGTTAACCTGTTCTAATCTCATGAGGCAGGGCTGGCGATATGTTTGGTTCGGCAACGGAGCTTTGGTTTTCGTCCTTAGCATACTGCGGGTGACGGTGATTCGGCTCAAAGAATCTCCCAAATACCTTCTCGCCAAAGGCCAAGATGCAGATGTCGTCCGTACCTTCCAGGAGATCGCTCAGACGTACAAGCGACCGTGCAGTTTGACTGTTGAGGAGCTTGAGGCCTGCGGAACAATCCTGCCCACTTACGGGAAAGCAAGGTACGGCTTCAGCGAGTTCATGGCTCATTTGCGAGGACTCTTCGCAACCAAGAAACTGGGCATTTCAACCGCGATGATTTGGTTTTCTTGGCTCTTAATTGGTAATAACTGTCCTCGGTCTATAGAGATGAAAAGTGATGTTTTGCTGACTTCCTTCAGGCCTCGCGTACCCGCTTTTCTACGTCTTCCTCCCTGAATTTCTCGCTAGCCGCGGCGCCCAAGTTGGACAGCCCGGTCCTTATTACCAGTGGCGCAACTATATGATTACCAACACCGTGGGCATCTTCGGCCCCGTTGCCGCTGGGTTCATGTGTAATCTCAAGTGGCTCGGTCGCAAGTACACCATGGCCATCGGCGCCCTCTGTTCCATGACGTTCTTCTTCGCCTACACGGCTGTGCGGACTCCTGCCCAGAACATTGCTTTTACTTGCTCGATTTACTTCTTCGTGAACATTTACTACGGCACGCTCTATGCCTATACCCCCGAGGTACGTGAACCAAATGGCTGCTGCCTCACAGAAATCCACTCTGACCGGACCGTCAGTCCTTGCCGTCTGCGCATCGGGCCACTGGGAACGGAATCGCCGTTGGTTTCAACAGAGTCATGGGCTTGGTCTCTGCGTTTGTTGCTGCGTACGCCGACACGGCCACGTCTGCACCAATCTACATCTGCGCCGCACTCTACATTGTCATGGTGCGTCCCTCCAGACCTTCCTGATTTACAATGACTGACACTGCATTCACTAGGCTGTCGTGGCAGTGACTTTCCCATTCGAGCCTTACGGCAAGAGGTCCATGTAGAAGGTATCTGACAGCCGGTATGACAAAGATGTTTGTGTTTGGGAGAAGAAGTTGAGACGGCCTTTCTTTTCTAAGAAGAGGGTGCAGCCCTGAAACTGTGCATCGAGGATCATATAGGCTTAAAGAGGCATTAGTGACGTTGGTGGCGACAACCATAACCATAGCGTCGAGGACTAGGTAGTCTATGAAGAATGGGGATGCCATCCTTGGACGACCTAATCGAGGCGTCCACATACGTGTTCTGTACAAAAGATAGTGGCAGTTGAGTACCTGAGACTGAATCCCCCAGTTCTATAGGATAATGCTTCTCTCGCTCTTTTTGTCACGAACAAGGGGTGCCAAGACCTCAAGGGGTCGGGTGTATATAAGCGTACGAGTCGTAGGCTACCTTTCGAAGCTCCCCAGCTTTGGAATCGCTGTCGTTCTGCGCCTATAGATAGGCAATATACTTATCAGATAGTTCGCTGGCGAGCCCTTCTTGACAAAAAGAAAGACCACCAACCCAGAGTGGCACCTCCCGAACCAACCAATCAGAGAGTAGGATCGTTTGCCTGTACAATGTATAGCTAAATGTCGACCAATCACGTTGCTCGTCCACCTAGCACCTCAGATCCCCTTTCCACCTTTCCCATTACAGAAGGGTTGTTAGGGTTAAGCCTATCCCCCGCTGTAAAGGTCGAGGACTACTCTGAGAAGGACTCCTCTAGTAGGGTCTGCGGTCCTCCGGTAGGTGTTTATAAAGTATTCGATGATAATAGGTTTGTCAGGCCATCGGTTTCCTGAGACCGCCGCCGTTCTGGCGGTCGCGATGGCCCTGTTGGATTGAAGGACGGCGTTCCTTGCCGTTTAAAGAACGCAGAGGCCCGCGAAGGCTGTCCAGTTGGCGTTGCTACCAGATGTGACTCAAGTTGGAGGACATGGTTCTATTTCTGAAGGGTCCGGGGGACCGTCAGACTATATAGTCTACGTGGCCGTATCAGAGGCTTTACGGATGCGGTGCAGGCCTCTGCGGTCGTCATTACACTTACAAAATCCCTGCCAAGGGGGCAAAATGTCACACCATTCGGAGCTCCTGTCGCACATACCTTTCTTGTAGGCAGGGTCCTCCTGGCCGTATAAGCGGTCTCGTAACATATACGATCTTATCACGAAGACAGCTATCTCGTAACGAGGTCTTATTAGCGAACGCAAGGCTGAGAGGTAGCCTTGCTATTAGCCTGCTTCTCTCTTGGACGGCCGTGACAACGTCCCTGGAATCATGAGATCGACCAACGGCACATGCTGCTGTGTACCCAGCACGTCTCTCTCTCCAGAGAACCCTGTGCCCAAGGTCTCGCGATGGTACATTTCCAGCCGAGAGCTGGCTCGAAGAATTGCAAGGCTAATATCTCCTTGTCACCAATGTGGAACAGAGTCTTGACCGTGTCTGCTGTCAGCAAATTTGCCGCGCGGACACGGTCATAGGCCTCCTTGGAGTCAAACAGGACGTCGAAGGTGAGCTCAAAGGGGCCCGAGTCTTTGCTCCGGATGACTTGGGCAATGTCTCGAAGAAGTACGGCCTCTTCGGAACGGAGACCATTTTTGACTGTGGAACACTTGTTAGCCGTGACTTGTGGCCATAAGGGTGACTTTTTCTTACCAGTGAGTGGTTGTGGTTTCGGATTGATAGCAGTAGAGGGCTTCCAGCGAGGCAATGTGCTGGTCTTCTTGATCTGTGAAACGAGGTTGGAAATGGAGCGCCTTCCAACCTTTGAGTAAGAAATAGGAAAGAGCTGCAGAGGGTCGTCGATGTCGAGAAGATGGTAGATACTCCACCCGAACGTAGGTCCAACGGCCTGCTCTTGAGGTCAGAGGGGGAAGGCCACGTTTCCAGAAGTAGCAAGCTGGTTCTCGTAGGAATTGTGAAGACAGACCGTTCGTGCGGAATTGGCAATGCATAATGCACGATCTGGGCTGGGTGCGAGAATTCTCCGAGTAATGCAACTTCATGTGAAGGAGCAGGGTCGGGCTCAAGTGGCCCCATGACCCCATCCCGCCCGAAAACTCGAAAGATGAGTTGGCATTGCTCCGATTGATGGAGGTCCGGATACAGGGTCTCTACATATCGGCACACCTCATCCAGGAACCCATCCAGACAGGATATCAGGATGGGGTCCCGAATGCCACCGAAAAAGCAAGCCCGATATCTTAGCATCTGGACGCCTTCGAGTTTGACTTGATAAATGGGCGTGGGAACAAATGAGGAACCACAGACTCTGGTCGTTTGACCATCATCGAGCTGTTCGTATCTCGCCCCTTCCAGATGTAGTACAACCCCCCGGTCCCGGGAGCCGGTTGGGCCGAGTCTTCTCGTAAAATGTGTGTGCAGCGACCGAGAGGGGTGTACAGCGTTGCATTGGGTTGACAGGAGTGTGATCGAAGCTCGCTTTCCGCACCGTGGCGAGCATGGATCGGCCTTTGGGTACCGCACACAAGCCTCCGCACTCCAGAAATCTTACCAGCATGCCATGCCACCCCGAGGTCAACGCCCCGACTGAGACAGAAAGCCGCGAATGGAGTAGGGTCATAGGCCCGCCCCGCGACAATGACATCGGGGTCGTGATAGCTTTGGATGGCCTCGAGGAAAGGCTCAGCACCCATTTGAGCGACAATCTTCATCGTGTCATCCACAAGTTCATGGGTCAAAGCGTGGACGGGTCTAAAGGGGTGAACCAGGCCCTCTCGTAGTTTTCTGTGTATTGTTTCTCTGGATATTTCCGCCTTGATTGAGGCAACCTCAAATGTCCAATTCCTTTGAGTCGCAATCTCCGACACGATGGACTTGAGATCATCCACATGTTGATTGCTACCACCTCCTCCGGCCGAACTGATGTACACTTTCACCTTGAGATGGAAACAGGCGTCCAGAATGAGCGTGAGGCCTCTGACGTACGAATCATACCCGTAAAGGGTCGTCCCAGCCCCGAGGTTGAATGGTCCCAGATCCGTTGACCCTGCATCGACGATGATTGCATCGGCGCCGCACTCGACGACTCCATACGCGAACTCGTCGGCATCATACCCATAGCCTAGAATAGGGCTTGGTGTAAAGATTCTAATTTCGTCTTTCTGTTTAGGCAACATGGTCCCGTGATGCCGGAGGGCCGTAAGGGAATTGGCATGAGATGTTCTTGTAGAGAGATCTGATGGCCGCTATCACATCGATCTGTCCGTCTCAAAGATACTTGAGTAGGCCTTTCCTGAACCGAACATCGGAGGCAGGGACCAGGCATAATTCTGACCTGAAATGCCGACAGGTGGGGATCGGCTGGAAATTTCCCAAATAGTAAGTCGAGGGCCGAGAGCCTTTCCCAGACGTTACTGGCCGGCACCATGTTGGTACTTCAATTGAGAGAGCAGCATGAGGAATTTCATTTCCGTGGTCCCATTAGCCATCCATCCGCCGAGAAAAATGGAACCCTTCCAGATCTGTAGGTTGCAAGCCGTTCACTCCAAGGTTGCTCCTCCCAATGCCTTCGGTGTCCACTTCGGCGCTCGCAAAACGCCAGGGACTTTGTCGAGGAGCACTGAGTCCAGTGACTTCATTGATGCAGTCCGCCAGCACCAAAGAGAATTCTTTCTCGAAATCCCACGTGGTTATTGTCGAGATCAATCCTACCAACACGTGCCTGTACTTGTCCAGTCCCCTCTCAAGATGCTGACTGCCTACAAGCCTGTGCACTATCAGTGTCATATCAACCAGCTTGCCCAATCCTATGCTGCGAAGTTCACCATTCTTTAGAGCACTAGTGCAGGACAGAACTGTCAGCGCCCCGTCGTAGAATGACCGCAAGAAATCCGGCTCTGAATCGGAAAATGCAGAAGGAGCTGTTTGTCGCCCGTCTGGGCAAACATGTCTTGCCATGAATTCAAGCCATCTCCATTGATATGATATGAGGACGTCAGCGGTCTGCTTTCGCCAGCCCGCTAAGAGTTGCTCGTCGTGACTCGTATCCGATGCGCCCTGGAGGAGGCAAGCCCAATCCTGCGAAGTCATCCCGAACTCGTCCCTGGCCAATTGCAATCCAAGTTGTGCCAAGAGATATCTCGAAGAACCTGGAAGTGACATGAAATGGATGCGAGTTAACCGACGGAGGAGCGCATATGCTCTCTGCTCCAATTCATCTCCGTCAATGGAGGTCTGAAGAAGGCTGTAGATCTGAAGCGGGTCGAAAGCTCGCCGGGAACGCCGTCGGCTCCGACCATAGATGGAGTACGTTGCCGATTCGGTATTGAACAAAACCATTTGGATTCGTGCATATCTCGGGTTTCTGATAGGCACCAGATTGGTCTCAGAGATCGATATCATCTCCAGGATGTTGATGGCCTCTTCCAAGTAAAGAAATGAGCGATTGTGGCGATCAAGAACGCTGTAGCCGCAGAAGAGGAAAAGACTGGTGACAACAGTATCAAGAGAAGGGCTCTCGGCAAAATCTGTGCGCGTTCTTTCCACCTCGACCTGTCGGATAAGCTCGACCAGGGGCGTTTCGGCGTCCTTTGCCGCCGTCATCCTCCACTGTCTCGCCTGGTTCATCATACGAATGGCCAAGAGCAACGCCCGAAATTGAGGGTCGGCTTCCCCGTCCCCAGCGGCAAGTTGCCTGTAAACCGAGTCGCGATCGATCACTGGAAACACAACATACAACAATTGTATGAAATCGCTGACAGCTCTCTCACTTTCCTGACAAAATCCAGGGGATCCGTCAGCTTCTATGGTGGCCACATTGCTGGGCTCCACATGGCTTTTTTGGCCCACAGCAGTCGAAACGACAGCAGTCATATCAAGGGACCGCTGGTCGAGGTCAGATGGTGGGGAATTGTATCCTCCCGTAGGAAACGGTGTGAGGATGTCTGGCAGCATTTGAGCTGAGCTCTCGATCCATTGCATGGATTCGTCCAATTCAATTTGTCTTTCTGGGAACATAAAATCGAGTTCTCCGATATCTGTGAAAAGAGTTTCCGGCATCCATTCAAAAGGTCCACACTCAGAAGTGTCTTGACCGTTGAGGCTGGTATTCTCAGGAATGGATTCGTCAGTGAAATGAGGCGGCGTTGGCGTGGCATCTGCCGGTGAAGAACACGGAACATTCGTTGCCTGCCGCTTCCTGCGTTGAGCATGGGTTCCTTTGGGATTGGGAGTACTTGAGGTATCCCTGCATCGGTGAAACCGGTGAGCCCAGGTCTTCGACAGGAACAAGGAAGAATTGAACAATGCTTACCCATTCTCGGGTTGCTTCCTCCTCCAACGTGGATCCGTATAACAACATTCTCGATTGGAGTAGATACAGCGAGAGCAAGGTTTCTCATCGACAAGAGCATTCACAGACGGCTTTTGATGTGCGCTGGAACACTTCTCGTCGAGCACGAGTCCACATCAGCTCGAAATCCACGAGAAGCATAACTCAACATGGAGATGTTCTTACTCTGACTTTTCGATAGCGACACGCATCGCAGGCGCGAGGCGCGCTGTTTGCGGCTTTTCGAGGACCTATGGGAATGATGCTGAACATGGCGTCTAGGTACTGCCGAAAGGGGTGGATGGCTTTCGAGGTTCAGAACTTCAGAGTCCAGTCCAAGTGCCATGGGAGTAATGAGGGCTGCGTGGCGAAGCAATGAGCGGGGTGCAGCGGCACTAGCTCCGGTCTTCGGAAAGTCAATGAGACAAGACGAGACTCACCATTCGACCTATGCTCTTCAAACACATCTGAGATCATGTCCAGTGCGTATTCGCAAGCAGCGTCTGAAGCTGCCAGGTAGCTGGTGGATGTTCGCTTCGTCCCGCAGTCACTGTTGGCAGCTTATTCAATGATTGATTAATTAGCTTCGGTCCCAGAGCGTCTACGTGCAGTAAGAACTTCCAAACTGCCACACTGCTGAAGCGAGAACACACTCTAGACAAGGCCATAGGCAGGACCTCTGTAGAAACATGATTTCTTTTCACGACAGGGGATTGATTGAATTCGGGATCTTCATTGACAATTCTCCTCTACGGTTGTTTTGCATTGACCGAAAGGCCACATACAAGTTGAATCCATTGTACCTAAAAGCTCGTGTGCAGAGCAACATTCAACACCCTGACCTGATTGCGGATGAACTGCTTTGTAACCCAAGCCTCAGTTGCCCAGTTGAATCCATGAGGAACTCCAGGGAGGAGCTCCAGCTGCGTCGGAATGCCGGAATTGCGAAGGTGGAGGGCATAAGCTATGCCTTGATCTCGCAAATAGTCCAGACCGCAGACGGTGATGTGTGTCGAAGGGTGGTTGGCGGGAGGATTGGACGCCAGAACTGACACGTAATGATTGTACACATCATCGACTTTGGCGTAGTTCGCTGATCACCAATGGTCAATCACGGGGCCTTGCAAGTATGCTTCAGATTTTAGGATGGCTCTTGAGATTGACAAAAGCTGTTGATTGCTTACCGAGGATTTCACGAAACGTTTCCCGAAAATCAGGAGGCCCGGTACATGACTTGTGCGCAATCTTTGCATCTTCAACACTTTTCAACGGTCCCGTGAATGCGTCAGGGCCACACGTCGCTGGCACAACCAGGTTCACTTGTCGAATGCGGGGACAAGAATGTTCTTGACTATCTCGAAGAGCGATTCCGGCAGCAAGATTTCCCCCTGCAGAGCAGCCCCATAACGCAAGCCTGTCTGGGTCGACATTGTATTGGGGTGCATTCTTTGAGACCTACAGAGCGATCAGCCAACTCTGTCTTTCGAAATGGGAGAAACCTGGGTGCGGGAATAGGCGATGCGGGAAGACTGACCCATCCCAGTGCGTAATAGCAATCCTCGTGTGGAATCGGGAAGGGATGCTCTGGAGCGAGGCTGTAGTCAACACTGAATATTACTGAACGTAATTCGCTGGCGAAGAAAATTGACATTTCTTCGTCGTTAGTCGAGTTGCCGTGAATCTGATCAGCATCAGCATGAGACAAAGACATATGGACAGGAGAAATACCCATCCACCTCCGTGAAACACGAGAACACCAGGTCGACGTGCATTTCCTGGGCACTGGGGGTCATATACGCGGATCGAAAAGGCCAAATCCGGTCTGTACGAGAGCTTGATGTCCTCGATATGAACCTGAACTTCTGTTCGCACTCGATTGATGTGAATTGGTTTCGGCATCGGCAGATAAACTCTTTCAATCCACTTTCGCATCCCTTGTACATTCGCTCTTGGTGGCATTGTCTCCCAGTCGACATCCAGTTTCTGGAAAGCCTAAAAATGGCAGTCAGTCATTGGTCGCAGAGCCAGAGAAGCAGATGGACCTCGAGGAAGTTCTGATCAGGATATTCCATCATACTCAACGCTTTGTCAGGATTTGGCAGTCCCAGGTTCGTCCGCGTCTGTTCGCTAGGGCGCGCATCCTCCTGGGCCAATTTCAGCGCTTCTATAGATTTGGTGGCGTCTCCGTTCATGTCTGGCATGGTAACTCGTGGTGGGAAGTTCTCTCCAAATCTCGTCCGTTCAAACAGTAGAAATCTTGTGGCTAGGGAGATTCTAGACGCGCAACACCTTCGATCCCTTTGATGGACCTGGTGATATGGAGGGCGGGATTCCCATCATCGGTTTAGCGCTACCTCAGCAATCCGCTGCCGGACCTCTCTTTCCGATTCTGGAAATCGTGGTCCGGTAGAACGAATGCAGGGACGCCCACGACGCTCTCCGCAATTCCATTCCGGAGCGGGCTTAACACACCGGCAGGCAACGCCATGTACGGCCACGCTCCAACCCAGTGATTGCTATTCGCAAATTAGCAAGTCAACACCGAGAGGGGTTGATCTCGAGCATCTTAAGACATGATGATACTTCTGACAGCCCCGGATTTTATTTCTGATAACTTTCTCTGGATGATTCGGCCACCCCTCGCTTCTTGGGTTCTCGAAAATGACGACGACCATTCTGAAAGGTGTTGAAGTCCACGATTCAACCATGGAAAAGCACATTGAAGACTGTAATAAGGTGGAAGAATCCCAGCCGCTTGAGATCCGTCAAGCCCCCCAAAATTGGTGGAACTGGCGTGTTGTCCTGAATTGTACGCGATCGACCCTCATTCCGAATCGGTGTGTCTTACTGACTGACGTACACCAGTGATCATTGTCGGGTCTGCCAGCGGCCTATTTGGCTACGACAATGCTTTCATCGCTCCTCTGTTGTCCCTGCCTGAGTTCATAGCGAAATATCAAGGACCTGGCACGGCTTTCACGGTTGGTCCTGCCACCCGTGTTCATCGGGCCACATGGATCCTCTAATCCGCGATGCGCCTAGGCGAGGAATCTCAATCTACTAGTGTCTGTTCCCCTCGTTGGCGGAGCTGTCGGTGGAATACTTGCTGCCATTGGGCTTCAACATCGATTCGGTAGAAAACGAGCGTTTCTGATTGCCTACGGGGCGATATGCATACCTGCCTCACTCTTGCAGTTTTTCTCCCCAAATATGGGCGCTTTGGTGGCTGGAAGGTTTTTCAACAGTACGGAAATCAGTTCCTTGAGTCGCTCTTTCGATGCCCTAGCTGACCACTGTATTTCTCTTTCAGACTTTGGCATCGCTGTCCTAATGTGCGTCTGTCCATTGTATCTGGCCGACCTTGTTCCAGTCCATCTCCGCGGCCGAGCCGTGGGGGTCTGCATCCTTTACAAGAGCGGGTCTGCGGTGATAGGGACTGTTGCCGTATGGGGTTCGAAGAATTTCGACACCAATTGGCAGTACCGGCTCCCCTTGCTCATTCAAATCGTTTTGCCGGCCATTCTCTTCCTGCTCACATTGTTCGTCGCCGAGTCACCTACGTGGCATGTACTACAGGGAAATGTGGAGGAAGCCAGATTGATATTGCTCTCCTTACGACGGCACAATGAAGAGGTCGTCAATGCAGAGCTCGCCAGCATCGTTGTCGGAGTCGCATCGGACCGGAAAAGGAAGGCGAATCGGAGCTTCTGGGAAATCGTTCGCCCTGAAAACCTCAAACGGACCATCACATCGAGTGCATTCATGTGTGCCAGTCAAGTCGATGGTCAGATCACGGTCCTACAATATTCGACAGTCGTACTGCTGCAGAGCGGGGTGACCAGTGCCTTCAATATCACGATTCTGATATACACACTCCAGTTTGCCGGCATGTTGGTTGGTCCTGTTTTGGTGGACAAGGTAGGCCGTCGACCGGTCGCACTGGTGGGCTTCAGCATCCTACTTCTGCTCGACGTGTCGATAGGAGGTTTGGCATGCGGCGGGTTGGCCACCACCCAGCAGAGGCTCATATTGGCTTCTCTTTTCATTATCTTTGGCTTCGTCAATGCAGCTTCTTTCCAGTCCCTGTAAGACCCTGGAATTCGACAAGCAGCATTCTCGGCTCGCTGACTTTCTCAGATGCTTCTTGTTGGTCGCGGAGATTCCGACGGCCAAGTTGCGAGAACCTACTACGGCTTGTACGTTGTCACTCTATGTTCGGCCAAGGGAGACTAATCAAGTAGCAGGGACTTTGTTTTGGAGCCAAACCACGGCCTGCATTACCACCTTTGCTGTACCGCAACTGACGAGTGCCGATGCGTGAGGACAGCGATCTCTGTTACCAGAGAGTTACCACAGCTGACTCAATGTTCCAGGGGTAATCTCGGCGCGAAAGTGCAGCTAGTATTTGCTGGCTGCCTGATTCTGACCATGATATTTACATACTTTTACCTGTGAGTTTAGACTTGGCTGTTTTTTGTTCAATTTTGGTCGTACTAATTTTTCTTAGACCGGAAACCAAGGGCCGAACATTGGGTGAGATTGACGAAATGTACGCGGCGGGAATCCCTATGAACAAATGGAGAGGTAGGTCCGCCCAAGAGAAGCTTCCGTGTGGTTCTTTGATTGACGATGATTCCCAGGCTACAAATGTGAAGTGCTCATAGAGAGCTCTCAGTCAACCATGGAGAAGTCTCAATCAAACTGAACCGGAATGTGCCAATCTACTTTCACCAGTAACAGGTGCAAGGCCGCCAGACCAATGGTCACATAGTTCCTCTCCTTGACGTCAAGGAACATGGAGAAAAGTTGCAACTAGGCCATTATCATATTATGACCTCCTTCGATCCTTTACCTTCGTTAATTCGTCAACCCTGATGTCTGCTCACTCTGTTTTTTTGCATTCCCTGCTCGATGCCCTCAGGCTCTGGCCACCAAGTCATCAACCTGTAGTCTTTACTAATCTAAAATTCTGTTATTCGAAGCCTTGGTACATCGAAAGGCCAAGATATAGTCCATCATGTTCGAGAGGTTGGACGGATCCCTTTCTGTTTCCGAAGGGGGACTGTTTCTAGTCCCTAGCGATAGTTGCATAGTAGTATAGTGCATGAGCAGGCAAAGTCAGGCGCAGACGACGAAGAGAGAACGGGCATTCGCAGGACGGGGGGCGATGTAGAAAAGGGCTGCGGTGTAGATCTTAGCATCGAGGGAAGGGATCTTCCAAAAGCGACGGCATTGACCTCCAGATTCGGCAGAAAATTTCCATGCAACCCAGTAGCCGGGAAACGAGACCTCTACACCTTGATGAAGATCTATTTCGGCACCCTCTGAGTTCCAAAACGAGCCCCGTGGGATTCTGATTCTCCCCTCCGTCAGATCAGTACCGAGTACGGCCTACGCGTCCGCGACTTTCTGCAATCAAATTTAGGCAGCATTGTGAGGGCAGGGAATCTGCCAGGTTCCTGACGCCCGTCTGAAACGGATGCCTGGCCGAGAGGAAAGTATAGCCGATCGCAACGGGCCGTATTAAGTCCCTAGTGTGTCTGCTCAGGCAGTGCTCAGGGAGCACTAAGTGATGCTCAGCTAAAGGCTCAGGTTAAAGCGGCCTCGCTCCCTTTCCCGAACGAAAAAGGGAAGGGATAAATGTAAGGGAAGCAGTGGATAGACAGGTTAATAGAAGCAATCACACCTGGTACAGATAGCTCTAGCCCTATATACAGAGACTCAAAGCCTTGAAGAGGGTTTGAGTAGGGTACGTGCAGCATGCGCCCCTGATATGTCGTGTGACCTTGGCGCCCTTGCCTGGCCGGTTTGTTGTGTTTGGGAGGGGATCCCTAACATCCTCCTGATCCACTCCCGTCCGGATCGATCGTAAGTAATATAAGGATTACTTCCCGAACACTGATAAAGAAAACAAGTTAGCAGTGTGTAGCCGAGTATCAAAGAGTTACCGTATCTTGCATCTCTAAACCTTATATAACTAAGATAGGCTATTAAGGTTTTGCGCCGAGATAAACGTGTACTAGAGGAGGAGGTGGATACCTTCACTCTAGGGTGAAGGGTAGAGGGAATGTGCACGTCTCAAAGAGTTCGGGATTGGTGTTATCTATTCATGATACAGAGAGCAAACCGCATCGCAATAGTCAACAATATCGACCGAATTGGAGACGTTATATTACAATGTTGACCGCTTGAATCGTTCGACGACGTGGTGCAACTGTAGAAAGCATTCTGGAAGAGGTGACGCAACACCAGGTGACAGACCTTGGCGGCCGACATTTTCCTGGCTGACGAGCGTGGCTAAATCTTCAATCCGGAAAGACGATAACAATCCAATACCTGCGTTAAATACTCTTTCACGTCTAAGAGCATGCCCCTAGATATGGAACCTAGCGCAGTAGGTGCGACTTGGAACTCGGTCGGCTACGGCGTCTTCGGCCACAGGAAAGAATAGCCTTAGGACGTAAGCCGTGGGCCATCGGTCGATGGACGCGTCCCCTATAACCGGCGACGTCTCGAATGTCCTTTGCGCTTGATTGACGGTCCTCAAAAATCAACATACCAAGTCCCAAAAGCCGAAAGCTATCTTGCACTTTCCTATTTCTAAACACAGTATTATGCCAGCATGTTAATGACGACCCGTGTTTGGCTCCTCGCACTGGTCACGGCCTAGATGGGACCATTTTCGGACCTTTACCCTTCGTCAAATCTTGTCGGCGGGTACGCCAAGGCAAAGGGACCTGCCTCGTAGCAAATGGTAGACTTGTAAGGCGCAAAGACTGTTGTCAGCCTTGCGAAGGACCTTTGTCCATGAGACGAAAGCCGACCTCTAACGAAATCGGGATTGTATATTTGATCCCCCTGAAGTAGAAGCAGAAACACAGACGGTAACGACACACATCGTAGTTGTCGTGGACCGGGGACGAATATCGAGAGTCGAATAAATGGACTGGTTGGTAAACTGGTCAGTAGGCAAGCACAGCAGAACAAAGGGGTGCTCATTCGCCATAAGAGAATCTGGCCCGGCAGCAATATGGAACCACAATTCAATGTCATAGAACAGAATGGTAAACACATCAGGACTCTGCACTAGAATGACATTGCTGGGTTCTGGCTCTCTTCGAGATACCACCAGGAGTCGGAGGAGAAGCGGTGCTCCTGTTCACCACAAGCAGAAAATACCCGAGCAGAATGTGCCAACAGGCTGGCAGTTGGATTGACTACTCATCCCCCACTAGCCTCAATCGAAACAAGAACTGGTTCGAAGTAGGCCAAGCACTAGGCTGCCACGGATGATCATCCTTTCGTCCCCTAGGGCTCTGCTGACAGCCCTCAAGGTACGCTTAGAATGCGCCCAAGCCTGCAGAAGGCAGTTCAAAAACGGCCTCGTCGATGCCCTGGCCAGGTGGCAATGCTCAACTCTGAAAGCAAAGTGAAAATGGCTCTACAGTTTAGGCATGGTATACTCCGGCCGTTGTGAACCAAAAGTTGGCGGTACAGGTGAATGATCCTGGCATGCGAGCCTCGTGCTGATAAAGACGTGCAGCTATTTGATAAAGGCTCGGCTCGGAAATATTTTCTGGCCAAGAGGGAACAGTGTCAGCTGGAGCGAATTCACAGGAGATGTTCTTGCCAGATGGGGTTCGGCACGGTGTAAAATGTATGATTAATCTATCAACTGCTCATAAGCTTCGTCACTGGCTGGTGGTGGTATAAACAAGGCAATATGGCGCAGAGAGGGCATGGTGATACCAGAGTTTGCCTCACATGACAACGCATTTCTGCATTTGAGCATGCTCATAAGCAGCTCCCCATTGGTCGATCCCAGCTGCGATCTCGTTCTGCCTCTGCTTTTCCTTCACATCGTCTTTGAAATTGTCTTTGAGGAACTTGACCATCGTTTTGTCGATGTTCTCTGGCAGAAACAGTTAGGTGGATATTACTGATAAGTTGTCAAATCGAATGGCAATGACTTACTTTCGGTCGCCTCCATGACAACCTCCTCGCGACATAGAGGGCAATGATCCTTCTCCTCCCTTTGCAGGACAACCATACATCTGATGCAAAACAAATGGCCACAGCGTAGTCGAATGGGTCTCCATGAGATGGTAAAGCATATCGGGCACAGGTAGTCATTGAGCTGCGGGATGATGTTCAACACCTCTTCCGAGATGGTGAAGCACGTAGCCTTGGCCAAATCCTCGACCATGAACGGCGAGGCTTTTGTGAGTGATCGTGCCACCGAGGTTTTGGCGTGTAAGGCCGTACGCTTGTCGAATTTTTTCATGATCTTGCTAAGAGCAATGCGGTTGATTTCTTGGAATCGGATCAGCCGCAGAAGGTTGACGTTGATCCGCAGGAAGCGAGACAGAGCACCATTCGCTTCTTGCCCAAGCTTCAGGACGTCCTTCTTCTGTTGCGCAGCTAGAGACTGGTTGAAAACTTGGAACTGCTTTTGAGCATGTGCCGCATCTCGAGCCCCAGCATCGACCTCGTGAGAAGACAGGAAGACTTCAGCGTCAGAGTAAAGCTCGAAAACCTTCCGCCATACTTCCACCTCCTTCTTGGACCGTTTTGACTTGCTAGCTCGCAAGGCGCGGAGCTCGCTGCCGAGTCGAGTGATTTCCTCCTTCAAGCGGTCGTACTCGGCCTGTTGCAGATCATCTAGACACGCCAATTCCCGCCGGAGAGTTTGAAAGAACTCTGAATCTGCGGTCAAAGGCACCTCCACCGTGTTCAAAGGCCGCTCCTCCTCATTGTCCAATGATTGTCCATTTCTTTTGTCCATGGTGTCCCACCCTGAATAATACTCATTGGGCAATCTGGGTTTTCCATCAGGAGATTCGTCCTGGCGTTGGTAGCGGTCAATGCTAGGGTTTGACGATCTGGCAAGACGACGCAGGATCCTCCGGGTATCGGGGCTTAGCCATGCGTCCATGGGAGAGCCATCACGAGGATCGACGACGATTGTCAGCTTGGGTGTGAAGCTGACCTTCTCACCATCCTCGACCGTATACTGTAGGTAGCTATCGGTTGTTCTTCCGTCCGCGCCCGAACCATCTGAGCCAACGCGCTTCCACAGAGCATCAAGCGTATCTTTATCCAGCCCCAGGCTCAGGAGTTCTTGTTGCACACGTTTGATGCATTTCTTAAGCTTCTTGTAAGAGATCGCAGAGTTCACCCAGTCCGTAGGATACTCGCCGCGGGCGAGGGCGGCTTCAAAGTCCTGACCGAACTTCATTATGAGGCATTCTCTAGTGGTGTAGGGGAGACGAAGTAGAACGAAGCCTGAGAAGGTAGGAGTAGCAGGAGGCTTAAGGTCGTCGCGTGCTTATTTCCCATCTCCGGATGTGCGCCTCTTTCGTGGGGGGAGTGTGACATTAATATCCATTCTGCTTCCGCGACCCCAGACGGTGAAAATTGCCACGCGCCATATATGGGATTTGTCGGAAATGAGAAACCGCGGGGAGGGAAAAGGATCCGTGCCATAGGCTGCTACCGGGTGACAGATGACAGCAGAGACTGCGCCCCTTGCAACCAGCGACTTCAAGGAGCGAAACCCAACGTCAGAGTTTTCGTCGTTGTGGGTGTCAATTGGCTGGGCAGCCTCTCCACGTGACGGTCCGCTGTTCAGCCTCGACCCTTCAGGCAAGGCCAGAGTTAAGCGAGGCTAGAATGACTCGTAAATGGCGCACCATACCAAGCATTTGTGCCTGTCGCTCGTGGGCTCACAAGGCTCGAGATCCATTCCACAATTTCGCCGCCCAGATTTCTCCGTCGTTAGGGCTAAAAAGTGCAGTTGGCTGTGGAGGCGTTAAGGCGTCGTGGGATGACGCTCATGGATTTTTGAATGGATTGGCTCCATTGAACCACTCTCTTGAACTCGGGGAAAATATCCCCTCCCTCAGCCATGGGTCAACGACAATCCTCCGGCAACGCTGCCCAGGAGCAGGCCCCAGCCAAGGCCGACTACTATGACCTCCTCGGCGTCGAAAGAACTGCGACCGATGATGAAATCAAGAAAGCATACCGGCGAAAGGCCCTCGAATTACATCCCGACCGAAACTATGGGAATGTCGAAGAGACCACGAGACTTTTCGCAGAGATCCAGTCCGCCTACGAAGTCCTCTCCGACCCTCAAGAGCGAGCTTGGTATGACTCTCACCGAGATATCCTTCTGCGCGGAGACCAGGCAGCTGGCCCGACGCCAGATGCATTCTTCTACAACATTCGGATGACGACCACCGAGGAAGTGCTGAAATTGATGATGAAGTTCAATGGTCGACTGGAATATAGCAATGCGCCTAGCGGCTTCTACGGTGGTCTGAACGACTTCTTTAAGCAGCTAGCGAAAGAGGAGGACATTGCCTGTCAATGGGAGGATGAAGAACCAATGGACTATCCCGAGTTTGGGCTGAAGGACGATGATTATGAGGACGCGGTTCGTCCATTCTACGCCGCATGGAGTGGGTTTGCAACCAAGAAGAGTTATTCCTGGAAAGATCAATACAAGTTATCGGATGCGCCAGACAGGCGGATAAGACGCTTGATGGAGAAAGAGAACAAAAAGATTCGGGACGAGGCTGTCCAAGAATACAATGAAGCGGTCCGCTCGTTGGTGGCTTTTGTCCGGAAACGGGACCCCCGCGTGCAAAACAACCAGAAGTCGGAAGCTGAACGGCAAAGGGCCCTTCGAGAGGCCACCGCGGCACAAGCGGCACGGTCAAGGGCAGCCCAACAAGCAAAGTTTGAGGCCACTGGCGCTGAGGCGGTTGCTGACTGGGCCAAGTCAAGGTCGAAAGACGAACATGAAGGGGGCTTCTCAAGCGAATCCGATTTGGAGGAACATGAGTACGACTGTGTCGTCTGCGACAAGACTTTCAAGAGCGAGGCACAATTCAAAGCTCATGAGAAGAGCAAAAAGCATATCAAGCTATTAAAACAACTGAAAAAGGAGATGCGCGAGGAGGGTGTAGAGTTGGATCTGGAAAATGCCCATACCGCAAGGTTCCACAACGACGTGGCCGCCGATGGGGACGAAGTCCACAATGAACAAGCGCGCTTGACTCATCAGAAGCCTGACATCCCTGAAGACGAGTCACATAGCGGAGAGGTGCAGCCGCAGGAAAACGGCACTGCAAAAGCGGAGGGCGACCACGAGACATCTGAGGCCTCGGAGGATGATGACTATGCTCCCAGATCGGACATAGAGCGACGACTGGGAGAAGAGCCTTTGGAGAAAATATCTGCAGCATTTGACGATGTCAGTCTCTCAGGCACTCCTCTAACATCTGACCACGAGACGACAGCACAGCCTAAAATCGGCAAAGCGAAACAGAAAAAGGCAAGAAAGGCTGCGCAGAAGGCGGCTGAACAATCCGACAAGGCTGCAGCAGAGTTTCAATGTGTGGTATGCAAGGCCGAGTTTCCTTCCAAAACGCGGTTGTTCAACCACATCAAGGAAGAAAACCATGCCGCTCCGGTAACCCAGGTCAAAGGTGTCAAGGGCGCAAAGGGGAAGAGGAGATGACGAAGATATGTTCCACGAACTGTACTGGGTCTCTGGCGAGCACTCACGATGAACTGCATATAGATATACCCCCAGGTCTGGTTGCATAGCGATGGCGTCTTTGAGCGAGAATGTTGAAACTCATTCAGAGTGTGTCTATTTGCAGCCCCTCATCTCAATCTTCCGACTTGACACGTTCTTTTCCCCCATCGGTTGGTGTCTGTAGAAGCTCTCCAACAGACGAGCGAGTGGCGGTGAGGAAAATGCCCACGCGGGCGAAACAAGGCCTAGCGAGCCTCTTCTCCCACACCTCTACTTCCCATTATCCTCGTCTCTGTTTCTCGTACACATCTACAACTTTCAGCCACAGAAGCATGGGGTCGTCGAATCACTGGCAACTTCCGTTACCATCAAGGTTGCCGCTGAAACAAGGCGATGACGCAGGGATCATCGCCCGTCGCATCTTGTTCACCTCCAAGGGGGCGAGACCTCGCTCGCACATGCGCACCACGAAGGAGCCAGCGCCAGGTCACTCACTCTTTGACTCTTGATTCCAAAATCGGCCCTTGAGGGTCGCGCTTATTGGAAGACCCTGGGGAACTTCACTGACGAAATCACGCAATGGACACCCGCTGCGCAGACTCCGAGATCCAGCTCGACGTGGATCTCATGGTGCTGGAATACACGCTGTTCCAGGCCATCGAGGCTCAACTGAGCGTCTTGTCGCGGGGCGGCTTTCAAGATGAAAGGGCAGGGCCTGAGCCGCGACGCGTGCTGGCCATCTTTGAATCTTTTCTTGAAGTCTTCAAACACAACCATCCCTCATACGAGCAATCCCCAGAGTTCAATTTCAGGCTCGAGATTCTGCGAGTCCTCATCCTGCTGCTGTGCCATTACTCCCCAGTCATCTCTACAGACCGTTTAACGGAGGACGTGTCGGCCGCGCTTGACAGCCGCGCAATGAGCGATCTAATGGCTCGTCGAAGATGGCTCGCCCGACGCGAGAGGGATCCACGCAGAGGTGGCGAAGGGTTCACGGTGGTTGAGCAAGCCGACCAGGGGCCGGCCTGGGACTTGGAGCAGCAGATATACAGCGCATGGCACTCGAGAAGTTCCCACCACGCATCTCGAGCGCCTCAGCATACGAGAGGGCCCTTGCTCTTCTCCCTGCTGCCTCGATTCATGGCCATTTCGGCTTGCTTCGTCGACTTTACAAACCAGGGTCCGAGCGACATCTGGATGGACGTCGCCTGCGAATTCATGCTGCAGGCGGGCCTCGAATCGTTACGACTGCGTGGCCAAAATGGGACCGTCGAGTGTCTGCCCAAGCTCGAGGACCGTTTTGCGTGGGGCTACAACTTCAACCTCGACGAGTCGCTCAATGGCGATGCTCCCCATACTCCCCCTACTCCTCATCACAACGACGAAACAGCAGAGATGGTCAACAACCTCTTCCGCTTGCGGCAGGACGAAGATATAGGTCTCGAGCACCCCGACTGGACCCAGCTGCGCATCGACACTCTCCACGAATTCTCCGTCGCCGCCGACGCATCTGCCCAGTCGCAAAGCCGCCGACTCGAGCACCTGGCCGACAAATACCCCAGGGCAGATTTCCAGCAACGGCTCGCCGGTCTGGTGCAGGACATGTGGAACCTCAGTTGCCGGGCCGAGGTGCTGGGGAAGCCGGTGCTCGTGGAGATCGAGGAAGGGCATGTGAAGAGCCTTGGCCTGGAGGGCGCGGATTTTGACCAGTTTGCGGCCCGGGTCGGCTTGACCGAGGGGTTTGACGAGATTGAGGATTGTATCCTGGAGAAGGCGGCGCGCGGTCCTGCCATCGGCAGGGAACAGAGTCTGAAAGGGACGTATGAGTATCAGCGTGAACGGGAGCGTCGAAGGCAGGAGGGTGGGATTGCCAACGGCGCGTGACCCTGGACATGTCGTCAGAGGAATGGGTGTCTCCGCCATGGGAATTGTTCAGAGAATTGGGTGGCAGCCCATCTTCGGTTTTGACATTTGACGTTCATAGCCAACTATATACATGGTACTCGGGACTTGTGTTGAACCGACAGCCTCGAATGCGGTGATGGAGATGTACCTACTCGGTGTTAATATGTTGTTCAGCCTTGCGCCCACCACCACCACCACCACCACCACCACCGACCGGGTGCGGTCCAAAAGGATACCCACCCACCCAAACATGCACACAGAATTCAATTCACGTCTTTATCATGTTACTTTCCCCAAGTTCTGTCACACAAAGACCCCCTTACCTCGACAAGGGCGAAAATCGAGTTCGAATCCGATAGCCTCCCAGTATTCATCTAGGTCCTGTCGGGTCAAACTAACACCGGGTTAGCAGGCATCAGGTCTTCGATTCGAACCCCCTCCTCCTCCTCCTCCGACCTCCTCCGACTCAACTTATATATTACCCGTAGTAAAACCGGCCGAGAAAAACCAACCCCTTCCGGGGGCGAGTTTCGCTTAGCACGAACCAGAGTTGAGCTGCTTCGTGTTAAGTTTTTGCTCTTTTGAGGGAAGGGGTTTGGGAACAGATACAGCGGCCAGAGAGATTCCTCCTATATACACTAAGCACCGGGCACTTTCCCAAGTCCATCTCTCACTGGCCGTCTCCCTTCTTCCACGCCTCAGCTTCAAATGCGTCCATCCACTGCGTATATTCGTCCCCGCCATCCACCCACCCCTTGATTCCGCCCTTGAGGATCACACTCCGGAGCGTCGTAGCCTTTTTTTGGCCTTGGTCAGCGATATAATCAGCCAGCCAGCCGGCTGCTCTGCTTCCGCGACCGCGCGAGCTCCCGCAATAGAAAATCACCAGCGGGATGTTGGCTGCCGTGCACAGATTGTACAGTGGCGCGAGGGAGAAGTAGAGGGTCTGCGCGGGGAGGTTTATGGAGTGCTTGATGGTGCCGCCCTACGGTGGTGGAGGGCTTGAGTTAGAGTCGGCTCTGACTGAACAAAGAAAGGAAAATTGCTGGAGGGGATAGGATGGGGGGGCTGAGAGATTCGCTTGTCCATCCACTCGCGTCCATCTGAGTCCTTCACTGGGAGAGGGTGGATTGAACGTATCTTCCCAGAGCCTGGGCTGGAGGATGGTGTCTTCCCCCGTATAATCGAAGTAGGAATGGACTTCATGTCCTTTCCATATCGGCCCGCATGTGGAATACTTCTCTTATCCTGAGCACCCCTTCTCGCTTTCTGTTTGCCTTACCATCCACGCAGCACCCGCCGGAAGAGGAGCCCGAAAACCTTGCTCAGAAAAAGAAGAAGAAAAAATGAAAGGGGGGTCCCTACTGCATGATCATTCCGCCTCAGATCCACGAGCAGGAAATCCCGCCCTCCGCTCTGACCCTGCCGGAAGCGCTCTAAGAGGTCTTCGCGTGTGATGGCTTGGGGATCTGTTTCTCGCGGGGCGGGGAAGTGGGCGTGCCACGGCTTTTCTTCTTGCGAAGTGGCTGTGGTCATCTTTTTCCTTTCGTGGACAGGGTGGTTGTAAGCGATGAAACTAGAGCGTGCTTGGGCGCTTATGTGCTTAAGCTGGCTATGTGGTGGGTTAAGGGGCAATTGAGCAGGAGGTCCTTTCAAGCAGTGGGTGAATATTGGACGATGGAAAACGTGTGAGGGGCACAACGGTGTCTGGTAGGGACCGGTGTGGATAGCCTTGAGGCAACGAGGAGTAGTGAATGCTCGAGCCAGACTGTGCATAGGCCTGTAGCTCAGAAGAAAGCTGGTAGAGCTCTTGATGAAAATGCTCTTGGCTGAGATAGCATACCAAGCAAGGTTCTCCGTATCTAGTCTCAGGCCGTGTCTGATCGTTTATTACAAGCCAGTGCCCACCATCGAGGCGACTCCGCATAAGGCTGAATACCCCACACGAGGCTGAGCGCACACCCTTCTATCGCGCCAATCGCGCCACGACTAGTTACATAGATTCCTTCGCCTGAGAATTCATGTCATACTTACACCCTTAACAGTAGAGACTCCTCCTGTTCTAGGTTGTGCTGTGATGGCGGCTTCAGAAGACTTCTCCTGAACTCTGCCACGCAGGTCTCTCAGGAGGTATTAAGCAGGTTGTCGTTTGATCGAAGTTCCTTTTGGCAGCAATCGCAAGAGATCCTCACAAGCATCTTCAACAGCAGGTCCTTCTACCTGCCCCGCGCACAGACCCCATGGAACCGGCAAAGAGAATTCTTATCAAGATGCCGCCATCATCGCCATGAGCCTCAGAACACTCGGCGAGATAAGCGCCTATAAGGTGTTGGGTCAGATAAGGCTCGCCCCTGATATCTTCCCGTGACGGCGGATAACAAGCGGTATCTGGACGCCGACAGCCTCGTGAGTTGGGATCTCCTGATTGGCTATCACAATACTCTGCCGTTTCCACCGCATACTAAACCCAGCAGCAGACCTCAATACAGGTAAGGGCATATAGAAGGTATAGAAATCAAGTATCCATGCCAAACCAACCGCCTCACCCTTTCAATTTCTTATTCCCCCTTCTTTTCTTCGACTGAATAGGTCCATTCTGCTCCTTCAATTCGAGCCAAGATGAGCGACTCACCACCCTCTCTCAAAGAACACTCGGCACAGCCACCGAACTTCCAGGATGCTATCCTGTCCGCAGACGAGCTCGAACTCCGAGCCCAGGGCCACAAGGGAGAGCTTCCCCGACAGTTCTCTACGCTGTCCACATTGGCCATCGCGTTCCTCCTGACGAGCGCATGGATCGGGTATTCAGCAACATTCCCGTACCCGTTGCTGGCCGGAGGGGGCCCATATGTATTTTGGGGCCTGATAGTCGCCACGGTGGCCTGTTCGATTATCAGTAGGTTCACCTTGAGACAGCGCAACCCGTTGGTGCTGAATGTGAGCTGACAATACGCTATAGCTGCCGGACTCGCGGAGCTGAGTTCTGCGTATCCCTCCACTGGAGGGCAATACCATTTCGCATTCATGGTGTCATCCGAGAAAAGTCGGGCGAGCGTTGCCTTTGTCATGGGCTGGCTCTCCGTCATTGCCTACTGCCTCTTCACGGCCAGCGCCACCATCGTCTGCGCCCAGATCACGGCCGCAATCGCCGGTTTCTGGCACGCGGACTATGTCGCCACTCAGTGGCAGATCTACTTGATGTACATCTTGTACCAGGCGCTCGCGACCGGCGTCGTCGTGCTCTTCCCCCGACAACTACCGAAGACGGAGATTGGATTCTTTCTGATCAGTGTTTCTGGCTGCATTGTCTTCTTCATCACGGTCCTTGCGGCCAGCGACACCAAACAGCCCGCCGAGGTCGTTTTCACCCAAGTTGTCAACGTCACTGGGTGGAGTGACGGGGTCTCTTTCATTCTGGGAGTGGGAACGTGCATGTACGCGTACATTGCCACGGACGGGGCGTCCCATATCGCAGAGGCAAGTGTTTGGCAGTGACTGCAAAGGGTATGACTTTGAGCTCCAAGCTGACAGGACCCAGGAAATCCCAAACCCGGGCAAAGGCGTCCCCAGAACGATGATGCTCAGCCTGGGCATCTCAGCCCTCAGCGTCACCCCGTGGACTTTGGCATTCCTCTTCTCGACCAACGACCTCGACGCCGTTGCCTCTTCCACCTTCCCCATCCTCGAGGTCTATCAGCAGGCGTTGAACAACCGCTCGGGCGCCACGTTCCTCGCCGTGTGGCTTCTGGTCATCTACTTCGGCTCCGTCGTCAGCGTCGTGGCCGCCACGGGCCGTCTGACCTGGGCCTTTGCCCGCGACAACGGCCTTCCCTACTCACCCACCTTTGCGAAGATCAGCCCCACGCTCCAAATGCCCGTGAATGCCACGATCGCGTCGAGTGTGTTCGTCGCCTGCTACGGGGCGATCTACGTGGGTTCCACGACCGCCTTCAACAGTTTCATCTCGATGTCGATCCTCTCCCTCAACGTCACCTACGCGATCCCGCAAGGCATCGTCTTCTTCCGAGGCCGGGACAAAGTCCTTCCCCACACACGCCAGTTCAATCTGGGCAAGGTCTTCGGCCCCTTCTGCAACCTCTTCTGCATGTGCTGGGTCTCCTTGTACACGGTGTTGTTCTGTCTGCCCACTTTCCTGCCCGCCGAGGTCGAGGACATGAACTACGTTTCCGTCGTCGTGGCCGGCTGTGCCTTGATCATCGTCATCATGTGGTTCTCTGGCAAGAGAAAGACGTTTGTGGGGCCGGTGAGTTTTTACCCGGCAATAAGGGACACTAATACTCCTCTGCTTTTCGACCGCGGGAAAGTGGTACTAATGCAACTTGACACAGATTATAAACATGGAACTGCTCGAGGCCGCCAAGATCCAACATGTTGATGCCGAGACTCAAGCGACGACGATCCTGGCCGGCGAGAAGATGGTCGAAAATCGATGATGTCGGGCTCCAAACAAATTCCAATATTGTAAAATTTCCCACGGAAAATTGACTTTCCAAAGAATGCATGTCTTTTGCCTAGAACGAAAGGAGGGGACTCTATGCCCGTGCGCAATCTTTTCAGGTTATTGTGTCTTAGTGGTAGACTCTATTTCCGATCATCTATGGTATCTCTTTAGATCGCGATTCGAGGTCAGGAAGGTGAATCTGCAGCTCCCTGAGAGGAGTTGGGCGTTCCACGGCCCCTAGTCAGGGGGGATAGTTTGTTTATAGATGGATGAACGCCGGGGACATGATGCACGCCTTTTTGTTTTGAAGACGTGTGGATTTCCGAAAGGCAGTCCAGGAGGGTCAAGCTGCCCCAGCCTTGACTACCCAAGACTCAGCGGTAATTTGAGGCCTTTATACATCTTGAGAGATCCATTGTTCGAACTTACGAAAAGATTGATTCTGCATTTTTGAATCTAATATTTTGGCTAAGGTCCATAACCCCGAGTCGACCGTCGATCATCGCGCAACAAATTCCAACGGACAACTCAGCGCGTACGGCACGCCGCTCGTCAGCTGGTCGTCCATGCGCATACTCTCCTCGGTGACCCCCGGCGTCACCCGCGTCGTGTAGTGCATGTAAACGGCGGCGACGATGAGCTTCATCTCGACCATGGCGAGGTTGTGGCCCAGGCACATGCGCCCGCCGGAGCTGAAGGGCCAGAAGTGGTTGCGCATGGCGGCCAGCCGCGCCGCGTCCGCGGTCAGCCACCTCGTGGGGTCGAAGAGGTCCGGGTCCGGGAAGACCTCTGCCACCCGGTGCAGGCTGTACGACTGGCACCCGACCGTGGTCCCCGGGGGCACGGCGTGGCCCGAGATCACGGCGCCCGCGGGGGGCACGACGCGGAAGAGCGTCATGGGCACCGGTGGACGCCAGCGCATGGCCTCGTGGATCACGGCGTCGAGGTAGGGGAGTTTGTCGAGGGCAGCGATGGGCGCGGTCCGCGTCGCGGGGTCGAAGGCGTCCTTGACGCTCGAGAGCTCGCGGAAGAGCGTTTCCTGCACGTGCGAGTATTCGGGCGTCGAGATCCGCCACATCAGGATGCACATGGCGTCGCCGGTCGTGTCGACGCCCGCGACCAGGTGGTCCATGCATTCGGCGGCGATGGCGGGCTCGTGGTCGGGGATCTGGCCGAAGAGTTTCGCGCATGTCGAGACGGTGTCTTTGGCGGTCTGGTCGCGACGGAAAGACGAGACGCTGTCTTCGCCGTAGGCGTTCAGCCGGTTGCCGCGGACGTGGAACGCCGTGCCCTGGCCGCTGAGCGTGCGCATGGCCCGCGTCAGCTGCGTTTTCAGCGACATGACCCAGCCGAAGTAGTGTAGCATGTACAGCCGTGTGCGGTGCTTGACGCCGGAGAGATCATAAACAATCCCTCTGTGTTCCGGCGTCGACAGTGTCCGTGTGCCATAGATTCCGTACAGATGGTTTGTGACGGCGCTGGCAGAGGTCAGAATGGCAGCTTACACGAGCTGGGAAAGTTCTTTCTGCATACTCAAGTGCATAATAGTGTAGCCAGGTGTAAACATCGAGAACGGGCCCTTGAGTCGACACTTGCTTCATGAACGCCGAAGCGTGCTCGCGTACCTTGTCCGCCACAGTCGGCTGCATCACGTAGCTCTTGGAGTATCGATCTGCGACCAGCCTCTTCTTGGCCGAGTGCTGGATGGTCAAGGATGAGTACATCGAGTAAAGCGGATGGGTAACGAGGAGAACGCACGCTGGGCTTGTCTAGACTGGTGAAAGTGTTCCGCGTATTGTAGTATACGAATAGGTCGTAAAACGAGCTCTTGGAGAAAGTCGACTTGCTCCCATAAATCTCCCGCAAGCCTTCGTAGTTGTTGAACGAGAGTTCCTCCGGCGAGACTCGCACCACTGGTCCATAGCGGGAATGGAGCTTGTCGATTTGAAGGGTTCTGTCGCCCTTGAATTCGTGATACATCATCCATAGCTGCGTCACTGCTGTGATCTTCGGGCCGGGAAATTTGGACAATGGCGCAAAGAAGAGTCGATATATCAGGACTGCAGCCAGGGACATGACTGCACAGAGAAGTGCAACCAGAGGTAGACCCATCCCGGCGAAGACTGTTGACATTGCAAATGCCATTCTCGATGAGACGTCGGTACGGTTCGAGCAAACCCAGGCTTCGAACAAGTAGCATTCATCACTCGCCATATAAAGGACCATTCGTGGAGCTTAGCAGAAAACAAGGACCCATAGATCACTCATACCGACGATAATCCGCCTTCATGAGCGTGAATCCGAAGATGTTTGTCGTGGGGCGTTATCAACTTGGCCGACATGGAAATCGGATGGTCCTTATCAACGGCCAACTTGAACGGAGCCTCGCCCGGTCGATATCCGAGAGCTCCACTCTCAGCACCATAGTCTCCATCCGTTACCTCGCCCGAGACCTGGAGAATCCTGGGTGTGACAGCTGGGCAATGAGGAGATCAGAGGGGCCTGCCATCTTCGAATATGCGTCGTGGGGCGTTCATGTTGTTATTGACCAAATCAACCTGACTGGTGTCCCAGATCTTCAGATTCTATTCCAGCCATACGTGCCTGGTGGACGATGTAACCCGGCTCCTAAGATATCAGATCTAGCTCTTTAGACTTCATTGCAGAAGAATCCCAAGTTTTCATTTACGCTCCCTCAAGATGAGCTCTTTTCAAGCGAGCATTCCCCTCCCCGCTCGCAACCTATCGTACCTCAGCACTGCTCCAAGCAGCACCTGCGCACCAAGTGCACACTCTTCAGGACTGCAGTATTCAGTCGGCGTGTGTGACAGTCCTTCTCTCGTTGGCGTAAAGATCATGCCTGTCGGACATCTTCGACTGGTATGGAAACTGTCGTGGCCCGCACCACTGACCATGTGTTTCCACAATTTCCCGTCTTCAGCAGTCTTTGGCAGATCTGCGACTGTCTCTTCCGCGGCGTGTTCGATCACGGCAATGCAATCTTGATGGAATGTGACTGCCGGGTTAGCGGCCAATTGTCGCCATTCCAGCGACACCCCTCGCTCACTGTCCTCCACGGCGATCCTGCTGAACGTCCTCCGGCATTCGTCTTCGATGTGTGCAAGTACGCTGTCCGAAGGATGTCGCATATCGAGAGTGAAGCGGGCAGTGTGCGCTGTGGTGTTGATACTCCCCGGGTTCGTCTCGACAAGTCCAGTTGTGATCAATCCGGAATGCGCTCTTGCGATTTTGTTCGACTCAACGATCATCTTGGCAGCAGCCAGAACGGAGTCTTTTCTTGCAGCCATAGGCGTTGTGCCAGCGTGACTGTCTCTACCTTGAACAACCACTTCGAACCATTTGTAAGCCTGTCCGCCACTGACAACTCCAATTTTGCGTCTCTCATCCTCCAGAATAGGACCTTGTTCGATGTGGAGCTCGAAATGTGCGGCGATAGGCTGGGATTCGTGTGACGCGGGAGTGCTGCCCAAGAAGCCGATGTGTTCTAGTTCTTCTTTCATGGTGCATCGGTGGCCATCCCGGCTTGGGGTGACTTCCTGGCAGTTCCAAGCGGTTTCAAATGATACGGCACCGGACCAGATGCCTGAAGAGACGGTGATGATGGGGAATCGGGCACCTTCCTCACTGTACGGATACTGCGTTAGGGTGTACACTTGAAGGCTTCGTGGTGGGACTCACTTGGTCCAGTTGACGACCCCAATACTTCCTTCAGTCTGATAGCCACTTTCATGGAGCGTCCTCAAAACCTCCAGACCAGCTAGAACACCGAGTATTCCATCGTACCTCCCGCCCGTGGGCTGTGTATCCAAGTGCGAGCCCATCATGACGGGAGGCGCGGTTGAATTCTTCCCAGGTCGGACAGCGAAAATGTTGCCCATTTGATCGATTGTGATGTTGCAGCCCAGAGATTTTGCTTCTTGCACGAACCACTGTCGAACGGCTTTATCAGCGGCACTGAGAGCTAGACGCGCCATGCCGGTTTCTGTCTCGTGTCTGAGAACACTTCAGCATGCTGTGATGGAATGCGATAGACTCCCACTCACGTCCCATAGGGATGCGCCTTTCCGAATTCACATGACTCATGGAGCGACGACATCAGTCTGCCACCGTTGATCTTCAGAGTCGACAGATCTTTTGCAGAAGCCGTGGTTGACTTTGCGCCTTGGAGGACTTCCTTCTGCTCGTTGGTAAGCTGCATTGCGAAGGATTGTTTTTTAGCCGTGGAACCCGAGATGGAGATGCAGTGTTTTTTGTTTTGTTTTTTCCAAGGTAAGCCTACACCTGGGAAAGGGATTCAAAATGACATGACTCAGAATCAGCCTTCTTTGGATCACGAAAGGTGTACCCGGCCTACATGGGATGCCAGGGCTCTCACACATCCGGCTTTTGCGCTCTTGTGCTTGGACAGATCGGCGGCGGCGGCGGCGAGCCTAGACCTTGCAGCTTCAAGGTGGACTCAACGGGCATTGCTAAAGCCCCCGGACCATGGTGGCCATGATTGCTGCGGCAAGGCTGTAGGGATGATGGAGCACAGAACCGCCAGCATTCGAAGTCGGCGCAATTGGGTCATGTGGAACCGTGTGACGGGTAATTACACTTGGCCGTCGGCGGATGATACAAGCTCCACCTATGGCTGGTAATCTGCCGTATCGATCTTCGCCCGTCCAGCTCCGTGGGATGAATCGAGGTTCGGCCATGGAAACACAGTCTTGGTTTGCATAAGATGATGCTTGTAGATGCTCTTCAATGCTCCATCGGCCTTCCGAGGCCATCACATGGTGTTCATTCGTTCGCCAGTCATCAGGGAAATCATGAGTGATGGCGCGATCCGCCGCAGAAATCAGCCTGTCGAGCCCAGCCTTGCGAGGCACGCGCAGAGTTCCACGTGATTGAGGCAGCCAAAGCAGAGCGACAAGCAGGCCTCACTTCCCGCGCCTACCGAGGCATCTGCATATATCATTTTGTACGGAGTACGTTTCTAGGTTACGTGATGGGCTCTTCCTCCAAGGCTATGTAAAGCGGTGACTTCGGGACTAATGTATTCCTGCTGTCTGACACGAGGCGCCCTCTATGTCTCGTAGACATGGACGCACTCGGCGATTCGGTCATTACATACCTTGGCACGCTATCAATCGATAAAGTCGGTGCTAAAACCAAACCTGATAAGGACGCGCCGTTAATTCAACCGCAATGACAACCATCCTTCTGCTGAGCATGTCGCATCGGCATGCGTCCAAACGGGTCAGGCTCTGTCTACGGGTCCCAGGCCCGCAAGTATCGGTCGAAACGGCAAAGACCCTGCGATCTGTGCCGCCGGCGCAAAACACAATGCAAGATTCCAGGCTCGGGAGGGGCTTGTGAACTTTGCGACAAACTCGGGTGCCACTGTACATTTGTCTTGCAGCCTTTGAGAAAGGAACGCTGGCCTCCAGAATCTCAGTCAAGTTCAACGCAGCATCAGTCGTCGCATCCTCCAGAGACTCAATCGACTGCGCAACACCGCGGCTCTCAATCCGATTTCGACGCCCGCCATGGCGACCCGATGGCCGTCGATGCCAGCGCTGTCGCAAACGCAGATTTGGAGTTCGATATCGACGTCGATTCGCAAACATTGCCGCCTGTATCTGACCAGCTGTCGGTTTTGGGTCGGCAGCCCCCTGACCCACAAGGCGGAGCCATCGATTGGTCGTACCTCAACTTTCCCATCTGTAAGAAGATTGACTGTTCTTCGGATGTTTATGGCTAGCTGATCCCACCGTACCAGCTCCGTTAGGTAACGACTTCGATTTCCCGAGCCGAATGTCTGCAGTCAGTGATGGCTCACCTCAGGCATTTCGATTGGAACACATCTCGCCAGGTCCAAGCCACCGACTGGAGCAACGCGACGGTGCTGTGAATGGCCCCGGCTCGAGTGACAAAGATGATGTGCCCGAGAATCCACTACCCGGGAAACAGGAAGCACCGAGGAATGGAGAGTGGTCCAGCGACTTCTCTCTTGACGAACGCCCTGGCTATTCCTCCCAGCTCATCGGCTTGTCGGGCGAGACCGATCCATTTCTTCTACGACACTATCAGTATGATGCGCGGGACACATTTCGGATGTTCGCCCTTGATTTTCGCAAAGTCACAGACGACATAAACATGCCAAGGCCTACTTTCTCGTCTCAGTCATCACAAATCCCCGCCAGCGACATACCAGTCCAATTTGTCATGACAGACGAAGAGATATGCAAAGACGATGTCAAAATCATCGATAAGGACTTTGCAGATTCCAATACTGAAGCCGAAGACCATGCTTTGCTGTACAAGATCGTGCCGATTGACCTGGGCTCAAGACTCCTGAAACTGTAAGTCATTGTATGATGTGGGTTCGGAAGCCCGCAGCTGACTTGGGCAGCTTCTTCAAATTCATTCAACCTTCATATCCGGTTCTCTCGTCGCACGATCATAACGGCGAGTACCGAAACTGCAATTGTTCCACTGGATTGAGAGCAGCCGTCTACGCGTTAGCCGCGCCGTACTACTTCCTTGACGACTATCTCTCCGTGGACAGAGGCTATCAGCAACCTTCTACAGAAGAACTCTGGGGCATTGCTCATCGCGGCCTGCAGCGTGATTCCCGGAAGTCTCACCTAGGGCTTGTGCAGCTGGGCCTACTTTTTTTGCATCGGCCTCCCCAAAATTATGCCGTCGCCGACACCCCGAGTTCATGGGCCCTGGCTTGTTCGGTCCTCGCTGCAGCAGAGACACTCGGACTGAATTTAGACCCTTCGGATTGGAAGCTGCCTTCGCATGAAATCAGGCTGCGGAGGAGGCTGTGGTGGCTTGTTCACGTCGAGCACACCTGGCGGGCACTGGTTCTGGGACGGCCATCCCACATCGCCGCCTCAAACTGGGATGTCTCTGAACTGACTGCAGATGATTTCGACCTTGATGACATTGCCGATTCGGAAGCTCGCAGCTGTGTCCAAGCACAGAGTCCTTATTTCATGGCTCTTTGCAGCCTGAGTGCAATTGCCAGCGAAGTGCTTGAGGCTCTTTAGTGAGTACCTCCCAAACTTCCGGCTTACCGCATAACAGATTACGCCGTGCTAACCTCTGCGCGAACAGCTCCATCAAGTCGATCCGTGAAGCCACCACCCTGGAGGCTCTTCTGGCCCGCGCACATCCCTTGAGGATGCTGATTCAACAATGGCGACAAAAACTGCCCCCGGACGTCTTGAAGCCGACCAAGGAGCTGATGGAGGATGATGGCCTCGACAACTGCGGCCCACTCCGGCTGACGTATTTGACGCTGGAACTGCTGGTCTTCAGAGCGCTCCTCCGCCCACTGGCTTTTCAACCAGGCACAAGTGAGCAGGAAATGTCCGAACCACGCTCCACCATCTTCCAAAATAGTCAATCATGTGCCAAACTCGTCCTGGAGTTGGTTGCAGCCCTCAAGGCAAATCACTTTGTCAATTTCTGGCCTTCGTGTAAGTGGTGTCTCGTATTCTTGATCTCCACGATGGACAATGGTCTTCCCCGGGCCAATTGACCCAAATTGACTTTTGGCCAACCGTGCTGACTCTTCTTGTAACCCGAAGACACACGATATCAGCTGTCTTACATGACGAACTTTGCCTTGCTTCTCTTTGTGCAGTCGCCATCGACGGCCGTGGCCAAGGAGAACAAGCTGCTCCTGGACAAATGGCGGATCACGGTCCGGATGCAGTCACGGGCCTGGCCTGTTCTCAAGCTGGCAGTCATGAGACTTGACGCTGTTGCTTGGAAGGGACTGGATCACATCGTGAGTTGGGCTGGGAAGGACAGTCCCGCGGCATTACTGCTGAGAAACCCGCCCGGCAATTGAAAATGGGCTAGTTTTGGAATCGAACATGCCTCAGCAAATCCGCATAGATGCACTGCTCAATAACGGCACCCCTCACGTAGATGACCCCTGTGTCGTCGGGTGAGTGCAAGGCTGACTGCGAGGCTGAATGCAGGGCTGAGGGTTCCTAAAAGCGGCACGGTCGGGGTGAGTCGCACGTGAGCTCCGAGGAGTTTCTCCTCCTCATCTCGTTCACCATCTGCCGCCAAGACGCGCCGTCGTCGCCGTTGTGCAACGACGCCTCTGAATACGAGCAGCCATCCCTACCCAGCCTCGCCTATGTACCCCTTATGAGACAAACACCTTGTCAGGGCGCCCTTGCATGCTTGGCGCCGTGCAACACCCATCACCAGTTCGCCGCCCTCTCTATCTCCCCCTGTGGCGTCGATGCGGCTTGTTTCACGCAGCGCGCCGACCCAGTGCTTAGTCGAAAAGCCAAAGATTGGAGGACACCTGCAGCAGAGCGACGGCAGTCAAGCAACATACACATGCAGTTAGATTTGGTGGGCCATTTTCCTCAGATGCGATGGTTATGGGGGTGGTCGACCGGCAGGCCACCAAGGCTATCCAGCACGGGGGACCAGTGATGCTCGCCCCTTTACAATGTTCGAGTCACTCCCATTCGCCTTATATATGGCAACGCCGTTTGGTTCTCGATCGTGGAATCACTGACGTGTGGAATGCTCCCCTCTGACACCAACAACAAAACACCAAAAGTGATATTCCCCGACAACCTTGACCCAGCCCCTCCCCTGCCATCATTATGCCTTCCTATCGTGCAGCTCTCGTCTTCCTGGCCGCGTTGACGCCGTTCGCTTACGTCCACGCCGACTCGTCGGTCTTCTCTCAATTTTTCGGCGCGACTACTGCGTCACCCCCGAGCGCGACCGACAGCTTGTACTTATATACCATCTGCACGAATGCCATCCACGGTCTCCCGGCGCTGACGGGCCTCCCACTCAGCGAGTCGATCCAGCTTGAGCAAGTAGCCGTGGACGCCGTCTGTGCAGGCTGCACCAGTCTGGGCCAGTCTCGGATCGATTCCTGCTGCGCCCAAGCCACATCCTCCGCCTGCTTTGACCAGTTTGCCGCCGCGAATGCCGCGCAGACTACGCCCGCTTCGGCCTCTGCCACGCCCACTGCCTTGACCGGCGACTCCGGTACAACAGCCAGCAGCTCCTCCAACGGCGGTATTGTGCTCCAGGTAAGACGTCCGCAGTTAGTAGACTGTGGCCCAGCGCTGACTCCTTGTAGAATACGGACCTCATTGCCGGTTCCTTCATCGGAGCCGTCGTCGGCTTTGTTGGGTGGTTGTTGTAGGAAGAACGATACCGGGCTGATGTCGGAACACACCAAGTAAGAGAGCTCCGAGAAGGCTCCTAACGAAGAGTCTAGATCGGGTTACCGACGGGACCCTGGCTAGCCACGACACCTTCAGATCCATGACGCATGTTTCTTGTCGACAAGGTCGTGATGGCAGTTGATGATCCCCGTGAACGGAGTTGAATAGTGTGGGCACCAGCGTCAATATATGAGATACCCGAGATCCAGATAGACAGTGCACTCCTCAGTTGCAATCCATACGCATTCTCAAGAACAACAAGGTAGAAATGCTGGTTCACTGTGACGCCAACGGGTTTCGACCTGCCCTGTGTGTTCGCGTCCAAACTTCTTGACGAAGTGATAAGCTGGTGTGACTGGCTGATCGGTCCCGGTATCTACTCCATTGTCTACCTCATATGTCTTCGTTCTTTTCATTTGTGGAAGTTGTTGTATGTCTCAGTGGCCGGCCATCCGTGAGGTTTCAAGACTTTCCTCACCTCCGAACATTAGGAGGGGTCCTCATGCGCAAATAGCTTACTGCTGTGGCACGATGGGCTTTTGTTGCGGTGCAGCTGCTCTTTGCCACTGACATGTTAATCTTCCGGATACTCATCCTTCACGTTGCTCACAAATGTGCCCGTGTTTGGATCATACCGCTTGAACCACTTTCCTATCTCGATGGGGAAAGCGTTGATACGGTCCTCCGTAATATCACTCGCGGACAACAGCATCACGTTCTCCTCCGCCACGTACCGCGTCGACTCGTCCTCCACAAGCACATTGTAAAAGGGCTGGTTCCTCCCATTGGGCAAGCGGTCGACCTGATTCATGGTGATCCACTGCTCCTGCATGCGACAGTAGGGATCCCAGCCATAAATCACGGCCAAGTAACCACGGCGGCGGTGGATAAAGACCTGACCTATGCCGAACTTCACCGCCGAATTGCGAGGATCAGACCGATATTTGGGTGGGCGTGACTCGTGATCCGACTCCTTCAGTTGGAAAACTAGATTTCGGTAAGCACGGGAGTCCGGTAGAGTGTGTGTGAGTGGTAGGACATAGGTTTCGAACAAGTGGATATCCAGGTCAAAATATTCGAGAAAGTGCTGCGTAAGGACGGCGAGATGTTGGCGCAAGTGGCCTGGTTGCGCAACTGGATATGGGACGAGGATAACCAGAGAGAAGAGAGCTGCATAGGTGGCCAGATTGGCGTTGATAGGATGGAGCGGAGGATCGGGGTCGTGAGACGGCGAGGATAAGATGTTGTGTGCGGTCCGAACTGAGAGGTCTCGGGCAGCCGCAGGCGCCAGGTATGTGGCAGTCTGGACTGCTGTTGCGCCGGGGTTGATGAATTTAAGCTGTGTCTCCAACCTCGATCGGGAGATCGGTTCTGAGCTGTGGAACGGGTCCATGTATAAATGTGTCAGGTCGGACGGTCCTTGAATGGAAGACTCTGGGAGAGGGTGGCCATCAAGGTCGAATCCGGGGGGAGGATGCACGACTGCATGGACATGGAAAGGATAGCTACAAGGTTGAGCGCGCAGGTTGAACTGACGAGCAACGTAGCAGAAGATGACGGCCGAGATAAGTGGTACTGAGTTTCGGTTGTTGCTAAACACAGATACTCCGAGGAACATATGATCTAGGCTGTGGTAGTGTCGGTCATCCTGGATACCTACCCATTTTTTCTCTAACAGGTGCTCAGCGATAACGCTCGCTTTCTTCCGCGGCGACAGTTCGTCGATATAGGGGTGAGCCTCCCGAACGGAATCGGCGTAGGAGTCAAGCCGAGCAAAGATCTGACGCGAGATTCAGTTGGGATTGCAGCAGCAACGTGGCTTGGTGAACAACTCACATCGGACATGTCTCCCTCAGGTCGTTCTTCGAGGATAAACATATCGTAGGCAGATAGCGATTGTTCAACTGCGTTCACATTGTCCCCTGATGCTCTGAGATTTGTCCATTGCTCAACCGCTACCAGTCTTTGTACACAACCTAGGGCTGCATGACTCCAGTATCTGGAGAAAGGTCAAAAGCAGGGTTGTAATGCGGGTTTGGGGACACTAACTTTTGGGCAAGATGGTTTGGAGAAGAGGGTGCGTTCCAGAACATGTCGAACAGATCGTCCTTGGCATCGTAACCAGCCTCTAGAATGACTTTCATCGGGTCAAGTCGCCCGAGCTCCTCGGAGACGATTCTGTCAAGGGCTTGTCGAGTGGTCTTGGATGTTCTGTGGCGCTGTGCAAACATCTCCTTCCAACCAACAAATGATCCATCTCGGAGTTTTTCCGGAAGGCCATGTCGTCGATCCCACCATCTGAACGAGTCCTGGCAGTATTTCTTCCATAGAAGCGGTTCTTTCGCGACATCTGCGAGGCGGTGGCAGGTTTGTTGTAGGGCAGTATTGCTGTCGAACGGTAAGTATGACAATATGACCTGAATGACCTCGTTGGGAAGTTGGGTGAGTTGCGAGCTCATTGCGATCTATTTCGTCAGTAAGGAGGAGGCCGATGTGCATGCACGTTGCCTTCGCGATTGAGGACGGGAGTGTCTGGTGAATTGGTCGGTGTGGGTGTGATTGATGTGTTTTTCTGCAAGATGAAGTGTGGTAGACACAACCGATACGCCGAGTAGCGAGGGGAACGTCATGACTGCCAGAGCCCAGCCAGCCAATCAGTGAACAGCCACCCCCAACTACGCCTGCGATCCATCTTCCCATTAATACAGAGAATACAGGGTGATAGAGCACCGATTGATTCCGCAGGTAGATGCTGCTTTCGCCTCAGGCAGTGATGAGACACATACCAAACTACCTCGCTATCGATCTGGATCTTCTCCTTGCCACCCAGTCAACAGGGTACCCCACAACTCTACCCCAATGTCTGCTTCAAAGTCCCCTTGTCAGCATGAATCCTGACCATCTGCGCCAGGAAAGGGCCCCAGTCCTCGCGCGCTCTCTCTACTTTCAACTTGTCTGCCTCTAAGCCCCAAGAGTCGTTCAATGCTGTCAGAGATAGCAACGAATACTCCAGTGAGTTGGTCGTTACAGACTCCAATTGAGCTTGTAACTCTGGAAGAACCATCGCGATCCAGCTATCTCCCTCGTCCACAACGCCTAGTTTCCGGGGAAGCCGCTCGAGGCCGTCCATCCTCCATACCACCCCGCCAGCAGGCACATATGCGACGAAGTGAAGGCCGCTTTCGTCTTCGTCAGATTCGTCTTCTGCTTTAAGTTTCTTTCGTGGCCGCTTGGACTGTGCGGCTTTCTTCTTCTTCTCGGCAGCAGTCATGTCCTGCTTGAGACGAAGATCAACATTCATCTTGTCGAATTCCGTGGCAAAGGAGTTGTGAACGTCTCTGACATGGTCGAAATGATCTAGGGCAAGGCCTCGTTCCTTGGGTGTCATATTCATAGTGTTGGCTCGGAAGTCGTTGAGCGCTTGGCCCAGGTTAATCGTCGCGTGGTTGTTGACGATATTCATTAGAGCAACCGTGGCGCAGGAATTGGAAAGGGTTTGGTTTGCGAACCAAACTCCTGCAGGAGGCTCTGTAAGATCGTTTTCAGTTTCCGGTGCGGCCCATCGTGACAGAAAGATCAGGCCGTAAATGCTCTGTCTGTGCAATAGTTAGCACAAACTACAAGCACGAATTGTATTTCTTACGGCGGATACTCAAAGACACTGTCGAGTGGCACAACTTCGTTGACCTGGACATTGGGAACGCCCCATTCTCGCAACAAAGTGCTGAAGACGACCTGGATCACAGATCAGGCGGCAGTCCTAAGCAAACATCAGGAAGACATTACCGGATCATTTTCTATCTCTGCCCATCCCTTCCACGAAGACGTTTGGTTTCTGGCGAGAGCGACATCGTCGGTAGTCGTTGAGGTGGTGTCCAGGGGTGTTGACGCTGCTCCTGAACTCTCCTGAACTGGATCTGCTTCAGGCCGTACCTCCGCAGCCGCCTCCGAAATGGCAACATTTTCAGGGGCAGGCATCATGGATGGTATTCTCAAGATATTTGGTTGCTGGAAAGACTCTTCTATCCTTCTAATTGTATAGAAGGAGGACCAACAGTATAGGCCGGTCGGAAAAGTGTCTGGTTTGTTGAACGAGAGCAATCTCCATGTCAGACGGTGACTTTTCTCACAATTTCACGCCAGGTGCAACCAGACACGGTAGTGGAGCTCCTTCATCTCTGATCGATCACGGGATGGACCACGGTCTCCTGGTTGTTGTTGATGCATATCTGTTTCGAGGGAGAGTGAAAGCGTGCGAATACCGTCTGTGCTACGCAAGGCTGCGTCACTGACGTCACCGCTGCCTGCCGCCAAGCAATTTTTTGGGCTCAGCCTTGTGCCTCAGGTGGCTGTCAATTGCAAGACGCGTGCAAACGCGATGGAAAGCTCAGTCAGTCGCTTAACTCCCAGCAGCTAGACCCATCTCCTGTAACGGGCTCTTCCAACAGTCCACGGGGACTAGGCTGTACCTGCTGAAAAACGATTTGCAGACATCCAACAAGTTCTGTTGTCCTAAAAGCTCGACGAGAATCCACGCTTCGCACCCCCAGATCCTTTTCTCTCGAAACTGCGACCCAGCAATTCGGTGTTTGCTGGCGATCCGATATCTGCTAGTACACGCGACTTTGGATTCGACACAAGAGAGGGTGCTATATAGCCGCATGGTGCAATGAATGAAACTCCGCGACTGCGGTCGGCTTTCCCTACCACTCCGCGAACAGATCCCCGACGCCGAACTTTCAACAACAATGCACGCTCAGCCCTGGGCTCCCCCCCTTCTCCCTTTCCTCAGAGACCATCGCCGATAACCAGGCCTGTGAAAGGCACCCCTGAGACGGCGGCTGCCTCCTCGCCACTGATATCGACAGAGATCGTCGACGTTCCATCTCAAAGATTTTATGTGTTTGCCTTCTATATTGCCTTGACGGCCTGGAGGCTGTACAACTCCTTCACTGTGGAAAATGATCTGGATTCGACATGGCTTTTCCTCAAATGGGTGGGGATTGATGCCGCCTTCTTTGTGGCGCTGCCGGCGTTTAAGATACCCTGGCTGGAGTTCTCATTTCCCACAACTTTCACATTATGGTTATTGCATGCTATCGCAAATGCTTTCTTAATGTACAAGATTCCACTGCCTTTCCTGTCGTGGCTGGGGGCACTGGTTAAGGTGGCCTATGATCGTGAACTTTCGATCTCAGAACACCGGGTGAAGCCAGCCGACATTCTACACAACTCCTCGATCATTCTGGGGAAACAAATCATACACATCCTTCCAGAGGGCTCTGCCATTCTGAATCCCGAGAAGAAGGCATTTTGCATTGATGCGTCCAGACCTTCGGTCGAAATACCGATTCAGATCAATCAGACGACGCCTATTTCTATTGAGCTCCAACGGTTTGATCTCGAGACAGACGAAGTTGAGACGATCATCATCAGCAGCAAACAAGCTAAGCAGTTGAAAAAACACGCCGACAGTGGTCACCACAAGTCGGATACAAATACGCCCCGAACCCTACATTACCCGGTTTCGAAGGCGGGCCTTTACCAGTTGCATCGGGTTATTGACGCCACAAAGCTGGAAGTGCGGAAACGGAGCTTTGACACGGCAGTTGTGCAGTGTCCGTTCGCGAGCATCTCGACACAGTCCGAGAACAGATGCACGGGAGAGTTGAGCAATGTGGCCCTGCATGTTTCAGGTGTTCCACCATTCAAAGTCAAATACAGCAAGACCGTCAATCACAAGCAGTTCAGTTCCATTGTCCAGAATGTGCAGCCAAATGTGGATCTCGACGTGGTCTCCGGCGATGAGACTTCAGGCATTGTCCTCGATCCAAGACGGCCGCACATGGGATGGACAAAATCCGCGACTGAGTCCTTCGAGATTAATGAAGCTCTGCACCAGAACGGAAGCCATTCTTACACCATCGAAGAAGTGGAAGATGGTCTTGGGAACAAGGTAGTCTACGATGCCAGCAAACCAAAGGACCTCCATGCTCCTCGGGTTCAGAGCCTCACGGTGCATAACAGACCTCGAGTCACACTGGGAGGCCTCAACTCAGACCGTGTACTTCGGGTTCGTGAAGGAAGCTCTATCCCTCTTCCTTTTCAAGTTCAATATGTGGACACATTACATTCGTCCGACTGGCCCCTGGATGTGAAGTATAGCTTTGTCTCGGATGACCTCGGGGAGACTGTTCAGTCCGAAGACCATGTGCACGAGATGTCGGACCGTCGCTCCATGCCTCTGATCAGTAAGCCTGGGAGATATAGCCTCGATTCTGTGGACAGCCAGTACTGTCACGGAGAGGTTGTTGAGCCTTCGTCATGCTTACTTCTCAACCCTCCAAAACCTGGTCTTAGTATGGAATCTGAAGACATCTTTGACAAGTGCGCCGGTAATCCAATTGGCATGTATGTCAACTTTGACTTTACAGGCACTCCGCCTTTCAAAGTTAGATATACGATGGGCCACCGGGGGACGGCTTATCCAAAAGTGCAAGAGTTCTCCGGTATGCGTGGTCAGATGGAATTGCGTGAAAGAGCAGCTGGCTCTTACATCTACACAATCCATGAGATCGAAGACCAAGTCTACGGGAGCGTATCGCTGAAAGACCAAAATCTTGTCCTCAAGCAAGACATCAAGCCTCCAGCGTCCGCGATCTTTCAAGGGGACAATCGTGCTGTGAAGGCTTGTCTGGGCTCGCCCATGTCAGTACCAGTCAGACTCGCAGGTCAAGGACCATGGGATCTGGACTATGAGCTGGTGCATGCCGGCAAAAGAAAGAAGCACCATATCCATTCCGAAGAGGAGCTATGCACGATCGAGGTTCCCCCCTTGGCGGAAGGAGGGAGCTATTCTGTCGTACTGACGGGAGTCCAAGACAAATCGCGATGTCGCACCACGTTGCAAGAGGAACGGAAGATCGATGTCAGACAAGAGCAACCACGCGCTGCCTTCGGCGATATTGATGGCAAACGCTCGATCTTGGCGCTAGACGGCAAGTCGGTCAAACTACCTTTGCGACTCAAAGGCTTCGCGCCATGGGCGGTGAGGCTGCAGAATCTGGACGACGGTTCGGACTCATTCGAGCAGATATTTAGGGACGCAAACGCCGAGATCTCGGTTGACCGTCCAGGTACTTACGAGATTGTCTCCGTTCATGACAGTTGCCCAGGCGTGGTTGATTCCAAGGCGAACAAATTCCAAGTGAGCTGGTTACCCCGACCAACGGTATCAATCAGAGATTCAGCTATTGGAAAAGAAGGACTGAGGGGCTTCCGCAAGCCTGCAGTTTGTCAGGGCGATGAATCAGTGCTAGCCATTGGGCTCACTGGCAGTCCACCCTTCCACCTCAAATACCAACAGAAATTCGAGCCGATCAAAGGGCCTTCTGCAATCAGCAACAAACCCGTCACCTTTGCGGGTAGTAGTGCGCAAATCAGTCTTGATACCAGCAAAGCCGGAGAATACTCTTATGTTTTTAGTGAACTTGGCGATGCACGCTATTCCTCCGACAAGAAGGGATTTACGCCGATTGTTCTCTCACAGCAAGTGTATCCTCTACCCTCGGCGAAGTTCAGCCAGGCAGGGAAGACTTATGGCTACTGTAAACACGATCCGACCTTCACAAACAGCGCAGACGCTGAGACTGAAAACATACCGATCACCTTCACAGGCACGCCACCCTTCGCCGTTGAAATAGCCATCATTCACCACGGCGTATCAACCCGCCCTGAGATCATCCGTCAGAAGGACATCCAGACGCGCAGCTACTCATGGCCACTTTCGCGAGCCACCCTCGACCTAGGGACACACACTGTTTCTATTCGCTCTGTCAAAGACGCTCTCGGCTGTGAATCGATCCTCGACTCAGATCCATCCGCCGTGCGCATCCATGTCTCCTCGCCACCGGCCATCATCCCGCTCGAGTCCCAGGAACACTACTGTGTGGGCGAGCACGTCTCTTTCTCCCTGAGCGGCCAAGCCCCTTTCGACGTCTTCTATACTTTCCAGAACCGTGAACGAAAAGCGCGTGTCTCCGGTAATGAGTTCAGACGGCTTGCCGAGTCACCCGGCGAATTCGTTATTACGGGTGTCAGTGATTCGGCAATGGGCAATAATAAATGTCGTGCAAGGAAGGACATCAGAAAAGTCATTCATCCGTATCCGACGGTGGAGATTGGTAAGGGAAAGACGGTTGTCAGCGATATTCATGAAGGCGGGGAGGTGGACATAATGTTCACCTTCACCGGGACACCACCTTTCGAGTTCACGTAAGTCTCCTTTCACTGTTCTCTGTCTTCCGCGCGCGAACACTTTTGCCCGAGAACCCACGGGCAGTCTGAAAAAGATACTGACATTCGATCATGCGAACCAGATATACCCGCACCGAAAATCCCAGAAAAGGCATGGGCAAACCCCGTGTTCTCGAGACGCGCCACGACACGTCAGATGAATTTAGCAAGATGATCCGCGCCAGCGACGAAGGCATCTATGAAGTTGTGAGCATCAAGGACCGATTCTGCTCATACACCAAGCCCAGTCACAAGGCTGCTGGCAGTGGCGGCGGTCTCATGGGAGGTCAGAAGAAGCTGTTGACCTATTGAAGGACGATCGCCACCCATCCACCGGCTCACGTTCCTTGTTCCTGTTTCTCCACCCTCCTCGGGACAGTTTGCGACCTTTGAGCATGCTACGTCTGGATCGCTGGATGGCAGCAGCCGAGGACGGAGTCCCCAAAGCCTGATACGGGATAGAAAGAAGTGCCTCAACACTCTCAAGGGAGTCCCAAGACCTTACCTCGGTTGAAGGGTATGCACAGCTTGCATGTCTGCCGGGTTCATTCGCATACTGCAGGCCAATAGTTGGCGTCTGTTCCGGACACATTATCTCACATATGTTGGGTTGGGCTGGGGTTACCCTTCCTTGTCCTTGGATCGTATTTCTTCTTTCGTCCTTTTACCCTCCACCCAACCATAGCGAGATTCTGAGCGAGGGCGAGAGCGAGGGCGAGAGCGAGAGCGAGAGCCAGGGGACGAGGACGAGGGTTTATGTATCTCCCGCCCTGCACATATCTAGCAGCACATGTACCAACAACCAACCACCCAAAATAACAACTAATTCGAGAGTGGGCATGCATATTACCGGCAATCAGTTAGGGCAGGCAGGACAGCAACACGGATTTCCTTGGCGATAAGCTCGACCAGGGGGCTCGGCGGGTTGAATAGCTGTGCGGCCAGTTGGTTTGTTTGGTCGGAGTCACAGAATCTTGGGACATTGTCAGCATAACCGGGGACGTGGTTGGTACGTCGTCAGGGTGTAAAGAAGGCAGTGGGGGGACTTTTAGAATCGAAATTGGAAGCACGTTTGTCTTTCGGGTTTTTAGAGGAAGAGGGCAATTTTCTCATTCAGCGTATTCGACCTGGACTGAGGTGCGCAAGGAGAAAACCCTAGACGCACACACAAATACTTGAGTGTCGCTTCATCTGGTCTGTGCTAGGCTGCCCTGATAACTTGTCTAGCCATTTCCACCCCACCAGTAGTCCAAACTGTCACAGTTCTTTCGTCGCAGGCACATGGCTTCGGGCCTTTTGCTCGGGTATCGGTTCACTGTGCAATCCGTTCGCAGTTTTTGTTGGTCTGTGTGGTGTTTCAGTCTGCTTTCCCGTGAAAGACATACAAGTCTTACGAACAAATTCGGATGTTCAGGCTATCGGCTTTCCTCCTATTTATTTTTTTGGTTTTTTCTTATTTCTGGTCAGAGTGCTTCTGAGATCTGCTTGCATCTATCAAGCGGTGCCTTCCCCTTTCCGGTATCAGGGCATGGCAAAGAATGTCCGCTGTTGGATTGAAGTGGATTCGATGACAGACAATTGTCGTCTTTCGTAATGAAAATTGGTGTCAGGTCCCAGCAATGAGCCGCGCCAGGTGACATGAAGGCGTCAAGGAGAGGTAATCATGGGGTTACAATCGAAGCGATGCTTCGGTGTGAGGTAGTAATGCAGGGGACTAGGTATGCGCTGTTGATATATCGGTATGTCGTGGTGGGTTCTGGATCTGAGTGTCGTTTCTGCGAAAGAGTCGAAAAGAGGGTGTCCCGCTGGTAACCGGCAGAGATGTTGAGTGAATATGCGCCAGACGTATTTGATGATTAGGTCATTCCGTAGGACTGGTGTCGAAGTGGATAGAGTTGAACGGGATGAGCGTCGAGTATCGAATTTCGTGACAGTGATAGGAGGAGGAGGAATCGTGTGGCTGGTATGTCCGAGATCTGAATGAGAGAAATGCAAATAGCCAAGCAACGCCATGCAGATCTACAATCCTTGTAGGAAGCTGCACTGACCTTCACCGAAACTTTTGCGCCAGTTGTCTCCGTGACTCCAAAGAGAACGTGGCTCTTTCAAGACATGCAATGTCATAAGCCATAAATCCCCGACCGAGGCTTGCTTGGTAGAGGAGCCGGCAGCCTTCCCTCCATCCGTGGCAATCCATCCAGAAAACACCCATCCCAAGAAAGTAGTAGAAACTGTACCAACACTGTTGTACAGATCTGATAGCAAGGAAACCACATGAGCCAGCCATTATTGAAAACTCCCAGCTTGCGCATGTCGCATGTCATAGACCTTCGTACCATGGAAATGAAGAAAACGCCGGGAAACAAAAATTGGAAGAGAAAAGCCGCCGCTAGATCGAAGTGTCCAAATCACAAACTAGTGAGCGATTTGACCCACGGGTGCTGCTGTTAGCTGTTGAGGATGACCTCCGCGGCCTCGAGCACCTTGACCTCGGCCTCGTCCGCGGTATCCACCACGTCCTTGGTTGTTGTATTGTTGGCCGTATCCATTCGACTGATTCTGTGGTCTGCGAGCCTGCTGGTATTGACCATTGGTGTTGGTAGCATTGTTATTTGCGGTGGTGTTTGCAGTGGCATTTACATTCGACGCGTGGGCCTTCTGCGCCTGTGCCGGAGGGGGCATTGCGCGTGGAATTGTCTCAGGGTTGTCATACACATACAGACTCTTGTCGATAGATGGAGGAATCGGTTGGATCTCCGTACCCAGCTCTTGTTCGATCTTATACAAATTGAAACGATCATCCCAGTTGATCAAGTTGATAGCGAGACCACGGTGACCAAATCGTCCAGAACGACCGATGCGATGAAGGTAGGTTTCGGCATTTTTGGGGAAGTCGAAGTTGATGACCACATTGACAGCTTGAATATCAATACCGCGAGTGAGGAGATCCGAACACACCAGGTTTCGACAGACACCGGCACGGAAGTCATGGAAGACTTTGTTGCGATTCTGCTGCAGCATCTTGGCGTGAGAGTAGAAGCACGAATACCCCAGCTCCGTGATTTTCTTCGCGAGAAGCTCGACCCGGTTGGTCGAGTTGCAGAAGATGATCGACTGGTTGATCTGGAGTTTCGAGAATAATGTGTTCAGGCAATGAACTTTCTGCTTCTCCTCGACAAAGGCGTAGTACTGAGTTATACCACGCAAAGTTAACTCGTCCATGAGGTTGATTTCGTAGGGATTTCGCATGTGTTTGTCTTTGAACGCCTTGACTATCATTGGGAAAGTGGCACTGAAAAGCATAACCTGTCGGTCTTTGGGATGGAAGGAAAGGAGCTGCTCAATGACGACCGTGAACTCCGGAGAGAGCAACTTGTCGGCTTCATCCATGACAAATATAGGGCATTCGGATAAGTCTGCAACACCTTTGCTTGCCAGATCGAGGATTCTCCCAGGGGTACCGACGATGATATGTACTGTTTCCCCTAACCTGATGATATCGTCTTTGAGTCCGGTGCCACCTGTGGTCACCATGACATTGATGCCCAAGTGCTTTCCGAGGGTCTTGCAGACCTGTGATGTTTGTAAAGCTAGTTCTCGAGTGGGGACAAGGATCAGCGCTTGGGTCTTTGGGTTTTTGGGATTGATTCGTTCAAGGGTAGGAATGACAAAGGCAGCCGTCTTGCCGGTTCCGTTCTTTGCTCGGGCCAGGATATCTCGGCCAGTCAGGGCAACAGGTATGGTTTCTTCTTGGATCGGAGAGGGTTTTTCGAATCCGGCTTCGAATATGCCCATCATCAGTTCACGCTTGATGTAGAAGTCTTCAAAATCCAAGCCCTTTGTAGCGGTCACGTCTTCAGTCTGTTGCCTGGTATCTTTTGCTGGAAGGTTGAGGGCATCTTTCCAGTTCGACTCGTCTGCGCCATCGTTCAAAGAGGCTTTGTTGAGCTGTGCTGCTAAAGCGTCCGTCATTGTGGGAGAGGGTGTGAAGGATTTGCTATTGAAGGGGGGGATATGCTGTTTTTGCTAGCAGCAAATCGGGTTGACGGTAACAACCCTTTCTGGGTCACGAAAGATTCAGTGGTGCTTGGAGAAAAGGCGTGGGAGAGGGTAGAGAGGAATCGAGAGGCAGGAGACAGGATTGTCGCGGGGTGTCACTTAATTGTGGCGGGTTAGAATCTGTCGCTCGTGGGGAGGAAATGAATTCAGCCTTTGTCGAGAGGCTCGTAAGGTTCTTTGCGAGTGTCAGAGGTCGTCTAGTTGCGGCTATGCACCGTGTAGGTAGAGTAGTCGAGGTGTAAGTGAGTTCTGTTGCTCGAGTCTAGAGTAAGGTGGGAGGGCAAGTTCTTTGTGCCTTGTCCGCGACTGCAGATCACAACCCAGCGCCAAGACCAAGGCATAAACCAAATCTTGCCGTTTTAGGCAACGTGCTTTGTTCCAATGACTTCGACTCTGATTCCACCATCTCATTCAGCTCATTCAGCTCATTCAGCCCCCATTCAGATTCATCGCCGGCAGGGCACAATATTTGCTCTATTCATGATTCATTCCCGTCAACAATAAGGACCCCTCAAACTAACAGACACAACCCTTTTATTCCAGCCCGCCGGGAGACGGTAGAACCGACCCTTAGACATATCTTTCAGCCCCAGTGCACCGGACACCATGCAGACCGCCATCGCAGTCCTCCGAAATTCCCATGACCGTCGTGCTCTCAGTTACATAGACAGGTGCAACTTGCCGGACATGCTCCTGGTCCCCTCGACCCCTTGCAAGGACAACTGATCAACGTAAGCTATCTGCCACACACCAAAATATCGACTTCGCCAGCGCACCTTCCTCGCACACACGGCAACACACATCCGCAATTCCTTGTCTTTGAGGCGTTGAGCGTAGGGCCTTGGTCAGAGTGCAGGACCCCAGGATTGCTGTACTTTGGAGAACAAGTCACCGTGCGGGACAGATTTGTCTCCCACATCGGATGAAGGTAACGCAATGCGCGCAGTGGCCTTGAGAGACGCGCCTTCTTCGAGCCCTTGCTGTCGCAATGCACACCCATACTCGCAGCGAGAAGAGTCGTCGGCAGGAGATTTGAGTTGCCAGCGGGTTGAGCCGAGAGTGTTGGATGTATAATGTTGCTCTGCCTAATGGATGTATCATCTTGTGGAAGAGAGGCAGTTGCGAAGTCATGTGTGGCCGGTTAAATGGCCGCTCAGGACATCTTGCTGAGACTCACTGGGCAATGACTTCCCCAACAGACGGAACTGCAGCCACGAGAACGAGACGGCAGTCGCACAACCTTCCATCAGAGCTGTGCCAGGAGACACCACGGCCTCGTCTGTGCAGCTTGAATGGGCAACCACCTTCAGGCACATGTTATCCGGAATGCCGACTTTGCTATATTGACCGAGAATCGGAGGAATCCGAGTTGATAAGATTCGGTGAAGAGGAGACGGTTACACAGAGACAGGTGAGTCCAGGAGGTTTCGGATGTGAGCCAAAATCCGTGATGTGGCCCGCATAATGGCCCCTGCCTGTTCACATGTTTACAGCGCATCATAGTGGAAGCAATTCCCGAGAGCAGTCGTGGATCATAGCGCATGGCAGTCAGCCGATTTGAGGATGTGTGGACGTTGAGGTGCCCATAGCAGCAAAGTCGGTACAACCTTCTGTGTCTGTCACACGTCAACCGCGATCCAGTGCCAATCTCAACATGGCCAAATGCAATTCTGTGTCAAGGTCAACTCAGTCACGTCCTGTCCTGGAGTGGTTCAACCCGACCAGATGAGCGTCGTAGCACTCCTCTGTACTCATTCACACAGAAACCATGACAAGATTCAACAATCATGTTGGACCAAGCACGAGCCTCGTTTGGCCTCTCTCTGGGGGAGCAACCCTATAAACGTTAGCACCTGTGCACAACGTGCGACGCTCTCCAACTTACTCAATAGCGCAGACATCTGGAGCTCTCTTGATGTCAGATTTGGTGCCTGGGCTGATGAGAATGAATTGCCCGCCACTGCTGTGCCTGGCTCCATCGATCAACAAGTTGACACTGGTAGTTCTGTTTACTGCATCCATGAATACGTCAAATTCGTCGAGACATCGAATCGGGACACCCATTGCGTCCCAAATCGAGAGGAGCAGACAGATCTGGGAGAAGGACTTCTCTCCACCAGATAAAGTCTTTGCGCTCCGTCCGGTTCCGTCACGTCTCGTAATATCGGGCTCGACGGCGATGTCCATCTCCTTCTTTCTGTGATCGATGTGGAGCCTTCCACGGAATCCTCTCTCGCTGAGCTTGTGGATGAAACCTGCCCTTGACCTAGCAGTAATATGACCTCGGAAGAGCACCCATCGCCTTCTTCGCTCTGCAAGCGTCCTTGTGAGTTGTGCTTGGAGAGATTCCAGCGAACTTATTTCCCTCTCGGCGGCCTTGTATGCCTTTGAAGATTTTGATGCCTCGGCCGCTATGTCGTCCCGATCACCAACCTGGGCTTGATACTTGCGGTAATCCGCCGAAAGCTTTTCATGCTTTTTGCTCAGGCTTTCATACGTTTCGCCTTTGGGAAGGTTGACACGTTCACAAACCTGCCGTGCTTGGTCTGTGAAGCTCGCAATTTTTTCATCCATTTCCTGCATCTTCCGTTCCAGCGTGCCTCGGTCAGCTCTGGCGTCGTCGATCATAGCAATAGCTCTATTTTTCTCGCCCAACTCATGCGCACGTTTCTTGCCAGCCTTCTGAGCGGTTGACTGCGCCTTGTCAACCATCCCTTCAGCCTCTTTGATGCGCTCATCCAATTCGTTGCACCTTCGAGTCACCTCGCGAAGTTTCTTCGTTTGGTCGTCAAGAGCGATGACCGAGTCTTGAAAAGAGCTCTCATGAATGGTCTTTTGCTCCTCAGCCTCGCTTAATGACTGACGCAAGGCTTCAAGCTTGCCACCTTCGACGCTGTCGTCCCTGATCGCTTCCTTCACCCGCTCGAGATTATCTTCCGCCTCCTGCACTGCGATTTCGAGTTCTCTCTTTCTGTCCCCATGTCGCTTGAGAGCCTGTTTTGCTCTAACATGCCGGTCCTGAGCACTGCGGAATTCGTGCTCTGCGCGTAGACGTTGGGCCTTGCAGTCAGCAAGCACATCTTGTTGCCGATGGATTGCTTCGTCAATATCCGTTTTCATTCGTGGAGTGCCGATGAATTCGTGCACCGGGTCTTGCGCAGCTCGACCATTTCGATAAGATAAGACGGCGCCTTTCACCTTGCTGCCTGGGCTGAAGCAATAGCACCGCTTAACATTGCGCAAAGGCGTCCCTTCCGAATAGAGTGCTTTCGAGGCTTCCGTCATGTCTTGAATGAGGATGCTCTGCTCAATCTGATTGGAAATGACGAGCTGCTTCCTGACCGCCTCGTTGTCAATATCCAAAGCACTCAAGACGGTGTCGAAGCGGGGATCGGGAAGATGTGGCTCGATGTTGAGAGGGAGGTTGTTTGCGATGAAGATAGGCAGAACGCATTGGTTCCGTCGCATGATGTCGCTCAATAGATTTTCGTCCCGCTTGCTGGTCACTATGAACCCCGAAAGTGAGTTGCCAAAGGACTTCTCCAAGATCGAAGACCACTCGGGTTTCAACAATTTAACATGCTTTCCTAGAGGGCCCACGGGAGCGTCCTGAAATCCCTTTTCTTGGTGCAAAGCTCGCAGTAGTTCCTGCATTCTAGGATGAAAAGCAAGATCTTGAGAGTTGCGGTTCTCTACCAGCCGCTTGAGGTTGTTCTCCAAGTCGTTAACTCTCCGCTCTTCGTTCCTCTTCGCCTCTCCAGTTTCGCTCTCCAGCCTTTGCATTCTCTCGATTTCCTCAACGTGCGTTTTTCTCTGGTCCAGGTGATGGTGTAATTCCTCTTCCGCTCTTCTGGCGGCTTCTTTGGCCTCCTCGAGTTCGTTGATGCGGCGAGCAGCTCCTCCCCCATCGAGCTCGGCCAGCCGTTGCACCTCTTGTTCGATAGCTGCTTTCTTCTGTGTGATGGTCCTGTCAGCACTGACCAATGCATCACGAATTTGTCGTTGCTCGGCTGCCGCCTCTGAATAATTCTTCTTTAGATCCTGCTGTTGCCCCTGCAGCTCATTCTTCTCGTCTTTGAGGTGTTGAACAGCTGCATTTGCTGCATTATACTTCTCCGTTGTGGCAGCTGCAAGTCTATCGGCTTCCTGATAGGCATCGTCGAGCTCTTGGGCTTTCGCCTCTGCTGCCGCTATTTTAGCGTCCGCCTCTTGAAGCTCTTTAACGTATGCATCTCGAATATCCTCCTGAATTGTGACTTGCGCCCATGTCAGCTGTCGGCGATAATCTCGCAGCCTGTCACGCATAGCCTCGTATCTATCGGATAGGGCAAGCTTGTTCGCTGCGCTGTCCGCTTTCCCCTTCAACACTTTGAGATCCGGGGCTCTGGCGGCGATCTTTGCACTAATATTGTCGAGCTGCTCCTCGATGAGTCGGTAGTCCTGATCAAGCTGTTCAAGTTGGACGCCCTTCATGAAGAACTTATATTTTTCCACGGGACTCGAGCTGGCAATGAACTGACGCGCCTGGTCTTGAGAGAGGACTGCCATGGGGTTTTCGATCTGTAACATCATATGATCGCAAATTTCTTCCAGGTCAGACTTCCGTGTCGAGATGATGCGGCCCTTCTCTGACTTCAGCTTGAACCCGCTACTACCAGTGCGCGAGATATGACGTTCGACTTGAATCGTCTTCCCATATACATCGGGCATGTATGCATTTTCGCCCTGGTTCTTCAGCCTGCAGATGATGGTGGCGTGGTCTGTTCCTTCCTTGATGAAATTTTGGAGGCGCGCACCTCGATTGGTCGCCGAGGCTTTCCCTCCTAAGCACAGGACGATGGCAGTGAGGATCGCACTCTTTCCACTGCCATTTTTACCGCATATGAAATTGATCAACGGCCCAAGCTCGTAGCTCATATCCTCGTGACACATGAAATTCTTGAGCTGGACTCCTTCCAAAATGCCATACTCTGCAGGCTCATTGTGAATACCTCCTCTACTTCTAGCCTCGATGGCCTGGGTGGCTTCGAGCAAAGCCTCGTCGTCGTCGTCTTGTTCGCTATCAGAACTAATCTCGGAAGGAGGGGTACTGGCATTTTCGCGATCAGCTCGATCGCTCGAAGTATCACGATGCACGGATGACTCGTCACTTGTCCGTCTTCTCTTATTCTAACGTCTTGTTAGCACTTGGAAGCCTGATATCCCAAAGAAATACCATACCGAGACCCGGCGGGGTGGCGACGACGACTCACGACTGCTTTCGCTGTCATCGTCGCCATCTGTTGGAGCGGGGCGTTTGTGAGGCGCCATTACGGCGCTTTTTGGGAGGCCAGGCTGCTCGTCCTGGAGGTGGTAGTGGGCGTGGACCTGAGATACTGGAATTAGAAATCGGCCACTTCGGAGTCGTTGCCTGCGCAAACGGGAAGCGCGCCTGCGCGTTGGCGTTTGACGCGTTGTGGCATGAGGGCCGGCCAAACTCCGGCGTGAAGTCATGGGCCCGATGTCGCAGAAGGTCCTACACACCTTTTCTTCAGACACTTGCGCTCGTTTTCTCTGTTTCTGCTCAGCAATAGCTTTGGTCCACAGACTTGGGGCTGGCCTTGACAGCGGTCTCTTTCTGGAGAATGGCATCAACGTCAGCTAAAGATGGGGAAAAGTCGAAGCTCAAGGTATGCAGGACACCATGTACTCATAAAGTCCACCGAAGATAGCACTCTGATACACCTATGCAACAGCCGAGTGCGCTGCGTTCGATAATAGCTGGCTCGACAGCTGGAGCAGTCGAGATCGCCATAACATATCCGTTTGACCTCCTCAAGACAAGGTCGCAGCTCAATCGCCGATTACCAGACTCCAAAAAGCTCCCATGGCCTCCCTTCCCCTCGAAAGAATGGTACACCGGGTGCACGACGGCAATCGTGGGGAACTCGGTCAAGGCAGGCGTTCGATTCCTCGCGTTTGACACATATAAACATATGCTATCAGACGACGATGGTCAAATATCTGGGCCTCGGACAGTCGCCGCGGGGTTTGGTGCTGGAGTCACTGAATCGTTGCTGGCAGTCACCCCGTCAGAGTCAATAAAAACACAACTGGTGGACGACAGGAAACGAGCGCAACCAAGAATGCGTGGCTTCATCCACGGATCCATGGTCATCGCTCGAGAGAAAGGAATTAGAGGCTTTTTCCAAGGGTTTGTGCCCACGACCGCACGGCAAGCAGCCAACAGCGCGGTCCGATTCAGTACCTACACGAGCCTCAAACAATTCGCCGAGGGCTATGTTGCGCCAGGGGAGAAGCTTGGATCTCTGACAACTTTCGCCCTAGGAGGTATTGCTGGCATCGTTACCGTCTACACCACCATGCCTCTTGACACGGTTAAAACCCGAATGCAGAGTTTGGAGGCCAGGCAAGTATATAAGAACACATTTCACTGCGCAGCGTCAATCTACAAGAACGAAGGCATATTAACCTTCTGGTCTGGTGCACTACCACGTCTGGGCCGTCTCACTCTAAGTGGTGGTATCGTCTTCGCGATGTGAGTCTCCTCCAAGCGGGTATCTATCGGGAAGCATTCTGACTTTGATCAATTCAGGTACGAGAAGACTATGCAGCTCCTAGACCTTGCAGATCCCGACGGAAAGTACATTTGATGGGCCGCGAGGGATCTGGGCTCTTTAGAACGAAAAGTTTGTGTGGTTTGGACATAGTGAGCAGAATTCCAAGGCTGGCTTTATGAAAATGGAAGATAGAGCAGGCCTTTGGAACAGAGCCATCTCCCTTGTTAACGTCCTTCTCTGGAAGGGCGAATTTGTGAGAGATAATCCAACAAGGTGGAAAGCTGCAGATATAGATTGGCCTTGAGGCTTTCATTCTTGTTAACAATGATACCCAATGTACACATCTACACGCTAGCTGCCCGTTTCGTTTCTGTCACTCCTTGACCTTGATCTCCCGAACGAGCCCCTCTCCCAACCTTGCCATCTCCGCAAGCACTCCATCCCTGTTGAACACACACATGTCCTTTCCTTGTTCGGCCTCTCCCTCGGATTTGACGGGCACACTCGACCAGCCCAATCTCACGCGCCACTCCTTCCGCCCCAAGACAGTCGGCTTCCACAATCCCGCAATGACCTGTCCGCCATAGCGATCGTGGAAGAACAGAGCCGCCGACCCGAACGCGTGGTGTAGGTCACGCAGATACAGCTCGACGGGGTCGTAACCGATCGAGTCGACGTCCAGACTCTCGGCGATCTGCAGGTTCTTGAACTCCAGCGCTCCACCGTCCACTCCGCCCTTGGCTTTGGAGCTGGCCTTCAACCCTTTGCCCTTAAGTCCACCACCACGCACGACGGAGTGTTTCAAGTGGATCACAAAGTCATAATCTCCCAGCGGGCTCTCGAAGAGTCCTTTCCACTCGTCCTCCGTCATGCTGGTACCTTTGCTCTCGACCAGCTCAATCGCTGCACGTGCCAGCGCGGTCAGTCGACCCGCAACAACGCGCGGAGGGCGGCCGTTGACAGTCCACACGGTCCCGGTCGTGTCGATGTTCGTACCCACGAACCAAACCACATTGTTCATCTGCGGGTCTAACTTCCTCCACGCCTCGAAACGGTTCTGGATTTCCGTAAGGTGCTCGGCGGTCAAGGAGTCCTGCGACACACTCAGATCGATGATTAACGGTGAATAGGCCCAGTCCCATCTCGAGAGGAAATGAAGGCACCGCAAAAATGCTGTCGTTGCAGAGCCGGGTGCGCTCCACGGTGCAGGCTGGAGGAAAACATGTGCTGCGACGAGTTCAAGAATTTCCTCAGGGATATGTTCGTCAAGGAGGAGGTGGGATGACACCCATCTCTTCAACAGGCGGATTGTACTTGACAATGGTGGGAACCGAGTGATTAGGTTGCGGATCGTGGTCGTATGGATCGGTTTTGCCTGAAAGTCGCGCTTGTACGTGGCCAGTGCGATCGCGAGAGAATCTCTGAGGGCGCCATGCAGGGATTTATCCGCCAGAGCGGTCTGAATGAGGTGAGCTTCCCGGTCATGGTAGATGCGGGCACGGAAACAGGTTGGACTAATGCCCGGAGCTGGAGAAGGATAGATAATGTCAAGGAACGAGGTATTGAAGTAGCCCGTGCTGGCCGACTCTGTGTTCTCAATTCCTACACGTGTGGTGAGACTTGGATCGTTTGAGTCCAGCAGCTCGGAAAGTTTGAGGAGGAATGCGATTTTAGTATGTTGGATGGCTGGGAGGGAGTCTGGCCATCTTGTGGACGAGTCAAACTGGATGGTGATATCAATTGGAGCTGAAGTTGATGAGAGTAATGGGTGGAGTGTGGAGCTCGAACGTAAGGCAGGATCCGCAGGGGAAATTGAGCGGATCGGCAGAGGCAGACCTTCGAGATTGTGCAGACTGGACGTCAAGGACTGGAACGTTGAATTGATAACGCGGAAAGCGTCCTTCGGCGTCAACCCTGATGCGTAGTTGCTGTCCCCTAGGATGCTGATCTCTAGATTCTGGGTTCTTAGTTCAATCGAACTCGGCGGCAGTTTGAGATGCAGAGCTGCAAGGTGAGAGATGATTTGAAGCGTCACCGGCCGGTCTCCTCGCCACACTAGACTCTCAGATATGCTGCCATCCTTGAATCGGCGCAACTCTGCCTTTTCGCCCCAGAACTCCCGAAATTCGGCAGCTTCTTCCTGTTCATCTGCGGATGGGCCGTGATCGACAAGGCGGTTGACATTCTCTGGATTGGCGAGCAGCGCAACTTGCAACTCGTAATCTCCTTTTCGGTGAGATGGGTCCTTGTTGAGCGCCCAGCCTGACTCTTGGGGCAGCTTGAAGTCGATCAATGTGACTCTGTCGCCCAATCCCTGTTTCAGGACCTTGTGCAGTCTTTGGACAAATCGTCGCTCATCTGCAGGAGTCCTGAGGTTATCCCGAGACACTCTGACAGAGTATATCTCATCGCACTGCAATAACGGTACTGCGACACTCAGCACAAACGTTGCGTCAAAACCATCCTGGTTGCGAGAATTGAGCGCCACCAAAGTGACTTGAGCGTGGTGACGCAGGGAGTCATAGGACCAAGGAGACATCTTGTAGAGGATGTTGACACCCGTCTCCCCATCGTAGAGGACCGGCACATCCGAGCTGGGGAGGTCGAAATTGGCGTTGTTGAGGAGCATCGGTTCCTGCAGATCCCTTCCACCCAGGATTTGGAGCATGGCTTTGAAAAATTGTATGCTGCTGTACTGCTTGGAGAACAATGGATGGCCACGGTGACCACCTGTACGCGTTAACAGTGCGCATACTATTGTCCATTCCAAAAATCCGAACCCTCCCGACCGAGTGGAACTGGAAAAGCCTCGTTGTTGAAGCCAGAGTTGGCCGACCCGGCATGCTTCATCAAAGGACGAGCTCCTTGTTGAACGGATTAGTTGGTCAAAGGCTGGAATAGATGCCGCGTACCGGATGGCACTGTTGTAAAATGGAGATGATTGGCCACTTTGCTCTTTATCGCCCAATAGACCTTGCCTGAGACAATTCTTCAAAGGTAACGTCTTTGCTATGGGTATCGAGTGATTGAGGAAACCCACAGCAACCTGGAACTTGAACTTCGACAATTCCGTGTCCCTAGCAACGAGTTCAATAACCGGCAACAGATCGACATCGTGCTTATGTGCAAAGGAGACACTGAAGTCAACTTCTTCATTGTTCTTGACTGCTGAAGCAATGCAAGCGAGGTAAAATGCAGCCTTGTGGCATGCCCTGTTGTTGAGATAGTCTTTCTCCTGCAAGATGCCATCAGGCATGATAGCTGTGATCTCTATGGTGTTCTCATCCTTCAGACTCAGATTCAATGGCAGAGCGCCACCGACCACAACTTGCTTCGGAGCTACAAAGCCGAGCTTGTAGTTTGTATCTTTTGATGGCTGTGGCTGCGGAAATGGAATCTTTATTCCTTGATTGCGAAGCAACTTTACAGCATCTGTAGCAGTGACCGGCGGAATTTCTTGTATGTCTTTGATGAGCGAGACCAGCTTGTTCGAGAGAGTGATCCATTTGGACCGCAGTTTGTCATAATTTGGCGTCACCTCGGCGTCCAGATCAGCGACTTGGAGTCCGAGAATAGTTGATTTGTTGATGCCCCCAGTCGGGAGCACAGAAGGCTTCAACGCAGAAGTCTGAGGAGGCTTCGAAGCTGATTTCGGGGGTGGTCTCTTCGAAGCAAGACTATTTCTTGGAAGAGTGTCCGGAACATCGTTGCCGTCATCAGAGTTGGAAGAAGCTTCGGAAAGATCAATATCGTCTGCTTGCGAATCGTGGCTGAGCTTCCGCCTCTTGGCTGAATACCGTCCACCCGACATTTTCTTGATAGACATGTCGAAGCACTCGTTAGAGGTGTCCTCTCAAAATCCCCGAATCATGGTCGAGGGATGAATGCTGGAGTGCCAGGTGCTGGTGATTGATCATACCACCTCTTTCTGCCTATGTCAGCCGGATTAATTGTATTACGAGCATAAGCAAAGGGTGCGAGGAGTTCATGTTCAACTCGTTGATGAGCCCAAAACTTTTTTGATGCCAAGGCTTGGGAAATCTCCTCTCGCCTCCGCCAAGTTAGGAAATAGGGTGATGCCGCCCTATTTCCCGCTCCAACTCGTGTTGGTGGGCTCAAGGGCTGTCTAGCACCTTGGCGCGGATACCACCTACGAACATTGCCCGCTCCAGCACCTCTTGTGATGTATCAATACCTCAGACAGTTGTCCCAGCGGTTTTCAGGACCTTCAAGCCTTCAAGTCGATCGATTCGATAACAAGGACATCTACGGATGGTCTGTGCCAGTCCAGGCGTAAGACCATTCGAATCAAGCCGGCAAGGCTGACCAAGGCTAATCTTGATAGATTGGGACGGTAGAAATCAGGCCGTGGAGTTAGGAAACTGGGAAGTGTGTATGAAGACAATCACGGCCCACCAAATCATTCTGAGCCTGGCTCATGAAAAAAGCCGTCTCGAATGGACTCAGAGAGGTCTTACCTTCGAATAGCCATTCAAGGGAGTCCTCCATCAACACGTACCTTCCAGGACGCAGTATATCGATTGTTCAGGATAACGTCTCACAACAACTTGAGTTCTCCGTACCTGGTCTGCAAGTGCAACACGTCCCCGATGATCTTTGACTGGAACGTCCTGCCGACTAAGTTGCTTTGTCCACGATGTCTGCCGTCTCTCCTCGGTCCCAACTCCGCAAGTGCAAATACTGTGGGTGGGCTTGAACCAAGTGCCTGATGCTGCTCTGCCAGTGTTGTTGAAGGTCGAAAGAGTTGGATGTTAGACGGTATAATAGTTCACACACCCGCACATAAAGCGCCAGCGAAAGTCGCTTGGTCGGACGAGGTCGGGAAGGCTCACAAAGAGTTAGCCGGCCGCGCCGATTCAGAATTTACTAAAGCAAAAGTCGTCACCAAAGAGATTTAAGTAGTTAGCAGGGTCAAAGCCAGTGCTGTGAAGAGTCAAAGGGCCGAAATGGCGTAGAAATCGTCCGTCGTCGACTTCGAAACGTCCAGGAAGTTGCTTCCAGCAGAAGCAGCTTGACTGCGCACAAGCTCTAACACCTTCCAATACTCCAGTGCTTCGACTTGGTGATTTGAGCATTGTCGACTGCACCGTTGATCCTGAAGCTCCACTGCATTTATGACTCCCAGTGATTGTCGTGTCGCAGGCTACGGGTCGACCTTGGGGCGAGAGCTCTGAAAGGCTAGGTTGGGCGCTTAACATATATGGACCACTGCTTCACGAGAATCTCCAACTGCTCCCACGCAGTTTATATACGTTCAATAGGAATTTGTCGTGCGTGAGGCAGCCATGAAGGCTCCGTTGTTCTCACATCATTTCTGCAACCTTGCTGCCACCGTTCTCGTATAAACGCTGCACGTAATCGTCTCCAAAACGGGTGTGCATTTGATCAATATGACGGAATTCCACTATCTTGCTGCCTCATTTTGAATGCTTGAATTTCTTGTTTGTTGTTCCTCGAGGAGGCCGAAAAACGAGCTCCGACGAGTCTTTGAGTTCTAGATAGATCCATGTAGGTAGATAAAGGAAATCGAGATCACAAACAACGGTAATCACTATAGGGCAGCACGCTCTCACAAAAAAAGGACACAAGGGTCAAAATTCAAGTGGACTTTCAAGGCCATCTTCCTAGAAAGTCTCCCAAAAAATCACAGTGATGATACTTAATGCGCAAAAATGAAGAGAGTGGGATTCGAACCCACGCGGGTTGCCCCATCAGGAAACGTAGTGTCAAGACTGTAGCCTTAACCTGACGCCATAACCAAGCTCGGCCATCTCTCCAGAGAACTGACTGTTGACTCAACAGGACAATTGTTGAGGACAATTTTGAATGTACAATATATTAATCACCAATATTGGGTCGGCTAGCGTGGGTGTCGCTGCTAAATCTGCGCTACATCTAAAGCTTAATTACCTAGTGTGCCTAGGTAGTGATGGCTTTGGATAAATTTTGCCGCCCTTTCTTTAAGAGCGCTTTCGCCTTAAAGTGTCTTTTCCAATGCGAAACATTCTACCGGCGTCTCAACCTTAGAAGCAATACCTTATAGAAATAGACATCATAAGTCCTATGGCATTTTCTACGCAACTCTCGCCATAAGATCTGTTCATGACCCGCCATAAGGCTTGCCTCGACCTCTGTTGTCGCAAATCTCTCGAAAAGGAAATTTAATCACAAGACCTCCGAGGTCGGAAAGAAAATCTCTCTAGCACCGAGTGACTCCCAATTCGAGGTGCCTCCCTCCCCTACACGATTCGAGGACGAAGGCCTTACATACAAAACCAGTGACTTGAGACTTCCATCATGCTCGCAGCTGTCGGGCAGCCAGTACCCAACACCGCCCATGCGGTCAGTGTCTCATTGCCATCATGGGCGGCCACGGTGGGTTACGAAGAAGGACAGGATTGGGTAGTGTCTAAAATGGAGACGGGCTATCCCAGGTTCTTCATTCACCTGACCATCCAAGAACTCCAGAGGGAGATTTTAAAGCTCTATGGCAGATCCGGGGAGAGTGTCATGCTCTTCCCATCTCTCGCCACCGCGAAAAGATGCCAGAAGTTCTTTTACGACAAGGTCGACGGGTTAGCAACGGGCTCCATTCGAACCTTGCAACTGCAACCGGCTGTCGACAAACACAGAAGCCACGAGACTGTTCTCTCCGGACTGGCATGTGTTTTCTTTCCCAAGGACTACTTTAGCGTCGCGAAGCAAGTTTGGCAGCATACCGGCGATGGCATATCCAGTCGCCGCGGAGAGTTCTGCTTAAAGGCACTAAAAGACGGTATACTCCAACCTGATACGCAACAAACAAAGCCGAAAACGGACGACATACTATTTACCAAAGGTCCACGACGATATCAACGACCAGCATCTCGGAACGGGGTGGTCTATGACAGCACGGTCCCGATTGAACCAGTCGTAAACGAAGCAACAAATGACGGCGAAGACAAAGACTATCCTCAATTCGTAGAGGAACGGTTCGGTCGCAATCTCAACGTCAAACTTGCCCAACAGGCGAAGCTGGCGATTCGTCGCAGGATCAGTGGGTGTCTCACAGAGGACGTAGATCTGGACCAAGCACTGGCCGAAACCCCGAGTAACTGCAACAGCAGACAGATCGGGCTGTCGCAGGACGACGTCTACCTCTACCCTTGCGGAATGTCGTCGATTTTCAACACGCACCGGATACTCTTGGCCAACGCCGAGGCCAAAGGACAACCGCCCAGAAAGAGTATTTGCTTCGGATTCCCTTACATTGACACCCTCAAAATTCTAGAGAAGTGGGGTCCGGGCTGTCTCTTCTATGGACTGGGTAGTTCAGCTTGCCTAGACGATCTTGAGCGACGTCTGGAATCCGGGGAGCGGTATCTGGCTCTGTTCACGGAGTTCCCGAGTAATCCACTCCTCAAATCGCCAGACCTCGAACGTATCCGCACGTTAGCGGACAAGTACGACTTTGCAGTTGTAGTCGACGAGACCGTCGGCAATTTCACCAACATTGATGTCCTCAGCCGGGCGGACGTGGTGGTCAGCAGCCTAACCAAGCTGTTTAGCGGTGACAGCAATGTCATGGGCGGCAGTGCCGTCCTGAATCCCCAGAGCAAATGGTACCCCGAACTCAAGCAAACAATGGCCCGCGAGTACGAGGACAATTATTGGGCAGAAGATGCCGTGTTCATGGAACGCAACTCGCGGGACTTTATCTCCCGAAGTGAGCGCATGAACACGAATGCTGAGGCAATTACAACAATCTTGCAGAATTGCCCGTTGGTTAAGCAGGTCTACTATCCAAAATGCAGTCCCAGCCGGCCCAATTACGAGGCCTGTCGTACGCCGAGTGGTGGCTACGGCGGCTTGCTCTCGGTGACATTCCACCACCCCAAGCAAGCGGTTGCGTTCTTCGACGCCCTCGAAGTCCAGAAGGGTCCAAGCTTGGGCACGAATTTCACGCTTGCATGTCCTTACACGATCCTGGCGCACTACACGGAATTGGACTGGACAGCACAGTGGGGGGTGGAGGCGGATCTTGTTCGATTAAGTGTCGGACTGGAAGAGCCCGCAGAGCTTACAGGCAAGATAGAGCGAGCACTGAAAGCTGCAGAGGATGTGAAGGTATAAGAGCGTGTCTCCCTTTGTTGGCAAGGCGTACATAAGTCAGGGGGGGAACATGGGTTCATGGCTGTTCAACTCAGCCAGCTGCCTCCTTTTGGGACTATGAAAACAAGATTTTCGGACAAATCTTATGAGGTCGGCCGAAGGAAATGCTTTGGACATTGGAGAGTTCCCATACGATAGGTGGTGTAGATGCTGTAGATGCTGTTTACATGTGAGCGCTGCGTAGCCGCAGCCTTGAGCATCACTTGGCTGGAGCATGCAAGGCTGCGCCGTGCCCCGCACTGCGGGTTTTGTTTCCGCCCCGGCACCAACACAGCAATCATGGCCTCGTCGCTCCACCCCGCGAATCAACGTCATACGATTCACGCTTTTGCTCAGACGATCTCTCCCTGTCCATCACCCTACTTTTTATGTTCCTCTCGACGAGGTCTTCCGGTTCGTTTGGGTCTCTGATAGTTCATTTCTTACAGGGCAAGTGACAACCATTCTCGATCTCGTTGTATTTAAACCCCCGCCGTGCTCAACCGTCCGAGTTCGTGCCTTTTCGTCTGTCCCTTGATACATGCGCTTTGCGTCTCTTGCAAGCCTATTTCTCTGCGCAGCCACTACCATCCTCATTCTAGCTGTCTTGGTCCCAACCGTGGACTTCTCTAGCATCACCCAGCACATCCCGTTCCTCGTCTCGCTGACTCCTCCTCCGACCAGAATGGCGTGGCGCTGCTCCGGGCGGTCCAACGCCGAGCTCATCCAGAACCTCTTCAACGCGGGCGTCATCCAGGCGCCGCGGGTGCGCGACGCCATGAAGTCCGTCGACCGCGCACACTACTGCCCGTCCTCGCCGCACGCGGCGTACGAAGACTCGCCGCAGCCGATCGGATACTCGGCCACCATCTCCGCGCCGCACATGCACGCGGCGGCCTGCGAATCGCTCTTGCCGTTCATGCCCGAGAACAAAGGCGCGAAAGTGCTGGACATTGGCTCCGGGAGCGGGTACTTGACACACGTGCTGGCGAACCTGGTCTGCGGGCCCGATGGCAAGGGAGACGGCAAAGTCGTGGGCATCGATCACATCAAGGGCCTCGTGGACATGTCGCGGGAGAACATGCAGCGGAGCCAAGAGGGCCGGGAGCTGCTCGAGTCCGGCAAGGTCGAGCTCATCACCGGCGACGGCCGCAAGGGGTACCCCGAAGGCGGACCCTACGACGCCATCCACGTCGGCGCCGCGGCGAGCGAAATGCACCAGATCCTGGTTGACCAGCTAAACAAGCCCGGGCGGATGTTCATCCCCGTGGAAGACGTGGGCGGCTGGGGCTCCCAGTGGATTTGGGTGGTGGACAAGGACAAGGACGGCAAGGTCACCAAGAAAAAAGACATGGGTGTTAGGTATGTGCCATTGACAGACGCGCCATCTTGACAATCACAGAAATTGCTCGACTGGTGGCACAATTTGTGGTGGAGAGGGAGGTAGGTTCGGCGTGGTTTGATACAGCGACGAGGCCATTGACGATGTCTGTGTATTATTGCTATGGACACGACTCGACCCCTCCAGCGTGAGGGCTTTGTATAACAAAGAAAAAAAAATATGACTGAGACTGCGGATACACATAGCGGAATGCGGGATTGGCGTGGCAGGGTGAATAATGTCTCTGTCCACGATTCAAACCGGATGTCACAACCTGGTCTGGCAGCGGTTGGGACTAATACGAGATTGACACGTCAAAATCATCCGCTTCTCATGCCATCCAATATTCTGCACCCTTTCATAGGCGGGCTTGATGACCACTCAGAGTAGCTCCCTCCATTTCCGCGTCAGCAGGTTCATCTGAAAGAACCATGTCTACTTTGCCTCTACCATCGGCTCCTCCGCCACATAGTGCAAGTAGGCCCCTAGAAGCTTCGTTCCCTCAATGTAGTTCCTCCGATCCAGCTTCTCGTTAATACTGTGCGCCGCGTCCGTGGAACTGCCCATCGGCAACAACAGAACGTTCTTCCCTGTGGCCTGCTCGAATGTGATGGTCACAGGAATCGAGCCTCCTTCCCGCGTCATGTCCGGCTCCACGCCGAATACCTCCTTGACAGCCTTGGCGGCGGCTGTGAAGTTCCAGTGCTTGGGAGAAGCGACCCACCATTTGCCGTCGTGTTGGCAGTACACGTCCAAGGTGTTTTTTGAGTTGAGTTTGGCGAACTCGTCCCGAATGTACTTGTAGACGAATTCGTTGACTTTTGAGGACTCCATGTCTGGAACGGTGCGGATGGAGAACTTGCCAATGACCTTTGCTGGGATGACAGTTTTGGCTCCGGGGGCCGAAAAGGCACCCTCGACGCCGTGGATGGAGAGGGAAGGGTATCGCCAGCGGGCCATCAGGGTATTTTCCTTATCGGAGAAGATGGCGGTTTCGGAGCCTAGCGATTCATACAGATTATCCATGGTGTAGGCGATGGGTCCGTACAAGGCTTTTTCTTCTTCGGTGAGAGGAGCGACCATTTCGTTGATGCCGGGGATAAGGATCTTCCCGTGGCTATCGACGAGTTTACTCAAAATGAGCGTCAGGTCGGTCATGGGCTCCTGGGCAGTGCCGCCAAACACTCCTGAGTGAAGGTCCTGTCCCGGTCCGGAGATGGAGATGGAGTAATAGTTGCACCCTCGCAAACCGTAGGTGAGACAAGGTTTCTCCGTTCCAAGCCAGTAATTGTCAGAGATGCAGACGGCATCAGCGTCTTTGAAGAACTTCTTGGCTTCGGCGTTGATGAAGTCGTCGAGCCCTTCGGAACCGTACTCTTCCATACCCTCGAAACAGCATAGCAGATTGACGGGGAAGTCGACACCGGCCTTCTGGTGAGCTTCAATGGCATTCAGCCAGCCCAACACGGGGCCTTTGTCGTCAGTGCTGCCACGCCCGTACATGCGTCCCTTGTTGTCGATGGTCAACTCGAAGGGTTTTGTGGCCCATCCGTCCTCGATAAGGGCGGGTTGTACATCATAGTGTCCATAGACCAGTATGGTGCGCTTGTTCTTGTCATTCCCGTAGCGGGCAATGATGACTGGAGGAAGATCGAGATGTTCTTTGCCTGGTTGTTTTCCTAGCGGGCGTTGTTGTACCTCTGCCCCTAGCGATTCGAGTTCGGAAGCCAGAAATTGTCCCATCTGTTGCTCTTTCAGCCGCTTCCTAGCAAATTCACTTCATTTGATCACCTACTCGGACGACATCCTTTCTTCTTTCTTCGTCCGCCGAGACGGAAGGGATTGCCACGGCTTTTCGTAGCCCTGGTGAGATTGACTGTCAGTACCCCGCGGTCATCGATATCGCATGGAGTCCCTACTGTCAATGAAGGAATCGGCGAGCTCATCCACCCTGAAACTTGTTAGCGTGCTGCAAAACGTCGGCATTCTGTGGTTTACTTCTTGAAATATGGCTCTAACTGTGGTGCCATCTTGTCGTCAGAGATGTGACCGTAGTAATCTCGTGTACTGGAGGGGAGTCTCAATGCGCGCAGGAGCGGGTAACGAGGGCGAGCTGAGGTGCGTGGTAAAGATGCAGTCTTGAATAATCTATGGAGACCTGTCGAAGAGTAACGACCTGCGCAAAATGTGTGGAGCATGTGTTGGCAGGCAGCTGTGCCTCTGTGACTGCGCGGGATGTGGTTTGGAGAGTGTGATTGATAGATTTTGGAGATCTCCGCATTGCAAAACACGGTGGAAAATTGTACAAGAATGCGACCCCCTGACAGCGGCGCTCTCTAATTTGAGGTAGGCAAAGGAAAATATCTTTTACACAGGTCTTGCTTTTTCCCCATATACAAACAAAGTTTCAAGCATCTCTATACCAGCGTTCCTTTCTGATCTGTCTATCCTCGCGTGCCTCCCGTCTTTTCTTGCCCCAATTCGACTTGACAACGTCGGTCACCATTTTCTGTTCCTTGCCCTTTTCTGGGGCTAGCCCTTCGACGACCAGGTGTGTAAAGACTGGAGAGCAGTCAAATTTCTTCGATAACCGACTGACGCTCCATTGCGTGGGGTCTGCCCTCCTCAATTCCCTCATCTCTTTCAAGTCCTTCTCCGCTAAGTGATATCGTTTTTCCGTCTGCCCCCGAAGGGCCGGTAGCTGCTGAGCCGATTGTAAGAGTGTTTGTCGTGTTTCAGGGTCCGGAAACACCTTTCTGCGGTCATTTTTAGGCAGGAAGATGTTCGGCGTGTGGTAGACATTGGGCATGCTTGAAGGAGGATTGTAGATGATGTGGTCGTGTAGCTCGGTCTTGGAAGGTAGAAAGTCTGGATCTGGCTTGATATTAAGCCTGGATCTCGTCCGTCTGTAAGATGATTGATGCCGACGGAAGGAGGGTCGGAGGATCTGTGCGCAGAGCTTGTAGAACCGCGAAGATGCGGGCGACGGCGCCGGTAAAAGGGTCATCGACTGCATATTGACAAACAGGTTCTCTGTCTTTGCAGGTGTCAAAACGGAGAAGACGTTAACACTCTTCTAGCTGGTCCCCCCGAAGCCTGGTCTCAATGCTTCTGATGAGAATTGGCTTTTCCTAGCTTTGACAAGTCGAGATTACCGTCGCTGAGGCATACTCCCCAACGGTGCACTTTTTCTCCGAATACTGTAGGACAATTGAAGTGCACGTCTCCCGGACCTCGACGATGCCCGGGAGGGTCGAGATGCCGGAATGATCAGTTGTGCTGTGCGTAGGGCCCGAACAGAGCGTGAAGGATCAGCAGCTCGCGCGCAGTCAAGGTTGGCCAGTGACACTGAAGCAAAAGCGCAACCACGGGTGGTGGCTTGGCAGGTTCGGATTAGCTCATCGGTTGTTCCACCTGTCACAAGACATGGGCGATGCTGGTGATGCGTCCCTGAAACTCCAGGTGCTGCCAAAAGCGGGAGCCTAAATGCTTGACGGGGGCCCAGCTGGGTGGACACTTCGGTGGCCGCCACCGGGCTTTATTGGGCTCTTCTGGGCTGCTCTAGGCGAGGCACGCTTGTGATGTTGGAGGCTTGCGAGCCCAATTGGACACAAATCATGAGCCTCCAGGTGTGCCACTGATGTGCCTCCCAACCTCCGAAACATGCACCAATTGTGCTCATCTTTGTCCAAGGAACACTTCCATCCCTCCCCTAGTGCATACCGACTACGTACTTGCCGTCTCCTCCCAGGTTTCCTTTCTCAACAACAAAAGCAAATCGACGGCCATCCTCACTCTCACCTCCTCTCCCACCCGCACCACCAACGCACATACATACTTTCGTTGCACAGGGCATCCATTGTAATATCCCGAACCCTTCCCCTTGTTGTCCCGAAAACAACCCTCCGTCGATCAAGTCGATCTGCATTCCACTCTGTACATCCTCCCTCCAGCGCCCGCTGTACTCCATCCTTCGTCTACAAGCCTCTGTGCCACAACTGCGTGACCTGGCGCAAGTAGAATACCACTACCCGAAATCAGCTCACATTTGGATCTATTTAAGAGTCACTCTCTGATTTCCTGTCTACACTATGCTGTGCCTCCGGCGCTTTGTCTAAACGCATGTCACATCTGTCGACGGCCTATTTCCTCTATCTTGACCTGGTAATCTGGGTCAGTCCTCCCGACCTAGAACACTAAATATCCGCATCACTTGCCTGCGACGTAACAGTCGGTCGTCATGTCGTCGAAGGAACCATCCGTCAATGACAAAGTCAGTGCCAGTACCGAGTCAAGGGACTCGGCCGCTCCTTTGCTGAGAGACTCCTCTGCTCAACCCTCCGGAGCGCAGACCTCTGCGTCGACCGTTGAAGAAACCTCCACCAAGCCGCGGAAGAGGGACTTTTGGAAGTTGGGAAAGAAGCCAGAAGAAGACAAGCACCATATAAAGGGGAAAGCCGCCGTTGCCTCGAAATCCTCTTCCTCCACTGCCAGCCCCTCCGCTGGGTTGAATCCGACGTCACCCATCAGGTCCCCGGACTCGGTCAGTGGTTCAGTATCACCGCACAGAGGCTCTATGGCTCATCCCTACGGTGTCCCGGGCTCCCCGGGGTATGGGCCGAGTAACTCGTCTCCCAGACCGCACTCACCCGCTTCTTCCATGATCTTTGAGCGAAATGTCCAGGAAGAAATCGCTCTGCCTGAGAAATCCCCACACTTGCCTTCTCATGTCCTCATTGAAAATCACATTGCGCCGGCTCTGGATGCGTCTGCGGAGGCCATCACGAACGAAAAACTGGACCCCGACACGGTGGAGATCGTCACTCACGCAACGCATCAACCTGCTGCTGTGACAATCTCCGGGCTTGGAGCCGATCATTCTCTGGCTTCTTCGGTCCAGGAGGATTTTCCTTCTTCTTTAACGCATCGGCAAGACGCCGACACTGGGTCAAATTACGGATCCTTGGATTCGACCGATGTGCGGCGCCTGAGTTTCATTTCCTTCGCGGATGTTGTTCACGGTGAACAGGAGCTGGGAGACCCGCGCCGCGACTCGACCCATCTATCGGGCCATCCGTCCCTCGTTCCGGCTCGCTCGCCGTCTCCTATTCGATCGCCCACCTCCTCGGCGGCATTTGGAACATCACCACCCACAAGCGTGACCGCCTCTGTGAAGGGATTCGAGACATCCCCAAACCGAGCCCCAAGAGGCGCCGGTAGTCCGCTGCCAGGACAGAGCTCACCGCTAGCTACTGGAAATGAAATTAACGTTGAAACCATGCGACAAGCTCTCCGGCGGACCGGGAGCGGAGATCTGAGCCATTTCCGCAGTCCGCCAGCCAGCGCAGTGGGCAACGATGATGGGACATACGAGCGACCCTTCAGATGAGTATATGCGAAAATGAGGCGACGAGCAGCCAAGCATGAGGTGACATGATCTACGCGGGCGCATATCATGGTGGGAAGTTATACATCTCGAGAAGAAGGAGTGTGTGGATATCTGCGACAGGTAATATGTCTTTTTCTTGCACGCTGACCTTCTCCAGGAAGGCGTCTTTTCATTTCATTAGGACACTAGATACCACCTTTTGCTGAATGATTATGAATTCCTGCCGCCTACAAAAGAGACAATATTCTCGAGTTTCGGCTCACTCTACGTTTTCTGGGTCTCTGAATTGGCTCCGTGATTGTCGGCTTCGACCGAGAACTGACAGCGCAGAACCACGCAGTCCTCGCTTTGGCCAATAAAAATGGACGTTGATGGTCTGCTGCTCAATTCTCCAGGATCAGGGCGCAATCTCTTCCATGTTATCCCCCAGGAGTCGTCAGCGTATATTACTTAGGGGGCTCGGCGAGATGGGCCTGATGTCCCTATCCGTCAGCATCCTCACATGGACCCTATTTTGTCAAGCGAGTAATCAGCAGGCTAGTCGAGGTATGGTATTTGGAATGATGACACTGAACAGCGATGCTTGGAAACGAAGAACGACACGCCATACTAACACAGAACATCTTCCCAGGAATACACCCGCCTGTGTGGACCTTCACCGGTTCACAATGTTGTATTTGGAGTCCGGAACCCCTCAGTGCCACAGCACACGATACTGAATCGACGCTCATTACAGGAGGCTTCCCAGATACCATTGACGTCCTCTATCAAATTACAATATCCAAAGCATGGCGAGGACCATGATCAGACATCTCCGTCCTCCGCGTCCTGGAAGGCTGATTTGAGCTTTGAAAGAATTGCTTCGGCCTCCCTCAATGTCTTCTCCAACCTGGCGGCTACAACGTCCAGCACTTCTTCTGGAGCCGCCAGAAGAGCTTCGGTGATTCTGCAACGCACAGTCAGCGGGTTCGGCCGGAGGCACAGCGACGGCAGCAAGCATACGCCTCTTCGTCGTCCACAAAGCTTCCGATCTGAGCAAGATCCCAGTCTCGGTCGAGGGTGTCCTCGGCACCTCCTGTGAAGCCGTTATTCCATGCAACTGTCTGTGGATGATGATCCTCCTCTTCTACAGTCATCAAGGAAGTGTCTTTTGTCTCATGGTCGAAACTAGCCTGGCTGGACCTGGACTGATATGGGACATCCAGCTGCTCACTCTCGATCAAGGAGTCTTGCGTATGATTGTGGCCCATAACTCCAGTGATGGCGACTGTGCTTGACCCTGACGAAGAGAGGGTGCGCTTTGCGGATTCTCTGGAGGTACTCTGTGATGGCTTGAGCCTCTTGACGAGTCTTGGACACTGCTCCTGACCTGAGTGGCTTGGTGGATGCTTCTTGTTCTCGCGAAGTCGAGATTCTGGTACGCTGGTCTCGACGATGATCTCTGGTATGAAGGATTTGTTTGAGTTCATGGTGACAGAAGATGGTTACGTGTTTTAGGAACGTTCGTGTATATCAGACAGAAAGAACCTGAATACCTCTGGGGGAGACAGAATGCCCCTGGAATACCTCTGAGGAGAGAGAATTCCCCGAACTGCTTCTGCGAAAGGGTGCATTTTCCCGGACTACTTATACTCTGTGCCTGCAGTCCAGCCTCATCTGCCTAGCACCGTGGGCGGTTGTCCCGACATGTTTGGACTCGATCCTGCTCAACAACTTTTGTTCGACCGTCTGCCATTCGAGGCACGGAGTCGCTGACTGCTCTTGTCACCAGAGGGGAGAGCCTGGTGTCCGATTGGTTCGTAATCCAACTTCTGCATTACTGCTCAGGGCCGCTAGTACCAAGTAGGCAGAGATTGTGGCACTTTCCGTGTTGACCAGTCTTCACCACTCTTTCAAACATTACATAACGTACCCTATGTAGTCAGCATCGCCCCCAGTTAGAATAATGGACGCGGGGGTTCGAGCTGCCAGTGCCAGTGCCAGTCCCTTGTCAGGTAATGGCCCGTAGTAAAGGCCCCCTCTTCCTCGTCCTGCCTGCTACCCTCCCTGCCCTCCTCGTCTTTACCTGCTTCTCTTCGACCTTCCTTCCCCATCTCATTACCCACTGTAGCCAATTGTGAGCGCATAGGGCGTGGCAGCCTTAACTCAATACCCACACCCGCCATTAAGTCAGCTACTTAGATCTCAGCTTGCGCGCGATCTATTGCTTTCCGCACGAACGGGCAAGTTCGCCTTCTCTTCATCTTTCCACAGCAAGTGTGACTGCAAAGATCGTTACCGTCGCAAGTTCGCCGAGTTCTGCTTGGCAGAATCTTGACCGACCCAAATTTCGCTGGCGGGCGTTCTTGCCAGGCATAAATCCTGCATAATAGTTCGAGGTCGAATACTGAGAAAATCTCGTAATCGGACCCTCGTCGTCGCCTGTTTTTATGCAGCTAATGTCGATGTCGAGATCTCCCTGGTCTTCTTGTCTGTCAAATAACTGGCCGGTCCTCCGCCCAAGGACTGACTCTCCATCAACTACGCCTCCTACGATTGGTAGTAGTAGAGGTAAGTGTAGACCAGGGTCTCAAGCGAACTTGCGGTCAAACCTGCGGTCAAGCTTGCTGCCCGGCGACATTCCCCTGCCGCTACAGCATTCGGATTGAACCGTACTTGCAGTACAGAATAAGGCTCAGCCGTATGATCTCGTGTCAGGAAAGTTGCTAAGCCACGCGGCTGTCGTCGAGCAAGTCCACCTGCACAACAAGGTATATACTACGTCAGAGAGACCTGAGCAAAGGAGGCCGAGGCCAACGGTCTCGACACGAGGGACTTGGTAGTCAGTCTCGTAGCACTCGAGGCTATGGATTCAGAGGCAAGGGATTGTAGCGTTGAGGAGGGCCGAGTTTGGGCCCACCGTGTCGCGGCTCTGCACCACATGGCGGCAGCTGTTTCCTGTCAACAACGTTCCGTTCGGTGACATGGTCGTCTGGTCGCTCCACACCAGGCTCACGTAGCCGGCTGCGGTGCGCAAGTATAGCTTGGGGTCAAAGCCAAAAGGCTCAAGAGGATAGTTGTACCCTTTCCAGCCTCCAGAATCAGCTGTACTGTCGACAGTGGCGACAGAAACCCTTGCGTCTGGCGTCAGGACCGGCGTCGACGTCCGTCTAGTTGGCCTCTTTGGCCTTTTTGGTGGGGATGGTCTTCGGATCTTGGGGCACGATGGTGAGCCAAGAGACAAACCTCACAGCGACACAAATGTTATTGGCGAATACTTTCCAGCCTCCCTTGACAACCCACTGGAGACATGGGTTGGGACACTTTCTGGATGTCGGGACAAGGACCCCAGGAGCGCCCGGTCGGCCACCAGTGCCAAGGCATCGCAGGGGATAGTCCTCCCTGTCGGATACACGGAGAGATGCTCCCAGGTTAACGATCGTCTCTTTCCCAACTCTGTTGCGCCGCCATGGCGGATATCGAGGTGTGAAGCAGGTGATACACAGCAGTTGATAAGGTACGGTAGGAGAAATCTGGGGTACTAACGCTAGTCACAGCAATTCAATACTCGTAGGGCCATCCCTGCGATGGCCCGTTATTTCTAGCCTTGACGCCAAAAGCTTAAGCGAACGCCTCGTAGCTCTTCGTATGCGTGGACCTCGGTCAACTCGGTCCGTGCCTGAGGTATTTGGGGGTACGCGTCTTGGGCGTATCTAGGTCTCACCGGGGGAATGGAAGCACTTACATCACTCAGCAAGGATCAAGATAGATTTGTAAGGTCCGCGCCCAGATAAAACCCGTCACAATCAAGATCCATCACCGGGGACCAGTCCACTTCAACACTCTGAATACCAAAGGTGGTAGCAGCTTCAAAAGGGCGGGCCTCGACCAGATCAAACCAGAGCATTGACATCGAGGAGTTGGCGACAGAGTGGGTTTGCCATCACAAACCATCGTGGTCAATCAAAATGGCCGTCCACTCTACTCTAGAACCATCATCTCACCTCTCCTCCCTCCGGACGCTGGTGGCCGAAACCCTCTTCAACCCGGTGCTCACCGGTGCGCTACTCCTGTACGTGCACCGCAACCCGACGCTCCTGGAGCGCCTGCCCTGGCCACCGCCGACCACGACCTTGAGGCTCCTCCCCTTCCAACTGCCCTGGGGCATCCCCAACAGGATCACGCTGAGGGCGACCCCGGCGCTCAAGACGCTCAAGTTCCTCTTCGCGCTGGGGCTGATCACGCACCTCAACCGGCTCCTCAACCGCCTGGCCCTGAACTACTGGCACCTCGGGAAACAGGGCGAGGCGTGGGACTTTGGCGGGGAAGGCAAGGAGACCATCCTGGTCACGGGCGGGTGCTCGGGGTTCGGGAGGGAGATGGTCAAGATGTTCGCGGCGCGCACGCGGGCCAACGTCGTCGTGCTGGACGTGCAGGAGTTGCCGGACGATCTGAAGGACGGTCAGTACAGCCACCTAAACACCTCAAGCACGCACCCGCTCACCCCCTCTCATGTGGCTCGGGGGACAAACCCCTATACACACACACACACACACGGGGTGATACCCTACTGACTCCCGAGTCCTTGCTAACTGTGGACATTAGTACCCCGCCTCTCGTACTATCACGCCGACTTGACCTCGCCCGCGTCGATCCACGAGGCCGTGGACCTCATCTGCCGCCACTCCACGCCGCCGCCGACGGTGCTGATCAACAACGCGGGCGTCGCGCAGGCCCACACGATCCTCGACACCGACGACGCCTGGCTCGACAAGATCTTCCGCGTCAACCTGCTGAGCCACTTCACCTTGATCCGCCTGCTGCTGCCGCGGATGATGGCGCAGCGGAAGGGGCACATTGTGTCGATAGCCAGTGTAAGTTTTCGTGCCCCTGCTCTCCCGACCCCACGTCCCCCCCTCCCTTCCTATCTACTCTACCTACCTACCTACCTACCTACCTACCTACCTACCTACCTACCTACCTACCTACCTACCTACCTACCTACCTAGGTATCTTAGACGAGTGTATATAAGAGTCTAACGAGCTGAATCCTGTGATAGATGGCCAGCTACACCGGCTGCGCCAGCCTGGGCGACTACTCCGCGACCAAGGCCGGGGTGCTGGCGCTGCACGAGACGCTGACCGCGGAGCTGGCGACGCGCCACCGCGACCGCGGCGGGCACTGCGTGCAGGCCTCGATCGTGCACCCGATGTGGGCGCGCACGCCGCTGGTGGGCTCGTGGGAGACGGGGCTGGCCCGCGCGCGCCAGCCGGTGCTCGAGCCCCGCGACGTCGCCGCCAGGGTGGTCCGCCAGGTCCTGGCCGGCCGGAGCGGCAGCGTCTACGTGCCCGACAACGTCTGGGTCGGGACCTGGCTGAGGGCCGTGCCCGATTGGGTCGCCGTCACGTCGAGGATGGATACCGCCCGGGCGACCGCGACGGACTCTTAGGTGCCGAGATCGTATGGGAAGTTATTCTCCTTGGGGGGGGGGGGGGTCGCAAATGGATTGTCGAATGTCGGGATAGGACTTGGTGGAAAGGGACATAAGGGCAAAATGGCGGGAATCCGGCGAGAGATCCATCTCAAGCTAGGCGACTGAGCATCGCAGAGGCAGACACGCATACACACGGATAAAGTATAGGGGCAAAGTGAAATCACATGGATGGCTGACAGATGGAACAGATGTACGATATATCAAGTATATATACTAGTCACAGGATTCGGCAAAAGTAAATCTCCTTCTGTCGCTAAATATTCTCCCCCTATCATGGTCGCCCTCGTTCTTTGTTCCGTCATCGTTCATCGTCACATAACAAGACCTAAGTTTCGACTTTTGTTTTGTTTTTCCCGCACTTTTGGTTCTCTCTGTTAACTCTCTCAACACGATCCAATAGATCTCCCTCCTCTTTCCCTTCCTCGGGATCAGTTGGATAGATAGATAATAGCTGGCTGGATAGATCAATATACCCAAACATCCCAACTTCCGAGCTGCCAATCAAACCAGATAATTAACGAAACAAAGAGGGTCAAAATCAATGGAACTGCGTCTCCGTCACGCCCTTGCCCATGGCACTGGTGCTGCTGACTCCACCAGTGACCATCTTGAGCATGTTGTCAACGTAGTTGGCGCCGCTCCACTTTTGATGGGTGACAACATCGACTTTGTTCTCCATCTCGGGCTCTTGGATGAGTTCGCCATAAGCACGCATGCCGCGCTGGGCAAAGGCTTTGGAGAAGGTGTCGGAGATGAGGGCGGTAGAGTGAAGGCCAGCCAGGGTGATGAATTGCCAGCAGTAACCCAGTTCGGCGAGACGCTGGATGTACGTCTCTTGGTCCGAGGAGGACATGGCGCGTTTCCAGTTGAAGGAAGGAGAGAGGTTGTATGCGAGTCTGGAAAAGCAAAGGCTGTTAGTCGAGTTCTTTCGCCTTTTGCCGGGAAGAGATCAAGGGAGATTCAGGTGACTTACTTCTGCTCCGGCCACACGGCGTGCACGCCCTCGGCAAACTCCTGAGCTTGGGCGTAATCCGGCAACTTACTCTCCATCCAGATCATATCTGCATACGGTGCATAGGCGATCGCCCTGTTCACCGCGCATTGGCATCCACCTTGGTACCTGTAGAACCCTTCTCTTGTCCTGGGGGCGTCCCAGTCCCAGTAGATATCCACACCGGTCAAACCCTTGGCAATGGCGCGGCATTCGCTGTTGGATTTGCCCTTGGAGGCGGTCTTGTATTTCTGAATCAGAGCTGCCTTGTCCACGTGGACACCAGCGTTGATGGCGTCGATCACGGCGTCGTCGAACAACTTGATGCCAGCTTGGGCAATCCAGCTGTCTTCGATGGCTTGCAGTTCATCTCCGTTCTTGCCGGCTTGTTCGGCCGCAACCATGAGATCATTGAGCGGCTGAAGGTTAGCGTTGGTGGATCCGAGAATGAATGGGTGGTCGCGGTAGTCGATGGTTGTGGTAATGAGGGTCGCGGCCTCGGAGTCGGTACGAGCCACGGCAAGCAAGTCGACGCCCATAATGTCGGCTTGGGCGCGGATGGCGACTAGACGGTTGATGTGCTCGGAGATGGGCACGAGCACCTTGCCCGCCATGTGGCCGCACTTCTTTGTTCCCGGAGCTTGGTCCTCAATGTGGATGCCTGCAGCGCCTTTTTCGACAAAGAGTTTTGTGAGTTTCATAACGGCTGTGAGACCTCCGTGGCCGGTGTCTGCATCGGCAATGATGGGCCGCAGATAATCGACGTTGGCCACCTGGCTTCGCTTGTCTTTGGGGGTGGTGAGACGCTCCTCTCGCTGTTTGCGGTCGTGGAACAGCTGGGCCATGAACAGGTGCTGGACTTTATTGGGGACGGTGTTCATGGGGTAATCGGCCAGATCAGGCGAGGGCTCGTCGGTGGAGGAGGCGGTGGAGGACGATTGCCAGCCAGAGACGTAGACGGTATCCAGGTACTTGTTCATCTGGGTCAGCATGGTGGGCTCGAGACAGCCATAGGTAGCCGAAGCGGTCTTGGTCTGTACAAGCTGGATTAGCTGCGGTCTGTGTCAAGGATTAGCTGACTGGTATTGCCTACCGCAAAACGATGCTCAACAAGCTTCCACAACTTCTTGGAGAGGTCGTTGCTGGGGTACTGGATCTTGAGGGTGCCTCGCTTCTGCACAATCTGCTCGGCCGTGTAGGGTCGTTTGGTATAGCGCCATCTGGAGTCGGTCCACCACTTCTTGACGGCCTCTACATCTTGCAGGTACAGCTGCTCTTCCTGGTCGAGCGAAGACATTTTGAACGTGTCGACAACCTTTTTGAGGGCAGACGTCATAAAGAAAAGAGCTCGCAAGCTTCAGTCGTAGCAGTCGTCGTCACGACAATGCAACACAGGGCACAGAGGTCCAGAAGCTTAGACGGAGCGGAGGGGAAGGGTTTATACAGAGGAATCCAAGGTCTGGAGGGTCGAGGATCGAGAGGGAAAGAGGGCGATGCAGGAGCATTAAGTAAAAAATGCACAAGCCAGGCCCAAGGGAAGCTGGGGGTCGAGGCTCGGAAGTGGTTCGACTGGTGCATCGAGCGTCGAACATTGCCTCTCGGCCATGGTGTATGGATCCCGATGATTCAGAAGGCAAAAAACCTGGAGTTCCAGGCGTCGCAGGCTAAGCCTTTGCCGCTTGCGGCCGGGAGCCAGCACGAAAAGAGATTGGCTGCGGGCAGGAAAAGCGCGGAGTGAGCGAGTGAGCATGTCGATAGCAGGTGGAATGGGGGGCAGCTGGTGGTGTCGATGGTGTCGATGGTGTCGATGGTGTCGGTGCAGGATCGGCCTTTTGTGGGGGAGACTTGCGGATTGCTGTGATTGGCATGTGGCCATGACGTTGGACCAAGAAACTCCGTTCACCCGCCATTTGTCGACAGAGTGCCCGGATTGGAGATGGGGAGATGGGGAGAAGCATGGATGGTCTCTCTCTGTGTGCTGCAGCGGCAGAGGTCGTCGTCTTCACTCTTCTTCTTCTGCCATTCCTTTGTTGCTGTCCCAGTCCATGATGGAGTGGCATCGTGGGCAATGGGCACCGGTATGCAATAATGACGCATGGGATCTGGTGCCTCGGCAGGAGGAGCCCAAACTCCACGACACACAGGCACAAGACCCAGCACTGATGTCACGTGAAGGGCCCAGCTGCAGGCCCGGCAATTGCCAGTCCATCCACGCAGCTCGCTAGCTCGAGAAAGACTCGGATGCCTTGTCAGGGTACAAGCGCAGCACGCCGATTGGCTTCGTCGAAAAATGTCCTGGAACGTCTGCTTTGATGCTCTGTATGGTGCTGGTCCTGCTGGTGCTGCTTGCAATTGCTCATACTCTTCAGCTCGGCGGGCGCCTCTACAGTGGCTCTTTCCTTCCCGCAGCTGCAACAATATCAAAGGCTATGTATACCAAGAATTCCTCCCCAGGTTCTTCACCTGGCCTCTTTCCCCCGCTTCTCAGCTGTCGCCTTGAAGCAAAAACAAACTCCCCTTGACCACGCCTGCCCAAAGGATAACTGATGGAAGAAGAGCCTCCGAATGCAATCTCGAGGCCCGATGCTCTCATGCTCGCTAACCATAAACAGTCTCGTCTTTTTTGCATGATGCCCCCCAAATCTATTCCCTCGAATAGAGGATGCATCGGGAATCGTATCCACCGACTCGCTTGCCGGAAATGCCACAAAACAAACAAACAAACAAACAATCCCGCCGGCATCAGGATTGAGACCTTACTTCCTCTTCATACCGAGTCCAGGCTCGAACTGACGGCCGCCTCGTCTGACGAGTCCGGCCTCGATTCGTCTGATCCTTCTTGAATGGTCCCCTCGCCCGCTCCGAGCTTGATTTCGGTCGCCTTCGCAAACGTCTCGTATGGTGTGAGGGTGCCGAGAGCGCGCTTCATGTGCATCGGGATAAAAGACAATCCATACACGTAGCTGGCATTGACCCAGCCGAACCTGAACGCCGTCAGTGACAAGGCGGGGCAAAAACAGACTCGCCCCAAAAAAACTCACCCTTCTCGGGGAACGCCCTTGAAGTCAGCGCCTTGGTTGCCATACTCGGCCTCGACCTTGTGCGGGTCCAGCTCTCGAGTCACGTTGTACTTCTCCACCACCACCCCATTGAAGTCGACAAATGCCTTGGTGACCATGTACAGCCACTTGTACGCCAGTCGCTGTGCTTCCTCAATATATCCATACTTGATGAAGCCTCCCCATGCCAGCATCTGCTGGGGAGCCCATCCGAACGGATAGTCCCATTGCCGGTTGGGTCGATCAAGGCCGACTTCTCCGCGACTCTCCTCAGTGCCTGACACCAGGCCTCCAAAGCAATCAAACTTGGGCAGAGCGTTGAGCACCAGCGCAGCCGCCTGTTTGGGAGACGCACATCCTGCCCACATCGCCCAGAAGGTGGTTGCCGTCTCGTAGGTGGTGCGCTTCCTATTGACCGTGTCATAGTCAAAGTACATGCCCTTGGCTTCGTTCCACATATACTTGTCAATGCGGGCCTTGCGCATTCGCGCTCGTCGATCCCACGTGGCCGACGTCTCGAATCCTTCCCTTCTATTGGCGTCGGTCTGAAACTCGGTGGGTATGCTCAACCGATCTTTGAAATACTGTCGGATGCACCAGGAAATGTCAATTTCGTACTTGTACAACAGCGAATTCAGATCGATTGTGGCCAAGTTTGCCGCACAGCCTTCCAACCGGTACGACGTGTCGTGGCCAGATTCGCGGACGGCACGGTCGTGCAAAAAGTATTCATCCAGCTCGGGCTCGTGCACCTTTTCACTGTTATAGGCTTCGACAAACTCCGAAAACGTCATCCCGTGCTTTTTGGCATACGGTGTCAGTATGTGCACAAAGTGAGACGCCTCGGTCTCTGGTGGGACACCCAGGCCATCGGGCCGGTATCGTGACAGCCCAGTCGCCGGATCGTAACGAGGTGCCGACATCCACACGTTGTAGTATTCCTTGATGGCGGCTCGGATGGCGAGGCGTAAGAAATCTAGGGCTCCCGGTTCGTGCTTGATTTTGTCATAGACCTTCAGGGCCATGTCGGTCAGGAAGGGCGGTTGTGATCGAGTGAGGTAATAAGACCGGTTGGCGTTCAAAATCTTGCCATAATGTTTGATACAGAAGGTAAAGTTCAGCACCATGGACTTGGCCAGGTCGACCCTTCCGTTTTCAAGCAGACCCAGGGACTCCATGTAGCTATCCCACCCGTAAAGCTCATTGAAACGTCCTCCTGGCACAACGAACGGCTCCCCCTTGAGTGTCTCTTGTCCATTGACCATCTCTTTCTTCATAGCCAGCGCCAGAATGCCAGGTGCATCATTGAGCCCCCGTACGTATTCTGCAGTGATGGGACCTTCGGGAAGGTAGCGCACATCTAGTCGCATGTCAGGCCGGTCTTTGGCAACCTGGGTGTAGTATTCAAACTGCTCCGGGCAGCCAGAGGGAATATAGATGCGAGGCCTGGGATCGGCAGTCCAGTCTTTGGGATCGCGACCGGCCTTTTCGATTGTGGCGGCGTCCAGGCACCGGGTCAGATTGTTCCAAAACTCATCCCTGATGCGGCGCGAAAGGCGATCGACCGGGTTTTCACTCAGTCGAGAGCGGTGTATCTTGACCACCTTCTTGCCCAAATCTTTAGCCAGAGTTAACTCTTGTAGGAGGTTGCTGATCATGTAATTTCCGCGGACTTCGGCCGAGCGGTAGCCTGCAGAAGCCAATGTGCCCAAGTTGATGTGCTGTGAAGGGGTCAGTGTCTGGCAATATCGACGGCTGGCTTGAGCCTACCTTGGGACCGTTATCTTCTATTGTGATTTGTTGGTTCTTGTCCACGTCTTCCCGTTCCAAAAGATCCTCCAAGGTGCGGTCAACGTCCACCAGTAACTCCTGGTGTTGTTGGTGGTGTTCATCTGCGACGACACTGTATCAGCCATCTTTTGTTCTGTGCCCACAAATGAGTTTGGGGGGGGACATGTACGCACCGTGACTTGTCCTCCGAGCGGGATAGTTGCCCTTGAAAGCCTCGAGAGCGTTTTCGCGAGTGGTTTTGATGTACTGTCAACAAAGGGTCAGCAGTGGTCAGAAAGGGAAAAGGGGCAAGGTGACAGACTGAAGTGACGGCTCTATTTCGTGACCCCAAGAGTTGTCGTCTCACGGCTTCCTCATCGTAGTAAACAGAGGGTGAGGAATAAGGATCCCTGCGCTCGAGAGATGAACTCCGTCGACGATGATGGTGCACCGCATTTGGCAAGCTCATGACCAGCGACCTCAGCTCTCTCTGTAATTTTTTGAGTTGAGGAGTATTTTCCAGGAAAAGAGTGTGCAAGAGGCCGTTATGTTTTGTGCAAATCCGTGGGAGGAGGGCTGTGGAAAAGGTAGCCGGCGGTTGATTATCAAGGGTATTTCCCCAGCACAGAATACGATGTTGCAGACAAGGAGGCAACCACAGGGACGGAGATTGGAGGCTTTGGGTGGTGATGACAGGGGCGATGATGTCGACTTTCCAGAGCTCGGACCCGCTGAAATCTCCAAATCTTGTAGGGCTGTAGGTGGTAGGTAGTAGGCGGTTTGGTGGCTGCGCCCGGGGTTAAGGATGGTCTTGGGTCGAGCTTTTAGGGTCGCTGAATCCGGCTGTGCCGAGTCAGTCTCTTTCCGAGCACACGACCAGCAAAGCAGTGTGTAAGAATAAGGAAGGCGTCGAGAGGAAGGTCAGCTGGACGAAGAGTGAGGTGTGAGGTGTGGGATGCGAGACAAAGGAGACGCGAATGAGGGATTTGTGGTAGTGGTGGTGGTGGTCGGCGGTCGACAGTGGTGAATGGACGACGATGGGATGGTGTTTTGTTCTGTTGATCGCTCAGCGGTTGGGTCCTGCCGGTGAGAAATTGACCTGAAAGTGAAAAGAACGAAAGCAGCAGCCGCCGCCGCCAGTAGTACGCTTCAAAGCCACCTGCGTGCGGTGTGGGCAGTCGCAGGTCAGGTGGACTGTCGTAGACACAACAAACGAGGTCGAACTATTTTTATGGCTGGCGGGCTTGCTGGACAACTCTCTCTGTCTGGCTCGTCTGCCTCTCCTTCTGTCCCTTTGCCCCCTCTTGAACCCCGTCAACAACTTAGACAGAGTCTCGGAGTCGGTTGGTCTCGATGGCAAGGTTAGTCAGGGTTGCCTCCTCTGAAAAATTTTCACTCGTAGCGGGCGATCGATGCAAGAATTGCTTTTGGGCCAGACTGTGAACTCCAATGCCCTGCGAGGGTGCTATCTCCTTTGTGTTAGCGACCGTGGAGGTGGACCAGGGGGCTTGTGGGGGTCTCCAGGTGCGATAGTTGAATTGGGATATCGAACCGCTGGTGTTATCATCTCTGAGACCTTTGCAGACGGACTGAACGGAATCCTAGGAGCCCCTCGGAGTCCGTGCCAGCCAGCTGCATGCAGATGTGTCTGTCCAATGTCTGCCAAATGTGTCCACAGACCCTGCAGTGTGACTTGTCCAGACTCGTCCTCGTCCTCGATGCGCAACTAGTTGAACCGACCCCCAAATTCTGTGGCATGTCCAGTCTGGCTGGCCGTGGGCGGCACACGCAGGGCACCATGTCACACACAAGATCGACAATGCCTCCCTAGGTAGGTAGGTCCTCGTCTGCGCAGTAACAAGGGTGCTGATCAGTGTCTCGTATCCCCTTTAGCCGAGTTGCGACATGCTGACTTCCACCGTCATCTTGATCTTGATTTCACCCAAATCCCTGATCCTGCCATCCTCATCAACCTCAGCCTTGTTGCACCTCTTAGACTCGGCACCGGCCCCGTCGCCATAGCCCTGTGCCTAGGGAGATGTTCCCCAGACCGAGCTTTCCCCCTCCATCGCTTGCTTAGCCTTTTTGTGTAACCACGTTTCCCTGGGACGGGGGGGCGAACCAATCGCTCTGAGCGGTTGCTGTACCTTTCCATCCCACATTCCATTCCGGCTTTCGCCATCCGCATTGCAGCTGCATCCAGCCGACCGTTGCTCCTGCAGGGGCATCCAAGCGCTACTAAGTTAGCATTGCCCGCCAACCACCTTGATGGAGAATGCTATCAAAAAGGCTGTCCACCAAAGATCTGCATCTGGGGTACGGACTAGTCTGATACCCCCTGCTGCCCTCGGGTACTGACTAGTTCGGTGCCTGACACGAGACATTTCATGTAACCAGATACTTTTTAACTACTTTGGTATATAGTTTTCCGTAATGCGGTGTGTTGGTACCCGGAAGACCCTCGTTACCATGTACCACCATCGCGACAGGTCATGACGAGTTCCCCAACGTCTCCGCCCAGCATATCTCCCTCCTGTCTACACGGCCATGCTTGTCAAATCCATGCAAGTCTCACGTCTGTCCTGTTCAGAGGGACATACCCGCCCACACCACCCACACCAACTGCGTGCCGTCCCTTTGGCTTCCCTCTCTAGATATTTGCCACTTTCCCTCTCATCTTCCCACTCCCAAACCCCCGCCCCGACCTTGACACGCTTCTTGACCTTCTTCTTGACCACACCCCCTATGCCCTCGATTTCTTGCTGGAGATACCCTGGCTTGTTGCTGCCATAAACTGAATCTGGCGTGCCTACTCGGCTGAGGCCGTTTCTGTCCGCCTCCGACGCATCATGCGCCTTACCTTCAGAGCAATCAATCTCCACCCAGCATATGGCTTTGCCGCTTGTCTCTAGGCAATCTTCCCCGCGGCCGCATTTTTGAGCTTGGTTTCCTAACCCCAGCCCGGTGCCCAAGCCGTCGCCAATATGCGTCGAATACCGAGAACGCCAGGTCCATACTCTCTTGTAAGTGGTATCAGCCGTGCGCAGACTCTGGCCACAGGGCGCACACAAATAAACCCCACGAGTTTCGCACGTGCATGGACCTCGGAGAAATGCGGAAGAAGTCAAAGAATGGTTCGAGCTGGTGGTTGACTCGTGATTCTCTAAGTCTGCGGTGGTGCCCAACGTGGATGAGCTGGAAGCTGACCGTTCCGATCGCATCGAACTCGCACTGGACAAGAGGGGACTATCGCTAGCATCGTCGGCAGAGCCAATGGCTTGCAGATGCGCTTCAATCGGAGCGTCGAGACAGGTCTTGCAAAGTCGGCGAAAACGATCTTTCAGTCTCACAGTGCTGGGAGATTTGGCGGCACAGTTACGGCATACGACCGTTCCACATCGACGACATGGAGCCACCAAATCTCGAGCACAAGAGCTGATCTTGCTCGAAAGGCCGACTGATGCATAGAGGCCCCCAGGATTCTGCGGTGGCCAACCTCCCGCGATAGCTTCGGCTGTCGCCTGCACCTGCGAGATCACAGGGCTTTGATGCAGGGCTGTACTCCCAGAGGAGGCTTCAGTATGCGGTCTTTCTCTTTGTGCCAGGAGTGCTTCTGCTAGCACTGGTCTTCCGTCATGAATGCAACGCAGGGACTGAGACTTGAGTTGATGCGCATACTGTGAGAGGCCATTGTGGACACTTCGACAGGTGGCCGCTAGAGCGTGCAGATCATTGAGATCTAGATGAGAGGACAGGGACAGGGCAATCCTAATAGGACCACGAGGTTAGTACGTAGAGGGGTTCATGCAGCCATGTGTCAATGCCTACGGATAGCATGTCAAAGCGGCAGCCAGTTTGTTGGGTCTCGATGACAGTACTTGGACGTTGTGGATGCCGAGAACCTTGCTCACTGCATCTGAGCCTCCATTGAGAGCAGGTTTCAGCTGATTTTGGTGGGATGATGGGCCCGTGTCAAAGCGCGACCGACTGCTAGATGAGCAGTCGTCGTCATCAAGATCGAAGAACACTGCCATGTCGCCATTTGAGTCTGGAGAAAAAGATGGACAGAGCGGCAACCCCGCAAGTTGAACGAAAGATAACCAGTAACAAGGAATGCAGAATGAAATGAAGTTGGGCTGAATGAGGACAGAGGCACAGAGACCTTGTGACGCAGCAGATGAGGCACGATGTTTGTTGAAACTGCGGAGAAGGGAGAGTTCGCAGCAGATGAACCGGCACCAACGGTATCGAGGAGTGAGGGGCCGCCAGAGCCGCCCGAGCGAGGCATGTGACGGTGATGCGTCAACGACTTGGGAGGCCAACGAACCACGCGTTGGGCTCATTAGGCCTAGCAGGCGTGCCTAGGGCTGGTTCTGGTTAGCATGGGGATGTTCCCGCAACTGCTGAAAGCAAAAAAGGAGCTGGGCTTGTAGAGAACTCGTCACTTCATGGCGGGGACGGAGCATTTCTGTTTTCATTGCGACCCGATATCTATTGCGGCATCTTCAGGGGATTGTTGATTGGACACCTACACCTCTCTGACGGTTTCCGCAAGCACCCTTCTGCCATTTGCGACCCGAAAACACAAGCCAGCTTTTACTGCGAATTGGTTGAAAGCTGAACCGAGGCATCTTTAAGCGTATCGTCTGCATACTAAACATCTCACTTCTCGTGTGCGCTGAATTCCAAGACAACAGAAATTTCTATCCTGACTGTTGTCAAGATCCGAACCCTCGCTGCGCTTTTTCTCCAGCAACGACAAGCCTAGATCTCCGACAGGGGAATTGTGACAACAGACAAGATGACTTCGGTTCAACTCCCACCGTTCAACAGCACGCCAGTCGAGCAGATCCCTTCCATCGTCTCTCGGCTGCGAAACACATTCTTCTCTCAGAAGACCCGTCCTGCTGAGTTCCGCATCAAGCAGCTGCGCAAGCTCTACTGGGCAATTGCGGACCACGAGAAAGAGCTCTTGGAGGCGCTATCGCGAGATTTGGGTAAAAGCTCTTTCGAAGCCTTCACTGGGGAGATCAACTGGACCCAAAATGATATCGTATTCACGACTCAAAATCTAGAAAAATGGATGAAAGATGAGAAGCCTGCCGACATTGCCTTCTCGAACCGACTGGTCAACCCCAGAATCCGAAAGGATCCCCTAGGTGTGGTCCTTGTGATCGGGTAAGCAACCTTGATCGGTCTCGTAAAATCATTCTGGAACTAACACCACTCAAGCGCCTTCAACTTCCCCGTGAATTTGTCCTTTGGCCCCATGATTGGAGCCATTGCGGCAGGAAATACTGTCGTTTTGAAGCCCTCCGAGCAGTCGCCCAACAGTGCTGCAGTCATGCAAAAAATCATCGAGACGGCACTTGATCCTGACTGTTATGCTTGCGTTCAGGGTGCGATCCCTGAAACTTCAGCCTTGCTGGAGCAGAAGTGGGACAAAATCTTCTTTACTGGCTCTGCCCGCACAGCCAAGGTCATTGCGCAGGCAGCGGCAAAAAATCTGACTCCAGTTGCTCTCGAGTTGGGTGGACGGAATCCTGCAATTGTGACCAAGAAGGCAGATATGCGCTTGGTGGCTCGACGGCTGCTGTGGTCCAAGACCATGAACGCAGGTCAGGTTTGTATCAGCCAAAACTGCATCCTGGCGGATAGGGAAGTCGTCCCGACTCTGATCGCAGAGCTGAAGGCGGCTATCAAAGAATTCTTCCCGGAGGGCGCTAAGAAGAGCGCCGACTACGCCAGGATAGTCAACCTCAACTCATTCAATCGCATCAAGAAGATGCTCGATAACACTTCGGGCAGAATTGTGATTGGCGGAACCATGGATGCGGACCAGCTCTTCATTGAGCCGACTGTTATCGAAGTCGCAGATCCCAAGGACTCACTGCTGGTAGAAGAGTCTTTTGGCCCTCTTATCCCCATATTGCCCGTCGACAACCTGGATCAAGCCATCAGTATTGCCAATGAGCTCCATGAGACCCCATTGGGCGTGTACGCCTTTGGATCCAAGGCCGAGACCGATAGAGTCTTAGCCAGCACACGGTCTGGTGGTGCGAGCATCAACGATGGCTTCTTCCACGGCATCATACCGAACTTACCCTTCGGTGGTGTGGGCGACTCGGGCACTGGAGCCTATCGCGGCAAAGCTTCCTTCGACTGCTTTACGCATCAACGATCAGTCACCTATACACCGAGCTGGATGGAAAGTTTGTTGGCTGTGAGATACCCTCCTTTTGCCGGAACTGGCAAGCTGGCCCAATTCAATAAGATGGGACTTCTCAAGCCAGACTTTGATCGAAACGGCAATCGGAAGATAGGGGTCATGTGGTACCTGCTCACGCTGGGGGCTGGGAGTGTAACGGGAGGTGCATTTCGAGCAGCCTTGATAGCGGGCATCTGCTTCGCCTTGAAGGCGTTTATGGATGGGAAATCACTACCAGGCAGCAAATAAGGGCGGGATTTCTGAGATATTCCCATCGCAGCGGCACGGCTCGGATAATCATCAGGAGATAGCAACACACGGAGGAGACAGATCTGACTCCATTCTATATGCATGGCACAGTAATACTTACGAGAAGCCTCCTTGTCAGCCGGGACGGTTCGACGGTGAACTTGATAGTGTGGGGAGGCGCGTTGATCAGGCTGACCCGTTGGCAAGGCTGGCCCTTGCCTTGCGGCATGTGTACGAGGTAGGCTTATCGATAAACTGGGCACCGCCACAGAGCCCAGAGCCACCGGGCCACCAAGCCACCACCGCCAAAATGCACCCAAAGCCAACTTAGTCTTGCTCGCTCCAGGGTCCAAAGTGCGCGTCATCCACAGAATCAGGGCCGCCCCAACGAGGTTACCGAGCTGCTTCGTCCATCCCGCATGGCTTTCCCATACCACGATCATCATCTCCTGCTTGGGATTGGATGGTTTTTTTGCAGCCACCCAACTTCCACCGCCCCTGCAACCCATACGAGTATCTTGTTGGCATTATTCTCCCAGACAAAGGCCCTCGAGTCTCCCCCCTCCGAAACCTAGCCTCTCATTCTTATCCGTTCTACCACAAGACGGTCGCTCCTTGAACTCTAGTCCCTACAACACCTCACCGGCGGTCAAAGTGCGCACGCGAGTTCTTTCTCGGAGCCTGCGAGAGAAAAAAAAGATTCCCAAGGCTCATATCATGACCTCTACCTCGAATACACCTTTTGCTACACCTGCGACCTCTAATCCCAACACCAGACCGGGTACGCCCAGTTCGTCTACCCCTCCCACGGGAGGCACTGTTCCTGCCGATAACGATCTGCGAGATGATAGCTCAAAGCTGAGGACATTCCTGGGCCTGTTGAAGAAGTACGTCGTTGCTAGAAACAAAATATTTCCAGCTGTCAGGAGGCAGGGGTGTCCTTGGATGTTCAGGATATTGTGCTGACTTGGCTGGGCACGAACCAGGTTTATCGGCGTCTCAGATATCGCAAATGTTCGCTTTTCACTGCCTTCACAGTTAATAGAACCGATACCAAACCTAGGTATGTGCAGTCGCAAGCGCTACCGAGGGGCAAAGGTGTTGACAGCATGCAGAGTACTGGCACTACCTGGATAGGCCTGAGACTTTCGTCAGGTGAGGCTGCGTTTCCTCGGAGGCACTTTATCTTTCAAAAATATCCTGACAGAGTCCTGCAGTATAGGAAGATCAGATGAGCCTCTCGGTCGCATGTTGGAAGTCCTACGCTTTTGGTTCACCAAAGATCTGGTTTGTGAAGAGTCTTTCGCCGTCTTCCTGGTGGCTGAGGCTAAAAGAGTGTGCAGAAATATGTGAAAGGCAAGCCCTGCAAACCCTATAATTCGACGCTGGGAGAGTTCTTCAGGGTAAGTTGCAATTCGTCTCACTTTCGCCCGTCATTTGTACAGATGACCGTCCAACAAGTATGGTCTCTGTCTAACGCAGCACCTCCCCTGTCTAGTGCCACTGGGAAGTCCATGCAGACGCCCCGCCTATATCAAACCCTGCCAAAGCGCCGCCTCAGCCGTCCGTCGACCCTACAGAGCCTCAAGCCAACGGCTACACCGGCGAGGAGCCAGTCCGAATATCGTTTCTCACTGAACAGACCTCACACCATCCTCCCGTCTCAGCATATTGGTATGAATGCCCTTCTCGTGGCATCGTTGCCCGAGGTTACGACCAAATCTCTGCCAAGTTCACAGGCACATCTGTTCGCGTGATCCCAGGTGTCTACAACCGGGGCATCTTTATCACCCTCACACAGCGGGAAAACGAAGAATACCAGCTCGCCCACCCGGCCGCCTCACTAGGGGGTCTGCTTCGGGGCTCGCTGTACATCTCTGTCGCGGACACATGCTCAATAACATGTCCGCAGACGAGGCTAAAATGCCTCCTTACATACGTGGAAGAGTCTTGGTTTGGCAAGGCGCAGAACCGGGTCCATGGTCTCATTTTCCGCTATGACCCGTCTGACGACAAATATTCCCGCGTCAAGGACGTTCCCGAGAAGGATATCCTGGTTAAGCTTGAAGGATGCTGGCAAGAACAAATCGTATACACGATCCCGAACAGCGCAGCGGTCAAGGAGACCGCAAACATCGAACCAACTTCCGACAAGCAACTCCTCATTGACTTACAACCTTTGTTTCCGGTGCCCAAGGCGTGTCCCCCACCCCACGAGCAACTGCCGCATGAGTCTCGCACGTTCTGGGCGGAGGTTACCACCGCGATCAACGAGAAGCGCTACTCGGATGCAACAAGGATGAAACAAGACTTGGAGCAAGCCCAGAGAGACAAAGCCGCAAAGAGGAAAGACTTGAATGTCGAGTTTCAGCCGAGGTTTTTCACGTCGCCCACCGAGCCGAACGGGAAGCCCGAGTTGACCACGTACGGGAAGGAGACATTGGCCGGGCTGGAGAAGAAAGAATACGTCATCGATTTTGTACCGGAGCCAGGGATTGATGCTGACATGTAGAGCATGAAAGCGAGGAGTTGCGATGATGTCCTCGGAACTGGTCTGGTGAGAAAGAAGAGATGGAAGAGAAGGAGTATATCGTCAACGATTGGGTCGACAGACACATATGAGAGTGTACATACAGGATAGGGGGCCACAGTTGGATCATAAACATGCTCCATAACTATGCTCCTAAGGACGGCTGACGCATAAATATCGGGCGAGGTTTAGACGGGGGCCCGTACAGTGCCTATGGCCAGGCGAGACTGGTCCTCAGGTTCGAGGGCACATGCGATACGTAATGAGTTTTTGGGTAAAGACATGATTTGGCATTGGAAATCTGCGGAGGGCATTTTTAATGAATGATAGATCATCTGCTAGTAAAAAGGATATAGGAGCATTGACACCATTTATGGCGCAGGCTGTTGTTTGCTGGTTTCCTTACTCGACTCCAACACCCTGGCGCGGCCTCGCAGGGGAGGAGAGCAGGCGAAGACAGACAAAACGCACAAGGAAGGAATGTGGTCCAAAGCCTCACCTGTCTACTGTGCTGCCCTCTTCACACAATGGCTGGACTGAAAGTGAGCATTCGACAAGAAACGAAGATGGATTCTGGATTCCCTCGACCACGACTTCGCCCAAGGCCAGTCAGACCCAGTGAAACCAACGACATTCTGAGATCAACAACAAGAACAAGACCCTGTAAAGCCACCGTACCGTTCTTGACATCTTGAGCCTGCGGGTGTCTCCATGAGAAGAGGGCGGTCACCAGGCTCTACCCTGTTGCAATTGTGAAGTTGAATGCATCCAGGGCAAATGTCGTTCTCGCTCACGTCTTCTGAGAAGATTCTCGACTCTGGTCCTTGCGTGCAGCAATGAAGTCCATGCCAGGGTACTATTCCCCGAGAGCTCGCCTTGATATCGACCGTGCGTCAAAGGGAAGAAGCTCAAGACCCGGCAATTGGGGCCCTTCGTGGTCCCTGTTGATACTGAATTGGCTCGACAATTGCGGAGGGCCGTATCCATGGAGTGAGCAATTCCCTGCATGCCTTCTGCTGCTGACACGCGCAGAAAGGGGCGCGAAACAATTCGCCTCGAGTTGAGAGGTCGGTGAGGTGGCAGTTTAGGGTCGAATCAACAGGTGGGAAATTTGGAAAAGGAGAGAGGTTGCCACGGCACGTGGACCAAGGAGAACATAAAGAAAGTACTCCGTACTCTGTACTTCGTGTCTACCTTTCTATCCCGCATCGCCCTTGACAGCTCTCGACCGTTGAAGCCCTTGGGGTCTTATGGGTCTCTTCCTCGTGGCCTCATGAGCTTGAATACGGGGAGGGTGGAGGGTTTTGCTGCCTCCTTCGTCGTGACCGGTGCCATACATAAACCAGAAAGGCTCATCATTTCGTCTTCCACATGCCTTGTAATAATATTGTCTGGAAGGTCTTCGTCAGCAACTTCTCGCTGTTTTTACGGTTCCTGGCCATCGCAAGGTGGCCTGGACGAGACCCTTGCCCACAAGGAAGCGAATCCGAATACGATGCATGCATGCGAGTACCCCTTAGCTATGTACTCCGTACCTCCTTGATGCGTCTCATTCTCCCGTGTCGTGTGGGAGAGACGCCGGTTCCTGCATGATGCATCTCTGAGCCTTGGCTTTTGCCGGCGTTGACCACATGCTTGTTGTTCTTGCTCGAAGAAGGGGGAGGGGGGAGTGGCTTCTAGAAGAACGCGTAGATTTGCGCCCTGACGTTTTCTTCGCGTCAAGCTAGGCCTCGAACCGACGACGGAACTCAAACAGATCCCCTAACGATGAAACTGTCACCGGTCAAGACTCGACAGTGGTCGGGTACCTGCGCGTCGCCCTGGTCAGGGGCATGCATTTAGCCAGCATAGGTAGTTACAACACGGTACCCGGCACTCTTCCCCTTGCAGTAATGGGATGTCCAACGTCAATTGGCCGGAGTAGAACGGGAGGGCGTGTTTCTGAACGTGGTCTCGTGTCTCCAGGACGGATGGAGCATGCAGATCTGCAAGGAAAAAGGAATTGTGGACTGAGGTGGCGCGCTCCTCCTCTGGACTTGGAAGGGGCATTAGGCGCAAAGAGATTTTCTCGCCCAATTGTCTGAACCTGTCGCTAAGGCTGAGAAAACAGCGTTGTCCTGAAACGCTGGTGTCAAAGCCAAGGGTTTCCCGTCGGACAATGGAAACACGTGATTGTCAAGATCGCCATGCTGTGCCGTTTCCGGGATTGGGAGGATCAATAAGGTTGAGTCGGTTCTGAGAGAGTCATGAGTTATTTGTCAGTTGTGCTCGTGGGAATGGGAGGCTTCGGCGCTCGAGAGAGTCGACGTGTTCAGTTGGACGCAGGAGAAAGGGGCATTGGGATCTTTCGACATTGACAATGAAGGATGCTAGATCTCTAGAATGCAGGAGCCGTGCTTCCTTCTTCTCGTGAGCATAACGTGGGAGAGGAATGCCGGCTTCCCACGTCGTGGAGACAACAAGCACGCTGTATCTCGGCGACTGACTCACGTACGAGTAGGAGGAGTATTCGGCCACGCATCATTCATCTCGCCAGCGACCAGGGCTGATCGGCGAGTGGGTCACTACCCATCTTCGGCAAGCACACGGTCGAGCTGAAGAAATTGTCACCGTGATGATTGAAGAGACCACTTCTTGGAGGATAGGTGGAAATTGCAGACCAGGTGGAGGGAGAGAGCGGTGATGGGAGACTCGCAAATCTTTGTAGACTCCTAGCTGCGTTCCGCAATCCAACCGGGGTAGCATCCACTGCGCGGAGTACGAGTTCCTTGTCGTGGATAGTATGATGAGCATAATCGTAGGTGCGTTGTCATATGGTCCATCCACCTTCAGCCGCACTTCAGGATCTGGATCCTCCGATCCCTCTGCGAGGTTTGTCAACGGATTTGTCGTACCTCTTTGGTCATCAGCAGTGATGTTGAGGGGACTGATCGCTGAAGCGCTCCGGGGCTGACGCCACAGTTCTCAGCCACATATACCGGAAGATGACCGGGATCAGGGTGCAAGCCACAGCCGGGCTACTTCGCTCCATCGTGGCGAGTGTTGCGAAAGTACCTCTCTGCAGTAGTCGATGGGGCAAATCCTTCCCGCACTTACGGCTTCGCACCGAGCAAAGTAAGCTACAGAAAAGGAGCAAAGGGTGGTAAGAAAGAGGAACCCGAACTAACGGTGATCTGCATGAAAGCCCAGAGTTTCTCGCCATCTTGGATGTGAGAGTAAACTCCTTGGCTACAGCAGCAAAGACCGATGGTCACGGAAAGGTTGCGTTTGTAAAGGGCAGGCAAGCATTGGGGGCGACTCGTTCCTGCAGTAGATCTTCTCAGCTGGACATGGCGTTCGCGAACCACCTGGATGCCGTGTTGTTGATCGCACAATCGTTCATCAGTGCGCAATACCTTGCGTGTCCCTGATGGTCCTCGTACGGGAGCTGATCTACAAAGGGATCCGTTCCCCGAACTGGCTGCAACTTGGTGATACTCGGCGAAGGCTTTCGGGCAATACCAGACTCCTGGCGAAGCTCTTTCTCCTGGGTCGCTCCTGGCCTGTGTCGCCTGCCAGTGATCAGTGTCCTGGCGATGACAGATTGATTCAAAAATGGCTATCCATTCAGAACGTGTCTGATGGCATCTACCAAGAATTACGAAGGCGTCGCCCGACCCTCCCTCCCCAGGATGTCCCTGGCGTGCAGTTAGTGCGACAGAGTGACGGCATCAACGGGGTGGAGTCTTCGTGGAAAAATACTGGGTTAGGTGATCGGAAGACGGAGAATTCAGCGTGCGATCGGGATACGAACTTGTTAGTTCCACCAAACATAAGCCGAGCTCGAAATGCCAGGTACGGCGATGATCATCCTCTAAAACACAGGAACGGAAGACTATGGCGAGCGTGTCCCTCGCGCTCGGCGTTCAAATGGGACGTGGTTTGTTGAAAGCGTGAATGGGCGAGGGGTGCCATCACTCCTCCTTCTGAAGACTCGCTTCTGATGTTGGATGTTTTAGTGCTCAGGTAAGGCAGACTCGTCTAAACAACAGCAAGCTACGCTAAACTGGGCTAGAGGACCACTTTTAGACCAGCATGGATGGACCCCTGTGGATGAGGCTTGGCCGGTATCTGGTTGGCCAGTGTTTCACGCTAGTCCCATGATAGTATAAGCATAGTCTTTAGATAGTAGCAACCGTCTTAGTTTTCGGGTTAGTGTGATCGGCCTGCGCCGCACTCGCGATAGAAACCGCTAAGCGTGCTGGTTTTGGTGCTATTCAAGGATGACGGAGACGTGGTCAAGCCCAATCAGCAGCGGTCTCCGCTTGTTGGCCTCAGGTACCACTCCACGCTGCTGTGCATCTCTCACACGAACATTGACCAGCATCTGACCGGCCCATCTCACCACCTGCTGCACCCGCCTGGAGCTAACGACCTCACGGATGACGGGTTTATGAGGCTATGACTGGCGGGTGGACTCAATACTAGCGGCCGTCCTGCCGTTACTCGATCCACCCGCTCGGTCCCCCTCTCCCAAAAGTTCCCATCGTCCCTTTCTATCCCTCCGGCCTCGTGGAAATGGGAACCTCTCTCTCTCCACCACCCCCGAGAACGAGCCTACACACCCTCCTGGGCCTGCCCTTGGTACTACTAGGAAGGGCCCCATGCCACAAGTACGAGTAGGCTTCCATCCTAGTCAGCATCATCCACCTGCTTTTGGTGGCGCTGTCCAATCGCTTCTCCGGCGTCCCTTGATCAGACGCTCTATATTTTGACTGGGACCGGCCACGCTTGGCCCAAAAGCCTCACGCAGAGGACACAGCCGCTCCGCTCTCGGCCGTTCTATTGGAGCAGGAGGCTCTATACCTCGCTTGCCTCTCTTACACCCGCCTCTCCAAAAAGCTATGGTAGCTAATTTCACCCTGGCTCCTGCGTCCAAATTCATTTCCATGCTTTCCACTTTGGAACCACTTTCTGCTCGTCTTTTTCTAGTATTCCCTTAGGTGCCTCGTCTCCATTCTTGGGGACAAGAATAACATCCGGCCTATCTGGTCCTGCACCTGGGACCTGCCTTCGCCCCGCCACGTGCCTCCGGCCTCCCATACACAACTCAGCCCTGCCGATAGGTCCTGGAAACTCTCTAATCCTCCTAGCCTCTCCCCTTCTTTCCACCATCAAGTCGTCATTTCCCTCATCACACCTACCCTCCCTCCAGAAACCCATGCAAACGTCTCCATTTCCTCAAACAAGCTTAATCTTTGCTTGAGGCTCAGAAGGGGGCGGAGGCTTCCAAGCATTTCATCGACTCCACCGTGAAACATTTGGCGCAGGCCTCTTGGTCACTTCGTATACTCTTATATCTTCTATACAATATCCTTTTTCTCCGTCATGGCCCCAAAACAGCGTTCCCAAACTCCTCGACAACCCGGCGTCGCCAACTCCTCCGAGTCAATCCTTCACCAACAGCAGGTCACGACTACACTCTTTTCAGACCAACCAGCCAAAGAACGCCGCCGCCGGCAGAGAGATAGCCCGCGGCCCATATCTTCCGCTCAGTCGCCTTTCCAGGATACGATTTCCTTGAGCCGATCACCTATAGTATCGGACTCGCCTGCCTCACCGGTCGAAGGTGTTGCTCAAGGTTTCTCTTCTCGTCGCGAAAGCTCTTCCACCATGAGGACATCTTCCATTTCTCTCGACATGGTGCCGACGTGTACACCCACCGGCCGCATCAGCAAGGCAAAGAAAGGCAAACGTGTTCACGCGTGTGAGTTTCCTGGTTGTGGAAAGGTAAGTCCGCCCGTCAGGCGTCGCGACCCCCAAAATCCAGGCCCCAACATTGGGGCCCAAGACGCCCCCTCCAGCAGGAGCAACTGGCTAACGATGGTCATCAGGTCTTCACCCGGGCAGAGCACAGGAGGTAAGTCTGACTACTGGGCCGCTCGTACCCTTCCGGCAGCATTTTGGGATCCTCCTCCTCTAACAATCAACAGGAGGCATGAATTGAATCACAATCCTGAAGCACTCTTCCCCTGCACTCGCCCTGGATGCCGAAAAGCATTCCACCGGATGGATCTTCTTCAACGCCATCAGGAGAGACAGTAAGTCCGCGAGCGACTGTAGCTAGAGAGAGACGGCAGTTCTAACGTGCCCTGCGCAGTGATTTGGAAACCGCAGCTGATGCTGCCGCCTCTGGACACATGGGCCAGATGGCACAGGTCTCAGTCACTTCAGAACCGTCTTCTGTGATGCCTGCTCCTGTCATGACCAGCCCTCAAGCCGATCGAAGTGCTCCAAGGTCCTCTTCTGGAGGACTCTCCATCGGTTCTCTCGTCCATCCCCAGCAAGACTACCGATACGGCATGGGAACGCCAGCATTTAACGGGTTTCCACGACAGCCCATGCATTACGTCCCTGGCTACAACTCTGCGGACGATTCTATTTTCTATACCCCTGAAAGCAGTCAATCTCCTGTTTCTGAATATTATGGCCGGTATGCCCACCGCCAGAGTATTTCTTCCTCGTCCTCTGTAGCTGCTTTCGATCCCAGCGCGGCCTCGCCCTTGATCAGCGGAACAATGCCAGGCCCTTGGGTGCCTTCGTCTGGACCTCCCAGCATTCTCCCTTCAACCATGCTTGATGACGGGACTTATCTTCCTGTATGTGCCCCTTTTCATTGGGTTGGTGCGTATACTGAAGCTGATCAGTCTCCTGCAGACTCTACCATACCAATACCCCTCTCCGACCTGGATGGAATCGAATGGTCTGTCATACGAAGAGAACTATCCAATGCCTCTGGACTTCAGTCAGGAAATGTCTCAACCAGTATATCCGACACTATAAGGTGGGATTGCCTGGAACTTTACTGGCAGTACTTCCACCCGTCCTACCCTCTCATTCACCGACCCAGCTTTCTGCCTACGAAGCCGAGTCCCCTCTTGGCCAGTGCAATGCTAGCAATAGGATCACAATACGACACCCGACCAGACGCGAAACTATACTCCCTGACCCTGTTAGAGATTGCCACGAAACTTTTGAGAAGACGAGACAACATCACGAGTCGGTCAAGGCTAGCAGACCTGCAAACCGTATTTCTTCTTGAGATTTTGAGCAAATATTGTGCGAGGCGGGTGGAAGTGGAGATGTCGGCTAGATTTCGCTCACTATTTGCGAGCCTCGATCAAGCAAGACGGACTCTGGCAACGGATCCCTTGGCAGTCTTTAGGACACTCTCCAAAGAGCGTACGACAGACGACGTTCAAAGAGCCCATAAATTCTGGCTGGAGCACGAGACCCGGCGACGGATTCTGCAAGCATGTACCGTCCTGGACCTTCAGCAAGTGGTCTTGTTCGAACAACCGGCCACTATTGTTCACCATGAGCGCCCAAGGAGAACCGGCCCCAACGGACTTCGATTAAATGTCTCTCTGCCCTGTTCAGAGGACCTTTGGGAGACCAGCCCGATCGAAGAGTGGGTGGAGATGGCTTCGGGCTCTGAAACACCACCTTCATCCAGCAAGGCCAGACCTTGCCACCCAGATCAAGCGTCCTCTTCGTCTCTGGACTACTTTCAGATCCAAGTCAGCTTGGCCGCCAACCAGGGTCTGCCTCTCGATCAGCTTCTGCCCCGGAATGACCAAGCGGGTGAATCTGCATGTCGGCTCTTCTTCAACCGCCACGCTCGAGAGATGGCCAAGAACGCGCCGATCCGACAGCTCCTTGTGGTCAGCGGCGAGTCTTGGATCATCGGGAAGAAGCTTGAGAATGAAGCCGAGTTTCAAGACGCAAAAAGGAACTTGAGAGTCTGGGTCGACTCGAACCGTGAGAGCCGGGTGGCGCTCTGGCATGCGACGCAACTGATCCGCAGCCGGGCGGAATTCTCGACTTCTGATCTGACAAACACCGATCTCTCAGTTTCGTTCCAGGACACCCACATGCTCCACGAGCCGTGGGCTTTCTATCTGGCTGCCCTTGTTTGCTGGGCCTATGGCTTTTCTGCATGGACAACGGCCGAGAATAACGGACAGGGCTCGGGGGCCGCTTCTGCCACCAGCGAGCCCACTTCCAATCCTTCGCGAAGTTCCAGCTTGTCTTCGGCGCATCCGGCTCTTCTTGACTCGCACGAGGCGGCGTATAGTATGCGAGAGTATTTGCAAAACACCAACGTCAAAACAGTCGACGACTTGTTACGCTTAGACCCACAGGTGTTTGGACGGATGCATGGTCTTCTCGAAATTGTTCGACTCAACAAGGTCTCCCTCTTCCTGGGTGGCCTGATGAACGAAGCCGAACGGGTATTGTATCGACTCGTGGAGGGACGCAGTCGACTGTCACACTTCTAGAGCGCAGGAGCGGCTTTGTCTTTCTATCCTACACTTTTTTCCTGGTTGGTTCTCTGTCACGACCATGATGTTTTACGACCTTTACGAGGATTGAATTTGTTTTGTCTTTGATACCACATTTTGGGGGCTCCATTTCCGGGTTATGAGGGACTGGGACTTGCACTTTTACTTGAGATGGGGACGGGGAAAATTGGGCGTTCACGGCGACCTTGATCAAGTTTGCATGTTTCAAGAATGGGACACCGTGATCTTTTTGCTTTCTTGTGGCGTACTTTGGCGCACCTACATGGAGGGTTTTGCATATTGTCGCAAGGAGACGAACGGGGAAAAAAAGATCCACAGGGAGCACAGCGTGTTCAGGGCAGATTTCCAGCAAGCGAGAAAGACTTGTAAATTTGACAGACTGTATCCACCATCCACCATACTGGAGTACCTGCGCTGCGAGCCATTGTCAATCAAATTGTTTGATTTTGAAGAACCTCAGAGGTTTGGACGGAGGCGTACGCGATCTTCCTCCAATTTCAAGGCCAGATCCTCTCTGATCTTCTTCTCCCGTTATTGCAATTGACGAACGAGGGGTCTCTGAACGAGATCTTCGTCCCCGGCGTTGAACCTTCGCGGTCGGAAATCAGACGCCGACGACCAAAGGGCTTGGAGCAGGGGACCGATAAACGCGAACGAACGAGCACCGGGGAATGGCCTGTGGGGGAGAGCCAGAGCACGCCAAAGGGGGAGCAAATGACAGCCCAACGCCCCTGGCAGTGGCAGATCAACCGCCAACGGGATGTGCCTGGGCTGCTACTAAATTTGGGATGGGAGCAGACGGAGCAGCTGGACCATCCGCGAGATTTTGAGGGGCTGAGCCTCGTCTCAGCCACCATGTACTTGGCTTGGAAGGGAAGCGGGAGACCAAAAGCCACCCGACCATCCCCCAGCGAGCGGGCATTGATTCTTCGAGAAGCTTGAGGATGCATGCATGCATGCATGTCTCTGTTGTGGTGGCCCATGTCATCATCGTCTTTCCTGAGACTACACTCTCCTCTACCTATGCATGCCGTAGTTGGATACCGTGGTCTCTTCCTTCTACTGGCTGTAGAGCCGCCCCTGACCATGACTTCGGCACACTGCATGCACAAGAAGGAAGACAAGGTGCATTAGTAGTAAGTCAGAGACGGCAAAGTATTGGAAACCAAAACACCACTATTGAGCACGACCACCATGGGCCAAGGGAGCTCGTGAGCATTGGCACCGGGGGATCTGAATCCTAACCAGTGCCAACAACTGGAGACGAAACCCAACAACAACAAACTCGTTTCTTCTTTCCCCCTGGATCCCCCCCTCTCTGTCTGTGCTGGCAAGAGTGCGTTTGTTGTCTCGTCCCTCCCTCTTCGGCCTCCTCGTTTAAAGCGGGCTCATCCTCCCGCTCTAACCTACATTGCGGCCACCGGGGGATTAACGGCTGAGCGTAATCAACCGCGATCACACCACCCCAACCACTCCGGGTTCGTTGTTTGCCTGCTCTTCCCCAAACCTGAAACGTTAGAGAGAAAAATAAAGAAGCAAAGGCGGCACAGAAGCAAGGACCTACTCGTACGAGTACTCCTGGCTTTGGACCAGGGGATCTTCTTCCCATTCGCTCCACTTTGCAGCTACGAACCACCCCTTCGTAACGGGAAACGGCTCGGAAAATGCACACACAGGGAGGCCTGGAACTGCCGCCCGCGACATAAGGGGGGAGTTTTGAGATTGTGCGAGGCATGTACCTAGGTACCAGATGCTCGTCCCTTTTGTCATCTCGTAACGAGGGACCTCCAGGACCTTGCGCTGGCACCGCACGATTCCCGAATAGTATAATCACAATAGATACGAGGACAACCTCACAAACTACCACCCTGGCGCAAATCACCCCCGACCGTTATTACGCCACGGGGTTTCGGATCATTAACGCGTGCCGCTGTGGGTCATGCTTTGCGCTTCGAATTGACAAGGAAGAGGCGCATACCAGCGACGACTTCTCAAACTCGGCTAATACCGCAGGGAAAAAAAAAATAGTGCAAAGTATTCGACGATGCCTCCTGACAAGCCTTCAATCACCTTTGGGAGCGGCCACGGGGGTGGTGGGTGGGAGGATTCGTAGGTGCGCCGGATACCTTGCTCCTCGTCGAATCCAGACCTGGCTGGTTTGAACGAGGAATCTGAGCGAGATTCCTGTCGCACCTAGATCATGTTTATTCCGCCATGCCAAACACAGACTCCTACTCAGCAACACCGGATCAAGGTCCAAGGACACGACGGGTGGCATTGCATTTGATCAGAGTCCTTCATGTTTTTGGCGGAACACCGATCAGGTCAAAGAGATGAGAGCTTGGGACATCGTTCCTGGCTTCCCGCAGGCAGTCGTTCACGGAGCAACAGTTACTGTTGGCCTCTAGGTCTAGAGAAGGCAGCAACGGGATTCTCCTACACTGCCACTGGAGACTGCCGACGTCGAGGTCCATGGCCTTGCTTTGCGAGTCTGAGAACAGAGGCATACCTGGCAATCTCAAGCTCTCCTTGACCATCACCCCCATGGTCGGTCGATGTTTGGACACCCTCGGTCCATTTGCCAAAAGGTTCTATCAGCAGTTCGTTTGTGTGTACCCCGAGCTACTCATTGTTTTTGGGGCCTGTCTCTTAATTATGGCATGATCTCTGATTCGGACGATCTTGCTCAGCTCGCCTGCACGGCGGGAAACCGTCTCTGCTGCCTTTGTCACGTTCTGCAAAATTGCTTGGTGTTCGCGAACAGACTGTCCGGAAACTGGTGCTTCGATGTCTTTTGTCTTCTTGCCTCGACGCTTGTCGTGAACGATGTCTCGAAGGAGTGTTTTCGTTTCGTCGTTGAAGTGGAAGCCTCAAAAGAGCACACGTTAGACCGAGGCGTGCTGGCTGGCGGCTTGACACGAACACCATCCTCAGCTCCAGCGGCGATGGCAGCCTGCTCTGGCGGAGGACCGGCTTCGAGAAAGATGTGTGGCGCACGCCCAGCTCAGTGCCAACAGCCGGATTCCACCACCACCGTCTTGACCGAACCTGGAGCCACGACAAAAATGTTCAAAGCATTCAGCAGAGGGAGTATTGCTTGTCAATCCGGATTCTGAAAAACGAAAACTGGGCCTCGGGCGAATGCGCAATCGCCTTGCACACATTGCTTCGGCCGTTGGGCTTTAGATTGCATCTTGGCTGGCCTTCGGGTCTGCGGTGCCGGGTGTGGGAACGCGCTGGGCAGAGAGATTGCATCTCAAGCCGGCCGTTTGCGTGGGTACTCGTACGTGCAAAGTTTGGAGCACGCAGCTCTTCCAATTGAGATGATGCTTTTGGCGGTTTGCTGTGAGTTTATTCCCAGATTGTTTTCCTCTGCTAGCTGTGATGCCTTTACTCCCTAGGTAACTCCGTGCAGCCGATGCTGGGCACCCTTCATATTTCGGGCCGCCACTAACAAATGAGGTTTGCGAGCGGCTTTGTCGATCGGTCTTGAAGCCCTCCTTCGATCTGTCCACACAGGGAATAGCGATATCTTCATTGGCGGCATGGCCAATGGTTAAGGCCCGTCGTAATTTACGAGGCTGCACAATCACAGCCTGACCGAAGCATTCAGGGCGCCTCGACACACGCCCCCATCCCCATCAACACATCCCTATTAAGGCCCGATTTTGACTTTGGGCCGTTGTGATCTAGCCCAGTGATTCGCAGATCTGGGCGGAACGCCTTAGCGAGTTCGCACCCTCAGAAATCGTGGATACTCGTGCCCGCTAGCATATGGGCCAGGGGGCGTATTGAGCCTCTCGTCCCCCCAGCATTGGCTATGTGGTGGTCGCTCAGATCCACAGCCTTCTCCAGCCGCGTATCGTTAAAGGCCTCTACCTCTGGAGACAGAGTCTTTAGAGCTGCGGTGAAACAGACTAAGGGTGGAACGGTAGGGTGCCTGAGTGGCACAACCGGGTTGTTCACAATGGCACGCTCGCCCCCAATGTCCCGTCTTTTGCTTCTCATAACCATCTTCTTGTTTGTCATCCATCATTTGCGCCTGGCGACTACCCCGCCGCAGTTGCACAGTCTGGGCTGTCTTCCATCGCAACCCGCCGACCGCTATACTCTGAGAGATATCACCAGTTTTGCCTGATCGGACGGCAAAGAGCGTCGTGCTCAGCCCAATGCCGGCCTCAACCTTCTCCGTCCTCGTCCTGCTCATACCACGACTCGCCGCGGCAACGTGCTATTGGCAAAACAGTACGCTGGCACCCGATGATCCGTACTCCATAGCTCCCGACGACACGGCGTGCTTCCCGGATCAAGAGAACTCGGCGTGCTGCGGGACGGGATGGACGTGTCTCTCGGACGGGGTGTGTTACATTGAGCAAGAGGGGAACAGTTTCTATTACCGGGGGACATGCACGGATCGGACCTGGGACAGCCAGCAATGCCCGGGATGGTGCTTTGCTCAGAGTAGGTGGCGGCGCTTTACTACCCCCTTGCCCGTCCCCCAGTGATACGGGATGCTAAACACGGGTTGCTCGCAGACGCCAACACGTCCATACCTTTACTGAAATGTGACACGGCACAAGACTGGGTAGGTGCCCTTGAACGGTCTGCCCGAACTTGGAGGGAGCAATATCATTACCCCCTCGTCAGTATGGAACTAACAGATGGCCCATAGTACTGTTGCCCCGGAGATTCAGAGTGTAGTTGTGACACGGGAAAGGATGTGGTCAAGCTCGGGGACACGCAACCGAGTACAGTCACCGTCATTGGAAGCACCAGCTGGCCCGGGATTTCGTCCACAACCTCTCCGTTTGTCCAGACAAGCCCTCTCGTGGCCGATGGCACCAGCACCAGCGAATCGGGTGGCCTTGGTCAGAGTACCACTAGTAGCGACACCAGGACCAGTTCTACCCCGACATCTTCGCCCACCACCAGCAGCGCGACAGCGGCGGCAGCATCCGCGACATCAGGCACGCCCGCACCATCCAAAGGTGGCGGCTCGAGCAACACGGGGCTTGCAGCCGGGCTGGGGGCTGGCTTGGGAGCCGCGGCGGTTATCATAGGGGTGCTCCTCTTCGTCTTGATCCGCAAAAGACGTCACGGCCACGCAGAGAAGGTCGGACCAGCAGATGGCGGGTATGGCGGCCTCCTCGACCGAGACCAGATGATGCAGAAGCCTTTCTCCGTGGCGTCTCAGCCTGCGTCTCCCTACGCGGACAGTCAACAACAGGCGGTGGCGGAGGCACCAGCAGCAGCACCAGCTCCCCATCACTCGCGGCCTGAATTGGCGGGAGCTGGGGAATACGACCGGGTCGAGATGCCGACCGGACACGACGGAGACGGGCTCCACCACCGAAGGAGCACAGAGAGGGCTGAACTTGGTCCATGAGACACAAAGGGACGCGTGGCAAGGGCAAGCCGTTGACGAAGGATATATAATGATGGGAGAGGGGAAGTCATGAAAACGATCTTTGGCCTATGGGTTGTTCATGTCACATGCTTGAATCCAGGAAGCACCGGCAAGGCAGGGAAGGCTGTGGCAAAGACGCAGTGGAGGCGAACAGGGGAGGAGATGGACAAGGACACGGACAAGGACAAGCATGCAGGCGGTCATGATGCCTTTCAGTGACTTGTGCTGGTCATGTCGTCGATGACATCTTTGCTCCAGAGAGACACCAGGTCTAGATCTCTCCCCTTACTCCCTCCCCTCATAGTTTGCTATACAGATACGCCCAGCCGGCAGTACGGAAGAGGCCACGACGGTACGAGGTGCACACATTGGGATCGCCTGTGCGTGAAATAATATTCTACCGCGCGGGATCCTCTGCTCGTCCAACCGCCAATAATAGCTGGTGTTTGCTTTGCGCCATCAGACCATCCTCCTTTCCCCCCCCCTCGTCGCTCCTTTGCGCGGGCTTCCTGCAGGGCATCCTGCATGGAAGATTCTTCTCTCTCGCTAGCTCTAGCTCGGTCAACTCACTCCGCAGTCGCACTGCCTACCTGTCTGGGCCATTGACACATTCCTTTTCCTTTTCCCCTCCCAGATGTTGTCTTTATCGGGGTGGTTCTTGTATTCAGCAGCCCTCTGATGACCGCCCGTTATGTCACCGAGGGGTTTCCCATTTGCTCTGGTGCTGCTCTCACCGACCGGCCAGAGTCGTCGGTCGTAGTAATCGACCCTCTTGGCCGCACCGCTACTCGACGCCGCCGTGGGAGGGGGGTGATGCATAATGTCGCATGATGCGTCAGCAACGGACCAGACACTTACCAGACACTTACGGGGTCGCCATGCGGTGGCCATTGGACCATGGCCATCCCCGTGTGGAAGCCACTGAAGCCGTCACTCCCTCCAGCCCCTCTCCTTGGCTCCTTCGACTTTCGCTATCATCTCCCCCTCGAAGGACACCCACCCGCCTCGCTACGGGCCCGTGAGTGGCTGCAACGAGAAAACATGCCCGTCGGTCGGCGGGGGGTGTCGGCTCCTGGGCAATCTGGTATTGCTATACTACGCTGCTGCGGTGCTCGAAATGTTCAGGAGGATGGAATGATTTGCTAAGTTTCGCGTAAGGAAACCACTTGCAAGGCCATTTATTTGTCGTGCGCGCCGAGTGCTGCCTTTCTATCCCTCTTCTATAAAGGCCCGGTTTCTACCTTTTTGTCTCCGTCCTCTCGTCTCCCCTTGGAATCTCCCGCCCACAACCCCCCCGTCCGCTACCCTTGCCCTCGTCGCCGAAAGAAACAAGCACATAAAAGCCCTCATTACAGAGCAATTAACAACCACGGTGGCGGAATCGCGCGAGGTCACCTGAACTTCCTGCCAGAGCCTCCTCAGTGGCTTCGGCCCTGCATTTTCCGACCCCGCGCAATATATCATTCCGGTAATATAGAACCGCGCCTCGTTACCCAAGGAGGAGAAGAGCCCAAAATCCCGCTTCCACGAGATTTGACTCGGATCGTTGCATACGACCAAATACAAAAAGGGGAGCCAATCCAACCGGCCGCCTGAAAATCACACCACCACCACCCACCACAACAACGTCTACTTGTACACCCGCACACATGTCTTCTCCTTCCACGTCGGAAGAGGCCCTCTCGCCTACCACTACGCGCTCCTCGACCAAGTCCAACATGAAGATCGCCATGCCCCCTCCGCCTTCTGCCTTTGTTCACCCCAGTCCGGCGTACATCATCGCGCCGACGCCGTCGCCGTCCCAGAACCCGAGCGACGCCTCCTGGCACCCGCAGGGCCACCACCACCACCACATCCACATCGCGACGCCGCACCCGCTGGCCGCGGCGGCGACCTTCCTGGACAAGCACGTGCCGCTGTTCGCGCAGCACCACGCCGAGTTCGCCGCGCAGCACGAGGCGCGGGCGGCCAAGCGCGAGGCCCGCCGCAGCCGGGTCGAGTCGCCCATCCCGGAGCTGGACGCCGAGCATGCCATGGCCGCCAGCGGGGGGGCCGTCGGCGCCGCCATCCACAGCGCCACGGCCATGGGCACGGCCGCCGCGCTGGGTGAGGAGTCCCAGCGCGCCCTCGACCCGGCCGCCTGGAACGAGGTGCTGGCCAAGCGCGAGGCCGCCCGCCTGCGGTCCGGCTCCAACATTGCCCCGGGCGGCGACGAGCGCTTCGCCCACGTCGAGGCCGGGAGCGACTCCGAGTCCAAGAACTCGGGCTCGCCGGCCATCACGCCCTAGGAGGAGTCGAGTCGAGTCGAGTCGACTACAAGGGGGCGATGCGGGAAGAAACTCGTTGGAAACTGCTTTTCTTTCCTTTTTCTTTGAGCGTACTTTGCTGCTACGGCGGCGGCAAGCCATGTTTTCCGAACGTCTGGAGGCAACGTCTGTGTGGAATGGGAGGCGGTCGCCCTTCCCAAGCCAGCCTGCCCCTGAATGATCTATCCACCTAACGACAGCCGTTTTTTTCTTATTTACTTACCCCTAAAGGTTCTGACTGTTTCGGGCGATCGAGCAATCAAAACCAATCGTGGTGCCTACCGATCGATGGAAAGGCATCCAGATACCTTCACTCATCCGATCAATCCGACCGACCGTCCGTCAATCCAGCTATTCGACCCGTCACTCGTCGTCTCCCTTATCGAAAGCGAATCGAATCACGCCCCCACGAAACAACCCACGGAGAGACGCGGCGAAAATGGTTGTTCCAACGGATTGAAACAGCCATGACCTTCACGACCAAAGGCTAGAAGCGCGCTAACCACCGCGACAAGGTTTTCTCCATCTAGTAACGACACGGGGGCGTTTTCGAGCGGCGTTTTCGCGCAGAAACTGGTGGCGATGTTGATACGGTGTTGTGGTGCTGTGGCGTTGTGCGGTATACACGGAGGTACCAGTTCCTGATCCTTTTTTTTTGGTGAGAGAGAGAGAGTCCACGTCCTCCCATCCAGGGCGTGGATGCTCTATCTATCAAATCTGGGGTATCCCCAATTGGTGGATGGGTATTGATGATCCGGATGATAGTGATAGTGAGAGGGAAAGGAAGGGGTGGGCAGGTCCAGTCCAGTCCAGCATGGACATCTTCATCCCTGTCGCCATCTACATACATACGTCTGCATGCATCCCCAGTCCCAAGATTAGGACGAGGCAGAGGCAGAGGCAAGACGAGATATGATGATGGAAGCGAACGTGGAGGCCGATATCTTCCACCCCCTACCACGGGCCCACGAAGACACTATACATATGATATCATACCTACTTACGTACCTAGGTACCTACCTACCTACCTACCTACTACAATAGCCCTCTGAAAATGAACATGAACAATCGGATGTGATGACGAATATGAACATGATCACCATCCCGATTAGGACCGTGATCAGGAACGCGAACGTGAACGTGATCATCCACTCGATAATTAGGGGGTGAATCTTTCCCAGGTTCACTACGAGGGCTTTCGTTTTCTTCCTCATTGTTAATCGGTTCGTTCACGCAAAGACTATTACATCCCTTGAAGCCTCGTCCCCAACGTGTTGAAATCTATTCATTCGGGTCGGCAATATTGGTACAGACTGCAAGGGCTGGTGGTCCGAAATACACCCCTGCTAAGTGAAAGAAAGCTCTGGCATCCGCCGCCCGACGAGCACAGAATGAAACGGCACTGGTATCATAGCCTCATCCAATTCATTACATTCTTCATGGTATGTTCCACTCACAGACCGAATACGAACGGAGATTCGTCCAGACACTGCGTGGTGACATCTCACGCCTCCGTCTCCACCACTCTATACCCCTCTTGAATCTTCCTCGCAATGTCTTCATTCTTGTGCTGCAGCAACGACAGCGCGTATGCTGTGTCGTCCCATTGACGTTTATTCACACATCGGTTCAGCCGAGCCGCGAGTTTTTCGGCCAGATTTTTCGCGTGTTTATCCTATTTGCCACACAAGTCAGCTGAACGGAACAGGAATAGAGTCTCATCTCTTCGTTGAATCTGGCTGGATGGAAAGGACGGCGGCGACGTTGCAGCAAAGACCGGCCATGTGCATGCTTGCCGCTTGCTTGCTTTCCAGGCTGCGCACAAACATGATAGGCAGAGGAGATGCAACAGGCATAGACGTACCTTCTCGATAAACCCACACAAGAACTTCAGAATCCTCTTAACGGCTTCTTCCTCCATAACTCCGCCCTCCAGCGGCCCTTCTTGAGTGAGAACACTGAACATATCAACGAATTGATTGTACACAGCATTGTCCTTGGTGGCCAATTCGGTGAAGAACATCCGTGCCAGATCGGCAATCTTTTTATCACCATCTTCCAGGCACTTGGCCATTTCACCCAATTGACCTTTCACCTTGACCTGTCCTGCCAAGATGAGGAATGTCAATGTCATCAGACAGGTTCGTTTCACACTTTCGTCGCCGTCATTCAGCCGGCGGTACAGGAAGTCGGTGTTTTCGTCAATGAGATGGTTGAAGCACACCGCCATGTCGCCCAGCGCAATCACAGCGTTGGACCGCACAATGGGGTCCATGGATCGTTCCAGAATGGTGATGAGGAGCGGTAAGTTCTTCTCGCAATACTCACTGCTCACGCACATCAGTTTGGCGAGACACAACGTCGCCTGAGCCTGAAGGTTTCGATCCTTGTAAGCTGTATTGTTGGCGCAAATCTCCGTCACCAGGGGCCCGAAATTCGCAAGCAACGAATGCGGACCGTAGAGTAACTCACGTTCCCGAATATGGGCGATGGCTTCGGTGAAATCATCTTCGGTTGTGCCGCCGATCAAGTCGAGCTCGTCCTTTTCTTCCTCTTTCTGCTTCTCTGCGAGGACCTCTTCGGCGGCAGTCCTCTTCCGCTGACCTGCCGTAGGACCTGATGACTTCTCCGGAGAAGGATTGGCCTCTGGCTTATTCTTTTCTTGGTCCTGTTTCCGTCGCTTGAAGTCGAGTTCACATAACTCAAGATGAACGATTTGCTTAATGGCAATGTGGCCGACAGCGAACAACAACTGTGAGAGGGCAATCGAGGGCTTCTCCTGCTTGGATTCTGTAGGTTCTGGCTCGTGCGGTTCCGTCTCTGGGTTTGTGACTTGCTCCTCCCCGTCAATGTCCATGGCATCGGGTTCTGGGGAAGGCGTCCTCGATAGTGACGATAGGTCTTTCGTCTGCTGAAAGACAAGGCGAGTCTTCTGTCGAAGCACTTCGGAACATAGAACATCTGGATGATCTGAAAGAACGTAAATGGCGCTGATGGCCTGTTCCGCCATCCCATACCAGTCTTTGCTTGCCGAGGTGGTCAGGAGGATTGACGCGAGCATACGCAGAACCTCGTGGTTGTTGGACATCTTCGAAAGACCCGCAGAAGCAGTCTTTTCTTGCACCTTCTTTGTAGTTGGTATCATTCGTCGGAGAGCAACGCAGGTGAACTTGGCGAGGACGAAATCTGTTCGACCCAGCTGGCCGAGGCCGACTCTCAACATCGTGTCCATTTCCTTCACCACAACCTCCGGGCTTGCGAGAGCAATCATTCCGAGTGCGATGATGGCGCCTCTCCTCTGTGCCTTGGAGATTTCCTTGTTGACGCCGTACACCTGCCACAATTTGGCAATCACCAACTCGGAAATGTGGCCCGCCTTGAACATGGTGCTCAGCAGCTGTTCCAGCGAGGTCAATTCTGCAGGCGTTGCACCGAATGTCAAGCTAATCATATTTCTGGCGACAAAATTGGCGGCATCGTTGGTGCTGAACATGTCAGGAGCATCAAAGAAGAGGTTTTTGTAGTTGTCGATGAGATGGTTCTGGACGCCTTTGCCCTCATCACTGTTTCCTTTGGTCCAGATCAACCGCATCATTCGACGAATACCTTTCCGCGCCGTCTCGACCTTGAACGCGTCAATCGTGACAAAGAAGTCCATCACATCGATGACCTCCGTCTTGTTAGGTGACGACAACAACTGAACTGCGATTTCCGAGGCGTCGTGAATGGTCTCGATGAATCTGAGCGCCTCGAGATAATATTTCCGGGTCAGTTGGAGTTTCCCTATGACCTCAGACGTTGCGGCCTCTTCTTGTGCCTTTTTTACTGCAGCAATCTTCTCTTCCTCAGTCAACTCCCTAGGCTCTTCGACTGCCTGAGTAGCATCGTCAAGAAGTTCTTGGTCAACCTGCTCTTCGCCTGCAGCTGTCTTAGCAAGTCCGGGGGAATCTGGTGGAGGCTTTAGAGCGTCCAACTGTGATTCCACCGCCTCGAGTCTTTCTGTCCACTCCTTGTGTGAAAGTTGTCCACCGTGCATTAAGCTGAATGGGTGCGAAGAAACCAGCTTCCTCAGCAGCTTGATAGCATTCCGCCGAACGTTACTGCTTTTGTCCTGGAGACTCTGCATAGCAAGTTCGGCAGCATTCTGTCTCCTCTTAGGAAACTTCTGCTCCAGATCGCATATTTTGGTGAGAACTTGCATTGCCCGTACTCTGCAGAATGGTGCGGTGTCGAGAAATCGCTGTTCTAGGGTGTCGAAGAAAGCGTTGATCTGGATCTTGGTGGTTTCGGTTTTCTCCTCTTGTCTGCTTAGATCTGCAAGCAGGTTTCCGCAGACTTCAATCACTGCACATCGTAAGGTGTGTGCCTCGCTGTCAAGGAATTTGGCGAGGAGGCCCATTTCCTTGATCACCAGTCTAGGTTCAAGCTCTGAAAGCTTGATGATAAACGCGGAAACCGACTTTGGCCCCTTGTTGTCGTTTTGACTGAATTCCTTTGCGGCCAACTCTCTAAGGATCTCGGCAGATAGCTGAGGGTAGTCGTATTGTTCTGACAAGATATGGAGAAACTCGGCCATCGGTTCTGACAAATGCTCAAAGTATGTGAGGTTCTGAACGATCGAGGTCTGTGCCCCGAGAGCGTGGCCATGATGCTTCACGGCGACGCAAAGCACTTTGAAGCAAAACATGCGGACTGCTGTAATCTTGACTCTGGCCTCACTCTCCATGATCAGGTAGATGGATCTTGTAAACAGATTGATGAATGTGTCGCGATCAGACGTTGTCTGGAAGATGCGATTCAGCTTGAGCTTCATCACCCGACACATAACATCCATTGCACTCTGGATCTGACTGGAAGAATCCCACGCATTGTCCTTGGCAGCCGACTTTGATTTTGCCCCTTTCCCACCTCTTCTTGCTGGTGCCGCACTTGACTTCTCCTGTGCTTTGGCTTCGACGGCCGATATGGACCACTGAAGAAGGAATGCGTACATTTCCAGCAGGCGTTTATGCTGCGGTAGAGTCTCTTGTTCGTCATTTTCGATATCGTGATTTGCAACGTCCGCGGTAGTAGATAGTCCGGAAACGATCAGATTAAGAATCTTCGCCAGAGCTTGCGTAGATAGGGCGGATGAGGTTCTGGATACGCAAAATAGTTCAGCAAAGGTGCGCTGGAAACAGAGGGAGGGGGAACAGGGGACTCACTTTAACAGAAACTGTAAGGTATCGAACGTCGAGCTTCTGAACAATCCTTCTGGATTCTCCGTAATAACATCTATCACTGAATCCAACACACTGTCCACCAGCGCCGGAGTCAGGCTGTCTGGGTCATTCTCGCAGTCGATCAATTCTGGACTCGCTTCCGGCGTGGTGATGGTAGTCACGTCGCTGAGGTAAAGTTTCAGCGACTCATTGATATCGAAGTCGACTTGATCCTCCATGTTTGCTGTGGTCAATGGTCGGGGGCGAGGATCTGGTTGTTAAGACGGGCGCATGTGTTGTGTTGACGTGGGCGTTGGCGGGCGACAGTAAACGTTGTGGGACATTCACAAAAGCATCGCAGCGGTGCCGACAACAACGTTACGATGATCGGTTTTGCTGACCCGTTGCCGTCAACAACAATAAGGTCTGGACCAAAGATTGAATGCGACCAACTTTGCGACCGTCCGACTGTTGATGGCTTCGCGATTAGATTTATTGACGAATTTCCTAATCAGTGCTGGCGGATATGCCCCACATACAAACACGAGCACCATGAAATTAGCGAAGAGTGCCAGAGGCGTCCTCAAGAGCCTACGGCCAAAACAGACCATCCTACAGTCAACAAAGACTTCAAAGACACCATCGTCGCGTTACCATGTCTTGCTAAGCGACTCCGGGGTGGGAGACACGCCTGAGAAGGAAGCTGAACCCGAGTCTGCGTCAACGCGTCATCGGGAGAAGGCACAGCGGCCCGCAGCAGGGATCCAAGGGAAGGAAGTGAGAGAGCGTCTGGAGCAAGGCAACATGGGGCACCCTTCGATTGCCATTCACGAGGATGCACAAGAACAGCTTCATGGTGATCAAGAAGAGGTGGACAACATGGCGCGGCTCGCGGAAGAAGAGGACTCTCTCGATGATTCCTTCTCAGAAGACTCAGAGCAGAGCGAGGACGACGTCGATGAGAGTGTAGTCGATGACATGCGCAGACTTGAGGAAAGCTTCAAAGGCATCTCCCAAAAATACCGACTTATCAACCGCATCGGTGAAGGTATCTACATCGCCTTCAGCACGTTGTTGCCTCTGCTGACCTCTACGTTGCAGGCACCTTCTCTACCGTGTACAAGGCAGAGCAGCTTGTTCAGCCAGACGAACTAGATCAGGAGAATGAAGACCCTACAAACGAGTCTGAGGCTCCCCCTACTAAGAGGCGGAAAACAAATGTCGCGTCTGGCATGGTCAATAGGTCACGGAGGAAGGGATTGATTGTCGCATTGAAAAAGATCTATGTGACGTCTTCACCTCATCGCATCATGAATGAGTTGGAGCTTCTACACGAATTACGGCATTCGCCATACATCTGTCCATTGTTGACAGCTTTCCGTCACCTGGACCAAGTCGTCGCGGTCTTGCCATATTTCAGGCACCTCGATTTTCGCTTGTACTATCGAGACTTCCTCATCAATGACATGCGACATTATTTTCGTTGCCTCTTCAACGGCCTGGCCCATGTGCACAAAGCGGGGATCCTTCATCGCGACATCAAACCCACCAATTTCCTTTACGACCACTCTAGGAGGCAAGGTGTTCTGGTCGACTTTGGCCTAGCTGAGAGGCAAGGGACGGATTGGCAACCATGCCTCTGCACAGAGTCAAGGGAGAGAAGAAGAGATAAGTTTATCAACTCATATGCGGTTCAGGTTCTGCAGTCCTCCCCCGAACAGATGTCGACCGGGTTTCCCAAGAATGACAGCCGATCATCTCGAAGGGCGAACAGAGCAGGGACCCGGGGTTTTCGAGCACCTGAGGTCTTGTTGAAATGCACCTCGCAGACGACCAAAATCGATATCTGGTCAGCTGGTGTGATCCTCCTAACCCTTTTGGCCCGACGATTTCCATTCTTCAATAGCGCCGACGATGTTGATGCCATGATTGAAATGGCTTCGATATTTGGTCGGAAGAAGATGCAATCTGTGGCAGCAATGCATGGCCAACTTTTTGAGACCAACATCGAGACCATTGGCGAACGTGGTTTTACTTTTGAAAAGATCATCATCTGGGCAAGTTGCCGCGAGAAAGAGCAAGACACTCTTCGGCCGGGCGAGGCTCAAGCAGTCGCATTTTTGCACGGACTTCTTGAACTCGACTCTGGGAAACGATGGACCGCAAGGGAGGCATTGCAGCACGAGTTCCTTACGGCACCCGTGGAGGACGAGGAGGAGCGAGCGGAGAGAGAAGCTCAAGAAGCATTTGAGGAAGAGGCGAGAGGGGCACGTCGGTGATTTCGTGGATGCATGATGGCGAAGGCCGTGTCTCTGGTGTCTTCATCGAGATATGTTTGTTGATGCATTCGAAGCTGGCGAATGGGTCGGAGCTTTGTATTACTAGCATCTTATACCCCCACGGCACAGCATGGCTTTGCTTCGTTTCTGGAGTTATTGGCATGGTCAGAGAAAGTCTTTTTGGAGTTTGTGCAGTGCAAATATGAAAACCGAAGAAGGGTTGAGTGTTTGGAGGTACATCACGGCTACTCATGCAACCGTCATGTCTAGGTACAAAGTCCGCTAATTAGAGTATATCGAGAATCTCATGCAAAGGCTCAGCTAAGACACTCATCCCGTCGCTGCTTTCCAAAGCCCGACGTCAACCAAGGAGCAGGCCTCATATGTGTAGCTTGCTTCTCCTGCTCATCATGAGAGTACATTGTGGCTTTGCCTTGTAGGAGGGGCGAGGCTGCGAGGCAAGGCTGTCAGGCTTGTCGTGGGGACGGATTTTCCCGTCGCCGACATCGTCGTCATAATTGCGCTGTTGCGACATGCAGCGGCGTCCCCGATTTTCTCCCTCAAAGGGCGTTCTCAATGAGATAAGTATTATGACTGCGACATCTCCGCCAAACTTCCTAGCAACTTTGGTGCGGCCGAGAGCTGGCAACTTTGGCCAGTTTAGCTCTCACAGACCAGCTTGCTGCCCTATCGTCGTCGCCAGTCGATCTACCCAGCAGCAACGAAGACATTTCTCCCTCTCAACCTCGACTGTTGCGTATAGGCCACATTCTGCGTGTCCTCATCCCCCCTTATCTATAACGGGCCCGGCATCAAGGACACCATCTGCGAGGACGACAAAAATGTCGACGTCAAGACCGCTGTCAAGTTCGGCCTCAACTTCCTCAAGGGCCCAAACGACGGCTCGACAGAGAGAACCAAAGAGGTTTGCGCCGCTCAATCCCAATGCCGAGAATGGGCATGAGCTTCCAAAGTTGAAGGGCATCATCTTTGACATGGACGGGACGTTGTGGTGCGTGTTGACTCAACCCGCTCATTGACTCTACATCTCTGTTTTGCGACCCGTGACTCTAATCGAATACCTCCGCTTCCAGTCTTCCTCAGAATTACATGTTCCGGGAGATGCGCGAGGCCTTGGGAATACCCAGGTCCGTCGACATACTCGACCACATCCGCGCGCTGTCCAATGAACCCGACATCCCCGCCGCCGTCAGCGGCGATAACGGGTCAATACCACATCCTCACTCGACAGTCAACCCGTTTCAGCTCCCTGCCGAAGAAATCCTGTCCCCATTTAGCGACAAAATCCCCGATCCGCCGCCTCTGTCGCCGCAAGCTCGCGCCGTGGCCCAGATCCAAGCCATCGAGCGCAACGCCATGTCCTCACAACGGCCGCAACCTGGTCTGCAGGCCCTCATGGATTACCTCACTCAACGAGGCGTGAGGAAGGCACTCTGCACGAGGAATTTCCCCGCCCCGGTGCATCATCTGCTGAGCAATTACCTACCTGAGGAAGTTTTTGAGCCGATCATCACGAGGGAAACCGAGGGAGTGGAACCAAAACCGAGCCCGGAGGGGTTGTGGATGATTGCTCAAGCTTGGGGTTTGGATGGAGAAATTGAGGTTGGCGAAATCCGAGAGTCGGTTGAGGCTGATGCTGGTGAAATTGACCCCCTGGAACTGGCCAGGAGGTATCTGGGTTCCGGCTTGATCATGGTCGGTGATAGCATCGACGACATGGCGGCGGGTTGGAGAGCTGGGGCGGCCACGGTGCTGTTGGCCCAAGACGAGAACCAGGAATTAGTAAAGCACGAGTATACAGGTCTTAGCATCAGACGGCTCGATGACCTTATAGACATCCTAGAGAATGGATTCGCGGAAAGCGCACAGCCATAGATTGAGAGAATGGTTTTCCAATCGGTGGTGGAATGTGTGGAACGCATACTCGGTACGATCCATGAGGTCTGGGGCTCGCAGGGGCCGGCACGCACAGCGCAAATGGCGGTCCAAGCGTTTCTAGGGCTCTTTGAATTTGCGACGCTGCAGTAGCTCTGTCTGAGAGGTTGGCAGAAGATTCCGCTCTCTTCCAACCGATGTAGCACAAAGCCCAGCATTCAGGGTACGACGATATAGCCTACAAACCGTGACACCTGCCCCTCCCATAATATCTTCAGCAGCACCTAGGGGCCGGTGTTATTGTGACAACTTCTGCAGCAGCTGTCCTGAGCACGTGGCAACACATACAGCTTTGCGATGGTGAAAACAATGTAGCACAACATCCAGCATCCGTAGCGCAACACATTCTGGTGATCCGAAGTTATAAGGTGCATAATGATGGGCAAGACACGGCGCTCGATTGGCAGGATGGTTGCTGATGTGTTGGCAAGCTGAAGAGGCGTGGCTCGTCCACGCCGTGGTGAGTGACGAATCGAAAGGCTGCATGGAAGTCTCTGCAAGCCTGAAACTGTTTGTCACAAGCGGTCGCCCGTACAACCGAAAGATTGTTTTCCTGGGAGCCTCTAACATCATCAGGATCAAGCAATGGGCGTTGGGTGGAGCCGACGGCGGCAAGGGCCCGTAGCCTTCAGTTAGAAGTGTCGCTGGCCCATCCATTTGGCCATTTGTCCAGCCAACCGCTTCCTCGGATATGCCTTTCGCTCCCTTTTCTTTTCTTCTTGTTCGGATGTCTTCGTATGCCGTCCTTCTCTTCCATTTTTGGCGACAAATTCAGGCGGTCAACGACTCAGCAGAGGAGGGGATGGGAATAGGTCGCAGCATCGACAGGTGACTTTGCAGCTATGCATGCATATGGCACTGGCCAATGGACGGTTGAAAAGCGCGAACAATGCTGGCGACAGAAGCCTATTACCCACAGGAGTTGTGCGTTCTGCGGGAGAGAAACCTGATATTCCTAGCAGCTCGGGGTTCTCTGTAGATCTGTGCGAAGGTGCAGCAGTGCCCTGTTCTGTCTCTCTGCTTGCTTGACGCTCGGCACTGAGACAGCGCCTTCGGATCAACCATTGCTGCGATAATAAGCATAACTGCAAGCAGGGGAGAGAGCCTTCTGGTTTGCGCAAATCCCTTTTGATACTCCGGTGGGAACAAGAATACGGAGTCTTGGACCAGTGAATGAGACCCAGGTGTTCGTTCCCGGGGAATTTTTATCAGGATAGCTAGGCGGATATCAGTGGAGAAGCGGAAGTGAGCGTGAAGGAAAGGCCCATGCCTTGAGTGGTGAGCCAATAACGGAGGCAAGAACATCGGTGGCGTGTGCTTTTAGCCCTGACTGGCCGGGGGCGGGCCTGTTGGACGCTGTTTTCTTTAGTGGCACACCTGGGAAAAAAAGGTCCGGCGACTGATTGGGGGCTAGCAGGCTCGTGCAGCCAGGCTCTTTGGGCTCTTGGTTGCCCTCCGCCTCCCCCGATCCATGCATCTCACCTGCAACTAAGTACGTAGTACTGCACCCGCTGGCTGCGCGGCATCCCTCTCTGCACAGCTTTCAGCCCAAGTCCACCGCTTTTGCTTCCACCTTTTCTTCGTTGTGCTCTGCTCTTCCAGCGAATGTTGTCTTGCCAAACAGAGATGGTACCTATGAGCGTTGCCAGCTTTGTTCTGATTCACCTTAATTGATACTTGAAACTGTCTCATTGAGATCTTGTCCTGTCACAGCTACCTGCGCCCGCCGCACCCACCACGACCTCACCCAGCCTCACAATTATTCGCCTGCGACCAACGACCACTAACACCGCCATCACCCGTTTGTGCCTTCACTGACTGACGATCCCCTGCCTTTCAACCAAGATCACATTCGGCCGTCATCGACGCTGCTGTTGACGAGGGTCCCATCGGACAACCTCAAAATCTTCGTTTTCTTAAAGATCCCCGACCGAAGATCCTCGCAACGACCCTCCTACACCAACCATGACTGCTCCAAGGTTATTTACAAGACCATAGCCAGGACACATCAAGGGCACATGCGCATCGACCCCTGCGTATGTGCTCCATGACCCAGCACACTTGAGGCCGCTTCAGGATGGGCTTTTCGAGCCGACGCCCAATTCTGCCTGCGCCCACAGACTCGTTGTTGGGATCCGCCGACGAAGCTGGTCACGGCACGGATCTTGGGACTGATCTCTCTCGACGAAGCGAGAAGACCTCCGAGACGATTCCTGACGACGGAAGCCCAATCACCATTACCCCAGCCCCCAAGCGCACGATTGGAAAACTTGCAAAGTCCGGTCAACAGTCCCAAACCTCGCTGCTGATTGAGTATTTCGAAGGAGGCAAAACATCCGACTCTGGACAGAGGCGACCCAGCTTACGGGTTCGCTACACACCATCCCATTCCCGGAAGAATAGAGACAAGGGGGAACGTCACATTCTGGTCACCGAATCTCCAACGGCTAGGAGGCCTTCCTTCAGCCACCGCATTTCGCTTGGGGGAAACGAGACTCTTGCGCCAAACGTCATTGAAGGCAGCATCAGCTCCTTGGATACAGGCGACGATTTCAGGCCGACCGTCCCCGTCGAAATTGAAGTCTTACAGGCCGAAGACAGTGACAGGTCCGTCTTGAGTCCACCTCCCGAGACCAGGTCCATTGTCCCAGAATCCGATATTTCGTCTATGCCAGCAGAGAGTTCCCTTGGACCCAATCCACCTATCAACATGTCGCCTGCCAGCCAGAGTGTCAGCATCACTCGAGGTATGTCTTCTGAAGGAGCCTCGTTGAAACCACCTGTCATTCCCGCCGAACGCAATTTGAGCAATGAGCGTATCACGCAAAAAGTCATCGAAAAGTTGAGCAACAAGCCACGAGTGTCGAGCAGCGGAAAGCGTCAGCATAGTAGTCACAGTGGAAGCCGGAGCAGCGCGAGCAGAGAAGCGGAATCTATCCACACCGAACCGCGAATTCGGGTCACAAAGAATGTGGACGATGATTCCATGCATAGCATCACCGGCTCCAGCATTGTCAGTGGCTCTCAAGTGTCTGCAGACCTGCGGGCGACAGACCAACGATCTGCCCGCTCAGGAACATCAAACGTCTCAGTCACGAATAACCCGAAACTGCTTCAAACGGTTGAAGATGCCATCCGAAGGCTTATACTACCCGAGCTCAACGAATTGCGTCGGGACCAGAAGCATTCCCACCGGTCGCGGCACGATAAATATAGTAATCCTTCGGATCTGTCGTCGAGTACTCTATCACGAGAGGACAGGACGCGTCGCAGATCATCGGGAAGCAAATCTAAGCGCCGAGTCAGTCGGGAGTCTGAATCCGGTGTGCCCTCAGATTCGTCTCGCCGTCATAGACGTCACAAGACTGTCGACTACGATTCACCTTCCGAGCACAGCTACGCGCCATCCGAGTCTGTTGACAGCTTGGGCGATGAGAAGAAGTCACGTAGGCACTCTAAAAGCCGCCGTGCTCGTGACGTTGCGGCCGGGGCTGTCGGAGCTGCAGCCCTGACTGCCGCCGCCCTGAAATCGCATGATTCAGGGTCGAGTCTGGAGTATTCGGAACACCGCCGACGGCGGAGGAGCAAAAGCCGCAGCAGCCGCAGCGCGAGTTATACAGAGAAAGAGGATGCTTTCCAGAAACATCAAGTGCCACCCATGCCCTTCGTTAGCGAAATTGGTACCGACCTCACTCGGAGCTCGCTCAAATCCTCAAATGACGGACGCGCCGAGACACCAACCCGCCATGAGGTGCGTGAAGTGATACGCGGATCTCCTTTTGACCTTTCCTCGCCAGCGTCCCAGGCGACGCCCACCTCTAATGCTCTTGATTTGAAAAGGGGACTTGGTACTCATCATGGTAACTTTTCGGAGCACGATTTGTCGGCCCACGACTTGTCCTCCAAGAAAGAGGTGTTCGACGAGGGCACTTTTGACAAGTCACCTGAGCCAGAAGAGCTGGATTTCGCTACCCATGGATTTGCGGCTCTCACAGATCCAGAACGGGCTCGTCAATATGAGAGGAATCTTCATCAACAGCATCCCATTAGGCGGGGCCTCAGTCCAATACAGAGCGTTGCCAGCTATGCGACTACGGAACCCAATCGCAACTCATTAATGCAGCCACGCAGCTCAGACTCTTTGCATTCGCCGGGCAAACATCCCCATATGGATGACCAAGTCTCCGTCTCTTCCTTATCATCAGCGCCTAGCACTGACCTAGCCCGCTCGAGGCGACCTCATGGAATGAGTTTGGAGAGCCGGAGTGAGATCATGGCTCAACATGTGAGGTCGCTCGAAAGCACTCCTCGCCAAGTGGATCAACACGCTTTTGGTGACCAAGACCTCGAAGACGACGACTATCATGACTCACCATATATCGACAAAGTCACTGCGGGCCAACAGGTTGTCGCTAGAGGCATTGGGGCAACCGCGCAGTATGTCGATGAGCCGTCAGGTATCGAATCTGCTGTCGCCTCTCTAGTTGAGCCTTCCCTTCTGTCTGCCGATTATACATATTCACCTCGCCACAGTCAGGCAGACTCGCCTGGCGCTCGTGAGATCGCGAGCCCTTCGCTATCCCACCATGATTACGCGTCGAGGCACAGCAGCAGCCCCCTAAAACGGCAACTTTCAAACCATAGCGAGAACGCACACGGGATTGCTCCAGTACCAGCAACTTTGATGTCGTCCCCCCCACAGAGTCCTGCTCGCTCACTTGAACACTTGGAGCAAGCTTCCGCCAAATCAGCGCAGCCGGCACCTCTTGCTACCAGTAATGTGCCCAGTGGCCCAGTCGAACGTTCACCCGAGTCAGACATCACCACCAATCCGTCTATCATCCGAGGTCCGATTGGCGGCCTCACGCAGGGCAACACCGAGCATTGGCCTTATGATCCGACACCTCCACACTCCCGAGCTAACCTGGTGCTTCCACCAGTGAGTCGCGATATTGGGTCAGCTGGGGCAGATCTCATTCCTGAAGCCTTGTCCATCAACCGTGACCACGATATGGATACAAAACGTGACCTCTATGTACAGCCTCAGCCTTTGTCAACTCCGCTAGGGGCTAAAGATGAAGGCTACGAAACTGGAGCGAATGTACCATCGCCAGGATTGTATTCCCAAGGCCGAGGAGTTCGAGACGACAGCTTTACACCCGAGCTTCCAATCGATAATGCTCCTGTTGCAGACGATCCCTTCACTACACAGCGAGATCAGTATGCCAGTGGACTGTCGCATGGCATGTCGCCCATGTATGATAGTGCAACGGGCCGCGGCCGGGACAACATCCAATCCAAAGATATTGTGGCTCTTATGGATCATCTCACAATGCGTGACGCCCAACGAAATGCAAGAGATACGGAAATTCTCGTGACGCTGGTTCGCAGTGCTGCAGAAATGCGTAACTCGTTTGAAGATATGAAAAAATTCATCGCAGAGCAGGACGATCTTATCATGGACACTGCTGATAAACAACATGAAAAAACGCAAAAGGTCATTGGAGGCCCGCGACCACAACCCGCAGCTGCTCCTCGCCCGACGATGTCAGCTACTTCGGAGGAAGACATGCCATTAAAGCGCCGCAATGTTTTTCAACGTGCGCTTCGAGGACTTGGAGCTAAGAACTCACAAGAATTGCAAAACATTGAGGCAATGTTGATGCGACTTTTGGACGAGGTTGAGGCATTGCGGGCCTCGCAGCCTCCTCCTGTTGCAAGAGATCAGCCTAGATCTACGAGCTTGACCTCTGCAGATAACGCGCGGGCTCCTACAGACACAGGATATGAGCCAGAGGGTCAAGCAGGGACCTCATCAACAGGTGATCGTTCTGGATTCTTTTCGAACAACTCCTCTCGCCAGGCAGACTATCGCAACTATAATATCCATCGAGATTCTGGAAACCGGGTGAGCACAGTCATGGAAGGTGACGAAGAATACGACGACTATGGGAACCATCTAGGCGGCTCTGCCGCCGGAAATGCACAAGTCGTCAGCCACACGCCGCTGGACACGCCTCCAAGAAATGATGGACTTCGACAAGCCAGAGGAGGTTCGGTCCCTCTGAATACTCCACCTCGGACGCAGGACCAACACACGGGATCGCTAAGCCATGAAAACACACCACACCTCTCTGCGGGAGACGCGTCTGGACGAAAGCACAAGTCTTTCGCATCTTCCTTCATTCCAAAAATGGTCTCTCGGTGGTCCAAGACTACAGCATCTTCTGCTGATAATTTCCGCGCAAGTCAACAACGCGTCAGACCCTACTCAGAGCACTCTCGGTCGGGCTCCAACCTCGGAGAATACGACTTCGAACATGACCCTCAGGGCCACGACCGCATTCGGTCGAATACTTCATTCCAGCGAGATCAGTACGATGATGCGGAGAACCGACCACCATCTCCTTTGGTCCCAAGCCAGTTGACGGACAACCCCAAATATCAGGCTCACAGAAACAGCATCAATCTCCAGCATCCACAACCTAGGCAAGGACCAACTGGCCGCTTCCAGTCTCGTCTGGAGTCGGAAGCACAGCACTACACCAATGAACAAACTTCGCCGACGTCACAGACCTCATCACAGTGGGAGACCCACTCGGGGCTGCAGCCGAATCATCACACGACTATCGCTTACGGAGGGCACCTCAGTCCTATATCTGACTCACCCTATTCTGCAGAGCCAGGCCAGCTACGTGATGACAGGAGCATTCGATCTGGAAGCTCTCATGGCCCGCCTCGGCCGCCAAAGGTTCCCAATGACGAACCATTGGTGCCTCAACGCCCACCCAAGATCATGATGAGCCCTACATCCTCGAACAGACAGCAGACCTATGTCGATCATGTTGCTGCAGCACGGGCGGGAAGCCCAGCATTTGACAAGGTACGTTGGAGACATACACGTTTTGGTATGGGAGATACTAATAAGGATCCAGTCTCCCGTCGCGGCACTGAGATCGCCACAAAGCCAGGCGCGAAAGCCGTCAGGGCCGAGACCCCTTGCTGGATCCGGTGGATCGAAGGGCGATCTGAATGCCGTTAAGAGAACGAGATTCAGGGGCAGCCCGAACCAGATCGACAGCGAGGACGAGGCCACTACGGCCTATTGAGTGTTATGTTGGGTTTTTCGGCGGCAGTGGAGTTTCTTGAGCGCGCAATGTGAGCGATTGACACACGAATGCATATTAGAGGCGCGTACTGGGACGGGTTTTCATTTCATGCCAATGCCAAACTGCGGAACGACGATTTCCGCCGCCAGGCTTATTGGCATTACAAAAGGTCTTGGTGTGTGCGTCCTGCCTGAGTGAAGGAGTTGGAAACGCGAGCTCGACAATCCAGCGATGTTGATGACACACTGGGCATTTACTTTTCAGACACCACAGACTGCAGCGGCAGTGACGGAGCTAGCACCTGAGCTGAGATATGATACCATACAATTTGTTCGCGTCGGGCTGTGCCCTGAGCGAGAAAAAGATACGTAATGTCGATATAAGGAAATCAAAAAAGGAGTTGGAGCTTTTCGCCTCGTGTTTTGCCATCGTCCAAGTTGGAATTTCTCCTTGCTGTTCTTCTAACCTTGTTTATACCTTATTGTCTAATAATGTATCGGGCACGAGTACGAGGTACCCAGTGTGTTATAAGCAGCATCAAGCAAGGTGTACAGTAGTTGCAATTTCCAAATGGGAAAGGGACGCCTCGAGACCTATCCTATCCAGCCTTGAGGAGGTGAGAGCCATCCATGCGATGCGTTTAGGCCAATTCCCCCTCGGCGTGTTTCATGTCAGAGGTGCAGAATTGTCCAGTCGACGAGGCTGGTGAGGCTGTGGCTGCCCAGCGAGGCTGCGGGGATAAGGGGAAATAAGAAGTCTTGTCATGCTCCGGAACGACGAGCGCGCTGTCTCGCCACACAAAGTCTACGCCACACCAGCTCTTCTCGTTAGCAGAAGGCGATGATAGGGCATGAGTGAGACCATGTCATCTGATCAGTGATTTCGATGAATGTCGCGTGTGTGAGAGAGAGGTTGTATGTCAAGGGGTCATTTGCTCAGGCTGGTGACCGAAAGGTATTTCCCGCCGAACAGAACAGACAGAGGTATGTGGGTGCAAAGGAGGGTTGATAATTGGATCACCACTCTAACTCAACCTCAGGATCAACCCTCCACCAGTTCTGGACACTATCAAAGCTCCCAGTTGTCTCTCGTGTAGAGCTTCTAAAACCTTCCTGAAGATAACTCTGCATCAGCAGCGCCCCGCCCTTCCGCCGTGGTTTCTTCTTTCATAGCCCGCCCGTCTCGTCAAAAATCCCCTTAATCTCATCTGGCTGTGTTACCTTTCGACTCTCCCCAGTCCCTGTCTCCTTCGGTAGAGTAGGCCCCTGTAACGTTTCAGGTTGAAAGAAACCCCGAACCATCAAGTGCACTTTTCCGTTCTGGTGTGAGTGTGCCAGGCGCACTTATCTGCCTTCATGATATCTTCCAGGCTTCGTTGTCCGAGGATGCACATATGTTCCATGAGGTCCAACGCGAATGATCCGTCTTTCTTGACTTCATCTGCCAAAGCGTTGACCGTGCCGCAGGTGTCACTGTGCACGCCGTGCGTACGGACTAAAAGAGCGGCCATTGTCATGACGAGGCGTTTCATACCATCCACATTCTCGCCAATGACAGTGAGCTCGTGATAGACCGCGGTTAATCGTACCTCCTCAAGGTAAAAGGCCGCGAACAAGTCAGTGAGGTGGTTGGCCCATTTTTCCATCTCGAGACGCGTAGCAAGCCGATAGGCATTGAATATCTGAGATCTAGCAAGTGTAGCATCTTGTCCTTTCAACTGCGCTATCTCGTGGATGTCATAGAGTAGCTCTTCATAATAGAGCCAGCGCACCAACTGCTCCCCAGCGAATTTTGGATATTGCGGAAAATCGAATTCAAGCTGGTTTTGCTGATCCGAGGCAAGACAATCAAGCTTTTTGAAATAAGGGCTTTCAAGGAGTATGTCTTTGTGGAATGAGATCTTGTATTTCCCTTGCCAGAAGACAAGAACAACAGTGGGAGAGGCAAAGGAAGTGCTGAACGTGGTCAGCCGTCTCGGATATGCAGCAAGCTTCGTTCTGTTATCTTCTTACCATCCCTTCTCGGTCACAGCCTTTGATTTTGCAATGGGTCCCGGTCCCAGCACCGGTGATGGCTTCGCATTACCGAAAAGGCTCTTCTGGACCTTAGCCCAAGCCTCGTGAGCTGCCGTCCGAGTGTTCAAGCCGAGTGTAGCCGCTAGCCCATCGAAGTCGACCTAACAATTGGTCAGATCAGCTGAAGGAGAACAGAACGAGCAGTTGGAGTGGGATGGCTTTGCTGGTGACAGGCAAGTGAGGAGCTCACCTCGACGTTGCCGGGCTTCAGATTGCTGAGGAAGGCAATCAAGACGTCTTGTTCTTGAGAGCTAAGCTTGGACAAGGTGTTGTTCCCAGGGCCTTCACGCATGGCGACTATCAGGGCAGTGAAGAAGCGCGGTGGTTTGGTAGTTTGTTATCTGCCGATATTGCGGAAGTTTGCCCAAGCGAAGGTGATGTCTTGCAGTGTTGGTGGTAGACTTCTTGACCAGGTGAGCAACAGGCTGAAGGGTCTTTGACTTTTCCCTCTGATCATTGCTAATTCACTTAACATGCGAGTCCTTGGCGGGAGGTTGGCTCAGTTGCGGTGTAAGACCTCCTTTTGTAACTCACTTCAGCATTATCATTCGCGGACCTCATCACAGATCAAATCTCATCGAGCCTCTCGCACGAGTCGCCACGACGATTCTGGCACGCCCGTGGCGCTATCAATGCAATTGGAAAAATGATGTTATCTACGGAATCGAGAATCCTTGGAAGTTTGAAGGACTGGTTCCTCAGATCCATATGGCCCAGACGAGCCGCAGGGCAAAGAGACAGAAGTGTCTGAAAGGGCAAGAGGCTCCGATGCAGCCGAAGACGTGATTGCTTGCATGGAGCTCTATTATTTTGGAGAGTGATTCCCTTGAGGCGAGTTCTTTTCGCCTCATATACACTTCCTCTTTTGCCTGGTCGCTATTGACGGCTTGGTTCTCCATCAGTGTCCATGGACCCGGCGCTGCTGCGCATAAGACGTAAATCAGATAGATAGCCACTCATTCCAGCTGTAGTTTGCCATTTGCGCTCGACGAGATTAAGAAGGCATACCTGGAGAGGCGTAGGCTCTCGCACCCTCAGTGCTCAATAGCACAATGACGGCATTTTTCGACATGCCTGCGAACAAAGTATCTGTCGAGCTGACTTTCTTGATCGCGGCGAGTGCAGCAGCTCCACAAGGCCCAGCATTAATGCCATGGACTTGAAGGTACTGTATTGACTGATGGCATTCCACGTCCGATACTGTGATGCTGGCATCGACCGCTTTGGAAAGCACTGGCCAGGAGATAGGCGAGACAGTCCCACAATTCATGCCATTCATGATGGTTGCCGATGTCTCGATCGTGCTCCATTTGCTGGATTTGAGGTTTTGGTGCAAACATGCAGCGGTCTCGGGCTCCACGGCCAAAACACCGATTTGCCTGCCGTCAGACTTACAAAACGCGGCAACAGAGTGACCCAGAGAGCCAACGCCGATGGGACTGACAATCATGGTCGCTTCCAATCTCTGCGCTTTGAGCTGCTGCTCAACTTCGGAGAGAAGTGTTGAATAGCCTTCAACGATCCAGGCCGGGATTTGTTCGTATCCATCGAAGGCATTGTCTTGGATAAGAAGGCCAGTCGGCGCCTCCTGTGATTCCTGGAAGGCCCTTGAGACAGCATCATCGTAGCTACCAGGGATGACTGTGACTTCGGCGCCTTCGCTTTCAATCTTTTGGCAGGTCTCACGGTCAGCGAATCTGGACATGAAGATCCGAACCGGAATGCCCAATATCTTGCCCATTCGTGCTACAGCCCGGCCGTGGTTGCCTTCGGTGGCCGCGAAAAGCACAGTCTCCGATTTCTTCGCCGCATCCGACACATCTTCAAGGCTTGAGTCAAGAGAAAGTCCATGCCTCTCCACGATTGCACGAAAAGTGCCCCATGAAGCACCGAGGACCTTGAAGGACGGCAGTCCGAGCCGGCTACTTTCGTCTTTGACGAAGATTGCTTTGACATCCAGCTCTTTCGCGAGGTCATTCAGCGGTACAAGTGGAGTCTCTTTATACCCAGGGAGGCGCTTGTGGAAGGCTTGAGCCAGACTTATGTCTGTATCGTACGTGTGTGTCCATGTTCGAGCGTGCGGGTTCTTGTAGATGAATGAGTAGGACATGGTGTTGCTGGTCGGATCAAAACTATGTCCTCTTCAATCAATAGCTTAAAGTATACTCTGGAGAAGTTTCCTGCACTGTTTCTTTCAGAGAGCTACAGTAGTCCTACCATATTGAAGCTTTTGGAATTTTTCAATAGCAGAGCTCGGTTCTTGTGGTAGGGCGTGAGATATTGCTTCGGAGACGTCCGTTCTGCCAGTTAGTTTCCCTGGTGATTCGATTGAGAATAGGCCACTTCAATCCGCAAGAAATCTCAATTCTTGGCTAGAGATCTGCTCTGTTATCAAGTTCTAAGATGCTATTATCTGTACTCGGCTTTGCAAAAGCATCAAGCAACTGGGGAGAATTCCGTGATATCGGGTCCGCAAAAATATTGATGCGTCACAGCCAATGATGGTCACAGGAACTTCCCTAGCCCAAGGCTGCAGCAATGACGATCTCAAGAGGGATAAGGCTGCTTGAGCTACCATCCAGCCACCCGCCTCAAGAGGTCGACTGCCAGCTGGCTTGCCACTATTGGCCGCCTCAATTGCAAAGGCTACACATCCTGCCAGCAAATCCAGAAAATGTGACCCCTGCAGCACTCAGCACCGCGTGCTCGCCTACTGCCTCGTCAGTCCACGAGAGTGGGTGCCGCTTGCGCATCCCAGTGATTGGCTCTTGACACTACCTCGCGGCCCAAGGGCACTAACTCTTGGGGTTGGGTCATCTGAAGTGGTTGTCGCAGATTTAAGCAAAGAAGCCCGCCATGGCCGGAGAAGAGGTGAAGAGGAGGAAGACTCATCGACACAAACATGGTGATACTGGAATGTCAAAATCCCGCAAGCGGTCCGAGGATGACAGTGCGACATCAAAATCACCCGCCACCCCCAATGCCCCCACCGATATCGATGCCGTCAGAAAAGCCAGACTCGCGTATCTAGCCAAATCTCCCGAAGAAAGACGAAAAGACATGAAGTACGAGTATGTGAAACGGACGAAGGCGTCGCAAGTAGACGAAGAGAAAGACAAGCGCCAAAAGCCTGCCCAAGTCCGACTTGTTGGCCGAGAGGATCGAAAACCCGAGCGACGCTCCACAACGCGGACAGACAGCAATCGAAGGGGCGCTGCGCAAGATGACAGTGAAGACGAATACGTCTATACTAGGACCGAAAGAGCGTCGGGCGCAGGCACACACGCAGCGCAAACGGAAGCACCTCGCGCCCAGAGGACGAAATCCCAAGGTCAAGCTACAAAAAAGACAGAAGTGACACGGAAACCGCCAGAACGACGGCACACGGAGCCAGCGAGAAGAAAGGAGGTTTATGTCTTTGAAGAGTAAGTTTCAATCTTCCGACATTGTTCCCAAACGCTGATCGCATGTTGCAGAGCGCCTTGCGAAGAAGTCGAACTGCAGCCGCCACCACGTCGACCGTCGGGCATGGTGGAGAAAGCACAAAAGCCCGAAATCAAGAGAAGTGTTACAACGGCAAAACCCAAGGCCGAAGCGGGCGTCGCAAAATCTTCGGAGAGCACAGGAACGCCCAAGAAAGGATCGGGTCTGTTGAACGGGCTCCTGCAGTCTAAGCCAGCGCCGCAAAGAAAAGTCTCCTGTCTAACTTGCGGTGACGATGAGATCCCAGTCGCGCAGTCTGCTCTACTCCCCTGCAAGCACCGCATGTGCAATACATGCCTCAAGCGGATTTTCAAGATGTCCGTCAGCGATCCTGCGCATATGCCGCCTCGGTGCTGTACGGATCAGCACATTGCCCTCAAGCATGTCGAGAAGTTGTTCGATGACAAGTTTAAGGTATTGTGGAACCGCAAGTTTCAAGAATACAAAACCAAGAATCGAGTATACTGTCCAGGTCGGAAATGCGGCGCTTGGATCAAACCGCACTATATCACTATCGAGAATGGGCGTAAAGTGGGACGTTGCAAACAATGCAAAACAAAGGTATGCCCGATGTGCTCCCAGAGGATGCATACCACGCGCGAATGCCCCAAGGACCCGGAAACAAAAGCTTTCATCGAGACGGCGAAAGAGAAGGGTTGGCAAAGGTGCTATAGCTGTCACGCTATGGTCGAGTTGAAAGAAGGCTGCAATCATATGACATGCCGTTGCACTGCGGAGTTCTGTATGGTATGCGGCTTGAAGTGGAAATCCTGCGACTGTCCTTGGTTCAACTACGACGCTGTTGATGCACACTTGGGAGATCCTGTGCGATATCAACAAGAATTGGACAGACGTCGGGATCAGGTCGACCGCGACGAAGCGCTCGCTCGACGCATGCAGCAAATGGGTATAGCCGGCGATGGTGACGGCCAAGCTGCGCGCATGTTTGGATTGGGGAATGGAGCGAACCACCACATGAACCAGAATTTCATCCAGCAAGCGCGTGAAGCTTTGACGGCAAATTACGCACAAGCGGGCCAGGCCGCTATGGGCCTTTTGAACGGTTTCGTCAGGGGTCGAGAGAACCCCCTGCCTGGCATGCCAATGGAGATGGAGCAGATGCTGGAAATGCTTGGCCAAGGAGGCCACATGCGCGACCCAGCAGAGGGTGCCAACCCAGGGCGAAGGACAGGGCGACGAGCGACAAATAGACGAAGACAGGCGGGGCTCGACGACGCAGGAGGATTCCCCGGCCACATGGCAAGAGGAGAGGAGAGGCGAATTCAGGAGTGGGCAAATGACAGGGTTTGATATGGCAGGGACTGGTCCGTGTTGAGGTAACGACTAGATACGACTGGGCTCATGAATATGGTTTTCAAATGTGGACGGGCAGACGGGGAGATGGGTGGGCGTTCGAGGTGGTAGTCTTTAGCTTTTGGATACCCACAGGCAGCGGGATACGGTGTTGGAATGTCGACGGCTCCAACGAGAACCGCATGAATGCATTCAGGATCTATCATGAGGTGGTGTATATGGATGGCAGGCCCGACGCTCCTGGGGCTTCATACATGCAAACATATTATGTGATCGATGTAACTACTTTGACGAGATGCAATGACTCCCAGATTTCATGGCAATGCTTGGTTTCTGTGCAAAGAGAACAACTTTTTATTCGTGACTGATACCTGGTTTGATCTCCCTAGCCCCGTAACAGAGCATCCATAAAGTGGGTGCTTGAGTCTCCCAAAGAGGAAGGACTGACATAACGCATCTCGACGTCGAGGTATATATTCGCACTCCCTTCTTTTTCGGAAGTGCTCACAGGTCTTTGAACAAGCTCTCCAATTCTCTCGCCACCGCATCGCCGACCTCGACGGTGGAACTTTCTCCGCCAATATCCTTGGTGACGATGCCCTTCTCGATGACGATCTTCACGGCCTGCTCCACGAGCAGGCTCTCCCTGGGCAAGTTCAAACTGTACAGTAACAACATTGCCACGCTCAAGATGGCCGCGACCGGGTTAATGACACCCTTGCCTGCGATGTCCGGCGCGGAGCCATGGATCGGCTCGTAGATGCCGTTGCAGTGCCCCTTTCCGTCCGGGACGCCGCTGAGACTGGCGCTGGGGAGCAGGCCCAGGCTGCCGGGGATGACGGAGGCCTCGTCGGAGATGATGTCGCCGAACAAGTTCGACGTGACAATGACGCCGTTCAGGGCACGGGGGTTCTTCACCATGATCATCGCGGCCGAGTCGATCAGTTGGTGTTCGAATTGGAGCTGGGGGAATTCTTTTTGCATTGTTTCTGTAAACACTCGGCGCCATAGACGGGATGTTGCGAGCACGTTGGCTTTGTCCAGACTCCAGACTTTGGAAGGCGGATTCTTTGCGAGGGCGAGGTAGGCTGCCAGTCGAGTGATGCGCTCGATCTCTTTCCTCGAGTATGGTTCGCGGTCCTCGGCCCACTCGTTCTCACCGTCTTCGGGTTTCCCCTCGATGCGCTCGCCAAAGTAGATGCCACCAGTCAACTCGCGGACGATCATGAAGTCTGTTCCCTGGCAGACCTCTTCCTTGAGCGGGGAACGCGAAGCCAGGCTGGGAGAAGCGAAGAAACAGGGTCGTAGATTGCCAAAGGTGCCCATCTCCTTGCGGAGTTTGAGGAGGCCTTGCTCAGGGCGAACCTTGCCCACGCCATACCTGGGGCCTCCGATTGCGCCGAGGAGGACGGCGTGGGCGGATTTGGCAGCGCTGAGGGCCTCGTCCGTCAAAGGTGTCCCGTGGGCGTCAATCGAGCACTGATGGAGTTGACAGAGGTCAGCAATAAAGGCGGCTTGGTGCAAACTGAACCCTGGGTGTCCCGGAAGGATTGTCACTCACGCCTCCCAGCAGGTGGTCTTGGAAGTTGAATTTGACATCTTTTGAGCACTTCTCTACCACCTTGAGGACCTATTCGCACAGACACCCATTAGCCAACGATCCCCGTAGAGATTCTCCGAGCTCTCGAGCTTGGACTGACCTTTACAGCCTCCTTGGTCACCTAGAACCGTCCAACCGTTAGCGACGATGCCTTTCCATCTTTGAGGACAACGTACCTCGGGGCCTGCATAGTCGCCGGCAAAGACGACGATGTTGTATGTAGGCATGTTGCCTCTGTCGATTTCTCCGTGCGAGATAATGTATGTGATAGAGTCAGGTCACTGTCAAATTGCTGTAGCGAATACTTCTGAGTTTGCTACAGTACATGTAAAGGAGGAACATGGCTCCTCTGTCAGACTGGAAAAGGCAGGCGCCGATATCGGGGCTTCACGTGCCACGACCTTCCCGCGACAACATGTCTGACATTTCATTTCTCAGCGCAGTCTGCCAGCACAAGCACCAGCCAGTGAGCAGTCAGTCATCACCAATATAGCTGCCTCGGTGTGTCCATCCCACTCCACGCTCAATCCCAGAAATGTCGATGACCGACCTTCTTCAAACGGCCGACCCTTTTCTGCCACTTCAGGCACCATGCATACTCTCTCGACGCCGACTGGCCGGCTGTCTCGAAGGTCTAAGAGGCGGGAACGAGAGCCTGCATGTTACATTGAACGTGCATGATCTGCATGGAGAATCCTGATCGACTGACGTGCTCGGTCAGGCAGCATCATTCTGGCCAGGCACATATCAATGTGCAAGCGCCACATCCCAAGATTGCACTGCACAGTGCTACCGTGTTGAGGTAGGCGGCTTGAGTGACAATGGCTTCTCTTGTGTCCAACAGTTCAGATTCACTGTTCGGTCCTGCGTACGAGGGACCGTTCAGGCACTTTGACTTTACAGTCCTCTTCGAAGACACAATCCTCACCATCCTTCCTGCTGCCCTCTTCCTTATCTCCGCCACTGCGAGAGCTGCATGGTTGACGAGCAGACCGAACAAGGTCGCGACCTCCTTGAGCCGGTTGACCAAGCTTGTGAGACGCTTCTCTGCGGAACTGGACCAGCCGACCAGCTCACAGTCTCTTAGGTGCTTCTGTCTGCATTCGTCACCGTGCAGCTGACGGTGCTTCTTGCCCGAGCAACGAACTCTGAAGCAGCAACAAAAGCTTCTGTCGCTGCGGCCGCCCTTGACTTTGCAGCATCCTGCGTGCTTTTCGTTCTATCCTGCTTCGAGCACTCACGTTCAGTAACACCTTCCACCATCATTGGGCTCTATCTGATCGTTTCGTTTCTCTTTGGTGCGGTCCAGCTTCGAACCTTTTATCTGCTCCGTGGCTATGCTGCTAAAAGTATTGCCAACCTATTGTCCCTGTCGCTGGCGATCAAGTTGGGAGTGCTGGTCACTGAAGCCGTTGAGAAGCGTGGGATACTCCTGGAACCGTATCGTGATCTGCCGCCGGAAGCTACCAGTGGTGTTTACAACAAATCAGTCTTCTGGTGGCTGAACCCTCTATTGAGGCTGGGGTTTGGCAAGACATTGAAACTTGACGATCTTTATAACCTCGATGAGAAGCTGGCATCTGCCAATGTCGCGGCTCGTTTTGGACGAGCGTGGGCAGATACGAAGGAACACCACCGGTTCACCCTCTTCTTCGTGTCAGCCTACGTTCTGAGATGGCAACTTCTGGTTTCGGCCTGTCCCCGCCTTTTCCTGATCGGGGTCAAATTCGCGCAACCATTCCTGGTACAGGAAACCATTCAGTATGTCGGAAACCGCCAGACCCAGACGGCGGCCGTCGGGTGGGGGTTGACAGGGGCCTACTTCCTGGTCTATCTCGGGCAAGCTATTCTCACAGCCGCCTCTCATCATCTTCTAAACCGTTGTGTCACACAAGTACGAGGAGGACTGATTTCTCTACTCTACCAAAAGACGCTTGAGCTCAGTGTCGTGACTGTCGATCCTTCGGCGTCTTTGACTTTAATGTCATCCGATATACAGAGAATCGTGGACCCGCTCGTATTACTGCATACGGCCTGGGGCAGCCTTGTCGAACTTGGTATCGCCATATATTTGTTGTATCAACGCCTGGGTAGTGCGTGCTACGCACCGGCAGTTGTGTATGCGCTCTCGATGCTGGGCACCGCCTGGGTGGTCAGAGTCATCGGCCAATACCAGAAGCGGTGGCTGAACGCAGTCCAGACCCGCGTTTCATTCACCTCTGCCTTGCTGCATTCTATGAGGAACGTCAAACTCCTTGGCATGTCCTCGATTATCAGGGATCGCACTCAGTCCCTTCGACTGTGGGAAATCGCCGAATGCAAAAGATATCGGATCGTCAACAACGTTCAGGTATTCATGCAAAATGGACACATTGTCTTTGCACCATTTGCAACCTTCCTTGTCTACTACATCAGGTCTAGCAAAACCGGACAAGCCCTCGATATAGCGACCGCTTTTGGCATTTTGACTATATTTAGGTTGGTTGAGACACCCATGAACAATTTGCTGTACAGTTGCCCTCAACTGGCGAGTTCCCTCTCATGCTTTGAACGGATTCAGCAATATCTACTTTCGAACTCTCGCCACGACAATCGGCTCAATTTAACCAATCCCGATGACTCGGACAGTTACTGGGCCCAGTCTGCTGTCGACGCGGAGTCTGTCGAGATGAGACGATTGGGAAGTGTGAACACTAGCACTACGGAGGAGGCTTTAGTCCTGAAGAATTGCTCTTTTGGTTGGAGTGAACAGACTGCTCCTGTTGTGCAGGATGTTGATTTGTCCGTGCGCGCTGGTTGGATTACCATGATCATTGGTCCCGTGGGCTGCGGAAAATCCACTTTGCTCAAGGGAATTTTGAGCGAGACCCCAATGTCTCGTGGATTTGTTTACATTCAGAATCAGTCTGTCGCTTTTGCTGATCAGGAGGCTTGGATCCAGAATGGCACGATTAGGGACGCCATTCGCGGTCCGGACTCGAGAGATATACCATACGAAGGTGACTTCTGGTACCACGAAGTATTAGATTGCTGTGGATTGAGGGAAGATATCTCTGTATTTGCACAGGGCGACAAAACTTTGATCGGCTCCAAAGGAATTTCTTTGAGCGGCGGACAAAAACAACGACTCGCTCTCGCTAGGGCTGTCTACTCCAAAGCACCAATCCTGGTACTTGACGACGTCTTCTCAGGCCTCGACAACGATACGGAGGAACTGATATTCAAGAAACTTTTCAGTCGCTCTGGGCCGCTGAGGCGGCAGCGCACGACGGTCATCTTGGTCACTCACGCTGTACACCGCCTCCCATACGCAGATTGCATCGTGAGCCTAGACGCGAATGGCCGGATTTGCGAGCAGGGAAACTATCTCAATCTGGTAAATCAGGGTGGCTATGTCCACAGTCTTGACGTTCGATTCAGAAAGGAGTACGAACATCCCACGAAAGAAGAAGTCGAAACCCCGGTTGAGGTCGAGAAAACGTTCAAAGTGTCCACAGCGTCCCAGACAGCCGAAGAGGAAAATGAGAATGCACAAGATCTCATGCGAAGAAACGGGGAGTGGTCCACATACAAACACTGGTTCCGCTCCTGCGGATACCTCTCAAGTCTGCTCTCCGTTGTCTGGGCGTTTCTTTTCGTCATTGCCTCTCAGGCGCCCGGTGTGTTGGTGAAAGCCTTCCCGGGCGACACTCCTTCGCAAGCTACCGCGTTCATTATCGTCTTCGGGGTAGCATGCATCGTCGCCGCTGTGTCAATAGTGCTACTGGTAATTCAAATCCTTCTTGACATGCAACCGAAAAGCTCCAGCAACCTCCACCTGAGCCTTCTGGAATCGGTTCTGAATGCGCCACTGTCCTTCTTCACCCGCACCGATATTGGATCCGCTACGAGCAGGTTTGGCCAGGACATGGCACTTGTCGATTCGGAGCTGCCATTTTCATATGCGGATTTCGTGCTCTCTTCGGTAGCCTGCGCTACCGGACTTGCAATCATGGCTGCTTCCGGCACGGGATATTTTGCCGCCACTATTCCCGTGGTCCTCGCGGCCATGTATGGAATCCAAAAGTTCTATCTGCGGACCAGTCGCCAAATGCGTCTTTTAGACCTGGAGGAGAAAGCTCCGCTTTACACGTTGTTCGGCGAGACCGCTGCCGGGCTGGTAAGTGTTCGTGCCTTTGGATGGGCAGGCAAGTTCGCGGAGCGGAATTTAGAGCTCTTAGATCGCAGTCAGCGGCCGTTCTATCTGATGTACTGTATTCAACAATGGCTCGGCATTGTCCTCGATCTCTTGGTGACGGCTCTTGTGACGATATTGATGGTGATTATTGTGGCGAAGCGGCAGTCCATCGAGCCGGGACTTGTCGGGTTGGGTCTATTGAGCACCGTCAATCTGAGCGGCAACCTAACAAACTTGGTACGGACTTGGACTATGCTGGAGACTAGCATTGGAGCTATCAGCCGTCTGAGAAATTTTGTCCGGGACATCGAATCAGAGCATAAGGTATGGGAAGTCGAGCCGGTGCCGACTCAATGGCCGGAGAGCGGACAGGTGAACTTCACTGGGTTCGGAGCCAGTTACTCGGCGGACTCTATGCTGGTTCTGAGGGACATTAACTTGGAGGTGCAACGTGGTGAGAAGTTGGGTGTCTGTGGTAGGTCGGGAAGTGGCAAGAGTTCAATGCTGGCCAGTCTCTTCCATCTCCTTGAGTTTCGCAGCGGACGGATTCAGATCGACGGGGTCGACATCTCTCGTGTTCCACGCGAGACACTCCGTGCAAAGCTCAATGTGATCCCGCAGGAACCGTGGTGGGTGACCACCGAGACGGTGCGGTTCAACATGGATCCATGGACGGCCGCGAATGCGGACTCCGACAATCCCCTGGGACGCAGCGAACGCGACGCAATTTTCATATCCACGTTGACCAAGTGTCAAATCTGGCCCGTCATCCAAGAGAAAGGCGGGCTCGACGCCGTGATGACGCCCGACTTCTTGAGCCACGGCCAACGGCAGCTTTTCTGCCTGGCCCGGGCGATGGTGCGTCGGAGCAAGGTTGTGGTGCTGGATGAAGTCAGTGCGAGCGTGGATGTGAAGACTGACCAGCTCATGCAACGGATCATTCGCGAGAGGTTCCGCGACTGCACCGTCATTGCGGTGGCGCATCGGTTGAACACGATTGATGATTCGGACCGGGTCGCGGTCTTGAGTCAAGGGAGGGTGGTGGAGGTGGGCGAGCCGGGAGCGTTGTTGAGGGCGGAAGAGAGTTGGTTCAAGGATCTATATAAATCGTGAGGACGAGGCTGGTTGTTTGTCCTTCCTCTCCCTATGCGCTGCTGGATGGAAGGCGTAGTCAGAAATAGGTGCCTGCGGCGGCGAGTCCTTGTAGATCAAGCAACAAGAAAGTTGGGAGTTAGAGTCCCTAGCGCGAATACAAGAGACAGAGGGATATCCGTGGAGCTGGGGGGAGAGCCGAACAATGGAGAGTGCAAAAGCTACTGACTGCAGGGGGGAACATCAAAACATTTGAGAAGAGGCATGGATCTGGGAAGGACATTAAATGTCATTCGGCTCTCTCGTTCATGCCTTGCCAGCACAGCTGCAGGGAATCAAATCGAGCAATTAGATGGTGCACAGAGTGCTTTTGCTTGGGCCACCAGCAGCCGTGCAGTTGGCCAACCAACGAGGATCCACGATGGAGGTGTTGTAGTATGCAACAACGCTCGCAACCGTCATAAAGACGTCGGTGGTGCTGGGTGTTCCGCTCCACCACTTGTTCCCGTCTGCCCACAGCTTGAGTTGTAAATTGCCGCCCTCCTTCGGAACGTGGTCAGTATTCTCGTGGATGAGCTTGCCATCGACATAGTACGCGACCCCAAGGTCCGGGTGACTATCGAACCGATACTCGCGAAATACTCCGGGTTGGAACTGGGGATCGCTCAAGGACTTGGCCAGGGTCGCGCCTGGGATGGGAGAGCCGTCCGGTGCTCGAGAGGGGTGCGAAGTAAAGCTGACGGTGTTGTTCACGAGCGAAGTGCCCTTTGTGATAAGTTCAATATCAATCTCTGATCGGTCATCCTATGCTGCAGGGTCAGGGTCCCTTCTCGGGTGCGGAGGCGGGGGATGAACGTTGCTCACACGATACCAAAAGAATCCCGCACAGGCGCCACCGTTGGAGCCCTCGACTTTGAAAACTGCTCGATAGGTGCCATAGCGCATGTCAATCTGTCGACTCTGAATGCCAGCAATGCTGACGGTCGCGTAAGCCTCCCGGTCTTTCTGGCTATAGCCGCGCTGTCTCAGTACGAGGTGCTTTCCCTTGATCTTGACATTGGTCCAGTCATATTTGGCGTTCAAGCGGATGGTTGGATTGTCGGCGCGCTGCTAATAATCGTAGATCATCCAATCTTGGTTGAACTTGGCAACCTTGCGGTTGTTGAGGAGTGAATCAATATCGGGATATTGGGAGAAATTTTCATACAGCCGGTGCGTATACACAGTGTGCGGTTCCGCCAGTAGCCAACCGCAGGGACAGTCGACACCGAGGGATCGAGCAACCTGGATGAGCGTAAGACTGCAGATGAGGAAGAGATGCATCTTTACGGGATGTCGAGCGGAACACGGTACGTGATGGTATCTCGAAGCAAGAAAGCAAACATGCCAACGCTCCCAGGCACGTCGTTCGGACGCTCTCTTGCCGGAAGGTACACTCCAGTTTCAGTCCATTGACTTCGACTTCTGGCCTTGACGACTGGCCTTAGGAAGGCGCGAATTGTGATCCTCGGGGAGGGACAGGGCGGTAGCTGTCTGCGGCAGCCTCAGTAAGGCCTGTATCTTGCATCTTGGGCCTTCTTGGATTTCGTTGTTTTAGCAGGGGTGGGAGGTAGACCACTACCAGTCTGTGGACGGAATGCCATGATGCGTCCATCCTCGCCTGCCGTGAAAATTGTCCCATCCTGCGCAGGATATTAGCGGGACCATACAGATATCGACAAGGTTAGTTGACCCACAGTCTCATCAGCATATATTGATCGGACAATTTCCCCTCCATGAGCATTTTCAAGCACGATTCGCTGGTCTAGACTGAGTCCAAGTCCTCGGCTTAGTCGGATCAAGTCAACACGAGAATTACTGCCGTATGTGTCAGGCTGATAAGAGAGGCAGTGGTGGAGGGGGAGGTTATACGGACCTGTGCGAGCCACAGGCCACAACATGGTCCGTGCCGCTGTGGAGGATATCAATCACATATTCGCAGGGGACGGTCTGTCTCAGGTCCCCCAACTGATCCGGCGCTGGCTGATCTGCTTCAGCATCTGCGTCATCAACCGTGAGAGAGTGCAATGCAAGATTCTGGTCCGAACTCAAAGCGTATAGATCTGTGGGGCCCAAGAAGCCGGCCTTATGAATTGGACCATGACTGACGGCCTGGAGCAGACTGTCTTGCTCTTCTTGAATTTGGGTGTCGAAGACGCAGATTACACCGTCATCGCCTCCGCTGAGGAGCAGATTATCCCTGGAGGGGTGGAAGTCCAGCGCCGTGATCTCATCGTTGACCTCAGCATTCTGCCATTTTAGCTTCGCCTGTCTTCGATCCCTACCAAGTTGAGTCAGTGGCTGATTTGTTTGGGCAGCAAGGAGCCTGTGTTGAATGTGACACAAAGCAGACGTGGACCTACCAGATGGATACAACCGCCTCGCTGCCAAAAGCCACCTCGTTCAGTCTGGAGGCCAAAGAATTGACAGGTTTGGCTTGCAGTAGAGACGGGTCCGTGTCAGCTTAGGTACCACTAGGAGAAGGCTCTCAGTCTATGCCTTACCCGACTTGAAGTGGGCAACACTCGACTGAGTTCGGATGTCAAACACGGCCACGGTTCCATCGTTTCCCGCGCAAATAACGGTTGTTCCCTGGTCCTCCACCGCCAACGAAGAGAGCCCATGGGGCACACCTTGGATCCCCACGGGGTTGGAAACAGCCAGGTCGTCCCTATTGAGAAGGAGGAGTTCATCGGCAGACGTGATAGCTGCAAGCCCACGGCCCGCCACGGGAGCTATGGCAAAAATGTAGACATCCTCGTTCTTGGATGGCGCACAGCTGGCGAGCTGTTGGTAGATTTGGATCATGTCGAGGGGAGTGCGGCGCACTAGGTCGGGCTAGCCGGGGATCAAAGCAAACAAATGGCTCCCTTCACCCTTGACACAAATGCTGGGAACAACTGGCGGTGTGCAAGGAAGAGGGGGGGTTTGGAAAGAATAAAGAGCAGAGACATTGAGTTCAAGGATGTTCGTTAGTGGTGGTAGGCGACGAATCATGGGAGAAGTGCGCGACAAGTGGCGGCTCTTTTTTTTTACCCAGCGATCGGCGCAGTCTACGGTACGGAGTATCACCACGGGTACGAAGGTCAGCAGAGCGCAGTTTGTGGCCGGTACGGCGGGGTAAAGGCATGCAATGGCGCAGGTGCAAGAAATCCCTGGTAGGCCGGCGTGGCCGGTAGGGTGGTGTTATAGGCTAGCGACGCCCACCAACATGCCGACCGGCGACGAGAGTCATGCCCCTCCCCTGCTGCGACCCCTGTACCGAATGTCCGAGAGAGTGTCATAGCCGTCTCCCTCAGGTTGGGACTGTCGAGAGAGGTAACGCAGAAGGCGTTGGGCCGTAGACCGTCGAGTTGGGCGGGCTGCTTGCGGCCAGCCGACGCTCCTAAACAGGAGGGTGGCTCCAAGGGCTCCATACAAACCCTTCCGTAACGTAGAGTCTTTCGTATTCGTAGGTGCAGGTGGGCATGATCTGTGTAACGGGTCACGAGTCAGTGTCTGGGCACATTTGAGCAAGCTCGATAAAAAAACATTGACCCAGCTGATAATAATGTTACCACCCAAGCAACTAGCCTCAACTAGTCGTGGTAAGCGAGCACACAATGTTGGGGCTACCTAACTCAAGTCCCTAGCTTCTCGCGCAGAGGGAGACCCGAGGATAAGAGAGTAAGGAGCGACGTGGGCGCCCGGGCCATGCTCCGGAGCACTCTGTGTTGGGAAGGCATTCTTTCGGTCATGGGCCAAGCGCCCGGAGTGTACCCCCCAGCGACGGCAGTGCCTATTCGCTATCGAGTTAGTTAAGACGCTTCGGCTCGCGCTGGAATCAGACATCCCCTTCACCCCCTGCTGTGCCAGGCCACGGCGGTGCCGGCTCTCAGTGATGACTTACAGCACAGGTCCCGGCAGTCTGGAAAGCCCCAAGTTAACTAACCTACCTAGTTAATGGCCACCTCACCCAAGGACCCAGGGACCCAGACACCCAACAAACCCCCCCATCCCGACTGGCATTCTGACGTGATACCCAGGCTGTCTGCAAATAATCACGCCTGCGGGGGTCCCTACCAAGTACAGTAGTGGCTGCCAGGTCTGCAGGTAGGTATGAAAACATTCTCGCGCAGGCATCTCGGTCCCTGTCAGGGCATTTTCTTTTGGGCGACTTGCACATTGTGACTACGGTTCTGGCTGGCTAGCGCGCGCAACGACCCGTAGCCCACCCGACTACTCGTCCCCCCAGGAGCCTTTATTGTTGGCCGGCTCTTGCAAGCCCTTTCACACAATTTGACTTCAGCATCCTCTCCAGCCATACCACCGTGACCAACCCTAGCTCCCTCATCCCAGTTTCGGAGCCTCCAGCCGTCTCCTCCATGAAGAAATCTGGATGCCAGCTCGGTTTCCCCCCGGCTGCCTGAACTGTCGTGCATCACTCCACCGCTCACTGCTCTGTTGCTCGCTGCCCGAGTTCTCCACCCTGATGCCGATGTCGACCCTTCTTTGTGGGCTGCTCGAGCTGGCTCGTACTCCTTCATCTGACGAAATCGGCCCTCCTTCGTGTGAACTGGTGGGATTTTGCCATGCGCCCCTCCCTTCCTTCCCACCCTCCCAGGGTTCATTGTACAAGCTCTGACCCGCAGCTTCGTCAAACCTGAACTCGAATGTCCAATGCTCAGTGGTCAGCCCAGGACGCAAGAGGGGAGTCCAGCACAATACAAAATACCCACACCCTTCACATCTGGCTCCTACGAGGGGAGGGGCAGGCTACGCTGATCGCCTAACCAGAAGCCATACTGCGGAAAATAAGAAGACTGCCCGAAGCCTTCCTCACTCCATCGGTCTGTCAGGTCAGTCGTCTCGCTGCGAGGGCAATTCTCTCGTGTCCCGGACATTTCAGACGCACATCGGGCGCAAACAGCAAGCAAACGCTTAATGTATGGTGACACGATCGCTCTTCCCTGGACTGGTTGAATCGAGATCAGCCGGTTTTCTGCGGCGGTGTTGCTACTTCCTCCTGTTCCGCATCCTGGCCCCTCCATCTTCAGACCCGGGTCGTCGGTTTCACGAACTTTGTGAAGCAAACGCTGTGGGCGGCCATTTTCTGGTCCGGCCCGGCCACAACTCGTCGAGGCATATACCAGTAAAGCATGGGCGACAGTCAATCGCAAACATCCAACGACTTCGTCCCTCCAAACTTCGAAGCCCACATACGCCCATCCAACGTGGTATCAATGAATCCCGATCTTCCTCCTTGGAGGACAAGGGTGCAAGAATTTGGTCGAGAATATGGGGCCTACAGACTGTAAGCACCTCAATTCCTTCCTCTTATAGACGGCTAACACAAGTTTGACCCTAGTGGACAATACTTGTTGCCCCACGACGAAGCAGAGACAAGAAGGATGGATATGGTACACACCTTGCTCAAGGTCATCAGACCCAAGGCTCGACGGCTCACCGAAGTCCCACACGAAATTCTCCAGATTCGCACAGATGGGTGGGACGATCGACCTCGTCGGCCTCGCGTCCTTGACTTGGGTTGCGGCACCGGCGTCTGGGTCATAGAGATGTCGACCGCTTTCAAGGACGCTGAATTCAGAGGCGTCGACATATTTTTCCAAGGGCCGCCGAATCCCAGTGACTCAGTCGATTACACCGTCCCTTGGGATTACGAGGGACCATGGGCTTTGGGAGAAGCGTCATGGGACCTTATCCACCTTGGGATGGGCTTGGGCAGCGTTTCGAACTGGGACTCACTCTTTCAGAAGATTCTCGTCCATCTCGTTCCCGGAGGGTACTTTGAATGGGTCGAGTTCGACTTCGAGCCTCGATGTGACGACGGTACGTTACAGCAGGGAAAGCTGAAAGAGTGGTGGGAACTCTACATCAAGACTACCTTTGAAGCAGCCGGTCGTCGTCTTCATTGGGACCCAACGGTGGACGACACCTTGAGGCGCATAGGGTTCAGGGATCTCAGCCACGTTGTATTCCAGATTCCCTTGAATACATGGGGCAAGCCTGACGACTACATGGGACGCATGTCGCGATGGTGGCACACAATGATGGGCCCGGACCATGACGGCGGCGGTGCCCACGGACTCGAGGCTCTCACTCTTGCGCCTATGTGCAGATTCCACGGTTGGCGTGCTGATCACGTCCAACGCCTTTGCGCCGAAGCACTAGCCCAGGCTGCGGATACCGATGTCCATGTCTACAACCAAATCCATATCATCACGGCCAGAGCACCTCGCCTAAACGAATCATAACCCCCGACCGCCATGTTCTGGAAGGATCTCCGAGTCTTTCTGCACCTATACGCGATGCGTCTCGCTTTGGACATACAGTACGAGCAAGAACCGTCGCCATGCTTGGAGTCCTTGAAGGAGCAAAATGAGGATAAAGTGATGGAGAACGAATGTTCATATAATTCTGCAGCTTACAAGCCGTTCGGTTAGCGCCTGTGTGCTTTGGGGTGCGCATATAATCCTGGCAAGAATTTTCCCCTGCTCGCACTTCTGATCATGATTGTGCCAAACCCTGGGCCAGACCTTGTGATGTACAGTATTTTATATGATCTCCGGATAATAAGTATGGTTTGACGAGCGCTGTGCTTCTCCAGGACTCCACTTTCACGTCGCGTTTCCCGGTCCTCTAAATCGCGATGATAATGCGCCAAAAAGGTGTGATCACCACGACGGCGGCCGTTGACAAGCAGGGAAAGAAACAGTTACGCCATCCAAGTCAGTCTTCGACAGGGGAGAACCATACACGATCTGGCGCGAGGGATTTTGGGTAGAAGCCTCAAATGTATGTTGGATGCTATGGCCGAGACTACCAACTGCAACATAGAACCAAAAGGGGCAAGATACAGATGCTCGAAGCGTCTTCTGGACCTGCTCAGTGTCTGGGTAAAAGATTGAGCTCAAATGGAGGAAAGGATGAATGAGGGGTGGTAACGTGGTAGAAAGTGGGCGCCGGAAGAAGCACACTGCTACGGAGCACTTTTAATTCCTACCTCTTAGGTCTCCATCCCTTCCTACAAGTACGTATGCCAGTATTTGCGCTGTCTTCTCCAGGAACCTTCTTTGGGGGGAATGTGTCCCGTCATCCCCGAGATTGAGACGTTGTGGCATTGGCTAAGCACTGTAACTGGGTAGTAGAAGAAAGCTTGCATGCACGTTCTCCGCCGCTGAGGAACCTGTGGCAAGAAGCACGTCTCTCCGACTGACTGGTTGTGAATGGATTGATTGATCAATATTCTTTTCTTCTCCGTTCCCTTCGATTTGTCGTCAACCCAGGCAATGCAGTAAATGAAACCACGCCCTTTGCTTTCCCCGGCGTCATTGTTGTTCGAGTCGCCCCATCATCTCTTGCTGGATGCAGCTCGAACACTCTAAACCCCCATCCCTATTTCAGTTCTTCATGTCACGGGATGTTTCAATGACCACAAACCACCACCCGATCGTAACCCCCCTCCACGTGTTGGTGTCCTCGTCCAAACAGCAGGTCCAGACCGTGAAGAACCCCTCCGTCTCGCAAGAACCACAACACGCTCGCGACCGCTCGCTCGAGAAGGACCGTCGTACTTAAGCAAATGTGGAAGGTCTCTTGGAGGAGAAGAGCTTCTTCTGGAGGCTGCTGCGGTGGGGGAGCGGGAATTTGAGGTTGCGCGTGATCAGCTGCTTGATGTATGGTCGCTTGACATCGTTGGGGTTGGTGATTTCGACGACTTTGAGGATCTGGAGGGGCATGCATGGTCAGCAATGTTTTTTTTCCCCTTTCTTTCCCCTCTCCGAGGGAAGTCAGAGAGACAAGTTTGAAAGGAAAAAAAAAACCCTACGTGGATGCTCCTGAATCGGGCACGATGTCTGGCAGCCATGTCCTGGTACAGCGCCTCGACGGCATCGGTGCGGCTCATCTCCCGGTACTCCTTGTACATGTTGTGCGTGCCGGAGCGCGAGTCGTATCGGATCCAGATGCCAAAGTTCTTGACCTTCAGGGGCCGCTTCTCGTGGATGACGTTGAGGGACACGACCTCGCCGGTGGATTTCTTGAGCTTGCGCAGCTTGGACAGGAAGTACCAGAAGCGCGACTTGGCCACCACGGTGTTGGGTGCGAAGATGCGCATGCGGTACAGCTTGGGCGTCGGGTTCGCGTCGGTGGGCAGCGACCGCCCGATGACCTGGTATTCCTGAAGGCGACCTGTGCGGTGGACATGTCAGTCTGCGTTCCCTTGAATATACGCTTGCCGTGATTATGAGCGTGGGCCTGGTGTCGTTCAATTCCAATCCCAAGGCGGAGAGGATGTCCCTTCTCTTTCGAACATTCTGCTTCGAAGAATTGCGAGACATGCTGTTCCCTTCACGTATGCATCTCTTCACAGGCTTCCCCATCATATTTCTCTAGAATCTTTTGCGGAAACCTCCAATTGAAAATTCCTCGTGGGCGCTCGTGAACTCGACAAAAAAGTGGCTCGTAGGGAGAGAGGAATTGTGATGCAGAGACTTACCCATCTGCGCCGAGTTAGCCTTGAAATGTCCATAGACGGATTCTCACATACCTTGACTGTGTTTGATCGACCTCAAAACGTGGCTCGTCGTCGATGTGCTTTTGATCGCTGAGAGAGTCCAGCAGCCAGGCGTCGGATTTCAAGTTTCGATCTAGGTTCGTGTGCCAAGAGTTGCGTTTTCCTTGGCGCTCCTTCCCAGGGGCCCGGTGATTGGTCAGTCGGACTTTCTTCGTCATTTGAAGGAGCCCAAACAAACTTCCCTCCATAACAACTTGCTCTTCGTTTGTCTTGCAATTACACCAGAACATTTTGGTCTGATGGGGAGCATCTTTGCGGATTTCCACGAAGCCCAGCGGGTAGGGTATGGCCCGCTGCTCGCATCCTGTCTAGCTCCCATCGACACAGAACGGGACCCCCGTCGACTCGAGTCATTCGCGCAGATATCAAACTATCAGACGGTCTCGGCGGATGTACGCTATCACATCATCCAAGACCGCAATGCTGCCAAATTGCCCAAGGCCGAAGCGAATGCTTGGGTTGACATCTTCGTTGCTCTATGGAAATGTGTCAAAGAACTTGTCGCGCTACGGCAAGGCGCCGGCACCGGCGACTGGTCCAAGGCATTTGATGCCTACAGAGAGTTGTGCAATCACCTGGTTAGAGGATACACCAACTTTGGATTCCAGGCCTGGACTGTTCCGTGCCTCAGCGTTGCCGGGAAATATCTCCGCATGATAGCCATGAGAGCAGACAGCGAGACCAAGGCCAAAGAAGGAAATGGAGATGTCTTTGCGAGTGGCTTCTCCGACGATATCATGGGCGACACAAACAAGAACGAGAAATTGGAGCAGGCCGCCTGGACCATCAACCGAATGTTCACGATATGCTTGAGTGACCGAGCCGAGGAGAGTGAGTCACGCAGATGGGGCATTTACAGCACCACCAACCTGCTCTTCAAGACATACTTCAAACTCAATTCGGTCTCGCTTACAAAAAATGTCATTCGTGCTCTGGAAGCCGCAGCAGATGACATCCCCAATCTGGCGCGATTCCCCAAATCCCACCAATGCACATTCAAGTATTACCGGGGAGTCATTGAGTTCCTGCAGGAGAACTACGTCGACGCGGAGCAGAATCTGATGGAGGCATTTCAACTGTGTCACAAGGATTCCATGAAGAACCAAGAGCAGATCCTGACTTACCTAGTCCCAGCACACATCATCAACCACCACCAACTTCCCAGAAACGCCCTGTTGGCTCCTTATCCAACTCTGGCAAAGATCTTCACGCCACTATTCACTGCCATTCGCGCCGGCTCACTCGCCGCTTTCGACGATGCTCTTTCTGAAGCTGAATCAGAATTAGTCAGACGACGTATCTATCTCACTCTTGAGCGCACCCGTGGTCTCTGCCTGCGCAACCTGTTCCGGAAAGTCTTCCTGGCAGCAGGCTGGGAGGATACCAAGGACGCAACGACTGGCGAGGTGACAGGCAAAATCCGTCGCACAAGGATCCGTATCGAAGAATTCGAGGCCGGAATGCGCGTGAGTTATAAGGGTGGCACGGACGTGTTGGTTGATAGGGACGAGGTTGAGTGTTTCCTGGCCAATATGATCTATAAGGTGCGTCCCGTTGCCTATTTTATGTTCGTTTGCCAACATCCTTTCGCTTCATTCGTCTTTCTTTCAACAGGGGTGCCTCCCTTACAAAGCACGGCTTAACGCCGCTGTTGCCTTGGTGATGGCCGGATGCCTGGTACAACATGATCCATGTAACTCAACTAGCGAAAGCTCTGCTCCGATCCCTGGCCTAGAAGGGAAAATGCTGACTTTGAATTCCTGGCTCTTTTGCCGCCGCAGAACATGATGAAAGGTTACATTGCTCGCGACCGTGGCATCGTCGTACTCAGTAAGGCTGGTGCCTTTCCTGGTACAGGTGTCTGAATGGAAGAAACACATGCCAGAGTAACACTTACTCACTGTTTGAGGCTACATCTGGCGAACTTGAGGCTCGTCTACGCGATGGACAAATTCACACAACCATTACATCCCTGCCCAACGCTATTGGAGGGCTGGATCATCCCAACGAAGCACTCTTATCTGCTACGGTGCTGAGTTTAAGTCACATTTATAGCAAACAGCTTCTTTCAAAAGGGTCCAGTCTCGATCTGAACACGGCAAGCATGTCACCGAAAATGCAGTCAAAGAGCCACACCCACACACAGTTTAGGCCGCTGCATCTACTTCAAGGCGGCCACCGGGTTGACCTTTTGATGGCTAGAATGACTGGTTCACGATGTTCCTCAGGTGTCGAGCCGCCTCTTCGGCAAGGCAGATCGAATCCAAGCCAGCAGGCAGCGCCGCTCGCGCTAGCTGCTTCCGGCAACAACCAATGGTGGAGCTGACCTTGGTCGAAGGATGCTGGTCGACGCTCTGCTGAGCAACCTTGTCTGAATATCCACACCTCCATCTTCCCAGGAGAGTGCAACGGATCACACTGGAATCGAAAGCAACGGGTCCCAGCGAGAGGGGAGGAGGGAACGGTTGATCCGCACATGGAAGCATGCCCATCTTCTGGCCCATCGCGTCACGCAGCTGGATAACTCTCACAATGGAGGCTGAAGGTGGGAACGTGTGAGTCGAGGTGTGGATGTGATCAGGCAAAGTGACCACCAGAGGAAGTATTGGTGCGGTGCTTTGACCCGCTTTTTCTCGAGTTTGGGGAGAACGAGTCAAAGTGCCCCGTTATCACTGCATACAAACACAGCGCAAATATGGGTACAAGGAGCTCGGTACAGCTGGGTATGATTCGAGCTTTCAAGGGTCCAAGCTCCAACAAACTCAAATTCACCTTCTCCCCCTTTGTCAGCCTCTCGTTGCCTTGAGCCAGGCACCGCGGCCTGCATTAGCGAGACCAGGGCCTGGATGGGCAGCGGACCGACCGACCAGGAAACCGGGGCTTTTCGGCCAGGAAACGACTCGGCTGGCTGCCTTTGCGCTATAAGGTGCCGGATATCTACGTGAGGGAATGCTGCGAGAAATCAACCAATAGACCTCCAACTGGCCGAAAATGTCGGAGAATGAGGCAAGTCGGATCGCTGTGCCCGGCATCTTCATGCTTTCTTTGGGGGATTAAGGCCAAAAAGTGCTCGAAGAAACGGCTGCTATCTATAGTCAGGATTAAGGGTCTCTACAGCTTCTGGAAGAAATCAATTCCATTGCGTTAATTTTCTCTCTAGACGAAGCATTCATACGCTGCATCCGAGACAATGACTGAGTTGTTCAAATCTGATAGCAGATACGACCGAGCATTCCTCTCCCACTCTCGCCCTTGGTGGTCTGAGATTCTTCTCTTTCCAGATAGACCCGAAATGGTAGTACAGTGCGACATTTCCTCTTGGAAATGATATCGACCTCGTCCCTTTCCCATTGGGGACAGGGCAGTCAGTGTTGGTTTTTGTTGGATAGTGATACAAAAGGGCAGCAGAAATAGACATCCGACAGCACAATATCCAATCAACTCCGGGACGCTGGGTAATCCACAGCAAAACTGGTACAATTTGTGGCGGGATCGGATATCCTCACGTAGCTGGCAATTTAGGTGGAAGGGACTAGCATGATACAAAATGGGGAGCACATCGTCTTCAGGAGTCACTCTCTAGCGAGTGAACGGTGATGTGAAAGGGGAGCGGAGTGTTTTGAGGTCGTCCTATGTCGTATAGTCAGTCCATGTCGTGAAGCTCAAAGTTCAAAGTGTGGGCGACATACCATATGGTTGCACATAGCAACGAAAAGATCAAAGAACAAGGTGCCGCCTTGCTCCATTTCGACCTTCATGGTGCCGCTCTTCTTGAAGTTGTTGCGGCTACGGATGATCAAGGTGAGGTATTGGGCTCGAAGCTTCGAGTCAGAGTCAGGGGTGTGGCTGTAAGCATAGCGCGCCGAGGCAAGGATGGTAGAGATCTGCATGCCTTGTCGCAGGCCTTGTTTGCGAAGGGCAAGGCGTTTAAGTTCTTCAAGGCCATACAATTCGGCCGAACAGCTGTGGGGGAAGAGTAGTTGTCAGTAGCTGCAGATGAGCAGACCGGTGGTGGGCACAACATACTAAATGACTGTATCCCTCATCAAGGTCTGTTTGGCGCCATGATGATATATGGTCACATTGGACCCATTGGCCTCGTCTTCCAATTCCCAGGTATCCTTTTTCTTGTTATGCAGCAACTTCGGATAGTAGTCTCCTCTGTAGAGGTATTCCAGAACAGCAGACAGGATCTCTGGCTGTTCGTCAGGCAAGTTGATCCTTCTGGCGTTGGATTCAAAGAACTGGCCCTTGCAGGCAGCTTCGAAGAAGGGGGAGCGCGAGAGGACTTCTTCGTGGCCGGCAAAGAGTCTCTGCTCGGGACCAACGCAGATGGTGATGATGGCGGAGGTGAGGGTGCTGTTGCAGAAAGTTGGTCAGTAGAGCTCGGTGTGGAGAGGAGGTCTGTCACTTACCTCCCAACTGGTGGGCTTGTATGAGTACTGTGTTCCCTTCTATGAGACCTCATCGACTCGGAGCGCTGGAGACCTCGGGTAACGGATTGCTCTCGGAAGGAGGACTTGGGCTTTGTGGACTTGCTTGTCCCATAGCGAGAGGAGAAGCTGTTTGATTGTTGCGGTCTCTTGCTGCTGAACATTGTTGTCGAAAGCCCTTGCGCAAAGAGCCCTGTGCAGCCTATACGGGGGAGTCAAAGGGAGAAAGGAGAGTCAGTAGCAGCGAGTGTGGTCAAGTCAGGGACAGGAAGAAAGCGATGGAAGGCAGCATTGGTACATGAAAAAAACACGGAGGGCAGAGACACGAAGATAGAACTGCCTGGAATTGATGGAATCAGGCAGAGCGAGGAGGGAAGGTTGAGAAGAACATTCTGACAGCAGGAGAAGAGCAGCTTTTGATGGTCGGACATGGCGGCCAGGTTGCTCCCCCTTCCAAGGGCAGGCTGCTGGGAAGCTTATCAATGCGACGAGTTTCCCAGACTGCATCGAGCCTAGATGAAGCTGTCGGAAGCTCGACACGGTCTCCCGCGTCGCAGGTGGAACCCACTTAACACGAACGAAGAGCGCAGGCATGTGACTGATATGCAAGCTCTTTACGGCCTCGTGGGTCTTCTGGGGGCGGAACATCGAGTCTGACTGGCCTGGCTGGGTCGCTCGATGTGACTCGACTGCGGCTGGCAGCTTTCGCCCCCTCCTGTATGTCTCCCCACGGTGCCCATGTCTGGTCAGAGTTACAAGGATACCCGGGGGACCATGGGCTAGTTCTGTAGGCGAAGCAACCTGCATGTTGGTAGTGCCTCCTCCTCGCCACCTGGACCTTTGTCCCCTTGCGTGCCGAGTCCCCCCAGCGGCCAAAGTGACCAGTCACATCCCCCAGATTCGACCGATCGACGGTGAACAGTCATAAAAGGAAGCACTTTTAAGCCGGTGCGACCGAATCACAGATCGTCGCAGGCAATCAAAGAGAAAGAACCGGGACTGAAGGCAGCGAGAACAGAACAACGGAGTTCTACCGGGGAGACTAGGTCATGTATTGAGAAAAAGATGGTGTACAGGCCATGTCCATGGGCGGAGTGAGGCAAAAAACATGAAACATTAGGCGTCGTCCCTACCATGCAGCTCCGATGCCCGAAGCAGAAAAGAGCGCAGTCTTCGGCTCTGCAATGAACATTGGTTCTTCGATTGTCATTTGTTGGCCATTTGCTCCATTTGTGTACCTGGCATTAGTGCTCCAGGAGCCTGACCTCACCCGTTCTCCCCGATCATACAAGGAGATAGGCTGGGTGGATGAAAGAAGGAGAGCAGAGTTGGGATCTGATTAATCTATCAACCTTGACATGTTGCGACTGCAACTGTAAGACAATGTCCTGGATATCATTGGTCCTTGCGCCGTCGTCCGGATCAATCGAACAGAGTCCCTATGACTATGTTCACTATGCATGCCATTGCTGGCCCCATCTCCATCACGTTGCAATCCCTCTGGCTGCTGGTCATTCGTGGCTCCCCCAAGTGTATGCACAATGCCCCGATGGATTGCTCTTGGTCACGCTGTCAATGCTCCTTGACAACGCCGGCCTACTGTATGCGCAGTTTTCCAGAACGCGAGTCAAGTGAAGCTCCGGTCGTAGCGCTAAATGGACTCTCACAAACTGTCCCCACCCAAATCGCTTTCACAAAATGACTATCTTTGCCTCCTTTGGATGGCTCTCGACCGGACAATAGGGACATTTGAATTTGGCGCCTTTGCTGAGCTTCTGTAGTGATTCCTGTGCAATGACATGACAACAAGGCAGCATCATCGGCGGATTCAGATCCGTGGTTTGTTCCTTCGATACAGGACAAACAAAAATCGAGTGAAATTGATAGGAGGGAGGGAGTGGTGTTTCCACAGGGAGCTCGTTGGCCGACGTCCATTCGGTCCGTTTCTGCTTCTGAATGGTCTGCAATTTGAGAAGTATGGGTAGGGCGATCGCTCCCGCAGTAGCTGCTATGTACAACGGTGAATCGGCAGATAGCTCGAGGAGTGAGCAGAACTCTCGTGTGAAAGAAGTTGCCACTTCATCCCATGTGGTAGAATTGTTGAATCTGAGGCTGTATGGTGACTCCTCCAAGTTGGAGCAAAAGGGTATGGCGCCCATCAGCTGCTGTATCTCGACTAAGTACCGACCTCGAAAAGACTGGAACTCTCTTTGCGCGTATTGAAGAGCACGTATGGGTGCTTCAAAGTCGTACTGGTCTTCTTCTCGACGGTCAAGGAACAAATTGACAAATTGCAATCTGCAGAGTTCAAACTCCAGGTTACTACCACGAGCTTCCAATGCTGTCGCGTTGCTCCTAGCCCAGTCGATAGCAGGCTGCAAGTTGTGGTGGTCCTTGAGTTCACTTAAGATGTGGTACATGTTCGAAAACTGTTCCTGCATGCTTTCTTCCTTGTTCTCGTCCAGCCCTAGGGGATGCTCCATCGACAGATCCAACTCCAAATGAGCTGCTATCTCCTGTTGAGCCTGCTGTCTCTCAAGCGCCTCGGAATGAAGGGTCGACGCCACTTCAAATAGTCCTTCTCGAAGCAAATGCAAGTAGACTGCTCGGTTGATTAACGCGGGGTGTGTGGACAGAGCGTCAATCTCGCTGCTCGGCACCTTGTCCTTGAAGACTTTGTCCAACGCTCTTGTATATTTGTTGTGTAGTCCATGCGTGTCTTTCAATCCCGAGAAGATACCGTCGAATGATGTCTTGACTGGATTCTGCAGTTTTGCCAGTGTAATCTGTCTCGACGTGGGATCTTCGGCAATGGCGTTCCTTGCCCTCTGAAGGGATCTAATGATGTCGTCGACATGGCCAGTCGTCCTTGACAGCTTGCTATTATTCCACACTTTCTCGTGTTCTTTCTGTATATTGTCCATGGTGGGCCACCGTCATCAGTTGTGTCTGCGTCTTTTGGCTATAACCTAGGCGTGACTTGTACCATCGTCGGCCTTTCGTTCTCGGAATTCTGCTAGGAGCGCGGTGGATAGAAAATCTCGACCGGAGGGTATGCAAGTACGGCCTGGAGTAAGGAACGGTGCTGTGTTCGAGGAATGGCAAGTGACCGTGCCATATGAACAAGCTTCGATATGGAGTGGGCAGATTCCCGTGATGTAGATCGTTGATAAGCGGGCAAGGCGGGTTAAAGGTCGCCCTTCGGGTGGCAACACCCGTTGCCAACCAACCAGCAGCTTGCAACTGCTGCCTTCTCTAGAGACCCTTACCAACGTTGAATCAATCAGCACAGCAATTCCGACATCAACGTTTATTTGCACGGTCTTGACGCTCACGCGAGATGAAAGATCCTGAATCCCACATGTTTGGCTAGCGTCACCAGCACAGTGCCTTACAATGTCGTTCGTGGGAGCTGGGTTTTTGACCCCATACCATCATCCCACTTCCTTTCCCGGGTCGCCGAAGGACAAGTCTGCTAGACCTAGTCCAAAAGATGAATACAAGACACAAAAGCCAAGTGCCGTCGATACCTCCAGCCCAACCTCTAGCGGGGGCGCTCAAGGACGAGCAGGCCAGAATCGAAAGCGCCTTGTTTTCGCCGATCCCGTTGCCTTTCGCTACCTGGAAGAAGATCCTGCAACTGATCCTATAGAACGATGGAGACGCCTTGAAGGGTACGAGATGTACGTGGTTGAGCAATGGGCCTGCTCGAGAAGCCATCCCACTTTTATCATTTGTACCTACACAGGCGACCCTTCGCACTCCATTTTGGTGAACGTCCTTGCTGTGCCCAGTGACGAAAGCACATGGTCTCAGAGATTGCAAGTCTATTTCCAAGCAGTCTCTCAATATCATGCGAAAGAGAAAGACACGCCTTTGGGCGCACTCATGGTCACCAACCTGAGTTCGTTTCCATCAGCCCTTACCGTCGTTCCAGTTCCGGATGGCGATGTCAGGAAGCATCGAGATGACTTTATTGTCAACGAGGACCTCAAGCGCATGGGATGCTCCGGGAGAGCTGGCATCAACCTACAGCCGCCTCAATCCAGTACCGTTGCTAAATTCCATCACCTCTACCGGACAAGTGAGATTGTCCCGCTATATCAATCGGTCATGGAACTTGTACGGACATGCCAAATCGCATTGGTTATGTACGACAAACTCCAACCCACATACGCCGACGGCTTGCTTTGCGATGTGACCGAGCGGGCTATCAACGACTGGTGGACAGATATTGGAACCTATTTCTACAACGTCGAACCTGGCGACGGTATTCTTGGACCAACCACGGTGGCAGCACTTCTTGGTCTCCTCATCGGAGCTTACAATCGCCTCAAAGCCTTCGGATCCCCTGTTGGGAAGGACGTCTTGGATACCGTCTCAATGAAAAGGGCCATCGGCCATTTCCAAAAAGGCCAAAAAATGGAAAAGACTCGACGACTTGATCGAGAGACTCTCGATCGTCTCCACAGGGCTACGGCAAAGAATGCCAGCGGTGAAGGCTGGACTGTACCAAAGGCAGTCAAGTCCACCGTTGCTGAGCTTAGTGGCAAAGGAGGAGAGATGGTCATGGGTATAGTCGGAGGTCGCGACAAAGCCGGCATCTCAGAAGCTGAGACCATGGACATTGAACGTTTCGCTCAGTTGGTCACGGGTCCTAAGATGAAGTGGCTCTGGCAAGGGAAGCCCATCAAGTCGGGCGATCCGTTCGCCTGGCCGACTGGCGATCTTGATCTCAAGGGCAGAGTGTTTAGCACTGATGATCAAGGCAATTTTCTGTGGACGGGCAACCAGCATGAATCCACCTCGGACGTAAACGCCCTTGAACGGACCGATACGATGTACACGAATCAATCGGACTCCAAGTCCGGCCGACACCGTTTGAGAGGAGCTGTTGGGGGCCTGAGGAGCTATAACCATCGTTATCAGAAAGATATTGACGAAACCCAGGATTGGGTCGAAACCGCTGCGACCAGACACACTCCTCGAGATCATACATTGAGGACGGCAACTGGGATTCCGCATCCATCTGAACCTCGTGCATTTGACATGGCTTTGGTCAACACTGAGCCGGTCTCGCCTCAAACCGAACGGCGCCTGCCACTACGCCGAACTCAAACGACGACTGAGAAGAGAATGCCATCACATCGGGAACAACTGCGTCCCGCCTTGCCAGGGGACTCGCCTAGGAAGAAGAAAGTCGATGCCGAGTTGGCGGACCTGCGCAATGAATTCAAAGCAGATATCTACCGCAACTTTTCCGCTGCTATGCCATATAAAGGCCCCAGTAGTCGGGTCCTGCGACGGACGCAGAGCAATGTCCAACTAATTGGCCATACCATTGACAGTCCTCGGCAGAACCGAATCAACCGACGCCTTTCCTTCAGCGTGGTAGAAAGCGCAGTTCTGGACACAGGCAAAAACATCGTGGAGGAAGGTATTGTGAAGGGTAAAATTGAGGGAGACCTTACCAATGCCCTAGCTGAACGCGACGCCCTGGAGGCCTATGCCCAAAAGAAAGCTAAGCGTATCCAGCGCATTCAGCAAGGTCTAATCCCATACACTGAAAGCCGGGTCGTCCATGTGGAGAGCCTAGAGAGAATTGCTCATCAACACCTGGAAGAACTCAATGAACTGTACTATCATCGCCTGGAAGAGTATCAGACTCTACAGGCTACCTCGTCCGATCTCGTGTCGCAGGAGAAAACGGCTTTGACAGAAAGTTTCCGGCGCATGGAAGTGTTGGGTGCGAAAATGGACTATGAATTGGACAGCTTGCAGAGTCGACTGCAGGAGGTGGAAGATGGAGTGGACGACTTTGAGAGGAATGTTTTGCTGATCGAGGCGAGAGCAAAGGAGTTAAATGGTGAGAATGAAACGCCTCCTGCAAATTCATCGTGGATTGCACGAGTGCTGAACTTTTTGGGGCCCAAGAAGTAATGGAACGGCATCTGCGAGTCGATGGAGAAGGGATGCTTTCTGTGGTTTAGCGAGGCGTTTGGGAGGTATAAAAGCTCGCCGGACCTGGTTCAAGGGATTTGGCACAGCACTGGTAATCTGGCCTCAAATTGTAGGAATTGAGATTTGATGCTCCCTTTCCACTGCGCCATCTCTACCAGTCCCTGGCCAGATCACAAACCAAGCAGAACTGTCCTGCACCAGTTCTGACATGAAATCTGGCCGAAATACTGTACACAATTTTCCAACCCTGCAATTCCACCTCCATGATGGATGCTATGACGAGGGTACAGATTCACATCCAAAGCCATGCCATATGCACTGCGATGATGGTCATCGGCATGACGAAAGAACCTGATATCTCTTCCACACGGTTACATTCCAAACATACCTCCGCCACCACCAGCACCTCCTTGTCTCATGGCCGCCTCGCCCTGCATCTTTTCTGATACTTTCATATTGACTTCGAAGAACTTCGCCACACAGCGATCGAGGCAGACACTCTCGGCCTTGTTGAGATCGGCTTCACGGTAGTCGGCGGGTATGCATTTCTTCAGGCAGGATTGCGTTAATCTGGACAGGGTCAATGCACTGTTCATCAGAGCGAAGTTGCCGGGAATTCCCTCATAAAGGGCTAGAAGAGATATATATCGGCCAGAGGGTTGCGTGCGTACCTATTGAACATGTCTGAGACCATCTCGACTTCATTTTCTGCTGCTGCGATCTTTTCTGCGGACGTCGGCTGAGGTCGGCCGCCACCAAAAAGGAAGGACATGGTATTGAATGGTAACCCTTCTCGGGGCAGTGCTTTCTATCGAGGGAGGAGCACGCGGTATGGTGAGGAGAAACGCGCCGTGGATACGTAAATGTCAACTGTTTAGTTTAACGTATATAAAAAGTTGGGCAGCTCGGAGACGAGAGACGCAGGGCGAAGTTTCCCCGAAGCTTAAGCGAACATTTTAATTTTCCGCATGGATTCCCGCAACCACAGCTACGACCAGTCCTTTTTCTCAAGGCCTCAGGTCGTTTTCCGGTTCATGCAGCTTCATGTACGGAAGGTCGACGTGGCGAGCATGGCGTTCGACCCGTTGGCCGGCGCACGGAAGGTATGTCTACTCTCAATCACTTTCAATCACCCCTCTCCCACCCAGATGACGAGACAACGAGAAGAACCGCTGCGAGTGATGCTAGCTTCGGCTAGTTTGTGATCAAACTTCTCCCGCGATTGTCTGATTATGGCCCAAATGCTCCGGAATATTTCTGCTCTTCATGTTACCGTTTGGGAAAAGGCAGCCGCTGACACTGCACGTTCAGCAGCCCTGAAACCGCTACTGGGAGACCTCTCTCGACCCCATGCCTCTGGAGGGATTCTTACCTGCAGACACCGTCATGGACCTCACGAGTGTACCTTACGACGGGGGCTTCAAGGTTAAGCTCCCACGACGCGTCGAAAGTTGGAAGTCCGTATGCGACTAAAGAGGTACAAGAGCGGCTTCAAGAACTACAGAGTTCCGCCATACCCCTCTATCCACGGTATCAGTGTACCTCTCAAGCGCGGAGCTTCCAATCATTGAGGGAGGAAGCGGACGTCAATGTTACCAAAGATGATGCTATGGCTCCTAGCGACTGGATAGAAGGCAAGATCAACAGCTGAGGAGGCAAAGAGACGCAATGAGTTCTGACGGAAACACCAGTGTCTGGAAGAGTCTCTTCCATCCGGCTGAGCGGCTCAAAGTTGGCTTTCGTTGATATCGTTGAGGACCAGGTGAAGCTTCAGGTTATGCTGTCTCACTCGGCATTCGAAGGCTCCGGAGTGACCTTGACAGACTTCAAGCACTTTAGCCGGCTGCTTAGACGAGGTGACTATATTTGTACGTCTTCCGAAGCACGTCCCAGGAGAATCTGTCCGTTAACTTTTCGAACGAAGCATTGAAGGGATGTCGACCATATAAAGCCAAGAATGGCCAACTCTCCATCCGGGCTTCAACCATGCCCATTATTCTGTCACCTTGCCTCCAACGATTTCCGGTTGAACATCGAGGCTTTGCAACGACCGAACTTGCAGAGTCTAATTTTCAACCTCGACATGTGGAAATGCAGACGGACCCCGAAATCATAGAGACCCTAAAGGCCCGGTCGACCCTTATCCGCACAATGAGACAATTCTTCGAGTCCCGCTATTTTATTGAAGTGAGCACTCCTGTCTTATCTGCCGCAGCGGGCGGTGCAACGGCGAAACCATTCGAGACCAAAGCGACAGAATTTCCTCACCGCAAGCTCAACCTACGGATAGCTCCAGAATTGTGGCTGAAAAGGCTCATTGTTGGTGGCATGGACAAGATTTTTGAGATTGGCCCTTCGTTTCGGAACGAAGGCCTCGACAAAACTCACAATCCCGAATTCACGACCTGCGAGTTCTACGCCGTGCGCCACGATCTGCGCCAGCTGATGGACATGACGAAGCAGCTCATCACAGACATTGGCTCGGCTATCAAAGCTCTACCTTACCAATATGCGAACGCGCGCTCATACCTTCTTGACTCTGTACACGGTCCATACGAAGAGCTTGACTTTATTCCTTCTCTCAACTCTGCCTTAGGGGTTGATCTCCCCAACCTCTCCTCACCTTTCGCCCACGCCGAGCTCCTGGGACTTTTCCATTCGCACAATCTGCCCCTCCCCAGCAATCCCACGGTTCCTCGACTCGTGGACAAGCTTTCCTCGCTGTATCTGGAACCGCGCTCTTCCCAGAGACCACTCTGGATCACAAACATTCCCGAGTGTCTGTCGCCCTTGGCGAAATCATACATCCATCCCACAGCACCCAATGATCAGCCAGTTGCTGCCAGAGCAGAGTTATTCATCGCAGGGAAGGAAGTTGTGAACTGTTACGAGGAGGAAAACTCGCCTTTCGAGCAAAGGAGGAAGTTCCTGGAGCAACAAATATATGGCACTCTTAAATCCCACCCACAGACTAACTCGAGTGAGACCGGAACAAAGACTGCCAGCGCATATGTGGAAGATGACGAAGAGGTGATGAAGGTTGATGAGGACTACCTACAGGCACTGGAGTGGGGGCTTCCACCTACTGGTGGATGGGGTTGCGGGATCGATAGGCTGGTTATGCTTTTCACGGGCAGAGAGAGGATTGGAGATGTGCTGAGCTTCGGCAATCTCAGGGCGGTCACAAGGGGTGCAGAAGGAGAAAGCTACACGGGAGGTGAAGATGGCAAAGCCAATAGCTAGCACGAGACCCGTGAAAGGACTTGCGAACTCTCCTGAAGCGCTTCCTGAAGGGTTGAATCGGACGACCCCAAGGCCACTATTTGGATGCTAGATGAAGAGATCCGCCTAGAAGGAGTGTCTTGTACAAATAAACAGCTGAATCGCCCAGCCCAGAATGTTTTCCAAAGCGCGGCAGCTAAATGTGGCTTGTTGTTTTCTTAAGATTTGCAGAAAGAGCAGTTGTCTTGGGCAAAGGGAGTAGCGCAGGGAGGTTGAGTTGGTGTGGTGGAATTGTGGTTCCCAGCAGCAAAAGCAACGGCGAACTCTCGAGACGATGTTGAACGCGCCCCACACCATTCCCCCCCCCCCCCTTTTCGCCACGCAGCCTCGCGACTCTCTCCTCAGACATGGAATGACGACCCCCTCCCCCCCTTTCCCACCCCGGGTGGAAATTGTCACCCTCGTAGATTCCTCAGGGGCGTTGTTCCTGATAGATGGCCTTGAAATGATTGGTGATTGAGCAACGAGCGAAAAAGGTAAAAAGCTGGACATGATATGTATGCCTTGTATGCGTGCATATTTGCACAGCGAAGTTATTGTGTTGAAAATTGACAAGAAAAATGTTTGTTCCAGGAATCGTAAACGGTGCAGCCGGCCTGCCCGACCGCGTGTCCGCCAGCCATGTTGGAGTGGATGCTCGTTTCGAGCCGTTGAAGGCAGCCGGGGCACCTGAGAAGGGGCCCAGAACCAAAAACAGGTCGCGGCGTCTTTTCGCTGCGCTCGGGCGCTTGGTGATAGTGGGCGCCCCGGCGTCAAGCGATGCCATGTGTCGTGGGGTTCTTCCCTTGTATGTTCCTACATTGTCGTTGTTCGTGGCCGTCCGGCTCCTAGGCTCGTGCTCAATAGCCCCGCTCACATCTCCCCGTCCGAGAGCACCCTTCTTTCCTGCACAGCTCTGCTAACTTTCTCTTTTGTCTCGTCTTGCTTGGGAACAGTCTCGCTACGCCTCTCGCTTTCGTTTCCGACTGCCTCGAGTTTCCGGTTGTAGGGGGGTCCCGCTGTGTCGAAGCGGGCCTTGGCCGGTGGTCATGCGCTCCATTTTGAATCGATATATCTGGCGCTCGATCTTGACCAGTTCCGGCGCCGTGACGATGTAGAGTCCGTCGTACCGGAAGCCCGTCACCGGTCGATGTGGGACGATTTCAGCCAGTCGCCACGACCGGAACACCCGAACGGGGCATCCAGTCCTGTACGAGGTGAAGAGAGACATTGTCGCGTCGGTTGGGCCCTCTCCTTGCGAGTTCTTTGTGATGCGCTCGACCCGGTGGGTGACGGCGTCTTTGAGGTTGGTGGGCTCTGTATCGCCTGGCTTCCGGGGAAGAGCGGTGCCGTAGTAGTAGATCGTCTCGCCCTGGTCCACGTCGGCGTAGTACTGCTTCCGGACTTCGTCGTGGAACCCCATCACAACGCTCCGTGCTCCTTCTTTCGCCTTGCCTGAAATCCCCGCAATGGCATGCGCGTGGGCCCCGTCCCGCATCATCTCGACGCGGAAGCACCATGTCTGACCGTTGACAAGGTGGCCGTGGCCGAAAAAATCCGCTGAGCGCTTCCACGGCCACTTCGGGTCTGGCCATAGCGGGCCGTTGGGTCTGTGCGCAAGGAGTCCGCGTCGAGCAAGGACCCCGAGATCGCTGAAATCCCACTTGCGATACAGGTAAGTGAGATCCTCGACGATATGTTCTGGAACATCCTTTTCTCTCCGGATCCGCTCGTGGTCATCCGAAAGGAACCTCTTCAGGTGCTCGAGTATGCGAGACTCGTCGAGAACCTCTTGTGTCATCGAGTTGTTCAGCATCATTCTGATCCATTCTTGGATCTTGGTGAAGGTGTGTCGAATGCCCATCGACATACGTCTGCGTGCAGGAATCTGGTCTAATAGCCTGACGATTGGTAAAGTCTCCTGTAGTGTAACAAATGGCTCATCTTCCAGGGGACGGTCTGGCGGTACTCTGATCAGGTTTTCTGTCAATATGTGCAGTGAGCAATTCAGATGTTGATACTAACTTACCCTGTACCGCTTTTTTGTCTCTGCATCCATTTCCAGTGTTCATACTCCACTACCAGCGTCCGACAGTCCACTTGATTGTTACGCTTGTTGGGACAGTCGAGACCCACTGGACAAATGCAACCTCGGAGAGCTCCATCTTGTCTACCGAGGGCTGGTGGACTTGGCCGTGGGGGAGGAGAGCCGCGCTGGCTAGAGCCATCTCGTCGTTCGCTTGACGTTGATTTTGCACTTTCACTGAGTGGTGAAGTCGTTCCTGAAATTTCGTCCGTCTGTGGTGGCACTTTACTTTGGAGCTCGACGGAGTCCTCTCGTTTGATTCGAACAGGTCCGGGCGAGCTCCTCTGTGATAATTGGTGTCTGCAAAGTTGAAGTCTGTCTCGATCCCGGTCCACGTGATCAATATTTTGGCGAATGCTGTTGCTGCTGAGGGCTACCTGCCTTGTAACCTCGTCGTTGAGTTCTCTCCGCCTACGAGCAAAGCTCTCAGTGAGGAACTGGATCGGATTGCGATACTCTGGCACAAACCCTTCGAAAGTTGCACGGATATGGTTCCTGTCCTTCTTGTCCGCCGGAGTATTGTCTGGGCTTTCCCGTCTGAAAGGCTGGTTGTCATGTCTCCTCCCTCGCTGGGCCGAGTGAGACCGACATTCCTCACGCCGAGAACCATGTTGTTGAGAGTGACTTTTAGGATCTCTCCGGTCAACGAACCGACCACATGAACGCGGTCGAGTAGGAGCGAAGCCAACGCCAGGCACTTCGGCAAATCGGTTGTCGTGAAGGTCGTAAGGTTCGGGACGCTGGTTTGGAACGACCATATTTGGCAATAGCAGAAATCAAATGGACGCAGTGACAGACGTATGGCAGATTTATCCAATTGCGAATTCAGTTGAATGATAAGATGGGGGTTAAAGATGACGGATTGAAGTAAGGAATGTAGAAGCGTAAATGAATGTGAGAAGAAGTTTATGAAACTTAGGGTGAAAGCAGGCAAGAGTGAACAAAACGTGAAATTCAAGGATCGTGGGTGAGAAAGTATGCCTGATAGATGGTCTTCGATCCAATGCTCATACTAGAAGAGCGACGCGACAGTTTGGGCAACCCAGGATAGAGATGTAGGAGAAGAGCAGACTGTGTAGCAAAAGTGAGTCAAGTGGAAAGAATAAAGCTTCCTTAAAGTGAGGCGCGGAGAGATGGTTTTGGTCGAGAGCATTGATGGTGGGGTAGACACAGTAAAGAGTGGAAATGAGTAAGGTGAAGAAGAGAGGAAGAAACAGTTGAAGTGACAGATGAAGTGAAGAAATAGCACAAGAGTGAGGTAAGGAAAGGAGACCGTGTGGCGAGAAGGCGACGATGAAGCATGATATGAGGATTTTGAGAAAGGGATATATCGTCAGGCCAACTGTGTGAGCTGAAAAGAACAAAGATCAGAGGAAGAGTGACCCACGGTTAGTCGTTGAGGATGAGAACCTGAGAGAGTCGTCGTCGGTGCTGGCCGTTGCTCGAGCAGGTCCAGGAAGCAGACAGCAACCAGTGATGTTCTCGTGAGACTGATTGGGTCAAGGACCAACCGTGAAGCGCACTCCTATCATGTTCCGTCATGCTCTTGCACAGGTCTCCAACACCATGCTGCGACTCGATAAGGCTCCGGCACAAGGCTGAGTACTCTGTTTGGGACATGTCCTGTTAGGTTTAGTGCCTTGGCGGTGGTTGAGCTTGCCTAAACGTCGCGATTCGGCTCTGGGACAGTTTCGAGTTTCAATTGTTGAACCTCAGAGCACCCGTATCCATGAGATGTGCTCAAGCATGGCGGCCGTTTCCTCCTATCAAGGGTCTTCCGGTTCGGCATGTAGGTTTTTGGTCCAGGAGACCATACGTCCCACACGCCAATCGCCACTCACCATTGTTTCCTAAACGTCACTTTGGTGTGGAATCAATCCCAGCCTTCCTCCTACCGCCTGTCGTCTTTGGGGGACTGTTGGTCACATTATGGACGTACAAGTGCTTCATGATGGTTCTCTTCCAGAACAAAATCATCTATATGCCTTCAGTCCCACCATTTTCGAGATCCGAAAAGGTTGACGATTATTCGTTGCAATGTAAGCCTGTGGTATGGGCGGAGCATGACCTCAAGGCCGCAGATGGAACTGCGATCAAGATTTTAGAAGGATCAGTTGGAGCTTCTGTCGAGGCCGAGACGAACAATCATATTGTTGTTCTGTATTTCCAGGGGTAAGTGATCCGCACACGGCGCTTCTGCACCTCTGAAACTGATCAGGAATGCCTCGTCATTACCACCTCGGCTTCCCTATCTTTCAAGGATCTTGAAAGGGTTGTTGCAGCACCAAAACGGAAGACGGTACACGATTGTCGCTTTATCTTATCGTGGTTTCTGGAAATCAAGGGGGAGCCCTTCCCAAACCGGGATTGAGCTGGATGCCGAAGCGGCGTTGGAGTGGGTGCGAAGTCGGTACAACTGCGATCACGCCAGGTTTGTGGTCTGGGGACAGTCGATTGGTGCAGGGGTTGCAACTGTGAGCCTTGCGAATCTATCGAGACATGGCGACGCGAACCTGCAACGATTCTCAGGGCTCCTCCTCGAGACCCCTTTCGTGGATTTGAAAGCAATCCTCATCGCACTTTATCCACAAAAATTTCTCCCTTACCGATATCTGGCCCCGTTTCTGCGGTCGACATGGGATAGCAAGACTGCTCTTCATCAAATCGGAAAGAGTAGACCAAATATGAGGGTGTTGATTTTGGAGGCAGGTAACGACGAAATTGTGCCTCCAGGACAAGCAGCCGTCTTGGAGCAGGTCTGTCGAGAAGAAAAACTAGAGGTGGTTCGACAAACCGTTGCTGGAGCATTGCACACCGAGGTAATGGTCAAAGGTCAGGGTCGGAGCCACATAGTGAGATTTCTTCAATCCTTCTGAGCAGATAATAGAGCTGGAGCACGTTATCCTGGAGTCGGCTGCAAGCGTCGAAAAATGCAGCACATTTGGTAAAACCGGGGCTCGTCTTCTGCACGGCCTTTCTGTTTGGCAGCAGGGACGGCGGCCAGGAGGGAATCAAACCAAGGCGATGTCTCATGGATCATGCCTCGTCTTTCATCGTTGTCGCTCTTTCGTGCATCCCATCGAGGATCCAGAAGTGCATCATTCTGGTCACCTTCTTCAAGGACATAGACTTGCACTGCAGGCAATTCTACGCCATTCAAGGCTTGTTTTAGCTCACGCATGCGCGTTAACTCCCAGGGTGAACGACTACTGCCAGTGTACACATAGATACTCCGTGAGAGGGTCAAGCTCGATGCAACTGTGTACAGGTTGAAGGCGGCTTTGACGTCTGCTCTGGCTCCTCGTAACCTCGTCATCAGGCGCCGAGACAAGTGAATCGTCTGCACGGCGGTGTTGTCGACGAGCCAGCGAAGAAGCGCTTCATATGCTTCGGCCGAGATGGCATCATGCTGGCCGCTGTAGATGTGCGATTTGGTAATGCGCTGTAGATGACGACGTGGGCAAGAGGAGAAGTCGACGTCCAAGCCAAAGGCTAGATTGATCTTTGGCGCGTTGCCGGCCAAGGAATGAGACAGATAGGGAGGTAGGCGCAAGGGAGCAACATTGAGCACGGCCCGAGAATAGAAGACCGCCGCAGCTTCTTCGGAGACGAGTTTGTTGACGAAGAAGAGGCCTGGGATGCCGGCGGGTTTCTCAGTGTCCGACCACGCTGGGTCGTAGAAGCTCTGCACTTTGAGCTGCTGGACTGGGAGGCTGAGGGCGTAGATCTTTTGTCGAATTTCCGTGGGGAGGCTGAGGAAGCTGGTCATATTGGAGGATGATCAGTTACTTCGGAAAGGGGGCCGGAGTGGGATGATGGCTTGATATACGGAGCACAATGCAGCCATGCTCTCCTCCCCTTGGGTCCCCCTCGTTCCTCGCCCTCCTTCCCGTTAATAATGATTAGCCCTCGCTGTTCTACCTAGCTTTCGGTTCACCTGCCGCGTCCTCTTCTTCCCTGTCATGATTGGGCCACACTGCGCTAACTAACCCTCGGCTCACCTGCCGCTTCCTAAGCCCTCACTACGCGGTCCAGTCCATATCGGAGAGGCTCCTACTCCTCCCCTGTTGCTCAGTATCCATAACACCAGCTTTGATCACCTTTAGACGATGGGCCTTCGTTTGAGATGCGGGGGGTTTCCCAATCCGGCCATTTTCCGTTTTCTAATGTCTCCTACGTTCTCTAGTACTAACCCAATCACGTATTCTTGCAGAATGTAGTCGACTTACCTCGCAGGCAGCCGAATTACCGGCTGCCAAGTTGACGTGTCGATGGATGCACAGCCTACTAGGTACTGATCAATCCACACCCGCCTGGTATTGACAAGGTCCTGGTAGTTTATGTACGCGTCTATAACAAAATCTCTCCTACCCTTCTATGCAGCCGCGTCACCTCACTCAGCCACTCGCCTCAGTCGTTCTCCCACAACATAAATATTTAGGTATGTACTCCGTACTGATGCAGTGATTGACGGGCAAACTGGGCTTGCCTTCTCTCATTCAAACCATGGTGGCCCAATCTCCCTCAAAAAGTGGCCACTCCGACCCGGAGACTGTTGTGCAACAATCCATGCTTCAGCAAGCAGAAGCTGCTGCTGCCAGCGAGACCGATCTCGCAAGCCCCACGGGACAGGAGACCTCCCTGCAAAACGCCGACCTCGTCACTCCCGATTTGGGCGAGGACAACATTCCCCCTCCTGCTTATGGCGACATCTATGGCGAGATCAGCAACGAAAAGAACGGCCTGGCCACCAGTGCCCGTGTCACCGACGACGGCCGTGTCAACATCCGCATCAATCAGGTCAACCGCCGCTTGTCCCAGATCTTTACTCCTGCTTTACGTCAACAGATCCAGAGTGTCCAAGATAGTCGCCCGCCTCCTGCCGCCTACGTTCCTCCTTCCTTAGGCGGCGACGACCGAGTTCCTCCACCCCCGCCCTTGAACATCGTCATCCAGGTTGTGGGCTCGCGCGGAGACGTGCAACCCTTCATTGCCTTGGGGAAAGTCTTGAAAGATACCTACGGCCATCGCGTTCGTCTGGCGACTCATCCCAGTTTCCAGGACTTTGTGCAGGAGAATGGCCTGGAATTCTTCAGCATTGGCGGCGACCCCTCGCAGCTAATGGCCTTTATGGTCAGGAATCCCCGCCTCATGCCGGGCTTTCGCAGTCTACTAAGTGGAGACGTCGGTCAGCGAAGAAGAGATGTTGCCGAGTACATTCAGGGCTGCTGGCGCTCATGTTACCAGACTGGTGACGGAATGGGCGTTCGTGCTACCGATGATGACCTTTCTGAGATCTCTGACGACGATGCTAGCTCTGAGATTATAGCAAGACCCTTTGTCGCCGACTGCATCATTGCCAATCCTCCAAGCTTTGCCCATATCCATTGCGCAGAGAAGCTGGGTATCCCTCTCCATATCATGTTCACTATGCCATATTCTCCCACCCAAGCCTTTCCTCATCCGCTGGCCAACATCCAATCCACTAATGCCGACCCTCAACTCACTAACTATATAAGTTATACTATGATCGAAGTCCTCTCGTGGCAGGGCCTGGGTGATATCATCAACCGATTTCGCGCCAAGTGTCTCGGTTTAGATCCCGTGAGCCTGATCTGGGCCCCTGGGATGCTCCAGCGTCTCAAAGTCCCTCACACTTACTGCTGGTCTCCAGCCCTGATACCTAAGCCGAAAGACTGGGGCCCTCACATATCTATCTCCGGGTTCTGCTTTCTCAACTTGGCCTCTGACTACACCCCTCCCTCTGATCTCCAGGCATTCCTCGACCATGGCCCACCCCCGGTTTACATAGGATTCGGAAGCATCGTTTTGGACGACCCTGATGCGATGACAGAGCTTATCTTCGATGCCGTGAGGAAGAGTGGCCAGCGTGTCCTCCTTTCTAAAGGCTGGGGAGGCCTGGGCGCGGACAGACTTCGGATCCCCGACGGCGTCTTTATGCTAGGTAGCGTGCCGCATGACTGGCTTTTCAAGCACGTCTCTTGCGTCGTTCACCATGGTGGCGCAGGAACCACGGCGGCAGGCATTCGCGCAGGCCGGCCGACGGTAGTCGTTCCCTTCTTTGGAGACCAGCCTTTCTGGGGCGCCACGGTCGCACGAGCAGGCGCCGGCCCGCACCCAATCCCTCACAAACAACTCACAGCGGACAAACTGGCCGATGCGATCAACTTCTGCCTGAAGCCCGAAAGCTTACAACGCGCCCAAGAACTCGCAAGTAAGATCGCGACTGAGCGAGGAAGTGACATGGGGGCTCAGTCTTTCCATCAATATCTCGAGGTGGACCGGCTCCGTTGCACCCTTGCACCATCCCGACCCGCGACCTGGCGCATCAAGCGCACCCAGGTCAGGTTGAGCGCTTTTGCTGCCTGTACTTTGGCGAACGCAGGTCTTTTGCTTTTCGAAGACTTGAAGCTCTTCAGGCCACAAGAATACTACACAGACGAAGGTCCTTGGGATCCAATATCCGGAGGAGCTGCAGCATGTTTCAGGGCGTTCAGCGGCATGGCGATGGGGCTAGCTGAGGTTCCCTCGGAGACGGTGAAATCTTTGCACATCCCAATGGGATCCAGCCGACAGCAGTCCCAAGAATCGGTGCCGACAATCGCGAGGAAAACCGAGACCTCACGTGGCGGAGAAAGATCAAATCTGCCAACTTCGCCTGAACACAGTCAGACGAGCTTGAATGTGCAGGAATCCCTTCCTCATGTTCAAAGCCCTTCCAACTTCTCCAGTCTGTCGTCTCCCAGTTCGAAAATTGAGACAAGCTCCATTTCCGATGCATTGCAGGGTCAGTCGAGCTCTAAAAAGGGGGAGGCCAGCCGAAGCCGAGTCCGCCGTCGAAACGAATCCGGCTTTGGCAATGGACATGACATGCTGCATCAGAGTAGCGTGCACCCGAGGAAAGGCGTTGGCCGTTTCGTAAAGGCGTTTGTGCAGACACCTATGGAAATCTCAGTGGGTTTAACCAAAGGATTTCACAATCTCCCCAAGCTGTGGGGGGACGATACCGTGCGACCTCAAGAACAAGTCAGCGATTTCAAGTCAGGCGCCATAGCAGCAGGAAGAGAGTTTGGCCTTGGATGGTACGATGGCGTTACTGGGCTGGTCACTCAGCCCTGGAATGGTGCCCAGAAAGAGGGTGCTAGCGGCCTTGTCAAAGGAATTGGCAAAGGGTTCGCCGGATTTGCAACCAAGCCATTCGCAGGCTTCTCCGGTATCCTCGGTCATACGATGAAGGGGGTACAAAAAGAGGTGCAGAAGATGTTCGGCACCAATGTGGAGACCTACATCGTCGCGTCCAGGATATCTCAAGGCGACGAAGAATGGCTGCAGAGCTCCCATGCAGAAAAGCAAGAGGTCATCGCTCGGTGGAAGCTGATCCAGAAAACCCTGAAGAAAAACTATAACCCTGACGAGATGGTGCAAGACGCCCTGGAGGCACGGCGCAGGAACACAGAGGGCACAGTGGCCCGTCAAAACCGTGTACACACCGCTCAGTCCGCCAGTGCAGAAGCTTCCACACCAGATGTCGAGGGAACCATACTTGTCGTGGATGGGTCACACTCTGCTGAAGAATCGCTCCCAGCTGCTGGAATCAACGAAACCACCCGGCCATCGCTCCAGGAGACCTCGCGGAGAGATGATGAAGAGGATGCCGATATGGAGCGGGCGATTCAGGAAAACGTGTCTCAGCTTCAGCGGCGACAACAAGAAGATGCTGCAGATCGTCAGGCAGAGCAGGAGAGTCTCCGCCAGGCAATAGCGGCCAGCAGAAATGAAGCCCAGCGGCACGCAAACGAAGCATTGGAATTTCAGAAACAGCTGGAGCGAGTCATGACACAGAGTGTGTTGGAACACAAACAGAGTGCCAGCGGCAGGGAATGGGAGTCGGATATATTAAGTCTCGATCACGAGGACAAGGACGAGTTCAAGCGGGCAACAGGAGAACCCGAAATAATGGCGAGGGAGGCGGTAGCCTTGACTGGCGGCGGGTCACCAAGTGTCCAGCGACCCTCCCGTTCGTATGATCTGGGGCATGTCGCGGGCACCAGGCAGAGCGAGTTCGAGGCGCAACAACAGGGACAGCCGGGGGAGAAGACGGCACAAGAGAGGACGGAAGAAGAGGTCGTGATGGAGTACATCAAGAAGCAAAGCCTCTTGGAAGCATACCATCAGAACAAAGGCAAAGGCCGTGCCACAGCGACGGAGGACGAGTACGAGGACGATGACGACGAAGACTTGCAAAAGGCAATCAAGTTGAGTATGCAAGGACAACTAACCTGGTACGGCCCCGAGGCTTCGGGGATGTGACGGGATACACCTTTATTTTTTCGACGAATAAACTCGAAATCGTAGAACCCAGGCAAGGCTATAGCATAGTAAATAACAACGCGTATATTGATGTTATACGAAACCCGATGTAGCCTCTTGGAAAATTACGCCAGTACCTCTCAATTCGTGCAGCCGTATAATTAATACGATGTCTTCTATAGCCTATTCGTCGAGTACTCTATATGCGATAAATCACCCACAAATCGTATCATTATTGCCGGACTAACCACCCCTGGAAGGTACAGCAGAGTTCGTCTGGGACTCCTATTACGATCGCTCCCAGAAGACACACCCATCTCACAGTATTGGTTTGGTCCAGATTCTGTAATCCTCAGCCTCGCCTTGACCTCGTCACATTGTGTCCAATCCTACAGTCGCTATTGTATCTTATTGATGAGCATGATGCGAACTGTCTTTCAAACTGACATTCATTTCATGATACCACCACGTGCAACTAACTATCCGACCAATGCAGGCAGAGGACATTGACCCGCGGGGTAGACGATATAGTTGTCTTCCATGCCAAAGGCCAGGTGGTTGTCGACGTGACATATCACCTGCCACTGGCCTTCGGCGGTCATGTTGGAATGCAAAGTCTTCATCTCGCCGTCGTTGATGCCTAAAGTTCTGGAATCAGAGAGATTTTATCTTGGGAGGGCAGGCAACGGCGGAACACGATAGGATCTCGTCGTGGCCATGGCGGTGTTGTCGACTAGAAAGGGAAAGGGGGGAACGCTTGTAAGTTCACTCACTGATTGCGGCATAGTTATTCCCATTGAGCACGAACCCGTTTCCGTGCATGTGAAAGACATGCGGATTCGAGCCAAAAGCCGAGACATACCAGATGGTGGGGTCGTTGACGCAGACTTCGAAGGGGGCGTTGTTCGCACAGACATAGCCGTTGAGGGCGGAGAAAGTCGGGGCCTGCGTTGCGCTGAGTTGGCCAGAACTCTTCAAGTTCACCAGTTGGGGATTCCAGATTGACCAGTTCCCGTATCCTTGATTGAGTTGCGGCGTGGGCGAGGACAGGTCAGTGCCACCGTCGGAAACGTTGGTCCCTGCCAGAAGCTCGAGGTTTGTCTGCGACATGAAAGAATCTGATTCGTCGTATTGCATGTACACCAGGACAAATTCGCGGTGTCGCGTCATGGTGTCGTTCATCATGCCTGGTGCGTAGACGATGGTCGATCCGATCAGACCTGCATTCTGGTCCTCTTGCATGCTCACGTACGAGTGATATGCCCACATATGAGAAACCTGTCCCTGGGTTGGCGCCGATCCCTCATTCACCACCCATTTGTAGACAAAGCATTCCCCCGGAGCGACAGCATCTCCAGGCATGAATACGCTTTCTTGTCCCGGACTTGGACTAGTCGCGTACAGGCTTCCGTCATTCGCCTTGTTGTATGAAAGACCCATGGAGTGCATCGTGGCGTAGTTGTTCGGAAGGCGGTTTAGGAAGAGGATCTCGATCATGTCTCCAACCTCGGCTCTCAGGGTCGGCCCATTAATGCCTTGCCATGCTGGCTGAGGGGAGAGTTCGGTGAAGGTAGCGTCGGTATATCCACGATAGAGTGCTTTTTGCCATGTTGTGCCCAGGGAGCCTGAAGCCGTGTAGCCCGTCGAGTTTGCTCGTGGCGAGTCCTGGATGGGAACTCCAAGCCAATTGTCCCAGCCTGACGGAACGTAGTTCCAGCTGATTTGCTCCGCGGCGATGTAATAGCGGCGGATCTGGCCACTGAAATGAAAATCTGAGGAAATGGGACTCGGAAGTGCTCCATTCATGGAGGCCGCGCAAGAGGACAGTGCTGTCTTGTTCTGTGTCACTGAGGCAGCCACGGCCAGTGAAGTCAGATGGAGGAGAATGAGACTCCAGTTGATTATTGCTTTAGCCATCTTGATACGTGTATTGGCGGCTTTGGCCCTTGAACACGATTCTTTGGAGGGCATCAACGCGTCTTTATATCCACATGGCCTACCTCCTAACATGCCGGGTGAACTGCCTCGCAAGCTGAACGATCGCTGACACCTATCTCCATCATGCATGACTTGGAGTTGTGCACCATAAAGAAGTGAGACATGACGTTCTGCTCCGGTGTCTGGAGTTAGCAAACTGTATCCGCCCGAGGTCATGGTCTTACTCTCCGGAGCCTACCAACATAATGCTCGAATTGCCACAACCTGGGAAGACATACCATATCCGTCAAGAGCTCTGGGTTGAGAGGTTTCTGATACACAGGTTGCCATTTCTCCTCTGCCCTAAAAAAACACTCTGCACCAGAGCTCCTACCTGTAGCTTGAATCGATCGCACAGGGATAGCTGATCGTATCCTACTCAGGTAGGGCGGACATGCGCAGTAGCGAAGCGAAGAGGGAGTAGAAAGAATGCCGTAAGGCTCTGAACATTCCGCTTGGTTGGTACGCCCTGTGATTGAAGTGAGCAGCTTCGTATGCTTCCGACTCTGGGTCCAGAGACCTGATCCTTGAGTCCGTTCTCCCGCGATCTGGTCCCAATAAAGTGCGACAGGTCAGCCTGCAGCTCAAGCGTGATTCGCCCTCCAAGGTTATTGATATCACACTGACTTTGAGATCAATATGGGTTGGTGTACAACCTCCACCCGGTGTTTGTCAAATGGAAGCTATAATTCACACCTGGCCTGATCAAGGTCTTCGTCACCATTGAGAGCTCCCCGATCATAATCCTCGTCACCAGTGGGAACACGGCATCACGTTTGCATGTAAGTCCATAGCAGTTGACCCTTTCTTCCGGATGCCCACTGATCCGATAGGCGTGGCATGAGATCCAGCGACACGTTCAGAGTATAGCTGACCCGCTACACAAACTGCCTTATTTAGCAGAACAGTGACATACAATTGTGCGATGTTGGCAGATGCGCTGATCAGTAATAAGGCGTGCACTGTTGGTGGGCACAGTGACAGATTGTATAAACATTCAACCGGCGCAAGAATCGAAAACAGAGGCCGCTTGCGAAACACGTCCGCAACATTAAGTCAGGACGGACTTTCCATGGTGAAGTCGTTCTCTGGTATCGTCCAGGGCCAGTGACTTACCGCAACATTGGAGAATTATCGCAGTGTTGTCTCAACCTCAGTCTCACCAGCATTGTTCAGACCGCGATGGAGAATTGAGGTCCTTCAAGACCTTCATCTTCGACCCGTGATTTGCTGACCTGTCGTTGTTGGAGACGGAATTAAGCCGGAAGCCGATGACAAGCCTGGAAACTATCTGCCGATTGAACCGTGGGATGCGTTGTCAACGGGCCATCATTGGGTCACGTCTTTCTGGCGTGGTAGAAGGGGCGAAAGCAAAGAGGGAAGAAATACGCATATCTCACTTTTCAACTCATTGCAAATTTTCAGATAGGTTCTTGTAGAAACTGCTCTGAATCCAACCAACTTTGTTTCTTTGTTCGGCGTTGTAGACTGATCAGGGTGAAGATGCTTGAGCTTGGCTCAAGGGCAATGAAATGTGAAGAGAATAGAGAAGTGCTCTCGATGATATCTTCGAGCGGAGGGCTGTTTGGCTGTGCTGCAAGTGACAGTCGTACTCGCGGCAACTGCACCTGAAGAAAGGTTGAGAAAGTATCCTTGATGTTGCGAAGAGGCTCAGGTAGGAAACCCCTTGCTGGATGAAGGAATAGAACGGGGAAAGTCGCCACAAAAGACGAGTGATGTGGCCCGTTGGGTATAGCAACGTTGAGATCACGGCCTTGATACAATTTGCACGAGTAAAGGATTCCGTGCCATCGAGCGCTCTCTGCTCACCAGTTTCCTGCTGAAATATTCAGAACCCAACATTTCCTTGTTGCTTGCATATGACGGTGTTTCGAGAAATGAAGGATGCGATGGTCCAAGGTGATCTGTTCCCTGCACCTCTCGTGGACAGTTACTAGGGAAATGGTGCGTTGGAAATTCCCTTGGTACAGAGATCGTGCTTTGCTGGTGATATTATCGAAACTTTAGAATCAACAAATACAGACTGTTCTCTATACTTCCGAGAATGCACAATGCTGGTAGAGGCGACATGCTTCAAGCTGAAGGCAGGATTTGTCCTTCCACGGTGTTATCTGTTGCACTCACTTCAATTGTAGACTGTTCATGGACGCGCCCTGTATCTTTATCAGTGATATTGCCTCTTGCAGCAGCTTCGTCGGTGAGTTCGAAAGGCATTCGTCACTGGCCAAGGTCTGATAACAGAGGCTTTCCAGCTCACTCAAGTTGCTGAAGCTCCAATTGTGAACTCTGAGTGCGCAACCTTCCACTGTAGCGTAGAAACTGGTGTTCCGTCGTGCGAGGTTGTGTCTTTTAAAGCTTCAAAATTGGTTAATTCCTTTGATTGTGCTACTGTCACGAGTGATCAGCTTTCGCGTCGTGCAAGCAATAATGCGCCCATCCTAGAGGCATCGGGACAGCGCCCTCGCTGATATTGTGCGGGCAGATGACACCACAATGTACCGAAGGCGGTTTCACTCATCACGAGGGTTTGCCGTGAAGAAAAGTGTCAAGCCCAGGCAAGCAATTGGTAAGCCTCGTGGCCTTGAATGCCTGTGCCAGCCAGGAAAGAAAACACACAACCGTGGAGACTTTGGAAGTTCGGTCGATGAAAGAAGTAGACGGCCGTTCCTGTGATCAGATCAGCTAGACAGAGGCTCAGGTATGTGTCATTGTTCGCAAACCAGGAAACGGGCGCCTGCATGCCTTGGGCATCAAGATGCTTTCTGCCTGGCCATTTTAGCCCCCATTGTGTGCAAGTGCCACTGAGTGCACATGCCATAGGGCCGCATGGAGGGCGGGTCAAGTGCTACAGGGTCATAGGACGCCAGTAGATCTGGAGACTCTGAGCCTAAGCCTCGCAGCTAAGCAGCCGCAACACTGCAATGGGAATAGAGTCAGGCACCAATTGGAGGAATAGCTGTCCTGCTGTGAGCCAGATGAAATGGGCGAGAATTGGTCCAATGTCAAGGGCGGAAACTCGAGGAATAAATGCAAATCCCACCAGTCAGATGGACCATTGGGGGCGAATGCCTGGAAGGCAGCAGATCAATCATCTGCACGATGACGGGGAAGATGCACACTCTGGGGCCTCAGATGGCAGCTTGACAGGTTCTTGGAACAATCCGCTTCCTGACTAGCCATACCAAGGAAGCGGGAAGCTTGAAGGCTGCGACAATATCGCGGGGGTGACAATTGTGGCACAGTCAAGCGGTGAACACACCGGGAGCTTGCATGATTTCTCCCACGATCTTCTGTATTGAATCACATCCACATCTTCCCATCTCTTTGGACTCACTTTAACTGATCACTGACTCTTGCGGCCGCTCTCGAGGCACCCGATCTCCCCCTCTTGAGCCAGTGTGACTCGACATCCGCCACTTGATCCATTGCGACCAGTCCTCGCTCCTCTTCCCAAACACCACGATCAGATAGCCTCGTCCTCTCCTCTCCTCCCGCGTCTCTACCTATCTAGTGTTCTCACAATTGTGTGAATGGGCGGCCTGAACATGAGAGCGACATCAACGGGAAAACCAGACAAAAAGATCCCGGCTGTGATTGTCCGCAGCATCAACTGCGCTTCTTTGCAATAATGGAGCCCAGTCAGTCTGCGGGTTCTGCCCCTGGATTTTGGAGATATTTGGTCAATCCAGACAAAAGCGCAACCCTTCAATTCGAGCAGCTGTGTCGGGGGATTGCCAAAGTCATAGTGAGTCTACTCCGTCGCACATTGGGTTCTACTCGCTTACTGGGAAAACAGGCGACCCTTGAGCCCGGACCAGACAACGAACTCACTCCATCACGTCTAGCCACTTTCTATAGAGCCGTCGGCGGCAACTATGACTCGCTCCTCCTCAAATCCTCCGATCATGCCCTCTCCTTCATGTACCAAACCCTCGGATGCTTTCACTCTCTGCAACCTACCCCCAGTCCCTTCGAAACGCCCCGAATCCCGTGCCTAACACCGGCTGGATTTGCTCGTTGGCAAACGATCCAGCTTCTTCTCTGCCCTGACGAAAATGTGGCTTTCATTCAAAAAGCGGTTCAGCTGTGGAATGTCCCGATGCCTAATGGCGGGACCTACCCAAAATACATCCCCCTCGACGTTTTCCCAAACAAACCAGACGAAGAGATGGAGAGATGGCACAAACTGGTAACTGGCAAATTGAACCAGCAGAACTACAATTTGCGGCGTATAAAGAACTCTCCTTATCAATCCCCGCATCTTGAAGCCTATGATCGACGAGACGGCTATTTCTCTGGCGGTCAGACAGGACGCCCAACAAGGCCTTCGCGCAGCAGTTCTCGCGATGACCAAGATCATCCGACAGATATCTATCGCAGACGGAGCAGTGTACCGGATTTCCCTTCGCCGTCGGGAGAGAGAGGGTCACCTTGGGAACCGAGAAATCAGTATGAGGCGCGGAAGACCCGCAGCCATTCGGCTCAAAGGCCATCACCAAAACCTTCGCCGCGTCCGCGATCACATACAACGACGGCCCCTCCTGGTCACCATAAAACCTCGTCAAATAGCCCCTCGAACCGGAGACAGGGGGCTGCCCCCTCGGACCAGCCAGGGCGACGACCTTCGTCCGGGTACAACAACACACAATACCGCTCTCCCGCACGCACTCCCTCAACTGTGGACGAAGATACAGGCAGCGAAGGAAGTTCAGAGGCCTCGCAAACGGGTCGGCATCAGCGGAGGTCTGACGAAGATCGGAAGAGCCGTCGCTCTTCCTTATGGGTGCCCTCCTTCATGAGATCATCGCACAAACGTCGTCATTCTTCGGACGCGGGTTACCGCGCACCGGGCCCTGCATCCAAATCTTCGCAGCCCTTGCGGCCTGAGTACTACCCACCTCGTGCAATCAAGCCTGCGCCTCAGCCACCTCAACAGCCTTATGGGGGAGGCCGCCCACCGCAATGGCGTGAGACAGTCTGGGATAACGACACTCCCAGTTCCACCCCGGCCACACCTATTCCAGAAAATGCCCAGGCACAGTTTGACCCACGGGCGCCATCGATACGTTACCCAGACCAGACAAATTTCGAACCGTTGACGCGAGAAAGTAGCAGTGGAAGTGACAACAGGCATCGCTCCTCAGATTGGGAGCGAGGGAACGCGCAGAGGCGGCCAATGCAACCGCCTCCGAGGATTGCCACCGTAACCGGCGTGCAAGGCCGAAAATACCCTACCGCAGATCCAATGAGTCCCATTGAGCGTCAACGGAGTTCAAATACCCGTGGTAACTCTACTGCAATGGTTTGAGCCCTTGAATGCGTGAAATATCGCGCTTAAACGGACCAACAATTGCGTGCCCAGAGGTTGCGGCCACTCCACGATATGACGAATACGAACGACTGCTTGGGTCCACGAGGACAAGATGCACACGAATAATGAGTTGAAGACGGAATGACATCCGAAGCATAGAGCCTGCTGTGGGCGGGGCGTTCTCGGTTTAGGGACCATTGTGTTTGGCGGTCCACGAGCAAGCCGACATCTCTTTTCACTTGACTGTACGTCGGCGAAGGCAGGAACGCGCTTGCAAATGAGCGCGGTTAGCGGTATTGCAGAGCCTGCGGATTGCGGTGATTCTTTTTCTTTGGGATTTATTATAAAATCTTTGACGATTACAGTATGGGTAGCTTCGCAGCTCGACATGGTTACAGTAGCTTGCTTACTGTGAATAACTCGTTTCAAGCCTTGTCCCGAAAATCAATCCTTTTTATTTATATGACCAAGACAGACTATCCTGGACTTTGCTCTGCGCTGCCCTTATACATGGGCGTCCCTGTTGAACCTTTTTTCCATTTCTTCCTGGCGTGGATCCATGTATGGGAACCCACGGCACTCTTACTTTTCAATCGCACCTCGAGAAATCACGAGGGGAGCCTCTGTAGGACCTGACGAGTGACGCTGAGGTCTCATGCATTGAGCTTCTACATGGCTACGGCACTGAATCGAGCACCATGCCTCATTTGGTCTCATACGAATAGGCAGGGCACGAGCTTGTTCCTTCACGATATATCGACTGGGACGGAACCAAAATAAATGTCCCTGAACCGCCTTTGCGCGTCTCAAGGACAAACCCCTGGCCTTCATTCACGGGGCCCTGCTCTCCGATCCCGCTCCTTGGGGGCCTCCAACTGCAGAATCCAATGGCAAGTACCTATATCAGTAAACGTAGTACGTCTGGGCCAAGGGCACCACCTCCGCGGGGGCGGCGGTGCAGTGCATGCCGTCGGCCTCGACCCTGTAGGACTCCGGGTCGACCTTCATCTTGGGCATGACGTCGTTGAACTTCATGTCCTTCTTGCCGACGGTGCGGCAGTTCTTGACCGCCTCGACGCGCTTGGCCAGGTTGTACGACGCCACGACGCCCGAGGCCAGCGAGTGCTGCGACACGAACGTGATGCTCCGCGAGGGGACGTGCGCGGCGAACATGGGCCGCATGAGCACGGGCTGCACGGTGGGGATGGAGGCGTTGGGGTCGCCCTGCAGAGTGCGAGGCCACGGGAGTTAGCAGACAGACAAGGCTGAGGACGGAAAAGGGGAAAGGGACACCACATGGGCGTGTTGACCATGTGCTCGGTATGCGCACATCGCAAACATCGAGAGAATAGGGGGCGTTGCGTGTGCTGAATGTATGTCAGGGGATCGGGGGGGGTACGTTACCATTTGCGCATGGCTGATCATTCCTCCCTTGACCACCAAGCTCGGCTTCGTCCCAAACATGCTCGGCTTCCAAAGCACCAAATCCGCCACTTTGCCCACCTCGACACTGCCCAACAAGTGACTCATTCCCTGCGCAATCGCCGGGTTGATGGTATACTTACTCACGTACCTCTTCACTCGGAAGTTGTCCGCGTCCGTACCTTCGTCTTCTTTCAAAGTTCCACGCTGCTGCTTATTCTTGTGCGCCGTGTTCCACGTGCGGAGGATGACCTCACCGCAGCGGCCCATTGCCTGCGAATCAGAGGACATCATGGAGATGGCGCCGAGGTCGTGGAGCACGTCCTCCGCAGCGATGGTCTCGGCGCGAATGCGCGATTCGGCGAAGGCGACGTCTTCGGGAATGTTCTTGGACAGGTGGTGGCAGACCATCAGCATGTCGAGGTGCTCGTCCAAGGTATTCCTCGTGAACGGCCGGGTGGGATTCGTCGACGAAGGGAGCACATTGGCGTGCTCCACCACGGAGATGATATCGGGCGCGTGCCCACCGCCAGCACCCTCGGTGTGGTATGTGTGGATCGTTCGACCCTTGAAAGCGGCGACTGAGGATTCCACGAAGCCAGACTCGTTGAGCGTGTCGGTGTGGATGAGGCATTGGACGTCGTATTCATCGCATACGGATAGACAGGTGTCGATCGCGGCGGGAGTTGTGCCCCAATCCTCATGTAATTTGAGGCCGCAGGCGCCAGCTTCGCACTGCTCGCGGAGGGCAACCGGTGAGCTGTCATTTCCTTTACCTGTGATGCCGTAATTGATGGGAAGTGAGTCGATCGCCTGAAGCATCTGTTTCATGTGCCATTTTCCGGGCGTGCAGGTCGTCGCGTTGGTACCTGTACTGGGTCCGGTGCCACCTCCTAGGTAAGTGGTTATGCCGGCCGCGACGGATTCATAGACCTGTTGAGGACAGATGAGGTGAATGTGCGAGTCGATACCTCCCGCCGTGAGGATGCTGTGCTCGCCTGCGATGACATCGGTACCATTGCCGACTATCATATTGGGATGGACACCATCCATGACGTCCGGATTGCCAGCTTTGCCGATGCCCACGATGATGCCGTCCTTGATTCCGACATCTGCCTTGTAGATACCGGACCAGTCGACAATAAGGGCATTGGTGACAACAGTGTCCAGCACATCAACATCTTTCCGATCAGATGCTTGCCCCATCCCTTCTCGAAGAGTTTTGCCGCCGCCAAACTTACATTCCTCACCGTAGACCGTCAAGTCCTTTTCGACCTTGATCCAGAGGTCTGTCGTCCCCAACCGGACCAGATCGCCAGTTGTGGGACCGAACATGCCGGCATAGTCCGCACGGGTCATGGATGCGACGTCTATATGGGCCAAGTCACCTGCAGGTTCAGGAGCATGGGCAAATCCGGCTTGCTGAAGCTTCTGTACGATTTCTTCTGCGCGAGATATATCAACAGGACCCGAGGCGAGATTGTTACCGCCATGGATCACCTTATTGCCTGCAATCTCGACCAGATTGACTGTCTTTGTATCTCCAGGCTCGAATCGGACAGAGGTACCTGCTGGGATGTCTAGACGGAAACCATATGCTCTGCTTCTGTCAAATTCCAGCTGCGGATTCGTTTCAATAAAGTGGTAATGAGATCCAATCTGTAGAGCGAGAATGTCAGCCCGGCGAGATACACTGGGTAGAGTTGGGGTCCATCAATACCTGTATTGGTCTATCGCCCTTGCTGGTGACCTTTAACTGGATTCTCTTCCGTCCTTCGTTCAACGTAATCTTGCCTTCTTTGACCGGAATGACCGCACCTGGCATTTTCTTATTGTCATACTCACTTTGGTCCGGCAGGGGAAATGCGTCTTTCGATGGCACAGGAAGGAAGCTTCCATAAAGAGCCTTCTCGAGGTCACCATCATCGGAGCTGATTGGGTGGTGGACAGTAACCAGGTACGTGCCAGTCTTGAAGGTGCCCTCGACTTGCAATTCGGTCAAGGTAGAGAGAACAGAGGGGAGGACATGCCGTCGACCAAGCATGGTCTTCCCAATGGACATTAGGTCGGCGACCGTGTGGTTTCCATCGCGAATCAGCTAGAACAACCGATCATCAGCAGGCATGTTTGCGATCCCCGGGCTCTTGACGATACCTCTTGCAAATTGCTGGCAATGAGAGCCTACAGAGCAGATCAGTCCATGATTCCGAGACTGTCTTTCAGAAAATCTCCTACGCAAGCCTCCGAATGGTTCAATCTGACACCTCTAGCAAGTCTTCTTTGCGCTAGAAAGCCTAGCTGAGATATAACGAGCTTATCTAGCTGTTCCAGTAGTTCAAGAAGTCAGCGATAGGCCATTCCAGGTGATAAACGCTCCCGGAGCACTCATACCTCTTTCGGAACGAGCTGCATATTGGACACTGCCTGCTATAGAGGCGCTTGCAGGCTAGAACTTCAGCTTTTGAAGAATTTCATCGTTGTCCCGTCGAGGAGGCGACGTCTTTTATCTGTGTCGGTCGGGCCTATCATCGTCGAGGGGCTATGCGGGGCAAAGGAAGAGCTTGAAGTGGCATGAGGGCAGGTCTGGATAAGAAAAGGACCCTCCCCCCAGGCCATGCGCTAGGAGGCCATCGAGTGGTTCTTTTGCAAGCTCTCAGTGGTAGCAGTAGCAAGCTTTGTAACCACATGCGTGGGGGCATCTGGTGCGGAGAAGAGATCGAGACAGGAACTTTGTTTTGCCCTGGTGCGTCATCTGTCTGAAATGTTATCAGAGCAGGTACATGTGCATGGTGCAAAGCAGCTTCAAGAGACATTTCAACATTGACGGCGGTGACTAGACTAGTTACTTGGCCCCTTGGATGGCGCTCAACACTATTTCTGCACTGCGCCAAACAGGTACCGCCTTTCATTATGAACATTCCGTGACAGAAGAACAACCTCATGGCAGCGAGAGTTGAGTTCCTGCATTCAAAGATTCCCCAGACCGAAAATCGAAACCCGTAACGAATGATCATGTGCACGACCCACATACACAACCGTCATTTCCCACCAGGATCGTTGGAGTGCATTCATTTCTTAGATTTTTTGGACTTCTCGACCTTGGTTGAGGGAGGAGCAGCTGCAGGAGCAGCTTCCCTCCTGCTCTTCTTCGACTTCCTGTCCTTCTCTGGAGACTTGGCCTCGGCCTTGGGAGTGGCTTTGCTAGGAGTAGGTTCGGCCTCTTTGGTCTTGCGTCTCTTGGACTTGGGCGGTGTGGGTTCGGGAGCGGGAGCGGGAGCGTCTTCCTCGTCTTCCTCGTCCTCGACTGGCTCATCTTCCGTTTCTGCTTCAGCGTCCAGACCAGCGATGTGCTCGGGGGCTTTACCCATCTCCACCAGGCGCGCTGCGGTTTCGTCGTCAGGGACGGGTTGACCAGCTTTGTAGGCGGCCATCTTGACGCGGTACGCCGCCAAGTTCTTCTGGTACTTGTCATCCCAAATCTGTGCAGAGGTCAGTGCTTGCAACGACGAACAAATACCGGAGAGAGACGTACGCTCTTCTCAGCAGGGCTCATCTCGGTCCATCTGCGGGTTCCCTCATCTGCAACTTCCTTCGGCTTCGCTGAGTCGCCCAATTCCTTGGCAATGGTGGCACGAGCACTTTGCATGTAAAGGAAGTACGGGGTGAGAGCACGCTTTGGTGCGTTGGGATCATGTGGTGTCCTCTTGCGCTTCTTCTTCCCATCGACCTCTGGTTCGGGTGCAGCAGCCGGAGTAGCTTCGGCGGGGCGAGCACTCAAGAGACCAGATTCGGTAAGGATGCTGGTGAGGTTGGCGTCAATGGGGTTCAGGCCATGTTTGCCAGGCGTAAGGACAGTGTTGGCATGTTGAATGTAGGCGCGCGAGAGGTCTTGGACGGAGGATTGGAGTGTTGCAAGGGCAACAATGACCTGAGGGTATGTGTGAGTAAATGTTCTTGGATTATTTTGCACTTCGCGAACGAGCTCGCCGAGCGTCGCCAAATCTTCAGTGAGAACCTCAACGCATCTGATGGAGGCACGGTTCAATAGATGCCCGAACTCAATTTGTGCGGCACTCAGGTTGACACAGCCTGGGCTTGAAGCCATGAGGAAGGCAATGAACCATAGAGCCAAGGAGGTGTACTACAAAGGTTGAAATTGTGTGCGCGCGACGGTGAGGTGAAAACACACATGGGGGCGTGACGACGAGGTCAATGTTGTGATCGAAGGCGAGTTGGGGCAGAGCCTCGTCGCGGGGTTGAGGTTGTTGTCACGGGTTGGTCGGACGCGTGTTGTGGGTGGGTGGGTGAGGCAGAGAAAGAACAGGAAGTGGGAGTATACAAAAATTCTGTTCCACGTACCGAATCTCGAGTTCGCTGGAAATCAGCAATATTGACTTGGGTCGTCGCAGACTCTGGGTCGTGTGTCTTCTTCGCCATGGCGCCTTGCAGGGAGGTGACCAGGAGCTATGCTAAGGGTATGAGCAATTGACAGTATAGGCGCCTGTAAGCGACCGCGATGGGAGGTTGCAAGGCTGAGCTTTAACTAAAGGATGGGTGGCGGGAAGTTGAAGCCAGAAAGCAAGGGCTGTCTGGATGAAAGCGAGAGGTGGAAGATGCAGAAAGGAAACGGGGGCGAGGGCGAGGGCGGCGGGGGGGGCGGCTTGTTTAAGTGGGCGAGCGAGGCATGGGCAGCCGCTGGATCAACCCAGAGGAAGAAGAGCGCGAGAAGGGAAAAAAACCCAGCAGCTGCGGCAGGATTGATCACGGCCACCTGGCACCTCGCTCCCCCCCCCTCTTTTTTTTAAAGCCCCCGTGCCCCCCTCCCTGCTGTTCGGCCTCTAAGGATGCCGGGATGCTCTCTGTAGGGTGCTTGTTTCGGTGTCCTGCAAGCTCCACTGTCACGCCGCTAAGGGTGCCTTCCGCAGGTCTAATTGGCTCCTAACTGGGCCTGCCTCGCTGAAGCTCCTGCACTGTCCCGGCTCTAAGCTTGTAGGCTTCAAGTGTTATTCGCCCCCGAGGGCAGAGGTCACCTTTTCCTGCTGCAACACCTGGGCTTGTTTACCCCCAAACCCTGCTTCTCCTGCAAGCTAAAACAGCCTAGCCTAGGCTCACTCGCTGGACTTGGACTCTGCATTTAGAACCCAGCCCTCCCTCACTGCCGAACGGAGGCATTGTTCTGCGAGCGATCTGGTTATGCAGGCTAGGAAGCTTCTCCTCAGAGAACTACTCAACGATACGGGACAGTCTCCAAGTCGTTTCCATTCCCCAAAATGCTCGAGCTGCAGGCGCTGTGCCATGCCCCCCGTCCGCTCATCTCGGTGCCAGTCTGACGGACGCAAATCGTTTGCTTATGTTTGTCGCGTCCTTCTTACGTCCGTCACTGGGAAGAATTCGGTGAGGACAGAGCTGTCCAGAGCCCAAGCTCTTCTGAAGCTCAAAAAGAGGCTGCGGATTGAATCGAGGACATGACGGCGAGAAGCAAAAATCAGCGCTGCTGCCGGGAGCACAATGACGGCCGTCGGCGCCAAACAGCGCAGGGCTGGTAGGCAACACCGAGCGAGCTTGAAGGGTGGCTCTGATATCCAGCTGGAGAGCTCGAGCTGGGAAGCTCCGGGATCTCTGGAAGTGGGCAGCACAGCAACTGCCAGTCAGACCACCCTACGCGGCCTTGGACTCACAATTTTGATCACCAGCGCCCCATCAAGCTGCATAAGCGCCTCTGGGCAGCCGCCTGCGCTGAGATTTGGAGCCTGTCTGACTGACTTGCTTCAGGCTGAAAGCGCCCAGCCCTCGGGCTAGTCGATGTTCTCAATTTCAGTTGACGGCCACCATGGTGACGGGTCACGAAAGCCTGTTGCTTCGGACCCCCAAGAGTCCCCGTCTCTCCCGACAAATCAGCGCCTGGCAGCATCTTCGTTGGCTGTCCCTTTTGGGCGTCCCAGGCACATCACTCCATCCCACGACCCGCCAGAGCCGGATCATGTCCACCGTCTTGCGAAGCCCTGGTCAGGCCTGTTCTTTCGTGGCTCCCACCATCCCCGAAGCTCACCCTCGGCAGCTTCCACAGGCGCTCTTGTCCTTCCACTTCTGGCCTTTCGTGGCGTTGCCAAAGTCGCTGCTGGTGCTCTCCAATCTCGATCAGACTTGAATGGTAAGGGGCCCTTTTGCTCCTCTTCTTTGGGCGCCTCGCTTCACGGCGGCGCGCCTTTGCCCTATGGCTGAGGTGCTCCGACTCCAGGCATCTTCGTAGGCTATTGTAGGCATGCCTGTACGGACGACGTACTTGAAACTGACAGCGAGCACTGATAGCTTGGAGCTCACGGAGGTGCTTCGACCCTTCTAATACTTGTTCCGAGTTGCATTCTCTCACCCGGACCTCAACCACAGACTCCTCCAGCCACCTGGATACTTCCTCGCTCTCCAGGCGCTTCTTCATGCACTCTACTCGGGCGCCGAGGTGCCTTTCTCCGTAAAACGCTCCTTTGTTCCAGAGCATGCCCATCTTTTTGGTGGTACCTGCATTGGGGCGATCAACTCCCCTGCAGTTCCGACTCAACCAAAACGTCTCTGGCTTAACTGGGTGGTCATTCCAAATAAAAACCTAATGCCCGTTCGAAAATAACGCGAACACCGCACGCTCATACAGCGTCTTGCCCCCTTCGCAACGACTTCCAGCCTTGACATGCTGCACCTAACTCCACCAGAAGCATTTACAGAGATGCAGTTGAAAGTATTCAGCATCTCATCCACGAAATCAAGTGCACCTCCTCCTATTTCTCCCACGTGGACTAGTGAGCATGTATTACTGATACCGCTGATCTTACTGAATGGGTTGACAGACTCATGCAAATTTATTCTAGGATGATTGGAGTGTTAACAACGACAGTAGTGCGCTTGTTCTATATCACCACCGGCACCCCTATATAGGAAACACTTGGGCGGCGTTGTGAGGGTATGCCCTCCCAAACTCCGCTGCGCCGTTGGCATCATTGGCGGATTCGAAGTCAAAGGCGGCTAACCCGTTGGTGAGGATGTGCTGCGAGGCTTGATTGTAGCTGGTTAGCACCCCGCGCGAGGCTGAGGTTTCGGATGAGTCCGTTTCCAAGTACAACAGATCTGTTCTCACTTCATGTCGCCCACCATCAACCCCATCTATCTGTGTCCTGATGCCAATAGTAAAGCCCACACAATCGCCTGCCACCACTGAAGCTTGCTTGCTCCTGAAAGCAGGACGACGCAGAAACTATGGATGTTGCGGACGAGACCAGAGCGGACCGCTTCATGAATCGATGCGTGAACCCCTTGCTGTACGGATGCAGACACCTATCAACCCCTATCAACGGTCGAAGACGAATCCAGGCCCAAGTAGAGACTTGCACGTTCGTTGCTCGAGAGGTCTGTTCTCGCCCGAAGAAGACTTGATGACTATGAAAAGATATGAGGTCGACAAACTGTGCCATCCCGAGGTTGTACTCGACGACTTAGCTCGAGAAATTGCTCTGCCACCACCACCCACCCGTCCACTATTCAGGGTGCTTGGTCGACGACCTAACGATGAGTCTGGAGTGGGCTTTTCTGGGGGCGGCAGAGACTGGACTTTCCTCGACGTCTCTACCAGGCTGAAGAGACACGGGCTTCGATTCGGCAAGAGCTCGCGGTCCTCGTTCCGTTCAAACCCACTGTTCTCTCCGCTTGGGCCCGCGAGCCTCGAATGGACGCGCCGTGCGCAAACGGGAGAATCAGAGGTCCTCCATGAATAGAACCGTCAATCTATGTAGATAGTCACGTCCCGGTCCCGGCAGGAGTCAAGGAGTTTCCCCCCGCGTCCCAGTCTCGAGCGATCTGAGAACAAACCCAAGCGAGCCGAGGGGAGGGAGTATACCGGGTAAGTTAGAGCCTGATACCTGGTCCCCAGGCTAATTGAATCCCTATCCACCTGCATACTTATTAGGTAGGTAAAGGTTCAGGTGTGAAAGGGTACCCTGTCCTCGGGAGGCACAATGACCAGCCACAGCAGACAACACACATTTGGTAGTGTCAGAAGCTTCCATATTGACAATCTAGTGGATTTTTGTTTGTTCGGTACCGTTGGACAATCTCATGATTGATCAGAGTGCCTCTATATATGTACAATAGTTTTGTTGACTGTTGTACACTTTGGTTCAGGATGACCTCTTTATTCTTTTCCCAGCATCAACTTTTCTTTCTGCTCTTGTTCTCTTTGTCTCCTTCTCCCTCCCCCTCTCTCTAGGGCGGAAAATTTATATCTATTGGCGAAAGACACAAGATGCTTCACCCACCAACATCTAAAACTTGAACACTTGGTCCTTGGTGTAGCCCAGCTCCTTCAGGATGCCGGTCAACTCGCCCTGGTCTTGCGGAGACGTCTTCGCGCCGCTGATCGCCTTGTACATGCCCGGAGGTCCACAGACGAAGATCTTGATGTTCTCGCTCTTCGGATCCGGGATGACCTCCTTCAACAATTCCTTGGTGATGAAGCCCTTGCCGTACGGCCAGCTCTCGGGCGGGTTGTCCAGGGTAAAGAAGCACCGGAACCGCTGGGGGAACTCGTTCTCCAGCTTAGACAGCTCCTGCTTGAGCAGGATGTCTTCTTCCTTGATGTTCCCGAAGATGAGCGAGACTTTGGTCTTGTCCTCGGGGTTCTTGAAGATGGCGCGGATCAGCTGGTACATGGGCGTGATGCCCGTGCCGCCGGCGATCAGGGTTATATGCTCGTGCTTGTTGGGCGCCCAGGGGTATTTCGGGATGGGACCTTTGAACGAGAGGGTTTCACCTGGTTTCATGCCGTGGATGTGTTCGGACATAGGCCCGTTGGGGTAGACTTTGACCAGAAGTTCGAGATAGCCCTTGACGTCTGCGGGAGCGAGTGAGTTGGGTTGAAGACACCGGACCGAGGACTGGGATGGTTACCTTCATCATTGATGGGCGTGTAGGGCCTGATGACCGGCTTTTCCTGATCGGCCGGTTTGAATTTTGTGATGATGGCAGCTTTTTTGGGACCCAAGTCAATAAACCTGACCGACCACATATAGTTCCATGTCACTCGACTTACAAGCAACGTTCAACCCGCTCACATGGTCCTTGTCCGGCAACTCGAATTTGAACATCTTGGTATTGTGGTTGTACGGGATGATCTCCGCGAGCTTCAGATCGACGAATCCTTGCTCCCCACCCGTGAAGGTCTTGCTGGGCGCAGGGCCCTGCTTGTCCATTTTCTGTGCATCCTCGGAGGGCTTGGGAGCGTCAGCCTTGGCCGTCTTGCTGCTGGATCCCAGGAAGTTGTAGCCAATGACGCCTGCGCCCACGGCAGCGGCGCCCACGATCCAGGGTGTCGACGAGGAGGACGGCTTCTGAGCTTCGGTCGCGTATGTGCGGAAGTTCTGTGCGAAAGGAGGGACGTGTGAGCTCATTTGTAAGCTGGCGGGATGAAGCAATCATGTCCATTGACGGAGCAGCGGGTGCTTCCCCCACGAGTCAACGGACACAGGAGCAAGGTCACGTACCTGGCGAAGAGGCCCGCAGGACCTCAGGACTGACCTGGCAAGCATGGTGGAAGAGATTTGGCGGGGAGATGTGATAAGAACAAGCAGGAGAACAGAGACGGAAAATGGGATCGTGAGACGTCAAGGGCAATCGAGATGGCGTCAACAATGGAATTTCGAGCACCGAAGCTGGAGAACGAGGACAGATACGCGCAGCCAATTGACGGGCTCCCGGCCTTTACAGCATCCCGAGTCTGTTAAGCCCGAGCGAGGTATCCAACCGCGCGCGGAGGAGCAGCCCCGCCCCAAGGTGGCTTGTCGCACTTACATACCATCGAATCAATGCATATAATACCGAGTACTCCAGACATGCTCGTTATTATCTAAAAGTCCCTTTCAATGCTATTCCACCAAGTCCTCCTTCGAGAGGCTTTGCCCATTACAGCTCATCCTCCTCAACGTCATGTCCAATGTGGCCCACGCTTCTTAGTGGTATTGCATCCCAGTCCGAGCTATCATTGTGTGCCAGACACCGTGTTGCAGCCTTGTATGCCCAGATCCTCTCTTGCCTCCGGATCAGCCTTTCTTTTGCCTCGAGGGGCTGGCTTTCTGCCCTACGTGAGCCTTGACATTCTGGCTGAGCCGCTGAGAGCCGCGACGGCCGCTCTTCGACGTCTTCATCAGACGAGGCAAGTAGGTCTCCTGGTTGACTGTCGAAGACCGAAGGAAAGAATGGGTTATCACTAGTGTCGTCCTCGAATAGGTCCCAGTCATCGCTCCCCCGGCGTCGGTGGAATGCTGGATAGGCTTGAGAGACACCGTTGGGGCCTAGGCTACACGCCTTTTGGTTGCGCCTCTGTGGATCTGCCTCTGCATCTCCGAACTCAGCACGCTTCTTGGAAGATCTCAGGATCTCCATTTCCTCTTCCCCACTCATAAGATCGTCGTGGTTGGTCTCCTGGGATTCCGTCTTCTGAGTATCATCATCTCCTCGTTTCCTTTTACCACTGGCACTCCTAAGCCCCTCCCCTTCCCTCAATTTTTCAACTACTTCCCGCGTCTCTTGGTCAAAGTAGAATGTTTGCTCTGAACAAAGGTCTCCGAAAAGTGCCTGCATGCTAAGTTCCTCGGTCCAAGTCTCCGGGCAGACTGTGCAGGGGCAGATATCCCTAGGTCGGAACCGCTCAACAAAATCACGGAGCTCGTTATATGAGGAGTGGCGAGAATAAGGAAAGTGTATGGTATCGTTGCCGGTCTGAGGTCTTGACTCTTGATCAGAATGCCTCTGCCCTGGACGTGAAGCATCTGTCTTCCCGTATCTCTTCGCAAGGAAGGGCACCAAATCCTTCAGTTGTATATGGCCATTCTGGTCAAGTCCCAATTCGTCTGGTGCTTCCATGGCAAGGCACAAATCTCCTCTCGCCCCGAAATGGCCAAGCGGTCGAAACACGTTCGATACCGATGCGGTGTCGTCCATAGAAGATGCAAAGAGGTTCATAAGCTGCTGGACAGATGCGTGATCCTCCACCTTCAATTCAGACGTGGGATAGAGGTCTCTTGCGCCTCCGCCGGCCCCAAGCTCCCTGATCTCGGTTCCATCTTTGAGTCTCGAAATGATAGGAGTTATCCACCTGATGTTCTTCATCTGTTTGATTTCAGAGTGACACTTCAACCCAGGTTCACAGCTATGAATCCTTGCAGCGGTATCCAGACTGAGACAACCTGGAAGATGAGTGTTGCCAACGGCGAAGCCCGTCAGCGCCCCGTAGTCGTTACTGCCGGTATCGACTCCATTGGCAAATATCCGGAGCTGATATTCATCTACATGGACACGGGATTGCAGAATGTTGGATAGAGCGACCCAAACATTTTCGTAGCCCAGAGTCCACGCTCTAAAGTAGAATATCGTGTCTGGGGGACATTGCACCACTTTCTCAAGAAGCTCTTTCAACCCTTCAGCTTTTGTCGGGAACTCGCTATATGGCTCGTCACGAATGGCAAACGTGGTATCGAGATAGAGACAGTCAAGATACCTCAAGCCGCAAGCATAGGGTAGTAAGACGGGGTTTTGCACAATCGAGTTCACCCACCACAATTCAGCCCTAATATCTCCAGTGTAAAGAATGGCTTTGCCATCATCTTCAATCAAGAACATGACGGCGCCAGGACAATGGTTCGCATCCAGCAACGTCACCCGAATGGTAAGTTTTGGGCCAAGCTCGAGTGCCGTGGCCGTGTTCATCGGCAGCGGTCTGAGGACTGTCTTCAGGTGCCGATAGTGTTGTTTGCGGGCTTCAAGGATGCCTTTTGCAAAGTTGATGCGATGGGGATATTTTTCCATATTAAGCAGGATACGCTTGGTTGTAGCCGAGCAATATACAAAAGGCATTTTGACCGACTCCAACCCAAGTAAGTGATCGCTATGGACATGGCTGAGAAAATACGCAGCAGGCGGCGGCCTTCCCGGATGATGCCTGAAGTAGTCGATCCTAATACTCGGAAATTCCTTGACGAGGCCATTGAAGGTCGACATGATGGCCAGTGGCACCTAGAATACTACCACCCGGGCGAGCTTTGCGTCCAACACGTCGACTGCAAGGCTGTAAGATCTGGCTCTTGTTACCCCACAGGCTCTGGCAAGGTCCCAGGAAATGGGCGCCTTCGTGGGGTGACGTGCGAAAAGGCCACCAGTCAGGAGGCTGCCCGGAACAGATCCTGGCCAACCGCAACCATGACCTGCAGGGTTTTCGAGCGAGGTAGGGGGCTTGTCGGCAGCTTGTTCGTATCGGAAACGCAGGCCAAAAGAGGATTGGAAGCCGGGAGCAACGCAGAGGTAATGGCGCAAAAGCTTGCCTCTTATTTGTCCGCTTGACGAACGCTGCACCCAGGCATAAGGGTCATGCACGGCCTGAGCTGGCCACCTGACAAACAGGAAATCCGTGAAAGGCGAAAAGCGGGTAGGGTCGTGATGGAGGACGTGACTGTGGTTCGAGGTCCAGAAGGCCAATTCTAGCTGGTTGGATAGATGGTGATGTGGCAGACCCAGTCGACCTGACCGTCACTCAAGTGGCAGCGGAGGGAAGCAAACAGTACGGAGAACCAAGGGCCAAACGACGTCTGGGTGCATCAGATTGTGCCAACGCAGCGATTGCTGGCAGTGTGGTCCCAATTCAACGTCGATTCGCATTCAATAATAGCCCATTCTCTTCTTCCCTTGGCTGCTCTTCACTCGGCATCGAATATATAGGCAGGGCCGTGGACACTTGTGCGCGAGTCGAAACATCCAAGCTGGCGACGGCTGTGTCAGTTGACGCCTGGACTCTTGATATTCAGGGTATTGCAGTAAGTATCGTCAGCGGCGGGGTTCAGGGAAAGGAGCCTGTTCGCCTCCCAGTCTGGTGGTACCTGAAGCTAAAAGCGAGATCCTTGCCGCCCCCCAAAGTAACAAGACCACCGACCAGCAAATCTAGCGGCCTCCTTCGAATTCCATCGGGAGCTGTCAAAACCTCAACAATCCCCCTCACTGCAAGACGAACTCTACCTGCTCCTCCCACAACATCTCCCTGGCAGCTACCCCTTACCACCTCTCTACCACCTCCGCCAAATCCTATGACCTCTGTCTCACCTGCCCTTCCCCTGCGAATACCGCCATTCTCCCTCTCTCACTCGAACCATCTGCTCACGCCATTGTACACAGCTCCGAAGATCCTGAAGATCACCTACGTAGCCCCGGCCAAACGTCGGTAGCCGATCATCAGCCGCCCACCGAACCTCTGTTCTGCCTGTGACAAGAGCACTCCTACCTATTACACAAGCGCGGTCTGGGTACAAACGTTGAGGCCACAAGAGTTCGCTTTTGCAAAAGACCGAGGAAAATCGAGTAGAACAGGTGGACTGGCCCGATCTGGGAGACTACAGCCATCATGAGAAAACCGTGCATTCCAGAGTTGATCTACCAGAGGACGTTTCCCAAACCGAAGCAAGGCGATCCAGTCTCCTTTCACGCTCATATCCAACGTCATATCGTGGGCGAGATCCGGGTCGAAGTACAGAACTTCTATGGGGCCCTCGACACGCTGGAAGCACAATACCCTGGCCTCGACTACACGTTCACTCCTCACCGCCGTCGACTATCAAGATATCCTTGGCATAGACGTCTTTTCCGCGTCTTCGACGAACTGGGGCTGACTGATGACGAAATTCTGGGTTTGTGTCACTGGGAAGGTACAAGAGCGGCCAAGGAAAGATACGAACGTGAAGCGGGGGTCGAGGTCAGAACTACCACAGCCGACGATGTCGTTGCAGCGCTGCCCGGAAATGGTCCCAGAGCAGTCTTTGAAGATCTGTCCCGGCCAGCCTCTGTCGACCGAGCATCCTCGACCAGCGAGACCCTGGTAGCAACCCCGGAGAAAGAAGAATGCAAAGCCAAGGATGTGGACACTCCCTCGTCAGCAGCAGAAGAGGAGTTCATCGCCTTACTGCGCGATACTATGCAGTCCCGTCTACGGGGGGATCCTTCAGCTATGAACCTTGCATGGGAACAGTGGCTCAAGGACACCTTGGAGCGGCACGACGATATTGACATTAACGTGGTCATGGCCGCCATTCGAAGACTGGACCCGCAAACACTGAGAGCTATTCGACAAGCTGGAGAGGCCAACGAAACCATGTCACGGTCCTCGACCCTCCAATCCCATGCAGAATCATACCACGAACCCAATCACCTCGACCGGGTCGAGACCGACAGCACCCATATGCCCTCTGATAGTGCATCCCTATCAATCTTCGCACGGAGATCTCAAACAGAGGCAGCCAGGTGAAGCCATGCTTCTTTAATGAATTTCTTCCACTTTTCTCGTTGTCGTTCCAGGAGGGACCAAGATTCAGTGGGAGTTCGATGTCATTGTGGCCGGTTTTCTTTTTGCCTCTCTGCGTGGTTGTCCAAAAGTACGGCTGAATATGCTTTGACACTAAGATTTTGTGGCAAGACACAATAACTTGTCTATGTCCTTAGAGCGAGGCGTTTTTGATGGATTCTGACTACCGGACTGGCTTTCCACGACGTCGCCGGCGTTTGGCGAATCCAACCAACATCATTTCATCTCTGATCATGCAGGTTCAAGTGCTTGAGGGCTCGTATGGAAGTCGAACTTGTTGAGCAAGTATGGGATCATGGGTTGTGGAATCATTCAACAAGAAGAACTAAGGGCAAACGTATGGTACGGGTATGAATTTAATCTATGGGGCGAGGAAGATCACCGAAGCTGAACAGACAGAGTTTATCGACAAGAAAGCAAAAGCGGGTATTGATTTTTGCTCTACAGAGAATCATATATCTTGACACAATTTCTTCCTTTTTCCCATGTTGAGAAGTCCAATGGTCCTGACACCCATTGATTCCGCGCACCGCTCTCAGCCAGCCGTGTTCCTCTCGACGACCCCCCTGGCGAACTCGCCAAAGGTCAGCCCCGTCTCCAGATCGACGGGCTCGTCCAGATTCGGCTGCGTGAAGACGGCCAGGGTGTTGCGGGCGACGCTGTTGCGCGAGTCCACGCCCCTGACGAAGTGCGGGACGGCCTTGAACCGGCCGCGCGTGATGCGCTCCAGCGCCTCGCCGGTCTGGAAGGCCAGCGCGGCGCGCGGGATGCCGACCTTGTGGATCTGGCCCGCGCGCGAGAGGATGTACAGCCCGGACTGCGGGTCCGGGGAGGAAGGTAGCTCCGTGTAGCACTGACCGTCCCTGTTGGGTGCTTGCCCTTCTGTATTCTGATCACCGGGAGAGGAGGCGGATTCGTCGAGGAACATGGCCGATGTCAAGCCCGTCAGGCACCCGTGGTCGAGGTGCGTGGTGCACCAGGAGTCGTCGATCTCAGGCCCATCATCTTCCTCCTTCTGCCCCTGTTCCTTGACTGAGGGAGAAACGTGCCCGTTCGTTGCATCCCCGTTGGCATCCCCGTTCGCCTTGGCGTTCGCATTCGCACTCTGCTGCGCCGTGGGGAAGTAGTGCAACAGCCTGGCCTTGGTCGTCTCGCTTCCCCGGACAACCTTTTCAAGGTATCCGGCCTCGTACCCGTCGATCTCGTGCTCGGCGAAGCGGTCGCACGCCCGCGCGACCAGCACGGCCGTGTCGATGATCAACCGGATCAGCTCTTCCGCGTCGCTCTGGAATTCCGGAATGTCCCCTTCTTCAGGCCACACGTTCGGCGCCGTGTACTCCTCGAAGCCCGGGAACTTGGCCCCGTCCGCGGACTGCAGGGAGGGGGACTTGTAAAACGCGCAGTTCATGTAGTAACTCCCCTTGGCCGTGTCGACCACGCCCGGCCGCAGGGTTTCCACGCCGTGGCTCCACCCGACGAGATACTTGGCACTGGGCTTGGTCAGAGTTTGGAGAGTCGGCGGAGGGAGGTGCGCGAGGCGCGAGGCGTTGGAGAGGACCTTTTGCCGGAGCGGAGGGAAGGTGGGCGGCAGGTCCGTCACCACGAGGATGCCCAGGCTGTCCGGGCCAAACGCATCGAGGAGGGTGCTGAAGGGGACGGCGTTGGACTGCAGGTCGCGTAGGGAGACGGTGACGGGTATGGCTTGCTTGTATTTCATGGTGAGAGGCGAGAACTGTCGGAAGCAGAGGAGGACGGAAAGCGACGTCGAGTGTTGGGCGGGGAGTCCGACTGTATGTATCAATCGAGGAGGTGCTCGGCGCGAAATTGGTGTCGCCTGCACCGCGAGGATCACGTCCTTCTCTTGCTCTGTGATATGTCCATCGCTTCTCGTCTCTCGCAGTCTTGCACGGCCTCGATCGACTTTTCTTTTCCTGATGGTCGCGAGGGATGCAACGCTGTATCATTCTTACCCCACAGTCGGAGCGGAGGCAATGGCAATTGCGTTCGCGCTTATCCATGGAGAAAACTATGTCGGCCAGCTCCGAACAACGATCGTCGCCGAGGCTTTAACTACCAGTCAGTGGTCAATGGGTGTCTTGACCCAGCCTAGTGGCTTCCATTTGAACTTCGGACCGCGTGGATAGCACTCCATTGTGGTGATAGATGTAACACGAGAACATGGATGCCGCCAAAAGCCACAGAAGGGTGGACAGCGACAAGTTACTGGAGATCGATGTATTTTCATTCTTCATTACCACGTCTGTTATTCTTCTCCTCGTAAGCGCCTATGTACAGGGTTCGTCCAATTGACCTCTCGCTTACTTCAAGCCAAACGCATCGAGCAGTTTTGGGAGATATGGAGTTCCCCAGCCGGTCACCGCATCCCACCCAGGAGTTGCAGGGAATCCAGTCGTGTTGCAGCCAGCAGACGTGCCATTCGTGACATCGGTGAAGAGGGTATGACCCCACTTATACAACCAGGGATTGAGGAAACCCATGGGAGGACGTCCCTCAGAGATCAATGCATCATTCAACAGCGTGAAGACAGACGCACAGATGGGCGAAGAACCAGATGTGCCGACGAGGTTGAGTGTGCTACCGTTCCATGTAATGGGGAAGACTTGTCCAATGCAGGAAATATCAGGATAAGCGCGTCCTAGATAGAGAAATAGAGTGTTAGCGGGCTACATGCATATAGTTTGCGTCTCTGATCAAGAACTTACCTGATTTGTTGTAGAGTCCGTCGTAGAGCCCTCCGAGGCTGTCAACATATGCGTTTACAGTGTCGGCCTGGTAGGCCGGCATGTCGAAATAGTTGCTGAACCCGGCGCCACTGGTAAAGTAGCCTCCACCACTCAGCTTCCTCCAGGCCGCCGATTCAGGATAGCCAGTTGTCGCCCCAACGGTGGTAACGTAGGGGCAGTCAGTTGGGAAGGACGGAAGAAACATGGCGGTAGTGTTGTCCACATTGCTGAAACATTGCCCATCTGATCCGACACCAGCATCACCACTAGAAAAGAACAACGATACACCTCGTGCTCCTAGTTGTGCAAATTGATTGCAAACTGCTTGGGCGTAAGAGCGACTGACAGTTTGTTCGTCGTCTCCGTAAGAGGTGGAAATGACTTGAGGCACCTCATTATCCGGTAGCCCTGCCATATAATTGGCCCACACCAGGAAAGGCTCATCGCTGTTGGTGGGGGTCACCAAGTCGGGCACAAATGACGGATCTCTCCCACCGGTATGATATGCAGTCAAGGGAGTCGGGTAGCCAATTCCAATCATGTAATCAGCATCAAGGTCTGCCTCTCTGTCCAGACCCTCTGCGGCGACGTTGGTGCCATTGTCGAGGACGCCTCCTGCAACGGAAATGGCCTCGAACTGGTAGGCATAGGCAGCCGCGTCGGGCCGGTACTTTGACAGGAAGATGTTGATGTCCGAGCGGTTGGTGGCCTCCTCCAAGTAATTTGTGTGGCCCATCTTATTCTTTCCGGCAGACTTGACCTCGTAATCAATGGTGCCATAGAGGGTTCTCAAGCAGTCTGGAGTCACCGAGGTGAAGTTACAGGCGGCATAAACGGTGGAGTTTGCAGGCAGCGGAATCGAATCGGGCGGTGAGTAGGTGTCTGCAGCCTCGAGCACATGAGAGCTACGCTTGTTGACCAAGGAGCGCTTCTTAATCTCGGTTCTCTTCTTGCGTCCCTCAAGTCGAGCCCACGAGTTTGTTGGCTGGATCGTGCTGATATGTTTGTGGACATAGTGGGGGAGAGAATACCCTTCGGTGCGCACAAGCGCCGATCCGTCAGGATGTTCCCAGATTGAGTAATCCGTGTTCAGCATGTCCTCAATCGTCGAGACGGGGAGAGAGACCGTAATCCAGTCCCTGGCTGGGCTGTAGGTGAGTTGCTCAATGTCAACGTCATACTCTTGTAACCATTCATGGATGGCCGCCGAGGTCTCATCCGAAGGTTTCACGAGGTCATGAACTTCTTCAGCTGACAGATGCTGGCCGTAACGTGCATGTGACGGGTCGGAGACTGGTAAGTGGTCAGACCGGGCGACGATGGGTTTGAATGCAATATCTCATACCTTCATAAAGATGGCGTTCGAGCTCGTCGAAGCGGCTTTGCGAGAGACCGATAGTCAACCTGATCAGATGTTCACTCGGCGCAGGCCCCAGATTTGTCCACGCCCTAGGAGCGGGATGGAAGTCTTTGACGACAAGGTCGGAGCGACGGGTGACGGGACCAGCTGCAACAAGAGAAGCTTGAAAGCAGCTTAAGAGAGACAACGCCGTAGTAAGCATGGTGGATGCTTGAAGAGAGGCCATGCTTCTGATACCTGGTCGGGGATGTTGCACGCGACCGACCGACCCAGCGACAAGAACGAGCGACGAGGCAGAGCGAGAGAGACAGTGATTTGTCTTGGAAACAGCAGCGGCGACCACTTACCTAAATACCTGAGCTTTGGTACAAATAAAGCAGGCGCGTAGGCCATTCCTCCTGCGTCCATTCTCCCGTTCACACAGCAATAGCAACGTCATGTAACATCGAGTTGATGTGCTATCCTGCCTCTTTGGACGTAGCTCCGAGAGATAAACAAGCATTGAGGTGGCATCGAGGACACGAGCATCCACCATGGGTCGCTAGCCCTTGCATTGGGGCGCAGGAAGATGAGGAATTGGAAGGAAGCTTGCAGGACCGAGGTATGGCAGCGAGGCAAGGATTGGACGCCTGTTGGACAGCTTCTAGATTAAGCATAGACCTGGAGGGAGTCGTTGGTGGGATCGACATTGTGGCGGATACGACCGCCCAGGGGAGGATCGCTGGAGTACGAATCGGTGGGGAGATAAGCTCTGTCATGGTGGAGAGAAGTGACAATCGAAGGTTCTCCGGGGGCGCGATGGAAGCAGATGTGGCAGATGTTTCGTCGAGGTGTTACCTGGAGCATTTCGCGGCCCCTTGATACTGACCGTCATTGGCAGAAGACATGAGATGTGCGCAATCTTAGCGAACTTAGCGACGATACGAGCAGCCATCATGCAAAAGGCCGCCACCAACGGAATGCTGACGACCGCTGGTTGCACAGTCAAGAGTAGAAGATGCAATCTCGTCTCGCACAGCACGGCGATCATGCTGTAATTGGCAGCGGTGGCAGCAACCCGACAAGCTGAGTTACCTCCTTGTAGCACGTGGGTTGCAGATGATGTAGAAAGGAAGATCAAGGTCAAGGCGAGGTGAAAAGTGAGGTGAGGGTGAAGCGCAGGCTGAATTGGCGCGGAAATCCTCCGGGGGTGCCGGGGCAGTTTGGGGGCTGCTTTAACAGGGGGATTAAGGGCCGGTTGGTCTCGGCTGCTCCCGGATCAAGCCCGTGTGCCCGCTGATTTTCTGCATAGGGCGCCTTTTCAAAGGACTTTTGGTCTTGGACCACTTCCTAGACGTAGAACCTCCTTCGCTGTCCCCCGCCCACTGTGACCTCTCGACCTGGGCTGTGTCCAACAGGTCGATCGTGAAAACAAACTCCATTCGTTACATGAGCACACACCAGTTCTTATTCTTGCGACGGCGGTGCTTGGTCCTTTCCTTCTGTCGGGAGGAAACCGAGCACGGAGAGACTGTGCGTGGGTATTCCTAACAGAGCAGTATCCTGGTGGATCAATCCATTCGAAATCTCCAGCTCTAGGAACTTCTTCAAGTCTTCTTGAATCTTCGGCATCATTTGCTGCAACCGGTCCTTATAAGTCCCCAAGTCCGTTGGCCGGCGAATGGTGCCATCGCGAGTCGCGCGCTCCCACGGTTGTTGCAAGTTCCGTTTGATCTCGTTGCAGTGTTCGGGGAGCGAAGTGTCTAATAGACAAAATCAGGAAAAGATACGGTAGCAATAGTTGCGGATATCCTCCACTTACCCTTGAGCACTTTTCGATACCAGCCCATCGCCGCTGACGGAGCCCTATCGGCAGAGGAGTTTCCAGGATCAACGACCGAGTTCCAAATCGAGGACACGGAGTTTGCGGCATCGACAACAGTGGTACAGAGTTGCTCTTTGGCTTCTTCCAATGCATAGTACTTCGCGCCGGATTCTTCGATTGTGAACGACTCCACAAGGTCGGCGAATGCTGCGAGCGATGCAACGATGGAGATGACGACTTCCCAGCCGGAGAGGGAGTCGCCCAAAGAATTTTGTATGAATTGCTCATAGAATGGGGGTCTTTTTGGATACTTGACCTTGTTTGTGGCCTTGCCCACCTTGACTACCAGCTAAGCTGGATTTCAACGTGGAGGAATTGAGGTGCAATCAAGAAATGGGTGGAATGGATGATCAAGTTGTGCTCTGATAGCGCTGATGAGCTGGCCAGCGAGGAAGTGACTGAGTTCTCCTTGTTCCTGACATGCATGCTTCTCGCCGCAGCTGAAAGCACAGCCCACCAGCCATGGGTACACTGCGTGCTCGTCACGAGACCGCACAACCAATGGCACCAAACCACCCCAAGAGACCGCTGAGCCCTCTTCGGATGATATAACCTAGGGTCTTGAGAGTATATTTGAATGCGCAAGCAATCGAGGCGCCATCACCGAGCCCACTTTTACCAATATGTTCTGGCTTATATTCCCCTGGAATCGCATCCTCGATCGATTCTGGATGGCACCGGATACGGACAGCAAGGTTCAAACTCCCATCGACCTTCTCTTGCTGGACGATGAGCCGGATGATACAGGCCCGGTCACGTTTGGACCAGAATACTGGCGCCAACTGGGCGAGCACACCACGCTGGAGCAAGCTGAAGTTGAGCATGCGTTGGGCGAGTTCAAGAAACTGCATACTATGAATCTCACACATTTGCTCAATCAACTAGTTCTCATCAAGGCCAACGTAGAAAAGAACGGAACCACAAACAAGAAGCAGATGACAGTGCTCAGGAAAACGCTTCACCACTATTGTACACGTTCCATTGATGATTGAAAGAGTCACCAACTAACATCGAATCAGCGAACGCAATCCGAGACTTCCAATACATCACCGGCCTCAACACCGCACCACGCATATACCGGAACCAAAAGCGCATCGCTCTCGAAGGCAGCTTCCCGGGACTCGCCAACCCGTTCTCTGGCACCAAGAATTCTCTGGCACCAAGAACGTCCCCTATAACACATCCTATCGGACCCTCCAGGACCGCACCGTGCAAAGCCGCGACGGCGTCAGAGAAGTCCTGCGCAAGTTCCTCCCTAACCGTCTTTCCTGGACCAACCCCGAGCGACGCGCACGCCCAGACATTTACTCATCCCGGGGGGGGGGGGGGCCGATATCTATTCTCCGTTTGTGGATTCGACAGCGCGCTTAATCATCGGGATGTTTGGAGGGTGTGCGCTTGTGGTGCCGTTGATGGTGATGATATTCCAGCCGTCGCTGACGAAGAGCCTGATTACGGTATCCATGGCGGTAGTGTTATTTGCGTTAGCATTGAGTCTAGTGTTTGAGACGGACAACAAGGATACTCTCTCTGCAACAGCGACGTATGCTGCCGTTCTGGTGGTTTTCGTCGGGATGAGCACAGGACACAGCTGATGGATGTTGTCAGGGACACTGGGGTTGAGCATTTGGCACGTCTCTGAGCGTTGATGCGCGACGATGAACCTAATCGAATGAATACGCTTGGTTGGAACAAGGTATCCAATATCAGCCATTTGCACCAAATACCTGAGTCTCTAGCGAGAGGCTTTCTGCTCAGCAGGGCTGAGATAACTGTTGGCTTTTGGTTTTGTCGTGGAGGGTGATCTATTATCACTATCAACTTAAGTTGGCTCTAATAATGCTGTGGGTACATATCAAGGTCGCCAAGAACTTACTAGGTACTTAGTAGTTACTGGAGTCCCTGCTCGTAGCAAGTAAATGTTGGGCCGCCTGGGGACACTGAGCCAGTTTCCTCCAGCCTCCTCTTCTCATCGCGGTACGAAGAACACACGCCTACGAGTACACACACTTCTCCTGCTCCTCTCTTCCTCTCCGCCCTCTTTTTCCCTTTCTTCTAGCTTCAACACTCCGTTATTCATGGGGATCTTGTTCTTCTTGTTCACGCGATTGACTATGCACGACCTCTATGCGGCCTCTAGGCGCTGACTCAATCAGCCAGGATCTCATCTGACCTCGATGCCCAAGACCAACTTTCTCGAGCAGCAAGAGGCCACAACCCTCCCCTCCCCTCCCCGCCACGAGATGACTCGGCATGCAACAATGTCTCAGGCTTGAAAGACACGCAAAATGACTCAAATCATCAATGCTTTTTCTCAAGAGGTTAGGCATCCATCTGCCTTGCCTTGGCTGCTCGCACCAATCATCTTCACTGCGGCTCGTTGAATGGCTACGACCGGCCTGCTTTGCAGTCCTTTCGTCAGGCCTTTTGTCTGCTGGCCCTTTGCTCGTGCCTCCTCGCTTTGTCGTCTGCCTGCGTCCGCAGATAAACATGTAAGTTGATCTCGCCGGCGGTGTTTGTCAGAAAACCTCGTCGTCCTCTACTCTCCTCGTGTTTTCCATGCAAGCCGCTCGCAGTCTCCAAATCACACCGCAACCACCTCAGCCTTGTCGCATACTCTGCGTCTAGCGAAATGTGCAACCTCCTAGTTCCACTTTGCCCCTTCGTCCTCCATTCTATCACAGCCTCCGACCATTCTCCCCCGCAAGATGCTGCCTCAAACCCTTCGTCGGATGCAAAGATTCTCTTCTCTTACCTATCAAAGAGGCCGTACAAGTCCTCTCGCAAAGAGGCGGGCCAGGCACAACCCCAACCCAAGCCTCTAGCCTTGCCATCCCTCAAGCTCTACAAACGCACAAGTTGGCACACATGTCCGTGCTTCTTCAACCGTATCGCCATTCTACATCCCCTGCCTGGGCCCAGCCGACCAACATTCGGGTGTGCGCACAAATTCTGTGTGCGCTGTTCCTCAGCGGCCAAGCTCTTGCGGCCAGTACGGCGTGGTGGACCTTTGGATCACATCACAAGGAATGACCCATACTGGAATCGTTGTATTTTTTTAGGTGCAAGCGGAGTCTTCGAACCAGGCCTCCCCGACGACAACGGCGGTGTAGACACCGGAAAACGAGCCAATGCGCAAGCTCAGTCCCTGCATACCATCCAGCGAAGAGACGCGGCAGAAACCCCAAGTCATAACCAGTGGAATTACAACGACGGGCCTAATGCACGAAAGCGATACAACGAGGAGGATATGAAGGGGTGGAAAGAGGGAAAGCAGGCTCCCAAGGAGTCAGGCTTGTCCAGAAGGAAAGGCCGTTACGAAGCCGACCTGGACTCATACTTGCGTGAGACCTACGGGGAAAGACGAAGGTGAAACGCCTATCGATCGTCTGTTTCGTACCTGAGGATACCAAAATAGGGAGGATAATCACGGATATGTACATATAATACCGCAGAGTGGATATGGATACTAGCAATGTACAGTAGCCCTCGGCGACCTTCCACGTGACCACCCCCGACCCTGGAAAGATTTATGGATGGTCGGTCCTTTTACCAAACTTCAATGCTTCCTTGAGCCTGGTCCATCAGTGAGTTTTCTTGCTCATGCTATAGGGAAGATGTTGATGAACCATGCCAGAGCCCGAAAAAGTATTGCTCCCGCTCCGGCGAGTCGGGTCAGCTGCACTGACTTGAGTCCCAGACACCTGCGCCAACGAGGCGTTTCCTTCCTCCATCTTCTTCGTCGACGGCCAAAGCAACTATACTTTCCTCTTCCGTGCGCAGGAACCCGTTCCAGAGCACGCGCTCCACACAGCCACCACCTTCTGCGACCTCTTCTTTCGCCGGCACGCCACGGTTTCAGCGGCCCACGCCGACGCTCCAGGATGACATTCAAACGAGTTTTGACGACGACCCCGCCTCGGCGATGTTGTCGAAGACCGGCTTGATAGGTGGCAAGGGAGGTATCCCTGACCTCGACGACGACGAAACTCACCAAACGCTCTCACCACTGTACAGTCGAGGGGCTCGGGCAGCAGAAGGCGTGCACGAACACCACGCCGAAAGTGAAGCGTCGCCTCTGCAGCATCGACTGAGAAAATCTGCCCCGGCCACCAAACGACGCAAGGTGTCGCACTACGGAGCTAGCGTCGTTGAGCCCATTGCGATTTCGTCCTCCCCGGAGGATGATAGCCCTGATGAAGCCAGTTTCCAGATCGACGCCGGCTCACGAGCCTCGCAGTCCGATCTAGATGATGACGAAGGTCGGCCTACAGGGCGGCCAGCAGCAGCAGCCAACGAATCGAGCAGGATCACACGCTTCAGGCCCGTCGCTCAAGGATTGAGTCCACCCAGCCCAGTCTCAAGGACCGTCTTCAAAACCGTGCCGGAAGACTACCCCCCTGGATCTGTCGGAAGCGGACCTGTCCTGCCGGACATATTCTCGCCCTCGCGCCGCAAGGGCAAGAGGGACTATATTCCCGGAGGCAGCGCGTCCCTGGTCAGAAGCTGGGTGTTGGACATCGCGACCCGGGAGTCCCACGCTGAGTCGCTTTCGGAGGAAATGCTCCGGATAGCGGCAATCGAGAAGGACGCCAGTGGACGTTTTGTCATTGTGTCCGACGAGGAGGGCGCACGGTGGCTGCTCCCAGAGCAGCATGGGAGACCCGGTCGAAGCTCCAGCTCCAACTGGTCCGATCTCCGGCCCGGGTCGCACGTTCGCATCAAAGGCAAAGCCACCAGGTGGTCTCTCGACCTCGAGCCGCAAGGTCTGGGGAGTCTTGTCGTCGCTGCCTACTGGGAGCCCATCTCCCCCGGTTGAATGTACTTCGCCCGTGCAGCCTCGCAATTGAACGAGAATCCACGCACGCGCATCGAGAAACTATCCTGGAATGGAGACAACATGGACTAATTGCCTGCATTACGCTTTTGATCCCGACAAAGGTGCTCGATATTTACTTTTCCTCTTTTTTTTCCTTCTCTATCCTGACTTTATGCTGAGTTACAACCTCGGACGCAGCGGGCGTATGTCACAACGATTCTTGATCACGTTTGATGGAACCACGGCGCACGCAGCGCAGAGATGAACTGTCTGGGCAGTCATGCACGTGTGAGGGAAGGAAGAGATCGGTAATCCATGGCCTTCACATTCTGTTATCTTTCGTAATAGACCTTGCTCAAAAGATTCTCAATAATCACTGGGGCCATTCTGGAGATGAAATTTCCACATGATTAGGGCTGGAAAAGAAAGAGGTAAAATAATTTCCCTTGGGTCCCTCGTAAATGAAGCTTTCATCCTCGACAGAGTGGAAATTGTGCGTGCTTGCGACTTTTGACGGCTGTCTCTCTTGCCTCGTCTCTCCACGGACCGAACGACCGGGCCACAAGCCTTTCCCCCTCACTTGGTGGCCATGGCGCACTTCCCCAGGTCCATCTTGACGGCCTCGGCGCCTGGCGAGATGTCGAAGTTGAAGACGTCCATGGGCAACCCGATTGTCGTGCAGGCATTGGGAATGTCCACGATCCCTGCCACATGCCCTTCGATCGGAATACAGCTCAGCATCAAGTAGATCTGGTAGTCGCTGTACCCGTATCGCTTGAGGTACTCGATCACCCGCAGACAGGATTGACGGTATGCGACGGTGGCATCCATGTAATGCTGTTTGCCATGCTCGTCGACACTGAAGCCCTCGAAATAGATCATGCGGCCGGGCCCGAACTGTGGCTGCACGGGCCCAGGAATGTAAATTGGAGACTTCCCGCCGACCATGCCCAGCTTGCGCTGGCCGTCCTTGATCACGTCGAACTTGATGGTGATGATGCCGGCAATTTCAATGGCACCGCAGAACGAAATTTCACCGTCGCCCTCTGAGATCACGGGAAGATAGGCAGGAGTCAGTGACCTGAACTTTTGCAAGAAGATGGGAAAGTAAGGAACATACGGGAGAAGTGCAAGTCTCCCACGGAGAATTTAGCACCCTTGACGTGCACGGGTAAATACACTTTACTTCCCCGCGAAAGATTCTTGATATCACAGTTCCCGCCGTGCTCGGGACGTCCTGGGATCGTCCTGGCACCCTCTTTGCCAACTCGGGCTTTCGTCTCTTCGTCGGCCGTGCCGGCGTGCACGCTCCTGGGTTCAGGAGGCTGTGCCACCACACGCGTGAGGGATGTCGTCGAGATGAGCTCGGCTTCGCGCTTGTTCCACTCTGTGAGAATCTCGTGGGATGGCGCGCAGCCTAGGATACCGGGATGGATAAGGCCCGCAAAGCGGACGCCGGGGATGTGTCGCGAGGAACAGAAGATGCCCTCGAAGTCCCAGATAGCTTTAGCACTATCGTAGAGCAGCTTGTTAGACAGCGCGGCCGTGCCGAAGTCTGAGAATCTCCTTACGCCTCGGGATAGATCTCATCCAAAAACCCACCGCCGTTGTCCTTGTGGAAGACGCCAGTGAATCCCCACGGATGGTCCTGGAAGGGCTGCACGTCTTGAATTTCCACGAGAAGAACGTCTCCAGGCTCTGCGGTCTCGATCTCGAATGGGCCAGAAAGGTAATGGACCTGAGTTAGGTCGACGTTCACAACATCATCGGCATCGTCGGTGTTCTTGATCTGTCCACCAGTCCAGTCCAAACATTCGATCTTGACTGTCTCGCCGTTTTTGATGGTTCCACAAAAGGGCACTGAGAGCTGAAATTTAGCCATGGACACAAAGGATATGAAAACTCGCATACCGTCAGGATGCCATCTGTTCTGGAGAGCGTGTCAGTTGTTGGCTTTTCCTCCTGCTGCTTCAGTGCTCACATGTAAATATGGTTGGTCTTTCGCAGGCTTGTCGAGATCGACCTTCAATGCAGTCCTAATTGGGCCAGGCATAATGGCGAAGAACAAGAATCTAGTGGGGGACGATTGGCAACGCCTTGCACAAGTTGATGTTTCAGTAAATGGCTTCTGAGCTGCGCTTGAGCCTGGCTGGGAGAGGAGTTGCAGATTCCCGTTGGGAGTATCGTCCTCATATCAAAAGAATTGTTTACTGCTTTGCGGGGCATGACCGATCAGCATACCAGTTACCCCTCACACGAGTGATAGGCACTTGTCCGTTGTTGTGTGTTTGGCCTCCGTCATCGACTTGGTGAAAATGGATGAAATAACGTTACAGCTTAGGTGGAACTTGATAAGGAGCGTCCAGGCCCAATAATGGCTGCAACCTGGCTTCTCGGTTAAACCAGGAAAGGCAGCTATGCTGGACGAACGGACGTTGGCCTCCCCCGCGTGCCTGGACATGCTTCAGGTTACGTATGAGATACGCAGAATGCCCTGCTCCGTCGCTGTCGAATCATCCAAAGTATGTGTCGTGTTTTATCGCCAGAGGGCGGGCTTCTCCTTTCCTGCGCGAGAGCACGTGACTATTGGGAATGGACAGTGGTGCGTCGACAAGGGTGTCTGCTGGATAAAGGGGGATAGCGTCGAATGGCACAACACTCCTAAGTGTTAAAAGGGCTTGTTGCCCGAACGCGGAGGTGGCTGACAAGTTCATATTGGACATCGAGACAACTGGAGCGCCTCAATTAGTCTGCTGCTGCACTGGCGTTGATGCTCCAGTGCTGGTTTTGGTGCTGCTCGCTGAATCCTTCTTCGGAGGCCTTGTATCAATCTCGATGGTGACCTGGGTTGTTTAGCATCGATATACTCACCATCTGACCATAGGCATTGAAAGCAGATCTTACTGGGCCGTCATTGACAAGACTAACTTGCATCATTGCTTGGAAGACACCATCTTTGACTCTGTCCGAGCCGTGCTGGTCACGAACGCGACTCACGAAATAGTCATACAGCTCTTTCGCAACTTCTGGCTTAGCAGCTCCATGAAAATCGGGCTTGTTACCCTTCCTCGTGTTGGCCATCAGCGTAAATTGCGACACACACAAGACCTCCCCCTCTATGTCCTGGACGTTCTTCTTCCAGTTAAAGTCATTCTCGTCTGGCCACAACCTCATCTTTACAATTTTGGAAGCCATGGTTTCGGCATCCTTCTTTGTGTCATCGGGGCCAATCGCAGCGAGAACAAGAACTCCTTTACCGATGGCCGAGACGGTTTGACCATTGACCGTGACGGAGCTCGACAGGACTCGCTGCAGAATAGCTTTCATATGGCTGACTTAGGATGGCTCCCGAAAACAGATTTGGTCTCAAAACCCACTAACTCGCAGCACGGACGCGCAAAATCAGATTAACAGGATACTCTGAATGTCTCACTGCACCTTCCGGATAATCAGGGGGACGAGCTTAGTGAATCCGTGGTGTCGTGTCGGTGGCTGGCAGGAAGAATACAGACTAGGGCGCCCTCCTGCGATCTCTGGGTGTCGTCTCCTGGTCAACAAAGTGTGAGTAGTGATGAAAGGTAGAGGAGCAAAATGCTGAGGAACTGGTGGTGGAAATGGAGCCATGCCAAGACCACCGTTTGCCCTAGACCAGCCCTTCACGTGACCCGGACATCCCTTCCACCTGGCATGCCGCAGCAGTAGACGCAGCGCGCGGCTGCCACTACCGCAGGCTGGTTCAACTACAACACAACGTCCATGCGCCATCTGTGCACCTAATAGACCCTCCCCTCTATCCCGCCATCCTCGTCGTATCCCCCTCAACCTCTATTTATGTCACAGAATCATGGCGTCGCGGAAAACACAGCAAGAAATTGACAAAACCTTCAAAAAGGTTGACGAAGGGATCCAAGCGTTCGAGGCCATCTATGAGAAGATCTACACCTCACAGAATGCCGCGCAGAAAGATAAATTGGAGGACAACCTCAAGAAAGAGATCAAGAAACTGCAAAGATCCCGCGACCAGATAAAGACATGGGCAGCGGGCAATGAGATCAAGGACAAGTCTGCACTGCTGGAACAGCGCAAGCGGATAGAAAAAGTGAGGCTTCCGCCTAGCAAAACATCCCTGGATGTGGACTGACAACGATGCAGTGCATGGAGATATTCAAAGCGGTGGAGAAGGAGATGAAAACAAAGGCGTTCTCCAAGGAAGGGTTGTCGCAGAACGTCAAGCAAGATCCCAAAGAGAAGGAGAGAGAGGAACTCTGCGACTTCCTGTCCGATCAGTTGGATGAGATCAACAGAATCCTGACCGAGGAGTTAGAGCCCGAGGCTGGCAATCTGCAAGCCGCTCTCAAAAAGAAGCAGAAAGACAACTCCAAGGCTGATCGACTTGCGGAGATCGAAACCATGACTGAGACATACAAATGGCACGAATCGCGGCTACAACTTCTCCTACGATCATTACAGAACGGCAATGTTGAAAATGACCTAGTGGCATCAATCAAGTCCGACATTGAAGAGGTGGTAAGGGAAGTGCGGGACCCGGATTTCGATCCTGAAGCCTACGAAGGCATCTACGACGACTGTAATTTGGACAGCGAAGAGGCGCAATTTGGACTGAACAATGACATTGACCGAATATCGTCTCAAGATGCACAGTCCATTCAGGAAGACGTTGAGGCGGATACGAACGCACTCAAGAAGACGAAATCAGAAACGCACACTGCCGCACGACGACCTTCTACCCAACTCAAGTCTCCCCTGCCAGCGCTGGCTACTCTGAATACGATGCCACCGCCACCGTCAATACCCAAAGACTCGACAATGAAACCTGCACCAATCCCAAATCGACCCCCAGGAGAGACCTTGAAGTACGCCTCAGCAGCGGCCGCAGCAGCAGCAAGCGACAAAAGTGGAGTGGGTATTGCTCCTCTTCCTCCACCAGTTGGAGCGAGCGCCGCACCTACATCACACCCATTGCCCCCCCCAGTCAAGACGTCCGCCACGACCTCGCCAGCCTCACTGCCAGCACAACCGGTGGAGAAAACTGCCTCGCCAGCACCTGCCGCGGCAAGTATGGACGGCTCAACATCGCAAGAGCAATCCAATCATTCCAAGTCTCCGACTTTAAGCTCCACTAGTGCCCGGGCTCCCAGCATTCCAAGCAGCGTTCCACCTACGCCCGCCATGGAGAAATCAGAAGCTATCCAAGAGCCTGTGATTGCGGACGAGTTACCGACCACCAATGGAGACGTGCATGAAGACCCAGCCGCGGTGGAATCAATCTATCATTTGCCTCCTGGACTTCAAGATCTCCTAGACTCGTTCGAGACCACCAAGAGCCGAGCTGCTCAGCCTCCCTCACAACTAGCCAGACTGCTACAGGCATCTCAAGAGACTTGTCCGGAGCCTTCCGACAGCGACAGGCCCCAATACTACCGGCCAACGTTCAAGTACAACACGCCGGCGCACTATCCTCAGGACGTACTCCCTATCTTCGACGATCCGGCATTGTACGAGAACCAGAGGCTGGAGACGGACACACTGTTCTACATATTCTACTATCGGCAGAATACCTATCAACAGTGGCTGGCGGCGCGAGCTCTCAAGAACCAGAGTTGGCGGTTCCACAAGCAATATCAAACGTGGTTCCAACGCCACGAAGAGCCCAAGCAAATCACCGAGGAATTTGAGCAAGGCACATATCGCTTCTTCGACTATGAAAGCACCTGGTACGTATCATGCCATCCTCGCACTGACCGCCTCGTTGTTTCTAACCTGTTGCAGGATGAATCGGCGGAAGGCAGATTTCAAGTTTGTCTACAAGTTCCTTGAGGACGATCTGTAGGATAGCTCACTCAGTCAGCGGAGCGCTGCCCGTCGGCCCGCTGCATGCATACCACTTGCCCAGTTTTGGGGGGGAGGGTTTTGATCACCTTTCAAAGAGTCGACCAAGCTCGAATTCTGCAACTTCCAACCCTTGTTCTGAGATCTGTTTTGTGTGCCACGCCCGCCACAGGGGCCTGACCTTTGCCTGGGTTGGGACTGGGGGTCCACCCGAGGCGCTCTGTGGGAATGTGTGCTACTCGTTGTTTCGATTGTTTGTCCATGTGGCAGATGGCAGCCTAGCTGGGACCACCGCCTCACTCTCGGGTGTTACAGAATTTTTGCCTTGCCGCGACAGGGTCGAGAGACAAACATGAGGCCGGCTCGATTGACTGAGGCTGTGATAAAAGGCATCCGTGCTAAGCTCCTTTGAGTTAGTATACGCAGTCCGCTCCAGTGGGCCAATAGGATGCTGCTATGGCTACCTCAGCCTCCCTCCCCACCTCGCTTTAGTCCACATTCCCTCCGCTACTTACCAAGGTACAGAGCCGCGTCGGTCCGCGAAAAGGCAACCATGATGGTCGAGGAGCAGATCTCTGACGGGCACTGCCGTGTCTGCCCACAACCGCTCTACTCTGAAACGTCCCGAAAAGCATTCGTGCCTCGACAGGGCGGACACGAGAAACCCTCGGAGTACCTGGGTGTGTGTCTCCCCAAGTCCTCCCGGGTTGGAGTTCATCGGGCTGTCATATCGTCGTCACCTTGTCCCCCCCCTGCCCCTCGCTTAATTATGCCACCTTGGCTGTCGTCGATTTGGCCGTCACCTTCCAAACTAGGTCCGGCGTCAAGGAATTGAAATATCGAGGCAGTGTTACCATAGTCGCCGTATGCCCGATGATGCGCTTGAACGCTTCACGAACCATAGCAGCAAACTGCAGGTCCAAATCTCGACAGGGGTCCAAAGTCCACAGCGAGTGAGCGAATGAGCGAATGGCCGGATTCTCGCAACGCACGGGCGGGAAATGCTTCTGCGAGGAGGAGCCCTGGAGGTTAGCCTCACGGTCTGAAAGATGGCCTTGATTGGACCTCGTTCCAAAAGGGAGCCCACTTGTGACATTCACACTGGATTCCCATGCCCTCCAGGCTTGGAAGTCTATCGATACAGCGACTCGATCGCTTCTGGCCGCTAGGCTTGTACAAGAGCGTCAGGTGGTTTGCTCTCAGAGCATTTTGTCTTTCACCCGGGGGGGGACACTCCGCGCTAGAGTCCTGCATTGTCCACTGTCGAGTGGTTCAATCCGAATGGTTTAATAGCCTTGATGACTCCCGCATCCATCGGCTCAAGCATGGCCCAGCCAGGTTCCTAGCCCTGTCAGTCCTTCCGTTGTGTCCCAATATCGTTAACTATCCGGTACAGCCTCCTTTCACAGCTAGCTCAAGTTTGCCTTGTCTCTCGAACTGTGTTGGCCGGCGGATACTTGACAGACTCTCCCCTTCCCAACTACCGGTGGTTCTATGCTCTAAATACCGGCATAAGGCTGAAAGTCGAGCCTGACTATTTGCGTCCATCTCATTAACAACCGGCTGGTTCTTTCTCTGGCTCGAGTGCTGCGTCTTCTCATCTGAGCAAAGTCTGGAGGCTCTTTCCTCGCCGTTCTTAAGGAAACTTGTGCAGCATCATGGGCAGCTACGACCAGCGTGGCTTCTTGAGGGATCATTTCGATCCGGATGGTTTTTTCCCTGAACACGCACTCGCAATGAGTATGCCAGAGGTTTCATCTGGCCTCTCAATCAGTTTGCCGACCACCATGTCATGTCAGCTTGGAAGTCCACTGTACAGCAACAGCTTCTGTACTCCTCGCACGATAGCGCCTCATCCAGGTTACATGCTCGCTCCCCCAACCCATGGATACCACTCTGAAGAGGCGTATACCATCACTGGTCACTCTGCTAGTGCAAGAGGTCGAAGCTGTAGCGGAGCGAGCACAGTCAGTGCGGACTACAGTGTTGGAAGCCAGGAAGCAACGCCCAGGTCACCCTACTCCTTCATTGAACCCAGCAGTCAGTATCGAGGACCCGAAGACAACCAAGTCAATTACAATGGCGGGCCTGCATTTCATTCCCAAGGGACATCATCGCTGATTCAGGAGAAGAAAGAGCTTGTAGCAAAACAAGAAGCCGATGGGATCAGATCTTCGAGTGGCAAGTAAGTATTCAGTCGCCCACAGAGCCGAGGGATCTTGACAGGTGGCTGGGCTCATGGAGTCCAGCAAACACAGACCTCCTGACGCTGTCTTCTTTTGACTTCCTTCTGGAAAAGTCAGTTCTAACATTGCGACAGGTCTATCGCAGACAACCAGTCGTACTGTCCGCATAAGGACTGCATGGGAGAAGATGGAAGACCGAAAAAGTTCTTCAGCCGCAAAGCGGATGTGACAAGACACTACAAGTCGCGACACGACATCAAGTACATTGATTGCCCAAAGAGAAACTGCGAAAGAAAGGGCAGCCAAGGCTTCACAAGGCGAGACCATATGACGGAGCACCTTAGAGGCTTCCACATGGAGGTGATTCCGAAGATCCGGCATAACAATACCAAGGCCAAGCGAGGTGTGAAGCAGACGAGTGAGAACGGCAACGGGTCCAACAGCTCGTCCGAAGACCTCACTCCAACCGAGCAAGGCGATGAGATCTTTTGCTTCTCCTCGGAAAAGCAAGGCTTTGCAGAACACACCGACCACGGCATCAAACACGAGTCTCTGCATTCGTCTGATGAAGAGGTCGAGAATATCTTCCCTGTCTATGAAGATATTCTTCCTAAGCGATCCAAGCAATTCAAAAAGGTCGCACAGAGGCGCAAGAGCAAAGTCATAGCCTCGCCGGACCATCCCACCCTAGCTAGACACAGCAATATCCCGTCTCAACACTCTCCGACAGGTGGCATAGCTCAACCCAACCCTTATAGACTCGGAGTCAAAACCGAATCTGCAAGCTCTCTAATGATGCATGAACTCCCGACATACACGACGCACCACCAGCACCAGCATCAAGATTACACTACAAGCAGCAGCATGATGGCTCCGCTCTATGCTGCCGATTCGGGAGTGGGCTCATTCTTTTGGCCTTCGACAACGGCGCAGGCTCATGAGAATCTTCCGACTCAGACGATAGCTCGTTACCAAGTTGAGACTCTTGACAGCTCTCATCTGTGCAAGAGTGAACCATACACCGGGGTGTAGTAGCCGCTTGGTGGAACTACCTTCCAAATTTCCAAATTGAAAGGCTCTGGTGGCCTATGGCTTGCTTTTCTGGATACACGACGTGACGATGATTGCTCTTCTTGTCTTATTCTCTGGCCAGTTGGATGCGGGTAGGGATTTGACGCACGAAAGATGTATTTCTTGATACTTTTGATGTTTCCTTCTTTTTCCTATTCACGAGACAACGATGAGCCGATGACAGGAACGATAGATACCCGAATACTAGCAAACCGTAGGACAGCCTAAGTGCCTATGGGAGGCCATTATAGTAGATTTGATTGATATTTATTTCCTCCTCTCCTTCTTTGAAGCAGCAGTTCCTTTCGCTATGCTCCTCGCTGATGGCCCGTCGGCGTATATATATTCCTATTCACTTTTCTTGTTTCGGATCTTTGCACTTTATCCTTCTCATCACAGAGGCCCCCTTTCTTCCCCCGGGATCCCCCTCCATGTCTCACCTCCTATTTCGCCTCTCCATCCTCTGGTCGCTTCCGTCCATTCCCCCCTTTCCCTAGCCTGCTCTTTTCCTCTGTCGATGTCCAGCCATTCCGAAGTTCCAGCACGTGGCCCTCAGCTCAAGCCTGCTCTTAGACCTTAGAGTCTCCAGGGTGTCTTACTACCTTGAACCACCCAGAGCTTCCCAGCCCCCCCCCCCTCTCTTTCTGGCGGACTTGTCCTCACAAACGACCCGGCCTCTCAAAGTCCTTGTACCCGGCGCCCTTGACGAACGTGTACAGCCACGGTCCCTGGTCCTTCTGCTCGGCCAGCTTGACGTACTCATCCGCCGCGGCGGCGCCGGAGATGGCGTTGGCGACCGGCAGGCCCTCGGGGGTGCGTTCGTCGGCGTAGTAGAACCTGGACAGCGGGCACGGAGCGTGGTTAGCTCTTCTCCCTTGGTGAAGAGATAGTCTGTTGGGGGTGGGGGAGGCATATGTATGTGGAGGTTACAGCGGCCAAAAGCATCGACCAGCGACGGCAGACTTGGGGTGTTCGAGATGTATTTTCTCTCGTCTAACGAAACGTGCAAGTAATGGCAAGGAAACGGAAAAACTCTTACCTGATCCCTTCGTCGGCGTAGAGCTTGTTCTCGACGAGATGCCGGATGGCGTACGCCGCGGCGGTCTTGCCCAGCCCGAAGTTCAACATGCCCTTCAAGGTCTTGACGTTGAGCATGTTGCCCGTGAAGATGAACGTCCGGGCCGGCGCGTCGTCGCCCGTCCCGGCGGGCAGATGGCGGAACGCCTCGACCGCCTCGTGCAGCGAGACCAGCGCCGAGGTGGCGTTGACGGACTGCGAGTCGTGGTACGCCTGGATGGCCGCCGGCGTAAACAGGGAGAGCGGGTCGGTTGGGTCCGGGCTGAACAGGGCCGCTGTGACATGGCGGGTTTTGTCAGTGCCGCAAGTCTCAACGGGGTCAAAGGTACTGGTCCTCGGGAAGAGATCACATCTTGTAGGGTTGGAGGGTTGGATGGGCGGGAGCAAGGCTGTGGCCCCCGAATGTGGGAGTTTTCTTGGGTAGCAAACAGAACCATGCTCGCAAGCCGGACAGAGACAACCCATCAGACTGACTCTTTTTCAAACACCACTAAATAGCACATCACATGCCCCTCTTGCCTTTGTGCGAAAGTAGACCTCGCCTGCTGCTTGGGGACTGGACTGGCCGCCCTAGCAGCAGCCAGCCAGCGAGCTTGACGACAATGTCTCTTTGCGCCATCAGCTCCTCACAACCCCCCGGGTCTTCCACCCCCTCACAGTCAATCTCGCTTCCAACGAAACGCAAGCTCCAACCACAAAGTCCTTGTAAGGGCCCAGAGACACACACGCGCGGGGAGAGAGAGGGGGGGGGGAAGGAAGAAGAAAAAAGGAAAGAGGAAGAACCACAAACGTACCATTATACACCACGACCCCGACCTCGCCGCCCAACTCCTTCCTGACCCTCTCAAACACGCCCGGCACGGTCTCCGGCTTGGCCAGATCGACGGGGATGTGCAGGGCGGTGGAGGCGGCGGCGGAGTCCTTGGGCGGCGAGCGTGAGGCGCTGGCCACCTTGTACCCCTTTGCGGCGAAGGCCTTGGCCAGGGCAGCCCCGATGTTCGGCCCGGCGCCGAGGATGAGGAGGATCTTGGGCACGGAGGATGTCATGCTGTTGCTGCGTCGAGTAAGGCTTTGACGGACGGAAGGAGTCGAATTAGAGCTGCTGGAGGTACGTGGCTTAGATGGTCGAACTCGAGATATCCAGGGAACTTGGTTCCAAGGGGCTTTGCAGAATGCTCGACTGGGGGCAGGGCGTGAGAGGATTCACGAGTATATAGCAACTCGAGAAGGACTGTGGACACGAGTATTGCGATGCATCAATCCATTATATACTCATCCTCCCCCCCCCTACAGCTGCCACCCACACGCCATTTTGGCAGATAGAGAACCCAGAGTTTACGTGGTTAGATACTCGCCCAACCCCGCAGCATCAAAGGCCGTATAGCGAAGTATCAGGGTCGATTTCAAATCACATTGCTGGGTCCGAATTGCGTGCCTGCGAGGTGCGCCTTCAATACACCGATGTATGCCGTGGCCGATGCTCGATGTAGCGCCGTCTGGGCAGATGCAGCGAGGCTGGTAGACAATGCCGGCGCAGCCAACTCCGGCTTACGCAAGGACACGGACGAAAGTTCATACGACTCGAGGCTTGAATACTCTGCAAAAGTCTCCGTGAGGAAGGATACCTCTCGTCCGTCTGGATGGTTAGACAGTCGACCGAGCGCGTATTCTCACCCTGAGATTACACATTACACATCAATCAGCGAGATTCGACACCAGGCATGGAACTAAAGCGCTGTTGGATGGGCTATCCTGTTCATGATTCTCTTGGAAGAGTGGGAGAGCCGTCTGGTCAGACACTGGCACCGCCATCTTCATGCTTGATCATTGATTGCCTCAGTGTTTTCCAGTCTCTCCACCCATTGGTGTGATTGGTAAAGCTCCCTGCAGCTTCGTAACCCCGTGGACAGGTACAGGGTATCTCTCGCTTTTCAGCTCTTTTTCTCTTTTCCCCTCGACAATCCGTTCATGTCACCTCACCGGTGTGTTGCGCATGCACCTCGATTTCGCCCGGCTGGTGCAATCACAGGTCTGGAGCAGACTCCGAGTCTCGGAATCATGGACGTCCTTACCGTGCAGAAGCAGCATCTTGCCCGGCACCCCAAGCGGATCCGCCTGTCTCTGCAGACTCCCAGCCAGAAGGCGCAGAGCTGGGAGTTGGATTGTTGTCCCAACCAGCTCCCACGTCACTTGCACCATTCGTATTCCCAGCACCAGCCTGTCCGGCCATGCCTCCTGCTTGGCCTTGTGGACAGCGCGCACGGCCATGACCCTTCTCATTGCTGTTACCGATGACCGGGTTAGCTTCAAAGTACCGGGACGCTCGGCTAAGCCACTTACCAGATGCTGCAGACAGCCTGAGACCAGTCGCGCAGAGGACGGGGACCAGCTTCACCTTTCTTGGGACATTCCTGCAGGGCCACATTAGCGGAACAGACAGCTATGGTCCTAGAGAATGAAGACTTACGCGAGCCATATGACCTTCCTCGTTGCAGATTTTGCATGTGATCTTTCGAGGCTCAGGACAATCTCGAGCGAGATGGTCTTCGGCTCCACAGTTCCTGCATGTTCTCTTCTCACGAGAAGGGCAATCCTTCGCCATGTGGTCCTCGTCACCACAGTTGCGACAGGCTCGGATCTCCTTGTTCGGACAGTCCTACGGCATCATGTCAGTCTTAGCTTAGCCACAGATGCAACAGGGACATGACACACCTTTGCCAAATGTTCCTCGGACTCGCAAATCTTGCAAGCACGAGCACCACGCTTACGCTCCTGGCCACAGTCACGAACACGATGGCCCTCTTCACCACACAAGTAGCAAGTAACGGTTGGCTGAACACTTGCGATTCTTTCTTCGCGGCAACGCTTGGTAGTGTGGCCAAGCTTGCCGCAGTTGTTGCACTTATCTACTCCGCGATCGAGCGGAATTCCGGCATCAGCGAGACGAGCAAGATTTTCTTCTGGAGACGCAGGCCATTTGTCGACGAGAGTAGGGCGTTGCGGCTTGTCGGAGGTGAAGTAACTGACAGCATATTTCTTGCCGGTATCGCCTTGCAAATTGACGTTGGTCCAAGTATCACCATGATCCTTCTCCTACACGAGTGGTTAGCCGTGGACGAATGACAAATTTGCAGTGAATACACATACCATAGCAATCAGGTAGATGCTGAAACCACGCTTGCGAAACTCTGTCTCCAGCACGGGGTAGGTGTACTCAGGTTTGGCCTTCGAGAGGATTTGAAGGGCCTCCTTGAAGTCACCAATATCCCGCCCATCACTGGCTTGCTTGAGCAAGTCCCAAGCCTCGTCCACAGACTTCTCAGCAACACGGGCATTGTCGAGGAACTTGGGATTGGTGCAGTTTAAGGCTTCATGACCCTCCTGTTGGCAGTTTTTGCATCTGACGACTCGGGTCGGGCAATCAGCACCCATGTGGCCTTCTTGACCGCAGTTACGACATTCTCCTCTGAATTTGCGGGGATGAGGGCATTCAGCCTTGGACTGAACACATGGTGAGCGAGGTCAGCGAAAGGAGAGTGTATACCTACATGACCTTCTTCTCCCTAAGGAGTGTTAGCGAGCCCAAGACAAGTTGAGATAATTCCACTTACGCAGTTGAAACAGCCCCCCATCTTGCGTTCGTTATCACCGTTCATGCCGTCGCCGTTGGTGGCAGCTCCAAAGGTGTCGTCGAGCTCAGAAGGCATGGCGACAGCGCCAGCATCGTTGTTCCAATCTGAATCGACTGTCATGGTCAGTCTGTGCACTTGAAATTGAGATAGAGGAAATCAAACACGAAGAGGGGACTTCTTCTATCATCCACAGATCAGGGTACTTGTAGCAGGGCTTCGTTGCTCGCAGGATCCTCTTGCGAAACTTGTACATGTTTGATTTGAGTGTTCCAAAGGTTTGAGATGGCGTGTAACAAGACAATGAGGGACAGGAGAGTGAGAGTAAGGAAATAATGACTTACCTGCAGCGCCTTGGGCGCCGGCAGAATCCCAGTCGCTCATGATGACTGGATGATTTCGTGATGATCTGGCAGATGGACAACGATAGCTTGCGATGAGGGTGACGCAGAAGAGTTTTAGTGAGCAATGAAAGAAAGAAAGAAGGAAGGAAGGAAAGAAAGAAAGAAAGAGTTTTAAGTGAGCAATGAATGAATGAAAGATGATAAATTAATGACTGAGCGGTAAAAGTGGCAGGAGGAGGGAGGCGCGGAAAACGCCAAGGTGCGTCGAGTTGAAAAAGAGGAGGAAAGAGGCAGCTTCGTGTCTCAATGAAACAAAAACAACCGTCGCCTGCCGTGATGCCGCCCTAGTGGTCTTCAGGTCGCTATTGTCAAGATGCGCACGCATTCACAAAGATCAGTCTCCAGTCTGTGATGTTTTCCGACCTGTCTTGGGCTAAGAGTTTGCTCAATCCACAAGGAGGCATTCTATACCCATCCTCTTTACCACTGGACAGACGAAAGCAGATTTGGCCAACCTCAGTCAGTTATGGTCTCTTTGTTCATGCACGCAAGCTGACAAGCACCTAAGGGCAAGCAATGGACATATGTTTCTAGACCCCTGGACGTTTGGGTTGGATGCAGGAAGCAAACTTCCATCTGAAGGTCAGAGGTGGTGCGAGGCTCTGGCATTGGTCGGGACCAGATTGAGGCTCTTGCTATCCGGACTCACTATTTGCATACTGGGAGCAGTATCTACATGCTGACATATCATCTCGTACAGGGCAGGATAAGTTATGATGGATGGCTGAGAGCTGATGGTACAAGAGGACATTGTCTCTGGACGTTGGAGGTTGTTCGTTTCAGGGGCAGCGGTTCGCACTTCGGATTTCGCAGCCGACGATGTGGAGAATGAAGCTGCCCCCAAAGGTAGGGATTTGCCATCATCGTCGAACTGAACAGTACTCACAATCTCTATTCTAGGGATCCTACCACTCTTTAAACTCGACCTCCTGCTTCGCTAGACAAGGACATCTTGTCGCACGGTGGATGGACGGGCTACTCCTCTCTTCAAGCGAGTCAAATTTCCTCCACCACCAGATCCTGCCACGAGATCCTCGGCCTTTTGCTTTTCCCATGCTGCCAGCTGTTTTGCTAGTTGCTCAAGGAATTCCAACGTCATAGTCAAGCGATATCCTAGAAAAAGAGATGCTAGATACCTGACAACATCACATCGTGGCCGTGGTGATCTGGCTTGCTGGATATCCCATGGACGGACTTCTGCTCGCTACCACTTAAATACCGCTTTTTCTCCCGTCAAGATAAAGTCCACCGAGTGGGAGCGAGCAGAGTCTGCTCTTGCCGAAGCAGATCTCCACAACGGATGAAACTCCTGCTATAGTTTGGGTCGAAACTCAGTCTTCGCCATGTCTCTCAAGTCCTTCCGCAAAATCTTGCCGACCGCGTTCCGAGGGATCTGATCCAGATACACGACACCACCTCGCAGTTGTTTGTACGGCGCCGTCCTGCTCTTGACAAACTCCTTGATCTCTGCCTCAGAAATCTTGTTCTTATCCGCCACCACGTAGGCACGAGGGACTTCTGTCCCTTCGCCCGGCACGCCGATTACAGCCGCATCTTCGATCAACGGATGCGAGATCAACAGGCCCTCGATCTCAGCGGGTGCCACTTGGATACCCTTGTACTTGATCAACTCCTTCTTTCTGTCCGTGACGTACCACAGTCCATTGCTTCGCTGCTGAAGAATATCTCCTGTGCAGTACCAGCCGTCGACAAAGGCCGCCTTCGTAGCCTCGGGATTTCTGTAGTAGCCCTTTGTAACCATAGGGCCTTTCACCCACAGCTCGCCGGGTTGCCCCTCGGGCACATCATTGCCCTCATCATCGACCAGTCTGAACGTCGTGTTTGGATGCATCACCCCAACGCTGCCGGTATTGTCGGACGTTCCTCGAGGAAGAGTGCATACGGACCCAGTCGTCTCGCTCATGCCGTAGGTTCCTCCCATCTGGATCCCTGTCCGCTGGCCAGCGGCGTTGCAGAGATCCGCATCCATCGGCGCTGCACCGCCCAGGCCGCTTTCCAGAGAGTCAAAGTGATCGGTAACGTCGGGCGATTTGGCGATGCGCGCCCAGATGGCGGGCACCGTGAAAAAGGCCGTGATCCGGTGCTGTCTGTTGTACTCGATGAACTTCTTCCACTCGTACTTACGCATCCAGTAACACTCCCCGCCAGCGTAGAGTGGAGAGACGAAATACCCGGCCACCCCGGCGATATGGGCCGCTGGAAGATGGGCGATGGTTCGGAGTGGTGAGGGGGTCAGCTCGCCCGCCTGGATGCGCGGAATGGCCCATTCTCGGGCCACCTGAGAAGAGATGACGATCTGGGACACCATCATCTTGTGCGAGAGCATCACAGCTTCGCGCGGGTTAGCGTGGATCCGGGCATCCCCTCTGAGGAAGACCTACCTTTGGGAACACCGGTGGTGCCGGACGAGTAGAGCAAGTTGATGATGCTGTCCTCGAGCTCCTGGGGGTCGGTGATGCGTTTCCACGTGAGGCGCTTGTCCGTCCAGCAGTCGACCTTGCCGTCGGCCGACTTCAGGCTCCACGCACGGTAGGTCGAGTCGAGGATGAGCACGCGGTCGAGGCCCAAGCCGCAGGCCTTCGCGGCGTCGATGGCGACCGCGGCGAGGTCGGGGCTGCATATCACCAGCTTTGCCTCGCCCTGCTTGATCTGGCGGGCCAGCTCCGAGACGGTGAAGGCGTGGCTCGCGCACGAAAAGATGCCCCCGGCGGCGATGGTGCCGTAGAAGGCAATGGGCAGCAAGATCTGCAGCGACGAAAAGCCCACGACCACGTCCTTGGAGTGGCCCGCGGCCCCGATGCCGTAGAGGTGGCGGAGGCTGTGGGCGAAGTTCTCGGTCAAGACCCGCGCGCGCGCCTTGTCGATGTAGTTTGCCGTGTTGGCGGCGTCGATGTGCACCTTGGAGTCTTCCTGGGACATGGCATATTCGTTGGGATCTATCGTCGTCGGGGGCGGTACCGGGTTAGCATGGATCGGGTAGGTTATACACCATCATTACCACCGCCACCAACGAGAAAGGCTGCTATCAACCAAAAAAGAAAGAGAGCTTCCACGAACCAAACAGAATCGACAGGAGATCAAGATTGGGATATGAATAGTATCTCGGAGCATAGTATATCTTGGGAGGCATCTTGCGGGCGTTGACAACGTAGGAGCGACGGCGAGGTATTGAATCAGTCCAGTGTCCGACAATCTAGCAATGCAATGGAGGATGTTGATCGGCTCTCCCAAATCCTGCTTCCGTGTGGAAAAAGGTCTCAGTGAGATGAGTGAGTGTTTGGCAAAGCTGGATCGACTGGAACCGAATAACTGACTCTTTCGAATACTCGGTCTGTCTCATCTCGACTCTCCTTCTCGACCTCTCTATCAACCTGCCACCCTAACGTACCCATCCAGTTAGCCTCGCTAGACGGGCTGCTTCTACCGAGGTCATGACCGAGGCTGTCCCAAGCCCCCGTTGCACTCAAACCAATACCCCGTACTTACGAGTTACTGCTTCTGGCCAACTGACTTGCCGGCGGCAAACAGAAGAAAGAGCGGGGTCGGCTGGAGTATTCGGGTACCCAGTAGTGACCGTGGACCGTTGACCGTTGACCGTCCTGGGTGCGTGTGGTTGCCGGTCCTTTACTTAAGAAAGAGAGGCAGCCTTATCGCTACTTGCCATCCAGTTCCGGTGGGCGGAAAGCGAATTCCCACGACGTTTCATTCATTCAAGCAACTCACGCCCTCGTATTGCATATGTACCGGTGGAATCATGCATCCAGCTCTCTGACGAATTTCGAGGGGTTCCTACGAAAGTCAAGCAACACCTTGTTCCCGGCATCAAGGACGTGGCGTATCCTACTGACCTATTCCAACGTTTCATGGCAAGCAGTTGGCTTACCACTTACTTCATCCTGCACCGTCCAATGCCAACGATCAGCTGGATATATTTTCTGTCTTATCGTTAGGGCAAAGTAAGGGCACACTCCATCTACGAAGAGGGGTAATATGGCCCTCGAGGTCGAGCACGTAAGCGGATCACTCAGGGGAGCGTGATGAGTCATTCACATGAAGCATTGATGGGATGGAAAAGCACTGAAATCTCCATTGTCGACCAAGAGTCGTGTCGCGGCTCTCAGGTCCAACTGTTTCCTCCGAAAAGACCCCCCAAGAATCCGCTCTTTTTGGCTTTGGCCGCCTTCTTCTTTGCAATCCCCGCCCGCTGGCTCATCTTCTCCTCGCGCATCGTCGGTCTGTAGTTGACGGCGTTTCGTCGACCCCCAGAGCCTTTCCTGACAAACTCCTTCTCATCGCTGGCTCGGCCTCGCTCCGTCTTGTTCGTCACCACCCCGGTCGCAGACACGTTCTCGTCTCGGCCAGCCATGCTCCCCAAACTCGAGTTGGTTGTGGCGCGGCGCAGCAGACTGGGAACCTTGTTGAATGAGCCGGTAACTGAGCTGCTTGCACTGAAGAATGCCATTCTGGTACTGCTCGATCCGGAAGATGACGATGCTTGACGTAGCATGCTCAAGCGGTTGACAACGTCGGTCCGCTCCTTGGTCCGCCGTTCCGAGAACGGCGCTCGACTTTCGCTGCCAGGTAAAGCGGGCTTCTTGAATGCTCCCTCGGCATTGCCATGCCCATCATCGTCCACTATAAAATCACCAAGATCGTCCGCTTCCTCGGCATTCTCATCCGCTGTGGCGGCGTGCAGATGTCGATCGAGATCCACGTATGCCTCGGGCTCATCCTCCGAATCCGAAAGGCCAAGATCGATCGTCCCTGCTTGCGAATCGGGCTCCTCGATGAGAAATGACACAGATTCTCGAATCTCGGCAAGAGTGCCTGGCCTTCTGTTGTGAAGAGCATGGGTGGAACGACTTGATCGCCCCGCCTGATTCAGCTTTGATACCGCCGTGGTTGCAAGGGGCCGGGCACCGCCCATCCCTGAGAGCTGAGTCATCCGTTCCTTCGCCTCACTGTCATCGTTCTGCTGTGAGTCCTGACTGTCCTTCATCTGAGAATCACCCTCGCCCGGAGTCTCCAACGGCACCAAGTCATCCTCGCCGTCATCGCTGTCTGGCCGGTCCTCAATGCTTCGTAGAAATGCTTCTTTCTTCTTGTCTTCCGCAATCTTGCCGACAGCCTCGTCTTTTAGTAGTTCTCGCCGCATTTTGGCAAACTCTCTCCTTTTGGCCTCTCTTCTTCTGACGACGGCGTCTTCTTCGTCCGAGAGGTCAAGGTCGTCGTTGCCACGCTTCCGCCGCAGTGCACCCGTAGTGATGTCTTTCATCAACTTGGAAACGGCTGCTTCGTCTTGCTGACGTTCACGATCTGCAAAGAGCTTCGCCAATTTGGCTGCTTCGCCGACGCCGACCTCCGTATCTTCATCAATCATTCTGCGGTCATCTTCATTTTCTTCCTCGTTCACCTCATCGTCACTGGCTCCTCCGAGGCCAGCATATTCATCTTCAGATTCTTCTGCCGCTTCGTCAACGGCCTCTCGTGCTCGCGACTTAGCCTTGTCGAAGACTTCACGAGACCTCTGCTTGGCAGCTCTTTGCATGATATCAAACGCTGATGGGTCCTTCGGCTCGGTCAACTCCTCGTCTGACTCCTCGACATTCACGCGCCCACGCATGAGCCTCGCCTTTCTTTGCATAATGGGGCTATTTTGCACGTCATTTGGGAAAATGACGGTATCTACCGTAGAGTGCGGTGCTCGCTGTTGAGGCGTGTCACTAGCAAAGCGATTCCCCAGGAACGGACTCAGTTCGTATCCCGCGTCCTGCGTTGGTTCGAAATGCGCTTGTGAAGGAGTAAAGTCCACACCATGAAGAGCTGAATGATGCACGGGGGATTGTGTGACTGCCTGAGACCCGGAAAATGACAGGCTGATATCTAGTGGTTGTGTCTGAGAAGCAGGCTGACTGTCGGTGATCATATCCACCGAATCTAGACGGTAAAGTCTCGGCACCATTTCGATGTTAGGCGATGGCAGATCCGCGGTCATGGTAAGACTGTCTTGTTCTTGTGTGTTCACCTTGGCCTGACTTTGCGAATCTGCCATTGTAGCGGCAAACGCCTGTGTAAGCCCGATCGGAAGATCATCAGACATCTGCAAACCAGGAATCTGCTTTCTCGCTGAACGAGATATCGATGAGGGTGTCTTTGCAGGTGCGGGAAGCTGTGGAGATCGCAGCGTGGCAGGTAGGACGTCTTCATCTTCGTCGTCGCTGACTATGCGAGTAGTCCGGCCTCTGCGTGGCCTGAGATCAGTTTGCAACCTGCCTTCTTCGACTCCAGCATCGACATGCCCGTCTTCTTCGACGGCATCAGCATCTGAGGACGAAGATTCCGCGGACTCCTGTTCTTCAGCTTGATTGTCGAAGAGATCGCCCTGCATGTCTTCTTGGTCTTCACCATCCTCTGTCCCCTCCTCCCCTTCCTCATCGTCATCATCATGCTCCCGATCACTCCCATCTTCCTCTCCAGAATCCACTTCCAGGTCACCGTCCTCGTCTTCAACAAAATCTTCATCGTCACTTTCGTCTTCATCATCCAAGTTATCCTTGCTGTAGGTACCGTCCTTTTTAGCGAGAGCCTTTTCGCGTTTCTGAATCTCGACAGCTTCTTGTCGCGCTCGCTCCAAAAGGTCTTCCACCTCCTGTTGTTCGCGCTCTCTCTCCTCTGCTGTCTGCACCATAACTCCTTTGGCCTTTAATTCTTCAATTCTCTGGTTTCTCTCTTGGCGTGCCTGCATTCGAGCTGCCCTTCGCAATGACGCTTCCATTTCGGCGGCGTTCATGGAATGCTTGAGATCGTCACCTACCAGATTTGCAAGGGAACGTAATGCCAAGTGCGACGGAGCCTCCTTGGCTTTCCGCGAGGGCAAATGCTCGAACGCTGCATACTTGCGCATAGCGCCACGTGTCATGACCACTTCGAGATCAGATTCAGAGTCGTCACTGTCCGATGCAGTCGTTGCAGCCAATGGGATCTTGGAGCGAATTGACTTCAATGGCTTGACAGTAGGTTTCAGTGACTGCTCATCCATTGTACCGGCGCTAAGCACTGTCGATGGACGGATGTGCACTTCTTGCTTCATGGCTTCGACAGAGGCTGCCCTTTCTTTGCCTTTCTTTGGTTCTTCAACGGCGATGTCTTTTTGATGGTCGACAGTTCCTTCTAAGACCGGGCTCGTAGGAGGTGTCTCGTGAATATTGTCAGCTTCATTGTCTGATGCGGCTCTGGAGCTGCTGGAAGGACAGTGCTCTGTGTCTTGCTCAAGTGCGAGTTTGGCGACCGAGAAGTTGAACCGAGACAACAAGCTGTCCTTGGTTATTTTCTTTTTCGTCCGCGCTTGATGTGCAAGTTGCATATTCCGACTGATCCTCTGTGTCTCGCGATTCATCTCTTCGATGGCCTTCTTGCTAGCCTTCCGTGTCGGGCGTACATGCTGCGACAGCTTCTTTCCTCCAGCTCCCTCAGAGACATCGCTCTCTTCATCCGTATCATCTGCGGGGCTTGAACCACGGATTCTATGTTGTTTTGCTTCCTGAGACTTCAGGCTTTCAGCACGGGCCGCTTGCTTGGCAGCTTCTTCTGCCTCTTTTTCAAGCCGTTGCTTTCTGTGCTTCTCGACGAGGGCTAGGAATTTCGACTTTTGCTCTTTGGGAGATGGAAAGAATAGAGGAGAAGGAGATCGTGGCACAGGTGTGCCTGTCGGGTTCGTGTTGGGAGGGCGCCGGCTCGCAAAGATCTCATCCTCTTCCGAGTCGTCTAAATCCCCGTCTTGCTGGTCAAGATCTGGGCTGATGATAGGTCGGGGGCTAGCACGCTCATGACCGTTCTGAGGATGACCATTTGGATCAGAGTTTATGTCGCTCGTAACCAGCGATCGCCGTGGTGCTGAGATGTCATCATCATCCGAATCGTCCAAGCCATTTTCCAGCTTGTCCTTGTCCGCTCCAGGGGCATCATGAGGAGTAGAAACCTGCCGAAGTTGTTGACCATGGGTGGGAGTAGCGGTATCAGATTCTGAATCATCGAATTGGGCCAGCAAGGCCCGAACTTTTCGCGTTGGCGTCAATATATTCGAAGTTACGCTCGAGGGTGAGCCGGCGGCGGAAGGAGAACTTGTTGTCGAAGACATTTCGATGGTACACAACGCACAACGTTCGTGACCTATGTGTCTGACATGGTGCAATATCAATACTTCGTCGAGTGTAGTCGAGTATGAACATCACATTGGCGAGTAACGATATAGTTAGCTGGCGCGCGTCGCGTATGAGTCCACACGAACGCGTGACGTCAACGGTCGCGGAGTGCCTGGCGAGGCTGGCGGGCCATGCACGGTCCAAAACTTATTTCCACATATCGTGCACAAAGCGAGGCCTTCGACTCTGAGAGACCTTCCAACTTTATCGACGACTCGTCGGGCAGTGTTCGACAGGTCCTGACGATCCTGTCGATTGCTGGCCGGACACCGTCTCCCTCGTTTTGGATCAACTGGGCGCAGAGTTACACATTTCACTGCACCTTCACGATCATGTCTGACATTGAAGCTCTGCGGACAGAATGGAGGATATTATACTCCCAAACCCTCCCTCAGATGGCGAAAGCTGGAGATCTTGCTCAGCCTGTATGGCCTGTGACCCTTGACCACTGCTTTGCCCGCATCATCCTCGACAGCGTAATTGGCAACGGTCAGCAACAATGGGATGGGGTAATACAGAAGCCAGCCATAAGAAGCATGAACGAGCAACAGTTAAGGGATGCAATTGCACTGGGCCAAAAGATCAGAGCTGGAGAAATTGATCTTTCCGACTTGGACGAGGCGAGTCTACGATGCAGAGGGAAGAACGAAAGGAAGTACGCTAAATCAACTGCCAGCAAAGAGATAGTGCACGGTCCTGAGCCAATGTCAACCAATACTGGTCGAAAACGGACCATAGGAGAGGTCGACCATCCGGTCCGATCAACATCAGCAAAGAGTGCGAAGACCCAGAAACACCAATCAACACTCAAATTCTGGCGGACTGAGACTTCCCCCGCGTTGGCCAACACTTCGAACCGTGTAGAGGGGAATAGAACGTCACCAAAAGCATTTCAAGCAGACGAGGAAGAGTTCAACCGAACTCTAGGCCGTATCCGGTCCCATCCTTCGCTGACTGCGTATCGAAGGAAGCTCTATACCACTCTTCTTTCTGTTCCGCGTGGACGCTATACGACCTACGGCGCAATCTCTGAGTATCTCGACTCTTCAGCTCGAGCGGTTGGGAACGGGATGCGCAACAACCCTTTTGCTCCTGACGTACCCTGTCACCGCGTTTTAGCGGCAGATAGGAGCATTGGCGGATTTCAAGGTGACTGGGGAATGGACGGGAAATACGCGGCCAAGAAGATCGAACTACTCCGGAGTGAGGGAGTCAAATTTGATGGCCGTGGCAAGGTCCTCGGTGAGCCGTTTCGGGAGTTTCAACGTTCGAAGCGGGTCGAGGAAGGCATTTTGCCTTAAAGGGACACCCATGAAGACGATTAACAGACCCCGTCTGGCACTCCACCATGCGATTCGCAACCTATTTTGTCCAACCAGAACGAATGAAACCCAGAGTTGAGAGAGAGCTCGTGATGCGTTGTCCTCGTGTGCGTTGAATGGCCTAATAGGTGTGTGCCGATGGGGGCGTACGTGGTGTATGTAGGTGTCTAAGTGGTAACCAGGATGTCTGACTGTGAGATACATGGCTGTGTGGGTGGCTCCTGCCGTGGCCCAACAGCGTTTTGGGTTGCCTGAGGATTCCGAGATGATGAGCAGCTTCAGGGAAATACACATGCCGCCTACAAAGCGTATCCAGTACTACCCCATCCAAGCATCAGTTACAGAGTCTCTAATATGGCCTTCCCCATCCTGACCACAGAGGATCTGGGCGCCCTATCAGTAGTGCGGCGAGAGCAACTCTTCCAGTACAAAGTCGACACTTTTTCCAGACTACCTGACGAGATCCTCCTCCTCATCCTGTCCCAGGTCATCACGGGATGCATCTCTTTATACCAGGGAGGCAGCCGCCACCTTCTACGCAGCGCCGCATATGTCAGACGAGTGTGTCGTCGATTCCGGGCCCTGGCCGATCAATTGATGTTCAATACTCCCCTCCAGCAGATCCTGCTCATAGGTCCTATTTTCGGCGACTTCAGACAGATGACTTCCATATATGAAGAATATCGGAATATCCTTTGGACGAGACTATCCAGGGGGAGCCCCGGTCACATTTCATTAAGGACGACTGTACACTTCCTTCCATGCCTTGACACGAGTGATTCTGTGAACTGGTTTCGCGACAACAGCCTGGCGGAAGAGTTGAACGACGAGCTTGCGCCGCAGAGAGCCATAACAGGACACTACGCTGCAGCACTTGTCCTTTCCCGGATCCTACAGGAGGTCATCGACAGACAGTATGGAAAAGACGGCAAAAAGTCCCTCTTTTTAGTGTTTCACGAGATCGACATGACATATTTTCGGGGGGATCAGTATTTTCAGGAGAGACACTGCCATCCAGAGTTCATGCCTTTCGTGAGTGCCACTTTCAGCCCTCCTTGCATGATGTTCTCGTCTGATCTAGAAGCGATTCAAAACTGACTTGGGCTAACGGGATGCTTCCAGTGGGACTCAAAGGGCATGCAGTTAATCCTGAGGGAATGGGGATGGATCTTCCAGCCCCCTTGCAAGAAAAATTATCACCACATCCAAATCATCCTCCCGAATGTCGCCTGGGCGACCAGTGCCAACCCCCGAAATGAATTAGAAGCTGGTAATTTGTGCGTTGCCGACCTCCGCCGGGCTTTTGAACAAGAAAATGATTCGATATGGGGGGAGATGGGACTTTTACTTCCTCCTGAAAACCAGTTTCAAAGGGAAAATATGATTTGGCTACCTGGGTTCTCGTTTCCCGTCGTCATTCCCAAAGACTCACTGTATGCAAAGTGGCTCGGACCGTTGGCTCAGGAAGCTGCGGAGATCTTCTGCTTCACAGTTCGAGGGCTGACTGTAGGCGTGGACATTGATGGCGAGATATCTGTTCTGAAGCGGACGTGGCAGCCGCCCTCAGAGCCTGTTGAGTCTTCGTCCGATCCAGACACCGATGTTGCAAATACAGAGAAGGCACGTCAGCACCAAGCTGTGTCATTGAAAAGGTCAGAGCGAATACCAGCATTGGGGAATTGACGGAGACAATCCTACGATTTCAATACTCAGTGCTTGTTTCTACACATGCTACAAGAGGGCTGGGATAAAAGATGGATAGAAGAGAGGAAGAGGGGAACAGGAAAGCTTCGAAATGATTGCTCTGGGGGACATAATAGAAACGCATACGAAGCGAGAACGGCGAGAGGGTATCACTGTTCCAAGGCGATTGAGTTGCAATATGCCGACTGGGGACGGGCAGCTATCCTCTTCGGCAGACACAACAGTACCAAAAATCGGCATGATGCGCGACGGCGCCCGGCCAGCGAAATGCCTCAACCCCTCCAACCCCGAAGAACAAGGTCGCTGGTGATGCTGGTTTTGGGTTTGTTGGCGTTATTGCGTTCTTCTAAATAAATTCGTTCGTTATGTTGTGTTTAGCTGCCCATGGACTTTGTTGACCGTACACCGACAGCCTTCTGGATCACGCAAGAAAACTCCTGGCGAGACTGCCCCCTCCATGGAAGCGGCCGCATCTTGGAATGCCCAATTTTTCATTGCGCTGCAGAGTTTCGGTCCACAGTCTGCTCGATCAAATCGATGTTTGAGAGCTTCCTCATTTTCAGCGTTCCTCCCGAGACAACAATGTTGTTATTTTGCCTTTATAGAGAAGCTGCAGCCTCTACAGCACCAATTCCCTTGAACGCCGCCTTGCTCGTCACGACGATCTCAACCGGGTATTTCCATTCCATGAATTGTTTCCACCCTGTGGTTTTTCAGTTAGCTTCCCCCTCTGCAGAAGAAAGCTTGGACAGCGCGGGCATCCTAAGTGCGCATACGGACGCAAATTCACATACCCCAATAGGCAAATTTCCTCCCAAAGTACTTCCCGACGTAGGGGACGATGACCATGGACAACAGTAACTCCAGCTGTTGCAAGCTCTCTTTCCACTCTCGCTCTGCGTCGGACTCTGAATATTCGTCCTCTTCGCTCACAGTGACTTCGTCGGAGTCGGGTTCGGAAGGCAAGGAGTCGACGTCGTTGTCGTCGTCGCCGCTCGAGGGAGGTTCAATGAAGGAGGCAGCTGTACCATCTGTTTCAGACATGTTGGCGACGGAATGGAATGGAATTTGTCGCCTTCAGCCAAGGGCAGGCCGCTCTAAAAGGAATCCTAGGACGAAATCATAGCAGCAGTCCACCACCGGACGGGATGAATCAATCAACTGGAATGCCTGCGTTGACGGTGGTCAGTGAAGTGGAATGGACGAATGAAAGTCGGCAAGGCTACTGCGCATTGATGCGGTTTTGTCTGACAAAATTAGCTGGGGATGTCAAATAGTGGCAGATTTGTCAGACCACGGAAAATAAGTGGCACGTGCCATGCGTCACTACACGTTCTCTGACCTGGGGTTGACTCATTAATTATCGATATTATTTGAGCAGGAAAATATCCCCGATGCTGCACTTCTCGATTCCACACATCTTCCTGAACCTTCTCCCACAATTTAGAGAACAGACAAAGAGGAATTGAGCATTCCGATATCTTCATCTCATCTGCAACATACTCAAGCACCACGAATCATGGCTGAAGTTGTGCGTAACGCCACTCAAATCCCCACCTCGCACGCAGATGCCTCCTCAGTCGGGGAACCCAATCTGAAACCTCATGCACCTCGCCCCACAAGCAGGAAGAATTCAGACGTGACTGACACATCATCTCCTCTTACACAGGAACATCCTCAACCGATCCCTCATCGAAAACCTCGCAAATCGGTCGCATTCAGCGGCGACAGCACCATCATGGATGAAAATGGCGAGATCTCAGAGGCACCTCTGTCCGGCGCTGAGGACAAGGTTACGGCAGAGAAACACTCTTCACGTAGGGGCTCTCCAGGAACATCAAGGAGTAAATCGAGACTGACGCTTCGTGAATCTACAGCGCCCGATGACCAAGCCGTCGATGAAATGACGGACATGTTCGCAGGCCTAAACAAGAAAAAGAAGAAATCGACCAAATCGAAAACGGAGGACAAGGAGGATGGCGAAGCCGCCGCTCCCGGTACTGGTGCTGACGGCGACTTCGACGCCTCCGCCTTGAAGAAGAAGAAAAAGAAGTCAACCAAACCAAAAGCTGAGGGAGAAGACTTCGCCGAGAAGCTCGCCCGCGCCGGCCTTGCGGATGCAACAGCGGAAGAGCAAGAGGAGGTTGCGGCACAGGAACAGACAGGGGACATGACTCAGGGAACAGGAATTTGGGCTCATGACGCCACATCCCCGATTTCGTACGAGCTTCTCCTCAAACGATTCTTCCACCTCGTCAACGAACACAATCCGGACATTCTGTCCTCCGGGAGCAAATCATACAAGATCCCACCCCCTCAATGTCTAAGGGAAGGCAACAAGAAGACAATCTTCGCCAACATCGCCGAGATCTGCAAGAGGATGAACCGAAACGACGAGCACGTCACCCAATTCCTGTTCGCCGAACTCGGCACGAGCGGTTCGGTCGATGGGTCCAAGAGATTGGTCATCAAGGGCAGATTCCAACAGAAACAGATTGAGAACGTCCTGAGACGGTATATCGTCGAGTACGTGACTTGCAAGACCTGCCGGTCCCCCAACACCGAGTTGAGCAAAGGTGAGAACCGGCTGTACTTTGTCACGTGCAAGTCATGTGGCAGCAGACGGTCAGTGACGGCTATCAAGAGCGGTTTCACGGCTCAAGTGGGCAAGAGAAAGAGGCTCAATGGATAAGCCTAGTCTGGAATTTCGAGGCTGGGTTGGAGGGAGGGGCGGATTCAGTCGTTTCCGCGAGGGAGGGGAATGGCATGGCGTTGGCGAAAAGATACGACTCCATGTGAAAATAGGCATGAGAAGGCCCGAAAATGGAAAACGAACTTGATATGGAGCACACCGAGATTACAGGCGTAACGCTCATGAAGACAAAGTAGGACCGCTAACTATTATTAGAAATGTCATTGTTCCTTGTTCATACCTCCCGATGTGAGTTTCCACTGATGAATGCCGAAAAGGCAGCTGCGTTGCGTGTCTGCATGAAGACCGTCCCAGGACCCGTGAACTTACATATCAAACCTTCGCCCGAGCTGATTCCGGATATGATGCCTCCGGAGGCGACGCGTTCGAGGACGTACTTGCAGTTCCAGGCGACGAGGTGGCCGTTGTCGATGATGTATTTTTCGCCGTCGACGAGCTATATTAGAACGCTGGTTAGAAGTCGTTGACTTTCTCAAGAGATTTCTCGAGGTTGAGTGAAGTGAGTTAATGGATAGGTGGGTTCTTCCTCTGCTGGGCGGAGGGGGTATCGTCGGGAACTCACATCTTTCCTCAACACCGCTCCGAACGTGGACATCCACAGGATGCCAATGCCGGAGATCTTGTAGACAAAGAGACCCTCGCCGGAGAACATGGCTTTGCTGATTGACTGGCTCTTATACTCTTTCACCACTCCCTGCGTGCAGGCCAGGAACGCGTCGCGCCCGACGCTCCACGTCTCATTCCCCGCGAGCCGTAGGATCGAAATATCCCCTAGTGTACTCGGCGCGAGCAGCACCTCTCCGGGGCCGGTGAATGTCGAGTGCGCCATTTCTCCGCCAATCAATAATTTCTTGACGCTGAACTTGACGTTTCCTTTCAACATGACTGAAGGGCTCATTGCGATCATGACACCGGGTTTCGCGGTGATGGGGCACCCCATGGCCAACTGTATTGTCAATATGGAATTCGTGTCGCGATGTGAGATGCGGTACGAGCCACCATTGAATGTGCCTACGTCGTCCTGCGTCGTAGCTTGGACACCAACGAATTGGCCTCCTTGCGGCACCCCAACCAGCGAGGGCCCCTCAGGCAGTTTCATCACGTTCGCCATCTCCTTGGTAAGTTTTTGTAGGCGAGGGGATGTGACTTTCTCTTCGGCTTCGTCGAACGAGGCCGCCGGGCCATTGTACGAAGGCTGCCGGTTGTGAATTGTACCATGGTCGAAGGTGGTTTTGTGGGCGGGCGCCGAGGCAGGGACGGTGGAATAGTTGAATGGTCGTTGAGCGGTAGGCTGCTGGATGGGAGGAGGAGAAGGAGTCTGCGCTGCTAGATGGGATATGGGAGGGGGAGGATATGAGGCATTCTGCGCAGGCAGCGACGGGCCTGATGGAGGCGGAGGGAAGAAACTGGGAGGCGGGGACTGTTGGCTAGGCGGAGGAGGAAATGATGCTAAACGAGGTCAGTTTCGCGAACGGCCGAGGGGGCAGCTATTCTTCTATCCGTACGCTGGCCATTGGATGGTGGCGCTGGATGCCAGTCAGCGATTCTTCAGGGGTTCGAAGCACGGTGGAGGGACTCATACGAGGATAATAGCCTCCTTGCGGCTGTCCTGAACCGGGAGCAGGATAGGACATGATGACAACGGTCGCAAGGGCGAGGAGGGAGACAGCAGTTCAGTGAAATCAAGACGTAACAAGGAACTCGGAAACAGGTACTAAACCAGACGTGAAGCCTCAACTTTTCCGCAGCAACCAAGGAGGTCGATTCAATGATATTAAAGTCAGTTCATTAGATGTTGGAGGTCCTTCGTCGAATGGTGCGGTAACCTGAGATGCCGACAACGGATTTATATAGAGAACATGATCAGCGAAGGAGACGGACGGGAGGTGAGCAGTTAGCCGCCATGGTCCATTCATAAGGCAGCTTCTCCATCTCACCAGCAAGGCATGCTTGGTTGATCTTGGTGTTGCAAAGAGCAAGCCATGTGGTTGGTTGGAGAATGTTTCGGTTGGGCGCCTAGACACCGAGGGGTATTGGCGAGTCGGGAGCCGATGCTCTCTGCCATTATTGATGCCCCGCGGCCGGGAGACTTTCTTGTTATAGGGAGAAACTTAGCTTGGGTACCCAAATAGCACCGTAACCGCTCACCCCCTATACCGGTACGAGCCAGGAACCTGCCTAAGGAGCTGCCTGGCCCACCGTACCAACTCGTACTCGTGATATCGCTGTGTCGCGTGAAGCCTTGCCAGTACCCCGTGTATGTCCGAGGATTTCCACATTGAGCTCTGATTAGAACATCTTCTCATAAGCAGCTGGGACTCGGCTCTGCGTTCATCTTGATCGAAGCCATCACGATGTGTGTGCTCTAGGTGTAAGATCATGTCGTTGATACATATAAATGACCGGTCAAGTGCCACAAGCTGGAAGCCAAGGCTGCTGGTTTCTGTCAGGAGCGTCGTGTTGTCCGTCGAGTGCATATTCAAGAGGAGCAAGATATGCTATGATTAATACCTCGGTATCTACCTATGGTAGTCAAAGTCACCGCATAGAACAAAGGATGCGAAATATGATTCAATGAGGAAGCCAAAGCCCGGAGCAACCACCCCCAGAGACATCTCATTGTTGCTCGTATTGCGGGATGGGAAAGTCATCAGTCAGATGGAATTCAATGCGAAATTGGATCCTTTAATGGTGCGCTCAGACTTCAAGGAGGCTGCCCAAGGTTCTGAGATGGCAGGCCAAGCAAAGGGAAAACGTGCGCGCTAAAACCCCACAGTTGATCATTCAGGGGGCGCCCATTCATTAGGGGCCAGCCGACACACTTTAGTTAAGCAGGCTCTGCGGGACGGGCTTCCTGACCACTAAAGGCACTCCATCACTTCCTAATCCGGCCCCTGGGGTTAATAACAAGCTTCCATCGGGCGATGTTTGATGTGCAGTGACGCACTCGGCAAATGTCCATAGCGTGCAGCCGGATATTCGCCTCGAATGACTCTGCATCCGCTCTTTTCCCAGGAATCCTTCTTTGGGCCATTTATCTTACCTGCCCTCGTTCCACCGCTCCGATGTTGCCGGTCTGTCATCGGCGCAAGGACATTTATCATCAATACCCTCCCATGCAGGCCTGGGCTCGCCGGGCATCGTGGTAAACACAGGGTCCAATCCTCGCGCCGAACGCCGCCCTCAGACCACCCTCGAACTGATCCGCACCTTGTCCCCTTTATTATTACGCGACCTCAGAAACACAGAGAAGACCCTGACTGCGCCGCAAAACAGTGTCGGAAAGAAAACACGCGGTGGCATGCAAGTCAGTGCCATTATGTTAGACTTAGGGAAGAGCATAAGGCGTGCTCGGACAAGAATCCCCATCCTGTGACGGCCACCTCGACCAGCCACGACAACATACAGAGATGGTTGAGCTCCAAGCAGAGCCGGCCTTCAGCCGACTCGAGGCCCATTGGAATGGAGGGCTCATTGCTGCGTCCATCGCAGTCTCCCTCTTGGGTGCCTTCACCTCCACTCAGATGATGTGTCAAGCACGGACCTCGCGATACTTCTCAGGCGTCTTGGTTTGGACTATCCTAGGCAGCTTGACCTTCGGCTTCTGTTCCATTTGGTGCCTCCACTTCATCGCCATGTTGGCCTGCGAGCTTCCGCTTCCGATCGGGTTGAACGTCCCATTGACGGTTTTAAGCGCAGCTCTGGCGGTCATATTCACTTTCCTGGCATTAGCCGCAGACCTTATGCGCGATCGTTATCTGCGCTTGGTCAAGAAGAGCAGGATAAGAGCCCTCAGACGAGAGAGGAAGAAGGAAGCAGCAGCCGCAAGGCAGGATCTCAATGACAGCTCAGATGCTCTTCTGGGAACACGGGTTTCGGGCGAAGGTGAGGAGGTACAGGGCATTACGCCGGAGCATCCCAATGGCCCTGCCGACCACAGTCCTCCGAGTCGGGACAGCATGACCCTGGGGCTCTTGGAGGATCATTTCACTGGCGGTGCGCCTGCTACCAGCACAACCATAGAATCATCTCGATTGCCTCACCGTCTCCAACCCTCCGTCGGAGCTGATCGACAACCTTTCTCCGCGCAAAACGAATCCCCTCTAGAGGACGACTCTACTCGCGACACTGAAAGTTACCAAAGGAGCTCGGAAGAAGGGGAGCGTTCGCGACGGTCTTCGACTACAAATCATTCGGACGGCAGCAGCCTTGGCCTCCCTGGCTTCATGAGCTTCAAATTTAGGAAGAGTAACACTACCACCACGACGAATGTTCTGCTCGGGATCGGTGAGCTGCTGTACCATGGCGCGACTATGATAAACTTTTGCAAGGGCTTCATATGGAGCTTGGCAATTACCACCATGCACTATGTTGGCATATTGGCTTTGGAAATCCCCAGAGGCCACGTTACGCTTCACCCACTCATCGTCCTTCTCTCGGCGTCGAGCAGTTGGCTGGTCTGCACCTTGGGATGTATACTGATGCCCCAAATTGAGGTCAACCTATCCCAGCAACTCATTTTCTCGATAGTAGCAGCGGCGGGAGTTGCCGCCATGCATTTTACGGGAATGTGGGCGACTACCTTTTGGTCCCAGGCCACCCCGACGGCCGAACGTGGGTATCCCCCAGACCTAGCAATCGCCGTCACCAGCATCGCTATTCTCACCTGCTTGCTTGCAAACGGTCTTCTTGCGCACTCGGCGACGGTGGCTCGAAATAAGCTGGCTGAAATTGTCCACACTCGAAGAAAACTCTGGGCCGCAATTGCTCAAAAAGAAAATGCGGAAGCAGCTGCAGCTGTAAGGAGCGAGTTCATAGCAAGCGCCAGTCATGAGATCCGGACGCCTTTACATCAGCTACAGGGTTACAGTGACCTGCTATCGCGCACAGAACTGAGCGAAGAAGCTCGTCTCCTCCTCCTTGCCATACAGCAAGCGACAAGATCGCTCTCCATGATCACGGCTAACGTCCTTGACTGGTCTCGCTTAGAGAAAGGAGAAGCTGTCTGTCGACCAACCAGCCTCGATCTCCGCAAAGTGTGTGAGTCTATCCTGGCGATTTTGCCCAACAAGGACGAGGAGTTTGGCACTGAGTTGATGATTGTCGTGGCGCCGCAAGTGCCAGCCTCACTTTTCCTGGATGAGACTTATCTACAGCGGATCCTGATGAACTTGCTTACAAACGCTCTGAAGTTTACGCAATCTGGATACGTACTTCTCCTCGTGGAAATCAAGGACATGGACTTGGCTATCACCGTTAGAGATTCCGGCTTTGGCATACCCGAGTCATTTTTGCCCCATCTTTTTGAACCATTCAAGCAGGCCCAAACCCGAGGCGCTGAGCGAGGGACTGGTCTCGGCCTGGCAATCATCAGGCAACTACTACAGAAAATGGAAGGGACAATTGCTGTGGAGAGCAAATCCCACCAGGCAGATAATGTGGGAGCTGAAAAATCCGGCAGTACCTTCACTGTCACCATTCCACTTCATCTGTCAGCCGATACGCCGGACGCCTTGAGCTCTCATGTTCCCAATCGGCGGATTGCGCTCCTGCAAGACTGCAATGCTCGATTTACGGAAGGACTGCAACTAGCTTGGAGAGCATTTGATTTCGATTTAATCCGAGTAGATCCAGATGATGAGATATCGGACTCTTTCGGTTATATCTGGACAGACCTGGTGTTTCTGACCAGCCACCCAAAGCTCCTAGGGCGAATATTTGACCTTCGACACCAACTTGTTATCTTGTCATATGACTCCCAAACACTGCTCGACGAATCGTTGGGCTCTGTCCCTCCGCCGCACGTCATACCGGTCAGAAGACCATTCCTGTGGCATCGCATGGTCGAGAGCATAGTTTCGGCAGCTCGTACTGGTAGGTCGTCCATAGATCGATCCGTCAGGTTTGCCCCTGTTGTCGATGTGGTGGACGACAACCAAGACTCGCGGCCAACCCACGAGACCAAGACGCTGAGCGGCGCAACGGTGCTATTGGTGGAAGACAACAAAATCAACCAGAAGCTCGGGGTGAAGATGCTGAATACGCTTGGCTACAATGTCATCGTGGCAGATGATGGGCTAGAAGCCATCGATAAGCTTGTCGAGCACGACCATGATATCGACATAATCCTGATGGACCAGTCGATGCCACGGATGGATGGCATCACCGCGACAAAGAGAATTCGAGAGCTGGAGAGCCAGGAACTACTTGGGCCACTTTCTCGCACCAGGCGGCCCATCATTATGGTCACAGCCGTCGTTGGCCCTGATGCCCAAGCGCTTTGCATGTCGGCAGGTACAGACGCATTTCTTCCGAAGCCGCTGGCAATGTCGAAGCTCGAGCACACGTTGAAGAAGTTCCTTGGCTGAAAATACTGGTCGTGTGAACGATGCTGTGTCCAACTCCTGGGGAGACTGGGCGAAGTCCAATTTTACCCATCCTTCCCACCTGGCCCTTGAGCAGCTCACGCCTTCTCAATCAGCGAGGAATATAGAGCACTCTTCCCGTGAGGCTTGCGTAGGAAAGTTGCAAAGGGGCAGCAGCTTTTTGCAGCAGCGTGAAGGTATTCCAGACCATTTTCTGGTTCGATCACGGACGCCCAGAAACACCCGAATCTGGCTTTTGTTTAGGACAGCAAACTGTCGAAATAAAAGCGACTTCAGACGGGGAGAGGAAGATCGTGCAAGGGAAACCTTGCAGCAAAGAGTTTAGCTGGGGCAAAAGATACTGGGTTTTAGCATTGGGTTGCAGGGTCAGCTGGTCAACACGAACATAGAGACGGACTATACCTAGGATATGGAAACCTGGGGCGGTCGGGTTCCTGTGCCCAATCCGGCCCCCTTGAGAGATCCAATTACGAAATCAAAAAGCCCTTTTTACCCAACTTGAAACTTGTCATGGGTGCCATGTGATGCATTTGCACGGACATCGGAGCACGAAAACTCTTCGTGATCTGGTCGATGTTGTTTCTGTTAGCAATGGAATATGCCAGCCTCGCCAGGAACTGTACTTAGGGGAAATGGAATGATAAGGCAGGATGGAATGTCACTTAACGACTTAGCCTGTTCGTTCTAGCTTGCTGCCAGTGCTACACGAGCGGGTAATCTTGCGCTTAGGGGATATCAACCCACAGGGCAGATCATCCCGCTAACCCTTAGCATCCTCGGCGTGGTCGAGGGGGAGTCCAACCCCACGGTGCGGGCATGCCCAAGCCGATGCTTTGTCCTTGATGAGCCCTAAGTGGGCAATCGTAAGGACACGCGGTGCAGGGAGCTCAACAGCGAGACTCTCCGATAGACGGAGCGGAAGGAGGCGGGGAGGCAAAGGCCAGGGGTGGGAAACGATGGCTGTGGGTGGGATGGAGATGATGATGACGGCGACGTGAGTGAGGGAGCGAGGGGGGGAGGGAGAGGGAGTGGCTTCCAACAAAACTTCTGACGGGCCAACATCCATAAAACCATCCTCGCTCCCTTCCCCCCTGCTCACCACCCACATTCTTTTGTTCTTTCTTATTCTCTCCATCGTGTGTTTGCGGTAAGAGGAAAGCAAAATCAGGTCCTGTACATACAGACGGAAAAGCGCTCGCATATTCTTTTGGAGTTGATTCTTTTGCCCCCCCCGGGTGGACACGATCCTTTTTCATCGTTGAAGGCACCAAGTTAAGGTCTCGACTCACGAACCAGTCAAACCGTGTGCTTTGACCGCGTTTTCTGGTCATCCTCTCCTTCCATTGCGCGGTCCAAACCATCTACCGCTTTGACCACCCAAGACGAATCTGCCAGGATGCAGCCCAAAGCCCCCGAGAAGTCTTCCCCTTCGACCACCACCACCGCTACCAACGGTCACACTAACGGACATACGAACGGGTCCTCATCCTCCCACGAGTCTTCAGACAACAAGTACGATATGAACTCACCTTCCACCATCCGCCAAAAGTTCCTCCCTTACCCTTCCGACCTGGGCGTGGTCCTGGTCGGCTTTTCTGGCGGGCAATGCAAAGATGGCGTGGATGCCGCTCCCACGGCGCTGGTGAACGCAGGGTTGCTGCACCAGATTCGGGATGAGTTGGGATACACGCTTCATGGAGACAGCGAGGTACACAACTTCAACGAGATCCGTCCTGCCTCCGATGAGCCGTACAGGGGAATGAAGAATCCCCGGTCAGTCAGTGCCGTTACGGAGAAACTCGCAGGCCAAGTCTACGAACAAGCTCGCCATGGAAGAATGGTCTTGACCCTAGGAGGCGACCACTCCATAGCGATCGGCACCATCGCGGGTACAGCCAAGGCCATCCGTGAACGGTACAACAGACGCAAAGAGATCGCGGTCATCTGGGTTGACGCCCACGCCGACATCAACACGCCCGAGACGTCCGATTCAGGGAACATCCACGGCATGCCAGTCGCGTTCGCCACAGGTCTCGCGCACTCCGAGGATAAGGATATCTTCGGCTGGTTACAAGAGGACCAAATGCTCTCGACCACAAAGCTTGTCTATATCGGTCTGCGGGATGTGGACAGGGGTGAGAAGAAAATCTTGCGCGACCACAGGATCAAGGCTTTCTCCATGCACGACATCGATCGCCACGGTATCGGAAGAGTGGTAGAAATGGCGCTCGCCCATATTGGGACCGACACTCCTATTCACCTGTCCTTCGATGTGGATGCCCTGGACCCCATGTGGGCGCCCAGCACAGGAACGCCGGTTAGAGGAGGCTTGACGCTGAGAGAAGGGGATTACATCGCCGAATGCGTCCATGAGACAGGGCAATTGGTGGCCATGGATTTGGTTGAGGTGAATCCTTCGTTGGACGTGGCTGGAGCAACTGAAACGGTGAGGGCAGGCGTCAGTCTGGTGAGGTGTGCATTGGGTGATACCCTCCTGTGAGGTAGCAGAGACTGGTCCTAGAAAAGCGAGGCTCCCATCACTCGACGACAGGCAGTATATCCTTAACACACTCTCCTTCTGTCTTCTCTTTGAATTGGTTACACGACCCGCGATGAGATGTTGGACACGACAGAACAACGGAAAAAGAAGGGAGGCTCAACGGGGACCAAAGGGGGAACTAAAAGCCTTTCGCATTACAACAGGGATACACAAGAAGTGCTTACCTAAATACCTATACCTATTCATATACCTATAACATATTTGTATTCGGAGTACCTATACACGCACACAAATATATCTCTGCAGAAAGAGATACGGCCACATATAGCTAGCTATATAGACGAGGCCTAGACAGTGCGAGGCTCGCTCCGTACAAGGAATGGTACCTAGAGGGGCCAAAAACAGGCTTGGACAATACCAGGACGGTAAAAAGCACTTCCATAAGCTCCGAGTTGAGCATTCTGGAACGTCGGTTCGGTCATATAATGGACACGCCCAGCGCGCTGACACGCAGAGACGAGCAGGTACGCGCAAGACGGTTGTCCTCCTTGCATCCACCCGGCCCAGAGACCCTTGATTTGCTAGTTCATTTCGTCTTTGCTAAGGTTGTTTTTTTCTTCTGTCCTTCCTTCGTGTGATGCATTGAGAGATGCACGATATGTGATGGGGCCTGGCGAAACTGCACTACATTCTCAGTCCCCGGCGGTTATGTCCTTTCAATAGTTGTGACTTCGTTGCATGAGAACCATTTGAAGGGCCTATGGGCGGCTCTGCCCGGCCTACGACACCTTCCTTGGCTCGAAGCACAGTCTCAGCGGCCCGAGCCCGAGGGTGAAGTGGTCCTTGGTCGCCATCAGGAGGGACTCGCCCGTCTCCCCGTCCGCCAGTCGGACGTCGAACCTGCGGATGATGTTGGTCGTCAGCAGGCGGATCTCCATGTAGGCCAGGTTCTTGCCGATGCAGTTGTACGGGCCGGCGGAGAAGGGGTTGAAGGCGTCCTTGTGGCGCATGAGCTCGGGCTGGGAGAAGTGGCGCTCGGGAATGAATTCCAGGGGCGAAGGGTAGAGGTCGGGGTCTATTGCGGAGTTAGTATGCACGAAGAAGTAAACAGAGCAAAAGGGTGGTTGCGTGGTGGACAAGGGCAGACAACCAGGCAAAGTTGAGCAAAGACTTGAAGTTAGGGGGCCCAAGGGGATCCAACAGACAAGCACAAACTCACCTCTCGCCATCGCATACTGCGGCATCTGGATCACCGTGTTTCCCGGGATATACACGCCTCCAATTTCGACTCCTTCCTGTGGCGTTTTCCTGAACACTCCACTCGGTACAGGGGGGTTCAGTCTCAGAGTCTCGTTGATCGCTCCGTTCAACAGTGGTGCGTCCTGGATCTTTTGCGAGTCAATATTCTCGTCGGGCTTCACCAAACTGTCGAGCTCCTCTCTCAGCCGCTGAAGGAGACCTTTTTCCGTGGCGATATGGTAGAACAAATGCACCAGGGTAGCCGCCGTCGTATCTGAACCGGCAACGATAATGAGCCGGCTATCGCCCTGCAGCATGGGCAGCTGAGCCTTCTGCGCCGCCGCGTCCGAGTTGTTGAAGTGCTCGATCAACGTGTGCGAAATGTCCTGATTCTCGAGCTTGCCTTGCATCCTCATCCGCTTTTCAAGCTGTTCCGAGCAGTAATTGATGAATCGCCAGTGATCTGCAGCTGCGCCGGGAATAGCGATCAGGATTCGGAAGAGCCAGCACGGCAACCAGAAGCCGATAATGTCCATGCCATCATTGAGCAGTTTGATGGCCCAGTGCATCTCTCCGGATTCGAGACACTCGTACGATGCGCCGAAGGCGAGATCGCCCATCACATCGAAGGAGTATAGATTGAACCATTTCGACACATTCATTGGGTCGCCTATATGTGTAGTGTCAGTTCTATCCGGGTACAAATATCCACCAAATGCAATTACCTTTTGCCTCCTCCACCTTCTGGAGAAACAAGTCATTATACTTTTGCACCCGGTTCTCGTAGCCCCGAAGTGCCTTGTCACTGAATGCAGGGCTCCAGATCCTTCGCCGTCGATCATGCTGCGCTCGATCCCGGCACGTGTGCATCGAGACGAATGGAAGGTCCATCCCATACCATTCGCCCTTGGTGCATTTGGATTTAATGCCAGATATGACTTCCACGCCATCCGGGTGCGTGACAGAGATACCACTGGGGTCAAGCCGCACGAACTTGCCATACTTCTGGTGCATGGCGAGCAGGTGGTGATGCAGATTCCTTTTCCCAGCAACCCGGAAGACCAAGTCGAATCTTGACAGTCGTGCCCAGTATGGACCAGGTATCTTGTTCAGCGGATTGAAGAAGAGACGGTAAACGACCAAGCTAGTATAAAGGCCAGCCAGATACAGTGAAGCGTATTTGGCCGTAAATGCAATGGCATCTTTAGTGGGAATGTTGCCATAATGTGATCGAGCAACAATCGTAACAATGCACCCCAGAAGGAATGCTTGGAGGTAGCGCGTAGGGTATAGAAAGCGTTCGCCAACATGGAAGAAGAATAAGTGAGATGCCACGCCAGCTGAGGCGACGGCCAAGGGCAAGTAGGTTACCGACATTATGCAAGCAGGGGATGTCAGGCACGAGAAGAAAGGGATGAAGAGGGTTATGATATCGAATTTATTAGCCCAGGTGGACGCCGTACTTTAAGGATGTTTCTTCTTGCGAACTCTGGAGAACGACATGTCATCTGAGGAAACGTTTTCGAATCGACTCCCCTCCGAGCTTGTCGATTCCTTCCAGCATGGGAGTCCTAACCGCGTATTAGGAAGAAGCTAATTGGAGAATGGCCTGGGCAGGAGCGATCCCTGCACGCATCGCATAACTGCCGGTTTGGGAAAGCCTGAAGCCACTTCTTAGAGACTCGAGTGGACCCGGAGCTATAGTACTCCGTACTTGGCCTCCATATTCTGTGCCGAAATGCGGGGAGGCGTGAAGTTTGCCCGGACTTTTCTGATGTCGAGGTACTCGAGTCAAGCTGACTCGACCACATCGACAGAGACTTCGTTCAGGATACGCCCGCGATTGCAACCGCAAAGACGCCGTAGCTAGGTGTGTATCTGTCCCGAGGTTCCTCATGGAGTTGACGGAAGACATGGTGTTTCGAAAAGGTGGGTTTTTAGGCACCATGACTTCCCCCCTTCGCGTATGCTCGCATGGCCGATGGTGGAAGGTGTGGTAATATGTCAGCAAGTTGCCATTTCCCAGGTAAATGAAGTCGGCGAGCCTAATCAGAAGAAGCCTGAGCAATAGTCTGACCTGGTCAGGCCTTTTGTCAAGAGTTGCTGCTTACCTGACGCCAATGCAAAAGTGCAGACGCGCACATATTGGGGCTGAAGGGATAGTGGGCCTAATGGCTGGGGCCACGGCAATCCGCACCCGGTCAATGAGGAAACGAAGATAGGCTGGGCTGGGGACCAAGTATGGAGTACATAACATTCTGTTATCTTGATTGCGTTGGTACGGTCTCCTTTCTTGGGCTTCTCGGGCGCTGCGTCGACGATATGCCCCCTGTCTGGAGAGAAGGATGGCCAATAGTTCTACGGCGCTTTCGGCGTCATCCATTGTTGCCCAAGATCAGTTGGCGAAGTGTTTTTTCAGCCTCCGGGGCCCGCATGTCACCCTTGCGCGGGTGTCTCATCATTTGTCCCATGAGGAACTGCAATTTCCCGACTTTACCCTTCTCGACAATGTCTTTGACATGCTGGGGGAACTTGTCGATTATTTCTTGTGCGATTGCTTGGTAGCTATCGGCCGACATCTCCGAAAAGCCCAATTCTTCTTGTCTGATGATACGTGAGACGGTTCGCTTGTCACCATTGTAGATGAGCTTGAGGATATGTTTGGCCGAAGTGCCTGTAATCTGATTGTCTTTCAAGCGATAGATGATTTCGGCCATGTGTTTGGAGGGAACGAGGTTGTCACTCCATTGCTTTTCTTCGGTGGAAAGTAGAGCACCCAGTTCATGCAGCACCCAATTTCCAACAGTCTTTCCGTGATCCTTTGATGTCGTTGTAGATCGACTGCTGGACACCAACTCATCGACAATATCTTGAAAATAAATCAATCGCTCGCCATCATCAAGCGAGACCAAGGTCATTGCATCCGTGAAACTGAGGCCGTACTTTTGAACAAGCATCTCAACCAGCTCGCTCGCAGTAGGAGGCAAAGTCTTCTCAATCCAGGAAATCAAGTCGCTGCTGATGTAGAGTGGAGGAATGTCCGCGTCGGGCATGTATCGGTAATCCACCTCACCTTCCTTCCCTCGGAGTCTTTTCGTTTCATTGGGGTTGGTCATGGACCAACCTCGAGTCTCGCCTTGAACTATGCCACCGGATTCGAGGATCCGAATTTGGCGATCTCTTTCCGCCTTTATTGCATCTTCAATGCCCTTGAAGGTGCTAAGGTTCTTTATTTCTGTGCGTTGGCCGAGACCGGTCACGCCGCTGTAGGCAAATGGGCCCTCTTCGGCGTCCCGACGACGGACCGAGACATTGACATCAGCTCGAAGACCTCCTTGTTCCATACCGGTGGTGACAGCGTCAACAGCATAGAGGATTGACTGAATCTTCTTGACGTAGATGGCTGCATCTCGCGGAGAATGCAGGTCGGGCAACGATATTATCTCGATCAAGGCTTGGCCGCAACGGTTAAAGTCTATCAACGCCGTGTTGCTCTCATCCTCTTGAGTCCTAGCGGTATCCTGTTCCAATTGCACTTGCTTGATGTTCACCGTGACAGTGCGACCGTCCTCCAACCCATCTTCGGTGGTTAATACGATACGCCCATTTTTTGCGAAGGGGTGGTAATACTGAGTGATCTGATAGCCCGCTGGCTGATCGTGGTAGAAATAATGTTTGCGGTCAAAGTTGCTGACTGGCTCAATCGTACATTCAAGCGCGGTGGCCGCACGAAGGGCGGGTAGGATGACAGCCGGTTGGAGGACTGGAAGACTACCAGGTAATGCGATGTCAAAGGGAGCGATTTGACTGTTTGGGATCGAAGTCGGCGCAGTTATTCCAGCTACCCAGTATCAGAACCCATGTCAAGACAGAGATGGAAAATCCTTACGGGAGAAAAGCTTGCGAGAAGCGTTGAGCTGAGCATGAATTTCAATGCCCACAGTTAGTTCCCAGTTTGCCAATAGATCTGGGCTCTCAGCCGCTGCCGGAGCTGATGGAAGCGTCCGTACTGCTTTTGCAGCATCCTTCAACTGCTTGCGGAGTGGAGTATGGTCTTGTTGCAGCGATAGGGCTTTATAATGGAAGCTGCAAGAAAGAGCTTGAGGGTGGCATCGGGCTGGGCTCGTGGATGCAAAGTCAGGGAGACCGTGAACAGCCAGAGGCCGAACTGGGAGCCGCTGTCGAGTCCACCTCAACCATCTTTGGTGCATAGGCTTTCGTGGCGCACCAACACGAGCATGAGAGAAGTCGTCAACAATGGTCAAGCAATGTGCGATAGATCATTGCAGATGCGACCAAATTCCCCAAAAGCCAGAAGATCGCACCGCTGGCGCTCCTTTGCTCCGCCGTATTACTCCGCCGTACTGATCTCCAACGGAGAAACAGATTTTTCCGGGACTCGAAAAATTCCGATCCCAACCAACCATGAAGTCAACCAACTTGGTTGCACAAACGCAGGTATTTGCTTTGACGGTTTTTCTTCCTCCAGACTACAGAAGAATGGTATGCATAGAATGTTTGACAAGCAGGGATTATTGATCAAGCGGCGAGCATCGCTAGCCTTACCGTCCACCGGCTAACTGCATCTCTGCCAGCCGGGTTGAACTGGGAGGCGAAGTCTCTCATTTCTACCTTTATATTCTTGACAACTCACTCATCTGTTTCTGTGCGGACATTCAAAATGACTTTATGAAACTCGGACCATGAGTCTCAGTTATTTTCGGTGGCCGGGGAGCCGCCAGCTCTCCCAAGAATTATGGGGGCGGCCAATAGCGAAGCCTTGGATGCTAACAATGAATACTGCTCTGGGCTTAGTTTTGGGCATTGGCCTGCTGTACATTGCAAGGTCTTGTTTGCCCTCGAGCAGAACTTCTAAGCAGGAGGAGTTCGCGGCTGCGGCTGACAATGACCATCCGGTGCTCAAGAACCATTCCAGTGCCCGGTCATACAAAACCAAGCACGCCGAATACCCGTCGATAAGGACCTTTTATCACCCTCATGCCCATGCCGAAAAGCTCCAAGCTATCGCCGATCTGCCTTTGCTGGTCTTCGTTCATGGGTTAGGGGGCTCTTTACCTCAATTTGCGCCACTTCTCGGGAGCTTGGTCAATATTGCGCCTTGTTTCGGCATCGATCTACCTGGTCATGGCATGTCCGCCTTCTCCCCGAAGGATTACGATGCCTATACCATTGCGGCATTCAGTGATCTCTGGCAGACGGCCATTCAAGGTATTTACGAACAGCACGGGCATAAAAAGGTGGTGTTCATTTGTCACAGCATGGGTTGCTCTATCGCCGCAATGTTGGCGACATCGCCTGCGTTCCCGTTGCGCATAGAAGGCTTTGTTGGCATTTGTCCAAAGGCTACTCCGCCTTCACCATCTGAAACGGCGTCGGCGAGGCGACTCTTGGCGCTCCCTGATATAGCGCTCGATATATTGAGAGCCCTGGATCGAAGAGGTGGGGTCAAATCCAGAAGTGTGGAGAGGATGGCTGGCAAGGCTGCCGGGATAGACCTTCGCCGCCTCCAGTTGGCGTTCAACAAGGGCTTCAAAACAGCCGTCTGGAAACGCTCTGCATTGGGCTGCCTGCCACAGTACGAACCTTCAGGGAGAGCAGTAGGCGGTCTGCCTGGGAAAGACACCTGGGCAAAGATCCATGTACCTTTGTTCCTCATTGCTGGAGAGGCCGATACCGTCACGAAGCCAGCAGAGGTTACAAAAATTGTTTCTTTCCTGAAGAAGCTCGTGGTTGGGGAGGAGATCAATGGAAGCCCCAGGAGCCAACCACTTCCCACCGACGCCGCCGGGCCAGAGCACGCGACGGCGGACGTCTCAACTGTCGACCAGAAGGAGCCGGCGGCGGATGAACGCAAGTTCGGCACCCTCCCGTCAACAAGCGAGATGTCCAGCCACAACTCGAAGATTGTCAAAACAGCAATCCTGCCTTCCCCCGCAGCTCACGCTTTGATGTACGACCACTCCACCTACCGCACGGTTGCCGGCCTGATCGAAGACTTCCTGGCACGCTACGTGTCCCCCGAACTCTCCCTGGGGTGGCAGCTCCAGCAACTCACCACGTCGGGCAAATGGGACGTGAAGAACCTGGAGAAGTGGAAAAAGGTCCTGCCCGTCTCCGGCGCCATCGGCCACCCGCCCGAATCGGGCATATTCCGGGCCATGAAGACGCTGCGCGAGCAGGACGAGATCCACACGCCCGCGGTGTTCGTCAGGAACTGGAGCGACAAGATCTTCGCCGTCATCGACATCTCCCACGACTCCCCCGTCTACGACACCCAGGCCCTCGAGCGCGGCGGCATCCAGTACCACAAGTTCCCCACCGTGAGCAAAGTACCCCCGACGGTCGTCGAAGTCGCCGACTTCATCGCCCTGGTCGACCGCCTGCGTCTCGAGGCGCCCCACACTGTCCAGGGGAAAACCATCGGCGTACACTGCCACTACGGCTACAACCGGACGGGCTTCTTCATCTGCTGCTATTTGATCGAGAAAATGGGCTACAGGCCACAAGACGCGATAGAGGAGTTCGCGGCGCAGAAACCCCCGGGCATCAAACATGAGCACTTTATCGATACGTTGTTTATGCGGTATCACGTGGGCCTGAAGAAGGCGCCCACCTTCGTCGACTCCAGACAGGGTTCGATATCAGGGGTGGAATCCGTGCAATCCATAGATTCATAGAACAGAGGCGTCTTGGGAAATGGCGGCTCTTTTCTTTTAGTCCCTTGGAGTTGGTATTTGCACTTCCTTTTGGGGGGTTCCATATCTTTGTATGCTTGTTCTACACACCAGTACCTCGAATTCAGTGTTTGCTTGGATCAATGACTATTATCATTGTGAGGAAGCATTGGATATGGGTGTCTCATAGCCCGTAGCTGGCACTCCACCTTTCTTCATTCAAGTGAGCTGTACATGGAAGCCCTCCCGACATATGCTCTGTTTTCATTAGGCCCCTTTGCCCTCCTTCTGAAGTTGTTCTTGTGTTGGGCTTTACTTATCGATCACAGGCGCCTTGTTGGCTCTAATAAACGTGAATACCGCCAGCACGAGAGCTCCACACCCATCTGTAAAAGCAAATGTTGATAGCAGGACTTGTCCATTGGTGAGGTCGTGTAACAACAGGTCAAACATCCTCGTGGTGAGAGATAGGATCAGTTTTAGAACATTTCGCGTGAGTCTCGTGTCCCGTCGTTTCCAATTGCCATGATGCTCGATTAAATACAAATCCCGTGTCACAACAACTTCATGTTCGCGAAGCTCTTAACAATCGTTTCGTCAATTTGACTGAGCCAATGGTGCTGAAAATTCTCCAACCCGCCTGTCCTCTCAATTACCTGTCTCAGCCGCGCCCCGATGAATTCGCGTATATTCATCGTGTAGATTGGGTCGTGGTTACTCAATATTCTCTTTCGTCCATCCTCCGGCGTTGCATCCGGCCACTCAGGGACATCTCCACCATTTCCGTGGCGGTTATGCCACAAGTAGTCACCCTCGGATTCATCTGCTGCTTCTTGCCCGAGCTCCGTACAAATATCGGTCCAAATTGTGAACAGTGTCTCGAGGCTTTCGAGCATGAATGTTGGAAAGTGTGGAGGCACGGTACAAGTAAGCAAGTTTGTGAGGGCAAGGACCTGAAGTTTCTTGCGTAAGATGTCGCCTATGGTGTCGATGTGGAGGAACCATTCTGTCAAAAGCCATTTGGCGGGTGGTGAAACAGACGACGGAGTTGACGCTGATGTAGAAACGCTTGACGTAATATCGGTAGCGGTCACGGCTTGAATGAATTGGTCTGGTGAGAGCAGTGCTATGCGTGCAAGTAGACCGAAAAGGCTGGTCTCTCCCGGGCCAATGATGTCTGGTGGTTTGCGAATCGGACGAGGATCCTGATGGTACTCGTATGCTTCCTTAAGGAGCTCCATCACCGATGCCAGATAGTTGGTACTTAGCATCGATTCCAACACGTGTGTAAGCGCCTGTTGAGGATTCACACCGGACTGAGACTCGATCGAAATGGTAGCGACAAGGTTTTCAAGTACATGAGGTGCCAATGACGCATCCCGTGCTCGGCTAGTTGATAGAGCTGGCAAGAAGGATTTCATTGATATGAGGAGCGGCGTCAGAAATTGAGGAGACAGAACCGTAGTGGGCGACAATATCGTATAGGATTCGGTGAGCTCAAATATCTGCCGTAGAAGTTCACCGCCCATATCCAACAGTGGAAGGAGAGATTGAGAGAGGGATAGCAGATCTGAAGAGGCATGTTCCGTTGGAGTCTGCTGTACGATTGCAGCCCACAGTTCGAGGGCCTCCTCAAGTAGATACACAATTGCTTCCGACTGTGGTTGGATTGAGTCATGAATCAAGGGTAGAATGGGCCCATGGTAAGCAAGGCTCTTCTGCCCAAGACTGTTGACAATTGCGGTGATCAAGGTCAATATTGCTTGTTTCATCAAGTGTTCTTCGCCAGATTCTGTCCACAACGGCGGAAGCATCGACATTATGCCCTGTGCGTACGGTTCTATATGGCCTTCCAACCTCGTGACCGCCACTCTAACCGTCTCGAGCAATGCCATCTTTGTCTCGGATAGTTCAGTCTCAGTGATGAGAGACATGACGCCTTCTAGCAAAGGTGTAGCGTAGGGTCTGAAATCGGAGTAGCTGAATTCAAAGGGCTCCAACACAAGACGCAACTGCCGTCCTGCTGTCACTCGAACCACATGGTCATTGAGTGGCTCTTTGCTGGAAAGCAAATGTGTGAATATTTGATACACTGCAATTCGATCGAGTGTTTCCGCCTTGATTGGGACCCATTGGCCTAGTAAAATTGCAGTTCGCCGTCGAAGGAGGTTGTAATTTGGCTGGTTCATCTGCACTTCTTGCACCAAGGTTTCCCGGAGGAAAGTATTGAAGTCAAGGACATCTTCCAGACATGCGGCTGCTATGCCAATGGCCGAGTAGAGGCTGTCTTTCAGAAGCACATCGGTGTTTGAAGTGGTAGCGTATTGATGGAACACTTGGACTAACCGTGGAACCAGAAGCTCTTTGAAGTTGATGACAAGATCTAGGAACAACTTTTCCGAACATGAGCGAATGGAGAACTCCCATGCATCTGCAATTTCTTCCTCTCGGCGTTCCCACTCATCCGGCTCCTGCTCCCAATCTCGCAAGTCGGACGGCCGAAGGATGAAATATTGGGTCACCAAAAGCTCCATAAGTCGAAGAACGAAGTCTTGGGTAAGCACCGTGTTTTTGACGTAGTCGACTGCGGCTTTTCTGTCTTGCTTGTCCTCTGGGGTGACATATTTGAACGTTTGGACAGGGTTGAAGACCATCTTCAGGCAAGCACGAAATAGTAATAGGGCTTTCAAGCAAAGCTTCTCTATTGGTGACTCCTCGACATTGTCGCCACTGCGGTACACGTTCCAATCAAAGTTACCCTGCAAAGGTGGCTGCCTAGCTTCGCTCTGGCTGATTATCAACCAGGAACGGTTCAAGACGTCCATGCAGCCAAGAAGGACAAAGGAGGCCGGGTGATTTCGAGCCATGTCGAGATACAACTTGGCCAGTTGGAGCAGATGCTTCAATAGCATGCTTCGAGCGTCTTCCGGAAGTGCTTGGCTGTATGCTGCCCAAAAAGCTTGTTGGTGCGTCTGCAGGAGATCCCAAAATTGCTTGACAGCGTCTTCCCGATGAGGATTCTCAAAGCCAACGATGAGGAGTCGCCGCAGTGTCTTGAGCGCTGAATGACTGCTGACTGCGCTAGCCAGGTCGGCTTGATGAGCGCTTGACTGCCACTTAGCCACCAAACCAACGTAGAGGCGCCCTAGGACTTGCAAAAGCTCCAGCGCTACAAGTTGAAGACTCTTCTTCGTGCGCTGTAGACGTCCCGATGCCAGCTCCTTGATAACTTGCAGGGTAATGGTCAAAATGTTCGAGATATAAAGGTTTGCATTTAGGTCTTCACTTGCCGCTCGAAGGTGTTGTATTATGACATTGATGACGTCCGGCCAGTCGTGGGGAAATTCATACCGGACAATCTTCGCAAGCATCAGGGCATTCTGGAGTGCAAGGGCAGAGATAGGCTCGCGCACGCCCACTTCGATAGATCTCGATCTGATCTGTTCCTTCTCAACCTTGCTGATAGGATTTACGGACGTTTTGCGCCAGTGTTTGTCGATGCCGTTCTTGAGTTGAATGATGGCCTGCAAGCGAACTTCTTGGCTGAGCGAGAAATCGGCGTAGACATCCTGAAGAAGGGCATAATAGCCAGGTGACCTTTCCCAATTCCCAATCTGCTGTGTAGCTACTTTCAAGCCTTGAGCCGTGGGATGTGAGGCGCTTTCGAGGGTGGATATGACGGCATTCCTGGTCAGCGGGTTGGTTTCGCCCTCTACCTCGATGGTGAAGGAAGGCATTTCTGTCGTTTGGGCCTAAATGATGGCAGAAGTCATCATCCTGGTGTTGAAGAGAAGGATTGTTTGGCAAGAGAAAGGACTGAGAAAGGACTGAGAAAGGCCAAACAGAATCTTCTCAACATGAGACCGCGAATGACGGAGAAGGCTCTGATGAAACACATTAAAGGAGCCCCAGCCTTTCGTGGCGCCTTCACACAATGAGCAGCCTACACGAGCCTTAAAACAGCAAGAGGCTGCGGCCAACCACAACTACTCCGTACCAGTCAGCGAGCCCAACGGCCAATCTCTCGCCGAAGCCAGCCTCGGCTGCTCATTAATTCTTATTATTATTGCTCTCGACAGTCTCCCGCAATTTTCTCGTCGTCCTTCCCGCTTCCTTCCCTTCACCCTCCGCCCTCAGATGACCGCGCAATGTCATCTAGCAGCTTTGCCGCTGCTCAGGAACGCATTCTAGCACGGCAGACAGCCAGACAACAAGAAGCCCGCACCCTCATTCAGCAGCCCGATATTACCAGTGGCCGCTCCTCCTTGACGCGAATCACTCAGTCCCTGCGACCCAAGTTGTCTTCATTCTGGATAACTCTGCTAGAGTCGGAGGGCACACGGCCAGCCTTTCGAGTTGGGCAAGTGGATGCCGAACTCCTGGATGAGGAGTTGCTGGGGCTATTGAAAACACAAGTGGCAGATGCCCTGAAATACCTCGGGGCGCATCTTCAGGATGACTGGTCGCAAGAAATTCTGCTTGCCCTCAGAGCGATACTGTTCAAACTATCTATATGGGACAACGATGCTTCCTATGGCGCGGCTCTACAGAACCTCCGATACGTCGACGCAAGGAAATCTGGATTGGATCTTCCGAAACCGACCAGATGGCAAAAGAGTCTTTACGGGCTATTAACGGTCTTTGGGCGGTATGGATGGGACAAGTGGGAAGATTGGCTGATCGACCAAGAGCGAGGTTACACAGCTCCTTCAGAGACAGTCCAGAGGCTGATGCGATTCACCTCCTTTGTCTCTACAACACATTCCATCGCCGCCTTTTGTTCCTTCCTGGTGTTCCTCGTCAATGGACGCTACCGGACTCTTACAGATCGCTTGCTGAGATTGAGACTGATGTCGCCATCTAATCAAGTTAGCCGGGAAGTCTCGTTCGAGTATCTGAACCGTCAATTAGTCTGGCATGCCTTTACTGAATTTTTACTATTCCTCTTGCCGTTGGTCGGCATTAGTCGATGGCGAAGATGGCTCTCCAGGATGTGGAAGAAAACGAAAGATGCCATGAAGTCGCAATCAGAAGCAGAAGACGACGGTGAGAAGACCAAAAGCGGGCCACTGGCTTTTCTACCCGAAAGGACTTGCGCCATTTGCTATCAGGACCAGAACCCAACATCGACTTCCGAAGCCGAGATCCTAGGAGCAAACGCTGCCGCTGGAGGAGGCGTCATTGGCTCAGCCACTACCGATGTGGTGAATCCTTACGAGACCATTCCATGTGGCTGTATCTACTGCTTTGTATGTATAGCCACCAAAATTGAAGCCGAGGAGGGTGGTGGCTGGACATGTCTGCGTTGCGGAGAAATCATATATAAATGCCAGCCGTGGAACGGTGACATCGTCCTGGTTGGGAAAAAGGGCAGCAATAAAAACGCCAAATCGGTCGGCTTCTCTGTCGCCAACGATGATTCGAGCGAGAATTACCGAGATGGACCGTCCGAAGAGACGCCAGAAATGATGGACTCCGCCTTGACCGGGAGCCAGTGGAGCATGGCGGATCAGGAGTCCTCTATCACTTAACGTTTCAAACTTCAAGGGCATGGTCATACACTGGGCCCATGGAGCTACTGTGGGCTGTACTCCATTCAACCGCCGCCAAAGATTTCACGTTCCGAAAGCAGTGACATTGGAAAGGACTGGACTCTACCGGCATGCAAGACGACGAGCAACTGGCTGAGCGTGGATTAAGAACCAGATGGTGGAGAGCATCACAACAGTTCTCATTTCTGGGCGCCTAAAGTGCGCTCCGTCCCAAGTCAACAAGCTCTGCCAGAGCCGGTCCACTAGTCGACTCAGGTATATGTCCTTCCGTTGGCGATCAAATTCTCGTATGTTTCTTTGTCATGGCCTGGAACGACCTGGCCCTTGGTCGTCCTCTCCAAGTGCTTCAACCGCTGAGTGCTCTGGAACCATGATGGATGATCTCTAGCAAGCCACCCTTGAGGGATACCATCGCGCCACTGGTGGGAAATAGTTCAGTACTGAGCAAGCTGAGGTGTGAAAGACACTCACATTTTCAATGACGTGGCAGTGGTCACTGATGAAGAAGAACGTCCCACTGTCCGGCATGTTGATTTGCATTCCAATCAGTCCTGTGGCCAGTCAGCAACTCCTTTTTTTTTCTTCAACCAGGCAGCGCAGCTCTCACCGTCAGTGTGGCCTGGTAAATGATGCAGGGTGATGCCTTGGCAGAAATCGAACGTTCGCTCATCGAAAGTCTTCCAATTCCTGCAAACCGTCAGAATACGCACTTCTGCGCCGGAAGCGACGGCCACATACAAGCTCAATTTGAGGTAATGTTCCAGGTAGACGCCCACATCGGCGCCCGTCGCAACAGACCAGAAAGCTGCCCTGAGTTCTCGGTCGTGGACCCAAATCTCAACGTCCTTTCTGTCAAGGAATTCGTCTAACCCTCCCGCATGGTCGAGGTGTAGATGACCGATGATGATTTTCTTGATATCCTCGAGCTTATTTCCCGTGGCCTCAACCGCGGCCTTCAGCTCATGCTGAGGCTCATAGCGCACCCGAGAAAACACGTCAGACACCACAGGGCCCCAGATCTCAGGGTAGTCCTTGCCACAACCCGTCTCCCACAAGATGAGACCCTCATGCGGGTGTTCGATAAGGATACAAAACACGGGAAGCTCCCTCCGTTTGTTGACAAAGGACTTGTTTTCGGTGCTCTTTAGGCTGGTGTTGCCGCCACGAACCACGAAGGCTTCGTCACACTCGAGCCAGCCTACCTCCATGATATGAAACTTTGTTCCTTTAGGGCAGACATTGGAAACGTGGTTGGGCACGGCACCCCGATCGATTTGGCCTTGGATAGCAGACATTGTTGAAGAGAAGCGATGATGACCCACGGATTGGGAAGAAGAGTGCAGTCCTGGAAGAGACAGATGGCTGGGAGCTCAAATACAGGATTTGAGGGGCTCCTACAGCTATCGAGCTCGCCCCGCATCCCAGATTGTTGAACTCACTCCACCTGCGGAGTGTGCGGACGAAGATGAGGCAAGAGTAACCATTTCTGGCGTCTTTCAAGGAGGAGTGGAAGCGGAGTCATCGAAGCAGGGGCATTTTCCGAGACTGTAGCAAGCATCTCGAGCTCGCTAGCTCGACGACATGGTCGCCCCCAAAGCCTCGGATTTCGCACCAACGGGAAGACCGCAGTTGGAATTTGCGAGAGAACGAGAGGGGAAACCATGGATTTTTCGATACGAGCCACCGGAACCGCGTTTCTGGCAGGCCGTGACGTACTCAGAATCCAAGCGCACTCCACGGTGAAGCACCGCAAAGCCTCCAATTGGGTCCTTTTAGAGGGGCACAGAAGGGGGGCAGATCTATCTTGATTTTCCTCCGGATGGGGAAGCATCCGAGGCACCTAAGTACTCCAACAAGACCATGTGGACAGATTGGCATGTGTTTGGTTCTATCCAGCTTCTCCAAAGTATCTGTTGTAGGCAGCGAACCAGCTTGGACGCAGCGTCTTAGTCTGCTGTGGACGCTAAGTCCGCATAAGCTCGTCTTTCTGTTTCTTTCAGGACTTTCGGCCGTTGCTTCCGTGCTCTTGCCGATGTTTATCCTCCTCTTGTTCAACGACCTTTCGTTCTTCCCTCAACTTCTGCACTGCCTCTCCCAATTTCCGGCGCCACTCCCTCAGTCGCCACATGTGAAAAGGACGGGGGTAGTGACTGCCCCAGGGGAGGGATCTGTGGTCGAAGCGGCCGGGGAAAGCATTGGTGACCATGTCATGGTGTCATAATGTCCGAGAGCTGCGTACTTGGCGTTCTCGGAGATGGAAACAATGGTGAATTTCGGGTCATTGAGAATGATGTCCGCCACAGCCATACAGGTCAAGGTAAGCTAGACGAGATTGCGGTAGGAAAGCATGGTCAAGATCAGAAGAAACAGTTCGCGAGGGAGGCTTCTGAGGCGGGAGATGAAGTGAAGGACTCCAGTCGAAGAGGGGCCGTCGTCTGAAGCTGTGACATGAACATAGAGTGCCTTGTCAAAACATTGTGACAACATGAGTCAGGACATCAACTACTGCTTGTGGGATGCTGGAAGCCCGGATTGCGTCGACTACCAGAGGTGCCATCGTGTCTACAATTTGTCGTTGTCGAACGCCAGCTCTATTAGAACAATTATGGGGGAGAGATAGAGAGGAAAGATAGCCGAATAGATATTTATGAGCCCGAAAATCTAGAAATCATCTTTCATCTCATCCAATGTTCACCCAACAATCATCACTTCGGGTCAGAAGAAAGCGCTCAGTCCACACTTCCCACAGCGCCGCTGACAGTTCAGTGGAAAGTGACTCCTTGGAACAAAGCGGAGCCCTTGAGAGACGATCTCATGTTGGGCGCGGATCACAAGCAGCGCCGATAGATGAACAGGGCAGACGGCGACACATTATGGCGTCCATCCATCATCGCTGGTACAGCCCGAAGCTGGGGATTTGGGGGGACAGCACAGTGCTGCAAGACAGCGGATGCAACCCGCTTTGACACAGAAGTACCAACTCTATCCTCTCCAAAGAAGGAGTCGTATCCATCTGTGGAAAGAGATTAGTGGTTTCATCTGGTCATGATTCCAAGTACTTCATTCTTTGGGCGTCTCGATGTCATTTGCACCGCAGAGTCAACAGTGAGAAGGAAGTAAAAGCGGCACGCACAAGTGAAGCGAGAGAGCTGGCAGTGAAGTGAACTAGCCCCAAAGTGACTAGCGCAGATCTGGCTGGCGGCGTCGGAAAGGCGAGTAATGACCAGCCGATCAAGTGGGAATGAATCACCAACACCACACAGCCACAACACCACCGCTCTCATACAACCACCATTTCTCTGTCTCGATTGACGACCCAACCATCCTGCTCTTCTACCAATCACCGACACCACCTGCACACAGACACGAGAGATATGAATCGCCGTGCATCCCGCTTGACCTTCCCAACTAGACCTACCTTCCTCTAACCTCCACCTTTCCCTCTCGAGTACTGGAGAGTCCGCCTCTCTCGAAAGCGCACATGCCGGACACCCAGCATTCCCCGTCATGGGACCTGAATGATGCCATCAGACTTCTTAACAGTCTCAAGCTCAAGAACAGTGATTCTGCACTGAGCCATGAGGTAGTCATCTACGCCAGCAAAGATGGAGGGGCCGACGACACATGCGAGGGTTCGCTTGGGGATTTCTCCTCTCTGTGGGACTACCTAGGGCGGCCTCATGCTGCTGACGAACAGCAAGCTGCAGAGCTGTTCAAATATGAGATCAACGATGAACCAGTGGCAGAGGTCGACCTCAACCAGCTCAGCAAGGCTGTGCGCTGGCGGGACGAGCTGGATGGCGCCGATCTTGAAGACAATGTGGAAGCCCCAAATAACAAGGCCACTGCCGCGTACATTCGCAACCAGAAGCGTGCCGCAAGAAGAGCCAGAGCCAAGGAAAGAGCTGAAAAGCCTGTCGCCCAGGAGAAGCCCATTTCGGACACCACAGACTTGGAATCTGGAGAAGAACTCGAGTCGCTACGCCGCTCCCCCGACCGCAGAGCTGTTATTGACAGCATTCTGGGTCGTAATCGGCCTGGTTTCCGCGATAACAGTTCGCCGCCGACCTCTCCATCACCCCCAAAAGCTGAAATCAGAACTCCCCAACGCGATTTTGTTGTCTCAAATCCCTTTGTGTGGCCTGCCACGCCGGTCTCTACGCCGTCAAAGAACATAGTCATTACTCCCCGCGATGGATTGACGGCCAGAACCAGAAAACAAGCTCTGATTACCGAGTTGATGCGCCGGCATCCTGAAGAACAAACGTATCTGACGAATCCCGGGCTCCTCGAACCTGCCTTTAGCCCGCTCAATACATCCAGCATCGGCATCCACGTCTTCGTTGACATTTCGAACATATCCATTGGCTTCCACGATTGCTTGAAATTGGCACGTGGTATGCCCCGTGAGACCCGCCTGAAGCGTGTCCCTCTTTCATTCCACAACTTCTCTCTAATTCTCGAACGCGGTCGCCCATGTGCCAAGCGTGTCTTGGTTGGATCCGACAAATATGCGGCAATTCAACAGGCTAAGTCGATCGGCTATGAAACCAACATTCTCGAACGCGTGCACAAAGCGAAGGAGCTGACGCCGCGTCAGAAGAAATATCAATCCCGATCTGGCGGTGAGACAAGTGGTTCTGAAACGAACACAGGTCTTTCTAAGCACTCGGGTTCGGAGAAATGGGTCGAACAGGCTGTGGACGAAATTCTACACCTCAAGATCCTTGAGTCGATTATTGACAGCCAGAAACCCAGCACTATTGTCCTCGCCACTGGCGACGCTGCCGAGGCCGAGTACTCGGGCGGGTTTTTGCGCATGGTCGAACGCGCTTTGGAAAAGCAATGGAGAGTCGAGCTGGTCAGTTTCAGACTGAACACCAGCAGTTTGTACAAGAGAAGAGAATTCCGTGTGAGATGGGGCCAGCTGTTTAAGTGCATCGAGTTGGATCCCTTCGTGGAGTTTTTGATCGACGAGGAGAACGATGGTTAGATGCCATGGTCACTTCCCCCTGGATCAATCCCGAGATCCACGCCCAGATTCACGCCAACCTCTGGCATGGCGCCACGAAAGTCGAATGCTCGCGTCTTGGCTCGTGCTAAAAAGGTGGTGAAGGTCGCACGGAGACGTCTTGAAGAATTGAAACAGGCACAGCTGTATCACGAACTTGTGCTCAGCAACAGAGCGAAGTAGTGACGATCTGATTGACCTGTCGATATCACGGTCCGTATGATCTGCAATCTGTGAAGCTAGGGAAACTGCTGCCTGAGCTCTCTACACAATGTACCTCGAATTGGAGATTGGCACACTGAGGCAGCTGTTTTCAGGATAAGAAATGCCAGACGAATATAACAAAATTCCACCTCGTACGAAGTGTGCTTGTCTCTTTAGCCGTATGAGATCTTGCGACCCAGCCGGCCTGTCTCGAAGAGGGTAGGCGAACAGAGACCTACTCGGCAAAGGTCCCTTGAAGCACGTATTTCACACATGAATACGAGATGAGGGGCCTGACAAGGCTGACCAAGCAATTGTATGCCCTACCCACGATCCACTCTATCGATGTCAAGCCAAAGCATCATCCCGGTATACTTCAGACCAGCTATATTGCGGACCAAGGTACGAGGTACTCCGTACAAGCACCAACCACTTGGGTACCCAACACTCGGACGAGTAACATGCCTCAGAGATGGCCAGTCTTTGCTATCATTGGCCAGATGCCCGACTCGTCGCCATTCCCTTTTCAGCCTCGTCGATCCCTTTCGGACGCTCGCTGTTCCCATATCTCCGAGACGTTGTCCCCTCCCACAGTCGCTAGCTGTTCGCGCCTTCGTACATGACGCTACGCATCGGTCGAGTTCGTCCGTCGACCTTCCAATGATATTATTTCGGGCTCTTTCGCACCTCTAGATGGTGCAAAACACGCCCAGCCCTTGGGTCAACAGCGTCCGAGAGGGCGAGGACTAATGTACGCAGCAGTGGCTCGAGCCTTTTAACTCAGCCCGAGCACTGCTAACCTTGGGGTTCGCGAGCGAGAGCGGTACCTAGACCACTTTGGAGTTGGTTGATCGGGTCTTGTACATCATTATCAATCTCTCTGTTGTAACCCGAAGCTTAACTCCTCAACGTTGCTTTATTTGACCCGTCTGTTTCAGCAGGTTTCCAGAGACAAAAAGCACATGAATGTCCGTGAGTTGTCCCTTGCCCTCCACACATTCAATGCACGCCCTCCTCTCTGCCCTTTTCTTCAAAGTCACAAGGCTCCCCCGGGTGGATGGCGGATTCTCCCCGTGATACCAGCAGCCCCTCGCTGAGACCTTCGGAGCCATCCAGTCAGTCGTTCAGACCGGAGACGACACTTCCAAACGACCACAGCGCTGCAGCAAGATCCAGCAGCCCGAGCATGATGGGATCGACAATGGACAGAGACCTTGAGAAGACCGCCGAAATCATGGCCAGTTCTACCTCCAATCACGATTTAAGCGTGCAGAGCGAGCCCAAGATTGAGGAAACCGTTGGTGGCGATGTCCCAGTGGCTCAAGCCGTTAATCCAATGGACCCATCGCAGTTTCCGGAAGGAGGACTCAAGGCGTGGACGGTGGTCTTTGGGGCTGCATGTGGCATCTTTGTCAGTTTCGGCTGGATCAATTGTGAGTTTGATGGTCCCCAAGGAGAGTGATGTGGCGGTTTTCTAACGCCATCCTCGACCAGGCATCGGTGTCTTTCAGGAATACTATGAAGCACACCAGCTCAAGGAATACTCGTCGCAGGAGATCGCTTGGATTCCGTCCCTCGAGGCATTTATGATGTTCGTTGGTGGTCTCTGGGTCGGGAGGGTATATGGTACGTCTTTTTTTCTTCCATCTTGCCGTCTGTATGAATCTAACAGTTTTCCCTTGCGGCAGACAACTATGGCCCTCGCATTCTCCTTATCATCGGCACATTTCTGCACGTTTTCGGCCTGATGATGGCCTCCATCTCCCACAAATATTACCAGTTCTTGCTTTCCCAGGGCGTGTGCTCCGCGTTGGGCGCTTCGATGATCTTTTACCCATCCATGTCCTGCGTCGTAACATGGTTCTTCCGGCGTCGATCCCTCGCATTGGGCGTTGCGGCTACCGGATCGAGTATCGGCGGTGTCATCTTCCCGGTCATGGTTGAGAAATTGATCCCCGAGGTCGGGTTTGGCTGGACCATGCGGATCTGCGCCTTCTTGATTCTAGGGCTGATGATCCTGGGGAATCTGACTCTCGTCAGCCGCATTCCACCTATGGCCAGGCCGGTGAGGCCGATGGATTTCGTGAAACCGTTTATGGAGGGGAATTTCGCCTTGTTGGCACTGGGGAGTTTCCTCACCTTCTTGGGTATGTATCCTCCCCATCTAGTCTTCTTTGGGATTGCTTCATCCTGCAAACTGCTCACCAACTGACCGAAAACCGTGCGATCAGGCCTTTTCCTTCCCTTCACCTTCATCATCCTCGCTGCCCGTGCCCACGGCGTCCCGAACTCCCTCGCCAAATACCTCGTTGCGATCCTCAACGCCGCCAGCACCTTCGGACGTACAATTCCTCCGTTCTTCGCCGACCGGATTGGCCGCTTCACTGTCTTCCTCTCCGTGACCCTCCTCTCGTCCCTCATCACCCTCTGCCTCTGGGTCCCTGCGTCCGGCACAGCCGCCACCGTCGTCTTCTGTCTCATTTTTGGGTTCAGCTCCGGGGCAGCGGCCAGTATCTTGCCCAGCTGCGTGGCGCAGATCAGCCATATCAGCCAGATCGGCGTGCGGACGGGGTGTCTGTTCAGCGTGGTGGCGGTTGCGGTGCTGATTGGGTCGCCCATTGGTGGGCAGCTGATTACCAACGATGGATACAAGAGTATGCAAGGATTCAGCGGTGCTTTGATGACAGGAGGCTTTGTGGTTTATGGCCTGCTATGGCTCAAGCTCGGCGGTTTGAAGGGTCAAAAAGTATAGTTTTTTCACGTGCTTCTGGAAAAAGAGGCAATAAGCGGCGTTCAAGGGAGAATAGGAAAGAGATGTATTGTTCCTTCTTCCCAAGGATGTCGTCCAGGAGCCCTGGTGGAGAGTAGTCCCAGAGGGAAGCTCGTCAATCAGTGGCATCCACCTCAGTGAAGGGGTAACAGGATGTTAGAGCACCAACACGTCCAGCACGCCTGACTGAGTATGAAATATTTGGGTCCTTTTCTGTCAGATAGCTTAGCATTGGGGCCATAGGAGACTAGATTCCGAATGGAAGGCTCTGTTAGCGTTGACACAGTCGAGAGTCGGCGGGCGTAGCTCTCAGCGCTTGAGGCTGGAGTTTTCCAACCATTTGTCCAGGCCACACTGACCCAGCCCAATTAAGGCGCCGCATAGAGCTGACCACAACATTTGTCAAGGGATAGTAGATCGGGGCCAGGCGGATCTCTACGAGAATATCAACTTTCCACCGCAGGTTGAAGTAATCGCGAACTGGCCCGTCCAATGGGCAGAAGGCGAACTCGAAAGATCCGAGCTTACCTAAGGGAGTGTCGGAAATGCACGCACCTGTCGCATATTGCCGACCGCCACAAAGGCTGGTGAAGCAGGCGTGGCCAGGTGGAAAGCGACAATTGACATACTGTAGGTGGGTTGTCATGTAAGAACGTGTATCTTTCCATTTCCCCCGGCTCTCTGATGTGGTTATGTTATGCCTTACTATCTTCGTTGTGATATCTGCTGCGCTGCTGAGACTTCTTGGCACCCAGGTCGGAATTCTTGGCGCTGCGAGGCTCTGGAGGTCGGGGTTGGCAACACCCTCCCACCCTCCTCCCCACCAGGCACCCAGGCACACGGCTCCCTCTTGGCCAGAACTAGGCTTATCTCCCAACTTTCCCGCTGCTCCTACAGTAGTCTTTCGCATCGACAATGAGCACTAATTGACGAAATGTCTGGACCGCCCACCGCCCACCGCCCACCGGGCACCTCTGATACTCGAGGTTGATGCGTGCCTTCAGCCTACACAGTCAAGATGCCACGCGCTCGCAGCAAAGCCGCCTTCGCGTGTGCACGATGCTACAGGAGAAAGAAGAAGGTATATCATAAGACTCCTCATGCGTGATACCAGATCATGAACTCGACCTAGTAACCCTTCTCTAGTGCGACAATGTTCTTCCCACTTGCTCACAGTGTAAGCAGGCCGGAGTCGCCTGCGTGAGTATAGACCGCGACACAGATGGTGAGATACCCAGGAGGTGAGCCATTCGTGCCTTCTTCGGCTTGGACCTCGACGTACACGAGCTGCTGACACAATACACAGTGTTGTCCAATATCTCGAGAACGCCGTTGCCGCTTTAGAGATCCAGCTGAGCTTGACTGATGTCTACAACGAACATTCGTCGGATGACAAAGAGAGGTGTCTCTTCCATCCTCCACCTCGGGGTGCCTCAGCAAGCACGGATCCTGTCGCGACTCGCTTCCATGAGGTGCCTAGAACCAGCGTCTGTGATACTGGCCCCACAGACACATATACATCAATCGTCACCATAGCCCGGACTGCTATTGAGCCAATGTCCACATGTCTTCCAGAAGGACTCGACAAAACGGCGTACGGAAAAAGTCTGACCACTGGCGCTGAGCTACCCGTGGTACTTCGGGCAACTCACCAGGGTCGCAGAACAGGAGATTTGACAGCCACCATCGGGGGTCTGCACGAAGTACCCCGGGATGTGGCAAGTGTCCTGGTTGACATCTACATCGAGAGAATCCTGCCGCAATACCCTTACTTTCTTGAGGATGATCTCCGAGCGCAGTTTGACGCTGTGTACGGTCAGACAGAATCCCAACCCCCCCAAGATGCATATTTCATCATATCGCTCATCATGGCATTCAGCACCTTGACTTCCAAATCTCAGAATGTTCGAAAGATCTGCGCGATCGCCGAAGCCCTTCTTCGGGATGCGTTAAATCATAGCGGCTTCCTCCGACACGCGAATGTTCGCTCGTTGCAGTGTATAATCCTCCTGCAGCAGTCGGGAGCACTTCTGCCTCACACAGCGAATCTCTGGCATTTGGTCGGAGAAGGCATGAAGATTGCCATCGGTTTGGGCTTACATCAAGAGCCTGATCCTGCTCTGGGCCTCGACGACCTCGCTCTCGACCTTCGGAGGAGAATCTTTTGGAGTGTAAGTCATTGATTCAATATCTGTAACTGCTGCCTACCATATTAACCACTGAAAGATTTATGCCATAGAAAGATCTCTTGCTGTTACTTCTCATCGCCCATTCACTATTAAGGACGAGCACATTAACGTGGCATTTCCGTCCGATTCTGAGGATGCATTCATACATCCTTCGGGGATTAAGCCGGGAGGGCGGCGATTGAAGTATCATTTTATAAATTTCATTCGATTCCGACAGATTCAATCGGAGATCTGTGCGGTCCAGTTCTTTACTCGAAGCCTTGCCAACAAGACTTACGCTCAGTGGACGTCAGAAATGGAAAAAAAGATTGGTTCTCTCCACGATTCCATATCTCTCATGATGGAGACTGCGCCGGACTGGTGTTCTCACGCCGTGTGCCAGAGTCGACTGATGCTCTATCGACCATGCTCATACAACCTCACTCCATCTGATACGCAGATGACGGCATGTTTTGCCGCCGCAGTCGAAGTCGCCAATGCCTGCTGGACGGGCTCACGAACGGCCCATTTAGTCTTTGTGTTCCACATGGTTCATAACTTATTTGAGGCAGGGACTACGATTCTATACCTATTGAAAATATCACCCGAGACCTTTCGAGCTTTGTATGGGAATAACCGCATAATTGAGCTCCTCAATCAAATCTCAGGAGTCTTTGTGAGTTTTCCAGCCTAACCACCACACATGTACTACACGCCAATAAGAAAATGGAGATTTCTGACACACCTCGTCAATAGACCACGGTATCCGAACGATGGCTTGGTGCGTTGGACGTTGGAGAGTTTTATGACGATCTCAAAAAAGTCACGTTGAAGAGCTATATGTTTGCAGATGACAGTAACTTCTCCTTGCACGACTTACAGCTCCTCAATCAATTGGATAATATCATTCTTCGAAAACCAGTGGAACACCTGTATCAACACGAGCGCCGCCAATCAGCTATCTATGGCGATCATGGTTCGTTCCCGAGTGGTTCTCTGGACGAGTGGGACAAAACTTTTCAGGAAGACAGCGACTATTCAATGATGGCGGGAGATTTCTGGCAAGAGATTGCTGACATGGGGTTCAATGAATACAACATCGACCTTTTCCCGACGACAGCCGCTTCACCAATCGAGGAAGCCCAACTACAAGCTAACTCGAATCTCCCAGGTGGCGAAGAAGCCAAAGCCTTTGCTCAATGGGACCCGAGTTCGATCCCGAGCGCCGTCATGACTGAAAGGCTGAACAACGCAATAAAGCTACTACCAGCCTGTAAAATCTGTCGGCGCCGCCGTGTCAGATGCGATCGCCAGCTTCCGACTTGTTATAACTGCAAAAAGGCCGACGCTCGTTGCTTGTACTACGATTATGTCCTCTCCGAAGATATCCCTCGAGAGTAAGTGCTCACCTCGACGATAATGGACATTCGGCTGCAATTCTTCAGAGCCTGAGATGTCATTCTTAGACCCTCTTACCATTCATCTTCACTAATCACCGCGGTGTTCAGGTATGTTTATTCGCTTCAACTGAGGCTTCAAAGCCTGCTCGCAGAACAAGACATGCGTGCCGCGTCAACTCAGTCTCCGTGTACCAACAAGGTTCCCGAATCTGGCGCTTTTTTCCCGGCCTTGACGCTGCAGAGAACTCACAGCGAGTTTAACGCAGCTGAAAGCATCGGCTTAACGATCGCCATCTCCAATAATGAGCTGCTCTCGTGCACCACGGCATATTTCGGCCCTACAAATCCATTTGTGCGACTTCTCAAAGAGAGCAAATTAGTCCAGGGCTGCTTCCCAAGCTATCAGCCAACCATTCAACGGAGAAACGTCCCGACATCACAAATCTATGATGCCCTTGGACCTTTAAATGCCGAGTTGCCATCCCATTCTTTGGTGTTGTCGTTGATACGAATATTCAACGCATCAATTAATATTTTTTATCCGGCGGTCACCCAACGCCGCCTGAGTGAAATTTATACATATCTCTCTCAAGCAAGCGAACATCATGGATCAAGCCGCTGGCAGATCCCAACCCTCTATCTCATCTTTGCCATCTCTCTCTATCTCTCGAGCAAAGAAGACCGCCGTTTGGCGGGGTTGTCTGTCACGTACTTCACAAACTCGATCACTGAGTGGCAAGCCTCCAAGGGACTGAGCAACACACACAATATTCGGATCAGGCTCCTCCTGTGTATCTATGTGTTGCTGAACCCAACAGCAGGAGATATTTGGCGCCTTCTTGGCTTTGTGTGCCGCTTGTGCCTCGACATGGCCAGTACTAACGCCGATCGCGATGATGAAGAGACCCAAGAGATCTTCGCTCTGTATCGTGCCGTATACTGTCTGGAATGGTATGCAGCTGCGTTTCGTGGTCAACGAACGAACGAACGACTGACTCAAGCCGTTAGTGACGTCGCCATCGCACTCGGACGGCCGACTCAGTTGCCGAAATACGATTTCGTAAGTGTGCCGCAGCAGAAGAGTTGTTCACGCATGACCGTAGCTTCGTGACGGTAGGGAAAAAGCTAATCAGGCGAAACAGAATATTTCATGCTTTCAACCCACAAGCGTAATTGAGAAGACATCCTTCTATCTCTACGAGTACTCCGAAGTGAGATCCCTGATCCACGCCCAGATCCTCAGCGGGGCAACTTGTCAAGCTAGCCATGCCGCCCAAAACAACTGCGCGTGGCACATCAACAGCCGGAGCAAGTTGGAAACTTTGAGGGCCTCTTGGGCGACTGAACTGGCCTCTTGCGAAGAGGAGCAGTCCTCTCCCGCACCAGACAACAGCCACACTGTCGGCCGCGAAACCCTTGAAACGCTGGGGGCATTTAGCGAGTCTCTTTACCACAGCTCCAACCTCCTCTTGGAGCAAGCGGCCACGCCCTTGACGTCGTGCGCCGATGGAGGAGGAGTATTTAACGTCGCCGATTCGGCCGAGCAATTCATCCAATGCTGCATGAAGATGCACCAGATCCAGGTCCATGAAACCCGGCGCGCTCTCTCACAGACCGATCTCACCGCGCCGTCGCCCTCGTCTCAATCTCCTCCGCAACGGGATGCACGATTTTGTTTCTACACGGTCTCGACGTGGCCGCTGCAGTACGCGCTCTTCTCGGCCGCTTTGATGCTCATCGCTTCTCCCCGTGCTGTCGCTGCACATCAAGACTCGACCTCCTCGACACTCGAGGATCGAGTCCGGCGCTGCATGTCTTTCCTCGGAACTCTCGAGGGCGATCGAGACACATTGTCGAGTGGAGTGTCGAGGGCGCTTGAAGCTTTCCACTTGTCACACAAAGCTGGGAGCTTCTAATCTGTGTATAAAACAAAGCAAAAATTGGTCGGAGGTGCCGGGCTACGAGATCTCACGATGTAATGATCAGATGACCAACGTCTCAGTAACAGCACCAAAGGGCTGGGAACGCCGCCAGAATCATTCATGTATTTAGGAGAACCCAAAATGCTAGCCAGCTGCTATATGCCTTATGCTATTCTGCGTGGTCCGGACCGGGCTAAGGCCAACATTTTCAATTGTATGCTTGCAACCGTTTATCAGGTCACCCCCGCTCTCGTCGTCTGCCTGCCGTCGATACACTGGGAGGATATCCAGCGGCGCTGAAGATCCCTCATGTTGGATTTCTGAACCCCCTCCGTCACTGCTCTTCAGGATACACTGGGACGCCGTTTTGCACAATGTACTTCTTGGGGAGCGTATTCACCAGCGTTTTGGAAAGAGGGTGGTTTGGTCTGGCGGCGAACAAACGTTTTCGAGAGTGCTATGGTAGTCCCTTTGGTTAGTATTCAAGGGGGTTCCTTCAGTGAAAGACGAGTGCTGCTGCTGCTGCTGCTGCAGCAGCGGATGGTAGAGACTTACGTCAAAGATGGTGACAGGATCATACTTCTGCGGGTTGTCCTCGGTGATGCAGCTTGGGAGGGTGCCGATCAGCTCATCGGCGTTAATCCCGAAGAAGAAGGGGATCGAGTACCGTTCCGAGTCGCCGCGGTTGATCACTCGATGCACCGTCGACAGGAACGCGTCGTTGGTCATGCGCATCATCATGTCGCCCAGGTTGACCACGAAACAGCCCGGTTCGGCGAAGAGCTTGATCCACTCCCCGTCCGCGTTGAGGACTTCGAGGGCCGGGTAGTCGGTATAGGTCTGGTTGATGATCGTGAAGCCTGAGAGGTTACGCTCGACGATTAGCAAAGAGAATGCCCCTCGGGGAAGCGGGAGAAAACTGTGAGGGAGTGGTGGGGGGTGTGTGTGCATACATTCAATGTCGGTGTGGGCGCCGAGCCCAATCTCCTCGTCATCGCTTCCTTCCATCGGTGGGTAGTGCAGGACGCGGACTCCCGCGATCGGGTGCCCCAGCTTGTTGTCGAAGTAGTCCTCCGGGAGATAGAGCGCCAGGGCGAAGATCCGGATGAATTGGCGAGCCAGCGCCAGGAGCGCTTGCTGGTATCGGATCATCGTCGACTTGTACTTCGGCGCCACCGATTCGTCGGGCCACTGGTTGTGTCTCTGGAGGATCGAGGGCATTTTGCCATCGCCGTTGGCGTCGTAGGCCGGGTCGTAGCCGTAGGAGAAGGATTCCTTGCAGTCTGCGAGATTCGTCAGGGGTCATTCATTCTCTCAGATATCACTGGGGGGGGGGGGGGGGGAAGCTGGACGGGTGCTCTTCCCCCAGCAAGCTGAAGGGATATTTTCTGCCCTACCACCGCGCTTCAAACCACCCACGTTGGTGTAATAGAGTGGCTCGTATCCTTGAAAGTCCTTGTTCTTGTTCTGGTGGAGCTTCTCCTTCTCTTCGGCGGGAAGCTGGAAGAACTTCTCGGCCTCTGCAAAGGCGTCGTCAATGATCTGCTGGCTGATGCCGTGGTTGTTGATCTGCATGAATCCGACTCGCGTGGCGGCATCGCGCACCGCGTTGGCCAATTTGACGCGGTCGGCCAATCGGTCGCTGTACATTGCCGAGACGTCCAGCGTGGGGATTTCGGTGAAGCCCTTCTCACCGTTGCTGACGGGTTTGAGCTTTCGTGTGATGCCTTGTTGTTGGAGGCGGAGCACCGAAGAGCCAGTCTCGGCGGCGGCGGCGGCGGTGGTTTGAGCCTGCATCTTGCTGTTTGTATTTGCAGGAATCACTTGCTGTTCCGGACGGTTGTGTCGACAAGGCGGACCCTCGTAGTCTAGGAATGGACTGCGATCACTATCCCAAATTCCATCTCCTTATTTAAAGCCGAAGTCTCTCATGGTCGTCACTCTCCTCTCCGTGCTCGAAACCATGCACGGCCCGACGAGTTGACAAATGCGCAGACGGCATCTGGCATGATCCTTTCGAGCCCCGAAAGCGTTCATGGCGGGCCCCAAATGCTGTCTGCCGCATCGGAGACATGCGACTCTGTTGTGAATATCTCTCGTTTCTCTCCGACTTACCCTTCCAAGCAATCTCGCGTCCCAAACCGTGTCGGGGATGCGCGAGGCAACGGTTGGCAAGCCCCCCAACCCCAAGCCTTGCCGCAATCCGTAGGCTGCCAATGGGAAGCGATGTGGCTAACTTGAAAGAAGGAGGGTTGAAGCGCCAGAGGTACAGGGCACCTCCGCCATATAGTGGCCATCTCGATGGCGAATACGTCTTGCCGTCGGCATTGCACGAGATGGACCAAGCACCAATCACCTCACGCCTACAAACCGTGAGAGATAAGCGGGTCCAGGTTCAAAGGACCCCTAACGCCAGTGCAACTAGAAAATCGCCATCAGTTGTCATCACGATAGATACGAAAGGCAGGTTCAAGGCCTGAGGATCATGAACGAGAACCAACCTTCTATGGTTGCTGCAGGACGATCCTGGTCTATGTCAGGAGCTGTCTTGGCGTGCCAAGACATAACGACATGGCGATGTCGTTGTGGCCCGTGCACGTCAGGAGCTGTCTGCCAAGACATAGCGACATGGCCATGTCGTTGTGGCCCGTGCACGCCAAGAGCAATGTCCGTTGCGGATGCCACATCTTCTGCTCTGAAGCCGCTTGGCGGCTGAAGCGTTGTGAAAAACTACTTGTACTTGTAGGTGCTCGCAGCTCGCGGGCGGCTCACCCCGACCGCGCCGCTTTTACACGCCACTCTCTGAAAGCCCTTGGCTTGTCAGCCTCACCCTGTTTCCCTTCGAAAAGGCTCCAAAAGTATCGCCCTCGGCGGTTCATTTCCTAGCATCACTTCTGAAAATGTGCCTCCTTCATGTATTCGACTGCCCGGCGCACCTCCCAGAGAGTTCGCTCGATACCTTGCTATGTCCGTCAGATGGGATCCTCACAAAGTCGAAGCAGTTTGTTTGGTGCTAGTGACTTTGCTATAGATGACTCTCTAGTGGTTCCCACGTTACAGAATTCGCCAATAATTCTTTTGCCTGAAACTGATGTTGTCCCCCTTCAACACCAACATTATTCCTCCTCGGCCCGATCAAATCAATTATTCAAAGTCAACAGACTACAATATTTGAAGCAGCACATGATGCACAGAATTGGGATCCAAAGGGAGATACGCTTTTCAAGCACTTTCGTACTGTTAAAGCCTCCCATTCCACTGCAGCCGTGATTGAGAAGAGAAGGGACGCATCACTAGCCTGTGCTTGTACCATGGACAGCTCCAGCTGTCCAAGATCACTACACTACCACCACACTGCTCTATTTGTCGCTTGGACCTTGTCGTGACAGCTGCTTCCAAGCCGATTGCATAAAAGCCAAGATACTCGATACTCGTCCTGGACTACACTCGCCGTTGTGTCGGAGACGTACCTTTCTGCTGAGGCATATACGGTCACCGCGTCAGATCTAAACCATCGATTTTTTGAAAGATGACTTGAGCTAGGTCAATGTGCCTTGTAACACTACTGTGCTTTTTTTTTTTTCATGCGATCACCTGTATTTCAACCCGCTGACTGGTTTACAAACATCTTCGTCCGTCACGCTACAGTGACCTGGCAAATCTTTCTCGGCCAATTTGGTGACTCCCCATCGAAGCGGTTTGCACGAGACGTCTGGGTCGCCTTCATCGCTGTGGTGGCAGGCTGCCGCGATGGCCAGACTGTTCGTTCCACATACCGGGATCCCAGGGGCGAGCTTCTGCATTCCGGCCAATAGCATAACTACCAAGGACAGTACGAGGACTAGAATCACAATCAGGATTGCCAAGGGGCTGTATCCACACGCCGAGATGTCTCTCTCGGGCTGCTCCTTGCCATCCCAACCAAAAACGTTGATTCTCACCATGAACAAACTCCGCGAGACGATCCAGTGCAGGACAATTGACATTGTCAGCAATGGCAGACTGTACTTCCAGGGGAGCTGAAGCCAATACGTTGACCGCTGGCCCTCGCGCGGCTCGCTCACACGCAAGGCCTTGGGAGTAGATGCGAACCGGCCCCACTCGGCCGCCATGACCATGGAGGTGAGCAAGCCATTGTACATGAAGTACAGCGTCGAAAACAGCAGCTGTGGCGTGTTGACAGTGATGACGTCGGCGAAGAGCGTGCGTGACTTGTTGGTCTGCACCACCGTAAACGTGGCATTGGAACCGGTGGTCGTGAATGACGTCGGATATGCAAAGAGCGCGTTCGGGTCAAGAGAACCAAACCCCCGACCGAATGGGTTGTTGATGCCGGTTCGATGCAGGTCGCGCACGCCAAGCCACAGCACCACAAGCGACGCGGCGAGTAATCCCACGTACAGCAAGGCAAAGGCCGCCCAGCGATTGTGTGACGGGATTGACCCCCAGCGCCTCGTCCTTTCAGTCCAGACAGCGCTGGCTGGATCTAAGTCGAGCTTTTCTGCCCAAGCCCTGGTCCCTGCGCTGATGCTTGCGGCATTGACATGTTGATAGCGATGGCTGAAGGAAGATTTGGTGTTGTTCCTGTTCCTCCTCCTTGACCACCACGACCACAAGGAGTGCCATTGCCATTGCCGTGACCACAGGCTTTTCTTGGACAACCGACGTGCTTGGTTTTGTTCAAGCAAGCAATAGCCGCGCGTGTAGGGATCGGGTCTCTCCAAGAACGATGCAATGGCGTCTCCCAAGGTGGCCAGCCGTCGCTCCGACACCATGAACAGAACGGCCGACATGGCTATGATCTTGACAATATCGCAGCCGATCACAATGAGGAGAATTGTGAAGTTGTACTGCAGGCTACATTTCTCCTCGGTGCTCTGACTCAGACAGTGGTCGACTTCGAAATTTTTCGGAGTCACCAGCCACGGACTTGGGGCTTGCGAGTTCTTGCCAGAAGTACACGCCTTGCCCGCGAGCAGATCGGCCGTGCTGCACATCCAGCTCGTGGGATTCCACTGGCCTGCTCGGAGGATATCAGGATTGTCGAAGTCGTACTGCATTTCCTTGATCAGGGACCAGTAGTTATAGTCAAATGACGAAAACACGCTCCTGAGAGAGTCGACGCCGTATACGCCGTCTAAGGGCCAGATGTATAGTCCGCCACTGTTGTTTTGGGGAAGGATCCCCGATGTCCAGTGGTGGATGGTTTGGTTGAAGATGGGTTCCGCGTTGCCGCTGAAAGGATTGAAAAACATCCCAACGCCCTCTGGCAGCTGGAAAGCCGTAAAGGGGTCAATCGGCTCAAAAGTGTCTGACTGGCTGGATAACGACGGCGACAGTTCTGGGAGGGTGCTGTATTTGCCCGTGTCTTGCTTCGTGATCACCACCACATTGGACGCGTCGCTCTGCAGCTCGACCCCATATCGCGCGAAGCAATCATCGCGGGACAGGTGCTCCAGATCTCCAACCGCCAACCACATAAACAAGCTGAATTGTTGAGCCAGGGATCCTGCGACCGTACCGTTCCAGAAGGTAACTCTGCCACTGGGCGGGTCACCAATTCCCCAGGTGCTGTCGGCGACGACGATGCCGTAATTATTCGCCTGTAGCGCGCTGAAGAAGGCTGAGTTGAGTAGTAGGTGAATAGGCACCGTGGTTAGGACGAGAGACACCCAGAGAAGCGAATTCCACGATACCGGCCGGAACAAGTTGTGCACCGACGGAATGCCAATGTTGAGGTACGAGCCGGCCGCATGCGCGCCGTCGATGTCTTTCCTGCTCGGCGCCGACAGACATTGCATCACGTAGTTGCTCGTCGCGACCAGAACCGTGGCAATGATGTTGAGCGGGATCGCCAGCAAAGTGTTGATCCGCTCGACCTTCGCGCAGTCGCCCACGTACAGGACCCCGATGTTGTGCTTGTTGCCCTGCGGCTTGTTGAGGGACATGGCGCACGCGAGCATGACTAGCTCTGCGACCAGGCATGCCACGACGGCCATGGTTGAGAGGAACACGCCGAACCGCCAGCCTTGCAGTCCCCATTTACTGCGCAACCCTGTCGAGGCGGCGTTCCCCAGTCGCGGATCGGTGTCGACTCGTGCCACCACTGGATTGGACCTAGTGATGTCGCGTTTGAGTTGCTGTCTGCCTGCTGAGGTCGTGGGGAGCCGGTCGTGCACAAAGTCGCGTGCCCAGGTCCATTTGTCTCGAAGAGCACGAGGAGGACGAGATGGTCCTGGTGTCTCATCCGTACTCGGGAGATGATGCTCGTCTTCTTCAACCTCTTGGTGAGACGGTGACGGCTGCGGTGGCGCCTCCGCTGTAGAGATGTTGGTTGCGTCGCTGCTGAGCGCATAGTCTTCTCGCAGGGTGATCTGGTCCAGCTGGATAGCGATATCAGAGAGGAGACTGATTTCTGAGGCTGAGAGGCGAGGGTCAGCCATTGATCACGACACTGTCCCCCCCTTTTTTTTTTTTTTGTTTTCCCCCAATAAAAAAAAAGAGAATGTTTTTGCTGAGGCTGGGACTGCAGGTTGTATCTCATTACGTCTGGAAGCTGTCTCCATCTCAGGGTACATCATAGAAACAAGGCTGGTTCATAAGCTTCACCATCGACCAATAGCAGAAATGCCTCACGAATCGGTGTGCAGACAACCGAGGAAGAGCGGGATGGCGAAGACGCACGAGCTGTGATGAGAGTCAAGACCATCTGCGACTGAATCGCCCTCAAGCTCGAATTCTGCCTGATAGTAAGTCAATAGGTTGATAAGCAGCGACTAAGCTGGGGGGCTCAGTCAAAAGGGGGATCGCGCGCAGGCCCTAAAATCCACTTAGCGCCGTACTCCACAGTCACTCTCCGCGGTCATTCTCGACATTGCGAAGTCCTCCCCTGATGTCTCCGACGGCATCTTCTGTAGATATAGTTAGTGCCGAAAGGGGCACCGCCTGAAACTATAATGGAAGACCCGTCCGTAGCGTCATATAGGCAGCTCAAAGTACCAGCTTATGGTCGCCGAGGACGCCCTCCTATGAGGGTTTGGAACTCAGCCTGACTCACGCGCGGCTGGGGTGAGCACAGGGCGGCATCACCCTATCCCCAACGCAGAGTGAGCCGCGAGCAGATATCCCAATCCTTGGCTGTCGGGAATTCGCGAACAGCACTCGGTCGGCAACGAATGAACTCGACCTAATCTCGACTTTCGGTGATAGAATTTGTCGTCCCTTGCCATTAGGTTCAAGATATCTTGCCAATGCGAGTCGACAGTCGAAATATTCCCCATGGCCTTATCTCGTCGGCTCTCGAGACACGTCAAGTTGTTTCTCGGGAATAGAAAAGACCAGATCCCCTCGGCAGGGAGAAGGGGTTTTCTCCCAGATCCCATCACCTTGTCAAGTCAGCCGCCATGGTCAAGTTCAGTGCCGAAACAATCAAGGCTCCGTTTGAAAGCAAAGAGGCGTTCCTCAGATTCGTCCGTACCGACTCCCCCGGAGGCGTGGTTTCGACACCATGGAGCAACAAAGACCTGGAGCCAACTCCACCTGAGCACCGCCATTGGAGATGGTTCAATTTACCCTTCTACTGGATGACCACTGCGTTTGGAACGGCAGGGTGGAACCTGGCCGCCTCTTTGATTGCCACCGGCCTGGTGAGTAATGCGCAAAGCCAAAGCGCGTCCAGGCGAGACCGAAGATATCCATCCTCATGCTGACCAAACGTGGGCAGACATGGCGGCAATCGTTTGCGGCATGCGCCCTCGGGGTCTTGATTTCAGGGATCGCGGTCGTCCTCGCCGCTCGCTGTGCCGCCGTGTACCACATTGGATACCCCGTCATCGCCCGTTCCATCTTTGGCCTCTACGGCAGCTTCTTCTTTGTCTTCTTCCGGGCCACTATAGGCACCATTTGGTATGGCATCAACACCTTTTATGGCGCCAACCTCATGTCAACCTGCCTGCTGTGTATGTTCGGGCATAAGTGGAAGAACTTCCCCAACCACCTACCCGAATCAGCCTCGATTACATCCGCCCAGCTTCTATGTTTTTTCCTCGTCTGGTTTATCCAGGCCCCTTTCACGCTGATTCACCCTCGCAACGCTCACTGGGTCTTTGTCGTCAAGGGCAGCGTGATGCCTGTTGCTATATTTGGCCTCTTTGGATGGTGCATGGCGAATGGGGCCGGGATCTCCGCCATTGGTAATCCCCTGGCCAAACAGGCAGATACACCGTTGGGTTGGGCGATGCTATCAGGCATCAATAGTGTTATTGGCATCTCGGCTGGGCTCTTGGTCAGTCAACCTGACATGGCGAGTGAGTTTTAATCCTCCGAATCCAATTCACACTTGACTCGTCACTAAACTCGGATCCAGGGTACAGTGTCAATCCACGAGCAGCTGGAATTCCTCAAGGTTTCTTCCTTGCCATTCCGAAGCTGCTAGTCCTCTTCCTGGGTCTAGCTTCGACGGCCTCTATGCAAGGCAAATGGGGCACTGCTTACTGGAATATCTGGGATCTAAACAATGCGATCTTGGAACACAACTGGACTGCCGCTGCAAGAACTGCCGTCTTTCTCGAATCACTATGCTTTTTCTTCTCCACCGTCGGCACGAATATCGGTGCTAATCTTATACCCTTTTCCGCGGATGTCGCTGGGCTTCTCCCTCGGTACATCACCATCGTCCGCGGCCAGGTTCTGTGCGCTCTCATTGCAGTTGTGATCTTGCCTTGGAAGCTCGTGGCTTCGGCGCAAGCATTCCTGACTTTCTTGGGCGCCTACAACATTTTCATGGGCCCGATTCTGGGGGTAAGATTATATGATTAATGCTGATTGAAAGTGTTTTGATGCAGACTGACATTGATGGCAGCTTATGGCCGCCGACTACTTCATTGTCCGAAAGGGCAACATTCACATCCCGTCGCTCTATCAGCCGATCAAAGGTACTCTATACATGTTCTACCATGGCTTCAATCTTCGCTCCCACCTCGCATGGACTGGGGGTATGCTGCTGGGTCTGCCAGGTCTTATCGCCGCCTACCAGCCGAATGCTGTGGGGGAGTCGGCCAAGCGTATGTATACAATGGCTTGGATCCTGACAACTGCCATGACGGTCTTCCTGTACCTCGTCCTCTGCTATATCTTCCCGGTGCAGACATATCCCACCGCCTACAGTGATGTTCCTGTCAAGTGGGAGTACCTGGGTGCCACGGAGGGCTATTTCGACGGGGAAGAGAGACGCCCGACCGTCTTTGATGAGCTCCACGGACTGCCCATGCAGGAAGAGAATATCGAAAAGGAGGCCATCACTATTGACATGGAGAAAATTGTTGGTAGCAAGACGGAAGTATAGGCCGATGGGTGTGTCCCCGTTCCGGCTTCAGACAGAGAGATGGGGATGACAAGCGTGGTCCTCGGTTTCAGCTACCAAAAGAGACGCCTGGCGATCAGGTGTCGACAGTCTCTTCAACTACAAGCACACCTTACCTAGACCGTCCTTTTCTGCTTTAAATAGCTGCTATAACGAAGACGACTTCGATACGTACTACACGTTTTTTATTTTGAAAAATCTAATCTATTGTTCTAAACAAACGCTACTATAGTTACGAGCAAGACTTCAGCGTCAACTCGTCCATATCTAATCAGGACTAATACATCACGTTCATCCTGGTTCCTACCTATTTCTCCCTCATTTCTCTCGCTCTGAAAGTCTGGCTAACTACTGTCTGGATCGACCCTGATCAGATCCCTGTAAAGCGGCAGCCCGGCGGCATCCTTGAGTGGAAGCTTGGGGCGTGCTATAGTACCGAATAGAAGCCGGTGGAATGACGTAAATGGCTGGGACAAGACACCTGAGCAACAACTGTCAGAATCTTCCCCGACGGTGGCCACCAGGGCGTCTCAGGTGTTTGTGGCGTGTCGACGGCATGGTGGTACAGATGATTGTTCTCCTTCGACAGAATCTCCAATGTGCAGAGTGAAGGTCCGCCGTCAGCCACATCTGAAGTCTTAGCGACGAGTGAAAAGACCTCCTCTATCGATAAGAAATCCCGGCAACCCCGTTCAAACGAACTTCTACCCTTTGCATCTGTGAGGATGCTGCGGAATGCCTGCATAACTTCATTTGACCGAATTCTGAGATGACGAGGGGTACAGCGGGTGCAGCAGACGACAAGTTACACGTCCCCCAAAAGAGGGTCGAAAAGCAAATCGATGGTCGACAACCTATCATCCGGACCATCAATGGCGCTACAAATGTACAGGAGGAAGCGGCCCCGACGAGAGTCCAGTGACGGGTACTCTGTCGAGGAGATCTCGGCCGACGACATCGGCTATGACGGGGACATCGAGGTGCTCCTCCCGGACCAATACGAGGAACCTGACTCGGATTTCGAAGACCCTAAGGCGCTCCGAAGGCTGTGGCCAGACACAGACGATGAGCTGGCCACCAAACTACGGCGATTGTCCTGCGATCCTCACCCCCTCCGACACGCTCGCCGGGACGACGGGGAGCGCGGCCGGAAACGCATGTCGAGGGAGATGGACGACGAGGAGGGTGAGGTCCCGCTCAAGCACACGGAGATTGAAGTGTCTGAACTAGTCGACGGACACGCCGAGCAACCACCACCGAAAAGAAGGAAGAACAAGAACAGCAAGCCCCCGCTGGGCCAGCGGGCTGCGAAGAAGCATGCGGCTGCGGTAGAGGCCTGGTCCGACAGCTCCGACCGGTCCGAGGAGGCCATGGTCGAGTCGTCGACGGGGACACCAGATGGCACGAATACGCCGTCGACACCTATGAGGAATGGCAGGGCTGAAGAGGAAGATCTTGATGCCATGGACCTTGGATGAAGGGGTTCCGGGTTGTCATGGACAGGTATTATTCGTACTCGGTACTTGTTACTTGTATTCGGCGGCAATAGGCGATAAGCAATAGGGCACTTTTGGAAGGGGGCGCCGGATTGGGGCATTTGGCGGGCAGTTGGCGGGGTTGGTGGCTTGGTCGGTGGTTCCTGACTAGAGAGCGCAAACCGCATCCTCCTCCAATGTCTCCATGTCTCCATGTCCCTCCGCTGCCTCCACCACCAGCCGAACAGCTTCCGACCTCTGTCTCACCACCACTTCTTGTGCAGGCTTGTGATAGAAGCTTCCACGCCGCCGCACGGGTCTGGTTCCGATCTTACATCATTGTGCCTCTGGGCCCTCACAGGTGGACTAACTTTAGCTGCACTTCACTTGTTCCCTTGCTCCTCCCAGCACCATGACAAGAATGAGCTTGTCGCTGCCGACCCGACTCCAATGGCTTCTTGACCTCTGCTCATTCTGCCCATCCTCTTTCCATCAACCACCATCTTAGTGTCCTTGTTCACCCTCGTCTTTCACTCGTATCCATCACTCTAACGTTGCGCCCACTAACCACCATGACCGGTCGACGCTCTTCTGCTCGCATCGCGGCGCAACACCAGAGCTCCCAGAGCTCCCAGACCGCGTCTCCCCCGCACCCAAAGTCGTCGCCGGCTGGAAAGAAGCGCAAGAATGAGACAGCGGGCTCGTCCCCAAGCGCGAAGCGAGGCAAAAAGGATGCGCAGCTCGAGCAGAAGACTCTGGATGAAACCCTGCAGCAGAAGTAATGCCTCTCTTCACTCCCCCGCGCCACATCCTCGCTGACATATGCTACCCAGTGGAGCTCATGAAGAGCCCGCCCCGGAGAAGGCCGACCAAGAAATGACCGAGCCTGAGCCAGCTAAGCCCGAAGAGCCGCAGACGGACAAAGTCAACGGTGAGACAGCCGCGGCGAAAGAACAGGATGAGCAACCCAAAGAGGTGGAAGCTACCGAAAAGCCAAAGGAGCCCGAGACCGAAGGTGCAAAACTTGAAGCCTCGGAGCCCAAGGAGGTAGAATCCAAAGAGGCCGAGCCCAAGGAGGCCGAGCCCGAGGCGGCAGAGCCCAAGGAAGACACAAAGCCCGCCGAGACGAATGGCGACGCTGTTGAGCCAGGTGCGCGTGAAGATGACGTCCCCTCCACCATCCTCGAAAAGGGAGTCATATACTTTTTCTTCCGCGCCCGAGTCAACGTGGACCACCCCGAGGACGTCAACGATGTTGCGCGCTCCTACATGGTCATGCGACCCATTCCTCTTGACGCGAAACTCGGGGATGGGCCAATTGGCGACGATGGGAATTGTCGGCTTCTAGCTCTACCCAAGAAGGTACTGCCAAAGAGTGGCAAGGACAAATTCGTCACTTTTGTCGAAAAGCATAAAACCAGCTTTGCGGAGCTCAAAGAATCCTTCATGGCCGGCTCAGAATATGAGACCAAGACTGCTGGCACAAGACACACCCCTCCAGTCACTCCACTGGCCGAGGGAGTCTATGCAATCACCTCTACAGGACGCGAATCGCATCTGGCCTACATCGTCAACATCCCTGCTGAGATTGGTGAGATGCAGAAGGATTTTGGCCTCAAACAGCGTGGAAGTTTCGTGACCAGTGTCAAGAACCCTGAACAGCCTCCTCTGGGCAACCAGAATGTGCCTAAGGGACCCGAATATCCCCAAGAAATCATTGATGAGTTCCGGGGTCTCCGGTGGAAACCACTGGAGCCAAAGTACCTGAATTTTGACAATGCGCAATTTCTGATGATCGGAGAGGACTATGACAAGGCCACGGAACAGCGGCCCAAGGATGAGCGAGAGAATAATGCTGCGCCTGAGGAGGAAATGGAGAAGCTGGATGGCGAAGATGAGATACGGATCAAGCATTTGAAAGGTGAGTGCAACTCGAACGTCTTGTATGTGTGTAGCTGACATTTCCAGGCGATGATACTGTCTTTACGGATCTCGGGATCACGTCCAAGGAATTCCCCCAAGTGTCAACTACCTGGTAGTTGTCGCCTCGTGAGGGCAGTCTAAGAAGGTCGGGTGGTTGATTTTTGTCTTTGTTAGGCTCAATACCGCGCACTGTTCCGATCGGGAGGTAAACGTGAAAAAGCACTCCATAGCCAAGGCGGCACTTCAGTGTATCCATCTACAAAAGCCATGGAGTAGATATCCTCCACATCCAATGCTTGGAAAGACCAGGCGAGAAAATCATTTGCATCGTCTTTGAGATCGTTGACTTGATGAATGCTACAGACCGAAATGAAATGAAATGAAATTCATTAAGTAACAAAATTCTCGTAGTTCTTTCGTAGTCGCATCCTGCGTCAGCCTTGCTCGGTTTCTCCCTAGAACCCCTGTGAGTGCTGCGCCGCCCCCTCTGGATTTTCTTGATCATTGCTCCTGACAGCCTCGATCTGTTGCACCTGTTCCCGAATCTGCCACAAGGCCCACTCGAGATATCCCACGTTGGGGGCCACGAGTTGGAGGAGGCTCTGCACGAGAGCCAGGCCGCCGCGGAGATGGACGTGCATGGATCTCGTGGACCCCTGCATGCCCTCGATGTAGATGAAGAGGATGCTGGCGAAGGCGGCGAGCTCGACGCTCGCGACGGAACTGTCCAGGCGGGCATTGAGCCGCTGGATCGCCAGGGTGTATTGCGCCAGGCAGTATTCGGCGGCGGAGTGAGATTGAGAGTGGGTGTGGTTACATGAGTGGTGTTCGGGAACATAACTCGTCGTCGTCGTCGTCGTCGTCGGGTAGTAGTTGTGCCTGCTCATCGAGCTGATCGCCAGCGCGGCGTGGTAGATGCTGGCCTCGGCGAGCGCGTACCGCAGCACGAGCGCCCCCCACCACGGACTCTCGAAGTACAGGGCGAAATCCCGCGCGCAGACGTGCCGGAAGTACTCGAAGGTGCTCGCTTCGAAGCTGTCCAGGGCGCACAGGTGACTTGGGAGGCTGGACGGGCGGTGCCACAGGGACCTCCGGACAACCCTCCATTCACGGACAACATGCGATGACCGCGCGACGGCTGGACGGGTAGTAATAGTAGTGAAATCACATGTCCGCCCCGTGCTGCTGCATTGCAGACAGGCCGGTCTGGCCTCGTTGCACCGCTTGTGCCGAATTCTGCGGATTTGCCGAGTCCTGGAATCAGCACAGCACATCGAACACATGCATGTACATAGTTCTCTCTGTCTCCCTCCTCTTTCGGTGGATGGGACGACCAAGGGACCGTGAAGGGGGGAAGTTATTACTTGCAGGTCTGACACCCGCTCTTGACCTTGCGCTGGCCCCTCGCGCCCATGCGAGGTTTCTTGCCGGTGCCGAGTCTCAGACGGGTCTCCACGCCTTCTTCGGGAGGGATGGTGGCTCGCGGCAGAGCTGCCGACATTGCTGGGTGTTTGCCCGTGGGAAGACACCTCGTCGGAGTGGATGTGCCCATTCCGATCCCCGTGTGTGTGGGATGAAGGGAAGAACAGGCATTCATTATTTAGTCCGTCACCGACCGTGTCTTTGTGCTTTTTATTCAGGACGGTGGAACTCAGGTGGATCCAAGTTGGAGGATGGTGTTGGTTCGTGCGTAATTTGAAGCCGCCCACCTTTCCTAGGACGGTGCTAGTCTTGGAACATATCGTATTACAAAGATGCCTAGTGCCCAACTCAACTTGCGGCAGGGAGGTGAATGTGTTTGGGGAAAGGTTGGGGGCCCTTGAGCGCCCTGGGCTGTCTGTGCTATAGCAGGCTCTTCTATAAATCTTTGGTCCTTGCCCAAAATAACTTCACCCTCTTCACAGTTCATCCTGTAAGTACTATTCTCTTCAATATGGCTGCGACATCCTCGGAGGTTGGTGTCCCCGAGCCCGATGAGAACTCGCCCGTGGCCATAGCTGCTCGCCGCCAGGAGATACAAGCCTGGGAGCAGGCCGCCATTGGGATTCTCGGTCCTTGTCCCCCAGACCTGAACGAGTCGACGATCGACATTCGACTTTCAGACCACTTTGTGAGCCAGACCATCGTCGTTCGGCCCGTCTCGAAAGGGCATAAAAACGGGCACAGCGTCAATAAGTGTCCTCTCATCGTGTACATCCACGGGGGAAGCTTTACCTTTGGCACGCCAAACTTTGCCCTTTCTCCCGCCCGGGCATTTGCATCGTATTTTGGGGCCATCGTCGCCTGTCCGTCCTACAAGCTGGCACCCGAGAATCCCTTTCCAGTCCCGATGCAAAGTGCATGGGAGGTGGTAGCGTGGCTGTCGGATCCACGGAACCTCAACGATGGGGCCCTCAAGCACGAAGGGATCGAGTTCGATCCTTCCCTCGGTTTCGTCCTGGCGGGCTGCAGTGCTGGCGCGACCATCTCCGCAGTCATAGGCGGCATTGCGTCAGCAGCGAAGGCAGGCCACGCAGAGCTCGTGCAAGGGTTACCCAGCCTTGTCTCGTCCATCTCGGGGCTCTTCATCTCACTCCCTCACATCGTCCATCGAGACATTGTCCCAGCCAGACACGCATCCGCTTTCCGGTCTCGCGAGGAGAATGCCAACGCGCCATTCATCAACGCGGCGTCTCTGGCCAATTCGATCAAGAGACTCCAGACCGACTTCCGGTCACCTTGGTTTTCACCTCTCAACCTGGATCTGCCAAAGATCAAACCATATCACCCTCCACGGGTCTACGTACATGGTGGCGACCTAGATATCCTTCGCGATGATGCGGTGATCTATGAACGGGTGTTGAGAGAGGAGGGCGTCGCGGAGACGAAGATTGATGTGCTGGAAGGCTATGGTCATGTCGGCTGGATTTCGGTCCCATTTCCTGAAGCCCACACACCAGAAATCAAGGAAAAGGCGATGGACGGCATGGCGTGGATTCTGGGCAAGGATTGGGACAGAAACAGACCGCTTCCATACTAATCAGCATTCTCGATAGTTATTGATTTCGCCCACGAAATGTGTCAGTGAACCCCCTTTTTTATATTGTTCCAAAGTGCCCAGCCACAGACCATGCCTAAACAAGTAACAACGCTTCCTTGACCCGGACGACCAGCTCAGCGCAATTTCCTGCAACCACTTTGCACTGAACAACCAACGACGCAATGGGTGTCCAGAAATCTCTCACTCAGAGCCACTCGCCTGCTCTGCTGAATACAATAGCCCAATTCTTGCCGAGTCCGTGGCCTAGAGAATCTGACGGCCGTTCCTTTCCGTTTCTCCATACGATTGCACATCGTCCAACCCCCGCTTCACCAGCATTGAGGTGAGGAGCCCAAGAAACCTCGCCTAACAATCCCATCAAACGTCTGTTCGTGCACACATTCTTGCCACTCTATTCCGTACTTGGCTCGTGGTCTGTTGGGGGCAGTGTTGGCCTGCCGTACGACTCTTGACTGCTTTGTGCCAGTTGTTGACCCTGGAAGAACCGACACTGCGCCGACGTCAAGCTGTCGGCTTGAAATTTCCTTCCACCTGAATCCACCTATACCAGCCTCCTGTGAGTGATCCCTGTACGGAGTACGGTGCGCCGAGTGCTCCGTCAAGATATCGAATTACGACATGAGCGAGAACGCCTCGTGACGATAGGCGCTGTCGCAAGGTGGGTATGTGGCTGAAACCGAGACAATTCCGCGACCTTTGCAGAGGATATCCCGCCCCTTAGGATCCAAAAGTACAGGGTCGACACAGTCTCTGAAAGGACCGGAGCAACATGGGGTACTTCTCTTGGCCCCCAGACGAGTACCTTGTATGCGCCACCTGCATATGCAAGCGCTTATTTCTTCTGCTAGAGGGCGCTTATGGAGCCAGGGCGCCAACTACTGCGCATAGGACTCGAACAAGGTAACATGCGACCCATATACCCTCCAGGTACGTCCTTCGTGCAGGGCTGGTGATGGCAACGCAACGCCCCCTAGTTCTTGCAGCGCGAGTAAAAGGGGAACAGGTACGGAGTACGGAGTGCATGCTATCCACCGACTCTCTTGGGATCCTCCTTTGTTGGTCTCTCTCTGGGGTCAAGTTATGGAAAGTAAACACTCTGTCCATCGCACGATGGCGCTATTCTCCAGCCTCAACCGGGTGATTGCGAGGTTCGCCCGATCGTCGGCCTCTTCTCCGAGCAAAGAAAGTGTTTGGCGTGCTGCGCATCTGCGACATTAGTCTCTACATTCTGGGATAGCATCCTTTCGGTCCAGGCTCCAGGTGGGGTTTGGGTTTGGTCACAGAGCATGACACGGGTGTGCAAAACTGTGCAGAAAGTCCCCCATTCAATCTGCCTTTCTATCTTCTTCAGCAACTCCATTCTATCAGTGGCAGCTTCCCACGTTTTCAACCTACACTCAACTAACTTCCAGCCACGAGAACTCTGCAGCCATGGTCAGACGACCCGTAAGTACTGTTGTTCCCGAAGCCACTGCTGGTAGAAGAGGCTGACGGCAGTTGTCTAGCTCGAGGCAGATCACCCTCCCGCCGAATCATCCGTGCTCGTCAGGACCCGAGTCCAATCTCCGCGCAGTGACAGCGACCGAAGCAGTCCAAGACAATTCACGCCTTCTTCGACTAGAAGTCGTTCGCAGTCTGCTGACCTTCTCGAACCTTTGGAAATCGACCCAGATGTGCCAATTCCTTCAATTGAAAGAGAGTCTGATGAGGCCTCGAGCCTCTCTGCTCACAACAATCTATCTGTGCGCGCCAGAACACCTTCCTTTTCTATTACGCCGCCTGTTACGGAGGGCATTGCGACTCCAATTCCTTCATCCCCCAGCAACCGTTGGACAAGTCCGACACCGTCCTCTACAGTGCCCGCCTTAACTGAGCGTATTGGTCAGCTAGAGCTGTCTGGAGAGCCGGTAAGGCGCCAAACATCATCTAGTATATCTGATGGTAAAGTTTCTGCTCCAAGTCCTGTGGACAATGTTACCCGTATCATGGAGAATATCAGATTGGGCACGGAAACCCCACGGCCTGATACTCCTACTCCGGCCACTTACCTTCATCCGCGATCCCCAAGCCCCAACGTATCAATTGACGGGGCGGATCGCAATACAAGATCTGCCTCCCGCCGTAGGTCGGGCTCTTATGTCGATCCGACCCCTCACAATGTCACAGAGGAAGAACCCCCGCAAGAGCCGTTTCACGAGCCAGAGTTTCAGCGGGAGTTTGCCAACGCAAAGAACCTTGTGAGCGATTTGGTCAACGTGCTTGCAAGCTCGTCGCTGCACCATGAAGCACAGTCCCGTATACGCGCCTTGTACTTGCAGGCTGTCGATTTGAGTCACTTCCAAAAGCCCGCTACTCGTACTGTGGGCTTGGTAGGGGACTCGGGGGTTGGTAAGTAGACTTGAGGCCCTTGTTTAACTGAGCTGTCTCTCATCACACCTAGGCAAAAGCAGTCTTCTGAACTCACTTTTGGATTTCGAAGGCTTCGCTCGATCGGTTAGTTGCTGCTCTTCCCGTATCCCTCGTCGAACTATCGCTGATCTCGCGGTCGGTAAAAGAGTAACAGTGGGTGGGCATGTACTTGTGTTGCAACTGAGTATCACTACCACGAGCATGAAAATTTCGCCATTGAGACGGAATATTTCACTGTGGATGAGCTTCACGATCAATTCAGCGAGCTTCTGCAATCATACCGACAATATCATCTTCGCGATACCCAGGACAATGACATGGGAGAAGACAAAGAAGATCTCAAAAAGAAAGCGAAGGTCGCTCAAGACACGTTCCTTGCTGCCTTCCGGCACCGCCTAGCGCATAATGAACGATTCCTTCTCGACAATTCCGAGGTGACTGTCCTCCAGACATTGCTAACCTGGGTCAGGAATTCCCATCTAGCTCTATTGGAAAGGCCTGGCGCAGGGGCAGAAAGAGAATTCTTCGAGGAGGCAAGCCAGTGTTCTCGCCGCTTGACCGAGCTTACCTCGGAGCAAAATTCTTCGAATGAAGCCTCCACATGGCCCTTCATTCGAAAGATTAAGTTCGTGAACGCAATGGAGACCTATTTCCCTGCCCATTGAACCTGGCTGATTATGGCAGAGTCTATCTCAATGCATTTATTCTGAGCAAGGGCCTTGTACTCGTCGACCTTCCAGGTGAGGGGATACCTTTCAAGCGGTACGCCCTTTTTTAACAGTTTCAGGTCTTCGTGACCTCAACTCGGCTCGGCTCAAGGTCACCGAGAGGTACCTGCTCAATTGCGACGAAATTTTTGCCGTATGTTATATAGGTCGAGCTACCACTGATGCTAGTGTAATGGGAGTATTCGACCTCGCCAGGAGGGCTTCGCTGTCGAAGATTGGGATCATTTGCACGAAATCCGAAGTAAGTGCTAAATCACCACCAGGATCATTTTATTACCCTAGCAGATATGGCAAACTCCGCGAAGCTCTCCTGCTGATATTCTCCACAGGATATTCTGGCAGAGGAAGCTAAGGAGGATAGGAATGGAGAGGCTAGAACACGCATCGAGAACTTCACCAGCAACATCGACAAGATGAAGAAATCCTTGGGCGCGATCGACCACGAAATAAAAGAATTCAGCATCGATAGTGATACCGAAGCCGAGGTTGACGAAGAAGAGAGCCGTGAGCTCGTGCGGCTTCACAATGCCTCTAGAAAGTTAAAGTAAGTCCTTTACGTGAAGGTACTTGATATTGACACTGACGTTTCCCCTTTCCCAGAAAACGGATCAAGAAAGAACAGTTCGAGTGAGTAGTTCTGCCCTCGAACCCTGCAGACGAATGACAGTGAACCCATCAGGTTGAAAACCTTCCTCGTGAATACTCGCAATCAGCAAGTCACAGCCTCGCTTCAGACAATCTACCAGCAGCGGATTCCTGGAGGAAACTTGCCAGTTTTCTGCATTAGCAATCTTGATTACTGGGAGCATCGAAAGAAACCAAAAGCCGAGTCCATGCCCTTCCTCCAACTGTCTGGAATTTTGCAAGTCCGCAAATATTGTCTTTCCATTGTCGCGGAAAGCCAGCTACGGGCGGCAGTCAGCTATATGACTGATGCCATTCCAGCACTGCTGGGATCTGTTGAGCTCTGGGTTCAATCTGGCGCGGGAAGTTTGAGCGCCGAAAGGAAACAAACTATTCGAAACAGCATTGAAGAGATCGAAGATGCCCTAGACACCGTGAGTTTCGTGGACGAGGACTTGGATGGGTTTTGGGCTGGCTAATTCGAAGTTCTCGAAAAGTTGAAGCTGCCTGGATCCTCTGTCAATGCGACCGCGCGGGCAATGGAGCAGCAATTTAATACCCGGATAGTTCGTACCATGAGTTCGTGACACCCGCAACGGAGACCGTCATTAGCTAATGTTCTGGCAGGACAATACTCGAACGATTGGAGTGAAGCTGCACAAGATGCAAGTATGGAATGGCAAGGGGTAAGTGTCCCAATATGGTATACCAGTATGTCGCGTTCAAACTAATGGGAGCACTGGCAGTGGAATCATGGTAAGGTAAATTCGGCTGTTCTGATGCGGCCTCTACGTGCGTGATCTTGTGCGGACGTTTACTTTCTTTTCAGGTACTTATTCCGCCTTCTGTCGAAAGTACGGGGACTACAATACAACTGCGGTTGGAAGGCGCTGCTGGAACGAAGAAGCTATTCAAGCCATGGTAACCCAGCTGGCCACCCCGTGGCGGACTCTTCAACAAGACCTTCAAGCCTCTCAGGATGACCTGCTCGACGCGATTGACGGTTGCTTCGATTCTGTTATAGCTCTATGTACGATATGAGCCACCCTAGTAACTACGTCAAGGATTGATCTGATCAAGTGCTGACGAACGGTTCCTAGCTGATTCAACCGATGGCACGACACGCTCACTGCGGACTTTGAATAGGACCATGAGGCACAGACAGGCCCTTCTCCTTTCTGCCGTGGAGGAACTGGAAGACAATTTCCAGAGCGATTTATCGTAAGAAAGAGACGCAGTTCCATCCGTTCTCATTAGACATCGAAGAGCTAATGCGCAACATAGCATTCTCCGTACCGATGCCTTTTCGGGCATTCGCACCTCGTTCATTGGTCAGCTTATGGAAGTGTCGTATACCAGAACCATCCAAGAGCAAGGTTAGTCGGCAGTGAAGAGGCGTCAAGAAACCCGCCTAGCGGTCCCAAGTCCGAGAATGGATTACTGATTCAAGAGGTCTCTGACACAGGCACCGGAAGCGACATGAGGCGCAAGAGAATCATCCGAGACGGGTTTGGCGACGACCGGCTCTTCGACAATCACCGCCGACGATTTAGAAACAGATTCTCCGACCTGGCCCGCGATCTACAAGACAATATCCAAGAGGCTATCGCCACGCACCTCGCCGCCATTCAGAGTGACTTGGACACCCTGAAGAACGAAAATGTGGCCCTGGAGAGCGAGCGGCATCCCGAGTTCCGCAGACGGGTCGAGGAAGCGGTGCGCGATATCAGACACCGGATGGAGGAGGCCTACACGGTTGTTTCTCGTTTCAGGACGGCCGCTGCTTGAGCGAGAAAACACTGAGAGGTTGGGAAACCGCCATGTACGAACAATATGGAGCTCCAGGCGTCGATTTCGTGTTCAAGACGGAGCATTATGCTGACGAACCTCAGGGCGACGCTGGTCTAGGTTTGTCTCGTAGACCTTGAGCCAGGCTGGAGCTCAACACAAACCGTAGATCCATAATGTTACTTTGTCAATCTTGTTACTTAGGAGGACGCCTAGTGATCCAGACTTCCAAAAGCCTTGTTTCCCGCCGAGACACACGACATTCACTGTGAACCCGCACACTCTGTGACACTTTGTGTCGTCTCGGCGGGACCGCCTTGTCACTAACTCAACCCCCCCCCCCTCCCGGGAGTATTTCAGCCGCGTCACATGTCACTCACCCATCTATTCATACATTTCATCACACTTTCAACAACTCCAAACCCTCGCGCCGGCAATGTCTTCGGGTCACACTCGTGCCACGCCCAATCTCTTGAGCGACCTGTACCTCCTGGCTGGATTTGCGGTCGACTTCGAGCTCCGCATCCCCGGGTACGCGTTCAAGTGCCACCGCGAAGACCTGAGCCGCAGCTCGAGGTATTTCGCCAACGTCTGCTCGGGGCACTTTCAAGAGGGGACCCTGGGGCACCTGGATCTGGAGAGGATTCGGGATCCGTTGGTGGTGCTGCGCATGATCCAGGCGATCTACATCCACGCGTACACCGAGAAGGAGGCCGATCTACCTGGCAAGTGGCGAGAATACCTCGAGAGCTCGAGAACCGGGCCCGCCGTGGACGAAGGTGGGATGGGGATTTCAGCACGTTCGCAGGAGGAGGAGGAGGACGACGACGACGACGAAGACGAAGAGGACCGAGCCTCCTTTGCATCCTTGTTCTCTGAATACCGACCCGACCACCTCTTCCTGCACATCGACATGTACCGGCTGGGCGAGTACTACGCCATCGACGCGCTGTCGGCGGTCAGCTTCCGCAAATTCGTCGGCGATACCTCCGGCCCCCTCTTCAGCGTCGACCTGCTCCTCTGGACGATCGAGTACCTCTACGTCACCGGCCCCCGCCGGGGGCACGCGACCCTGGGCCAAAAGATGCGGATGCGGGCCGTGTACCTGGCACAGAAATGCGAGATGCGACTGTTCTCGGAGAGCAAGTTCTGGGGTCTGATGCGGCAGAGCGTCGAGTTCATGTGGGACTACACCACCACGTGCCGCCGGGCCAACTACCTGCAGTGCCGGCGCATGGAGTGCGAGGCGACCTTTGAGCCGGCGGCGGTGGCGGGGGACGGAGGGGACGGGTGTGACTGTGCTGGACAGGGGGTGTGCCGCGTCTGCTTCGAGGCCGACCTGTACGGCAGGGTCAGGGAGGCGGCGATGTGCCCGTCGTGCCGCGAGGGGAGGTTGGGCAGGTGGAACTTGGAGTCTGTCGACAGGGTCGATATCACCAGCGTCGACGCCTTTGTGAACATGTTCCATCCGCAAAAAGAGACGTAGCGCTCAAGCGGGCACGGACGGCATGGACAGTGGGCGGAGGGTATGAAGGACGTTCGAAATTGGACGGGCTGGTCAAAGGAGAAAGGTAGCGTTTAAGCGGGCACGGGTGGCATGGATGGTGAGTGGGAATGTCAAAGACGTTCGAAATGGAAAAGAACTGGGCTGGGCATGACGTTTTCCGTTTGAGAAACAGGCACACAAAAGCACGATAGACCGGAAGGACGTCTAGGAGTCATGGACACAAGCATGATGGATTTGGCGGGCGAGGCCGTCCGTGTCACTGAACAAAAGAACACAGAAGCTTTGCGGCGTTAGAACACAGGCGAACGGCAAACAGAACGTCGGACTTTGATAAAATTGCATTTTATTCATTCACGCAAAGGCAGGTGATCATCTACCTTTTGCTTTTTTTTAACATGTATTGTGTGAGTGAATTTGTGAGGATGACGGGGAATTGTAGACACGAAGGATGATGGACCACTGCATCCATGGTGGAAGTAGGGAATGCCGTGGTGAGTAGGGTGTCATTCTGTAACAGAGTTGATCTTCTTTGCATCAAAATAGGCAACATTATCCTGGTGATGGCTCTCCGGAGACGGAAAGGGATAAAGGCCAGAGTGTTGGCAAAGGTGTTTGGGGGTTTGGGAGGGGTGCTTTGGAACGAGGGACTAATGATGATGATGGACAAGGGAGGGGAAAGTGGAAGGGGAAGGACGAAGCAATGGAAACCGGGACGGCCAACGCCTTTTGCTTTTGTGGGGTTTTCAAATTCTTTCTCGTTATCCTCATTACTCCTTTTGACGAGGGACGTGACATAATTCCCCCGGCATCGCTCATGGACGACATGTTCCTGATAGACCACGCAACCTCGACCGGGCGAGACTCGTGGGTTCTTGAGCAGACATTGCATCTAGATCTATTCATCGGGCACTGTTGTCCAGTCAGTTAGTAACAACGTTCCACAAAAGCGTCGAGTCGACGTGCGAGTACTGACCCTCAATTGAGCCTTCCTTGATCTCGTCACTGATGTCCTTGGGACTTCTTCCATCGACCTGGCAGCCCACACTGAAGCAAGTGCCCAGGATCTCCAAGACGGTACCCTTCAGCTCGCGAGCAAGCGACTTGTTCGCGCCACGCATGGTCCGGGCAATGTCGAAGACCTCGTCGAGGGGAATCGACTTGGAGTGTTTGATGTTCTTCTCCTTCTTGCGGTCCCGAGGAGGCTCTTTCAGCGCTCGGATGACGAGGGAGGAGGCAGAGGGAACGACGCTGACGGCAGCTTGTCGGTTTTGGATGGTCAGCTTGACGGTGACACGGAGGCCTTTCTGCAAAAGCACAACCAATCTGTTAGCCGGTCCCTTCCATGCTTGGCCCGTAACTTGTTGGGGGATCAGACGCACCCAGTCACCAGTAGCTTTGGCGATATCTTCTCCGACCTTCTTGGGTGAAAGACCGAGGGGACCGATCTTGGGAGCGAGCGTGGCAGAAGATCCGACCTCACCGCCAGTGGCGCGGAGGTGGCTGTAGAGCATCCAGGTCAGTATCTTGCGAGGTGGAATTTGGAGGACACGGGACACTGTCGGGGGGTTCATACATGACCTTCACCTCATTGGGGTCTAACTTGGGAGCTGAAAGATTGAACACATAAGGTTAGCCGCCGAGCTGATGCTGCTCAAGAAGACGATACTTACGCATGGCGAGTGCGAAAGGTAGTCAGTCTCTCTTGAGGTGATTGATGTGAGCTGCAAGAATAGAAAAACTCAGGGAGAAGCTGGTCTCGAAATTGCAACCAAAACTAGCAACTTTTTTCGGTTACTGCCAAGACTTCGGCTTGTGGGTGAAATTATTCCCAATACGGAAAGGTCTGATATGACTCGCGCAGATACCGCTCGACAGGTACGTACTACGGTACGGATGACTTGGATCAAGTGCATTTGTGTAAACTCATTTCGTGTCATGTCGATTTTCTACCGCCATCTAACCGCTCAACTCGATTGCTTGGAAAGGGAGATGCGGTCGACCCATGGACCCGGGTCCTGAGAGACCTCCAACATGCGTGGGCCCCGTAGCAGAGACGGACGCCCACATCCCTGTCCACATCGCCATTATTGTTGACTCTACTGCATGCTTCTAGCTGGACCCAGATACCGCCAGTCTGAATCGGATTAGCGTAATTCAAAGGCAACGAGGAGGGAAAACTTACTTCATCAGATGGTCCATGAATGTCTGCAATGATACATCATCAGTGAAAATCGTCTGGGCGGACTGCGAAACACCACCGTAACCGCCGGTCGCATGGGTGGTGGAAGGATTCAACTTTGATAGAAGGAAACGGGCTTGTGACCCTCCAGCATCGCAAATGATAAATCGTGGCAGAGGGAATCGATCCTGCACGAGTTCTCGTGCGTCTTCTTTGGGTGCGTCAAGAACAGCCCGGAAATTCTCATAACCTTCCTGCTCCTGATAGCCGGCTTTGCGCCATTCAGCCATCGTTTCGCCGTGGAAAATGAGAATCTGGAAGAAAGTATCCAGAAGCAGGATGGTCTGTGGTTGGATGGAGGCGGAGTCGAGCAAGACCGGCTGGCCACCTTCGTGGTCAAGGCCGTACGAGTCCAAAGTGGGTTGAATCATGATCAGCGAATCTCCCACGTATTCGTGATTGAGTACATGTCGATAAAATGCTGTTTCATCGGGTGAGTTGTTGAATACTTGAAGGAATTGCGATCTGCGTAGGTGGAACATGAACTGAGGATAGAGGGTGAAGTTCTTGTCGAGTCGGAAGGATGTTGGGTCATCTTTGCGATAGTCTGCGAAGCGTGAGCAGAGCCGGATGAGCATTCGGTCCACCCATCTGAGCACATCTGGCCCATCATCGACCTCTGCTTTAAAGACCGCAATTCTAGCCATAAGGACGGCTGCGGCTTCCTGGTCGAAAGATTGTGCCAAAGCTTGGTCCCCAGTTGGTCCACTCAAATTGCGAGCAACAGTGGTCACACGTAGGTGATACTGTCCGGACGAATGCTGGTAATATGTCAAGAACTGCATCATACCCCGTTGCGGGCCTTGCTGCATGGGTGCTGGACCACCCTGGTTTGCAACCTCAAAGTAAATACCGTAGCTGGATGTGGGGTCAATGCCACACATTTTCCAGAGGCAAGTGTTCCCAATACCGCATTCTGTCTCGCCGACAGAACTCGACTTCTTATTCTGGGAAACAGCGTGGCCAATGAGACCGGTTACCTTGAGTTCTTTCGTCGTAACAACCTCGAGAGACGCATTGAATCCCATCAGGAGATTGTCGCTCTCATCTTTGTCAAAGACTCGTACGAAAGACTGCTTGAATTGTGATGAGGTGAAACTGTCCGTCAAGACCATATGGCCTCCAGTCGAATTTGCCAATCCCTTCATTTCCAGCAAGCCCACTTGGTCGAGACAACCAACGTATAGATCGATGATGTGTCCATTGTGAGCAGTGCGTTTGGCAAGGCCTTCGTAGAATTTGATGGCTTTCTTGAAGTACTTGACATTGTCGCGGTCGATATCATGATGTGATCGAATAGGCTCACGGAGTTCTGGAGCCACAACCATACCGGGGCCTTCGGTGGCCGGACCGCCCGCAAAGAGCATGATTCTGGCTCCGGCGTTTTGGAATGACGTCTCCAGCAAGCCGACTGCAATACTCATGGCAACACCAGTACAGCGAAGTGGCCGGCGGTCATTCGCGACAGGCCAAGGGTCCTTTTGCAGCTGCTCAATTGCATTGGTAATTTGGAACTCAGCTTGCTGGACAGGAAGGAGGAACCGAGCAGCAGGGCCCATCGGTGGCGGTGGTCGTCCTTGCACTGGTGGCATATTAGGTCTCAAGCCGGCCGCGGCCAACCCCAGCATCTCCTGAACCTGCTTTGCGGCATAGTCCTTGCTGCCTCTAAAGACGTATGATTTTTGGCACTCGGTATAGCCAATTTCATGCACCGCAACATTCGTTCCGAATGTAACAAGACCCACTAGCGCATTCGCAGGGAGTAATGACAAACTCATGACAAGAGTTTCTTTCAATGCCTGTAAACCATCGTCCTCGATCGCGGTATCAACCACGTACACGAAAATGGGTGGGGCAGGAGCAGGTCGGGCAAGCTTGTATTCGACCGTAGTATTCGCAGGGTGCATCTCTGGTGGGATGTTCTCGGCACTGATATCCCCATAGTGACGAGGTAGCGGATTGCGTTGCAGACAGAAGGGACAGATCCATAGTTTAGCCCGGACATCGACGTTAGCGAAGGGGTTAAGGACTGCTCGGCATGGCGCTTTGCAGGTAACTGGCTCATAGGGAAGTGGTGGTTTGCCCAGTTCCTATCAGACCATCAGCACGAGAAACTTCCTTGAGTTCAGAGTGCTCACTTTGAGCGGAGTGAGCAAACAGCTCACGGGGACCACCAGTCGGTTTGCTTCCTAAAGAATAGTTATTAGTTTAATTCAGTACCGTCGCAGAGTCCTTTAGTACCATGCGCGTCGACGGAATGACGTTCCAGCTGAGTCTGACGCCATCCCTGTCCTCAACCTCCCCCCAATTGTCTTTGATCGCGTCGTACTGAGCCTGGTCCATTGTCGTAGGTGTGTCTAATCTGTCACAAACACATGCTGATGGGAACAGATCCGGGTGAGCGAACGGCTAGGAGATGAGACCGCAGGCTCGACGGTCTGGGCTTAAGAAGAGTGGGAGAAAGCCACCTATCCGACCCAGCTGAATCTCAAATTGACAAGGAATACACTGGTGGAGTAGAGTAGTGATGGTCAATAACAAAGTGAGCCACTCTGGCAAGTTCGGGGTGAAAGCGACAGTGGACTGCTACTAACAAGTCGTGGAAATCGATAAACTGGCCAAGTCCCCACATTGCGCAGCCTCGCCGTACCTTCCTTTTTGCTGATCACTGTCAGGCTGCGGAGATTTGTCTGCTACTGAATTGAGCACCGCACCCAAACCCCATAGGGAGCCACCTATGCCTTTCCAACTGGGACGTAAATTCAAAACCGCGACAGTTCTCACTGGACAAATCTTGATATCGACGCAGCAGAGGAGGGGTGCAGCATGATTACAACCCATCGTTGAGAACTCCAGCAAATTGAACTCTTCTCTAAGCGGCCAACATGGCGTCTCCTTCAATGCTCACAAAGGCAAGCCTAGGCCGTCTGCCCTCTATTCTATTCCTCTAACCTTCGAGTACAGTTTGAGAGCAAGAGCAGTCGTGCAAAGGGCTTAGCTTTCCACCCAAAACGACCATGGATCCTCGTCAGCTTGCATAGCAGCACCATCCAGTACGTGCCCTCACACCATCTCCTGCGGCTCCCAGACTAACTGCCCTACAGACTATGGGACTATCGCATGGGAACCCTGATTGACCGCTTTGAAGAGCATGATGGACCAGTCCGTGGCATCGATTTTCACAAGACACAACCACTCTTTGTCTCAGGAGGAGACGACTACAAAATCAAAGTTTGGTCCTACCAAACGAGGAGATGTCTCTTCACCCTCAATGGCCATTTGGACTATGTCCGAACAGTCTTCTTCCACCATGAGTTGCCTTGGATACTTTCCGCCTCTGACGACCAGACAATCAGAATCTGGAACTGGCAGAATCGGTCTTTGAGTAAGTACTACCCTCAATGGTCTTTAGCTCCCCCTGACGCTTATAACAGTCTGCACAATGACGGGTCACAATCACTATGCCATGTGCGCACAATTCCACCCTAAGGAAGACCTCATTGTTTCCGCCTCTCTCGACCAATCCGTCCGGGTATGGGATATTTCAGGACTGCGGAAAAAACACTCGGCGCCCACATCGATGAGTTTCGAGGATCAAATGGCCCGGGCAAACCAACAACAGGCTGATATGTTCGGCAATACCGACGCCGTCGTCAAATTTGTTCTCGAAGGGCACGATCGAGGGGTCAATTGGGTGGCTTTCCACCCGACCCTACCTTTGATCGTCTCCGCAGGCGATGACAGGCTTGTCAAGCTGTGGAGAATGAGCGAGACCAAGGCGTGGGAGGTCGATACCTGCCGAGGGCACTTCCAGAATGTCTCTGCATGCTTGTTCCATCCACATCAAGACCTCATTTTGTCCGTGGGAGAGGACAAAACTATCCGTGTCTGGGACCTGAACAAAAGAACTTCCGTCCAATCCTTCAAGCGGGAGAATGATCGTTTTTGGGTGATTGCCGCCCACCCTGAAATCAATCTCTTCGCCGCCGGTCATGACAACGGTGTCATGGTCTTCAAACTTGAACGCGAACGACCTGCGTCCTCCGTGTACCAGAATCAGCTGTTCTATATCACAAAGGATAAGCATGTCCGATCTTACGACTTTATCAAAAGTGTCGAGTCCCCATCACTTCTGTCACTTAGGAAGTTTGGCAGCAATTGGGTGCCTCCTCGTGCACTCTCCTACAATCCAGCAGAGCGGTCGATTCTGGTCACCTCACCCACGGACAACGGCACTTATGAGTTGATTGCACTTCCACGAGATGCCACAGGAGCTACGGATCCTACCGACATCAAGCGTGGATCAGGTAACGCGGCAGTCTTTGTGGCACGCAATCGCTTTGCTGTTTTCAGCTCTTCCACCCAGTTGGTTGAGATCAAAGACCTCAGTAATTCGACAACCAAATCCTTCAAAGCACCTACCGGCACGACTGATGTCACATATGGTGGCACTGGCTGTCTCCTTCTCATCTCTCCCACAAACGTTGTCCTCTACGATATTCAGCAGAAGAAGCAGCTCGCAGAACTGAGTGTTACAGGCGTCAAATATGTTGCCTGGTCAAACGATGGTCTCTATGCTGCTTTGCTCAGCAAGCACAATGTTACCATCGTAAACAAATCCCTGGAGCAAGTCAGCACTCTGCACGAGACAATCAGAATCAAGAGTGCCGCCTGGGACGATTCTGGCGTCCTGCTTTACTCGACGCTCAATCATATCAAATACACTCTGCTCAATGGTGACAACGGCATCGTTAGGACGCTCGACCAGACGGTCTACCTCGTCAAGGTGAAAGGCCGCAATGTTTACTGCCTCGACAGATCCTCCAAGCCTCGAGTCCTCACAATTGACCCGACAGAATACCGATTTAAATTGGCGCTCGTGAAGCGTAATTATGATGAAATGCTCCAGATTATCAAGACCTCACCCCTGGTTGGGCAAAGCATCATCTCTTACCTACAGAAGAAGGGCTATCCCGAAATCGCCTTGCAGTTTGTGCAGGATCCCCAGACGAGATTCGAACTCGCCATCGAATGCGGCAACCTGGACGTTGCCACAGAAATGGCCAAAGAATTGGACAGGCCCAAAATTTGGACACGCTTAGGCGCCGAAGCTTTAGTACACGGCAACCATCAAACTGTGGAAATGACCTACCAAAAACTTCGAAATTTCGACAAACTCTCATTCTTGTACCTCTGCACAGGCGACGAGGAAAAACTTACGAGAATGGCCAAAATTGCTGAGCACCGGGGGGATTTTGTCTCTCGCTTCCAAAATGCGCTATATCTCGGCGATGTGGAGAGCCGGATACAGATGTTCAAAGAGATCGATCAGTATCCCCTGGCTTATCTTACTGCAAAGTCTCACGGACTGACCGAAGAATGTCAATCAATACTCGAGCTTTGTGGGTTGACGGAAGATCAAATCTCGATGCCCGAGTCCGGAGAAGGTCTCGCTCCTCCAAAGGTCATTGTTCCTACCTACAAAGCAAACTGGCCAGTTAAGGAGGCATCACATTCCTCGTTCGAAAGAGCACTCCTCGGCGAGGTGGGAGTGGCTGTTGAAGACGAAACAAGCCCTGATCTTCTCACAGAAGACGTGCCCGTGGCTGCAGACGGTGACGGACTCGCAGCAGATGAGGAGGCGGATGCTGGCGAAGGCTGGGATATGGGCGACGACATCGGGCTCGAGACCGCAGGAAATGACTCCGATTTTGTCAATGTGGACAACCCTGACGCACCTGCGGAAGCTGCTGGACCGGGCAGCTCAGAAGCAGATATGTGGTCAAGGAACTCTCCGCTAGCAGCAGATCATGTTGCAGCCGGCTCTTTCGACAGTGCCATGCAACTACTGAACCGTCAAGTTGGGGCGGTGCATTTCGAACCACTCAAGTCGAGATTCCTGGAAATTTACCAGGCGTCCAAAACATTTCTACCTGCAAATGCTGGCTTGCCTGCTATTGTGAACTACGTTCGCCGCACAACGGAAGAGACGGACAACCGAAAGCTCCTGCCGGTCATTCCTAGGAATCTAGAGACCCTCACGAACGTTGACCTTCAGGAGGGATACGCGGCCATGAGGACAAACAAACTGGAGCAGGGTGTTGTAACGTTCCGGAGGCTGCTGCAATCACTCCTCGTCAATATTGTTAGCTCACAAGCGCAAGTTGATGAAGCCAAGGCGCTCATTACGAAAGCGATGGAATACACGCTTGCGATGAGCATCGAGCTTGAAAGACGTCGACTCGCAGCTGCAGGTGGTGATTCAGAAGCACAGCTTAAGCGACAGCTCGAGCTTTCGGCTTATTTCACCATGCCGAAACTTGAGGTCGCTCATCGACAATTGGCTCTCATGGCGGCTATGAAGTTGGCCTTCTCGAATAGGCAATACTCGAGTGCTTTGTCTTTTGCAAATCGAATCCTTGCCAACGGGGGCGCGGCCAAATTGGTTGACCAGGTCAGTATCTCGAGAGGTCCTATCTGACTTTATTGCTAACTTGCTTTGCAGGCGAAGAAAATCAAACAACAGGCAGAGCGTTCAGGGTCTAGCGACAAGACCGAAATCGAATACGACCAATTCGCCGATTTCGACATTTGCGCCGCCTCCTTTACTCCAATCTACACTGGGGCACAAAGCGTGTCATGTCCGTTCGATGGAGCCAAGTATCAGAGCCAGTTCCAAGGACAGGTGTGCAAGGTCTGCGAGGTCTGCGAGATTGGCGCCGCGGCCAGTGGTCTGCGGTTGTGGGTAAAGGGCCTGTGAGAGTAGGCAATAAGGAGGTGACGACTTACCAAGAATTTGACGACTTCTGAATGGGACTCGCAGACCAGTACAGGTATCACTGGAGCAACAACTTTGTGACTGCTCAGGACTGCTTCCGGCCCAGAACACATCGCTAGGCTAGGCATAGATTCATGATACAAAGCGGACTGTCGGGACTGAGGCCAGGTTGGCTGTTCCCTGCAAGTAGGGGTCGCTCTCAGCCAGCCCTCGGAACATCGACACGATATTCCGCAGCCTTGCTCTGTGGACATCGGTCTGAAAGCGTCTGCCTTTCCCTGCACATGAAATTAGGCCCTAAAGTTTTTGTCAGGCTTACAATTCCAATGTCCTGGAGACTCGTCGGGATCTTTGCATGGTAGTCAAGGTCTGTAGGCATGTAGTCTTTATCATGCTCAGATTACCAGACCCGATTTGACATCGGGAGGACATACTTTCGGTTCGGCTTTTCGAGCCTGGCCACAAGTCTACCTGTTTTTGTTATAATTGGTTCTGTTCGCCGAGGTTCTATCCTCGACTCGCAGGTGGGCGATGGGTGACATTCCACCGGTATTAACAGCCAAACCTAACAACCGGAATTACCGAAAATGGATCTGGAGGTGGAGTTGGAGGTTTGCACAGAGGCGCCAGTGAAGAGGAACTCGGCATCCGGGCACCGGTACCGGTGGCCTGGAAGATGGAGATATAACCCCGTAGTTCGCGTTCAGCGTGACGCCTGTATTAATAATGCATCTCAGCAGTTAGTTGGTCTTGTGCGTAGTTGACATCGTCTGCGAATAAGCCTCTATTATCACACGCACACGCACACGACAATGGCTGAGGTCGAGGATATTCTCCGAAAATACACCGATCCTTCGACGGGGTGCGTGCACGGGGCCACCTTCGTTGCTGTCGACAGAGAAGGTGAGCAAGGCCCATCCGTCAATCCTCGCCAAAGCTTTTGAGAGTACGGCGATTGACACCTGCAAGGAAATGACCTTTGCCGTACTTCGGTCGGGGGTCGGACTGTCGACAGATCGGATCCATTGACACCAGACACCCTGACATGGATCGCCAGCCAGAGCAAGCTGGTGACTTCGGTCGCGGTGATGCAAATAGTTGAGAAGGGCCTGATTGGTCTGGACGACGATGTGCGCGAAGTGCTACCGGTCTTGAAGGACCTGAAAGTTCTCCTTGGGTTCGAGGGAGATGATCAAGCAGACGAGCCGGACCTCCAGGCCATTTCCAGAGGTGGTGCGGGAGCCGATCCGGACAAGATGAAGCCGACCGGGAAGCCCATCTACGAAGACGTAAAGGGGAAGATCACTCTACGGTCTGAAACACCTTCTGCTTGTGCACCCATTAGAGCGCCAACAGTTCTGAAAGTCCGGCATCGCTAACCCGTGGCTTTCAGGCAGCTCATGTCCCATACGTCTGGGTTCTGCTATGACCTGAGCAGTCCGCTGCTCATGAGATGGTCGGCTGCGACGGGGCGAACAGATAACATGTTCAGTGGAAAGATTGTGAGACCGCTCACCTCTGTCTTGAGCCAGGGGCATTTGTGTGCTGACTACCAGGGTTTCAGGAAGGCTCACTGCATCCCCTGCTCTATCAGCCAGGTGAATCGTGGATGTATAGCGATGGTCTTGACTGGGCCGGACAAGTGGTACGTTAGTTCTAGACAGACACTTGAGGCTGATACTCGACCACTCCTCCATATACTTACTGGTGGCCGACCGCAGGTCGAGGCTCTGACGAAACAAAACCTCGACGCCTACATGCAAGAAAACATCTGGGGCCCTCTCGCGGCCAAGTCGACGACCTTCTACCCGACCAAGCACTTCCACCCAAACCCCATGCCGGCGCTGCACGAGACCGCCCAGCGCACCAACCCGGCCGAGTCGCCCAAGGCGCTCGACTCGAAGCCCGCCACGTCCCTCTGGCCCACCACGGCGCGCGACGCGATCGGCGGCGCGGGCCTCTACAGCACGGCCAACGACTACATCCGCCTGCTGGCCTGCCTGCTGCAGGACGGCGGGCCGCTGCTGAAGAAGGAGAGCGTCGACGAGATGTTCCGCCCGCAGATCGGCGCGGGGAGCACCGAGGCCTTCCACGGCGCCGTCCGGAGCAGCGGCCGCGACCGCCTGTGGAAGTCGCCCGCCAGCGCCGCCGCCACGGCCGCCACGGCCGCTGCCACCGCCGGCACCGCCCAGGAGCAGGGCGCCATCCCCGCCGGCCACTCCCTCGCCGGGGCGGTCAACCTCGAGGATGTCCCCGGCCGGCGACACCGCGGCACCGTCAATTGGGGGGGCCTGCCGAACTTGTTCTGGTGGGTTGACAGGAAGGGCGGCGTGGCGGGCACGCTGTTCAACCAGATCGTCCCGGCCGGGGATCCCTTGTGCATGGAGTTGCTCGTCGAGTTGGAGGAGGCGGCGTATAAACTGAAAGAGAAGAAGGACTAGATGTCCATGGACGTAGAACGAGGTCGCCTAGAGTCAAAGAGACAATGTGCCGTTTGCTCTAAACATTCTACTCAGGATTGCTCCTGTTCTGTTTCTATGTGGTCTATCTAATTTGGAACAGATCTCATATGCATGCCCCGTGGGTCCCCTCAAATGCTTCTCCCAGCTTGGAGTGCTTCCAACTTGACCTCAATGTCCCTGGTCCTTTGACAGTCTCTTCCAAACGCAGTAATACACATCTCGAGCTCCTTCACCTTCCATTTGACAGCCTCGTCATCTCCGTGGTCACCTTTCCTCTCCGCCCACTTCGCCATGCTCCGGTAAGTGTTGGCCAAGGGCACTCCGACGAGGCTTTCCTTCAACAATAGCCCTTCGAGTCTCGTCAAGGAACTCAACGCCTCTTCCACCAATTCAGCCTCTCCAACTTGCGCTTTGTCCACCATTGCTGCGTCGCCTTCTGCGGCCAGCCTCCTCTCGCACCATTGTACGGCTCGGACGGCGTCGTACATGGCCAGCCTCCGTTCATCACTCTTGACCCAGAACTCGTTCTTCGGTTCACACGCCTCACACCGACACACGAAGCCGTAGTACATTTGCTGCTTTCTCCGCCTCTTGGCCGCCACTTCAAAGACCGACTTGTCGTAGTTACTCGACAACTCCTTTCCTCTCGAGATGTCCCGGATGGCGTAAAACCTCATCTCGTTGCTACCCTCGTCGTAGGAAAATTGCACATTGGGAACACAGCTGTGGTTGAGACGACTCGACAATGCACCGATCGCCGAGCCGCCCTGGCCGCCGGGTCTGAAGCCCTCGCAGTTGTAGCAGTTGCTGTAGTAGATTGAGACAACGCGGGACATGCGCGATTTCCGTGCATCGAAGAGGCGTAGATAGACCTTCTGTTCTGCGCGCGACAGTTTGGAGAATTCGCGCTCGACCGTGCTGTAGTCGTTTTCCTCGTGCTTGTTCAGCGAGATTAGGGGATGTTCGGCCAGCACAAGTGTCCCGGCTTTGATCTTGCGAGTTGAGAAGACGGCGAGACCACGATCGGGCGTGGAGATCACCTGGAGCATGTCATCCTCAGGTCTCGGTTTCAACACTCCTGCCGGGCCTGGAATGCTCGGTCGTGCCGCTAATTCTATTGCCCGAACGTTTTGAGTAATGGAATCCGGCCGGGTCTTGTCGACTGATATGATGCCGGAGTCATCGACTACGCATAGTCCGTCAAGCTGTGCTACGAGGATGTGCTGAGCTCTCGTTAGAGATGTCAATGACGAATGCTCGTGTCCAGTACTTGCCTGGTCTACTTCGGCAACATTTTCCAATGCTATCCTGGGGGATAGTGATTGAGGTCTTTTGGCTGATTTCTTCCCTTTTGCCATGATGGCAAGATGCGTCCGCCACGAGATTACCCAATGAAAAGAGCCTTGAGGAATAAAATGGGTGTCACGCGTGTTAGAGAAGGGAGATGTGAGAAGCAGGCAACTCTAGGACGTCCATATTGGCTAGGTGACTGAAGATCTGCCCGATACAAGAGCAGGTAGATGGATTGGTCAGAAGGAGAGATGCAGGAGATGATATGAATATAGGAGAAGTAGTAGTCGAGATAACAGTCTGACCCGTAGCTCAGGAGATGCTGCTAAAGGGAGGAGATAGTGAAAGGCCCCATTATCCGGTGCGAAGCCGCGCCGCCGGATTCTCATTGGACCGGAGCAGGCAAGTGAGTGGATGTCGGATTATTGTTGTGCCGATGCCAGATTGACGACGTTGATTCCGAAAGTGAAATTGAGCGAACGTCGGCAATGTCTCTTCACTCTTAACAGGTGTTTCTTTTCTTCGTTAGCAGCTACCTGCAGTCATGGAGCAGACTGGATCCCTCGCTGCTGCCCTGTGCACGTCGATCCCGACTCAAAGCGGCCAAGTGCAACATGTCTTGGGCTTGAGAATGGCCAACAAATTCTCATTGGCTCGAGCCCACCTCATGCATCTGTCCATTTCCTCGGCCTCGTCCCCCCAGGCCAGGCTCCTATGATCTCTTCCTTCCACACCCTCTCTTCTTGGAGACATCCCCCTGAGGTCTGGTCTTCAGTGTCCAATGAGGAAACTTGCAGCAAAGTTCCGGAACACATCTAAGCACGATGTTAGCCCAGAGGGTTCTGAGGCTGCCCGTACTACGCACTTTTGTAGCTACGAATCCATTTATCCCGGGACTCAGCCCCACCGATTCGTTTCCGGACCGTATAAAGGTTCTTCACGACTGCCCAAACGCTGCCGTCGATACTTGCTTCATCCATGGACTCACCAGCAATCGTGACTCAACCTAGACAGCCGAAGGACAGCTCCAGCCTTGGCCCCAAGCTCTTCTCCCCTCCAGGATCCGCAGATCACGCATTTTAACCTATGGATATGACGCATATATAACCCGCGGACTAGGTACCGTTGCAACGTCCAACAGACTGATCGACCACGCTTCGAACTTCTTGAACGACCCGACAACGAACAGGGCCGCATACAATGCTGTACAGAGGCCGCTGAATTTCGTGGCCCACAGCCTCGGAGGTCTTGTTTGCAAGGAAACGATTTTGACGTCACGGAACAACCCTGAAAACACCTCAAAGCTGTCTTCGCCGCCACAAGAGGGATCATTTTCATGGGCACTTCGCACACCGGGAGCTGGATGGCCGACTGGGCATCTATCCCTACGAAAGCTCTTGGCATCATCAAGTCATCCAATCCATCATTGCTGAAAACCCTACAGACCAATGATCAATTTCTCGAATCGATTCAACAAAGGTTCCTGGCCATGCTTCGTGATGTCCCAAACAGTCGCAGCGGCATAGAAATAACCTGCTTTTATGAGGAACTACCTCTGGCGATGGCTGGAAAAGTGGTATCCAAGAAGTCTGCGACGTTTCCTGGGTACAATGTAATTGGCATCCATGCCAACCACCGAGATATGGTCAGATTTTTCAAATGATGAAGAGACTGGCTTCACCAGGGTTGTGGATGGGCTGCTCCGTTCGGAGGTGGAAATTACGTATGTTTGACTATCACTTGGGTGCTTGTGCACGAGCTACAGCTTACTCGCAGTCTCGGCTCTGAAGAAAATACAGAATCCAATATTACAGCGCTCCCTCTGGGTCAAAGGAACGATATGTCGCGGGATCCTTTTCAAGCAGCCTTGCTTGATGACTTTCAGATCGGCCATTCCATGTCTCGCAGTCTCTTGAAAAGGATTTCTAATGTCTTCGGTCTTGGGGATAATGATCGCTGTTTGGATGCGGTGGAAAAGTGCTTGGAGGTGCTCAACCTGAATCACCAAGTTGAGGAGATCACGTCTCTCCAGCTTGTTGCATCCGAAGACGCACGCGAAACCCAACATTCTTTGGAAACCGACTTGAGAAACAGATACCAAGATACATGCACAAGATGTCTCCGATCGTTCTCGTTTTCAGCAATGGGAGTAAGGGAAGCGAACATTGTGCCGCCCTTACAAGATACTTGTGAATGGATATACAACACGACGGCTTATTGCACGTTGGGCCACCAAAGCCACCAATATGCTGTGGATTAAAGGCAAACCAGGGTCGAGGAAGAGTGCTTTGATGAAAACCCTTTGCGCTCAGCGATCGCAAGCGGCCAACGCTACTTCCACTCTAGTTTTACCCTTCTTCTTCGATGCTCGTGGCGCGGTTTACGAAAAGTCTCCAATTGGATTGTACCTTCGCATTGATGCACAGCTTGCTATGCCAAAGTCTTATCCTTAAATGCGAGTTTCTCCCGAAATTCGTGGAAAAGGAATCTAGGAGTGATTCCCGGGAAGTCACTTGGCAGGCTAGAGAAATTGGATCATTGTTTCATTCCATAATCATCCGGAAGCAGCCGCAAGGAATTGAGATCCTCATCGACGCCCTAGATGAGTGCAAAGAAGAGGAAATTCGAGCCATGGTTCGCAGGTTCGAAAGGTCGATTGATATTGCAACACAGCCAAATGTCCCGCTCAGCATCTGCTGGAGCAGCCACCATTATCCCACCATCAGTATGTTGTCAATGCATGGTGTTGAGGTATGCACAGACAAGTACAACAGCACGGACATCAAACAATTTGTCAGATCTGAGTTGCCAGTCCGCTTGGATCCTCTATTGCTGTCAATCCAAGACGAAATAATATCCAGAGCCAATGGAGTATTCCTGTCGACTGTTTTGGTCAGCAAAAGGATACTCAAAGCTTTCGATCAAGGCAAAACTAAGCAGCAATTGCAGGAGCTGCTCGACTCGATTCCCGTCGAACTCGACGATTTGTCTGGCGAAATTTCCAGGAAAGCAGGGACTTCGACTCAAGGACACAAAGAGCTTGTCCGCCTTTGCGCAGTGGATATTGTGTGTCTTTCAGCCCCTAACCTTACAACAACTTCACAGCGCGTTCAACTTGCAGAATGGGAAGGGGTGTCGAGATGTGGACGATTCAAACCCGATGGATACGGATCTTGAACATCTGGAGAGACATATTAATGATGTTTCTGGAGGCTCATTCGAGGTTGCTGGGCGCCCGAAGCGATTCGCAAGAGTTCAGGTCATCCATGAGACTGTCCGTGAATATTTCCTCAGTCCTAGAGGCTGTTCCCAGCTGCTCACGCCATCTCGACAGGCCTTCATAGAAGGGGGACACAAAGAGATTGCCCTCGCATGCTTTCGGGGTCTCTCAGCAAATGGCTGGTCTTCAATTCCAGCATGGGAACAACCTTCGCCTGTTCTAGTCGATGAACTGCTGAAATCAATGTACCCTCAATGGAGATTGGTTAGATATTCATTCCTCTTCTTGTACGCTCTGAGGTACGCATTCGAGCACTACAACGGTAGCAGACACTTGTTTCCCATTGATTGCAACAAAGACGCACATCTGGATCTATCACAGCAATGCAAACACGTCCTGGTCACCTACCTGAAGTTCTTGCTTGAGCTTGGCCAGGGAGGTACATAGCATTCCCGATGGCTTCAGCGTTAGCATGCGCATCGTTGCATCACACCCGAAGGCCTTCGGGGTGACCATGGAGGAATTGACCGGTCTGGTCACTCTCATTCGCAACCTTTTGGAGTTCCCAGGCATCTTGCGTCTATGTCGGAACATTTCCTCGGGCAAATCGAAATATGGTTCTGAGAATGATGGAGCTCCAGCCATGGCGACATTCGATTTCGTCGCAGTTTTCCGCTCAATACCTGGACCCCCTATTCTCGATGACGACCCGCTGAAGGATTATTTTGCAACGTCACGTCAGACTCGGAAGATGACCGACGAAGCGTCGCAAGAATTGTGCGCTTTGGTTGTTATCTTTGTGAAGGCTTTGCAGTTCTCCCTGCGGACGGAAGAAGATCCATGGCAATTTCTAAGCCTATTCAGAGGATTGAAGTACGATTATGTCGGGACGCCCCAGCCACTTCAAATTCTTGGGCGATCTCGAAAGCATCGACTGGCTACCCGAAGCCAAAATCCACGGGCGAGCAATGAAGCAGGAAGATTTCCACACGACGTCTGACTACCGGCAGGCACGGCAGGTTTGGATCCTGTTCCGATTAGAAGAGAACAGCACTTGGATCGAGGGCCAGTTGCACAACGCCTCCCCATCTTCGTTCGCACCCGAGTTGTCCTGTGAACCAGCGGCGGGGGCAGAACAAATCAGGAGGAGGATATCCGGCCGAAAGGGCCAGTTCGTTGCAAGCACACTGGAACTGTTCATTGGTCCGCCTACGTCCCATAGACAGGAGGAAACGCGAAGAGAGTTCGATGAGCTGGATAATGACTTTGAGTGGTCTCCGAGGATGATAAGCCGTCATGAACCTGTCGAACCGTTGGAGTTATCGGAGACCCAGGCAGAGAGACGTTGTCGCCTCATTCGCTCTGAATCCACCACACTCGCAAGGGGAGAAGACTGAAGAGAACACAAAGCACAACTCACCGACTTAATTCACGGCGAATTATACGGTCCACACATCCGACGATGCCCATGTCAATATACCCGTCCTATCCAAGCGATAGAGAGAGACACACCCAAGGAGAGACCGAGAGGGATACCGACATGCGAGAGATCAAGAGCGCGATAAACTCCGTGGGATATCAGATTTTAATCCCATCCCGGGGAAAGGGGGCCAAAGCAAAACAAAAAATCTTCTGTGATCAAAATGCCAAAAGCCAGGGGGCGTCCTATTAGTACAATGAGGGTTATTTCCCATCCTTTTCTTTCCCTGCTCCCTGTCGACTTGCTCGCCTCGCCCCTTTCTGGTCTCGCAATACAAAATTCATGTTTTACTTCATTCCAAAAACAACTTGCCGTCCTGGGTCTCCGGGGGGGTGTGGTGCTCCCCTTTGATATATTACACGCACCGTACACAGACACAAACAGTCCTTCGCTCTTCAACAACAGCAACAACAACCTCGAGACAGATTCCCGGTGGAAAATATTACAGTTACACAAAAAATGATGACGCGCTTTGATTTCTAGTAAAACAAAAAGGGGGTAGAAAAGGGGCCCAGCGCAAAAATCGATATGGCAATGTCCCGCTCAGCTCGCCGGCTTCTTGGTCGTCAATCGCTGGGAGTGTTGTTTGCTTCAAGTCAGTCGTGTCGCTCGTCCCCGTCGTGTTCCGAGATATCTGCCTGAATATGCTCTTCGTGCTTTCGTGCTCCAATTATCGTGTAGCCTTGATGGAGGTGGCCCAAGTCGCCTTCTACTTCTTCCTCGCAAACCGTTTGTTGAGGAGGGTCAGGACCTTTGAGACGTCAAATTGCACATATTCCAGGTCGAGGTCGTCCTGCCCATCTTTCTGCATCTCGAGGAGATCGTCTAGTTTCAGATCCAACTCGAGGAGACCACGAGCACGCCCTGCCACCGTGTTAGTCTCGAATCCACTGCACCCCTATCAACACCATGAGACTCACCTTTGTAATGCAGGCTGATGACGAAAGTACCGGCAAGGGGGCTCCGGAACATGAAGAAGATATTACCTCTCCGGTTCTCGGGGACATTGCTTCTCGTAATCACACCGTCCTTCTCCAGTTGTGCATGGGTGAATTTGTATGGGCCGAGCTCTCGCACCTTCTCCGTCTTGCCTCTTCTCGCGCCTTCAGACTGGCTACGCACGTTGTGCAGGTAATTCTTGTATGTGTCGAGCTGGGACAAAAGATATGTGTTGTGATCGCGAATCGTCTTGTAGACATCCTCCAACTTGGCCGTCTCCTCGAGCACCTTCTCCTTTAACGAGCCGAGGTGGGCCAGCTCCTGCTCAACTTCATCACGGAGCACTGCATAGTCGTCGGCACGATCTATCACTCCCCATTCGGACAGCTGCGTAAGAAGTTCCATACACCGGATGCCTTTCCGCACCATGACGGCGTCATTCTTAAGGGTCCCCGCCGCTTCGGCCACCCGGTCAAGGCGAAGAGGGCGCCGCATGACTACGGCATTCTGCGGCAAACTTCGCATGATTTGCACAAACGTGCTCTTCGCCTCCATGAAGTGGATTTCTTCTGGAGTGATGTCGAGTGCGTGAGTGAGATCGTCGAAAGTGGTCTCCCATTTGCTGTAGAGAGGTAGGTTGATCGCCCTGTTTTCTTTTCTGGGCAATTGCGGTGGTGCTGAACCAAGTTCCTGCAGCAGGATGCCCAAGTGAGAAGAAGGATCTTTGGCCAGTTCCGTGCTATGCTTCTCAAGTAATGCATGAGTAGCATAAACTTCGTTCAAACTGATCTGAAGCTCGAGATCACGCTTGGAAAGTGCCACGTAGTTGTCCATCTCCAGGCTCTCGTAAAAGTCCTGAACTTCGCACAGGTCCAACATGAACTTGTTGCAGCGATCCTTGTTCCGTTGAATGAAAGGTTGCAGCTTGGCCATGTACGGTTCCTTGGCATAGGACGGCTTGTTGGCCAGGTTCTGCAGCATCTTAGCAATGTAGGTCAGAGTCCTTTTGGGTTTCTCATCCGGCACTCTCTCAATCAGCATGTAAGATTTTGGAGTGACAATGGCAGGATTGATAAAGCGTAAGAAGAAAAAGCCACCAATAAGGGTGCAAATCGCCTGGTCCTGGGCGTCGGGGTACTTGCGCCGGGACAGATTCCGAATTTGCTTGCAGATCCAACGGATCCCATACGGGGTGTCCTCTAGGCATTCGATAATCGCGGACAAGAATCCTTCCGCGATTTCAGTCAGCATCTTGAGGCGTGGCGTAATGATGGCTTGCACTTGTGCATTCTCCGCCGCAAATTCGGCTGTCACAGACCGGGGTAGGTCTTCCGGCAGAGTACCGGTATCTTCCTCGATTTGCTTGACCATGGCCTCGTAGACTTTCAAGGGGTTGATCTCAAGATCCACGTCGCTCAACTCGGTCAGAGAGTTGATCTTTTCGGCGAGGACTTCTTTGAGGAAACTCTGCCCGGGGCCTCGCCGGGTATAGGTGGTCATCATGCGGGAGACTGGAGTATTCTGGCGGAGTAAGGAGGAGTATTCGGGCGTTGTCTCGAACTGATGGGTCAAGACCGATTGAAACATGGTCAGCAGTAGATGCTCTTCTCGGCTCTCGTATTGATTTCCATAGATTGTGAACATGACGGTCTGTAACAGAGAATCAATTTCGGCCATGGTGACCAGGCGACATAGGTGAGCAATATGCCTGGGTTCTGACTGTAGCATGAAGAATAGGTTGCCATATTTCTGAGTCTTGTCGTCGTTCGGGAATGAGCCTTCTTGGAGCTCGGCGGCCTCATCAAGGTGGCTGGCCACCTCATTTTGCTTGACATGGTATTAGCACAACGTTCAACACCGGGCCAATGTGGTCCAAACTTACCTCTTCCAAGGCCATACGATTTTGGATCAACAGGGCAATTCTCGAGTCCAGGTAACGGACGTCCTTTTCAAGGACGAAATTCTTCTTGGACTGGTTTGAAATCTTGACCTTCAAGTCCCTGAGTGAGCGTTGTGCTCGGGCGAGGTCATCGCTGATTTCCAAGTCTTTGTCCTTTGCGCTCATGCTCGCATAGAGGGCGGTCATGCTGACCCGTTTGCTCTGTCGCAAGGAGCGGGCGCCATCATGGCTCGAGAAGGTATTCGTACGGCTGACAGGTTCGAAGGAGGAGTTTGTCGAGGTCGAGCCTCGTGAGGCAGGCTGGAGCATGGTTGCGACCGCCATGTCGGCACCCTGTCTGGATCGACGCGACCTTGAACGGTCCTTTGCGCTGGAGACACGCCTGGGCACGTCGGAACGAAGTGAAGAGCTCATCTACTCTTTATGGGCCAGGCAACAGAATCCAAGGCGGGATGTTGAACTCTATATGCAACTCGGGGGTTGTATGATATTGTGACGTCGGCCGTGTTTCAGAACGGGCCGCAGGTCATCTGGGATCGGTGATGCACAATCGTTTCCTCCCGGGACGCAGACGCAGGCGGGTTGGAAATATCGGACTGGAAAGGGCAGATTGCAGTATTATTTGTGTTGAAGTTTCGACGGGGGTGGGAAACGTCCGATGCGACCGGCGCGAGAGTAATGTAAATAATCTCTTCTCCCTTCTTCTCCTGTCAAGATGCAGATTTCGAACAAACACAAGCAGAAAAGCTCCACCCGACAGAGATTACAGATATCCTGAACAGTGAAACGCGGCAAGGTAAAGCCCTTGTGAATGAACTGGCGGGGGGCAGGCGGTGTTCAAGGCAGGGCGTTGAAGAGAAGGTCTGGTGGGTTGAGGTGTGCGCAGGCGCACCGTGACTGGCGGCGCAGATGGAGGATTGCGGCTTGAAGAATGCAACTGCAGAGGGCGACAACGGAGGATGGGTGGATTGAGGGAAGCGTGGAGGATGCTGGTTGGCGACTGGGATGAAGATAAGAGAAATGGCAGCGAGCGAACAGCGAGGCACGGAGTGGTGTTGGACAGAAGTCTGTCAGGAACCAGGAACAGCCGTGCGGACGAATGAAGGGAGTGGGAGGACGGCAGCCGGATGGCCAGAAATGATAGGGGGGAAGAGAGGGTCGTGGAGGGTGTCAGGGCGTCAGGGCGCGTTGATGGAGGACTATTTTTTGGGAACGGTGAATGGGTGGAAGTGTGGATGTGTGGATAGACGAGGGATAGGAACTGGTGAAGAGGGAGGGAGGAAGGGAAAGAAGGGGGGTGGCTCTGGATTGGGTAGGGTGGTTCACGGCGGGTTTCTTTTCGAGCAGTAGTTGGCTGGGGGCTTGGAGGTGGACGACTGAGCCCTGGCAATCCCTGCCCTGGGGTGCATGCCAGTTAAACCTCAGAGGTGGCCTCAATGCCTGGAGGGGGAATGAGAGAGGGGCCGTTTAGACTATGATCTGGCAATAAACTTTTGGCAGCAAACGAGGAGGAAAAAAGGCGTGGACAAGACAGGCAGCCGCGTCAGTGGAGGATGATGGGCATATGGAGAAGTTGGTCTCTGAGGAGCTTTGACAGGCTCACTAGGCTGCATGTCAGTGCCTGAAGGAGGGTGGAGGGGGTGGATTCCTCCCGTTGATGTACGAGTAGCTCCTAGGCAAGTCCCTACTTACCACTGCTGCTGCACGGAGTTTGCTCGTAGGTGCCTCATAGGCGTCGCCAGCTACCCAGGAAACCTATCTCGCTCTGGTTAGGCTGCCCGCGGCTTGGCGGGGTTGGCTCTGATCTCTCCTCCCTCCTCTCTCATCCCTTCCTCCTCGGTGCCTCTCAGGGGTAATTCAGAAAGTCAACTGACTCCGGATAGACGGTTTGCATCCCTGCTCTCTCCAAGCCTTCAACCGCTAACGACGCCCACCCAGCCTAATCCGTCCACACTCTGCAAAAAAGTCGCTGACCAGCTCATGAAAGCCACCGCCTCCATAGCCCATTCCTAGAATCCTTTCCTTTTGACTTTCCGAGACTGCTTCCAGATCCCGAGCGGCATTCCATGTGAGGAGCACTAGGTTACGGGACGGTGAACATGGTTGTTCTGGGCTAATCGAGCTGTTCTCTCGCGTAGCAAAAGAGAAGCATGTACATCAAGTTGCAGGGTGGATGGACGATCAGATGCGAATCCACGGCCTCAGCCTGAGCCTTGCCGATCAATGTCCCACTGTCCATCTTTGTTGCGGTCTGTTTGACGCTCACACGCAAGCGTCTAGATCCGCAAGAATGTGCCGTCGGTGCCCTGGCAAATTTGGATATTCCATTTTGGCCGGCATGTTAATTTCTTGATATCCTCTCCCGGAAACGCTCATCAAATGTCAAAAAACCTCGTGCATGCAAGGGGGAGAGACCGTGCCAGCCCAACGTCAGGCTTACCACCCAATAGGAAGAATGACACTGTGGTATCCGCAAGCTTGGACCTCGTGTGTACCTGACTACTGGCAGATAGCTTCTTGCATGGCATTCGCCTTGATGGCCTGAATGGCAAGTTCCCTGCGCCTTACTCTGTCACAACGAGAGCTTTCTAGCAAAAGGAATTCCGGTAGCTGCTGGTTTGCCCGGGTCTAGATCAGCCACCCAGATGCGACCCTCTTGAACAAGGGCTGGAGGAGTCGTATCTGTGTGGTGTCTTGCAGAGCTAACTGTGGGTTTCACGGCTCCCACGAACTAGGTAAGGGGGGTGAGTGGGAGCTGAGGTGGAGCATGTGCAGGGGTAGGTCAAGAACGACTTGAGATTCGTTGGTGCTCGAGTCCAAGTTTCAGATGGCACTGATGTTGCTCTAGAGCACTCCTCAAACACGAGCGTTTCGCCTCCTCCAGACCCCAGAATCCCAACACTGGCTCCTTGGATCCGGATTCCTTGTTCACTGCAGGCCTTGAGTCTTGACAGGTGTGGCAGGTCAACATCCCTGGTATTTGTTGAGTAATTGCTTTCTCGTCATCAGCTCACAGTGGAACTTGCTGTCTGATTGACTGTACTCCGTACCGAGGGCGGCCGACCGATAGGCATGGCATGCTTCTCCAGCGGGTACTTCCCGCGAGTCCTGAGGAACTTGGTCGAACAAAAGATGACAGTCGTCAGTGGCGGACTTTGTGGGCAGCGAACCCCCTTACAACCGCCAAGATGAAACACGTTTTTGGCATGACAAAAGTGGCTTGCGACGAGACGGCACGTCTGGATCCATCAACCTGCAAAAAATCGATTCGATCGATGGACTGTGAGCTCGCCTTCCCGTTACCTGGCCCAATTCAAAGAGCAATGAGCTCGCTGGCTTGTTGATATGATCTAGTGGTATGTAGATCGGATGAGGAGTTAGTTTGCAGGCCCATGTCAATCTCGCAGATCTCTGTTGGTCGACCACCCGCGGCGCCAGGGTCCATGAGACTATCGACAAAGGCTCGCCAGGGGGGATGATTCCGTGGCTTTCAGCGACAGCTCTTTGCAGCAAGGCAACCACCTAGGCGCCAGCGGTAGACAGGCAAGAACAGGTGAATTAGGTAAGAGAAAAGTCCTCTATGTGGTGTCTAGTTTTGACAGAAGCAGTGTCATGCCTCGCTTGCTGGGGAGTCATTGGTACGGCGACAGGGCGAGGTGTGGAGGGGACCTTGAACACCCGTCTCCTGGATGACATGTACAGACTCGTTCGGTACTCAGACCATCGAGGCTAGGTTTGCCAATATCACGCCCATCAATGGTTGACAGACAGCTGTCCTTCATTCTCGACCGGGGTCTATTCATCATCCCTACCCGCCGGGTGCCTTCCACCTTGCCTTCATGTTACACAAAACGCGGCTGGAGACCCTGCCGATTGCGTTAGGAGGAAGCGATCACCATGGATATGGAAGCCATCCCTTGACAATGGCTCCGAAATTTTAGAAAGTGATCTGTTCAGCTGTTGCTAGCATCTCCACTCTGATGCACATTACTCTTTGTCAACACTTCAAGCATCCCAGCTGACGACGGCAGGTGATGCCTTTGACCTCATTCAAACTTGTTCCGCAAGTTGTCGTATTTGCTCTCGGGATATTCCAGGCAATTCTTGACCTCTTCCAGCCCACTCGGCCCACCACTCTGCCTGAGAAATGTCTCAATCAGGCTGCCCTGTCCAATCGCCTTGTCGGCTGAACTCTCCCACCACATGCCACCGCCTAGGCCATAGTCTCGCACAAAATTCGCCTTCTGAGCTACCAAATCTGGCGTATCATAGCTTATCATGGTGTTCGAAGAAGGGCAGTAACTCCAGCTGGCACCAACATCACGATCGTGGAACTCGGTGCTGTCAGGCTTTGGGAGTGCTTTGTAATCCCAGACACCTTGCTCCCAGCTTCCTTCGCCCACCCCATTGAACGCATGCCCGGGTCCGGAGGTCGATATGAAGGCTCGGCCGTACAAGGGCATTCCCAGGACAATCTTGGATGGATGTACCCCATGCCTGGTGTAGTGTTCGATGGCAGCCACGGTGCTGAACGGCGTACACTGAGGGTGGGATTGGGAGGGGAATAGATTTGCTTGGTGCCCCGCTCGCTGGTCCCATGATCCTGCATAGTCATATGCCATCAGGTTCCAAAAGTCGAGTAGACTGTCCATCTCGGCGATCTTCAGTTTCTCAAAGTTGGACTGTCCGGCGGGGCATGCCACCGTCAAGTAAAACCTGGTATGGTGTCGTTTGGCAGCTGCCGCGTCGAGGGCGTGGCGAGTCTCCTGCAGCAGCTTGACAAAGTCTGCCGCCTCACTTTCATTCTTAGGGTACTCCCAGTCGATGTCGATGCCGTCGAATCCCAGTTCTTCCAGCAGTTTGACAGCTGTCTCTGCAAAGTTTCTCCGTCCACCGGACGTGCTGGCAGGCTGTGCGAAGTTTGAGGAGTAAGTCCATCCACCAATGCTCAAAAGCACTTTGAGGTTGCGGTTCCTCTTCTTCAGAAGGAACAGTTGCTTCACGCACCCATACACGTTCGTCCCCGAGTCATTCCAGCTATCACCGTCGTAGTGTTTGTCAGTATCAGACCAAGGATCTGTCAGATAGACCTCGCCGCTGTCAGGTTTGACATTGGCAAAGGCGTAGAGGACATGGGTGAGATTCTCCGCAGGGAGGTCTTGAGGATGGTGATTGCGTGCATAGGGCGCCCAATTCACGTAATACACGACCGAGCGAATCCCGTGTCCACCGCCCATGGTATGGTAACTCTGGCCAAGGTCAAGTTGGGGGATGAACTGAGTCAAGACGGGATATGAGTATAGCAAGGCGATGAAAAGGAAGGACAGAACGCAAAGCATGCCCTTTCCGAGAGGCAGGCTTTAAATGAGTAGTCACAGTCTGGCCCCAAAATGTGGTCGAAGGAAGTTGGTGATACGCAAGCTGGATATTCAGCTGCTGTCTCAAACCCGTCTGCCTGCGCAGCTGACGGTGGGTAGGATGATGATGGTGACGAGGGCGGAGAAGGTTAAGTGGCGTAAACATGTGGCTGAACTGTGGCTGGTGACGAGGCTGTGCTCGTGGCTAGTGCGGTCGAGCATCTCCGGCAAATCATTGAGGCGGCGTCCTTCCTCGGCATCAAGGCTATCATGCTCCCTGCTTCCTCGACCTCAATCCTCCCGGTATATTACCTTTTACATATCCCCTGTGAAGGTTTATTGCGTCTTCTACGCTTCCTCTATTCCTTCCTTCCACAGAGATGCCCCTCGAGGTCTTGTTTTTTGGCGCCGGCGCCATTGGTGCATTCTATGCCTCCCGAGTAGCTCGCACTGCGAACACCAACGTCTCGGTCGTCTGTCGCTCCAACTACTCAGCTGTCAAGGCCAATGGCTTCCAAATAACGTCTTCCCAATACGGGGATTACACTTGGACTCCGACTCGAACATTTAATTCCCCCGACTCAGCCCGCAAAAGCGGTGTCAAGTGGGACTTCGTCGTGGTCAGCACCAAAGCATTGCCCAACGTCTCAGACGATTCGAAACTCCTCGAGGGCCTCATTAGCCCCGGTACGGCTGTTGTGTTGATCCAGAACGGTCTGGGTGTGGAACAGCCCTACACCGAACGATTCCCTCAATTAACCATTCTAAGCGCCGTGACGATTGCCTCATGTGCCCAGCCCTCGAACGGTCATATCAAACACAACCGCTGGACACGGATAAACGTGGGGCCGTACTTCTCAGAATCAAATCCTTCGGCTGCGGTCAAGGCAACAGCAACGGCTCAGAACCAAACCTTTGTCGACCTGCTCCTGAAGGGAGGCATCAAGGATGCCATTGCCGACACGCACGAGAAGCTCCAGCTCGTCCGCTGGCATAAGATCGCCATCAATGCATCCATGAATCCGTCCGCGGTGCTGTCGGGTGGATCTACCAATGAAGCCATGTCCAACGACCCGGAGCTGTCGAGGCATCTCAAGGGCGTGATGGATGAGGTGATGACCACTGCGCCCAAGGTCGTGGGCAAGCCGTTTCCGGCGGGATTTGCCACCGCGGAACAGATCCTTCGGTCGACGCGGAAGAACACAAGCGGGAGCAAGCCGAGCATGCTGCTCGACTGGGAGGGGGGCAAGCTCATGGAGCTGGAAGTCATCCTGGGGAACCCGATCCGGCTCGCGCGGGAGAAGGGATACGAGATGCCGAGGATGCAGAGTCTATATGCTCTGTTGAAGATGGCCGAGAAAAACCGAGAGGCCCAGAAGCAGAATGCCACAGGAGGAAGCAAGCTCTGAACCGCCGTGTCGTCCAGCGTGCTGAGCCATGAAGGCCCGATTCACACTGGGTGTGCAGGCTTTGGACGTCGACACACGTCTATAATGTCGTCGAAGCGGGCAATTCCAGTGCTTGATGATGAATAGACTACGAACCGCTATATAGGGTAAAGCTGTGTATCAGATTGAGGTGGCGAATATACACCAACGGTTCTTATGTGTCGAGCCATGAGCGTACAGTGACATCCAAGTCCAGCCTGCTCGACGCATACATGTCCTGATAAGCCTCTTCTCTCATCCTGTCTCCATGAATCCCTGCACCTCCTAGCAACCTTGCCGGTGCGTGGTCCCTTGGAACCAGCCCAGCCCTTCACCGCCCCATCATTCCTCACCAACGTGCTGCTGATGCCTCAATCACCTCCCCTCCACCTTCACCAGTGACCCCGCCTTGTCCCACCTCGTCCCACCCTCCAAGGACGTCTGGATGTACGAGGGACATTCTACAACTTGCTAGTCACGCCGTCCACCGCGCTGGCCGTGGGGCCCTTCCCGAACCTCTCCCTCACGCGGCCACCCAGGTCGGGCACCCACGCGCACCGGACGTCGCAGAACTGCTCCTTGTGCGGCGCCCACCGCGTGGCGGCGCTGTCCAGCACGCCCGCGGGGAGGGAGATGATGTCGTGGTTCAGCGGCGTCTGGGCCCAGACCTTGGAGCCGCAGATCTTGCAGAACGCGCGGGACAGCGGCTGGCCGGACTGCGTGGCCGGGTCGGTGTACGTCGTCGTGCTCTCGGAGCCGGTGTGCAGGGTGTATTGCTGCCGAATCGTTAGGGGGTGTATGTGTGGTACGTACGCACAAGGGGACTGGGGGATCTAGTTGCTCGGCCCACGGCCCAAGTGATAGAAAGGCGGGCATGCAATAGGGCAATTCAAGGCGTATCGGGAGCTTACATACCTTCTTGAGAAAGATGCTTGCGCAGTGCAACGTGCTTCCGCCTTGTCGTCTAGAGACACCCGAGAAGTCAGCTTTTGTGCACTCATTCTCCCCCCGATGCTATCGAGCGTAACTTTCGCCATCCCATCTCCTTTCTTCTGCCCTTGAACCGATCCCTATACTGTGTGTACATCTAGGCTCGAAAACAACCTTGGTAACGGCATAAAAAGCGAGAATTACCCCCCCCCCCCCCAAAACACAAGACATTCATCACTCGCTGGAAACCCAGGATGTAGCGAAAAAGGGCACGAAAGCGTTCACTCCGCACCTAACCGCGCAACAGCTCACTGTCGCCTAGCATGCAGAGACACATGGGAATCAAAAAGGCCGGATTTCCAAACCCTAATCCGGCTGTGACGAAAGGCCCAAGCAGGAAGAAGAAAGTGGAAGTGGACCACTACGCACCTGCAGTTCTCGCAGTGACAGACGACATTGTATACCGGCTCACCCACCACTGTGAAAGTCACGGCGCCGCAGAGGCAGCGCCCATGGTCGACCTTGTCAGCCGGCGAGTTGTCCTTTGACATCGCGTCCTGCAAGGGCAGGGACCAGGAAGAGGACGGAGGGAGGGAGGGAGGGAGGGGAAAGCCCAGGACGAGGAGTTATCACTTTAAAGTGGACGAGGCAAGAGGACAAAAGGACTCTGGGCCAGAAGGATAGCTATGCAAAGCACGAGGACCGTGTATCGTTGTATCGGGCGACTAGGCCGGCTTGCCGATGCTCAAGCTCGGCTGAAGGAAAACACAGTAGGTGGTGATGAAGATCGTTCGACGTTCGGACACAGTCTCGTATTGCTACAATTGCCTTGCTCCAACAGTAAAGACTAGACGATTTCTGCCCTCTTAGGGGTAAAGTATCTAGAGTAGACGAGGTATATCAAACCCAATAACCTGAAGCCGAGGCTACGGGAAGCAGCATCGCACAGGAGAATTTCCCCACATCAGCCTCGACCATCATCGCATGCAGAGCGAAATTAGTCAGGAAATCTTGACATGGAGGATTCCATCGTGGCCAGCTTAATCAGTTGGTGGACGACATGTTCCAGCCTTGTATCAGATTGATCTCTCGCCCGGACCTGCGCTCAAGGCATTGAGGGATGTTGGAAGGACTTTTATAGATGAGGGTGGACGGGGCTCCAGGCTGCCCTCCTAGGAGAGACTGTCATTCCGAGGGACAACCTTGAAGGGTGGTCACCTCAAGGCGCATCCAGGTGTTGCGTCTATGGCCCAGGAATTTCAGGTCTCGAGCATGGTGAGCCGGGGGCAGTGGTTGTACAAATGTTGAGCTGTAGAGACCATGTTCCTAGAATAACAGGCTCTTTTGACGGAGAATCTTTTTCATCTTGAATCTTTGCTGTTCTGAGGCATGTCTCGTCACGACGCTGTTTTGGATGACATCTTCTTCGTGGCTTTCTGCGTACTTTGGACCGCCTCTGTCGTTGTGAACCAAGAGCTGGCCACTAAAGTCGCACTCACGACCCATGCGGGCAACCAAATGCACAAAACGCCAACAGGAACGCCCCAACTCCCCCAGATGTTCCAACCTAGGGCGAGCCGCTGTAGCCATTCGACAAGAACATCGTCTCGTCCCAAGACAATGACGCCATATGCGCTCAACCCTATAGCTAGTCCCATTGGACTCATGACGACAAGTATCAGATACTGAACAAGTGACAGCCCTGCCCTAGAGCGAGTTCTACCCACAAAGACCAGTGGGATGCAAACAATACCAAGAAACATGCTGAGACTGAAATTCAGTGTCGCTAGGACAGTCAAGAAGAGGCCAAGTAGTAAAAGGCTAAGCGATTTGGTTAGGACGTATTGCTCATATGTCGGCGCGGAAAAGGCAGGTAAGGTGGTGTTGTTCGGCATTTCGGCAAGTGCTGATGCGAGAGCTATTGGGAGCACAAGCAGGGCAACCGTAATCAGAAAAAATGTCGAGGGCATGGCTCTGAGGCTCAGTGAGGTAAGGAGATATAGTGGGATGAGAGACGCTAGGTGTATCGCCGTTAAGAGGGCAATTGGAAGGACGAGTTGTCTGTCGACTGGCTTGAATTCGATTTTCGAGAGGGATTCTCTGGGCAATGTGATTTGCGGTTGCGAACCGCTTGTCTTCTCAGTTGACCCATTCTCCATTTTGCTGACCGCTGGCGCTGCTTCTTTCTCGGTAACTTGATAGCCACTCAATACCCAAAGGTAGATTGCCATAATCGTATAAGCGGCAGCCATGATCATCGCACCTGGAAGATACGTCCCAATGCTGACGAATCGATTTGACTGCATCAATAGGTAGAAAAAGAAGCTCTGATGCAGCTTCTCAAGTAAATTATTGAGGCTTCGGCAGATGCTTTCGATCGTCCTCCCAAACGCCATCTCATCTTGCCAGCCCTCGTTTGTCGCCGTCAAAGTGATAGCATCGATATGATACGTCATGAAGGTGGAATGGGGGCCAGTTGCGTGGCCGAGGGCTTGGGTTGACATTCCGCGCACGAGTGTTTGAAGGCGAACAGGGTACGAATTGTACTCCTCATGCTTGCTGTACGTGTGTTGGAATTGGATCGATGTTGAAATGCCCATCTGGCCAGACGCAATAGAAACGGCGGTATTGAACAGATCGAGGTTAGGTAGAGCGCCGTTAATGCCGTCGTATGCGATATGAAGGTTCTCGAAGCGATGCTCAAATGGGTAATCGATGCAAACGGCAGCCTGAAGTGCACCAGACTTCAACGACAGATCTTGTACCTTGTATGGATCGTGGGTGGAATGGTACGCATCAATCCATGCTTGTGGTCCTGCAGTACTGTCCGGGGTGACCAAGAATATGATGTCCTTCGACCACAGTGACCATCTTTTGAAATAGCGCGACAGGGAAATGAGGAGCGGTACACCATTCACGTTTGGGATGCCGTCGATGTTTTTGAGTGGTGCGACAAGTACGATTGCTTCGGTTCCGTCACCGCGAGGCGCGTGCAAAACAGCATAAACATTCTCTCCCTCGTAAAGCTGGCCGGACGACATGTAAGAATACCGTTGCTTTGCAGTCTTCAAGCCAGCGTTCCGGAAGAGCTCTTCCAACTTTCCACTTGTCCTATCTTCCCGGGCTCTCTGCTCTGCTTTCCCCAGGGTCTCGTTCTCAGCAGACATCGCAGCATCTTCCAGGACCGTAGCCAACTCGTGTCGATATGCGCGAAAAACATTCTGTTCGCTACCGCCAAAGTAAGTGTGGACCTGGCCGGGTAGGAGCGCATTTTCTGAGATGTACGTCTGCCGAGAGTACTCCTGTAGAGGCAAGGGCAGGATCCATGATATGCCAACGAGCATGCAAAGCAGGGACAAATACGGTGGGATTCGAAGGAGTCGGGGGTCGTCCTTGCGGAGGCTTGAGATGAGGTTACCTAGAGAGCCGTGTCTTAGCAATTTTTTTTCCGATTTTCAGTACATTTGGTGGTATACTCACGGATGAGGCCCATACTGACCTTGCTCGGCTCATCAATGGCTTCACGGCAAGGCCTTCGTACACAGACATCGACCTTCAAGGCAAACGCAGTCTTGAGGAATCTGTACTCTTGCCCTCACGCCGAAGATTAGCCGCTTAAGGGGCGAAGGGGCCAAGGGGCACCTGGTTTTCCTGAGTCTAGGGAAAATATCTTAGAGTCACAAATAGTTGTCTTCATTAAACCATCGGCAAATATGGCTACTAGTACATCGAGCAACCTGTCCACAGACATGACGCTCCATTTATCCAACGTGGGGTTGATCCAACCGTCCAGGGTTCTGCGTGCTCTAACGCAATTTTCGAGAGGTCAAAAGCGTTCCAAAGGCCGGCAGATGGTCATGGCCCAAGTCTCTGCCCATCACTGCTGGTGCCCATCCAACCAAGTCCAATAGGACTCATATGACCTTCTGGTCCGCTGGCTGAACTCGTGGGAAGAACGCCGTAGCGCCCATAGGTCTTCTGATCCACAGACACATAGTGTGGTAATCGTCCAAGCAGATTGAGTTTGCCTTCGATCCAGCGAAGGACTTTCTCCGGAGGTGCGAGGAAACGGATATAGCCCAGGCCCCCTATTGAATAATCGTTAGACTCGGGACGCCTCAAGGTAGCAAACAGAAATTCGACCAAAGGAAATCGACACCTACATAAATATCCTGTTATACACCCACTGAGGTGTCCAAGGAAGGAAGCACTGGGAATCAGTATGGACGTCACGACCAGTATCACTAATGGCGATATCCAAGTGGGGATCTTTTGGTCAGCGATCCTGTTGTTCACTTGTTAGCAGCTTATAGAGTAACCAGACGCTTCCCTCAGGGTCAACAGAGAACAAGACCAGGACCTACTCCAGATATGGGTTCGCTCGATAAGTTTTAATTGCCTCGGCCGCAAGAAGGAGGAACACCCAGATACTGGTTGCCCATGTTAGCCTGTCTCTTCCGTCTCGAGTCGAGTCGTGTGGCTCTATCCATACCTGGCCCCGAGGACTGGGGTATTGTCTCTGAGGATGACACCGTCCAACAACAGATATAACACCGCAGGTATTTGTCCCAACGCTGTGATATGAGTTAGCAGCCATTCTTCGCATCGAGACCGAGGTATCCGAGTCTGTCGTCCTTTCAAAAAGACGGCATGTGAGACGTACGGCCCATAAACAAGGCAATGCTATTCAACGTGCCAAATTCAGCCTCGAACCTCTCTAGTAAAGGCATAAGGCAGATGGTATTGATTAACATATGCCAGAACCCCGTGTGTATCAAGACAAATGTGTTGAGCCTGTACATGCTGCCCAGGTTGATTTCCTTGGGTTCCAGTGAGCCCCATTTTACCACACTCCAGACGGTCTGCAGTTCGAGGAGCCAAAAGGCTACTATTGCGACGAGGATCAGGCGGGTGAAAAGCGGGAGACGCAGAAGGTAGGAGCGTATACGCGACGGCTGGATTAATCGGGTTGGGAGAGGGAGGCTATTGGTCGTTATTCGAGGCAACGCTCGAGGTGCTGCCATTCTGGCGCAAGGCAGAGGAGGATGGTGGTGGATAGCGGTACCAGCGGGCACTTCAATGCTTGGTCAGAGATGGCAGTTGAGGGTGGAAGTGCGGCACATTGGGTTGATACGAGTCTGACTCTTCAACACGTAGAAGTACGGTCTGAGTTGCTGTACGCCATGATCTGGGGGATACGACTGTAAGACTAGAGATGCAGTGTCTCGTGCCTGAAGAATCATCGACGAATCTGCGCAGGAGATTTTTGGAGTCGCTGGAGCCGGTTGCAAACTGCGGAGAAATTGCAGGTCGATCCTGCTGAAATTAGCTGCCACTGAGACTGCCTCGACTTGGTCAACTGTTTCTTTACCTCTGCCTCGTCTCCAGAGTTTCCTCTCAATCCCTTTTATTCCAGCACTCCAAGAAGGAAAAACACGTGGGGGAAAACCAAGAGGAGAGTCTGGATGTGTTCTACATCCGAGCCACATCGACATCGCGAGCAAGATGGGGGCGCATCGACAGCTGGGCTTCAACGTCCCAACGGAATGCTGCCAGCTACTATTGGTTGACGCCCACGTCGTGATGTCGAAGATGTGCCACAGACATGATCAATTTCACCGCTGAGCGCCGCAGATACCGGTCGCAGCTATCTACCTGCAAAGCATCCTGGGACTCTAGTCACTCCCTCACGTGCCCTTCATCGACGCGGTCCGTACTGCCCATCCTCCTCAGGCACAGCTCCTTTCGACGACCAGACTGGAGGCCTGTGTCTTTGGCTTAGATGGCCCTGAGCCATTCACGCAAGGTTGCTCGTCAAGTCCAACGACGGTACTGATACCATGCCAAGGTCCCTCCTCGATGTCTCCTCTCCCACACGACGCACGTATTAACCCTTCGGTACCGAATACTCTGTCACAGGCCTCGATCTGAAGAAGTGAGACTGTATTGGGCCATTCCTTCAACATTTCCATTGCAAGTCCACTGCCCTCTGATTTAGCAGCTCTTGTTTCGTCCGGCTTGGACACCTCAAATTGCGAACCTGTATATGCAAAGTGCTCATCGATTTTGGCTTCGCTTGCCCGACTGGTTGGTGTTTCGCTGCTCATGATGAGCCTGTTCCTTGACAACAGTCAGTATGTGAACTTCAACACGTTACAGCATTGACAGAACCGTGGAAAAGTGCCTTCTACCTGGCTGTCCTGACAATTTTCTGATGTTGTCAAGCTATCCTATTCTCCCGCGCAACACCAGAAATTGAGATGAAAACAAGTACCTGAAGGAGGCCTCCTGCTTTATTTCCCTTATGGATGGTCAATCCATATCGCCATTTCCCGATTGAGGAATCCAGTTTGTGGATTTCCTAATGCTAGGCCATGGCATGGGTTGAGTCGCCACCTCTTGGAGCGTCCTCTTGGAGCGTCGATCTGTGGAAGTACAATAGCAGTGGAGCATCGCCAGTGAATTTTGAATGAGTACAAGGCTGTCTGTTCCTATTCCTCATTTCCTGTTCTGGAATTCCAGGAGGCAACACCTCATCACGGAACCACATAACCCCTGGTCAAGTGCGCGTAAGAGGTGGAGAATCGCCTGGACGTGATGGCGGTGCAATAGGAGATGCTGCATACGACACCGCATGACAATCGACGGGCAATTCATGGCCATCAACCATTTTTGGAACTATACCCCCATAGTACGAACGGCATTGATCCTGTCTGTAACATTCCGCCCGGGAAGGGACTCATTTCATTGTTCCTGTGGCTTGACTGCTCCTAGCGTGCCAGTACTAATCTTAAGCAGGAAATTCGAACTTGAGAGCCTGACGCATTGCCACACACCGGTCACACGTCCAGCAGCCTCAGCTGGGTAAAACCCACCAACCAGCTTTCCCCAGCCAAGGACGAGCTGCTTGACCGAATCAGGAAATAACAAGACGTCCCGCGCGCTGACTTCAATACAACTGTCTTTCGCTACAATCCGCTCTCGGTCTTGCTCGAGTGGTTCTTTTTGGTGTTCTATCGCTGCGAGAATTACTCGCACGGTCACATTTTCTGGCAGAATAAGACTAAAGAGAAGAGTCCTTTGTCTAGGCGATCCAAGGCACTTCACCACATCTTCGGTCCTTCAAGCCTGGAGCATGACATAGTGCTCACAGTGCAAACAGTAAATCCCGAGCTCGTGCTATATGATGGAGAGCAATTCACGATTTTCGAGGGAGTACGATCCTGCGAATCCACGCCGGGCTAGAAATCGTTACGACCTCGACTGGGCACCTTTACGAGAGGCGGTGACAAGATACCACGAACAACGTTGTTCCCGAACGATGATAGTTAAATTGCTGTGGGAGAAGCATGGTTTCCGCGCCTCGTAAGTCATGTTATTTTCAAGAGAGTCCCGTCTTTGAATCCTCTTTCGTTGATAAGTTTCACGGATTATTGACTCTTTTGCTCTGCTGCCTCGAAGGACCTCACAGTTAAACAGACAGATGGGTCGATGGGGACTATTCACGAGGAAGAAGGGCCTATCATCAAGCAGGACTGACCTGGCCTCTGCCTACGTCCCATCGAACCATGATTTGCCCGATCACGCTTCGATATATCATCGTAAGGGGACGACACACAACTTTGCCGAAGTGCCTCTCCCGAGTTTTGGATCGATTTCGACCCTTGCCACCCCTCAAGCAAATCCAGATAATATCCTCTCCCGTAGCTCTTCGTCGGATGGTCACTTGTGTTCTGAAGTCGATCCGTGCTATACGAGTCAACGCCCTAGTGCGACCACGCATCTTGCGAATCCAAGCTCGAGCACCTGTCCCACCCCCATCAGAGCATCCTCTCCAGGATCAGCATCGCGGGAGAGCTCGACTACCGCTAACTATTCGTCTCCTATTACCGACCTCTCTAACGAACGGCCCTCAGATGGAGAGGACTTGGTGTCATTACTCGAGCTCGTTCAGAAGATTACTGAATATCATCCTTGCACCGACGCAACCGAGATTTGGATGACTTCTAAACGCACGATCCTCCAGCCCACCGCTTTTGAGATTCATGACGCTGAATCTCGTCAATGGTGCACGTCTCTGGAGTTCTGGCAGAGCATGGGCAATGTTGCAGATGCTCTTGCCGCAGCAGGTCACTTCTCGAGCGCTTTCGATTTACACTATATCTGTTTTGTGGAGATCTTGGGCAGCGCTATGTCGCATGCCCGACAGATCTCGCTGCCTGATGATCTTGTTCACCCAGAGACTGAGCAGGATGCTCTAACTCAGAATCTTTTTCATGTTGTTGCCAATAAGGGTCCTGTTTTACAACTTCTTGTCAAAGCCGCCATCGGCATTGCCCGATCTTGTTCAGGATTGGACCATGCGAAACTTGCTTGTTCCGCGCTTGATGCAGTTCTCCGCATTACAGGTGAAATTGAATCTTTGGGGACATTCCGATTCCTCGCAACCCTGTTTGACTGCTATGAGTACGAAATGGGCGAGGCTGGGTGGGGGTGCAGGGGTGCTCGACCTTTTGAACGAATAACTACTCTCGAACTCGAACCCTGGCACTCGGCTGAATCTAACCCATACTCATGGAAGACAGAATGGCGGAAAGTGATTCATCCGACAATTCAACATCGAGAGTACTTGACGTTTTTCAGTCGCATGTCCTGTTATACGCAACCTTCCTGGAGACACGTCACTCCTCTTCCCTCGGTTTTCGGGCTACCGACCCCCAGCGCGGACTTGGTTACTGTTCTGCACAGTACATGCTATCCGTATATCTGCAATCCAGGTTGGTGGTCAAAATTCAGAGCGTTCTGCCAGATGCCTAAATCGACTAACTTTTGGGCCAGATCCAGTTGTTCAAGATAATCCGTTGCGTTCTTTTCCTCCCGAATATACCTCCGGCTTTACCGCTTTCCTCGATCAGTGCCATACCATGATAATTGCGGATCTCGCGACTCTGGATTCGTACACGAAAGTTGAATCACTAACGGACCAGGGATTGGAAGATGCGACCTTCACATTATTCTGGTTTCTTGTCTGCAGAAAAGGCTTGTTGGAGCTCGACTCGAAACAGCCGGAGTGCGCCACTGATTTTCGGCCGGCACCCTTTCCCCAGACAGCTTACCACTCTGCCAATCTGGATGCATGCTTCATCCTATGCCGCCTTCTCTCTTCGCTCTTTGCTCGGGAATCTGGACCACCCAACAGCTTCTTGATTGGCCCAAACTCATTGTCTAGCTTCGCCGCAGAGGCCATGTATCAAATCCGGCAATCGCCACACGAATTCCTAAATCGCTATCTTAGACAAGTTCTCAACCTCAGACCCCTAGTCGACTCAAGCAGCTTGTCTCCCCAACCAGCAACGGAGCACAAACACGTGCAGTCAACTATCCTAGCGCCTCCATTTGATGCTTGGAAATTCAAAGCGCCACCCACTCGACATGAGCCAAATCAGCCAGGAGACGACATGAATGTACCCCCCTTGACTTTCAGAGCTTCTTTAAACCGTCAAAATGGGACGCTGGTGGCAACCTCGCGATTCGAGTCGACTGCTCCAGATAGGAAGACCAAGTCCACCCACCCGGATTCGACGGGCATCAATAACGGGAGTCTCGTAAAGAGCCCCATGCGCATGCCACCGCCCCCGCGGCCGGCGCCTTCTGTCATCACCACTTCCTCAGGCTTATCCGAAGACACAAAGGCGTTCCGCAAGCTTGCTCGCAGAGTCAATGACCCGGGAGCTCTGGGGTGCCATGCGCCAGACGACAAGAGCGACCAACACGGCTTCGAACCGAGCTGGGACTGTGAGGACTTCACGGACATCCTTGCCGGCATCACCGGCCCATCGATTGCTTTCCCACGGCTCCACCCTATAGACGATCATGGCCTTGGTAGACTGTAGTACATAAGCACGCGACGCTGGAGGGTTACAAGGGACGGCATCCCGTCGCTGAGCAGGAGAAGGAAAAAGGGTCTGCTTCGTCTAGATTCAGAACGCGGCAAGTTGTAACAATAGTTCTTCTTTGATTACTATACTAGTAGTTCGCCCGAATGCGGACAAAGCACACCAGGGCAGTGTTTCCACTGCTGCTATGGACAATAACCAGCTAGCTAGCTAGAAAGCAAGCTATCCACTAGCTGCGATAATCTATGGATTTGGGGGGGTATCACTGGATGCGCGGACGCCTATGGCAGTGCTGAGCGACGCAGAACGTGACCGGCGCGCGGCGTCTGTAAAAGGGGGTATCGTGCGTTTTAATAAAAATTCCAGATCACATAATGATGAGCCTCCTCTCTCCCATTTCGTTTCACCCTTTCGCTTCCTCATTAGGCAGGTCTCTCCAAAACTCGGGACGTGTCGTAAATCGTCGTTATACTCGGGCGTCGGTCTTCCACAAGGCTATGTCTGATGCGAGGAGCCGCCCAGTAGGGTAATGATCGTAAGAAGCTGTACAACGTAAAAAAAGCTCGGGGGTTCTGGTGTAGTGCGTGATTGGAGGTCCTCCCGACTCCTTTGAGATTGGGGGTGGTGGGGGATGAGCGGCTTTCGACAATCACGTGCAGGTCTTCGATCGACGCAGTCAGACCAGGAAAACACTGCACGGAGCATGGCTCAATCCTCAAAATCTAGGGGCCGCGCCCTTGTTTTCCCTCCTCATGGCCCAGCCCTTGAGTGACAGCACGATGATCTCATACGCCATGATGAACGCTGTGAACCCACATGTGACAGTGAGCACAAACATGGCCATGAGGCCTGTCGTCTCCATATAGTGGATGATGTCTCGGGCACTGGCCATGAAGATGATGCCACCACTGATCAAGCAGAAGGAGGCGACCAGCTCGGTAGGGGGTCGGGTTGGATAGACCGACTTAGGTGGAGAGAGGAACAAGATTAGGTAGGTGCACATACGAGCGACACCGAAGCCGACCAGCAGCGTGCCCCATTGTGAGTGTACGTTGGCGGAAACCATCGAGTCCTGGTGATGCGCGGACATCATGATTCCGAGGAGGATGATGACCAAGCCGGGCATAGGGTTGAGAGATGTGGTGTACTGCTTCGGGGTTTCGCGCAGTTCCAGCGCTTCGCTAGGATGGACGTCCGTCCGGGCGGGCATGTTGTCGACAACGGTGTTCAAACATCGTCGCACGATGCTGGACTCAACAAGCATACCGCACTGGGGAATGGTTTAGCCGAGGCACCCGAGGGAAACTAAGAGCAGAGACAAAGAGGAACTCACCAATCCACCGCCGAAGAACATGATGGCGATCGAGACATGTTCGAAGTCCTGCGCCGACCACTGGCCACCCCAAGCAGCAAGATGCTCCAAGAAGACATTGGTTGCACCGTACAGCCAAATGACAAAGGATTCTGTGAATTCAGCCGAGGGGATTTTCGACTTCCATTGGCCGACTTCGCTGCGGGTCGGCTTAAGATTCCAAGCCCAGCCTAGATCGGCAAAGCAACCCATCCATCGTCCTAGGGTGAGCAGACCGTACCAGAAGAAAATTCCTCCCTTGATAAAGTGGGCAAGCCCCGTGAAGACGTTGTTGGCTCTCTGTGCACACTTGGTCAGTCTCTGCAAGCTCTCGAATGGCTAACTGCGCCCTAGTGATGAAAGGGGCGCAGTTAGGGAAACACTTACGAAAAGACCACAATAGGTGATGAATCCGGTCACCAACGCGATGAAACCAAGGACCAGAATCAGTCTGTCAACCACATTGTACACAATCTCGATGATTCGCAGAATCTGAGAGGAGACCAGATTGGGGATTCGTGCGGACAGGTATCTGTCGATGAAGCTGATGCGGAACCAACGGGATTGCCGGCTAGGCTGCTGCGGCAATTGCACGTCTTCATCATCTTCCGAGTCTGGCACGGGCTCAGGCTTCTCGAAGTCGTCAAAGGTGTCGCGTCGACCCACAACCGTTGGAGAACCGTCACGGCTGTGCAGCGTCGAGGAAGTATCGGTGCCTTGGCCACTGTCGCCGGACCAGCGGTAAGCATTATAGGGCGGCCGCCTGTTATGCTGGGCCATGTTCTCAACTGAAACTGGGAGGAACGCTGCCCTCTCCCCGACTGGAGCTGCGGGTTGCTTGCCTCTCCGCGAGTAGGCAAACAACAGGCTCGCAATGACCTGAGCGGTCATGATCCAGGTGGCAATCCAGCCGATTCTGTGGTGGGCATTGTGCACGTACAAATCTGGAGTGTTGATGTTGTACACAATCCCAAACAGCAGCCCAACGCCGTTGACGAGCAGGAAGAGAAATTGAACTGGAAGAGCGAGTTTGGATCGACCAATGCTGAAAATGGCGCCTACTCTGGTTAGGAACAAACGCTTCACCACCTTGCCCTTGCCGACTCACCAATTGGAAGAATGAAAAACCATGCTAACACCATCAGGACCACATGTGCCATTATCATATTCTGGTGCTGGCCCAGGCCAGCATAGCTGGGCATGTCATATGGGTCGACCTCTCCTCCATTGTCATGAGGGGCTTCCGGCTTCTTCATATCCATATCATGGTGCTCCTCATCGTGACCATGAGCAAGTGCAAGTGAGGCGAGTTGAAGCAGCGCCGCTGCAATGGCCCATCTCGACAAACCCATTCGGCTCACACTTGTTTGGACGGTCTTCAATGCTCCTTCTTTTACACCAACGCCCACCTGACTCGAAAGCTTGGTTCGTTCAAGAAGGGAGGGTGGAGTTAGAGATCAATTAAGAGCGGTAGGACGGAATGCGACGGCGGCGGAGGGTGTGACGGGGAGGGAGAGGACTGCGAGGACAGTCGATACGAAGAAGGGCAGCGTGAGGGATCAAGTATACACACAGGGGGAGACGTTGGTTCACAGGAGGAACAGAGATCAGTACAGAGAGAGAGAGAGAGAGCGAACACAGACTTCCACATGCAGCGGTCACGGGAGATTATTAAAGAGTCGAGGGCCGGTCGTGGAGACTGGAGCGAGTCATCGGATGAGGGCCTGCACACAGGCATCGCGCAAGGACGGGGACGAAGGGACGAATAGGTCAGCAGAGCAAAAGCTTTTGCAGCCATGGAGCATGCCATCGACTGTTGGCATCAGTTGGACGCATCTTGGGGACTGGTGGCCGGATTTCTCGGATGCGCGAAAGAGTGGTGCTGGTGGTGCGTGTTGTAGCTTGCAGCCCACTCTGGCCCTTCTTATCGCCGGCCGGAGGAAAATCGAACGAGGCGTCAAGAAGTGACAAGGCCCGCAGGTGCAGTAGCTCCAAAGGCCCTGGACGCCCTTGACCTCAGCGGCGCCCCCATTGGCAGCTGCCCGGAACGGCCAACAGGAGCCCACCAGAGCCCAACGAGGGTCACCGAAGAGCTCTTAGGGCCAAGCACCGGGCCTTGCGACTTGGAGGGACCAGAGCGTATTATTACTATTATCCTTACTTATTTTTCTCAGGCAGGGGTCTCTATCTCCTCGTAGGTAGCTCGGGCGGACCAGCTCGGCGTACTCGCGAAGAGCCTACGAGTTGCTACTAGGTAGCAGCCAGGCAGAGAGGCACGTCAGATCGCAGGCACCCTTGCCCGCAAAATTATTCGCTTAACCAACGAGCCCAGCTTCCTGCGAAGAAGCGCTTATGGGGCAAAGTCACGTACGAGCGGAGATCAGGTAGAGCTGTTGGCCCAAGCTCTTCGACAAAGCTCACACTCTCGCACTCTTTTCTCTGAGGAGCGCCATACTCGATAGCGTACTGTCAAGGGAGCTCAAATTCCCTCAAGATGCTGGTCCCCAGACGTGGGCCCCCACCGGGAAGGATACTTCCTGTTTAGCCTCCGCCGCCCTACTTCGGATACGTCGCAGTCGAACTGTCGTAAATTGACAAAGTCCTGGCCCTGCTGACAAAAAGGGCGACGAGATCGGGTGCTTGTCCAGAGCCGCGATCAGCGCGGAATTATTGGAGACAAATTCCTCTTGTCGTACTCCAGATTTGGACAGGTTGAACCTATTCCCGCGTCAGATTCTTGTTTGGTTCTTGTCATGACTCTTTTTTCGCATCAGTGTCTATATTTGCTCAAGAATTCCACTCTCTTCACATCTATTGCTACCATCATCCAGCCTCCCCCAGATGATGTCATTATCTCGTAGACGACTAGAGTTCTGAAGAAAATGAGGTGTCCTTCCGAGCCATTCCGTGGCCCCAGACACCGAACACGCACACGGATCTGGTGATGGTGGTATTTGGACTCTTGGTCAGGCACGGGACTCGTTCGATTCGCGCGGTGTGAAAAGGTACTTTGGATGGAGACGGGGAATGCCGAGTTGCCAACCGGGCGACTGGTTAGAGAGTGTGGTGTGAGAAGTGGTCTATGACTGGCCTGGTGGGATCGAGATCGCGAGATTGAGATGTTGGTCTCAAACGGCAAACAGCAGTGGACGGCGGCGGAGGAGCGGTGACTCAGCGGACAGCTTCTCAGGCATCTCGGAGGATGCTGACAGGTGCACCACGTCGTTCCCGCACGGGAAATCCGGTGGCTGGAGAAGTGTAGAGAGTCTGGAGAGAGAGCACATGGTTAGGATGCGGTTTCCCAAACTGACTTTGTCCTGCTGCTTTTGAGCCATCGTTTCAGGCAAGCCAGCCTTGCCCTTACTTGACTCTCTGCGCTCCCACTATTGCTGTATCTTGACGAGTCTTTCCATGACCACCGCACTCTACACATTGTTGCTGCTCAACCCATTCACAGTACCCGTTCATCGCTCAACACCTAAGATACCCATCGGTTCCATCTCCATCGCCTCCACTGTCACCGTCACCGTCACTGTCACCTACGCGCAATGCTGACCGCGGGTTTCGTACACCTTTCCATTGTCGATGGAAAATGAATCATTGGGATCCTCTCGCCCTCGCTTATGGCTGCTCTCAGCATCCTGTTCCTGTCACCTTCTGCTGACTTCCATGAGCACCCATCGTTCTCGTGCCTTTCCTCCCGCACTCCTCTCATCTCTTCTCCTCCCACCCAATCACTTCCCGCACGCCACACCCGAACTGGCTGTATTACCATCTCTGGTCATCGGTTTCATCGGCGGCGGCTCTAACCCGATACAGAAAATATCTCTGGCTCTCCCAGGACAGCCAACGGTTCTATGGAGTCACTGGTTGAATAATCCTGCAACCTGAAACGCCCAAGCCAGGCAGGTGGCCTACCTAGGCGACCAGGATACTCTCCTACCCGTAGTCGGGTCTCCCACACCGGGCCGAAGTCGACCACCGACCCAACTTTGTCACCGCTGGGTAGGTCTACGGAGTATTCGTCCACTCGCCGAAGAAATGCCCTAGAAAAGTTTGTTCTCATATCTTCCTCTTCGTCGAATCAAGGCCTCGATCCACATCGTCGCTGCTGCAACAACGCTTCTGAAAAAGCTTCAAGCTTTGGTTCAGCGAATACTCCACCTCTTCAGTAATGGAAATGGCGACTTTTTTCTTTTCGGCCGACTCTTCTGTCCGAGGCTCCGAGCCTTGTATGGGTTTCGGTGCCGTGCAACCCGCTAGCTCCTCCCTTGGCAATGGTTGGCAGACCGATTTGTCTTCTACCCAGTGCCTTTGGAGCGTATTATTCTCTACCTGGACGTCTAGGCGTCAATCAATGCATGAAACACCTTTGGGCACCCCGCGCCCTTTCCTTTTGTCCATACCACTGCATTTCCCGCACGTTATCGTACCACCGACACTTGCATTGGCCGTCGCTGCAAGTGGTCACAAGGACACCATCTCGTCGATCCCGCACTGGCTCCCGCTTCGGCGCTACGGCTGACCGCCCTGCACAATATTTTATGCACATCATGGATCGATGATCTTGTCACTTCTCTTCACCAAAATCCTTGGGAACCGAACTGCGGTCAAAGAGGGAATCCTTTGCTGGTGCACAACATGCTGATGATTAATTGGTATGAGTTCTAGTCTGTATATAGCTTAGCGTGTCGAAGCACATTGTCAAATGGATGGAAATATGTCCATTTCTGCGCCATGGATACGCCCTGTTCTCAAAGCAATATTTATATCGAATCGTAGGAGGTGTCTCGCGACGTATCACGAGCTTTATGTGTATCTGACACGGCGGGGGACGTATTCGTCTGATATGCCGCGCACCATCCTCTGAATGTACGAGTAGTACGAATGGTGGTTCCAAGCAATCTTTTCCACTGACAGTGGTCTGCCGAAGGTCACAGGCAGCAGGGTTCGTACTTGTACACATCCTCTCTTACAGATGCTGAAAATGTGGGGGGGTTGACAACGGCGATAATCCCTGCACTACTTCGACAGGGACCAACGTACTGACTAACCGATCAGGACAGGAGAGGAAGTTGTCGCATATGCAATTCGACAAAATAGGGCACCCGAGGGAGGCAGATCTGAGATGTAATTACAAGTGCATTCTACTCATGCTCTAGGCCTGGGTGGTAGCGCCCCCCTTATTTGATTGCCATGCCCATCCATATTCCTGTCCGCACCGACGCCGGCAACCCAGCCCGCGAGCCCAATATCCAACCAAGCCGCACACGCACAACCCGCGCGCCCGTCGTCCGGCGTTCAGATCTTCTCAAGGCTGCGCAAGCTGTAGAAAAGGAGATATGCCTCCTGTCTCAAGACGTCCTCGGTGGTGGTCGCACTGACAATCTCGTCGTCGAAGCGGAACCACTTGTTGTCCTGGCGGCAGAAGGCAAAGTAATGGCCGTTCTGGGCGTGCTCGCCCTGATGCACGACCACGCAGTCGAGGTCGTACATGAACTCGCTCTCCTTTCTCGCACCCGCACTCGCACCCGCTTTTGCAGAAGCCGGGGCGGAAGGATTCTTGGTCTCCTTGCCCTTCTCCTTGTCCTTGTCCTTGTCCTTGTCCTTTTTCTCGGCCTCGCCGCCGTCTTTCTTGTCTTTCTTCACCGCTTCGGTGGCACCCTTGGTGGGCGGCCGCGTCGTGTACGGGGCCATGTCGAGGTGCAAGCTGAAGTCGATCTTGCCTTCGTATTTCTCGGGCCCAAACACCCCGCTGGCGATCTGCTTCATGCCGAACCTCTTGACGTGCACGCAGAGGATGGCGGGCAGCTTCCGGATGCGCGTCTGCTTGGAGGCGGACCGCCGCGTGTTGCAGTTGTTGCACTTGTATTGCTCTGGCGACAGGGGCTCGGGCGCCGTGAAGGCGCGCAGACAGTCTTGGACGGTGGGGATGGTGATTTTGAGGTCCGCGGCCTTGTCCTTGTGAGATGCTTTGGTACCGTCGCCCTTCTTCGCGTTTTCCTTGTCGTCTTTGCTTCCATCGTGGCCGCCGCCGCCACCGGCATCTTTTTCTTTCGAGGCGGATTCTTTGGTGCTGCCGTCCTTGGCCCCCTTCTTCCGCTTCTTCATCTGTTTCTGGAAATCTAGCGAGATGCTCGAGAACTCGTCCTCTCTGCTCGACACGGTGTGACACGTGTCACAGGTGATCTGGCTGTTGTAGCGCCCGTAAAAGACCTTGTGGAAGAAGCAGACGCATTGCTTATCCAGTGTGGCGATCCCGTTGGCCTGGTTGGTGGCGTGGGACTTGTTTTCGGAAGAGGGAACGTACTGGGCTACACCCTCGTGTAGGCGGTCGATAATGCAGATGAACCACTCTTGAGCGTCTTGCTGGCCTTTGCCGGACATTTGCTGTTCGTGGGGCATGAGCATTAGGATTACCCAACCACGGGACAGGGGAAGGGAGAAGCCATAGGAATGAGAAGGGATAGCAACTTACCGGAATATTCTTCCACGAAGCAAATAAGAGGTTGACGGCATGGGCAGGGAGAGGCTGATCCACCATAGTAACATCAGAAAATAGCTCCGTCATTCCACACGCGACGCAAGTTTTCTGCTCCTTATTCTGAGAACCTTCCGCAGACCCGTCTTCGTCATCATCGTCGTCGGAATCGTTCTTGTCCTTCTTGTCAGGCTCCTTGGAGATCGGACAGGTGTGAATCGGGTGGCCCATTCCCAAGAAATAGCTTGCCAGTAGGGAATTGTGCACCATCATCTGCAGCACAGCGTTCATGTAGCAAGTCTCTCCCAGGTTGAACAAGCCGCGGACACCGGTCCTGCCGCACGGTCGTTGGGAGGTATTTGCTGTTAGATAGGAGTCGTCTTCGCCGTCGTTGGATTCTGTAATTTTCCGCTTCACCCCGTTGACCTTGTTGCTGATGGCGCTGCTTTTGCCGCTGCTGACTAACAATGCCGGGTCGTAGATCAGGTCATTGCAGTGACCGCAGTAGACGGAATTGTGAGAGACGGCGAACCCATGCTCCGTTTTGGAGAGGTGCTTGTTCAGCACCGCGAAGCTGCCGGAGAGAGAGCACGAGACGCACGAGTAGGTTGCAAAGTCCGGGTCGAGGTGGTTGTTGCTGTTGTCGCGAAAGGCGCTGATTTTGCTGGTGGCGTCGGCATCGAGATGCTCACAGCCCGCCGTGGGCATGTATTGCGCTGAAGCCATGACTATCGAGAAATCTTTCGGGGTGATGAAGATGGATGACGGGTTAGAACAGGGGACGAGGTGGATATATATAAAACAAAGTGGGTTGTTGGAGATTTCGAGTTCAGGAGAAATCAGAAGAGGCAAAATGTGTTAATAGCAAAACATCCACGATGAGGTTGCCCTTTGTCCTGTGATCCTCCTCAATAGCTGTTAGCAGTGACAATACCCATTTCCCATTTGTGAATACAAGGACAATAGAGACTGGGGCTATTGTGGATCGAGGTGGTGGCCGACAATCAAGGAACATTTTTGGGAGTGAAGCGATTATTTCTTGCGCTACCAGCGGCCGAAGCTTCGCCGTAGAACTACGGTGGGCCAATAGACCACCCACCTGTCGCAGCCTTGCATATCAAGGTCTAGACTCTTTGGCGGTAACCGACCATCTCCACACCGCGTCGCCTGCAAATCCAGCCCGCTCCTCCAAGCACGTTGCTGAAGATGGCGTCCATTTCCTCTCAACCCAACGGCCTCTCTCTTCATCGCTTTCTTTGAGGGTCTCACAGCCTCACCAGCACTGGGCCAGTACCAGAAAAAGCAAATCGTTAACTTCTACCGAGTAGGTCGTCATGGACTGCAACCCGCCCTCGACTCTCCGTGTACCCTGGTCGAACGCCTTCTTCAAGGGTAAGAAAAGAGCTCTTCAGGAATGTCGTTGAAGGCGGTGTCGATATCATCATCATCCCACATCGCCTCTTGAGCCTTTGATACCAAGTCGATGAACTCATAAGTCCACCAGTGCGACTGTCCTGGGCTTTGTGGCGGCAAGCGGACTCCATTCTCATCAGTGTAGCGAACCGACATCATGAAGACGAAGAGCTTAGCGCACGCCTGGATAATGAACTGGGCCTGGACGTGCGCCGCAATGGCTTTGTCTTGGTAACCTACGTACAAGGCCAAGTCATCCGCAGCTTCCTCTTTCTGAGCCTGATCCAAGTCCTCAGAGTCCCTGGTACCCGTTTCCAAAGTCTCCAGGAGCCCTGTCACACGAGCATTGATTTTGTGAGCCAAAGCCCAATCGAGTGCCGCGACTCGGAATATGTTCTCAAAAAACGCCTCGAATTTGTCACTCAACCTTCCTTTGTAGACGACCTCGTACTGAAACAAAGTCACTGTAGTGAAAGAGTTAGTAAGCTATTTGTAGGTGACAGGTGAAGTAGCTAAGTACTCACTGTTTGGTTGGAGCTCTTCCATCTTAACACAATATTGACAAGACGGAGGTAAGAAGGAGGAGTGCGAGGAGGAGGGTGTTGAGTGAGATAAAGCTTTGGAAGTCGTACGTGTGATGGATGGGGCTTTTGGACCTCGACGTCTTCCGGTGGTCTGTACGCAGGGAATCTTTGTCTCGCTTTCAAGGGTTCGTCCTTGGGAGATGATGGTGTTGTCGACTGGGACGGCCTGTCGACGGATAATGGTGGCTAACAGGCTCTGGAGATGACAAGCGCTAGAAGAGAAGTCCCCCTTTTCTAATTGTGCATGGCAGGACAGCTTAAAGAACAAGTCTGGCCGGACAGATTCCATCCACGAATCTGGCGTATGGGGTTGATGAATTAGTATCTCGGCGTCGTAGAAGAGCCCTAATGGACTCTCTCGGCGAGAACAAAAGGCCATGATGTCGTGAGACTGCAACTCGATGACACCGTCGCCTACTTACTTCCCCTCGCTCTACCCCGTGGTAGACCACTTCCTCTCGAACCACGGCTGCTGACACTTCCTCTACTTCCTCTTGTCCCTGCAGCAGCATTTCCACGACTAGCAGGCAGATTGCTCTGCTTGATAGTTGAGGTAGTTCCGGGTGTTAGCGATGGAGCCATGCTTTTACGGCGTGGAGTTGCCTTCAAGCTTGCGAAACTTGCATCTGCTGCAGTCATAAAGGTGGCATCTGCACTGCCCTCGCCGAGCCTTCCATCACCAGCGGTGGTGTTGTTTTGCATTGTCGTCGACTGATCGTCGAGATTTCCCTGGTCTCCCTGCTGACGCTTTTGCCAGCGCTTGATGGACTCAGAGATTGGAGCCTGGAGCAGAAACATCACTGTCAACGCCGTCCCGACAGCAGTCACAGAGCGACAATGTCAAAGAGGAGATGGAGACATGCGACTCACCTCTGGGAAATCAACAACAAAGGCATTCATATTCAACCCATACAAGAAACTGGCAAAACTCTCCCCAAACCGACTGAGACTCTCGTGCATGAGTTGCAAGTGCATCAAATTCGCCTCCAGGTCAGCCATCGAATCACTTAATTCTGCGAACTGGGGCTCCAGCGAGTCGAGCGGCAATCCAGGCCCCGTGAAGATCCCATTATTTTGGTGGACGGAGGCACGGAATGAGGAACGCGACGAAGGGCGGAGAGGAGTCGTCGGCCGGGAAGTAGGTGAGCGCGACCTCGTCCGCACAGGCATTTGAGACGCTGTGCGAGGCTGTGACATCGTTTCTACAGAGCAATAGGCTCTAGGTAGACGCTGATGTTGAGTTCAGTACCTATGTTTTCTGTGCAACGGACGGGAGTTGGTGCGAAGTTGGCATTTCGTGGACGTGTCCGTGTCCACCAATTACAATCCGGCAGTTTCCGCGCGTTCGGAAGAATCATTGATACGAGATTGTTCCGGCGAGGCTACAAGGCTGGAGAATGCTACCAATTTGCCGAATTAAAAGCAAGATGCTCGTGGGCGTGGGCGCAGCTCTTTGAAATCCAGGCGACTGAACAAAGGTATTTCAGGAAACTATTACATGTGTGGCCAAGCTATGGAAATAGCTGCCATCACTGAACACGACGCTCTAGAGTTCAGCAAGGCCCTGAGACCCATCGAAACCTGGCTGACCCAACTCCAGGTCCACAGTCCTTGTTTTTCCCGAATGTATGCTCATTGGACTTGTAAGAGGATCAATCCCGTCCCTACGTCCTGTTCTGTCAAGGTCGGCCATTCGCTGCTTGCCCAAACATCCCTTTGTAGGTAACACAAGATGCTTCCTTCAGCTCAAATCCCGTCGAAATCACCGCCTGGGGCATCGTCATCGTCCATTTCTCCCTCCACGATCTCCTTTGCAAGCTCACGCTCGCGTTCACGTGCCTCTTGGGCATTCTTGAGCTCTAATCTGTGTTGGTTCATGGGAAAACGCATAGCCTGTTCCAAGATTAGCACCAGACTTGCGAAGCATGTTAGAAGTCACATACCTTGACGCTCTCATCGTGCAAAGCTAAGCAAGCTTGGATACGCTCATGGAAAGCGTCGCCCGGCTCTCTGGTAGCGTATATATCTCCCACTTCCTTGCTCTTCATGTACCCACGCTCATGATCCAGGCTGGCCTCAATGACCCCATCGCGAATTGCCTTTGCCACAATGTACTCTGCAGACTCTTCACTGTCTAGTCCAAGTCGTAAGCACATATCGCGCAAAGAGATTCTCGCATACGACAGAGACATCATGCGAATGCCGGTCTTGATCACATTCTGCCGCAGTCTCAAAATCAGGGTGTACGTATCATCTTTTCTAAAGGTGGCGTTGTACCGCTGAACCAAGGTCTGGAAACCGATCACATCTCCAGAGCTGACGGCTTGCACGAGTTGAAGGTATGGCTGCAATGCTTTCTCTAAACTGGGCTGGCGGAAGATTGCACGGTCCGGAATGTCTCCCATCAATAGTTCAACCACAATAAGCATTTTGGTCGATGCTTGATAAAACCCACTGGCTTTGTAGGACGTTGGTGACTTCCGCGTCGCTCCTGTCAGGTGCTCGTGAGCTTCAGTGTACGAAAGTTGGATTGCTCGGATACGCCCAAGGTAGTACAAATATCTGGCAATCTGATTGTTGGCAGCAGTGGGAGGTAATTTGGTGTGGGATATCAATAGGTCTGCTTGAGTGACGTGAGAGGTAGAAAGATAATTCCGCAGAAGCAAAGTCGTGACCGCAGCTTGTATATCCTGATCCTTTCTCAGTGTTGCAGTTCGTAGAGCATCAAGGAGAGGCTTCCGGATCGAGATCAACGCAGCGGCAGGCGAAGGGGGCAAGGGCGCCATTTCTTCAAAGAATAGCGCATAGTAAAAGTACACCCGAGCCGACAGCGAATCCAATGTTCGACGGTTCAACGTCCGAAGATGTTCAACCAGTGCGCTTGAAAATTGGGCGCCTGCGTTGACTGATTTCTTATCGTAGAGGTGGACTTGTACCAAGATCGACAGGTAGACGTCTATCTCGGGGAGGACCTCTTTGTGTGAGTTCTTTTGGTGTACTGAATCCCTCTTCCCATGCCATTCCTCAACTTGTTGGGTTGGAAAGGACGGGTCATCCTTAACGGCGCTGAGGAGTGACATTGCCGTCGCAGTTGGTGTTGCGTAAGTGCTGGTAACAACAGAGGCTATCACATAAGCGGACAGGTGTTTTCGGATCGAAGGTATGGAACGGAGGACTCTCAGGCTGAATCGAGGATCAAACTGGCTGACAGCGCGTTCCAGTAACGGAAGATTGGCTTTGATTTCTGGATCGATGTCAGTAACACATCTCCAACAACTGAAATACTGTGCGACTCACCCTCGATTGCCTTTTCTTGAGGATCAACTTCCTCTTCGCCTTCCTTTTTGTCCTCCTCATCTATTGCCCCATTTGTAAGATCTACGTCAGTAGCTTTCTGAGGTGCACTTGGAGTGTTGGAGCCCTTTGCGGGTGGAACGACAACTGTCATCTCGTCATCGCCATCCTTTTCCTTCGCTTGCTTTGGCGTCTTCTTGGAATTTTTAGAATCCTCCTTCATTTCGACGTCGTCCGAACCGTTGATGCCATTCCGGGTGGGATCGGTGCCGTTGAGATGGGGTTTGTCGCCGCTCATGTCTTCGGCGGAAGCTAGAAATGTTGTTCTGGGAGATGAATCGGACTGCTGCAGAGGCAGGGTCAAGCTGAGATAGGCGTATGGCTTATCTTTGTTGTGCGGAGGTCTCTTGTATGGAAAGGAGGACTTGTATCAAGGCAAGATCGGGCTACTCAGTTGGCATATGCCCGGAGTTTCGAGGTCTTGGTCCGCCACCAATCACAGGTCCGTAGATGCGATCGACTTTGTAGGGTATACAATCGCGGTGCAAACCCGAGAAAAGGAGGTCGGACTTGAAGGGAGAATGCTCGGGATGAGGTAAGGGTTGGGTTGAAGCAACAGAAGTCTGAATGGAGATGGGAATGGAGATGCAGTCAGTGAGTAACTAGTGGTGATTTCTTACCTTTGGCTGGCGCTTGCTGTTCATAGCGCAGCCGCAGCTCGCCAGGCACAACAGACAGACGCGTTCGGTGTCTCTCCACACGCCACAAACTAATCACCAACAAATCATTCATTGAACCCATGATGCACTTATGAGGCGCCTTGACGGTGCGAATGATGTACTTTCTTGGGGACTCAAATGCTGTTGACATCATGGTCGCTTCGTACACTCTGTAACTGCAAGATACAGCAACAGCGCAGGTGAGAGAACTAAAACTGGGACACGTGCTTCAACATTGAGCAGCAAGATGGCTCTCCTTGCGAACCATCTAGAGCAGATTTCATTGTCTGCGAAGTCTATATCCGAGCTGGAGTATGCATATAACATTGGCCTTCTCGTTCTCTTTCACTGACTGCGTCGCAGATTCCCTCCCCCCAAGATCTTCACAAATGCTTTGCTCAACAATCAGGAGATCACAACCCTGATTCGCGATACAGAACCTCATGAGCGCGCTCTCTTCTCAATCGACCCCAATGCTATCAACAGGAATCGTCCACAGAATGGCTTTCGGCCTACAGACACGAAAAATGGTCTTCAAGGCCGTCAGAGTGGTTTTCCGTCCGCGCGTCCCATAAAACAATCGGCGGTCTCAGCGCTGTTGGGCAAAGAGATGCTCCAGGAGATCAGACAATCTAGCAGTGGGCGATCTCGTGAAGGTGTGAACGTTGAAGTCCTCCTTCGCGGAGCAGAAAGACTCTGTGAGGTGTACACCGTGGCAGGAGCGACAGACAGAATTCGAGCCCTCCGCAATCGTCACCGAGAAGTCGCAAGCTCGATAGCTATGCTCGAGGACAAAGTCTCCGGGCAACAATCGCTTTTAAACCGCACGAACCGGGCATTGAATCCTGAAGAAGGGGGAGATAAGAATGATCTGGAGCAAGATCCGGTCTACCACAATGATGCGCTTGGCTTCATGGAAGAGGATTTCCAGGTGGAAGAGGAAGAAATCCGCGAGTTGGAGGCTAGGAAGAAAGCCTTGGAAGAGCGTGTCTCTGGCATGGAAAGAGACCTCGGCGGCCTTCTCAAGTGATAATACACGTCTTGAGACGTGGCATTTCTCCATGAGCAATCGAGTGGCTCAGAACCGCGTCAGCCTCGTGCTTGGGCCAAACAGCTGATTCAAGCGATGATTGACGCGTCGAGCCACCTGCGTTTGGGCGACCGACAGACTGATGCATACCGCAAAAGCTCCCTGTGTCGTTCACACATCGGTCCTGTTCTAACGGCTCGTTAATACGGTTGCAAGTCAGATACACGGGCGACTCCTCCTAATGCCTGGCTCGTCAATGCAGCCGCACTGCGCTGAATGTCAGCGGTCATCATCATGCAGCGGGCAACAGGATGTTGAGGCATTCGCTATTACCACCCGGTTTCAGAGAGGGTTGTACTCGGTATAACCAGGGCTACAACATCACCATGTGCGTTAACAGATCTCCCGGAGAAGGATGTCAAACAGTTCTCAACAATTTCGCCTCGCCGGCCACCAGCTGACAGGAGTCGGCGGCTTGTGGCATATCGCGGCGCTCAAAAGCAAGAGGGACGTGCACTTTCGCTTGGGAGAAATCCTCTACTCGCTTACGTGGAAATGATTCCTTCTTGTCAATATTCTCAAAGTCCTAACTCCACCTTTTGCACTCAAGTCAAGACGGATAGTTAGTAGCATGTGGCTACCAGGGGCTACTGAAGCCACGCTTCTGTAGTGGGGCGCATAGCCTTTGTTCTTGTCGACAGTCAGTGCTCCGTGCGATCAATCTACTCGGTGAAGGACTAGAAATAGGTCGAACCTCCTAAAGAAGTAAGACGGTAGACGTTGAAAGTGGATTGGCGCATGCTAGGCAAAACTTCGTTGGGGACCAAGAGGGCGACTTGTAGAATTTGATGTAGTCTTACCTTTGAGAGAGTCTTGCATGCATGCTTCAGGGGGGCGCCGCCTTGTACGTAGGAGGAGGATGAAAAGGGTAAGGTGGCACCCGAAGCATACCTAGTAGGTAGCCAATACCTAGGACTGGTATAGTATAGGTAGAAGCTACAGATAAACAGTTCAACTAGATTCCCCCATCTGTGGGCGTCTGGGGGGGCCTGGTGCTGTAGTGCCCAGTTAAGGCCAGGGGATGCAGGTGGCCGGCCGTTGTCAGAGGCCAATGGCAGCGGGGCTTCTTCCTGCATAGGCGTCGAAGAGCAGCAGTCAAACTCGGACACCTACGAACATGTGTCCACTAGGCCATGGGCTTGTCCCCAGCTAGCTAGGGAAATCATGCAGCTCCGACAGAGGACCAGTAGCATGCCCGGATTTCTTCCCCTTAAGCACACCCAGAGTTCAGGGCCGATAGGATGCAATTGGGCGCGGGGCCTGGGTCCGTGATGGGCAGCATCCACAGCAATGGGTGTCAAACAGTGAGAGAGGCACCCCATGTCCCGATTGAAACACCAGCCCCGAAAAAGCCCAGCACTCGACCGCGGACGCCATCCAGCAATCAATCACTCAGTCACTCGTCCTTGCTCAGTCCGTCCTCACAGTCGCTGCTTGACACTTTCATTGCGCTCGACCTTCTTTTTTCTACAAAGTCGAAGCGATCGTCCAGCTGACAGCGACAGCGCAGCTCGTTCTTTCACTTGTGTTAATAGGGGGACTGACCTTTTCAGCCTCGAAATTTCCCCCAAACTCCCTCAACTGCGGAGCGGAACCGGTGATCATCGCCCTGTCCATCCTTTGCGACCGCCGCTTCCAGTCGCAAGAAAGGGCTCGCAGACGCCTCACTCGAACTCAGCATAGTGACCAATCGAAGTGTCTTGCCTCGATACTCATAACGACGCTCTGCAGAGTCCTCAATTGCCACGAAGCTTGAGTCGATTTCTGCCAGACTAATTTCCGCACTCAGTTTCGTATCAACCCGGGCATCCCCATGGATCACTGATTGCTTTATTGCGACTGCAATTGCCCTGCCAGCAGCAACTCTTTTCCTCACTGCCTGCTCCCTTCCTTGCATCGATATCTCTCCAACATGGCGCAACTACGGAGCATGGGGTCAGGAACGGACGTCCTTTCCATGTCTGCAAAATCTACGAGAGCCACTCTCCCACACGCCGCAGCACCCCCTTCATACGTCTCAGTTTCCGAAGCCGAGAAGCTGGTCTACGCAGAGATTGATCGTCTAGTCAAGATTTCAAACAACGCCGTCCATTTGCTCAATGGGTTTCTGGATCAGATACTCTATGACATTCTGTCCAAATCGCAGTCGACTGCATTGGGTGCAGTCAGAGCTGCAATCCCGCTGGTCTTAAAACAGAGACTGGGACGTGCAGCAATAAAAGCTGCTGACGAGGAATTACAAGACTATTTGGAAGAAGACGAACTGGAGAATATCCAAAACCACCCAGCTGTCCTTGACCCCCGGGCTGAGTTCGACGTTGACCTTGCTTGGAAACTCACCAGGCTGCGCTGTATGGTTTATGCCAAACTTGGAGACATGGAAGAGGAAGACGAGGAGGATTACCTGGATGGCGACGACGTGAGGGAACATTTGAGTCAAGTGAAAGAGGCTTACAGATCCTCTGCAAGAATCTCCCCACACTCTGCGATCTTCCTATCTACTATCCTTGAATTCATCGCCGAGCAAGCCCTATGCATTGCGGCGCAGCATGCAAGGAAACGAACTTTGTACATCAAAGATGCGGCTCGAGAAACGGCTCCCGCCCAGCAGCACCCAGACCCAGATGTGATCTTCTTGGAAGAGATAGACATGTCGGGTATCGGCAAAGAAGGGCCTCTAATCCGACTTTGGCGGTCATGGAAGGGCAGCATCCGGACTGGCGGCAGCATGTCCTCACGTCCCACAACGCCCAACATTATGTCGCCCCTAAGCCCAGAGTCTCCCATGCAGGAATGGAAGTTCCCTGCGGCTCCAGTGATCCCGCCGATCCAAGAAGAAGGAAGTAGATCTGTTACGCCAGCAAACATCCCTCTACCAATGACCGAAAATGATGTCGATGAAATAGAGGTACCGGGGCTGGCTCGTACTTTCGAAGAAGTAGAGACCAATGAACAGCGCCCTACTCCGGGAGACCGGCGGCCCACGAGCATGTTAGTTATGCCCGGCCAGTTCCCAGCTTCGTCAGCTGCCGATGAACATCCAGAGAGGCCATCTCCAAGTAGAAGGAGATCGAGATCGGTCCCAACTTCTTCCAAAGCTTCTTCCAGCGCACAGTTGGCGACTAGATCAGGACTCTCCCCACCCCTGCCTGTTCATGGAGACAAGGATGAAATGGGCGACACAGAGGGGATAAGGGACGAGGAAGTTCAACACCCTCGGGATGGAAGCAGATCTGTTCTGCGTTCAAGTGCAATCGGCGCCACTGTTGCTACCATCGCTGGTGCACTCAACGTTGAAGCAGCCAAAGCTTTCCGGAGAGAACGGCCGAGCCACGAGTTGACTCCGCCAGTCTCTCCTGAATCTGGTGGAGAACAACGAATGTCAAATAACACAGGAGATGATCTCGAACGGATGCATATACCAACGCGATTGTCAGCCACTGGCATGGATGTTGTGGATCCAGAATCTCACGAAGGTACAGGCGATCCCGAAGACCTGGCTCTGAGCTCCAGCGATGGAGAAGGGGCCGCGGCCGCAAACGACCATACGAACCCTAGAGATTCTGGATTCAGCGTTGCTGGCCCTGCGAATGATATTCATGAGCACGAGCAAGAGGTAGCCGCAGACGAAACAGAGCCACAGATCACAAATCACCATGATTATGAACAAGTTCAGGGGGAAAGCGGAGCCGCTGGTCGCAGTTCGAGGTATTCGAATTTGGGATACGCGACGATCTTCCAAACACCGGATACGAGTTCAGGCTATAGCAACCCAAATTCTACCCGTTCATTTGTGCAAGGAATGGCGCGCTCAAATGACGCTGGTGCGAACTCAGCTACAACCACACCAAGCACAACATCTGCGTGGCCGGCGGTAATTCCGAATAGGAGATCGTCATTAGACCCACAGAAACCCGAATACTTGCAAAGCGAAATGCGAGCTCCCCAGCAACTGCCACCATCGTACCACTCGTCGGAAAACCAAGAGCCAGCCGAGAAACCGCAAGAGTTAATCCCGCGGTTTGCGACCTCAGCCTTGGCTACGCAGAATGGCCGTTCAAGAAGTGGAAGCGCAAAGGACGGAAGGCCATCAACATCAGGTTCTGGGACAGTTCGACGGCAACACATTCGGCTTCGTTCAGACAACGAGGAAGTGTGGCCGCGGGAGGACTTGGACCGAGCGAAAAAGAGTCTTGATCTTTTGATTGACAGCGACGAAACGCTCCATTATACTCTGACACCTGCGTCTGCCAATGTGGTATGCAAGTATTTGTCTTCTATTTTGCAAAGCGCTGACAACTTTACAGGGAGGAAAGGTAAAGGTGAAAAGCCAGACTCAGGAACTGGCAGATTTCTTCAGGACGACTGCGCCTCCGGGAGAAGAAGTCCGCCCAAAGTCGTCTCGCTCTGCGAAAGACGGTCTCCGAGCAAACCCTCCTGCGACTTCTATCAAATCAACCCAACCGCAAACATCTGGTCAGCAATCTGCCGCCTCGCCTTCTAAGCCTAAGAATCGTCTTGGTGAACCGCGTGAGGCTCGGATGGTGCGAAACAACACCCGGGATCTCGCTGATTATGCACGGTCTACCGGGCCAGAACATGAGGCACAGCTCCCCAAGTTGCTTAGTGCGCGTCCTGCTACTGCTCAAAGCGCCAGGGCGGAATTGTCTCTTAGGGAAAAGGTCTTTGGGGTGGATGGTGAAAACCGTCCTAGCACAACATCTGGCAAGCCCTCGAGTCGATTGAAGTACCAGGCTAGAGATGCCCGAGGGCCTCGAACGGCCGAAAGTTCCGATTTGATTGATTTCATCAGAGAAGGCCCTCCAAGGGCCCCTGGCGAACATCGGATAGACCGGAGCGTGGCCCCGTTTCGAACGACGATGGATTCTGACGATTTGAATGCACTGGCGCCTCCGCCTGAGCTCGACGCCAAGGGACGCAACTCTGACGGCAGCGCTCAAGAAAGTGCAATGACGGTCAAATCAATGCCCTCATCAATGAACTCCCGTACTGGCTTACTGGACTCGACAAACCGTGCTGCCGGGAAGTTCACGAATGGATTTGGATCCTCTGCAACTGCAATATCGAAACAGCCCGTCATTCCCGAGACAGATGGCATGCCCAGGAGAAACCGGCCGAAAATCCGAGACCCATACGCGATCGATTATTCTGATGAAGAGGAAGAAGAGATGGAAGAGGAGCACGAGCCGCCGAGACGCAGAACCGACGAAGAATCACTTGTTGATTTTCTCCGGAACACCGCACCTCCTCCTGGCATGACGACTCAACCCATTCTTGCTGCAATGCCCAACCCTACTCAGCCGGATCCAGCAAGCATGGTGAGGCAATCGACGAGCAGCACCAAGCTAAAAGACTTCCTACCTGGTGGTTCAGCGTCATCGGCCAGAAATAATCCACACGCAAGCGGGAACACTGCAACGCCTAACACAAGACCAGTCAATATCGCACGCGCAGAATCTCCTCACTTAACACAGGTGGGCTCAAGAATGGACAAATACAGACCGACGACAACAACACATGCTCCGCATGTAGAGCGAAACAGACAAAAGATGCGCGTCCAACCGAGAGATGCTACCACGAACTCAAATGGTGGCGGTACTGCGGATTTAGCTGCGTACTTGATGAGTTCAGGACCACCACCGGGCGTAAATGAAAAGCCGCCACAAAAGTTGGGAGGTAATGTGCAGAAGGATCAGGCGGGGTTTCTGAAGTTTTTCCAGAGACGGGGAAGTGTGAGAAAGTGATCAGGAAAGTGGACGATGATGTGATGAAGGTCCAGAGGGATCTGTATTGAGCACTGGGTGCCCGGGATGTGACAAAAGATAATGCCCATTCAATGCTGTGCTAGGAAGCAATGTAGGAGGGGGAAAGGCCACCGAACTGTCACATTGGTAAAGGGGTGTTTTTCTCTGCTGGAGCTGGATAGTCAGATACCCGAGCAAATCTGTTCTGCCATGTAGATTAGCGTCAGGGGCGCTCTGAGAGATTGTCAATATACACAAAATGTTCCATCCTGTAATAAGAAGAGTACGAGGTAGTATCTGTCCCATTCCTGGTCGCGTGCCTCACAAATCCAGGGGCCGGGAAAAGGGGCTTCACTCTCACCGCCCACGTGATCCAGGTTTTGTACACAGTTTCTGCCACTCCTGAACATTGAATTTCCATCTTCAAGGTCTGCCAATTTGAACAACTTGCTACACGCTTTCTTCTCCCCTCCTTACAGTACCACATTTTCTCTGTACCTGAGCCGCGGCGCGGCCTTTGTTTGTTTTCCTTTCCACCTTCCCTTTGCGCACTTCATCGACGACCGGAGTGGTGGTTCGTCCTCAGAATGACGCGGCTCGCAGTCTTCTTCCTCTCCCTCCTCCTATATCCTTTCCTTTCTTCCGCACTCAAGTTTGAACTTGTTGCCCAGCCGGGACATAGTGCCAAAAACGAACGGTGTATACGGAACTTTGTCACAAAGGATACCCTGGTCGTGGTCACGGCAATTGTGAGCGGGAGCAGAGGCGATGGGCAGATGGTCAACATGCACATCAAAGACGCCGTAGGAAACGATTACGGTAGACCCAAGGATGTTGCAGGGGAGAAGAGGATGGCATTCACAAGTTTGGCGGATACCGCATTTGATGTGTGCTTTGAGAATACATTGACGGGCCGATGTGAGTGCCTTTAACCCCATTGTCAAATCTTTCCGGTGGAAATGCAATATCAGGACTAACAAGTCAATGAAGCCGCTGTTCCCAATCCCACTCGCCATGTCGAACTCGACATTGATATTGGGGCTGACGCCCGCGACTGGTCCGCCATTCAAGCCAACGAAAAGCTGAAGCCTGTGGAAGCGGACCTGCGAAGAATAGAGGAGACAGTCAATGAGATCGTCCAAGAGATGGAGTACCTCAGGATCAGAGAGCAGAAGTTGCGGGATACCAACGAGAGCACGAATGAAAGGGTCAAATGGTTTGCCTTTGGGACGATGGGAATGTTGGTGGGTCTGGGAGCGTGGCAGGTCGTGTATTTGAGGGCCTACTTCAGGTTTGTTTTTCCTTTATCGCCTGTTCCAATCGCGTTTGTGATCTTGTGCGCCGGCTTTCTTCGATCAGTGCTCACGAGTGTTGTTATCCAGGTCGAAGCATCTGATCTAAACGACTCCCCCTCGAATGGATTCGGAACTCACGCCACGATACTGGAGTCTCTCACCGAATGTAAACGGCCAGGAGGGGAACACAAAAGCTCATGGACAACCAAAAGGGTCATGTTTGCATGTGCCATTGTATGGGTTTTCCAGAAGTATGATCTTGTAATACGAGGAAAGAACGATCTTTGGTATACTCACGGCAATAGAGGATGGCCTGCTTGCCTCTTCCGAAGAAGCTGGGCGTGTACAAGGCCACTCGCGCTGCCTTACCAGTTCTATATCCAGGTTCCAGGAAATGCGAACGCTCGTGAAAGGGAGCTTACTACCCGGCTTTTCCAACGGCCTCTGACAAACAGTTGTTAGGTTTTTGGATGAGATGAGGAATATGTTAGCAAAAACTCTCCGAGGCAGTCTGTCTACCATATCCAGAAAGGCGTTCCATTCCCTTGGATTGGGTAAGAGATCGCACGTTTTTGTTCTCTCCGGTGAATTTGGCTCTGAGGCAGCTGAGGATTTGGACATATTCTCTGGTCGCTCACTTTGGGGTCATCTTTGGCGAAAACACGAATATTGACTGATTCACACATTGCCTCTCTCTCACAACCGTCTTATCTACCCTTCTCACTCTACCGTTACCAGACTACTAAGTATTGGTTACTAGGACGAAACGCCGCGGGGCATTTCTCCTCTGATCTATCCTCACTTGAAACTGGCCACAGTACCCGAGGCCGCGGTCACGAAAGGGGGTTCAGAGGCAAAGGGCGGCCCATCGGGGTGGAATGCCGGAGACAGTCCGCGTGAAAGAGACAAACACAGATATGCCGAAAGCTGGGTCAGACAACAAGATGTCTTGGAGCGAAAATCCCACGGGCAAGGGCAGTATTGATGAACCCCCAAGCAAGAAGCCCCGCAACGAAGTTAGAAAAGACAGCTCCCAAGGGTGAGCTCCTCGAGCATCTTCCCGGTCCGAAGTTTTGAAGAGCTAACGTGTCAGCCTTAACATGTACTCTTACGCGGATATTGTTGCGGTCACCGTTGGCAAGGAGAAGGTGAAATATGGGATTCACAAGCAAATTTTGGTGTCAAAATGCCCGTTCTTCGACAAGTGTCTTGGTGCAGGCATGAAAGAAGCTCAAGAGAATGCAGTTGCTCTTCCGGATGATGACCCAAAGGCTTTCGACGTCGTCGTCCGATGGATGTACACTGGTCGCTTGAACGGTTTTGGGACACCCGGATTCCTCCTCCTCAATGCATACATTCTCGCCGACAAGTATTGCATTCCCGATCTCCAGAATGCAATCGCCGATGTTTTCAGAGCTGGTGTCTTTATCTCTCTGGGACATGCCTCATGGGCATGGGGAAGGCTGCCAGAGGGGTCGCCGCTTCGCCAACTATTTTTGGATCAGATGCATTATTGGATTGCATCATATCCAGATAGATACCGACGGGGCAGCATAGGTACAGTGGATGCCTCTGCAGCAGCATTGGAGGAGATTTTTAAGGGAAATGCTGGTTTAACGACTGCATTGCTATGGAAGATAATAGACCACAGCCGCAACTCGGGGAGCTGTATTCCTACCAGCCCAGCTTCGGGCGTTAGTTGCCTTTATCATGTCCACGAAGACGGAAGGAAATGCAAGTGAAGGACGATGCAACAAGATCCCTCTGTGCCTGGGGGTTAAGGAATGATATCCACTATCGTTGGGTTCCTGTCTGGACATGCAATTTTCGGCTGTGCCAACACTGCTTGTGGGAGGATCTCAACAACTTGAACTGGACAGGATTGAACATCACTTCTATGACAGCACTGAGCAAGAGCTGGAGAACTGAAACACGGAAGGAGAAATGGACAAGACCAGAGCGTCCTTTCGTGCTTGTTAACCAACACAGATACAGTTTCAAAGTTGTCTGACTCGTGAAGTTTCTCAATAGCCATCTCGCGCATCCCTCACAGCCTTGCCTTCGAGCATCAGCCTGGGACACACCGGTAAGCACTCCCACCTTCTGTTCCCGGACTTCTTCTAGCAAACATGTTGACGAAGAGGGAAAGAAAAGCGAAAGGAGTGATTTCACTACATCCATGATAGAATAACTCCTGTTACTTACCGATCTCACCGTGTCACATCCCTCATCCAGTCCTACTTTACCCTGTTCCTTTCATCACTGGGAAAGCAAACCAGTCAAGGACACAGTGAGCCAACTCGTCTATCGATCGAGCGGCCGATCCCAATATCTTCCCTATCCTCCTCGACATGGCCCCCAAGCGCCCTTCTGTGGACGACTCTGAGGACGGCAGAGCCCAGAAGAGAAGGTAAGTAGAGAGTAGGGAGAGACGGTCCTGACTCAAAAAGTGAGATTTCCTGCTAACAAGGGACATGCAGTTTTGCCGTCTGGGACAACATCATCACTGTCACCGTTGGCCCGGAGAAGGTGCGCCACCTCGTGCACGAGAGCGTGCTGTGCAAGTCGCCATTCTTCAACAAGTGTCTCCACTCCCGCATGTGAGAGCAAGAAGAGAAGGCCGTCCACCTGCCCGAAGACAACCCGGCCGGCTTCGCCATCATCGTCGAGTGGCTGTACGCGGACAAGATCGCCGAGAATCTCGATTGGGGATGCATGCTGCGCGCGTACAACGCGGCCCGCCGATTTGGCATGTCCGACCTGCAGAACGCCCTCGTCGACGTGCTCCGGGCCCAGTTTGTGTCCTGGAAGCTCAATCCGGAGTGGGCATCGTACTTCTGGAAGAACACGATCGAAGGATGCCCGCTGCGGAAGCTGGTTCTGGACCTATTTTACCACCAGGTCCTGAGGAAGCCGGATGCGTACAAGAAGGGCGCCGACGCCGCCGAAGCGAATGGAAAGTACGTGACGGAGATGGAGCAGCTCACGGCAAACGCGCAGCTTGTGACGGCGCTGTTCTGGCGCTTTGCCGACCCGGCAGATCGTCCGTCCAAAGAAGCTTTCAAAATGAACACCTGCTTCTATCATGTCCATGAGGACGGCAAGGAGTGTACTTGACTTGACACCGGACCTGACCTCAGCTAACAGATGACTATCTTTGCCTTGATGAGTGAGAGGTAGAATCGTCTATGAACTTCGTTCTACCCAGATAAACCAGCCAGCAACTCCTCTATGAGCTGTCAAGGCTGTGGAGAGGGAGAGCGACCAGGTACTTGAGGAGAGCGAGCGGATGGTGTGGAGACTATGCTAGGCATGAAACTTCGACAGGGCACATTCTCGGAAGGACAGAGAGCCAGCCAGTGCCTTTATCAGGGCTGTTGTTGGTGACTCGAGATGCTGTTGATGATCAGGCTCGTGGAGCTTCGACAATGGTAGTGCTTTCTCCTTCGCTCCATGCTGTTCTCCGTCTCACTTTTCCCTTGCTTCTCTCTCTTGCATAATCTGATTCTGAAGCCGCGCTAATACCAAATCGCTCATGTATCAAAACGCTGCAGATATGGGGAGGAAGGAAAACGATTCCACACAGCTTGCAGCCGGGTCTCAACCAATCTCCTCGCCGATCTGAACAGGGGTTGGTTCCTCCCAGGGTCGTTGAGAATGAAATCCCCTATAACCGCGAGTCCCCGGCGCCCTTGAACTCCCTGACCATCTTCAGCGCCGCGCGCGCGTAGGGGAACCTCTCGAGCGCGAGTGCGGCCGCGGACGAGCCCTCCCCGCTCGCCTGCCGCACCGCCCACCGGGCGGCGATGCCCTGGATCATGACGCCGGTGCGGAAGATGGCGAAGGCGTCGGCCCACGCGATCTCGCCTCGCGGATCCCACCCGGCCACCTCGCGGTACCACTCCAGGCACTGCTGCTTGGTGGGCAGGCCCGGCGGGCCGGCGCCCACGTCGAAGGCCGGGTGCGAGTGCGTCTTGATCTCCTTGAAGCCCTGCGTCACCGTCCACGGCATGGTGAGGTTGCTCAGGTCGGACAGCGGGTGGCCGACGGTCGCGATCTCCCAGCTATACACGCCGGTCATTTTCCTGGTATGATGTGCTTTTTGTGGAGGAAGGGGAGGATCGGTACGTTGGCAGGAAGAGGGGGGAGGACGATGGGGCAGGACTCACTCGAGGATCCCAATAATCACCGGCTTCGTCTTGTGGTACACCAAGTTGTCGATCTTGTAGTCGCCGTGCGTGATGGCGCCGCGATCCCGCGGCCCGCGGCCCTCCTCCTCGAAGAACGCCACCATCTCGTCCATGCCCGGGATCCGGCCCACGGCCTCGTGGGACTCGACGTCGACCACCTTCGAGTACGACTCGTCCAGCCGCTTCAGCGTGCGGATCTGGCGGCCGTAGAAGCCGCGCGGTTTGCCGAAGTTGGTGAGCCCGACCGAGACGGGGTCGACGCGGTGGAGGCGCGCCAGGGTCTGGACGGCTTCTTTCCACCTGTTCCTCTCGTACGAAGTCAGAGTGACACGGTCTTGCAAGAACTTGGTCCGGTCCTTGTCGGTCCTGCAGCCGGACCAAGCAGACTGGACAAATTAAAAAGGACAGGAGACAGGAGGATCCCTCCGCGTATGAACGAAAAGGTTAAGAACGTACATCACGCTCCTCTCCTCAGGCGACACCCCCGGGATGCACGCCTCCTGGAAGATGCGCCCGTCCAGGAACTCCATGATGTAGAACGGCGTGCCGATGACGGCGCTGTCCTCGCACAGGCAGTACGCCTTGGGCACGGGGATGTCGGTGCCGTTCAGCGCGCTGATGACCCGGTACTCGCGCTCGACCTGGTGCGCCGCCGTCGTGAGCAGCTTCCCCGGCGGCTTCTTGCGCAGCACAAAGTGCCGCCCGCGGCTGTCGGTCAGTTGGTACGTCGGGTTGGATTGGCCGTATTCGAACTGTTTCGGTGGTTTGGGGGGTTGAGCGAGGCCCGCGAGGGGACCGGCCCTCCCCCCGAACCCGACACGTTAGTGAATCCAAAGGGTGGAAGGGCAGAAAGGGGAGAATAGTAGAGTTTGTGGAGGTCGGCGATATTGTCCTCGCGTACCTGTCGGATTTGGACGGGGGGTTGGATCTCAGGGACGTGCTGCGCGAGATAGCGCTCCAGCGACTCCCTGTCGATCGGCTGTCTCATTGTGAGAGACTCTCTTCGACTGTGGGTCAATATATGGGGGTGATATGACACCTCGCTGGCTGAGCAGAACAGATGGAAGATATGGGAAAATCATCCACGACCGAGGAAAAGAGGACTGGATTTATCAACCCTCTTATATTAATTATTACTCCTCGAGGGGCTCTCTCACGCTCGCAGAAGCGAAATATCCAGCATTGCTTGGCAAAATGCCTCGGATGTGAGGGTACCTGAGCCCCTCTGGGGTATATACGCGAGATGTCATGTCAAAGCGCCCGAGAAATGTAGTGATTACAGTGCGTATAGCAGAGTGTGGTTATTGAGCGCGCTTGCTACGAGGCTCGGGGGGCTGGATAAAACCCCCCCGGCTCAAAACTAATGTATTTATATATGCGCCAGATCAAAAATACCATAGGGTATCCGTTGAAAACGCGACCAAGTGCTGCAGCTTCCATCCATGCATCCTATGTAATCTACGAGCTGTGAACGTCGATTGTCGGAGTGCTGGTGGCCTGCATCGGATTACCAGTTCAGAGTTCGTCGGAGAAATATCGTTTGGTAAGACATTATCAAGAGGGCAAAAACGCCGGTCCCCTGCCGATTTAAACGGTATCGTCGGCCGTCTTGAGATCCTCGGTGACAACGGGGGTGGTGGTCTTCTCCCCACCGTGTTCGTGGGTGATGATGGTGTGGGTGACGTGGTCGATTTCAATCTCGCGTTGGTAGATGGCCACCTCGTCGGCATCGCCGAAGATGGCGGCGATTTCCTCCAGTGGCATGCCCTTGGTGTCCGGGAAGAAGAACAGCATGATGAATCCGCCAATCGTCCCGGGAATGATGAATGCGAGGTAGAACTTCCACCCGATCGTCCTGTTTGTGGGTGAGCAAACTGCATCTACAATAGGCTACTGGGGGGCAAACTTACTTGAAAGCAGTTGGAGCGGCCTGGAGCCAGATGATGTTCATCAGCGAGATCATCGAAACTCCCAAGCAGACGCCTTTGGCTCTGATATGGCTGGGGAACAGCTCGTTGAGGTAGCTAAATTGGGTGCCTAGTGACGGAAGCCAGTTAGAAGCCTGCTCGGGAAATTTGACATGCGTGTATACGTGGGGGGCTTTACCATCAAGGCAGAATCCGTAAAAGATTTGGAAGATGTAGAACATCGCTACAGCCGCAAGGAGGGCAGATTGGTTGTTGGATGGAACGAAATTCGCAACCAAGGCGGCCTCGATGATGAGGGTGACCATGCAGCCCAAGACACCGAATGCCATATATCGGTTTCGAGGGAAACGGTCGACCAGGGCCATGGCCATGATGTTGATGCCCAGGGTGAGAGTGAGCCAGCCAGCAGGATAGAGCAACTGTTTGACCGGGCTGAACCCAAGGTTGGCATACAAGGTCGGTCCATAGTCTGACCAAAGTCAGTCAAGTCTGACGAAAAGAATGCCGGACGAGGGCTTACTGTTGATAACCAACACGCCAGAGCATTGAATGATCCCTGTAGTTCCGACTGCGAGCAGGCATCGTTTCCGGTAGGATGGCTTCTTAATCATGTGCATCCACGAGTTGCCAAGTGTCTTGTCGATGGCGATTTGCTTTTGGATCTGGTAGTACTCTGCGTTGGCAAACTCGTTGTCCGGGTCGCTGGGGTCGGAGTGCAATTTGAAGAGGATATCTTTTGCTTCATCAATGCGGCCCTGCATGATTAACCAACGAGGCTAGAGATTGCCGTCCTGTTAGCCTCGATTTATTTGAGCGTGCAGCGACAACGTACCGATTCGGGAACCCAGTAGATACCGCAAAGCAGGAGCAGAGGCCACGCGCATTGAAGAGCTAGAGGAGGTCGCCATGTATCCTCACCCCCATCCCAGAAGTAGAAGCCGAATCCAACCCATCCTTGGATGGTGTACCCGAGAATAAGAAAGACGGCGTGAACGTCGACCAGAGCACCTCTCAAATCGACCGGCACGACTTCCGACATCCAAATCTACCAAGCGTGAGTAATGGATAGTCACCAGGAAACAGGCAAGGGGACTCAACTGGAACAGCTGCAAGGATCATAAACGCCGAGGCACCTGCAAAGAATCGGAAGAGCAAGAACTCGCCAACATTGGTGCTGCCAGCCAAGAAGGCCCCCGAGATCATTGCAATGACTGCCGGCTGCATCAAAATGTCAGCTTGCTCAGATACAACGAACGACCGCCAATTCCACCTACCAGGACGATAGCCCATTTCCGACCCCATCGGTCGGCAACGTAGGGAAGCATCAACGTGCCAATAGTGCCACCGGTCTGGAACAGGCCGTTCATAGTACTTATCAGGTCTGTTCCATTGCTTCTGGTGGCGAGATCGAAGTAGGCAATAAAAGATGGTTGACCTGTTGATTGGGAGCGTCAGTCTTGGGCAGGAGGAGTCAGGTTCAGCCGGGTGGTACCAACCCAGGGTTGTCCCAATGATCGAGGCTGTGTAACCATAGGTCAACGACCCCAGGCCGATAAAACACAGCAACAACACATTGTATGCGTTGATCTTTTGCTTCTTAACGCCCTCGAGGTGCGGCATTTTGGCAGCTTCTGAGACTGGAACTGAGACGAGTCTGCGCTGCAGTGTTTTCCTGGAGCAAAGTCGTTCGAGATTTGAGAGAGTTTGCCCGAGGTCTAGAGCTGTATATGAACCCGGGCGGCTTCCCCAGGCGAAGGGCTTCCCGGTCTAGCGGTCCCACATGGTGCTTGCATGGTGCGTGCATGGTGCTCCCTTAGATGCATCCGCGGGTGCGGGCACCTGTGGGGAAATAGGTGTCTTACTCTTCTCTTGCGAGTCAGAATCATCCGCCACTCGTGGGTTCCCATAGGCGGCGCGTCGAGAATCGAGCAAGCTGCAGATTGTTATCAGTGTCAGGGCGCCCTGACACCCCTGCTGGTTGACATCGCCAACGCGCGACTCGCTGGCCCAGAAATTGGCTGGCATGCAGGGATTCATAAGCGGAAGCGTGGAAGGCGAGGAGGATTGTGAATTTGTTGTACCTCGTACCCAGTGAGACTCCGGGTCCGGGCATATCGCGCTTTCTAGCCACTCGCCATGGCTGACCTCAAACTGCCGTCGTGGAAAGATCTGCCACCCGTAGAGGGTATGCCACATGGCTGCGCCTGGGGCCTGTTTGACAAGGATGGCACCCGAGACGAGATAGGCACCTTGAACCTCCTTACGCCCGAGACTGTGGTCAAGGCCCGAGAAGAGATCCAGACCGGCAAGAGTGTTGTTCTCAAGTACGTCTGAGGTACCTTTGGCGTAGGGCTGAAGCCTGATGACAACCGATTGACTCGCATAGTTGGCCCATTGACCACGTCCATGAGCCGGGATTTGACCGCATTAAGCCGACCGTTAACATCACCGACTGGCGGGCCAAGGGGTCTCCTTGGTATTCATACGACGATGAGATTAGTATTAACACTCAGTCCGGGAGTCAATGGGATGGTCTAAGTATACAACCCATGGAAACCACAATCGCCCGTGCATTGAGCTTATATGCCCCTGCCAGGACACTGGGGCCATAGCGGGACGGGACTGTATTATAATCGCATACACCACGACGAGCTCTTGAAAACGGACCGTATTGGGATTGACCGTAAGTGATCTTTTTGTTTTCCAGCCCTGTGTTTGACCTTCTCCCAAGACTGGAGCAAGCGCGGAGGTATCGTCGGGAGAGGCGTCCTCCTAGATTATGTCGCCTATGCAGCTCGCCACAACATTACGTACGATGCCATGACCCGGCACCGCATTACCCTGGACGTTTTGAAGGACATTGCCAAAGAAGAAAACGTGGTCTTGCGTCCCGGGGACATCTTGCTCGTCAGGTCGGGTTGGATCAAATGGTACAACGAACACAGCCCCGAAGAGCGCGTCGCCAAGGTCAAGAATGGATCGGAATACGTGGGAGTGGATGGCTCAGAGGAGGTCGTCGAGTGGATTTGGAACTCTCATTTTGCAGCCGTTGGTGGTGATGCCATTGGCTTTGAAGCCTGGCCACCGCAGCTACCGTGGTGTAAGTCAACTGCGCAAGCCTCACTCTTTCGTTGACCTGGCCCCCCCCCCACTGACTCACCTGGTCCTGCTTAGGTCTGCACGACTTTGTCCTTGCGCTCTGGGGGATGCCGCTCGGGGAGCTGTGGGACTTGGAGGCGTTGGCAGCCGAGTGTGAGAAGCAGCAACGATGGAGCTTTTTCGTCACCAGCGCGCCGTTGAACACCCCAGGAGGGATTGCGAGTCCCCCTAACGCGATAGCCGTCTTCTAGCAGGGCCGTTGGACGGTTGGACAGGGAGAGTTCCAATGGAGAATGTGAGGCATGGGCTGAGCCCTAACAGAATAGAAGTGTCCATCGTTTAGCCAAATGGAAGAGTGAAACCTTGTTTGGTGGCTGACTGTGGGACTAAAAGGTGTCAAATTTGTGAGGCCCATCCCGGGGTACCAGGTGCCCCAGAGAACCCCCAACGCCCCCTATTTCTCTGGCATCCGCGGGCCGCACGGGGACCAAGAAAACCAATCCTCCACAGTGGGCTCGCTTCAAGCCTGGAAACCGAAAACCGCTCTCTGATTGTAAAACTCAAATCCCGGACAGCAGTCAGCCTAACACGAGTCAGACAGAGTCTTTAATCCAAGGTTGAAGCTGAGGAGGCGCCAAGGGACGTTGCTGCCGCCCTCGGTACCGAGGAACTGGGTTGATATCAACGTTCGCCAGGTTGGAGTGGCGTGTTCTCCATGACCTCGGAAATTGTCGTTTCCCTGGTGTGAGTGCTCCAGTCTCGCGTCCAGCATGTCGACAGTAACAACGCCCAAGAGGCGCCTGGAACAGCTCACCAGCCAGATCGCGCAACCCCCAATCATCGATGAAGGGACCTACAAAGGAATGCCCCGGGTCGCCCGACGGGCTGGAGACTCAGTGGGACAGTGAGTTTCCGAGCTGAAACCCCTCCTCAGAACTTCATTTCATGCAGCTTCTGGTTGAGAGGATGAACGAGGTCTGACAAATGGGCATGTGCCAGACGTGCTCAAGGCAAAGTGGTCATCATCACCGGCTGCAACTCACCACTTGGCATGGGCCGGGCAACGGCTCACCAGTACGCCAGGAATGGTGCGCGAGCAGTCTACATCTGCGACTACATGGACGACCACCTGAACCTCCATGTGGAGGAGATGAACGAACTCTACCCCAAGGTGGCTGTCCATGCCCGCAAGTTTGACGCGGGAGACGAGGAAGGGGTCAGGGCTGTCGTCGCCCATGCCCTGGAGACCTACGGGCGACTAGACGTGTTCTTTGCCAACGCCGCAAACTCGGGCACCTGGAAGGAAGTCTGGAACATGGAGGTCGACGAGTTTGAGCGGACCATCAGGACGAACTTGACCAGGTAGGTCCCACATATATCTACTGTGCTGTTGAGAGGAGCAGCAAGCAACCCAGCCCTTCAAGTCGCTGGTCTGACACTTCGATGAATCTGGACACAGTGTGTTTCTGGCCATCAAACACGCGGGCCCGGCAATGCAGGTCACCAGCAAAGACAAGCCCTACTCCAGTGGCTCCATCATCGCGACCTCTTCAACGGCCGGTCTCCGTTCCAATGGGGGCAGCACTGACTACAGCGCCGCGAAGGCCGCAGTCGTCAGCCTCGTGCAGACTGCGTGTTTCCAGTACGCGGGCCGCAATATCAGATGCAACGCCATTGCACCGGGGATGACGCACTCGGGCATGACGGAGCCGGTCTTCTATGGTCCAGCCCGGGAAAGGGGCACGCTTCACAAAGTCGGACAGCTCTGTCCGCTCCGGCGCGGCGCGGTGGCGGATGAGATCGCGAGAGTTGCACTGTTCCTGGGCACGGATGAAGCCAGCTATGTCAACGGCCAGGTGTGGGCCGTGGATGGTGGATTGAGCTCTGGGTTGCCCTACAAACTGGGCAGTATGGCATAAATAAATAATCATTGTATGGCGCTCATAAACACTATAAAGAATACCCTTTAACAAAGTATCTCATGAACGTCGTCCGGGTCTTGAAGAAAAATCCATCACGCTTTATGTGTTCTCTCTGGTGTACAGTAGACTCCCGAGACACCCGTATCAAAGCTTCGGCCTCGAATTGAACACGGTCATCGCGTCCCGCTTCGCCCATTCCTTCATGACTTTCCTTTGGATCTTGCCGCTGGGCAGACGAGGCACCTCAGGGATGAATGCGACGCCTCCGACGAGACGCTTGTGCTTCGACACACGGGCGTTCAGCCACTCCTGGACCTCCTTCTCCGTGACCTTCCCGCGGGACTCCTCCTTCAGGGCCACATATGCTCTGGGCCATTCGCCGTCGTCAAAGGTAATGCCGACGACGCCAGCATCGGCAATGTCGGGATGTTCGATCAGTGCTGCTTCGACCTCTGCGGGCGACACTTGAAGCGCTTGCACCTTGATCAGTTCCTGCGGCGCACGAGTTAGCTTATGATGCACGATATCCACCGAGTTGGGTACTGTACATACCTTCTTTCGATCCACGATCGCCATCCATCCGTCATGGCTCATGACCATCACGTCTCCGCTCTTTAGCCACCCAGTCACAGGATCGAATGAGTCGAGCGTCGCTTGTGGGTTCTTCCAATACCCCAGACAGACCTGCGGGCCGCGGACGTAGAGTTCTCCCGCTTCCCCTATACTTGCCTCCCTGCCATCATCCGTAATGATCTTCACCTCGGTGTTGGGCATGACAACTCCCACGGAGCCAGTCCGGGACTTCTCATAGTACGGAATTCCAGACACGGCGCACGTCGTCTCGGTCATGCCCCATCCCTGCGTGATCCGGACGTTGAATTTCTTGGACACGTTGGCTTCAAGCTCTCTCGAAACCGGCGCGGCTCCACATAGGATCTCCTTGACGCTGCTCAGGTCGTAGTTTGCAGTCTCTGGCCTCTTGTTCAACATGATTAGAATTGGAGGGACGGTTTGTAGTCGGGTGATCTTGTGCTCCTGGATGATGCGAAGGTACTCGACGAACTCGAACTTGCTGATGATGAGCATGGGAATATGATTGATTGTTGCCATGAGGATAGCATAGCACTGTCCATAGGCGTGATACAGAGGCAGGAATCCCGCCCATTTCTCCGAAGGTTCGAAGTCGTAGAGAGACTTGATCTGCATGACGTTCGAGACCACGTTGAAATGAGACACACAGACGCCCTTGGGCAGCCCAGTGGTGCTGAGCCTTCGTCAGCGTCACACACAAACGCGTCCGGGTCAGGCGACGTACCCAGACGAGAAGTTGATGGCAGCAATGGTGTTCACTGCCTCTTCGCCAGGGAGCTTCCTCCATTGCCACCGCTCACCCTGCTCGGGCGTCCCCAGAATGTCCCTCCAATCTGGAAGGCCATCGATGGTTCCTGTCTCGCGGTCTGAGAAGACATACAACCTCATCCCCGGAACAGCTGCTTTGGCGGCGGCAGCCTTTGCGGTCGGGATCAAGCTCGGGTGCACAAGCATAATCTTGGGCTGCAAGATGGTAATTTGATATTCCAATTCTGGCCACCAACCATAAGCTCGATGTTCATCTCAACAGTCACACTCTTTTCAGAGCTCTACCCACCTTTCTCAGTGAACGTAGGGTTGGCTCCAGAGAAAGCAGCACCAATGCCCACAACGCCAAAATACGACACCGGAACCATAATATGATTGGGTGTGAAGAGCAAGCATCTATCCTCGAACTGAACGCCTAGCTGCTGGAGACCATAACCAAACCGTTTGGCCAAAGCCAAGGCACTCTTGGGAGAGTTCCAATGCGACGTGTCCGCGGCATCGATCCAGAGTGGCTTATCGGACACAGGTTGATCGGGCGGGAACAGGAAGTCCAGGATGCTGCATTTCTGCAAGGGCAGAGACGCGATCTTGGAGACGAAAGGCATTCTTTTGGCGCAAACAAACAACAAAAGAGCAAGGATCAACGTCTAACACGGCCTCCAGCACGAACACATTTGGGAAACGAGCATGAAGGTCTATATCAAGAGGCATACATATCCCGGGGAGCTTGGCTCGACCCGCATGCCATGAGCTGTTTGCCGTGTGGGACGCACCAACAACCGAGACGACATGGTTGGATTCATGGCGGTATGGATAGAGACTGCGTGCAGCACACCACGCAGCCAAGTCACACCGACGACGTCGATTGCGTCGAAGTCGCGGACACTCAGCGGTGGCCCGTGCTGGGGACCATCTCCGCAGCTGCGCGCCGCTGTTTACCTCGGCCTTCCATTCTGGGGGCCTCGCAGCAACCGGTGTCTAGCTATCTGTGGGCCCGGTGCGTTGGTTCAAAACGGCCAACAACAGCCTCATGCCATGTGGATTCTGACTCTCACAACCACGAGGGCTCGTACGGCAAGACGGAAGCCAACACCATGACCACCATACCAGATCACCCATCCCTGGCTCGGATTCCTCCAGGGTACAGGACAAAACTGAGCCCCAAAGCAGTCGACATCATTGCAAAAGTATACGATTGGGTCGAAAATGAATGCATTCCGGCAGATCACATTGTCAAGGCGCAATTGGCAGAGAAACCTTGGGCAATGCCGCCATACATCAAGGAGCTGAGAAAGAAGGCAAAAGCAGAAGGATTGTTCAATCTCTTCCTCCCGAACCACTTCAAAGAAAGCCCGGGGCTCACGATCCTCGAGTACTCATGCTGCTGCGAGCTTCTTGGGCGAGTTTATTGGGCTCCGATGGTAGGTAGCAAAGCGCTCGAGAGACAAAGATGAACCCTAACGCAACGTTGTAGACGCTCAATTGCCATGCTCCGGATACCGGCAACATTGAGCTTTTGGCCAAGTACTGCACAGAGGAGCAGAAGAAGAAGTGGATGCAGCCTCTTCTAGACGGAGAATGCTTGTCCGCCTACTCAATGACAGAACCCGATGTCGCTGCTTCCGATGCAACGAACATTTCGTGCCGCATTCGGCGGGAAGGCAACGAGTATGTGATCAACGGCCGAAAACTGTATGGCAACTGGATTGGAAATGAGGATGTCAAGTTCTACATCCTGATGGGATGCTCTGACCCAGACAATCCGGATCCTTGGAAGCGGCACTCGACCGTCATTGTGCCCAGGGATACTCCAGGATTGAAGGCGGTTCGATACATGACGATCATGGGCTATGACTGTGCTCCAGAGGGACATGGTGAGTATGTGTATGAAAATGTGAGGATTCCCGTGGAAAACATCATTCTGGGAGAAGGCCGGGCATTTGAAATCGCTCAAGGTCGACTAGGACCTGGGAGAATACACCATTGGTGAGTTGGCCTCCAAAATGCCATGCTTTCCCCCAGGACTAATGTCATTGGAGCATGCGTCTGCTTGGTCAAGCTGAGCGCGCATACGAACATGCACTCATCAGAGCTACGGATGCGAGAAAGAAACCCCGCGGCAAGTTAATTGGTGAGTTCGACAGTAACATCGAGCGGCTTGCCGACATGCGCATGGAGATCGACGCTCTTCGCCTGGTTGTTCTGAACGCCGCAGAGACCATGGACCTGATGGGCAACGTCGCCGGGAGATATGCTATCGCACAGGCGAAGATCATGGTGCCTCTGGGCGTGACCAAGATTGTGGATGAGTGCATGCAAATGTTCGCCGGGCAAGGACTCACGCAGCACACATTCCTTCCTGAAGCTGTAAGGCCCTCTTTTGTCTAGAATGGGCGATTCGCCCCCCAATCCCCTCCCACATCTCTCGACACACTTGGCGAAGAGCGGTCTCGACTCGAGCTAATGGATTGGCAGTGGACGTACGCCAGGTTCGCACGGATCGCGGATGGGCCAGACGCTGCACACAAGCATCAAGTCGGGCGAGATCAGCTGAAAACCGCACCTGAGGTCAGGTCGAAACATCTCGGATACAAGAAGAGATACCATGAATTGGCGAAGGAGTGGGGGGTGCCTGCGACAGAACGGTTTGAGTACGTTGCGCGGATTGAGAAGCTGTGAAGGGTCATTCGATTACTAATCAAAGTGTCATTGATTTCTCGCCCTCGTACTTCCCACTCCCACTCCCACTCCCACTCGCGCACCAATGCACAGGGCAGATGTGACAAGCACGGCGCTCTTGACGAGACATCGAAGAGCGATCAAGGTGTCTGGGGTGTCTGTGAGAGCCCGATGACTACACATAGAACAACTAATAGACCCTACTTTGGCTGAAGAGATCCCCATGAGAAACCCTGTAAGCACCAGCAAGCCCTCAGGCACTGCCGATGGATTGGCGCCTATAAGCTCCCCTATAGGGCTCCCTACAAGCCTCACTAGCCGGCCCTCAAGCATTGCTATCTAGGTCCCCGACAGCACCCCCACAGGCACCTCAACGCCCCCAGCAAGCCCCCCCTGGCTGCTCCTGCAAGGCACCCAATAACTTCCGACCTGCTCCAACCAGGATCATCAGTGGAAGCAGTTTTTGTATCTCGTACAACTTCCCACAACAGCCTAATACCACCCTGACTAGTCGCCTCATTCCCAAAGAGTCGAGCGGCAGGTTTCGCCCCGTACAAAATTTCGCTTGCTTTCGTAGGGGGTGTTTTGTACAGTCGCATTGGGTTTAGATGGCGCTTGGGTGAGGGTAAGGGAGGCGTGGGAGGGTGATGGAGGGCAATGGGGGGGGGCATGGAGGGCCATGATGGCCATGATGGCATGTGCCGAGGGCAACAAGCCAAGCCTTGACCGCCCCGCGTCCTTCTTCCGACTTCTCCAGAATTCCCCCCGTGTGCTAAATCCTAGCTTCATCTAGTATCCCGTCGTCCGTACACTCTCCAGCATCTCAACGGCACAGTCGACAGGATCCTTCTGAATACCCTCAGGCAGTGATGGAGACCATGGCCGCCGAGGTGCTGCTGCCCCTCCAGCTGTCAACCGGCCCTCCGCCGACGGGCCGCAAGCCCAAGCAGATCAGCGACAAGCGACGCGACAAGAAACGGGTGGCCGACCGACACTGTCAACGCCAGGCTCGAGCCCGCACCAAGAACAAGATCGCCGAGTTGGAGTCTCTGGTGGCACATCTGACGAGCCAGTCCGGCAACGAGGTCTGCAGAGAACTGAGGGAGCAGCTCGAGAGCGCCCGCACCGAATGCCGGTCGCTCAAACGCAAGCTCGCGACGATATATTCGCTGGCCCAGATCAACCTGGACGAGGAGTCCGAGGCCCGTCTGGACATGGCGGAGAAGGGTAGGTTACAGCCCGCATCAGCTTGGGGTGACATTGGTGACATTGGTGACATTGTGCCAGCAACTAACCAAAGCTTGCCAGAGCGCGCCGAGTTCTCTCCGTCCTTTTCTCTCCTCAGTCCGCTCAAGGCGTCTCCGGCGGTCGCGGACGATCTCCAGCTCGAAGGCACGGGCGACGCTGGCCGTCCGCCGCGTGGGCCCGTGTGCAACGTCCACGGTGAGGCTGAATACGGCTTTCCTGTCGATGATAGCCTCAATTTAAACTTTTCGGATGCCATGTTCGATGAACAAACCTTCAATCCGATGGGGTTAGGGCAAGCACCACCTCAGATGGACGAAATGGCTGGCCCCCACCACAGTAACACAATCACCGTAGCAGCCACAGCCACCACCTCTATCCCTCTTTCGTTTCCGGAAAGTGGGTCCTCGTGCACGTGCGCCCACCACCTCCATCCTCACAAGCAGGCCAACATGTGGGCGTTTGTGAGCGAGACGTTGATGGATTGGAAGACGCACAACTGGCCCAAGCTCAAGAACGATGGCACTGCCGACGACATCGCCGTCCGCGCCGTCATCGAAGGCTGGAATGAGTCCACCATGGGCAACTTAAGCGCCTCGTGGCGCATCTTGCGCGAAGTCGACGAGAAAGTATGGGCCCAGTCTCGCGACGTCGATCGCCTCGCCGTCCTCTGCATCATGAACTTGCTGCTCCAGGTATGTTGTTGTTGTTCCAGAGACTGACCCACGGCCGTGGCTGACGTCAAGATACAGTGCCACCTCAATCCCTCAGAGGAGAATCTCTTGAGGCTGCCTGCATGGTATAGGCCAAGGTAAACATTCATCTCCACTCCACCTCCTCGTTTCCTGCTTGTAGCGACGACGTTGACCAGCGCTAGGCCGTCGCAAGTGGCTCAGAAACATGCCTATGCCATTGACTTTTTCGTTTGGTAGGTGACGACCCAGCTTCCACGAGACCATCATTTCCTGATCTCTTCGTTCCTAGGCCGGGTATCCGTGAGCGATTTGTCTATCACTATCACAAGTATTGTTCCAACAGGTTCTGGTCTCTGCTGGCAGAACATTTCCGCTTCGTCTGGCCATATGACCTCCGTGATTGTTATGTCCACAATCGATCCACCAATAGGTATCAGCTGTCAGAGCTGTTCCGCCGCCACCTCAATGACCTCACATCCTTCACCTTTGATAAAGACATGTTTGGCAACTATCCGGAATTCGACTGCGACATTCCAAAGTACATGAAAATTCCGCAAAGTCTGGGTCCCAAGCAACTGGCCAATCAGCGACATAGAAAGAGGTATATTGAGACGCCTGGGAACCAGAAGTTGATTGGATTTACGCCTATGCCTCCGATCGGCCCTCAGGACCAGTGGTACAACATACCACCCGACAACATGACGAAAAGCCTTGGCCCCGGATTGTGGGGTCTACCCATGCCCACCAATCAGTATCTCTAGGGTCGAGATAGACAAGACATGGTGCATCGAATATGGACATCTGCAACCAAGCGTGGTATGGGGAATTTGACCTCAAGTTGACGGATCGTACGGCGTTGGAGGGGTGACATTTGAAATGATGATAATGTACGTCCCGAAAGATGCTTCGAGGTAGTTTCGAGGAGGAGCCTGCCTTGTATTAAATGCAATCTTCAACACATTCATCTACACGAGTAAGGGGGATACGACCCGAATATCATTTGGTATTCTCTAGACAACGCTTTCTGGTGCTCGCTCGCTGACGTTGAACTAGATTCTGCCGACACTTTGAAAGTCACTTCCTTTGAGTTTGAATTAAAAGCCTCAAGCCAGACGCGTTGAGAATGAAATCAGTTTGCTATGATCTTTGACGCGTCCATGTCTTTCCCTTCACTTTCATTTCCTTCAATTTACTTGACTTCCCTTTCGCCAAGGCTCAGTCAGGAGGAAAATCTATATATGAACGCCATTCTCATCGCATCTGCACGTTCCTTTCGCCCAGCGCCTTGAGAAGCAATAGCAACGTGCTGATTTTGCACAACTCGACAGCTCGTGGCGCTGATCCATCTGGAGTCCATCAAGGGTCAGTTGAGGTTTGCTGCACCACGTGTGCTCGGAAGACCACAGATCACTGACATCACGGTTTAGTATTTACCATAGGTCCAAAGATGTCAGATCCTCAGAGTGAAGAGGCTTGGAGCTTCGAGGACGACTACCAAGTCGAGAGGTGAGCTCCCATTCCGTTCGATTTGCAAGGCTCCTAACCTTTCAGCGCATATGCGGGCCCCCTCATCAAGGTGGTTGCCGGATCGCCAGCACGGGCCTTTTACATCCACAAGGGCTGCTTGACAGAGGCGAGTCCCTTCTTCAAAGCTTGCCTGTCGGCGGGGATGATCGAACAGCAAACGGACGAAATCACTCTCCCGGACGACCCATGCAGAGCCTTCGAGTTTCTGGCCGAGTGGGTCTACAGGCACGAGGTGTCGGCGATCGAGACCCAGGAGCAAGCCACGTCCGCCGCCCAAGCCTGGACACTGGCGGACAAGTATCGCATCCCGGCCCTTCAGGATGCCCTGATGGATGCGCTCCGGGGCTTTTGTCAAACCGACGTCCTGGACCTTCGGTTGCTGTCTTGGGCGGTGGAGAACACAAAAGCCACGAATCCTCTCCGGGAATTCATCTACGATCAGCTGGCTTACGATTTGGTCAGCTGGCCCGACTTCTACGGGTGGATCGAATGCGACGAGTCAGAGTCCGGGCGCGCAGAAAGCGACACGGAGACGCTCAGGGACTTGCTGGCCAACCCAGAGATCTCGGTCAAGTTGTTCTGGCACGCATACAACGCGCCGAATGAGCCGCATGACAGCCCTGCAGAACTTGTCGGGTGTCATTATCATGTTCATGAAGATGGTGGACCTTGCCCAGGGCGAGACTTGGAGACATGACAGCTGATCGAAAGCGGCCCGGTCTCGAGAAGTGTTTCAACGACGCACCCAAGTTTTGAAAGTGGTTACATGTGCAAAAGAGCTGGAACACACGGTGCCAAATCAAATATGCCAAAGCAACCAGTTAGGATACCCTGTGTAGATACATCAGTCACCTACCTTGACAAAGGTGCCGCGTGACACATCCGTGCACAGAGACATCACACATTGGGCTTCTTGAGCCGTTGAGTACAAGAATACAATCACAATTCCCTCTTGTGTACTTTCTTCTGGATTGCGAACTTTGATATGAGACGAGGCCGTATCTCGTCTCGTCCCAGCCTTGCAATTCGCCATGCCTGTCCTTTTTTATCGTGCTAATCCTGATCTCCACTATTGCCTGTATCACAACTCTTTTTCCCCCCACAGCTAAACAGTCGCGAAATATCCACGAGCATGATACGACAATGAAAGAGACGATGCTGCTCATGCGTGATCACTCAGTGAGCATGAGACCGGGTTCTGTCTCGAGACTAGAACAGCGAGGTTGAGCTCGGGTATGTGGTTTGGAAAAGGGGCAATATCAACCTCCGGGACGAACAACAGAGCAGCTCCAGTGTTTGCTCAAACTGCAGAATTCTGTCCAGAGAAGGAGAATTGGTTTGACAAGGTGTGTGACTTACGTGTTCTCGAGATATTAGAACAGGTGTTGTCTTGAAACCTGTGCCCTTGATGAAAACTCCCTTCCCTCCCAGCGGATAGATAGCTCGCGTAGGACGTTTGATATAGAGCACCCAGCTAGGCGGCTCCAAGAAACATGAACAAACTGCACTTCCCGAGTCCGATCTGCGCCTTCTCCCCTCGGTCGAAGAGTCTAGCGGGGCGTACACACCACAACGGCGCCAGAGCGAGGAAGAAACGTGGCACCCATCGTCGCCGCGGCGGCGATGAGCACAGCTAAGGCCCGTCCACGAGATTTTTCCATATATTGCGGTTGTTGTTTCTTTTTTCTTTTTTTCAATTCGTTCTCCTTCCTTGCCCTCTCAACCTTCATCCTACGCGGCGGACGTGTACGCGCGACTCTTGCTTGCTTCACCAGGCCTGACAACAAGACAAAGTCTTCCTGCACGTGTATCACTCCCTTACCTTGCGTGTTGAACGCAGCTGGACAGCTAATAGCATTGTGCAGGCTGTGAAGAAGCGACAACAATGGCAGACAATGAGCCTCCAGACGATTCTCCTCTGGACGGAAAGGACAAGGCTGACCAATAAGAACCCTCCTTTCGATGTAACCTTCAACAAAGTGTGATTCTGACCCCGGGCCTCTCATCTAGTTTTCTTCTGTCACGTATCGTGAACGCCATTGTGGGCAAGGAAGAGAGAGTGTACCATATCCACAGATACATCTTGCTTCAGGAGAAGGGGTTCTTCAGGACGTGTCTCAAGACCGATATGAATGAAGCACGAGAAGGGGCGATCAGACTCCCAGGGGACACTCCTCTTGGGTTCAACGTTGTTGCGGACTGGATGTACTTCGACCAGGTGAAGAAACCGGAGTCATCAGACGACATCTTCGGCATGCTGCACGCGTACGTGCAGGCCGACAAGTGGTGCATGAACATGTTGCAGAACGCCATTATCGACAGATTCCTGGAAAACTGGAAGTACAAGGTCCTCCACCCGGCACACATGGCCTGGGCGGCCAGACATGTACCCGACGGCACCAGCTCTCGAAGGTCTTGAACCCGAAGCCTCATGGACCACTTTGGCCGCCATGGGTTGGAAATCCATGTCGATATCATGTCCACAAGGAGGGCGAGATCGTCATCAATCCAACGAAGACCATAAAAGACTTGGAAAGAGCGTATCCTTTGGATTTCTGTGCTCTTCATGCGGCACGCAAGGCCGAAATGTCGACCAAATCTGACAGGGACGTTCGTCGTGACGGTCGTTGTGACCAACATTATTACCGCGACCTCAATGATAACGTCATCAAGCGGCCCATCAAGCGGTCCCGTGTCTCTTGAGCAATGTGAAAAGACAACTTGCGAAAGGACACCGTGGGCAGGATTCCTCACAATGATGGATCGGGTCGCTTTCAGCACGAGGTTGCAGCGATGGCAATGACCGTAGCGACAGTGACCTCGCAACACAGAAGCACTGGCCCGCAAATAGAGTCCGGCACAACAGTGGATAGTGAATGATAATGTGACTTCCTTTGTCACAAGGTGCTGGTCGTCACTGAGCAAAACGTGTCAGAAGAAAAACTGCGTGTCCTAGCCTCCTCACCGTCAACAGTTGCAAGTACCGCAAACTCCTTTTGTGCCACTTGCTTGTTTGTGTCAATCTAAACATCTCCCATAACGCGCAGCAAACATGAACTCACAATTGTTGAATGAAGCCTTCACCGGACCCGCAGCAAACAAACAACCCCCATCACCATCCACTGATAGATTTGACGAATTCGACGAATTCGCAGAGCTCGAACTCCTCCCGAGACAACAGCCACATGGAAACAAGTAATATACTATATATCCCCTCCAGTTCGAACATCAGTGCCGAGCACCACAGGTTGAGATGTTTCCGATGCTGACCCGCCTCTGTCCAGCTTCACAACAAAACCAACGGTGACTGTCCTCGTGGGCAAAGGCAAGATCGAATACATCTTCCACGAACATCTCTTCATGAAGCTCGACTTTGGTGGTGCTTTCTTTCCGAAGTGCCTTTCCATCGGCATGAATGAGTCTCTCTCCAACGTCATCGAACTCCCGGATGATAACGTATCAACGCTCGATATCTTCACGAAGTTCCTGTACGGTCCACGAGTCACCGAACCAGCGTCTGAAGACAACGATTCATCATTTATCGCGCTCAACGGGTTGGTTCTCTTCTTACATGTTGGGATATGCCGAAGCCAACGAGGGCATTGGTTTTGCGTCGGCTGGACTGGCTAGTGTCGTGCCTGTCGGCTACGTAGTAGTGGAGAGCCCGTGATCTTCTAGACAGAGCTCGCAAGCATCCGGCATGATCCCTTTCGGCTTCCACAGAGCTCTGAATTAGAATTGATGTTGGCATTAAGGGTGGTAGTTGGGGGAAAAGGGGTTGCCCGGAACGGAAAGAACGTGGCACATGACAAAATGGACTAGGATTACTTTGGACTAGCTTTAATTTCCCATTGTTCTGCTTCAAATTCCTTCCTCACGGTATTAACATTGCGTACACGGAGACAAGATGCAGAGGTCAAATCGAGGGCCTTGCAGGTGCTCCTGTCGCTGCCTTTGCCCGCTATCTGCCTACTTTGCACGCCAATGATGACATCCACGTGGCGCCGATCATTGGTAACTACTCTGAGTTGTTGATGTTCAAATGCTGGGCATTCGCGGACAAATTCGGCGTTCCAATATGGCAAGACCAGCTTATGACCGAGCATATGTGTATAATATTCGAGGAAAAACACCCGGTCTCCTGGTTTTTAGATAATGTCAGCCACACAACTGCACTTTGGAGATACGTCGTTGACTCTTTTGCATGGGACATGACAATAACAAGCGAGTCTTACCTCGACAAAGAGACAAAGAAAGAAGAGGTTGATCACTTGCTATCAAGGCATGACTTTCCCATCTCGCGGTTCGTGTTCACCCTTGTCTCCGCTCGCGCGGGCAGAGGTGCTCTTCCACCGTGGGAGCGGGGATGCGAGTATCACGTTCACGGGAAATACAGAAAATGCCCCGTTTGGGAGCCAGACAATGTGAGAGCAACTTTGTGTCAGCACTGACCCAAGGGGCAGGTAGAGGATACCAAGACGCGATGAGGTGGAGAGGCGACGCCACAGACTATGGCTCCCATACTTCGACGCAGAAGAGGGGAGATCCCACCTGCAAAGCGACAAATCCAGCGCAAGTCGATCCTTCAAATAGAAGCACATGTGTGGATTGTGGACGCTGAGAATCGCACAGGCTGAAAAGGTCGTATCAGGGAATATGAGCTCATTATTGGACACTGTTGACAATATCTTTGCTGAAGGATAACAATCCCCTTGACATTGATTGGTGAGCGGATTGAACAAACAACAGATTAATCACAGGGAGTCGAGCTTTCAGATCTCCATGCGCGTTCCAAATTGCTGCTTTTTCCTAGGACAAGGTACGTAATGGTCTCCTTAATGTTGAGAAAGTAAAGCCATTGTCTGTGATGGTTGCCAGACGGCAAGGACACGAGGAGATTTCAATTACCAGGCGGACAGGAGAGGTAGAGATCCCATTCCTCTTTGCCACGGCCAAATGAATGAGCTACCATCTTTGGATATATCTTCCAATTCTAGAGATTGGTAGTCGATCAGTTCACCCTCTGATGCTTCTTGCAAGGACGACCGCTTCCGGCGCGGGGAGAACGAAGAAGCCAGCAGAGGAATACAGCGAAGAATGCGACACGCTGTGCTCGAAGGGTGGAGGGTCTCCGCAATTCGTCTGGTCTGGAACGCAATACGTCTCGTGCACGAAAATGATGGGTGATGCCCCAATCCATCAAGCGTACAACTATCATGTGCCTGTGATAGTGAATACTGCGAGAGAGATGGGGTAGAGAGATAGAAACGAGAAGAGGATGTTGGCGTCAAGCACGAAGAAGGCGAGACCACTAATACTTCAACCTCATGACACGAACGAAAGGAGCCGAGCAACGGCCCTCGACAACCAAGGGAGAGGGGGTTCTGGTTGGATTGGATTGGAGACTCGCACTTTGCTGGTGAACCGGAAGAAATCATGCCAAATAGGAGGGAGGGAGAGCGACAAAAGATTGATTGGTGTCACTTGAGTAACTCAAAGATCATGAATTTCTCGAAACTCATGGTGGGTTTACCGAAGAGTCTGCGATGCGACGGTTCGAAATGGATTCCCCAAACCGCTAAACGCGGCAATCCGAACGACCAAAGGAATCGAGCACGACGCAGGTCAGATTTCGTATCATGATATTGTACATGTTGTCCTCGAGAGACTTTGGTCTATCACTTTTTCTGGTCAGAATTCTGTGCGGTATCGAAAGTAACTTTGCCGTCGCGGCCAACGCTTGCCACTGACAGTCTCGGTGACGCAGGCACCGAAGACACAGGCACGGCAGAGCCTGGTTTGGACAGTTCAGGGCCAGCGGAGCGGACATTGGAGATTGCCTCCTGGAAAGCCCCTGCAGGGGTATCGGCAATTTCGTTCACTTCCTGTGTCGTTAAGACATCATTTACTCTCGCAGCCCGGCTCTGAATCAGGAGCGTCGTCGGGCCGCTAAACTGTAGAAACAACCGGTCCCCCCAGATAGTCCTTCGGCTCCATGTTCGGATTCTGTAGAGCATATTGGCAACAAACTTGTAAGTGTTGCTGGTTTTGAGAGTTTCGACAAATTTCGACGATGGGAAGAAGTTTCCGAGCTGAAGAGGGATTTGAAACCGAGCACTGGATGATTTGAATCGAAAGGGCAGAGGTGCTGGAGAAGGTGAAGACGAACTGTAGGCGAGTATGTTGGAAGGATGTACTAGATATGTCTCCCCTTCTGCAAGCTCGACAGAGTAAACCTGGCCTTGACCTGCGAGCGCTAGGAGTCCTCTTCCGGTGACATTGGAACTTCCCCAGTATGCGAGAGAAAATCTCGTGTTTATACTCGGCTTCACGGAGAGCGTGCTGCCAGTCCACGCCAACAGCGCTTTTCTCTGGGCTAGCTTCCAGTCCATCGTGCCATCCAACTGCAGAATAGCAAATGTGGTTATTGGCGACCTTGTCGATATCAAAGCATTGGCAGGGGATGTGGACGTGATCTTTTGGTACAAGAATGGAATTCCGATTAGGGCACGGCGGACGGGATTAAGGATTCGCAACGTCGAGACTGTTCCATTGGGATCCCCAGCAAAAGCCACAAGTGTTCCCCGACGGGTATACAGCTCTTGAGAAGGAGACAGCGTGACGGAAAGGAGCGAGTATGGGCTCCCGATGACTTCGAATGAGGCGTCTAAAATCAGTTAGTAAGTGCTCCCTCTGGGCAAGGGGTTCATCTGACCCGGTGATGCAGCGGACAACGATCTGCCCGCCACGTTGATTCTGCTGGTGTCTGTTGCCGGCGTCGCTTCAACCGATATGTACTTGTATCCGCCAACTCTCCGTCCAGCGACCAGATGCGCCGGATACGCCCATTTCCGAGGAAACTTGCTCAGCCGCCGCAGGCTCTGAGCCGCAATTTGGGGCATCCTTGCGCGAGGTACGCTAGGAAATGCTGGAGTCCAGCAATGCGGCTCTAGAGACCGACTTATTTGACTGTGAGTGCTTGAGCTGAACGCGTTTTCAAGCTTCTCAGGTGCTTCTCGAAGCTAGCACTGGCAAGCTTCAGTTCAAAATTAGACAAATATGCCAAGACTGCGCTAGGGAAGAGTCAGAGGCCAAACGAGGCTGACAGTCTTGGCGTTGCTTCTCGCTTACCTCCTTTGTTAAATCTCCCGCTCACTTCCCTCCTACCAAACACGAAAGACCTTCAGATCTCGTCAGATACGGCCAAATTCCTGCTGCTTCCGCACTTCCGGCCTTTGAGGCTGTGCTTCATAGTACACTCCTCCAGCAGCGTGTCAAACATTTGTGGCTTAGCGACAGCGAGCTATGCCTTAGTGTGGCCGCACCGAGGCCTTGAGTCGAAATCCCATTCCCCCACAAAATGACCAGTTGGGAATTGGAGATATGGTGCTCAAATGAAATTGACCTTTAAAGTTTCTTGCTATTCCATCGTCGCAGGTGTACCAAGACACGATATCCGCGGACGCTTCCTTCAGCAATGCGCGCAGACCCGCTGGATCGCACAATTGGTTGAGATAGATTGGTAGGGTCATCTATTTTCAGATACAGCTCCTCTCTTCCGTCAGTGATCTGGACACGTGGGGACCTGCGCCTCTCTGATGGTATATACGAAGCAAAATACGAGGTTACCAGAACGACATTGTTATTCTGCTGTGGATTAGGAATGGTTTACGATGCACCAGAAGGTGCTCTCAAGACGGGGCTTTCCCGGGAAAATATGCTCACCTTTCTTCATCTACGAGAGGTACGGCCAACAATTTAGGTAGGTCAACAACTGACACCTCTGAGTCTCAGCAATCATAAGAGAAGGTAAAGTTCTGAGCGCCTACTTGCCGACACAGGCCCATCGTCCTTGTGTTTAACTTCTCGGCGTCATGCACAAGCGGCTCAGAACCTGAGACACCTTCCTGTGATCTATTCTTATACGAACGATCCGTGTGCCATTGCGGCGTTGGAGCCTTTTGCCACAACCTCATTATGCTTTAAAAGGCCGGGCTGTCACGATGCAAGCATTTCTTTTGTAACATCTATAGACCTTCGCACAGGTTCCTACCGGAAAACAGCTGAGATAAAGTCAAACGATCAACATGCGTTGCATTCGACAGATCCTTGGTTCAGCCTTTGGGTATCTGGCTTTTGTCTTGCCAGCCCAAGCTGCTCCCTTCGATGCTTCCGCGCCAGCACAACCGTCTTCTGCTTCCATCCAGTTCCCTGTCGGCGCCAATGGACCGAACGCACCAGTCGTGTTCCCGTTGTCAAATGGTTTCCCAAATATAGCAAAAGGAACGCCGGCTTTTCAGCAACTAACGGTCCAAGCTCATGGCTCCATATCAAACGCACCGCCTCCGCCGTCCTTGGCAGCCGATGACCTGCGCAGTTTCAAGGTCATCCAAATCCAAGAGACTTTTGAAGTCTACTACTTCACCCAATTGCTTCTCAACATTACCAACGATGTTCCCGGTTTCGAGATCAGCGACCCATCATTGAAGCAAGACATCATTCAAAAGCTGACAGTCATCCAAGGCCAGGAGCAGTGGCATGCCATCAACGCCGGCAACGTTCTACAGCACTTTAATGTCTCTCAGATCCAGCCGTGTGTTTTTAAGTCTCCTGCGACCGACCTCACAAGCGCCATTCACATTGCTGCAAACTTCACTGCCGTTGTAATCAGCACCCTTCAAGATGTGGCAGTCCGGCTTGGTCAAAACGGGGACTCGGCTGTCATCCGGGGGGTTGTTTCTGTGGTTGGCCAGGAAGGAGAACAGCAAGGCATCTACCGCACGCTACCCGATGACCTTGTCCCCTCGGAGCTTCCATTCCTGACCCAGTCAACCCGTGAATTTGCGTACTCGTCCCTTCAGCAGAACTTCATTGTGCCTGGCACCTGTCCCAACGACAATACCATTGACGTGCCAATTTTTGGGACTTTGGACGTCTTAACCACGAACATACAAGCTGTCGACCAGGTTCTCACCTTCAGCATTCAGCGAGATTCGATCGAAGGTCTCAGCCTTGTCTATCTCAACCAACAGAATCTGCCCATTGTTGAAACAATCATCAACCCATCTACCAGCAACGGCGTGACCACGTTCTCCGCCGACTTTCCCTTCAGCCAGAATTCACTGAACGGCCTTACGATTGCGGCGGTAGTCAACTCAACCGGACCATTCGCAAATGCCAACGAGGTTGCGAACAAGACGCTCTTCGGTCCTGGCCTGATTTACCCTAATTAGTCTAGCATCGCCTAGCACAGAGCCACTGGCGAGCCTGGCCAGTCCCCCTCCGATATTTGCTTCGATCTGGTGCTTTTGGTGGTTGTCTTTGCGACAGACTGTACATAGTGAACGCGAACACCCCTGTGCCTGACTCGGAATGATACTGTCCAAGCCTTTACTATACTGAACATATATTCTCGTGAACAATCATAGCCAGGGTATGAGAACCATACCGGCGCGATTTCCCCAGAACGATGGAAACTTTCTTGTCTCAAGTGTTAAACACCTTGCGAATTTCCTTTTCCCCTCTCTTCCTTCCGTCACCTGTTTCGGATCCGCCAGGATCACAATATTGGATATTGCCAGCGGAGAGCGAACCGACTGGTTAGATCCATGGCACAATCGGTCAAGACTGTGTCCATGCGCTCTCCGAGTATCTTTCTCGTTATGGCGGTGAAGTTCGGCGAAGCTGACTGGTGCGAACAGACAATGTCCTCCCCGCTCGAAGCCATCTCTACATCTGTCGTTCGCTTCTTCCAGTCTAAGATCAAAGGTTAAGTTGCCGATTTGGAGCCTCGTTCCGGGTTCCTTCTTCGGCATCCCGCGTCCCAACGCCGACTCCCTATACTTCCGGCCCTACCAGTACCCATGCAATGTTTGTTGTACAAGTAAAGTGCGGTTCCGACACTCCGCAGAGCCCAATCCACAATCTGGACCCGGTTTCGCGCGGGCATTCAACCGAAGATCAGCCTAAAAAAGACACTGGTGGCGCCATTTCCCCTCCATCACCATCGGCTCGACGTCCACAATGGTGCATCAAGACACGAAAGAGCCCAGGATCTGCTAATCCGACGTCAATCCTGTGGTACTTATTAGGGGATCAGCCCTGCCCAGCAGGACCGTCCAGGTAGCTGCTGGGCTAGCAGCAGCTGGGATGTGCCTCCCGGGGAGAATTCCTCCTCCCCTCACTTTTATGCCATTTTCACTTTCACATTCCCAGGGTCGAGAGCGCCTTACCGTTGGTAATACAATGGAGGGTCGCAGATCACCGCCACCAGCCGCTGGGATGCGAGTGGGTTGCATGTCCGAATGTTAAGGGACACTTTTCTTCCCGCTGAGGGTTTGTTTTCGTTTTTCATTCTAACCCCTACTCTTTCCCTCCTACATTGTTTAGGGACAATATTTGTTTGATTCTGTGAGCCTCGTCGTTGCTACCAGGAGCACATCTATTTGGTCTTTGTGGAGTGGTAGAGAGGGGGAGAGAGATGCCCGACCAGCGACAACAGACTAATCATCCAGGGCGAGACGATGATGGATATCCATACCAGCAACTCACGGTCTTGGGTACGTATGATGGCCTCGTCGTCCTCAGATCACCCTTGGAACCGCGGCTAACGACGTAAACAGCGTTATGCCGCCTTGCCGAGCCCATCGCCTTCTGCTCCATCACAGCCTACACCTTTGTAATGGTCGTCGACATCAAAGGCGAGGAAAATGCCTCGTTTTACGCCGGCCTTTTAATTTCCGCCTTTGCTATGGCTGAGGCCTCTACGGCCATGATATGGGGTCACATCTCCGACCGATACGGCAGGAAGCCGATCGTTCTTCTGGGGCTTGCGGGAGTTGCGCTGTCGAGTCTGATCTTTGGGTTTGCAAAGAGCTACTGGGTTGCTCTTATGGCGAGGGTGGTTGGGGGGCTTTTGAATGGAAACGTGGCTGTAATGCAGACTATGGTGGCGGAGATGGTGAAGAGACCTGAGCACGAGCGTGAGTCTGCAGAATGGTGCAAAGCCCCAGAAAATTACTTAAAGCTGATTTCTGACTTCAGCCACCGCATACGCCGTCCAGCCCTTTGTATGGAGTCTAGGATCAATTGCTGGGTCGGCCCTGGGAGGCTTCACAGCGCAACCTGCCCGGTTCTATCCTCACCTCTTCTCTTCTGACGGGATTTTCGGCGAATATCCTTACCTCTTACCGAACCTGGTTGCTGTAGCGATCATTGTCATCGCCATCATACAGGGCTGCCTTTTCCTCGAGGAGACGAATCCAGTGTCGCGATCATCAGGTACACTAGTCACGGTCAACAGTTCCGATACCATCGATGAGACGACGCCCCTGAGGTCGAGACAGAGGCGGGAGTCGGCGCTCAGTGCATTTTCGACAGGACCTGGCGGACTCACTTACGTCGCGGAGTCCATGCCTGTTGCCATCGATCCGGCCTTCGACCTTCGGCGGCCTTCTGTGGCATCTATCGGCTCACTCAAGCCACTCTTGAAAGTCGGATCACAAGTCGAAGCCGTCATTGAAGACGAAGACGACGAACAACCTGTTAAGCCGGAGCAAATCAGGGCTTTCACCAAGCCCGTCATCATGTGGACCGTTGCTCTCGTGGTGATGTCATATCACTCGATGGCTTTTGGCTCTGTTCTCCCCATTTACCTCCTTGACGACCCGCAACGGCCGGCACGTGAACTTGACTTGAAGGGCGGGCTCGGCATGACTCTGCACGAAGTCGGGACATATCTCGCCGCCGGCAGCATCATGTCTTTGTTCTTCCAAGCAGTTGTATTTCCCATTTTCGTGGCCAAGTTGGGTGTCTGGAAGGCCGTCTTGTCAGTGACACTGCTCAGCCCGTTCATCCACACTGTGGTGCCGTTTGTCTCTCTTCTTCCAAAACCAGGGGCAGGAATTTACGCCGTGCTGGCATTTCAGAGCTTCGCGGGCGTCGTCTCCTTCCCGACCTTTTTGATCCTGTTGAAGAACGCCACACCCTCGCCGCTGGTGTTGGGTAAAGTCAACGAGCTAGCCATGTCAGCTTGCTCCGCCGCCAGAACGGTGGGACCACCGCTCGTCGGTATATTCTATAGCAGCCTTGGGTCAGCAGGGGCGTGGTGGAGTTGTGCCCTTGTCGCCATCATTGGGGTCATCCAGTTTTACTTTTCGCCCAGGCCAAGGGACGATGACGAGACGATATTGCGGAGAGCCTCGACGGCGGCCGTCGAGGCTCCGCCCATGGCTGACTTGGCACGGAGCCGGGAAGAGTAATGTTTCTGAGATGTGTTCGGCGTTTTGTGAAAAGTTTATGGATTTGTGCTCCATGAAGGATAAGTAAATTGCTGCAAGTGTTATGGCGCAGGCTCACAATATGTTCGCTATATGGATTATTTCAGGAAAAAACGCCATAGGTAAGCGTGGGAGAAATTCGGAAAGCGGCTTTGAGCTCCTCTGCCAAAGTACGGAGTCCACAACCGCCATTTGCGGACTGCTGGAGAGAAATCAAGGAGTTATGTATCGAGATGCGCTTTCAGATGTTTAAGAGTGGCGTGCGTGGACTCAGCCATTTTCCAAGTAGACCGTAGCCTAATATGATCTCTGCGAGGAGCAGGTGACAGTCTTCACATGTACTAGATCTGCCAAACCGCTTATCTATTTTCATGGGATAGCCCTGAGATGCATCCCAAGGGAGGTGCCGTGGTTTCGAACAGGGACAAGGCTGGCAATTCAGCCTTGCGTACTCGGGCCGAAAGCTTCACCGAGCACTTACGGCAGAGTATATTCATGCCAAGCGTAGTCTAGGCTTGAGGGCTTTCTTCGGCCATCAGCTGGCGATGGCGTCTTCAACCCAACAATCATGTCATAATTTCCTGCTCTTCCAACCCATGCATGGTGCTTGATACTTTTTGGATCAGATCACAGGTGCTGGCGACCGATCCAAGTAGGGGAGGAGGGCGAGTGGTGCTGACACCTGAATACCAGCGGCGTGGAAGATAGAATCGGATCCCACCATGCTGTCACGTCCGCTCCTCCCCTGTGGGAAGCGCAAGCTCTACAGTGCCTTTGGGTCTCTTGGGGTAAAATCGTCTTTCCGGAGCCGAATCCATCCGCCGCTCTGTGTTCGTGCATTTTCACAGTCAGCGTTCGCGAGGCGGGATGACGGCGCAAAGAAAGCTGCGCAAGCAACCAAGTTTGCAGAAGCACCCCCAAGCAGGGCTGACAGCACCGAAGTTACCAAACCAGAGTCTATACAACAGAAAGAGACCGTAAAAGCCGAACCAGAGCCATCCAAGAAAGAAGCTCTCCTCGCGGAAAAAGTGGTCTCCAACAAGGAACAACGCAAAGTCGACCTGGCTATCATGAGAGAAATGGTCCAGTATCTGTGGCCCAAGGGAGACTGGGGGACCAAGTTACGAGTCGGTACTGCATTGGGCCTGTTGGTTGGGGCCAAGATCCTCAACGTCAATGTTCCCTTCTATTTCAAAAGCATTGTGGACTCGATGAACATTGATTTTCTGGCGGTTGGCGGCACTGCCTGGACGGTGGCAGGGTCGATGATAGTCGCATATGGTGCGACTCGGATTGGCGCAACGTTGTTTCAGGAGCTACGAAATGCTGTCTTTGCCAGTGTGGCCCAGAAGGCCATCCGGAATGTGGCACGCAACGTGTTTCAGCATCTTTTGCGACTTGACCTGAATTTTCATCTGTCGAGACAGACTGGTGGGTTGACCAGGGCCTTGGATCGCGGTACCAAAGGAATCAGCTTTTTGCTGACATCCATGTTGTTCCACATTTTCCCGACTGTGCTGGAGATTTCCTTGGTCTGTGGCATCTTAACATATCAGTATGGAGCCCAGTTCGCTGCCATCACGGCTGCTACGATGGTTGCATATTCAACCTTTACCATTACTACGACCTCGTGGAGAACAAAATTCCGCAAGCAGGCAAATGCAGCTGACAACCAAGGAGCTACGGTGGCTGTTGACACACTGATCAACTACGAGGCGGTCAAATACTTCAACAACGAGAAATTCGAGGTCAACAGATATGACGCGGCCTTGAAAAAGTACCAGGATGCTTCAATCAAGGTCACGACGTCGTTGGCATATTTAAATACCGGCCAGAATGTGATCTTCTCCAGTGCGCTAGCAGCCATGATGTACATGGCGGCGAATGGGGTGGCTAGTGGCTCGCTGACGGTTGGAGACTTGGTCATGGTCAATCAACTCGTTTTCCAGTTGTCAGTGCCGCTGAACTTCTTGGGTTCAGTCTATCGAGAACTTCGACAGTCCCTCCTCGATATGGAGACGTTGTTCAACTTGCAAAAGGTGAACGTGACCGTCAAAGAGGTTGCGAACCCGAGGCCGCTAGCTTTGACGAAAGGCGGCGAGATCAAGTTTGAAAATGTTACGTTCGGCTACCATTCTGATCGGCTGATTCTCCGCAATCTGAGCATGACAATACCTGCAGGCAAAAAGGTTGCCATAGTCGGACCCAGTGGTTGCGGGAAATCGACAATCCTTCGACTGCTCTTCCGGTTCTATGATGCTGACTCTGGTAAGATCTTGGTTGACGGACAAAATATCCGCGATGTGAGCCTCGATAGCTTGCGACGGAGTATCGGGGTTGTACCACAAGATACACCGCTATTCAACAACACAATCGAGCACAATATCCGATATGGCAACGTCGACGCCTCCTTGGACGAAGTCAAGAGTGCCGCAAAGCGAGCGCATATCTACGACCTCATTGAGCGCTTGCCAGCTGGATGGAATACTATGGTCGGTGAACGAGGCATGATGATCTCCGGCGGCGAAAAGCAGCGACTCGCTGTTGCGCGACTGATTCTGAAAGATCCTCCTCTCCTGTTCTTCGACGAAGCGACGTCGGCGCTAGATACTTATACCGAGCAGACGCTGCTACAAAACATCAACAGTATTCTAAAGGAGAAGGCTCGCACCAGCGTCTTCGTCGCGCATCGGCTCCGCACCATCTATGACAGCGACATCATCTTCGTCCTCAAAGAAGGCCAAGTGGTTGAACAAGGCACTCATGCCGAGCTGTTGGCACGTGAGGGACTCTACGCTGATCTCTGGGCTGCCCAGGAAGTTTCAATCGGACAAGACATGACCCTCGAACGATCCCTGGAAGAAAAACGGCAGGCCGAAGAAAAGGAGACTTGATCTTGAGAGCAAAAGGGCACGACCTGCGCCACAGTGAAGGTAGTCGGTTCGTTCGATTTCGGTGGGATTGATGACATTGCCTTGGACAAAGTTTGAAAAGGGGAGCGCATTCCTCGATCCCTCCACAAACCGAGACGCGGGGTCTAGACGTGTTCCTTTGGGCTTACGCGTGCGCAGCCCAGAAGATTCGTCGTTCTCGCTCGCACGGTGAGGGTGGGTTAGGAAAAGGGGGGGCGGTCAGTGGAAGAAGAGAACTCGTCGTTAACCTTTTCTTCGAGAACACCAAGCGAGACGTGATGATCTCAGGACGAGGGGAGACCACTACTATTGAGACAGGTGCCCACTTGTGCCCACTTCGACCAACACTCACCATCAATCAGGTTACCAGGGGAGCGAGATGATAGACGCGGTTGGGCAGAGACAAGGACAGGGGTGAACGAATTTCGTTTTCGCACGTGGCGTCGAGACTCTGGCATCAGCTCCACTTGTAGAGAACGGCCACCACTGCATGCAGTCTAGTGAGAAGCCCCCGAGTGCCGATCCCTCGACGGTGTTCGATTTCTTGGATAAGCACGTCAAACGGTCGTGGCTGCGTGGAAGGGCTCGTGGGGGAACGGGAATGATGGAGAGGAGAAGGAGAATCGGAGTATGTTAGTTGCTATTTCGTGCCAGGTAAGCGGAACTCTCGCAGCTCGTTCAATCAATCAATCAGATAGATCTCAGGTAGAACAAGTCAGGACCTTGGTTCATTTCATGGACGTCTGGTGCGCTAGAGCTCGTGGTATTCAAGCCCTTCAAAGAGCCCATCCATGCCCAAGCTGCCTAGCAAAACAACCCACGTCGGTGCTAGGCACTGTGTACCTAGATGATAGCACCCAGTAGCCAGGCTCGCTAAGCCTAGTGAGTCCGCTGGGGGGCACCGTCGAATCGTCGATAGCGACTCCAACGGGCCAAGCAGCCCTAACGTTTAACTAAAGCCATGGCCCATGAAGCCGGAGAAATTGCACCTGCCACGATGCCACACTGCCAACTCCCCTTTCGCCCATCCATTTCCAGCTCCGTTCAATTTGCGGCCCAGAATGCTCCGTGCTTCATAAACCCAAATGGAGCTCCCACTACCACCGACAGTCTGTCGCTTGCTGGCAGCAACGCTCATTCCACAGACCTACATACCCTCTCCTTGAAAGTCCAACTCGTCCAACTTCTACAGTCACTCCTTAAACTGCATCTTTGCTTCTCGGCCCAGGTTGCAACGCGTTCTTCCCGGCACACCCTCAATTAACCTTCGATTCTACTGCATGCTTGCAACGCTCCGCTTGTTTCAGAATTCGAAGAGCTTGCATTAGGGCCCTGCATCCCACAGAACCTCGGGGGAACTCAAGCGCATCACGATATCCCGCTCGCCTGCTCGATTTCGTGTTCAGAAGAAGCTCCGAAAAATCCGAGAAACTGCTCATCTGACGCAGTCAGCCGTTCATTGCCAGCACTGTTCATAAGACATCATTGGGCCCGCTGTCCGCAGTTGCCATCCTCAAAACCTTTCCCCGCTGGGAACCGACGTATCCGAACGAAAAGAGGTGTGAATATCAAGGCGCAAGCCTCCGAACGATCAAGGGCTGTTTCTTCACGGTTCACACACACCAAAAAAAAAGAACGTGCGCAAAGATTAGGCCTCTGAGCACCAGGCCAGCAGATTTCGAAAATAGAAAGAGGGGGCACCTTGTATATCAAAAACAAGGCCGTCACCGTAGATCAGCTTACACCAAGGCTCACGACTATTCAACGCTTTGTGCCTTCGAAAAGGACTACCGTCGCTCGACTTTCGCGGACGTGTTGGAAAAGCCATCCACGGAAAAAAATGGGTCTCTTCGACAAGCTACAATCAAGTAAGGGCACCATCTTCCCTTCATGCTACGACTCAACTGTTCCTCTGCGTGTGAATCTTAGACAGAATGGCTAACTGACCATCTTTGTAACAGAACTGGAGCTCTACCGCCTCGAGCAGAAATACGCGCGTCGCAAGAATCGGACGACATTCACAACGGGCGCAGTATACCAAGACGGCGAATACTTCTACACGGGCGCCGCCGACTCGAGAAGTCCGACCATGTCCACCAACTCGACCGGCAATTCGAACAACAGCTCTGAAAGCAACAAGAGGAGGACACAGATGTGGGTACCACCTGAGCAACGGAGATGATTGAACAGCAAGCGATCAGGGCCGGCAACTTCTTGTCGCCGACATAAGTGAGCTTTCTGCGGCGTTTGCTTCGTGTGAATACTTTTTGGTCTTGTGGTTGAGCATAGCAACGGCGTTGTCTTTAGGCTTTTCTCCGTCTCCGTGTCGATGTCCTGCCCTTTTATTTGTTCAATGGAAGTATGTGATTTCGAATGTCCGTGTTGGATGAGAAGCGGCAGCAAGGGTTACGATTGGAACTGGGGGGGGGGATTCGGAGAGGGGGAACGATTGATCTGGAACTAGACGCTAGAGAGGTCGGGTTAGCGATCGACGACCTCGACAACCGCGCGAGGAGCTTCTCCGTCAGGGGGCGATCGGCCATCCGGCAAAGGGTCAGTGTATCATAGCATGTGCGCACTGTGCGAGACGACTTTCTCGTCACAGCCAGCACGACAAGTAGAATAAGACGCAAGAAATGTATCTAAGATATAGATATACATTCACCCAAAGCTAATCCGCTCGCTCATCCGACGTATGCGTGCATGAGAGTGAAAATACGGATCTTCGAGGCTGTTTGCTACAGTACCGTGTATGAGTGGGCCGAATAACTGTCATCCGTCACTCACTCCATCCATCCATCCATGTGCGTCCCACGGCGCTTAACCCACGCGTCAAACCCACGCGATGAACCCAACTCGGTGACGATGGCATTGGCTCGCACGCGGCATGCATGACATGCAGCGACATGCAAGTAGTTGGCCCCCCCAACCTGAATGATTTTGCCCCTTGATCCTAAACTCCCCCGCCACGAGGCTGAGATGTCGGTACGAGTACGAGTACTCCGTGCTTGGTAGGCAGACGAGGCGGAGAGAATGGTACTCTGTACGGAGTCCATGTGATTAATCCCCCCCCCCCCCCCAATGAGGATCTCTGCCCTTCTTCTGACCTTCTTCCATTATTTATTCGTCTCTGCGCCTCCTTTACGCCCTATCTGATAACGCGTATCGCTTCTCAGTCTGGCAATCTAGCCCCCCCCTTTCCTCTGGGACATGGCTGTCCAAGTATGAAGAGTCGAGGGAATCAGAGCAGGGAAAGCCAAAGAAGAAAAGGGTGTCAACATCCTTTTTTGGAGGGGGGGAAAAGAGGAAAAATTCTCCATGTTGGCAACAGACACCTTTGCGCCTGTGATGACTTGCGCACGGCACCCTCCCTCCTATTGCCCTCCAAGAAATACCGTATACAAGTGCCAAATTCCATCCCGCTGGGCCATGCATGCATTCTTTTTCCATTCGCGGAAGCAAAAGGGTGGGAAGGTCGCGTCCCAAAAACGAAACAACTTCCCCAAAGGAGCGCGTCACTCAAACAGACATTCTTCCCCGGGTTGGACTGTGTGCGGTGCAAGTCCTTAGTAGCCAGACTGGAGAAGATTCTCACGGCCCCCAAAAGGTTTACTTCTTCTTCTCCCTGTCCTTGCTTCCCCCGGCCCTGGCGATCCCGCTGGCAAACTTCCCAAACCCCCCTGCGAGACTATGACCTCTCTTATGCGGTCCAGCTCGATCTTCGCCGATGCCCGCGGTTCGAGCTCCAGGGCCAGCAGCACCCGCTCCGCCAGGTCCGGTTACCGCCAACCCACTTCCCGCCTTGACCAGCCCGGAGCCGGTGCCAGTTGCGCTGATACCACTCAAAGGCCGTCCAGTGTGTAGTTTGTGCCCGGTTCTGAATGCATCGCCATCTGTTACTCCGCCAATACCGCCATCTCTTAGACTCGCACGACTCGACCGACCGACATCATCGACTGCGCTCGGGATTGCAGAACTAGGGGTTTCTGCGTCGAGGTCTCCCCGAAGAAGCCTCTCGTTCCGGCGTCTTGCACGTTCCTGAGTTTGTTTGAACTTGTCGAGAAGTTCAGGCCATCTGATCTCGTTTATGCCGATAGAGGCTGTGGCATCACGCGTTCGTGAGAGACGAGAAGTGACGGTGCTGTTTAGGGCGCCGCCGCTTGTGGGCGGCAGAGAGGACGACGTCATTCCGGAGACCACTCTAAAAAGGACGTGAAATCACGTTAGGTAAATGTTCACACACGTGAGAAAGAAGAGTGCGGGAATGGGAAGTGTTGAAGGAACAATGGTATAGATATAACGTACGATGGCCTCGCTGAAGTCGGCATCGAGGCCGGTGTGTGCAACAGCCCTATGGCAGAGACACTGTTGAGGCGATTTTTCAAAGCGCCGAAGGCGGAAGACTGGGGAAGTAACATCAAGAGACCGTAAAGGCATTTGTAAAGATAGGGATAGCGGTCGGGTTCGAGGAGTTGGAGCCGTAGATCTGTCGTTTCGCAAACATTCAGTCTCCACGCTCAACCAGAAGTAGTTGCGCAAAAGGGTATAGAGAACTTACAGGTGAAGACCGGGCTTTCGAGTAGCTGCACTAGCTTGTCGATCTGGATGAGCATGTTGACTGTCATCTCCAAATCCGCAAATATCTGTAGCAGATTGTAAGCCTGTTCATACGCTTGGGCCAACAGGCACAGCGAGAACGTAGCCACAGCGTTGTGACACCAAGCGCGAAACAGAGCCACAAAGAACATCTGTCCCTCCTTGCTGTCCGGGTTTCGAAGCCTTTTCCTCAGCTCGGCCAGTTCAGGCGCCGTGATGAGGTTGTTGTTGAGATTCTGAACCATGATGCTCGCGAACTCTATGTCTTCGTCCTTTTCGATGCAGTCTGCTAACGTCCTATAAATGCGCTCAGGTTGGAGGTTGATGCACAGTTGACGAATAATCAAGTTGCCACGGATCTCCAGCAGCTTGCGGTCTGTGGAAAAGAGCTGCAGCAAAGCCACCATGAAGGATTTAAAGTATCCATCTTCGCTGTTCTTGGAGATCTGGGAGAGAAGTTGCAGATCGCGCGTCACGACCGCTTCAGCTGGGTCGGAGAGCGTTTTGAGCAGGGCTGGAAAGGTTCCATCGTTGAAGGCGAGGACTTTCTTTGGCGCCTTTCTGTGAAGCATGATTAGCCAGCTCAAAGCCGCCACACGCGTCTCTTCGTGTTCGTTGAGGAATTGCAGCGTCAACGCATTCACTGCTGCCGCATAGTCGAGGTCAGCCATGGGTTGCGGTGACGGCGCTGCGGTAGAGCGGGGAGTGACCTCTGGGGGAGACTGCTCTATCTCAGATGAGACTTCTGGAGGTGTATCAGTCTTGGTCTCTGCTTGAGAAGGCACACTTTTGGTAGTCCCGCCGGATTGTCTTTTCTCAGACCCTTCTCCATCCCGCGTTGTTACACTGGTTAGGGTGCCGGATGCGTGTGCACTCTGGTCATCGGTCGACACCTCATCCTGGAAAGTGACAATGTAGTCCATCAGTGACCTGTTGACCTTGCTGGCAGTTGTTCTGACTTGCTCCGACTGCGCCGACAGGGCGGGCAGAACACGAGACAACAGGCGAGGCACAAACTGCAGAATCTCTTCTGGGCTAATCTCGAAGAAACTGTCAATCCATCGCAAGGCGACGATCCCGATCTCTTCTTCCTTTTGTTTTGACAACCCCTCAAGTCTTAACTGAGGCGCCGTCTCCTTACTGGACGAGACGTCGACAAACTTTAGCAGGATGTCAAGGATTTCTGCATAATCCACCTGTACGTCTTGTCCGGGTATCCAATCACCGTCGTGCTCCCCAAGTTCGTTGAGTTCGTCTTGGGCGGTCCCAGACTCTGAATCTTCGATGGCGTTCTCATTTGACTGACTGCCCCGAGCCGTGGCACTGCCCGTATCAGATCCAGGTCTCCGGTTGCCGGCTCGACTTCGGCGACTCTCAGCGATACTGCGCTTGATCTTTGCGATTTTCTTGATTTCGCTGAGAAAGCGCTCAAGAAGCCCCTGCGTAGCCACATACACGTCACGATTCGGATCTCCGAGGAATTTGAAGAGGCCGCCAAGAAAAGCTGGCAAGTAGTGTACAAGTTCCAAGTCCGGAATGGTATCAAGAAGCGTCAGCCATGAAACCAGAAAGGTGCGAGTAAATGGGTTGATAACGTGGATGCGCTCTTCAAGAAGGGGAATGAATTTTGCAAGGGAGAAAGTTGTGGGAAGATCGGCGCTGTCCTTGTCTGGCTCGAGTTGCTCGCCGTCTTCATTGAAATTGAGGACGGAGACGTAGGAGGCTGCAGACTCAGAAACAATATCCTTGATCAGACGGTCGAGGAGTTCGGCTCCGTTCTTCACCGAGAGCTCTGAGTCGGCGGCAAGCTGTTTGATACTGGGTTAGCAGCGATGAGAGCGGGAGGACGTCAAGCCATGCCTTGCATAATGCATCAAAGATGTCGTTGAAGAAAACCAGAATCTCTCCCTTGGCTACTTTGGCAATGTTGTACATGGCCTCGCAGGCATAATAGCGGACGCGGGCATCTTGATCGGTAAAGCACGCAAGAACCGGTGGGACAATATCAGACAGATAGCGCGCAACCTCATCCTGGAGACGGGTAGTTGTCAGTATGTGTCGCGCGACGCAAGACACTGGGGCCAGACATACAGAGCCCAGGGCGATCGAAGCAGCCGCTAGACCAATGAGTCCTCCATTGCGGGCGTGCGGAAGGTGCACGGCATAGGCATAGTCGTGACACAGCTGATCAATCGTCTTCCGGATCTTGTCGTATTCTTTGGCGGCACTGGCCTCTCTGATGAAGCGCTCGAGCCTGGTCAAGATCAGTTATGGCCACCAATGTCTCGATCAGCGGAGGGGCCATACTCGAGCGCCCCCTGCTTCCTTTTGTCGTAGAGCTTGTCATTAAGCAGACGTTGAACTGCGGGGTCCATGGCGGTCTATCGATTGAGCGACGCGGCTTTTCAAGACCATCATCGGATGTTCGGTATACGCCCAAAGTGGCCACAAGGTTTGGGGGATTAACGGTCCAATTTCAGAGGCAGCGATCAAAACTCTGATCCCAGGAGGACTGGCACACGCTGCTCAGCCGTTGACAGTTTTGCAGGGATGTTGGTTGGGCGAGAGTGAGAACTTCAGGGTTGATGAACAAACGCGTCGTTGTGCAGGTCCAGGGGTCCAGGCGAGATTCGAGGTTGGGATTCGAGATTCGCTGTCACCGTCACCGTCACCGTCACGACTCACTTTCCCTCTTTCCGCCACAGCGACTCGATTGGCCACAACACGACCGTACTATCCATCTACACATGTCCTTGCGACTTGTGCCTTACAGAGCTACTTTTCACCGGTTGGCGTGGGTTTGCATCGGCGCCATCTTTATTCGCCTGAGCTTCATTCATTACTACTGCCGCCTGTCCTTTTCAGAAAAGTCACGCAGGTCTCGACATTAATTCGTCCTGTCTATTGGGCACCTGTCTCTTCCGCAAAGGACCAAGCACAGAGTATAGTTTATCGATTAGGTTCTGACTTGATTTGCTCAAACATACTGCCTACTGTCCAGTGGGCCAATTGCTGATCATGGCACGCTTTCCTCGTTACCCCCCTAAACAAGGGAAATGGTGCTGCCTGACAGACACCTAGTTTCCCGCCAATCCATTCCGCTGTCCCAAAGTTGGCTCTAACGAGTCTGCAAAGCATTCTTAGTGACTGATGTACTGGAACACAGCACTCACGGCCTCTTCCGACGCCTCTTGTCGAAGCAAGAGGTCTTGGATCTTGCCGAGTGGTCCCTTCTCCCCGGAGTTGACGAAATGGTTCCAAGAGCTCGTGTCACCGTAAAGCATAGCTGGCGCCTTGATTTGTTGCGTGCCATCAGGCTTGCACCGTTTGCATTTAAACGTGTCATGGGTATCGCTCTTGGTATCCGGTTTGAACTGGAATAGCTCTCGAAGAGAGTCGAGGGTGAAATGTCGCTCGACATCTTCCGCCGAGTCTACCACTGTCGACGAAAGAGCCTGCTTGTGCGATTGGCGCTGGAAAATCTTTTCTTCGATTGTGCCTGTTCCCATGAACCTGTACACGAAGCAATCTTTCTTCTGACCATCACGCCACACCCGGGCAAGAGCCTGCTGGTCTGCAGCCGGATTCCAATCTGGATCGAACAGGACAAGACGATTGGCACCAATCAAGTTGATGCCACAGCCACCTGCCTTACTACTCAACAAAAAGACAAATTCTTCGCCGTTGGGATCGTTGAACTTGTCCACGAGTTTCTGTCGTTTGTTGACATTCATGGTGCCGTCAAGCCGAAGACATCCGTAACTGCGCGCACGGCAGAGCTTCTCAAAAACATCCAAAGTCTGAGTATAGTTGCTGATGAGCACGATTTTGTCGTTTGTGTCTTGCCGGATCCGAGCCAGCATACGCTCCAGGACGGCAAATTTGCCAGAGTGCCACGATTTGACATCGCGATCGCGACCCCGGGCTTCTTTGGGGACATAGTCATCAGGCCAAAACTTCTCACTTCCTGGAAGGTCTTTCTCAAGGTCCAAAAGATCGGGATGATTGCACAGCTTCTTGAGGATCCCAATTGCTTTCAGCGGTTGGCTCCCCTTGCCTCTTAACAAACTCTTGATGTCGGGACTTTGAATGAAGTGATTGTAGAGATCCCTCTGGAACGGCGCAAGATTGCAGAACACCACATGTTCATACTTGACAGGTAAGTATTTGGAGAGGATGTCGTTCGTTCTTCGAATAATGAATTTCTTGACCAGAGACCCCAACTCGGCATTGGCCTCTTCACCCTTTTGCTTGTCCGCGTCTGATCCCGCAGCATCGCGACCGCGAAGAATCGGCAGTTCAAACTTCTTCCGGAAGTCTGCCTTGGTCCCTAGGTAACCTGGGTTCGCAAAGTCCAGCAAGGCATAGTACTCAGTGAGATCATTCTGGATAGGTGTCCCTGACAGAATGACCCGTCGGTCGACATTCAGTCCGGTTAACGCCATATACGTCTCGCTTTCGGCGTTCTTCAAGCGGTGTCCTTCATCACACAGCATCAACCCGATCTTGACGTCCTTGAGCTCTTCGATATTCAACCTCAGAGATTCATAAGACACGATCAAGACGGGTCTCGCAATACCTCTGCCGGTGGCCATTGCCCATTGTTTCAGTTGCATCGTGAGCTCTTCTTTACTTGCCTTTCCATCAATGGCGAATGGGTGGATAGCGCCTTCACCAAGCCATTTGACAAGCTCATTTGCCCAGTTCTTGACCAAACTGGCGGGGCATGCAATGACACATTTCTGGATCGTGGATTTGCCAGCCTCCGAAGATTGCTTAAGTAATGTCCACATGAGAGTGATACATTGCAGAGTCTTTCCCAAGCCCATTTCATCAGCCATGATGCAGCCTTTAGCCTTCTCATCAACAAGACCTGTCGTGCACCTGTACAGAAATTTGACCCCTTCTACTTGATGCGGCCGCAGTACTTTGGCTAGCCTTGGATCGATGACCACGGGCACCTTGGGTCTCTCGCCTTCGACTTGTTTCTTGATACCAAGGATTTCCGCCAGGCTTTTGTGCATAAGAGGTGTGTCGAGCTTCGGTCTCTCTTCGTCCCTTTTATCTTGAGGCTTCTCCTCCGGCTTCTCATCTATCGTCGGGTCGTATAGAACGATTGCGAATTCTCCACTGGGGTCATGTAGAGGTTTGTTGACGAAACCATTACCTCGACGCATTCCCAGACTGGGCGCTGGTCGTGACGGGTCGAAAGCATTCTTGTTGATCAAAGGGATGGAGAATCGAGCCCGAAATGTCGACTCTTTGTCCTTGACCTTGAAGACTGGGAATCGGTCTTTGAGGGCTGCAGCATCTTCATCGAGTGTGAAACCACCACTGGTGTCTACCCCCCCACCGTCCACTTCAGCGTAATTGACTTTTCTTCTCTTTCTGGCTGGTTCGCCATTGGACTTGCGCGAGTTGGCTGAACCGGGACACTTGAAGGGTTTGATGAGACGGTCGAGGGCTGCTGGCGAATTGGCACTGAGTCTGCCAGCTTTTGTTGGTGGTATGTTTTCCTTGTCCTGCTCGAGCGAGATCGACTTGGTGCGTATCCTGTGGGAAAGGTTAGAACAAACATGCTATAGGACAGGACAAACATACATGGCTCCAGAGACAGAATACTGCAGAACAGTAGATCCCTAGGTTTCACTGAATTGGGCCTGTCAAGCATTTCATGATGTCTACAATAATAGTGGCAGTGGCCGCATGACGCCTGTACGCGTCGTTAGACGGACGCGTATTCACGTGCTTCCCTCGGCCATTGGCGCCTGCCCCAAGCAGCCCGCGAGCCGAAAGGGGTACATCTCCACAAGACTCAGCGCACACATTCTGCAAGATATAGACTGCTAGCCAAAAGCTCTGATACGTATTTCACTCCATATAATGTGTGAGCCTCAAGGCGAACGAAGTGTGGTATATTTACAGGTCCCGGTCAGCAAAACATGATATAACCCAGAGAGTCGTCCGCCATCCATTAAAAATACCTTTGTATCCCCTGCTCCGGTCAAAAGATGTCGGCCGACTTCTGGGCCAGCTATATCTCTGGAGCCTTAGGGATACTGGTGGGTAATCGCCTCGATGTGCTGAAGGTCGCCGCTCAAGCAGGCACTAGCGGTGTTCTTGCGGATTCGACTGTGCAGCCCGAGTCTGATCGCCAGCTTCGGCGGTTTACAGCGTTGTTCAGAGGAGCCGCTGCTCCCGTCTTGGGTTATGGTGCACTGAACTCGATATTGTTCATGACCTTCAACCGCTCCTTGAAGCTGATGGACCCAAGCATATTCGACTACACGAAGCTGGCTGGCGTGGACTTGAGCAAGATTTGGGCGGCAGGTGCGATCGGAGGGCTTGCTACCTTCGTCGTCTCTGCACCGTCAGAGCTCATCAAATGCAGAGCCCAACTGATTGTCGATGGACAAGGATCTTCATATGGGGTATTCAAGGAAATATGGAAGTATGGTGGGCTTCGAGGACTCTACTACGGAGGCACAATTACTGCTGTTCGAGATGCAGTGGGATACGGCTGGTATTTTTGGTCGTACGAGCTAAGTAAGCGACTGCTGCTTTCGAGACAAGCCGATCCGTTCACTTCTCCTACTGCTACGGAAGTTTTGATCAGTGGCGGCATTGCCGGGGTCATCACCTGGGTGTCCATCTATCCCCTGGATGTTATCAAGACCCGTCTTCAGACGCAGCCTTCCCCGACCGCAGAGTGCCAAAGACTTCTTCCTGGGGCCAGTGTGGCGGCTCACCAGGCAAAGACCACTTTTAGCATTGCTCGGGACATTTGGCAAACCTCCGGAATGAGCGGCTTCTATCGTGGTGTTGGCATCTGTAGTTTGAGGGCGTTCATTGTAAATGCAGTCCAGGTAGGCCGCGCCGGTATGATTTCATCGTCATTCCTACTAACCTTTCGATAGTGGTATGCATACGAAAGGATCATGGTCTTCTTAGGGGACCATCAATGATGGATCCAAGATATAGATCGAGGAAGCGAAGTGTGGTCTGGGAGGCCGACTTGAAATTCTTGTTCAGGCGGGGTGGCTCCTTCCAAAGTCGTGCCGTTGCTGTATCGCACATGCAAACTCGCGTTTGCATGTTTGCATGCGCCTAGTCCGTCAACAGGTCGTCCACGAGAGAAGACTCCCGAGTGATGTATGCTGCATGGAGCAACACAGTTCAGACCTCAATGCTCGACATCTTTCATGGCCTCGCTGTCCGGACCATCTTCCGAGGAGCGGGGGCGACGCTTGTCTGTTCCCAGGCCTACGGCTGCATCTGCAACTCTCTGGGTGTGTGCCTCTTCCTTGAGCATTCGAACACTATTCAAAGGTCAGGTCTCTCCACAGTGTCGAAAGATCGCAAATACCGTCTCTTATGGTTCTTCCCTCTTCTATGCTCGTTCAGGTTGTGGCTGTCTGAGAAATATTTGGCGCATTCGGTACAATAGAAGGCACCCAGCCCGGGCAGATCCTCGGCGGCCTTGAGGCCTTTGTGTTGAGCAAGATGTCTAGGTGATTTCAGATCGGCTTTGACTTGATCAAGATCGCTGTCATCTAAGGTTAGAAGGACATCTTTTGCTAGAGCGGCTGAACGGACCGGGTGCGACGTTTCGTCTTGATGCGTCTGATACTGCCCATGGTGTTTCCTGGGCCAATATCCGCAAGGCTTTCGGCTTGAGTCTTTGGCCGGCGAAAAATATCAGGTCATAGCGACGCAAGGCTGTTTTTGGGGCGCAAAGGGCGAATGGCAATGTTTGTGGGCCGATGATTTTTGGAAGGGGCCGGAACAATCTTCTGCGGCAAGAGCCTGCCCAACATTGTGGGTGCCAAGCCTCCGCCAGCAAAAGCGCGGGATGCCGACTGGGCCAAGGAAGCGGCATCTGCCGGGGCTCTTCCGGACTGGCTCATCCATCCAATCACTCCGCCCCTAAATCTTGGACACAGCATTGGACCTTATGTTGTCTTCTCCTGGGTTCTCCGCACCAGCCTGGAAGGCCTGGCATGCCTTGATCTTCCGGTCACCTCAAGTTGAGCTGCGCGGAGTCTGAACAGGGTGGTCAATCACGTTGAGGAGACCTTGCCGCCTGCTCTGGATCACATATGGAACTCTTCACACCGGATGGGAAAGAAAATGCTGCTATCTGGAAGGGGGGGTTGCGGGCATCTGGTGCGACGAGGTAATTACATCAGCCATGATTGGCTAGGTGGTCGGTCTGCAGGCCAGAAGAAAAATTGCAGGCTTGAGGCATTTGCTCGGAGCATGGGGTAGCGGTGGAGCTCATTGCCTAGGTAGGAGCTGCGGAATGCTTCAGGCGACTAATTGTTGTGCGGCCAAGGTCGGTCTGGTGGATGCATGCTATATATCCAGGGCTAGGATATTGTTGGAACTCTGGGAACCTTTTCAAGAAAAATATCTGCAGTTCATCGATCGTTGCGTAGATGAGGAGGAGAAGTGGTTGCTGCAGCCATTGACGTTTTCCGCAGTTGACGTCGTCCCAGGCTTATCGTGCTTTGCCCTCTTTGCCCGAGGCTGATTGGCGCTGCACCTTTGCACCCTAGGAGCTTGCAACAACTCCTCCCATTCCACATCTCCGTCCACACCTCACAGCTTCTTCAATTCTTTCCACCTCTCCACTCTCTCTTGTTCTTGTGTCCAGCTCTACCCCGAGCTTGGGATTCTACACCTTTTGCTAGAGATCCAGTGTTGCCGCCAACATGATGTCCTCGCGGCCTTTGGGCCGTCTGGCCTCCCGCCTGGTAAGTGGCCTGCTTGCATCATACCGTTGCTTTGTGATTGCGCAGTCGTCACAGTTGCTGCAAGAAGATTCAAATATCACTTTACTTGTTGCTCTTGCCGATGACCTGTAGCTGACATGTGTCTCGAAATCAGGGAGCCAATGTTGGTTCTGTTAGTTCTCTATCCACCTCGATCCGGAAGCACCAACAGCTCGCTAACAGTTCAAATCAGCCCTTGCGGATGTCAAGAATGGGTTATGCCACGGTCTCGGATGATCCGCTCAGCAAAAATAAGTCACACCTGGCACACTTGCTTCCGTCGAAATTCCTGACAGCCGGATACAGTTCGAAATGACGAACTGGGAGAAAGGCCATTACATCAACTACAAGTGAGTTTCTGACCTATTGAGCTCTGGTTTCCATGCTTCGAGCCTTCCACCGTTGGAAGTGGTTGCATGGAAACTCAACGTATAGGGATACGGCGGCGGTGCTGATACCCACTGCAGGAAGATGTCGGAAAACCTCGCGATCGTTCGCAGCAGACTCAACCGCCCTCTCACTTATGCTGAGAAAGTTCTCTATTCGCACTTGGATGACCCGCACGGACAAGACATCGAACGTGGGGTGTCCTACCTCAAACTCAGACCTGACCGAGTCGCCTGTCAAGATGCCACCGCCCAAATGGCCATTCTCCAATTCATGTCCGCAGGCATGCCCTCAGTTGCTACACCGACTACCGTCCATTGCGATCATTTGATTGAGGCCCAGGTTGGTGGAGACAAGGATTTGGAAAGAGCCAAAAACATCAACAAAGAGGTCTACGATTTCTTGTCCACTGCTTGTGCGAAGTACAACATCGGCTTCTGGCGTCCTGGCTCAGGCATTATCCATCAAATTATTTTAGAAAATTACGCATTTCCCGGTGGCTTGATGATTGGAACCGACTCCCATACCCCCAACGCTGGTGGTCTTGGTATGGCGGCGATTGGGGTTGGTGGAGCCGATGCAGTCGATGTTATGGCCAACCTGCCTTGGGAATTGAAAGCACCAAAGGTGATTGGTGTCAAGCTGACCGGTGAAATGTCTGGATGGACTTCTCCGAAGGGTGAGAAAGCTATGCTCAACTCATTCGCGTTGTGCTGATCTTGGGTATCAGATATCATCCTCAAGGTGGCAGGTATCTTGACGGTGAAGGGAGGTACAGGGTAAGTCCCATTCTCTCTGAGCTTCTGAATATACCGAGGGAGTCTGACATTTCTGCAGTGCGATTGTCGAATACCATGGTGAGTGTACTTTTGATGCATTGCCGACTTGATACTCCGGCGAGGCTGTGTTTACCCCTTACCTGGTGGCTCCTTCCCCATCACGTCCTCTACCCTCCTTCCTCCCAACTTCCTCGACGGACCCACCCGACTGAATACAAGTGGCACGTGTCTGAGACGGGGTACACTCTACATCCAATATGGCCGGAATACTCGACAACGACGAAGTGACTCCCCTGTCAAATACAGCCAACAATACCGATAAACAACGGAGCACCGCTATTCGAAGTTCAACGGAATGCTCCTCACAGACGACGATCGCCTCCGGCTTAACAGGGAACGACTTCCGGCATGCCACCTGCTCTCGATTCCGTTTACCAGCCTTATTGGATATTTTTTGAAAGCAATATACTGTGTGATATTATGCTAATCTCTTTTTCCAAAGGCCCCGGTACCAACGCTCTCTCCTGCACCGGCATGGGCACCATCGTAAGTACCAGATACCATATTTGCATACCGGTTTGCAATGCTGACCATGTCCAGTGCAACATGGGTGCCGAGATCGGAGCAACCACCTCACTATTCCCTTTCAACGACCGCATGTATGATTACTTGGTTGCCACGAAACGCAAGCATATTGGCGACTTTGCTCGTGCCTACGCTGCTGAGCTCCACGAAGACGAAGGTGCCGAGTACGACCAACTGATTGAAATCAACCTCTCCGAACTTGAGCCTCACATCAACGGTCCATTCACCCCAGATTTGGCGACTCCCATCTCCAAGTTCTCACAGGCAGTCAAGGACAACAAATGGCCTGAGGAGTTGAAGGTCGGACTGATCGGCTCCTGCACGAACTCTTCATATGGTAATTTTCCCTTCTCCAGAAGGCTATTCACCCGTGGAGATGCCGCTGTTCTTCTCTCATTACTAGTAAAAGCTAACTGATGGTCACAGAGGACATGAGCCGCGCTGCATCGATCGCTCAGGATGCTATGGACCATGGCATCAAGGCCAAGGCACTGGTACGTGCTATCTACCCCATGTCATGAGCCTTCCCTGTGATGGTGATCCCGTTTACTGACAATATAAAGTTCACTGTCACCCCTGGTTCCGAGCAAATCCGCGCCACAATCGAGCGAGACGGTCAGCTCAAGACCCTTGAGGACTTCGGAGGCCTTATCCTCGCCAACGCCTGTGGCCCTTGCATTGGTCAATGGGATCGAAAGGATGTAAAGAAGGGCGAGCCCAACTCTATCATCTCGTCGTACAACCGAAACTTCACTGGCCGCAATGACGCAAACCCAGCTACCCACTCATTCGTCACGTCTCCAGATTTGGTCGTGGCAATGACCATCGCAGGAAATCTCAACTTCAACCCTCTCACGGATACACTGAAGGACAAGGACGGCAACGACTTTAAGCTCAAGCCGCCAACTGGTGAGGGTCTGCCTCGAAATGGATACGACCCAGGCCGTGATACATATCAAGCCCCGCCTGAGGAGCGTGCGCAAGTGGACGTGAAGGTGTCTCCGACGTCAGACCGTCTTCAAATCTTGGAACCTTTCCAGCCCTGGGACGGCAAGGATTTCGTTGATCTTCCCATTTTGATCAAGACCAAGGGCAAGACCACCACCGATCATATCTCGATGGCCGGTCCTTGGCTCAAGTATCGTGGTCACCTCGACAACATCTCCAACAACATGCTGATTGGTGCCATCAACGCTGCGAACGGCGAAGCCAACAAGGTCAAGAACTTCAAGACAGGCGAGTGGGATGCGGTTCCCGCAACTGCTCGCCAGTATAAGAAGGATGGCATCAAATGGGTCGTCGTTGGGGATTGGAATTACGGCGAGGGCTCCTCTCGAGAACATGCTGCTCTTGAACCCAGACACCTGGGAGGTATTGCCATCATTACCCGAAGCTTCGCTCGTATCCACGAGACCAACTTGAAGAAGCAGGGTATGCTGCCCCTGACCTTCGCTAATCCCGAGGATTACGACAAGATCAACCCTGACGACAAGATCGACTTGTTGGTGTCTGACTTGGCGCCCGGCAAGCCTGTGATCATGAAGGTACACCCCAAGGATGGCAAGACATGGGACTGCGAGCTGCAACACACATTCAATGCCGGCCAGATTGAGTGGTTCAAGAACGGAAGTGCCCTGAACACCATGGCCAAGATGCACGGCCACCGCTAAATCACAACGGATCGAGTTCGTCTCGGGTCAACGCGAAACTATTGTACAGGATGCAAATCAAACGGGGATGGATCGGCGCAGACAACTGCGACGGTTCAAGAAACCTCTCAGATAATCGAGACTGGAGACGGAAAGTCGAGCAAGTAGAGGTCAGATATCAACAGCCTGAAGGGGGGATTAGTATGGCGGCAGATTGGGAGCATGATGTTATGTACTTTTCGTAGCGGAAATACCAACGCGCACCAGTTTTTAAAAGTCATAGGCGCCTCCTGTTTCCTTCCACTTACACTGGATTATATTCATTGCGGACTTGGATACGAGGTTATGGATGTATTCTACACGTATCTTGGTGGGCAGTGGACGCCGCAAGGCTGCGTGTTGATGTCACCGACCAAAGGGCGGCAGGCGTCATCAGCCGCGTGAACCTCGGCATGTGGGAAACAACCGATTCACAATTACAGACGAGGGATTGCGATATGCGCTGTATCTTCTGTCACTGGTTGCATATATAGGACGAACCCCTGCTCTCGGTTCTTAGCTGTCTTTTCTAATAAAGGGCCCTTGATCCACGGTCTCCGTCTTTCCGGTGAACTTGTGTGCATGAAGGAGATCGAATTCACAGTGTCAGATGGCGTGAATACGTATCTCCAGAACAGACAACAACTTCAGCATTCCCTGCAGAGCCGTCAATCACATCTCTCGGCATTCTAATTACTCTGTTGACTCCTCTACCGAGCAACCGCCAGACATATATATCCGAATACGTTGAGCCACTGAATCAGCCAGCCTTCTGTCCGACCTTCTTCGCAGCATTTCCAACCCAGAAAGTCGACTGCCACACGGTCTCTTTCCACCCGGCAGCGAGAAATTTCCAACCCAACACAGTTATATGCACAGACTTCCCACCGGACTGAGACTCCTTCACAACACCAGTCCTGCTTCTCGAGGCCCAAGACGCGTAATGGCACAAACCTTACCGAAACTCCCAGACTGGGAGCAGATCAGCACGAATATTGTTCGCATCCTGGGCGGGAATCCTAGCAAGGTCAGTTAGTGCATCCCGCTTTCCCTGTCTCATTTCGCCGCTGTGTCTACGGGTCCTCGTCTGACCTCCAGCCCTCTTGCGGAGAGATGATGTTGTGCCTGCAATCTGTGCTGGGCATAGGAGATACAGAGAAGGAGGAAGGGGGGACGACTTCCCTATGTGATCCGAGCCCTTCTCCAGCCAATGCTGACCGTCTTCTAAAATAGTTCACGCTCCAAGGCACGAATACTTATCTACTCGGCAACGGGCCCCGGCGCATACTGATCGACACAGGGGCGGGGGAGAAGAAGTGGATCGATACGTTACGCACCGTGTTGACCTCGCAAGGCAAACCCATCACTGTGTCAACATGCTTGTTGACGCACTGGCACCACGATCACCTGGGTGGAGTGACTGACCTGGAAAAGCTGTGCGAGGAACTCAACCAACCTGGAGGAGGTGAGGTCAAGGTCTACAAGAACCAACCTACGTGGAACCCGGACGGACTGATCGACCCTTCGCGCGTGCATAACATTGAGGATGGCCAGACTTTCTCGATCCCTCTCTCAGAAGACCCTTCGGCGCCGTCCCTGGAGATCCAAGCCATCCACACCCCGGGCCACGCCAAGGACCACATGGTCTTCCAGATTACCTCGTCGCCGGACCCGGCGGAAGTCGGGGCGCTGTTCACGGCGGACAACGTCCTGGGCCACGGCACAGCCGTGTTTGAAGATCTGCACCTGTACCTGCAGAGCTTGGACCTGATGAAGAAACGGGTGTCGGACGCGGTCGCCGCGCAGCAGCAACAAGAAGGTCGGGGAGGAGGCGAGGGCTCCAAGAGGGCCTTCCCGGGCCACGGGGCTGTGATCCAAGACGCCGTCACCAAGATCGACGAGTACATCGCGCACCGGCGCATGCGCGAGGAGGAAGCCCTGAACGTGCTGAAGCACGGCACCACGACACCACCAAACAGCTCGGAGCCACTCGTGCACGACAGCATCACCCGGGTCGGCGATGGTGAGGACGAGGCCGTCATCGGTGGCGGAGAGACCGTGCTGGGCAAGGAGTGGGAGAGCATCGAGATGGTCAAGGTCATCTACCGCCACTACCCGGAGAACCTCTGGCAGCCCGCCGAGAACGGCCTGTTGATGGTGCTGGAGAAGCTGAGGCGGGACGGCAAGGTCGTCAAGACCAAGGAGGCGAGGTGGAGGGTGAGTGAGAAGGCGATCCTCTGAACCGATGTCCTTTACCGTCCTTGTTGTAAGAAGAAGAGCGAGCAGCAGTGACGCGTGCCAGATAGGTAGCCAGGCTGGTTGATGAGAAGGGTCACAAAGCCCAAGTGACCAGACCCGCCTGCACATGGATGACAATAGTTTAGACAGAGGGGCTTCTGATCCCATTAGAATCGATGCATTTATTATTGGATAAACTGTACAAGCTCCCCTCCCTCTTTCCGGGTCCAGGAACAGAGTACGGGGGGAAGGAAAAGGCAGTTTCTTTTTGTCTTTGTCTATATCAACCCTTTCTGTCTCAGGAACTCCATCAGACCCGTGCCCACGCCTTCTGGGCTCGGCCTGGCGGCACACACGTCCGGGTCGAAGCCGTACTTGTCCCGGAGATGGTCGCGCGTCGTGGGACCGATGGTGACGATAACGTACCTCTGCGCCGGCGTGGCGGTCGCATCGTGGTCCTCGACTCGGTCCGCCCACCGGTTCCGCGCGCGGTCCGTCAGCGCCCGACCCTGGTCGATGTAGTCGAGCGATCGCAGCATCGCCTCACAGCCCTGCGGACTGAACACGACCACGACGACCACGAGGCCGTTTGCCCCGCCCTCCTCCTTGGAGGAGGCCGGCGCCGCGGCGGCGGTGGCGATCCGCCTCCGAAAGTCGTCTTGGAACGACTCCATCACCACGGTGGTGTAGACCTCGAGCTCGTCGACGGGGATCCGCTCCTCCGGGGCCAGGCGGCCTTCCCTGTCTGCCAGGGTCTTGGGGATGACGTCTCTCCTCTGCTCGCCGACGAGGAAGAGGAGGGGCTTCTTCCGCAGCCTCGCGTCGTCCCGGCCCATCCTCTGCCCCGGCGTGGGTCCCATCACCGGCGTGAAGGGCAGTCGCGGCGCGTCGTAGAAGGTGTACAGGCGCCGCGCGTGCAGGCCGTTGTAGTGCGTCAGGATGTACTGGGCCAGCTTGTCGCCGGTGCCGGTGTGTGCACCCAGCACGGCGGGGCGCAGGCGCGAGAACGGCGAGGAGGACGGCGCGAGCGCCGCGGACTCGGCGACCAGAGTGTTCAGCGCCCGCGAGGTGGCCGGCCCGACCGTGTAGAGGGGGAATGCAAAGTCGTCGTCCAAGAGAGGCCCCGCGGCGGGGGGACTCGTGCCGTCGACGTCGTGGTCTGTCGTGGTGTTGGATGTGCGCGTCACACCTGTCAGAGGGGGGTCACACAACAACCCCCCCTACGAGTCAATTCTTCCCTCGGTAACGCCCCCAGGGAAAAAGGCCAGAACTAAGGACACGGGAGGAGAAGGAACAGGCCAGACCATACCGAGACCCAAATCCGGACGTGACGCACTCACGCCTCCTTGTTGTTCGTCATCCTCCCCCCCTGGTTGTCGTCGCTCGGCACCCCGCTCGACTCGCTTGACCACGTCGGCCCAAGCCTCGACCGCCCGCTGGCTCGTGAAGATCATCCCGCCGTAGCGCTCGCTCAGCCTCCCCCTCTTCAGCAGCTCCTCCAGCACCCCCAGGTTCTCGGTGTTGGCCCGGTGGTCTAGAACGGGGACGAACTCGGGCACGAAGACGGGATGGGGAGGATCCGTGCTCTGAGCGGTGGTGGTGGTGATGATAGTGGCGCTGCAGGAGGCGGCGAAGTACTCCTCGTATGCGTCATGCGGTTGAGATCGCGTCTTGAGGAGGAGCACGGGGATGGTAGGTGGGGGGGCCATGTTCGTTCGCAGGAGGCGAGCCGGAAGACACGCGCCGGGCTCTCTCTGAGACGGGGATTAATGCAGGGAGGGTTGTCTACAGCGTGACAGTGAGACGGAGACGGGGATGGAAACATGAGCCCGCTGAATACGGCTGCGCGGAGAACCAGTTCAGGCTGAGGGTGGTGGACGGTCGAGGTGCGAAAAAGTCATCACTTATTTCCGAACTCGAGAGGGTCAATGTAAAACGGCTTCTGCGCCAGCAGCAGACACATGATTCCATATAGTCAGCCATAGTGGCGGGTGCTGACTCGCAGATCAAACTTACGCTGCAAGCTCGAAACATCCTCGCCTGAAGCATTTCTGCAATTGAAATCAAATCACGCGCCCCCGTAGGTGGCTGAGCTGCGGATGAACTATCGTGGGAACCAAGGCCGCAGCCTTGCAAGGCTGTCTCCAAAGAATCGGCAACATTGCCGCATCGTACTAACTAGAATGATGCTGGCGGACAGAATGCTTGTATCAAGTGATTAGCTCTTTCTTCTTGCTTCCCCTACACAAAAGGACAAGCCGATCAAACGTCCATCCCCAGCCAACCGCTTTCTCTCGCCTTGACCCGTTTCCGCGCTGAGACCGGTCAATGTTTTCGGCACACACCACACCTACGAAGCAGCCCGTCTCACATCCCAAATGTTTGTTCCCTTTCCCGGTTACTGCTACTACTCCCCATTCGACAGTCGAAACTCGCAACACAAATCCCCCCCCAAAAATCCCTTCCGCACTCGTGAGCCTTGTGTGAGCGGTTCCAGAGGCTTGCGCGGGGAAAATGACCTGCTCTGTACGAGTCGTGGAAGACACGTTATCAGGCTGCAGGCAGCCTTGCGGTTCCGCCGGTTCTCCCACTCCCCATAACAATGTCTAGGGATTTCCCAAAAATGCCTCAACGACGGCGTTGGCAAACAGACGCATGTCACTCCCGACTCGTTGTATCTCAATGCGTCGCTCTTAGACACAAGGCAGATGGGTACGTTCCCAGTAATCCGTCGCGCTGGCGACTCAGGCACAGGTTTCATGGCTCTGAATGCGGCCACAAACGCAGAGCACAGTACTCCACAGATTCGAGAGGCGGAGGGACACCCTCGCTGCCCACAAAAGGAGACTTCCAGCTGCAGACCGACCATGGAGACTTGCTCTGGTGACGTTGTTGTTGTTGACTCCCAGGGATACAATCTTTTGTTGGTGGGACAGGCTAACAGAAACTGGCGACTCACTGGTCTTGACGATGTCCAAAACCTCGTACAGCCGGTTGACATTGACAGGTGGCACAGCAGTAGCAGCAGTAGCAGCAGCAGCAGCAGGTAGGCAGCCTTTCCACAGTGGGGGCACGGAGATGGAACAATTCTTTGAACAGTCTTCCAACTTCGGCAGAGCTTCAAGTCGCACATCCGAACAGCTCGACCAGTAGGAGAAAGCGGGAATGGCTTCCAGCGAAAGTTTGTGAGCCACAGGAGTTCCCGATCTGGACACGGGCCCTAGGGTCAGGTGGTGGTGGGATAGAAGGAATTGGCGGTGGAAGACGAGGACCAGACAACGGTGCCATGGCGACCTTGATATCACTTGCAACGAGTTGAAAAAGCTGCCGTCAACCGCTGTGTATTTGGATCGCTGCTCTGGAAAGGGGGCCGCTCAGAAGCATCGGTCTCGTATTTGTTTGTCTCGTCATGCATGTCTTAATTTAGTGTCCGAGGTAGCAAACATCCTGCGTCCTGGATCAGCACGCATTCTGCCCAATGTCCAGTCAGTCCAGACAGGCTGGAAAAGAAGTCCATTGAAAAACCTTGATTCAAGGTTTGTCGATTGCCTTGAGTGGCTGAGCGGTCTGTGACACGGCAGCTGTCATATTGGCCTTGAGAGAGGTCGGCCACCCATCCATTGGAGAGAGACTGTCACCGACCAGAGGCTTTCCTGGGACCCTGGCTGACATCGGAAAGTATATCTGACCAACAGTCACCGTACCCAACCCTCCTGATCTGGAGCTGGGGCCAGCGCATGAAACAGGACAGGACTTGGGTGTTTGCTGCAGGCCGGCGTTTCAAATGGGCTGATGTCAGTGCCCTCGTCGCCGTGAATTGAAATTTTGGTACATGCACTTGGGAGCATTGGGCATTCCTAACAGGCCTGGAACACTGCTGGCCCCATGCAGCAAGGCGACGCATGGGGAAATATGCGGCATGACGGACGTCGTCCGGTTTGGCGTTGCCAGAGTTCCACACATTAACCAGCCACGAGGAGCCCTTGCTCAAGGCGGTAACACGCATACATGTCAAACTGGCATATTTGACTTCAGGCTTGACGAAGCCGTAGCGGGACGAATCCATCAACCTTTGTCCTGACGCGACCCAAGGTCCGAATTTGAAAATCATCTTGGCCAGATGCCCAACTGCGAAGCCCGAGCGTGATGGAATACTGAGTCGAACCGCAGGTGGGGATCAAGCCGCTGTTTGCTCTCTTCTCGCGTCTAGACTCTAGACAGGCTCTGGCGCTCAGCTGCTGCAATATATATCATGCGCTCAAGAAACTTCACGCCGTCCAGCCTGTGACACTCGCTCGCTGTGCTCACAGACTCGTACCATCTTGCACATATATTTCGGGCTCCCTCTACCTCCTCTTTTCCCTCACCGCCAGAATGCCTCAGAGACAACCGGTAGGACCAAGGGCCCCCAAGGATGACTTCATGCGGGCTCTGGGCTTAAGCACCACCGATCCTCGCCACGAGGGATACTACCGGGCTATGAGAGTATGTTGGAACTGAACGCCGGGAAACACACTCTACACCATGGCGTCCGCGGGCTGATCAAGGCGAACAGGACGAAGCCATTGCCGTGTACAGCAAACTGAACTCGGATCGAACAAGTCTGATAGACGAGAAACGAAACGACTCATCTACAACGCCCCCCTTCTTCTGGCACCACATCCGCCTTGACCGTCGTCGGCAAGCAATCATCGACACCTGGCAACAGGCGAAACCCGGCACGATTCAACGCACGCTCTTCGATCAAGGCGCAACAACGGGCGAGCACGCTCCAAACTGGGTGACCCTGTGGCTTCTGTACAGTGTCTTTCGCTCGCGGGATATTCGCAACAACCGCAATCGTCGAGCTGGTGAAGGAGGTAGTACCGGAGGTAAGGACAGTTCTGCTTCCCGTTCGCGGATTCGACGCTGAGTTATTGGGCCATGATACAGGTCAGAGTTCGGGTTCCAACGATTCGCAAATATTCGATCCGGCCCGAGACAAATATGTGCGGCGCTGATGAGGACCAAGTGGCGGGAAGACCTTGTAATTCTGTATGACTCCTTGTTTGATTCCATGGCAGGCTGCTGGGCAGATATTAATGGCGTTTTAATCGTCGTCGTCTTCATCGTCATCGTTCTTTTTCGACTTGCTCTTGGTCCCGTTTTTGCGCTCTTCTCTCAATGCTTTGACGACTGCTTCGTCATGTTCGTCCTTTGTTTCGTCCCATTCCACGTCATATTCAGAAGCCACCGCCTTGATTTCCCTTCTGAGAGCGTTGGCCTCTTCGATCAGCGCCTCCCACTTGTTGGGATCGAACCCTTTGAGCTCATACAAACGACTCTGCCGACGACTGATGGTGAGGTTCATCGCTGAACGGTATGACACCTCGCGGTTATGGTACAAGAACCACATGTACCCGCCGATGATACTTCCCATTCCGACAAGGTAGGTCACGGGCTCCATCACATCCCATCCGAGATCCGTTTCGAACGTCAAACGGTATACCAAGTACCAGTATCCTATCAGGACCCCACATCCGCCGAGGGCAATCCTCTGTCCGCTCTTGTGGGCGGCCACATCACACTCATGCTTGACAGCAGCCAAGTCGGCAATCCTCCTGGAAATCCGGCGAAGCCTTTGTCGCAGATAGAAAGTCCTGTCGTTGAAGGACGGCACTGCCACTTTGATGGTTCTCGGGTTGCCCTCGATTTCGACCTCAAACTCTTTCGCTCTGGCCGCGTCCCTGATGAAATCACCAATCTCTGTGGAGGCACTCCATCGTACAAACTCGCCCGAATCCTCGCCCTTCCCTTCTCTGCCAGCTCCGCTATAGCTCTGAACACCCCCGTCCCCAAGTGAGCCCTTACGTTGATCCTGTTCTTGCTCCTCTGGCGTCTTGTTTTTGGGCATGATCTCATCGCCCTCAGCCTCCATGGCGCGGAAGGATATGGACGGTAAACGATCGTCGCCCTTTTCGGTCTTGACTCGGGGCAGTTCCGCCTGGATCAACCTTTCGAGGTAAGACAGCGGTTGCTGTGGGTGGACAAGGAGAGCCAGGGGAGCGATGTTTTTCCTGTCATCATTGTGATCGGATGTGGTCAAGGGCAGAACAAGTTTGAGCAGTCGTGACGGGGTGGTGAGCAGCTTCCCTAGGGTCTAGTTTAGTGAGAGCTCTTCTGGCAGTGACCGCTGAGCACGACGTACCTTTGGTCATGGCCCCAGCGGAGCGCTGTCTTCGCACAGGAGGCTCTTCCGCTCCCTGACGATGCCATGGTGTACGTTGTTGCTTCTCCCCGTCGTTGGCCAAAGCATTGTCGAAGTCTGCAAGGGCATCATCGACTCCCTGCTGATTGAGATCTTTTGCCTTCTGTTCGTTGGAGACGCCTCTGCGGCCGTATGGAGTGAAGGTAGGCGCGCCCAAGGACGGCAGTGTACGGGAGCTGAGATATTGGCCTCGATTTAGTACCGCCAGTCGAATACTGGATGCGCGATAGGCATGGGTCAATGGTTTAACCGGGCCGAGTCGCCTAAGACTCAACGCGACCCGCATTGTCGGCGGCGTCTCTTAACGGCTATAAAACTCCTCGAAGCAACGTCGGCATAGTGTCGGTCCTCTAAGGTGTCTCCCCCAATTTGTTCTTGTATAGACCAAAACGCGTGGAGTGTGTTGGTAAGGAAGAAACAGGGACAAACGCAGGCTCATGATTTCAAGGATCGCAGCATGTTGATCAACAGGGAAAACAGCCGGCGACGTCATGCCTGGTGAATTGGTGTCAGCCACCGTGGCCATCGCCGGAACCAGTTCTGACCCAATCGCCTGCCAGGCCCCTCGGTACCAGCTTTAGAGGCTCTTTAGGTGACCGTTTAGTGGTGGCCAAGGCTTGGGCAGTCTCGACAGGGATCTTCATATCAGAGGTACCTGGAGGGGCACCGAGTAGAGACGGTCTCCCGACTTGACTATATGACACTCCTCGGGACTGCCATTACTGTGCTTCTTGATCTATCCAACAGATCTGCCAATGTCCCTGTCTGCATTGAAGAGTCTTGACATGATATTGGTTCCCATACCATGAGCAGCTGAGCGCTGGACGGCTCATGTAGACCCGAGGCACTTCTCAATTTTTTCTCACATCTTCCTTTGGTAGACATTGTCTCTTCTGCAATCCAGCCCACTTTGAGATGATATTTACGAGGTTCTTACAGATCTCTGGCTCTGACGAGTACTGACGAGAGCTTATTGGGAAAAGAGAAGGGCTGAACCGGGGTTGAACCTGGCCGAGACGCTGGCTGGCCTTGAACGACACCGTCCAGATCGTCGCTTTCTCCCCTGACTGCATGTGCGTCGAGCCCGCCATCCAAAGCATCCAGGACTACAGCAGCGGAGTGGGTCTCTAGGTGAAGAAGACGGCCAAGACAAACATGCTAGCAACATATACGAGTGGGCAGCTTCGTGAACGAACATGGCGGTGAGGCTTGATGTCTTGCATCCACCTCCTGTACCTAACACGCTAGGTTGCTACAGTGCGAGAACCGTTGAATATCGAACCACCCAGCTTTGGCGCCAAGTTCCTTCGTATCGAGAACTACTGCCTGGCACACTTTGTATCCGTGCCTAAGTCAACCTGACGGCCGCTCTTTGGTGTGCTTGGTCGGCTCTCTCCCACCTTCATCCTGGCTTATTCTCCTCTTTTATTCTTTCCGCCGCTCCTGAAGAGTCGGCCATGTGCTTCGCTACGAAAGCACGTCCCGGCGGTCGACCGAGAACAGACGGAACCAGTTACCCAGAGGAGATTACATCCAGTGCCATTTTTTGTGACGGTCAAGAAAGGAAAGAGTCATCATTTTTGCTGTTCTAAATTCTAGCAAGAAGAGCATTCACACATCCTTCCGGGCGAAACAGTTTGGTCAAGGAGACGTTTCTCAAAAGCTCACCACCTGCTCTCCAAGCCGCTATGGTTCAAAGGAAATAAAAAAGGCTCAGAGAACCACACAGTTGCCTGCTAAATTCTTTATCTAACCACGGCCAACCGTCACAGAAGATGCGTAGTCGTGTCATCGTGAATCATGAATAAAAGGAAAGATTGCCCCCCATAAAGGTCATGGTTTCGTGAGTCGTAAGGTTCGTACACAGGCATTGGAAACGAGTCGATTCCAGGATATTATCCGAGCGATAGGGCATGGTGAACTTTTCAGGGTTGTCCGCTGAGGCCTAGTAGCGTGGCACGGCTCGTCTGCTGTATTGGCCAGCGTCCGAGGAGTAGACGACTCGGCGAGATGGAGACGAGCGCATCGGGCTCGAGAGGCGAGACTCGCCCCAATCAGGGCTGCTTCCTCCACTTCGACTTCCAGCGCTATCAGAATCGCCATAACGGTACTCCATTCGAGTGGTGTCGGCACCGCTCCTGCGGCTGTGACGACCAGAGCCAACGGGCACGGGATTGCCCTGTATCACACCTCCATGGGCAAATCCAGTCGGGTACATGCCATCGTTGGCGGAGAAGTTTCGGCAAATGTTGAAGGCAATCAATGCAGCATTTTCTTTCGCCGAGCTCTCCGAGGCATGATACGTAGGAGTCTGATATTCACGGTTGTTCACTCTGACAACGCATCGGTACCCAGAGGGACTATAGGATATTTGGTAAGCAGGCTCGGGCCATCGCCGGCGCTGACATAGACCTGAGGAAGAGGCGTCAGTGTCTGAGACCAGAAGAGAGTGGCAAACTTCGAGGAAAGACGGGGATTTCAAGTAGTCCAAGACCGAAGGGAAAAACATCCAGGAGAGTTTCCACCGGTCGTGCGTTGGGACACATCTGCAAGGCTGGCTGACCCCTGAGAGACCAATATAGCGTGGAGGGAACATCAAGACGACAACATGACGAGGCCCTCAAGCCAGGAACAACAAGTGCAGGCCAGGAGTCGCAGCCAAACTGAAAGAACGAGATGTTGAATGAGACATACTGGCCAGGTAGACGGTGTGTAGCATGTCTGCTTCAATTTGAGGTTGCTTTCAGTACCTTGGAAGCCCAACAAGCCGTGCATCCAATTGTTGAACGAGAAGAAGAGGGAGAAAAACAAGAATCCCACCAAACAGGTCAAGCTGTTGACAACAAACAAGAAACTTATCAACCAGTATCACCGCTCGTCAAATGTCGCCAGGCTTGAAGGCACGGCGGATTTCGTAGGGCAAAAGGTAGTCAGGTAGCAGCAAAAATTGATGGCATCGACATTGCTGGGCCTTTTTACAGGTGAACCGTGGCGGCATTCCCACATATTTCATGCTTTGGATAACAGGAGAAACCCTGCACTGACAGCAAAGCAAGCGCGAAGACAGCGGCATTGCGTGGGGCCTGCAGAAAGATTCCACAGTGGCCAAACGGTCTTGAGTGAGCGGCTGGGTATTGGTCCATCTCGGGAGGATAGCATTTTTCATGCTCTTCTGCCATCGTAATGTGTTGATGTGTTGGCATGCTCTGCAGCCAGTTAACGGAACCTTGATGTCGGGCCCATTCTTAGCATGATTCCTCTTTGTCGGGGGCTGCTGCAGATCCAGATACCGGGCCTGATTGGCGACCAGCTTCCTTGACGATTCCCCGCGCACTCCGTCGAATGAGAAAGTGGCCCATGTGCCAGAGCTACTCGTGGCTTGTCGTCGCCGTTCGGCTCTGACTTGCTTCTCCGCTTATATGCGTGACCGGTGAGGCTTGCAGAGCGACATCTGTTGGGAGCCGACCTGGATCCGGGGAGGAGATCTTTTCTTCTGGGCCTCGACCAAAGATCTTCCATTGACGCAATCAGCCGTTATGCAGAGACAGCTGGCAGGTGGGGAATGGTGTTCTGACGATGCAGGGCCTTAAATCTCGGCTGGGTCGTCTGGCCGCCGTACTAAAAGCCACAAGAAATTCATCCATGAAACTCTCCAAGAAGGGGAGTAGATATATCTCCTTGATAGGCAGGTTAGGCGCCGAGAGAAGAGGAAGAGACAGACTCGTAGGGGAAATATACCTCAGTGCTAACGAGTCGAAACTTTGACGTGCATCATATCATTATTAGGCCAACATGTTCAAAAACAATCCACCTCGCCCACCATCTCGCTCTTACGGTCTTCCCAATGTTGCGTTCTGGTTCAACTTGATAGCGAACAAGGTTAGGCAGGTCGACGAAAGCGTGTGCTGCAGTGGATCACAGACCGCACTCGACTCGTAGAGCTCCGATGCATGGATGCGTTGTCATATCAAATGCAGGTTTCCAGGTACTTGGGGCAGGGTTGCTGTCGGGCAAACTCGCATCAGACTTCGATGTCATGTCTCATCGCCGTCTATGCGGACGACCTGGAAATCGAGCAAATGTGCCAGCCTCTCATTTCCTGGCTGGGGCGAGCGATAAATTAAGAAAACTCAACGGATTCTTGGATGTTGTTGACAGGCAGCCAGACAGACATGGATGCAGCGGGCGCTGGTCGCAGATGGTCCTGAGTAGGCAGCCACAGAGTCTCCAACAGGTCAAGAGAAGGTTCGCTCACGTCTGCAAGCAAGGCAGGTCCTGCAACTGCGTATGCATCTGACCAACCTTAGCTGATCATTGCATGAACAGGAGCAGTTCCCCCACTAAAGGTTGTCCAGAGCGGGCCTGCGTTTGGGTGGCAGTAGCAATGCTAAGTTTCCAGCAGCAAGAATGAGTTTCAGGGTCAAGTAGTCGCCAACATGCTTGGGGGCTGCGGTGGGAATGCTACACCTTTCGTTGGCCAATGGTTCGAGAAGGATTGCCAGACAGTAGAGATAGGAAGAGGAAGGAGAGGGGAGAAATTCAAGAATGGTCCGAGTTTCGAGAAAGAGTTGACTGTCTCCGCGATCTGGCCGCGTGTTCGCCACATGTGGCATAGAGTTTAATACCAACTTCAAGTGTGTCGGGCACCGGCATGACAGGCAGCAATGCATGGAGAATGTCTGCCGTTCAAGGTTGCCCTTGATACCTATGCATTGACTTCGGCATTGTCCGATTGTGTTATTCTGCGCCTTGCACGTCAAGAGGCCTGGCCAAAGACCAGTCCCGCATGGCCTTCACTGCTCCATGGGGAATGACAAAGACTGGGTGAAGCTCCTTGACACCCGCACCCGCGTCAAAGACCTTATTAGCATCCCACTCACTGGGGATTTGCGCCTCGGAGGATTGCCAGGTAAAGGCTGAGCCAAATGGATCGTCGCCGTCCGAGGTTCCATAGGAGTGTGAGTGTTCCACTATGCTGAGTCCAGAGAGATTGTAACAAGTGTGGTACGAGTCGGGCATCCTGTAAAGTCCGTTAGTATACGTGAGAAGAACTTCGGAGGTGACCAACTTTGATGGTTTGTCCCTGAGTCCGCCACCGTTTGCCTGACAACAGCATAGAATATACCTTGCTAGACCTTCGCTGCTGTATAAATTCTCGCTCACATCCCTTGTCTTGTCTCCAGCCGAGTCTCCAGGACCGTTCACCGCCGCTTGTACCAGAGGCCAACAGCCCCCCAGCCAGTGGCTATAGCAACCGTCCACCAGTTTATTTGTGCGGCCGGCAAACCCACCTTCTGGCGCGTATTGCCGGGAAGACAGCCACCATATCAGCGCATCGACGTCTAGGAACTTGCCAATCGTTTCGTGCGGAGGACCATATAAGCACAGGCATGCGAGCGCACAAAATGCGTAAGACCCGTGCGCTTCGCCTCCTGGTGAAGCTGCAATTCCGCCCTCATATGTCTGGCAACGCGAGAGATACTCCCCGAGGCCATCCTTAAAAGTCTCCAAACCTGCGTCGCGAGCTGGAGAATCCGGTGGAAGTAAGAGTGGAAGGTTGAGGAGTGAGATAGCGACCAGGGCACATAGGGCTCCTCGAGTGTCTTCCTCGCCGCCTTCACATATCTGAAAACCCCCATCCGCCTGCTTGAGGCGCCCCAGCCAGTGCCACATCTTTTCACGATCGACGAGTGAGTAGGCCTCTTCGCCCCCGACAAGTGCAAGTGATAGCAGCGCTGCGTAGGTTCCAGCTTGGTGAGCATCTTGTCCGAAGCCACCACCAATGCCACCATTGGGGTTTTGCATGGAATAAAAGGTTTTAACGACCCTGTTTGCACGGTCAGTCCGCCGCGGAGAGCACAAGTGCAGAACAAGTATTACCTTGAGCGGAATACGGAGACATCTTCACCAAGCATGTAGAGTCCTAGTAATGCCCAGTATACCATCCAAGGACGACTTGCGTCGATACCGACATAAGGAGCAGGGAATTCGTCTAGGCTCTGATGCAGGAATCCAATGTGCGCCTCTCTTTCCAAGCAAGGCAATCCAAATTCATTGAAATCAAATGGACTTCGGCTGGGGTCGTTGATGGCATTGAGGAGAGGCAAGCACTCGCTGACGGTTTCATCTTGAACGACAGATGTTTCCGTCCCCAATGAATCGAGTAGCAGTGGTGCCTGGCGGAAGTATGGAGGTATCTGATAGTCGGCGCTGTCCATGGTGGGCTCGCAGTGTGTGAGGAAGACTCAAAATCGCGGAAGTAGAAGGACTAATCTTGGATGAGGCCAGAAGTCAAAGGTCTTTGTCTCAGTGCACATACCAGACCAGGGACATGGCGTTACGACGACGTAGATATCTGCATGTTGATATTGTTCTCAAATTCCCTGTGAGTTGGCTGCAATGCGGAGCATGTCACGTCAGCCACGACAGGGCCCCGACTGACGGTTTTCGTTGTAGAACTGCGGTTGGCAAAGACCGATCGGCGAAGGTAATATTTCGAGGGAAGGGATTTGATTGTTTTCCAAGTCTCATTTCATCTCGTCTCGTCTCACTTGGAGATTGAGATGGACATGAGAATGATTGTGGTATACCTGCTTCATTGCGGGGTAATTGTCAACAAAGGGTCACGGCACCCGGCGGCCAAGTGACCACCAGTTGTAAGCGACAACGGGCTCTAGGTACTTGGGGGGGAAGGGGGGGGGTTCTGCCCGCTGTTCAACCCTCCTCCACCACATGCTCCGTATATACCCAGCTTGCCTCTCCCCTATATTTACACAGCGAGGGACGTCGACTAATTCAGGGCTCATAGCGGCGCATAATATTCTACATTAAGCTCCCTTCGCTCCTGGATGCTGCTCGTACGAACCCATGCAGCAGGGGTATATCGACTCGGTCGGTCCGCGAAATTCAAGGACATTGACCTCAATTAGTCCAGCAGTGCATGGGGTGCTGGGGACTCGGTCGGTGACTGGCTCAGGCTGGTAGATATGGTCGGACAATGTTCCCGCAAAGCCGTTGCGTGGGTACACCGTCACAATCATGAAGCCGGACTGGATTGAGGCAGCGAGATCCTCCATGTCTCATCATCTGAAACGTCGGTCTGTCACCAACTTTGTCCTCGAACGAAACTGACATATTTGCGGGAGACTCCTGGTGTCTTGAATCGCCAACTGGAACTCTCGTTGCCGTCTGGGAGCAGCAATAGCCCGGTGGCCAGGCGCAGGCCGTCTCAAAGTCCACACCGCTCTTCGAAAGGGTAGATTACCTCGTGCATGATGTTCAGCTTGCGATCCTTAATATATGCCGTCGTCTCAAATCTCCGTGTACCAGGGGGTATACGTGAACTGCACAAGCTGCCAGAGCCGGCGGCGAGCCTGCCTGATGAAATAACACATGGTAGGGATGAATAATAATAATAATACCAAGCAACGACTACAACCTGCCCTTGGACAGAGAGGCGCAGCACAGATCTCGCTCTCACACAGCCGAAGAGTTTGCACGGCAGAGACGATGAAAGGAAAAGACTTGCCATTGTAGGACTAGGGGTCAGCACCGTTGGGCGATTACTTGCATTAGTGGTGAGCTTGTTTGCCGCATTGCGCCATGTCTATGGTCGACAAGGAGTCCTCGTATTGTTGCGGTAAGACCGGTTTGCCCTTTGCAGCAGTCACCGCAGGAGGCCCAGCAGCGAGCGTTCCAGGCGCTTTAACCCTGGATCCCGCAGAGCAGATCAGCGCCACCACAGATACAAGGCGAGGGATGCTCGCGAATATTGGTGCTGGCTGTCCCAATGAACGGCAAATGCACCACGTAGGGGTTAGGGAGACAGAAGGTGAAGGCTGAAGCGGAGCAGGGCAGGGGGAGGGGAGCGCTGGATGTTCAAGAATCCCATTTGGGTTGTCGCGTTCAAGCTTCATTCCCGTGTTGCTGTGCCGTGGCAGTGGTTGAAGACCTGGGAGAGGGTGCAGAGGATGGCAAACAGGGCGCAGCCACCAAAGTTCCCAGCATAATGGTGATTGATAACGATGCTGTAATGCCCCCAGGCTCCTCTCAGGAGTAAATACTGCGTGCTTTTCCTGTCTCTCACCTCTGACCTTTTCTCTCCTCAGTGCTATATTTTCTGCGTTCTGTTCAGCACTGGAGACTCAATAGGTACCTCCTTCCGTCCTCTGTACTCCGTCCATAGGTACAGTGCCTTAGGCAAATCCACCGACGCCACTTGTTTGACCCCCGGAAAAAGACGGGACTTCGGGCTACTGCTGCCCAGTGCCCGCACCCAGTACTACTCGGTATCCCAGCTCCAGAGACTTGTACAAATCAGTGACCGCCAAGGGAAGACCACGGCCGCTGGGAACCCGCCTGACCAAACCGCCTAAGCATCAATTTTCTAGGGCTTGGGGCTCAGTGGGCTCCTCAACAAAAGGTACGGAGAACGGAGTACGGCGTTCCTTTGGGTCGCCCCCTCTCTCACAGCACCCGGCAGTCTATCTCTATCTCACCTTTCACTATGGCTTCATTCAGCTAACTGCCCAGTGTCTCCCTCACAGAATCACGGACTGAATGACAGACAGGCAGACAGCATTCCCGATCACGGCCTGCCTCCTCTGCTCGAATATCAACACCCCCAACTTGGTTGGCACAAGGGACGAACCCAGCGCCGCCCCCGACCACCTTCACCGAACTCCGTTAGGCCTCGTTCAAGTCGACACAAATGGGGCTGTGATTCCACGACGCCAGCTTCCCTCGGCCGGATCAACCAGTCAAGACGCGTCGGCGAGTCGGGCCCATTCTTATCCAGTCGAACGACACTTATCGCTTGGTCGCTTTTGGGGCCTCATCCTGCAGGCGACCTTTGGGACCTTTGGCTCCCCTTTGGGTTCTGACCACTGACCACTGACCACTCCTGTCCCAGCACCACACCGCGAGCCCACGAACCACTGGCATCGCACAGACGCAAAATCCACCACCCACATCGCCCGCTGCCACTCCCCTCCCACTTTCCTCGTGTGCTCCCCGCCCAATTCGACGATCCGCAAAACCCTGCATGCACTGCTCACCGCCTCTTCTCACCCGCTCTCGCCCTCGCACCTGACGCCCGCCTCTCAAGTCGAGCTCGTTTTGAGCGGTCACTTCCTGTACTCTTGTCCTCACTTTCCTCCCTCTTTGCCTTTTCCTCTCGACAGCTCACTCTGCTCTTGCTTCACGAGGCCCGTAAGAGAGAGAGAAACAATCGACCAGCCTGTGCTCGAGACGCCTTGTCCTCCAGATCCCGCATATCCCATCCCACGAGGCTGACTGTCTGACATATCTTATCAAACATGGCGGGCAACGTCGCCCTGACCAGTGAAGACCTTGCCTATGATCTCGATTCAAGAAGCGCCTCTTTCTTCCGGAATCATGCCTGGCCTATACCAATCGACCCAGTGGCTGCTACTCGGTCAGATCCAAGGAGGAACATTTCTCCAATCCAGACCAACAGCCATGGCCTGCGCCAGACCACAATGGCAGAACATCCCATGATGGATACTTGGAGGTTCCAACAACAACAACAACAACAACATCAGCAGCACCACCATCATCAACAACCGCAGCCGCAGCAGCCCAGCATCGACTATGCCAATCCTCAACCGCCGTACGATTTGCATTACGATGCCCAGTTTCACGGCATGTCTTTACACCATTCCCAGATGACCATGATGCCGGTCTCGCAGGCACCGTTGGCACCTGGCTTACCGCTCGAAGCCGCTTACCTTCACCTCGAGTCCGGGATTGAAGGCATGCCCCAGAACTGGGCAGATCTCCAGAGCGAATTGATCAACTATACGACGACGGATGTCGGGCTGGCTGTTTCACCATATCAGCAGATGACCAGCTCTCCCACGGGCTCCCACCTCGAAGTTCTCTCGCAGCCCAGCTCTTGTGACGAACACGGGTGGACGATGGTCGAGCCACGAACGTCGTTTGAATCTTATGAGCGACAAATCTTCGTTGACCCCAACCAAACCGTGCACAATAGGACCTTGTCGGAATCCTCATATTCGGACCTCGAACAACACAGTCATGGTGCTTTCATGTCTAATCTCGACATGGGTACTTCTCAGGCAGTGTACTCGCCGACCAATTTGTCGGACAGCGACTTTGAATATCCAGGACATACTCACCGCCTATCAATAGACCACGGCTCGGCTCCGTCCATGAGTGTCAATCCCTCCGCCCTCGTGCGACCGATCCCCATCCCCTCGGCCAAGTCATCCGCACCGTCGATACGATCGCCCGGCTCCCAAGGCTCAGCCGGGTCCCCTGGCCGCAAGCCTTCCCGAAAGAGTCCCATAGCTGCCAAATCGACCGACAAGGTCATGAAAAAGTCATCACCCGGGGGCAGGGTGGAAGGAGAGAAGCGGGTTGGCCGAAGAAAAGGACCGCTCCGACCTGAGCAGCGGAAACAAGCCAGTGAGATTCGGAAGCTGAGAGCCTGCCTGCGATGCAAATTCTTGAAGAAGACATGCGACAAAGGAGAGCCTTGTGCTGGATGTCAACCGTCGCACGCTCGCCTGTGGCAAGTCCCCTGCACTCGCATCGACATCAAAGAGATTGGGTACTTTTTGAAGGATTGGAAGTTCGACTATGAGAGACACATTTCGCTCGGCTTCTCTGTGGGCAATATCAAGGGTTTCTCCGATACCGAAAAGACACTGTTCATCACCCATGGGTACGGCCACATGCTCCCTGTCACCGCCCGAGAAGTGTACGTCAGGGATGAGACATGTCTGAAGATGGACTGGATTGAGGCCAATTCATTCGCACCCGATGGCTATGAAGTGTCGACGGCCAAGCTCTCGGCTGGCATGGAAGGCATCTCGACCACGATGCTGAGTGACTACCTCGACCGACACATTGACGGCACCGGCACGTTTGAGAAATTTGTGGATGACTACTTTGAGGGCACACCCTTCCTCTCACAGATGCTCAAGACGGCGTACCGGTTCTACTTCAAGACCGGATCCAAGATCATCAAGAAGGCGTTGAAGTTGATGCTTGCCTACAATTTGACGCTACACATCACCATGGTGGAAGGAGTGCCAAGCGAAGAGTCATTCGTCGGCAAGATCGAAGAGCAGACATCCAAATTCTTCGGCAAGACGATGGCTCCGGTCATGATCAACTTCCAGATCAAGTGTGCCATGGCTGATATGTGGCGTGAGTTGCACAAGGACGTTCTTGAAGAATTGTCCAGCCTGTATTCGAGCGTGTACAGTGGAGACAAGCTCAAGAACTGGCCCACTATCTTCATCCTGGCATCGGTCCTGTTGGCTGTCTGGGAGTGCATGCAGTTTGACTGCCACTACCGTGTTCCCGATTCCGCGGCTGTGGAGAAGTTCTGCAACGACATGGAAACTACCCCCGTTGGCGTTGTGGTTGGCCTTTTCCAGGCCATCTCTCAAAAGCTCCCGTCATTCCTTGAATGGGACACTTCGAAGCACCACGCGCTCCTGGCATCCAACATGGATGTATGCAACACGATGAGTGAGGTGCGAGAACATGTTACGAGATACGGTAAGGAGCTGCCCCTGGACCTCGGCTTTTGGTTAGTGCGAAGAACTAACTCGGCGAGCAGAAAACTATTTACGAGGTCGACCTAACGCACGGTTCGACCGCAAGGACTTCGATTCGTTGTCGAACAAATTCCTTGCCAAACTTGTGATTCGAGCGAACTAGATATGATGCATTTACGGCTTACGATGAGAAAGTCCTGTCGTTGCAGATCTCACGAGATATTTGACGTCTCTCACGATACGTTGCTTCTTGATTTTTGTTTTCACGTGTATCGGATGGACGACTGATGAACGACCACGGCGTTATGACGACGACGACGAACGCACTCACTGGCATGAATCTGGCCTCGAAATTTTTTTTTTGGGTCTCGATTTTTTTACGTATATATATTTTTGTGTCGAAGGATCGGTCTATGGAAGGAGGAATGGGACGAGGAACGACGGCCACGGGGAAAGGCAGTGGGGTTTCTTTTTGGAAGCATGAACAAGGACGGCGCCGTGCATGCAATGAGCGTTTCCAAGCAGATCCTGCACCATCTCAACCAATTGTCATAGTTGGCGAGGTCATTGGGTGGGAATGCACCGTTCAACCAGTTACATAGACCGCAAAGAAAAAAAAGGGAGAGAAGAAAGAGGAGGATCCTCACGGCTAACTGTCGGGCAATTACTACTGGCATGGTCATGTTTTGTTGAGGGAGGGAGTGCTGCCTTCACAGGACCCGGGGAAGAGGTTTGAGATGTATGAAGAGCGTGCCAGCATTGAGAAGCGAATCACTATCACTATCATCCACTCGTAAATCGAGACGAGCGGACCACTCGAGCAGCAAAAGTTCATTTGGTACTTGAGCACCAGTTTTTGAGATCAACGCGTTGTTTCCCTTTTCTTATCGTATCTACCAGGACGTTGTGTTAGGCGAGCCCGGGAATGGGATGGACGATCCCGGCTCCAATGGAGAACGAGGCCTTGGGGACGGGAGGCTCCGAATCACTGGCACGAGCTGGGAGTCTGGGAGCCTGGGAGTCTGGGACGGCATTCCTGATTCAGTAGTGGCGGTTGGCACTTGGGGGCTCGAGGTGGTGGCTTCCTGGTGGCTTCCACAGCCCCGTCGAGCCCCGGAACCTTGCTCCGAAACTGCCCTGACGTACCCAGGCAGCTCACTACTACCACTCTTTGGTGGGTAACGAGGTCCGTATCGACAGCTAAAACAATACTTTTGTTAACGGCTCCAAGAAATTCTATCGAGCCCACAGCCACCAGCCTTGGAAACTGGGAACAAGGAAAGCGCCAGAATTATCTTCGTCACCGTCACTGTTACCCTCACCCGCACCTTCACTTCACCAACCATCCAATTTTGCCCCCCGAGGATGCGCCTAGTGAGCCTCAATTAACCCCGGCCGTGTCCTCTCACATGCCTGCTGCTGCTGCTGTCACCCTCGTGTCACTTTGCACCAATCCTTGACACCAACTTCGACCATCAACCTTCGTTGCCCCCCTCCACGACCTTGCATCCTCTGGCCAAAGGCATCTGAGACTCGTCCAACTCAGCGAATCAAGTCAAGACGCCGCGGGAGATCTTCGCAGCGCGCCACCGAGCCCTCATTCTCGTGGAACTTGAAGAGAGGCTGACGAACGCCAACATTACTAGTTGATACCGAATCACGCCTTCCTCAATTCATCCGTTTGCACCTGCATCTCGATTGCATTTTGACTGGCTTCCCGCAAAGCATTGGGCAGGAATTCACCATCACCTCCAAACACCATACGCTTGGGATTCCATCGACTTATCAACCTCACGTCCCTGTCTTCATATTCACTTCACCTTCTTTTCCACCCCCTACCGTCTTCACAAACCACACTCCGCACAGCAAGGCTGCAGAGGCTGTTTCGCCGCTTTCACCCCCCAAAACCCCACCCTCACCCGTTTACCACCAACATCGTCTTCCTTCGACTCGGTATCTTTTCCTTTCCACTACACCTCGCCGTCTGACCATCCTCTGAACTCGGTCTGAGTCAGCTCTGAACAGGGATACTGTCTCGAGACTCCAAGCGTAACCTGATTTAGTCCCATTGCAAACATGCCATCAGCCACCGACAACCCTCCCAAGGTGGAATCACGACTTCTCCTGGTCTCGAACCGTCTTCCAATCACCATCAAGCGCTCTCCTGAAGGAAAATATGACTTCTCCATGTCTTCGGGAGGCCTTGTCACTGGGCTCAGTGGCTTGGCAAAGACCACCACCTTTCAGTGGTATGGCTGGCCTGGGCTGGAAGTCCCTGACGACGAAGCCGGCGATGTGGTCAAGCGGCTGAAGGATGAATTCAATGCTATCCCCGTCTTCGTCGACGACGAATTGGCCGACAGACACTACAATGGGTTTTCAAGTACGGCTCCACACACAGACACCCCCCCATTACTATTTGTAGATCAAGCTGACGAGCTCTAGATTCCATCATGTGGCCGCTCTTCCACTACCACCCGGGTGAAATCACCTTCGACGAGTCGGCTTGGAATGCTTACACCGAAGTCAACCGCCTCTTCGCCCGAGCCATAGCCAGAGAAGTCGAGGATGGTGACCTGGTCTGGGTCCACGATTACCATCTGATGCTGCTACCGCAAATGCTTCGCGATGAGATTGGCTCTACAAAGTCCAATGTCAAGATCGGCTTCTTCTTACACACTCCCTTCCCGTCGAGCGAGATCTACAGGATTCTGCCCGTTCGAAATGAAATCCTGTTGGGAGTTCTGCACTGTGATCTGATTGGCTTTCACACCTACGATTACGCTCGACACTTCCTCAGCAGCTGTTCGCGGATTTTGAACCTCACCACTACGCCCAACGGGGTCGAATTTGAAGGCAAGATTGTCACCGTTGGTGCTTTCCCTATCGGCATCGATCCAGAAAAATTCACCGAGGGCCTGAAGAAAGACAAGGTCCAAAAACGCATCGCGGTGTTAGAGGAAAAATTCAAGGGTGTTAAGTTGATTGTGGGTGTAGATCGACTCGACTACATCAAAGGTGTTCCCCAGAAACTGCATGCTCTCGAAGTTTTCCTTACAGATCACCCCGAATGGATTGGCAAGGTCGTTTTAGTCCAGGTCGCCGTGCCCAGTCGACAAGATGTTGAGGAGTATCAGAATCTTCGAGCTGTTGTCAACGAGTTGGTGGGGCGCATCAATGGAAAATTCGGTGAGTTTTGACGAGTCTTCTCAGTTCCATCTAGTGGCTGGTTGGCTAACAAGTCCAGGCACTGTCGAATTCATGCCCATCCACTTTATGCACAAATCGGTCAACTTTGATGAGCTCATTGCGCTGTACGCCGTCTCTGATGTGTGCCTCGTCTCCTCGACACGGGACGGTATGAACCTGGTGTCCTTTGAGTACATAGCCTCTCAGGAACAGCGAAAAGGTGTTCTCATTCTTTCCGAATTTGCCGGGGCAGCACAGAGCTTGAATGGGAGTATCTTGGTCAACCCTTGGAACACCGAGGAATTGGCAGGTGCTATTCAAGAGGCTGTGACGATGAGCCCCGAACACCGGGCCATTAATTATGCCAAGCTGCATAAATACGTCTTCAAATACACCAGGTTAGTCATTCCGCACCATTTCTACCCATTCATCGTTTGACCGTTTGTCTAACGGGCGTTTCAAGTGCTTTCTGGGGACAATCTTTCGTCGCCGAATTGACCAGAATATCGGCCCAAGGCGAGAAGAAGTTGAAGTTGCGTCGAGCGTCCCTGATCAAATCGCCGTCTCAGCAGCCACCTTCTGAAAATAGAGATGGGGATTCGGAAATGAAGCAAACCTCTCAGCCGCCTCGGCCCACTACGCACACAGACGTCGAAATCGATGGCGAGCAAGCATCGAGAAATGTCGGTGCCACGGCTGCGGATGGAGTTTCGAAAGAAAAATCGGTGACGATATGAGGTTAAGTGATGGGCACTGCCAATGTTGGCAACGAAACGATACGAGGTCATGTGGCAGAGTCCTTACCGTGGGCTTTCTTGTTGCATTAATTACAGTCATGCGGCATTACTTTAGACAGGAGCCAAAGCAACAAAGACAGGCAGGGCAAGGCGCTCAGGGACAATAGATAGGAAATCATTGACTGCGGGAATCTGTGTCTTGCGAATGCCATAACTAGACTGAGTCCACTATGAGCTCGACAATTGAATCGACATGCTTCTTGATGGGCTGTAAGTAGACTCCGTTGAGCGAGCCTCAGGGGGTCCTCTCTTATGCTTCTCCACCTTGGTCTTTACGCTCTCTAGATGCAGGTCTCTATACAGGCTATTCTCGATCCCTGATGGCAGGAGGGAGCTATGACTGATCAGCTAGCCTTGCTGTGTGACTAAGTTCGTCTTTGGTGTCCTCTTTTATCAAAGGGTTGGTATTCTCGCATGTCAGTTCTGGACCGCTGCTCGCCCATCGAACCACACAGCAGGGGTAAAGTACAGGGGGGAGGTTGGCCGTAGGGCCTTGTACCTCCCCGAGTCCGCCTAACTGAATAGGCCTTGACCTTTTCTCACTCGCTCTCTGGCTTCTTCTGCGCTGCACGAACCTCCTCTCCTCCTTCCTTGCGGGCGCAGGCCTTAGGACAAAAACGTTTACGCCTCAACGGTAGCGCCTTGGTTCGCTTTCGGCGCCTGGGTTTTCTTGCTGCTGCGGCTGCGGCTGCGGCTGCCGGCACTGCCACCCTTGCCATCCCTCCTCCCCTTCTGCCGCAGAGCCAGCTTCTTCACCTCGCCCTCGGTGCCGAGCCAGCGGCCCTTGTCGCCGCCCACGGTGCGCGGCCGTCTCTGCTCGACGGGCACGCCAAAGGGGCTGATGACCTCGCGCACGATGTAGCGCACCCCTTGCTCCTTGACCATGCCGTTGCGGTCGCGCGGCCGGTGCCGCTTGACCACCACCTGGCCGCGGCGGTCGCGCTCGCGCCGCATCGAGGGCGGGAACGCGCCGAAGCGCACCACGTCGCCCTCCAGCAGGAGGTTGTGCGGGTCGTGCACCAGGCTGTGCGTCGGCCGCGTGTAGTGCTTCTGGAACTGCGCGTGCCACACCTGGATCGGCCGCGTCACCCGCACCGTCTTCTGCATCGTCCCCACCCGCGACACCGTCCCCACCAGCGTAGGCGACGTGGAGAGGAAGGCCGCGTCGTCGGGATCGGGGACCTCGTGGTGCCCCGACGGCGGCGACGAGGAGGAGGAGGAGGAGGAGGAGGAGGAGCGTGAAGGGTAGATCAGCGACGGGTCCCAGGACGAGGACGGGGTGGTTTTCTCCTCCGGGGATGAGGGCGGTGCCTGTGCTTGTGATGAGCTCGGAGGTAGGGATGTAGACGATCTTTTCAGGTCGGAATCCGTCGTTGCGCGTGAGAGTATGCTCGGCGAGACGTTTGCTCCGTCGTCGCTGGCTTTGCCCAGTATCGAAGCGTCGAGTCCTTCTGAGGATGCGGGCGGAAGATCAGTGACGGGTTGTGCTTGGTGCAGCAGACATGCTGATGAGAACGCTCGTTGTTGTTGTTGTTGTTGTTGGTGGTGGTGCTGTTGGTGCTGCTGCGGCACGGGGATCCTGCGGCACCGTGAAAAGCTGCGAGTGGCTCCTCGACGAGCAGCCAGTGCCGACGAAGATGCGAGAGCTGTCGGTACTGTCGTCGACTGCGGCGCTAGGGCCCTGGCGCGACAGGCACAGGCGCGGGCACGTCGCGCGAGCGCCGTTGCGGAGGACGAGTAGTTCATGATTGACTGCGGTTGTCAAAGGCCCGGGACCACTGGCGCTTCACCGGGCACCCGTGAGCATAAATGAGGAGGAGGGGGGGAATAGAGAAGAGACGGAAATCAGACTCTGATGGGACTATTCACGGAATGGACGAGCAGAGCTTGGTGGGATGGAAATGATTGCACAAAGTATGGAGAGGAGCTCCTCGATGCCTTCGTCCAAAAATTTTAGGGTGCATTGGATTCGGGGGAGTGCGGTCAGTGAGTCGGTGGAGCTGCGCCTTGGAGCCGGGCCCGAGCCTCAGCCTCGTAGCCTGCAGCGCAGCCAAACCACAGCCTCGCCTCATCTTTCTTTTTGCCAAGAAAGGACTTCTTAGACGACAAGTCACAATTACTGATCTTGATTTTCGAGGGCTAATCCTACAGTGAGTGATTGCTTTTAGCTCTCAGCGGAGCCGTTCCCGTCGGCCGTCTACCGCTGCTTTATTGCCATGAAACGCCACGCCATTCCCGGGGCCGTGGTCATACATTTGTGCTTGATGATGCATGGCCTATGCCGCCCACACGTCCTTGCCCACGCCTTCTATCCAGTGACCCAAGTCATTGACGTTGCTGTCCCACTCCTTCAGCCGCTGCCTCATGCCCTCGATTTGATTTCGTTCCAGCACTTTAGGCTGGACCCAGTTGATCCTCGCAATCTGGGCGACCTGGTCGATCTTTCCTCGCAAAAGCCCCAGGCTGAGCGCCTTCATGATCAAGTGCTCAATTTCATCGGGCTTGACATTGGTCTCTTGACTGATCGTCTTGAACGTCATTGCACGGTCGTGCGGCGGTCGCTTGAACACCAGTTCCGTCAGCGCCGCCAAGTTGATCTTCTGCCAGAGGAACAACCGATGAGACTCGAGGATGGGGTCCTTGCCGAGGTTGTTGGACATCCGATCGAATGTAGCCAGGTCTCCTCGGTTGAAGGCGAAGAGTAGGTCTCGCAACCATGACTGAGGGTGCGGGGGTTTCAGGACGTCGAGGATGGGATGCAGTAATAACTCCCCAAAGTTGTAGATCTGGTCTGACACCAGAGCCGCGATGGCCAGATTGTAAGCTCTGTGCTGCCGTTGCTCGGTGTTCAACTCGGACTCGTCTATGCACGCAAGGTACAATAATGAGTTTCTGTAGTAGGATGTGTAGTCGTTCGCGGCCTGGAAATAGTCTGCATTGACTCGGTAGAAAGCTGCGTGCACCACATTTTCCACAAAGTCGAACTGATCCAAAGTCTTTTGCGCCTTTTCTAGTTGCTCCTTTGCTTTTGCCGCCTCTCCTAGTCTCAGGTAGACGCTAGCCAGCTCGGTGATGGTATAGACGTGCGCTTCTTCAGAGTCTGGTTTGGCAACTCGATCGGCGAGGGTCTTGAGGAACTCGCTTCGCTCAGTGTCGTCTGTCAACCGTTTAGCTTCTGATACCCAGCATCAGATTTCTCCAAATTACCCTTGATCTGCGCCGAGGCGCTCAGTGCCAGTTTGACGAGTTTGAGCTGGTTGATCTTGTCCGCAAAACTGATGATGAAAGTATTGTAGATGGGTAATCTCTGAGAAGTGCTCTCTGGATTCGAGAAGTAGTCCAGAAGCGTGTCCGTCAGTTGATGCCATAGCTTTCGTTCCCAGAGATCTTCGAAAGTGAGGAAAAGGTGTTGTAGTTCGGTGGGTGCTTCATCTCGTTGCTCCGCGAGGAAATTGGAAATCGCCTCTGGATCGTTTTGTTTTGACATGGCGATACTGGGGTGGAGTGAAAGAAAGGGATTCCTTGAGTTGAGTTCGTCTTCGGGAATGTGTAGAAATGAGAAAAGACGAGGGTGGTGGACGCACTGTGTGTCGCAAATGGCGGAGAGGGTAGAGCGAGTTGAGCGGCGGTCGCAGGCAATCGACAGGCGCGTCAACCACTTTCTTCCAGGTCACGTGTACAGCCTCGTCTGTAGGGCATGGCAACAACGGCATCTGACTTTTTCAAAAGATGAACTGGTTCCTTGGAACAACCTCATCAGACAACTCAGACAGTGCATCAGAACGATTGTAATTTGGATCCTACGCTCGCCTGATGAGCCTTGTAAATATCCCGCCTCCGAGTTGGTCCTCCTTCTGCCTTGGACAGCAACACCCATGCCTGAGGTTGGGTTATTGATGAACGTACTTCCAGGAAAGCACCAACCTTTCCAAGCAGTGGGACCGTCCACCTCGCTAGCTCTTCTCGCTGTGCTACCTGGGCTACATATCTAACGGCGGACTTGTCCATCCTGCCCACCCTTTCAGCGACCGGTACATTTCAACGCATCTCTTCTGCTTAGAAGTCCCTTGCTGCCTCTCACAATGGAAATTTCTGCGGGGCATCCTTACCAGCAAGCAGGCGTCGACTGCGGTAACATCATTTGCCTTCATACTCGAAAGAGACTTCAAAAGCCAATGCCGAAGGCGATTTCCCCAAATACTGCTCGAGAACAGGAAGTAAGACTGCCTCAACCTCCCCTGGCTTAGATCTTTGCAGATTGTGGCATCATGATGAATGCCGGCACTGCCACTGTTACCGCCGCTCCTTTATAACCATCCAAGATGATTATCAAGCTGCCGGAAAGAACTCGATACTGCTGTCTCTGTGCCGACGTCCCGTCGTATGAAGCTGTGTTGAAGTTTCGTCAAGTACAAGTCTGCATGGGGTAGTCGCTTCGCTTGTGATCTACTAGCTCGATGGTTTTACCGAGAGTTGAGCATCCAAGTGGGCGTATTCTGGCAGATGCACTTGTCTCTGAAGGTGCGACCGGCTCTGCCATCCATTCTGAGCATCTCCAGGTAGTCTCCGCTCTCGTTCATGTCTTTGAGTTCGCTTTTCGCCAGCTATTTTGAGCTGGCTACGCCGGAAGGACCAAATCAAATCAATTAGAGGAGGCCCTTTCTCGTCGGTGGCGGGACCTAAGGGCTGGTCCGCGGGCAGATCTTCCTGCCTTGTCTTCTCCGCACAATGCATCTGAAGAGGCCTTGGGCTGTTGCTTCTCTTACAGAGTCCCTGAACGGGGGTATAGCGGAGTAAGGAGCTCCGCCTCCTGTAAGACCCAATAGAGCGTAGGAGAACTCTTGTCTTTGCCTGCGGCTGGTGCCCAAGCTGTATCGATGCCAAAATGGAGTCAAAGGCACCCCAAAAGATAACCAGTAGTCGACGTAGCCGGCTCATGACAGATTAACTTGTCTTGCAGAGAGTGATGTGGAACTCAAGTAGTCTTAGGTGCCTGTTTAATCCAGATACGGTGCCAGATAGCGATCCAGATCAAACCAAAGCAGCCCGGATTTCTCATCCGCTGTCTCCCAGAAAGTGCACAGAATGGACTTCAACCGGGTCTGGTACGTCACCGGGAGATCTTGGAAAAGGGAGACCTTGTCCAGAACATCTTTGCGTTTTGCTGGGTCGCGAACTTCGAACGCTGCAACTAGAAGGGCGAAATCCATTGACACGACAGTCCTGTTAACCAGACTGGAGATCGAGTCAAACTGCTCGAGAATCATGTCGGAGAGCACTTCGGAGCGATCCACACAAGTTCCAAAGGGATGCCGGAGTCGATGAGCGATTAACAAGAGACTCTGACGGAAGATTTGCACCTGCGAAAGCATATGCGCCACCTCCGCTTGGGAATATCGGCTCAAAAAGTCCGCCGGGTAAGTAGGTCTCCATGCAGAGATCTCAGCTTCAAGAGACTGCAGTTGCACCAACAAACTCTGACGGCCATTTTCGTCCGCTTGGTGGAGCTTGGTGGATAGCACACAGAGGTCGTAGCCGTAGGAGAGCAGAGGTGCTGACAACCCTAGGTACCGGTTCATGAAGCCTTCAGGCCGGATCTGAAATCGAAAGCTGGGCACCTCGTTGCGAAACAAACATCCCTCAAGTTCCGTATGCAGAATGCAAATCAGGAACGCGAAGTCATCATGGTCAATCTCTGCGCGGCAGTCATTCAAAGATTGCAGCGCAGGGAGCGTGTATCTGCAGAGCCGGAAGGCGCTGCCTCCGACCACGTGGATGTTGAAGGTCAAAACTGCCAGGGCAAGGCTCAAATAGAGAGAGGTATCTCCTGCGCTGGTGATCTGAAAGGAACGAAAAGTACCGAGGCCTGAAGTGGCTTGCTGATAGTAGTAGGCCTCGTTGAGGCGTGGTGTGCCCGGAACCGGGCTGTCCGCGAAGATGCCAGCGCACGCCAGAAAAGCGTCTTTGAGCAACGGCATGGCGGTATAGAGCCGCGTGATAATAGCGCGAAAATGATCATCTTGAAAGGTCGGGCCCAGGACAAAACGCTCAAAGAACCTGTCCTTGTCCAATATAACGACCAGGGATTGTTGTTCGGGCGGTGTCAGGCCGCCGAAGGGCGATAGATCTCGTGGCACAGCAACGAGCTGACATTGAGTTCCTATCTCAGCTTCCGGGGCAATAGAAGCAGAAGACTGAGGACTGAAACATATCGGGTCTCGAGTCCAATCTGCTGTTGTTGCTAAAAGGGCCTTCTGCGCTCGAGGTTTGCGGCCAGGTCGATTCAACTGCCGACGGGTTTCACAGAGGCGCCCTAGTCGCCGGCATCTCTCACAGACCTGCGAACCATTTAAACGGCGACAACATTCCTTGGTTGCGTGACAGCGGTCACAGGCCCGTTGCTGTTCGTGCTTGTGTTTCATCTCTGCGCGGCCGCAGTCGAAGATGCCGTGGTGGCGTACTCTCTTGCTAGCCCAGGTCTAGACGGACAGATAAGGCTCATCGTCAGGTGCCTCGGCAGTCAATTGGAAAACTCAAAGCGCGGATCAAAGCGTCGGCAGACTTTCCTGGTAGTCGAGGTCAAGCAACGTCGACCGCAGTTGTGATCAGAGTTGAAGGATGAGCGAGAGAACCCTCTCGTGTATAGGGTACACTTATGTGGATGTCATTCCACCGTGCCTCTTCACGCTAGGGAGCAAGACTGGAAGACATTGACATGGATAGTTCGACAAGGCTGCCACGGCAAGGGGCGCTGAAGCCTCGCTATCTCGTCCAACCCAGTTTTGCTGCAAGGTAGGTTAGCCGGTGCACATTGAATCCACCGCTGTGGGCATCCACTGTGCCACTCTACCAATGCCGACTACTCACTTGACGGGCGCCACAACATGTAGCAGAGCGCATTATCTTGGTTCGCAACCTGTGTAGCGTTATGGCTACCATCGCGCCTGCCCGCAGCGACTCTCCAGCAAACCCCGTCCCGAGAATAACCTCTCCCTCAATTCCCAGCCCAGGCGGGACGCCTTCATCGTCAGTCCGTCCTTCCTTCGATCTGCCCAGGAACAATGCGTCCTCTTCTTCTCCCTCTTTACAACAGAATGCCACTCTGGCAACCCCCGCTTCGACAACGCAAAGGCGCAATCGTGCAGCCCTTCGGGACTACTACAATCTCAAATCCAAAGGCGCTTCTGCCGCAATCCACGAGCCCCGAGATATAAGCCGCACAGCGAGCATAACCTCTACGGCCTCCGACTCCACGATAGCCACCACTTCCACGGCCATTCCAGAGTCCACAACCTCATCCCTCACAGCACACTTGGACGATCCGAGTTTCGACGCCGAAACCTTTGTCTCCGAACTGTTGAAAACTGCCAGTCTGCGTGACATTCTGAAAACTGAGAGCGCTTTGGTCAGCGAAATTAGAACACTCGATGGCGAGAGAAAGGCATTGGTCTACGACAATTATAGTAAGCTAATCAAAGCGGTGGGGACGATCGCGGAGATGCAGAAGGGGATGCACAAGGAAAAGGAGCAGGATATTCGGGGGCGTGTGTTGGCCAGACAGAAGGGCGAGCAAAGTCCCGGCCTTGACGGAGTAGCGTTGTTGGGAGAGAAGTTGGATGGGTTGTTAAAAGTGGTCAAAGAGTTCAGTCCAGGTACAGCGGACGGCAAAAGGGCTACGCAGTCAACGGAGGCGAGGCGGAAGAGGACACAAAAAGAGATCGTCAGGTGGGCTTTGGATGCACCCGTGCGGCTACAACAAATCATCGATCGAGGGCAACGGGAAGAGGCCGAGCGAGAGTATCTCTCTGTTACAGAAGTGCTAGACAAGTGGAACGATGTCGGTGGTGTCGAGGAGCTGCGGGCCAAATGTGCAAAGGTCATGGAGAACACCAAGGAGGAAACAAGCGCAAGTGAGCAAGGAGACTCGGGGTGAACAAACCATTCGACTGTGGTCGGCAGTCTGTCAGACGCCGTCATCACCTCTCGGAGTGTCTGCTACTCCATACAAAATCTTCAAGGCAGGGAGTGTATTCAGCCTCGGCCCGACACGGTCTGTCGACTGTCAGCGTTATACTGGATAACAAGGCCGACCTAGTTCGCACCCAAAGAAGGATGGAAGACTGGCCATTCACGGATAGCGAAGCAGGTCGTCCATGAAAGACGGGCATGAACACAGAGAAGGCCCATGGGGACAGGCCAGGCAAACGTCCTCGACAATGTGTCAACCAGTGAAGAGGGTTGTTGCGACCTCCTTCGTCATCCCTCACCTCGGAGTGGTTCAAAAGAACCTCATGGACTGTTGTGTCCTTGCTGCCGCTGAAGAGAACTGAAATCGGTTCCCCCTTAATCCTCAATTTCTACATCCGAAGTGAGAGGGAATGCGCCGAAGCGTAGCGGCAGGCCGGAAGCTCGGTACCAAGCAGTCAGTACTGAGTGCTGCAGACAGAGTGGAGAACAAGGAATGGCAGCATATGCAATGCGCAGGACCCGCAAATATGTCTTATTGCCGAAGACAGATACGAAGACGTATCTATATATCTATGTATCACTCCTACTATCCCCCCATATAACTTACACCACGTATGGGAAGAGAGCCTTTGAGAAAATATCAAGACGGGGAGACAGAAACATACACGTGTAGATACGTACATACATATTTGTCTCTAAATCGGCAGACGAGGTAGAGCTGAACTCCTATAGAACAGGAAACTATCCAAAGCTCATTAAAATAGGTCGTTGTCATCTACCCAGTATCTGAATTCCGCGCCTTGTGCTTCGAGGGGGTATCAATCGACAGAGATCGTCATTCAAGGCCTGGAAAAGGGCGACAAAGGAGAAAATGAGTCTTCCATAGAAATGAGTCCACCAGCCCGACCCGTCCAACTCGGTACCATTTGAAAATTGCACCCAAAATTAGCTCGCACACTGCACGCCACATCCATCGTCAATCTCTCCGCTACACCGTCCTTGGTCCCCGGCACCCTAGTAAGGACTGTTCACAATCTCGTCTCTCAAATGACTCTGTCTTCCACTTCTCCTCGGTGTCATCCCTACCCCGGAAACCCTCGCTGCCGGACCCATAATACTCTCCCTGGTAGGTCGCTTGAAGCTCTTGCGACTCACCATATCGACTTCGTTAGGCAGTGCCAAGATGACATTCTTGTCGCTACCAAACTCGAAATTATCCGCCATGACTTCCGCTGCGTAGCGCTTGATCTGGTAAGGGTCTCTCTTGCCCTCGAGGACCTTCTTAAGAGTCCAGGTGACCAGGAAGGGACCAGTGGAAGTGATGATGCTGGTTTCCTGGCTGTCGAGTCCAGTGTTGAAGTGGGCGCGCGTAAATGAGATCGGTTGACCTGTTTCGTGTTGGAATTGTGCTGCATGATTAGGATTCAAGCAGAGGCGGCGGGGCTGAGGTTTTGAGTCCTTTGCAAAAGGTTTCTCAAAACCTAGTTTGCCTTCGTTTTTACCGTCCTTCTGCAGGTTGTCAATCAAAATGAGGTAGGTCTTGCAGGTCCCGAGGATCCAGCGACCGTCAGCGCTGACGTCGAGACCGACGATTGCCTCGCCCAGAGCTGGAATTTGTGTTTTGGCATTGATTCCGAGACGGTCGTAGAGTCTGACATCGCCTTTGTTGGATGCCAGTGCGATGTACCCCTTCTCAGTCGTGGCAGCTGCGGAGAAGTCATTTTTGGAAAGGTATTGTTTGAGTTGTGCTTCGACCAACTTGTTGCCCGAAACACGAGGATCGATGCGGAAGAGGGCGTTCTTGCTGTGACCGATGAATGATTGTGCTGACGTCCGTTGAGAGAATTTCGTTTCTGGAGCAAACCCGCTTACAGCAATGTCGTCGTGGACCTTCCACTCATCGACAACCTTACCATACTCGAGGTCCATGCGATAGAGTGAATTGGGGTTATTGGGGTCTTGCAACACCATGTTCTGGTCCTCTTGGTGCAGCATGACTTTGGTGGGGGAGAAGAGTTTGCCCTTAGGAGTCTCGACCTTGGATATGTTTGTGGTGAATTCGAGATGTTTGTTGGGCAGATGCTTGAAGACACCAATCTTAGAGCCGCGGATGACGAAGGACCGATCGTTTTTAGTTCCAACGGCGAGTTGAGAGTTGATGTTCCCGTCTTTGTTGTCCAGCTCAACATCATCCTCCGATTCGTCCTCATCATAGTGCTCACTTCGTGCACCGTCTCCTTCTTCGTCTTCTTCGTCTTCTTCTTCCTCGGCTTCCTCTTCCCCCTCATTTACATCCTTCATCGTCAAATCATTGAAGGCTTCCAGTACGTATTCACGCTCCTGGTCTTTTACTTTGGACCACTTCGTCTCGTTCAATTGCTCCCACAAAGCCTGCATGACGCCTTCTTGAAAGTTCTCCAAGACTGCCTGATCCTTGAACCGTAGCAGCCAAGAATAGGCGGAGCCATCATCGGTGTAGTGATTGAAAATTGCAGACAGATAGTCGAAGTTGAAGACTGGATTGATATCCGGCACTATAGCTTGGCCTAGCCATTCCTTGCCGGTGGAACTAGTTATTTGAAGCCAGTATTGCCAGCCTCCAAGATCTGTCACAACAGCCACTACTGACGGATCTTGAAGCACGAAAGTTCCGGACGGGAAATCAAAGAGGTGGAGCTCTCCGATTTGTTTGGTGAGGACTTCTCCAGAGCGCGGCGCAGATTTGGCAGGGGGTGCCTCCGTAGGACCACTGTCTCTCGCCTTGGCCTGGTTTAATTTGGTAGGCGTTCTGACATCCTTCGCCATTCTCTGAGCCGTTTCTTTGGATGTTGGTTTTGGATCGAGAGGCGCAGACACCGAACTCGCGGCGGGGATTGCGTCGTCCGAGTCGAAGTAGAATTCTTGGAGTTCAGTTTCTGTAGCCTTCTGAGCGGACCTCCGATATTTTCTCTCGAATTGACAATCGATCGCGGCTAGAAGAAAAGTCTGGATCTTTTCTTCTTGGATTGAAGGGTCGCAAACAAATTCATAAACATCTCCAGGGTCGCCGCTCAGGTCACGCCAGGCTAAAACTGTTTCGCCTCCTGACCGCTTTTCTGATCTGAAATGAAGACTCTGATCAAGGAGAAATGTCTTCTCGTCCTTGTCCAGACCCTCAGCGCCAGCGTCCTCGTCGTCCTCAGCAAGTTCTTCTTCACCCTCCTCGTACGCACGCTGTATAACAAGTTGGTATTGATATTCTTGCCCCGTGCGTCGAATTGTGGCGACAGCGTCTTTGTAGATGAGTTCAGAGTAGCCCTTTGGAGAAAGAGGACGGACGAGGTAGAGTTGGCCCTGGGGGATTTCCGTAATAACCTCCTTGGAGCTGTCCCCAAAGAGATATTTGCTGACTGCAAAAATGTGTTTGTTAGTTTCAAAAGCGCCGGTAGTGGACAGCAGGCAAGGATGTATCGTACCGTTTTTGATCATAAACATGATGGCGGGGTCTGGCTGCTAAGCTGCAACGAGCCGAATGGACTTTGGCCCCTGCGCGACTGGGTTTGAAACGGTGGCAGGAACGTCAAGGGTAGTTGTAAGATCAGGCTACCATAGATTTCAAAAGAGCGAGAGAATCCTGTGTTGAAATATTCAGTCCATCGCCGCTGTTCCAAGACGTTAGAGACGCAAGATAAACAATTCGCAGGCAAAGGCAAACTTTAGGGTAAGGTGAAAGCGAGGCGTGCCCCCATGACGCAAGAGTCCTAGGCAACTGCGAGCCCCCCTTTTCAAGGCACAGGCAAGGTTTCGGCACCAGGCGACCAAGGCACTACTGAAACCCAGCCTGATGGGGAGTCGCAAGGCTGAAACTTGTCCTCCAATGTCACGCCAGGCACTCCCACCTGCGACATTTCTCCAGGTGTGTCTCTTCAGGACGTCAACAACTCGCATTGTGCACCAATACTCTCACTTTCTGTCCTCGGGATTTCTCATCTTGCACTATCACTTTGTCTATGGCATCAAAGGACACTTCGAATCCAGACAGACGAGATTCCTCCTCTCAACGCAAGAATGCGCGCCCGTCTCTGGCCGACAATCCTCACCATCCCAATTCAGCCGCGTATCTCGCATACCCGGTCAAACACGTTGTATCCAGCCTCTATCGTCGTATGACCGAACCTCCTGAGAACCCGGTCAACAGACTCCTCGATGCGCCCGCGATTTCGGCCTCCTCATCGGGCAGATATACTCCTCCAAGAAGAACTGCGTCTCCTTTCCAACCTCCACCCCTCACCCCTCTTGAATTGAGGCACTCATTGTCCCAAAAAGCCGCAGGCTCCTTGCTCTTGACGCGCTCACTGGCCGAAGAAATTCGACTTCTACTCCCTCCACGGCTTCAACTCATTGATCACTGGACGTTGGCATATTCACTAGAGGCTCATGGTTCCTCGTTAGCGACCTTATATGAACACTGCGCCCACGTTTCGACCTACACTCAGCGCTCAGGCTATGTCCTTGTAGTAAGAGACGGGTCGGCATCATCAACAAATGGATCTGTCTTCGGGGCATATCTCTCGGACGTGCCCAAACCATCCCTTCATTACTTTGGCACAGGCGAATGTTTCCTCTGGCGGGCAAGCATCTTGCCCACCTTGCGGGATCTGTCTACAAACCTGCGCCCCGGTACAGAACCCGCCTCAAACGACCTGCTGGAGTTGGCTGGGCTGCCCCCTCCGCCTAGTGCTGATACCACCAACCTGCAACGGTTTACCACAATCCGAGGGGAGCGTCGGACACCCTCGGCGTCAACCACCTCGTTACCACAGCCTTCCAACACCAAGGAACCATCCGCGCACTTACAGTCGCCTATTGATCGATCAGGCGCTTCAACACCCGACCGAATCAGGTTCAAAGCGTTTCCTTACAGTGGTGTGAATGATTTTCTGATCTACTGTGAATCAGGATATCTCTCCGTCGGAGGCGGAGATGGGCATTATGGCCTGTGGTTGGACGATGAATTGAATAGTGGCATCAGCGAATCATGTCCCACGTTTGGTAACGAACCACTAAGCGAAGAGGGCCGACGATTCGAAGTTCTCGGCGTGGAGGTGTGGTATGTTGGTGCATGAACACAGAGCTTTCGGCGGCGAATCAGAGCCGAGCACTCACCTCTGTACACTGACCACTTAACCTACAATGCCAGGGAGTCTGGGAGGCCGTTCCAGTCATTGATCCAACCAAACTGAAATTGATTCATTACAGCTCATTATCCCTGGGTGTCGGACAGGAATCTGCCACCGGGTCCCCTATCTTGAATAATCGGGAAATGCGCCGAATTTGTCGTACGTCGAGCGAACAGTTTTCCCCAGACAGCATAACGAGACTTCTGTTTGCGGCAAAGATACTGCTGGACGACGAATCTGGGGCAGATCACCGGTGTTTGGCTGGAGCGATCCATGCTGAGTGAGCTGCCTTGACACGCGGCCCTGATCTTGAAGCATGACTTGCATGATCTCTTTCTGGGTACAATCTACAAGAAGTTAGCCGTGTGGACAGCCGACTGCAATCACCAACGCTGATTACTTCAGCAGACCGTACCGGTCGAATTGATTGTTAGCTTCAAGACAACCAAGGTGGCTTTCCCTTGTGAGGATTTCTGGCAAGTGAGGCCTTGGCTTATTGGCGCTGGGAGACACCTGTCCCCAGACCCCGATATCCCATATACTTTCCCCGTCCGTGGAGCAGAGGGTTTGGATTAGGTCAGTGGTTGCCTTGCTTTGGTAATTCTGCCACTACTTGCATCCCATGCCAACCCTTTTGAGAACCCGTCCTGAAAAGGACTATGTTATACGTATCTGTAGAGGCATGGGAGGTCTGGATCTCTGCTCTTTCAGATGCGGTCGAAACGGATCGTCGATTGAGCCCTTCGTTGGACCCGTTCGCTCACGGCGGCCGAATATTTTGTCTCAATCGCAGGAGCCAGACTCCACCTTTGATTTCCAACAAGCTATACAGATGCCCTGCTCAAATCGTCGTACCAAATATCCCCGGGCGTTTAAAGGTGGAGATCAGCCGTCGGTCGGGACGTAGATCGGGCGCAACCGCAGGCGCATTTAGGGGCATGCTGCTGCTAGGTATTCGTACGAGAGCATCGCAGCTGCATCAGATGTGAATCCAACGTTGGGGGAGCCACAACGACGTCATCCCTCAGGTGCTGTGGTGTTGGGGGGGCTGAAAGTACAGAGCAAGCCACGACTTGAATGCTCCATTCCGTGTGCGGGACCGAATGAAAGCCTAGGTCTGGACAGCAGTGCGAGCTGGGGAGCTGGGGAGAAAGCGGCTAGGCCAATGGCTGTCGAGGCCACACCTGCCGCAAGAGGAAACCCGGGCGATATCCGTAAAGCGAAAGCTTGAATCCCAGGAAATGAATTCCTGCGGAAGGATGGAGATGGCTGCAAGCATTATTGTTTCGAAGCAACGCGGGCCAACATTGTACCTGTGGGCCAGCAATGACGCAGGTGGTACAAGGCACCAGCAACACTACTCAAAGAAGACGCCTAGTCAGCAAGTCCATGCACACAAGTTGGACCACTGGTGTGCAGCAGAAAACGGGGGAGAAAATGCGCCGGGCCTAAAATCCACGTGGTTGTGGTTGTGGTTGTGCTGTGAGACTCGCATGATCTGACGGGTAGCTATCTCCCATCTACCGCCGCCAGCTAGTCCGGGTTTGCGGGGGAGGCAAAGAGCGATGGTTGAGGGTGAGAATAAACGACGGTGGCTTGATTCCTGGCAAACTGCGTGTTCCCCGAAACGGGGGGGGGCCCTTGTTTGGGTGCTTCGTATTGGCCATGCTCGAGGACGCAGAGCGGCAACAGATGAAACAGACCATTTGACCGTCTGAAGTACTAAAGCAGACGGGAGGAGAAGAACATCTCAAAATGGGTAGTGGTGTAACCGATGATTTGAACAGCGCCATGGGGTTAGTCATGATCATTCAAGCAACAGACCACAGCGAATTCCGCCCTGCAAACACGGTCAGCAAAGATTATCCGAGGTGCAACGGAGCGGACCAAAGAATTGATCCAACGTTCCTCCGGTCAGGATCCCACAGCGAGAGAACACGAATGAATGCGGCCGCCGGGGGAGGAGGGCCTGGGTATCATTTACTGCTACTACTACTACTACTACTACTGAGTGGACTGCTTCAATCATCCTGGCCGAAGCTGGATGCATTGTCCCTGGTCGCTGGTTTGCCTCGAGGCCCTGACAAGCTGCAAACTCAGATGGCTTCAACCTTTGACCAGCAGGCAGCTGCAAGGCCCAGGAAGAGATAAGATAAAACAAAAACCATGAGGCGGGGGGCAAAAGGGAAAGGGAAGTAGAATTCAATAATAATTCCGCCGTGGCTGGTGGGTGCCCAGGATGGACAAGAAAGAAAAAAAGAAGAGAATCAAAAGACGAGACTATTTGACTGCGGAAATCTAAATATCTTACCGGAAAAATTCTATAATACCACGGTTACCTGCCCAGCCGTACCAAAACCGAGCATGTCCCCGAAAACTAATCAGGAGAGGCATTATTGCGGCGCTCTTCTTCCCCCCTTGGCCCAAATTTTGCGTCTTTTTTGGGTTCCTGTTCCTTGTCGGCCTTGTGATATTTCGGAGGAAGTTCGCACATTGGTTTGCTCTCTGCTCAACCCAGCAAACTAGCAGCAGGACTGTTCTCCGTATAAGGGGGCACGACCAGTCTGGTATAGAAGTCCTCATGACGTATTTGGTCAATGCCGTTTCAGAAAGAAGCAAAGATTGCGAGCTGGATCCCCCAAGCTGCGGTGTGGCCGACTCAGCGAAAGCCCACAAGATGAGGCTATTGGTTCCTCGCACACATAATCGCATCCTTGGACCAAAGCGGAAGTCGTGGACAGGTCAGAAGGCGGCCTCGCTTCTTCGCTCTTTTCGTCGCGCCTAAGGTTGCTGTGTTAGGCCGGGGCAACAACTGGCTGTGACCTGACTCGCTGGGGGAGGGGGTGATTTGGTTGCCGAATCCCGGGAAAAGGGCAATCGTTTTACGGTTTGATTTTTCTTTTTGCAGCGTGTTGTGGTCTTTTTTTAATTCCGAAGTCCGGGAGAGATAGTTATGCTGAGAATTGCGGAGGGGGGGAGAAAGTTGGATGGTGGGCTAATGAAATCGGATAGTACCTGGTAGTAGTGAAGGCGTATGCAGCGATATGTGCCAGTTGTTCATCCAGGACAGGGTCCAAGTCGTACCTTGCCATAGTGCGTATTGGGAAATTCCAGGGTTTTCAGGGTTCCAGGCTGTGGTAGGCTAGGTGCCGTACCTACTCCAAGTGTCGCGCTCGGTCGGTCGGCGCCCAGGAGCCCAGGTGCCCAGGTGTGTGCCCAGGACAGCCCTCCCTAGCACCTAGCTCGTTAAGGCCCCTGGGCTCCTAGGCTCCTAGGCTCCTAGGCTCCGACCACCCCCCACTCGAGAATGGTCATCGTAATCCCTATGCAGCGTCAACAAGTGTCCAAGCGTCAGTCAGTCACGATCCACGCCAGCATCATGTCATCATCCAACCCAAACCATCTTCCACCCACCACCCCCCTTGCTAATCGTTAGCCTGCTGGGCTCCACTCCCTCGCTCCCATGTCCATCCCTGTCGCTTGCACCTTTTCTGCTTTGTGTGCAGATGTGTGTGTTGTGTTGCTGCCGTACGAGTACGGCACCAAAGGGGACGTGCATCAAACTTTTTGCCCGCTCTCCATCCTGCCCTCGAGTGGACTCTTTTTTGTTCGAACGCAACTCGAACGGCTAACACTGACACCCTGGTCCCAAAATGCTCATCATGGTGGATCCCCGACTAACTCATGTCTTCTTAGTAACCCAGCCCTTCACTCAGAGTACCACTGGGTACTACAAACGATATAAGGCCTCATGCCTCATGGCCTCGATGCCCTCCTTCTCACCCTATGCTCCTCGAAACCCACCTCTTAGGATACTCTTGTCGACGAAACTTCCATAAGCTGACAGACCACACACAGTCTTGTCTTCGTCTGATATCCTAGTCGTGCCTCGGTCTCCCTCTGCGTCGGGCCTCTCCCTTCCATTGATATATAGCATAGCGTTGTCCACCTGGAATCGCGAGGACACATCACCGCTCTCAGCAACCCTGAACCTAGATCAGCAATGGGCGCTACCATCATGACCCCTCCTCTGGAACCCTCATCACCTATGGACGGCGGCATTCGCAAGCGAGTATGCAAAGCTTGCGACCGCTGCCGTCTAAAGAAGTCAAAGGTCGGTCAAATCCCTCCGCGTCCTACATGCCCCCCCTGACATGCTGACCCCGTACTAGTGCGATGGTGCCAGTCCCTGTAGTCGGTGCAAAGCAGACAATGCCATCTGCGTCTTCGGCGAGCGCAAAAAGTCCCATGACAAGGTCTACCCCAAAGGGTAAGTTTCTCGGCGCATGAACTCGGTCTCTACCAGCCCTTCTGACATTGATGTGTCTCCAGATACGTAGAGATGCTCGAAAGCCAGCAAGCACAACTTGTAGCCGGCCTGCAAGAGTTGTACAAGCGAACGCAAAGCGGCCAAGGCTGGACGGGCGCACCTTTGAAGGAGTCGGCGAACGGTGTTCCTTTGACCCACGACATTCTGGAGAGGCTGGGTGCCCTGAAGCAAGATGGTCACACAAGCGACGTCTTCGAGGAGGACCTCGCTGTGCTGCAACAGAAGTTGATCGCCGACGGCGCTGGCTTCATGCAACGGCAACCCTCGCACGACTCCCACTCGGACAGCAGCGCACCCTCGCCCATCTACGAGCCCGTTGCCCAGCGGCCCAACTTCACCAACCCATTCAACCTGAACCAGTTCCCTCCTACACCACCCAACCAAAGTCCGTTCCCCCAGAACGCACGCGTCATCCCGACGAAGTCCCACTCGTATCCTCATGCTCAGTCGAACCTCAGCTGGAACACAGCGGTCTCGGAATTCGATGACAGCATGGACTTTATCAACCAATTCGAGTCGCCCATAATGGAGTCCGCCATCGACATGAATTCATTTCCGCCAACCATGTTCCAGGAACATATCGTCCCCGCCGCCATCAACCCTTGTCTGACCATGAAGGACTGGGCTGGCCAGGAAGATCTTCAACGGTACTTCAACGCCAATATGATTTCATAACCGCCAGAGGCTCCTTTCTCAGGACACGACTGTTTAACGATCATATCACTGTAATGCATCCCAAAAGCGGGCGTACGGGTTTGGCTTTTTTTTGTGGGGTGGTTTCTCCCGCGATCGCTTGGGTTATTGGGAGGGGTTTTGCGGATATCGCATCCGGCGGGCAGGGCGGCACCCAAAGACGACCTTGATGGCAAACGTCTTTTCTGCTAGCGGAGTGGAATTGTTATCTCCTCGCAGCTGGTTTACGTCACCCAGTGGGCTTCGAGTTGTACCATGTGGTGATGGCAAGTTTTTGATGATACCATATCTCGATCGGGACATGCTTTGGGTGGGAACAGGTCTGGGAGCATTTGCCAAATGGCGAAAAAGGTGGTCACAGCACTCGTTTACGGGCAGTGTGAGAGATCAGGGTCAACGCAGGCTGGCATGCCTCGTCGAGTAACCTCACCAAGCTTCTATATACTAATGCATTGAGCAGAGAGCAATCTCTTCGCGTGAGTACGAGTAATGCAGCAGAGGCAGCAGTTCGATCAAGAATGCGCGAGCCTAGTTCAACTTCAACCTTGATTGTTTTCCCCCTGGCTTCTTCTGCGCACATGCCTCTATTCTGCTCTGCTGTTGGGATCTTGCTCTCAACGGAGTTTCGGTCTACACGTGAAACCTTTGCCGCCTCCGCTTTGCCGGGAATGAGGCCTCGCACGGCGAGATGATGAACGTCGCATTGGCCACATGCTGAGGTTGGTACGAGTCCGCTCTTCCGAACGGCACCCCTGCCTACGCCCGTCACTCTCAGACCACGCATTGAAATGTGGAAGGAGTGGTCAAGGGCTCCATCTACGACACGCCGAGCCCATGTCAAAAATAAATGGCACAGTCTGGCGTGAAGCGGGTTTTCCAGGGGGTTAACTCTGACTTGGTCGCTCCGAGATACTACTAGGTACCTACTCTATTATTGTACACAGCGATGCCCCTGTCCTCAATTGACGATATGAGCCATTTGATCTAGCGGCCACCTCGTCGTTGTCTCGAGATTGCGTCAGACTGTGCCGTTTGCATTTTCCTACAGAGCTTGATGCATGATCCAAACTTTGACAAAAGGTGATGATGATTTTGGTGGCACCTGCCCCGCAACAGCCTCACGCCATGCCCCAACTTCAAAAACTCCGTGTCTACATTCACAGCTTCGACAGTCCGTCTTGTGGATTGTCTATCTTACACCACAATCTCGTAGAGAGCGGTTGCTTCTCGGCACTTGCATGAATCCCATAGCGTGCTCAATTCAGCCTATGGTACGCTGAGCCGGGTAAATTTGCGCCAACAAATGACTATGTCCCCCGCCTGTTCTATTGGACAGAATGTCACTGTAACCAAAAATTCCCAATCATGACCTCAAGTCCATGAACTCTCTATGCACAGTCTCTTGTCGTCACTTTCTGTTGGCGACTATAACTCTCTCTGCTCAACTTTGACCTTGCCTCGCTTGCACCGCGTTTGGCCGCTGCAGCCGTCGCAATCATGTCGTCAGAGTCCGGCTTCTCTTTCCTCCCGCAGGGTGCAATCATCCAGGAGTTCAAAGTAGCCGGTCATAACATCGTGCTTGGGTATCCCAACCCCGAGCCATATGCCGATTCGCCTTTCTTCGGGGAGACGATTGGCCGCGTTGCCAACCGCATCGAGAACGCCGAGTTTACTCTGAATGGAAAGACGTATAAGCTAGCGGCAAATGAAGGTCCTACACATATTCATGGAGGTATCAAGGGATGGGGTAAGAAGCAGTTCAAGGGCCCTCAGCCCGTCAATCGCGACGGAAAGGAAGCAGTCCTCTTCACGTATCTGTCGCCGGACGGGGAGGAAGGATATCCCGGCACGGTAGAGCTGAAAGTCTGGTATATAGCTTGGACGGAGGACGAAGGCGGAGTGACCAAGACCGTGCTTGAAACAGAGTATGAGGCGGAATTGGTTGGGAACGAGTGTGACGAGACGGTCGTCAACATCACAAACCACGGGTGAGCCTGGTCCACAACTGCCTCTATGTCAGCCCCTACTAACACCGCCCTGTACAGCTACTTCAACCTGAGTGACGGACCCACGATCGAAGGATCGGTGGTTACCCTTCACACTTCGAAGTACCTGGTAGTGGATAGCGCTCTGATCCCGACCGGGGCGATTGAAGATTTCCCTGGTGTTGAAGCAAATAAACCTTTCGTCCTAGGTGAGACAGAGCCGGACATTGACCATTGCTTTGTGGTCGACACGGACACATCAGAACTTCCCCTTGATACTCGCCGACGACAGCTCAAGCCGTTGATCAGTGTATCACACCCCCAAACCAAGCTACATCTGGACGTCTTCAGCACGGAACCTTGCTTTCAGTTCTACACGGGGAAACACATCAAAGCCGCGGCAACAGAGCACACCCCAGCACGAGGTGCACGAGCAGGGTTCTGCGTTGAGGCAAGCCGCTTCATCAACGCGATCAACGTGCCCGAATGGAGAAACCAAGTGATACTCAAGCGCGGCCAGATCTGGGGCGCAAAGACTGTGCACAAGGCTTGGAAGGCGTAGGATAATATCAGGCCGCCCAGGCGACGTACCGAGTACACAAGGCTGAACAAGGCTCGCCTTGCACCCACCGTGTCCCTCGGTGAGTTTTTCTAATCATAGAAGGTGTGGGATCACGTGTGGGCGTGATGACGGGGGAGGGCGTATACAGACAGCTCGAGAATCTGACTCGGTGAGCACTTGCGAACGAGGCAGGATAAGCGATAGAATATTCAATCTCGGCCTGACAAATGCAGCTCATACGATGACGGCATAAAAACGACCATGGCCAAACAACAATGCGGATAGTCCCCGTCGTTGGTTGCATGGGCTAACTTGGCCACTTCCTGGGTCCAGGAGAAAATCACGCGTGCCGATATTCCAGAAGACCATGTCGAAAATGTGGATTTCATCTTAGAAGGAGAGAAAATGCCTCATAGCCCCCCCCCAGACAATCGCCGTGGGAGATGCGAGATCATGGAGCCGCTTTATTCAGCTATCGACGACGACAAAATGTCGAGGAGCAACGACTTGCGGTGCGTCGGCCGTAACTAAAAGCCGAGTGCCTTGCTCGGAAAGGCATCCGTGGCCCGATCAACTTCCAAACGCCAGGGTCAGAGTGGTCCCTGATGTACGGAGTACGACTGAACCCAACTCTCTTGGAACCTCGTGATTGAAGTTTCGGGGACCTTGGACAAGACATCAATCTCGTTCGGCCCTGCGTCTCAGCCGAGTTCTCGCCGCGTTGCTCTGATCGACACGATCGCATTACAACCCCTTTTTTCTTGCAAAAATGCCGCTTGGGTGTAATGAGCTGTCCCGTCTGAAGCATTCCCTTGTTGGCGACAGGCAGGAGGCAAAAAGGCTACAGCGAAGAGGGCTCCAGCATGACCATTTTTGTGGGAGTGTCGATCCAAGGAATCACATATCCAATCACGCGAGTACGCATCCACCTCAAGGCGTTTGGCACCAGCATGGGGATGGTGTCGGATATCTTTTCACCCGAATCCGAAACCCTGCCTGAACTCGCACGAACACTGAAGCGGTTGCAAAGCTGCGCCGTATTTTGTTCAACTTCCCCTCTTCTTGACAGGAGCACGGCGACCCTATGGCTTGCCTGAAGCCCCTGCCAGCCACCCTTTAGTGTTTTGGCGATGCGGTTCTGGACCTGGGAAACGGCTGGTTCGTGCGCACCGACAACCAGAATTCGGCGGTCAAAATCACGTCCAAGTGGCTGAGCATGATTGGACACCTGGGGACCAGAGTCTGAGCTCGTTCTCCAAGGTGTGATTGATCCGCACGAAACGGACTGAACAAAGAGCGAGAGGGGGTAGAGAGCACAAGACCCCGACGCTGGATCGATGCTATTGGGCGTCCTACGGAGGGTGTAAAACACATCAAGGATCGAACCACACCGGCCGCAAATTGGGATCCACGGGGGCTGTGGTTTTCTAGAAGATCTATCGGGCAGCAGATATCAGCAGTCTAATTGTCGCTGCAGGTGGCGGTCGCTGCTCAGGGCAGGCCGCAGTTTCCAGGCATTGCCCAGGCATCAGCCAAAGGAGGCAAGCCGTGGCATCTTCTTGTCGAGCGCATGTGGAAAGATGCGATTGGGCGAGTGGCGGCATTCAAGGCGGCTTGGGGGATACGAGGTAGGTCACAGCCCCTTCTATATTCCGGGCTCTAGATCCACGTATTCGCTTGGGCTTCCAAGAGCGGGATCCTCAGTCGTCGCTACAACACAGGATCGCCCTGCCAGCTTGCCAATGCGTTCCCCGCGGGAAGCCTCGTGGTCCTCACCGCAGCTTTTGGAGGACTGGCGATGATTCTTCTTCGATTTGGATTGGCGTCCCAAGAGGAACAGTAGAGAGCTCCCCCCAAACTCAAGTTGATCCAGGGGATATGGTGACATGCCCAGCACCAAGAAGCCCCTCTGCCCAGCGCCACTGTTGACGCGCGAATCCTTGACGTTCGTGCAAATGATTATTTTTTTTTTAAGAACATCCATCTTTTTCTTTGTTGATCTCGGCGGGTGGGCGTAGGGGGGGAAGATTCCGCTGAGCAAGTTGCTGAGAAAGACCCAAGCAGCTCAGGCCAGCTCACTAGGGGACAAGCATTGGATGATGGAGGGGTGGGCGCAAGTATGGCCCGGGTGGGTTAGTTGTCCGGGCATAATTCGCTGCATAACTCCTGTTCGGGATAAAGGCCAGTCGCCAGTAGTTTTCAAGTCGTGAAATGTCAACGTCATGGCTGTATTGGCGTGACCGAGAGTTTATCCGGTATTGTCACGGCGGTATGGACATTTCAATGTTCAAATGTCGACATCGCATGATTCTCGTTCGATCTTCAAAACTTCCCGTCTTCTTGGTTCTGTTTCTTCTCGCTCCTCGCTGGCTGCTCGCTCGCTCTTGGTCGCCGAAATCAACGCAAAAGTAATCAGACTTCCCAACTCGGCCACCAGACAGATCATCACCGTATCTCTGCTGCTAGCCTTTTCGCCATCGACCCGCGTGATCTACGGTCAGGGTTGCGCTCGCAGGGAGTCCCTCTTATCTAGCGCCAAACTGATGCCTCTATCAATCTGGTCCCCCCCCCTCCCTCGGTCTCAGTTCACGGCTACAGTCAAGGGCAGGGCAGTCAGTCCTTTGCATGGCGCTACAGAAACAAAACAAAGTTCCTAGCCTGGTTATAACAACTTCCAACCGACCGCGCTTTGCCCTTTTCGAGCTCGACTGTTGGCCGGCTTGATTGGCCTGTCGACCGAGCAGCCTGCCGCTGACTCAGAGTGCTCACCAAATCTCTGTCATGGTTTGGGTGAATCTAGTCCCCCTCTCTACCGCCAGCTTTGTCAACAGCTCTCGTATTTTGTCCACAGCGGCTCGCACACTCTCCTCGGCCACGGGTTAGTTCTTGACCTTCATTCCCGCCTCGAACCAGACAGCTTCAACCCAGACAGGTTCTTCTCCCCACTCGAAACTTTGCACGTCTTGCCCGTGTCACCTATTAGATCTGGCCCTCAAGACCGCGGCTCGTTGAGCCCAGCCTCCCTTGGAGGATTTTCTTGTTTCTTGCTCGGGTAAGTGTGACTTCCTGTTCGAGGAATGGTTTCACACCGAGTGGTGTTCGAGACTTGAAGATGTTGGGTCTTGCTTTCCCCGCTCCTTTGACGAGCGCGCCAGACAGCAGAGACCTTGCATGTGCGATCTGCATGCCATCCTGTGACTCATCAAGGAGCATGCCAAATTATACGCCCCTTGCTGCGCTCTCTCCGCACATGCAACCAATGTCAGGGCCTGTTCCCACTTCGAGAATGGGCTTCGCAGGTCCCTTCTTTGCCAATGCACGGCCAGTTGCATGGTCACGGGGTTTCCAATGTCGCTACTAATTGCTCTTGATGGATCTTCACCGCCCCCCCTGCCATTGGCTTCGGGCAGCATAATCAGAAGCTGCTGCGTGATAGGAAGTACCTATGGGATTTTCTTCTTTTGGCATTAAAGACCTGTTTCAGGTAGTGAGCTCCTTCACTTCTGATTGGGAGACGGCTATTCAACGTTTCTGGAAGTTCTTCCAGGCACGAATACTGCGCCCGCCCCTCATGCGCCCGCTTGTGAAATCGACGGGCGGCTTTGTCACCAAGGCCTACAATTTGCCTCGACGCCTTCCATTCTCGAGCGAGGTCGACGGTCTGACAACCGACTGGGGGCGTTTTCTGAACAATTCTGAGTAATTCGGACTTCGACCGAGGTTATATCCGCCGTCGGGCGCCTGATTTGGAATCCAATATGTTCCCACCAAGTTAGCATACGCCGGAACGAAGAGTCCAGAGGGGCAACGGCAGCCCTTGTTGCTCTCCAGGTGCGGATCTGCCCTTGACCACTCAATAATCGTCTACCATGACTCGTTCAACGTCGGGTTACGATGACGAAACGGAGAAAATCTGACGACCACCCCAGTTATATCCGATATCAGACCAGGCACTTCCGCAACGGGAAATAGGCGAATCCGTCCCTGCTTCACACGGGATCGTGTTTCATGTGCCCCTGGCCCAATTGGCACCGACGTCGCTGTCCAAGAAACCCAGCCCCCTCCGTCGTAGTACTTGAAGGAACCCCGACGACTAGCCCGGACTAGAGAGTCGTCGATAGTCTGCCCAAGAGACTAACATACTTACTTACTCATCCAGGTGCGCAAACTCAATCTGGAACCTGATCTCAGCACTGTCCTTTGGTTGAATGATGGATCACAGCTCCAGGTAATACCTCCGATAGCGGGAAATCACAAACAAGCGCCCGGGCATCACCAGTTGCGCAACAAAGCCAAACAAGTCAACCCTGCCTTTTCGGGAAGTCACACGCTGCTCTGCTCAAAAAGGGAACAAACTCGTCTTGGAGGGTTCACTAGAATTACATCAGCCCTTCCAGGAGGCTGGTGTACGATCCAGAGATGCCTCGGTACGACCTCCGTCCTTGCGTACAAGTACCGATTAAACTCGTGGATCCCCAGCCTACTCCTAATTCTATGCTGATCGTCGATCTTACGGCTCCTTTCAAGCTCGGCAATCCGGACCCTATGCGGTTACAGCCGTGCAAAGCTTGACACCCACCGAACATCGAAAGGTTGTTCTTGATTACCTATCTGTGGGTTGTTTGATCGGCATCTAGATCTTCCGCTCAGCTGAGAGCTGGCAAGGTACGGTTTAGGGAGTATCATGAGAGTTCCCTCCCCTCCCCTCCCCCAAATCTGAACAACACCATTCGCGGACAAACGAGATCCAGGTCGTGCAGGGAACGGGAACCGAGAAAACCTCTGAATCCCTCCCGTCCAATCTTTCTGCCAGATTTTCTTTTTTGGGGGGGGGGGGGGGCGTTCAGCAATGATGTCAGTCAGCCTCGGCGTGGTACCCACGTATTTACTCACTGAAGTTGACGAGCAGGAGCAGAAACGTGACTGGCGAGAATTGCTCGACGTCATCGTCACTCACTCTGTGCGAGTCTGCTGGAATAGATGAGCCATTTGGACGTCCACGAGCTCGGCTTTCTTTCCCCATGGACGTTCAGATCGATAGATAGTCTTCCGCACTTCCTCGCCTGATGGAAAGTCTCCCAAAGGGGGGAAGGGGGGGTGATTGAATTGGGAAATGGCACAAAGCAAGCGGTGGGCTTGATCATTTTCAGAGGCTACTCGTAGTGGCATGGCATGGTCCCCCGTAGGGGCAATGCGACGCCTCCTGCCCAAGGGGGTCAGAATCAATTTTTGATCACTGCATCCATCAGGCAAGGGAGGGAGTGTTGTTTCACGAACGGGCAGTACCAGGATGTGGGATTCCTTCCCTATTTGCTGCACAAATCTGTCTATTGGACCCAAGAACGGGCCCCCCTCTCCTCCTCCTCCTCCTCCTCCTCCTCCTCCTCCGTCGTCGGTGAGCGAGGATTTGTGTGCAATTTGGTTATTTTTTTGGCCAAGCTTCCTTCGACGGGGCTGACATGCGAGATGAATCATCGACGACGGTGTGGTTGTGGTTCTGATTCCCCAGCACGCCGCCCGCACTCGGGATAGAGATACGCGGTTGCTTTTGTCTTGTCGCGAGTGACCCGAACACGAACACGAGCACGAGCACGAGCACAAGCACGAGCACGAGAAAACACTCTCGCCAACAATCACCGTGTCACAGCCTCCCTGATGAGTGCAGAGAGACAGAGGATGTGATTGCTGGCTTTTAATTCAGCAGCAACCGCCAAGGTTTGCTTGGGTGGAAAGACCGAAACTACTCGAACAGTAACGATGATGATATTTGATATTTCTATCGGCAATTTTGCTCGGTATGTAGGACATTGTGCGTGAAGCCATCGCGTTTTGCGCAAACGCCGGTCTGGTCCAAACCCATCCATGAATGCAGCTTTTGTCATTAACACGTTGCCATAATGTCTTTTTCTTTCCCCGGAGCGCGCGAATCTCGTAGAGAGGGAGAGGAAGGGCGTAAAAATACTCCTTCGCAATGATACATGGCGTAAATGGGCGCCTTCCCGAGATTACAAGGGATTGACCCTCATCCAGTCTTCAAGGTCGTCGCCATGCGGAGGTCGTTGGTCGTGGTCGTCACAACATCTCGGTAGTGTCAGCGTCCCCGGCCTCGTCGATCTCATCCGCAGAGCCTGTAGCCAGATTCCACACCCTCCATCTCAGCTTTTCGATCACCTCTTTTCTCAGCCAGCTGGCCCCACTGTTCGAGAACCATTTATCTGGATCTTGATCCCCATCGGTATCCCTACCAGGACTTTTTGGGTGTCGCCCAGTCGTTTGTTCTCTTCGATTATGCTCCTCATCCTCCCTCTCCCACCGATCAAACCAGGCAAACAACAGCCTCAACTGCCATAGTTTGTCTTTATCCATCTGGCTCTTTTCTACGCCAGAATTTTGGTCTCCGTGAGATTTAAAAGGAAGAATGCCTTTCTCAAACTCGAGTCGGGAATCCACGACCGTGACTCTGCTCATTTCTTTGGCGTCTATAAGTGTGGGGCCTAGGATCAGCGCTCGTTCCGCATGATCAAAGTCCTTGAGAGACCCGATTTCGAACATCCATTCGAACGGGTTCGGGGTTGCCGTCTTTGCAAAGCTCGTGGTAAGGCCAACTCCGGATGTAGCGCTGGTGACGACCGCACTAGTATAAGAAGGAACTGCGTTAGGGTCAACACTCGGAATTCCCATCGCCCAAGCTTTGGCTTGCAACTCTGCCGTGAAAAGATTCTTCGGGGGCTCATCGTACGCCGTGCGGCGCCGAAGGACAACATTCACGGCATTTTCGCTCTTAATCTTTTCTCTCAGCGTTTTGCCCCCAGCGTCGAAATCAAGATGCCCATCCCAGAAGCCTTCACCCTTGATATCAATGGATTTGATGGTGCTGAACTCCGGTATCAACCCAGGCAAGCGAATTGACTGCGTCTCACCATTTTTTAAAGAGATGCGACCAGTCATGCCTCCCGAGACGGAGCCACCTGCGTCACCGTCTCTTGCGACGAGACACCGCCCCTCAGCGGCAAGCACCCATAGATGTCGCAAAGCTTGAAGGTGGCCGCGGTTGTCGAGGACGTCATTTGGGAAGATCGGATAGAAGGCGATACACAGGCTCGCGATCCCTAGATTTGAGGTTCCGAAGGTACGTGTGCCACCGGCTAGGAATAATGCACCGAGCGCCATATGTGCGGCAAGGTGGCTTCCGAATGGTGTGTCTCTATCGGTACGTCCATGAAGGGCACGCAGACGGCGCATGATGATCAAATCGCCGGATCCGGCCATAACGGTGGCTGAAGAGAGGGCAAGGGTATCGAGACAGTTACGCACACTATTCAGCGTAATTCGCGAATCGTAGTTATGCGCGGGTAGACGACTCAGACGGAGGAATTGGTCCAGGTAAGAGACGAGGAGATCGCGGACGTCGTGTCGTTGAGAACCTGCGAACCTCAGCCCGATTGCGAAGCAGATCCCGGCAACAATGTTGAAGAATGGCATGTCTTCAGTGCTCAGAAATTTCGTAGCCTTCAAATCAATTCTCGGTCTGTAGGGCTCGGGAAGGGAGGCTTGGATAAAATCGTTCGTGGGTTGAATCGAGTCCCACATTATCAGATGCCGAGCAAGAGTTCGGAGGAGGAAGATATCTGGTCGTACATAGTCGAATAGGTGCAAGGTATCCGGAACGTCGACTTTCTTTGCAATTGCACTATCATTGGTTTTCATAAAAATGAAAGCAATGGCCATAACAGCTCCCGCAGTCGCGCGGTCGAGGACGTGGACCATATTCACATTCTTCGTGCCCACGGCGATAGTGAGAAGGCGTTCGACAACACCCATATCATGAAGACCATGAAGGCGTTTGCCCTGCCCAAGATTTATGAGACCTAAAGAAAATCCGGCCGCAAGTCGATAACCCTCATCGCGAAGGACGTTGTCGAATGCAACACCTTCTTCCGGATCATCGTTTTCAATCTCGGATAGCATAACTTCAGACATGCGGCGGTGTTGAGAATTGTAATACAAGAGTCCAATTCCCATGATTCCAGTGGTTTGTGTCAATGGAGACAGATTGAGTTCAGCTGCACCAGACGGCAGGAGACGGGTGACGTGAACGGAGAGCAGGCGCGTTATCAGAGTGTCCATGGTTCCTAGAAAAGAGGCTGACAGTCCGAGCAAGAGTCCAACGGATGTCATAGTGTGCTTCGGCGTGAGATACTTGAATGCAACCCATTTGGCCAGTGTTTTGAGATGTCCATTGAGACCAAGAGCAAGCAGAAACCCTGCGTGGCGGTTGGTCAATTCGGGCGGCTTGTTATACAGTATCCATGAGGTGTTAATCCCTTTGGCATCGTTCGAGATCATGAGACCCATTGAAGCGCCGTTGTGAAAGAATGCCCAACACACTTTTTCTTCCGTAAATGTGGCTTTGTCGGCGCTGAAAGTCATGGCTTGAGTACCCTCACCGGCATTGCTAGGCTTCATGATACACTGCAGACTAAAAGCAGGTATGGGCACCCTTTCGGTGAGCAAGGGGACACGAGCATTAAAATGCATCATCCCTCGTCCTGCAGCCACAGACAATGTCCTCCGGGTAACGTGTTGCGCCAGTTCCTTTTGCGCCTCTAACAACTCCACGTCGCTCCAGCCGGGCTCCGGCGTGCACTCAACCACTGGAGGTCTTGTCTGGTTGACTAGTTTGGAAGCTTCTGAGAAGCGGCGGTCCTCATTGAATATCAACTTGCTAATAACATGCCGGTCGGCCTCGGAGGATGCGTCCCATCTTTGAAGTGTTTCCGCTTCGATTGCAGATGAACAGACAGCGTGATAGTCCTTCAGAGCTTCGTGCGACGATGGTGACAACTGTGATTTATATGGGTGGTGAGACAGATCGTCACCTCGTTGAACTGTAACGCTTCGTCCCAGAACAAGCTGATTCACTTGGTCCCCAATTTTGTCCGCCCTGTACCGGTTCGACGCAATTGTTTGATGGAAAGCAGCTGCTACCCCGTCCGGAAGAGTGCTCAAGATGCGCTCATTAAACCCTGACCGAAGCAGAACTGTAATTGCTCTCTGGGGACTGAGCTGATCCTTCGCTTGATCCATGAGGGACAGAAGAGCCAACGTTCGGGGCGTCAGGTCTGCTGCCTGCCACCACAATGGGTGATCATGGTGGCTCAGCTCAGGAAAACCAGACAAACGAGTCAACGTCAAAAATGGAGCAGGCGGGTTCCCAATGATCCATTTTTCAAAATGATCGTAGATTGACGGCGGCGGAAACGGTTGGGCTGGAATTCGCAGACCATCAAGTAATGACTCGTCGTACAAATAGTCAGTGACTTCCGCCGATTCGTGTTCATAATAGGTGGAACTCCCAGATGTCCAGTCTTTCCATCCAAGCCAACGCCCCAGCTGAACAAGAACAATCAACAAACTGTTCCTTGCATCTTTCCGACCAGGATTTGCCATTATATTGAGTTTGTCTTCTTCATAAAGGAGATGCAGACCGAGTAGAATGCTGGGTATGGCATTGCATCGTTGTTCTCGCTCCTTGTTGATCGAAGTCGGCAGATAGCCCTCGGGTCCGAGGGCACTTTCCCCTGTGGGAGTCTGAGTATACTCTCTTGCCAGTGCTATACATCCAATCAAAAATGCGTTCTTCTTATCAGGAGGACTTTCGTGGAAAGACGCCGTGCTCGCCGCACGGGAGTGCTTTGATTTGGGGGTGACTGTCGTTGTACCATGAGGCTTCTGCGAAACCCACTCCCAAGCGGGTCCTTGCATTCCAAATCTCTGGGGTATTTCGTCATCTGCATGATGCATTAGGTCGTAATTCGTAAGGTCGATGGCACTTCCACTGCTGGAGCGAAGGAGAGCAGTTTTGGTTCGACGCCGCGTGGGTGTGGACTGTGGATGTTGACTGCTGATGAAAGGCACTCCGAGCGAGAAGAGCACCACCAGCATTGCGGTCCATTCAGAGGTCACTGGTGGTTCCCTGCCTTTCAACCACCTCGAGACCTCCCAAAATGCAACGAGCAGGCTCTCCTGTTGGTTTGATCCTAGCACCATGTCACACATCTTGAGAACCTTGTGAACGAGAGGATCTCGCGGAGCAAGTCGGATTCCCAGCGCATGTTTGCGCTTGTCTTGATCAATCGCATAGATCTGTGCTTGAATACCTGAACTGAGCAAGGATTGGATCTGGACATCTTTTCCTGGTATGACCCGCCTAATTCCTGTGTCTTTATCCTTTCTCGGGCTAGATGACTGAGAGCTCAAAAACGGATCGTAGATTGCGTAACGAGTAGGAAGTCCGATTTCGAAGGACGGAGACCACGGCGATTCGAGTTGCAAGCCGACAATCTGTGACCGGGACTGCGTGAGGACGACTAATCGCTGGATAGATCTATCCACGACTGTGCATGCATCCTTTATACCCGGAATCCTGCTAATTTCAGCAACTTTGAGCTCAAACGAATGCTTGGACACGGTCGACTTTCTTGTATTGCTCTGGATATGTCTCTTCACCAGAACCCTGACTATGGTCATCTCCTGGGTGCTCTTGTCCATCACGCAAAGGTGGACGTCTCTTGTTCGCTTACCACCTTGCTCGAAGGGGCTACCAGGGCTCAACTGCAAAACTTTCATCTCGACCGCTGAATTGGACTCAGGAGATGGTTGTCGCCTAGGAAAGCTTTTGACTTTGAAGAAACCGACACTTCTGGGTAAGTTGGTTTCCGAGCCGTCAAAAGTATCATCTTCGAGACGTGTAGATTGCCGCAATGGGTCGAATTCTTCTAGGAGCCCCCGAGCTGAAATGTCCAGGAACGAGGTGCCATTGCTGAAAATAGATGCATTTGTCGGGAAAGAGCTCCTTCGTCGAAAACCAAAGCTCTGCCGATCGTTGAAACTCCCGATTGATTCGCCTCGCCTGCCTGCCCTATTTAGACTCTGCCGGCCTGCATGGCCCATTGCTAGATCGTTGAACGTATTTCGATCTGCTGCAGAACCCAAATCTGTGCGCGCTAGCATTGAGCTGACTCTGCGGGCTGACCGGGTTTGCACCCCAACGTCGCCAAACTCGGGACCTAGTTGAGAAGCCAGGTCATTTACTGGAAAGGATTTCTGCTCCTCCAGAGACGAAAACGGCCCACCCTCAGGATGCAAAGGACGGGAGCCTAAAAGGCTTTCCCTGAGGGTGTTGGGGTCTCGCCCATAGATGTTTGAACTCTTCCTCAGAGACGCGCGAGTTTTGGTGTTGCTATCCTTCTTACTTCGTGGTTGTTGCTGCCCTGTCATGGCATCTCCGCTCACATGCCAGACTGTGAAAGTAGCATTTTTTTCGTTGAAGGTCAAAGCCATGCAGACAGGTCGATCGCTCGCGCTTTCAGGGCCGAGTTCGTCCCCAGCCGTGATGAAGATCAACTTCTCCGAGCGAGGAAGAGCATTACATTCTTCGAGGGCTTCGCCTTTCCGGTTCGGGCTCCACACCACGAGACCCAGCTCCGACATGATTTCAGTCAACGAAAAGGTCCGAGGGATGCCATTAGTGCTGGTAGATATCAGCCTAGGGTCTGAGTGCCGCTTTTCTGGCAGGACCAGTGACGGCCTCGAGCTGTTACCACCGATGGAAGTCAGGGTCTCGTTGATGGTACTGAGATCATGGTGGACATGTTCAACGTAGCCACCAGATTCCCTATCTCCCAATTTCCGCTGTAGAATGAATCCAGATGGGTAAGGAAACGCAGACTCGACCTCAAAGGAGAGAGGGAAAACATAGCTATCGCCGGAGAGAAGGAATATGTGGACCTGAGTCTTGAACACCACCACCAGACCACGCTCCGACAACTTCACAGATTCATGCTGCTGTTGACTGCTCTTTTCGTGATTTCCAGGCTGGTCAAACCGAGTGACAAAAGCATGGAGAATAGTTTCCCCCTCGACACTGAGGTTCAGCGCTCTTTCAATTGCGCCGTTCCTGGACCATACCACGCAGTGTTCTGTGATGAGAATCTCTTCTTCCACGAAACTCGAAGCATGTTTGTCGTACACGCGCGAGAGTGTCCATTTATACAGTGAGATTGGAGGATCTGGGGGCAGGATCGAAGCGGCAATAAGGTAGGATAGAGCGCTGGGCTCATGGAGGCCGAGCGACTGGATTGAACTCATGGCTCTGGAGTGACGGAGGCGGGTCGACAGACATGAGGGTAAGACGGAATGGATTAGAGTCGACAAGCATGTCTATTGCAGAAGTGCCATGTACCCCCAGTGGTATATTGTGTTCAAGCACATTTTTGGTGCGGTGATGAGGTGAACGAAAGGCGCCGACGCGTTCCCGACGCGATTTGGAGAAAACCCGAAGTTGCGGTTTATATTAGATCAACTTCCGACCACATTGACCACAAATTTACGCAACCTCATATTCGTCCGCTCTTTCCTGCTTTGAGGCGACGACACAATCTAGAAGAATGAACCGGTCATCTGTGAGACAGAAAGGGCGATGGCAGCTCAGGTAAGTCTACCGTCTCGGCTGCTTCAGCGCTCGACTAAGTTTACAATCCAGCTATGAACTCCCGCACGAAGCATTCAGATCCCATGTCTATCCTCGGCAGTCCTCAAATGGTTCCACCGTCATAGTCTACGGGCATGAGCAAGGCTTGCGTCTTGTGTGGTACGCTGGCAGAGGATTCAAGCCACCAAAGAAAGAGCTGCTGCCACCAAAGATAAATGGGGCTGCAAAGAGCGACCCTATGGTCATCGATATCGACGACGACGACGACGACGACGATGCGGCAGCGAAAACAGAGGCCGAAATAGGGCCTGCTGAGTTCCAAGAAGATGAGGAGGAAGTGGACCCGTCGGCACCATATCGAGATGTGATCAGGCATATCGACATACCATTGGGAACGGCAGCTTCGAGGATTGCAGTGCCACATATTGTTAAGGATCTCGCGCAAGCTCCTCCAGAATCATGGCCAGCTATTTACAACGATCGCATCATTGTCGCTGCCGCTTGCACTGATCTTAGTATTCGAGTCATATCTGCTCCTCTTGATCCACCTGCTCCAGAAGTGCACGACATCTCCAGAATGGATGTCCAAATTTTGAAAATAGAAGGTTCAAATTCCCACCAGCAGCTCGTCTCAGACATCGCAATCACTCACACGGGAGTTGTTTGGAAGGAACAAGAGGACGCCGAGGAACAGACTCAACTAAAGCCTCAGACTCGCTCACAATCTCAATCCAAGCAAGAGAGTGCAGAATCCGAACCCGAACGTTGGTCACTTCTCATTGCATCAGTGTCGTGTACTGGTGCGGGATTGTTACTCGTTCATCAAGTTCCGCTCCACAAAAATCAACTTACGGCGAACGCAGATTATCCTGTCCCAATCAGGAGGACCTACCTTCGCTCCTCATGCATGAATGCGAGGGTTTCGTTCAATACCTCTCCGTACCCGTCTGAAAGACATTCAACGATACTCATTACAGTTCCCGCAGATTCCACAGTCAAGATCTACCAGATTTTCCCGTCACACACTCGAGAGCGCAGAGGATCCACTGCAACAGCTGATTCCGTCTCGAGCACGCGGTCAACAAAACTCCCAAGCAGTGATCGAGGGAAATTCCTCATCACAATGCTCCCGCCCTTCAGGCAGGAGAATACGGAAGTTTTCCAGCAGAGACGAAAAGGGGTTTTGGACGCAAGATGGCTCATCGGCGGCCGTGCTGTCGCAACTTTGCTTGAAGATGGCGAATGGGGGATCTGGGACCTAGAAGCGGTGGGACCGACATCTTCCAGCTCCGGTGCCAATCTTCTTCGTGGACACGGAAACATCTCAGGCATTCAAGGCGGCTCCTTGACTCGGTTTGCAGTTCGCTCACACATCTTACCTTCTGTGGAGTCCAAACAGAAATCGTCCTATACTGAGTCACAACCAACATCCGGTTCTTTGGCTCCAATGACCCCGTCGACTCGCAAGGTGCGATCCGAGGGTCTGTTCCAAGGCTCAGCATCCACGAATAACCCATCAAGACCGAACGGCCAACGATGCTTCGGGTCCATCTATGTCGAAGAAAAGCTTTCGAACCGTGTAGCATCCGACGAGTCCGTGCTCATTAGCTACGCCAACGAAACAATATACATTCCGTCAATCCTCTCTTTCTGGAAGGACGAATCCAAACCGGTGCGGCTTCCGCCTGCAAGCTTAGGAGGCCAAGTCCCATTGTCCCTCAGTCTCCTTCCTAGCTCAGAACCTTCAAGCAATGTGTTCTCTGGGGCCAGCATCTTCGACAATACACGCTCTCCTCCAGATTTCCTCATACAGACATCTCATCGCCTCATCCTCTCGCTCAACCCACTCTCCTTACGTTCCAGCGCGGCCGATCCGTCTACACAGACGATAGCTGCCCCGTCAGACCAAACACTGCTTGCATCCGGCAATCTGGATGTCGAGGGTATGGACCGCATCCTTGATGACATGGGTGGTGCGGCAGCAACGAAGAAACCCATGAACCTATTTACGAAGAGCGTAGGATTCCGCATTGACGATGAGGATGGGGACGAGGACGTCGACATGGGGAGCCCGACGCCAGCGAAAGGCAGGGGGTTGAAGATCATGAGTGGGAAAAAAGTGCTCGAAGGCCAGTCAGCCGTACCAACGAGGAGATTGTTCACATGAGCGCCTCTGAAACTCAACCCGGTTGAAAAGCTGATGGACTTTGCCGCTTTCCCAGCTGGAGTTGGCTCTCTTATGTTGGCAACAAGGACGGTTCCTTTGTACGATACCCAAATCTCGAGCTTTGTCTTGTTCTTATGCGCCGTCGAAGTAATACTCGAGCCTCTGAATGTGCTGGGAGGTCCACATGGACAACGTACAGAGGACATAAGTGGCCCTTTGAAGGCATCTCTTCAACGTCATGGTCAGCATCTACTGGAGCTTGCCCCTACGATCCCCTTTTTCATGCGACATTTGATCAATCTCTTTCCAAGCCCATTTCCTTCCTCTTGCGGACTCATCTTGTCCCCTTCTGCGTCGCTACAGCCAGACCTTCCGTGCCGCCGCTCCCCTTCCGCTCCCCTTCCGCTCCCCTTACCTTCCCTTCTCCCCCAATCCAAATACACACACCTCATCGCGATGCAAGGTGGAGCCCAAGGCGAGATCAATACCTTGACTCAAATCCCCCGGCTCAGTATTCTTCGCGAAAGATCAAAGAGAAAACCCCCCCACAGAAACCTCCCCACCCCTCTGTGCTCGTCTCGGCCTGGCCTCGCCTTCTAGCGGGTGCTCTTGACGGGTCGAACACGCAGAGGGAGGGCGGTTTGGGTCGAGCTGTCCACCGCGACCTGCCCCGAAAGGGCAGATCGTCCAGGATTCACCGTGGGAATCGCAATATTCAACTGCAGTCTACGGTTCCCAATCGGGTGCGCTGGCGGCTCACATCACATTATATCGCATTATCTATCACCTCCCGACCCACGACCCCGTGAGATCAGACGACGTTAATATCAACTCAATGGTTCTTCCTTGAAAATGTCTTTTAGTTATTTTTTTTTTTAGTATTTGGGTTTGGTGTAGTTTCCTTTGGTATTGCGCGATTACTTCCACACACACATTCTCATCCGCTTATGTCGGTCCATGCATGTATCCACGCACGTATGCCATGACTACCAGCAGTTCCAGTGTCTTGCAGATTTGTCCTCCCCGCCTCGACTCTCTCATGGGCCGCGATCCAGCCATCTATCTGCCATTCCCCTCCCTTTATCGACGCTGTCCTCGCTATGCAAAATGAGTGGGTAGAAACCCCTCGCAAACAGAACGCAAATCACACGCCCGGACACGCAAAGGCCCAGCCTCCTCCGTGACCCAAACTTCCCACAGCAATCGCGGATCGGATAGTGGTCCTGGATCATTTGGGCACAGACTCCAGACAGCAGGCAGTGCTGTGCTCACAAAATGACGAGGAGCAGGAATCCATTTCGACGAGACAGACACTCCTCCAATCCGAGGAGAGCACGGCGTCTGACCTGGCCTGGGCGGCCATCAACAGGCAGGCTCCTTTGGTGAGGACGAGGCTCTGTTTGTGCTGTTCTCCTGGTGGCCTGACCGGTTCAACCCTCGAGGCAGAAATCCTCTCATGTTCGATAAAACAAATCGACAGTGCAAAATCAAGACCAACGTATCATCTCGAGACAAATACTCTCAGGCAGAATACCCCGACGCCGCCAATTCTTTCCTAACCCCTTCCTCACTCTGAATCTTCCTCATCTGCGTATCCTCCAATTTCTCTCCCCCAGCAAAACGCATCTTAAGATCCTCTATCGCTCGAATCTTCTTTAAGAGGCCTCGGATTTTCTTGTCCTGTGGGTTGCCGCCAGGCGTCATTGGGGAGGTGACTTCCAGTTCGGGAGGGATTTGTGACGCTTGAGGGACAGGAGGAGGTGCGGGGATGGGAAGAGTCGTGTTGATATTCGTTGGCGCGTTGGTGCGAGGTGTCTTGTTCTGTTGATTAGCATTGGGTGCTCCCTGTGCGGGCCCTTTGGGTGTGCCATTCGAAAATGCGTGGTGACGGTCATACGTTGAGCTGTTCGTATCCCCGCGTTGCCGTCGGCTGTTGCTCCTGCTCCGTTCCTTCTTCGGTCCACTGGGTGGCTCAAGACCAGGCGCGGGCACATAATTCCTACTTCGGCTGCGCTGGTGGCCACGACCATCCGGGCTTCGACTTGGACTCTTTCCCCTTCCACCTTGTTGTCGTTGCTCCGGCGCAAGGTTACTGGCTGGCCCTCCCCCTTGCTGTTGCTCGCGAGCCGCTGCTGCCGCTGCCGCCTTCTTTGCTTCTCTCTTCTTTGCATTCTTCTTAGCCGCCTTGGACAATGGTTCTCCATCTGCCCCTTCCCCAGTGCCTGTCAAACTCACACCCCCACCAGGGGCAGCACCAGGAGGGAGCGGAGTCTTTTCTTCAGCAAGTTCGGCACCGGGAACAATCCGTTGCCGAGGCTTTCCGAACCCATTGATGTTGCTGGAGAATGACGAAATACCCTCGCGAACGAATGCAGCGCCGCCTTCGTCTTCGCGCTTGAAAGCCAGGGGCGTGACCTGTCCACGAGCGCCTGGTGGTCTGTACGCACCAGCAGGCTTACTGGGCGTCTTCCGAGCTGCCATGTAATTCATCGCACTGCTATGTGCTGTGGGGATATCGGCGAGTGGGTTAGCGCCCAGAGGATATGCATCAGCTGGTTGTGGCCGCCAACAAACGTGATAAAGCTCATTCATATCCTCGTTATACATCAAGGAACCACCAGCATGCCAGATCCGAATGCCGTTGTCGACTCGGAGCCGGGGCGACGTAGTTGCTGTCAAGATATGAATGCCGTCAGGCGACCATTCACACACGCTTGCATTACTTGCCTCGATGGTGCAAATCTTGGCAAATTCTTTCTCCAAGTCATAGATGTCCATCTGACCGGCCAGATTTCCGAAACCGGCCACAAGAACAAAACGTCCATGAGGCGAGAAAAGCACAGTATTGCGCGGTCCGAGAGGAAAAGTATGAACCGGCTGGGCTCGGGAGTTGAATATCACAGTCTTGGCCGGCATGTAACCGTAAACTACAGCAAAGCTGTTCGACTTCGGTGACCATGCAACGTCGTGGATGGGGCCCTCCTTGTCTAATACACAGGTTAGCACTTGCACATCGGGCAAGAAACTAGCGAGTGACCTACCCAAATCTATCCGTGAGTCGAAGCCACCGTTGGCACTGAGGAGGTAGAGTGTGGTCTCTCCATAGTAGCTCTTGCCAGTCTTGTCGACTTCGGTTTGGGCCAGCACAATCAAAGACGAGCCATGGTCATTCCACTTGAGCTGCACTTTGTCGCCTTTGTAGAAATTCTTCTGAGATATGGGAGTGGTAAAGTTCGGCACGTTGTAGACTCGGACAGCAGCTGGTTGTCCCTGTCGTTCCGGTTAAATCTTCGCGTCATATAAGCTTGCGACGAGTTTTTGGAGATTACCTTTCTCTCTGGCACGAAGACTGCAATGGTGTGGCTCTTCCCCGGCGACACCGCAAAGTCCGTCACGCCCTCGACGCGGATTTTATTCCACACCGTCGTCAGGTCATGGCTCTCGTAGATTTGCACCTCGTTGGTAACCACTCTCGCACAAAAGGCCTCATCATGTGTGTACTGTAGGTTCCAACCAGTCTGGGACTTTTGCACGAATCTAGCGACTGGCTCCTTGTCGACGCCTTCCGCCAAAGCCTTCTCGTCAATGACCAGCCACACCTTGAGGTTCTTGACGGCGTCACCGTTGTCGTCCTTCGAAGGGCGTTGCCACGTGATTATGTAGGTACCCTTGGGCGAGAAGCCCAGTTCGAAAACATTCTCGGCGGGAAGGGAGGAGATGATGACACCTGTGTCAGCGTCGATAATGTTGACCCTTCGTCTCTAGTCAGTCCATCTGGCTTGGCTCTCGAGGGCGTTCTTGGATCATACTTTTCGGGGTAGGCCCATGCGAAGTATCGGCCGCACGGGGAGTAGGAGCAGCATCGCAGATTTCCTTCGGGTCTGGCATGCGGAGCGTTAGCAACATGACCGGTCCGCTACCGGGTCGCATCAGAACGAACCTTTCGAAACCGGAAAGCGGCTCGTAGTTAGGTGCACCGTTGACCACACCGATCCCCTTGAGAGTCCGGTCTGTGACATGCAAAGTTAGCAACGAGGCTTGAGTATATTTTTGCCCCGGCTGCGCCCAGGATGACACGTACAGGCAAATTGTGTCAGAGCCATTTCCGTGGGTTCTTGAGCACAGTTGAGCGTTTCCAGTGGTCAAGATGGTCAGACTTTCTCGTACGAAAACGTGGGTCTGGCAGGAAGAGACAGTCGATCGCCAACGAGAGATTTGTGTCAGGTTATCAACAACAAAGCCCTGCGGACTAGGAAGTTTGCGGATGGCAGCAGCCTTTGTGGCGGTGAGGTTGTCACAATTCGAGTCTTTTCCGTACTTGATAACTTAATATCAGCGATTGCAGGAGGGGACAAACAAATTGGACAGGGTGACAAGAGGGGCGGTGGAGGGAAGAGAGGGAGAGGGAACAAGGGACAAAAAAAATGTCCAACGGAAGAGGACCAAGTTTCGTGAATGCCAGGCTAGTGGTAGAGCCTGGGCGCAGTCATGCAAAACTTCATTTTAATGGTGTTCGTCCCCTAGCACGGCTTAGCCTGGCTCTAGGAGGCCCTAATAATGGTTCTCTGCTTACTTAAGGCAATTGCCTAGCCAGGGCAAGGTGGGCGAGGCTCGAGTGCCCTGGCTAGCGACTAGCCCGCTGTTAGACCGCTGCTTTAAAGGGAGGTTCAGCCTTGCCATCTACTTGGGCTCGCTGGAAGCGTCCGGGCACCGCAATGAGCCGTTCTCGCGTTGTATTCGCGTTGTCTAACAAGTACAGAAACTTCGTCTGTGGGCATGGTCAAACTGAGTTGCCACCAATTAGCAGACTCGAACGTCCATATTAGACTCTGATAATATAGGTGTCATTCTTTCTGGACGAGTCCCTGGCGCGAGCCCGGCCCAAAGAGGGTAAACAAACCCTTTACGCCTGGTAAACAAGCCGCGTACCACCCACCATTGGGCAAGTCTCAAGAGCGTCCGCTACAAACCCAAGTTATTCATATCGTACAGTCACAAAACTCATTCGTTCATACCCCACCAAGTACAATCTTTCCCAGAGAACCGCCTGATCTCATTTCTCTACCTTGATCTGACCCTACTCGTACATCAGTAGGGAGAAATTTCAACGCCGACGCCGTTAGCTTATTCCTTCTCGAAGGGGAATCTGCCCAATGTCTGGCCCTCGCCCGGCTGCATTGACTGTTGCGCCTGCTCCAGATCTCTTAGTCGATCTCGCATGACTTCCTCTGCCATTTCAGTTCCCATGCCCGAGAATCGATGGGCCTGAGGATGCGCCGAGGTGTCATCGACCGGTGGGGCTGGCTGCATCGTCGTGTCGAGGAAGTTCTGGTCGTAACTCATCCCGTCCATCATCTTAGGATCGGTGCTTCCAGCAGCAGCACTCGGAGTGATGCCACTCATGGGCGTGCTCTGCCCAGAGCCAAACATCGGCAAAGTTCCGGTTCGTGGGGTCGAAGGAGCATTGACATTGGTGCTTTGTCGAGAAATAGAAGCGCGAGTATTGTAAGGGGTGGAGACGGGGCCGCTGACTGTGCTACCTGCCCCTTCGCCAAATCCGACCAGACTCGCCTTGTCCTCGTCACTGAATCCACCTGTGCTCGAGACCCCATCATCTGGATCCTCACTCATCTTGTCCGCATCGTAGTCGACACTGCCACTCGCCCAGGTGGTCCGGCCACCAACGCTACCTGTTGCGCTGGCACTCCCAACCGTACTTCGTTCTTTAAATTGAGGCGCGTTATCAAAGGCTTGACCGTAGAGTGCGCCCGCGCCTGGGGCAAGGTGTCCCAGCGGGGTAGGTCGAGAAGTCGCAACTCTCTCGAGGCCTGCAAGACGGGAGATGCGATCGGCCCGTTCAGCTTCCAGAGTATTCGCAGATGCGCCGGCTCCTCTGCCGCCATGACCCATTGCGCCGTCTTTGATGGCGACAACGGACAACGCTGAGAGAGAGGTGGTGGTGGAGTTGGGGGTGCCCGGACCCATTTCGCTGGGCGTGGCTGGATCTGAAGGAGGCGGAGGGACTGCATGCCCACTGGATTAGTTTTTTTTCCAAATGGTTTTCTGGCAAAAGGAGGCTCAGCGACATACGGTTGATCAGAGTGGGACCTCTGTTAGGCATGGTTGCGATAGATCCGTTTTCCCACCGTAGGAATGGAACTGTGGTACAGGGACCGAAGCCGAGACGAGAACCGTGGTCTTTGAACGCGGATATAGCAAGGGAATGGAGCAGCTGCCGGTGATAGAAGGATAGCAAGAGTTATCACGCAGTCATTATAGGCTCGTAGTGTGGTCGAGTGCTGCGTGGAAGCGATGCCCTGTGAGAGTTCGAGGGGCTTTACGAGCGCGGCCGGTAGAGGGGGGCTCTGTGCTGAGTACAATTGCGGGGGGGTCAAGGTGACAAAAGAAGGCACTTGTATGTTTCTTGGAGGAAGCGGTGTCGGTGATAGTGTTAGGCACAGGAAAGGCGACCTTTTGAATACAAAGTGAAGGAGGAAATGAGGACCTGAGTCAAAGTTTAGGTTAGGAATTCGCAGGTTGCGCGGTGCACAAGGAAGCCAGACGTGGACTTCGAAGTTCCCCAGAAACGCATGCATGCAGGTCGCAAGAACTGGCAAGTTCCGGTTGGCTACGTCATTGGGGCGGAGTCTCACGTGACACGGTGCTCCTACGGTAGGCGAAGCCTCGACGCCGTGGACGCCCTGCTGCTGTACATGTCTAGCATAGGGTCGATAGGGAGTCGGGCCAGAGGCGCCGGCGTGCGTGCTAGATATGGGAACATCCAATGCTTATTGTGGCTATTACCTTATCATACAAGAGCTGTTCTTCGTCAATCAATGTCATCTCTTCGTCACTGACCGGCCCCTGCCCGAGCAGCATCTACCTCGCGTTGAAGGGCCGCGAGGTCCGCCAAAATGTCTCTGGGGTCACTCTTGGGAAACTCCAAATCACTTCCTCCAGCCTCTGCCATGTCTAGGTGTGCCATTGACGGCCTCGTGGTCTCCATGCTGCTTCGGCTAGAGCCTCTTCCTCGCCGAGGCGGCGGTAATGGAGGCGGTAGTCCTTGGCTCATCCGCTTCGAGTAGGATGGACTAGAGTGTAGGCCCGGCCGTAATTCCGTATCCGCCAAGTCCGCATTCTCTGGAATGGAGGCCACGTCGATGGAAGGGCGGCGGTCGCCAGTGCTATTGGCGCGACGGGCTGGGGGCGGCGGAGGAGCTTTCGATGCAGAGCTGAGAAAGGACGGACTTGGAGGTCCATCCGTTTCGCTGAAGACCGAGTAACGAGACGAGCTGCTCCTTGTTAAGACTGGTTTCTTTGGTGCTTGCTGGCTCTTCCGGCGAGTTAACGGAGGCGCTGGTGGCACCTTTTTCTGAGTATCAGGATGTCCGGTACTCGCAAATCGATCGCTAGGATGACTTTCAACAATCGGAGGCGAGTTCAGAATCGGCGCTTCTGAGCTGACATTACGGCTGCCGGGCAACGCCAGAGAATTGATAAAGCTGTCGAATTTGGCTGTTGGACCTTGCTCCATTCCCAAGTCCTTGAGAGGTTTCCCGCGCCTGCTCTTCGGCGGAGGTGGTTTCTCTCCTTTCTCTGAGATGGTCCCAAGCTGCGCTCGATATGTATTTGCCTCGTTGCCCTCTAGATCATCTGAAGTCCGAGGGCTTTCATCGTGCGCAGGTTGTACAGTCTCGAAAATCGAGTGCTGTGAGATTGATGCCGTGTCCGCACTGGAGCCACTGTCACTTACAGGATTAGGGCCTGACTGAATGTTCTGCACCGCGATATCGCGGGATGAAGAAGCACTCCGATCTCCAGTCAGCAACATCCTCTTGAAAGCATCTACATCCATTGTCGACTTCGAGGAGCTGCTGAGGTCTTTCCCAGCAGCGGCGGCTGATTGACTGTTAACCGGCCGCCGTGGTATGCTTGGAAATCGCGCTAGAGTCTCTCTCACAGCATCATCTCTTGAGACCTTCGTCGTGATCGACCCAGCCGCGGTAATCTCATTGTTTGCCCTCGCATTCTCCAATGCCTGCTCGATGGCGCTATCATCCTCGTCGGAAGCTTCGGCCGCAAAAGGATCGCTCGCAAGCGCCTGGCTATAGTCTGTCGGCGCAGGTACAGGAGATTTCGGGCTTGGGAATGTAGATAGGAACTCCTGTCGCGTAGACTCGGGCGAAGGTGGATATGAGACCGGCGAGATGGGGATGGCCGGGGGAGAGGCAAAGTTCACATGTTTCTGCGAAGGACCATGGACTGCTCGAATAATTCAGCAGAGGCCAGGGCAATCGCCCGAAGGTGTAGAAGCGCCACATACCTCTGGTATCAAGAGAAAGAGCGCCAGGACTGGTGCCGCGATGATCCGATGTGAGACTGGGAGTGGGAGTGTTGCTTCCGCCAGAACCTTTCAATGAACTACTCTTACGGAAAGGATTTGTGGACATGAGGTCTCAACAGCCATGTAACCCGCATGAGCGCTCATTGATCTGTGTTGGTCAGGAGAGATTCTGGGGAAGTTAGAGAAAAATGCCCTGCCAAAGAGGATAACTTGGGTCTTGTGAGTCTGGTTGGCATCGGACTGGGCCTTGGATAAGCAGAGATGCGGAACCCATGTGGCAGCCGCCCGCGACTCGGGATTTCGTGGTTCCTCGTCCATATCGCGACGCACCCGGTCAGACTGTGAGCAAGCCACCTTTCCATTCACGCATCATGATTGCTAGTTGCAGATCCAGATATTTCTCACGCCCGGCTGTATTCCACAAATACCTCCTCGTGAAGCCTGCCCGCACACATTCAGTAATAGCTTCCGAGGGTCTGATGAGCTTGTGAAGTGGGCCATTGAAATGCATCGCCAGCGAAAATTTACATTATGATTAGTGCCGGCCGTCTAATGGCCGATCATATGTCTATCTATCAGGTACTCAAGTCTTCCAGCTTAGCTGATGCTTTCTATAGCTTGATAAAAAGCTCATATCCAGCTGTCCTGGGTCTGGAAGTCCTCTGTCATGTATGTATCAGTGTCTCATTTGTCGTGGGGGAGATGACGTCCCCTAGTCGTCGTGGGAAATAAGCAGTCGTGCCGGTATGTACAACTTCTCTTTCCAAGGAATGTCCTCCGGTCGACATCTGCGATAGCCACTTGTATTGAAGGCGGGTCAGATGATCGACGAGTTCGATGAAGCAGTGCCAGACTGACGCGAACAGGTTCTCCAAACTCCAAACTCCAGGGCTGATGCAAAAATCAAAAGGTGAAGACCGGCGGATTGCGTGACAACCAAAGTTGCTGGCGGATGGATCAGGTTCGAGCCTTAGTCTGCTGCCATCCATCTTCGGTCCATTGCCAGGTTTTCGCGCCCTTGACGGGATGAAGCAGCATCGGGCGAACAACGGTTCGGCCGTACACATCCTCCCATTCCTGACCACCGCTTTCGAGCGCTGTGATACCAAGAAGGCGTTGGAATATCGGCATTGCTTGAGCAGAGCTGTAATACCAGGTCATATTGGTCCACGCATGTTCGTTCCACTTGCTGAATGTGCTGTTCCAGTGGCCTCCGGCCTGGCCGAAAGGTCCTCCATTGAACGTTGATTGCAACGCTTCGGGAGTCCAAAATCGATCGGCGAAGATGGGGTGTGGAAACGTGGTGGATTTCAGCCCATGGTGGAGACACATGGTCTGGGGGAACATTTCTGCGTCAATGTGATGCCCGTTCTCTGCGTTTTCATAATTCATGATCTCCAGGACGCGCCGACTGACTCTGCCTTGCGCAATCAGAGTGGCCCTCCTTGGGGTCGATGTGCCCTGAGCATAACCCCAGAGATAATTGCGAAACCACCAGCCGGTGCCAGTCACGTTGAAGCTTGGAAGGAACCCAATCCAGTCAGCATCTTCACCAACTCCCCATTCAAAATCATCTTCTTCCTCCTTGGGCGGCTTAGGCCCACGGGGTCTGACGCCTTCAACGGATACCGGGCCCCACACATGGTGAGGATCTTCGTCCCTCGTCGAATTGCGGAAATCGGTGTCGAAATCGCCATGGACCGAGGGGATATAGACCCTGCCAGCTCGTTCCCAGATGCCCTTTCGTGGTTGATTGCGTCCAAAATTTTCGACAGCCTCGAAAAAGTCCAAATAGTGGCCGGTATACCGCACGTCAAACTCCCATTGGTAAAAGAAATCGAACTCGGGGTGGTTGCGCGCGAACCATTGGATGATCATCCAGGGCGACCGGCCAACAAAAGCATGTTCAGCCAAGTTGGAATACAAGCCCCGAATTTGAGCGTGGTTCCAGACTTCTGTCATGGACCGGAACTCAGGTGGGATGTGCTTCTCGATCGTTGCTCGCGGCTCATCCTCGCCGACGAAGAGTGGGACATTTTCGTCCTTGACATGAAGCAGAAGAAACACCTGATACTTCCCTCCGCTGGCCAAAGAGGCCTCTGCAATCATTGCACGAATGTTCATTACGGCGTCGGCAGTCCACTTCGCGCCAGTCCAAACACGAATCAGAATCGCGGTGCGTTTTGCCTTGTTGACCATGCCGGGTTCCAGAGTTGAGGAGAGGGGTTTGTACGAGGATTTGTCGTGTTTGTGTCGAAGATTGGAATACTGAATCGAATTCGCAGGGCGCTCCTTGAAGGGTCGAAACCGGAGCTTGTTGGCGACGGCACAGCCGTCCTGCAATTCACCCCAGTCAACCATGTCCCAGTCGACGTCGCTCATCTTCTTCATCTCTTCGACGTCGGTTGCATCCCACTGGTCGATTCCATAAGCCTGGAAGCGACCAACACGATCAAAGGATACACTTCCATCCAAGCCGGATGCCTCATACGAGCCAAGGCTAGGCTCAACAGCACCTAAAGATTTCGAATCAGACATGCCCAAGCACCATGGGTCGCACACTCTCACCGTTTGCTTGACCTGGATACGCCCAAATGGCGTCCTCATAGCTCTCGTTCAATGGCACACCACGCGGACCAACGCAGGAGACAATGTGTTCCACAGGTTCTTGGAATGCCCGATAGCCATCATAGCGAACGAGGAGGGGACTCGTCTTTTTGCAATCGATTTCACCGGTCTCACAAGCGCGCAAGTGTGACGTTCCACGCGTCAAACCGTCATGCCTGGTCAAATCAACATGGTTAGGCTCCTGACACAGACAATGATTGGCCGCTAAAGGGGTGTGGTGACATACGTTGTAAAGTCTCTCCAGATCCATTGCTCTTTCTTTGCATTCTCCATTGTCATTTCCATCATTTCATCCTCGGTCGGCGGAGGGGGTGGAGGCTCCGTGACTTCTGGGATTTCTATGATCTCGGGGACCTCTGGTACTTCGGGGACTTCTGGGATTTCTGGGGCGGGCTCGGGTGGCGGGGGCGGAGGTGTTGCACTCATTATCTTGATGAGAATTATGATGCCGACGAACGTGGCTGCTACTTTGAGCACCATCCGCAACCGAGGCATACAAATCTGCCATCTTGAAGGCTTCTTCCAAAGGTCGTGTCTGGCGGGTGACCAGCTTGGGGGAGGTGTCTCGGGCTCAACAGGCGAGTCTTCAAGCAAGCCCATCTCGGAGCGGCTGCCAGTGATAGTGAGTCTTCGGGTCATAAGATTTCGGGTTCGATCGATCGAGAGAGGGTTGTCGATGGGATGGTAAAATAGTAACAGGCCTAAACGAGCGACTGAAGGTGAGGAGGCGCGCAGCTACTAGAGCGAGAGTCGATGGTGGTGGTCGTGATAGAAGACGACGTGTAGGAGGAAATTGGGGTTGATTTTGGTGGACCGAACGAAAGATTGGAGGGCGTCATGCAGATTGGGAAGTTGCCATCAAGGTTCAAACAGGACGAGGGAAGCGACCGGCGTGTAGGGGGGTTTTGGCGAGTTGACAGCGAGGGTAATGTACAGGGAGGAAGGGAGGGATGTGTGTAGCAGGCACAGCCAACTCGACAAAGCGAATGAGTCGAGATACAAGCACGGAGTACGGCGTCCAGATACAGCGCAGGCAGGCAAACAGACAAGGAGAAAACGAAGGGCCCCCAAGGGTGGGAATCTCAGAGAAAAGATAGACAAGAGACAATACGGAGTATCCGTATGCCACTCCGGGGCAAAGTGGATATGGAAATTGAAGATGCATTGAGGCAAAGAAGACTAAAAAACTACCAGTATGACCCTGGTCGAGCCCACCGTCTCCATCTGTCTTAGCATGCAACCTTCAACCACCGTCAAAGCCTCAAATCAGCCATGGCGGCTGAAGCAACCTGCAAGTAGCGTCCAGGGCACATAGACGATTGGCCCCAACCCGAGACGCGGGTGGTGGGACATTTGCACGCAATCAAGGCCACGGCCACACATGGGTGGACCTCGTCGCCCACTGTCCAGCTCTTTATCTGTTGTGTCTGCGTGACTTGTATTCCGGGTATCTCTATATCTTGGTCCTTTTCCTTTCCAAGCCGGAGACGCGAGCGACGGACTCGAGACGAGACAGAGAGGAGGAGAGGCAGAGGCAGAGGTGTGCCTGGAGGCAAGGCGGCGTTCGATGGGGTGGCCGGGGGATCCCAGGATCAAGGTTGGCGCCACGGTCATGTCAAGCTTTCTGAGATGGATGTCCGGGCTAGGAGACTCAGATCCATGTGCTACCAGCGACAGGATGACGCCGGACAGTACGACATGCATCCAACGGCGGGCGGGCGGACGTGTGAGGGCAGAGGAAGACAAGACATCAATGGCGCCATCTGTGGCCGTCTGATGATTCGATGATTGACTGAACGAGCCAGTCGTTGAGTCTGGTGGATGGATTGTATGCAGCCAGGACACAACATCCGGCGTGTTTCTCTGGACCGGGTGTTTTCTTCTGGGAATGCTTGATACTGGACGCGCAAGCAACTCGTCTCTCACACTGAATGATCTCTTCACTCTTCACTCATCACTCATTTCACTCACTCAGTGCTCAACTCAACGGTGTGTCTTGTTGAGGCATTGACGTCACTTGTAGTCTGCGGTGCGGATTCTCTTCCCCACCAACGAACAAACTCAACCCCTAATGCGGGTCTGACAAAAAAAAAGAAGAGACGACAGTGTGTCCTCTCTGTCTCTCTCTGCCTCTCACTCCCCTGCCATCTCACCTCTCTCCGTTCTCTGCTCCGTGGGCTCCATACTACAGCTATCCTTGTGGATGCTCTTACCCCGTACTCTACCACCCAACCTTACATTCCTCAAAGCGGCAGAGGGCCCAAAGGTCCCGCCCCGGCCTATTCCACCGACGCAGCCATCCAACGAAATCCCATCTGCGTTGTGGCAACACCGCAATTCTCCATCTTGCATGTTTGATCTACGCTCATGGTGGGTTCCCACCCGTTTCAAAACTCCTCAAGATCATACGCCGTCTGTCTGAAAACCTCCTTGCCAGTCTCCCAATCTGGCGTTATTACTGCATACATGCTTGCACGACAATATGCGCCCACCGACACTGCCATCATTCCCGTTTCATTGCCACGGAGGCGGTTCATCCTACCTACACGAGCAGTGCCCCCACGGCTCACATCGCCGATACTTGCATACATGAGCCAGACGGTCGGCGGAAGGCCAAAAGCACCTCCGATAAGCCAGGCAGTCCAACCAATCATTCTCTCCCCTTTGGACATATCAACTCTATCTTGCAGGACGCGGAGTCCGCCCTCTAGCTGAAGCTGCCGAGTGTGTTCTACCATTCATACTCCGGCCCGACCAACTTGCAGAGTTCATCCTCCTCGGCCGCCTCGCTCTGCGCCTTGGGAACTGAATAATCGATATTTTTACCCTCCGCTTTCTCCGCCTCGGCATGGCCCACTAACACATCCCTCACCTTGTCGAGATACCATTTGACGGCATGCTCTGTTGACAAAAGGGTGGGCTTCGTCAGCTCCTGGATATATTTTCCGATGGGATTGTCCAGAGTCTGGCAAACATACCTTCAATGGAGTGCAGCCTGCCTAAGCCCAGAACCCCGGATTTAAACCCTTTCTGGGCATTAACGGCCAGCTCGACATCCTCAGTCTCGACGAACCGCCAATAGCCAATGTCATGCTCCATCCAATGGTCGTACTCCGGGCTAGGTTTCTGCATACTCGACCTCCGGTAAGTTTCGCTCTGGTACGAGGTCTCCAGTGCGCCCGTTGCATTAAAGCGAGCGATGAACAGGAGGTTGTCACTGAATATGACCGCGCCGATCGGGTACAACCAGGCTAGACGGACAAGTTAGACCTGATGTCAGTGTCGCTGTTCTTTCACTAGACCAATCCCAGGGCGGACTTACTGATATATGCTTCTGACAGCCCTTCCCTCTTCGGAGGCAGGAAATGGCGTGATGCTCCTATGCCCTGCCGGAGGTAGTATTGGTCCAGTGCAAAATCCTTGGGCAAGGTTGTCGGGTGGCCAGTCTGGCAATGATAACATTCCTGACACCCTGTTACCAAAGTTCAAGATGTGGCAGCCCAAGGGGAGAGAGGCAAACCTGGAATCCATCCGCAAAAGTTTTCCAGTTGAACTCGGTTCCTGCCGCTGAACTATTCCAGGTATGATCATACTCCCACCCATCATTCGGGAAGAGCGCAAACTCGTCCCCAATCTCCCTTCCGGTCTTCGTCGCCGGGGCTGGATCGAAGTCGTCACCAAATTGATCCTCAAAACTCACCGCAGGAGTCTCCCTTGCATCGAAGTTTACAAAGATGAATCCTTGGGCCGTCACATGAGTGTGGATTCTGAACAGCGAATGCTGCTTGGGATCAAAGTCTTCGAGATTGCTGTATTCTCGGGCTTTGTGCAAGTCTCCGTTGGGCAGGTACGACCAGCCGTGAAATCGACATGCCAAAACCGTGCTGGACCCGCTGGACTTCTGAGTGACCGGGTGGCCTCGATGTCGACAGATGTTGTGGAAGGCGTTGATATTCCCGTCTTTGTCGCGGATGAGGAAGAAGTTCCATCCAAACATCTGCACGAGTACTTCAGCCTGGACAACAATCTCTCTCGGAAGGGTGTTGAGGCCGTACCTCGAGTGTCAAGTAATCTCCTGCTTTCTGAAAACGCGCCTTGAAACTCGCCACGTGCCATAGCTACGAGAAGGACAAGTCAGATCTGTCATCACTCCTTTGGAAGTTGGCGACGACGACCAAGGAGTCCTCCAGCCTCGAGCAAGCACAGTGTGTGGGACTAAGACAGGTCTCTTACCGTGGAGAACAACGCCCGCCTCTCGAGCTGGAAGATTTTCTCGTCGCGATACCATCTGTTGCGCATCCCTCGGTCAGCAGTCTGGTCACGACAAGTTGCTATCTATGTCTGTTTTTTCCCCCCATAATGAAAGAACCCGACGAGCGCAGACGGGGTGCCCTGGCCGCGGGCCCCGATTGCATACCTAGAAGGTGCCAAACTCAACGTCTTCCTTCCCAGGTCGACCGGGCGCAGATTCTTCTCGCGTCCCTTTTGGAGGTATCCGCCGTTGGCGAGGAATTTTGTGCTGTCGACGGTCGTCATGGTTCCGGGCGCGCGTGTACCACGCTTTGTTGTATATCTTCCCCCCTGCTTCTCCCGCTCTCGTCAAACTTGGGCGCCAGATACTGTCAGAGGCACTGCAATACACCGCGATGCGATCCGATGGTCGTAGACGGTTTACAAGCGCAATGACAAGCTAGCAGGCAACGCACTGCTTCCACCCTTTCGCTTCTCCAGGGGCGCAGATGACACAGTTCAGATGCCCGAGCCACTGATCAGGCCAACGATAAAGAATCCCAAATCCCAGTTATTATATAGTTTTACAAAATTTGCTACATCTCCCTTCCTCGACTTTCGATAAGGCCTACACGCCTCCTTATTCCTCATCGGTCGACCAATGCAAATCTATCAATCCGTCCCATATCCCCTCATTACCACGGAGAAGGCCGTCCGGGAGGGGAGGGAGGGAGGGAGGGTTATTTTGCTGGATGCGGATAAGGTCGAGGAAGCGATAACTTACTTAAGCCCCTCTCTTTCGGGAGGGAGGAAGTTCTGGTCTGGCCGGGCGAGCTTGAGTCTGGTGTTATCGTTGCCCAGAACCAATCGCACGCAGGGGAAATGAAATAATGGAGATGAGATGGGATGGGGAACAGGGCACAACGACTGATCCACTTCCCTTTAAGCTGAGCCTCGCTGCTACAGATTTGAGCACACGAACGAATAATGAAGCCTAGGTCCCTCTGTTATTACTGCCAGATCCGTCCCACCCAGTAGCCTCGCCTTCCTCTTCTGGATTCTATGCAACGACACACCAGTCCAACCACCGCAACTAGCCAAAAACAACTAGTCCAACTCCCCTTCCATGAATGGTGTCGGTCTCAGCCCAGAATCGACCACACTGATCGCGTCGGCCGCATCTGTGGCACTGCCCCGGGCCCGGACTCGGATCCGGGCTTCTGCTTCGTTGCCTCTGCGGTGGGGGATATCGGCGACACTGGCGAGAGTGAGGTCGTCGAAGGTCGGCCTGCCGCGGTGGCTGCATTGGTCGTCGCCATGATCAGACTGTGCAGAAAGACGCTGTCGCCGCTGCTTCGAGAGCTTGCGGTGCGCGTAGCGGAAGTTGACCTTGATGTTGTCGCCGTACAGCGAGTCAAGAGCGAGCTGGAACTCGAGGACGAGGACAGCTGGCGTCTATGGTCTCTATACCTTGCTCCGTGACTGTCTCTGTTTGAATCGACGGGTACCAGGCCACCCAGTACTCTTGGCTGCTGCACTGTGTATGAATCGTCCCCGACCTCTCCACCGGCGCCGGACTGCTGGGCAAGGTAAATGACGGGCACTCTGGGGACTGGGGGTGGCGGATCGTTCATGTAACGCTCTGGGCCCTTCAAGCCTTCTGAGGGGGGCTGTGGCCGCCGTCTCCCAGCCTGCAATGGCGCAGGAATTGGGACCGGAACTTCAAGATGGTCCCTGGATGACGCCGAGTGTCCTCTGGAGGGCAGCGCTCCCGACATTTTCATTTCGGCCGGATTGGCTGTTGCCGGAAGCCTCATAGGAGCAGCATCGGGACGATCTTGACGGTGGAGCTCATGACTTCGAACTGGGGGAGAGTGCTGCGTAGTATGATTGCTGGACGTGGCGTTGTCCTCGACGACACCAGTCATCCACGCGAAGGCACTGTTGGACGTGAGGTGGCTGAAGGCACCGCCGTGTAATTTCTTGACGTCCGACTCTGGGGTAGTGACTGAGCCATTCAGGCTGTTCAACAATTGCTGAGACGTTGCAGCAAGCTCGACCAAGGAGCGCGCTGGAGACGCACTGTTTGCCGGTGATGGTGATAAGACCTCCCTCCATGGCTCCTGTCTCTGCTCCTGAAGAAGTGCGCCGTCAAGAGAAGGCGTCGAGCCAGAACTCTCTGATTCGAGCTGCGTGGTTGTCAAAAATGGACCGATTGTCGTAGCAGTGTCTTCGGTCAACCCAACCGGCTCTTGACCGGCATCCAGAGCTTCGAGCATCAATCGCCGGTTCGCGTCCACCATGTTTTGACGTCTCTCTGAAAGGAAGCCAAACCACGCGCGATCCGCCGCAACATTCACTAGTAAAGTCTCAAAATCCAAATGGAATCTGTGCTCAAGCCTGGCCAACTTGCTCTCATTGGTTAACTTCAGGCCCTGGAGTTCCATAGTAGCATTCGCTTGCAGAGCTTCTGATTGGGATCGATGCTTTGAGAGCATGGCTTGTTGCTTCTCCTCGCGCTGTCGCTGAAATCGTTCCTGAAGACGGCGTTCTCGTGCTTCCTTGTCCTGCTTTCCACGGAGGTGTAGCTGAGTTTCCAGGAAAAAGTCGTCTTCCAGCTCTTGCTGCTCAATGGTAAACGCCTCCAGCTCCATATTGTGCCTCTCCTTGATGGTGGTTGTTCTCTTCGCAACGTTCGATTCCATCTTTGCCAGGTTTTCGACATTCTCTTGTTCTTGTCGCGTCATTGCTTCGTCACGGAACTGCATATGTTGTTGCTCGGTACGCAAATGTCTGTCATCCAAGTTCTTCTTTTGTGCTCGCAGAAGACCGTTCCAGGCAGACTGGATTGTATGACAGGACTCCTCAATGGAGATTCGCAGGATCTGTCGCAGCTCTTGGGCCATTCGTTCTTCTTCCGTGCGTCTGGCCTCCTCTTCCCGAAGACGCTGTTCCTCCAGTCTCGCGAGCTCGGCCTCTTCTCTGCGCTGCTCCTCTTGTCTTTGCTGTTCTCTTCGACGCTCCTCCGCCTCAAGTCGCTCCATTTCCTCGACCTGGGCAATTATTCGATTGATTTCTGCAGCTTCAGCTTCCGCTATCTCCGCTCTTGCCCCTCTGCGCCGTCTCAACTCTGCCTGGCGGTTGGTCTCATCTACTTCAGTGCAAGAGCAGGTCCGCCACTTGACACCGCAAACGTAGCAGAACTGCGCACCACATTTACAAGTCATATGTCGGCAGCCTTGCGTTCGCTGGTACATGTTAGCTACATTCTGTCAGTCAACGAATATAATGTTACCTCGACCATAGTGCGGCATTTGAAACAGCGTCGCCAGCCCTGCAGCTCAGCCAGCATAATTGTTGCTTCGAGGCCGTAGTCTTGAGGGCAATCTGCGGAGTCTCGATGAGCCAAGCCGCGACATATACTGCAAATCTTCGTTGCACAGTGTGGGCATTTCATGTTCAATATGCGGATGCGTTGGAGCTTTGCGGGTGGAATCCATTTCAAGCATTTTGTGTTTGGGCAATACCATCTTTCTTGAGGTGCAATTGCATACTCAGCAGCCTTCTCCTTGTATATCTCCCTATGCTTAGCGTCGAGCGACAACAAAACTGTGTGTAATGGAATCTCTGTCAAGCAGCACTTCGGCGGGAAGTTAGATTCGTTTTGGAGAGCAGTTGTGATCAGGGTTGTCAAGCATAACTTGCAATATGAGTGATTGCAAGGAAGTTTGCTCGACTCCTTCTCGGAGATCTCTTCAAAGCAGCTTGTACATTCGACTTGAGATGTTCTCCTCGCCGGTGTCTTCTTTGCATTGTTAGAAGGCTGCGATGATTCCTTGTCCGACTTGCTCTTGAGGGTTGAGATAAGGCTGATGGTAGACCCAAGAACGCTGCCACCGAGGTACCGTGATCTTAACCGACTTTTCTCGGAACGGCGCTCGGACTGCGCGCTTCGAGACTCAGATGTGTCATCGTTGTCGAAATGTTCAGGGGCAACAGAGCGGCGAGCCGATTCTGTGTTCGTCTGATGAGGCCCGCTACCATCTTCTGCTTGTGCCGAGTTTTGAACAGTACATCCGTCTGGCAGTCGAACATTTCGCTGGCCCTTGCCCGGTGGCAGAGGCGCATTGGGCGATAATGACCAAACAAGAATCTGTTTGAGTTTTTCTGGCAAGTTCGAGTCCTCTTCGACTCGTTGGAGTGCAGGTGGTATTTTCTGTCCTGTCCAGTCATTGTTAGGCCGCAGATTGAAGTTGACGCCCTTGAAAGCTTCCCAAGTCTCTCCTGGGGGCGGCTCCTTGTTGCTGGAGGCTTCAGCTGCCTTGCGTAACATCGGAGCGTATAGATAGATGATGAAGCAGGTTAGAAAGAAGAATTCAAACGAGTTAAGAAAACAAAAGTCATTGAATACCATCACTCGGGAGCTGCATAGCCCTGTTAGATTGTGATATGGAACTGAGAAGGAGGCTTGCTTGCTAGGGAAATAGCGCACAAGGCTTGGGAGACAAACGCACAACCGGGCAGCGAGAAAATGGTCAAACGGAGGCTTAAAACCCCATGAGTCAATACCCAAGGCGAATTAGTCCTGGGGTCGAGCGAGTTGAGATGAGTCCCGAGTATGCCTGGTGATAGGAGAAAGCCTCTTGGTGGAGGCATTGGTGGCATACCCACGAAAGACGTGCTGCCTAACCATGCCATGGCGAGGAACTATACAATGCGCGCGGGCGGAGTGTAACTCAGCCAAAGGTGGAGCTGCGCCGTCCTCTGGTGGTGTCATGTGCATTTCCGCGAAGAAGTTTGCCAGCCAGTAAAAGTGGGAAGCTCCATGCCGTCTCGTCCGCAGGTACCATAGACGCCTTGAAAGGCTGTGCAACCAGTCCCGGATGTCAAAGTGGTGAGCTAGGTACCTGTGTAGCTTCCGAGGGAGTATCGCTGCGGGGTCTGTCTCGATATCACGAGGTAATTGGTCTCGCATTCGCACCACAAGCTCTGGGCTGAACCAAAAGGAAAGGCGTACATGAGGGAGACGGTGGATTGGGTAGATGAGGCCAGCAATCCCAACTTCTGGAAGGCGGATTTTGGCCCGTGCCAAGTCAGTCGAGGCTGCCTGGGCTATGCCCGTCGCCGCAGTTTACCGACAAGGCTGACTCCTTTAGAGCCGGGCGGAACAATTATTCTCCAACCGCTGTTTCTTGTGGTGGTTCAGCAACTTTTTAGACCATCATAGGCGAGGACTAGGACAACGTGCGGTGATGTAAGTGGTCCTTTCCTGAGCCTCGAGGCCTGTAACTAAGCCAGTCCCAGGCTGTACGGGGTATATGGATCATTTGGATCCTTTAGCTCCTTGCGCAAACACAAACAATGCTGGGGCAGGAGGATCGAGGAAGTGAGGACAGTCGATTCAACTGTGAAATGAATTCATTGGGCTCTTATCGGTCGTCCTGAGCCATTGTGTAGAACATTGACAGCTAGACAGGCCAGTTCGGCAAACAGTCAGTCTGCTCGCTGAATTTGCGGCCTCCCGGACTCCGGGAATGGTCTGGTCATACGACCACCTCGCATTGCGGGGACTGCCATCTTCGCAAGAAAAGGGCGGCTTGTGATTCTGCTAATGATCCCCAACTCCGTCTTCAAACTTTTTAGTCCTCTTCCTCCTCGTCACCCTCCACAGCGGTCTGCGCAATACGGTCCAGATCTCGTGCACCGGCTTGGGTTATTCTTCGTCCACCCTTTCCGCTACCGCCTTCTTCATCCTCATCAATCTTCTCCAAAATGCCTAACTCCTCGAGAGCTTGCATGACTTTGCGATCAACTGCGCCAGACGCGTTGACGTGGTGCGAGGGTCGAGAACCGCGATTCTTTGTGCTGCCGTGGACTTTTCGGAGACGGCCGACGCCGACGGACTTCCGCAGGTAGACATGTCGGGCGACTGAGGCAGCTCTCACGTAGAACCAGTCGGCAGATTGGGGAGGGAGTTCGTTTGAGTGCGAGGTTTTGACTGTGTCAACCCAACCTGCAGAGCGAGTATTATCAGTATCTTCTCCAAGAAATATTTTTTCGAGTGTGCAATTCATCTTTCCAAGCACCCGATTCAGGTTCCGGGAGAGAAGTGGTGAAGTGCTGGAGCTGGGCCGTACCTGGTACACGGATTTTCCCTTGTCGCTTCAAAAATGCTGCATATGCCTCGATGAATTTTTGTGCCTGCGTGATCCGCATCGTCAGCCCATGCTTTCCTCATTGAATCCGATGTTCAGAAGTGCCGGGCCCAAACGTGAGATCCCTCCTCCTTTCACAACGGCTCTTGGACTACCATCCAAGGAAGGGTTTCGGGTCGAACTCACATCGACATCTCGAACGGTAACGCCACCCATGATTGCAAGTGTCGAGACAGCCCGTCTCAGCAATCACGATCGTGGATTTAGGAAAGGTGGGAGATTGTCGTTTGGTGTCGTCGTCAAAATCTTGAAGTTCGCATCTACACTTGGCACCGAAAAGTTGTGGGCTGAAAATGTGCCAAGAGTTACATGCCAGTCTTGGCGCGTTTGTCATGAGGGGCAGGTTCACCGGGATACCTGCGTGACCTGCTACTGCTATTTTTGCTTTTGTTTCCGGTCGCCATCTATTATTCCGGACCAGTTTGATATTATATATACGCCTTCCGCCGCAAGCAGTATAGACGGACTCGATCCTATGGTACAAAACACACAGGTCTAGAGGCTAGAATGACTAGGAGAAGAAAAAGTCTCAAGGGCTGTGCAACCAAAATCCTGTCCTTAAGCAATGCCGACCCTTTCAGTTGCCGCAAGCAATATTTCCCAACGGGCTGTCATCGCTTCGTAGAGTGAGCGGGAACATTTCTCGTATGATCGCCGGGACTTCAAAGAGTCAGGGCCGCCGTGGCGCAAGCGATAGCCCCGATGTGTAACAAAGATCTCTTGGAAAGCGAATCGTCAATCGCGGTATAGTTTCATCTGTGCCTGCCACTTACATGAGGCTCAGTCGCGCCCACCACCGGATAAGATCGTGAGTCTCACAGTTCTCGATTGTGCCCTTCTGGGCATATGCTTTGGAATCTTCTTCCTCGTCTCTCGTTGCCGCATTCGCTCTGCGATGTAACTCGTCATTTGTCTGCTTCATCACCCCAAATGTGAAGGGCACAACGCTAGCGAGAGCCCCGTTGCAGCCAAAAGCAGTCGTTGCTGGAGCTTCGATTCCGCTGGCAGCCGCCTCGCTGTGTACAACCAAGATCCACTGGCAAGCAGAGCGAAAAAAGGGCCTGCTTTCTTTCCAATGTTGTAAGCTTCCTGCCATTGGCGGGCGAGATGTGGAAATTTCGTCGCCGGTCTCTGGGAAGAGATAGATGTCAGAGAAGCTGCATTTGTAAAGTTGGCTGGCGCTGGCAAGGCCGCTGGCGGCGATGGCAGCAGAAGCGCGGGGATGGTCACATATGAGATGCTGAGACTGGCGCCGAAGAATATGGCTGAGGATGTTATTCCGAGGGCGGTACCCAGGTTTACAGTGTTCTGTTTCGACGACATATTGAGAGACACTATCGTCATCGATATAGGCTGAGAGGCTGACTCGTGTAGTTGGTACTTGTGTGTCACCCCTCCAGTCACAAATACTGTCCTTGGAATTAAGACTGCATTCGAGAGACCCAAGTTGATATGATGCTCGAAGCCAGATGCCAGTTATTCTGAGTAAAATATTGTTAATGTAGAAGCCTGAGGTATCCAAAAAGCAGCCCTCAGGAGGGTCCCGATATAGCCGGATGGTCGATGCTTGTAGGAATCACGGTGCTCTTATGAGATCATGATGGAGCGACGACCTGCAAGGATGTATAGAGTACGCTGTCACATCACCTTTCGTAAATGCTCGATTCGGAGATCTCGTGTAAATGATACAGGATGTCATAGTGTGAACAAGATGAATATCGCGTCAAAGGATACGCCAAAGGGTTTGTTTTGGCGGGCTAATAGCCTGCAGACTATCCCCAATTTGCTTTGAGATGGACCTATCGAAGGAACCCCTGTCGTATGGTCCTAAGGGGCACGAAGCAGGGCCGGTGGGCTAACTGTTCACCCAGCGATGTACTCCATCGCTGTAGCGAGCATCCCGGATGCAGATGAAATCAGCACAGGCACAAATAACATACTTCATGATCTATCATCATGCTCTGAACCCACTGACAACGCCAACATTATCTATCATCCTACCGTCATGAGTGAATGTGAGAAAGCACAGGTCTAGGGACCAAGTGAATGGTCGCTATCGTCACTCGTGCTCGTCACTCATGCACTGATTGACAGCCATTTATAAAGGGCCCAGACCTTGGGTAGCAGCTGTGGCTAATCGACTTGTTTGACGAGTTTGTTCTAGGTGACTGTACAGGCGCCGCCTAGACCCATCTCAACCATAACTGTCTACACAGCCAGACTTTAACGTTGTCGAAACGGTCAAAGGTTTTGGCCGGCTGAGTGAAGACGAGCACTATAAAGGATCCATGGATCTGTATGGGATATGGAGTGACCTCCTTAGGTTGTTCAAGAACGAATATTGGTTCCGGATGTGGACAGCACAAGAACTGATTTTGGTAAGGAAGGTTCTATTAACACGACTATTTCTCGATATCTGGCGAGATTGTTAATGCATTCTATATCTGGTATATGAATCATATGGGCTACGGGATGTGGTGTCGAGGTGACGATCGCAGCACTCTTGTCGATTCCGCCATTGATATTGCGACGCAAGCGTACGCTACGACGAGAGTGAATCAAACTGCCAAGCGTGGAGGTAAGGTCTTCGATCTGCTTTTGATCTGCTGGCTAGTGTACGCCACAGACTGACTACCGTCCCCAATGACAAAATATTTGCACTCGCTGGTCTGGCGCCAATCCCTCCCAATATACTGGGCTACAAACCCACGGCAGAGATAGAGTTCGAGCGGAGCGCTGTGCGTCTCATTGAGTCAACAGGCGCTCTGGATTGTTTTCAACCGCCTCAGTACCAATGGACCTACTATTAGAAGAAGGTCATCTGCGCAGTCATCTGCCAGAAACGTGCACAATGACTATGACCGTTTGCCGAAACTGGCATCCTCGAGTCTAGACTGGTCAATCTACTTCAAGAGCACAGGGATGATTTTCTTGGCCGATCGATTGAATTTGCTGCCGCTGTACCGTGCCGCACGCTCAATGGCTGCATCCATCAAGTACACAGGCCCGAGGCTCCTGGTGTCTGGCTTTCGCTGCGGCGTCGTCGCACCACATGTCGGTGAATGTTACGAACGGCCTCTGATCTTCAACTCCGGCATGATAAAGGCTTGAAGCGACTCGGCAAACGTCACTTTCGACGACCCATTGATGTCCAATGGCTATCTACCACGCTAAACTTCGCTTCATTGTGGCGCTGACGGGTGGAATCGGCGTCACAGCAGAAGGTGCATATTTCTTGATGAAGAGCCGCGAAGACTATCCTCGCAATGAATATCTGTTCATGTACTAATGACAATCAAAGGTGCAAGATGAGAAGGAGTTTACCGCATATTGTGCCCCGGATATTGTCGACATCATGAGTACTATGACGAAGATTGTATGCAAGGGTTGCCGCACAGTACGAGTATATGGTTAGGCGAGATTGTATCCTTCGACGATTCATTGTCCTGGAAGACGGGGAATTCGGCTTCGCTCCTCCTACAGCGATGGCTGGGGATTTGGTCTGTGTTCTAATGGGAGGCCGGACACCCTTTGTGTCAGGCACTGGGAAACGAGTGCGGACATCGCGAAGTTGACGGGGTAAAACCCCGCGCCAGCGTTCAGAGGAGCGAACCGACGCCCGAAGGAGACGGTTGTTTTCAGCTGGTCGGCGATGCGTATATTGAAGGGTTGATGGACAGTTCTGCGTTGACGGATGCCAAGGAGACGGTAGATTTCGTCTTAGTGTGAGTATTTAGGATAATTTTCTAAGTGAAGTGTGGGAAATTGCACGCATGACGTCGGAAGGTTTACCATAAGGTTGGCGGTTTCTATAAGAGGAAGACGAAGGACTAAGTTTTTTGATGCGACCGCGAGTGCCTGCTTGTTTAGGAATTTATACACGGTAAGGAGAAAAGCCATTGGCTGATTCCTCACAGAGCTAACCCTTTTGGTTCATTATCGCGACAATGGACGCGGTCGATACACAGCCGCAATGAGGCACAAACCCAACAGGCTACCAACTGCGTTCGCATTGGGTGACCACACCTATTACTTGTGGTATCAGAAGAAGAGTGATTTCTAGCACCAGGTCCATATCGAGAGTATATAGCAATGATGCTTCAGACCTTCAGCACCTTCTGCATCAACCTGCAAGATCGCCAGACATATCCACCAGAACCAGAATACCTTCCAATCACTTGGTCTGAATTCCTCTTGGCCACCCAACAATTGAAAAGGGCAGCACCAGCGCCAGACAGTTTTGCCAACCACATCTCTCACCATGGGTCTCTCGGCATTCGAGATCTTGGACATCCTCGAGCTCATCTACTTTGTCCCTGCCCTGATAGCTTCGGGTTATGTCGTCTATAAGCACGGTCATCGCAAACGACTCGGCTGGAGATTCCTCCTTATGATCTGCCTATTCCGACTGATCGGCGCCATCACTTCTCTTATTGATGTCAGGCATCCATCCAGTGGCTTGACCATCACTTACGATATCATGAACAGCTTTGGGTTGTCGGCAATCATCTCCACAGCCTTAGCTCTCTTGGATCGCGTCGAGGACGGCATGGGACCACACGGTCTGCCACATCAGGTCTTCCAGCTCCTCCACCTCCCAAGTATTGTCGGTATCATCCTCAGCGTTATCGGGAGCACGAATCTTTTCAGCAATAGTCACTCTGATGTCTCCGCTGGCTTTACCGAACTCAAAGCAGCCGTGTGCCTATTCTTAGTTGTGTTCGTCGCCGATATCCTCATCGCCGGACATTGCTTCTTAAAGATCACTCACATCTTACCTGGAGAACGACGGCTGTTGTTTGCAGTTGCCCTGGCTCTGCCCTTCATGGCGGTCCGCATGATCTTCTCCATTCTGTGCGTCTTCGCCAATGACCCCAAATGGTTCAGCTCTTGGAGCCTGGAGTGGACTGCCATCCTTGTTCACGGCATATTGGGCGTTCTTATGGAGGCCATCATTGTCACGATATTCATCGTGGCTGGCCTAACCACGGTACCAGCAGTACTGCCACTGGCGCATGAAGGCAAAGTTACCTACGATCTGGGCGCCCGGAGCGTCTAGTCAGAGATGATTTAATGGCTCAGCTGGGGCAGCTGCAATCAAATTGAAGCGAAAGGCGTTCTTCCGGAGGTCGGCTTGTCATCCAGAGTGCAATGCAGGGTGTTAAGGGACAATCTAGGGATCTGAGAATCGGAAGGATTTGTTAGGTGCAAATAGCAAGTCTCCTGCGGCTAGTTTGTTACCTCGAGGAATATCGAAATATAATACTTTATTTGACCTTGCCCTCGCCCTCGATTAAGGTCTCATGAGTGATTCGATGGAAGCTTGTCGAGGTCGAAGAAGGTACAGAGAGCAAGCTTGATGCTTCGAAGCGGGCATTTAACGAGGTTGTCGCCGATTGGTCAATCTTGCAAACCACGCCGAGTGCCGCAGAGGGACCAGATTTCCACCACGTCTGAGGACAAGTTGTCTGCTCAGTAACCACCACCTGGCTAGACACCTCACAACTTGAAGAGCTCCTTATCCTCCCTTCTGACCAAACTGTGCGTACATTATCCTCATTTCCGATTCGGTATGGACGTCATCCTATACCGATCAAGACAATAAAAAACCTCGCACATTGTCGGCAAATCTCCCTCCCAGTGCCCTCGCTCCGCACTATTCGTCCCCTCCACTCCACAGTCGGGCCTACGCTCCTTTGTCGCTGCCTTGAAGTCCAGACCGAGAGTTGCATGCACGAGACTCGGGGACTGTGATTCAAGATGTCGCAACAATATCCTCAGCAATATCCCCAGCAAGGCGTGCCTGGGCAGGATGGGTACGGTCAGCAGCCACCGCAACCACCGGCGGGTCAAAATTATGACAACTACGAAACCAACAATCCGCCAGGAGTGCAACCAGGACCTGCTCCTGGTCCGGCTCATGCTGGTCGAAAGAAGCGTGCCTACGCAGGACAAGCCTATGAGTTTGGTGCTGGAGCGAATGCTGCGCTTGGAGGACAACAACAGGCTGGTGGCGCATACTCTGGGTACTCCGTTCAACAAGATGCAGCGGGCTATCCGCAGGGAGGTTATCAACAGAATCCTGCGGCTGTGCAACAGACCGCAACACCTCTATATCCTGGCCAAGAGCCACCAGCTGCGATGGGAGGTTATCAACCTCCCGCTCCGGCCTACCCTGCGCCTGGTGGTGTAGGAGGCATGACCCAACAGTTTGGCGAGATGGACATCTCGCAAAAGCCGCCTGTCGCCGCTGCACCACAGCAGGCACAACGTGCTCCAGTCTTGAACCAGCTTTACCCGACCGATCTCTCAAACCAACCATTCAATGTCGCGGAGCTGGACTTTCCACCTCCGCCAGTGATTCTCCCTCCTAACGTATGGAATCTGCCCCCCTATTTCTGTATCAGAAGCTAAATATCTAAACAGACAAGTGTAACACCCTCGCCTTTCGCTAACTGCCCACCGAAATTTGTGCGGTCGACGCTGAACGCGATCCCCACCACTCATTCCTTGCTCAAAAAGTCTAAACTTCCGTTCGCCCTCGTCATCCAACCATACACATCTCTACACGACGTCGAAGATCCCGTGCCAGTAGTGCCCGATCAGGTGATTTCCCGATGCAGAAGATGTCGGTCGTATATCAATCCGTTCGTCACTTTCCTGGACCACGGGCACCGATGGAGATGTAATATGTGCAACCTTACAAACGATGTACCGCAAGCCTTTGACTGGGACGCAGCCGCGCAGAAAAGCCTCGACAGATGGCAGAGACCAGATCTGAATCATGCAGTCGTTGAGTTCATTGCGCCTCAGGAATACATGGTCCGGCCCCCACAACCGCTTGTTTATTTATTCTTGCTCGACGTAAGTTATGCGGCCGTGTCGAGTGGACTCCTGGCGACGACGGCAAGATGTATCCGAGAGAGCTTGGATCGAATACCCAACGCAGATCGACGCACGCGCCTGGGTTTTATCGCAGTTGATTCGAGTTTGCATTTCTTCAATATCCCTCGGGACGGAACTGAGAATGCCCAGACAAGCATGCTAGTCGTGAGCGACCTTGAAGAGGCGTTCTTGCCCACCCCAGCCGACTTACTGGTGACTTTGACCGAATGTCGTGAAAACATCGAGAATTTCTTGGATAAGCTTCAAGAGATGTTCCAGAACACCCAGAACGGCGCATCTGCCATGGGATCTGCACTTCGAGCTGGACATAAGCTTATCGGACCGGTCGGTGGGAAGATGACGGTCGTGACCGCCTCGATCCCCAACATCGGCCATGGTAAACTCGAAATGCGCGAGGACAAGAAGCTCCTCGGTACATCAAAGGAAAGCAGCCTGCTGCAGACGGGGAACAGCTTCTACAAGAGCTTTGCTGTCGAATGTTCGAAACAACAAATCTCAGTGGATATGTTCCTGTTTTCCTCACAGTACCAGGACGTGGCATCGCTGAGCAATTTGCCCAGATACACCGGCGGCCAAACTTATTTCTATCCTGGTTGGAATGCTGCCAGAGAGGAGGACGCCATGAAGTTTGCCAAAGAGTTTTCTGACTATTTGTCGTCAGAGATCGGGCTGGAGGCTGTTCTCCGTGTTCGAGCGACGACAGGATTGCGGATGAGTACCTTCTACGGCAATTTCTTCAACCGTAGCTCGGATCTTTGTGCATTCCCAGCATTCCCACGAGATCAGAGTTACGTTGTGGAGGTAGCAATCGATGAGACCATCACGAAGCCAGTTGTGTGTATGCAGACAGCCGTCCTTCACACTACATGCAACGGTGAACGACGAATCCGCGTCATGACCCTCGCACTACCCACAACGCAGCAACTGGCCGACGTCTACGCCTCGGCCGACCAGCAAGCTATCACCGAGTATTTCAGCCACAAAGCCGTGGAGCGCGTCCTAAACAGTGGGCTAGACAGTGCCCGGGACATGATTCAGAACAAACTGGTCGAGCTTCTGGCTACATACAAGAAGGAGCTCGCAGGAGGCAGTATGGGCGGAGGTGGGCTCCAATTCCCCGCCAACCTTCGAGGCCTGCCTGTGCTTTTCCTTGCCTTGGTCAAGAACTTGGGTCTCAGGAGATCGTCACAAATACCCAGCGACATGCGATCAGCAGCTCTGTGTTTGCTATCAACACTGCCCCTCCCATTATTGATTCAGTACATCTATCCCAAAATGTTTTCTCTGCACGACATGCCAGATGACGCAGGGACGGTGGATGAGAAGACCGGCGAAATCATCCTGCCGCCACCGATCAACCTATCATCTGAGAGGATCGTGCCGTATGGATTGTATCTGATTGATGACGGCCAAACGCAGTTCCTTTGGGTTGGACGAGATGCTGTGCCCCAGTTGATACTTGACGTCTTCGGACTGTCAGATAAGAGTCAACTCAAAGTGGGCAAGCAACGACTCCCTGAGTTGGACAACGACTTCAGCGAGCGTGTGAGGGCCGTCGTCTCCAAGAGCCGTGACCACAAATCCAAGGGGGTAGGTAGCATTGTGGTGCCACATCTCTACGTTGTGAAAGAGGATGGCGAACCAGGATTGAGGCTTTGGGCGCAAACGATGCTTGTGGAAGACCGAGCAGATCAAGGAGTGAGCTTGCAGCAATGGATGGGGATGATGCGCGAGAAGGTACAGTCATGATTGAAGATTCTCTTGTACTGGGTGTGGATTGCTAACCCCTTGGGATGCAGGTCATGCAATAATCACCACGGCCCGAAGACGAGTAAGCCTCTGGGCGACCACAGCAACAGGAGGTCAGGCCTCCTTGAGATCGAGCAGAAAAGATCATGCTTTCTGATTGCTGAAGAGATACAAGGAAAGGTTGAATGACGCACTCAATTACTTGTGGGCACACCATGTACACAATAAACTTGGGCTAGATAGCAAGGCTCGTTCCGCTTTGACCTATCGGGTCGTCAGTGATCAGGATGATGAATGAGGCCACGGGCCAGACGGGCTATTTCTAGCTTTGGAGCAGTTCATGGCCTGCGGCAACAAGAAACAGATGAAACGCTGATCCGACACGCTCAAACAAGGCAAATGGGTGGGTAGAGGCTGTCACAGGATGGCCGCCCCCGTCCAGGCCATGGATGGAAGGGGTTAAGCTGGCCGCTGAGGGGCCGCTCAGGGCCGCTTAGGGCTAGTGAGGCCGCTATATTCTGCTTAGCCCCGCCTAGTGAGCCATTGCCAGCGCCTATTCATCCAAACGTCCTTCAATTCGACCGCTGCGTGAATGGGGATTCGATCCTGGGTGTGAATGCCAGCTGCTTCGCTCTCCCTCAATGTGATACACACCTTTTGATCACCTTGCGGCACCATCTTGTTGCAGACCTTTTTTGTTCTCGTTCTTCTTTGTTCCTCGTTCCATCAACTCCCTCATTGTTGAGACATCCTGCCCCCGTCCAACTGCAACGTGGTCGCTGCGCAAACTCCCGAGCTGCACAACCCCGCCATTGCAACTCTGTGCACCCTCCCAATTCACCAAGAGACCTTTACCGCCCTGAAGACTGCAGATAAGGCTTGAGCCTCGCAGGCGAGAAGCTGCACCAAGAAACAATTCCGTACGCCGCCTTCGCTCTGTTTGTTGTCGCATACCGTAAGGAATGTGGAATTTGACCGCCTGCAGCAGTTAGCACCACTCCACAACCCTCCCTTCCGCGGCGGCGCAGTTCATCTGTCCTGCAGAGGTGTCTTTTGCTTGCCAGCATCGACCTCTTACCACCTTGAGCGCACCCAACCGCCTCGACTCAAGCACAGGATTCACGTTCAGACACCCCAGCGGCCACTGTGAAACAGCGCAGACAGGCGGAGCCAACTTCGACTAGGGCCCACGCGCAAGCGAGTTGTTACCCTCTTCCACTTCCAATCCCCAAGGCCGCAACCTCACCCGCACCTTCATTCCGTCGAGCTGAACCAGAAAAGCGAGAACCCCCCGTGGTCGCAGGACAGTTGCCCGCGTTACTTTGGATATCCCATAAGACTTCGGAGGCAGGGACACGTGCTCGATTGCTCATCTGTAGATCCAACAAGGACATATTGTGACGTGCCGGAAACATGGGACAGCCACAGCAGCAAACTGCACCATCAGGAGGCTCCCGAAAGATCTCGTTCAACGTCTCTGATCAGTACGATATCCAGGATGTCATTGGAGAGGGTGCTTATGGTGTCGTCTGGTAAGTTTGTCATGTTTCAATTTTCGAACGCACCGACTGACTCCCCGAAGCTCTGCCCTGCACAAGCCATCTGGTCAAAAAGTGGCAATCAAGAAGATCACTCCATTCGACCATTCCATGTTCTGCTTGCGCACGTTACGAGAAATGAAGCTGCTACGATACTTCAACCACGAGAACATCATCTCCATTCTCGACATTCAGAAGCCACGAAATTACGAGTCTTTCTCCGAGGTCTATCTCATTCAGGTTGGTCTCAGAGCACCAGGGGCAGTGGGCTAAACTATTGATACTTCTTGTACAGGAACTCATGGAAACGGATATGCACCGCGTGATTAGAACCCAAGATCTCTCTGACGATCACTGCCAGTATTTCATCTATCAGACCCTGCGCGCCCTCAAGGCCATGCACTCTGCGAACGTTCTTCATCGAGACTTGAAACCGTCAAATCTGCTACTCAATGCCAACTGCGATCTCAAAGTCTGCGATTTCGGCCTGGCTAGGTCCGCAGCTTCAACCGACGACAACTCAGGATTCATGACTGAATATGTTGCGACAAGATGGTACCGTGCTCCCGAAATCATGCTCACATTCAAGGAATACACCAAGGCCATCGATGTGTGGAGCGTTGGCTGTATACTTGCAGAGATGTTGAGCGGCAAGCCCTTGTTTCCCGGCAAAGACTGTGTGTACCACTCCTCCCGTTGCCATGGACAGTGCTGACTGCCTTCTAGATCACCACCAGCTCACCCTAATATTGGATGTCCTCGGTACTCCGACAATGGAAGACTATTATGGCATCAAGTCCCGACGCGCGCGTGAATACATTCGGTCGTTGCCCTTCAAAAAGAAAATCCCACTGAAAGCACTCTTTCCCAAGACCTCGGACTTGGCATTGGATTTGTTGGAGAAATTGTTAGCGTTCAATCCAGTCAAGCGCATTACCGTTGAAGAAGCCCTCAAGCATCCGTACCTCGAACCATACCACGACCCCGACGACGAACCGACCGCGGAGCCTATTCCTGAAGAGTTCTTCGACTTTGATAGGAATAAGGATCAGCTCAGCAAGGAGGAGTTGAAGGCGTTGATTTGGAATGAAATCATGCGATGAACACGACAAGGTCGAGTTTTGGGTCCGCAGCCAGCTTGCAAGAACGGAGGGAGCAGTAAGGCAGAGTCAGAACTTTTCGGGCTGAGTGAAACAATGTGCAGGAAGGGGCCAATGACCGGGCGATGAGGGCAGTTTTCAAATAGAGCCAAGGGCTTACGCGAATGTCTAGACATAATGTGATGGCAGGTCCGGGCTTCTCTGGTACGACAAAAACCATGCCAACAGGTCACAGCAATCCCATCCTTGTGCTTGGATGAGAGAGATGGGAGATGGGTTGCCCCAGCAAGCATTCGCATGTTTCGTCACAGTTGAAGTGAAATGCACGAATTGAAATGAACGGATAGAGATCAGATCAATGCAGAATCCAGACCATACGGCTCTCCGCTTCTTTCTGTACAAGATATTTCCTCCTTGTTCTTGCTGTTTCGTCCTTTTCGTCATCTTGTCGACTGTCGACTCAATGTCGAGATACTTCAGACATAGGCGACTGTGCCATCGAAGAACGGACGGATAGTATCGAGCACGGAGTACAGCTGGTGAGACAGCGATAGAGACACTGCAGGACAGTAGCGCTCCTGCCCCTCTCTGGGTGTCCATGTGTATAAAACACTCCTGCATAAAGCTCTCGCCATACCTCGGCTACCCGCGCGGGTGTTCCAGACAGAGAGGCCTTTGCATGTCCTTTTAGCACCCGAAGGGTTCCCCAACACCCCCATATGATCCCCACGCACCTCCCTCAAATCTCCAGATTCATATACTATATGTCACGATAACACCGTGAAAATTGCTCCCCAAAATTCAGAGCATCGCGAAAAATACACCTCGTCAGTGTGGCCGAGTGGTTAAGGCGTGTGACTTGAATTTTCCACAAAAAAAAACAACTCTCGCAGTGGTTTTTCCTAGCAAAATTTCAATGCCATCACATCTCTTCGGAGGCACAGGTTCGAACCCTGTCGCTGACGTCTTACACTTTTTTGGCTCCTTTTTAATATACCACCGGCATATCTGCATGCATGCATGGGCTTTGTCGTGGATTAGGGGGCTTTTTGTTTTTGGGCGGGTTGCGGAGGGTGTGCTGAGAAGAAAGAGGAGACCCGCCGCCCGCCCGGGGGGGGGGGGGGGGAGGAGGGGGTTCGTTTCATCTTGTCGTCCTTTTTCGAACTTGAGGAGCAACAGGAGGAAGGGGTGCGCTGGTCTCTCGCCTTGGGAAGTAGTTACTCTGTAATAATGTAATATCGCTTCACGGTGATTGAACTGGGCTCGGCTGTGTATGTACACGAGGTACCAAGGTAACGTTAGCATCCGTGAAGGTCACCTTCCTTCAGGGTGCAACGACCTGTATCCTCTCAACCCTGCTAAGCTGCATCCCATACTATCGTTCAGGCAGCACGCACGGAGGATAGGAATCACGGGTGTCCTAGCCGAATCCTTTCTGATGTCTGGACCCTCACTCTCTAGCTATGTATGTACAATCTCTCGGGTCTCGAGCAGGGACAGTGGTCTCCTGCAAGCAGTTCAACCACAGACCCTCAATTCCAATCGTTCTCGAATATCCACGCATGCGATCCGCACCAAACCCCCTCCCTTCGCCCACCTACTGATCATCAATAACGTGCAAATACTTCTTTGCCTCCTTCTTCTCCCTGGCCGTTGCTGGCGGCAAATCATAGTAGGAGCTGCTCCGATAGTCTTGCAGGTACAAATACGTCAAATCCCTCAACTCTGCCGGCTCAATTCCCAGGTCTTTGAACGTCTTTGCCCCCTTCTCGACCGTCTGATCCAGTGACTCTTGTTCCAGTTGATCCGCTGTCATGATTGGCCACCAAATGACTTTGTTCAGGTAATAAAGAATGGGCTTGAGGAGGGCTTTGGGCACGTCAATGTGGCGGCGTTCCTTGAGGATTTCCCTGTCGACCAACTCGGCGATTTCGCGCATGCTGTAGTTTGTGGGGCCGTAGAGCTCAAAGGTCTCGCCCGCGGTCGTATCATCGTAGCCAATCTTTTCCAGGGCCATTCCGATGTCGATGGCCTAGCATCGTAGAGTCAGAGCCGTGGAAGAATTGTTGGGAGCATGAAGGCGGACTTACATGAACCGGGTTGAAACGTTCCTGCATGTTATTCACGGTGATCAAATTGGTGACGCCGGCAAGGCGATGCAAAAGGGTGTCTTCAAAGCCGAAGCAGGGTGCCGGTCGAACGATGGTGGTCTCGGGGAAGAGTTGCCTTGCAACTTGCTCTCCTCTCGCCTGTAAGAAGCGTCAGTAACCGTCGTGCTCTCCGCGTCCCCGGACGTTCTGACCTTTGACCTGAAGAACTCGGATGGTGAGTCAATGTCGGCGTTGTACGACGAGAGGTGAATGAACCTGTCAACGTCGTATTTGGCAACAGCTTCAGCTATTCTTTCCACGCCCTCAACGTTGACATCCCACAGACTGAAGTTTTTAGTCGGGTAATTCTTGCCAATCAGGTTGAACACAATGTCAGAATGTCGCACACTCTCCTCAATCGACTCTGTGTTCCTCAGGTCGAACTCCATGAATGAAACCCTTCCCAGGTCGCCGGTGGGCTTCAAATGTCTCTTTGCCATATCGTCTCTGTATGGGACGACAACCTGGCATCCTCTCTTCGCAAGCCGCTGCACGATGTATCTTCCGAGGAACCCATTTGCACCAAACACAGTAACCGTATAGCCTCCTAACGATGACCTCCCTCCTGCGTGTTTTATAATCGGTTTGCCCGTCCTCGTGATAGCGATGTCTTGGTTGTATCCTCGTCGGAAGGATTTAGGTTTTAGTGACGACCGAGCTGCGCGCAGCGCGAGGGTAGAGGGTTGGCAGGTGTGCATCTTGCAACGCAGTGCCCGACAGAAGCCTTTGCAGGCAATCGAGCGTCGGTGCAGGTCAGAGTCGAAGGAGGTGACAGTCGCAGCGTGGGAGGAGCTTCAATGCAGTTCGACCTCCGACAGCTCCACTGCATCAAGTGTCGTGAAGCTTGGCAACAAGCAATACGGAGCTTGGGAGTTAAAGGCACTATTAATTACGAGCACTTGCGCCGCTTTAAAGGCGCCTCTCATCCTCCCTTTCAAGTCATCTGCTCACCATCCATTTACACCCACAACCCTCTTTTCTATTCAATCATGCTTCCCATTCCTACACCGGACGGAGATTCCACGTTATGACATACGTAATTCTCGACAATCTGTAAGGCTTTCCACCGGTACAGTTGAAATCTTGGGGCGAAACCTTAGTGCTGAAAATCACTCCGCTCGAGGCAAAGTGAGGCTGGCGCGGGACAATCTACTGCTCACCCCCAACCGGTCTGTGAGGCACCTCGCCAGCCTGATGTTGGCCAGCGTGATGGCACTTCGCTAGCGAGCCTTGGAGAGCCTAGATACATCCCGCTCTATGAGACGATTCGATGATGGCTTTCTTCATCTCCATCAGAACGTTTGCTGGTGTCTCATTCTTCTCAACCGGTGATCGGGCTCGGACAGCTGTCCAACGCAGAGGATGCAGTGGCTTCGCACCACCACTCTTTTGATTTGCTGCGCTTTGCGGGCTCTTAAGGCTGTCGCGCAGTGCGAAGTTTCGATCTACACTATCTTACGCGATGGCGACTCATGGACCTACTGTTCCCCCTTCGCCCTGGTCCGGACTGTCACGGTCGACGCAAATGGATGTGTTTACACGACCTTAGACAACTCTTACGACGTGGGCGCCGTCTTCACAACGATCAATGATGGGTGCATAGGTGAAGCGGCTTGTTATCGCGGTCAAAGACTGATGAATTTGGCTAACTTTGGACTACTGTCCAGGCGGGATCTACATGGTTGCTACTGGCTACAATAAGACGGCCGTTTTCGATGCAGATTGTTCAAACGCTTTTGGTCACCGTAAGTACTCCTAATCGTGATCCAATCATTACGATCCGAGAGCACCTCCGTGAGTCGTTCAGACATTGCCTTCTAAACCTCTGCAGTCTTGACGGTAGACCCGAATTATACCGACGTATGCATGGTGCCGGTGCAGTGGCCGGGCCACGGCAATCCCAGTTCAAACATTGGCGGAGTGGTGTGTCTTTGTGACGGTGTCTCCTCTTGGTCAACGACAAGCACAGCGCATTTCACCAATCCAGCGTACCCGACATCCGTATCAGAAAGCACCAGCTACCTGACCGTCTTCATTAACGAAGCCTGGGTCTCCAGTGTGGAAGCGGTCCCAACGGAAACTCTAGCGACAAATACTGTTTCCACGACTTCGCCGTCGTCCACTTCCTCTTCCTCCTCCCCCTCCCCCACAAGCGCTTCAGCAAGTTCCACCAGCGACTCCGATGGAGGCAACGCGCTCCAGGCGACCAGCAACAAGATCGCATTAGGTGTTGGGATTGGCATTGGACTGCCGGCGCTCTTGGTGGCGATCATTGGCGTATGCATGAAAAGGAGACACTAGTTGACCAAGCCACCGTATAGCCGATACGCGTTATTATGACGTTGTGGAGGTAGTTATCATACCTACCTCTGGCACATGATTGGAAGTGGACATGAAGTCGAAGGGCCAGGTGGGCACCTATACTCTCCAAGTATATAGTGTGGGCAGGGACTGGAAGACACAACCCTGAACGCCTCTGGTGTACATTGAAGAACTAATATAGACCATAGCAGTGTAGAACCTGCTTGAACGGTGTCGGCCTAATACCAGTGCTGATTCTATAGACACGTCATAGTTTGACAGCTAGAGTGGTCAGATTGAGAGCGACTAGACCATGGGTCCTCCATCGAGCCCTGATCCGCTCAACGACCCCCTTGCCATCCAGAGCGAGGTCGGTCGGCGACTTAGGCACATAGTCAAGATACATTCTGCCAAACGGTGCGAGGACACTCTATGTTCGGCCGACGTAACAGATCAATAGAAGTTGGCCTTGGGACTCTGAGGGCGCGGGAGCATGTTCAGGCGATCCTCGACAGCAGAGAATACTTCTTATGCATCTGGCACACGGCTGCCCTATGCCAGATAGTGTTATGGTAGCTAGGCCCATACGACCGCAGCCATCAGCTTACAAATAGAGACAACATATATAATTGCTGGAAGAGGGAAGGACAAATAGCATTGACCCAGACGCCCATGGCACACTTCGTCCCTAGGGACAGTCCGTTCACACCTTGAGCACATTGACCCCTTCTCGCACCACGGTCAATTCCAGACTTTCGGTCGGCAAAATAAGTGCGCAGCTCATAATGGCAAGGGAGGCCCAGACCCGCCAGTTTCGCAAACCCATAGTTCGTCTGACGTGTCGCATGAGGAAGAAAAAGGTATTGAACCACATCAAATGGTTGTGCGTGTGCCCTACACCTGTCACCGATCGGCGATTCCATTGAGCAGCGTACTAAATCCCCATGTCCAGGTCGGATGAGACTTCACGACCAGAAAGCACCGAACCGTCCGGGGAAAGTACAGCAACTCTGCTGAAAGACGTGGTAACAGGTCGGCTATTCCAGGCAGGTGGTCCCTTGACGTCTCTGTATGCCATGCCTTCCCATTGACTCGCAATGATCTATCAGGTTCGTCATATCATATCATGTAGAGACTTGCTCACTTTGCAGTAGATGATGGACTTTCAACACAAGTTGAGAACAGGCCTGCAACAAGGCAACTTCTCGGCCGGAAAACGTTCTGCCCAACAGCTCGCGAACTTGGAGCTGCTAAGCCAACTTCCGAAGTCAGCAACGAAGGTTTCTTTTGCGTGACTAGATGGCAGGAAGCGAGATGGGCACCAACAGACCCAGAAAACCTCCAGAGCGGACGGGCCACACGACAATGGAAGCCAGCACGGACGAGGATCATACAGAGAGCGGACCGTGTGGATTGCCCAAGGCGTGCGTGATCCTGTGGCACAGGGAATCACCCACAAGATATCTGAACCTTGAAATGCATCAAAGCCGGATATCGGGAAGATAGCAAACGTCAACTTCTCAGAGAGTCGATGTTGGATACACCAGTCAGACTTCCATTACTGTGCCCTGCAATTCATACTCGGTAGTATATCGATCTTGCCAATGGAACAATGTTCAGCCGGGTAACTCCAGTGGTCAGAACAATCGATAGTTACAAGTTCAGTCAAGGAAGAAACCTTGATATATTTTTACAAGACTCTCGAGCGCCGGAGAGCAGAGTGTAATGTTGGTTGGTCTTGTTCGGTCGTGTGTCAGGAATATAGGAACAAAGGGATGCACAAGCGGCAAGGTAACTAGAGGGTAACCGTATATCATTTCCCGAATGTGACATCTCCGTCTCTTGACGATCGTATATTGCTGCGATGATGGCTCCCGAGGTAACAGCATTACCAAATAAAGCCGTGGGTATGTGTAGGTACCTTGGAGGGAACAATCTGAAGTCAAGGCCCCTTCCTACAGTCCCTTTCGACTCTGGGTCTTCTCATTTCATTGCACTTGCTGCACCGCTTAGGACGAAAAGACTGTTCTTGACCATGGCGTTTTGATCCCCACTGCACCATTACGACACAGTTTGTCGCGACGACTGGCGATTTGAGAGAATTCGATATTTTTCGGCAGTCTTGACGCGGGCCTTCTTTCCCCAGATCAATAGTGGAATGGGAAGAAGGAAGATAGCAAGGGCGATCATGGCGAGGCACACAAAGAGGTTCTGGATCCCAAGTGCAGAACGCCAGGGGCTCAAGGAGAACATTATGACGATGGACAGTCCGTTTCTGACGAAGACGACGGCGACGAGCGCATCACCAACGATCTGCCAGCTCAGTCAGTAATGATCATTAAACTTGAGCAGGTTAGGTGGATGGTAAGCTCACATCCTGATAACAGTCGGTCAGGTACGCCAGGGCGGCATCTCCAATTATGACGAATCCGAATCCGAACACGGCGAATCCGATGGTAAGCGCTGGCCAAGCCAGATCCTGAAGAATCTTGCATCAGTACCACTAATAACAGGTGTCAGGGGAGGTCCTTACGTGTGCCAGTCCCAGTCCCACAATCAAGATGCCGCCGACATTGAGGACTGCTGCTGGTACGGACATGTAGAGACGCATCTCCGGTTCAAAGACTCCTCGGTTTCTTCTCGCCAGCCAGCTGATCAGTCGGTCGTTGAGCGGTCCTCCTAGGATACTGCCCAGTGCGCAGCCCACAAATGGGGCAATGGACATCAGACCAAGGCTTGACGCACTGAAGTTATAAGGCGGATAGATGATGGTCGAAGAAACCACGGAGACAATCACAGCATACCAAGCCACCAAGCATCCATATGTCAGAGCCGTATAGGCGACGGCGGGGAATGTGCAAAGAATGACAAATGGCTGATAGAAATGGTGGCTGACCGACGCTTCTGTCCTGGTGAACAGCGCCATTCGCTGCCGGTATGATCGCGGCTTGATATCGACCTGACGGACGTGGTAATCGTCTTGTTCCATAAACACCAGGGGGTTCTTGTTGGATTTGTCAGTCGCAAAAACTTCGGTCTGGTCTGTTGCTGTCGGGGGGTGGCCAGCTATCTCGGGGATGTACTTGGATTCCTCGAACAACGCCCCGACAAGGAGGACGTTAACACCCAAGAAGATAGCGCACCACCACCATATCCATCGCCAGCCTTGCGCATCCACCACGTACCCGGCGGCAACAGGGCCTAGGAAGGAGCCTGCGGCCTGCACGAGCAAGAAGATGGCACTCATGGTGGCATGCTGATGCACGAAGAACAGATCGGCAATGGTAACCTGGACGAGCGTTTCGCTGAGGGCGCCTCCGAGACCGGATATCAGGCTCACAGCGATCATTTCGCCGCGCGTGTTCATCTTGGCCGACCATACTGCCGAGGCAAACTGCACGGCGCAGCTCAGGAGGTATATTGGCCGGCGGCCATATTTGTGGACAAACGGGATGAAAAGCACACACCCAATGGCGAGACCTGCAAAGCCGACGGCCGACGCGATTGTGAAGGTGGAGTATGTAATGTGCAGCTCTACCGTGTATGGGCCGTACGCAACCGAGGAGATATCCAGGAGTACGAAGGTGAAGAGGACGAAGACGTTGGCCAATGCGAAATTGAGCGCCTTGCGCCATTTGGACCAGTTCTTCAACAAAAGTGAGCAGAGCGCGTGGAGGTGTGAGGGTTGGTACAAACTCACCAAGGGATCGTTTGGATCAGCTGTTGGGACAGGATGGAGGACGATCTCTGACGACGATTTCTGTACTTTGTGCGGCAGAGAGGGAATAGTCAGCTGGTGATGGAAAGGACTCCCGGGGTAGTTTGTGAGGAACTCACGGTCATGAAGCAAGACAGTCCCAGGAGGGAGGTCTGCCTGCACTCCTATCTCTGCGATTGCACTGCTGTCACTCATCGTGGCCTTGGCTCTCTCGACAGCGTCAAGTTGTTCTATCTGTGTTGACTGCGAGATAGAGGGGTAGAGACCTCCTCGCGACAATGCAAGAAGTATTTATGTCTTCCTGGACATCTTCGAATAATCACCACGCTCGGTAAGCAGATCTGGACCGTACGTCTTCATAGATACCCTGACGACCTTGATTACCCCATATAGATTGGCATATCGTCTATCGCCGTCCATGGGGAAGTGGGACCGGGAGATTTGGACCAGGCTGTCCAATCATGTCGCACTTAATGCCCCGGTCCGCGTATTTCGGCTCTATCCCTAGTTTAAGCCTTCTAAGGTTGGGCTGCTATCGGTCATTGACCGATGAACAGGGAACGCCATCTCCTCGAAAGGGGAATGCAGATAACACTCCGGTATCTGCAGTGGCGAAGATATAGTGATCTCTCGATGGCTAGCCTCTTAGCAATCACAACCAGCCGACTTCACCTGGAACCGTTGCGGAATTATTGCGCTCTTTCGAAGAGCCAGCGCCAAACTGACAGACAGACGGAAGTGGTTGAACCAGGCCTAGAAGACCAAAAGCACAGAGTGCTGGGATCATGAACGCGGAATGTGGCAGAGGAAATAGTCACCCAGATCTCATTGGCAGACATATCAAGGTTATCCGCGTCGGCAGCAACGACACAGGTATTCCCACCACCCGGTCCAAGCTCATCACCGATTGACAAACTTGAGCTGGGTCCATCGCTGGCCCTTCTGCGCAATGTGAGGGCTATCAGCTCCCTCCAACTCGGCCATGACCGGTTGACTCGCCTCCCTGGTGGACGAAACCCATTCCACGTCGATGCTCTCGTGACCCCTACTCATAACACCATCTCGACCGAGGGTCTGGAACTTCAGATCAGCTGGTCCGATCAGCACCTGCATGTCGAAGTCGGCACGGAGGTACTCGGGACCGACGTTATACCAGTGCCGGTTCTTCCTTTTCATGTCTTGTGGGAGCTGAGACTCGACCTTGCACACGAGCTGTGCTCCGGAATTGTTCAGGCTGCTGGGAAGTTGCTCTGGCGGCAGACTCGACATGACAATCTGCGATTGCCAAGGGACATGTTCGCTTCCCGGCTGGATTTTCATCGAATACCGTTGCTTGATGCCGTTCTGTACTGAGACCTTCTGGCCCTGTTCGGCTCTCAGCTTCCAGCTTCGACGCTTATTCTCGGTGGGATATCGCTATCCAGACGTACCTTTACAACGAACCAGTCTATCTGCTTCTCCACCCATATCTTCTTGTCCCTGGGATCAATGATGACGGGTTGGCCAAGATGGTACCTCGGGTCGTATTCTCGCCTCACCACGACCCCGTATGAGTTTCGACAGTATCTTTCCTTGTACACAGACCGGTTTGATTTGATCTGCTGCACTCGATCCAGGACCAGTCCGTGGCAAACTGCCAGTTGGGGCTTGGGGACCCGGAGGATTTGCAGATCTTTCGCATTCGGCGACTGACTTGTTCCGCCCTTGTAGCGAGCCATGAGTCTTTTCTGAAGGTATGGCGAACTCCCAAGACCGCCAGACAACACCATATAAGTGATATTCTCGGCAGGTTTTGTGCTTTGCAGGTGGATCAGTTGCTCGTCAATCAAATCGGCAAGTCTCTCGACCTGGTCGTCAAAGATTGCCTGGACTTCTTGCTTTGTGATTATCATCTGTGAGTCCTCGACGTGGGCGGATTCGATATTTGTCCCAAAGGGCAACCCGGGGATCGGTAGCCTAAGCGAGGGCAAGTCCATGGCCTCGTCACCCAGGTTGCATTTGAAGCTTTCAAACCTCGAGCTTTCTCTCAGCATTCGGTACGCCGCGGTCTCCGGATCCAGCGCCAGCTGTTCACGAATCGGCTTCAGACGCTCAATGATCAGCTTCTCCATACGGTAATCAATCAATGTCGAACCGATAGCCCGGCCTTCTACCCATGACAGGGGTTCGAGCTCGGTCTCTCCTATCCCTGAGGCCAGGACTTTCAGAATATTGACATCAGATGTACCTCCACCAGCATCACACACCAAAAACACGTCCCCGGGAGAATATTGCTGCTTTGATGCGTACACGGCAGCCGCTTCTGCTTCTGTCAGACTGACCTCGACTGTTTCCCTTGGATTGCGCCGCCCGAATCCTGCGTTGTGAATGAGTTGCTTCGTCTCGGCGATCATAGCTGGATTTTTCCAGGTTGTGGGAACGCTGAATCGGAACTCGACACTTTTTGACTCGTATCGGGGGATGGTATCCCGCAGATGGCGCTCAACCGCTTGATAGAGACACGACAGATAGTCGGTGAACCATCTTTGGGCTTCTCGAACTGAAGGCGCGCCCTCATATGGATCCCTGAAATCAGGATCCAGGTAAAGCTTGAAGAGCTCCTCGACTCGAAAGTTGTCACCGACGCGGCAGGTGTCAACCATAAAACCCCAGGATACAATCTCGCCATTCGAATCATAGGCGATTTTCGAGTCGACCTTGTCTGCGATGCCTCCTCTAAGATTCCCAGGCCAGTTCTGAATCGTCTCAGGCCTCGTCCATTCAGGGCCGGCCGAATACGCGACGCCTGTACTGGTCATCCCAAAATCAATTCCAACGATCACATCTGGTGTTGACTCCATTTCTTCGGCAGGACAGGCCCAGAGGCTTCTTTGAGTCTATTGCAAGGAAGCCGTGGATCGAAACAAAGCGATACTTGGTGTGTGAGTAGGAGTTTTGAATCCGCATCCCGTGCCTTGCTCAACGAACCGTCGATAGTCCAATTCCTAGGCGCTAATATGTCCGTTGCCCTGCACATACCCCTGTTCTGTTTCAGCTGTGTGAGCGCCTATCAAGGTGGAGAAATGCTAGTGATTCTCTGCCGCTCTTCTCTCTCCCCTAGCCTTGCCTTAGCCTGGCGGCGAGGCAGATTTGGTCCGACTTGCTCGTATTCCTCTCGAGGAACATGTCCGTGAAGTACTCGTACTAGCGGAAAGCGGCGGCCATGTTTCGTCCCAGGGAGGTGCGACGATCTAAGCCTTCCATGAGCTGCTACAGAAGCATTTCTTTCCTTTCCTTCCCTTTTCAACACTCTGTTTTATTCCACTCTCTCGGAACCAGTGTTCCATCACCATTGTCGGGAGTTATTATTGCTTGAGTGCGTTGGCTAGCATGGCAACCATCCCCTACACAGCCACTGCTACAGTAACTGTACCTCCAAGTCTGGCAATAGTGGCCGGAACCACTGTCCAAGCCTCAATAACCATTGCTGGCACACCGACTGCCGTCGTCTGGGCTCCATTGTCCCCCTATGCAGCAACGAATGTGCAAGGAAATGCCACTCTTACGGCCACCTTCTCAGTTCCACTGTCAGTAGAGAAAGGACCCTTCTCTGCTGATGCCACCTTCACGGTTTACGATACCGCTGGTGCTCAGATACCAATTACCGCCACCATTACTGCCAACCCTGCCGCGGCACCAGCAGAGGCAACGAGCAGCGCATCTTCTCCAAGTCCCACTTCGTTTGTGTCGCAAACCACCACGACATTATATTCGATAACTTCCAGCTCTACGTCATCGTCGAATTCCACGGCTTCCTTTGCGACGGCACCAAGCTCTCCACTTTCTGTGCCCGCTGGCCAACCAACACAAACCGAACTGCCCACAATAAGCAAGGGCTACAGCACCGCTGATCTGGCAGGAGCGGCAGTGGGATGCGGGATTGGAGGTGCTGTCCTCGTCGGCCTGGCGGCATTTCTCTTTTATCGGAGGCGCAAAAGAAAAGCGTCTGAAATCCTTCCCGGTGCTGGCTCAGCTGCCCGGTCTGGGAAAAGGCATCCTGATCCAAGCCCCAGCAATGAAGACGTGGTCGTGGTGGAAACACGGGCATGGGAAAAACACCTGCCACAATCCGAGTCCGATCAGGCTGTGCGCAATATGGCCAGCCGCACCCTGGATCAAATTGAGATGCACGTCGAGAATTTCTACCGAGATGCAACCAATGTGTCTATTAGCCATACAGCTGCATCGGAAATGCGAGACTTGGACTGTAGTCATCTGCCTGACTCGGCATCGAACCTCATCCGAACATCTCGCAGACCTACCTCGTTGATCAAACATTGTATTGCCAACCTGATCCTGTCCCGGATTGACTTTACGAAGAACTCAAACGACTCCTTCTTGCCCAGAGATATGATGATGTTGCAATCTTCTTTGAAAACTGCGCCGGAAAACCCAGGTAAGAGAAATCATGGCTTGAGACGAATTCGCGTGGCTGACAAGAGACGGACAGGGTTCGCACAGGCTTTAGCCCACTGGCGAGTCCTCTCGGCCTACCTGAGGCAAGAGCCGCAGCATGACGAGGAATATCTTACAGAGCGTGATCAAAGAATCAATGCCGCCGCGGAAAAGTTATGCGTTGCTTTCGAGCCATGGGCTCGATCAGCGGATAATACTCGCTTCCGAAGCATGGTGGGCATAATGCAACGAGCCAGCGACTTAGGGGTCATGTTGTTTTCGCAGCCCGCTTCGTTCCGGTGGCAGTGGGAGGCTAGCAACAGGGGAGGGGTACCCCAGAATGGTCCAGGCAAGGTTGCTGTCCTGCCAGGACTGTACAAGGTGACTGACGAAGAGGCACGTTCGCTTGCGTCTCCATTGCACCTGATCGAGCCTCGGTTGTCCAGGGAGGGCTGGTTTTAGCCCTCGGGGGCTCTCTCGGGGGGTGCGGAGTCCTCACAAGTGTGTAATTTCTCATGTTGGAGCGGCCTACATGTGGCTTGTATAGAGGAGGTCGGGCTGCGGTCATATGAACGTTCTCCCTTATCTTCCGGCAGGTCCATTCCGCCTTGGCGTGATATTCGTGACTAGGGGTGTTCCACTACTGCAGGGGGTACCTGAGTAACGTTGAGAATATCCCAGGGATAGAGGGGCTAGTGCCCTCGGTTAGCGAGAATGTGATTCAGCCTCATGGCACTGGACGCTCTCAGTCGCTTGGGTGCTCGACGAGGGTTAGCGGACCAGTCAAGTACGCCGCAGCCTGTGATGGACGGCACTCGGCCGGTACATACAGTTTCGACATCAACCAGGGCGTTTGTTGCTGTTCGGTCTCTATGGACATTTGTCGACCATTGGCCCGCTACCCTTGACGTACCCACCGTACCTGGGCGAGGGTTGATTGTGGTGATACAGAACCGTCGAACCCCAGCCCATGGGGTTGAGTCGATGAACACGGCATGGCCCCTGCAGCTCGGATGTAACGTCGACAAGGCGTCGACCAGGTTCGCAGCCCCCAGATGCGTCACTATTGGCGCCAACGGCAGAGCCTGAGCGCCTGCGGCTGGGGCCAAAATCGAACGAAGCACAAGTACGAGGTATGCCTCGTTGCCCTCGGACACTCGCCCAGCGCGATGTCAGTTTCCTGGGCTACGACCGTTTGATGTGTAGCTGCAGATTCATGCATTCGAGAGGGGCTTCGAGCTACGAGTGCCAGTAGAGCCGGTGTGGTTATCAGCCACGTCCACTATTGTGCAGATTGCCTGAATGGTCCAGCCACCCGGAAATGAGGCTCTGTCACTACCGAGAAGCTGGAACTGACTGACCTATTCGATCCTGGCAATTGGGATACGAGGCACATGTCCCCGAGAGGATCATCTGTCGCCCGCTCCGGTATCTGCGCAGCTGGTGAATTCCCTGACATGCACATTGACACGGTGCTCGAGGCAAATGAGCGAGCTTCCATCGTTAGCAACCTGCGATCGCGGCTGTCGGCGGACCTGAGTCCATACCAAAAATATTGCGTCGACAATGCAATCCAAACCACCAAAAACGCTATCGATGCTGCCTTCCACTGGCCAGAGCCTGCCCTCGAAAGCGTTGACGTTCGTCCGAGATGGTTTCCTGATCCGTCCTTCCTGCGACGACTGAAAGGGTTGACCTCAGACTTACCTGCGACTACAGCGCACTCCCAACAGATGTTAGTCGCCACGCAATCTCTGAATGATGCCATGGAAATCCTGTCTTCGTGCGAAAACTGCAAATCACCGACGCCACAATCATCCCCGGAACTCAGCGAATTTTTGAACCGAAGGAGAAGGAGTGCAGCCCATAATACTCTACACTCTCTCGAGGGAGGATCAGAATGCATTGGCAAGGGCAAACAACGAGATATCCAGGGCGAATCCAAACCACCAGCTGGATCTTTACTCGGAGCTGGGTACCCTGAGCGTTCTCGTGCGGAAGAGGCAAATCCAGCCCAATCCTACCAAAGAAAAGGCACGGGAACACCCATTAATGGCTTTGCACCACCGAAAGATTATCTGCAAAGAATCGGTCGAGCACTTGACCACGACGCCGCCTTGGAGGCTGCAACGACCGACCAACACAACGGCCTGGACTACCGAGTATCGTTGGCAGTTGAGGCTGCGGAGATCTGGGGACACGGTACTGAAATTGCACTGGCCACAACACAGGGTCATATCCATCGAGAGCGAACAATCCAAAATGGGGATGCATCCAAGTCCAATTTTGATCCCAGCGAGTCCTCTAAAGCGTCATCGGCAGCAACGAAAGTCACCGGTGAAGATCAAACTTCAGATGCTACTGACAGCTATCCCATTCCATACGGACAGTACAATGATGCTTTGAGACCGATGTTGGCCACCACAATAGTGAAACCTCCTGCAGTGAACGTGTCAAATCCTGTGGCAAGTTCTCCCCTACGGGCGTCGAACCAGCCACATCAAATTCCTCGCAGAAAGCCACTGCCAATCATGGCATCGTTTTCGTCATCACAGAGCACGAATGGGGCGCTCTCGTCAGCGACCGATTGGAATTCATCTGCAACTGAAGATACCGAGTCTTTGCATAGTCCGGGGATTCTACCTGCCTTTCAAGACGCAGACAAGCATGTCGTCGTCCCAGCTGAGGAGGCCGCGAGACCCATCAAACATCTTGATACATCCGCAGCAAGAATCCCCCTTCACAGATACTCGGGATCGACGGGAAGCGGCTCAACGACGTACATTGCGACTGAACCCGCGCCTCCATATCATATGACAAGGGGCCGTACGTGGCTTGAGCGAAGAGCGGAGACGCAAGGTTGACGATCACGATTTGTATGTGCTACGATGGCAACGGGGGGCGGAGGTTTCCAGCATACTGTATGATCATTCACTTTGTCTAAGCGCATGATAGGATTGATAGTTCTCGAGAGCGGAGGAAAGAGCTGTATACGAGGCTTTCCCGCTCGAGTCTATCAGGGCTTTGTGGCGGCGCGCTGATTGTCGGACGTATGACCGAACTCATCTATAGCATGTTCGCGAGGGCTGCTTCGAGGCAGGATTCCTGACCGTGCAATGTATAGACCCACCATCACATCTCTGTGACGAAGAGATAGATCCATGGCAATACCGAACACCGAGGATCCTTCCTCATCGAGTATAGTCTCGCAAAGTCGAGCGAAAGCAGCTTAGGCGTCGCTTACACAGAGAAGCCCGAGAAGCAAGTCCGGATCAAGACTCGCTTCGCAAACTCGAGTGGAAGCAGTTTAGGGCCGATTGCTCCACCACAGAGATAATGCAGTCTCCTTGGTCTGCTCTCCCTGCTGCCTTGCTGGTTTCTGTCGCGATCAGCAAACCAGCAACTCAGCCCTATAGGCGGTGCTCGATTTCTCTATTCTCGCTCGTCGGGAGCTGCATGGTCTAGCAAGCAAGGTTTATGAGGCTTCGCTAGGCTTTCTATCGGCCACCATGTGCTGCTGCGAGAGCCGTGTCCTAGGTAGTGGGTGGAAGGGCGTTCACGAATACGTGTCTATGCCAGCTTCCTGTAGCCAGGCTTTCTGTTTTCAGACTGGTTTGCGAGAACCTACGACTTGCAGATCTCCTGGGTGATACCGTTCGTCTATAAAGTCGTGTCCATGCCGTCCAGCAGAGGACGTTTGGATGGCCTGCCCAACACACAATACACACAAGCTGAGCAGTCCGACCCTCCCACCAAGCATCATTCACGCTGGCGCACTATATACTACCACCGTTCTTCCCTCGTCCGTCGCAGTTCGCCGACCGGAATCCCCATTCAAAATGTCAGTGCCTCCTGACGTGCACAAATCCTCAGAGCACGTTCCCCGGACTACAGCTGGGCAGCGCTGGCTCAAGTTTGGGCAGCGGATATACCACCCCCTCGGCTTCAAGAGGGGGTACAATTTTATACTCTTCGTCATACTTGTCGGGGCCCTCATGGGGTTTGTACTCGCTCGGTTCCAATACTTGAACATTGACGGCATCTTCTTGAAGGTACAGTGCTGCCTGGACCAAGGAAGTCCTTCGCACATGCTTCCTATTGTGACTGACAGTACATAACACACAGAAAACCATTCCTGGGGACGCCATCCACTATCAGTCAGGGTACAAGCGGATCGGGATCATCCTTCACCTCGGCTGCATCCTCCCGGCAGGCTTCCTGGTGTGCTTCCAATTTGTGCCGGCGATCAGGTACAAACTCCTGCTCTTCCACAGGCTCAACGGCTACACGATTATTCTTCTGTTGTTGACCGCCAACTCTGGGGCATTCATGGTCATCCCCATCGCCGGAGGGGGATCGCCGTCCACACAAGCCGGCCTCGGCCTCCTGGGAACCATGACCACGGTCTCCGTGGTGCTGGCGTACGTCAACATCAAGCGCCTGCAGATCGACCAACACCGCGCTTGGATGATCCGGACCTGGGTGTACGCGGGGAGCGTCATCTCGGTGCGCCTGGTCCAGATGGCCGCCAACACCTTCGTCGCCCAACACCAGCAGGGCCACTGGTACGACGTGCAGACCTGCGGGGACATCTGGAAGCAGTACACCCTGTACGGCGCCCCGGCCGGGGCCGGCAATCCCACCCCGTACCTGTACCCGGAGTGCACGGCGGCGAACTCGAGCGCGCCCGTGGTCATCAAGGCCAACGTGCACGGGCTCGGCCCCGAGTTCGTCACGGCCTCGTTCCACCTGACGTTTGGCATGTCCGTGTGGCTTTGCCTTGCGGTCCACGCCATCGGCGTCGAGACGTACTTGAAGCTGACCCCCGCAGAGAGCGAGAGGTTGAGGCTCGTCAGTTACGAGAGGCAGGTCGAGGCCGGGTTCAAGCGTCCGGCCCGTGCGGGCTTGACCGTGGACAGGTTTGGGGATGTTGTGGCCCGGGACCCCATCGGTCAACCCAAAACCAGCCAGAGCTCGAGCGAGTCAAAGGGAGGAGTTACGCGCCTGGACGAGTAAGAGAAGCTGGAGTCGTCGAAGATCCTGAGAAAGTACAAGCCTGGCGGTGTCTCACGAAGGATCTCTGGGAAAAGATCCCTCTGTTGAAGAGAGTGCGCGCACAATGAGACTGCCGTGTCGTGCGAAGAGAGAGAATCTCATGTCGAATATGTTCATTCCGTGGCTTTGTTTCCCACTTCTGGTACATCTTATCTAGCTCCCAATCGAAATATCGTATTCCAGTCGGCCACGACACATCTTCGACTCAGACAGTACATTCTGTCTACGCATCGACCAAAGAGCCTTGCACTGGGCAAGAGTAGCATATATACGATGCGACCTGCCACTCGTATTCGGAATTGGCCCGTCCATTCAGGCCCCGGGTGTTGCATTCGACTGGTTCTCCAGAAGCGAGGAGATGTGCGATTGCAACTTCTCCGACTGGCCAGGGCTGGTGACTGGCTTCATGCTAAACCCCAAGCACAGAAGCTTCTTTGGCGACAACCGCAATCCTATCACCTCCCACCCTATGACACCCTCCACAGCTGTCAGCCGGTGTTCGTCGACGACGGCGATGACTCGCACCGATTCAGGCTCGTGTTTGTCGACAGCCTTATCCGGTGGCCCTCCCGCGCTCTCGGTCCTGGATATGTTCAGTAGAGCAGGCAGGCTGAAGATACTGATAGTGACTCGCTAGATACAAGATCTCTTTCGAAAATGGTCTACGCCGGCCCCTCCCGCGGGTGCGCAACTTGCAAACGGAGAAGAGTCAAGTGTGACCTGGGCCGACCACTGTGTAAGAACTGCTTGAAGAGGAGGGTGCTGTGTCCCGGTGTGCCAGACCCCCCGGGCATACAGTTCAGAGACGAGACCGAGGCAGTGATACAGCTATTCCAAGCCGCCGACGACAGAGCCGCCGACGCCGACGCCGACTACAGCGAATACTCCAATGCCGTAGTGCCCCATCTCGGCGAGGACGAGAACTTTGTCTCGCTGTGTTTCTTCTCCCACAACTACATGATGGGTGGGCGGGGCGTGCAGTCGTCGCGAGGCTTGTTCGAGCATCTGATCCCGTATTATCAGCCGACTGACCTGGATTCTCTGCTGTCGGTCGCCACGGCTTCTCTCACGGCCACCATGCTGTCGATGTGGCGCGGCCGGCCACCGGATTCGGCGCTGTCGAGACAGTACTACGGCCGCGCCATCGGCCTCTTGAAGGACACCCTGCGGACCCCCGAGGGATGCGAGTCTGACACGACCTTGATCGCCATCATCGCCCTGCAGTTCCGGGAAGCGCTGATTGCCCATCGCAAGATGGCCAAGGTCGACGGAAGCCACCAGAGAGGCGCATACGCCGTGGTCAACTACAGAAAGAGCAAAGGCTTCCGCGACATGGCCTCCAAGCGGCTCCTGCAAGAGGTGCGCAGCACCATGGTCTCCGAGGCCATCCGGACTCGCCAGCCGGTCCAGATCGACCCGGCGGTGTGGGAGGACGAGGGCCCCATGCCGCACAACCCGGCCAGTGACCTCGACAAGATCGCCATCGACCTCGCCAACATGCAGGCTCTGTTCGAGCAATACAAATCCACCCTGCAGGCCGGGTTCGCGAAGGGCCAGAGGGTGCTGACCGCAAGGGACCTCGGCATCATCGCGTCGTTCCGGAGGACCGCGGCGGCCATCGACCAGCGACTGCAGCTCTGGGCCGCCGCGCAGTCCCCGTCCTACGCGCCCGTGCGCCTGGCGGCCGACGAGATCCCGGCCTCCGTCCGGCGGGCCGGGCTCCACGGCGATTTCTGCAACGTCTACCCGTCCGTCCAGATCGCGGGCGTGTGGCACGCGTACAACAGCTACCGGCTGATCCTGCTCCGGATGACGCTCGGCGCGGACCAGACGGTGCGCGACACGCCGCGCGAGAACGACGTGCTGCTCGCGGACTCGGACGCGTGGAGGACCCCCGCCGAGGAGACGCTGCGGGGTTGCGTCGACGAGATCTGCGCCGCCGTCCCGTTCCACCTGGGCAACCGCACCGACCCGGGCTCGATCCACGAGCTCTCCGACACCGCGGCCATCGAGTACCCGTGGCCGGCGCCGGGCAAGGACCCTTACTCGCACCCGTCCAGTCCCGTGGCCCGGGCGTACGCGCGCGAACACAACGTCGTGCCCCTGACCGCCGACGAGCGCAAGCGCCAGAACCTCTGCATGGGCGGCTACAACATCCTCGGACCCATGGCCTTTGTCCTGGGCCTGACGGCCGAACCTCTCGACCTGACCGGCCTGCGGAAGGAGCCGCGCAGGCTGGGATCCTTGCTCCGCCCGGACCAGATCCCCTGGCTGGCGGGACAGATGGGGCGGGCCATGAGACTCCATCACACGAGGAGACAGCAGCCACAACAACAAGGCGGAGTAGGAGGAGGTAGTAACAACCGAGACAAGAGCAGCACGCCTCCGACGAAATCGAAACCCGCCGCCGCGATGGAGGAGGATCACGCCAGCAGCGATGTGGCGAGGGATGTCGTCCGGGTGAAAAAGTCCATGAAGTATTCCTTTGGTGTTTGATTTCTGTCAGCGTGCGTGTCTGCCAGTCGGTTGTATGTCTACCCAGGAATCCAGCCGTCTCTGAGAGACCAGACCACAAAGTAGAGCTCTACAAGGGAACCAACGACTTTGTACAGCTACATAGCACTTAGTACTTAGTACTTAGTAATTGACATTTTATACAAAAAAATCGTCAATTCAAGACTCGAAGCACTAGCCCCCCCCCCCTCTCTGAGCATTCCGAGGACCTCACCTTTGGCATATTTTACTTTCAACCTGTTGTCGAGGTCTCAGCCAGCCCAATGCTCACCGGCCGTCCGGTCCTTTCTTCCTTCCTCCGTCCCGCAGGACCCCCTGGTCTCCGGCACAGAACCCGCACCCCCCAGAGACAGAAACTCGCGCAGATGTAGCTCACTCCGCAGAATATTTGCGTGTAGAGGTACGGCCGGGCGTGGCCTGGGCGACGGAGGTAGAGGGCGATGACTTCGGAGACTTTGAGGGGTGGAGAAACGTCATGTTAGTATAGACAGACAGACATAGACGTGTACTAACTACACCTGTAGCCTGGGTTGGAAAGCAGAGACAGGTGAGGAGAAATGACGAGGACGCACATGTCGTCGGCAGCACGGTGGATAGCCAAGAGAGCGAGAGGAGCGAAGGGAGCTGTTTCAGTCCGGCCACTTCGACGCAGAGAGGGCCGATTGTCTAGACAGATAGTCAGTCGGGCGGTCAGTCAGGGATTGATCAATAGCACACAGAAAGTGACAGGGGTTTGACAGTGGCAGACAGTTCCAAAGCGTACCATCCAAAACACTCCCAGGATTCCGCCACTCAGGATTCCAAAAAACACCGTGACCCCGAACGAAGTGGCCGGGATCCAGATCACCAGGCACGAGAGACCGCAGACAAAGGTGAGACTCGTCGCGACCCCGAACCGGCCGAATCGATCACTCGCGACGCCAATGAACGGGCGGCCGAGCGCGGTGCCCATGTTCAGAAAGGCAGTCACCTGCGTCGCCTGTTGTCGGGACAGGCCGATGAAGAGCGAGAAGTCCGAGAGCGAGTAGAGCAGGGCGATGTACCCCAGCATGCTCAGGAAGGCCCAGGAGAGGAGCAACAGAACCTCGACGCGCGACACCAGGTCCCGGTCGAACGGGTGCTGTTTGGGACGAATGACGCTGTTGCGGTCCCGGATGAAGGCCGCGGCGACGAGGTTGGCAAACAGTGCAATGATCCCCGTGATTCTCAGCGCCCATCCGATCCCGAGATGTTCGATCATGGCCCCAATGGCGAAGGAGAAGATCAAGCCGCCAATCCCCGACCCGGCCGCGCTGATGCCGTTGGCGAGGCTCCGTCGCCTTGCGAACCACTGGGACAGAACCGCGATGCTGGGCACATAGACGAAGCCGACACCGAGCCCGACCAGTGCTCCTTGTGAGAGGTAGAGATGCCAGATCCGGGTGGCGAAAGACGCCGCGATGAACCCTCCTCCAAAGATGACTGCTCCCGCCAACATGGGCAGTTTGATGCCGAACGAGCGGGCTATGCGTGTGACCAAGGGCGCCGCGAGCATCGCGACCCCGAAGTTGAAGCTGCCGATGAAGGCATAGTCCAGAGGGCGAGACTCGGGAAACGCATCCACCGTCAGGTAGTACGACAGAAAGACGCCATAAGACTGTATGTCCCTCGTTAGCCAGCTCTACTTGAACTGCTAGACACAACCCATGCGAGAAAGACAGCTGAGCGAGTTTGGATGAGTATGGAGGTCGTGACTTACCGCTACAGAGCCCCAGGTGAAGCAGTTGATTGCGAAGCAGCAAGCCAGACATACCCAGCCATAGCCGCCGTCTGGAGGAGGCTCCAATTCATCATGGTTCCGAGTTTCGGGTTCGTATCTCAGCTGAGGGTTGATGACAGTCTCAGTCTCTGTTGACTTGGACATCGAGCCGACTGTGGATGGAACTTGACGTTCATCGGGTCGAATGCAGCAATTGCCAGGTTACCACATGATATGTACTATGTAGTACCACATAGTATGTTTTTGTATTCAGTTGAGTTAGCATCGGGATACGCAGGAGAGAAAAGCGCAGAATCTAACATCCTCCTCAGGTCCGTGCCGATCCATTGAGGTGTCCACGAGGCCGCTTGTTGTTGGATTGGCAAGCCCGAGTCAGCCTATCATGTCTGTTGTGTGACACACCGAGATGGCTCGCTGACACCCTAACCTGCCCTCTCGCCTTCGCACTCGACCTTTGTCCTCACTCGCTCCGCCGTATGCACTTCCGGCCAGAATCCAATATTGGCGGCGCGGCAACTCTCCCCTCCAATGCCATTTTGGACCAATGGGTGTATCTAGGATCCATAGTGAGGTAGAACATAGTTCCTAGAAATGCAGAGGCCCTGGGGTGGTGTTAGGGCTGGGTGTACCCTTCCAGGGCTGGAATCTGTACTGGCCCAATTGTCCCAGGACAAAGAGATTCCCAGGTCGCTCCGCTCAGGCCATGGGGGATGGTCGAATGTAACTCTGGTAGGACGCATATCCTACATACTCTGCCCCGTAACTGATGTCTCCATACCCTATCATCTGGCCGGAGAGTATTCGAGCTCTGAAAGGCACAGTCGTCGTGGGGATGTGCATGGATCTGACGAACTTTGTGTGCTGTAAAGTGAGACCCTGGGATTGCATGTGTACTTCACCATCTGCAGGCCGATTTATCGTAAGAGCTACGGTGTTTGCTTGCGCGTTCTAATTATGTCGATCCTGTGGATTCTCACCTCATGGTTCATCATCATGAGGCGGGACAGGAAGATGGCAGCCTTGAAATCATAGAGAGGACCGAATAATGAAGGACGGCCGCAACAAAAAATAACAACCGCCATCACGGGCTTCCTGTGTCGCCATATCTCGTGCCCATTTTCCTGCCTGGAGACTTATATTCTATCCAGAGCCCAAGAGTAGCCCTCCAAATTCAAAAGTGCAAGCACTTATACTGGGTAGTTCTCCAGCAAATGATTCGAAATCTGGTCCGGTGAAAACGAAAAGTCGCCCTGTAGCGGAGTTTGGTTCTTTCACGATTGATTCGTCTTTCCACCGAGATTGGAGGAAAGCCTGTGGTGTTTTTATGCTATATGTCTTGCTTTCTTCTTTCGCTCACGCTCTTTCACTTCCATCCTCCGGGTCACAATTCGCCTCGGCCAACTATAGCCCTGCAGTCTCTACGCGAGACGGAACCAATGGTGCAAGGAAAATGCCCAGAGCTTGCAAAATGTCCAGGTACCGAAACCATGACCGCAATAAATCTCGAACGTCTCCTCGCACTTTTCTGTTCAGGGCTACCTCATCCACTGATTGCTAGTCAAATTTTTAGCCGTCGAGATTAGCAGTGACTTGCCACCTGTCAGCAACGAATTTGAGAATGGTACCATCAAGCCTGGCCGGGTCGACGAATGCGGCATACTGGGCATTTTGGCCGAGCAAGTCGAACACGCGCCAGAGCACGAAGACTTTCCTCTCGGTCGTGCGGCTGGCCCAACCTCGTTCCGGAATACGGTAATCGTGCATCTAATTGTCAGAGGTTGTCAACTCACGATTTTCGCTGAGACATGGTGACTCACCCTTTGGTACTGCGCATTGCTCATCTTCATGGGCTTTCCGCAGGGGCCTGGCGTGCTTTTAACTTCGATGTAGTATGTGATAGGGGATGTCGGTGTAACTGGTGGAGCAGCGTCTATGAAACCAGGGGACTCGCCCCACCCGTTTTCTTTTAACCACGTGCTGAATTTGCCGGTCGTGTCTTTGTACACAATGTCCATATCTGGCCCATCATACTCTAGCAAATTTTGATACTCGTGGATGGCGCGGACGTGTTTGCGGATGGTGCTGCGCCAATTTCGATGGTCTGCCGTTCGGAAACCTGGGAGGTCGAGGGAGAGGAGAAGCTCGTAGACCTGTTCAAACGGGGCTGGTCAGATAGTGATTTACACCCACACTATTCGTCCCATTCGAGGCGAGCACGAAAACATGTAAACACAAGGGATGAACGCACGAATAATTCTCCAGCTACCCCGATGCGGTCCCAGAAATCGGGGTTTGTCTGAGGAGTGCCAAACGTGTCCCTCGTCCTGAACGGCCTGAATTCTTCTGCCACTGTCCGAGTCTTTTTGCGAACTTGCCGAACAAGATGCTCGAGTAGCCGATTATACTCATGGCGAGTATCTTTCAAGTCCAACTCCTGCATCGCACCTGTCCTCTCCATACCTCTATTTGCGTCTGACAGACCTAGATCCCCCATCTCGTAGGTCAGCTCATCGGTGTCGCCATCGATAATAGGGTTGAGCCATGTCAATTCAGGAATATCTTGTTGCTTCAGGACATCGTGTAGATTCTCCAGCTTCTCAGTTAGCAGGAAGTAAAGACAGTGTCCTGCCCGTTGATCCTCGATCCCGAGCAACTTCAACATCGACTCAGGGAGCTCGACCATATAGCACCGGCGCAGCTCGGACATTTGGGTTGGGAGGTAAATTTGTATGCCGTCATTAACTTCCGTGAACATGGGTTGGATCCGGTCGCTCTGGATAGGATCAAGCGGTTCATTGCCGTAGTGCAGAGTGAGCATGGTCTGCAGTTCTGCGCAGGTATATACCTCGATACCCAACAGCTTGCTGTGCGTTGAGTCGTCGAAGTTAAAGTACTTTGGACTAGAAAACGCAGCAGCACAGCTTGAGGAAGAAAGTGTCAGATAAGTCAAGGTCGTGAGGCAGAAAATCATGTGTTCAGCTCGAGAACTCACCATGAAAAAAAGTAAGCTCTCTTCTTGAAGTCTTGCATCCGTGCAAAATCCTTAGATGCGACACTGGGCTTGGGCACCTCTGAGGCTTCAGTAACGCAGGCGGACAGGTAACGATTCTCAAGGTTTAGCTTTCGGAAGAAGCTCTTCAGCAAGCGAAATTCCTCAAGCGTGAAGTCCAGCAATTCAACCTTTTTTTCAAACGCCTGCCCATATCGTTCATGGTCGGCGATAAAGAATCGCGTCGCCATCTTCTGCAAGACCGGCGCTTTGTCCTTGAGACGTACAGGCAGGAAGGAGTACTTCCTCAGCGTTGCCAAGCCCATAGTAAACGAGCGTTCAGGTGCAGCTTCAGCGTTAAACATCGGACCTAACGCAAGCAGCATAGATTTGACATCTGAGTAACTCGGCTCCTGAGCTTGCACTAGGTCTATAAGCCCATGGAGAAGGATACTTATATTGACCGTTGGTACTCCCAATAGGTCGACGAAGAAACATTTCAGCTCCGGGTAGTCATGTTGAAGACCAGGCAGGCCGGGTAGCCTATACTTGCTTTCCCATACACACTGGGAAGGTGCGCGCCATCCCCTTTCGGTGAAAACGAGCTCCTCTTTTTCGCAAAATGTCCTGAAAACATCAGTTTTAGTTAGACACATTATTTTGCGCTCAACAACCCCAACGGCAGAAATTACCTTAAGGCGAGCTCATCATTCTCCGCGACCGCCCTCGCGTGGAGTTCGTTGTAGATCCGTGAGCTTAATGACAGCGATCTGTTTTGGTGGGTTGAGTTCGAGGTCTGCTCCCATTTACCTGACCGCTTGATGTTTTCCAGCTCGCTGGCAACATCTTTCCAGTCAGCATTCCCTAGCTTCATGTACTTCGAAAAGAGGATTTCCATTTCCGTCGAGTTTTCATAGTGACACTTGAGAGGAAGCTTGCAAGTTAGGAAATCAGGACCATCCCAGACACAGTCGCGGCTAAATCTCCAATCGGAGGTATCAGTTGGGTTGCAGATGCATGGATGCAAGGAGAAGAATTTCTACTCTCGTTGTCAGTAGTGCCACCCGAAGAAACGGTGGGAGTGTTTACCCTGAGGTTTTCGGCGTCCCTGTAGCTTGCCTCTCTTCCAATCGTCTCGAAAACTTGTCGAATAGAGGAGTAAGTAGGCTTGTCCTCGGATTGGCTGCGCTTGTGTAGAGCTAGGAGCGCGTCAAGACAAAAGTTCAATTTCTGGTCACCACGTCGGATCCCGAGCTTTGACAAAAAGTCCCAATTCCTATGGCTCAACGCTTCATCACTCCTCGGCAAGCAAATGATTGGCATATGGGACGTGACACTGAGTTCTTCGCTCATCCGGAGCAGCTCGTCTTCGGGGAAATAAGTACAGTTCAGTGGATGCTTTTGGTGATCATGACAGGACATGGGGGCCCTGTGCAGTATGTCTCGTATATTCGGATGATCATCAAGCTCCTGCTCATAGCTTGAGGCCCAGTGGTCTTGCAATGCTCCAAGAAATAAGGAAGTGTCCAGGCGCCACAGGTACTCGAGAAGCGTTGATACTTTTGTGCCACCTGCCTCGCCCAGCGGAGGATAGTATGCAATTAAAAAGACATCCTGCAGCCATTGCTTCCAGGTTTCATTTGTGTAGTCATCCACGTGTCTATTATAAATGTCGTGCAGAATGATGTCGCAATCAATCTCGTAGCTGGGTGAGAGAGCTTCGAGGATTTTCTGAGTATCGTAGGGTTTGGTAGAGCCGAAATAGAGCCCATCTGAACAACGCCGAACAGTCCCTTCTGACGTGACTGCATAGAGTGACTTCAAATCCTCGTTGGCAACTTGGCCCCGGAAGTGGAATAGAAAATGGAAGTGTGAGATGTAAGGTTCGCAATCATCACTTGTTGTGTAGCTCTCTGTCGTGGACGCATGGGCTTCCATAATCTTTTTGATAACGAGTTCAGCTTCACACCATAAGATACCCAGGGTATTTTCATAGAATTCTCTTTGTGTGTGGCTTTCGCAGACGTCAGGATGCAGCAGTTTCAGGCCAAGGCCATCCGGTATGCTGAAGCCGCCAATTGTGGGAAAGTATATTTCTTCCTCCAGGTTGACCCAGGAGCCGTCTCGCAAGAGGATGATATTCAGAGCTTTGAGGCGGGCATGAATGGTTGTGGGATTCGTATTCCCTGAATCATCAGACGAACCTTCATCACTGGAGAGGGTATCGTTTTGATCATCGGAACCTGAAGAGTTCTCCGAATTGGTGTGCTCGATTGAGCCTTTCAATATAGCCTTTATCGCCTCACACATACAGTCGTGCCAATCAGTTTGCAAATACTTCTCCCTTAGTACCGAATTCGGTAGCTCCAAGTCAAATTCGATTCGCTCCACGATCTCGTCAGGACTGAGTTCGCGGACACCGAGGGTTCTGAGGTGTTCTAGAACCCTTTCCTCATGGTAGTGCCGAGATAGGTAGATTTTGTCTACCAAATCCTTGAAGAGGGGCTCTCTCTTTTCACCATATAAGAAGTAATTCGGCAAGATTGCGAGGTCGCCCGGACAATAGAGCTGGTCATCATCCCAGCACTGGAGGATTTCTGTGGTCCGCAGCTTCTCAACAAGGAGGGCACGAAAAGATTCCCAGAAATTTCCGTTGAGTCGTTCTTGTGGCAGATACTGAGGCCAGGAGAAACGAAAGCTCTCCTCCTTGCAGAATTTGACGACTGTATCTTGGAAAGCATTCGCAGTTTGTTCACGTAGCACCCTGTTCCAAGGACAATCGACAACGTCTTGGCGGTTCTGCATCGTGAGAAAGTCTGACTGTATGGAAAACTAGAGTTTTGTTAGCCGAGTGATTGGAATAAATCGAGTACCACCACATACAGGTAGATTCTCTTGTCTACACATTGGTAAGAATGCACAAACATTCGCGCCGCCCTTGGACGTTTTTGGATGCGTCCCGTCCTCATTGATAGGAAACGCTAGCTCTACCTTCATCTCAGTATCTGCACCGACAGTAGGACGGCCTTTAGTAGTTGGCATGTCGGTGAAGGCAATCCGTGATAAGCGATAATGTGTCTGGGATCTTTGAACCTTTTCTCTGATCGTAGAGCTCGTATGTATGTGGACGACATTGGCGTGATCGCAGAACGCAGCACCATGGCGAGGCACATGTGCAATCGGACAGACTGGGCATCGGTATTCGTTACCCGCCTCCATCTCATTGGTTTGTTTGATCGGGGGGAAACGCTGCGGATCTTGTACCGCACAGAATTGTGTCTTCCTAGTAATAATTCTGGATGTCGGGCTTGAATTAGGAATGCAGGTCTCGTCAAATTGGATGCTTATTTGCTGCAGTTTGCGCAAGAAGAGTATTGTCTCGCTTGGAATTTCCGCCAGGTACCGCAGGATGTCATTTCGGCAGCTCTGCCTGTAACGCAGACGGATACGGGTACCGACATTCTCAGGAATTTGTCTCGGTTCGGTGTCAATTGGTATAACCGTACTTAGGAAGTTATCTTCATCCTGCTCGAAGCTGAAGGACCAGACACCCGACTGGATATGGACGTTGTCGCATATAAGAAAGACTGATTTGAACCCGATTCCCTTTTCTCCCGTTGAATTATCACTGCTGGGATGCTTCTTCGAGCTCTCACGGAGGGAACAGATCGCTTCCACATTGGCACGAGTAAATCCATCTTCGTTCGTGTCTATGACAAGGTCCTGTTGGTCAAACGTAAATCTCATGAAAGGAGAGTTCCCTTCCCTCCAAGCTTTCGAATATTCAGCATCATCAGCGTTCTGGATCAGCTCATAGAGGACACGGCTAGAATCGTGGTAGACTTCGTCAATCACGCTACTAGAGCATTAGCACGTTCAGCATCGCGTTTAATAAATAGGTGGACTTACCTTTGCAGATTCTTCCTGTAGAGGCTTCTTCCATTCTTCGCTAGCTCCTCCAATTGTTCCAATACATCTAAATTACCTTGGCTGATCAACTTCTCTTTGGTTTCTCGCTGCACTTGGAACTTTCCTGCACGTATTTTACGGAGGAATCGGCGAGCCTCATCAGGAGTGGTTTCTGGCTCGTCTAGGGCAGGCACCGTCATAAACTGTTTGTCGGTCATTATGGATGGATACTATGTATTTGAGTCAAAAGGAAGAAGAGCTGTGAAAGAGAACGTAGATTAGGTGGAAAATACTTAGTACAAACACCAAGATTGTAGCAGTTTCAGCCTAACTTGTCAGGTGGCAGAAAAGGCAACCATTTCAATGTAGAAAAACCGGCTTATCAATGGGGGCTAAAATCTGTAACGAGCTGAGTGCATGGGAGATTGCCCGGCCCTGACTGACCATGCACTTCAGCAAGAACCAGCAGCTCCACTCCCATGTACGACCTGCAGGTGATAACATCGCTGTACCTCAAGAGGTTTCTCTTCATGACCCATTGAGATAAATACTGGCTTCGGATCTAGGAATAGCGGGTTAGGCTCTTTCCACGCCTAGTATCAATTGACACCAGGACCTGAGATCCTAGGCGCTCTGCATGTCCAGGAATCACGTCCTAGCCGCCCAAGACAAAAATCATAAGATACCACCCACCCCAGACTCGTACCTTTATCCTAATCTCTACCTAGCTAGTCAAAATTTCTTGCGTTGCCTACCCAGGTCCATTTCTTGAATAGCTCCTCCGGCGATCTTAGTACAATCTCCGGGGCCAGTCCCATTAGGTATGGTTCTGGCTGCTCCACCATGGTTCACCTCGTCTTCTCGAGAGTACGTTTATCACTTCCTAAGAGCTTGAAGCGGGGTCAACAAGGACCATATGGATCTTGCCTGTTGTAGAATTGCCCCTCCCCATGGCGCTGTTAAAGAACAGCATGGCAAGCAGAAAGCTAAGGTTAAAGCAACTTCCTATATCCTTGAGAGATATGCCAATCACCCATGAAATAAGTGGGAGGAAGATCACGAAATGTCCAAGGTAAAACTAGGCCTGTCTGCGAGGCCTTGGCCAGCTCGATTAGCTACCCAAGGAAGACTTGCTACACTGGGAAGGGTATTTATTCCTAACGGATCAGGCAGCGGGGTCCCCCCCTCATTCATAATTGTTGGCAGCATTTAAAAAGCCCTCCTTTACACATTAGATATCAGTCCCATCCCTGGGCTATATTGCTATCTGGATCACTTTTCACGTCGAAGGAGAGGGAATCGACTCCGCCAGCTCAGGCGGAAGCTTCATTTCAGCCCCTATACGCTGCTAGGATTTTCAAGTCGTTCGCTCCCCCGCCTGACGCGAACCCGGGGAAGCTCGGGTGAGCGCACGGCGGAATCACCCCGATCCGCGGTGAGACGCGAGCCGTTTTTGCCCCGCTTGGCGCTGAGGAGCATAGGCTTGACGCTATGCCGACGTGCCCGTATCAGAAAGAGCGACAAGGAGTAGAGCTACTAGACTCAGCTCTCAATCCTAATCCGATATCAACGTCGCACAAACTTGAACCTCATTGCTGCGCTTTCTCATCGGATACACTTTCCACGACCCCTCCTTGCGTTCGATGCATTGACCTTACAACAGGCCCACACATAACGATAGAGTTGATCACATATCTTCTTCTGTAGTTGTTAGCCTGCATCTGGTATTGATAATGTACTCGGCACATTTTTGGCCTTGTTCAATACCGACTGTACCTATGATAGTATCTACATAAGTATCTCTCTACTCGCACAGTTCCCTGGACAGAAATTGGCTGCCAAGACTGCGTGAGTATGACCATTACTACGACGCACTATGCCACGGAAAATACACATTTGAGATTGGCAAGATGCACGAGCAGTAGTACGGTATGGCTTCTTGTCGCTTCGCCGGCATCATTACTACTTAGTAACTTGGATAAGGTGTCCGAGTCAGCTCGGACGCTAGCTCCAAGTCAAGTACATAGTAAGTACTTAGTACATACTACGTACTAGTGAAGGGGCGACGACGAAGGGAAAGGCTCAAAAACCATCTCGTCGCGTCCACCGAGGACTCGAATTTCGACAATGCAATGGGTGGAAGGAAGCACTAGCACTTCCCACCAGTGCTGCTGCAGTAGCCTATTGATTCCTAGTACTGCCATCATGAGCCAACAGTGTCACTTCCGGCCTTACACGAGCCGAAATGTCATCTAATCTTGCTAAATTCTTCCTCGATATCAACTTCTAACTACTATATATACTGAGTACTATGTATATAGTACGAGACGACGAGAGAAGATGTCACCTTGGCACATGAGCTTTCCCTACCTTTCCCGGGTCCTATCTACTATCATCCTATCATTCATTCATTGTAGGTGTCATCCCGATCTCAGCCTAGGTACTATACAGCTCAGCTCCAGGCAGTGGTGTGGCGACCTTACTCCAGTTCGCACTGCGAGTGCCGCTCAACGTTCCCAGTGCCTAAGTAGTATTTGAAGCAAAAAGGAAAGAAGTATGTTTGTTCCGAGGACAAGAAAGAGACGCATGAAAGTGGAGGGAAGAAAAGTACAAGTACATATTGTTACTTCCATTGTGCAAAAGAAGAGGGATTGGACTTTATGATGCTCCCCAAAGCGCACCACCAAATTTGACCAAAGTAGACTAGCTGCATTTCTGACCCGATCACTTTCCTAATTCGTTCCACTGCTACCTTTCCTGTTTTCCATCCAGGTGCAACCACTACTATGTACTGGGGTACCACTCCTACCTCGTGTTGGCCTTCATGCTATCGCTACTACTAGTAACACCACCTACACCCTTTCTTCATTGCAAGTAGAGGTTCAAACTGTCACACTAATTAGCATACGCCCATGGGTCGGCACGATTCCACCTGGGCAACTGGCCCGGGCCAGCCCGATCGGTCGATTTAAGCACCGGGATCGATTGTGGCTCAGTTCCTGAGTTAAAAAGAGCGAAGCGGATTGAAAAGTTTTGAACGATCGTAGACTGGATTGCTCTGCATCCTAATAGTACCACCGAACCAATAATTGCTGAGCAGGATCAAGCACGAAAAGAAATCAGAATAGCCCCGTGGAAAACGCTAACGGCGAAACAATGCCCAGAAGAAGCCACCAAATACCAGGCACTGGCCCAGAACATGCTGCGCTCTCTCCTGTCGCCGTCTGAGTGGGTTCGTTACTGCTCGGGCTAGTTGTACCACCAGCGCTTGTGGTACTCGCCGTAGCAGTCGGTGCAGTGGACAAAGTTTGGCCCGGAGTGGCAGAACTTGCACCGTCCGCTGTTGACGCCCTGACGTCGCCGACCCTCGCACAAGGTGTGTTCAGATTCTTCCCTGGTGATGACAATGTTTCGTAGTAGTAAGCCGAGGATGCAGTCTTGTAGTAGTCCAGGCAGCCGTCCCAGAACCCGTCAAAGACCGACGGAGCGAAAACGGAACTCGTATAGCACAGGCAGCTGGCTTGGACTGAGAAGGGTGGAGGCGACGAGTTTATGTTGTCGCCAGAGCAAGAGGCTTCCATGCTATACCAAGACGAGCAAGAAATCAAGTTGTGGTCGATCCCTGTGTTGGTGCGAACGTCGCCGACCGATGCACAAGGACTCCCTGTCTGGCCACTTCCAGCAAGTGAGGTGTATAGTGGTGGCGAGGCCGTCGAAAGATAGGCGAGGCACGTTTCGATAGCTCCATCGTAGACTGAAGGCTGATATACCGATCCCGAATAGCAGAGACAGGAAGCGGCAACGCTGAAGCCTTGATCGAAAAGGTTACTCGTACTCGCAGAGCATGCCGCAGCAATACTGTTCACGAGCTGGCAAGATGCAAGGTCCCCGTCTTGACGAACAAGAAGGGAAGGAAGCTTGGGAGCCTGGGTGATGGCGAATGCTGACCCAAAGAGCCCAAATACCAGCGGAAGATTGAAGTTATTCCACATCTTGGTGAACAGGTTGGACACTGATACTGAAAGAATTGCTGCCAACTCACTCACATCGATGTGAGATCGTGAGTACTAGTACTACTACATAGTACTTCTATCATCTAAGTAAATGGCACGGCGCGGGCTGGAAGGGCCCGCACAGGATCAGGAGGTTAGTGGTGTCCTACCTACGTGCTCTCTGACGAGTAGCCATCAAAAAGGCCAGAACAAACTATTGGGCAGCTAGGAGGCAGCCACTGCCCGGAGGCAATTGCAATCGTCTCGTATAACTACCAGCAAACAGACAAGTGAACTTGAAACTAGAGAAACTTTGGTTTGACTTTGGCAGTTTGTGTGACCATCCGAAACGTGGCTGGGCCATGTCGCGTCGAGAGCGGTCGAGAACAGCCCTATCTCCAACGCACCCAACTGAGACGGTTCAAACCTAGCGAATACGAGCCAACAAGGTTCCACCGTCGGACAGGATGGGCTGGTGACACTTCTGAACCTCGTGTTTCTATAACCAGTCATCTCCAGGGGTTCGCGTCCTGTCGCTGGCCGGTCTCCATGATATTTCAGCCTGACAGTTCGCTTCAAGACCACGATGTCCAGTGCAGATTTCCTACCATCGCATCGCAATGTTTTTGATTTCGCTCTCCCTTGTCTCTGCAGCGTGGTAGAGATCGAGAAATGGCAGCACCTGAGCGACCCAGATCTCACCACTCAGGTCGAGATCTTTCCTTTCAGGACCACACCTCCGCGCAGGTTCTGCCAATGCGTACGGCAACAGGCAATTTTTCGCAGTCTACACAACCCAACAAAGCCGAAGGCTCGGACATTGACAGGGCCATCAGTCTTGCCATATCCGAGCACTCTTCGAAAGAGGGTGACGGACCTCTAGTGACAGAGCCAGCATCAAGCGAAAAAGGCCACAATGGGAGAGCAGTGCCTTCAGATCCTAGTGCTAGTGTCAAGCCAAGTATGAGGAAGAGGAGGGAAATCGCAATTGGATGGGTTCCGGCATGTCTCGCTGTCATAATGCTGGCACTGACAGCGCTGTACGCTATTCGGCCAGATCTGTGGAAGAGCGACTTTATCAACTCGTCTCCAAGCAATGCAATTTTTGTTCTCCGAGCCTTATCCGAAGTGACTGCGTTCTTGCTTGCGATTACTGTGGCCTCTGCATTCGAGCTGTTGCAGTGGCTCCTGACCGTCCGCGAAGGCGGCATACCGCTGACCGAGTTCTTGTGCCTCCAAGAAGGAACCGGGATTCTGGGACTGATACAACTTACTGCCGAGGCGAAGGCCAGAGCTAGGACGAGGCTCTGGGGAAGTCTCAGAATCCTTGCTGTGGTCTTGTTGCCGATACTGGGTGTCTTGATCATGAGTCAGTGTTCCGCCCCGGGTTAACAGCTTTGTTGAAGGCCGAAAATCTCACTCTACTATCACAATCTGGGTGTGCTAACTTTGTACAGGCGAGGTGGGCACAGTGCTCAGGTTCGACAAGGTGGGCCAAACAGCCGCACCATTAGGCTTCGGCTTGGGATCTTTGAACACCAGCGTGGCGGTGACGTTGTCTCCCCTTACGGACATACTACTTGGAGCCTCTTTCAGCCAGTTTCTGGATGATCCGACTCATGCTATAGACATCTCAGATGCAAGCCGCAGGAGGGCTTGCTCGACCACAGCCGATTTGGGAAGTGGACAGACGTGTGAGAGAGTTATTTACCTCGTTGCAGGGCAGGAGGAGATAGCTGCACAGATCACTACAGATGCACATCCAAGAGCCGATTCCTGGCTCGTTGAAGATCACCAAGGCTATGTTCTCCGCTTTACTGAAGGAGATCATGGCTGGGCGTTTGAAAATGGGACAGAATGCCGGACTTACTACACCGAGGCCGTGGGAGCAGCCCTAGGGGTTTTCAGGCTTTGTGCGAAAAATGTCGCCTCGAATCAGATACAGGCGAGTAAGTTTTTAACTATGTCCTTCTGAGACTGTGTTGACCTCTACAGGAATCTCAAGCTGCAGCTACAACGACACCCTCTACGGAAACTGTGACAAGGAGTCGACATGGAATTCAACACCAACTTGGGCCACGAGCCTGTCCTCTACTTTCCGGCATGCTAGAATCGCGTATTCGAGGCTCAACGGCACCATCATCTCTCACGAATTCAGCAAAATGTCCGAAACTGTCGCACCACTCAATTCAAGCGACCTACTGCAGGCATGGGACAATTTCCTAGGTCTTGCAAAGTCCACAGACCTGACAACATCTACCACTCTGGAAATCTTGGGATTGGGAGCTGGAAAATTCATGTTCCCAGCAATGATCGCTTCGATGCTAAATGCCATCACTGCAGTCTCTTCACAAAGTCCGGCCCTCCAAACACGGGCAGTCAATGCTCTACAGGCACTGCTAGCAATACCCATTTACTTTTGTCAACCGGGATACGTTGAACGGCAAGCTCTCTCGGCGCTACCAAGCAACGTTCTGTTAACTAACTACGACAAAATCATCCTTCCTGACGGACTGGAACGCAACAGCCCCGTGTACTTCACCGTAAGCAGAAACCAGATTGTCGTGGGACTCGCGTCTATCATAGCTTATGTGGTCCTGGGTGGACTCGCCTTGATACTGTGTTTTATTGCGCTGGGCGGCGCGACATTCACCGAGAGGTCGAGACATGTCCCCGACACCACCGCGTTCCCACTGTTGGATTTCTGTCGTCATTGTGTTGTAACGTCCAAAATCGGGATGCCCACAGCAGGGGGGACTTTCCAGAGCACCGAGAGCTACGATGGAGTCGCCATAAGGGAGATGGACGTGAAAATGGCTCACAACGCTGTGTATTCTTCCGCCTACGAGAGTCGAAAAGAATAGCGTCGAACCTCCCTCCAGTCGCCACCTGGTGCTGGGCAGGGCCGCAGGGCTTCAAGTTCTTTTGAAGGCAGCCAGTACTGTTCGTGGACTCGGAGCAGAGCGGAGCGGGGGAGGCGAATGATAGACTCCTCCTGTCCTGTAGAGCCTCGTGGGAAGAAAGTCCTGGCCCTGGCATCCTCGACAGTGACGGTGATGCTTCTCTCTGTCGCCCACAGTCAAAGCTGAATTCGAGATCCCCGTGGCAGCCTTCAGCCCAGTATCGCCACTTCGAAGGGAAGGCAATAGCAGTATAATATACCACCGTTTCCCACAAGTTCGCAACACCACCATGCCATGAGCAAGTCTTTGGGCGCTTTCTCCGCGTGGAGATGTTTACAGCCATCCGATGGCCGGTTGGTGTGATCCCTTGCCTCGGATCCGGGGCTGTGGACCGTTTCTCATCCCCAGTCTGGCTGGACAAAGCTGTCTGGCACTCTAGCCAGGAGCGTAGCATGACACGCGTGCACGCCCAGCGGATCAGTGTGCGACTCGCACCCAGCGGCTAGTGAGCCGGGAAAAGGGAGTCGTTGGCTTGGCCCCCCTATCAGATTCGTCGGAGTACCTAGGCATGCTTCCGTCCGTGCTTGCGTCGAGAAGCCTCAATTGTATACGCTTTTTCAGACCCGCAACGATGCTTCACTTTGACGGTCGCTCGTTCGACTCTTCTCGTTCGACTTCATAATTCCTGCACTCCTACTCGTCGCCGGAGAAGGGGGCCCCGGATTTCAGTGAGGGGCTGCCTCTCCCATTGTGGTCAAGTTTGAGCAACAAGCTCCAAACCATTGCGCTGATTCTTCGTCCATGGCCAATCACCGATGTTGGGAGGCGACCGATGGACGACATGAACATCTGAAGTCATTGTTCCTGCTGGATGCCGTCAGCCGTGCATTATCCGGGTGTGGGTTGATGGGAGGAAAGCAGATTTATACAAAGGAGGCCAGGGGGAGCCTGGCGAGCGGGAGTTGCGATCAACCCTTTTGTTTCTGTCGCTCTCTCCCCAGGCTCTAACAAGCCGCCTAACAATATGGCTACCGTTAGTGTCACAAGTCTGATTTCCTCTTCTAAGCACTTTGTCACTACTTACCCGGTCCTCTTTGTCGTGGGCCTGTTTGTGATTTCGCTGGTATACAACAGGTTCAGACCAGGACTCAGAAGCATCCCCGGACCTCCAGTCGCCGCCTATACCAAGCTCTGGAGGCTGTATGATGTCTATAGAGGGCACGCCCACATCACCGCCATCAACCTGCACAAGAAATACGGTCCGGTGGTTCGCATTGGCCCCAACCATGTGTCCCTTTCCGACCCTACACTGATACCCGTCATCTACGGCATCAAGGAGAACTTTACAAAAACGGCCTTTTATCCGATACAATGTATCTCATGGAAGAAACAGCCAGAGATGAACCTCTTCTCTACCCGTGACCCGGAATACCATCGCATCGAGAAGCGCAAAGTCGGAGCCGCCTATAGCTTGCCGAACCTACTGCAGTCAGAGGCAGCCATTGATTCTTGCGTTACTCTGTTTATGGATCGCCTCAATGAATTTGCTTCAAAAAGAGAACCTGTGGACCTTGGTGCTTGGCTACAATACTTTGCTTTCGACATCGTTGGAGAGGTCACTTTCGCAAGCAAGCTTGGGTTCCTCGAGCAGGGTAAAGATGTTGATGTATGTGTCCCCAAATTGATCCCCGAGTGCCTGCTAACCTCTCATTCCAGGGTATGATGAAAGCCATCGAAGGCATGCTTGCGTATGCATCACTATGCGGCCAAGTCCCTGAACTGCACCATGCTCTCCTGGGCAACCCACTGTTCACACGGCTGATGCCCGCCATGGAAACCTGGAACCAAGTGCTTGTTTTCACGCTCAAGGCCATCAACGGACGGGCAAGCATTAGACGAGACGGCGAGCTGATCAACGCCGACGTCGAGGGTCGTGACATGCTTAGCCGCTGGGCATATGTCAAGTCGTCAGATCCCCTCAAGATGAACACTCGCGACATCGTGGTCCACCTGTCGACCAATGTCTTTGCTGGCAGTGACACGACCGCTATCGCCCTTCGTGCCATTGTCTACTTTCTCTGCCGCAACCCAGAATGCATGAATCGCCTGGTTGGCGACATCGACAACGCAGATAAACAGGGGAAACTCAGTCTCCCCATCACCTTCAAAGAAGCCACCACGGTACTTCCTTATCTAGGTGCCGTGGTCAAGGAAGCCATGCGTCTTCATCCCTCGGTGGGCTTGCTGATGGAACGGCATGTCCCCGCTGAAGGCCTCACTGTTCAGGGCTACCACATCCCCGCAGGGACCATTGTGGGTATTAATCCTTGGGTTACCAACCGCTCAGATGTCTTCGTCCCAGAGCCCGAGAAATTCAACCCAGATCGGTGGTTGACGGCGTCCGACACCCAGCTGAAGGAGATGGACAGCATCTGGGAACTGAATTTTGGAGCAGGCAGCCGCAAGTGTATTGGCCGCAATATCTCCTGGATCGAAATCCACAAAGTTATACCTGAGCTACTCAGACAGTTTGATGTCGAGTTGACATACCCGGAAAAGGAGTGGCACATTTGTAACCATTGGTTCGTGCAGCAGGAGGGCCTCATCTGTACCCTGAAGAAGAGATGATCAAGGGTAAATACTGAATGAATATGAGCTGCCATTTCTCTCGGAATGCCGTACTCCTTTCCACCACACTGGCCTATCGAGTCCCCCTGCCCCTTTTTACTATCATATTATCACATTATCACACTGGTCGGTGGACGTGACTCCCGATGCACTATTCTCTGCATTTTAAACCTGATCAGCTCTGCAACTCTCCTGGACCTATGATCATCTACTTTCTGGCCCTCAACATTCCCAACTTTTGCCTTCGAACTGCCAACACCACCCTCCTACTAGTCCAACCACCATCCTTCCCTCCAACCCGCTCCTACTCCTCCAAGAACGCGAAGAAGACGATCATGTTGCCGTGCGGATCAATGAGATCGAACTGGCGATAACCCCATGTCTTGTCTTCGGCCGGTCCCATAGCCGTCTGTGGTCGACTTTCGTCGGCGGACTGAGGCGTCCCGGTCCAGTCGACCGCGCCTGAAGGCCGCAAACCCTGGCCAACGAGTCGCCCGTACAGATCATCTAGAGCAGACACAGTGCTCATCATGATCATGCAGCTCCCGCGGGCGCGTTTCTCGTCCTGGAGGATGTAGATGTTGGCTGCAGCGCCGGGCCCCGCAGCGATGGACGCGAATGTCGGCTCCGCGGTATCGGCAGGGTGCGTGGAAATCTGAAAGTCTGGGAAGTAGCTTCTATAGAAGTCGAGAAGCGAGGTCAGGTGTGGCGATGTGAAGAAGGGGATGATCTTTACTGCGTGGGAGAGGGACATTGTGACGGAATCCTCAACTCCAGGGTATCTTTGAGTGAAATGGCTGTTTCAAAGGGCCGAGCGGCGAAGAGGGAGTCCTTCGAGACTAGTGAGCTACAGGCTGTACACATATATGTAGCTGAGAGGAGGCATTGCTGCACCATGAATACGGATACGGAGTACTTGATCAATACCTCGATGTCTGCCTGGCATGTGCCTGAAGCCTAATAGACGAAGTAACCACGTTGGGTACCTGTATGGCTTTGGGGGATCTCTGCCACCAATTAACCGTCCAGCAGTTGCTTGAGGCGACCGAGACCGAACTTATGTATGAATGTGGTGAATGAGTCGCCGCCCAAGAGCAGTAATGAAGAACATGCCGCTTGGCTTGGTCTCCTCGAGACATGGAAGGCTTAACGCTAAACTGCTTAGGGGGCATACGGGAAACGGGTTGCTGGTGCTGCTACTGCCAGTATGCATTGGGGGCCAATGATAGATGCTGTAGGGGTCTCCATCAACGGCATCTCAGGGCGGCATCTCCTTTATCCCAAAGGGGACTGACCTGGCAATCCATCCACTTGGCATCTAGTCCGCGGTTCAGGTTGACCTAGACTCCGTAAAATGCGCCAGATCATCTGTTGACGCTGTCTTTCCACGACCTGCCCCGGACTGTGTCAGGTGTCAAATATTTTGTCACTCAGACCACAGCCCTACTTGAAAGACTCCGACTCTTGCTGACTCATGGATCGAGCAGCCCTCTGAGATGGCCAGGTAGCCCCTCAACATCGACCGACCCGTCACAATAGTTCGCCCAGATCCCGTGTCCCGCTCGAGCCCTCAGCAAGATGGCGATGAACAGGGTGAGGAACGCCTTTGCGCCTCCGAAGAAAGGGGAGACGTTTGAACTGCGAGCTGGCCTTGTGTAGGTGCTCTGACACCCTGTCCAGAGTGGATAATCTAACTGAATCATCCTAGATCCCAATATGCCTACGAACGGTAAGCCCGACTTCATTTGCAGTGGCCCATACAGAGAGTCTCATATCTTGATTGTAGAAAGGAGGCCATTCAGAAAACCATCATGGCCATGACCTTGGGCAAAGACGTCTCCGCTCTCTTTCCGGATGTCCTCAAAAACATTGCGACATCTGACCTCGACCAGAAGAAACTAGTCTATCTATACTTGATGTCAGTATGCTGGGACTCGACCAAATCCTTTATGATACTGACGTTGGCTACAGGAACTATGCAAAATCACACCCCGACCTCTGCATTCTCGCCGTCAACACCTTTGTCCAAGATTCCGAAGACCCCAATCCCCTCATCCGCGCCCTGGCGATCCGAACGATGGGGTGTATAAGAGTTGACAAGATGATTGATTATATGGAAGAACCCCTGCGAAAGACGCTCCGAGATGAATCGCCCTATGTTCGAAAGACCGCCGCGATCTGCGTTGCAAAACTGTTCGATCTCAACCCTTCCATGTGTCTGGAAAACGGCTTTCTGGAAACGCTACAGGAGATGATTGGTGATCCGAATCCGATGGTGGTAGCAAACTCCGTCCAAGCCCTCGCGGAAATCAACGAGTCGGCACCCGAGACGGACGCCCTGCAGATCACACCCAACACGTTAAAGAAGCTCCTTATGGCTCTGAATGAGTGCACAGAATGGGGCCGTGTCACGATCTTGAGTACCCTGGCAGAATATAAGGCACATGATGTCAAAGAGGCCGAGCACATTTGCGAAAGAGTGGCTCCCCAATTTCAGCATGTCAACTCGAGCGTGGTTGTCGCTGCCGTTAAGGCTGTTTTCCTGCATATGAGATACCTTCCATCGGAAACGCAGCAGTCATACTTGAAGAAAATGGCGCCTCCGCTGGTCACGCTGGTGTCCTCGGCGCCGGAAGTACAATACGTTGCCCTCCGCAATATTGACCTTCTCCTGCAGAAGCAGCCTGATATTCTCAGCAAAGAAATCCGGGTCTTTTTCTGCAAGTACAACGATCCGCCGTATGTCAAGTTTCAAAAACTTGAGATCATGGTCCGTATAGCAAACGAGACAAACGTTGATCAATTGCTGGCCGAATTGAAAGAATACGCCTTGGAAGTGGACATGGATTTTGTGCGCCGAGCCGTCAAGGCCATTGGGCAAGTTGCCATCAAGATTGAAAGTGCCAGCGAACGCTGTGTCAATGCTCTGCTGGACCTCATCAACACAAAGGTGAACTACGTGGTGCAAGAGGTGATTGTCGTGATCAAGGATATTTTCCGGAAATACCCAGGCTATGAAGGGATCATCCCTACATTATGCAAATGTATCGACGAGCTGGATGAACCGCATGCGCGAGGGTCTCTGATTTGGATCGTCGGCGAGTATGCAGAAAAAATCAGCAACGCCGGTGACATTCTCGGAGGGTTTGTGGATGGTTTCGCCGAAGAGTTTACGCAAGTAGGTTCACCGCATCTCCCCCACTAGACAGATCACTGACAATCAACCAGACCCAGCTTCAGATCCTTACCGCCGTGGTTAAGCTGTTCTTGAAGCGACCGCAAGCCGCCCAAGGTCTCGTCCAGAAGGTCCTCAACGCTGCAACTGCCGAAAGCGACAACCCCGACATCCGCGACCGAGCTTATGTGTACTGGCGACTTCTCTCCAACACGAGCGACCAAAACGCCCCGAAGAACATTATCCTTTCTGAAAAGCCACCCATAACCACCACAATCCAATCATTACCACCCGCGCTCCTCGAAAGGTTGCTCGGTGAGCTTTCCACGTTAGCTTCGGTCTATCACAAACCGCCAGAGCAGTTTGTTGGCCAAGGTCGCTTTGGAGCTGATGCGGTACAACGAGCTGCGATCGAAGAACAAATGCAAAATGCACGCGAAAACCCATTGGCCGCAGCGGCAGCGGCAGCGGCCGTCCAAGGCAAGGCTCCCGAAGCACAAAACAACATCGAAAACCTACTCGACATCGATTTCGATGGTGCCGCGCCTGCATCAGCGTCGGAGAAGCCTTCTGACGGCCTGTCTGGCTTGGAAGGACTTGCGGGGACACCACAAAGAGTGGCTTCACCAACGGTCGGCCAGCCTGCTGCAGCAAACAACATGGATGATTTACTTGGAGTGTTTGGCAATGGAGGCTCATCTGCTGTTCCATCGGCCACGTCTGCGTTTGGGGGAATGTCCGACAGTGACATCCTGAACGGTTTCGCTTCGATGGATCTTTCCCAGTCGCAACCCCCACCCGCTAAACAACAACTTGACAGTGCTAGCGGAAAGAAGACAAACGAAGACTTGCTGTCCCTGTTCTAACCTGAAGTGGCCAATCACTCCAATCTCAATAGGTGATCGGCGTAGGAGGATGCACATTCCTAGAGACAGGTTCAGAAATGAAGCCTCTGTCATCCCTGCCAAGGCTTGGAGAAGTGTGCCTGCACCTAAGGAATCGGTGCCGAAGCCGTGCATACCGTCGGAGCCCAGGCTATCGAAAGTCCACTTCCACATCATCTCCCGGAGGGGTCACCAGAGGTGGCACAAGGCTCAAGCTTTTGGACATATTTTTCAGTCATGCTGTGAGCGTTTGTGCCATCTGGGGAGTTCTGGGTCGTTGATACTTATGCTCAGGTTCTCGTGGCTACCAGCACGGCCCATACTCCCAGCATCCCGCGACCAGCTGTAACATTGAAATTCAGACATATGGCTAGAGTTCATCCATCAAATGTGCCACGACACTGTCTCTGGGTCAGGTCGACCAGACGTATGATGATTGATTTCTGGGAGAAACACAAGATTTTCAGCTCAGAGCACAATATACCGCCTAGCGTGCGACCAGTCGACAGCAATTGCACCGTGGTTGAAATAGCATGAATAGAAAGAGATTTAAAAGTGCAGCGACCCTGTGCGTTGACAGCAGAACTCAGGTGTAGCTTCTTTCGCTCAGATTATCTATTTGTCTTACTTCACGCCTTTATGGTTGTTGTCTAACCCCGTACCTTGAGAGGTTCTTGGAGATAATGGACGACAAGTCGTCAAATTGTCAGAGATCTTGGTGCAGCAGGCGTGAACCCTGCAAAGAGGGTTCTTATTATAGTTGAAGCAAGGCTGAGGCCCAAGGCTGCAGCTGGTGGCAGAACGTTCCTACATGACTAAGCCGAGTTTGCCCTAAGCCCTTTTCGGACGCGTCTGGGCGCATCACTTTCAAGGGGACGTCAATTCCTTCACGGTACAAAGGCCATTAGTTCTGCACCTCAACCACTGTATCTAGACTTCTTCGCCATATTGCCTCGCCAACCAGGGGGGCCTACTTCACAAGGATCGGGCCAAGGGGCACTCAATACCAACACACCCAGCAAGACCTATCCTCAGAACTTTCATCCAGCTTGAGACACTGCGCTAGTCAAGCGTCGGCAGCTGCTTTTGGATTCACTATATCCTGAAATTCCTATCACGCCTGGGAGATTGGCATCATAACACGAAATGTCCAAGTGAATAACTAGATCACCGACTTCGTGCTCTCTCTGCTCTACCTACCAACCCTCTCCCAACTTCCATCTGGGGCTAGAGTATCATGGTCATCTGCAAATACTTCCTGCAGGGAAACTGCAAATTTGGCGGTACGTTTCCAACGCTGTGATGACAACACACATCTTCTTCCTGGACGTGACTGACGGTTACTTCCTCACAGCCAATTGTCGGAACGAGCATCCTGGTGGAGGTGGCTTTGCAAATCAGAACAGATTTGGCGCGCTCTCGGGCAACAGATTTGGAGGTAGTGGCGGTGGCAGTGGTAAGACGCCCGTCTCTATAGCCCACCTCATGCCTCAGCAAGCTGCGTGGCAAACTGACATTTTTGATATTTAGCTCGGAAAGATGCCTGGCAATTCAACCCGGACGATATCCCAAACGACCTTGGAGCTGGGAAAGGTCGACCAAAGTGGATTCTTTCTGCATATGGCCCGGGCAGAAATGCTCCAGCTTCGCTCCTGGTAGAGAATGAGTTTAGCTCCGAAGAAGTGCGCGTGAGGTTCTACGAGCTTGCAAGCCAAGGCAAGGAGAACGAAGCCGACCAAGAAGCCATCACGCTGTGGAATAAAGCCGAACAGAGCATCAACCAGATCCTCAGCAATGCGCGCGATGTCGAGAAGTTTGTGCTGGACGCGGAGAAGAAGCGCCCTAACCGAGACGACTTTACACAGATGGATGGAACGAAATCGCGGGATCAATTTATCAAGGACTTTGAATCGCAGCCTGCTGCTTCGAGTCCGTTCGGCGGGAGTACTGGTGGCGGGTTTGGCCAAAGCTCAACTACAAGTCCATTTGCGAAGCCCGCTGCCTCGTCATTCGGCCAGCCTGCCCAATCCTCCGCTTTCGGGACCTCACCTTTTGGGAAGCCAGCATTTGGGCAAAGCGGCTTTGGCGCTGGAAGTTCAACAAGTAGTCCATTCGGAAAGCCTTCTAGCGGTGCCGGGTTTGGATCGTCATCAAGCCCCTTTGCAAAGCCGGCTTTTGGAAGCCCTGGGTTCGGACAGTCGTCGACCTTTGGTCAGCCTTCGCAACCAGCATCTACTACTTTCGGACAACCTTCACAGCCTGCATCGGCCTTTGGCCAGGCTCCACAAACAAGCTCTGCGTTCGGCCAACCTTCTCAGCCCTCTTCCGCGTTCGGTCAGCCGGCATTTGGTTCATCAGGCTTTGGGTCGACCCCCCAGAAGAATCCCTTTGCGCCAGCCTCGGCATCAAGTGGTTTCGGTCAGGCTTCCTCCCCTTTCGGCCAACCCTCTCAGCCCGGCTCTGCATTCGGACAGACCTCACAGCCTGCGTCGACCTTCGGACAACCCAGCCAGCCCTCTTCAACCTTCGGCCAACCCAGTCAACCTTCTTCAACTTTTGGCCAGCCCAGTGAGCCCGCTTCAGCCTTTGGACAGGCATCGCAGCCCACATCTGCCTTCGGCCAGCCGTCAGCATTCGGTAAGCCCACATTCGGGCAAGCAGCTTCAGCATTCGGACAGTCACCTCAAACGACATCTGGCTTCGGGCAAGCACCCACTTCCACTACCTCGCCATTCGGTCAGGCTGCATCTACTTCAGCTGGATTTGGTCAAACCTCTGCTCCCGCGTTCGGACAGGCTGGTCCGGGGTCCGGCTCTACACCAGCATTCGGCCAAACTACGGCTCCGGTGAATCCTTTCGCTCCCAAAACTGCAGATGTGCAATCCAAAGATGAGAACATGGATACAACCACCCCCGCGCCTTCACGTCCGGCATCGCGAGCGAACCCTTTCGAAACATCATCCGCGCTGCCTACAGCGCCTCAGCCGCTTCAAGCAACTCCCGCGGCTTCCCAACCTTATGCAGCCGCGAAACCCATCATCAACACTTCGACAACTCCTCACCCGCTTATCAACCGGCCCCCGCACGCCGTGCACTACACTCAGACCCTCCCTCTCCAGCCCACTCAAAAGGACGTCTCCGGTCGCATCATCACCTCCTACCGCGGCCAACGCGTCGAATACATCAATTCCATACCCTGCTATCGACGTCCCGACGGCCAGGGCATGGAGAAGATCTGGTTTCCGGACGCCGGGGCCACACCCGATGTCGTGGCATTGAACAAGGAGGACAAGATCGAGGACTGCGAAGGAAGGAAAGAGGAGTATACAGACGACGTGGTGGATCGCTACAAATATTTATTTTCGGAAGGGAGGTTCCTGGATGGCAAGATTCCGCTGGTGCCGCCCTTGCGGGAATGGGGGATTTACGACTTCTGAGCGGCGTCCTGCTTGTTGACTTGGAGATTTCTGGACCTTCGGAATTGCATTGTATTACAAAGACAGACAGACAGACAACAAGTCGGTATGGATGCGGAAAACAGGCAAGGCGGTGGGAACTGCGGAAAATTGCACCCTCGGGCTGGCACATGTATCTCTACGAGATCCGGGCCAAAGACACAACCCATGCGAATTCTCTTCTTCGGAATATCTTGTTCATTGATTCCTTGACGTTAATCTTGCCTCGTGAAAAAAAGCTCTCTACTCCAGGAGTTGTAGCGGCCGGAGCAGAACCAATGCATCTCCCGGTACCTGGCTCGAGCACAACCATCCGCCACCCTTTTTCGCTAATCTCCCATTCCGACCATATTCTCCGCCAGTCCGTCGTGGGAGATAAAACAAAATCGAATGGATCCGAGATTACGCCTTTTCCAAGCTTCGAGCTTCTATGCCGCAATGGTGACCTCGACCTCGACCCCGGCCTCGATGTTGATGATGATCTGCTTGACCACCTCGGTCGGGGCGTTGAGGTCGATCAGCCTCTTGTGGATCCTCATCTCGTACATGTCCCACGTCTTGGAGCCCTCGCCGCAGGGGGTCTTGCGCGTGGTGACCTTGAGGGTCTTGGTCGGCAGGCGCACGGGGCCCTTGACGCGGAGGTTCTTGGTCTTTGCGCGGTCGAGCAGCTCCGTGCACACCTTTTCCAGCGACTGCACCTTGCGCGAGGTCAGGGTGATGCGGATCTTGTGGATTTTCTGGTTTCATCAACACACAAACGAAGAGTTAGCGGATCATGATCATTCGGGACGCATGGGAGATGGAAGAGTATGAGGGCAAGGGAGTCGGTGGGTTTGAGGGAGGGAGGGAGGGAACAGAAACGCACTGGGCCTTCGCCGAAATCCTTCTCGGGCTTTTGGAAAGACATTTTGAGCGGCTTTTTGTGGAGGGCGCTTTGATGTGATGTTTTGGTCGAGTGGGATGCGATTCAGAGGTCTGAGAGAGTGTCGGCGCCAATCAAGACCTGAACGACTGGGTTCGGTAAAGTGATGAAAGGCTGAAGGAAGGGAAAGGGTCAAAAAGGAAGAGCAATTCAAAGAACTTTGCCTGCGGTGGTTTTCGATAGCGACGGCACGAGCTGGCGCACAGTGCGATTGAAATCTTGGCGGCGGCTTGACCCGCAGACTAAGCCTGTTGTGGAACGTTCTCCAACGGTTTAGTCACTGACGATGAAGTTGAACTTGATTTGCACTCTGGTGAGCCACTTTTTCCGACTAGGTCTTGACTTTCTAACAGGTAGAGACCTATATTTCCTGGAACTGAGTTTGGGACAATTGCCGTCCTCCTGAAAATGGAGCAGGTCCCAGGCATACAGGGCGGCCTCCCGCCTTTAGCCCTCTACCCGGAACCAACCGTCAAAGCCAGCCTGCCGGCCGCTGAGTGGGAAGCCTGCCTCGACTCATGGCTGCTCAGCCTGGAGTTTCGCCTCCGACTGCCAGACAAACTTTTCTCCAAGTTCAGCTTCGGCCAGGACGTCAGTGGTGTGGCTTTTCTCGCATCGTTTCTCAGGTCAACTCGGACGGAGAACGTGACACAACCATCGAGCTTGCAGAAGGAAAGACTGCTGCTGAAGCGCGCATATCTACTCCTGAGGCGACTCCTGCTCGTCATGGACGCGCCTTTCGACTACGACACAGCGAACCTCATTGAGCTGCTGTGTCAGGCAAGCATGCAGTATGCAACCGTGTCGGACTGGAGGACGACGCTGAAGACACTCTGGAAGAGAGATCACTCCCAAATGACGAACGCAGTGGAGGCCTGGAAAAAGTCCGCCTCAGCAGATCTTTCGGCACAGCCCGGCTCAGGAGCGCTTGCGAGTCAACTGCGTGAGATGAATGCCTTTGTCAAGGTCTCCGCGGACGCAGGCCTCGTTCTCATGACAGGTTCAGATTACCTCGAAACGCTGATGGAGGCCTACGGTCGGCTGCAGACGGTACCTGATACAGGCTTGTCTCAGAGAATACTGACCGAGCACATCTTCTATTGCCTGCGCAGTCTTATGTCCGACGGTACTTCCCATGGATCGCTCCTGCTAGATCACCTTTACTTCATGAAGTCAGAGGCCGATCGACTCATGAAGGCAAAACCCAACGAGCCAACATTGTCGTCAAGCCTGGTCTGCAGTACATCTTTCCTAAGGCACCTCGCATCAGACTCTCCTGTAACTTCCAGTTGGCGAGGTCAGGGACTGCTAGAATCACTCAGCACCTATCGACAAAATACTGCGCATTTACACCCTCTAGTCAGCCCGAGAAGACGAAAGGTTGCGAAAGGCAAAGGCAAGGCTGATGTGAACGAAGAGATGCACATTCATAAAGCCTCCCAGATATCACAAGTGCACGACCTCTTTCCAGATCTTTCCAACCAGTATATCCTCAAGCTTCTCGACTATTTCCATGATGACACGGAGGCCGTGGTGGCCGCGCTACTAGAGCCTGATTCTCTCCCAGCTGGACTCCATGATCAAGGGGTGTTCGAAGGACCTGATCTCGACATTGCGGGACCACCGCATGATCTTGCGCCACATTCGACACCTCCCCTTCTTCCAGAGAGGAGGAACATATTTGATGGAGATGACTTGGACAAGCTTCGGATATCTACAGGTCGACTGCACAGAGGGCGGAAAGACGTCGGGATTGACCACGCCGAAACGGAGCATGAGCATACACAGCGAAAAGCGGCAATTCTGTCGGCGTTGGCGGCGTTTGACTCGGACGATGATGAGCGGGACGACACTTACGATATTGCAGACGTAGGTGGAACAGTGGATTCCACCCTCGACACTGACACTAGGCCGCAACCAGAAAGAGTTCCTGAGCAGAATCCCCACGAGGAGAAATTGTTCCGAGCGTGGAAAGGCAACCAGGAGCTATTCGCACGCGACAGCAAGACCCGGATATCCAAGGTACGACAAGATCTGAAACGCGAGACGGAAATGAGTGATGAACAACTGGAAGGATGGGCTATCATGCTGAAGAAAGACCCTAAACTGCAAGATCGCCTGGAAAAGAAGTACTCGGGGACGCAGACTTTCCGAGGAAATCAAGTTTCACTTGCTTCGACACGATGGCAGTGGGACAACACCCCTGAGGCTAGCGAGGGAGAGGGTGAGGCTGGAGGCCGACGGATACAGCAGGCGCAGATCAGGGGAAACCGCACATGGGGACGTGGTCGTGGCGGTGGTGGGAATACTGCCGGCCCCAGTGGTGACGCAGCAACCCAGGCTGCCAGGAAGCGAAAAGAGCAAGGCAGGGGCAGGGGCGGAGCGAGCCACAACAGACGCGAAGGAAGAGCCCGAAAGATGGGTAGAGGTATGGGTGGAGGTGCGGTACAACAGTAGAGATAGGAAAGGAGAGGCGTATAGCCTCTATATACAGAATGACAAGTTCCCCAGCCTTGATAAGTGACCGTGAAGGGGATATGCAAGTCCTATATCCAGTGGTCAATATGGTACTAATGATCCAAGGGCAAGAAAAGGGGATGCATCGAGAGTTATATACAAGCTCGGCTCAACCTTCCGTTTTGGGCGAGGCGACGCTTGGTTTGGCAGGAGTTTGTTTCATCAGCAAATCGTCACTTGGACTGCGGCGAGTGTCGCATGCCTCTGTTCGCCAAACAATTTTCCTCCTTCTACGATCCTTCTCTGCAAACTCTCGCTGACGAAGTGGGAGCCATCTACTACCGTGTTGGATTTTGGGCATAGAGACCTGATGCTCTCCTAGACAAAGGAACGACAACGGGCGGTGGCCGTGGTGACAAATCTTTCACCGTGAACCGGCCAAGCAGCAGACCGACAGGCAGAACTTGTGCCTGCAATCTCTGCCATCATTCTAAGTTGCCAATAAGAACGAATATCGAATCAGCACAGACCAGCTCTCAATATCCCCAACCTGAATCTTCTGAGTCGGTCCCACCCGAGGCCGATATGCCACTCACATCACAGACTGTCACCACATAGATCGACATACCTGGAGATGACAGACGCAGCCACGGCCAACGGCACCACAAATGGAGCACATGAACCGTCTTATGACACCTCCAATATCCTGGAAGCTTTACAAGTCATCCACAATCCCGCCACCAAGAATGAGGTTAGGAGGCAAGCGTCGGAGTACCTGGAGGGGTTGAAGTTGAGCAATGAAGCGCTTCAATATGGCTGTGCCCTCTCGAGCGACAAAACGCAGCCGCCTCTGGTACAACATTACGGACTTTCCGTGCTCAGCCATATCGTCCGACATGAGGTTCACCATCTTTCTGAACAGCAAACCAATCAACTTCGGGAATGCATCCACGAGCTGGGCCGGTCGATCCAGGACAGGGATCTTGTTTTCATTCGCAACAAAATTGCCGAGCTATGGATCGAATTGGCCAAGCGCTACTGGGCTCTGGATATGTTCGGCCTGGATGAGCATTTGGTGTACCTATGGGAACAGGACCTCGTACATAAGGACTTTGTTCTCACGATACTGGAAAACTTGTCGGAAGACATCTTTGTTCGGGATGATAGCATTGCCATTATGCGAGGGCGAGATTTGAACTCCGCGCTTGTCGAGATCTTCACATCCAGCTCAAACTTCGCAGGAGGCATCAAGATCGGCGAGACCACCCACCACATGCGCTATGGAAAGGACGGCTGGCTCACCAGAATCAGGCAATTCCTCGAGGAAGCAATCCAAAGCCCTAGCATAGAGGGACAGCTCAAAGAGGTCATCCTGAAGGCTCTTGCCACTATACGCTCAGCTTTCACGTGGGTCATGACACCAGCTGTTGTACAATCGATGGCTTTGGCAGTGACATGTGGATTCCTGACCCAAGCAGATCCGGACCTCATCATGGCTGCCATCGACAGTCTACTGTCGTTGTACGGAAGAGTTCGCCTAGAAGAGCTCGAGGTGCAAGCTCTTGTGCATCCACTAATCCAGCCTGACAGTATCGCAACACTACGACAGCTATACAGCTGGTCTGTTGTTTCAGCGAATGAAATGGACAGCAGCAAGTATGTCATTTCGAAAAAGCTCTCGGAGTTGATGTCCCTGTTTGCGGATCACATGTGCCAATACAAACCTCCGGACGTTGACACTCTCGACCTTTTCCCCTTTTTGCGGTTCTTGACCATGGTCGCAGAACATGAAAGTCTGATAGTCTCCATTCCAGTGGTTCACTCTTGGGTCAAGATGCTGGAGGTACCGAGCTGGCGGACAACTCCCGCCGTATCACAATGTATCGGTCCGCTTCTGGAGGTAGCGTCACAACGACTCATGCAGTATGATCAGCTCCCGGAGGATACCCAGGAATCTGTGGTGATTTTCGTGAATGAAGAGATCGAGCTCTTTCCGGAACGCCAGGGGTTTTACATGAACTATCGCAGGCTCTGCTCGGCTGTCATTGAATGGATCTGTTTCGCACAATTGGAAGACGCGATTCACGCCGTCATGAGTCGAGTTGACGCTCTCTTAAATGACATCGAATCAGCGGAACAGCAGTTTGACATTACGAGGTATGGACGCGTGTCGATGCATCTCCTCCGCGCCGACGCCTACTTTGCCATGGTCGATGCAGCATTCAAAGGATTCGATCGATGGCAGGGGGCACACCGAGAAAGTTCAAGTCCGGAAGAAGACCAGCTCGGGCAAAGAATGCGGGAAGAGACTAAAGCTTGGATGTTGAACATGATGAACAATAGGCACTTTAAAGACCCGCAGATCAGGCAACGCCAGATCAAGACGGTAGTCGAGGTTTCCAATCGAGCTCTGAAGAAGGACACGGGCTTCGCTTTTAGCGTCCTGGAGCACATATTGTCCTCGTTCATCATAGCTGGGCAACAAGATTCCACCTATGCAGACGCTGTCGAGGACCTGCACAGCTATGCTACGAGCGAGTTGAGGCGCTTGTCGTTGCAACATGCCGACTATTTTGTCACCTTCTACGACCAGCTCCAAGCGAAATTCTCAGATCTAATAGATCAGATTAGTGCCAGTGAACGACTGCAGGTTGATTTGAAGTCTACGCTCTTCTCAGTCATCCAACATGCGACCGGGGTCGACTACGCCCAACGTCAAGCCAAACTGGAAGAATTCCTCCGACCGATTGCCGCAGCCTGGGCAGACCAAAGCTTCCAATCCGCTTTAGGCAGCTTGGAGTCTTTTGCCCATTTCCAAGGGTTCGACCAGGTTGGACCGTACCTGGCGTCTTTAGGAGCAGGCAAAATTGAAGATTGGTCTGCCGTTCCCTACGATAATCGTGGAGTGCAGATTCAGAACGAGATGTCGTCTGCTTATGCAAGATTACCTCTTCGAGCCACGCGGATTTTCCTGAGCATATCTACCGACAGACTCGAGCAGGGTTCTCAGCTCCACAGTATGATATGCGACTTGTGGTCACCCATGGTCCCAATGATGCTGGAGTACGTTCTCCGTCTTACGAGCTATAACCACCAGTTGCACAATCCCTCATCGTGGCCGAATGTCCCCCCTGACCTCGAGGGTGTCATCCGACGAGTTCTCCGAGACCGATACTGGCAGTCGGGGATCTCGGCGGGTTCCATGGGCGAGTTTCACAGCCGGGTCAAAGCCTCCAAGTCAACGCTGGAGGGATTTGCATCATCAGTGCGCGGGAAAATACGAGGACACCTCGAACAATGCTACAGCATCCTCCACACACTGGGTAGGCTGGGCCCGACTTTCTACAGCTTGCAGCAACTCCCTGAGTTGATCGCACAAGCCGCCATTGATTCGGCAGCTCCGCTGAGCCCGCATCATTTCTCTGTCATGCTCCAGATGCTGCCGAAGTTGATTGACGAATGTCCGCCGGGAAGTCGGCAGCATTTCCTGACTCCAATCATCCAGTCCGTCCTTGTGCAGATGGACACCAAGCTCTCAATTGAGTGGGAGAAGATGAACCAACGGAAACAAAACAAGCATGACGAGGAGAATCTTGGAGACGAGATGAGAGATGACTCGGTGCTGCGGCAGACTACCTATCGGGCCGTCAATCTGGTTGCGCACTGGTTGCAGCCGAAGCGCGAACAGGAGCTGAGCTCAAAAAAGTCGATTGTTAATCGCAACTACTTGATCGACGGCAGTCAACAAACAATGCGCGAGTTTTTGCTCTCGAATGTGCAAATCCTGGAGAAGCTGCTTGTCCTCATCACCCATGCGCTTGCGTTCAAGGACATGAAGTCGTCCTACCAGATGCTCATGACTGCCCACCGTCTTGTTCCAGAGTTTGCATCCGACCGCTTCGTTAGCGGCCAAGAAGCCGCCGCGGTGCGCGAGTACATCTCGACGGAGATGCTCAAGACCGCAATCACTTGCTTGAACGACGGCTATTTCGCCGACCAGCAGGTCTACTATGCCCAGCTGATCGCGGGGATCTGGCTCTCGTACGGGTTGCCGAACCACGTCCCCGCCACAGAGACCACGCCCGCTCACGAACGCCAGCCGTTGACCTCGACGCCCCAAGACGTGATCCTCAGCTTACCCGGCATGACCGAGGCAAAGGTCAGCCACGCATCTGCGTTGCTTCTCAAGGAGGCCGCCGTGGGCAGCCGGTCAAAGAGGCTCCGAGCCATCATACTCGCACTGCTCGAGGGCGTCAGAGGGGTCCGGGTTAGTGAGCTGGGCAAGATCGACACGAGGCAGCAGCACTCGAAGATCTTGGAGAAGTACAAGCAAAGAGAGATGTTGAGCATGCAGGGCGTCGAAGACGCGGGGCAGAACGTCGGGAGCGGCCCTGGGGACGACGGAGCTGATTTGGCGGGAGTGGCGGACATGTTTTCTGGCTAGAACTGGGGGGCAAAAGACCGCAAACAACCACAACAACGACTGCGGGGAATAGAGTAGATGTTATGCGCACGTTGGATATCGAGGCGGGCAGCGCTCGAAGGCAGGCACGTGAAGCTCAATGCGAATTTTGCAAACGGACGTCAAAGCCAGCCTCCTCACTGCGAGATGATCGTCTGTAACGGAACGATGCATTCCTTGTCCCAATGCTGTCTCCTGTATCGTGAGGTTTTTATTTTATGTACATGTCGGGTTGATAAAGGTCTTCCCACATCTCTTCATCCTCTTGGGATTCCTTGGTATCTGTGCCTCCTTGACTCTCGGATCTTAGGGGATGTTCATTGTGCCGCTCAGAAGGGGACTTGCGAGCGTTGGGAGAAGAGCAGGATTTGGAGCATATGTCAAGCTGAGCCGGAGGTGACCGCTGATAGAAACGATGAGAGGTGTGTGTGTGCCGCCCCTCATTCCACCGTTCTGCTCGGTGTAGCTGTAAATGTCGGTCTCACGAACCTGCGGGAGCAAGGTCTGTTAGCATGCCATCTCGTGCTCGGTGACCCATGTTCCTTTTTTTCTTGTCATGTTCCTCTCCGCCGTCGAGTCGTTGAGGCGCTTCCCCTACTCCGCCCTCTTTCAAGATAATCACAGTCTAGTCCCGCGCAAGACAGAAGGATAACCAACCAACCACCCAGACAAATGAGAGAGAGAAAGAAAAAAAAAAGGGACGTACCGATCACTGTTATACGCCCCGCTCTGGCTCCCGAGCAACTCCTTCTCCCTGGCCAAATCGGCATAGTATCTCCTGACCTGATCCCGGTCCTCCTCCGCCTGCAGCAACGGCGTCAGGTGTATCCGACTCCACATCTTCTCTCGGGCCATTTCGTGTTTCTCGCGCTGTCCGACGAACACCTGGCGCCAGCCGTAGGCCATCACGAGTCCGACGCCGACGAGGTACCATAAGGGTTTGAGGCCGCGCGTGGGGATGTTACGCTGCGAAGCAAGACAAGGACAGAAAATGTTAGTGCGCTGCTATTGCTGCTGCTATTGCTGCTCTCGGACGAGAATGGAGGAATTGGGGGTAGAGGAAAGGAAGGTGTGTGTGTGTGGAGGGTGAGCTCGTGGACGTACTCTGTATTGAACGGCTTCGTAGCCGCCCGTGGGCGGGAGGTCTTGAGGCATGGTCTATAGGTCCTCCAAGGCTGGCTGGTCTTGTTGGATGTGTTGGGACCTACATAGACAGCGCGAGTGGTGGTGAAGGGTAGCTTGGAAGTTCGAGATGAGGTCAATTGGAGGCTCGGGTCGGGGTTTGCCCAATTTGGAGCAGAAGCTTAAAGCAGCACGTGCGCAGTCCTTTATGCGACACAAAATACTTTTTTGAAATGCTCCAAAGGTTTCATTGCACCGGCTGTGCCGACCACATTGGACTGTCCACGCTTGCCATGGAGGCAGAGGAGCGCCCTGCAAAGCTTCGGAAGCTTAGTTCAAACGATGACAAAGGCTCGGCTGAAGATGCAGGTCCTCCTCTGTTGTCACAGTTACCTGGCACCATCACTGGCACGGTCGATGTTCCGGCGTTGGAAAACAGTAAGCCAGAGGAGTGTGCTACTAATATCGAGGACCCTTCAGTGACGCGGGGAGAGGAAGACGGTCAAGATGATTCAGACAGTTCGGGGTTGGATCCAGAAAGCCAACCAGACCTTGCCCAGACACCGCAGCATCAACGACAAGATGGCGACGCTTCGAAGCCACTGTCCAAGAACCAGCTAAAGAAACTACGAAAGCGAGAAGAGTGGGAGGCAGCCCGAGACTACCGCAAAGCGAAACGAAAACAGAAGACACAGGAGAAGAGGGCCAGGAAACGAGCGGCCCGAGAAGAGGAGGAACAGCACCGGCTCCAAATACTGCAACAACCGTCCCTTGTTGGAGGAGGAAATGGAGAAGAAGGGACGAAGACGAAGACGAAGCTTCCACAACCACCCCCTAAAATGAAGTTCCGTCGTCCCGTCCCAGTCCCCATGACCATCCTCATAGACTGTGGCTTCGACGATCTCATGATGGAAAAAGAGCGGATATCCCTTGGCTCACAGCTGACACGGTCATACTCGGATAACTCGCGCACGCGATATCAGGCACATCTTGTGATTAGCTCCTGGGGCGGGCTACTGAAGGAGAGATTCGATACGGTGCTCAATAAACATTATCTGAACTGGAGGAATGTAACGTTCGTGGAGGGGGATTTTGTCGAGGCGGCGAAGAAGGCCGAAGAGTTGATGAAAGGCCCTGGTGGTGGGAAGTTGGTGGCATGCTTTGAGAAGTACGCCGCTGCTGCTACCACCGCTGGCGCCGATGGGCCGGTACCTGCTAAGAAAGCAGTATCCGAAGATCTCAAGCCCGCGGACACCTCGCTACAATCCGAAGAGGCCGGGCGACCCGACACAAACGGCCCTCTCAAGCCCCAGGACACACCAGCACCAAAAGCTCCCGAATCCGCCCAACCCGAAGTACAACATTCTCTGCCATCAGAACCCTCCCTACCTCCCCAAGGTGAAGTCATCTACCTGACCTCCGACTCGCCCGACACCCTGACCACCCTGTCCCCGTACTCGACGTACATTGTCGGCGGGCTGGTGGACAAAAACCGGCACAAGGGCATTTGCTACAAGACGGCCACGGCCCGCGGGGTCAAGACGGCGAAGCTGCCCATCGGCGAGTACCTTGAGATGACGTCTCGCAAGGTCCTGGCGACGAACCACGTCGTGGAGATCCTGCTGCGCTATCTGGAGGAGGAGGACTGGGGCAAGGCCTTTTTGCGGGTCATCCCCAAGAGGAAAGGGGGTAAGTTGAAGGGGGACGCCGGTGGCGAAGAGGATGACATCCATCAGGATGAAGGGAAGAACGGGAAGACCGCGGAAGCGCAGGACGACGTTGATGCCGACGACGCCGACGCTGCTGAGGACGATGATAATGAGGGCAACCATGGTGCTGCTGATGATGTCCACGAGGAACCGCAAGGGAATGGCGAAGAAGAAGAAGAAGAAGAAGCGCGACAAAGTGAAAATGCACAGTAAGGGAGTGGGTATGAGTCTGGAGGGAGCTGCACCAGATATACCGTCCGTGCTGTCGTTAGCCTCATTGAAGGCACTGTGGGAGCAGTTTAAGGTGGATACGCGCAGAACCGTGAGAGTTGAGGGCGGACTCGCGTTAGACACTGTACTGCATCATTTCATCGTATTCTTCTTTCTCGCCACCAGGCGGAAATAGGCAGTCGGCCAATTGTATATCAGTGACATTCAGATACAGCAGTCGCCGCAGCTGAACAAGAAAGAGCCGTGGATTCCAACCCGCTTCCGTTGCGCCCAAACAAGACATACAGTTCGCTGAAGACCAAAGCTGGCCGCTTCATACAGATTTACATCACCAAGCAGCTCTCCCGCATCGTGTCCAAATACCCGGCTTCCGAATCATCCTCCTCATTCAACGCTCCAGGTTTCCTCTTCATGCCCTTGACAGTTATACTCTGTTCTCCAGCCCCGTGCCACCATTTCATCACTTGCATGCCTTCACCATCGACGTCCACTGCGTCGATTCTCCATCGTCCGCCACTCACCTCCACCTGCGTTTTCCCAGGCGGGAAATGAAACTCGGGCAGGAAAATCTCCGTAGGTACAGATTCTTTTGTCGCACTGTCTGAGGTTAAGGAGAATGTGAAGGTCACGGATTTCAGGTCGAAGCCGTAATTCACGACGTCACCGACGGTAGCGATTGGGGAGGGCCGAACCCACGCTTCGGCAGCACGGAAGCCGGGCGTTCCCTCTGCGATTCCCTGGATCGCTTGAGGGGTTTGATTGATCCGAGGAGTGATCAGAGCGTCTTTGAGGTTTGATGGGTTTATTGTAGTCGAGTCAGACAGTGTCGTGCTTGAATAGGAGGCTGATTGCTGACCCAGGGATACTGTGGAGGGGTTGACAGAGGGGAGGGCAGACAACGTCGAGACGCTTGGAAGGAGAGGATCATCAACCGAGACAATGGAGAGGTCTTCGCCATTCCATAAGTCACCCCATTGGTGATTGTTCTGTAGAGATATTAGCGGCCGAAGGTGCTGGGCTAGATTGTTTCTTACCTGACTGACGTAGGTCCACAAGGTATACCCCTGGGACCCCGAGCCCTCCAAGGCGAAATGGTTGGCATCCAAGGCTGAGATCTGACTTGAATAGTCACCAGACTTATAAGCGTATTTATCATCCATATCGAAGGGAATGCCAATCTCCGTGAAAAGCGTAGGATGGTCTCCCAGATATGTCACGCCTTCCTCACGTATCGCCTTCAACTGGTCCCTGAGGCAGTTCCTAATAGCGGTCTCGCCGAGCCGAACAGCGAATACCGGGTTGGAGTATTTGTGACGCAAGATACCAAAGACGTCCACATTGTAGTATTTATTCCAGTGTTTTTGAAGCAGCGTGATGCCATCGTAGTAATGAGTGGAAAAGACCAGTCTCTTGTCATCGTCGACGGTCCCCTTGATGTTCGGCGGTATTTCGAGAACAGCTGATTGCACCAGAATCATACAATTCTTGTGGACCGACCGGATAGCATCTCTATACTTCCGGAAATGTTGCATGTAGTATATGTTGGTGTATTTGAGATAGTCCAACTTCTCCCCCGATTTGGGTATCGAGGCGAAATAATCTGGCTTCAAGAGTTGGTCTTGGCTGGGGTCCCAGACGCCGTTCTGAGCCCACAGGCACTCGCCCAGTCTCCAGCCTGGGTCTCGCTTCCACCCGTACTGTGTGTCGTCGAAATCCTTCGATAGCCACGCCGACACCCCTTCTGGATCCACCAGTTCTCGACCGCTCTTATATGACCCGAATGTGCTGAAATCGTAGACGTCAACTTCGGTGGCACGTCCTGAGCCCGTCAGAATGGACTGCCACGGAGTTGGCATTGTTCCTTTCCTCATTTTGAGGTCGTCTGGCAGCGCGTTGAGGTCTTCCCAACCGATCAATCCTCGATGCGGCTCGTTCATCGTTTCCCACCCAATGATACATTCATCCTCTAGACCGCCAGCATCGTGGATTCTCTGGGCCAGATGTGCACAGGCTGAAATGAAATGGTCCGTCAAGTAGTCCTGGATGTTCTTGCCATCTATGATGGCGTTTGGTGCAAAGTCCCGGCCGGCATAAAACAGGGTGAACGTAGTCTCGGTAGCCATACGAGTGTAATTCGTCGGCCACAGCATCTTGGGAAATTGCGCAGGATCTGGCCAGGAATTGTGAACAACGGCAGCTTGATTCACTGCAAAGGTCTCGGGGTCCAGCCCACAGGCATGCAGAGTCCAAAGGGGAGCCCCGGAGCCGCCGGTAAACCTCGACCAGACGTCCTGGTGAGGATCCATGAAGACATAGAGTCCATAAGACTTTGCTATCCGCAGGATCTTGATGGTGTGATCTATAAACTCCTCATCGTATTGGCCTGGTCCAGCATGTTCCAGGGCTTCCCAAGTGAAGATGTACCGGATCAGGTTGTAGCCCCATCTCTTTATCCTCGCAAAGTGTATATGTGCCTCCTCCTCCGTGAAAGGGCGTCCCACGAAGGAGACATTTTTGGCGTCGAAGAAGCCAGTGAGTTCGTGAGAGGGTTGGCTTGGGTGACGGGGAAGTTTGCAGTCTCCAGCAACGTTGATGCCGCGAAAAGTCACCTCACGTCCTTCTGCATCTCGGAATCTGACTCCATCGATCGAGAGTCCACGGGTTGTCATTGGGAGACGGTGGGGATGTGTAGAGTGAACTGCGGGAGCATGCGGGAGGCACAGATGCCAGACAGAGCTGGGGTGTTCTGAGCGCAGGCTTCTCTAGAGGCAGGACGGCATCAACGACAGGGCCGAGGGACAAAACACAAAGTCGCCAACGCCTAGTTCTCCCTCATAGGCAGCTGAGAAAAAGGAAATGGTGCCGGCATCAGTAGCACTTCGACTTCAAGTTGGCTCAGCAGCAGCATAGCGAGCATCTGCATTGGGAATAAAGTACGACCCGCCAAGACGAAGTGAATCAGCGGCGAGCTCAGCCTTGTTCCAGACTCGGGCAATGTCGCCCTGTGCTCACCCCAGCTCACGCTCACGAGGCTGTCAGGCGTGGTCTCACCTCACCTATCGGAGACTTGGAGGACCAGGGGCCCCGTTCTTATTATGGTGACTTCAATTTCACTGATACGCCAAGAGCTTCTTTGCAGTAAGAAGGCAGGAAAACAACACCATAGCTCGTCAACGTTCAAATCTCGAAATCTTCGCCTTCTAGCCACTGTTTGCACTGCCAATATAGCAGATCGTGCTTCTCCCCGCAAGCCAAACTACCTCCAGGTAATCCTTTCTCCCGCCTATGCCCAGGCATGTCAGGCAGGACCCTCACCCCCATGGTCTTTTCTTGACAGTAGGCCAAGTGCCGGTAGCCAGATGGGTATGCCTGAAGCTGAGCCTCATCAAGTGTGGGCACTTTGTTGGGATTCACCGGGATTAACTTGTCCTGTTCTCTGATGTTAGTGGTTGCACACTTTTGGGGGACAACGCCATGGCGTCTTCTTTTCCTCTTGCCTTTTCATACCAGTGCCGGACAAACTTCGCCTTCCACTTATCCCCGACCTTCAGCCAAAAGAAGCAAAATCGACAGTCACTCTCCGCGTCGGCTTCAATGCCGTCCAGGTCGAACCGTTGGGTGATGGTTGCTTTCATCTTCGTGACTGCCCTGCTGGCGCTTGGGTCAATGTCTGTGCTGATGCCGTGGCACCGATGCATAATAAACGCCCTGGAATCCATTCCCGTCTTGGAAGCTGATATGAAGTCCAAATGATGGGTCTAGCCAGTCCAGGTGGTGTAGATGAATGCGTCAGGGTGGAAGATCTGACTTAGATTCTCCCATTCGCCCGCATCGTTGGGGTTCGCCAAAACCATGAGCTTTTCTGCATGTTGAGATCTGGGATGAAGATGCGTTACTCACCGGTACATCGGTCAACCTTCGGCCAGTTCCCTGGGCTTGTATCTTTCCAGGGCCAGGCTGTCTGGGCCGGTATTTCGAATAGCGGTTTCCGGCCTCGAACCGGCCGGCAAAGAGTGCAGATCAACCACCATTTTCTCCTAACAATCCCGGGCCTGTCACAAACCATTACCATTTCTTCTTCGAACATATATATAAGATCCTAGGGTGCCCCGTCGGAAAGCAGACATAGTACTGTAGTTCGATGCATCAGATGTGCGGATGTGCATTTACCCGAAGCTTCAACGAACCCGGTCAGCCTGGGTGAAGAAGCTTGACGTATGAATGTCATTTCGGCTGGCCTTGCCAGGTATTTTCAAGTTTACCTAGTAGGAAAAAGAAATAAACCTCGCCCAGCTAGCCTAAGCAACTTGAACTCGACCCAGGAGAATCCATCGGTAACGAATGTCCTATTTTCGACCGGACTGCTGTTCCAGAGCTTCAACCATTCTTCTATATGATTTGGCCGCTCGATCGGCGAATTCGGACGGTATCTCGGGTCTAGGATCGAATAGGTGTCGGGAGAAGACCTCGGCACTGATCAGGCCCCGGTAACCCATCCCTATGACCAGAGTCTCCATGATTTTCTCCACCGGTAGATACCCCCCGAGATGTTGCTCGTAGGCAAACAGTCGCGCGTTCCTTGACCAAGTCATGCGTGGCTTCTGGTCCGCAGTGTAAAGCGGGTGGCCGGGGACAAGAGGCCGATCCAACCGTTCGGCGTCGCCGGGTTGGACATAGAAGATCTTGCCTACGTCAAGATCCCGGACCATCTCCTCCAAGGACTCGTCGAGTGCCTTGTCTGCGTCTTCGTTCATTCCCGACAGGACAGTGGGATCGCCCCATACTCGCCCGGCGATATGGAACGTATCGAGACACAGCCCGAAGTTAGGTCTACCAACCCTTTTCACAACGTCCCACGTACCTTGCCAGGTGTCAATGTGAGTTCCCCACGCAACGCCTTCGTAGGCGAAAGAGACAACGGGGTCCTCTTTGAGGCCGAGATCAGCCATCTCAGAGAGATCCCGCACAATGACCTCGAGATCGCCCGTCGTTCCGGAGGTCAGCCAGTTCGTGGGAATTTGGATGGTCTGGGTGCCCAGGATCGCTGCCAGTTTGAGCCAGAGCTTCAACTTCTCAATCTTGGCCAGATGTTCCGCCTTGTCGAGCAGCCCTTCGTAGAACCAGAACGGCTGCAACACTCGGACTGTCAGACCCAGCTCGTCACACATTGCCCGCACGGATTTGGCGGCTTCTGTTTGGCTACTCGCGGAATCGTCAAACCCTAAGGCCTTTGCTTGCTCGAGGATGTCCGCTTCCACGATTTCCACGTGTTTGAAGCCATGCCGTGCCGCGGCGGAGAGTCGTGCAGTGATAGGGTGAACGGTGGGATGGCCTAACGACACAGATGCGACGGTTGGTACGAAGTCCATCTCGTCAGACAAAAGTCTAGCGTCCCGTCGAAGTCCTCAAGTGGTTTATTTCCTTTTCCTTGAGCATGTATGAAAGAACAGCTCGATAGCTGATTCATCTCAAATGGTCTCGACAGTGTTGGCGATAGTCTGACCATGAGAATGGCCTTGCTTATCCGCATGCCATTCACCGACTAGCACACGGATAAAGGCGAGGAGAGTGTGATTCAATGAAGCACATGAAAGGTAGAGTCAGCATTGCTAGGTCGATTGTTGTTTGAGAAAACAACTCACTGGCTCGGAAATTGTCATTCCCGGTGTCTCTGACGGTGGGTGAGCAACGGTGAGTGAAGGTAAGGGAAAGGTAAGAGGAGGTGAGCGGGTGCGCGATGTTAAAGGCGGCGCTGGTCTGGCGAGGCCCGAGGTGAGCTCTGAAGTCGACAAGTGCGTTGCTGCTATTAGACTGATCTACCTACAAGTACTGCGGTAGACCCCCGTCCAGTAGGGTCGAATTAAAACAGATGTAGATCACGTGGAGCCTAGACAGATGGCTCTATTGCGTGCCCGTCTCGCTGTCAATCACTTTGGAATGTGCGCCAGATGCTGCTATACAAACTGACCTGACCACCGACTGGGTGCTATGGATACCTCTGACACCCCCTTGAATCCTTCGGCGCCCTTGAAAGCAGTGAGGCACCGTTCACGGCGCGGGTGCCGTACGTGTCGAATACGAAAGGTCAGTCCCCAGCAAGCTCAGCGCACGTCCCTATTGACGCTCACCAGGTCAAATGTGACGAGCATCGTGATACGTGCGGCAATTGTTCGCGCCTGAATCTTCAATGTGTATGGGACTCGGTCAGCGGGCCTTCTTTGCAAGGTGCTTCTCAGCGCTCACGCAGACATCGAGCTTGTACAAGATGCCGGGAGAAAAAGGCATGGTGCTTGCTTGCTTGCTTGGCTATACACGGCGACAACACTGACTCTGCTTCTACAGCTTCGATGTCGCGTCGTGGACGATAGCAGCAATTGTCAGCAATGTTTGACATCTCATACGCCCTGCAATCTTCCGCCCCGCGATTCAAAGGCTGCTCCGCGAGCGATGCGAGCGGATACTGCGGACATTGAGCATTTCGTCAAAGAGCCACTTCCTGATCGTCGGCAGACGGCTTCCATCCTCGAGGCGTATTTTGAGGGTCCTCATAACTTCTGTTTCTCTGCCATACTGCATCGTCCTACCTTCATGGCTATGCTCGAAAACGGCCTTGTCTCGCACAGCCTCCTTTTGATTGTTCTTGCCACGGGCATGCGCTCCCTGGACCCTAGCGCCACTTCAGCGGACCGCTGGGCCGACGAATGTCGCGGATTGATCGTTCCTCAGATCTTTCGACGTATGTCAACCGTAAATCTACAAACGCTCCTGCTCTTGCAACGTTACGAATGGCATCGGGGTTCAGTGTTGAGCTCCTTTTTCCTGTCAGCACTGGCAATCAGACTGGCATTTGCGCTCGAGCTACACTTGGAACCGACAGAACGTCCTGTACAGACAGACACGGTTCTGCCTCCATCAGTTCTGGAGACACGCCGTCGCCTCATATGGAGCTGCTTCATCATGGAATCAGTACCAGATGCGGGAACTCGGCGACTATATTCGGCCATGGATCCTTTTGCCATACAAGCTAGACTACCGTCGGATGAGTCGTGCTATCAACGCAGGAGTGGCACCAGTGCTGTGCAGCCAACGTTAGCGGAGCTCTGGTCTGATCGGCACACGACGTCTGTCACCGCTCCCAACACTTGCCCCAGCATATCCGCATACCTGATCAAGATGGCCGTGCTGCGGATGAAAATACTCCATTATGTAAATTCAGACGTCAACGGCAATGAACCGCTTATAGACTCTCCCCCCTGGCTAGCGGACTCGCCCTTCCACGACCTACAGCGAAAGCTCGAACACTTCTATGCGACTTTGCCAGGCGAACTCCAACTCACGGTCAACATGAAACACTTTACAGACCAGTCTCCAATTCCGCTTTACACGCTACACATCATGTACTTTGCAGCTTCCGCGGACCTGTTCAGAATCGGGATCCAAGCGAGAGCACCGGCAAGAAGGGCACAGACCGCGCCACCTGAACACTTTATTGATTTATGTAGACGGGGCCGGATTGAAAATGCTCTCAACATAATCAAAGTTGTGCGACAATTTTTGGAAGGAACTGCGACAGAACATGATCCATTCATCGCAATTTGCAGCTGTCTAGCCATCAGAATCATCTCGGTGGAGGGACAAAATACGGTTGGAAATCCTTCGCCACTGTTACCACCTTCCGTGGCAGAGGATTTACAGCTCTGTGTGCAGTGTGCGGCAAGAACTGCTCGATGGTCCAAGCCGATACAAAAGCTGCTCTTTGCTGCAAACAAACTTGCTCGCTTACACGGATTTTTCCTGGACGTGCCTGATTTCGTGAGTTCAGTGTCTGGCAACCCAACACATCCTCCTTCACGGCAAGGATCCCCTACTTTGAATCTGTACGGCACCTTTGGCGAGGTTGCAAAAAGCCGTGCGGCCGATGACTTGGAAGCCTCGAAAATGCCAACTTCTTCGGTTTCCAAACTTCAGATAACGAATTCGGTAACGAAAGAAAATAACATCTCCGCTCCTGTGGCGCTGAATGCTGATGGAAATTCCTCAAATATTCCCCACATGCCTCTGCCAACAGACTATGGGGACACCGAACAAGGCATTAGCCCTGACACGCTTCGCCTCGCAGCAGACTGGGGCAATGGTCTGTACGATATAGACTGGGCAATGGCTCAATTCGATCAATGGGCAAACATTGACTTCAGCTGGGGCGAAGATCTAGTCGACACACAGGCCCCGTTTGAGGACATTGGCTTCTGTTGACATGCTATCAAACGTTGCCTGATGAATTGCGCTTCTACACCTAAACACGGCTTGACGGTGGCGCCTCGCCTTTCCTGACCTTCATCCAGGCAGTGGTTTGCGTGATGGCGTCGCCGCCGATGATGCCTTCTTCGGCGTTGCCATCCCATTCTTCTCCGATATAGCGTATTGGTTGACCCCACACCACTCCAGTTTCTGCTTTATATTTCTCCCATATCTGCAGCAGCTCCTCTACAATCTCCGGTCTCGATTCAGACAAGTCCTCAATCTCGCCTTTGTCTGTAGAGAGGTCATACAGTTGCCACTTGCCGTCCTCACGGCCACCGAATTTGGGTTCGATATGCACAAGCTTCCAGTTCCCTTTCCTAATGGCGGCCCGTCCAAACAGCTCCCAGCCCATGCTGCTGTTTGAATCGTGGATTGTGTCAAGGGCGTCATTGTTGGACCCTGTGCTTGTCATGAAGGGAACCTGGTATAGCAGTCAGTCACATGGTTGCAATCCATCTCGCGATGATACATACCCAAGACTTCCCTCTCATCGGGAATACTTTTCGACCCTGGAATTCTCCTGGTTTGCCATCCGCCGCTGGATGCTGAACACCCGCAAGGTCGAGGATTGTAGGGCAGATGTCCATCACACTGGAGAACGCACGGATGAGAGCACCGTTTTGATGCTCTTTTGCGAAACCGGGGTAGTGGACGACAAATGGGACCTTTATACCACCCTCGGTAGTGTACATCTTGAACAGTCTCGACGGCGCTGTCGAGGCCTGCGCCCACCGTGTGCCATACCAGGCGAACGACGTTGCATTTCCGATGTTGTCCAAGGAATTGTCATAGTAGGCATTGATGACACGCATGAGATCTGCGCCCATTGTCGGCAACGCTTCATACGTCGCTCCTTCTGCGCCGTTGTCGCTCTGGAAAATGATGAAGGTGTTCTCGAATTCGCCGATCTTCTTGAGGTACTCGACTATCTTGCCGACATTTTGATCGATATTGTCCACCATGCCAGCAAAACACTCCATGCTGCGAGCAGAGCATTTGCGCTCATATTCAGTCATCTCCTCCCACTCAGGATTGCCCAGAGGCGTCACGACTTCATGAGGCCTGACATTCTTCGGCACCAGACCCAACTGTTTGAGTCTTTCCAGACGTCTCAGACGGAGAGCATCCGGGCCATCATCATACACACCTTTATACCTATCGCGGTCCTCCTTGGAGCATTGCAAAGGCCAATGAGGCGCCGAAAATGGCAGATACGCGAAGAACGGCTTCGATTTGTTCTCCTCGGTCCGTTCTTCTAGGTAGTTGATAAGATTGTCGGTGTAAAAGTCTGATGAAAAGAATCCCTTCTTGTCATGGGTCAAATTTGGAGTTCTTTGTTGTCCGGTCAGCACAAAGGTTTCCTATGGCGCTCGATCAGAGCACCGCTGCCCTCCGAGAGGTGAAGAACTCACATTTCGTAGCGTTTGCCTTGTTCTGTGTACTAACCACGGCTTAGCAAACGATCGAGGCCTCAAATCGAGGAAATGCAGACTTACAAGGAGCGGGATGCGGACGAAAAAGTTGAGATAATCTTTGCCAAACTGAGGCTCCCACCCGTAGTGGTTGGAAGCCCCGGGCAGCAAGGAGAACGACCGGTCAAAGCCTCGCGCTGCTGGATTGTTCTCTGGACGCAAACCCAGATGCCACTTGCCGCTGATCAAGGTATGGTAACCAGCTTCCTGCAAGATCTCGGACACTGCAGCTACATCATGGCTGGAAGGAGAATATGTTGTCAGATCTCAGTAACGATGGAGCATATCATGGGACAACTCACTTCAAAAACCCTTCGTGGCCAGGAACGTTCCATCTCTCAGGATCACGCCCCTTCTGCTCACTCATGACACCCACTCCAGCTATGTGGTTGTCTGTTCCGCTCATCAACATGGCACGTGTTGGACTGCAAGCGCTTGCCGTGTAGTCTTCAAAGACAGTTTAGCATCCTCCTCCGACATATGGATGTTACTTACAGTCAGTGAAGCGGGCACCATTCTTCGCCAAAGCATCGATGTTGGGCGTTCGTATCTCGCCTCCAAAACAACCAATGTCGCTGTATCCGAGGTCTAGTTTATACCTTTCAGCATCAACTCGCGGTACCAAACATATATGAGCACTTACCATCGGCCAGGATGACCAGAAAATTTGGTCGCTTCATGGAACCCATTTTGTCTTGGTCTCTCGCACAAACTTGGCCGCTGTAGTAGGGTTTGAAGCAAAGGTCGAGTTCAAGGCTGTATCTCCAGGGATATATGCCTATCGTGCCCTTGAGCTAGGCAAGACCTTATTCAGGTCAACGTGGCCATCAACCGGCGAATCGGCGGACGGAGTCAATGGATCCAACGGGGTTCTCGCATGTACAGCAGTCATGTTCATAGGATGCTGTGGCCTGGGTCCAGATTGTATCCCCATCAGAAGCAAGCATAC